ATCCTCTCGTCGTTCGGCGTTTTGTAATAGTTGAACTGGTTTTCGACGGCAGCGATCCATTGGCGCATGGAAGAGGCATCACCGTTGAACGGAGGAGGAGCACCTAATTTGAGACGCTTACCAGGAACAGGCGCTGGTGCTATAACCGGTGAAGGTGCTGAGGCTTGGGCAACGAGACGGTTAATAACAGCGTGTAGCTCATCGAACTTAGCTTGTTGTGTTGCACTCATGACCGACTGTAGTGCAACAAACTCCTTTTGGAGTGACTCTTTCTGTTCTGCTGAGAAACCTGACATGACAATGACAACAATAAACAACTATATATAAAAAGGAAACGATGATGTGATGAATGAACGAGCAATTGACCGATAGACAAAAGCTACCAATGTAATATTGTGTATGGTGTATATAATATCTACTGCTAATAATGACAATGATGATAAACAAGATAACTAGATAACTGACAAGATACAATAAACTAGACTGAACAAGACTCTACACGATAGATATACAATTATAACTAGCTACACGAATTGGGGAAACAAGAATGATCCACCAAGCTCGTCGCGACTTCTATTTATTTGTGTTTTTCATATTTTATGTATTTTCGGAATGCAGGGTGAACCTTGTTCTCTGACACTCTCGCAGTGACACCAAAGGCATGCAGCGTACCACGCCTTCCTTCATTCCTTCTTATACTACGATATAGATAGTAATAGGATAGTAATAATCAAGATCTTATATAAACTATGGTTAGTCTTATAGATTGTATAGTGTTATATAAAATGTAATAATCTTTATTATTTAGTTACCTTATATAAACTATGGTTAGTCTTATAGATTGTATAGTGTTATATAAAATGTAATAATAATGAATGATGAGAGCTGTTGCTTGTTTGTAGGTGCGTGAGAATTGGGATTTTGTAAAAAGGTCCATTCTCATTACAATACATTCAAATCATTTTGTTGTATTCTGGTTCTACTCGTCGTTGGCTATCGAATGGACTAGGTTTGATTGGTTTCCAACAAAACTGGATCACTAAAATATTGATTTTAAAAAATCCGATCCAGTTTTTTTTTTTTTTTTGCCTGCTCGTCAGGTCCACACTTTTTTGCCGTGTTTCCGATACTTTCAAATCTTTTTGTTGTATTCTGGTTCAACTCGACGGCGTTGGCTATCGAATGAACTAGGTTTGGTTGGTTTCCAACAAAACTGGATCACTAAAAAATTCCAAAAAGATTTGTTTTTTTGGGACCAAACCACCACCTGCAATACCTCGTAACTTATTCCAAATGAAATAATAATGGCAACCACATTTATCAGAAGGATACTGAATATATTAACATCGGACTGATGCAATCACCAGGTCTTTTTACAATTCTTTTCTTTTCTTTTTTTAGTTTTTTTTTTTTTTAATTTTGACCCCACATCTTTCGATCATCATTGTTTATTCAACATTCACCACCGCAATTGCCAAGATATCATCCTTCGAGTTTACTTTAACATTATAGTCACAACCAATACAACCCCGAGGGTTCTTCCGCTATGATAGAAAAGCCACGTGGCTGCACTTACAAATGACCTGAGGCAATTTTAAACGTGGTGTTAAAACCATATACAAGAAGGTATATATACAATAAAAACAAAAGAAAACATTATAGTCTATATAATATATATTACATTTATTAACACTTTGTGTACCTGCAATGTAATCAAATAGATAGCTAAATTTTGAGATACTCAAGACTCTATAGTGTAGAGGTGGCAGACTGGCGTCAATGAGTCCTAGGATGTTATTCTTTAATCGTGTTATTACCATCAAATTGTATGTATACACTATTGTGATCTATACACATCCACACTCGCACGCACAACCATACTGTAAAGAGAGAGAGAGATTGATCAATGATAATGATCTTAATGGTTACTATAGTATTTATAAAAAATATTTGTCCCAATTAATATTTGCTTGAGATCATTTTTGTATTAGTTGTTCATCTCTACTCTTTTTTGGTTAGATGTTTTGTGTTTTTCTATTTTATTAATTGACCAACTAATTTGTTGTTGGTTCTAATATGTCGTGGGGGAGAATACAATGATCTAGCAAGCAAATATTATTTTGGACAATATATATTTGCTATATAGTTTCTCCCCCACGACAATTTATTTTTTTATTATTAATAAATTGATTAGAGTAGAGGACAAGAGTATTTTATCATTTGAATATTTATTTTTTCATTTCATCATCATATTTTTTTTTTAAACAAACAAATAGTAATAACAATCAATAATATTTAATTATTTAAAAAAAAAAGAGGAAGAAGAAGAATGAGTTGTTAATTTAATTATTCCCCCTTTTCGTCGTTATATTAATGTTTCTTTCTTTTACCTTTTTCATATATATAGTGCATTACAAAAACCATCATTCTATCAAGGCGCATCAGGTATGTGCAAAAGAGCGATTGATTTCCTCTTTGAATTATATTCCATGTATACAGAGGAGTTAAATATTAAACAAAAAGATCAACTCCAAAACATCATCAACGAGATAATGGATAAAATGTCATACCAAACGATGATTACTTTTCCTTGCTTTAATGAAAAGGTTACCAAACAATTTAAATTCTTTTCATTTGTTCAACCAGTCCGAATCCTCTTCGATAGGTATTGTATTTTTTTTTTTTACCCTAAATAATAATCATAATTATAATCTCCTCATTCTTTTTTATTAACCAATAATTAAAATTTATTTTTTTTATTTTATTTTATTTTATTTTTCTATTACCACAATTCCACAAACATTGTCCAACAATAGCAAGCACTCGGAGAATGGCTACCAACAGGTTTGTACAACCATACAAAGATATCTCGGTTGCTTTCGTCACACCGTCCCAAACAACTTGTTTGAAACAAGATCGTCATCCAAACCAAAATCAACCAATCGCTGGTCGGTCTCTCTAGACACTTTACTTCAAAGTCACACATCACTCTTCCTTGTACATGTGGTGTTACAGACCACACTCAAGAGTATCGCCTTGAAGAGTTTCCATTCCAGGATTTTAAGTGTCGCGATGCTTAAAAATGACGGCAAGACAAACCACCATCAAGGCAATATCGGATGCCTTCCTTCTTGTGAATCCAAACGTAGACTTTGACCAAGGCCAACTCAAAGACTTGGACGAGTCCAACAGTGATGATATTATTGTAATATTCACATTCAAAATTTGTGGTTGCGAACTGCCAGTGACCTACATCACTCTATCAAACCCAACAAGTTTTCAAGAGTGCCGAATATTTAATAACAAATGGTGGCCAACCTCAAAGAAATTGTCGAAAAGGATCCAACTCGAGCCACAGCAGACCAACTAGAGTAACTGGTTGAATCAATACCTTCATTCTCTACTGGGCAGTTGGAAACAGCGATCAGTCACAAGATCCAATATGACTGTAGTCAATGTATAGAGGGTGTCGTATCCTTTTCTCTCCTTAATTTATACTCAAGTAGAGCTGGAACATTTAAAATGTAAAGCAAAAGTGACTCTCAAAATAATAATGCTGTTTTTTTATTTGAATCTTTTACTGGATCATTATCACGATTTATCATGATAGTCTGAATTGATTAGTTATTCAATTTATATATTCATTGTTTAGTTTTTAATTTAATAATTTATTGATAATCTTTTGAGACATTTCTTGATCATCCATTTCCACGAGGTAGAGACGTGAGGTGGAGTCACTCCATATAGACAGGCCAAGTGCTACAAACTGAACAAAAAGGTAAAGTACCATCTCGACACTCTATTGTTGCTTAAGATTGGGTTTCCTCCAAGTCAATTAGACTATCAAGTGGTCATTAGCCCCGTATCGGTGATTGCACTCTTGAACAGTCTATTGATTGCTGAAAGCTTTGGGTTTTGATTGATGAGACCAGAGCGGGGACGGAAAAGAGATGTATTTGGACGTAGCATCAAGACATCCTCTTTTTCCATGTCTCGTACCTATACGATGAATGCTTTGTGACCAGATTCGTCAACCTCTGTGTAAAAAATGATTACAACATTGGTTCACATGTTCTGGTTGGTTAGATGAATCGGTGACCTTTCTCACATAATAGGTGAGGAAGCTTGCCATATAAATTGACAAATGTGTCTCTTGATCTTTTCATAGTTTGGATCAAGTGGATTGATTTGTAACTCAAGTGTCCAAAAAGAAGATGGGACTGACTTATTTCAATCCAGATATCTCTTGTTTTATTCTAATACCTTCAATCAAAAATCGATGTTTTGTTATCAAAGATACATATTGTTTACCAGCAACAGAGAAATCTCTAGTCTTTCAAGCAAGATATCATCTTCATTTGTCGATGATCAAATTCTCACAAATACTTCAATTACTGCCAATGTTCAACCAAACTATATATCTTTTAAATTAGTTAGTTATTGTACATTTTATTTATAATGATGGTGGTCAAAAAGACTTGAACTAATCGGTGAATGCTTTTGACCGATCAAAAGTAAAGATTTCTCTTTTGGATTGGTTAAAGTAATCCTCTCATTTCTTGCAACATGTTTGACTGGTTTGTAAAAGAGTGAACAACAATTGGTCATATCCATTTCATTCATTGCGTATGCGTTTTAACGATAGAAAATTAGATCACTAATATGAACAAGACTACTAACAACAATAATGTCTTGTAAAGAAAACAACAACAAACTCACCCTATGGTAGACAACCTCTAGAGAAATGATCATTCATTTGTTCCAAAACAGTGGGTTGTATTTGTTATCAATCATGAATAAGAAATGGGATTTGGAATCAAATTGTCAATTATGTTATGCTAGATGGTGTGTATTTTTTTAAAAAGAGCAATGAATGAATAGACAACACGATTATAAACTCTAGAAACAACTATCGATTCTTACTCTTCTTTTCTAGATTAAACTCTTTGGATTGAATTCGTCACGGTCCACACGATCCATTGTCATGGTGGGTAGGTACCAAGTGTTCGGGTAATGTTGACTCTTTGGCACTCAACGACTTAAGTGACGCTACCAATGATTTTGTAGATTCTGGTCACTCTGAAATGGCTGTAGAAATGTTAAAAGATCTATACATTGGTGAATGTTTAGATTCTATATAAAGATTTAGTAAATCCTATAAAGATGAAATCACCAATCCTATAGAATCTGAACATTCACCAATGTATAGATCTTTTAACATTTCTACAGCCTTTTCAGAGTGACCAGTATCTACAAAATCATTGGTAGCGTCTTGTCCTGCTACATCGACAATGGTCTCTGCTCCTCCTGGGTGATCATCGGCAAACTTGGTGCAATCGTACACTTTACCGTCAATGACAATCCAACAATCGTCAATAGTATTGTGCTTTGATACTTGTTCTAATGTGTATGATGGTTTAATATCTTCTGTCATTTTGTAAAGTGATCCACAAACAATGATCTAATTTGAAGCTTTAAAAAGAAATCTATCCTTTTTTTCTTGGAACTTTTTTGTGGAAAAATTCAGATATTTTTGGATAAATTAATGATTGTAAGGATAAGTATAGGACTTGGTTATATAGTCAACACCTCGCTTGAGAGGTAAAGGGTAGAACCCTTCTAATTGTTTATATTTGAATTTTTTTCCAGGCGCCAGATTTTTCATAATCATTTTTTTTTTTTACAAATCTGGAACGGAACTCAGTCGTTGGACAATCGAGTTATTATGGTCTATTTGGTTTTAATTTAAAAAGTTTAGAGATAGTTATTAAATGAAAAAAAATAAAATTAATTTGTTTTGAGTAAAGATCTCTTTTGGAGATTCGTTAAACTCTGTCAAAGAGTCGGTTAAGAAATCCTCTCATTTCTTGCAACATGTTTGACAGGTTTGTAAAAGAATGAACATCAATTGGTCATATTCATTTCATTCATTGCGAATGTATATAGAAAATTAGATCACTTTTATTAATCTCCAATTTAAATCTTTTTGTTATATTCTGGTTCTACTCTGCGTTGGCTATCGAGTGAACTAGGTTTCTTGTTTGCCAGAGGTATCATTAGTATTCATGAATAAGCGACAAAAGCTAGGAACAGGGGTTGAATCATCTAGCTTTAATATGAGTCGTTTTTTCTTTTTTTTTTGTCCAACCGTGCATGACGAATGTTGACACCAACAATTGGACGCCTTTCCTCTTTTTGGAATTTTTATTTTATCCTCTCTGTATGCATTATTTTTAATTGATTTCTCTCTAAATTTGATGTATCTGGGAGAGTAGCTGTCTAGTTTATTGGATGGAAGATGATCTTGATCTACAACAATTATATCTCACAGCATAATTGGAGTTGGTGGTTGTGGTATTTTATCCTCTCTTTAGGAACCACCAACCCCAATTAGGAAACAACTGAAAAACGAAAAAAGCTCGAGTTTTGGTCTCATAAATCCTAGATGATAGGTTAGCTTTTTTCGAAAAGGGATTTGGAATCAAATTGCAAATTATGATACTTGTATGTATTTTTTAAAAAGAGCAAAATGAATAGAATACACGATTATCAACTCTCACTCAACAACTAGAAATCCAATCACTTTGTCGGAATCAACTATCTTCTTTTCTAGATTAAATTTTTTGGATTGAATTCGTCACTGTCCGCCACGATCCAACTCAAACAATACGATCAATGACCATTCATTTCAAATCTCAAACAAGATAGAGTGTTAATCGCAAATCATAAGATATTTGGATGCAATTGTCAATTACAGTTGGCTCTGGTTGGTGATTGGTTGAGCCAATTGATTTTGACTGTCTGATTCAGAGATTGATACACAAATCGACCTAAATAACAAACATTACGGTAATTAAATTCACCATTTTTCGATTTGTTCGACTATGTATCCATTCCAAAGTACATAGGTATTTGGTTTCACTTGTTTATTATTTTATTCTAACTTTTCCTTGGATTTTAAATGTTGGTTGATGAAAAGGTGATTAATGGCAAGGATAAAGGTGGGATTTGTAAGAAAAAAACGGCAAAAAGGTACCGTTTTCTCCTCATATCAGGTCTTGTAACTCAGCCGGTAGAGAGTTGTACTTATATCACAGAGACAACTGTATCTCAGGCCATTTTGGGCAAAAAAATAAAAAACGGCCAAAATGGGTCCGTTTTCTCCTCATATCAGGTCTTGTAACTCAGCCGGTAGAGTGTTGTACTTATATCACAGTATGGAATGCAAAGGTCGAGAGTTCGATCCTCTCCCAGACCAGCCCTTTTGTTGCCAGTGCAACTGCTCTACCGACGGCCAAGCAAGCCCCCTCCCAGACCAGCCCTTTTGTTGCCAGTGCAACTGCTCTACCGACGGCCAAGCACTCCAGTGATGATCCTCTCCTAGACCACAGGCACAAGGGCCATCGTTTGTTGAAGGGCAAGATGACAGCCAGAGCAAGAGAAACAATAAGAATGGACGCTTGGGTGGCACCAGGTTCAAGAATGTGTGTCCAACTCTACATAGGGTGAGACATTTTACCAATAGATTGATCCTGAGAGTATCCTACGAGAATGAGAAATGTCTATGACGCTTGGGAGGCACCAAGTTCAAGAGTGTGTCCAACACTAGACATTTAGACTAGAGGGAGGAGAGTCCTACGAGATCTATGAACTTTACTTGACCAATAGACAAGGTGGTAGTGGTGGTGAATATTACGATCACCAACAATGTGAGCATCAACAAATGCTGTTCAATATCTATGATTGTTAAATATATAAATATATAGGGGAAAGAATTATAATTAGTTTCGATAAAACTAAACATTGTTTATAAAGTACAAGTATCTTTTCATTTAAACACTTACAATGATTATAAAGAACTATGAACTAGTTTGGTATTGTATGCATCCTTCTCTCTGCTATTGAACAATTTGTGTATTGGCAAAAGATAATAATAACTAAAAAAATAAAAACAATGATCGAAAATAAAAAGTCGACCGCATACAATTTGTTTTTCAAAAAAAAAATAAAACAAAAATTAATTTTAATGTTTTTAGTTACTCTTGAAAATGAGTGCCCTGATAAGTGATTGTTGATAGCAGAACAAACTGATGAGAGAGATAGTACTATTATGAAGAAATCAATCAAATCAATGCAAAACTAGACCGACTGAACGATTCTTATCCATTAGTTTTTGTTTTCTTTTTTCCATTGCAAAAAAGGGCAAGATATTTTTTTTTTTTTCAAGCTCCTCGACCGACTGACCGATTCTTACTCAGACCTCATCCTTTGATGAAGTTGAATAAAATCCAGTCAGTCGGTCCTAATAGAAACCCATATAACAACCATGCTCTCTCATCAAATTTCATTATTTTCTTCATCCTCTAGCTTCTTCTTCTTCAATCTTCTTGGTTAATAAAATAATAATAGTAGTAATTATGTCAACTAAACTACTCCGTAATTGGATATGGTAACGCAATTCTTGACAACCCTTCTTGTGGAATGTGCTACACTAGAGAACCCTCTAGATTTGGTTCTAGTAAATATAGATGTACTAAATGTCAAGAGTAAGTTTGATCTTTAAAAAAAAAAAAAGAATAGATTAGATTTAATTAGTTGATAGAATATCCAACACAAATCTTTTTTTATTTATTTTATTTTTTTTAGACAAGTAAAAGTTATTCTAGACAAAAAGAATAATAAAGAAAGTATTAAAAAGACTCTGGTTGTAAAGAAAAAGGTGAATCGATTAACTGTTGCCAGTGCCACTGCCAAGACTGTCAAGAAGACACCCATAGTTAAACAAGGTCGTGGTGCTGTGAAGCTATTACTACGTGAAGCATTCAAGAGACACCTTTTGCAAAAGTCAACCAAGTTTGGTCGTTTTGATCTGAAAGAGAAACATGTGAATAATATGATCCAAGCCCAATACAAACTATGCTCCATCCTCAAGGTACCATTGCGTTTGTTCACAAAGACCAACTTTAAGCTCAGCCTCGACCGAATCAACGACTCTATAACCTACACCAAACCCAACACTCGTATCACTTGCCTCGAGGTCAATACCCGTTCCAAGTGGAGATTTCCTGACCCAGCTGTGCTTATCGAGAATTTCTTGTTTGGATCAAAGCTGACCAATGGCAAACTGGACACCCTTTTCCATAGCCACGCCATAGGAGAGGCCATCAAATTTGTCCTCCACTCTGCCAAGTGTAACACTAGAAACAAGGCTGTTGGTAGAAGATTGTTTGGAAAGTATGAAATTAACTACAATTTCATGGTGCTCTTGTACTTTTTCCAAGGTGGTCGTAGTTGGTATACCCGTGCCATTCTAGGTGTCCCTCCAAGGGAACAATCAATACGTGATCACCCATCATCCCTTTCACCAGAGAGATTAGATGTTTTAACCTCTTATACACTCGAAAACACTGTATTGATTGATAGCCGAACCCAGTCTACCAACAATAGAGCGGCCTACAAAAACCCAGAAGATTTCACCTTTGGAGATGGCAATTGGAGCAAGTTGAAATTCTACTTTATGATCTATTGTCAAGAATGCTTCCAAGCAAAACCAAACCGCATTCACCCCAAGTACTATGAAGATTGGCTCAAAGACAATGAAGAATTACAAATCAAGGTTGCCAAGGAAGAACTTGAACGTTTAGAGTTTGTCAGATTTGCCAGATCCCTCTTGAATAGAATCGATCAAAAAGAAATAACCTTGGAACAAGCTGTTTTAATGGTAAAAAGAAATCGTTATCATTAATATCTACTTTTTAAACTTGTAAATTAATAAATTAAAGTAAAAGAAATCTTTTGGTGAGATGTAACTGTCCAACAAGAAAAGAGAGGCAATGGCCTAATAACGATTGACATAATAACCACCACAATGAAAAAAAAAATTGGTAAATTATCTGTCTATTAATGTCAATTTAAATTGTTCTATTTATATAAATTAAATAAATCTTTTATATCTTTTATCTTTGCTATTTTTGATTTTAAAACTTTAATTGTAAAAAGCAAAGTTTAGAAAGCGCCACTATTTGATTCAACCTCCTCACACAAGAACCAGACAATGCCGCCTTTGGCATCAAATTAACATGTTCCAAACGATGAACCACCATATCCACCGACATACTACTACCACCATCATCCAACCAATCCCCAGCAGCAGCAGCCATAACATCCCTTGGCATTGCAACTCTTGTCAAATAATAAAACAACACTTGTAAATGTTGTTCTGGTATCGATACCATCATTCTAGCCAAATTTAAACTTTTCAATGTTGAATTTTTAATTAATATTAAAATCAAACTTTTAATATTATTTATCATATTCCCTATAAAATAAATAAAATAAAAATAAATAAATACTTTTTTTTTTTTTTTTTTGTTTTTTTAATATTTTTCTCTCTCTACTTACTTGATAAATCCAATTTTTTTAAACATTTGTTATTTGAAATGGCCAAAGACAATTGAATAAAATGATCATTATTGATTGAACATTCCGAAAGCAACAAAGTTTCCAGACCCATATTATTTGCAATCGATTCCACAAGACTATTGCCAATTTCATTTGTGGTATTCATTTGATTTCTTGATAAATCCAAATAGGTCAATGTATTATTCATTGATAGAGTATTAAATATTTGAGAAAACCCAATTGATTCTATATGATTTCCAGATGCATTTAAATGAATCAATGAATCATTACCATTTAATTTTAAAGCCAAATTTGTAAATCCTCCACTACCAAATAAATTATCAGATATATCCAAATGAGTCAAAGTCTTGTTTATAGCCATTGTATCACCCAAACTCAATGCACCCCAACCTTCAATATCACATCCTTTTAATGATAAATGAGATAATATTGAATTTTTTCTTAATCCATTTGATAATGTTATAATTGAATTATATTCTGTTTTATTATCTAAAAAAAGTAAAAATAAAAAGAAAATTAATAAAAAAGAAAAAAAAAAAAAGTATTATTTGTTATTTACAATTTCCAATTTAAACTTTTAATTGATAAATTATCTTGTAATAATGGACCAATAAATTCTAATCCATCTAATGATTCACAACCTAAAAAAAAAAAGATTAAAAAAGTTAATATTATTATTTCTTTTTTTTCTTTTTTTTTTTTTCATACTTTCTAAAATTAAATTTTTAATTTTAATAAAACCATTTAATAAAGTAACAAGATAAGATATACCTTGATTATCCAATTTGTTACTTGAAAGATTGAATTCATCAAGATGAAATTGATCTTGATCAGATATATTTGGTATGATTCTAGATTTTGAATTTTTTAATTGTTTTTCAAATCTTGAGAATCTTTTATTTGCTCTATGATCTTTATCATCATCATCACCACTACTATCAATCATTGATTCATCACTTTCATTTTCATCATCATCACTATCACTTTCATGATCAATTTGAAATTTATCAAGAAATGATTTATAAAGTATAGATAAATGTTTACTAGTAATAGATGACATTGATAAATCAATAGATGATAGAGATGATACATTCTTCTTTTGATTTGTAAAGATTTGTGAAATAAATGTAATGATTGATTTGGGATGATTAGGAACAACCAATTCTAAACGTTCCAATTGACCAAATTGATGTAAACGATTAGACAATGCAAAAAAGTTACCATCTACCATTGTCAATTGTCTAACATTTGAAATGATTGTAAAATACCATTTCTTACAAACCAATAGTAATGATAATCTTTCTATTGATTCATTTGACCATATTCTTAGAGATAAAGTAGAAGTAGCTTTTAAACAACATTCAAATATTAATCTATTATTTAAATATTCATTTATAGTATTATCTATATTAATATTTAATGGACATATATAAATATTAATATCTTCTTCTTCTTCTTCCATCTCTCTCTCTCTATCTCTATAAAGTTTTAATATGAATGAAAAAAAAAGAGATCTTCATCATTGATGATTTATTTTGGAATTTTTTTTTTTTTATGATTTGTGAATGATTATTATTTTTTTTGTTTTTTCTTTATCTATTTTGTTGTTGTTACATTGGAGGAGGAGGAGGTGGCATACCAAATGGTGGAGGAAGTGGCATATCATCAATCATTGGTGGTGGTGGTGGTGGTGGTGGCATACTATTATTATTATTATTGCCATTATTTACGACGTTTACATTACTATTACTATTACTATTATCATCAACTTCACGATTAGTAACTTCAGTAGTAGTAATAATAAATTGTTCAGCTTGTTCAGTTGCAGGAGGGGATAGGATCATATTGGAAGGAGATGGAGGAGGACAATAGGCATTGAGAATTGAAAAGATTTGACTATTCATATCTTTCATAAACGATGCCGTTTTGAAAAAGTTTTTAAGAGCAGGTTTATCAGAACGAACTGCAGCAGCATCTTCAACGTTTAAAATGTGATAACAAAAATCAAACAATTCAAAACGATTTTGTTGACCTAGGAAATGAATGATAGTACAACCGGCCCACATGAAACCATCACCAAAGAGTTCGTGATAAGACTTGTCATTTTCATTGGTGAGTGGCCAACAAGTGACAAATTGAAGAGCAGACCAAAGACGGTAAAACTCGGTACTAGTATCAATGTTGATGACACCATTGTCTGGAGTGAGACCTGACCATTCAGCACGTACAGAGTTGAGGATCTGTGTAATACGTTGGAGGACATTCTTAAAGATGGATGGGTTGGCACCAGTTGGACGGTAAAACTTGTCGGCACGCCATGCATTGTTGACAATTTCCTTGAAATACTCTGGGGCTTTGGTCACTTCTGGTTTGGATTCCAAGATTTGAGCGAGTTTGGCGAGTTGAGCATAGAGTGGAGATTGAGTGGTTGGATCGGTACCTGTATTGTCTGAATACCAAGTGTCTGGTGTGACACCCAAAAATGGAGCGGCTTGAATAAATGATGAACATTCACTTTGAACCATTTGTTGATCGAGCAGGTTCATAAAGATGATTGAATTGCCCAATTCTCTAAAACATTGAATGACTTGAGGACGCAAGTCGGGATAGGTATAAATGTCACGCAATTTAAGTTGGAAATAACCATAACAACCTTCTGTACCATAATCATAGATTGGTAGTTTTTGTGATGCTGGCATACCAGATGAAATTAATTCTCTAACATAGGGTGTCAGAACAGATACAATCTTTACTTCCATATTTCTTAGACATTCAAAAATGATCAATGGTAAATTCTTTTTACCAACGACCCTGAGTAATGAATGAATATGAGGAGCTCCAACAAAATGTTTATAAAGTTCTGCTGAATTGGCATAGGCAGCATTGAGATGTTTGTTACCAAACAAATAGACTGGATTGGTTTTTGGCATATTTTCACGTTGAATATCTTCAGTGAAAAGATAGGGAGCCTTGATAAAACGTTGAGTAATCGAGTTGAATGTATAGTTTGGTGCCAAATCTGTCATTAATTCGAAAATGGTATGGAATGCAATACGACCATGATATGAAATAAGTGATGTACTTTCATTTACTTCATTCATCATACTTTCAAATGGATCCAATGTGAAAAATTCCGACAACAATTTATAGGTCAAACGAATTGAATTGAGTTGAGTTTCCAATTCAATGACCGATGTCAAATCTGAAGCTTCATAACGAGAAATTGCATAATCTATATTTTGACGTACAAAATTGTTTTGACGTTGTGCCAACAATGCAGTCAAATCAATTGATCTACCCAACAGAGTAATATGTTTTTGTCTAAGTACTACATCGAATCTTGATTTTGGTACATTAAATTTACCAGCAAAATGAACCAATTCCAATTGTGCTTTATAATTCTTGTCGAGCAACAAGGAACAAGCTTGAGTTTTAAAATGAGCAAAAATCTTTCCAGACAATTTATATAATAATTGATCAAAACAGAGATTCAATTCTGCTTCAATTTCATCATATAAAAATCTTTGATTTAATGATTGCAATGCACGATGTGCCGTATCATTGTAAAGACCCAATGGATAGAAAATATATTCCATCAAGGATGGATCATCACTTTCCAAAATATGATCTGTTAGAATCCATGGTAGAGAAGTTTCAATTGGGAATTGAACACGATTATTCAATTCAAGATAAAACTCTCTATACCAAAGATCTGCAAGATCAGTAATTTGATTGACAGTTGCCGACAAGTTGAGTAGATAACGATAAAAGTAGGCATGATTATGGAAAGTTTCCAATTCTGCAAATTGTGTTGATGAAAATTCCTTTTTCTTATTCATCAATGATGAAATAATAGTAAGAATTAAGTCCAACTGAGTAGTACTAGGAGGAACAGCTCTTATTGGAATTTGTAACTTTTCTTCATCCTTTTTCTTTGAATTTGCATTTTCAACTGGTTCTGATCCACCAAGCCAATCTGCTGCAATCGTTTTGAGTTGAGCCAATTCAATTTTGATATGATCCTTTTTCTTTTCCTTTTTGGCAAAACTCTTGATAGTGTCACGCAATTGATTTTGAATAAATTGTTGGAGTTCACCGTGAATAGAACGTTTAATGATTGGTTCGAGGACAGATTCGTGTTTGACCATCAAGGAACCGAGACCCTTGATCATGGCGATAAACTGAATCAACGCGACACGTTCGTCAGCCGAATAGTTGTATTTGACTACACGTTCATAGTCAAATTGGGCTGGAATGGCAGCATCATTGTTTGGTTTTGAATACTTCCATGCACTTTGTTGTAATACACGTGATGACCAATCGGAAAGGATTCTAAGGCCAAGTAATACGATAGCTTTGACATCAGTCTCTGGCATTGGTAATGGATCTTTGGGTGCACGAGTCTTGGCTGCTTTAACATCATTTATCATATTGGCAAAACGTGCTACATATTCATGGTAAAGCGATTTGGTAGAGTCCAAGTAATTGATAATTTCATATTCTTGAGCGACTTTACTGTCCAAAGTTGAAGTACCCCAAGCCTTTTCATCAAAATGAGGTGAACGTTTGACAAGAGCTTCCAAAGTAATTTGCATATCACCATACAATGGAACTACAGGATTCTTTCTAAAGATTTTGGCATAACGAGACAAATTGAGGTTCTTGTTTTTGAAAATGTTGTGCTTGGAGTCATTCTCGTCGATCAAATACAATACGTATGGCATGACACGGAGATAACAATGCTTTTCCGATGGCAAGATATACTTTTCCTTTTCCATAAAGTCGGCACATTGATTGACAAGTACTGGCAACACTTCTTCAAACTTGTCAATATTATGCAACTCTTGTTTCAACGAAGTTGTAATGGAATTTTGGTGTGCCAAAAATAAATATAATGTATGATTCTCTTGTGTTTGATCTTCTGCTCCTGTCATTTGTTTTCTTAAAAATCCACTTGCCCTAAAAAAAGAAAATTAAAAAAAGAAATAGAAAAAAAAAGAAAAAAGAAAAGAGTTAATATATTTATATTTATAAATCTTTTTCTATTTGTTTTACCTTTTGAAAAAAGAAAAATCATTATTTAAACAAGCTTTAACATTTTTTAAAGCATCCAATAAAGCAAATAGATCTAATAATTTAACAAGATAAGTGACAAGAGATTCAGATACAGTGATAGTTTCCTTTTTCTTGTCATAGGTTGAAGCCAATTTCTTGATATAGTCACAAAAGATCTTGATAGTGTCACGTTGAAAGTACATGAGATCCTTGAGTTTTTTAATTTCCGGCTCCAACACTTCAAAGGTACCTTCGTAGATTTGTTGTTTGTTGGCTTGTTCCGATGTCTTGACTTGTGGCAATGCCTTGGAGCAACTACGATACGTGTAGACCATGTTGATAAAGGTCTCTCCTTGACGCAACAAATCGTCCATCTTTTCCATTGCTACAGTCTCTTCGGCCCATTTACTTTCAAAGGCTCCACGATCTACAAAGTGTGAACTATTGTATGGAATGTATCCAATCGTGCTTGGAATCTCCTCAATCAAAGATTGATCATCTTGAAATGGAAACGTCTCCAATATATCAACTCTTTCATTGACATCTGGCATTAATGATGTTGTTGCCATGTTGTTGAAAATTTAAAAAAATAAAAAACTAATATAGTATATTACAAATAAAGAGATATGATAAGATAAGATAAGATAGATAGATATAAAAATAATTGATTGATTGATATGAACTAATGTTACAAATAGATAGATATTATAGATAGATATAGACTCGCGTTGTTACTACTATACTATTACTACTACAACTATCTTCTTCTTTTATCTGCTGATGGTTGTTAGATGGTTATTATAAAACCCAATGAAGCTGCCCGCACTGCACAAAAAAAAAAAAAAAAAAAAAAAGAGGAACAAAAAAAAACAAAAAATCAATTTTTTTTGCACTTGGTTTCATCTGTGTGAGATGCCAAGATCTTTTTTTTTTTTTTTCAGCTACAGGAGCACCTTCACTGAAAAAGAGTATATAGTATTTATTTGTTATTTGTTATTTGTTATTTGTTTATTTGTTATTAGTTTACAAGAGATAATGGATAACCCAAAAGTTTAGAATTTGAAATACTGGCAAGGAATCAACTAATTTGAACATAGTAGTATTTTTGGACTTTGAAGCAGCAGCAGCAGCAGGAACTTTGACTAGACGATGATCATTAACATTGATAGGCGACAGAGATCCTTTAATGACAACTTGAATGAAATATTTTGTAATGGATTCATTATTATTAATTATTATAATTATTTGTTGGTGGTTGGCTAGGGTTAGGGGTTAAGGTTATTATTATTTGTTTGATTGTTTGATTGTTTGGTTGGTTTGAATGATTGATTGAAGAGAGTTCATTGCTATTATATAGTTTTCTATTTAGAATCGACTGCCCAGAAAGGTAGATACTTAACAAAAAACCCTAAAAAATCGGTCAGTCACACCAGCAGCACACTTTATGTCAATTTCATTCAATACTTTACCTCTGTAATAGAGATAGAGATTAACTATTGAATGAATGAATTTATTACCACATAAAAGTTGGAATGTATGGAGTGCAAAGAATAAATCTCGAGTTGAAAGAGATCAAGAACAACTCGCAAGAAAAGATCAACTTGAAAGAAAGAGACAACTAGATGTAGATCAAGAAAGAAGATTAGAAATACTTTTAAAAAAGAAAAAGAAACTAGATCATGAAGAAGAACAAGATGAAGAAGAAGATGTAGAAGATGAACAAGTCAAACAAGTAAAAGAAAAGGAAGAAACTCAACATATCAATTTATTTGTTGATTTAATTAATCCTTCTCCGACTCTGACCCCTCCAACTCGAGGCAGTGATTCTACTTCAAAAAGTAATAATAGTAGTAATAATAATAATAATGATAATTCATTTAGATTAGGACATGGATCATATGAATTATCATCAAATAAACCTTGGTATGAAAAGAAATCAACAAACAATACAACAAATACAAATACTACCTCTTCTTCTACTTCAACAACTACGATTGTTGAAAAAGAAAAGGCTAAAAAAGAAAAGAGTGAAAAATGGTTACAAAAACAAGAGGATCCTTTAACATTTATAAACAAATCTCTTGGCAAATCAACTAACAATAATAATAATAATAATAATCAATCTAAAACAACTTCAACAACAACAACAACAACAACAACAACAACAACAACAACAACAACAACAACAAATGGAAAAAAAAAGACAATTGAAGAAATGAGAAAAGAAAGATTGGAAAGAGAAACAAAAGAAAGAGAAAAGATTAGAATTATGTTTCCTTCTACTGCTACTGTTACCAAGACTAAACCAACAATAGAAATGCTGGAAAAATCAAAAAGAGATGATCAAGATAGTACAAGACAATCATCCAATTCATACAATTCCCAATATTCAAATTATAGTGGTGCACATTCAAAATCAAAATCTACTTATCATCAACATCTTAATTAAGTTAATTAATAAATACATTTATATTATTTACATTTATATACTTATTTCTATTTTATCTATCATGAATTAAATTTCTATGATCAAATTTAATTAATTCAACGTATGGATAAAGATATTCAGCATAGGCATTTAAATAATGAGCGGCTTGATCAAAACCTTCTTCACCTGCCAAACATTGTAATTCAACCATTTTCGATTTCGTTCCAATCTCTCCAATTCTTCCATCTGGCATTGCTCTCTTGTGTGTCACCAAATATAATGATAAATAGTGTGTACTATAACAATCTCCTTCTACCCAATATTCATAATCTTTTCTATATAAAACAAACAAAAAAAAGAATATAACTTTTTGGTTGGTATTCCTCTATTTCTCTTTTATATAGTTTCTATGATTTCTACTTACTTGTAACCTAAAGTTTCAATTAAACCAACAAATTTATTGGTGACCGTAATATCAACAACATTTTTAATCATTGCATTGATTTTGTCCTTGTAGAGAGGAGCACCAACATAACGTGCATGGGTACTATTTTTAAAGGTTCGAATGTGTATCTCTGATGGCATGATCGAACCTTCTGCCCATGATGGTCCCGATGAATGAACAGTCGATTTATATATAGTTTCCTTGTAAAAGATTGGTTGTTCACCTCGCATCATTCCTTTTACACGTTGAACAAACGTTGTAACAGGTGTTGACAATATACCATGTAAACTACATTCAAATAGATTTGATTGTAAATTTAATAATTCTTGTTGTTGTTGTTGTTGTTGTTGTTGTTGTAATTGTTGTTGTTGTTGTTGTTGTTGCTGTTGTTGAGGTGATGTTGCCATTGCTGATGGTTTAGACATCATTTGTTGTTGTTGGTATATCATATTCTGTTGTTGTTGCTGTTGTTGAGGTGATGTTGCCATTGGTTGTTGTTGTCTATTATTATTATTATTATTATATGATTGCATTGTTAGTTGATAGAGAGAGAGATGAGATATACATATGTATCTCTTAATATTGTAAATATATGTATATTTTGTCGACATTAAAATCAAATTTTTAATCTACTAACTTATTCATTTTTTAATCATTTGTATATATTATACACACAAACATTATATACATACAGTTATTTAATCATTTATACAATACTATAATAACAATCAAGAAACTACTATACAACAACAACAACAACAACAACAACAACAACAACAACAACAACAATCATGTTAGTTGATGAAGATGATAAATTAAATGATGACAAGATGAGGAATATAGCAAAGAAGTTATGGATAATAGGGTTCTTCTTTTTACCTTGGGTATGGCTTATCAATATACTATTCTTCTTTCCTCATAGAAAACAATTATCAACCGATGTATTTTGGTGTAAGTACAAAAGCAAAAAGAAAGCAAAAACATATGATATGATTACTAAACTTTATATTTTTTGTTTCTATTTTAGATTTAAAATACTCATTAATTGGATTCTTTGTATATAGTACTATATTTATGACATGGATGGGAATATATCTTGTAAATCGTAATAATTGGGGAGCTAGTGGAGACAACATTTCAATTGTAATACCTTATGGTTATTAGAAACACAAATCAAAAACAATGTATAATATAAATGGGATAACAACAAATAACAAATAATAATAATAATAATTATATAAAAACTATAACTTTTTTAGAGATATATATATATAAATTTTATAAGTTTTATTGATATTCGGATTGATATTCTGATTGATCATAATTATTTTCATCATAGGTATTTTCACTTGCACCATTTTGTTGTTGTTGATCATAGCTATAATCACCACCAGCTCCATTATTATGATCATAATTATAATCTCCACCATCAACTGCTGTTGTTTCTGTATGTTCTTGATCATAATGTTGTTGAGTGTCATCATAATGTTGTTGATTATGATCATCATAATGATTATTTTCGTATGTATTGTTATCTTGGTATGTATTATTATTATCATATGAATCATAAGATTGAATTGCTGCTGCAGGAGGAGGTGGTTGATGATAAGATGGCGCGGTGAGGGGTGGAGGAGGATTAACAACAAGTGGTGGTGGTGGAGGTGGTTGGTAAAATGAACCGCCACTTGCACTGGAACCCGATGATTGGTATCCATAACTGGATTGTTGTTGTGGAGGTGGTGGGGGAGGTGATTGATAAGGATCATTTCCTCCAAGGTTAGACATGGAGGTACTGAGATTAGAGGTGTAGGTGGTGGCACGGAAACTTGGAGTTGAAGAGCTGACTGATATGGTTGTTTTGGTAGAGGATGGGACATCTTGATAGGCGACACCATTCTTGTTGTTGGCAAGACAGGTAGAGACATCGTTGAGTATCTCGCCGATACGGTCGTTGGTTTGCTTCTTGTCTTTGGAACTACCGAGCAGTTTGGTAATGTCACGTGTTGGTACTGGGATATCGACGAGTGTACGGTTGGTGGTGAAACAACGTTTCATGGCTTGGAAACCGGCAAGACCGATACAGTTGTTGTCAATGTTGAGGATACGCACCGAGACGTTCTTTTTAAGTGACTCGAATAGTTCACGACACAAATCATCGCCCATCGAGTTGCCGCTAATGTCGAGCTCGACCAAACGACAGTCTTCGTTCATTGCCTTGACAAGTGGCTGGATCTCCTTGCCGAGGTAGAACCCACGGCTGTCTTTACCGGCAAGAGTGAGACGCTCGAGTGATGCGTGCTTGGAGACGACGCGGGCCAAGTGGTCAATGACTGCTTCGGCCTTGCTGCCCGTCTTGATGTTGTTGGACAGGTCGATGCACTTGAGTGTGGTGTTTTCCTCGAGTGCTTGGATGATGGCCGTCATACCGGCCTTTCTAAAGCCGTTGGTGGCAAGACGCAGCGTGTCAATGTTGGTGCATTGCTTGATGGTGGCTGCAAAGTGCGATGCACCCGTCTTGCCCAGATTGTTGGAGGAGAGGTCGAGCGAACGTGGTGCGTTGGGGACCGAGCCAGTCGTGCAGGCGTTGATTAACAGTGCAACGTGCTCGCCGAGCAAACCGCAGTCGCGCATCTTAATGTCGATCAAGTACTCACCCTTGCCAATGAGTTGGCAGATGTTGTTGACCGACTCGTTGCTAAACTTGTTCTCGGACAAGTTGAGATACTGCAAGTACCCAAGGTTGGCTTGACGGATGGCGTTGGTGATACGGGTCGTGTCGAGTTGGGTGGCTTCGAGGTTGATGTTGGACAGTGCCTTGGATGGCTGGGGGTTGGCCGTGTTGAGCAACACCAAAAAGTCTTGCAACGGGTCGGAGCCGACCAATCCAAGTTGGTTGTGCGACACATCCAACTGCTCGAGGTATCCCGAGCTGCTGTAATTGGATTGGAGCGAGCGGAATGCTACCGACGCACCCTTGGTCTGCAACTGCACATTTGACATGATCAAATGGGAAAAGGGACGGGTCAGAGTCTTGATAGCGGTAGCAATTGAAATGACACCCTTATCATGCAACAAGTTATTGCTAACGTCCAAGTACTTTAGTTCGTTGGATTGGTTGTCACGGATAGCGTCACCCAATTGCACCCATCCATCTTCAGCTTCCATGCCCGATAGATCGGCACGTACAATAGTCTTGTTATGGTGCAAAACATCGGCCAACAAAGCTGGCAATTCCTTGCGACTCTTGTTGTGACAGATAAAAGTGTCAAAAAATGTATTATGACGTAACGCAGCCATCACGGGAATCATTGCCAATGCATTCTCTGATTGCTTATCAATACCCGAGAAATCATCCAAACAAAATACTCTACTTCCATTGATCACTGTATCCTCTAAAAATTGAATCAAATCTGCATTCTCCAAAGTTCCATAATAATTACATTGTGCTTTATAAACTTCAACAAATCCATGTCCAAATCCTGGTTCTAAAATTTAAAATAAAAAAAAAAAAAGTATAAGTATGTTTCTTTTCTTTTCTATTTCTATTTCTATTTTTCTTTTCAATTTACCAATATGATCAATTTCAGGAGTAGCTCTTTCAACAGGTAAAATGATAAGTGAAGGAGAAGCTTCCAAAGAAAAAGTAAAACTAATTTTATGGAAAGCATTCATTAGGATCTTTGGGATGGTGATACCGGTTCCAGTGCCGGTAATGTCGATGGTAAAGGTTGTAAATTTCAAAATGACATGGTCAATGTCGTCGGTCTTGATTTCGACCAAATCGTAGAGATGTCCTTGACGTTGTACCTGCTTTTTACCCATCTTGGTACGTTTGATCGAGTAGACACGGTATGCTGTGAGCACAAAGAGACGGTCTTGGATGACATCCTTTTTGTTGGTCTTTTTGACCCAGAGCACAAAGTCTGGTTCTCTGCCTTCGAGTTCAAAGACAAATCGTTTCTCGCCTCCTGATAATTCTGACATGCTTGCTTGTTTTAGGTATTGGTTACGGATATTGTATGCTGTAGTTGTGACTTTATATGAATTGCTACCACTTGTACTATATGTGCTGTTGGTTGCTGGAGTTTGAATATTATTTGTGTTGCCTTTGGGTGTAGTTGGTTGAGATGTACAAGGTGAATTAAATGCGCTAGTGGTAGATGCAGAACTGCTACTAATACTTGTACTACTGTTGCTTCGTGGTGAAATGTTGAATAGGGGTTGTTGTGAGCCTCGTTTTTTGGTAGAGGGTGGTGGATAGCTGGGTGAGCCGGTCTGCGGGATATTGGGCAGTGATCTGCTGTTGCTGGGACTGGCCGGTGACGGTGATGCCGAAAAGGGCTGTGACTTTGATTGCTGGAGTGGGACTGGAGGTGGTTGGCCGAGGATGGGTGGGGGTGCTGTCGACTGCTGGTAGTAGGGGCTGTACGGGTGTAGGTGATGTGGTGATGCCGGCGGTGTAGTCAACGATTGTGTTTTGTGGGTGGTCGTAGTCGTAGTCGTAGTCGTCGTCGTCGATGTTATCAATGGATTCTTTTGTTGTACAAGAAATGATTGTAATCCAATGGGTGGGTTAATCGGACTGGTTCCACAACTTGAATTATTATTCTTTATAAATGATGGTGAAGTTTTACCATTAGTATGATTATTATTATTGTTTTGAGGTGAAGATGACATGATTAAAATATTACAAAATAAATAAATAAATAATTGGGAAAAAAAAAACAAATAACTTTTAAACTTTTGTACAATTATCCCTATTATTATTATTATTATTATTTATTTGATTATACTTTTATGTGTGTATGTGTGTATGTGGGTTGATGATGATGTATAACAAGATGGATTGGGGAATTTTAAAATTGAAACAGGAAAAAGGAAACAGGATTATTATTATCCTGACGGGTAATAATAATAATCACTGCAGGTTGTTGTTCTACTCTTGCTTGTTATTGTTGGGTGTTGGATAGTGAGTGTTGTTCAAGAAAGATTATTGGGAATGGTAATAATGGTTATATTATTGGATGGCCAAACAGATAATCAATCAATGCAACAACAACAACATTAACTTTACTTTATGGAGATGTAAAAAAACTATTCAACTTTGTACTGTGTTTGTGTGTATATAGCGGGATGAGGAGGATGGAGCAAGCAAACAAACAAATAACAAACAATTTTTTTCTTCTCTTTGTCTATTATAGAGTATATCGTGTGTTGTGTTGTTGTTATTGTTGTATGTTGTTTGGTTGTATAGTGATTAAATTATTGGATGTTTAAAAAAAAAAAAAAAAAAAAGAAAAAGAGAGAGAGAGAGGATAGATGAGAGACAGTCTCCTCGATAGCTCACTGTATGTAGCAGTTGTATATAATATATATTATAATTATTAAATTAAATTAAATTACTGATGTAGAAGCATCATGTGACATGAATAATCAACCATCAATATAAGCAATTGCTTGGATCGATCTGATTTGCTCACACCCTCTCTCTCTAACACATTGAAAAAAAATAGATTTTCCCACCATTGTGTGTGATCAGATGTGGTGGTTGGTAATACATGGTGGGTTGGGGTAGTTTGGTAGTGTTTGTTGTTGTGAGTATCCAATGTGGTGATGTATATATTTGTTTTTTCCACCAATCCAACAACCACCACCATGCTATTATCAAATCATCTGATGGACTGTTTTAAACATGAATAAAGATAGGAATTGCATTGACTGATACGATCACATGTGTCGATATATATCATAACTATAATCTAGATTTGTCATCATCAACGTCATAGATTAATCTATCCATCATTGATGATAATGATGGATGAAAAAGATAAAGAATTCTTTTCTCTTTTTCTTCTTCTTCTTCTTCCTTCTTCGTTATAACTATCTTTTTGTTTGTTGATTCGTTTCTTGTTGTTTTGGTAACTACAACTAGTTACTATTGCCTTTGGTTAAAGAAGTTATTATAGTAATAACTTTTGTGTGATGATATGATGATGATGATTATTATAATAAACCAACAATAACTAAATTACTAGTTTCTTATAATAAAAATAAAAAAAAGATCGCGATTAAAAAATAGATTTAATAGAAAGTGTTGCTTACCTATAACAATATAATATATAATACTAGAGAGTTGAGTTGTTATATATATATATACTTTGTTCTAAAAATTGACAAGTTTTTTTTTGTTCTTTGCAGTTTTGTACAAATACAATGAAATAAAAATATACAGATAAAAAGAAGAAATGTGTTTTGTTTGTGGTCGTGAGGTGTTTCGAGCAAGGCTTGGTAGAGAACTATTAATAAAAATCTTCAGGCCTGCCACCCCCTTTTTAGTTGGATTTTCCAAGGTTTTTTTTTTTTTTGTTCGATCTCCAGATCCCAACCGACAAAAAAAGACAAACGACACACATTTAAATCGTATTTATTGCTATGGGTCAAGGCTATTGCTATCTATACTAAAGATATCTTCTATATGAATAATATATTTTATAGTTTATAGTTTACCAATCTGGAATTCTATTCAATATTCGAATAATTTTGAACAAGTCTAATGAAATATTTGGTGGTAAAGGTATTGGTTGGTTTGGATCACCATGATACAACTGAGCACTTGGGAGATGTATTTGGTAGGTTGGAATGTTGGCACTAGTACATTGCGTGGGTGAATGATCATCTAAATTGCCAACTATAACTTGTTGTGGATTCCATCTCTGAAAGATATCATTGGTTGATTGGTCAAGAGGTGCAGATCCAAATGAAATGACAATAGATGGATGTGCTACAGATACATCGCGGTCATATAGAAATGCTACGACTTGAAATTTGGTAGGGTCATTCATTTTCCTTTTCCACAATGAAAAGCAAAGTACCAATTGAAATATCAGTCTCTACACCTAAATATAAAAGAGCTCTACGATGAAGAGATTCAAGAGATTGTATCTTTCCAACTTCAATGACCAAACTTGGATAGGGTGCTCGATTTGGGTTGAGGAAATGGGCATCTGCAGTCTGTCTAGGTTTTCTATTTGGTGTAATAGATTGATCAGGCTCACCAACAATGTTTGTACTGAATCTGAGTTGCAGACTTCCTGATCCATCAAAATCATCTAATGGTAATTGACGAATATTATAGACAACTGTATTCAGAATCTTTTCATGTGTTTCTGTTGGCTCCTCATAAAATTTGATTTGTCCATCAATCAACCAACTTGGATGTTTCATAATAGTTGAGGCCAGACATTGATAAAGAATGACTCTAAATCTTTAATAATATTATAATCCACCAACAGATGATAAAATGAAACCATCACCATTGGATTCATCATTTTCTTCATTTCTACAATCCACAAAACTCTTTAAAAATATATTTCATACATTAAAAATAGAATTATATTTCTCTTTCCAAGATGAACAAATAATATTAGCTTTCTTCATCTTATTTGTTTTAATAAAAATAAAAAGTAATGTATTAATAATGGTTGATGAAAAGAAGAAAGAGTAAAGAGGAGGAGGAGGAGGAGGGAGGAATGATAATTTAAATTTTAATATTATTTTTAAATTTATTATCTTTTAAATTTATAAATAAAGTTGTCTTGTTTTTTATTTTCCTGCGGGGTTTGTCTTTATTCATTAAAAATGGAGGATCAGAGCAGTCCATTTCTTGTCGATACAAAAGATACAACAACGACAGATACAACTCAACAACAACAACAACAACAAGAACATGTTCAACAACAAACAGCAGGTCAACTTGACGATAGAGTTGATCAAGAAGAATCGATAACTATGGGTGATGATCAAAATATATCAAGACAACAACGACAAAGAAGACTACTGTTGGTGAGCAAACCAAGTGCATTCTCGGTTGGTTATGAAAGAATAATGAAAAGATACTTTAAAGATTATGAATCATTGATGAAAGAGCATTTCAAACAACTAGAAGATCCATTAAAAAAGGTTAACTTGATTGATAGAGTAGGTACGTTTAGTAATAGAATTTTGAAAAGAGAGAGAGAAAGAGAGAGATATATAGACAGGATTGACTACTTACGCCTCCCTTATAATAGCAAAGATTGACATTATTTATCGAGAGAATAGAGAAACAAAAAGCTTGTATACCTAGAAATGTGGCATTGTTACAATGGATTATTCAAGGTCAAGTATGTACATACTAAATAGTAATATTTCTATTTCATTTCATTTGGCCAAACAAACTTACTTACTTTTTATTAGACAAATCAAGATCAAAGATTAAAGGTGATATCACCACCAAATTCATTAGAGTCATCACCATCTGCGTCACCTTCATCAAAAGATGGTGCTCTTTCATATCAAGAACAACAACAACAACAATTGTATGATGAAGAGAATGATGATATTGATAGAGATGATCAATTCCCAAATGAATTCACATCAGAGGATATAAAACAAAAATTGGAAACTTGTTTAACAAATATTGTTAGAGATTGGAGTTTTGATGTATGTACTTTAAGTTTATAAACTTTTATATGTATTATTTATATTTTAATTTAATTTAGGGTAAAAGAGAAAGAGATCAAACCTATTTACCAATTTTAAATGATTTACAATCAATTTATCCATTGGAAAATAATAATAATAATAATAATAATAATAATAATAATAATAATAATAATAATAATAATAATAATAATAATAATGGAAATAATAATAGAAATTCAATTAAAGTTTTATGTCCTGGATGTGGTCTTGGTAGATTAGCATATGAAATAGCATCACTTGGTTTTGATACAGAATTAAATGAACAATCTATATTTTTTATTATACCTCTAAAGAAAATATTAACAACGTAAGTGAGAGAGAGAATATAAATATAAATCCAATCAAGATGAAAATATATATTAACCATTTAATTTATTTGTAGAGAATTTGAAAATATTGAATCAAAGACTGTATATCCATACATTTCAATTTTAAAGAATACTAAAAGTATAGATTCAATTACTAAACAAATCAAGATACCGGATATCATTCCAGACAGAACGGTGATTGATAGAATGACATTGGCAGAAGGTGATATTTTCGAGTTTTATGAAAGCACTACGCAGTGCTACCAATACTTTGATGTTGTTACAACTTGTTTCTTTATCGATGTAGTTTTGGATATTTTACAACTTTTCAAAACCATTTCATCGGTCATCAAACCCGGAGGCTATTGGATCAACAATGGTCCATTATTTTATCATTTCAATGAAACTTTAAATCTTTCATACGATGAAATTATTATATTGGTTGAATCGTATGGTTTTACAATTCTTGTAAGTAGAAATAGAACAAGAAGAAGCAAATATAAATCTTTAGTTTATACTGACCTATTATTGTTTTAAACCATTAAATAGAAAAAAGATATTTTACTAGGTTTATCATATACCAATAACAAAGATTCATTATATCATCCAAATTTTGATAGTGTATACTTTGTTGCAAAGAAAAATACAATCAACAACAACTAAATATATAGATAGACATACCAAGCAAACAGACAAACAAACAGACAAACATATATAGTTCATTCAATAAATCAAGTCAAAAAATAAGACATTGTTTTTTTTTTTTTTTGGTTTTAATTGATTAGATTTTTTTTTCCATATTTAAATGTATATTTATTTAAAAATCATATCTATTAAAATAACATTAACATTTGATTAAATTCCATATTTAAATGTATATTTGTTAATAAAATGTTGTTGTTTTTTTTTTTTTTTTAAGTTAAAATGGTTACACTAGGGACTGGACTGATACGGCAATGACTGGTGCCAAGATGAGTATGTGGTCTTGTAGATGTTTCAAACATCTTGGTAGTACAAAAGGAACAATTAACGATGCCTTTGACATAGTAGGTCCCCCTCTGAGGGTTCCTAGAGTACTACCATTAAGACTGGATAAACTTAGTAAATCCTTTATCTTTCATCTTGCAGAGTGGTCAGTCTTGGAGGAATCATTGGTTGGTCTTGGCGGCATCTAGATTGGATTTGAACGATGGTATTGATTGGGTGCAACGGAGGGAGGTGTTTTTTTTTTTGATTATTATTATTATTATTGCTTCCATCTCTGGAGATAATCTACCGGAGTTTGGTCATGTATATGTGCTAGGTGTCCCGGCATACATGCCGGCGGAAGCACTTCTCCATGATCCTTGGATACTTACTCTATGAGTAAAGTTATCCTGTTGGGAATCCCAATTGGATGCAGGAGAAGTAAAATTAATAAATAATAATAATAATAATAATAATGATTTGATTTGTCAACATGACTTGTTAAATAGGGAATGCATTTGATCAAAAATTGAACAGATAATTAATTTAAATCAGTATTATGATTTGAACTTGTGAGGGTGGGAGGGGTGGGTCCCTTTTGGAAGTAGTGAAATTCACAGCAAAGCTTGCATTTTCTTTAAATGATCATTTTTGTTTTTGATTGCATGCATTTGCATTGGACTCTATAGTGATCATAGTATAGCAAGTATAGTGTACCCAAAATTAATTTTGATCAAAGCAACCACTTTTAAAAAATGATTAAAACCACTCACTCAAAATATAAAAGGGTGTGTATATATACATAATGTTTTTTTTCTCATCGCATAGTATGTATGTATGATTGAAAATTAATTAATATGGAGTATTCTCCATTCTGATTTGGGTGTACGTTGCGATGAATATTTGTAACCAACCACCCAACCCAACCAACACCAACCCTCATCGAATCTTTGATGATTTAATTAAATTGTTTTTTTTGCTTGGAATTAAATCTGTATCATATGAACCAAACCATGGAAGAAAGAATTGTGAGAAGGATTAACTGTGGGATCAAAAATCAACTATAATCACTCTCTCACTCTCTCACTCACGTGTATAATCGATTGATTTATATTAGATGGAAAAAATACTATTTTTAATTTAGTTTTTCAAGACCAAAGTAAAGTAAAGTAAAGTAAAGTAAAATAAAGTAAAAGGTAAACCTTTGTTTTTATTTTTGTCAGCAACATGTTTGATTGATTGATTGATTGGGGGTAGTTTTTTGATTGAATAAACCAAAAGATTTATAAATGGGTTTTCCCCGACTCCCTTTTTCCTGTTTTTGTTGTTGTCCGTCAAAACAATGTATCGTTTACCACATTGTGTCGGTTAAACAATACAATAGTATGTCTGTATGTCTACTGTCTGTCTGTCTACCTGCCTGTTGTCCGAGATAGCATCATCGTCGATTATAATTATTTGATTGATATATAAATAAATGCAACACGTTTTGTTGTTGATGTGTTGTCCGTAGGGGATGGTTATTTTTATTCACCCTCCCTTCTACTCACCATTTTTGATGAATGTATTTTCATTTAGCTTGGCTGAAATTGGAAACAATATATATCAACTTTTCCATATATAGATTTTTTCAAGGTTAATTAATTGGACAAGAGGAAGAGGAAATGGGACATCATTGAAATATGCGTATTCTTTCATTTCAAGAAATATTTCTATCAATCACATTTTTAGTTTAATAATAATAATAATAATAAAAGTTAAAGTTTGTTAGTTTAGGTAAATAAAATAAAATAAAATAAATGATCATTGATATGATGATTTCCTAAATTTAGTCTAATAATAAGATTGTTTTTTTTTTTACAAAGAAAGAAAGTTAAGGTTTGAATTATAATTGAACTCACAGTATAGTCTATTCCTCCTCAATCGAATAATATAATAATAATAATAATAATAAAAATAATGAAATTAATAACAAGTATTAATGACCATATACAAGAAAGAGAAACTGGAAAATCATGGATATTTATAGATTGTAGTAATCAAAAATGGAACGAAGAAGAATCAATAGAGGAAGAGGAAGAAGAAGATGAATGGGAAATAGATACTGAAGAATTCAACTCGTTATGCAATCGTCACATCTCCAACAATCATTTAATAATAGCTCGTCCAACCAATTTAATAGATATCGCCATCATCGAAAATAATATAAAAAATATAGTTTCCATCCTCTTTAATTTCTATTATTATGAATCTTTTCAAAAATTATTATATAAATCAAATTAATAAATTATAATATAATAAAAAAATTAAATTAAATCAAAGTTATTTTAAATATAATACTTGTTTTTAGAATTTAAAAGAGAATAAAAATTGGATTCCCATTCCTCTTTGATCTGATGGAATCATTTAAATGAATTAATGTCTTAGAAGGATTAATTCATCTGATGTAAATATATATATATATATATATATAAATATATATGTGTGTAAGTCAACGATGATGGTAAATTTAATAAATATTTTTAATATAGTTTATAGAGTTTTTGTTTTTTTGAGGGGTTGGTTGGTTGGGACAAATGAACAAGTAAAGTTGTAACTTTGGTTAAAATTCCTTTTTCATTTCTTTTTGTTTTAGCATCTTTCTATTCTATTTGTTTAGTTTAGATAGCCTTGCCCAAGAATTTTCTCTTTGAGAAAGCCATCCACCACTTGTTTGGTCTGGCTGGATCGGTGGCATAAACTCTTTGTACAAGACGGATACCAGTCTCGAGTCTCAATTGAGTCAAGGCTTGACGGATGTTGTCGGCGGCATCACGGGCAGCTGGGATGGTGATCATACCACCGAGTGGGAAGGAGGTTTCACCTGGAATGGAGAATTGTTCTTGAGCCATGGTGAAGAGTTGCTTTTCAGCGTCGGCCTTTGAAAGATTGGCAATCTTGAGGAGACACTTGGTAATGTAGAGGGTGAGGTAGATCAAAACACGGTCACCATTACCTTGAACTTCAAAAGTACGGAAGAGAATGTTGGCCTTGAACAGGTCCAAAGCTTCATCAATTGCATCAACAGCATTTGGGTCTATATATATATATATATTTAAACCAAAATATTATTATTCCAATTATTAAAATTCATCATTAATTATTATTAATTATTATTATTATTATTATTATTATAGTTGGTTGTTGTTATAAACAAATATATATGTATTAGTAAGTGATTATAATCAATATGATTTAGTATCAACCAAAGGATTCATTGTTGAAGGAGGTACATACCTTGTGGCTTTGGAGCTGGACCCTTGTGAGCAGTCTTGATTGGTAAGATTGGGAAGTTTCCAATGGTACGGAAACCAGCACTTTCGTCATTGAAACTTGAATGATAGACCTAATAGGTGATGAATATAAAGATATAATAATATCTGGTCAGTGTCGTGAAACTTGTTTAAGTGTGATGGGTGGTTGTGGTTGAAAACAATGATCAAAACACATATATATATATGTATATATATATATATATATCTAGATAGTGCTTGTTGTATATCTATCTATCTATCGATGTATCTATCGGTCATATCTTGTTGTGTTTATTACTATTGGTGTCATCCATTGTTGATCATCACTCTAGCTGCTACAAGTTTAAACTTGATATGACTGCTATAAACATTCTGCTTTTTGTTGCTATTGTTGTTGTTTTATGATGCTAGAAAGAGAGAGAGTAACATATATATATAATTGTATATAAATTGATCATACCATTTTATTTTATGTTGGTGTTACTAATATATTGTTTATATAATCTACAAATGAGGGGAAGATAACTAGAGCTAGATTTCGATTAATCCTTCTAATTACTACTTGTTGGTGAATAGGGATGGGTTGTGTTTTAAAAGTACAAAGATGGATATATAAAAAAAAGGTCTCAATAAATATTGATGCGTTTGATATTAAACAATAAGAAATCCAGAGTGTGAGGTGCTCAGCAAGCAGCAGGTGATGATCTTTCAAACAAACAGAAATTAGCCATCCAAAAAAAAAATCGATTTTTTTTTCATCCACTCACTTTACAATAAAATTTTTTCAAGAGCTTCCTCGAACTTCAGAGCAGAGACAACAAATAAGATATTTTCAAAAAACAGATAGTATCTGTATCCGGTTGTTTGTTGTGTTTGTTCTTATACATGAGACAACAACAACAACAACAAATAAACTAAAATAAAATCATTCAATATTCTTCTTTAAAGAAACAAAGCTGCAACTTCATTCATATCAATCGAGAAAGAAAGAAAGTTGTTGTTTCATGAATTGATTGAAGAATGATAATGATGATATAATATGTCACTTTGTTAATTAATAAATAATATCTCATAAGTTATATTATTATTATATTATTATTATTTGTCTCTATAGAGTTTTATGTTTAATTCTAAACCAAAAAAAGAAAAATGATTCGTTTTGAAAGTAATGACAATGACAAGCCGATCCCAAATTATTAATTCAATTTCTAGAGACATATAGATAGATAGATAGATAGAATAGAAGGATGTTGGAATCGAGTAAACGACTATTATTATCTAGAGTTGTTTCAAACCAAATTGGTGGTGGTGGTTGTAGTAGTAGAACAACGACAACAACGATCAACAAGAGTTTAATATTGGGATCATCGTCGTCATCATCATCATCATCATCATCATTACATTTAACTAGCTTTTCATATAATGATAGATTAGGTTATTCTTCAAGTACAACCTATGTAAACATTCAAAATAACACTTCGAGTGCAAACAAGACAAAACAAGATTTACAAAAGAGATTGGAGCAGATATCAAGAGGTACTACCAACCGACTACCACAACAACCGCTATTACCAAACAGCAGTAATCTATATCTACAATATAATCCACGTACAAAAGAAAGAGAAACTATAACTGTCGAACATTTCAATACTTTATCACCAAAAGACAAGTATGTGTTAAACCAAATCAACTCAACTCACTCATAGAGTAATATATATATATAACTAATTGATTTCTTTTCTTTTTAGAATATTTGGACTTGATAAATTAGATCATGTTAAAGATGTTGGAGCTGTGATTCAGTTCTATTACGATTATAAAGATGATTTGGAGATGAGAGTCAATCCAAAGTTTTACCTAAAGTTGATGAAGGCACTCAAAAACAGACAACATAAACCCGAACATTTGCAATTGGTCGAGACTGTGTACAACAGTTACGAGCGTGCGTTGGGTGGCAAGAGCGAGGACGCACACAGCGACATGCGTCGAGCTATCTTGACGACACTCATCTCTTACTATGTGGTCGCTGGCAAGTACGATCTGATCGAACCGACATTCAAGCAGATATACATGCCCGACGTACAGGCCTACACCGCCATAGTGGTGTCTACTATCCACCAAGCCGATTTCAGCAGGGTGTTGCAGATTTTGATGCACTTGGTGGCGACAGAGTCCAACCCTCAAAACGTGTTGCCTGCATACACGGTGTTTTTACTGCAGCTTGCCGAGAAGGGTCAATACGGCATGTGCGAAGCCATCCTTGAGGAGATGGACCGTCGCGGGATTCAACTCGACATCAAGGCGTACACGGGGTTGATTACACGTGCCGGTATCTCTAGCACCGGACTGTCGTTTTTACTCAGGCTGCTCGACTCGCTCAACAAGTCGACTACCGTCAAGATGGACCAACGTCTCTTTACCTCGATCACCGAGTCGTTGAACCAACTTGATGCACCCACATGCTTCAAGTTTTACACTAGTCTCAAGGACGACCACGCCATCTCCTCGTTTATCAGTTACTGGTCGTTCCACCATATACTCAATGCTGCACCAACTGCTCATGACGCATACCAACTTTGGAATAGATATGCTTATATTTCATCCGTCACAAAAGATCCAAATACAAATACAGCTACAACAACAAAACTAGCAAACATGAAATTTGTATCAAGACATTCATTGGAAACATATGCACGTAAATTGGTATACCAAACTGGATATGTGTATCGTCGTCAAGTCAATATTCCAGCAGAGGTGAATATACCACATGAAATGAACCAATTATTTAATATGGCAAAGACTTCTTTTGTCGGTCTTTATGACCACACCTCATTCTTTTATAATCTCGTGTTACGGTCATTATTGGCAGAAGCTAACCTACAAGATGCTTGGAAACTATTCCTTTTCCTCCAAAAAGAAGCTAAAGAGTCGTCACCGGGTGTGTTTGATGCCGAGACGTATCGTATCATGCTCGAGTATCTTTTAGCCCATTGCTCACAGAAATTGTGTAGTAACCTCGCCACTCAATTAATAACAGACCAAAACTATTTTTCAAAGCAAAATTCCTTCATTGGACAACAAGATTTACGTACTCTCTGGGAGAATGTAGCAGTCTCTATCACACAGGCAGACAACCAAAGCGTCATATTCCCATCAATCCAATTATTTAAACAAATGGCAAGAACCATCCCACAACATCCATATATCTCTCGTTATCAAAAAATGCTCGAACCTTATTTGTTGTCAAAGAATATTTCTCCATCAACTATTAAATCACTCTTTTCTCATTAATTAATAATAATAAACATACCCAACTAAAAAGAATGATTAATTCAAACCATGTAAGTTTCCAAACAGGTGCACAGGAATGAATTGGACAGGTTACACCTTGTAAACTACCTTAGGATTTTACATGTGTGGTATTAATATCGAGAGATCTGTTTTGTAATTTTGTTGTTTAACATGTACCTGTAAATTGGCATAGACTTCCCGTATAAAAAAGAGGAGTTAACTAAATTACTTATTTAATTCAAACTAATTTATTAGTTTATTTATTTTAAAAACACACAAAATGATACAACAACCAGACCTTCAAGGTGAAGAAGAAGATGAATCAAATTCCAAGTTTATCAAAGACATTAAATCCCTTGCTACCACAAATAGTTCTATTATTATGGAGCCTGATCCATTTGATTTAGAAAACAGCCAAATGGTTTCAAGTGAAGTTGGTATTGACCAACTATTGAAATTAAAAGAGGATGCAATCGATCAATTTGTAATGATTGTATGTAATTTAAATTTATAAACAAAACAAAAAATACAATACAATAGGCCCTGATGCATTTTTTTTTATATATATTTAGAATGCCAGTTTAGATTTGGTTCATGATACTTCATTTTATGATGGAGTGATTAGTATCAAGCCTGTTGCAATTTACAATAAGTATTTGGGATATGAAACTGTTTTAGAGCCCACCAAACATACGGTGACCTATTACAAAGGATATATTCCAAAGGGTCATTGGGTTTCATCTATTATTCATGCGTCTGACAATGTCAATCAAGTCACCAACAAATTCAAGTATAATGGGGAAGAAATTCCAAATGAAACTCAAGTTCAAAAGATAGTAGACCTAAAGGAAGCTGGAACCTACATGTTTTTCCAAACACTCATCAAGTATGGAGTAAGACAGGTGATAGATGGAACACTATCCGGGTTTATCGTTGTAACGGTCTACAGAGACGATGTCTTTGCCACACCCATTGACAAGGTTAAATATGAACCTCCCAATTACTATGAATGTCTCAATTATCTTCACGGAAAAGGGATTAGTCGTTGGAATGAACTCTAACAACTTGTCAAGCAGAATAAATAAATAAGGATTGATTTATTATTTATTATTTATTATTTATTATTTATGTATTATTTTATTTCTTTTTTTTAAGCAGTTGAATTTCCTGGTTGTGGAACAAGTCTGAGGTATGGTTTGACAGTTTTCCAACCACCTGGGAATAAAGTCTTGGCAGCTTCATCATTTACAGATGGAACAATGACACATTCACCACCTTGCTTCCAATCGGATGGAGTTCCAACCTTGTACTTTTCAGTCAATTGCAAACTGTCCAAAACACGGATGATTTCATCGAAATTTCTACCGGTACTGGCTGGATAGGTGATTTGAGCACGGAGCTTTCTGGCAGGGTCGATAAAGTATACACTTCTAACAGTAAAGGTGTTGTCAGCATTTGGATGAATCATACCATAGAGATCGGCAACCTTTCTATCAACATCGGCCAAGATTGGGAATGTGACATTGGTGTTTTGAGTCTCATTAATGTCTTTGATCCATTCCTTGTGATCGGCAACACTATCAACAGAGAGTGCAATCACCTTTGTATTTCTCTTTTCAAATTCTGGAAGAATGTTTGATACACGTCCCAATTCAGTTGTGCAAATTGGTGTCTTGTCTAATATAATAATCAGAGATAGGGTATAGGTATAGAAATAAATCAATAGTGTTAATTAAGTCATATGATTTAAACATAAAGTACATATATATATATATATATATGTATACTACATACCCTTTGGATGAGAGAACAAGATACCCCATTGACTACCCAAATAGTCATAAAACTTGATAGTTCCTTCACTTGATTCTTGAGTAAAGTCTGGGACGGTGTCACCAATACGGAGATTAACTGTAGTCATTCTTAGGAGAGAGAGAGAGAGAAATTATAAATATATATATTTATATTTTATCTGTGCAATGAAATGAAGTGAATGAGTGAGAGAAGGGGATGAGGAAAGAGTTGGCAATAGAATCTTCCCACTTCATTCAAACCTTCCCTTCTAATTAATTTTATTTTGGAGCTTCTCCAGATATTTACTTTAATATTGGCATCGAGCTTTGACTTTTTTGGGATGATTGCCGATTTTTCATGAACACCCCCTCATTGAGTGAAGAGCAACAAACTAGTTCTTCTCTGAAGCAGCTCTCATTCATTCATTCATTCATAACTCAAACGATCGAATATATATCATAGGGAGTCGGCTATACAACATACAAATCAATCAATCAATCAATCAATCAATCAATCAATCAATCAATCAATCAATCAATCAATCAATCAATCAATCAATCAATCAATCAAAAAAAAAAAAAGAATAGTAGTTATCATTCATTTTTATAATTACTTGTACATACACATACGACATACATAAACAAATATACAACATATATATACTTCTTTCTTAGATGGCACATTTAATCAACGCAGAGAGAAGAAAGTTCTTGGATCAACCTCCACCTCCAGGTTATATAGCTGGTTTGGGTAGAGGTGCTGTAGGTTTTACAACAAGAAGTGATATTGGTGGAGCTAGAAATATAGAACCTGGTGCTGGGTAAGTGACAATAATAACAACAACATTGACAATGACTAATAACAAGGTTAATATTAAATTATCATTTCTATCCCTTCTCTCTCATCTCATCTCATTCATTATCAATCATTGTACAAAAAAACAAAGGGAAGGGTATTGTTAGTTGAATGAATGATCAACCCTACCCTACCTTACCTATATGTACATACATAGTTCTGTTTGATCAACTATATATATTGCTATTTGTTGTATGAATAGAGAGAGAAGAGAAGAGATGATATGTGATATATATATATATACTTGTTATTAGTGTATCTGTATCAATTACATACTTATATTTTGTTTAACTTTTTATTTAATTTGTAGGAGTGTACCAGGATTTGGAGATAAAAGAAAATTTGGAGATGATGGTGGAAATGGAGGAGGAGATGATGATGATGATGATGTTGGTGGAAGAAATTATGATGAGTTTGAAGGAGATTCACGTGATGGGTTTTCAGATCCAAGAGCTATATACGATCATGAAGACAAGGAAGCAGATGATATATGGGAGTCTGTCGATCGATTGATGGACAGTAGAAGAAAGGAAAGAAGAGAAAAGATGGAAAAGGAGGATTTGGAGAATCTGCGTACACTCAACCCCAAACTACAACAGCAACTAGTCGATCTCAAACAACAATTGTCACAGGTGAGCAATGACGAATGGCTCAATCTACCAGAGGCAGGTGACATTTCGAGAAACAATCAGAGAAAGCAGCGCGAAACCTACGTGCCCGTACCAGACAGCGTGATTGAACGCGCCAAACAGGAAAATGAAACGGTCAGCATCATTCAACCGACCAACCCCAACATTTACGGTGATTTGACGAGTGGCACGACGACGACCGATCTGACACAGGTCGGCATGGCGAGAAAGACCGTGTTGGATCTCAAGCTCAACCAGGTCGGTGACAGCATCTCGGGCAAGACGTGTGTTGACCCCAAGGGCTACTTGACCGATCTCAAGAGCCAGCGTATCGCCAGTACCACAGAGATTAGTGATATTAAAAAGGCACGTCTCTTGTTTCGTTCGGTCACGCAGACAAATCCCAAGCATGCGCCGGGTTGGATCGCTTCGGCCAAGTTGGAAATGTATGCGGGCAAGTTGTCAGTGGCACGAAAGATCATTGCGCAGGGGTGTCTAGAGTGTCCCGACGACGAAGAGGTTTGGATTGAAAATGCCAACTTGCAGACACCCGACAATGCCAAACTACTCCTAGCACAGGCTGTCAAGGTGATTCCGCACTCAATCAAGATATGGCTGTATGCTGCGGCACTAGAGAAAGATGTCAAGATGAAGAAACGTGTGTTGAGACGTGCACTAGAGTTTGTGCCCAACTCGGTCAAGTTGTGGAAAGAGGCAGTCGAGCTCGAGGAGCCTGAAGATGCCAAGATTCTGCTTGGACGTGCCGTTGAGTGTGTTGGCGACAATGTCGACCTCTGGTTGGCACTCGCTAACCTCGAGTCGTATGATCGTGCACGTGAAGTACTCAACAAGGCGCGTACGGCGATCCCCACGAGCATAGAGATTTGGATTGCGGCCGCTCAACTCGAAGAGGCGGTCAACCACACAGAGAATGTGGCGCGTGTCATTAAAAAGGCGATTCGGTCGCTGTCGTCGGCACATGCGGGGCAGTCGGGTGGCGCATCGCGTGTGACAGACCGTGAGCGGTGGATTGCCGAGGCAGAGAAATGCGAAAAGAACGGCGCGTTGGCGACGTGTCAGGCGATCATATTCGAGGCGATTGGTATGGGTGTCGACGACGACGACCGTACGCGTGTGTGGGTGGCCGATGCGAGCGAGCTGCTGCAGCGCGGATCTGTCAAGACGGCAAGTGCTGTGTATGCGTACTTGCTGACAGTCGTCCCGACGAAAAAGTCTGTGTGGGTGCGTGTCGCCGATCTCGAGAAACAACACGGGACCCCCGAGTCACTCGAAAACACGTATGTCCAAGCACTCAAACACTGCCCACAATACGAGATACTATGGCTCAAATATGCCAAGGAAAAGTGGTTGTCGGGCGACCCGGCCGGCGTAGCACGTGCCCGTGCGATTCTCGAGGAGGGGTTCAAGCAGAACCCGCGGTCCGAGGAGATCCCACTCGCCGCCGTCAAGATTGAGAGCGAGATGAACCAGATCGACGTGGCACGTAGTATTCTCAAGCACGCGATTGCTACCGCGCCAACCGCGCGTATTTGGATGAAGTCGGCTGTGCTCGAGCGCGAGCACGGAACTCCCGCACTCGAGGGTGACGTGCTCGACAAGGGTCTGGCCGGCTTCCCACAGGCGTGGAAGATGTGGCTCATGAAGGCGCAGCTCGAGGAGCGCGTGCAGCGTCAACGCGCAGACCCCCTCCTCCCCACAGCAGTCGAGCGCGTGCGTGCCATCTACACGAGCGCCACAACACACTGCCCGACTGCCAGCCCGGCACCGTGGATCGAAGCACACCGCTTTGAAGTCCGCACCAACAATATCAACCGTGCACGTGCGACCCTTGAAAAGGCCAGTTTGCGTATGCCAAAGCGTGAGGAGATCCTCCTCGAGTTTGTCCGCTTTGAAACACGTCTTGGCAACAAAAAGGCCGCTGCCACCATGCTCGCCATCGGGCTGCAAGACTGTCCCACCTCGGGTATGCTGTGGGCCGAGTCAATCGCCATGGAACCACGTCACGCCCAAAAGAACCGTTGCGTAGACGCACTCAACAAGTGCAACAACGACCCGTACGTATTGACCGAGGTAGCCCGTATCTTTTGGATGGACGGTAAGCACGACAAGGCACGCACCTGGTTCACCCGTGCCATTGCCACCTTTCCCGACCACGGTGATGCCTGGGCATACTACTACGCGTTCCTCCTCCGTACAGTCCGCACCCAAGCCGCCATCGAACAAGAAACCAAACAACTCCAAATCAAATGTCTCGAAGCCGACCCTCACCACGGTCTCCTATGGCAATCCGTCTCTAAACTCCCAGGTCATTCTAAATTAAAATCAGATCAAATCTTAAAACTAGTTGCTCTCCAAATTTCTCAACAACAACAACAACAAAAGAAACAAGTTAATAATCAATAAGAATAAGAATAATAAGAATAAGAAAATATTAATATTGAAATAGAAATAGAAATGAAAGAAATGAAGTAGTTTCAAAAAATTAAAAAATCATAAAAAACATATATATCTTGTACAAACAAACAAACAAACACAAAAGAGAGAGACAGAGAGATATAGAGATATATATATTCAATCGATTAGTTTATTTAAATTTAAATGCGTGCGACAGATGTAGTAATATTAAAAGTACTTTTAAATAGATATTTATTTAGAATTGTATCAAAACACATACATAGTATTCATAGTGTATTGTATAGTGACCATGGTAGCAAGTCTGCATCGTATCGATTCAATGATATACCAAGTTTAAAATGGGTAGTTGAAAATGAAACGGGATCATTGTTACATGATCTATGCATCAGATCAATTCAATCTGGCAAACTACCACTTGAAACAAACTTACAAGTTGGTTGGGCAACCCTTGATTTGATCATGGCTGTTTGTTCACCTCACAAATACCACCCATCAGTCAAGTTTAAACTATCAACCTTTAAAGTAATCTTTGAATACTATCGATCTGCATTTGAACAAGAACATATAGCAGTTGATTGTGCTGCTGCATCTGGTAATTTTGAATTGGTCAAATTCCTATTAGCCAACGGTACACCATTTACAACCAATGCAATCGATCATGCTTGTTCAAATGGTCATTTAGAAATCATTCAATTATTAATTCATTCTACTCTAAAGAATGATCCAACTATCTTTGTATGTTACCTAAACAAATAGAATCTAACATTGTAATATACTTACTTATTTATTTACTTCTTATAGGATGATAATGTTAAATTTACAAATCATTCATATGATATGGCAGCTACGAATGGACATTTAAAGGTAGTAGAGTATTTGGAAAGTTTAAAGACACTCTTTAAAAAGAAGAAATCAAAGTATAGAGTTGAATTTTCTAAAGATGCTATTGATGGTGCTGCCAAGAATGCCAATTGGCATGTTGTACATTATATGTTGGATTTGTATAAAAGGGATGCTTCTCAACCGATTGGTTTTATGTCCGAGACTAAAGGACAGATCTTTTCATCGGCTGCATTGCAGTGGAGTGTTGCACATGGAAACTTGCAGGTACTTGAAAAGTTACTAGACTTTCCACATCCCGATAAATCACAATTCAATAAGGGTGGTGGAGGTGCTTGGGTTGTTGAAGGACTGACATCTGGTCCCAACTTGGAAACTGTCAAATGGATATATAACAATCGATTCATCTCATATGTTGCAAACAGTGCTTTAAAAGCTACAGTTGAAAAGAATCAAAAAGATGTTCTTTTATTCTACATGGATTTAATCAATGATGACACATATGATGATGGAGATAAAGAAAAGAAAATGAAGAGTATGAGACCTATTTCTAGAGATGGAAAAGAATTTGAGTATCCAAATTTACAACAATTCCATTATCCTTTGAAACATGCTATTGTTTCTGCCAACTCGGATCTATTCCATTTCATCTATCGGTGTCTTGAAAAGGGACCGGTTCCCCCCTTTGTACATAGTTTACTCAAGTTGGCCTGTGAACATGGTCAATTGGACATTTTAAAGAGTTTATTGGCCAATAAGAAAAAGGAGAAACGGTCTGTCGAAGACCGATTGGAGTTACTCGAGATTGCTGCCAAACAGGGTAATGACAAGATGATTCAAATGTTACTCGAAAGTGATCTATTTACCAATATACTACCCAATAACAATAGTATAGTATTGTGTGCATCAAGTGCTAGTGTCGAGTGCATGCAGATTCTTCTCTCTCGGTACCAATCACAAATAATATCAACCACCAATCATGTTCGTAGTCACCAAAACTCTATCCTTTCCCTCTTACTCGAAAAGGATACTACTAGTCTTGGGAAGGTTCAAGAAGAGGAGGACAAAGAACAAGAAGAAGAAGGAGAAGAAGAAGGAAGACGCATTCTAAAAGGTAATTTCAAAAAGTTTTTTGAAAAGACTGTACAATCTGGATCTATAGCATGCATCCAATTTATTACAACTAATAGAGATGATCCGACCCTTGCAGACATATATTCACTCGCATCGGCGATGGATAGTGGCCATGTCTACATTGTCTCTTTTATTTTAGAGAATTATCCGTATCTCTCGGTCACTCAACCAACCAATTCCAAAGAACAAATAGCTATATCAAACTCTCTAGAGAATGCAATACAACGTGGTGACATTAAAATGATCGATTATATACTTGGATTAAAGTTGACAGCAACAACATCAACATCAACAACAACAATTGCAATAGATATAGATAGTTTGGAAAGTACTCAAGAGCATCTATTTCAGGTCACACCTAGACATCTTCAATCGGCAGTGAATCGATGTGATATCCCGATGATCCGTATTATTCATAGACATAGACAATACCTTTTAGTTGGATATCCCCATAAACTCCTCTCTCGCGGGTTCATCAAAATGTTTAAAGAGACAATGCAATGGAATGTTGAAAATGGGGAATCTGACAGTGTTGTCTACGGTGATGTGTATTTGGATCAATTTGGAAATTGGTATCATGAAATGATTTCACTTGGTAATATTGATTTGGCCAAATACATAGAGCAGCGAAAGATTACATCATTACCAATCATTCAAGATGATGATCATGATCAAGATAAAATATCAGTCATGCCAATTACTAGTCATATTAGGACACTTTATTTTATACAACAACAACAAAAACACTTAAATTTAACACCTAAAACAGTCGATGCAATCTATTTTAGTAGTGTTGAAAAAGACCATTACTCTTCCTTTAAAGTTTTATCATCATATCAACAACCAACCAACATGGCAGGTAATGCCATCATTCACAAACAAGCTAAATGTAATAATAATCTTTCTATTCTTCGTCTCCATTACTCACGATTCTCTGGTGACACCAACAACAACAGTTACAAAGACCATTTTTCATCAACTTTTGAACTTCAATTTACAAAACACAAAAATTATTACGACTTATCGTTAACCCCCCAATATGATGAATAATTATATTATCACACTGTCACATGTTAACATTGTTTTTTAATCAATCCATCAATCCATCAAGCTATCAAAGATTAATCAACCAATCAATAGATTAAAACAACAATTAATTTTAATTTAATTTTACCCAAACAATGGCTATTTAAACAACCAATTCACTCCATTGTTAAATATCAAATCAACAACTATTTATTTAATAATCTAATCTAAATCAACAACTTACTATTTATTTAATTTAATTTAATTTAAATCATTTCTATTTATTATCCAATTAACAAAAAAACAAGAATGGCTATTTTTGGTAAGTTATATATTCAATCAACCCAGTTATTATTATTATTAATCCTTTGCTATTATTATTATTTATTAACTTTTTATTTCTTTTTTTTTTTTTTTCTTTTTATTTTCTTTTAGAAACTCTTTCCAACCTTGGTAACACTTCATCGGCAATGAAGCAAAGCACTACTAATATCAGTTTTGGTGGTAACAATCAATATGATCCATCACTTGGTGGAGGCATGAATCATTCAGCATTCAAGTCATCATCCACTCGTGGTGCAGGTGCCTCAATGGCAATGGGTATCTTTGGTCAAGCTTTTGGCGTGGTCACTCAATTCGTTCCACTCTCTTCAATCTTTTCATTTAAATAATCAAATTAATCCTTTTTTTAAATAATAATTATATCAATCTATTAAATCTTGATCACATTTAATAATATTAATATTAATAATAATCACATTTGCCATTATATATAATTATAATCTCAACAATAATAATACAAATATTGTTTAAAATTAAACAATAAAAAAAAATATCAACCAATGTTCATGAACAAACAAACACTTTCTTTATCATGTGATACGAATTCGTCAACTTCATTTTTCTTTTTGGATTTTAATATTAACATATATATAGTACAGATAGATAGATAGATACGAAAGAGTGGAGGGTGTGTTTAAATGATGAATAGATTAACAGCATCAACAGCACCTGATCATTTGAAAAAGTATCTTTCTCCTTCTGATGAGCATCATCAAGACAACGACAACCACCAAAAGAAGAGAAAGAAAAAAGAAGTAACAAAATACAAAGAAACAAAGAAATCAACTCTATTAGATATAGATGATCAACAATCTGTACAAGACTATGAAACAGAGTATAATAATAGAAAGAAGAAAAAAGAGAAAAATGGTTTGTAATAGATATATATAACATCACACATAGTTTAAAACTCAGATGATCACAGATATTAACACTAAATATTCTTTTAGAGTATGAACCAACAATTGCCAATATAGATGAATTTACTGGTACTGCTGATTTGGAAAAGATAGTCAAACAAGAATGGGTTACTGTACAAGACCCTACTCAAAACAAACATTCTACAAGAGATCAATCACCACCAAGAAATAGATCAGGTGGTAATGGCGATTTATCACCTCCAAGAGGAGGAAGAAATAGAGATCTTTCTCCTCCAAGAAATAACAATAGAAATCAAGATCTTTCTCCACCAAGAGGAAGGAATAGAAATCAAGATTTATCACCACCAAGAAATAACAATAGAAATGAAGATTTATCTCCACCAAGAGGTAGAAATAACAATAGTAATCAAGATTTATCGCCTCCAAGAGGTGGAAGAAATAGAGATCTTTCTCCTCCAAGAGGAAGAAATAGCGATTTATCACCTCCAAGAGGTGGAAGAAATAGAGATCAAGATCTTTCACCACCAAGAAATAACAATAGAAATGAAGATTTATCTCCACCAAGAGGTAGAGATAGAACAAGAGACTTATCTCCACCAAGAGGAGGAGGAGGTAGAGACTCAACACCACCAAGAAACAATAGAGATTTAACTCCACCACCACAACAACAGCAACAAAGAAAAAGTAATAGATTTGATGTTGGACCACCACAACAACAACAACAAATTAAAATAGAATCAAATGAACAGAAAAAACAAGTAGATTTATCTGGAAAGAATGCAGAGACTGTTTATAGAGATAAACGAGGTAAAAAATTGGATTCACTAAATGAATTTATGAACAAGGATAAACCAAGTGAAGAGAGTTCAATGGAATGGGGTATTGGAAAGGTACAACTAGAGGAAAGAGAAAGACAAAAGAAAAGATTGGAAGAAGAAAAATTGGCACCATTTAGCCGATCGGCCGATGACAAGTCACTAAATAATATGCAAAAGGAAAGAGATAGATGGGGTGATCCAATGGCTGGTATGCAACAAGATGATAATGAAAAAGAATCAAAAAAAGATAAAAAGAAAAGAAAAAAAGATAAAAAGGATAAAAAGAAAAAGAAAAAAAGAGATAAAGACGGAGATAAATATGATGAAGATGAAGAAGAAGAAGAGGAAAAAGATAAACCATTACCAATTTATAAAGGATCATATCCAACCAATAGATTTAATATTAGACCTGGATATAGATGGGATGGTGTTGATCGTAGTAATGGATTTGAAAAGGAATACTTTGCAAATCAAAATAGATCCAATTCAAGAAAAGAAGAAGCTTACAAGTGGTCAAGTTCCGATATGTAAATAAACTTAATAAATGGAAATAAATGGAAATGAAAAGGAATATATAATAATTAATATCTTTTATACATAATTATGTTTAATTAAAATTTACAATGGTTATAATTATTTTTTATATATAACCATGGTTTTATGTATTATTTTGGTTTATTCAGACATTTTAGATTTGAGACGAGATTCAAAGTAGGCTTGAATTTCCTTGTGACCATTTTGAACGGCCCAGTATTGAGCATCTTCAGAGATTTCATTTTGTGGGTAACCTTCACAGAGCAACTTGGCCATATCAAACAAACCGTTGGCAGCGGCATTGTCGAGTGCCAAAAAGGTGCAGCCCTCTGATCTGTTCTTTTGAAGAAACTCTACGACGGCAAGATGACCGTTGGCAGCAGCATAGTCCATAGCCATGGTGCTAGCACCGTCCTTTCTGTGCTTGTGGAGGTATTGTACGGTGGCCAAATGTCCATTCTTGGCAGCGCCGTCCAAAGCATCTTCAGTGACGAGTGCATCGGGGAAACGATCCAATAGATTGGTGAGAATGTCGAGATGGCCAGCTTCGGCAACCTCGTCGAGCAAGAGATCTCCAGGAGTAAACTCCTTGAACCACTCCAAGAGGAAGATGGTGGTGGTGAGATTGGCGTTGGGGTGCGAGCAGTACGCACGGATAGCCTTGAGCTTGGCCTCGGGCTTGGCCTCGTTCATATCTCCCAAGAGAGGTTTGATAAAGTCCCAGTTGACACCATACGTTGATATTATTCTAAGATCCTTTGCAAACTCACTAGCTAATTGCTTTCCTTTGATATATTGTTTGTTCTTGTTGAATCGGTTGTGTGTCACTGATTGATCTTTGATAGAGTTGAGGATTTGTGTCTTTACAAATGGTACTCTGAATACATCAAAGAATGTATATTCTCTTGAAACAGTAGTAGTAGTCATCTTTTACTTCTTCCTTTGAATATCTATTAAAGATAATTATATATATATACAAACAAACAAACAACAAATAACAACAACTAATAGATGAAATCTCTTTGTTCAAGTCTAAAAAAAAAACAAAGAGAGGTCTCTCAAGTTGCACTCTTCTGATTGTTTTTTATTTTTTAATGAACCATTTTTCTAAGTAGAGCAGTGCCATCTCAGTATGTTATTATTGTTATAACTATATTGTTAATCATAATATCTATTACTATCACTATCAATATATCAATATACTCATTTATTGTAGTCAATGATAGTTGTATACTTGACAGTGATCGGCCTGATTCAGTTTGCATACCTTTAACTACTGTCTCCGATGATGATTGGTGGATGTCTGTCTGTCTGTGTATGATCATTCCACATAAACAATTCTTTGAACGACAAGTGTACACTTCGTCAATTTAATTAATTTCCAATTTATCAAAATACTTTAGTAGTGAGTCATTGTGAATACATGTGCTGTATGGTGGTTATTATTTAATGTAGATAGAGATAGGATAGATTATATATCTATAGTTAGAAAAACAACATATCAAGATGGTAATACTATCAATTAAAAAGGTAATGTCAAGTTCAGTGGCATCATTTTCAAAGTTTGTTGGTAAAAAGATATTCTATCTTTCAATCATACCAACGGCTGTAGATGATATACCTCTAGATATACTTGTCAATATATACAATAGTTTGAGTCAAGATGAAAAGAATATTGCTTATTTCAAGTATTGGGAATTATCGAAAATGTTTGATTCTAGAATAGATGGTTTAAACTATGGTAGAGATCATTTTTGGGATGATAAAGTGTATGTAATCTATATTCATTCATTTATTATTATATTTTATCTAAATTATTCTTATTTTCTTTTTTTAGGAGATCAGCAAGATCATTACATAGATGTGGATTTATAAATCAAACAAATTATACCGAGTATAATCAAGATAGTTTGGTGATGGTAGAGTGTCCTAGTAGGTTCAAAAGATTAGAATCAAAATTAAAGACACAATACTTTTCATTGGGTGAAAAGATGGGAAGAGATTATGAAAGAGGTCAAGTGTCCTATGTCAATGGTATGGGAAACACTATTGGGTGGGCTGGACATGATGCCTCTAAATTGTCTGATTCAATGTGTGATGGTGTCAACTTTTATTGTGTGTATCTACCGACCTATGTAGTATCTAAAGACAACTTTAGTCCCAATCATCAAGACTTGACCGGATTTTTAATGGACGTTACACGTCATTTGGCAACTACCGAAGGAGGTGGAGAAAATAGTCTTACTAGTTGTCTGATTGTTCAGCAGTGGTTTGATTATTTGTCTGCCCATCCAACTAAACATTTTCTTCAAATTTGTGCATCTGATGGTGGCACCTTTGTCAATGCAGCAATCAATCTGTTTCTAAAGCATGCACTGGTTGATTATATTGAAAGACTCAATGTCATTGGACTGGCACCTGGAACAACTATTATGCCTCGACCCGATCAACATTTCTACAGTCACCAAGTAGTCAATCTCATCAAAAAGGAGGATACCTTGATTAGCACTTTTGGAACTGGTTCTGATATGGCCGGCAAAAGTCCCAATGTATTATTAATCCCTCATACTGTTGACCATCCCCACAACTTTACAAGTGCCGATTATATAGTCGCTGTAAAACCTTTTATTGATTGTTTTAAATCAACTGGTTTCATTATGAATAAACCTTAATTAAATATAATTAATTTTTTTTTTCTCAGTATTTTCTTTTCCAATCGAGGACACAAAAAAAAAGAAATGAGTGAAGATCATTGTTACTAGTAAATTAAGAAAGAGAAAATAATAATAATAATACTATGCAACCAAACAATGAAAACACTCTAGGAGAGGATGCACATTTGAGCATGTTAACCAGCTTGTTAAACAACTCAAGTATCTCTACAAATACAACAAACACAAATACAACAATACCACAAATATCCCTCATTGGTTTGTGTGCATCAAAAATAGGAGATAAAACTCGACTAGGTTACTTTAAATCCTGTATCGAATCGATAAAGCAACAAAGAAGAAAACTAGATAGGTTCTACCTAGGAATATACTGTGAACCTTCACTCAAAGAAGATGTAAAGAGCTATCTAAACGGATTGGACAATACTGAAATCATTTGGTTTGAACAACCCCTTGCTCAGTTTCAAATCTATCGTCATATAGTTTCATTACTGCCCCAGGAGAATGTTAAACATTATCTCGTGTTTACAGACGATGATGATCTCTGGCATCAGAATCGAGTATCGTGTGTTTATTGGAATATACAAAAATACTTTGTTGACAACAACCAAACCATGCCACCTGGAATGCGTTCACAGTATTCTGCCACTTTCGAAAGTAAGTTCGTCAGTATTTTAAGATCGTCAGTCACATGTATCATTAACTCTAATGTATATTCATTCATTTTTAATAGAAGAAGAAATGATCACATCATATCATATAGGTAAAAATATCCCACCAGAGTATGTACACTATTATCCCTCTCTTGACTTGGTACAGGGATTTTTTGAACATGCCTCTGAGAGATTGATTAGCCACTCCTATTGTGACATGTACTTTCGCCTCTTCCTATCTAACACGGTGACAATCGGTTACTGCCTTGACCATTCTCTTGTAGGCCAGAATACTCGTGAGTTTAGCAATGCATGGTTGTATTGTTATAGACACCATACAGAGGGTGTGGCATGCCAAGCCTCTAAAAACGACAACTGCAATTATATTATGGATGAACTACTTTCATCCTTTCCTCACATTGATATATTCGACTGGTCATCAAGATTAGGTCAACTTGTAAAAGAACACCGCACCTTATCAAAGCGAAAGTCATTACTTGCAATGCCGCAGGAGATATTTGATATGTTGGAACTTGGCTTTATACTTCAAAACGGATGTAATCATGTCAAAGAGAATCTTTTGTATTTCTTTAAGCTCGAGAACTATGAAATACAGTTCAATATCGCTTTTGTACCATCTACTAAAACAAAAGAAGAGATTGATCAATTTCGACAACAGTTGGATATTGGTTATGATATTGGTTTGTTTCATTCAACCAACACTTTACCCACTCAAGAAGAATTAGATACAAACGGATGTTGGAAATCAGACAAACTATTTTTTATCATCCTAAAGTCTAAAGATGAAGAGTTTTATCCAATCGATACGATTTCAAACCTATATACACAAAAGATCACAAGTACACAATACTATTATTTAGATAATGGTGAACTTATGGATGATTATCCACCTCGAGCACTGTCTGACTATTGCATATACTGGGATATCGGTTATCCGCATCGAGCACAGTCTTTTGACGAATCCAAATTTGATGAATAACAATAATTAATACACCCTTCCTCAAAGGGCACATATTTAAAGTTTTATAACTATCCCATTTATTAAAAATACCATTATTTTATAGACACTACACTGTTTCAAATACTTCTTATAAATCTAGCGTATTCAACTTTAGTGTAGTAAGTAATGGTGCCTTCAATATTAATTAATTTATTTGACTTTTGGATTCACTATATTGATCATGAATGATGATTGAATCTTTTCTTTTCTTTTCTTTTCTGTTGATAATAAATCATTAAAATAAGGAATTTCATTGAATACATTTGTCAGCTCCTTAGGTTTTGAGATTGAACCAGTATTTGGGCAGAGTCTTTTCTTGATGTGCCAAATCTTAAAAGTATTTCAATATCATTGGACGATTCCTGTTGATGGCTAAACTCCTATAGTTGTGATCGATTTGCATTTTGTGTGGGTATTGATTGAACAGGTGTTGAATAAATAACAAGTGATTATGTTCGATGGCTGAAAAGATGACGCATGAAAACCCACCATCATTGTGTTTTGTCATGAATTTATCCAATGTTTTAATATCTCCTCTTGCTCCAATTGTTTTCCATTTTGAAATGTTGAATTTTTAAGGTTTGTTTCCAGTTTCTTGTTTGTAATATTTTTTTTTCAATCGGCAAAGAGGTTTGTATTGTTGATCGTGTGCTTTCTTATTCGATTGAGTGTGATTTGTTTTTTTGAAAAATTAAAAAAAATTGTTTATTTTGTTTTAGTCTGCCTAAAAAAACAACACTTCAATGGTAGTTTGGATCCTTGCCATTGATTCTATCAGTTTTTAAATTATTTTATTTCCCATCATCATTAAAAACTGATTAGTAGATGCAACACATCCAAAAAAAATAGCACCATGAGGCCAAAATTTTTGAGGTCAAAAGAACAACCCCAAAAAACTTTTAATAAGTACCAATTTTTTGTGAGCCAAAACAAGAAACAAAAGATGTGGGAAAAATCTTCAACAGTAGCACCAATGGTTCAATGGTTGAATGGATCCCTGCCACGGATTCGATCCATAAACATCGCTCTTTTCTGATTTCTGCTCCATATCCTTCGATACGTACGCAGATACCTGTTCTTGTTGATTTTACTTCATGAAAGACTCTCTATGGGTTCACCCCCTCCAAAGGATCAACTTTTTTTTACTTTTTTTAACCCAAGCTTGGTTCTCATTTGTTCACCATATTAACTTTTAGTATGAGAAATCATCACCCGTGTAAAAAATTTGTAACTCGTTGAAAAAAAAATCGCCGGACCAGGCCCAGAGATCAGAAAAATCTTCAACAGTAGCACCAATGGTTCAATGGTAGAATGGATCCCTGCCACGGATTCGATCCGAGTTCGATTCTCGGTTGGTGCACTCTTTTTTGTCCTATCTCACTTTTTTTTGCCGCAGGGCTCGAGTGGATTTTTTTTTAGATTTATTTGATTTAATTGGTTGGTGCAAGATTTCTCTTGTCCCCTGTACAGATTATTAGTTTAAATATCCAATTGAGTAAAAACTGGTGAAAAAAATAATTGCCAGAATATTTCTGCACAAGTTTACACTTTTATAAAAGTGTTCAAGAAGATTATAATTAAATTCTCTAATAGAAAGAATTCAAAAATGTAACACTACAAAAAAAAAAAAAACAAATCCAATGTATTTTTAATTAATTATTAAATTTTTTTTATTTTTTATTTTTTACTTTTTATTTAAATTGAGGTTTAAAAGTAAAGGTAAAGGTATTTAAAGTATTTTCATAGAAATAATGAGAATCCATAACCTTTGTATCGCGGTGTTTTAATTCGTATTTGGTGTTGGGAGGCTTGAAAAAGGGAAGATCGATTCTTATATAGTCGACAGAACTTTTACACAGTGCCATAAAGAGAGGTTTAAAGCAGATGGATTTGAGTCGAGCCTCTTTGGAGATGGTTGGTAGTTTGACTGTAAGTTTTTTTAAAATGTTTACTTGGACCGTCTGCATGTCTGTGACAAACTGAGCCAATTGTTGAAATGATTCATTTCTAACGTCCATAAAGTAGATTTCCAGGTTTTGAAGGAAAACATATTTTGAAAGATTCGATGGAATCGATGAAAAGCAATCGATACGAAGGTATCTAACGCGTACGTGAAGGTTTAAATGTGGTTGATATAATGCATTTGGTTGGGATTCAGACGACGATTGGCCAGTTGTCAGAGTTGTACTAGGAATGGTTGAATTGGATAAAGAAGGATTTTGACAAGAGACATACCACATTGTAATATTCTTTCTTTCTTTCATTACTTTGGTCAATAGAGAATTGGTAGTGTCGTTGCTACAACAAGTTAGACGAATATCAGATATATGGGTATTGGTATCAAGGAATTGATAGTATTCATCGGTTGTCTTTTCCTCTTTGGTGACAAATAGCGAGACGAGACGAGGGAACCGACCAGGAGTCAAAAGGTGGTATGGAATCTTGAATGTTTTGGCTGAAAAGTCAAATAGGATCTTGACTACCGATGGAGGTAGAGATTGGATAATTTCCATAGAATACTCGGCCGAGATTTGTGTTTTGATACTAGCATGACGAATGACGAAAAAGGATAGGTTCTTGCATCGACGAAGAAGGTCTGGTAACGAGGCAAAGGGTGGTGCGCTGACAGATACCAAATGGGTGGCATCTAGGTGCTCGAGTGTTTCAAAGATCTTTTCATCTTGAAACAAAGCATTGTGGTAGTAGATGATGGGAGATGTCTCACCACGACTATAGTTTTTGAGACGGATAATCTTTTCATTGCACTCTCTTGTCAGATCCAACAATGTATTGGTGTACTTTTGGACATGCGGCAGCAACAAATAACTATTGAGTGCCTTGATATCAATCGTATCCAATCGATCAAATATCATACTATATATTTGTTGAAAACTATTATTATAGGCTGAATTGGTATTCTTTAAAGTTGCATTTTTAAATTTATAAAATAAATTTATAATTGGATTTCTACTTGCTCTAATTTTAATCTCCATATTATTATTATTATTATTATTATTATTAGAGTTATTTTGATTTTGATTTTCCCAAAGAGAATCAATATTTCCATTATTAGAGTTTAATTTAAATTGTTCAATATTATCAATTAATTGATCAAGGATTAAATTAAATTGTGAGAGACAATAGTTGATACGGAATTCACTTGGATTGAATTGTGAACTAAATAATATACTACTAAAATGTTTGTAGAGACAGTATGGGTTTTGAAGATGTTTTTGAAATTGGTAGAAATCATCTTTCATTGGATTGAATGGTTTCTTGATGGTATTGTTGAAAAATTTGGCACTCTGATCAAACCATTCTCTAGAGACCAATGCCAACTTTGATCGATCCTTTACATTGATTTCATCATTGAACCAGTAAACTCTCCAATAACATTCAATCACTTTTCTTTGTACTACCAATGGTAATGTTGGTAAATTATAATTAATAATATTGGATGATGAAATATAACAAGATTCAGCCTCTTGCAATATGATTTGATCTTGATGATGATTATCATTATTTAAAATTAAATTTAAATTATTTCCAAAACTTGTTGAAGTTGATAAATTATTATTACTATTATTATTATTATTATTATTATTGATATTTAATGTAGATGTAGATGATTGTGGTGGTGGTGATGAAAACAATGAAAATTGTGACGAAAATCTTTTAAAGGTTGATTTATTAAAAATCATGGTCGATTTTCCAAGATTATTATTATTAAATGTTATATCCATCTTTTTTTTTTGATGATTGATCAAATTTTAAAAAAAAGAAAAAGAGATTGATTTGTTGTTGTTTTAAATATTATATTTAAAGAGAGATGATGGAAAAGGTAGGTATAATGAATATGGAATTTTTGATGATGAATGGTTGTTTTAAAACATAAATAATATTTATTATTTTCAAAATAATGGGTGGGTACGATGGATGATATTGTACTGTATTGTTGTATTACCCATACATATATATATGTTGTTGTTGTGATGAGTTATGGGGATATTTTAAAAAAAAAACTGAACCAACTTCACTCTCTCTCTCTCTATAATATTTTTAAAACAAGTAAAAGTAGTAGTTGTAGTAGTAGTAGGAGGGAAGTGGGTGGGGGTGAATGTGGATGGATGGAACAACAACAACAACGGCAACCTATTATTAAAAAAATCAATATTGATAAAGTAGTACTACAATAACAACGAGAAGAAGGGACAGAGTTGGAAATGACAACATGAGTGCATTACTATATATATAAAATGTAAAAGTAACTCTCTTTTAAAAAAAAAAATTGTTATAAAGAGAGAAAGGAGAGGGTGGGTTTAGGTTTGTTTTGTTTGTTTGATGAATGATGATGATTCTTCTTCTTCTTGTTTATCAACTTGAACCTTCACCACCTCCCCTTTCCCACGCACCGATGGGTGAAATAAATCAAATGATTGATGATGATGATGAATCAACGTTGGGTTGAATATCACATATCATTCCTATATCGATATTTCCAATTTTGAATGAGAGGTGAGTTGATAGAGATGGGGAGGGTTGTCTATTGAACATGATGGAACCAACATCATCATCACATTATCTTTAACATCATCACAGCAGCAAAGATAAAAATAGGTTTAAACCTTTAAATATAACAATGACAACAGCTCATTTCAGCTGTCTCAGAGTGCAAGGGTAGGGTGGTTGAAGAAAAAAAAAACAAACAAATTCGACGTACTAGTGAACAAACCACCTCCACCCTTCGATTAATATATATATATATGTTTTTAAAGAGTACCCACTCACTCACTCACCCACCCATGTACAACCCTTGGTTGGGGGTTAATTTAATTAATTTGTTCCTCATATCTTTTTAAATGATAGATGATATTGATCTTTGTTATTCGATTAGATTGTAAAAAGACAAACACAAAAAAGCCAGTGTCGGCACATATGCGTGTATATATGTATATTATATGTATGTGTCGTGGTGAACTTCATTAAACAACTGAGTAAATATTGGATGCGAAAAAAAATAATTTCTTTTCTATTTCTTTAATGATTTAAAATGATGATTAATATTTGATAATGATTTAAATCGATAAAAAAGTTGAATATCATCACTTGATTTCCAAAAGAATGTTTTGACAGTTTGTAAAGTGTACTTTGGGAGGAGGACTTTGCCTTGACAAAGGATTTCAATGTATTCATCGGGTGGAATACTTGGATTGGCCATGATATCGACTAGGTACTGTGGAGGAGATTGAGCTTTTTGTGCAACATGTAAACAAACCCTTTTAATGAGTACACTTGAATTTGTATTACATGGTATTTTTTGACGTGGTCCAACTGAAACAGAAGATGAAGAAGAAGAAGCATTGGCAAAACCATTTGAATGATTATTATTATTATAATTATTACTATTATTGAATGATTCAAATGGAGATAAAAAGATGACCAATTTTTGTGATGGATCTGGTGCCAATTTATAAATACCATTTAATAGACAATCAGATATCCATTGTGGCAAACCTTCTTGTCCTGTGAATTCATCCAATCTTGATTTACGCATCAATGTATGACCTGAATTCTCTTCCCAAATTCTAATAGATGTATCTTTTGGTAAATCAAATATTATTCTCCTATTATTTGAATTATTATTTGTTTGTTGATTTTGATGTAATAAACCTTCAATTGAATTTGTACTTGTATTTGGTGTTAGACTATTAATTGGAGTTGTTGTACTACTAGATTGAGTTGATGAATTTAAATTTAAATTGGATCTCTCTTTAACATTGCTGTTATTTGATTTTCTTGCAATATCAACAACCAATAAACTTGGTGAATCAATTGGATTAACATTTGTAACTTGACTTGAACCACTAACAATTGAATGATTATCATCATTTTGATTTCCATCTTCTCCATCATCTTCATCTTTTTCCTTTTCCTTTTCCTTTTTATCCTTTTCCTTTTCCTTTTTAATTTTTAATAATTTCCAATTTGCAAATAAACTTGATAAAACTCTTTCACCAATGTTATAGATTGAATCTTCTTCACCATCCAAAAGAGTGACACCAAGGTTTAATAGGTTCACATCTGCCTTGAAACATTGAGGTATTTCCAAAGTTATATTAATACCACCAGTTTTGGTATCGATCGACATCCATTTGGGAATCGATACAATTTCCACCAATTCTTCAATCTTTTTATCAAAATCTACCGATTGACCATACGACTCTATCAACTCGCCTTTGGTTATATCCCAAAGACTTGTACAATCGTCTGTATCTCTTGTTAATAAATATCTACGATTATTTAACAAATGATGTTTAATAATTCCTGCTCTACCTTTAATTGAAATTAATGGACAAGAAGATAATGATTCAAGAATATTACTCGTTGAATTTGTTGGGTTATTATCTTGTTCATCAACAAATCTAATTTCTTTTTCTTTTTCTTTTTCTTTTTCCTTTTCTTTTTCTTTTTCAACCTTTAAATTATAATTTTTTATAGTTGAATCTGTTGTTGAAACCCAAATTCTATTTTCATATTCTTCCAATAATAGACCAAGAATTGGATGAGGTTCTTTTGCGATTGGTGTTGATTCCAATGTTCTTAGATCTGTACTATAGACGTAACCGTCACGACCACCAGATATAATATGATTAAATGATTGGTCTGCAATCACCTTCCAAACAGAATCTTGATGAACATCGTCAAAGGTGTGAACACACTTTCGCATACCAACATCCCACAATCTAAATGTTCCATCTGAACTCGCTGAAACACACATTTTACCATCGGGACTCATTGTCAATGATCGTACATTGTCAACATGTCCTTTGAGCTTGAGTACTACTTGACCGGCACGTATATCCCATCCGTGAATAGTCCGTCCAGTTGATCCCGCCATAACCAAAGTTGCTTGTTCATTCATGGCCAAACTATATATTGATACACCATCTCCTCCTGCTCTTCCTACAATTTGTCTATTTCCTTTATACATTGGTGATAATTTTGATCCATTAAATTGATTAAATTGATTAAATTGATTATTATTATTATTATTACTTTTTTCTTCCATTTCTTCTTCTTCTTCATCATCATCTTCATCATCTTCTTCTTCATCAATTGATTCTTTTGTTGTAATAGGTATTTTTTGTTGTTGTTGTTGTTGTTGTTTTAATGAAGTTGCATTTAAAGGATTAGTAATACTACTACTACAATTACCATTTAAATTGATTGAAGTAATATTTATACATTCATTTAAATCCCAAAGAATGATATTTGAATCTAAACCAGACGATGCAAATACATTGACCAATGGAGAGTAGGCCAATGATTTTACATAATCTTCATGAGGTTTTGATAGGGTTTTTATACATTCTGCATTATTTACATTCCATATTTTAATCGTTGAATCTGATGATGAACTGACCACTAAAATAAATATTGAGATAGATTATCAATATTATTAAACATCATTTATTATGTATATATATTATTGATACTACTTACAATGTTGTTGATCTTTACTTAGGAATAGATCGTTGACCCAATCTGAATGATCTTGGAAACTACGTTTATGTTGAACCGTGGGTGTAGTAGTATTGCTATGATCCAATGACCATGATTTAATAGTTGAATCTCTACCAGCAGTAAATAAAGTATTACTATCACTACAATGTGCCATAGCATTAACTCCAAAGCAATGTTGTTGACCTCCTACTGCTCCAACAGTATAAGTTACCATAAATTTATTTGGTTTCATTCTCATCATCATTTGTCCTCCATTATTCATATGTTGATTTGGATGATGGTTATGTTGTTGATGATGATGATTATTATTTGGTTGATGATTATATAATAAAGTTGTTTGATCTCCAACTATACCACCTCCTCCACCTCCATTATTACTACCTGAACCTGTCAATGTACTACTTCCACCACTTGATCTTCTCATTGATTGGTTATTATTATTATTATTCATCATACTATTACCATTAATACCTAAACTACTATTATTATTGTTACTTGGTGATGGGGTAGGGTTAAGAGGAGGACCTACATTCCTAAACCCTCCACCAGTAGTCAACATTGGTGGAGTTCTTTGTGGAGATGATGATTGTTGTTGTTGTTGTTGCTGTTGGTGTTGTTCAGCTTCTTCTTTTAATCTTTGCATCTTTTGTGTATGGTATTGAGACATCATCTCTTCTATATATCTTTCTATCTATCTCTCTATCTTATATCTCTCTATTTATATAATAAAGAGATAGGTACTACAAGATACAATATGTATTTATTATTATTATTATTATTATTCTATTTTTTGATGTTACAAATTTGATGTTGTCTTGTTGTATTAAATTGTCATGACACCTCCTTCCTCTTCCTCTTCTTCTTCTTATCTATCTAATATCTATATCTATCTATCTATATGTATCTCTTCTCTCTCTCTCTCTCTCTCTCTCTATGTATATTGTAATTATTATTACTGCTAGTTTTGAATTTATTTAACACAATATCTTCACACAACCCTCGAAATTTAGGTTTAATTAAACTTTCCATGAGTCACACCCAAAATTTAAATTAAATAAATAAATAAATATTTTAGTTTAGTTTATTTTCTTTTTGTTGATCTTGATGATGAAGAGGATGAAGTTGTACAAATTGAATTGGTAGAGATGAAAGGACCAGACTTTTTAACATTCAAGTAGTGGGTGATGGCAGGATTGGTGATGTCGATGAATCCACCATAGAGACTGTTTTGTTCGACCACGAACACATGCTTGGAGCTGGTGTTGGGGTCGCGACGGATATGGTAGGTGGACACCTTGCCATCCTTTATTTTGGCATCGGATACCAACTCGACAGAGATACGGGTGATATTGGATCGAGCAAAGATCTCGGTCAGGCGAAACGAGAAACGAAGTGATGGCGAGGGGACGTCGAGCTTGATCTTGAGGTGCGTGACCGATCGAGGAATCGAGTTGGCTTGGAAAAGCTGTGAAATGGATCGGGTGGCTCCTGGGACACTACCGCGAAGATGGAGTGTTGTAATAGACTGCGATGTACGGTTGTCGGCGTATGGGGCGGACGCAAATGGCTGAAGACAGTATATCTCGTAGGATAGGAGAGGAAGGGGTGGTAAAAAGACTGGCTTGAGTAGGTAGTCAGTCTTGAGGTCGCGGACAGACGATGGGATGACGTTTTGCAGCTTGTCTTCGTCGACCCAGAGAAGAGAGAGTTTGGTGACCGTGCGCGGGATAAACTCGGCCGGCATGCGCTCGCCCTTGCCTTTGAGCAGGAGGTTGGTGACGGACGCGGGCACGGAAGAGACGAGGGTGAACGGCTCGACGATCAGTTTCTCCAAGGCGGCAGGCGGCGCAAATCGGATGGCGCGGTTGGGCTGCTGGCAGTTGAGCAGGGTGAGCGAGCGCAGTGTGCGGGGGAACGTCATGCGGTTGAGCGTCTCCATGGGGACGCCTGAGAACTGTGCAGTCTCGAGACTGACCAACTTGGTCAGGTTGCACCAGGCCGGCTCGGTGTTGCTGATGGCCCAGTTGATGTGCAGCGATACGAGTGTGGTGGGCAACGCGTCCACGTGGAGCACCGACGACATGGCACTCAAGCGGAGTAGGTTGGGTGGGAACCGCAAGTTGGTTGGCATGGTCTTGTTGCCGGCTGCCAGACTACGCATAAACGTGTTCATCCCAGTACGCGTGTTCAAGTGTACGTGGTTGAGCGACATGGACGTCAGCTCGGTCAACGCACCCAAATCCAACTCGGTGAGGGTCGACGCAAGCGTCTCGTCGGCCGGATACAGGTTGAGTTCACGGAGACCTCTTGGCAAGGACGCATACTCGAATGATCCGTGACACATGTACAGCTTGGTCAACGACTCTGGAAGGGGTGCCTTCTTGCTGAGGCCCATGCTCTTACAGTGCTTTTGGACCAGTGTCTCGAGCCCCTTCAAACGGCTAAAATCACGGTGACACAAACTAACCATCAAAGACTTGGTAGAGTACGGCACAACATGATGCGACATGTTGCCTAGACAGATACCTAGCTTGCAAGTGTCGGTTGGTGCCTTGAGGAAGTCCTTTACACCTGTCTGTAACGACAGCTTGGTAATGTAGTCCTGGTCCATCACCAAATCAAAGCCGACGGCGTGGTCCCACTGCCACTTGAACGAGCGCAGTGCTAGCAACGACATGTTTCTCGTCATTCTCTTGGACACAATGTCTCGGCGGAACCCATCCTCGGTGTTGATCAGATACACTTGCTTCAACTGTACGAGTGGCCCGCTTGACGGAGCCGAGGTAACGCCCAACGACACAAGATGGAGCATCTTCTTGCACGTAAACAACAATGACAGCATGTCAACATCATCTTCAATGTTTTGAATAATAGACAATAGACACTTTCTATTTAAATCATTAAATGTCTTTGAAATTATTGGTTGTATCTCGATGATTTGATGAGAAGGACTAGGACAAGTACTAGATGGAGGGGAATGGGAATGGGAAGGGGAAGGGGAATCAGAATCAACTTGCATACTAGCCAACGGACAAGAAGGGAGACAAGGGGAAGGATCTAACACCATAGCAGTGGCTACACAGACTTTAGCATCAGCATCGGCATCAGAATCGGCATCGGCAAGGGGAGGAGGAGGAGGAGGAGGAGGGCAAGGACACATATCTAAAGACATGAGTGGACTAGAGATAGTAGTACTTGTACAAGCAAGAGGGGGAGACACAGAAGCAGCAGAGACAGCAGCAGAGACAGTATCATCATCGACTACGGCAATAGACACATGTGGAGCAGATACATTGGTGGAGGAGGAAGAAGTAGACAATAAAGGAGATTGTACTTTAATACTACTACTACTACTACTACAACTATTATTACTAGTACTATTGTTATTATTACTATCCATTATTTAATGGTTGAGTTGTTGTTGTTGTGGTTGTATACTGAACAAAGAGTAGCTACATTGTTCTCTTTTATAGATAGCTGGTGCACCAGCTAGTTACGTAGGTGACTGACCGACTTTGTTGAAGAGGGTAAGCGCATCCAAAAATCGGTCAGTCATAAATAACAACTCTCTCACTCTTCCAGTCGGAGTACTCACTCAACCCAAAGATATTTTTTGATTTTGTTGCAATTTAATTTCATTTATTTTTGTGTGCTTTGAGTGAGCACTCATAGCTTCTCTTCATAAGCATTATTAATATTATTACTTTATTGTATCTGTGTGTGTCATTTATTTATTTATTATTTATTTAAACATCAATAAGTAATACAAGGTGTAGGGACAATTATATATAATTGTATAAGAATTCTGTTATTATTATAATTATTCGATCGTTGTCATCTTGATTTTGTGTTAGTAGTACTAATATTAATATTTGAATGGGTTGATGTTTGTTGATGTTTGTTTGTTTATTGTGACGTCGTGATTATAGGTGAGTTAACAAATAGTAGTTATATTATTATAACAGTAGTATAGTGAAAGAGATAAAAGAAGAAGAAGTAAGTACAAATTTGTTTTTTTTTTTTTTATTAGTTTCAAGATTGTTATTGTTTATTTGTATACAAAAATAGAAAGATAGTTATCGATCAATGAAACAACAACAACAACGACAAAGACATCATTTAGACTTTACAGATGATGGTATATCATCGGTACTAAAAATCATTGACAATAATAAACAAACGATATCAAACACATCGACCGAACGAACCATCACAAAGAACAAAGCAATCAAGATACAAGTCATCGATCAACAAGGCGATGAAGAAAAAGAAGAAAAAGATGTAAATATCAATGTAAATAGTAATGGAAGCAATGATCTTAGAACCAAATCAGGTCTATGTACAATGTAAGTAAAAGTTAGAGTTAGAAGTATTGATGAAAAATATCAAATAACATAATATTAATGTGTAAATCTATCTGTCTATCTATCTATCTTAGATGTAATCATCAATTTACAGTTTATAGTTGTCCAAGATGTTTTATTGGATACTGTTCTTCACAATGCTTCAAACAACATAATGAAAAGTGTACAGACTCTTTTTACGAGACACAGGTACGCGAGGGATTAGAGTCGATTGACAAGTCTACACCATCCGAAGCACTCAACCTATTAAAGAAAATGAAAAAGATTTATGATCGTGAAGACAATATATATGATAGTTTAATTGATGACAACGATCAAGAAGATGAAGATGATCATGATGTAGTTGAACAAAATGATGGAAATGAACAAGATGATAGAGAAGAAGAAGAACCAATCGATTTATCTAAATTAAACTTGGATGATATGAGTGAAGAACAATTATTGGCATTATTGACAAAAGAAGAGATTGAAGAATTCCATAGATCAATTCAAGATGGATCAATATCAAATACAATAGAAGAATGGGTTCCATGGTGGATACAAAAAGAACAACAACAACAAACTACAAAGATCATTGAAATTCAAGAAAAAGATGATGATATAGTTGATGATGAAGATGATGATGATATACCAGATATTTATGAAAATATTGTACCATTATCAAAAATATTCCCTGGAAACCCATCATCAACTTTAATTAATAATCTTTTAGATATTGTGTATGTATTAAATATTAATTATTATATTTATATTATATTAATTGTTTCTCTCTCTCTCTCTTTCTACTCTACTCCATCGTTAGATATGCATATTGTTTTTTAATGAGAAGATTTAATGGAGATTGGGGATCAAAAACAAAAACAACCAAAGGAGAAACGGAATATGATATTGGTGAATTGGTTGATGGATGTAATACCATTTTAGAGATATCAACCACTTTAAACAAGAGTACTTGTCAGCGAATATTTAATTCTGCTTCTGAATCTTTACAAAATATTTTATCAATGGTATGTTTAAATAGTTATAGAAACAACTCATCATCAACATAATATAATTATTAAATTAGTACTAATCCTTTTCTCTTTTTAGACAAACAAATTTGATGGTAATAATTATAATACTACATTTATTTTGGAGGATGTTTCATCTATATTTACCGATAAAAAGTATATACTTGCATTGCTTTCACATTGCCATAAATTATTTAATCAATCTTTTGATTTATTAAATCAAACCATCAATAACAATAATCGCCCAACAACAACAACCAATGAAACAACGACAACAACGACAACAACGACAACAACCAATGACCAAAAAATGACATTACAATTAATAAGGTTTGCAACCAACAAGTTATCATTTTATCTGTCATGGGCAGCTGAACATCTTACACATGATGGTATATCTCTTCAAAAAACTGCAATCATCCGATACTTTAATGAAAAAAGAAGGAATCAATCATAAAAAAAAGAAAAGAATACCCTTTTTTGGTTTAAATTTATCAAATTGCAACAACATCAAAAAAACAAATCGAGTAGTTTATTTATTATCATCATCATCAACAACATCATAGCAGCCAAGATCAGTTTGGATCGACGATTATACAATACAAATGATGGTGATGGTGTCACCATTGGTTTTGTAAAAAGGTAATAATGCCCCAATCCCGTTAAACTTTTACCTAACCTATTTCCTTTAAAGGAAATATTCTCCCATCCTGTTGAACCCCGATAATTTGGATGTTTACCAAACCCCTTTTCAATAACGGTTTGGAAAATTAATTCAAATATAAATACAATGGAACAACATATCGACAATTCATTCATTCATTTATTTATTTCTTTATAACAAATAATAATAATAATAATAACTATTTATTTATTTATTTATTTATTCCGATGGAATGGTGATAAAGAGGAATTAATTAATTAAATTCACTCTTTATAAATTGGTTGATTTATTTAATATTTAATTGGTATGTATTTCTTTAGAAACTGCTACTATCGCTACAATCGGTTTGTAGTAAGTACAATTAACTAAAGAGGAATAATTCTTTCTAGATGGATTGGAGTGAATGGAATGTTATGAAACAAATGTGTGATTAATAATAATTTACAAAATTTACAATTGATTGATTAGTTGGTTAGTTTGGTTGATTAGGTTGTTGGTTTGTTTGATTGGTTGGTTACATTCATGTCGACATGAAATATGGTGAATTAGATTGATTTAAAGGTTGGCTATAGAATATAATGTAATAATAATATGTTTAACGATTGGCAATGATACCATTCTCCATGTTGGTGGTATTGGTACCATAGTAAGACTTGACATAGTCATATTGGACACCATAGTTTTTAAAGAGACGAACATTTGGAATCATTCCGTACATGGCAACAGCTTCATTGTTGATAGCATCGGATTCAACTGGAATTTCATAGAAACGTACATTTGAATAAGATGCTGGCCAGCTTGATAGTGTTGGTGCAATGACTAGAGAGATGAAAAAAAAAAAGGTTAGTTTTTAAGAAATCTTTTAGGACGGACGGTCATTAAACTTACCAGCTTGTGGTACACAATTAATTTCTGTTAAACAAAAGACCTTTAATACATCTTCAGTATCAGAGTCAAATAAAACAGCATCGACAGCTAATTGACTATATGTTATATATATTAAAAAAAAAAAGATGGATGGAAGATAATAATAATAATATAATAATTAATACAATATTCAAACAAATCTATATTTATTTATTTTTTATAAATTATGTACATACGTAGTTAATCTAGTCCAGTTGGTTAAAGTAGAGCTCATTTTAAAAAGTATGGATGGTGTATAAATATATTATAAAAGTAAAAAATTATTTGTATTTGTTTGTTTGTTTGTTTGATTGTTTGTTTGTTTGTTTGTTTGGTTAATTAAATAGATAGAATAATTAATTGATTGATTGTGAAGTGGCTCTGAACTTGTGGTTCGAGGAACCCTTTTTAACGCTTTGGTTCCTAATCAAAAATTCAATAATTAAATAAATTTAAATGTAAATTGCAACAGTACCCAGTGGCAGGAATCTATCAATCGCTTTGATTCCAATATCTCTCGCAAATTTGGGGATGGTACGTTGCATGGTGGCAAGAAAGAGGCAAGCGGTTGAGAAAAAACAACAGCTTCTCTGTCTGTTTGTCCCACAGACAAACACTCGCTCAATCATGTCAATCAACAACCAACATAACAAATCATCACTCCGATGGTTATATATCATAATCCTTAAAATCTTATGTGAACTGAACCTATTTATGATAGCATGGTCTGCAGAATCAATGGTCATGTGGTGGGGTGACGTTAGCAGCAGGCAGGAGGTTGGTTTGTTGGTTAGGGTTTGGCCTGTTACGTCAAATAACTACCCAATGCAATTTAATTGGGGAAAAACATTTCGCGTATAATCGAGAGCTTCAAGCAGAAACAGCCCCTACTCATCAACCCTTTTCTGCCAATTGCCATTATCGGGATGGGCGTGCGAGTGTTTTAACACATTGGTACGGTTGTATTGGGTGTTGGAAATTGAACAACAAAACGTAGAGAAGAAATTAATTTGTCATCTTGATCCTCCTGCCAATTCGATGAAATGCTCTTTTTGATTGGGTCACGTGTGGGTTGAGATCAAACAGTTCGCCCTTTGCCCATTTTTCGTATCCACATCTCCCCCCAAGAGATGTCACAACGATATATACCAAAGGGTAAACAGATCATTGGTCTATGTTACAACGATTAATTCAAATCTAACCCATCAGCCTATAGATGAATGCATCTGCCAGCAGATGGTATGTATCTGTCAGATGTGTTGTTGTTTAACATTTATGTTAAATCAAAACAACTATCACCAATGTATCCATAAGCAAGCTTGTTATAAGAGAGAGAGAGATAGAAGAAGGGAATCATTGATGGTGATGAATATCTCTGGGTTATCAAGCCGATAGTAATAATACATCGACACAGACATACCTCGAAAAAGATACAAAAATATCCATACCCCTCTCACAGAAAAGGAGCTAGCTTTTTATCCATCTAGTTTTGTTCATTATGATGATCTTCTTTAGGAATAATTGTAATACTTGTTGGAATGTTTGACAAATTGGGATCTTTTACTTTGAATGTCCACGCTTACTCAAATAAAGTGGCGAGAATCATTATGTACATCTTGCATGCATTCATTCCCAATGTAGCTTTTTCCAAATCAGGTTTGTATCTATGATGGATAAATAAATATTTTCCATCATTCTGAATGATGAAGATACCCTTTTGGTGTGTACTGTTATGAAAAAAGGGTATGATGAAACACCTGACTTCCTAACTATTATGATAGATAGATACATTCAAGTCAAGTACTTGATCTTCTTTCTACAAAACTTATTATATAAATGATTATTGAAGGGAAGAAGAAAAAGAAAGTAAGTTTAACTCAAACTTGACCACCCACAAGAAGAAAAAATATATTAATGAGGGTGTGGTCAAAAAGAAGTCAAAGGCAAAAAAATATTGAATTTTATGATGAACCATGCCAAAAATGAGTGAGCTTCACCCACACCATCAGAGCTCCCAAGAAGCATTTTTAATATTATTGTTTGGTTCATTCATTATCATTATTGTAGTAGTAATAGAGAGAGAGAGTCAGTCAGATCAAGATTATATTTATATCGATACTTTTATCCTATCTATATCTATCATCTCATTATTAGTAGCAGTCAAGTCATAGATTAAGTTTGTTGTATTTTTATATATCTATCATCATCGTAATCTTCCCTTCTTCTTCTTCTTCTTCTTCTTCTTAATAATAATAATATATTTATATATATATATATAATGATGTCACAACAACAACAACAACAACAACCAACCGTATCACAAATACATCCACAAAAGACCATTCGTGGTATTGTACGTGGAGTCAACTCTGGTGATTCACTCACCATCCAAGAGGTTGACACCACCAGAGGTGAATTGTTGACCAAGCAAGAGTATCTCCTCTCCTCCATCTCTGCTCCACGTTTGGGTAAACCTGCCAGAAACGAACAACCTGCTACTCAAGATGAAGTATGAAAAGAAAAGAAAGAAAAGAAAAGAAAGAATAAGATATCTTAAACCCTAACCGCTGACTGATTATTAACACATTTCTTCAAAATTAGCCATTTGCATGGGAAAGTAGAGAACACTTGAGAAAGAGATGTATTGGTAAAAGAGTTAGTTTTGTGATTGACTATAGCGTTGCCAATGGAAAGCCATACATCACAGCCTTCCTTGTCGATGACGTTGAAAATAGTATTAATAATGAAATGGTTACTAGTGGTTGGGCAACTCTCTACAAATCAAAGAAACCGTATGTAGATAGATAGATATATTTGATATATTTGATATATTTGATATATATTTCTCAGTGGATCATTTATATTTATTTACATTCATCATTTTAACTTTTTTTTAGAGATCAAACTTTGGTTCAATTGGAAAGTGATGCAGTATCAAAGGAACTTGGTGTACACAATAAGAACCCAGCAGTTTTGGAAACTGCAGTTAGAAATACTTTACCAGCTGATAACCTTGAACTCTTTAACAAACTTAAAGGAAAGAAATTAAATGGTAAGAGCAACTCTATGAACGATCTATGAACCATTCATTCCATTCTATTTGAATTGAGATATTTACTTTTACTTTTACTTTTTTAATTTTCTTAGGTATTGTTGAAAATATTAGCAAGGGATTAACAACATTCAAGGTGACATTACCACAATTACATAATACTTTGAATGTGTATATTTCTGGTGTACAAGTCAGCAGAAAGGAGGGAGAGAACCCAGCACATGTTGTTGAAGGTGAGCAACTCCTCAACAACAATGTCTTGCACCGTGACGTTGTCTTGACATTGGATACTTTTGACAAGTCGAGCAACCTTATCGGTTCGATCAACTGTGCTGGCAAGGATGTCGCCCATGTGCTTTTGAGCAACGGTATTGCATCTTTGGTGCCATGGAGTGCCGCCACCCGTTCTGCAGAGGACCAAGCCGCCCTCAAGGAGGCCGAGGCATCTGCCAAGAAGCGTCGTGCTGGTGTCTGGGCCAACTACACGCCATCGGCTGCCACGGCCTCTTTTGGATCCGTTCAAGGTGGCAGCTCGGCCTCTTCAGCCTCTGGGTTCCAAGACGGTAGCTACCCCGAAGAGATCTCGGGCAAGGTCACCGAGATTGACAATACCGCCCAAGTCACCATCCAAGTCGCCTTGACCAATGGCGGTCGTAGAGACTTTAAGGTGTCAATGGCCAGTATCCGTGTACCCGTCTTGTTAAAGTCGGCCGAAAAGGACCTCAAGGACAAGGACGCCAAGTTTGAGAGATATTGGGCTTTCGAAGCCAAGGAGTTTTTGAGAAAGAAGTTGGTCGGTCAAACAGTCACTGCCAAACTCGACTTTGTTCGTCCACAAATCACTAAAACCGATCAACCAAATCTTCCAGAAAAACCATTCTATACTATTTATTTTGGTAAACTGTAAGTAAAATAATAGAAAACAAAACAAAAAGACATAAATAATAATAACAATTAATCTTTCTTTCTTTTTAGTAATATTTCAGTTGCATTGGCAGAAGCTGGTTTAGCCAAGGTTAATGAATATAAGGGTGCTGATAACAGAGCCATGGATTATGAATCTTTGGTACTTGCTGAATCAAAGTATGTAAACAAATTAATATTAATATATATTTGTATTGATTAACTTATTCTATTTTCTTGTTTAGAGCAAAGAATTCAAATAAGGGACTTTTCTCAAGTAAGGATTCATGTCCAAATTTAAATATTAATGATGTATCTACAGATGACTCTAAATTAAAGGACAAGGCAACCAAGTTGCTTCCACATCTCAAGAGTGCAACTTACAATGCCGTGATCGACTATGTCTTTTCAGGCCAAAGATACAAGGTCTACATTCCAAAGGAATGCATTGTCATTAACTTCTCGTTGGCACATGTCCGTGCACCAAAGAGAGGCGAGAATGCCGAGAACGACGAGCTCTCTAACCAAGCCCTCCTCTTTTCACGTGAGCTTTTGCACCAACGCGACGTGCAAGTGCAAATCGACGACGTTGACAAGGGTGGCAACTTTTTGGGTGTATTGTACTTGAACAACAAGAGTCACGCCATCACAGTCGTAGAGAATGGTTTTGCCACTGTCAACGACCCATACGGAAGATCTGCCGACATCAAGGCATTGGACGACGCCGAGAACCGTGCCAAATCCAAGCGTCTCAACATTTGGAAGAGCTACGATCCAGAAGCCGAACGTCGTGCCCAAGAAGAAGCCGAGCGTCAAGAAGCCGACCGTCTCGCCAAAGAGCGTGCCGAGTCGCAAAAGGAAGTCACTGTCAGCTCGATCCTCTCTGCCACCGAAGTCTACGTCAGAGATGTGTCTGATGCATCGACCGAGCTCGAACAACTCCTCTCCAAGCTCGACATTGAAGCTGGACACACCGAACCAGCTGGTGCTGCCCCCAAGGTTGGCGAGGTCGTCAACTGCAAGTACGATGATGGCAAGTGGTACCGTGCCAAGGTACTCGCCGTATCCGACGCCAACAAGCTCACCGTCCAATTTTACGATTATGGAAATGTCTCCACTACCACTGTCGACAAGGTACGTCCATTGTCTCACAAGTTTGCCTCATTGTCCCCACTCTCCCGTGTCGTCCACCTCGCCTACGTCAAGGCCAACTCCAACGCCGCCGCCAACGAAGCCGCCATCGATTTCATGGAAGAAGAGTTTTTGAGCTCCATCATGACTCTCCAAGTCCAATACAAGGAAGACAGTGGCAAGACTACCGTCGTTCTCCAAGACAGCCAAGGTTCCGTCAATTCAGAGCTCCTCAAGAATGGTTTCGTCAAATTTGACCGTTTCGCCAGAAAGGGTGCCACCTATGAAGCCATGCAAGCCGATCAACAACACGCCAAGTCTAAGAGACTCGGTATCTGGAGTTATGGTGATGCTGGTAGTGATGATGAAGATGATTTTGTACGTAAACCACGTGGTGGAGGTCGTAGAAAGTAAAAACAACAAAAGATTAAAAAAATGTTGTAACAATCACACAAAATAATAATAATATAATAATAATAATTTAAAACGAAAATACACCAAAAATATTACCCCCCCCTTTGAAATAATAAAAGATATATATATAAATCATCCAAAAAAATATATAATATAAAAGAATATCCAAGTTTGGAAATCAATCATTTATTTTAATTTCTTTTTTTTTGATAAATTAAAAATTTAATTTAAAAAAAACCTAATAAATAATAAACCTAATCTATTCTTTCTACTCTACTCTCTATGTCTCTCTGTTGATCAACCCTTCTAAACACACTTAGGACACAAGACTAAAAACAAATTAATATTTGGGGGGTATTTTGAAAATAAATAAATTTATATTTTTTCTATTTAATTTGTGGTTTTGTTCTCAGAGAGTAAAAAAAATCTCTCTCATATGTCATTTTTACAAAGTACTTGCTCAAACTCATAGAAATAAATAGAAAACAAAAAAAAAGAAAGAAAGAAAGAATAGAAGGAGAGAGAGAGAGAAGAGAGAAGTAAGTGTGAGTGTAAGAGCAAAGAGTAAGAGATAATAATAAGAGGAAGGGAATACTAGTATTTTAAAAGTAATAATTTAATAGTTTTGGGACTGAATGACATCGTTGTCATCATCGGTAGTTGGTGGAATCATGCAACCTGAACTACCAGTAAATGTGTTTTGGGATCTAGAGAATTGTGCAGTACCGTCGTACATGAAGGGTATACACGTGGTCAATGCAATCCGATCGTTTGCACTACAACGTGGTGTGCTCAAGAATATATCGGCATTTGCCAACCTCAAACTCATCAAAGACGAACTGCGATCGAATCTGCAAGAGTGTGGTGTGTTGCTGCACGATGTGTCTCGAAACAAGTCCAATGCATCTGATATTGCCATCCTCGTCGAAATACTAAAGTTGGTCATTGACAACAAACCTCCGCATTGCATTGTGCTCATTTCAGGTGACAGGGACTTTTCAAACGTTCTAAACACCCTAACGTTTCGTCGATACCAAGTATACCTCATTCATTCGACTCATGCATCCGATGTCCTCAAATACAGTGCCACTGCATCCTATGAATGGTTTAGTTTGTTAAAAGGTGCCATTAAAGCACCTTCTCCAACTTCCCCTGTATTGTTATCTTCATCCCAACAACAGCAACAACAACAACAACAACAACAACAACAGTATATTAATACTCAACCTCAACAACAACAACAACAACAACATCCAATTCATCATCAAAGACAAATATCGAATAATAATCATCAACAACAACAACAACCCTTTACTTTAAATACTTCTCATAATGTAATCAATCAATATCCTCCTCAACAACAACAACAACAATATATTAATACTCAACAACAACCTCAGCAACAACAACAACAATTTGTAAATCATACCCCAAATAAACAACAACAAAATCAACAGAATCAACAAAATCAACAAAATCAACAAAATCAACAAAATCAACAACATCAGCAACAACAACAACAAATTCAACAACAACAAATATTGCATCAACAACAACAACAACAACTGCAGATGCAGCAGCAACAACTACAATATCAACAACAACAATTTCAACAGCAGCAACTGCAACAACAACAACAACAACAACAACAACAAATTCAACAACAACAACCATCACAAACTCCAACTCTAAACTCACAATCACAACAAATTCAACAACAACAACAACCAATATCACAATTAAATTCATTTGGATCATCAGATGATATTGATCAAGAGACAAGAGAATCCAACAATATAGATTCTAGAGAATCAAGTGGTGAAAATAGTGGAAACAGTTCACCAACCAATACAACCATTCTTCGTAGTCTAAGCTCTGAGAAAATATTATCATCTGGTGTTGTTGTTGTTGTTGGTGATGAATCAATAGAGAATGGTGATAATATTCAAGATGAAAATTATGGTGAAGAATCATTACTACAATCACCCAATGCATTGGTAGTTGGTGATACAAATGAAGAATTTGATTATAATGAAGAAAGTTATATGGGTGAAGGAGACAACTTTGGTGCAGAATATGAAGATGATGATATAGAAGTTGGTTCATACTATAGTAGTAGCTTTGCACCAACCACTACCTCCACCTCTACCACCAATAATAATAATAATAGTAATGATAATCTAATGGATGATCAAGTTGAAAAGGAAATGAATGTAAATGCAAGCATCAATCATAATATTCAATCATTTAATCATTTTCATAAACATAAATATGCTATCCCAAGTAATAATAACAACAATAATAACAATAATAATAATAATCAATCACCATTACCTTCAATACCATCACATTTCCAACAATTACAACAACAACATCAACAACAACAACAGCAGCAACAACAACAGCAGCAACAACAACAACAACAATCAAATCATCATTTTATTAATCAACAACTTCCACCATTACCAATACAACAACAACAATCACCACAACAAAATAGTAGTAGTAGTATCAACTTTAAAGATATTTTTCAATCAATGTTTATTAATAGTTCGTTACCAAGTCAAAATCTTTCAAGTGTACTTTATGTATTCTTTCCATTATTGGAGTTACTAGAAAGAAGTGAAACCAAGAGATTAACCTTTTCAGAAATTGGAATTAAATTACAATTTGTTAAACTTGGTTATCCAAAATTAAACAACTATCTCTACGATGCTCAAGCTCTTGGACTTATTGTTACCAAACAAATTAGACAAATTCAGTATGTATAAATAGGATCATCATTATTTGTTAATAGAGTAGTACTAATTTTATTCTCTCTCTCTTCTTTTTTTATAGTTGGGCATTACCAAAATATCCAGTAAATTCAGAAGGATCTACAAGCAACAATAACAAAACATTGATAGATTTATCAAAGAATTTCCAAAAGATAACATCACATTTATTACAAACGTTGGAAAGTTTAAGAAACGACTACTTTAGACCAACGGAATCACAAATCATAAAGAGAATGAAAACATTGGATCTGCCATGCTACCACTTTGATGTGTTGTTGGTACCATTGGCTCAGTGTTATCCATTGCTCATTGAAGGTGAAAAGCCAACACGACTCATGTATCCTCCAACGGGTCGTTACGAAGGATTGGACCCATCTAGTCCAAACCCCGATTACTTTTCTCCGCATACTTGGAAATTGCTAGAGGATTTCTTGCGTTCAGTTCATCCAGTCTCTAAAAATGGTAGATATGGATTTGCACTATTCTTGAAAGAATCAGGACCTTCTGAACTCCGTGAAATGCCTCTAGCCGTAATCACCTCAATGGTTGAATTATCTTTAAAGAAAAAATTATTTATTTATAAAAATTCAAATGTAAAAAAAGAAAAAGAAAAAGAAACAAAAAAAGATATATTTTTATATTAATCTATTTCTATTTCTATTTTAGTTGTATACAAATTTTGAAATAGAATCACAACCACAAACAATATTAAATCAAGATGAAATAGCAAGAAGAGATTTATTAGATTTAGAAAAGGACGTACATCATTCAAACGACAACAATAGCGAATTGGTTCAATCGTCAAAACAAAAATACGATGAAGATTTAGTACCGGTTTCTTTTACTTGGCCATATAGTGGCCATGTTATTCAATTGACGGGATCATTTTTCACGTGGGAACAAAGAGTCTCACTGAGCACATCATTGAATACCTCTCCTCAAGTAACTGGCTTGTTGAGAACTGATGAGAAACGATCAGAGAACAATGGAAACAATCAAAATGATAATGGAATTACAACACTAACAACTAATACAAATAATATTAATATTAATAATAATAATAATAATAATAATAATAATAATGGTAATAGTAATAATAATAATAATAACAATGGTAGTAACAATAATAATAATACTATTGAAAATAATGAGAATTTGAATAATTCTGGTCAAAATCAAAATAATTCAAAGGATGATTTAACAAATAGTAAAGATAATAATTCTACTACCAACCAAAATAATAATAATAATAATAATAATAATAATAATACTACCAATTCAGGAACATCAACCAATAACAATAATAATAATGGTATTTTAATGGTTAATGTTTCTGGTGGTGGTTATGTTGGAGTGTCAAACAACTCTTCCAACAATAATAATTCCAATCACAGTGATAGTTATCCATCTGTCACACTCCATCTCGTTCCTGGTAGGTATGAGTACAAATTCATTGTTGACGGTAATTGGGAATACGATCCTCAAAAACAAATATCAACAGATGACAATGGTAATATAAATAATGTCTTAAATGTAAGAAAGTAAATTAAATAAATCAAACTTTATAAAGTTATACTTTAGTATCCAAAAATTTGGAATGTTTTTTTTTTTTTTTTTTTGTAATAGTTTTTTGCGCAGATCATCAGAACTTTTGAACGAATGTGTTTATCTCGAACTATAGTTGTTGATCATTACATTGTATTACTTTAACTAATATAGATTTAGATTAGATAGATAGAAATGTCATCAGCAGCAGCTATTACTCAAACAGTTGTTGGAGCTGGTAGAAAGATTGTCAGCTTCCAATTACAAGGTATCGATCGTTCGTTACCATACATTGCCAAGAGAATTGCTTGGGCTGCCAAGATGGCGGGTATCAACACATCGGGTCCATCAACCCTCCCAACCACCTACAAGCAATATACTATCAACAAGTCACCACATGTCGATAAGAGATCTAGAGATCAGTACGAAATCAGAGTCATGAGACGTGTCGTTCAAATCGACGCTCCTCTTGAAGTAGCTGACAAGTTTGCAAAGTTTGTTGAAACCAAGCTACCACCTATGGCTTCAACTGTCGATATCAAGATTGTTGAAAAGCGTTATGTCCCAGCTGAAGAACTTTATTCAGGAAAGAGAGTTGCTTAAAAAATCAATCATTCAATCAATCAAACATAATAATAACAAATCAATCAATCAATAATAATAATAGACAATACGAGTCATCATATATCATCACAAACAACAATACTTGGAATATAATGTATATGGTTACATATCATATATCATGGTTGGAAAGTAAACTAAAAACGAATCATTGGAATCAATCACACATCTGTTGCAATGATACACAAACAAAACAAAACAAAACACAGGCCTTTGTAAATAATAAACAAGTAATACGAATAATCAAAACAAAACTCTGTACTACATTCATTCATTCATTCATTCATTCATTCATTCATTCATTCATTCATTCATTCATTCGTTCATTGTCCAATGATGTTGATGATGATGATGAATGATGGAGGTAACGTATACTTTGGTAAGCGACCTGGGATCGATGTAACGTTTAGATGTTCAACTCTCTATTATTTTTTTTCTCCTTCTTTTGGAATATCTCGGTTAATGATTTTTTGTCGATTCGTTCGGTTTTTGTTGCCCACCCAACAGCAAAAGCCACCACATAAATCTGATTTATCATCGTTGCGAAGTACGAACTCTATCTCTATTTTTTTAATTTTTTTTCAACTTGGTGTTTTTGTTGTTGGGTTGGGCAAAAACAACACTGACAGCCGAGGCCAACTCGATGGATTCCTCGTTTTTCACTCCTCTTTTCTATTTTGTCAACATCTTTTCCTTTTCTCTCTTTTTGTACTTGTATTCTAGACCCAACAACCAATAACATAACAACAACAACAATAATACCAGCATAGTATAGTAGTGCGTATTAAATTACAAACCATACTTGCCAACATATCACAACAACACACAAATCAAATCAAAACTATCGATCCATTCATTTCATCTATCCACCCTCATCCACACGCACACAACCACCACCACACACACGAGCGAAAGAAAGAAGAAGAGTTGATTTGATTGACATTACAAAAAAATCAATCATCTGACCAACATTGATCAACCAGAGAGCAGAGAGCAGAGATAAAGAAAGAAAGAGAAAGAAAGAGAAGAAGAAGAAGTTCATTACTTTACTTTATAGTCAAAATATAATTGTAATAGTTATATATTTACACATTCACATCTTATCTATATATAATCATTATTTATTTATTTGGCAGTATTAGCAACAAACAAACAAACAAAGTCCATTCATTCATCTCAAACGTTTGTTTCATTCATTTTTTTTTATTTTTTATTTTTTTTATTTATTTTCTATTTTTCTTTGCTTTCCATTCCGCAACTCTCTAAAACTAACTATATCCGCATTCTGCATTCAGTCAGTCTAGTCTAGTCTCTCTCGTTCGTCTGTCAGTTTAATTAATACAGTCAGCAGAAGCAGCAACTAGTAGTAGATTCTAAACTAAAAGAGCAACAAAGAGAAAGAGAAAGAGAATAAGAGAAAGAGAGAACATCAAAAAAAAAGAAGAAAGAAAAAGAGCACACTCCTCCTTTTTTTTTTTTTTTGCATTATCATATCCATTTACATTAGTATCTATCCATCTATCACATGTTTATGTTGTTTTAATTGTTCATTCATTTATTTTTATTTTTTTTGTACAGTATTTGTCGTACGTAGTTTGTAAGAGAGAAGAACCAAACAAACTCTGCGATTGTAAACTTGCTGTATATTTCTTTGTCATATATCTATCATACCCGCCGCATTATTATACATATATTACACACAACACACACACACATACCACCCTTAAACCAAACAGATCAACGAACGAATCGTACTATAGAAGAAAACAGACAACAACAACGACAACGACAACAACAAGATGGACCCAAATCATTTCTCTGGATTGGGAGATGATTTCAGCAATGGGATTGATCTAACGAAATTGACTATCAAGTCTCGATTCGACCAAACTATCTCTAGGAGTAGTTCGGCTCCTCCTATCATTCCAGAAGAGGTATGAAAAACAAACAAACAAGAACAAACAAACAAGAACAAACAGACAAACAGTGATATTAATATATACTTGTTTCTATCTATCTATCTATCTATCTATCTATCAATCATATCTTTGTCTATTTCTTTCTTAGGAATTCCAACAACAAGATTATACCGAGGCAATATCACCACAGGATCCAAGATTAGATATTCATTACTTTAATTATTATTATTCACAGAGACCACTTGATCCTCGTTTGCCACCACCACTCATTTCACCGTACCAAGCTGCGCTATATAACAAGAAGCAACAACAATTCCAACAATATCAGCACCAGGATATCAATGCTTATGAGCAAGACCAACAAAATCAGTTGCCTCTTCCTCCTCACCAACAGCAACAGCAACAACAACAACCACACTACTATCAACCAACTCCACAACAACAACAAAGAGGTGGAGGAATAGTAGAACGTGATCATCAACAACGTGATCAACATCCACGTGAGCAACGAGAACACCAACAACAACAACAACAACATTCACGTGATCAACGAGAGCACCAACAACATCCACGTGATCAACAACAAAGAGAACCTCAAAGAGATCAACATATCCAACAACCACAACCACATTATCATTCAGATGTCCATGAAAAAGAGATTGCAATCAAAAAACCTCATCCTTCACATGCTATTGGACCAGCAAGCATTCTCAGACAACAAAGTCCCGACATTGTCTTGAATAATCATAATGGTGGTGGTTCTCAAGGTTCCAGTTCGGGAGGTTCACAAGGAGGTGACTCTGTCTCACTCGACTCTGCTGGAGGTGCCAAGCCAAAGTCTTTGGTCGATATGATCCAACAGGATTTCCCACGTACCCCTTCACCAGTCTACCAAAAGGCTGCCCTGGTCGACCCCAAGTCCCACCAACGTCGTCGTTCTCAAGCCAACCTCGACGAACCCCCCACTTCGACATCGGCTTCTTCATCGCCACAACAATCCTCGTTGCTACAACAACAACAAAAAGGTTCGTTTAGTCAAATCAACGATCCCATCATCGAAAGTCAATTGGATTTAAATGGTAATACTTATAGAGATTATGAAAATGAATATGAACATGTAAGATCTTAAAAAGATAAAAAAGAAAAGAAAGAAAAGAAAAGAAACAAGAGTATTGACTGATTGGTTTGTTTTTTTTAGGAGGATGCAAATTATGCTTCTTATGGATATTCTAATAATAATAACATGTCGACTGGAGTATTGGTGCCACACATGTATCCACCACAAATGGTTCAACAACAAAATGGTGGAGGTCAACAAGGTGGAGGAGTTCAGAGTCATATGGGAGGAGGTTATGGTAAACAAGATAATAGACGTCATCATCAACAACAACAACAACAATCTCATATGAATAATAATAATAATATTAATAATATTAATAATAATAATAATAATATGATGACGCATCAAAAGGTGGAGGAATGAAAAGAGGTGGTGGTTATCAACAACAACAACACTACCAACAACAACAACAACAACATGGTATGAACAACAAAATGGATAATTCCAAGGACCATTACATGATGCAACAACAACCTCATCATCAACAACAACATCATCATCACCAACAACAACCACATCCACAACAGCAACAACATCGTATGCAACAAGGTGGATACCAACAACAACAACAACAACACCATATGCCACAACAACAATCGATCAATGTTAATAATAATAATAATAATAATAATCAAAATAATAATTATATATATAACGCACCACCACAACAACAACAACAACAGAGAGGCATTCCACGACCATTAGATGATATGTCAAATAAACAACAACAACGTAAGCTTGGATCATCCCCTGGCGTTAATCCACCAATCTTGTTAAATAATCAACAACAAAACCACCCGAACTATAACAACAACCAACAACAACAACAACCATTCATGAACCCATCAGTGCAACAACAATCATATAAACAACAACAACAACAACAACATTCGAACCTTGTGAATAGTCAAAACCAACCAAATCATCATCATCAACAACAGCAACAACATCATATGGATGAATACTCAAATATGATTCCACAACACCAATCTCATCAACAACAACATCATCACTCTGGTCCACAACATCACCAATCAAATCAATCTCAACCACAACAACAAGGCAATAATTCTCATCACCATCATCATCATCACCAATCAAATCAACAACAACAACAGGCACCAACACCACAACAACAACCTCAACAACAACAACAACAACCAACGGTCACTGTTTCTCCAACCTATTCTTCGGTTACTTCACCTCCTACAACTGTTGTTGTAAGTCCATCACAACAAGTCACACCACCACCACCACCACCACCAGCACAACCCTCAACAGTTCCTCCAACTCAATCATCTCCTGCATCATCTGCATCTGCATCATCTACTCAATCATCTGCATCTGCCTCTGCATCAAGATCACAATTACTTGAAGATTTTAGATCACAAAAGATGAAACTTGAACTTGTTGACATTAAAGGCCATATTGCCGAGTTTAGCAAAGATCAAGTTGGTTCACGTATCATTCAACAAAAGATTGAAAATGCCAACGCCGAGGACAAGCAACTTGTATTTGACGAGGTTATAGTGGCCGTGCACTCTTTGATGACCGATGTATTTGGCAACTATGTGTTGCAAAAGTTCTTTGAACACGGAAGCTCTGACCAAAAGCGTATCCTTGCCGAGAAGCTAAAGGGCAACATTCTTTTACTTGCATTGCAGATGTATGGCTGCCGTGTCATCCAAAAGGCCATAGAATCGATCGAACTCGACCAACAGATAATGTTGATCCAGGAATTGGATGGCCACATTGTACAGTGCGTCACCGATCAAAACGGAAACCATGTCATCCAAAAGTGCATCGAAAAGATCCCCACCAACCTCATCCAGTTTATCATTGACTCGTTCAACGGACACATCTACCACCTGGCCACACATCCCTACGGATGTCGTGTCATCCAGCGCATACTCGAACACTGCTCCGAGCAGCAGGTGGCGCCCATCCTCGAGGAGCTGATGCGTTGCGCCGTCTCGCTCGTCCAGGACCAGTATGGCAACTATGTCATCCAACACGTCCTCGAGCACGGCACGCAGTCTGACAAGTCTGCCATTGTACAGAAACTTCACAACCAGGTCTACCAACTGTCGCAACACAAGTTTGCCAGCAACGTCATCGAGAAGTGTGTACAGTACGGCTCTACCGCCGAACGTGCCATGATCATCAACGAGATTCTCGGTGACCAGAGTGGCACCACTTCAAGCGCCATGCTCAAGGTTCTCAAAGACCCCTACGCCAACTATGTCATCCAAAAAATACTAGACATTGTAGACCAGTCCCAACGTGAGATGATCATCCAGCGTATTCAACCCTACATTGCTACCCTTCGTAAAGTTACTTATGGTAAACATATTATTTCTAGAATTGAAAAGATTTCTACAAATATGAATTAAAAAATAATAATATAATGTACACACATCTTTCCAACCAAAACAACCCAAACAACATTACATATCTAAATATAAATTAACAAATAACAAAAAATAGATTGCACATACCATCCTCCTACACATACATCACATATAAAAAAGATACTTTTTTTTGGAAAAAAAAAACTAAACAAAAAAAAAACTAAAAAAGATATAATATACCTTTCAAAAAAAAGATATAAATTTATTTATAAATAAAAAATAATAATATTATTCGGCTCGTATAAAAGTATTAAGGATATTTATATTTATAATGGAAATCCCTTTTTTTTTTGATGGCCAAATAAAAAGTTCCAATGTTGAGACCCACATCGAAAACAAAAAAAATCAAAAAATTGGCCCTTCTCAATGATTCATTCTGTGTTTGAACATCCATCATCGTAATCACTTCTGACTTTTTATTATTATTATTATTACTTATCATTGTATATAGATATATAGATAGAAAAATGTACGAATTATCATCAAGTGGTTTCGATATAACAATGACATTGTCATTGGTCATAACAGGTGGTCTTTTAGCTGTCATTGTTTATGAAGTAAGAAGAATGAAAGATCAACAAAATGGTGGTGTGGTGAATCATCAATCATCACATCAATCTACCTTTATAGATATATATTAATCAATACTTCTTCTTCTTCTTCTTCTTTAGTTATTATTATTAACAGATTTAGAGGGAAATGATATAACCTCTATAGATTTTTGCAAGAGATTTAACAAGTTTGTTCTTCCAGAGTATATCATTCAAGGAATTTGTACTGTTTGGTATCTTTTAACATTTAGATTTGTCGTGTTTATCTTTAATCTTCCTGTATTGTATTATCATTTCACAAAGTATGTTAAAGTTTTAAAAATAGAAAAAAGACACATGTCATATGATCACATCTAAATCTAAATATAAATATACTCACTTATTATTACGATTATTTAGATATCAAAATAGATCATTCAAAGTTGATCCAACAAAGGTTTATTCAATGACTTCAAAGATTGGAAATCATTTAATGTTGAAATTGGTATTTTACATGGTTATGTTCTTTGTTTACTTGTTTATCATGTTGTTTTGTTTATTCTCTGATTAATCATAGGTAACAACAACAACAATAGAGTGTAAACTTTGTTCCAACATATAGAATATATAAAATCATATAGATAAAAAAGAATTGTAATTTAAAAAAAGAAAAGGATTATATATATATTTATATATGTAGATATAAATATACATGAATTGGTTATTTATTTTTTAATATGGATATTTTAACATTATCTTCATCGTCATCATCTTCAGATACATCAGTTTGACTACTACTAGTATTATCATTATTATTTATCAAAATACCAGTAGTGGTGGTAGATGCTATACTAGTATTATTGTTGTTGTTACTACTACCACTTCTTTGATGATGATTATTTTCCTTTACATTAAATGATTGTTGTGGTCCATTACTTAAATTATTATTTGATATAGATGTTGGGGTGGTTGATGTTGTAGTGGTGGTAGGAGGTGATGGAGTATTATTATTATTATTATTATTATTATTATTATTTGGTCTTGATATAGAACTAGATGGGATAGGAGATTTTGTAGTTGTTGAATTTAAAGAACCACCATACGGAGAAGAAGTTGGACTATGAGTATCTCCATCACTAAAAGTATTACCTTGGATTGGTTTGGTTCCACCCAAGAGATAGGTAGTGGCAGTTCTATCTGGTTCTGGTTCTCTTCTGAAATTAAATACATGTGAGCTGTACTCGTCGGTGGTGAGTTTGACGGCATTTTCATAGGCCACCTTGCTGATCTTGACGAGTTGTGCAGTTTGTGAAATGATGCGGGCACTAAAGTCTGGCACAAAGTGGTCGTTTTTGAGTGCGTTCAAACCCAACGTGGTAAAGGGACCACCCTCGCTGACAAAACCTTCGCTACCCGAACGGATCTCGAGCTTACCTTGGAGCACAATGGTAAAGTACTCGTCGGCAACACCTCTATTGTAGATGAATAGGTCACCCTTTTTAGGCTTGTCCACGTCGAGCACGAGTGTGCCTTTGGTTGCGAGCATCTTTTGGAAGGCGGCTTCGGACAGCAGTTTGGATGAGAATTCGGGAAGACTGCCCGACAAAAAGTTGTAGATGGCGACGATTTGTTGGGGAGAGAGTTTGCTAGAGTTACGTGGGCCGTGAAAACTGTTGATGGCACGGTAATCCATACCGCCACGGTTCTTGTCGTTGGAGTGGTAGTGATCGCTTTCGTCGAGAATCTCGTCTTGCAAGATCTCTTCGAGCACGTCTTCGAGACAGATGATACCGAGGTTCTCGTAAAAGGGGTCGCCGTCACCTTCGTTGTTGACACGGTGCACAACGGCCATGTGACTCTTGCCCGTCTTGAACTCGGACAACATCTGGTCGAGTGAAGTGTCGTGCCATGTCTTGAGCAGCTGGCGGTGGTACAACCCCATCATTGTCTTGAGTGGCACGCTGTCCTCGGGGTTGAGCAGTACGAGGTCACGCATATACAGACACCCGATAATGTTGGAGCGTTCGTGTTCGTAGACGGGCATTCTCGAATGTCCGTTCTCGAGAATCGACGTCATCGTCGTGTAGTCGAGCTTGGTTGAAATGTCGAGCATAAAGACGCGGTCCAACGGTGTCATGACCTGCGCCACCTTTTTCTGCGAAAAGTCCAATACACCCGTCAAGAGGGTGACGTCGCTTCTCGACACACCACTCTCTTGAGTGTGGATGCTATGAATGTCCAGCAGCTTCTTGAGCTCTTTACGCGAGTAGATCGTACCCATTTCACTGCCCAAAAAGAAATCGAGTGCCTTACTAATAGGGAAGGAGAATGGGAAGAACAAAAACATAAACAAATATACAATCCAGATGGTGTGTGCACCTACAGCCAGAGCGTGACGCGAACATGCAGCCTGTGGAATAATCTCTCCAGCCACCACAATAATACCAGTCGAAATGATGAAACCAAGGAACCCACTTGTCATGTCGGCCATGAGAATCGACAACAATGAATTGACACCCACATTACCAAGCAGCAACGTACACAATAACAAATTGCCTCTTTGTCTTACTGGATAAATTTTTCTTGCATATTTACTTTCTAATGGTGTACCACTAGCTATTACAATCTAAAATAATAGAAAAATTAAAAATAAATTAGATAGAGATAGAAAGATAGAGATAGATAAGATAGAGATAGATTAGTAAATCTATTCATGTGTTTATATATTCTTTTATTCATTTTAAATTTACCTCTAAACCTGTTATATCGAGTGATAAGAGACCTAGTGTCAGACCTGCAAATAGACCTGACAAAGAAACGAGAAATATAATTCCGGCCCATTGGAATATATAGAATCCAGCGTTATGATCCGTCATTTACTTCTCTCTACAATCTCTTTGTTTTTTCTTTGTTTTTCTTCTTATATTTAATATAAATAAGAATAGTTAATAATAATATTAAAAATCAGTGTATTTAACCTCATAAAGTAGTTTGGCTTGGTTGCTCACAACTTTGAAAACCAAAAAAAAATAAAATTAAAAAAAAAATCGGTGGGCTTCCTTCACAGGGGTGTCCAATTTTGGTGCCCCACTCAAGATGAGACTGGTCAACTTTTCGTTCGCTTTTATTAAATTAATTTATAATAATTGACCTCTTAAAAAAAAAAAAAAATAACATCTTATATTTATTTGTTTTCGAGCTACTTATTAGTAGTTGTAGTTGTAATAGTTATAGTTATCAGGTACTTGTTGATTTTGTTGTTGTTCGTTTGATGAGGAGAAACATGAAGGGATTGGATTAGTACCTCCTATTGCATAACCACTTGCAACATTCTCACAAGCAAAATAGTTTGGTTGTGTGTCGTCTTGGTAGACTACACTGTCAAATGTAATGTTGATCATTGGGTTGGTGGCACTTCCAATGATGAATCCTGTTCGTTTGGCTGGTCCTATCACTGTAATGTTTCGAAGTGTGAAATTGATATAACTTGCATTGGCTGGCATATTGCATTGTGCCAATGGGTCAATAGGCCAACAAAGAGAGCAAGGTGCCGGTAAACATAAATCTACATTGTCAGATTGTTGTGCTGGTCCAATCCAAATACCTGTCTCTGGTTCTACCATTACAATGTTTTCATATAATATATCTGTAATCAATCCATCTCCTCTAAACTTGGCATAAATTCCTTTATATGTCTAAAAAAAAAAGTAAACAAAGTAAGTAAAAAAAAAAAGTAATATATATATATATTATTATTATTATTGTTTCATACCTTATACATATAACAATCACGGAATGTTATATTTCTAACAGTTGATCCACCGATAGAACCAATAGTTAAACCAAGTCCACTTGCATTGACTCGTTCAATCAACATATTCTCTGATCCATCTTTGATTGCAATACAATCATCTTGATTCCATACTGTACAATCATGAATCCAAACATTTCTACCTGTTACATCAAATCCGTCAGTATTAAATGCTCTATAAACAAAAAAGAAAAAAGAAAAAGAAAAGAAAAAGAATGTAATATAATTAGTTTAGTTTAGTTTAGTTTTTTTTCTTCTTTGTCATACTCTAAATTATAAAAGTCATGACCATCATAATCATTACGACGATTAGATATATGTGATTGACGAATCTCTAAACCATCAACATTGTAAATCCATACAGTCCAGTATGGAGAATTTATAAATACAATATTCTCTAATAGGATGTTACTAGAGTAACCCAATGAAAGCATTCTAGGTCTGTTCTCGTGATACTCTACATACCCTAGTAACCCCCACCATGCTTCTCCTTGTCCATTTAGTATTCCTTGGTAGGTTGATGTAAATGTTACATTGTTAAAGTTTGAAAATTGAAAGCATTCCAATACATTGCCACTAGCATTCCGTGGCCAAGTATGAGTGTTGTCTGTGAATACAAGTGTACCTTCGAACCGTAGTACTACAGACTCTAGATTCTGTGCAATGATACCACCAACAAGATAAATCGTTTCATTTGGGAATACCAATTCATCAAATGGTTGTAATCTATTCATTGTTTCATTCAACAATGCTCCATTCTTCCATGCTGTCGAAAGTGATGAATCATTTGGAATACCTTGATATTCAATCACTTCTCCATTTGACACAAGTAATAATAATATTGAAACTATTAAAAAGATTAAATAATTATTATCTTTCATTATTATTAACTCTTCTTCTTATGTTTTGTAAATTTGACAATAATAACCTGTTTATCTACTCAAGCAACAAAACAAAAAGAGAGGATAAATATCCGACAATGACAGATATTTAAATATCTTGTCGGAAATGATTGTTATTGTTGGCGTGCGTGAAATTTCTTTTTTGGTTTTTATTTTATTTAATTGATTTGTTAATTATAATTATCCTTTCTATCTATCAATCTATCTATCTATTGATTAGTTTGATACCATGGATTTTTAATAAAATGTGGAGCTGAATAATTTTGAGTTGATGGATTTAATCTCCATTTGGTGTAGGCATACATTTCAACAAAAGGTGTTGTGAAAAAGTATTCTTCATCTTGTAATACCTGATCATGGATGATTGGATCGGATTTGAGTTGGTTGAATGTTGATTGAAGAATGTCAGATGAATCTTGAATTAATTCTTTTTCCATCGTCTTTGATTGTCCAATCGTTCGAAGGTGAGCAAATACATGCATCAGTAGTTCACCAACATGTATAAATATTTGAGCTCTTTTTTGTGTAAAGTCTGTTTCAAATTGAGAGTTTGTGATTGATGATCCTTTCATTGAGCTATAGTCAATGTTTTGGCGATCTAATCTCTCCGGTAGACAACGAGGACAATCCCAATCTTTAAAGATAATCTTGACAGGTACACCTCTATCGATAATGACATAGGTGTTTTGGTGGTGGGATTCCAATGCTACTCCATATTTTGTAGACATTATAATATAAAATGGGACAAGTAGTTGAAGGTAATGGTTCATCCAAACACGAATAGCTTCGGATGTAGTTGAGATGTGTTGGTTGGTTTTTAACTGATCGACAAATTCAAAGAGTAGTTCTGTACCTGATATTGGTGAGATATTTAGTAATGCAGGGATAGATACTATTTGTTCAGTTGTTGGGTCAGTTACAAAACAATGTAAATTTTGTCTCCACAATGATGACAATTCAGCATTCTTGTGTTGTTGTTGTTTTTCTCCTTGTTGATTGGTGTCGTAGTAGTATATTCCCATGAGATCCTTTACAAAATGTATTTTTGTTCCAAATCCATTCCCTCTTTCTCTCTTGAAAATATCATCCAATATTCTTGAAAACTGTGGACCAGTGACACAATGTGTATGATATAGATTTCGTACAACGTTGGTCAATCTAACGCTAAACGAACATTTCAAAGCTGGTAATGTACCAAGTGACGATTGTGGTGATTCTTTGCTTTGCAGCGTTAATGATCTAACCGATACCAATGGTTTGGAGGAAATGTCCGATGACACTGACGATGGAATAATAATCAATTCATTGTTTTCAATATCTTGATTGAATTGGGATAGGACTGGTTGAGATAATTGATAGGGATGTACTAAATTTAAATAATAATCTTGTAATTCCAACCCAATCATTTTAAAATAGTCTCTAACCTTTTCCTCTACACAAGGGAACAAATTGAAAATGAATTGGTTTGGACATGGTTCTTGTTGATCGTCATATGATTTGAATCCTCCTTTTGATCGATGAATTGCGATGAGTCTTGGATCGACTGTACCTCCAAACTCTGGTGAGTAACTGATGACTTGTTCAACCGACAATCCAACCTTACTCTTTACAAAGGGGTGAGTTGGATGACCACGACGATGGAATTGTTCGTAAAACACATGACTATACGATGGATCTTGTTTCAACATACTCTCAATATACTCTGGTACCGACTTGCAATTCATCTTGGTAATCTCTTCTTTTAGTGACTCCATTCTTTCATTTGACAGTACCTTTGACAAAGCCATATTGACCCAACAATTATCCAAGTCCTTTTCAAATTGTTCGTAACCAGTTGTTGATTTACCAAAGTATTTCTCCAATACCGAAACCAACCCCGAGTAATTATAGATGATTTCTGTTTGAGTACATGATGATGCTTCATCCAATTCGATTGGTCCAAATTCAACAACTGCAAACTTTTTTGTCTTGTCCAATGTAAATCTGTCCAAACAATAAAGATCCTTGATATGAAATTGGAGCTGTACCGACAATGACGACAGTGATGATGATGATGATGAGTCTGGGTCGTTTGGTTTAAAGTTGATTATATTTTCACCTTGAACGAGTTGGTATGGTTCACATTCAAAAAAGTGTTCAGTCAGAATAACGTACAACAGTCTTGTAACAATCTCCCAATTTGCATTCTCTAATTCCAACTGAAACGATTGTTCCAAATGACTATGATTACTTTTAATGTATTGTAAATGTTCCACCAATATTGATTCATCTTTTACATTATTAAATATGATTGTTTCCATCTTTCTTTTTTTTTAAAAGAATAAATAAACAAATTAATAATTAGTTATTAACCAAAGAAGAAGAATGAAGAGGAAGAAGTTTAAAAAGTAAAGTATACTTTTTTTTTTTTTGTTTGTAATGAGTGTAACTAACTAACATGTACGATTGATTGATTGATCAATCAAACAAGATTGTTGGTTGTGTTGTGCTACTACTGTATTGTTATTGAATACAAGAATTAGTATTACTACTACTACTACTACTAGAGTAAATATGTGGGTTAAAGAAAGAATAGTTACCTTGCTATCTACTTCTTCTTCTTCTTCATTCTTCTTGGTATCTCTTCTTATTGCTACTATCTTGTCACATGATACTTTGTAAGGTGGTACCATCAATCACATATATATGCTGCGCACGCACCAACCATCCAACCAACCAATAGTAGTCATATGAATTTCATATAGATGCTGCTAGCACCAGTGGTAGTGGTATGCAGGGAGAGAGGGAGGGGGTGGCACTCTACTACTATGTAATGCTAATACTTATTAAGCAAAGCTAAGCAATAAGTGGTTGTGGTGTTTTTTCCTTTCACTCTTTCATTCTTTTGTGAAAGGGACAGACTACAACCAACAATTCAATTGTTATATTAATACAGAAAGAATTATTATTGGTGACAATGATTTTAAAAATCAATGACTAAATTTGGTTTGTTGTAGATTACTCTTAAGAGTAAGATGTAATGGTGGTATTAATATTACAATTTCAATTGTGGTCGACTCACTCGCTCTCTCATTAGAGGTCACACTGATTGATTACCTTTTGGGTGTGATGGATCAGTATCACATTGAATGGTGGGGGAGGGGTGAATAGTTTGGAGTCTTTTCCCTAACCCTATTCCATCCTACAAATCCAAATCCTCATTCATTTAATTATAACTGACTGGCAGTTGTTGTTGTTGTTGATTTACAACTTTTTTGCAACTACTATTAAAAGTTATTATATTATAACTACTATATAAAGTTATAATATAATATATTTATATATATTTATATATATATATATATATTTTTTAATAATTAAAAAAATGGATGTATTAATATTTAATGAAGATCTAAAACAGTTATTGTTTGATCATCCATTATTTAAAGATTATATCAACTATATTGAAAAGAATAATCCAGAGTTGTTACAACCATACTATCAAGAATTAGTCAATGGAAATTGGGATTTGGTGTGTCGATTGATCATGTATATTTATGGAGAGAGAATGTTTCATTTTATAGATTCCATTGAATTAAAAGAGGATCAAGTTAATAAATTATCTTGGAGTCTTTGGCCAGATGAAACTGATCCAACAACAAAAACAACAACAAACCAATCATCATCATCTAGAAAAGTGGTTGCAACATTGGAATTTTATATTTCATCTTGTTTTGCATTTGATAGATTCCACATCAACCAAAACAAACCAATTATTCTTTATGAATATTGTATTAATGATGATGATGGTCACCAACAATTATCAAGTCAAACAAACATAGTAGATTGTTTACAAGTGGTTGATATAATGGAGAAATATTATCCATCAAACAAGGAATCATACAACTTGTTTAGAGATGATATTATAAATAATTTGGTCAATATTCCATTATCTTATGTTTACACTAGACCCAAGATGGAAGCAATTAAACAAGAAGCCGGGATTCTAAATTGTCATTCAATTCCAGAATTTATCGAGAAAAAGGTTGCTTTGGGACAAGGATTAGACGTTCAAGTATTCTATGAACAATTTCATGTACGTGGTAGTCCAACTCATATCATGCACAAGATTAAAAGAGGATTTGATTGTCGTCAAGCCATTCAATACTCTCCAGAGTTTTCAAATCCTTTTCCATCGAGAATGGTAGCAATCCATAAATCAATTGGATCATGTACCAAACACATTGATGCAATGGATAGTAACGACTATCTATTCAAGCATTTCCCATTAGAATCTGAACAATTGAAATTGTTTTTCTCCCAGGAGATGAATCTATCGTTGGAATCATACTATATCAACTTTGTACATCCATTTCAACTAGATGATTCCATTCCAACTAAATTTAAAAAGGAGATTGATAGTCGAGAGATTATTATCATTCCAGCTGCTATCACTTCAAAGATTCTATTTAACGCTCTCATTTCATTGAGATCGGTTAATATTAGTGATTTGGAAAAAGTGAATCATTCATATCCATCGTTGAAAATGTCGGTTGGTGTATGTCTCACCAACAAGATACGAAACATGCCACCTGAATGCTTACACTATGGCACGCAGTTTTCAAAGACTCTAGACTCTATATTCGAGTTGGAAAAGGATAATGGATTTGGTACAAAGTATGAATGTGTCAGAGAGTTGTTTGGTATCTACTATAACAGACCTTGTGATGACGACAATCTTTCAAATGACCCAATTGAAAAAGAAAAGAGAACTCTAATGTCAACCATTGTACGAGAAGATATGACCAAATATATTGAAGAAGGTGATCATCTTGTTTGTATACCTGCTCTATTCAACAGATCCCCACTATCCAACAATATTCTATTAATAGAGTTTGTTCAACAATTTCAACAACAATCTTCTTCTTCTTCACCTCTCAACTTACGTGAAGCAATTATTGAATGGTATAAAATCTACTTTAATATGGTTATTCCATTCTATTTGACAATGTTTACCAAACATGGTATTGCATTGGAATGCCATCACCAAAACACCTATGTAGTCATTCGAAGGGGTGTACCCATAAAGATTATCTTTAAGGATTGGGAGTGTCCTCGATTCAATGTCGAACGATTCTCCAACTATGAAGAGTATATGGGACAAGGTCACAGAAACGATAAAAAGCTATCATACTTTTTGAAAAAGATATCGATCCTTATCTTTCATTCAAGTGAGTTTTCAATATCACTATTGAAAGAGTCTAAAAGAATGTTTCCAGATAATCCAATCACCGAGGATATTTTGTCAAGAGAAGCATTCAATATTGCAAAGTCAACACTCGACAAGTTTAAACTTGTCAATCCACAATTGGCCAAGAACGTAGAGCAAGATGAACAATATCTATTTGGTAATCCAACACTTGAAACCTTTTCAATTACCAAATGGAGATTAAATGGTAAATGTGAGGTTCAAACTTTATTATTTAAAAATCCTTGGTATCAATTCTATAAAGAAAATTAAAATTAAATAAAGAATTTATAAATAGAAATTTAGATATATAGTTTTATACTTTTACTATTGTTTTAAATGGTCCAAGTGAACACATTACTCTACTCTTGTTTCTTTCAACTGAAAATGAGAGAATAAGAATAGGGAGATCGAAAAAGTCTCAAATGAACTTGTAAACTATATGTGCTTTGTAATGATAGGATAGCCAAACTCTTTCCATTGCAGTTGATCAACGATCGTTGAGCGGTATATATAGTGCGAGGAGTTATGATATAATTCATTCTGCAGCTGGTAATGCCTATTTTTCAAATTTACATTGACACTTGAATCTTTATTAAAAAGTAAATGAGATTAGTAAAAGAAAAGATTGGTTGAATATCTCTTGTTGATGGGTATGTAAAAATATGTACTGGTTTTTGGTTGTTGTGATATTGGGGAGGCTCTAGTATACACCTTCTAGTGAATGCACAGTCACTTCCTATCGATGAACGTATGTTGACAGTGACTATTAAATACTCATTCAAACAACTTACAATATTAATGAATTTTATAATTCTTAAACACTATGTATTCTATATTATAGTTAATTCAGCGATATGGTTAGGTCAATTATATGGTCTCACTATGACAAATGAAACTGATATTTGTAATAAGTTTACCTGCCAAGTAATAGGATCTGAAAGACATATCATTAAGATGTAAGATTGCGTAAAGCGTGTGTGGTGACCTCAATAGAGACAAGTGATACAGTCGTATTAATATAGGTTGTACGCGTTTTTAGTTCTTTTAATGCGGAATCTGTTGCTGCGCCATTGAATTCAACAATCACCGAATTGGTATTCCCTCTGGTAACACTTATAAAGCTGTATATTTTAAAAGAGTTCGCCATCCTCAATCCACCCAATATCAACCCATTGGATTATTTCAGAGGTCAGTATCCAGAATGTGTATCGATATACATTTATGGTGACACCATGATCACACAAGTTCCAGAGCATTTCAATCAAGCATTTCCGAATCTCATAAATTTGTAAGTATAGATCGCGATCTCGATAGATTGATAATATAAATATCTGAAGTTAAAAAAACAAGCCCGTCTGTATTTATACCCAATTCAATCAATGATGTTGCAGGGATATTGATAGTTCCAACTTGACATCGATTCCAGTATCTTTTAGTTCCCCTACTTTATTGTTTCTTAGATTGTTTTGTTCCAAACTAATAGACTTTGCAATTCCTCCCAGTCCCTCGTTGGTCAACCTACTTCTATCAATATCATACCAATCTAACTATACCCATCGATTCACTCAACAACTATTCCCAAAACTTGAATATATGTAATTATCATTCAAATAGAAAAGGTCCAACCATTCTTTATTCATTATATATATATATTTCTCTCTCTCTCTTATAGATATATATTGCCATTTAGCATTAGTCAAAATCATGGTGTTACCATTCAAGTTGCCTCACCACTCATCTTCGCTTTCAACTCTGGACCTGGTTCCATTAATCCAATATTCTCATATCCAGAATCGATCAAACACCTGTATGTAAACACTCATATATATTGAACACAATTATGAATGATAATAACTAGGAAGTTTTATTTTAGACTGATTAGTGATACCAATCCCTCCTATTCATTTCCAAGGGATTTTGGGTTATTTCCAAATTTAAAGGCTTTGTAAGTTGATTTAAATTTATTCATTCAGTGTCCTAGGATTCAAATTGAATAGAAATTAATACTCATTTTATATTTAGATATCTACCTGATAGTACTGGACCCTTTCCAATTACTGCTCCTCTCCCATCAAAATTGGGTAGTTTATCATAGTATGTAATTTTTCAAATCACTAATTAGCTACTGATCACAGAGTAGTTTATTTACGATATGTTTTGATTCAAATTATTTTATTTAGTTTTGATAGTAACTTGACAGGAACCGTTCCTTCTAATTTCTTGTCAAATAATCCACAACTATCATGGTTGGATTTGGAAGATAATCAATTACTTCAAGGTAGTTTTGGTGAGGAGTCTTGTTATCTTGAAAGACTGGATATTAGAAACACATCAATTAGTTCAGTTCCCGATTGTTGGTGGTGTTATTATGATTATACAATTAACCATTATTTGAGGACAGACCTTACAAAACCTTCTACTATAAATTGTCCTGGTAATTTAAATTACTCTTTAAAAGAAAGGATATTGATCAATATAATTGATTTATTAATCATAATTATCTATTTATCTAAATATCTATAGAACCTCAATTAGACACTAATAGTACTAATGTAATATCTGCCAATCAACGAGTTACAGTGACCGGGAGAAATATTGGTTGGGGTTATGGTCTAGACCTCACAGTTATAGATGCCAATAGAAAATTATAGTAACTATTCAACTTATCATGTGTAGGAAAGAAAAATTAAAACTAGTTTTTAACTTTTGATTATTTTTTTATCTATATTTCAATAGTGCAGATCTCAAGAGTATGAATATTCATATTCCATTGGGTGAGACTCAAAATGTTACTATTCAATTTTCAGCTAAATGGAATAGAACAGTGACTGTAAGAAATATTGAATTTTCAGTATTGAATGTTACAATGGATCTTAAAACCAACCAAGAGGTGATTGTATATTATCAATATGCCGTTTCAAATTATCTACCAAATGTAACTGTTAGAAATGGTTATATAGAATCATTAAAATCAGTAGATACAAATAATTGTACAACTGGATGCAGAGCAGTTTATACCATTCCAAATACATTTAATATTGACGAAATGATAAAGGTAGTTATCTCAACATCTGTGCAATCCCAAACAATTAGATCAAGCTTAATTATTATCAAAGGTAAATACCAGATTAAATTTTCAATCTTTATCTGTAATTAATTAACTTTATTTCTATATTTCCATTCCCCTCCAAATTTAAATTTTTAGATACAATCGTAACATCAGTCAATTTACAATCATCAACTCTTAATTTATTTGGATATTTTGGGATTTATTACAATGAAAATGGTGAACCACAACCAGTCATAGGAAGTGTTTTGATCAATAATACAATCAATTGTATCATTGCAACCACAACAACACCGACACCAACATTTATTAATTGTACACTTGATCAACTACCAACTAGTGGCCCTGCAACTATCTCGGTATCAGTTCGAAATGGAAATTATTCATCATCATCATTATTATTCATTCCATATCCACAACCATCAAATAATGATTGTAAGGATAGAACAAAGAATTGTAATGGCCACGGTACTTGTGTCAATGGACAATGTCAATGTGATCAAGGTTGGGTTGATGATTGTCGTCTCAAAAATGAAAAAGGTAAAATTATTTCAAAGTTAAAAATAAGTAATTGTAAAATATCTAACAAATATTTTATTTATTTATTTTAGATCCAGAAGTAATATTCAAACCAAACATAACATCACCAACATCATCATCATTCTCATATAATGATTTCATATTCTCATTTGATATGATTGAAATTCAAGAATTGGATATCGATGGAAATATTGTCAAAAGATTAGAATCAAATAGTTGGTTGTTGAATGACAAATCAACAAATGATTTGGTGTCACTTTCATATGATCTTGTGAGTCATCAGAATGACAGTGAATATTCATTGCTCAATGTCACATCGATCGTTGAATTCTCAAATTCATCTCGAACCATTCAATTTGGTGATGACTTGATTCAATTGGGTGCTGGATCAATCAAGATTAGTGTCAATATTACCAACTGGCCATTCACATCGGTACTATCGAATCTTCGAGTATTATTCTCAACCACCATCAACAACGAACAATCAATAGTTGGATGTGATGACTCTGTCAACACGATTGAATCATTCCAACAATCAAGCAACGATGACAGTATTCAATACTTGAGAGTAGTCAAAGACAATGTTCAATTCTTTGGTCGATTCATTGATTATTGTCTGTCGGATGGCCGAAAAACCTATTCAAAGACACAACTAATCAACACAACTGTTATCGATCAAGACAACTCTATTGCACTGATAGGTATCAGTCTTCCACAATCACAAATATCGATACTCGATCCAGATTTCAGTGCATTGGTCATCAATCCAGATAATTATGGTAAATGCAGTTCCGAATCAGACAACAAATGGAAAATGATTGTTGGAGTGGTTGTTGGTGTTGTTGGAGCTGTGTGTGTATCGGTCATCATCTTTGTCATTGTCAAGAGAATCAGACACCATATGATTCTAAATAGTAAATCAATCAAGATGGATACAATCAATCAAAGAACATAAATAATTTATATCTCTATCAAGTCAACCAAGAATTGTTTTCTCTCCGATCATGATGGGGAGGAGAAATGGTTGGCCCTTGTTGATCAGGGCCCTTTTTTGGTGAATAATTAAAAAAAAAAATGTTAAAAAAATCAATAAAAATCACTTTATGTTCAAAAGAATATGGATGAACAAGTTTTATTATATTATTATATTATTATATATATACTATGACTAGTACTCTATTGATTAGTTTTGATACCATGGATTCTTTAAAAAATGTGGAGGTATGGAAGGGGTTGGATTTAATCTCCATTTGGTGTACGCCAACATTTCAGCAAAAGGTGTTGTGAAAAAGTATTCTTGGTCTTGTAATACTTGATCATGTATGATTGGATCGGATTTGAGTTGATTAAATGTTGATTGAAGAATGGTAGAGGAATCTTGAATCAATTCTTTTTCCATTGTCCACGATTGTTCATCACTGTCATTGGTTGTTTGAAGGTGAGCAAATACATGCATCAGTAGTTCACCAACATGTATAAAGATTTGAGCTCTTTTTTGTGTAAAGTCTTGAAAGTGTAAGATTGATGTTCCCTTGATTGAGCTATAATCGATATTCTGACGATCCAATCTTTCAGGTACACAACGAGGACAATCCCAATCTTTGAAAATGAGTTTGGTTGGTACACCTCTATCGATAATGACATAGGTGTTTTGGTGGTGTGCTTCAATTGCCACTCCATATTTTGTAGACATTATAATATAGAATGGTAAAAGTAGTTGAAAGTAATGTTTCATCCAAAGACGAATAGCTTTGGATGTGGTTGTGATATGTTGGTTGGTTTTTAATTGATCGATAAATTCAAAGAGTAGTTTGGTTCCTGATATTGGTGAGGTGTTGAATAGGGCAGGTACAGATACTATCTGTTCAGTTGTTGGGTCAGTTACAAAACAATGTAAATTTTGTCTCCACAATGATGACAATTCAGCATTCTTGTGTTGATGTTTTCCTCCACCTCCACCTGCACCTGTTTGATCGTCATGGTAGTAATATATTCCCATTAGATCCTTTACAAAATGTATTTTTGTTCCAAATCCATTACCTCTTTCTCTCTTGAAAATATCATCCAATATTCTTGAAAACTGTGGACTCGTGATACACGTTGAGTGATTTAAAGTTCGTACTACGGTGGTCAATAAAACGCTAAACGAACATTTGATGGATGGTAGTGTTTGATTATATTGATCAGATTGCTTGTATTGCAATGCTAATGATCTAACCGATACCAATGGTCTAGAGGAAATGTCCGATGACATCGACGATGGAATAATAATCAATTCATTGTTTTCAATATCTTGATTGAATTGAGAGATGACTGGTTGAGATAGTTGATGTGGATGTATTAAATTTAAATAATAATCTTGTAATTCCAACCCAATCATTTTAAAATAGTCTCTAACCTTTTCCTCTATACAAGGGAACAAACCAAAGATAAATTGGTTTGGACATGGTTCTTGTTGATCGTCATATGATTTGAATCCTCCTTTTGATCGATGGATTGCGATGAGTCTTGGATCGATTGTACCTCCAAACTCTGGTGAATAGTTGGTGACTTGATCAACCGACAATCCAACCTTACTCTTTACAAAGGGGTGAGTTGGATGACCACGACGATGAAATTGTTCGTAAAACACATGACTGTATGATGGGTCTTGTTTCAACATACTCTCAATATACTCTGGTACCGACTTGCAATTCATCTTGGTAATCTCTTCTTTTAGTAACTCCATTCTTTCATTTGACAGTACCTTTGACAAAGCCATATTGACCCAACAATTATCCAAGTCCTTTTCAAATTGTTCGTAACCAGTTGTTGTTTTACCAAAGTATTTCTCCACTACTGATACCAACCCCGAGTAATTGTGGATGATGACACATGACGATTCTTTGGTTGGTCCATACTCCACTAATGTCAACTTTTTTGTCTTGTCCAATGTAAATCGGTCCAAACAATAAAGATCCTCGATATAAAATTGGAGTTGTACCGACAATGAAGATGAATCTAAAGTGGCATCTTGGTTTGGTTTAAATTTGATGACATTTAGACCTTGAACGAGTTGGTATGGTTCACATTCAAAAAAGTGTTCAGTCAGAATAACGTACAACAGTCTTGTAACAATCTCCCAATTTGCATTCTCTAATTCCAACTGAAACGATTGTTCCAAATGACTATGATTACTTTGAATGTATTGTAAATATTCCATCAATATTCTCTCATCTTTTACATTATTAAATACATTATTTAATATCGTATCCATGATCCTATGATTGAATAATAACAATATAGTAATCTTTATCTTTAATGTTAATGAATAGTTATATATATAAACTAATTGTTGTTGTATGATTAATTGAATTAATATTAGTCAAATTTGAAATGTGATGACTATTTATTATTATTATGATTAGAATAGTTACCTTGATGATATGGTTGGTATTAATATCTCTTTCTTCTTTCTCTTTTCTCTTTTGTTACAGTAACATGATGATGATGATATAACAACACAAACAACACAGTTAGTGTATTCATTTTAAAAATACTTTTCTCTCACAGGTGATTGATTATCCTTTTAAAAAAAGTATACTTTTTTAGATTGTTGTTATGTTTTCATTCAATATTATTTATTGGTTGAGAGACACCTATATTATAGTATTATTATTACTGTTGACTTTATTTTAGTGACGAAAACTCTCTCTTCTCCTTGTTCACTTTGAACCTCAACTGCCATGAAAATTTTTTTTTATTAAATTAATTTTTTAATTTTATTTTTTTACTTGCTTTCTTTGCAATCTCGAGTCATGTTTATTGATTCATTCAAGTCTCAAAAAAGTTGTTTATATTTGTATATATAAATTTTATTCATCACAGTATTAGTAGTTATAGTTATAGTTTATTAGTTTCACACACACCATCATCATTTATTCATTCATTTATTCATTCATTCAATCAATCAATCAACCATTGTCTATAATTCAAAAAAATGGGAAAAGTTAAATATATGACTTCATCAGGTACAGAAGAAGAATTTGATACAAGTGATGAAGCTTGTGAGAAATTTGGTTTCTATCCAGGTTCAAGAGTTATTACTCCAAAAGGAAGAGGTTCAGGTATATATAAAAATAGAGATAGGATAGATAGATAGATATAGAGACAGAATGATAATTAACCATATATACAAAACATACATCTTTTGTATATATATTTATAGTGATTGGTGTAAGAGAAGGAAATATATGGTTTCATATAGATAAAGATAAAGGTGCATCATATTGGGACAATGCTACAGATTATGAAGCTTTATTATTTAAATTAAACTTTAGAATAGATGAATCAGAAGATGGTATTGCTGTATGTACATAGTAGTAGTAGTAGTAGTAGTAGTAGTAGTAGTAGTAGTAGTACAACAACATGATGTTATTATTATTAGCTCACTAACCTTTATATATTTATTATTATTATCAATGATAGGACATTGGAGCAAAATATAGAGTAAAAAGAATAACATATAGAGGTAGAGAAGTCAAGATTGTACTTCAAAATGAAAATGGACCATGTCCACTCATTTCAATTGGCAATGTCTTGTTGCTACAAGAAAAGATTGTAATAGATTCTGATTCAAACCTCATTTCACTCAAAAGACTTGGTGATTTAATTATAGGTCATGCTAAACTTTTATATGCTGAAGTAAGAAAATAGAAGAAAATAGAAAGAGAAAAAAGATGTACATTTATTCATTCTATTTTATTTTATTTTTTTTTAGGAACCTGATATATTACCAATTATTGACGATTATGAAAAGACTGTATTACCTAGTTTAGAGACTGGGTTGATTGTAAATATAAACTTTAATAGTATTTCTGGATTTGAAAAGACTGTACCATGTCAAATCTTTGACTATTTGAATATCAAATTGGTACATGGTTGGATAAGTGATCCAAAAAATACAGAGGCTCATAATCTAATTGGTAGTCTTACTTATAATGAATTGGCTCCTAAAATTGTAACTTTTGAACAAAGTTTTCCAAATGCAAATTTAGGTACTGAAGCTCAAAGTATGTTTGAAATAGAAAATAATAATAATATTATTCTTCTTTTTTTTATTAATTTTAATTTTGTTTTCTATTTTCTTTAGTTAGAGAATTAATTAATTGTCATCAACTTACAGATTATGGATTAGAATTGATTAGAAGCAATTTACAAGATGATGAATTGTGTGTATTTTTTAGAAACAATCATTTTGCAACCATGACCAAACATGAGGGCAATTTGCACATTTTGGTGAGTGATGTTGGTTACGAGACGGAACGAGCCATCGTATGGGAAAAGATAGTGTCGATTGGTGGAGAGAACCTTTTCTTGTCGGGTGACTTTAAAACTAGAAAAGAATCAGCCTTGGAAGAGGTACGTTTAAATCTTTTGGCCATTGGCTACAAGGAATCAGAAGTTAAAGAAGCAATGGATTTTGTCATTTCTTCAAATGATGCAAATGTTGAACCTTTTGATATTGCTACAAGTTTTATGAATAGTAAACAATATGTTCCAACCTAAACAATATTTGTAAAAGTCCAACAAGAAAAACAAAAACAACAACAAACAAAAAATATTTTAATAGTATAGTATTTTTTTTTAAATATATATAATTATATTATATAAATTAAAATCAATCATTTTTTTTACTTCAATACAATCAAATACAAAAAAGTATTTATTTATTTAAGTTTATTTATTGTTGATCTTCTGATGAGGTTGAGTTTGTGGGAAGGATTGTTTTCATCTTTAAGAGATGACGAATCTTTTCTTGGTTGCCTTTTTGGGCGGCATATATATAAGGTTTTTGTTGATGACTGACAACCATGACTGTTCCAATGCTTGTAAGTCAGTTCTTTGAACATTGTTGATTTTCTCGCAAATAAAATCGAACCGGAGGAGGATAATTGACTTTACAAAAGCTACATAGTCATCAATTCTCGTAGAGACATGTTGCACTTTGTTGCAAAGAGATTGTATCACCTGTGACGATGCGGTGTACAGAGTCGACCTTGGAGTCTAAATCGACTGATGAGAATGGGATGATTGTCGTCGTCAATAATAATATTGGAGGGGCGGATATCTGTGCGCTAATCCTACCTCGTGGGCTCTAGCGATAGTGTCAAAAAGCTGTGTAACAATGAAAAATTTTAGTCAACTGCAAACCAAACGCCTGGTAGGTCGCATCTTTACTAATGTCTGGGTGATTATCCAAGAGATCCTTGGGAAGAGGATTCATGTAGTTGTGTTGGAGCAAACCATTCTCTTGCTCCTGATCTTGCTCCAAGAAAAAGTTAATAATTTACAATAGTGTGACTCTCATATAGTTTGTCTTACTGTGTAATAAGTAGAGTATGAACTAGTTCTAGCTGCATGAATGATTTTCGTTGGAGACACCACCTCCTCTCTCTTTCTCTTTGCAAACTTTCTATCAAATATTTCAACTACACTTGCTTTGAATTGTTTAACTGAACTTGGTGATTAGTGAATGTACAGTTGATGATGTGATTTATTGTTTTTATACATACATTGTGGCTCGGCTTGTTGATTGGCGACCTTGATATAGATAGCGATCAGCTTTGTATCTACCAACTCTGTAGATTCAGGCTTTTGTTCCGTCCTTTCATCTCGATATAGATTGATTGTAGGCAGGTGCTGCATCGATTCCATCTTTGATTAATGGCTTGATGTTGGTATACTTTGTTGTGGGTAACCAATGAAAGGAGAATATTCATTGATGAAGGTGATTAGATGTATAAACGATTAGATGCTAGAATATCGTCATCTGATGTATCAGAATGATAGTAAATTTTTGAAACAATATTTTCTTCTCAGAATGATTGCTTTAGGAATCAAAAATAAAATATAACTATAATTGTTTTTGAAACATTGGAATTGGCGATTGCACAAGCACAAGTTGGATTAGGGTCGTTTTTGGCAAGAGAGAATGGATTATACATATTTCGTATATTAAGCGTGTTATCGTTTTTTGGTCACTGAATCTATTAAATGATCAACTCTTTTGTTGACTTTGTATCGGGTGTTGATGATGCAGAGAAATCAACTGATCGAACACTATTTGAAGTGGTATCAGTCAACTCTTCTACGATACATTATGGTTTCCATAGCGATTATGATTTGTTTGACCATTTACCTAACGACTCTGTGTTTTGGCGAGACACAATGGATGGCTAAAATGTTTTTCCTCTATTTTATATCACTCATGTTTAATACATGTACCTATACACATTTCAAGTATATTGCATTGGGTCCTATTTCATTTTCTTTGTATGTCATTTGCACATCGGTCGTTTACCATTGTCTGCTGACCAAGCAATTACCAGACACAATGTTATTTAGGTGGGTACAATATTTAAATCCAAAAGTAGTTATAATACAATAAATTTGGTTTATCATGATCAAGATCACTTTTTGAAAGCATAGATTATTCTTTTTTGGGGTGTATCATTTTAATAAATAATATAATCTACCACCCACTTTTGGTCCAATCATTGTTGTGTTGTATATAATATTTAAATTAATTTGTATCATTTATTTTAAAATTTAATTGCGATGAAGTAACGAAAAAAATTAATTCTAATTGATCATAAATTTGCCTATGAATACAATAGAATTACTATTATATAAATGTGGTGTATCATCAAAGCAAAGTAAATCAATCATCGAAGCATATCATGTAAGTAGGTGTAGATTGTAGTTATTAGAGAGTGCAATAGAGATATTTACTCTCTTTATGTTTAATGTAGAATGAAAACCATGAGAATGATGATTGCAAAGTATTCCTTTCTGAATTGGTTCAAGTGTTACCTTTGATTGAAGGATCAATCTATATATTGGATGAATGGTTAGATGATCAAATATCATGCAACAAGATAAATATCGAGTGTCTATTAGACTATTATATCGTACCCATTCTACAACAACATTCCACCTCTTATTCAATGATTGTATCTTGTTTGAAGAGATTACTATCAACAAAATATAGAGACTATTTATCTTGTATCAATCAAGATAGATTAGAAAAAATAAGAGATACAATCATTGCAATCGACAACAAGAATAACGATATAATCATTCAGCAACTGAAAGATTCTATATTGGACAAACAACAAACTATAGATACAAGAGTAAACCTAGATGGTGAATGTACAGTATTATCATCAATTACTAGATCATTTATCAGTCTCGTATCAACAGTTTATCATTTAGAGTTGGTTATGAATAGTGGACAAACGTTTGAGATTAACAAACTACTATTAGATGAACCACAATTAATCAAAGATATATCATCAACAATCATTCAAAATGGATACAATCAACACTTTGAATTGATCATCACAGAGATTGTCAATCAACAGCAACAACAACAACAACAACAATCACTCTCACCTTTACCTCCTCCTCCTCCAACAGTCATATCTATATTCATTATACTTTTACATTTGCAACAATATAGTGGTAATGACCAACAACACCAACACCAACAATGCTTATCAATTATTACAGATAGTCAAAGCAAAAGCAAAGCAATGATTAAACAACCATTGCAATCACAACTATACCAATTAATATCAAATCATTCACAAACACAAGATTATTTACAATCATTGTATCTACCATTGACATTGTCAGCAACACCAAATAAAAGTTAGTCTCTACAAATTATATTATAAATCAAAATCAATCATTTTTTTTACTTTTATACAATCAAATACAAAAAAGTATTTATTTATTTATTTATTTTTTGATTTAAATAACCCAAAAAAGGATAGTTTTTACAAAAACCCATTTTTTTTCGGTCTAATTTACTTTGAATTAAACTCGAAACTGAGTGTGTGCAGTTATTGTCATCTTCATCGAGTACTTTTATTTATAAACAATCAATCAATCAATTTATTTATTTATTTATTTATATACTTTTTTTTCATAGAGAGATGACAGCAATGTGGAGAACTGAACAATGCTCAAATGAACCATACCCAAGATGTGCACATACTTGTGATACAGTAGGTGACTATATGTATCTATTTGGTGGATGGACAGACGAGAATCAAATGTTAAACGATATGCATCGTTTTAAAGTTGATACTTGGGAATGGGAGGAGATTCATTATAAACAACAAGAAAAAGAACAGGATAAAGAGATATCAGGATATACAACAACATTTACAATTACAGCTAGAAATGGTCATACTTTAACAACATATAATAGACAATTGGTATTATTTGGTGGAGGATCATTTGAAGGTTTTTTAAATGATATTACAATCTATGATACTGATACCAAACGATGGATGGTACCACAGAGTATTACAGGTACCCCTCCATCTGGTCGATCTAAACATTCTGCTTCATTGGTCAATGGCAACAAACTATATGTATTTGGTGGTGGTGATGGTGTTAGATTACACAATGACCTCTTTTGCTTTGATCTGGTAAAGTTGGAATGGAGTCTGGTTGAAATTAAAGGTAATGGTACAGCAGCAGCTCCATCACCTAGATGGGGTCATTCAATGGTCACTCTAAACTCTACCAAATTAATTGTATTTGGTGGTCATTCTGGTTCAAAGAGATTAAATGATGTACATGTATTTGATACTGAAACAAATATTTGGTCGATTATCAATCAAAGTAATCAAGAAATTATATTTAATCCACAACCAAGAGCAGGTCATTCAGCATCAATGATTGGAGATTTTATGGTTGTTTTTGGTGGTGGTGATGGTCATATTTTAAATGATTTTGTTGGATTGGATACACGTACTTGGAAATGGTGGAGAATTACTCCTCCTCCTGGTGGTAGATGTGCTCATTCAAGTTGTGTCATTCGTAATAAATTGGTTATATTTGGTGGTGGTAATGGTTTACAATGTTTTAGAAAAATGTTGGTTTGTGAACATATTGGTAAATATTAGAAAAAAAGAGAAAAAAGAGTATATATTTATTAATACTTTTATTTATTTTTAGATACTTTGGAATCAATGTATTTGGCACATTTTAACAAAGAATTAAATTCTACTACTACTAATGGTAGTAGTACTGGTACGAATCAATCATCAATGATACCAAAGAAATTGTTAATTGCACCAAAGAAATTATTAAAGACTGATGTTAATGAATCTCTATTAACTACAACATTGGAATCTTTGGCAAGAAAAGCAGCTCAACAACAATTACATAATTTAAATCAAACTCAACTTTCTTCAAACCAGAATAATAATAATAATCTTGTAAATAATAATAATAATAATAATAATAATAATAATAATAATAATAATAATAATAATAATAATAATAATAATAATGGTAATAATAGTGGTGGATCATCACCAAATTTAAATTATAGTAGAAATCATCATATATCTGATGATTTAGATAAATTAAGAGATAGTTGTCTAACTGAAAGAGAGAGAAGAGATATTAAATTCTTTATGACAAATATTGGAATGGCCAAATATGTAAATATGTTTATAGAGCAAGAGATTGATACTACCGTACTGCACATGTTGACAGAATCACATTTAAAGCAATTGGGTGTGACATCGCTTGGCGATAGATTGTCAATCATCAAGGGAATTAGAGAGTCGACATTGTATCTTTTCAAGGGATTGCCATCTTTACAATCAGATTCTTATGATCCTAATTTTAGTCCAAGAATTGCTGATGATAAATTGGATTCTTTGGAATTATAGTAATAATAATAATAATCAAACTTTTTTTTTGAATAAATAGAAATAGCTCGAGATAGACAAAGAATTTTTTTTTTTTTCAATTGAAAAAAGCACAGTTTTCTTTCTTTTTATGTATTCTGTATAAATATATAAAAGAGATACATTTATCTATATGTAACAGTGATTTGGATACGTCAACACGAGTAACAGATGATGGTTCCAAGAAACTGTTATCGAGTTGGAGTGGCCCATACAGAGTTATTAAAGTAATAACAGACAAGTCTTATGTGGTGCAAGTAACCAAAGAAGGGTGACAATCAATAAGAGAGAGAGAGAGAATGATTAATGTAATGTATAACAATAATCTCTCTGCTGTAATAACAAAAGAATCGGCTTCGATATCGTTGTTGTAGTAAGTAGCTTGACATACAAGAGACAGTGCTAATATCATGATAGATAAACAACATGCATGGTCAACAAGCATAGTCAAGCATGGTCAACAAGCATGGTCGTCAAGCGTGGTCAACAAGCATGGTCGTCAAGGTGAAATGAGTTGTTGATTAGAATGAGATAATTGGTTGGAAAGAGAAAGAGTTAGTTGAATAGCTATTTGGTTGGAGAAATGAAATGAGTTATTTGATTAGAATGGATTATTTGGTTGGAATGAGTATTTTGGTTGATTGGAAAGAAAAAATTAGTGGAAAGAGAAAGAGTTATTTGGATGAGTGGAAAGATTTAGTTGATTAGCTATTTGGTTTGAGTGGAAAGAGAAAGAGTTATTTGGATGAGTGGAATGAGTTTGGCTGGAAAGAGATTTGGTTGGAAAGAGAAGAGAAAGAGAAATAGTGAAATGTTTTAGTTGATCGGAGAAAGAGATATTTTGTTGAGTGGAAAGAGTTATTTGGTTGGAGAAAGAAAGAGAATAGATGAGTAAGAGATAGTTGATTAGCTATTTGGTTTGAGTGGAAAGAGTTAAATAGTTGGGAATGAGTGAAAGAGTTTGGTTGGAGAGAGAAAGAGATATTTGGTTGAGTGGAATGAGATAATTGGTTGGAGAAAGAGATATTTGATTAGAAAGAGAAAGGGATATTTGGTTGGAGAAAGAAGGGGATAAGTGTTTGGTTGGATGAGTGATTTGATTCGAAAGAGAAAGAGTTAATTGGTTGGAAAGATATAATTGGTTGGAGAGAAAGAGAATGAGTTTGGCTGGAAAGAGAAATAGTGAAATGAGTTATTTGGTTGGAAAGAGAAAGAGTTAATTGGTTGGAAAGATATAATTGGTTGAAAAAAGAGTTACTTGTTTGGTTGGAATGAGAAAGAATTATTTGATTAGAAATGATCTAATTGGAAATATTTGGTTGATTAGAATGAGCTGTTTGGCTAAGTGGAAAGGGTTATTTGGTTGGAAAGAGATATTTGTTTAGAAAGATAAAGGATAATTGGTTGGAGATTGGTTGAAATAAGAGAAAGAGAAAGAGAAAGGGATATTTGGTTGTGTGGAATGAGTTATTTGGAAAGGGAAATGGTGAAATGAGTTAGTTGGTTGGAAATGAAATTGGTTGGAAAGAGAAAGAGATATTTGATTAGAGAAAGAGATAATTGGTTGGAGAAAGAGATATTTGATTGGCGAAAGAGAAAGAGATAGAAAGGAAAGAGATAGAGATAGAGAAGGAGATAATTGGTTGGAGAAATGGATAATTGATTGGAAAGAAAAGAGAAAGAGATATTTGGTTGGAGAAAGGAGAGTTAAAGATATTTGGTTGGAAAGAGGAAAAGAAAGAGAAATAGAAATAGAGAATAGTTGGTTGGAAAGAGAAAGAGATATAGTGAAATGAGTTAGTTGGTTGGAAAGAGAAAGGGAAAAAGTGAAATGAGTTAGTTGGCGGGTAAGAGAAAGAGTTTGGTTGGAGAAAGAGAAAGAGATATTTGATTTGCTATTTGGTTGGAATGGGTTATTTGAGTGGAAAGAGTTATTTGCCTAGCTATTTGGATGAGTGGAATGAGTTTGGTTGGAAAGATAAAGAGAATGAGTTGTTTGTTTGGAATGAGTTATTTGATTAGCTATTTGGATGAGTGGAATGAGTTTGGCTGGAATGAGAAAGAGTTTGGTTGGAGAGAGAAAGAGAAAGGGAATGAGTTATTTGAGTGGAAAGAGAAGGAGAAAGAGAAAGAGAATGAGTTAGTTGGTTGGAATAGCTATTTGATTAGAAAGAGAAAGAGTTTGGTTGGAGAAAGAGAAAGAGTTATTTGATTAGAAAGAGAAAGATTTACTTGATTGGAAAGAGAAAGAGATATTTGGTTGAATGAAATGAGTTATTTGATTAGAAAGAGAAAGAGGTAGTTGATTAGCTATTTTGTTGGAGAGAAATAGTGAAATGAGATGTTGAGCGGAATGAGTTAGTTGATTAGCTATTTGGTTGGAGAGAGAAATGAAATGATTTATTTGATTAGAATGAATTATTTGGTTGGAATGAGTTATTTGGTTGATTGGAAAGAGGTAGTTGATTATGTATTTAGTTGGAGAAAGAGAAAGGGATATTTGGTTGTGGAATGAGTTTGGAGAAATAGATAGTGATTAGCTCTTTGGTTTGAGTGGAAAGAGTTAGTTGATTAGAATGGGTTATTTGATTGGAATGAGTTGTTTGGTTGGAAAGAGAAAGATTTGTTTGGATAGAAATGTAAATACTCCGCTGATTTTGAAATATATATATATAAATGACACTTTAGAATAAATAAATTGAATATATATAATTTTTTGTTGTTTTAGACTACCTCTATATTTTATTTTGAATGTTCTAGATGATCGTAAATAGTGTGTAGCGAACAGTCGAGAAGAAACTGGTGAACAAACGGGATATATTATGAAATATGTTGGACGTCCAAGTGGGGCAGGATCCTAAATCCAACTGTTTAGGCAAGGAGAGACTTAACCCAAGCCTTACGTTGGGTCTTGACGGCCTTGGTGTTGGCACCCTTCTTGTGGGTAGCCTTCTTGGTGGCGTTGGAGATACGGGCAAGACGAGCGTGTGGGTTGAGCTTGAGCATAGCCTTGACGTTACGGAGTGGGTTAAGACGCTTGTACGACTTGATTTGGGAAGCACCACCACGGTGTTGAGATTCACGGACGGCAGTTTGGATTTCGTCAGAGGTAACGATACGGGAGACATCTGGGTTGAGCATGACTGGACGTGGGAGACGGAAACCCTTCTTGGCAGATGGGGTGGTCTTGGTACCAAAGATCTTGTCGAGTTGTTCGAAGGCATCTTGAGACCAGATGACGAAACGACCCAAATGACCACCTGGTGCGAGACGGAGGATGTTGAGGGAGGAGACGAAGGCAATGTCGACACCTGGGATGTTACGGAAGGCACGGACACACTTGGATGGACCGGCGAGGACGAGGAGTGGACCACGACGAGATTGGAAACGTCTGTTTCTAAGCTTACCTTGACCGGCACGGACAGACTTGGAGGCAATGACACGCTCTACGTCGGCATAGGCGTTGATCTTCTTGAGGAGGGCGGTGGCGGCAGAAGTCTTGGTGAGGTTGGCGAGGACTTCGTTGGCAATGACGAGTGGGACTTCAGAGATTTGGTTGACACGATGACCACGAGCCATGACGAGGGCTGGGATGGCAGAGGCGGCGAGAGCAGAGCAGACGGCGTATCTCTTTTGGTTGACGTTGACACGACGATTCCACTTTCTCCAGACCTTGTTTGGGCCAAACATACGACCGCCTCTACACATGTTTCCAAAGGCACCTTGACCTGAACGGTGAGTACCTGAACCACCAACACGTGGAATACGTGCGACGGCACGACCGGTACCCCATGATTCGGCAGAGGTTTGTTCACCGGCGTATTTGTAGACACCGTAGGCTTGACGGTGATTCTTGTTAACGTTCGTATGAACAAAGTTAACGAGATCTGGACGAATTGGGGTACCCAATACGGCTGGGAACTTGACCTTGGCGGCAGTCTTGTTCTCTCCGTTAAAGACGTTGACGAAATCTCTATTCATGACTATCCTTTAATATATATATATATTTACACACACGATAAAAAAAAACAAAAACAAGAGGCTAGAAATAAAATGGTTGAGAGAGAGAATAGAGGAGGCAAGGGAATGAGAACGACAAAAAAAAAAAATCGAAAAAAATTAAAATAATTAAAAGTCAAAAGTCGAAAAAAAAAAATGTACAAGCAGAGAGAGAGGAAACGAGTATGATCATGTGACACAAAGAGTCAGATGACTTCCAAACAAATTTGATGAAATATCCCCGAATGATCACTACTATAGTTATATATATATTAATTGAATGAAACTTGTTCTCTTTCATGCTTGCTAGACAATACATAGATAGATAGATAAATCAACCTTTTTATCTTGGCCTTCCTTTTCTTTCTTCTTTACTTGTTTAAAAATTACAATCAAATTATCGTGTATTAATTATTGTTATTGCGAACATGTGACTGTATGGTATGATTATAATTGTGCAAACAACTTGATGATTCATCAAATACGAGTTGATATTTATTATTATTAATATAAATAGATAGTTTGTTCTATCAAGTAGAGGTGCTTGATCCTCCACCTTTGACTCACAAACAAGATGATGAAAAAAAATAATAAAAAAAAAAAAAAGAAAAAGGGTGACAATGCAGTGGGACACACTACAAAGTGAGTTGAACTTACTTCTTCTTAATTTTAATTATAGTTCAAGAGAGAGAGAAGAGAGGAGAGAGACAAAGGTATTTGTATACAATCAGTGTATTATCAGTCATCAGTCAAGTCAGTATAGAGGATAATAACACAAAAAGTACACAATACTATAGTATCACCTATCCTACACTAAACTCGATAGATAGATAGATAGATAGATATATCAGATATAGAGATAAATAAAATGTCAAATCAACAACAACAACAACAACAAGGACCACCAACGATGATGGGAGGACCACCACCACCATTCCAACCACCAGTAGGATTTATTCCTCCACCTCCAATGGGATTACCTTTTGTGCCACCACCAGGTGCACCAGGTGTATTTCCACCACCTACTGGATTCACAGGTGCTCCATTTGTCCCTCCTCCAATGGGATTCTCACCAGGTATGGTACCACCACCACCAACTGGAATGAATATGAATGCTCCTCCACCACCAACAGGTATTTCATCGGTCGTTCCTCCTCCAATGCATACCATCCCACCACCAACCACTACAACTATAGCATCTCCTCCACCACAACCAACTAATACTGGATATCCACAAGTATCACCTCAACCAGTACAAATGATGGGAGCTCCTCCTGTTGCCCCTCCTGTTGCTGTTGCACCTGTTACACACGTTTCACCACCTCCACCACAACAATATCCACCATTCAATCAGCCACCACAACCAATTGCACATCAAGTATCACCAGCTCCACAACAACAAGGAGGGTACCCAGGATATACTCAAGGTCCACCAACTAATCAACAACAACAACAATTTAACCAAGGCCCACCAACCAATCAACAACAATTCCAACAAGGTCCACCCCCTCAACAATACTCTCCATACAACCAAGGTCCACCAACTAACCAACAACAATTCCAACAGGGTCCACCAACCAATCAACAACAATTTAACCAAGGTCCACCAACTAATCAACAACAACAGTTCCAACAAGGACCACCAACTTCTCATCCATATGGATACCCACAACCACAAGGTCAACAAGGTCAACAAGGTCAATACCGTGGATCACCATATCAACAACAACAACCAACACAAGGATATCCACAACAACAACAAGGTCAACAAGGTCAATATCCACCTCAACAAGGATCATATCAAACATCAACACCACAATACTCTCAACAACAACAACAATTACCAAATATTGGAGGTTTATCATTAAATAATAATTTACCACCACAAGCAGGTATGGTTCAACCTCAACCTCAACAAGGACAAAATGCACAAGCAGATAATCGTATAAACATGTCACAAGTACCAAATCCAGCAACTGTACTTGATCAATTTAAGGGATTTGTTTGGAATTCTGCATCTGGTGATATGCCACCACCATCATCTGTTCAACAATATTTGGTGGATCAACAAAACAGTACACCTCTATTTATGCGTTCGACAATGTATACCATCCCAGAGTCTGATGATGTTTTGAGCGCTTCTTCACTTCCATTGGCAATCCACATTACTCCATTGGCATCGACCGTACCAGTCATTGATCACGGTGTCAATGGTCCAGTTCGTTGCAGTCGTTGTCATGCCTACATTAATCCAAACGCTGTATTCCTCAACAATGGAAAGTTCTTTGCCTGTAAGCTTTGCGACTATGAAAACGATGTACCACAAGAATACTTTTCTGCCACCCTTCCAAATGGTCAACGTACCGATTTTGATCAACGTCCAGAACTCAAACATGGTTCCTACGAATTTGTAACTCGTCCAGTTGTTGACCCCAAGGCCGATCCAAAACTTGCCAAAGATAATATCGCTCCACCTCCTCCTGCCTATATTTTCATTATCGAAGTTTCAACTCATACAATCTCTACTGGTATTTTATTTGTTATTATTGATAGTATAAAGTATGAAAAAATAGAAAAAAACAAAAAAAGGAAAAAATATTTATTTTCTCTATTACTAATTTTGTTTTTTTTTGTTTATAGAAAAATATTAAATGAAATGAGTGATAATATACCAAATAAAATTGGTATTATTACATATGATACAGAGGTACATTTTTGGAGTTTCAAGAAAACATATAGTCAACCACAAATGAAGGTTGTTGCCAAAAACTCTGTATTTGTACCAGTGCAAGATGGATTTTTGATTGATTATCAAGAGTCTAAACATTTGGTAGACTACTTTTTCAACAATATTACCAACTTTTTCAAGTATCCAGCTGCTCCACAACGAGAGTTTGCATTTGGTGCTGCTGTACAATCGGCATCTTTTGCTTTGGAAAAGTGTGGTGGTCGTTTGTTTACTTTTAGTACCAACATGCCAAAGGGACAACCTGGCCAGGTAACCAAGCGTGAAGCCAAAAACGAACGTACTTTGGTGCCAGGTGCCGCCTGGAACAGCTTTTACAAGCCACTATCCATGTATTGCACTACACATCACATTGTGGTAGACATGTTTGTGTTGCCATGCGAGACTTGCGAGTTGCCAACGACTGGTCAACTCGTCACTGCTACCGGTGGCCAAATCTACTACTACCCCAACTTTACAAGTGTCGTTGCCGACCAGTTGCGTAGCGATATTGTCCAAGCTGTCACTGCCACCTATGGATACGACTGCAAGATCCGTGTGCGTTGTAGCAGAGGTTTGACAGTTGCCGGTTTCCACGGAAACGTCCAAGAAGAAGGTAGTGCCGGTGGTGAAGTGACCATTGCCGGTATCACATCGGAAAAGTCAATGACTGTCGTCTTGAAATACGACGACAAGCTAAAGGCAAAGACCAAGGCATACATTCAATTTGCCATGATGTATCGTACCATGCGTGGCGACTTGCGTGTACGTGTACTCAACTTGCGTCTCAATGTTGAGACTGGTTTCACTAGCTACTTTAAGGATACTGATCTCGACGCTACACTTGCCTATTATGCACGTCTAGCTGCACGTGACATTATCACTACTGGCCCGAGCCAAGTTCGTACACTATCCATTGAACGTGCCGTCGACGTCTTGGCTGCCTACCGCAAGCACTGTGCCGCTGACAAGTCGAGCACTCAACTCATCCTCCCCGAATGCTTCAAGTTGCTACCCATCTATATCCTCTCGATGATGAAGACTGCTCCATACCGCATTTCAACCGACATTAACCCAGATCATCGTTTCGCCTACATGAACCTCTATGCTTCACTCCCTCCATCAAAGATTATCCCTCTCATCTATCCTCGCGCCTACCCAGTCCACAATCTCCACGGAGATCTCGGGCTCGTCAACCCTCAATACAACATTGTCAACCTTCCTCACTTTGTTCGTCTAAGTACTGAAATCATTCAACAAGATGGTGTCTATGTTATTGAAGATGGTAGAAATATCTATCTCTGGGTTCAATCAATGGTTAATCCTTCAATTCTTCAAGATTTATTCAATGTTGATAATATTAATGGTTTAAATTCTTCAAAGGTAAAAAAAAAATAGAAAATAGAAAAAATAGAAAAAAAAATATTTTTTATAATATACTTACTTTTACTTTTTTATTATTTAGTTGTATGAATTATATAAATCAAATATTTCATCAGAAAATGAATTACATCAAAAGGTTGAAAATATTATAAAGGAAGTCATTAGATTAAGAGGACTTTGTGCTAGCAAGGAAATCCAAATTGTACCACAAAACGAATATCTAAACTCTGTAATCCGTTCACAATTGTACGAAGACAAGGGAATTGATTCAGTTTCCTATGTTGATTTCTTGGTTCAAATACATCGTCAAATTCAAAACAAATTATCGTAAATATTTTATAAAATATATAAATAAGAAGATTAAAAAAACAACAATAACAAAAAATAATCAAAATAATCAAAATAATAATAATCTATATAGTATTTGATTTAAATAATAATTCAAACCTTTTTTTTTATTATATTATAAAAACAAATAAAAACAAATATCCCCCTACCCCTACCCCCCTTACTATCTCTCTCTCTCTTTATTGTTTCAATAGATTAAAAAGTGATATAAATCCATCAGAATTAATGTTAATGTCAAATACCTATTAAAAAAGGAAAAACAAAAAGATTTAATCTAATCTAATCAAAAATAAATTCACAATTATCCAAAAGAGCGATAATAATTTATTAAAAACAATTTATTAATATCATTTTGGTTGGGTAGAAAAGTTCAATTTACTTCTCTCTATTTGAGTTTTTTAGATTTATCTCTCTAAAACGGGAATACCAAAATTTAATTAATCAAAATTCCCTTTCTCTCTTTTGGGAATTTTGAAAAAAACAAATTTGAAAATATTATTTTTCCTCTTTGCAAGTTCCCAAAAATACTCGTTTTTTTTATATTTTTTTAATCAAAATATCTTTTTGATAATCTTGTATTCGTCTGCTTCTCTATAATGACGATGGGGATCGCAATGGGTTTTATGTTAATCCCCTACCATTTTCAACGGAACTGACTACAACCCCCCAATAAAGGTTTAAATTGTTAAAAGGTGCCATTGGATACCACTACACCTTTTTCGTAAAGGTTATGGCAAAAGTAGTAGAAGGGCCAAAGATGAACAAGGGAATTGTCTCTAGTCCCTACTACCCTTTGAAGGAGGTTCCTTTATATGATTATTTTTATTTGTTTTTTTTTTTTTTTCCTCCTCCCATGGGAGATCCGAACACTATCAAACACTCCTCCAGTGTTGTTGGTTGGGACACGTCTCCCACAGTTCATTCCTTTATTGTTGTGATTAATCTTTTTCTTTTTCCCATATTATCTTTTATTTCTATATAAAGTGAAACAAACAAACAAACATTGTTAATTTATTAGATACACACACTCTTTTTGAAAAAAAAAAAAAATTATTATATCTTTAAAGAGTTTTGTTAAGAGATTTTTAAAAAATATATATATATATAACAATATTATTTCATTTATCTATACATACTTTTTTTGTTTTTAAAGATTTGAAAACATCAACCACAACAACATCAACCAACATCAACCAATTTTACCCACCAAAAACAACAAACGCTTTTTTTTTTGTATGTTATATATATATATATTTAATCTTCTTTTTTTTTGTTTTTTTGATTTATTAATAATATTGTATTTTTTTTTTTAGAAATAATTTATTATGGATATTGCAATTATAGGTATTGGACTTAGATTCCCAGGAGGATCAAAAACACCAGATGAATTTTGGGATCATTTAATTAATAAAAAGGATGGAATATCAGAGGCACCAAAGGAGAGATACTCACCATCATTCTATGACCAAGGTTTCATTTCAAACAAATATGGTGGTTTTATAGAAGAGGATGAGTGGAAACGCTTTGATCCACTCTTTTTTGGTATCTCGCCAAAGGAAACTACATACTTGGATCCTCAACAAAGAGTATTACAAACTTGCATGTGGGAAGCATTGGAAGATGCTCACATTCAACCTCAAAAGATTCGTGGTTCCAAAACTGGTGTCTATCTTGGTCTAATGAATCAAGATTATCAAAAACAACAACATCGTGATATATTGGACATGTCACCTTATCTTGTCACCGGAAACGGTAACTGTTTCTACTCTAATCGTCTCTCCTTTTGTTTTGATCTTCGTGGTCCATCAATCACTCTTGATACTGCTTGTAGTTCATCTCTTAATGCTATTTTCTTGGGAATGCAAGGTAAAACTAAAACTAAAAAAATTAATATAAATATTTTTTTTACTTTACTTTTTTTTTTTTTTTTTTTTTTTGTTTTTTTTTTAGGAATTAGATCAGGAGATTGTGATATGGCAGTAGCAGGAGGAGTAAATGCATTATATGACCCAACTATTACAATCAACTTTTCATCATTAAACATGTTGAGTCATAAAGGTAGATGTAGTAGTTTTGATGAAGGAGCCGATGGTTTTGTTCGTAGTGAAGGTGCTGGTTTGGTCATTTTGAAACGGTTGGACAAGGCTATAGAAGATGGAGACCGTATCTATTGTGTATTAAAGGGTGGTAGTAGTAATGTTGATGGTTCCAACAACAAGACAACCATTACAGCTCCAAGTAGTCATGCCCAAGCTGAAAACATTGTCCATGCATTAAACAATTCACGAGTCGATGCCAAAGATGTCTTTTACTTTGAAGCCCATGGAACTGGTACCCCTGTAGGTGATCCAGTTGAAGTCGAGGCTCTTTCCACCATCTTTGCACAAAACCATTCACCAAGCGAACCATTACATATTGGTTCAGTCAAATCCAACATTGGTCATCTAGAATCAGCTGCTGGTGTCGCCTCTTTAATCAAATGTTGTCTAATGTTAAAGAATCGTCAATTGGCTCCAAACATTCATTTCAACAAAGTCAATCCAAAGATTAAATTAAATGAATGGAATATTAAAGTTGTCACTGAAAATGAATCATTCCCAACCGATAAATTAATTAGAATGGGAGTTGGTTCATTTGGTTTAGGTGGTTCAAATTGTCATCTTATTATGGAAGAGTACAAGAGTGACAATAATAATAATACCAACTCTTCTTATCCTTCATCATCATCATTAGTTATTCCATTTTCAGCAAATTCAAAATTATCTTTGGATAAATATGTAAATTCGATTGTGAATAATGTCAATAGAGTCGAATTGAATGATTTTGCCAAATATCAAGTATTTACCAAAGCTAATATCATTGCATCGAGAAAGATTATTGTTGCCAATAGTTGGGAGGAATTGGTTTCTCAAAAGAAATCATACTCTGTCAACAAGTCGTTAACTTCCAACATTGCCGCTCTCGGTATCCAACCAAAGATTCCAGTTGTTTTCGTCTTTTGTGGTCAAGGTCCACAATGGAAAGGAATGGGTCAGGTTCTTTACCATTCACAACCAGTATTTAAACAAGCTGTTGATCGTGCCGATGACCTCCTCAAAACTTATTTCGGCTACTCTATCCTTGCCCAACTCCAATCTCTTCCATCTGACAATTCACCAGAACTTCATCATCCAAAATTGGCTCAACCAAGTATCTTTTTATTACAATTTGGTCTAACTGAATTATATAAACAATGGAATATTAAACCTAGTATTGTTATTGGTCATAGGTAAAGAAATATATAAAAAAAAAACAAAAAATATAAAATTAATTAATTATTATTTACTTACCTTAATTTCTATCTTATTTTAGTTTTGGAGAAGTAACAGCAGCATATTATGCAAATATTATATCACTTGAATGTGCAGCCAAGATTGTATATTATAGATCAACTTTACAAAACTTGACAATTGGTAGTGGCAAGATGTTGAGTATTGGTATTAGTGCCGAACAATACAATACAGACTATGCACCCAAGTATCCAACTTTGGAGATTGCTTGTTACAATAGTAATGATTCCATTGTTATTACTGGTGTAGAGAGTGATTTACAAGTGGCTGCAGAGGATATGAAGGAATCAAATGTGTTTACTGCATTCCTTACCACTCCATGTTCATTCCATTCATCACATCAAGAAAAGATTAAACAACAATTGTTTGATTCTCCACTTATAGATTTGGAATACACCGACGGTGAAATGATTCCATTCTTTTCAACTATTCATGGTGGTTTACTAAAGACCAAACAAGAATATAGTATCCAATACATCTATGACAATCTTCGTGAACCAGTTGCTTTTACCAAAGCCATTGCCAATATCTTTACTTATATCAGTGACAATCAATTGGGAATGTCACCAGTGTTTTTGGAAATTGCTCCACATAGTACACTTGCCTTTTACATTAAAAAGTTGACTCCAACTGTATCCAACGATGACGAATCAGCTGCCACACCATTTACCCCACTGGTTCTATCACCATTAAATAGAAAAAAGAATGAATTGGAGAGTTTCCATGGTGCTCTTGGTGAACTCTATTGTCATGGTCTAAACATTGATTTTGGTCAACAATTCCAACACGAAGATATCGTCTCTTACAAGGAACGTACCACATCTATCCCAAGATACCAATGGGACACTGAATTGTATTGGGATGAACCACTCGTCTCCCAAAAGATCCGTCTCCGTGGTCCAACCTCTTCCATTCTAGGTCATCCTCTCAACTCTGGTAGTTCAGTTTACGAAGCATTAATCAATGTAAATGCTGAATCATACCAATTCTTAAAGGGTCACAAGGTCAAGGGTAAATTCCTATTCCCAGGTTCTGGATATATCGATAATATCCTTTCAAGTCATGCTGGCCTTGACGTAGCCATCCACAACCTTGAATTCAACACTCCATTCTTTTTGACAGAAGGTGTCTTGCATCATCTCCAAACTAGTATCATTCAAAACTCCAAGAATGAATTCAAGGTTGAATTTACATTTTGTGATGGTAACCAAACCGAGAAATGGACCAAATCAGCTCATGGTAGAATCTCCACCTACTCTCCAAGTACACCACCAAAAGTTGATTTAGAATCGATCAAACAAACATGTCAACTCGCCACATTGTCCAAAGACGAAGTATACGGTAAACTACAAACTCTTGGTCTTCCATACGGTCCAACTTTCCAACGTATCTCTTCATTCTCTTTTGGTCTAGATTGTTCTCTTTCACAATTGGAAATGCATCCAACTTCCAAGTTTGACAAGGACAGACTATTGAATGCTAGTATATTGGATTGTTGTCTACACGGTCTATTGGCTTTGATGGATGGGCCACAAGAATTGGTATTTGAAAGATTGGAAAATTTAAAGTTTTACTCTTCATCTGTTCCCGATTCCAACAGTCGTCCACAAAAAGTCTATGTCTATAGCAAGTCAACAAAGATTGCTGGTAATTCTAGTCATGGTTCAATTGATATGATCCTAGAAGATGGTACATTACTCTTATCAATCGGCCGTGTCGTTTCAACATCATTGACCAAGGTAAAGAGAACTGTCACTGTGAAACATCCATCCAAAGAGTTGTACAAACCAATTTGGCAATCCAAACAATCAGTCTTGTCAACTCCAATCCTTCAACTAAACAATCATGTTGCTCCACTAACACTTGAAGAAGACATAAGATTAAATCAATATATTTCATTATTGGTTAATCAATTGGACGAGTCATCAAATGATTTGTCTGGTCAGTCAAAGGTATTGGAAAGATTATTGAATATTGCCAAGGAAACCAAAGTATCAACTGATCAATCACAATCTTCTGTTGAAAAGTTAAAAGCAGAGTTGTCTACCAAGTATCCATCAAATGTTAGAGACTTGAAATTGGTTACCAAATCTATAAAATCATTCATTCCACAAGTATCCAATGCTGCCGATGCAGCTGCTGTTGACAATGTCCAAAGAACCCAAGAACAAGTTGACGATGGATACAGTTTGTTGGAATCATTGTTTTATCTTTTGGCTAGTAGCAAGGAAGTTGAAAGTGTATTGGTTCAACACTTTAAATCAACATTTGTATCATTACTACAGTCTCCAAGAGTAGTTAGATTGTTGGATATTGGTATTGAAGATGACAAGAAACGTAGTATTACCATTTCTCTTATCAAACAAATCGCCTCATTGATTCGTGAAACCAAGTCTGAATCAACCATTGACTATACCATTGTAGTATCAAGTGAAACCAAGTCAATCCTCGAACAATCAATCAAAAAGGTCATTCCTGATCTACCTGATAATCTAGTCATCAAATACCGAACCACATTATCACTTGAAGAAGATTTCATTGAACAAAATCTTTTAACTTGTTCATTTGACTTTGTCATTTCATCGTTTGCTTTTACTGCCAATGCCAATGCTGGAAAGTTGTCACAACAAATCAACAAGGTTCTTTTACCAAAGGGACAATTGATTGCTTTGGAACCACCCAAAGAGTCTGTTATCTTTGATTTGGTCGCTGGCAACTATCCAAAGATTGTGTATGACAATTTTGGACAAGACCAAGACCGTGTCAACAACGATGCCAGTACTCTTGGTGGTGGTGAATGGAGTAGATTGTTGAGCGCTAGAGGTGGATTTGAAACAGTCACCTTTTACCAATCACAACCACACCATCCATCATTAATCGTCGGTCAAAAACATGGAATTGTCAAGAGTCTATCATTGTCATCTTCATCATCTTCGTCGTCCTCTTCAATTGACAAGATCATCTTTATCATTACCAAACAATCTGAAAAAGTACAAGATTTCATTTCACAAGCCAATTCCAAGTTTGACCAAGTTCATACATTTGATTCAACTGATCTTTTAGACAGTCAAGACAACAACAAACAAGAACAATTTGTCGGTCTTATTGAACAAGGTGAAAATGTAGTAGTATTTGTTGGATTGGAACAAATGACAGTTGAAACTTATCGTAGACATACCTATGAATTTGTAAAGGTGAATCAATTAATGTTAAAGAGCCAAGCCAACAAGACCAAGTTATTGTTACTTACATTGAATGCACAAAAGGAAGCAACAAACTATTTATCATCTTCATTGGTTGGCATTTACCGTTATTTCCTCGAACAACAACATATCCTCGACACCTGTTCAATTGATGTCGACCAACAAACATTGTCAACCATTCAAATTAAAGATTTGTTGAATCTATTGGACCAAGTGGAATCACTTGGTGAAAAGGAATTTGTTCTTCGTAGTGGTACCAGTGACAGTACCTTTGTCACCCTTGTCCAAAGATACCAACGTGTTCCACAATGGTTGTCACACAAGAGTTCGGTAGAGAGTAACCCAAACAACATCGTATTCAAATTGGATAGTAACTTGAATTATGCTCCACATCCACGTGAGAACATTCTCGGAGACAACCAAGTAGAGATTAAAGTTATGGCAACTGGTCTAAACTACAAAGACAATCTTTTCTATCGTGGTCTGTTACCACAAGAAATCTTTAGCAAGGGTGATATTTACAATCCACCATTTGGTCTTGAATGTTCTGGTATTGTAAGTCGTGTTGGTAGCAAGGTGACCAACTTTGTTGTTGGAGATGAGGTGGTTGGGTTCTCTAGCCATTCATTCTCTAGTCACACTATTACTAGTCAAGATCGTATCGTCAAGAAACCATCCAATATATCGTTTGTTGAAGCTGCTGCCATCCCAGTGGTCTATGCTACTGCCTATTACAGTATATTCCATATTGGTCATTTCATTCCATCACAAGAGTCTATCCTCATCCATTCGGCAACCGGTGGTGTTGGTATTGCAGCATTGAACCTTTTAAAGTACAAGAAACATACTGGGCCAGTGTTTGCAACCTCTGGTGGATCACTAACCGGTGATAAGGTCCAAATTCTACACGACCGTTACGGTTCACTCTTGACTGCCGTTCTATCAACCGCCAACAACGTTGTTGGAAAGGGGTATGCTGACCAACTACGTACATTCCCTGGTACAAAGGAAGGTGTTGATTTGGTACTAAATACTCTAAGTGGAGACTTTTTAAAACCAAACTTTGATTCCTTGTCTCCCATTGGTCGTATCATGGATCTTTCAGTCACTCAATTAATGGAAAATGATAATATCGATATTGAAGTATTCAAGTATCACGTTGGTTACCAAACCATTGATCTTGAACGTGCTATTGCCTATAGCCCAAATATTGTCAATGGTATTTTGGTCGAAGTGTTTGAAGCTATTAGCAAGGGTCTACTCGACTCTATTCCAGTCGAGTCATTCCCAGTTGTCGACACTAAACGTGCTATTGAATACATCAATGAACGTAAACATGTTGGAAAGATTGTAGTCGACTTTAGCGAGTTTGACAAGGACATAGCTGCACCACTCGTACAACAACACAAGCAGATTGTTGTCAAACCAAATTATTCTATCGATGGATTACAAGACACTTTGTTGATTACCGGTCAAACAGGTATTGCAGTACTCATTCTTCGTTGGATTCTCGAGCATGCACCAGATACTCTAAAACATGTTATTGTATTGTCACGTAGTGCACTAAAATGGGAGTTACAATTATTAATCAACCAACAAAAACAAAAGAATGGTGGTAAAGGAGTGTCTATTACATACCGTTCGTGTGATGTCTCCAGACTTGATAGTTTGCGATCGACCGTTCAAGCAATCTATGCAGCCGACCCATCCATTGCACCAGTCAAGAGTGTCATCCATTTTGCCACCATCTATGATTACTGTCAAGTAGACGATATCTCCCAAAAGACTATCGACGCTACCCACGAGCCAAAGACTGTCGGTGCCGTCAACCTCCACAGTTTGGGGTTAGAGTTGGGTTGGTCACTTGTACACTTTGTTCTCTTTTCTTCGATCGTGTCTGTGCTCGGTAGCACCAACCAGGCTAGTTACACATCCGCCAACTTGGTTCTCGACTCACTCGCCCAATTCCGTCGTCAACAAGGTCTCGCTGCCACATCCATTAATTGGGGTGCCCTCGATGCCGGTGGTGAGGTTGCCAAGGACAAGTCAGTTGCCCAGTTCCTCAAGAGCCGTGGGGTCAACCTCGTCTCGTTGGCCAAGATCCTCGGTGGGCTCGGTGGAGTGCTCTCGTGCACCTCTGCCACCGCGTCGCCCTCCCAAGTCATGCTAACCAACTTTGCATACCGTCCACTCTTTGAATACTGCCAACAAATCCGTCCCAAGCTCGAACATCTCGCACCAGACACTGACCTTGAAACCAAGAGCAGCGCATCCTCTGGCGCCGACTCCAAGAGTGGAGGAAACAGCGTAGCTGATCGTGTCGTTGCAGTTGTCTCTGAACTCCTTTCCATCCATCCATCCAAGCTAAACATGGATACCCGTCTCAAGGACTATGGTATCGACTCTCTCTTAACCGTTCAACTAAAGAATTGGCTCGATCAAGAGTTTACCAAAAACCTCTTTACCCATCTCCAATTATCATCCAATTCAATTAATTCTATTATTCAAAAGATTAATGCAAAGTCTACAACCACTACAACTACAACTACATCATCGTCATCGAATGCATCATCGTCAAAGGATATACTTAAAAAGATTGAAGTAAAGAATACAACAACTAATAGTATTGGTAAACCAATAGAGTTTTGGCAAAAGGAAGCCAAGTTGGATAGTTCTCTTACTCCCTCATCAAATTTGAAAAAGTGTAAATCCTATAATAATGGTGCAGAAAAGATTAATGTATTATTGACTGGTGCAAGTGGTTATTTGGGTATCTATTTGTTGTATAGTTACCTTGTAAGTGATAGCGTTGACAAGATTTACTGTATCATTCGATCACAACCAGACGAGACACGTGCACTCCAATTTTTAGCCAACAAACTCCAATCTCTACACTTGGTCGTCGACTCGAGTGTCTTTGATAGTCGTGTCGTAGCACTCGTCGGTGATCTGTCACACAAGTCGTTGGGGTTGGGAGAGGATAGATTCGCACAACTTGCCAATCAAGTCGATTTGATTGTGTCTAATGGTGCCAACGTTAACTTCCTCGAGACATACGATGAGATTCAAGTGACCAATGTTAACTGCACCAAAGAGTTGATCCGTCTGTCGATCTTGGGAGACTACCAAAAACGTATTGTTCACATCTCATCCATCTCTGTCTTTTTCAATGACAAGCGGGACTCGACCATCACCGAACATTCGTTCCCGTCATTTGACCATCTCAACGAGATGAATGGGTACATCCAATCCAAGGTTATCACAGAGTACTTGGTACGCGACGCAGCTCGTCGTGGTATCCCAGCCAGCATCATGCGTGTCGGTCCCATTTTCGCAGACTCCCGTACAGGTATTGACAATGACAATGATATCTTGAGTACTGTCGTCAAGGCCATTTTCGAGCTCGGTGCCTATCCATCATTCAACCTTGCACGTGGAGAAGGGTCTCTCAACACATCACCAATCGATTGGGTGTCTCTTGCAACTGCCAAGTTGTCACTCCATGAGCCGTATTGGTCTTCTTCTTCTTCTTCCTCTTCATCTGATCTCCAAGAACCAAATATATTCCATATCATCAACCAAGACTCATCATCTGTCGACGGAAAGATGAATAGTCTACTCGATATATGTCATGTCATCAACACCAAGTATCCTCTACAAGAGATCAACGACTATGTGCAATGGCGAAACTTACTCTTTTCAACCAAGAATCTTGCAGCATGCAACAAGATCAAACTCTTCTTCCACGACACCACCACCTTCCCTCTCTTCCACATTGGCTTTGGTGATTGTTCACTTACCACTAATCAACTATCTCTTATCAACATCTCTAAATGTGAAATCACTAAAGATACAATCATCAAAAATATTGAATACTATAAATCTAAAATGAATATTCAAAAATAAATATAATATATAACGCAAACCCAAACAAATAAATAAATAAATAAATAAAATTTTAATCAAAAAATTAATATAATATAATATAATAATATTTAAATGATATAAAATCTAATCATTTATCTACCCTCTTTTGATTGTTCAACATTTCTATCCATTTAACTGCAAACAAATATTAAATTCTATTAATTCATTCCTCTTTTTTAAAAAATGATATTAAAGTATGAAATGTATTATTATATTCTGTATATAGCATTCCATATATTAATTGGATTGTGATAGTCTAATTAAAAATATAAATATATCTTATTTTCTTTTTCCATTCCAAAGAAGAGAGAATTCAACATTATCTTTCCCAAAATTCATCGATTCTGTTTAGGAATAGGTCTTCTGTTATTATTATTATTAATGCAATGATCCATTGCACAATGTGTGTGCGTGTTACCATAAATAAACCATGTGATTGTTTATGATCGGAAAATTATTCTATTTTCGAATGATGCATGAGTGGTTTGGCCCATAGGGTTCAGATAACATGGCAAGGGTTTAAACACAACGAAACAAGTAGTTCTTCTTCTGCCCTGCTATAGTTTCGCGCTTGTCATATTATACTTCTAGTATAACTTGACCTCTTGAGAACATGTTCTGATCATCACTTGTATTATTATTATTATTATTATTATTATTATTATTATTATTATTATTATTATTATTATTATTATTATTATTCAACAAATAGATAGATAGAAATATATAACAACATGTTGTTGCGATCATTCCACAGATTTATAAGTTTATCACTGATATTTCTTTTGTCTATATGTACTACACTTCCATTTATTACTAGTGCAACAAGTACTAATGACAGTATGTAATGAACAATGAAAGAAAGTGAAGGATGATGAAGAGGTGAACTTCACGCACTCTTCAAAAAATAAATTAAAAAAGAATAAGCACAAGAGTTCTTGAAATCTGATCCACCCGATTGACATTATTAATAATAAGTGTATTAATATTATGTATTAAATATTATTATTATAGTCAATGCAGTTCAATGGTTATGTTATCAATATGGGGTACAATCGATTCCATTCGACTCGACAATGTGCAATGGGTACCCTCAAATCATTTGTTCTCCAAATGGTGATGTTATTCAAATGTATGTTTAAGAGAGAGAAAGAAGATAATGATTGAATGACTAACTGATTGTATTGTATTGTAGTAACCTAAAAATAGAGACATCTCAAGGTGTTGAAATGCCAAACGCTACAATGCCTCTTATATTTGATTCATTGACCATACTCGAGATTACATTGGGTGCATCTACAAGAGTTGCTATACCAAGCATCAATATATTATCTAAACTAACAAACATGCCAAAACTAGTTAAAATAGCGTATGTATAGATAAATTAGAAGAAAGATAATCAATATTGAATGATGATACTAAAATAATTTGTTATTATATGTATTTATTTAGTATTACAAATGATCCAACTATTGATATGATACCAACATCATTTCCAACAATGATACCAAATCTATCAACACTTCAATTAATCAATAATAAGCAATTGACTACTATTCAAAATCCAATTGGGTTTATTCAACATCCCAACCTCGCTTATTTAAGCATTCTCGGATCACCTTTAAAACATGTTACTGTAAACTCTTCCATCGGTATTCCCAATCTAACAGAATTACAATTATCATTAATACCAACCGAACCAAAATATCTTGATTTACAATCATCCAAATTTCCGCGTTTAAGATATCTGTATGTTATATATATATCAATTAATGTTTTAAACAAAATGAACATTAATATTTATTTATTTCTTTCTTTCTTTTTAATATTAAAGTGTTATGAATAATAATATATTAGGAAATATTTATACTGGTCCCCCAATTACTATTACTTTTAATTCAAAAGTATTATCTACAGTGTATGGTCTTTCTTTCTTTCTTTTTAAAAAGATATAATATAATAATCAAGAAATACAGTGTTATTTAAATTAATCTAATTATATTTCTTTTTCTCTTTAAATATTTAATCTCTCTTTTAGAACATTAATCGGTAATAGTTTTAAATTGTCAATAGTAAATACAAGTTCACTTTTATCATTGTATATTTCAGGAAAACAATCAACTTTAACTCCTAGTACCATTGAAAGTTATCCAAATTTGGCAAGAGCGTATGTATTTTTAAAATATATATAATATATTTACTCTTATATATTAATATTACTATTATAATTTTTACTATTTTAGTAATTTGAATGATATTACATCATCGATTGTTTCATATAATCAATATCCTACCTATTTGCAGTTTTATGGAATGACCAACAGCACTTTGACAACAATTCCAAATATACCATTTCCTGAATCAATGAAATCAATGTATGTATATTCTAACCAATACAAAACAAAAGTTAGTAGTTTAACCCTTTTATTTCTTTTTTTCAATAGAGATTTTTCAAATAATCAACTTCAAGGTCAAATTGATTTCAATACATTGTTTCCTCCGGTTGTATCTTCAATGTTTACCATTCATAACAATCCTGGTATAACTGGATCAATCCCAGAATCATTTTGTGCCAATTATTTGTATGCCAATAATACTGGACTAGTATCGATTCCCGATTGTTTTTGGTGTTATTATGGTAATCCATACATGTTTCAAATATATCCTCAAACTCTACCTCCCAATTTCGTTTGTAGTATGTAAAAAAAAAGAAAAAAAAAAAAGAAAATCTTTTATTTATTTTATTTTTTATTTTATAGCTGCAGAATTTAATTCAACATTAATACCAATTAAATCAAACTTGGGTATGATTTATGGTAGAAACCTTGGATATGGTGCAATCGAGCAGGGGTATGCTTTAATTGTTGTCATTGCAAATTCTCAAATGTTGATGCATATTACTAATACGCCTCGACAAGGTGGTCCCCCAAGAACAGTATCGATCAGACCCCACAGCAGCACTATATACAATCTATCGGTGATCGAAACAGATATCATCATTAGAGACCTGGATATCTCCCAAAAGCCATCCTCCACCGCTGTCTTGTTAAGCCTTGCATTTTACAATGATTATCTACCACATTATTTGACAATTGACCAAGTGGTGAATGGAACCGTTACACAACAATTCCCATGTCCCGTCGTATCAACTACAAATGACTCATTTATTTGTGAAACAAATATGCCAGTTCAACCTGGCATCGTTAATATTCATTTTAAAAATGAATATTATTCAATCTCTAATAATTCTATTGAATTTATTCAAGGTATGAGATAAATATATCAATTTAAAGATAGATAGAAAGAGATATATTAATTAAATTCATTTTTATTGTTACAATTTTCTAGGGTACCCAGTAATTTTTAATGTTTTATTTACAGATAATATTGTAAAGAATGGATCTGTGTTTACATTAACTGGGATATTCTCGCAGATATCAGCACCGTCAACTCTTACATTCAGCTCTGTGTTTGGTGATAGCCGTTGTATAGTGACTGAATTTTCATTTAGTCAAATCAAATGTACTCTTGAAGAGAATATTAAAGGTGGACCATTGGTCATTGTAAAGATCAAGGTTGATAGTTATTCCAATGTATATTCAATCGACACTATTCCAACCCCTTATAGTAAATGTATGAATGATACATTCAACTGTCACGACAATGGTCAATGTTCCTTTGATGGTTTTTGTGTTTGTCCATCACCATCATTTTATAATAATTGTTTAATTCGTAAGTTTAAATTAAAAAATATAAATACATATATTTTATTTATTTATTAATTTTATTTATTTATATTTATATTTAGCATATCCAACAATATCATCATCATCTATAATTACTAGTGGTAATGATAGCAAACAATTGATATTTTTTGGTGATTTTGGACCATTTAATCAATCTGGAGTTATAGTATTGATCAATGAAACAATTAGTTGTAATGTAACAACTGCTTCACAACAATTGATTCAATGTCAACTAGAAAATACACCAACTATAGGAATTGCATCTGTCAAGATACAAGTTGATACCCGAACCGTCATTGTCAACGATGCTATATTATTCTCTAATCCAACACCACCTATTTATAATGATGAAGAATCATGTCGAAAAGATACCCATGATTGTTTTGGTAATGGACATTGTGATGAAATGGGACAATGTCAATGTGATGTTGATTATCATTCAATTGATAATTGTAGAACTAAATGTATGTCAAAAACAACAACAACAAATACATTTTAAATTTATTTATTTATTTATTTATATTAATATATATTTCTATTTTTTAGTTTTAAATTCAATTGATACACCAAATATTAATAATGTATCACCAATTATATCTTTTAATTTTGAATCGAGTTCTTTTCAATTTGAAATCTATTCCATTCAAGAAATTGATTTTGAAAGTAATTTAACAGCAAAAAAGGAATTATTAATTTCAAATTATAATTGGAGTATGAATAGTAATAATAGTAACGCAACAACTTCATCCTATACATTAGTATTTGATGATGACAACAGTAATAATAATAGTAGTAGTAACTCAACAATTCCAAAAGATTTAAATGTTACATCTATTATTTCATACAATAGAGAATCAAGTAAAATTGAATTGATTGGTGGTATAAATGAAACATTTGATTTAAATCCAAATTCGATTAGATTATCAGTATCTATAGAGGGATGGAGATATTCATCTAATATGGCCAGACTCAAGGTTCTATTCAAGACAACCATTCCGAAAGAACAAACATTTATTTTTGATTGTGACGAGCAACCATTAGACAGTTTTACCAATAACCAATTGTCACCAACTATCCAGTACATTCGCATTGCACGAGATAATGTACAATACCATGGTAGATTTGTTGATCGCGTAGTGTCGGATGGCCACCCAACCTACTCCAAAACAGAACTGGTTTCACTGACACCATTGAACGACCAAGAATCAACGGCCATCATTGGAATCAACCTCCCTCAATGCCAGCAATGCACCATTGATCCAATCGATTTCACTCCGTTGCACTACGACCAAGGCAGTCAAGATTGCGACAAATCAGATTCATGGAAAATAATTGTCGGTGTAGTTCTTGGCCTCACTGCATTCATTGCCCTCGTCATAGCATCAGTCATCATAGTGAAAAAGAAAATGTTAATAAGAGAGTCTGAAAAAATGAGAGAAAGAAAATTACAACGTTATAAATAAATAATAATAATATAACAGTACTTGTTGATGACAATACAAACTATTTAATTTCGAAGTACGAGCATATTGAATTTTTTTAAATAATAAATACCAAGAAAATGGTGAATCTTTATTTATTTTGATTTATTATTCTTTTGGTGCTAATTTAATTATTTAATCGAGCATAATGTCATTACCTCATTTATTACAATCACAAATCATTAGAGAATTCTTAAATGAATGTAATGTCTTTTCATTGCCAACCAATAGTTACGGATTACAATATGTGTGTAAAAGATGGTTTCAATTGATATCACATCTACCCAGAACCATTCTAGTCAATCAAGACAAATGTAATATTCAACCATTTCTTACTTGTCTTGAAAGAATGTCTACAACAACAAACACTTTAACTACCTCTGCTAGAAAAACCAAAGGAAAACAAAGTACAGATCGTAGTGGTGGTGGTAGTGATCAAGACCAAGATGACTGTTGGAACCTTGCCAAGAATGTTACTTATCTGATATGGGATATAGATACCTATAAAGAAAAGAAACAAAAGGTCGAGAGAATATGCCGTCTCTTACACAACTGTCCAACCATCACACACATCAAGACTAATCATCAGAGTCTGTCATTGTTTGAAAAGAAACGTTGTCTCCCCAAGAACCTGGTCCACTTTGCTGCTCAGGCAGACGATGTCTCTCGGCTTAGTGAATACCGTCTAAAGTTAGTGTACAGTGAATTGGCTCAATGCCCATTACTAGTGTCCATCGACATTGAAATTTTCAGTAGTCTTGGTCGTGACCCTAAAGGTTTGGAAACTGAATTCAATACATTCCTCAACAACAAGATTAAATCAAATTCTAAATCTAAATCTAAATGTAAATCGAAATCCTCCTCCTCCTCCTCCCCACCCTCTTCATCCCCCTCTTCTAGTCAACTAACACACATCAAATATAAAGGAGAGATAGAAGATGATCAATTCTTCAAACCTCTGACACTATGTACCAACCTTGTCTCACTCCAACTCTATACATATCCAAAATCCGATATGTCACTCATTAATGAGGTACTGACTGCCAACCCCAACCTAACCAAACTATCACTGAATATTGAGGGTACCGATCACCAAGTACTCTACGACACCATCTTTGCACATCCATCACTACAATCACTTCAAATCAACTTTGAATATGCCGAACAAGACCAGGTTGACGATTTTATCAAGATGCTTCCAACCAAGAACACAAAGATAACCAATCTTGCATTCAACGCATACCACTCTAAAAATATTGTCAGTTTATTTGAAGCATTGTCAGCAGAGTCTAGTATCAATCAGCTGATTACACACGTTCGAATTGGTGCGTGGGATACAGCCATTCAATCATCAATCACCAAGTGTATGGAAACTATTGGATCTTTAGCATTAAAAAGAGTCACAGTCAAAGGACCACGCAAAGACCCAATACAAGTTTTATTACGATCTAAAAAGACACCAAAGAAACAATTAAAATGTATCAAGAAAATATCACTTGCATCTGACAAGCTTGGCACAACAACCTACCAATTGACCAGTTCTGACCAAATCATCTTATAAGATACATCAACAAACCTTTAGTTATACCAAAGGAATATGATCGTGAAATGTATGATGAATAAAATAAAATAAAATAAAACTATTAATTGATCTTTAATTATCTATTTATCTTTTTTAATATTTAAATATATGTGTTTGTTTTAACGGTGTGTAATCAATCTTGAATTGATTACCAAGTTTAATCATTTAATTTATATAGTACTTTTATAATGTTACAATTACAATTAAAATGAATCAAGCAACAAAGTAATACTAGTACTATATAAAAGAGATGATTAAACTCTGAGCTCTGGCAATGAATCTAAACTAGAGTAGATAAGAAACTTTGGGCCTAGATGAAATAGTTTCTTATAGGGGGCCCAGTAGAAAAGTGTTTGTTAGTATCTCCCTACAAGGTAGGAAGTTAGGGTTGTTTGAGTGATATGATGGTGTTTGTGGGTTATTTGTGTGTAATTGTGGTGGTGGTGTTTGGGGTATCTATTATTATAAAGTAATTAAAATTCAAAGTGGAAGTTGGTATTAAATACTTTTACCATGTGCAAAGATGGACTCGAAGTGCTATCGTTTGCGTACCTCTCGAAGTGGTTGCAAAGATCTTTGCTGAGCCAACCCAATTTTGAATGTGCCGATAATGTGCCAATTGGTCGTCTACGACCGTGTAGTGCTCCTAGTGTTCCAAACATTCCCAGGAATGTCGCTATTGTTCTCTGCCAACATGCAGACCAACCCCATGTTAGTCAAGGTCGGTTACCCATCAGAAAACCTGGACCGTCATCAAGCAAGATATGGTGCAAAGCGGTTCCAAGAATATAAGGACATCAAGTTCTCCTTTAGGGTGCCATTTCCATTAGCACGTGGCGCACTTCCAAAGATGCCTCTGGTGAGGACGGCAAGCTCTCGTGAAGGTAACCAGTCCATGAACGCCCTAGAGTTTGAGCGTAACTCTCAACCCTCAGCAGAGCTCAGAATCGAGTTTCTTGACGAATAATAATATTAATGAACAATAATTGAAATATCTTATGATCAATGATCTGCTTTGAAAATAATTAAAAAATAAAAAAAAGTCATGTTTTTTCTTCATATCGCATTCTTTACTGAGATCAATAATGAAAGCTAAACGCTGTGCTCATGTTTGTTATACATGATATGAGAATGAAGTTTAAATTATATTGTTATTTAATACAAATGAATCGACATTCAAATTTTATTTAACCTCTTGTTATGTTATTTAAATTTGAAATACAAATGCTTCCCAATTTTAGAAACCAGAAATACTGCTCAGTATACGTGTGATCCCATTATTCTCATTTTGATTGATCCCCCACCCATACCCCATCTAATCATTGTGTTATGGGTTTACTCGAAACTCAATCCATACAGAGGAATCACCCCATTCATCAATGTCCAATCAAAATTGATACCACATTTGCCAGATGGCGCCAAATGTTTTTTTGATCATTGTGATGATTATCTTTTAAACCACCTCGAGGTTAAAATGCTTTCATACCATTCCCAAACAATCAAAAAAGGTTTTTAAAATAAATAATTATTTTATCTATATATCTCACAACCAATATGACAACAACTATTCCACACACAATACAATCACAAATCATTAGAGAATGTTTGTTGGAATGGAATGTCTTTTCATTGCCAACAAATACTCAAGGATTACAATATGTTTGTAAAAGATGGTTTCAATTGATATCAAATCAACCTAGAACTATTCACGTCACTGAAGACAACATCCAACCTTTTCTAAACACTCTTGAAAGAATGCAAGGTACAGGGACAAGTGACCCAAACCCACCAGCCGATGTCAAATCAACAAAAACCAAAGGAAAAAAAGACGTTGTTGCCAAAACCAAAGATCAACAACAAGAAGACTGGAACCTTGCCAAGAATGTTACTTACTTGCTCTGGGGTGTTGATACCTATGATGAAAAGAAATCAAAGGTACAGAGAATATGTCGTCTCTTACACAATTGTCCAACCATCACTCACATCAAAACCAATCATGTCGGTTTGTCATTGTTTGAAAAGAATGAGTGTCTTCCCAAGAACCTAATCCACTTTGCTGCTGAAGCTGACCAAGAATCTTGCTTTGTTGGTATCGACGGTCGTCTCACCTCTGTGTACGGTCAACTTGCCAAATGTCCATCTATCGTATCAGTTGACATTTCAGTTTTCAGTAGTGAAGGCCGTGACCCCAGAGAATTGGAAGAAGAATTCACTCCATTCCTCGCCAAAAAGAACAAAGAGGCTAGCGGTCAACTGACACACATCAGCTATGACAGTGAGATTATGGAGTTTGACCACTTCAAAACTCTGACAAAGTGCACTGACCTTGTCTCTCTTAAACTCAATGTATATGGTGGAGCCAGCCCAATCGATCTGTCATTGATAGCCAAGGTACTGACCAACAATCCCAACCTCACCAAACTGTCTCTGCGAATGTCTGATCGTAGTGAAGGACACAAAGCACTCTACAAGGCCATCTTTGCACATCCATCGTTGCGATCACTTCAAATCAACTTTTATTATGACACTGAAGAGCAAGTACAAGAGTTAATCGAGATGATCTCAACCAAGAACAAAAAGATAACCGATCTAGGGTTCAGAGGATCAGATGATGAATCCACAGTCACACTACTCGAAGCATTGTCAGAGGCCGACAATCAAGTGGTTACACATTTGAGACTTGGTGCTTGGAATGAAGATATCCGATCATCGTTGGTCAAAGGTATACCTGCACTAACAAAAGTCACTTTGAAAGGACTTGAAAAAGACCCAATCAAACCTAAACCAAAATCTAAATCCAAAGCCAACCCCAAAGCTAAAGTTCCCCAACTCAGAAAGACACAAAGCAAGAAGAAGCAAGTTAAAGAAGAATCTGAAGAGGAGGAAGAGGATGAAGAAGATAAAATGGGAGAAGATGATGGTGCAGAGGTAGGAAGTATCAAGAAAGTATCACATGCATTAGATAAAATCATTACAACCTATCAACTAATTGCCAATGCCAGTAGTGCTGACAATGATGATGATGATGATGAGACGTCAATTATCACGATCAAGTATAGCAACAAACCAAGAATCCTCCCAAAAGAATACGATATGGAAAAGCATAGTGAATTTGATCATTAAGTTTATAATTTCATACTATATTTCCGTAGGTCTAGTCAAGCAACATACTGCGAAGAAAGAAGACCTTCAATTTAAATAAATAAAAAAATGATTTAAATAAATAAAAAAATGATTTAATTATTTTCATCAATATATTTATATTTATTTATACCCAGTCACTGGGCTGCTTTCATTTCCAACTAACTGGCAATGTAAATGATGGCTCATTCATTGATTACCATCAAGTATAGCATCAACAAACCAATACTCTGGGATCAAGAATAGGATTATAGAAAGTATAACAAATATTCTATTAACATTAAGTTGTTTGTAGTATAATATTATCAGTCTAGTGAGTTGAACTCATTATCTTAGAAGGGTGTCATCCAAACCACGAAATAATCCCCCTTTGTACAATCAAAATTGAGACCACATTTGCCGGTTTTTTTTGACCACTGCGATGATGATCTTTTAAAGTGCTTCCATACCATTTCCAAACATCTTTTAAACCGCGAGGTTACGTGTGCACAATCAATATGATCATTCTATTTAAAAATAAATAAATATTTAAATTTAATAATGCAAGCTGGATCGTCAGCACTACAAAGAGTCACAATCAAGGGAGCCCAAACCAAAAGATGACCCAATCGCCAACCCTAAACCCGAAAAGACAGAAAAGATGAAAATAGTCAAAGATGAAGATGATGAAGATTATGAAGAGAAAGACAATGATAAAGACGAAGAAGTGAAGGAAGAAGAAGATTATGAAGAGAAATACGAAGAAGAGGAAATGAAAGAAGATGAAGATTATGAAGATTATGAAGAGGAAGATGAAGAAAAAGAAGAAGAGGTAGGAGGAGAAGAAGTAGGATGTATCAAAAAAGTATCACATGAATTGGATACAATCATGACAACCTATCAACTGACTGCCAATGCCAGTACTACTGCTGACAATGCTGATGACAAGTCATCATCGTCAATGATCACGATCTAGTGTAGCAACAAACCAAAACTCTGGAACCAAAAATATGATACTGAAAAGCATGATGAATATTAACATTAAGTTGTTTGTAGTTACATAGTATACTCGTTCTTTTAGTTGCCCTCATATAGCTCAAAGAAGATGATGGTGGTTGTTGAATATTTTCTAAAATAAAATAAAAAATTAAAATTAAATAGTACAATTAAAACACAGCGGTTGGTGTATTACATTATTAATCATCGTCCAACAAAAAGTGGTTGGAGAACTAGTAAACAATCCCTTGCCCCACCCCCCTTCCAACATTCAATGGGTTTAAACGCAACCACCCACTTCCCAATTTAAGTATTCCCAGCTTTCTTTCTCCTCCTCCTCTTTCTCCTTCTCGTGCAATCAAAATCAAAGGATGGCGCCAAATGATGATGGTGAAGAAGATGCTTACTGTCATCATACCATTCTCTACCTCTATTTTAAAATATAAATATATATTTATATTCTATATTTGATTATATCAAATCCAATACAACAATGACAACTACAACTATACCACACACAATACAATCACAAATCATCAGAGAATGTTTGTTGGAATGTAATACTAAATCATTGCCAACCAATAGTCACGGATTACAATATGTTTGTAAACGTTGGTTTCAATTAGTATCACATCAACCTAGAACTATTCTAGTCAATGAACACAACGTAGAAAAGTTTCTAACGACTCTTGAAAGAATGCAATGTATAGTTGGCACTACAACCACCACTGATGATCAAGATTGTTGGAACCTTGCCAAGAATGTGACATACCTGATATGGGATGCCGATACTCTTGGTATGGATGATGAAATCGAGGAAGAGAAGGAAATGAAAGGGAGAATATGCCGTCTGCTACATAACTGCCCAACCATCACACACATCAAGACCAATCATCGGAGTCTGTCATTGTTTGAAGTAGACGATTGTCTTCCCAAGACCCTAGTCCACTTTGCTGCAGAGGCTGACCAAGACTCTTTCTATGTTCGTGACTGTAGTCGTCTGGCCTGTGTCTACGATCAACTAGCTAAATGTCCATCACTCGTATCGGTCGACATTGGTATTTTCAGTCGTCTTTGTCGTGACCCAATGGAAATGGAGAAACATTTCAACCAATTCCTAGACAAAAAGATCGTCGTCGTCGTCGTCGTCGTCCAGTCAAATGACACACATCAGCTATGACAGTGAGATTAGAAAGTTTAAACACTTCAACCCTCTGGCAATGTACACCAGTCTTGTCTCACTCAAACTAATTGTATATGGTGGAATGGGCCCAATCGATCTATCAATGATAGCCAAGGTGCTGACCAACAATCCCAACCTCACCAAACTATCTCTTCGATTGTCCGAGGGTGCCAAAGGACACAAAGAATTCTACGACTCCATCTTTGCACATCCATCACTACGATCACTTCAAATCAACTTTTATTTTGACACAAATGACCAAGTACAAGAGTTTATCGAGATGATCTCAACCAAGAACACAAAGATAACCGATCTTGGATTCAGAGAGCATGATTATAGAGTAAAGCCAGCACTAAATATAGTCGCCCTACTCAAAGCATTGTCAGAGACTGGTGGTAATCAAGTGATTACACATTTGAGAATTGGTGCTTGGAATGCCGCCATCAGATCATCGTTGGTCAAAGCTATGCAAGCTGGATCGTCAGCACTACAACGAGTCACAATCAAGGGACCAAAAGATGATCCAATCGCCGACCCTAAACCCAAAAAGACACAAAAGAAAAAGAGACAAGTAGTAGAAGATGAAGATGATGAGGATGAAGATTATGAAGAGGAGGTAGAGGAAAAAGAAGAGAAGGAAGTTGAGGAAATGGTGGAAGAAGTAGGATGTATCAAGAAAGTATCACATGAATTGGATACAATCATGACAACCTATCAACTGACTGCCAATGCCAGTACTACTGCTGACAATGCTGGTGACAAGTCATCATCATCATCACCGATGATCACGATCAAGTGTAGCAACAAACCAATAATCCTCCCACAGAAATATGATTATGGAAAGCATGAGGGGTAACTTGTTTGTAGTATTATAGTTCTTTTCTAAAATTAAATAAAACAAAATATTACAAATAAGATGAAGAGAGACTACTCGACGACGAAGATGAAGATGATAATGAAGGTCAAGATGAAGATGAAGAAAAGGATGAAGATGAAGAGGATGAAGAAGATGAAGATGAAGAGGATGAAGAAGATAAAGTAGAGGAAATGGTGGAAGAAGTTCAATGATGACAGATTCATCATAACGATCAAGTATAGCAACAAACCAAGACTACGATACTGAAATACATGATGAATATGAACATTAAGTTGTTTATATTATATTATTACAATGTGCAGCATTACAAGCGTTGAATGCAATGAAGAGTCACGTTACAAATAAGGTCATTCGGTAGAGCAATCCTTCTTTTCGGTTTCATTGAACAAAAAAAAAAAATGAAAAATAAAAAAAAACAAAACGACTTTCTCTCTCTGTTCAAAATTTTGAAAAATACAAAGCAAGTAGTTTAGTTTGTTTTAAAGCTAAAGAGTAGTTTGTGTGTTAGTTCCTTCACTTTTCTCATTCTCTTCTTAAACTCGAGTTGTTGGTAAGATTAAAAAAAGACACAGGATATAAATAGCAGCAATATACCAAGTATACTTCATCATCATATTCTAACCAACTTTAACTTTTTTTACTATAGTTGTATTATTTTATACTACCAAATTATATAAATACATAAAATGCCACCAAAGCCGTAAGTATTGTATAATACTACCTATAACTAATTGAATAAATCAATCCCATTCCTTGCTACATCATATACATATACATATACATATTCCAATCGTCAAATTAAAGTCAAGATAAAGAGAAAGAGAAAAAAAAAAAAGAGATAAAGTGTCGGTTTCGGGAAACGAAAAAGACAATGCACAATGGCAATGACAATTGTTTGATTAGATTGAATCGAATAGATATAGATAGATATATATGATATGATATGATAGGGATGGGGGAGATTGTAGGATAAGATACAGAAGACTATAATATATATATACGTATGTAGGATGAAGATATTAATATTTTTTGGTCATTTTTTTTTTTTAGAGCCGCCAAGCAAGATGCTGAAGAGGATTTCGATCCATCATTATATTTGGAGAATCGTACCAAGCAATTGAACGAATTACAAACCACTGGATTCAATCCATGGCCACACAAGTTTGAAGTGACCCGTTCAAACCCAGAGTTTAAGAAGGAGTTTGAACACTTGACCGTCGAGGACAAGTGCGAGACTGTTGTCACCATTGCCGGTCGTGTCAAGAACAAGAGAGCTGCCGGTAACGCTTTGTTCTTTTACGACGTTGACAACAATGGCGTATCATTGCAATTGTTGGTCAACAAGAAGGAATACACCTCGGTCGAAGAGTTTACCAAGATCAACTCGATCCTCCGTCGTGGAGATATCATTGGTGCCAAGGGCAAGCCCGGTCGTTCCAAGACTGGCGAACTCTCATTGTTTGTGTCAGAGATGTTCCTCCTCTCGCCATGTCTCCACATGTTGCCACGTGTCGCTCTCACCGACCAAGAGACCCGTTTCCGTCAACGTTACCTCGACATGATCATCAACGACAATGTCAAGCGTAACTTTGTCATCCGTTCCAAGGTCATCCAAGGTGTGCGTCGTTATCTCGACAACCTCGGTTTCGTCGAGGTCGAGACCCCCATGCTCAACATGATTGCCGGAGGTGCCGCCGCCAAGCCCTTCAAGACCCACCACAACGCCCTCTCCAAGGACATGTTTATGCGTATTGCCCCAGAGCTCTACCTCAAGCAATTGGTCGTCGGAGGTATGGACCGTGTCTACGAAATCGGAAAGCAGTTCCGTAACGAAGACATTGATCACACCCACAACCCAGAGTTCACCACCTGCGAGTTTTACATGGCCTATGTCGACTACAACGACCTCATGACCATGACCGAAGACATGCTCAGCGGTATTGTCCGTGACATTCACGGCACCAACAAGCTCAAGTACCATCCAAAGGGTACCGACTCGGAACCAATCGAGATTGATTTCTCCACCCCATGGAGACGTATCGATATGATTCCCGAACTCGAAAAGTGTCTCGACGCCAAGATCCCAACCCCCTACAACTCTGAAGAGTGTCGTCTCTTCCTCATCGAGCAATGCAAGAAGCACAACGTCGACTGCTCGCCACCACAAACCACCGCCCGTCTCCTCGACAAGCTCGTCGGTGAGTTCCTCGAGAGCCAATGCACCAACCCAGCCTTTATCATCAACCATCCAGAAATCATGTCGCCACTCTCCAAGTACCATCGTACCATCCCAGGTTTGACCGAACGTTTCGAATTGTTTATCAACCAACGTGAAGCTTGCAATGCCTACACTGAACTCAACAATCCATTTGTCCAAATCGAACGTTTCGAAGAACAAGCCAAGGCAAAGGCTATGGGTGACGATGAAGCTCAACTCATCGACACTGTCTTTACCACCTCTCTTCAATATGGTCTCCCACCAACTGGTGGTTGGGGTCTCGGTGTTGATAGATTCGTCATGTTACTCTCTGATACTTATAACATCAAGGAAGTTATCCTTTTCCCTGCTATGAAGTAAAAAAAGTAAATTAAATAAAAAAGAAAAACTATTTTCAAAAATCAATCAAAACTATAAAAAAATTTAAAGTGATAAGATCTTTAATTTGTTATATAATTTAAATTGTACAATATATTTATAAAAAAGAGAGAAAAAAAGAATTTATTTAGTTGTTCTTTTTTTTTTTTTTTTTGTTTTGATTTATTTTTTTTGTAAAATAAATAAATAAATAAATAAATTGGATTTAGATTGGAAATGAATTGTAATCGATCACATTCAATATTTAAATATCAATTGGTGGGGGGGGGGGGGGGGGGAGAGAGATTAAATTAAATTAAACTATAACGATTATTATTATTAATTAATTTCTTTTAAAGTTTAAATTAATAAACCAAAGACAATAAATACAACAAGTGAAAGGGATGGGATGAGAGTGATGGCAAAGGATGACTTTTCAACACCGACACTTGGATCCCAGGTGATGGTGTCTGGTCTGACAGCATCGAATGTTTGGACGAGGAATTGACCGGCCAAACCAATGTTGGCGGTGGCGTCAAACTTGACGAGGAAGTCTGGGGCATCGCCTTGAGCAAATCCTTGGGCGTTGGTGATAACGTTGGCAGTGCCAGCGGTACCGTTGATTTGGGTGTCGACAGTGGTGACAAATTCAAACTTGCCTTGGACGGCACCACCGCTGATGATACCACCTTGGACATTTGAGTTGAATGAAGCGTCGACGTTGGCAGAGACATAGGCAGAGATGAGAGCAACACGAGAGTTTGGATTGGTCGATGGACCGGTGCTACCACAACTAAACATTGGGTCGGCAGACGAACATAAAATGGTTGGCTTGTTGACCGATGAATCAAAATATCCATTGATTTCAATATCAATCTTGGAGGTTTCTGATGAGATGGTGGTACCTTCAATTTCAACTGGTGCGTCAGAGACGGTGAAACGCAAGGCTACCAAACCAGAGTCGGCGAGAACATTGTAAGCCTTAAAGTTGATTTCAGTTCCGTTTGACAAGGTGGCCTTGAGGTCGGTCTCTTGCTTGGAGAATTTGTAGGATGGGTTGCCGAGCAATAACCAACCTTCAAGCTTATCTTCACCGATTTGGAAACCGTCTTCACCGTTGGTCTCTTCGTATTCGGCAAGAGCGAAAAGCTTATAAATGGCAGCAAAGGCTGCAACAGAGCCGGTGGCTCCACCTGTCGTGGTAGCACTACCGCTTCCAGAGGCATAGGCTTGAGTATAGGTAATGAAATTACCAATCGATTCAAATGTGAAAATACTAGTATCAAATGAATAAGATACATTATCATCACCAAGTACGCTCTAAATAAATAAATCAAAAAAAATTAATATAAATACTTATTTTTTTAACCAAAAATATGAATTAAAACATACACCAAAAACAGATGCTCCAGAGAATACCATGGTTTGGGTAACTTCGCTGAGTGAAATGACGTAGGCTCTAACAGCATCGTTACCGACTATTTTGTTATTTAAAGAATTATTAAATAGGAAATGTGTTAAAATCTATTTATATGTATGTTTTTAAAAAACTATTGAGACTTTGATTTGATTTGATTACATACTTTCTAAAGAGACGAGACCATCAAAGTTGGTTGATGCCAATGAAGCATTGGATGCAACTGAAAGTACAGAGACTACAAATAATAAAGCTAAAATGATTCTATTCATTTTAATATAATATAAAGTTAATAATAAATAATATTGTTACAAAAAAAGCGTAAGTGAAATAAAATAATAATGAATGTGTTGTTTAAACCAGCTGCAAAGTAAGGTCCTTTTAAAGGCTACTACCCGAGCATTTAAATTAAATCCTCAAAAATATGGGTAAATCATGCATGGTTATGATAAAAGATCAATCAAAAAATCTCCTCGGACAGTACAAAAAACGGTTGTGCAAAGTAGTGTTTGCAGAGTAGAGTTGGGGGTGGTAGTCTGCTACTGTTTTTCTGTCGAAAGGTTGTGTTTTGGTGATCTTAATGACGACGATTGTCTCTTGCAGCTAAAGGAATTGTTCACAAAATTGTGTGAATTCTCTGAATAAATGGTGCCATCAGAGTCGATGGCTGTTCGCAGGTGCTGGTATCATCTTTTGTCTCACACTTTCATCTCGGCTCTTCTCTTCACGATGGAACTGAGACCATCTAAAAGACAAAAAAGTCTATCCACGATGCTATGATGGTGCATAGGCTCACTATTCATTGGGGGGATCCGAAAAGACGCAAGCTTTTGAAATAATTTTTGTTTTGGTTCTGATAAAACAATTGTACCCTGATTTCTTTTCTTGTTTTAATTTTAATTTATCATCACCTCCAAAGATAGAAATAAATGGTTCAGTTGAAGTTCTAATTTAGCTAAACTACATCAAAAGGGGTAGCTCGTCTTGTCCGAGGTTAATTAATTTAAAGAGAGAAGATCGACTATTACCTGATTACTTGTTCAATTAATGGTGGACAAGGATAAGACAGGACAACTTTTAATCAAACGAACGATACAATGTTATTATTATTATTATTATTTATCTTTCCAACCCGACAAAACCTAACAATTTTTCTAAAAGTATTTTTTTTAGTTTTTTTTTTGAGCAAACCAAAAGAGTACTTTCGTCTTTTTGGATACCAACCTCAAAAACCGTTTATAAAGTCAAATATTTAATTAATTAATATTTTGTTGTTCTCTTTTTTGAATCTAAAACCTAATTTAAGAATAACTATAGTTTTTTAGCCAAAGTTTGAAATACACAAATACATTACACACTACCACTAATTGTATAATTTAATATCTGTATATATTTACATCACTAACTAGTCTGAACACAAATTCATAGTTCATAGTATACTTCTACTTTAAAGGTAAGTTATTCTTATTCTTGATTTGCTTCTCGTTTGTTTCAAGTGTTCTCCTCTCCTGTCATCCATCATCTTCTCTACTCTTTTTAAAAAGGGAGTCAAAGTAAAAGTCAAAAGAAAAGAGCGATACGATATATATATATAAATATAAAATATAAATATTTATAACAAAGAGAGATATCTTTCCTTTTCGGTCGACAACCGATTCAATTTGAAAATAAGCAACAACAACAAGTTCAACTACCTCTGATTTTTTTCATTTTTTTATTTTTATTTTTTTTATGGGTGTTGATGATGATGAGGCAATGTCACTCAAAGGTACAAGACAAAAAGACACCCACATCCTACATACACCTAACAACATCAAAGTCATTTGACCATTGACCCGAGAGTAATAACAAAAGCTACCAACAACAACAACTAATAGTAGTAGTAGTAGTTTTAGTTTAGTTACATGTATGTGAAATTAAAATCGACCCAATCATCATCTTCATCCATAGCAGTACAAACAATACCAACTGAGATGTGAAATTTAACAACACATGACCCCCACCCACCACAGACAACCTCATATTATATTTTCGACCCCACACCTTTAATTCAATTTCAAAGAGCAGTGCGTCATCACCAAAATACACTACATCTTTAGCAGTTCAATTCAATTTCTCTCTCTCTCTCTGTGAGCTTATTGTTATTGTTATTGTTATTGTTTGTACTGTATTTGGTATATTCATTCATTCATCCCATCTACTACACTGCACCATCATCCATCTACCCATCCATCCATCCCAACTCATTCAAAGTTTAATTGTAGTAGATATTAACCTAACCTTACCTTTCTATTTTATATAGATATCTATATATATACACAAACTGTATCATCATCATTATTATTATTATTTAGCGCTTTAGATACTTTTACTTTTTTTTTACATATATAATATAAATCAAATCATGAAGGCTTTAATTTTAGTTGGAGGTTTTGGAACTAGACTTCGTCCATTGACATTGTCTGTACCAAAGCCAATTGTCGAGTTTGCCAACAAGGCTATGATTTTACATCAAATCGAAGCATTGTGCAAGATTGGAGTAAATGAAGTTGTCCTTGCTGTAAACTATCGTCCACAATTAATGTCTGCCTACTTGGAACCATACGCTGAAAAGGTAAAAAAACAACAACAAAAAGAAACATAGATATAGATGTGACTCACTATGTACAAATGTGACTAACTATGTTTAATTTACTTTACTTTTCTGTAGTTGGGTATTAAAATTTCATATTCACATGAAACTACACCATTGGGTACAGCAGGACCATTGGCATTGGCAAGAGATTTGTTAAACGACGGACAACCATTCTTTGTATTAAATAGTGATATTATTTGTGATTTCCCATTTGGCGATTTACTTCAATACCACAAAGCACACGGTAAAGAGGGAACCATCATGGTTACAAAGGTTGAGGAACCTTCCAAATATGGTGTAGTAGTATATAAAGAGGAAAATGGTCAAATTTTAAAGTTTGTCGAAAAACCACAACAATATGTTGGTAACAAGATCAATGCTGGTATTTATATTTTTAATCCTTCAATATTAGATAGAATTCAAGTATGCAAATATAAACAAAAAACAAATAGAAAAAAAAAAAGATATATATTAATTATTTATTTTATTTTATTTTATGTTTTGTAGCCAAAACCAACATCAATTGAAAAAGAGATTTTCCCAGCCATGGCAAGTGAAGATCAATTATATTGTATGCAATTGGAAGGTTTTTGGATGGATGTCGGTCAACCAAAAGACTTTTTAATGGGTATGGGATTATACCTCAATTCACTAAAGAACAAGGAACCAGAGAAATTGGCAAGTGGTCCAGATATTATCGGTCCAGTCATGATTGATCCATCTGCCATTATCAAGCCAGGTTGTTTGATTGGACCAAACGTCACAATTGCCCCCAACTGCGTCATTGAAGAGGGTGCTCGTCTCGTCAACACTACCGTGCTCCAAGGTGCCACTATTGGCAAAAACTCTTGGATCAAGTCATCCATCATTGGTTGGGAATCAACTATTGGTAAATGGGTGCGTATGGAAAATACTTCAGTCCTCGGAAAGGACGTACACATTGCCGACGAACTTTACATCAACGGTGGTAAAATTCTTCCTCACAAATCCATTTCATCTTCAATTCCAGAACCAGAAATTATTATGTAAAAAAAAATATATTGATTCAAACAAACTATCAAACTGTTCCCTCCCAAAAAGATATAAAAGAATGGAAAAGAAAAAGAAAAAGAAAAAGAAAATAAAAACACTAATAAATATAATAATAATATTTGAAACTAAAACAATCACAAGTAGAAAGAAAAAGAGGTATGAAAAAAAAATTAAATTAAATTGATTTTTTTTGAAAAAGAATCCCGCAGAAGCTAACCTTTCAAATTGAGTGCATTGTCTCTTCATCAACACACACATCTCATATCTATCTATTTATCAAAAATGACATTAGATATTCAAAAGGTTAAAGAGTTCTCAAACAAGGTTTGGGACGAACAAATCATTCCAACTCTTTCTAAATACATTGAAATCCCAAATCAATCTCCACTCTTTGATAAGTATGTACTATAGTATAGTAACATCAGATGATATAGATAGTTTTTTAGTAAACAATGTTTAAATATAGAAAACAAAATAGATATCAAATAATTGTTTGTTGTTTTAATATGATCATATTACTTACTTGTTCTTTTTCAAATCTCTTAATTATATGATCTATCTAGGGATTGGGCAACTAATGGATACACTGATCAAGCTATGCAACTCATTTTCAACTGGGTCAAGGCTCAAGATGTAAAAGGAATGTCTGTTGAAATCAAGACTATTCCAGATCACACTCCAATCATTTTCATCGTCATTGAACCAACACGTGAAAACCCAAAGAATGTTTTGTTGTATGGTCACATGGACAAGCAACCACCTCTTCCAGAGCTCTGGGATGCTGATTTGGGTCCATACAAGGCTGTCGTAAAGAATGGCAAATTATTTGGTCGTGGTGGTGCCGATGATGGTTACAGTACCTTTGCCTCTATTGCTGCTGTTCAAGCTCTTCAACAACAAAGTAATTAAGATAATATTAATAATAATAATGATATCCAATAATATTTCACATGACACTAACTTTTTATTTTTGTCTAGACATTCCACATGACAGATATGTTATCATTATTGAAGGTTCAGAGGAAAGTGGAAGTGTTCATTTACCAGCTTACATTACCAAGCTTGAAAAGGAAATCGGTGTTCCAGCTTTGGTTGTCTGTTTGGACAGTGGTTCTGGAAACTATGATCAAGTATGTCAACCCCATAATTATAAAAAATATTATATATATTACATATATATATATATATTGATTAATTAATTTACTTTGTTTTTAGTTATGGATGACATCAAGTCTTCGTGGTGTATTGACTGGAGATTTAACTGTAAAGGTTTTGGATCAAGCCAGTCATTCTGGAAGTGCCTCTGGTATTGTTCCATCATCATTCCGTATTGCCAAGCAATTGATTAGTCGTATCGAAGACGAGTTGACTGGTGAAATCCACAAGGATCTCCAAGTTGAAATCCCAAGCTACCGTATCGATCAAATCAAGTTGTGCTCTGAAGTACTCGGTAACACCATCTTTGAGGAATTCGAATGGGCTGGCAAAACCCACCCAGTCACCAAGGACTTGATCCAACTCCACATCAACAAGACATGGAAGCCAACCCTCTGTGTCACTGGTGTCGAAGGTATCCCACCATGTTCCAACGCCGGAAACGTCTTGAGAACTCACACCACCCTCAAGTTGTCTGTCCGTCTCCCACCATCGATGACTGCTGAAAAGGCCACCAAGGTCTTGAAGGAAATCCTCGAAAAGGATCCACCATACGGTGCCTCTGTCACATTCAAGTGTGACAAATCTGCAACTGGTTGGGATTCTCCAGCCGTTCAACCATGGTTGGATGCTGCTCTTGGAGAAGCTTCCCATACCTTCTATGGAAAGCCACACGTCTACATGGGCGAAGGTGGCACTATTCCCTTCATGGGGCTTCTTGGGTACGCCGTTTGCGATATAGGGTTTACCTATCTTTTAATCTACAGTACTGTAGGGTACCTTACTAATTTTCTATTTCTATTTCTATTTCTATTTTTTTTTTAGTGAAAAGTTCCCACAAGCTCAATTTGTCATCACTGGTTTGTTGGGTCCAGGAAGCAATGCTCACTCTGGTAACGAATCTTTGGATATCGAGTATGGAAAGAAGTTGTTGGGTTGTATCATCTATATGTTGGATCGTCAAGCCAAACAATAAACTTGAATCAATCAATTTACAAGTTATATTATTAATTATTTTTTTATTTTATGGAAAGCCACACGTCTACATTCAAAGGTGGAACTGTACGCCTTCATGCATCTTATCGGGTATGCCATTATCCTTTTCATCTACATGGGGTGTATCCTTGTTATTAATAAATTTGTTTTTTCCAATTTGAACTTTATAAAAAGGTGAATAGATTGAGAATACTTTACAAATTATACTAAATTATAATTAACTTTTTAAAACTCACTTAGATTATAATATATCTATTTTAAAATACATTGAAAGAAAGATTTTATTTTGGTTTAACCATCATAGTCTATGATTAGGGTGAATATTGGTGTATGGTACAAGGAATCGCATATGCGGTCAAACAATTGACCTACTTCTTGAATTTTGATGCCTTTTGAGCCTCTTCCTTTGCCTTGGCCTTTGCCTTGTACTTTGCCTCGGCCTCGGCACTGGCCTTTTTCTCTGCTGCAATCCTATTGAGATAATTTTCCATCATATTACCTAATGGATTGTCTTTTTTTGCAATTCTCTTTTTTTTTTGTTGTGTTGCGGTGGTAGTAGTAGAGATGGAAGAAGATGAAGAAGTTTTCTTTTCCTTTTCTGAATATTCTTTTCTCTTTTGACCACTTTTAGAATTTTGCTTTTCTTTATCGGCCATTGACTTGGTTCTTGATGGTGTTGGTGTACCTGAGCTCGTTCGTTTTGGAGGGTTATATTCATCTTTAGAGGATGAAACCCTTTTTGGTGTACTTGTCGTCGAGTTGGAAGTAGTACTAGTAGTACTAGTAGTAATAGTAGTACTAGTAGAGGTACTACTGACCCCATCTTTATATTGATTTTGATCAACTTCATAATCACTTTCATCTTTGAAAAGGATGTGCTTGCTCTTGATGGCTTGGTCGAGAAGTGGTACACCAAAAACAATATATCTATTTCAGATTTGTTTTCTCTGCACACTGGGTACCTCAAAGAGTTTGCTCACCAATATAATGAAACTCGGGCTAGTCAATTCAAAATGACTCCAAGACAACTCAAGGCCAAGTACTTTGAATTGAACCATGCTCTCAAACCATTTAGTCCAAAAGAGGAACTTTATCTCTATGAATTGGTCGAACAATATCCAAAGCTCCAAGATATTATGATGCCTTTGGAAGAAGAATTATTACATTCAGATGCCAAAATCAAATATAGGTATGTTATTTATTTTATATTGAATTATACATTACCAACTCTTTTGCTCTTCAGAGTTGAACAAATTAGACAAGTGGGATATTTTATTGGTACCCTAGTATTCTAAAGGTGTTAGCGAATGGATTGCCAACTCAAAGAATGGATTGGATTATGATCAACTCAAAAAACATTTGTGTCCAATTCCTTGGGTTTCATCAATCAAGTATCGTATGTTGCTTTTCTACTCTATTCTTTTTATTATTTGATTAAAAAAAACTATACAATGAAATATATTTATCAAGTTTGGTCAATTAGGTTATGAAGACAAGGTAGTCGAAATGGTAAGAGTGCTTTTTTCTTTATCACTCAAATTGATTGAGACGCCATTTCCGATTCGATTGGCCTTGACAAACGATTTCAAAGTTTATTGCCAAAATTGTATGTATAGAGTAAATGTTTTGAATTGTTCTTACCATTACTAACTTTGTTTTTTGATCACTGGGATCCAGCAACACACTACGATCCAAAATGGGACAAGAGTTGTTCGACTAACAGACTCCCATTTTAACCGTTCTGACAATTAAATGTGCAGAGTTTACAACTTCATTGCAAACGATTGGTCTCCTTCCCAAGATAAAGAAAAGCAAGACTCCTTTGAAGGTGGTCAAAAGAGAAAAGAATATTCAGGTAGCAGTCCAATCTCTGCATATTCTTTTCTCTTTTAACCACTTTTCGAGGAGTACTATGCTGGCCTGGATTATCAAGACCTAGTCGACTGCTGTACAGCAAGCAATCAAATTATTTTAGGTTTCCACAAGCAACATTCACTCTAGAAATGAAGGACAAACAATCTAATTAATAATTAAATTTAATATACCTACCAATAAAAAATGATCAAAACTTCCTACTCACACAATCAACTTAGAAAAAGTTAGATTATTATTATTACATAGTGTTTCATTTTTTGTTTATTATTTTTTTAAAATTACCATCATCCTATCCTAGAATGTAAAAACCTTTTAATTTTTTCGTAGTTATACTCTGTAAGCCCACCTTCTTCTACAACTTGAAAATATTTATGGAATACTTGGATGACTTGGTCCGATACTTTTTTGTTGTATGCTTTTTTGAGCATCATTTTCCAATGTTTTGGTGTTGGACCAGACGATGAAAAACAATTTGATGGTAACACCTCTAAACATTCCAATAAAAAGGCTGTATGTCTAATGACCATTTGACCAATATGTAATGGATTATCTTTGTTTAAAATGCCAACTTGCTAAAATTAATTAAAATAAATAATATTAATATTAATTATTAATATTTTCTTTTCTGTTTTGACTTACAGATAATTTTAATAATACATCAACTCTTTGTTTATAGATTGAAGAGATGATAACTTGATTCCAAGTAATTAAACTTTGTTGCCAATTGACTATAAAATCAACTGCATCAGAGACTCTAGTAGAACATAGAGTAGGAATGGCATAACAAAAGTTCATAAAAAGGTTGAGTGTTGCCAAATCATCGATACATGGTAATTCTTTGATTCTCAATGCCAGCGAATAATTTCCACCTTTTAAACAATTACCTAGTATATCTGTAATAAGAGTATTGTTTTTCTTGTCGGTTGTATCGATTGTTGTAAAAAATGATTCCATTATATCATTTCTTGATGTTAGTGCTGCCATTTTATAAATATCAGACCACATCTTTTGATTTACAAATTCATTCTCTTTGCGAGAAAAGAATTCAAGAGCAATCTTTACACATCCATCCAAATGTATTGGTTTGAGGAAATGGTCTAGTCTAATGGAAGAGATGGCAATTTTACCACACATTAAAATAGTTCTAGCCGATACAAAATCACCTTGCAACAACGAGTCTTTAAAGAAATAGCCAAGTAGGTTTTGTATAGATACAAGAGGTTCACGAGTACAATAATGATTCAACACTATCGTAAACGAGTCAACTGGCAATAAAAGACTGTATTTGATGATAATGTTGGCAAGGTTGGTACTATCTGGTTGCATGGTCATTAAATGGGTTGTAATGATTGGATTGTTGAATAATATGAGTTTCTTGATGACTAGATGCATAGCATTGGTAAAGAGACCCTTGTCAAGTCCAATAATCACCAATAGTACAAATAATAAATTCGACTGTTCTTGAGTAAACCAAGTTGATGGGTCTTGTGGTATAGTTATTGGTTCCAGATTATTCATTAATTGGTATTTGTTGTATTGTTGGAATAGTGATAATAGTAGAGATTGAAAGTAGTCGTCGACAGTTTGTTGATATCTTTCTTTTATAATTGATTCACAATGTATTTTTACTTGAGCAATTGCTTGTTCCAAACTATTATTATCATTCATCCAAGTATCGCTAGTATATAATGATTGAAGATTAAAGAGGTTTGGGTTGGTAGATGATGATGGTGGAGGTAGTTGTGGTGGTAATGAAGAATGTCGATAGGGTGGTTGATTCGAATGATTTCTATATCCTAGTTCTTCTAGATACTTTATTTTTTCGATATCTCTACTAGATATGGTCCAATACATGATTGATCGATTGAGTGGGTTGAATACTCTTGGTCGTACCAATGGAATGAGTTGTTTGAATGTCTCCAAATCGATATTTGGATTCTGACACAACTCTTGAGGACCCATTACATTCTCGTAAAAGTTAAAGAATGCCAATGCTTTTGCTCTCTTTGAAAGGGTTATGGTTGTTACTTTTTCCTTCTCCTCCTCTTCTTTACCCTTTAGTTTACACAATGCAACCTTTTCTTTGACGACTGTTGAAAAGATTGGTTGTTTTGAGAATCTTGACCCGATATGATCATAGACTTGACTAAAACTATCTAGATAACCAATACTGAATACATATGATTCCGATAGTTTGTTGGCGACTACTTGTCTATGAATACTCCTAATATGACCAAATATGGATCTAATCAAGTATCGATTGTTTAATACTTGTTTAAATACCTGATCAATTACTTTAAAAGATGTATTTTCATTTGATGACATTATTTCTCTTTCTTTAGTAACATTATAAATGAATGAATGATCTAAATCATCGACAATTGAAACAATACAATTGCATGAAAGCTTGGTTCTGAGAAAAATTCATTTCAGGTTATTTATTTATTTAATTTAATTTTTCTTTTGGTTGTTTAGGTTTCTTTTGGGTACATGTAGTTTATGATAATCATCTCTATTGGTATAAAGGGATAAGAAGTTTTTTACTTTACTCTTTTTCTTTTCATCACGGTCATAGTCAAATCCCAATTCATAATATTTCTCGATGACCAAGCCAACCTGAGCAAGCGATCCAGCTCTAACTGCCTTTTTGATAAATCTCTTCCACCGATTAGCTTTTAAATGGTAAGTGTCTAAACATTCTTTGGGTAGAGATTCCATACATTCTAGTAGGAACCAGTTCTGCGAATCACTATCCTATCAATTTCGTAACAATTAAAAAATTCAAATACTATCCCTGCATCCTATAGAAAAGACAATCAATTAGTTTATATTAATAATAATAATATAATAAATATTTTTTGTTTTTTTAAACATACAACCAATTTTAATAAAATATCAAATCTTTCTTTTGATAAAACTTCTTTGATAAGATCTTTCCAAGTTGATTGAATAATATTACATCCTTCCCATTCAATGACAAAATTGATTGCTTCGCTAACACGGTTGATAAAAAATGTAGAGATTGCTCTAACAAATTGACCTAAAAGAACAAGAGATGATAATTGATCAAAGATGGTTGTGTTTTTGATTTTCAATGCCAACGAATAATTCCCACCTTTTAATGCATTTTCCAACAATATTTGAAAGATATTTGGATGATTGATAATATGACTAAAGAAATACATATCTGTACTATCAGGTCTTGCCCAAGATGCAATTGAAGATTTCTGCCCAATACTTTTTGTTTGTTGAATCATTTTCCTTGTTGCTAAAGAATTCAAAGCCAATTTCAACATATCCATCCAAATAGATTGGTACCATGATAGGTTTTTGTTTTGAAACAACGAGATGATTGGTAACCTGCCACACAATAAAAAATTTCTTGTTGCTCTGAATTCTCCTTTTGATAATGAGTAGTTAAAGTAAAAGACAAGTTGATCATTTATTGAGTTATGATCAGACATTATGTCTCCCCAAAAATGGTTCAGTGCAATCTTGAATGTATCCAACGATAAATAGGAACAACATTGTACGATATAATCATGATTATCAATGTTGAAAGGAGATAGTGTTATAAAACTTGTCAGTATGATTGGATTATTGCACTGGATTAATTTCTTGGTGACTAGTCTCATTTCTGTACTTTCTAATCCTTCCAATCCCAACTAAAACTTTGATATCATATCAATCTCTTGTTTTGTAAACCATGAATATGGTTCATTATTATTGTTTTGATTCGTATTTTTATAATGATAAATCATATCTTTTAAATTTGATTCAATATAATGATCAATAGATGGTTGATTGTATCTTTCACAAATGATTACATTATACTTTATCTTTAATGTGTTGACTTGATCTTCCAATTCTTTATTGATGTTATCCATCTCTCTATCGATATCAGTAGTAGATTTAATAATTCGGTAGTCGATACTAAACGTGTGTTGATCATTATTGTCTTTATATCCTCGATCGATAAGATATTGTATTCTATCTTTTTTTCTACTTTTCTTGGTCAAAGACATGATCTTTGGATTTCTTGGTTTGATTGATTTTGGGCTTGCCAACAATTCGATCTGTGTGAATGTCTCTACATCGATATGAGGATTCAGACAACATAAGCTGGCAAAATTTTAAACCTAAAATGGTTAAAGAAAGATTATGCGCGTCCTTTTTTGTTGCCCAAAGCTCTATCCTTGACGATTGTGGAATATTTTGGATGGTTATAAAAAGAGTGTCCAATATCATTGAATACTCTAACAAGACTGTATATATAGCCAATTCTGCTTTGATGATATGAGTTTTCGAATCGATTATAATCCAATTATCCATATTTAGAAATAATAAGATTTCGATGAAAACTCCTAACATGATCAAATATTTGATTTGTCAAGTATGCTTGTTTGAATACTTTATCTAGATTTGATTCCCTTTGGATAAAATCATCCATTTCTATTATAGAATGATTAAATATAAATATTTGAATACTCTTTTAATAAATGAATAAAAAGTGATAATGATTCCCTCCACATCATCCTGGAGGCCACTTTAAAATATTAAAATAAATGCCAGTCTCCAAAAAAAACAGAAACAATAAAAAAAATAAATATATTTATATTCTGGAATTGACAAAATCATCCGTTTCTATTAAATATTTCATTAAAAGGTGTAATAAATGTCTCTCCCTCACCTGGAGAATATTTATATATTTCTTTTTTTTGATTGTTTGGGGTTTTTTTGGATACATATTTGATGATAATTATCTCGACTAGTATACATTGATAAGAAGTTCTTTACTTGTATTTTCTTTTTTAAATATATATTTATTTAATTATATTTATTTTAAATATATTGGTTCAGTAAATGATTTCCAAATATCACATCTAGATAGTTTGATGGTAGCTTTTAGAGAGACTAGATTGTTATAGTCTGATTCAGACATCCAAAATGATACTTTTTGCTTATCACACAAGATGGTAGTGATAATGGTAATCTGGTTTCGTGCAGGGTCAAGGAGTTGGAATCTAAGGTTATCATCTGCAATCGACCCTGAATTGAATCTGTGTAAAGGTATACTGAGTTGATTTGGATATTCAATGGCCAACATGATGACTGGTGCGTATATAGAACCAGAGTTTGACCGAGGTCCCATGACATAATCAGTGAAATGGCCGAATTTGATATCGTATCTCTTGATATCTGCAGCACTGGGTATAGTAGCATCCAACAATCTAATTTGATACTTGTCCATCCACAATGCAGCCTGTGTACGAATGTCGATTATCCATGGTTTGATTGACAGCTTTTTTAAAGTTGGAGTGGAGCGAGGTGGAGGTACAGGCATAATTCTTTTTTTACGAGTTGGTTCAACTGTTGTTAATGATCCAGTGAGTAATAACTGGACCATACCAGATATCCAATGTGGTGGGTATCCAACTCGAAGCAAACGACCAAGGAATTTGAAAAACATTGCAATATTGTCGGGACTGTTGATAGGGACTGTACGAGGTTCCATTGCAGAGGGAGTGACAATACTGATAAATAATCGTGATAACCAAGCGACCAATTCATCACGACCGACTAATTGATCCAATGGGATGGGTCCCTCGACTCGAGAGAATCGCAAGCCTTGCCACAGATCACCCGTTCCGACAGACTTTACACCAAGGTATCGTGGCAATGCTTTGGCACCTGGTACGAGGAGATAAGTGTGGATGGTATCGTCGAATGATTTCCACAATGAAGTGTTGAGAAATATATTGAAACCAATGTACGAGTGCTTGACTGGTTTGAGCATTTCAATAGTGTCTGTAAATACACTCAAGTAACCAGTGTAATCTGGTACGTTACTGAGGTAAATACTGTCATATTCAACTGCCATTCCACTTGCCTTTCTCTCCTCCTTATTGTCACGTACACTTTCCAAGACCGATTGGTAATCACCTACACGCATTTCAATGACCAATGCATTGCTTGATGACAATCTGACTAGGCCACGTGCGGTTTGGTAAAATACATGAATGAAATGGTCAAACAATGTCTTGTTGTGTTTTGGCAGACCCACCCAAACATATTGATTGAAATCTGCGACGATATTGATTGGTTTAAAGGCAAAATCGGCTGTCGTATCACCAAATGTTTTGCGAGCATATACGGGATCGAAAAAGGTTGGATTAACCTTGATCATGTCATCTTTTGCAAATATTTTAAAAGATTCTACTCTTTTGGGAACCTTTGCCGACAAACCATCTAGAACCTTGATTGCCTTGGCAGGTGTCATATGCTCGCCATAGTCGGCGTTAACCACGGGGAGCATGGGGTATCTAAAGACGTGGAGCCAGTCTAGTTCGCTGGGCAAATTCAAATACGAGTTTTGTACTTCTTGTATTTGATTAAAAATGCCATCTTTGGTGAGTTGCTGAATCAATTGCTTCTTTTTTGCTTCGTCGTTTGGGTTGATACCCATCTGGGCCAGAAACTTTGGGTCATTCACGTGGCTCATTATCTCTTCCATCTGTTGGCTTTTTTTATCCTCTGACTTGTTAAACTTGTCACATGCTAATGATTCCTCTCCAGGGTCCAAGGGTGTAGAGTCGCCGTCCGTTGCTTTCTTTTTAACTTGTGGCCATGTCAGCACTGGTTCTTCCTCGATCCAATACTTGAATGAATCTCTGATACCTGGCCAATCAGCTGCACTGATGGACATCCATTTCGGGAGCTGGTCGCTGTCTCCGAGGGAGACGAGCTTTTCTAATCGAGCAACCAACATGTTGTATATAGCCACTGGCATACCGACACCAATATAGGTATAGTAGAGAACGACTGCTGCATTGGCAGCTTCTCTTTCCTTGTACACTTTTTCAATATTATCATAATGTCCAATCTCTTCCAACAAAGAAAAGAATAATAGTCCTCTAGCCATGACAGACGGTACGAGATCGTTGAGTGTAAAGTGAATCTTGGCCTCGGGTGGACCGTCTCTGACGAGTTGACGATTCAAATCGGCGAGTGTGGCCAATGCATGACGGCAATCTCCAGCACCACCGTAAAAGAATGATAACGAGGGATTGTTACGCAAGAGGATACGTTCCTCTTCAATCTCTTTTATTCTCATGATGGACATTGGATCGTCGCCTTGAGGCTCGACCTCGTCTCCATCGACGTGTGGGCTCAGTGCACTTTTTGGAGTGTCGTGACCGACAATAAAGTATTCTTTCAAATCTGATCTTGCAGGCAGACGACTTGGTAGTGTTGACACATCCACACGACCAGAACCATTCTTTTTAGTCCAATCTTCTTGATCCAAAGTGTCTACTGATTTCTTGATCTTTTCAAAATCAAACGACTTGTCTTTAAGAATATCTTGATCGAGTTGATCGATGACTTGATTAACAAACTCTATCAACTCTTGTTTTGGTTTCTTTAAATGTACAATTCTAGCAATACGAGCAAGATTCTTTTTAGAAAGTTGTTTGGGATCATCTCCTTGCACATTGATCATGTCTCTAATGCTCTATCATAATCACCCAATTCAAAGCAACATGCTGCCATGTTTGATGGGAATGTTGCATCATCTTTTGATAATTTAATAGCTTGTTGATAGATTGTTATTGCTTCTTTATATCTCTTTTCAATATATTTCTAAAAAAAGTAAAAGGTGTAAAGGAATGATATTAAGTAAGTAAATCTATTGTTACCTCTACTTAGAGAGTATATATAAAACACACAATCATACTTTATTTCCTGATGCTCTCAGTTCTTCAACCTCTGAATTATTACTTGACATTTCTTCAACAAAGAAGGGTAGGTATGAATCTAATGTTGAAAAATTGAAATCGACAAAAAGGATTTATGTTTTATTCCCTTTTGACAAAATCATCCATTTCTATTAAATATTTCATTACTCTTTATTTATATATAAATATATATATATGAATAAAAGGTGTAATAATAAATGTCTCCCTCACCCTGAAGAATATAAATATATTTATTTTTTTTATTGTTTCTGTTTTTTTTGGTTACATATTTGGTGGTAATTATCTCGACTAGTATACATTGATACGAAGTTCTTTACTTGAATTTTCTTTTTTTCATCATAGTCTATACCCAATTCAAAATATTTCTCTACGACCATACCAACCTGAACAATCGATCCAACTGTAATAGCCCTTCTAATTAATCTCTTCCAACGCTTAGTACTTAGGTTACTAGTGTTTAAACAATTTGGTGGTAGAGATTCCATACACTCTAATAGGAACCCTGTTTTTTGAATCACCATTGTTTCAATATCCAAAGAATTATTTTTTGATACAATCCCTACTTCCTACAATAAATTAAAATTAAATTAAATTAATAAAAAGAGTTTTAAAAATAATATAAATATTTATCTATCTATTTTTTTAAACATACAACCAATTTTAATAAAATATCAAATCTTTCTCTTGATAATACATCGTTTATGAGATTTCTCCAATTTGATAAAATAATTTTACCACCATCCCATTCAATTACAAAATTGATTGCTTCACTAACACGGTTTATACAAAATGTAGAGATTGCTCTAACAAATTGACGTATGTGAACAACCATTTCCAATTGATCAAAGGTGGATGTGTTTTTAATTTTCAATGCCATTGAATAATTTCCACCTTTGATTGAATTGTCTATCATATGTGAGATATCTGTTTGGTTGATAATATCATTGGAGAAATAGGTATCCATAATATCAGGTCTTGCCCAAGATGCAATCTTTAAAATCTCTGCCCAAAACTTTTTGTTTGTTGAATCATTTTCCTTTTTGCTAAAGAATTCTAAAGCAATTCTAATATATCCATCCAAATAAGTTGGTCTAAGGAAAAGGATGGTTCTGAGTAACGAGTTGATTGGTAACCGACCACTCAATAAAACATTTCTTGTTGCTACCAATTCTCCATTTTTCAATGAATCTGTTATGAAATAGACAAGTAGGTCATTTACCCAGATATCAACCTTGTCTGCCCAAAGATGGTTCATTGCAAACTTGAATGTATCAAATGATAAATGGGAACAACATTGTACTATATATTCTTGATTTTTTGTGTTGAATGGTTTTAGTGTTATAAAACATGTTGTTATGATTGGATTATCTAGTAATAATAATTTCTTGATGGCTGGTCGCACATGTATACTTGCTAATCCTTCAAACTCTAACAAAAACTTTGATATTAAATCAATCTCTTGTTTTGTAAACCATGAATATATTTCATCTAATGGAAGATCCAAGATTACTTCTTTTTTGTTATTATTATTTTGATTCTTAATGTTGTTTTGATAATTTCTATAATGATTAATCATTTCTTTTAATCTTGATTGAATATAATGATCGATTGATTGTTGATTGTATTTTTTACTAATAATTTCTTTATACTCTATCTTTAATTTGTTGACTTGATCTACCAATTCTTTTTCTTTATCTTTATCTTTTTCTTCTACAACTACAATAGTAGCGTCAACCAATTGATTCTCTTTATCTTTATCTTTTTCTTTTTCTTTATAACCTTGATCGATAAGATATTGTATTCTTGCTGTGTTTCCACTTTTCCTTGTCCAATCCATGACAGATGTATTTCTTGGGTTTATCATTTTAGGACTTGCCAATAATACCAATTGTTTGAATGTCTCTACATCGATATCAGGGTTACGACAAACTTTAGATGGTGACGAACCATATCTGTAATAGTTAAAGAATGAGTATGCGCGTCCCTTGTTGTTGTCAGTTGCTCTATCCTTGATGATCGTCGAGTAGATCGGATGTCGATAAAACGTATCTCCAATATCATTGTATACTCTCATATGACTGTATATGTACTTTACACCATTTAACCTTTGATGATACATTGAATATTCAATATAATCTGCATCTGTAAAGTCGTAATAGGCAATCATACGATCTCTATGAATACCTCTCACATGACCAAAGATGTGATTGATCAAGTATCTATTCTTGAATACTTGTTTGAATACTTTATCAATGTTATTTGATTCTTTTCCATCATCATCCATTACTGAATAATATTTGATATAATATAATACTATGGGTTTGTAAGAATAATACGAATTAAGAGTTCTCCATCTTCACTGTGAAGTTTATAATCTTTTTTTGTTTTTTTTGTTAATATCTAGAGATATATTGATTTAATTAAATAAATACTACTTACTCTATGATAAGTATATTTTATACTATTTATTTTAGAGTTGTATTATAAAAGAATAATCTTTCGATTATGATCATCATTGAAAAAAAAAGAAGAGTTATGAATTTATTTGAATCAAAGAATATGAATATGATTACAATTACTATTAATATTTATTTTGTTTCATATTTTGAAAGAAAATCTTTCATTTCCTTAAATCCCAAACTATTTTTTGGAATACATATTTCTGTATATCTATTTAATACTGCGACGATGAGATTGAGGTTGTTTGTTCGTTTGGCCTTTCGAATAGCCGTTCTTTTCCAATAACTTGGTATTCTTATTCGATCAAAACAACATGGAGGTAGTTCTTCCAAACACTCTAGAAAAAATCCTGGCTGTTGGATAATGTTTTCAGATATATTATAACCAAAAATTTTGTTTTTTTTAGATACTACTCCGATATCCTAATTATTATTTGTTGATCTAAAATATTAATTCATTAATCTCGAGAGTTAAATAAATATGATAGTGAGTGGTATTCTACCTACAACCAATTTTAATAAAAGATCAAGTCTTTGCCTTTCAATTGCTTTGTGAATTATTCTTTTCCAAGTTGATAATACTATTCCACCTTCCCAAGAGATAACAAAATCTTCAGCTTCCCCAATTCTATTGGCACACAATGTTGGAATATTTTCAACAAAAGTTAAGATACATTTCAAAGCATCTAATTGATCAAGGTGTGGTGATTCTTTGATTCTCATCGCCAATGAATAATTTCCACCATTTATAGAGTATTTTAGTATTTGTGTAATGGTACTACCCAAAATAAATGATTTACATTTCTATTTTTGTTGATATCATTGCTATAGAAATCTAAAGCAATCTTTAAATATTCATCAAAATATTTTGTACAAAGATTTGGAAATGATTCAATAGAGTGTAGCGGGAGTCTACCACACTGTAATATATTTCTAATCCCTGCCAGTTGGTTGTTTATAAATAAATCGTTGAGAACGTCGCCAAGATACCCTGACATCCGATAAGGAGTTTGGTTGACCCAAAAATAATCGGTTGCCCTGGCACACTACACTGATGAAACCATTGCAAAGAATCCAACCATTTCGATATCTAGTCTCCACAGTTTAACTGCCAATTCCAATATATAATTTGTAATGATTGGGATGTTGATAAGAATCAATCTTTTGATTGTGTAATGGGTAGTATTACAATGAGCTCCATATCCAGCTGCCACAAACAAAGTAAATAACAAATTTAACTCTTGTTTGGTAAATTCGGTTGATGGATCAGTTGTTACTGTTACATGATCCAAGTTTTGACGTCCAAGATACTCGTTGTATTTTGTAAACATTTCATTTAACTTTTCATTAAAGAATTGGTCTGCAATGAGTAGTACAGAAGGAGCAGGAGAAGAGTGTCGTTTGAGAGTTGGATAGATTTCTTTTAGTCTCTTTACTACTGTTTCCAATCGAGTGTCATTATTAATCCATGAAATGTCATTGTCAATTGATTCAATTGAATCATATGTCTCTTCGATATTAATGTTGTTGGCCAATTTCCGCCAATCGTAAGGATGTACATCATCATGAGCTTCGTATCCCTCATATTCAAGATACTTTATTCTCTCCATATTACCACTTAAATTTGCCCAATGTAATATAGCTGTATTTCTATGTTTTTCTAAATACATAATCAAGGGTAATGAATTATTTATTTATTTATTTATTTATTTTGGTTTGCGGAAGCGATATTTTGAGATAGGAAACGGTTGATCTGATCCTTATACTTTTGTTCAGTAATACATAACTCTAAATATCTCTCAAGAACGATGGCAATTAGATTGAGGCAATTTGATGATCTAGCCTTTCTAATTAATTTTCTCCATTTTTTTAGTGTTATTTCTGAACCAATACAATTTGATGGTAACTCTTCCAAACATTCTAATATAAATCCAGTATGTCTAATAATAATACAACCAATATTAATTGGATTGTTTTGTGATACTATTCCTACATCCTAACGAAATACAAATTAAAATAGATAAATTAATAAAATGTGTAATTATAATTAATAGATTTAGATATTATTATTATTTTTTTTACATACAACTAATTTTAATAATACATCTAATCTTTGAAGTTGGATTGATTTTGAAATTGTTTGTTTCCAAGTTGATAATGTTATACCACCTTCCCAAGTGATAATAAAATCTACTGCATTACTAATTCTATTGGCACAAAGAGTTGGAATATTTTGAGCAAATTTAGAGATACATTCCATTGCTTGTAATTGATTCATTAATGGTGAATCTTTAATTTTCATAGCCAATGAATAATTTGCACCATTTATAGATTGTTCTAATAATACAAAGATATGTAATGGGTCAAATAGTATACTAGATTGATCAACGCTTTCATTTGAAAAGAATGGATCTAAAATATGATTTCTTGATGTATAAGCTGCCAATTTATAAATTTCGGTCCAAAACTTTTGATTTGCATTTTCATTATACTTGGGGTCGGTAAAGAATTCCAAAGCGATATTAAAATACTCGTCAAAATATTGTGGACAAAGGTTGACCGTACCAATAGAAGATATTTCAAATTTACCAGATTGTAAAATATTTCTAAAGGTTGTCAATTGATTGTTTAACATTGCATGATGAACTGCCCTTGTGAGGTTCATTTCTATTACTTGTGGTGTTTCATTGGCCCATAACCTATCAACAGCCGTTGCATAAGCCTCTGGAGAAACAAGTGAACAATAGTCAACCAACATTGCAGTGATTTTGGTATCTCTTGTCCAACCCTGAGGCAAATGTCTAAATGGACCCATGACCATGAAATAATTGGTAATAATTGGATTGTTGGCAAGTATTAACATTTTAATTGTCAATTGTGTAGTTGGATAATTAACAGTTTGATCTATCAATAGTACTACCAACAATGTAAATATTAGATTTAACTCTTTTTTGTTGAATAAAGTTGTGGTGGATAGATCGGCAGTTGGTACTATTATTTGATCCAAGTTTTGACTAACACGATACAAGTTGTATTGATAAAACATATCCTTTAACCTTTCTTGAAATAAGTTGTCTGCACCGAGTAGAGGTTTTGGATAAATAGATTTAAATAAAACATTTTTTAATCTATCTAATATCTTGGTAAACCTTTTTTCATCACCCAACCAAGTGAGATCATATTTGATTGAATCATAACTAGTAAATGTTTCATCAACATTGATAGATGGTACTGGTTTATAATTTGGTGGACATAAATTTGCCTTGTATCCTTGTTCTTCAAGATACTTTACTCTTTCCATATTACCACTAATATTTGCCCAATGTAAAATAGTTGTATTTCTAGAGTTGATTGCTCTAGGACGTACCAATGGAATGAGTTGTTTAAATGTCTCCAAATCTATATTTGGATCTTCACATAATGCTTTTGGTCCCATTTCCTTTTCATAAAATGAAAAGAATGATAATCCAATGGTTGATCCTTTCTTCTTCTTTTTCATTTGACCATTATCTTGAACTTGTGTTATTGCATTCTTTACCTTTTCCTTGACAACTTTCGGGAATACCTTTTTATTACAATAACTTTGTCCAAGATAGTCATATACTTGAACATAACTATCTATATGACCAGGTTTGAGAAATGAATTGATAACAAGGTTTCTATGAATACCTCTAACATGACTAAAGATTAGATTTGTCAAGTATCTATTCTTGATTACTTTTTTAAATATTTGTTGATCTACAACCAGTTGAACTTCTTTTGTTGTATCTACAACTTCTTCATCCACTTGAATATGTGATATTACATTACCCATTGATAGTAACAAGACATATAAATAATATTATTATTATTATCTATCTTTTGAAAGAATTTGATAAAAAGAAAAGAATAAAAAATGGGTTTGACTACACAACAACTACTAAAGACTTGGTAATTTTTAAAGAATGAAAAAAAATGATCTATTTTTATTCTATTCATTTTGTAAAAGTATTATTATTGATTGTTATTATTATAGTTTTGTATGATTAATTATTGATTATTATGATGATCTAATTGAGGTAATTCAATAGTTTGAGGAGAATCAGAGGTGAGATTGGCACAAGACATTTTAAGTTGACCGTTTCCAAGGTTTTGGATTTCGAGTAATTGGTTGGATGGATGGACGATCAAGAGAGAGTGAGCTGATTGGGTGACGAGTTGTTCTTGTCTGACAGAGTCTTCTCTTGGGAGACCGACGACGACTAACCAGTAGTCGGCATCTTGGTCCTTGGCCTTGGCGAGTGCCTCTTGGTGTGGGTCGTCGGATGCGTTGATAGTGAACTGGTTGATGTCGAGCTTCTCGTTGGCGACGATCTTTTGACGGGTCTGTTCGACTTGGTTGGTGAGGATGGTGATTGTGATGTTGGAACGACGTGCCATCTTGAGGACAAGGGTGATGGCGTCGTTTTCATAGGTCTGACCAGAATAGGGGAAGAGGATGTTGTGCTTTTTGTTGAAACGGTCAAGACCCTTGTCGACGACGACACCGACGGCAGACTTGACGTGTTCGAGGACATTGACAATGACCTTGCCGTAAAAGGGGGCGTCGGCAGACTGAGCACCCATGTTGGAGAAGCTTTCCATGACGGTCGACGACTGGGTCATCTCGCTGCCACGGTCGTTACGCGTCCAGCCCATGAGGACGAGATCGGGCCACTGGGTCTTGGCAACATGGCGAATGTCCGAGGCAATGTCGACCGACGACATGACGATGGGCTTGACGACGACGCCAATGGTGGTGGCCTCTTCTTGGATGGCTTCGTAAATCTCGCGTTTGGCGGGTGGCAAGTTCTTGAGACTGTTGAAAAAGTAGGTCGAGGGACGGTCACCAATGGCTTCGGTCGCATAGACACTAGAGATCTTGTATTTCTTGGAGGTTGCTTTGGGCGAGGTGATGGCGGCGGCGATGGCAGTCATTACCGATCCCAAACGGACCTGGGTGGGGTAGAGGAGGATATTGAACTTGCCGGCGGCTCTGGGCACCATTGGCACGCGAGACTGTCTGTTTTCCCAACGTGTCCAGATAAAGTAGACGGCTGGCGTCGTCATAAAGGTGGTGGCCAACGCCATCACAACAAACATGGAGAACAAGGTTTGGTTGAGGATACCAATCTCGTAGCCAATGTTCAAGACGATCAACTCTACAAGACCCTTGGTATTCATGAGGAATCCGACGGTGATACTCTCTCTCCATGTGTTTTTACAGAAACGTGAGGCAAATGTGGCGCCGACAATCTTACCGAAACAGGCAAACACGATAATGAGTACAGTGCAACCTCCGGCCACGCCAGAGTCGATGGAATTCAACTTTGTACGTAGACCCGAAAAGGTAAAGTAGAGTGGCAAGAGGACGATGGTGGTAACATCTTGAATACGTTCGGTCAACATGTGATGGAAGCCGTCGTGACGTGGGACAATGACACCAAGGATGAAAGCACCGAAAATGGCGTGTACACCAATCACCTCGGTGTAAAAGGCCGACATAAACATGAGCATCAACAAAGCAACAACCATTTGATGTTTGTGTGACTCTGTCTTTACATACTTTCTAAAGATATGTGCCAATCCCATTCTAACCGGTCCAAACATAAGTACAATGAAACCAATCAACAGAATAAATGTCCACAAAGCAGACAATCTATTTCTTGCATCATCTGGTCCATCAGTCTTTAAATTATTTGCAAATGATACTACAAATGCTAATAATATCCATGCTCTAAAAGAAATATAAGTAAGTATATGTGTATAGAGTATATTATTTTATATTTCTTTTGTTTACATACATGACATCATCAACAGAAGCAGCAGCCAAAGAAGTAACACCAACCTTTGAAGTCATTAAACCTCTTTCAGTGAGAATACGAGCCAACACTGGGAAAGCAGTAATGGAGATGGCAACACCGACAAAGACGCAAAACAATGGAAAGGAAAGCTTTTCATCTTCGGCAACCATCTTGTCGTAGAGAATGGCAGCCAAACCAATACCCATGGCAAATGGTAGGATAATGGAACTGAGCGAGATGATCATAGAGGATTTGAGATTCTTTTTGAGGATGGTTGGATCGACTTCCAAACCAACCATAAACATGAAAAAGATCAAACCAACGTTGGCAATGACATTGAGTACGGTCAACGAACTGGCTGGGAATACATTTTGTGAAAAGGCTTTTGAAATACCAAGTACAGATGGTCCTAATAAAATACCTGTAATAACTTCTGAAATTACAGGTGGTTCTATAGAAAATAGAAAATAGAAAATAGAAAATAGAAAATAGAAAATAGAAAAAGAAATAGAAATAACAAAAAAGATAATAATGTTAAAAATCTTATATTGATATTTGATTTCTCTCTATCTATACATACGTTGAACATATGATAATACATAATATAAAAGTCTAGAAATTACAACAATTAATAATAATTGAACAATGAATAATGTCAATGGCACTGCCATTGGATTTAATCCAGTGACAATCGATGCTGCTACCATCTTTTCTTTTTTTTTTTTTCTATTTATAAAAATTAAAAAGTGATTTGCTGTGATTGGATGATGGTGAAGCGGTGCTCTTAACTATTTGCTTTGAGATTTAAGATAGATATGTGGTTGTTGTATATAAATAATAATATTACTTAAGTATTTTTAAAAAATGATGATGATTTGTTACAAGGACAATAAGAAAAAGTTGAAGGAGATTGTCTGCTTGACGAAGTGAATAATGGACAAGCACAAGAAATTAATAGTATTAATTTGTTTGTTTATAAATGTTAGTGATGGATTTTATGTTAAATAAATAACAAGACAGTGCAGTGTTTAAATTGTGTTAGAGTGGAAGTGAGTGTACAAGTGCAGTAGTGAACGGTGAAATGGGGGGTAGGTGATACACTTGACAAAGGGAAAAAAAATTAATTTTATTACTTTATATTTATTTTGGTGTGGTGTTGGTGATTTGAGGTGGGTAGGAGGGAGTTTCAGACTGTCATTGGTGGAGCGCACTTTGCGACTTGACCGGCTCCACTTACCTTCAGGCACCTGAATTTTTCAAATTAAAAAAAACTTTCGTTTTATTTATTAAATATCTCCCATTTGCCACCCAATTTTTGCAATGAAAGGAAGCTGGCAACACCTCGCTCGCGAGAGGAGGTATGTGGAGTGTACGTTGGTGAAAACTAAACAGTTCAATCCTTCCACTAGTGTTTGAAGGGCGCGTGAGGTGTGTTGGGGATTGGTCGTCGTTTATCAGTAGCCATGTTATGGTAGGGGTGGGGAGGGATGGCTACTGATAAACGACGATCAATCATGTATGTGGTGGTGAAAGTGGGGAACTATCGGATATTCGTTTGGTGAATGGTGGTGTGAATGGTGAAAGTGGGGAACTATCGGTTATGAAATGGGGGTGGGGTTCTAAAAGAACACGAATTCCAACAAAAAGAAAGAGAAAGATTAATAGTCTTAAAGCTATCTGGAAGTTTATTAATAAACACTAACAAGATCAATGGAATGTTCAATCTTTGCGAGCATGACTTCTGTAAAAAAAACAATTGAACGAAGTGGGCTGCTGAGGGATGACCTCCCTTTTAATTTTTTGTTCACATAATGCAGTACTTATCAGGTTACCATCAAGACCTTTCTTATACTTTTTACTTCTTCTTATTATTATTATTATTATCAACGATGTGTTTTCGGTCATTGCATTTATCAATCCAAAGAACAACATCGTTATTCTTCTGTTTCATACTTTTTAAATTATTAAACCAGTGCAACAGAAAAGAAAAATAGTTACACAAAACTTAGGAGTACTCTAAAAGATTAATAATTAATTCAACTTCAAAGTTTGTAAATGAAGGTGATAATGGGAAATCAAAAGTATAATATAGGTTTCAATAGCAACACCCTCACAATACTCTAATCTGAAGATGAGTCTACGATGGATGGCATTTTTTCGATTTATGGGGTACCAACAATCCCAACCCCATTTATATCTATGGCATTCGAATCTATGATTGGATGTGGATTTTCAATAGGATTGGCCTAGCTCTTTGGATTGGATATAGAATAATATATTTGGTATTTGATCAAAATTGGACACATGAATTCGTTCTAACCAACTATTATAAATACTCGCTTATTTTCCTTTCTTTTAATCATTCAATTCATCAATCAATCAATCAACTAAACTAAACAATTAAATTAAATCTAAAATGACTACCTATTCTTTAAAATTCTCATTATCACAAGCTGGTCTCGCCGCTCTTGCCTCTGCCCAGGAAAAAGTTTGTGTTGTCAAGTCTGTCAATGGAACTGTATCAAATGTTGTTTGGTTATCAATTAAACCATTCTTGGGTATGTTAAAAATATTTAAAAATTATTATTATTATTCAATCAATATAATATTTATTAATCTTTTTGATTTATTTCTATTTCTATATTTTTTTAATTATATTTTTTTCTTTTCCTTTCTTTTATCTATTCTAAAGAAAATTCTATTGAATTTAATGAAGCGTATGGACTTTATGCTAGTAGCACTCAAATCCAAAAGGGAGCCAAGATTTCAAGAATCAGTAATGTTGCCTCTTGCTCCAAGGGTCATCAATACCCATTCCTTGATGCTGGTTATTTTGGATCTGCCAACAGTTCAACTGCCAAGGGATACGGTATTGTAAACCATTATGGTGAGGCATTGACATTTGGTCTCACCCAAACAGCCATTGTCAATGGAAAGTCTGTTGACAGTGAGTTGAATGCCACCACCGTCCTCAACAACCAAATGGCCGATTACACACCTATCGTCACTCTTTCCATCTATGTTGCAGCCTCTCTCAACAATGGTAGTGTATTTTCAGAGATCTCTGGTGAACCACTCACGCTCACCTACACCTCTGATACTGAAAAGATCATCCACTTTGATGACACCCAAAATATGTTTGTCGAGGGACCCATGCCACAAAACTAAAACCAACCATCTATCCAACTACTACTATCTATTAGAGAGGTCAGTCAAATCAATCCAATAGGATCAATAAATAAATAAATAAATAAATAAAACAATAGTTTTTTTTTTTTTCGAATATAAGTTCGGTTTGTGATCACACCTTTTTTATTTATATTTTATATATCATTCTTTGCTTTTTCATTACCAAGGTTATTGCTGTTTGCCAAGATTTAGTGGACCGGTACTGGATTAGGTCTCCTATCATGTTTAAATCTATTTTTTTTTCGTACATGGTCTTAAGCAGAACAACTCTGTCTTTTTGTTTACCTACTCAAAACCGATGATGCTTTACAAACATTTAATTAAATTAGGTAAAATTACAAAAATACTCCTTATGTATACTCTGTTCTAATAGTATTTTTAATGATTTTTATAGATTTTATGGAGATGATAGTATCGATCAAGAGTGTCAACTCACTACCCTCCCACTAATTTGATCAATATATATCGGTCCTCGTCAATCAAGATTGGTTATCTGCATCACATAGCCCCCAAAGAGATAGTATATGAATATTAGATAATTGTATGATCTGTTGGAGGTTGGTTATAGTTTAAACAGAAATATTATTGATAAATTATCAATTCAAGTGCTCAACAAATTGTTTGCAACATTAACCTATTAAAGTAAGCAGAAATAGATCATTTACATTAGAAATGTACAAAACATATACTTAGATGTTACCTTTATCATTATTGTTTAGGGGGTAGATAACTGTTATCATGAAAGGTGTATTTCAGAGGATTGTTGAAATTTGTATCAAAAATAGAAAGGATTGGTTCTCAACACTAATACACAACGTAGAGGAGACTATTTATATAGTAAACACCATCTATGTGGTCAACCTCTTCTAAATATATCAATCAACAATCATTCTTATCGACACAATCACCAACTATACAACTATTTCGGTGACTATCAGTCAACAATCATTATAATGACTACAATCATCATCAAAACAATTATTCCAACGATTATAATCATTACAACAATACAATCATTACAATCATTATGCATTCCGATGATTACAATCATTATAATCATTAAAATAATTGCAATCATTACAACAATGAAATAATTGATCAAAATGGAAAGGATTAGGTTGACAACACTAATAGAAAGAGTGGAGAAGAACATCTAGATACTCAACAGTATCAACTATCACTCCTCTTCCACCTATCAGTGTCTAGTGGTGTTGGAATGACCACCAAATCAACAATAATTGCACTCAAGAGACGACGCCCATCGACCAACCAAAACACTATTACAACAATGAACCTTTTGTTGAAAACATTCAATTGGTCTAGCAAAAATACAATCGGTATCAGGTTTGTATAATTATTATACTATCTTAAAAGTATACATTTAAATGGATTAAAGATGATCTTGTAATGACTTGATTGAATAGTTTTCAACAGGAACAATCAAATCAACTATTATTTCTATTGCAAGCTATTCAATCAAGTCATTACAAGTATCCACACTCACTGGGGCAATTGAATCAGACTTTAAATGCACCAACAACATTTAGGTAAATATAAAAAATATATCATATAATCTTTTATTTGCAAATTAATAGTGTAATTTTATTAAATTTACACATATTTGACCGATTTCTCTAGAGCATGGTGGTGGTGCTCACAGGTTTATATTTTTTAGAATCTTATCTTTATTCAATACAAATATGATGGCAATGCATGGGGTGATAAAAAGTATATATCAGAACCAAACTAATTTGTTTTGATTTCATCTCGATTGATCAATCCAATCAAATCAATACCAAAAAATTCGTGGGTGGGAAAATCATTTTTTTTTTTGGGTTTTGGGCTTTGTAAAATTTGGTATTGGGATCTCCCAATCCAAAATGGATATATCCTAGGATAGGATATCCCTTTTAAACCTCGGTTGGCCTTGTACATGAATACCAATAGTAATTCATGGTCTACCAAAGAGTATAAATAAAACAAGAAATCAGTATTCAAATCATTCCAAATCAAAAACATCTAATCAACTAAATTAAATCTAAAATGACTACATATTCTCTCAAATTTGCCTTCTCTCAAGCAGGTCTCTCTGCCCTCTCTTCATCACAAGAAAAAGTTTGTGTTGTCAAATCCGTCAATGGAAAGGTTTCCAATGTTGTTTGGTTATCCATCAAACCATTCTTGCGTAAGTTTAAAAAAAAAACAAAATACAAAAAAAATGAAACAACATTTTTTAATTATCTTTTTTTCTTTTCCTTTCTTTTATCTATCTATTTAGAAAACACAATTACATTTAATGAAGCCTATGGACTTTATGCTAGTAACACTCAAATCCAAAATGGAGCCAAGATTTCAAGAATCAGTAATGTTGCCTCTTGCTCCAAGGGTCATCAATACCCATTCCTTGATGCTGGTTATTTTGGATCTGCCAACAGTTCAACTGTCAAGGGATACGGTATTATCAACAACTATGGTGAAGCATTGACATTTGGTCTTACCCAAACAGCCATTGTCAATGGAAAGTCTGTTGACAGTGAGTTGAACGCCACCACTGTTCTCAACAATCAAATGGCCGATTACACACCTATTGTCACTCTTTCCATCTATGTTGCAGCCTCTCTCAACAATGGTAGTGTCATCTCTGACATTACTGGTGAACCACTTACTCTTACCTACACCTCTGGTACTGAAAAGATCATCCACTTTGATGACACCCAAAATATGTTTGTCGAGGGAGAAATGTCTCAATAAATAAATAACAACTAGAGTCAGTTGTTCCATTTGTGATGTATTGTATCAATTAGATTGATTCAATAACCATCACAACAATTGTATTCCAACCAAAAAATTATTCTACAAATCTATTCTAAATTGAATGTTCTTTTTCTATTCCATCATTTGATTTTTGTTTTGATTGATGCAAATATGTATGTATGTATGTATCTCTATACATTTGATTTGTTCGTATTATTATTATTATTATTACTATTATTTATTTATACTTTTCAAAGATTGTTTTAATAGATTCATAACCAACATCAGAATTTGGAGAGTGAACAGTCAATAATTTTCCTTTTGTTTTGTAGTGAGTGAGAATGGGTAAAGTCTCACGATGATAAGTGTCGATACGTTCACGAACCTTGAGGTCATTGTCGTCGGAACGTTTGACCAAGGCCTCGCCGGTAACGTCATCGACACCCTTGACCTTGGGTGGGTTGTATTGAGAGTTGTATACACGGCCGCTGGATGGATGGATCCAGCGGTCTTGGATTCTGTCCATCAACACCTCTTCTGGTACATCTAAATATAATACAAAATCAAGTGGCATCTTTCTCTCTTCCAACCATTTGTCCAAGTCTTCTGCTTGTTTTGTCGTTCTTGGATATCCATCCAAAAGGTATCCTTGTTCCTTCATTTTACCCAAATATTCTTGCATCACTTTTAACATGAATTCATCTGATACCAATTCTAAAAATAAAAAAATAAATAAATAAATAATTATTATTATTTTTATTATATTAATACATACTTCCAGAATCCAAAATAGCTTTGATTTCCTTTCCCAATGGTGAAACGTCACTTGCAACTTGTCTAAGAATTTGACCTGTAGAGATTGGTTTCAAACCAAAGTCTCTTTCCATTTTTGCGCTTTGTGTTCCTTTACCAGATCCCTAGAAATGATCAACAAAAATAATAAAAAAAAGGTGTTAGTCATGACTAGATTGATAGATAGTATGGATCATATTTGTTTGTTTGTTGACATGCCAACTTACAGGTGCTCCAACAAGTGCTATTCTCAAAGACTTTGAAGAAAAAGAAGATGCAGTAGAGTAGAAATAACAAGATGTCGATACTGGTTGATTCAAACTATAATAATATTTACATGGTGATGTTGTTGATGACAATGAGGTTGATGATTTTGTCAATGTTGATGTGTGTTTTAATGATGATCCGGTTATATATCTAATCATTTCTTCTTTTTTCTTCTTCTTCTTGATGATAATTGTAAACTTGATCAATGGATGGTATGTAATGTGTGTTTGTGTTTGTGTTTGTCTACTGATACTACTACTACTAAACTATAGTTAAATTGAAATAGTGACAACTCGATCGTGGAGCAATACAAATTTGTTTGTTTGTTGTGAATAATGAATGAATGAATGAATGTTGTAATAATTATGACACAGAGAGTGATAAAGTTGTTTTGGTAATGAATGATCTTCTTGCAAAAATTAAATTTAAAAGATTTTTATTTTTTTTTTAAACTGCTTTGGGAAGAATCACACCAAACCACCCGTCTCTGACGAAAGTCATTTCTTTCTTTGCAAAGGGGGGTTATGTACGCATATCTAACTATTATCTCTCTCTCTCTATCCTTGAATGGTGTATATCACTTTAGTTTTTATATTTTCTGACCAATATCAGATCTACGCAAAGTAGTTATCCGTCATTCCTGTCCAAATCGGGACGGTGCACTCTATTTTCGACCAGTTGGTTCGTTTTTTTCAACTCTTTTTTTTTTTTGATCAAAAAAAAAAAAACTATAAAGTATACTTAATACTTTCTTTCTAAAAAGGTAAAAACAATGATCAGATTAATCTAATTTGGTATGATACAAATATATTATTATTACTATTTTATTAAATATAAATATTATATTATATTATTTGTTTTGTTTTGTTTTGTTTGATTTTTAGTTATTAATTAATGTTCTGGGGTTGGCGCATTATGTTGGCGGTGTGATTGATTTGTTGTTGTTGTTATTTGTACAAAAAAGAAAAGAAAAAGAGAGAGATAGGAATGGAGTAACTAATTCATTATTATTATTATTAATCTATAAATATACTTGTGTGACTGGTTGTTGGTTGATTATCGTATTATTACTATTATTATTATTCGTTATTCGTTATTAATTTAATCGTTAATTATATTTTTAAGTACTTGAAACTTTACACCAAGGTAAAACTTCAAGACAAGTAATGTATTTACAACCTGGACACCAATCTTTGGTATCGATTTGACGGTAGAATACAACAAAGAGGGCAATGAAAGCGGCTACTGTGATGGGGATGGCAATGATGATGAGACAGAGACGCTTGCCAACGGCCTTTTTAGGGGTGAGTGATGGCAAAAAGATAAGACCTGTCAAGATACCCATAACAAAACCACCAAAATGAGCAAAGTTGTCGACACCTGGCAAAAAGAGACCGACGGCAAATGAAGTGATGATCGTAAAGACGAGTGAGCAGCAGTTGAGGTATGGCGAGGCGAGTGCACTCCAATTACGTGCCAAATCGGCGAGCAATACACCGAGGAACCCAAAGATAGATCCCGAAGCACCGACTTGCACGGATAGTGGGAGAAAGATGGAACTACAAAGATTACCCATAACACCACAGAGTAGGTAGATGGGAACGATACGATGAGCACCATAGGAACGTTCAAGTTGCATACCAATACGTAGCTGTGTACCAAGATTCATGAGTAAATGGAAAATACCAACATGTAGAAAGATGGGTGAAAAGAAACGCCACCATTCACCGTATAGAATCAGTGGTGCATACTTTGCACCGACATTGAGCAGAGTCGAGGCAGATGGACCAAACCAAGGGTTAGTCTTCCACGGCTCGAATCCACCATTCAATACAATCTCCCAAATCAATAGACAAGTGTCAATGATCGATACGAGTATGATAAAGTAGGGTGTGTATTGTTGGGGTGGTGCTGGTGGTGGTCCCATACCATCGGCTTCATTTTTGAGCGCATACGATGAAATACCACGAGACAGATTCGATTGTCTTGATGGGTGTGACCCTTTTCCACCTTTACCCATACTAGTATGGTGTGAGTGCTGTGCTGATGGTGTCGAGGGTGGTACTACACCGCCACTACCTGAAACAGGACCCATCTCTGTTGAGGTGTGTTCACGACCTTGACTAGCTGCAGCACCTCTTCCTCTACCTCTTCCTCTACCTCTTCCACGACCTCTCAATGATTCATCACCATCCGATACGTATACATTGGGTGGATAGTAATCCAACATTGCTGGTGGTGGTTGTAATCCAGGTTGTTGCGGTTGATATTGCATTTGTTGTTGTTGCATTTGTTGTTGTTGGAAAGCATGTGATGCGTAGGAAGGGGGTGCATCAGGATATGGATGCATTTCAACATCGTTTCGTGGGTGTTGTTTTTCCCAAAAACTATCTTTCATCCAATACGGTTCCTCGTTTGTTGGTGAACCAGTGTCTCCATGGTGTTGATTATTATTCATACCATTATTATCGTCGCCCATCTGTTGTTGTTGATTTTGATTTTGTGCATTCAATACACCAAAATACAATCCAACACCATCTCTAATCGATGAAGCTGCTCCTTTAAATGTCATCTTTGCTTTACTAGTTGTCATTTCTATAGAATAAATGAATAAATAAATAAATAAATAAATATAGTTATTGTTAACAATCAAATCAGTAACTTAAAAAAAACTACTCTGATTGGATGCGTGATTTAAAAAAAAAAGAAAAACAAAAATGTTTGTCTGTCTGTTGGGTTCTAACGATCGATCGATCGGTCGCTACGCTGCTAACACTGTTGAGATAGAGAATAAAACAAAACAAACAAAAATAAAGATATATAAATAAATATAAATAAATATATATAAGAGTGAAGATGAAGATGAATGATAATCAATCAACAATCAACACAAACGACAGATAGAATAAATATATAAAATGAAGAAGAAGAGGAAGAGGATAACATAACATACATAAACACTGTTTATGTATGTATGGATGATGGAGTGGATGACTTGTTGTTGTAACGATGTTTAAACACCCACAAAGTTTGTGCGCACCCTACCCTTTGTGTGTCAATAAATCAACCACATCATTGGTGTATCTGTGTATCTAATTTCTAAGTTGTTGTGAGAGTGAGAGAGAGGAGTCGACTGTCATTACAGCAGTGCAGTGAAATGATTGGATATATAGGAGGGGGGGTTGTGCCAGTTTACCCACACAAAATAGTTGAAAATTCTATTTCTGCAGCTATTGTTGTAAGCATCATCATTGTAGTGTTTAAATCAATTCCCAATCCCAACAGTAGACAATACTGTTGATATTATTTGTTGATCGATTACGAATGAATGGATTGGAAATGTGTGAGGTGGGTAAAGAGTTTAGTTTGCATACTTTAAGAAATTCTTGTTATATAAATATTTATATTATATTCTAAATATATTTGGCGTGTGTCCAAGTTCCTGATATCTGACTATTACTACTAATGCTACTACTCTACTATACTACTATTTTACAAATATTTGGGTTGGAAGGGGAAGAAAACTCGACTGCTACTATTGTTGGTTTGTTGGAAGGGAAAGTGCACAATGAAGTTATAGCTTTTCCTTTTTGATTTAGTTCTTGTCTACTATCTATCTATCTCTAATCCTTTAAAAATATATATATATATAAATAAAAATGGTTAAACAACCAATTTACTTTCGTTAATGGTTGTGATGATGATGATGGTGTGAATATCTAGATACCCCCCTTTTTTTGTCACAGTGTTCTAACAAAAATGAAATCGCAACGGTGGTGATGATGATGAGGGTTATTATTATTATTCTATTATGATAATGATCAATCGTGTTGCGTCGTGAAAGTGTAACAATGTTTTGGTGACACCCTTCGAAGCATAATAATAAATCACTGTTTGATCAAGACCAACGGCTATGACCGCAGCCCTTTCCCAAAAAATTAAAATAAAATTTCATTGATCGAATGTCCAGATCTCGATCCGTACTATCAACTTCTTGATTTGCAAGATGTGTACCCCATAAAAGAAATCGACAGATCAAGTTCATACTCTCTCGATGTAAAACATAAATAAATATAAATACATATATATATATTTATTTTGTTTGTTTGTTTGGGTTTAATTTATTTATTAATTTATTTATATATAATGTTTTAAGTTATTTTTGGGAGTTTTGAGATGCCAACTTTTCTTGTTCTTCTTTGTCTGTTTCTTCAGCCCAATTTAACTTTGATATAGATGTTTTTGGTTCTACTACTTGAGTTGATTCTGTTGTTGTAGTAATCACTGGCTCTTCAATTTTAGCTGGTACTGCAGTTGGAGCTGGTTCGGTTGGTTGAGCAGTTGTTTCTACTACTACTGTCTCTGCTTCTGGTTGTTTCGAGTTGTTATAATCTACACGTTCAAATAATACAACAACTTCAACTAATTCAGTGTGAGGGAAGAGATCAAAAGCGATGGCTTTGACTGGACGGAAGGGGGTACCACGCATATTGTTGGTGATGGTTTTTGAGAGTTTGGCGGCATCTTGGATGAGTGAGTTTTGGTTACATGATACATAGACGAGACGCTTCATAGCCTCGAACCCACGGAGTGCCTTGATGACGTCGAGGTGGAGACCGCTACGGGGTGGATCGACAATACCGATAATGTCGCCGTCTTTGACAGTGTTGCCAAAGGTGTTGTGGATACGGCTGACGAGTCCGCTCATAGTGTCTTCGGCCTTGCCGACGAGATAGTCGACGTTGGTAATGTTGTTGTGTTGGGCGTTCTTGATGGCATCTTTGACAGCGTCGGGTGCGAGCTCGAGCCCGTAAATGTGACGGACGTTGCCAGAGACGCATTGGCCAATCGTGCCGGTGCCGCAGCACACGTCGAGTAGAACAGTGTCTTTGGCGCAGTCGGCCCACTCCAACACCTTGCTATACAACTTTTCGGTGGCAGCCGAGTTGACTTGGAAAAAGGCGTTGCTCGATACTTGGAACTCGTAGCCCAACAGCTTCTCGTGTACGTGGTCGGGTCCGTACACAGTCGTCACGGGGTGGTCGACCGGCGCGGCATTGCTCACACCGTCATAGTATTGTACTTGGAACGAGGTGACGTGTGCTTGGCTGTCGGCTGGCAGGTCTTTGAAATGTGCGGTCAACCCGTCGATCGTCTCCTTGACCACGTCGGCCGCCACACCCTGTGGACCGACCTGCACGGTGGCCATAGCTTCGCCCGTTGTAAAGTCACGCACCGTCAATTGACGCCAAAAGCCAGTATGCGTGGTCTTCTCGTATGGCTTGAGTGCACTGGCACGCACATATGTTTCGAGGTGTGCTCTAATCGCGTTGGAACGTGCCGAAATGATACGGCAGCCAGATGGGTCGCCCACCACCGTCACGCCATTAGCCGTACGGCCCAACGCAAACCCAACACACGGTGTGCCATCACTCAACAGCCCAATCGTGTACGAACACTTGTTACGGTATCCGTCGACCACCGGCGAGGCAACCACCTCTTCAAGTGGACAACATGGAGTATTCTTGGTAGCATTTTTCAACCAATCGGGGAACTTGCCCGTATTATTGTATCCACAATCCTTTTTAACAGCCGGTACAATATCTGCCAACACCTTGGTCACATACTTTTTCTTTCTTGCCAATTGTTCTTGGTAATCAACCGAATGCCATGGATTCACTACATCTTCAATCACCTTTAATTTCTCTGGTTCCTTATTTTGATTATTTTGATTATTTCTATTATTATTGTTATTATTATTATTATTATTATTATTATTATTTTTGTTGTTCTTTCCATCACCTTTTAAAATTACTTTAAGTATTCCTCCTTCACAATCTAATCCATTCAATTTTGTCATTACTTCTTCTTTTTTTTCTGGTCCCTAAAAAAGTAAAAGAAATATCCAAGTAAGTAATCTTTGAATGTAATAATATATATATATATATATATATATCTTTTTGTTTATATTTAGATTTACATACATCAACAACAATGATACCAAATTGTTCTTTAAATACCTTTTTACAGGTTATATATGTGATGTTATTCTTTGCCAAGAACTTTTTAAACTTATCAGTTGACATGAACTTTGGAAGATTGAATACAACCAATTTAATCTTTTCTCCAGCTACTCCAGTAGCAGTGGTAGCAGCGGTAGCAGTAGCATCTGCAGCGGTAGTAGTAACGTCGGTAGTAGTACTAGTAGTGGTAGCAGAGTTATCATCTTCAGTCTTGAAACGCTTGTTTTCATCACCTTCACCTGTTGAAACGACAGTGGTAGTACCGTCTACAGCTACAATGACTGGTGCTACAATGACTGCTTCATCAGTTGATGGTGTGGTTGTTGTAGTTGTTGCTTGTCCTTCGGCAACATCCTTATCTGTAGCAATTGACTCATCAATTGTACGTTTTAGATTCTTATCTTCTTTAATGATATCCATCTTTTCAAATAGTTGATATAATCTATCTACTATTACTATACTATACTATGTATTAATATATAAATGTATATAAATATATATATATAAGAGAGTTAGAGAAGAATGAACAAGAGAGAGGGAAAGGGGAGAACAACAAAAAGTGAAAAAAAACGAATAAACCGAGTAAGAGAGACAAGACAAATTATGTTCTTTTATTTCATTTGCATTCACATGTTTCATTCGCATATGATTGAATAATTCAATGACAGATACAGTATTATTATTATTACAAGAAACTATACAACTAGCAGAATCATGCAAAGATAGAGGAAATCAAGAATACTCTAAACAAAACTACAAGGAAGCTATTTCAAGTTACTCTAAAGGTGTTGTTGCAATTGGTGAATACCTTCAACAACATGTAGGAGGAGGAGGAGGAGTAGTTGTAGATGGAGAAAAGGAAGATGAGAATATGACAAGATTAAAGAAATTGGCAAGTCAATTGTACTGTAACCGTGCAGTATCTTGGTTGAATGCACCAGCACAATTAAAAAACTATCAGGAAGCATTGGATGATGCAAAGAAATCGATATCGTTTGACGACACATTTGCCAAAGCGTACTTGCGTATGGCAGAGAGTTTGATAGGACTCGATTGTTATAAAGAGGCAAAGGATGCATACTTGCAGTGCATCCGTCGTATTGCAGTCGACCCCAACGACAAGACTGCCAACGCACACAACACTCTATTGACACAGGCCACCAACGGACTCAACAACAGCAAGATGAAGATGTTTTACGAACCCATCCTCACAGAGAAACCCGACCACTATGGCAAGATCGAGTTGCGTTACACCGATGAGATTCGTCGCAAGTCTCTATTTGCAAGATGCGATGTTAAAAAGGGTGACGTTGTCTTTACTGACACGGATCTCTACGCCAATATCAAATCTCCATCTCTTGACATCAACACATACCAAAGATTATTTTGTGATCATTGTATGGGTCAGTTGCCAAAGGTCTCAGAGACAGAGACAGCAGAGAAGGTTGTATTATGTAAATATGGATGTACACGTATAATGATTGGTAGTAATACTGTAGATACAACCAAATATTGTAGTGAAAAGTGTAGAGATGACGCGTGGGACGAATACCATTGCCAAGAGTGCGGTAGTATGTCTCAACCACAGGCTGGCGAGTTGGACGTTGTCTCGAGGGTGCATGGGATCACCGAGTACAGAAAGATGGTCCATGGCGTGCCGACAGAGGCGTCGCTCCTTTTGGCCGAGCGTATCATCGCCATCATCTCGACCAAGCTAAAGAAGGGACATGTCAAGAACTGCAACTTGGCACTTGGCAAACTCCAACATCTCCGTCGCGACCCACTCATGCAAATTCAAAAAAGTTTTAATGGCAACAACTTGGAAGAGCTCCAAAACCAATACAAACCACTCCTCGCATTCCTCAAACAATCCTATGGCATTAAACTAACATCTCTAGATACCATTCAATATAAATCAGATAACAAAATTTTAATTGAAGAATTGGAAAAGTGTAAGAAGAAAAAAGAAACAAAAAAAAGAAAAGAAAAAAGAAATAATAATGTTCTAATTTATTTGTTTTGTTTATTTAGTGTTTAGTAATAAATTTTATGATGAAATATTAGGATTAATTAATTATAATTCAATATCAACATTTGTGTATGGAGAGGAGACAGTGATCAATACAGGTGCCAAAAACAAAAAGATGCAACCAAAACTAAGACAATATTGTTTGGGCAGTGCTTTGATTCCCATTTTTGCATGTCTCAATCATTCATGTGCTCCCAATATCGAGATGGGTCGAGAACAACGCGACGGCGTGACCAAGGCAATAGCAGTCATGATTGCCAAACAAGATATTAAAAAGGGTCAAGAGTTGTTAACCTCGTACATTGATGAAAGCAATCCATTCAAAGATAGACAATCCATTCTTTCTTCTCAATATGGTTTCACTTGCAATTGTAATAAATGTTCAAAACGTCGTTAATCCATCCCTACGTTTAAAAATTAAAGGAAAAAAAAGTAATATATAGTATATTTTAATTATTATTATTATTATTATTATTTATTTACAGCGTATTGTTATTCGTATTCAATTGATTGAAAAAAGATGATTGGAGTGGAAAAGTACTTAATGGAAATCTAAATAATCCTCTTATTGATTTGTTCTTTTTTTGTTATTTTTTCCATCCAACCATTATTATTGTAGTCCAAATTATCTATTTATATACATCCATCATGATATGATTTATCAATTTAATTAATTAATCAAATACTCTTCTCTTTAATTGATTATTTCTATCAAAGAATATCAAACTAGAGTCTACATTTTCATATGATATCTGATAGACGGAGAGAGAGAGAATAAAAAAGTCAATAAACTACAACATCAATCACTAGTGACAATATCATTAATGACTTACACTTTGATTATTATTATTCGATTTCTTTATAGTGTTAGTTTGTGTTGTTGCTACATCGGTCGTAATGATTGTATTTGTTGTTGGCGGCGCCGTAATTGAATCTTTTGACTTGATATTGTTCTTGTTTGTTATTGACTGTTGTTGTGATACATTACTAGTATTATTCTTTTGTTTTGGTTGTTGTTGTTCTATATTCTCCTTCTTTTCTACTACTATCTTGTTGGTATCAATGCTATTACTATTAGTGTCATTGCTGATCTTTGATGACGATGACATATCCTTTTGCAGGTTCCACCATTCTACGAGACCATAGGCAACCAATACTCCAACCAATCCAGATGCTTTAACAGCCTCGTTCTGTAACAACATGGTGATAGATAGTACCAATCAATCAATCAATCGTGATATTATATTATATTTTCTTCTTTTTCTATTTCTAGACTGTAATATTCTCTATCTTATCTATCCTTTACTCAATTGACAAACAGAGAGAAAAAAGAATAATGATGATAATCAACTAGTCTTGAGAGAGATAAAATAAAATAGAACAAAAAATAATATTTGCAGTCGCAGACTACACTCATCAGATCAAATTGTAGTAATATTAATATCGCCAAAAATACTATTTATAAACACCCCCCTCCCTACTAATACGATCTATAACACATGATCGTCAATCATCTATCCATCCATCCATGGTGTTGAATATGATGATGATGACAATTACTTTGCCGACAAAATAGTTAACTGAATAGAATCGAACGAACTTCAATCATCATCACGTTCACCATGTTTGCAATGTTCATAACGATCGTCATCCTGTGTTATCATTATCGTCTTTGCACATTCTGTATCAACATAGTTTCTTGTTCTCTTCTTGACCAAATCCATATTCAATATCATTGATCATCCATCAAGGATGATAGTTTGATTGAGATACTATTTAGTATCTTTGGGTATAAGTTTGTTGTTTAAGTTTTGTAATTCTTTATATATATATAATACGAGTTTTGTTGTTTGTTTGTTATTAAAAAGGTCTATTCTATCATTGATGTTATTATTATTATTGATCCAAAAAAGATTAGCATTCTTTGCCAACCTTTGCTTCGTAGTCTTGTACTTGTTGAATAGCTTCCTTTACTCTGTTGGTTCTCTCGACTGAATCCTTTCCGTAATCTGATGATGCTCTAGATTTATACTAATGTAATGAAGGTTGATGAAGTGAAGTGAAGTGATTAGTATTCATTCATGTGTCTCCATTCATTCATTGACACTCTAGTTCAATACTACTTCTGCAGCCTCTACATTGCTTGTATTGTATCTATGTGTTATGATGAATGGTTGTTGTTGTTGTTGTTCATACTTCTTTAAAGTTATGTAAACATTCCAAGTAATCGGTTCTATATGGTTCGCACAATTCGATTGATTGTTCGGTGATACAAGTAGTAAAATCAGACCATATTGGGAAGCATCTTCCTGATCCACCAAAAGCACCGTATCCTGACGACATCTCTCTCTTTATACTATACTATACTATATAACTACTAATACTACTACAATCAACTACACAAAGTGATCAATGAAAAGCATCTGAGGGCAAAAATTTGATTTTTTTTAATTTATTTCTTTATTTTGTCGAGGCTACTAGTATTGAGGATATCTCTTATTTAGTACATCGAATAATTGTTTATAGGTACATTCTTCAAAGGGTTGATTTTCAAGTCGTAGAGGGACAAAGGTAGGATCGATACGTTCTGCCATGTCACGTAGCTCAGAGTGTTTGATGAGTTTGACACCTTGCACTTCCTCCACTTGAAGTTTATAGGATTTGACGTCAATCGGTTGATCATAGGTCAACAAGTATACATCTGCTATTTCATTATCTAAATATTTTCCTATACACAACAAATAACAAGAGTTAGAAAGAGAGACAGAGATGATAGATAGATAGATAGATAGATAGATAGATAGATAGATTATATTATATATCATACCATTATGAAGTACAAATTTCTTTTTACTAGTAAAGAGGTATTCTAATTGTTCTTGATTGTTTAAATGTACACTCAACTCTTCGGATAGTTCTTTGATGGCACTATCTCGACTATTCATACCAGCTTCAATGTGACCGGCACAAGATATATCCCACATTGATGCAAATGACTCTTTGTTTGCAGCTCGTTGTTGAATCAATACGTCACCATTACAATCGACCAACCATACATGGATCACTTTATGCCATATCCCCAATCGATGTATTTCACTTCTTGGTAGACTAGTACCAGTTGGTGTACCATCTTCATTCATTACATCAATATATTCTATATGATTATTATTATTATTTGGTTGTTGTTCACTCATCTTTTTCTTTCTTTCTTTCTATCTATCTTTTCTTAAATATATATATTAAACAAATAATGTTGTCTATTAAAACAAGGAGATCAAGTGTCGTTCGTTAAGTGGAGTGGTAATAATAATAAGAAGATCCTTCTTAAACAAAAGAGAAGATATCTTCAAAGAATATAAGAATAAGAATAAGAATGCCAAACCCAAAAATAGATTTTCTTAATTTATTTTTTTTGTTTAAATTCTTAAAGAATAGAAAAAAGATTGAAATTGAATAGAATCATTACGATTGAATATACCGCCTTGTAAATCAGTCGAGAGGATTAATAGAGTGTCTGGTGATAATCTTCTGATTGCAAATACTCTTTTATCTAATGTGGTGATGGATGAAGAGGTGGTTCTTTTAAATCGGATCATCAATGTTTCAAGATGAACCAGTGTATCAAAATGGATGGGTATTGTTTTTTGGTGATTAATCACCGATACTACTAGATGCTTAATATTTGGTGGTCCACAACCTTGAATTGCTGCTAGTTGACTAGCACTAGGTTTCTCTGGATTAAAATTTCGATAGATTGATAGAGTATGAATACTAGGTGGCAGCGATTCAACTAGATAGTTTGATATAGTTGCAGATGTCAATGTTGGTGGATAATTTGGACACATGTTCATTGTCTGCAGTCCTGGTATAAACCCACACCGTAGTCTTGTTAGATTTGGTGGGTATGGTTGTGGTATTGGTACAGAGTATCCATCTGGAAGTTTGAGTACTTTTAACGACGATGGAAGTGGAGTTGGTAGCGGATGATTGAAATCACCAGACCGAATGACTAAATGTGTCAATGTCGATGGTAGTGAACCTGGAAGTAACTGTGGATTACCTGATTGGATTCTTAACTTGACCAATGATTCTGGTAACACACTTGGGTGGATAGTTGTATCTGTTAGGGGTCCAGACAACTTTAACGATATCAGTTTGGTTGGCAGAGGTGCATAGTCAGTTAGAGTAATAATAGATAAATTGAGCTTTAGTTTTTTGATGTAGGTTGGTAAGATCAATTGATGATAGTCTGTTTCTCTTTGATGGGGATCCAATGAAGAGACAGCCAGTCTCACAAGGTTGGGAAGGTTGATCTCCCAATTATGTTGTATCAATTTAAGTGTTTCAACGGGTACATATAGTGATTGTATTGATAATGGAAGGTATGGTTGGGTTGATGAGTCATTATTATTAATATTAATATTATAATTTTGACGAGATGGGAATATACCTTCATACTCTTCTAATCGTAATGTTGTGAGTGACATGGGTAGTGATACTATCGGTAGTTCATAATAGTTGGAGTTTCGGATAAACAACTTGTTTAGACTAGGAGGAAGCTCACCTCCAGGCAGTGTAAAAATAAGTTTTGTACAATCACCAATACGAAGTTGCTCCAATCCATCTGGTAATCTAGCCAAGTCTACCCTGACTTCTGATGGGTCGTCTATCAACAATCTCTTTAGACCTTGTGGCAATACATCTTTTGACCACACCATGCTATCGTCAGTGTCGTCAAAGCTTGTAAATTTGATCATATCTACTTGATCGTTGTTTGGACCAGTCTTGGTGTATCTAGTCACTTGGTCTATTTCCGAGCAATTGTCTTGTTGTTTTCCACGTATATGTATTTCAGTGATTGTACCATCATTACTGATGCTACTTTGGTTTGTCGTGATACCCCTTTCGAATGCAGCAATCATGAGTGTATGGCAAATAGACTCGTCAAGCAACTTGATCTTACCAATACTAGGTACCTTATATTTAAAAGGAGGGCATAGAAATGCACAGTTATAGCACACCTTATACAAATACCTTATTTGTTGTCCAAGTTGCAACAGTCTTTTGCAAGTCAACATGAAGCATATTCGATCTGCTGGATGCTCCAAATTTAATATAATCGATTTCAATACATAGTTTGGTATTACAAGTATTGTATTTGTATTTGTTATCATTATATATTTATATATCTTTGTTCAATGATGATAGTTTGTGATGATGATTTTTCAAGATTACAAAAAAAAAAGAAAAAAAGAAAAAGATAAATATTTTATAATAATTTCTTTTTGTTCCTCTTATTTATGTTATATTATTTTTTGATTGATTTTGATTTTGATTTATCTTTATCTTTTTTAATTTTATTTTTTGTTTTGTTAATTATCCATTTTTTGTTTTTTCCATTTTTGAGCCATCTCGAGGAATTTAAGATTAGGTTGAGCACTTTGTTCCTCGGGGAATACATAGTCATAATATTCTTCGACTGTTTCCTCGTCGAAATCATTCTTGACAATTCTTCTTTTGATGACCTTTTTGGGCATCTGTTTGTTGATGGCTTCTATTTGTTCAGTGTTGCCAAATTTGTTTTCAAAATGCTTCCAGTTTTCGAGCAGGATATAACGCTCTTCCTTTTCGGCGGCAGCACCCTTGAGAGCCTTGTTGGCCTCTGCAAATATATCACGAGCATTGTTTGGTTCTTGTGCGGCGGTGCACTCCATCTGAGCAAAGCTGATCCACACCTTGATGTGGTTGGTACGCTCCAACAGACGACGGTAGAGTGCACGGACGGCACCAAAGTCCTTTCGTTCGATTTCAAAGTCGATATAGTTCTTCCACACAATCTCTGGTGTTTCAAGCGACTCTTGTTGCACGGCAATCTCATAGATACCACGCACACGTTTAGTTTCACCCAACTCTGCCTCGAATTGCGCAAACTTGGACCAACTGTCGCAGCTGTCTGGGTAGAGATGGATGTATTTTTCATAGAGCTTTCTGACACGGTCAAAGCTACCCAACTTGATCTCGAGCTGAATGTACGTGTCCAACACCTTTTGCTTGGGTGCCAATCCCAACGCCTGTCCAAGAATCTGACGTGCACTTTGTAGTTGCAGTTGACGGATCTCGAAATTGGCATACATGATCCATATCTTGGAGAATGAAAACTGTTTGTGTGGGATGAGTTTGGTCACTGCCTGGTACACCTCTCGTGTCTTGTCAATGTCCTTGGCACCCAATTCTTCAAACAATGCATAATTGATCCACAAATAAATATACCGTCTCCAATACTTTTTCTCATACATTGGTGGTATGTTTGATATAGCTCTTTCATAAATCTCTCTTGTTCTCTCGACATCTCCATTATTTTCTTCTAATCTTGTATAATCAAACCATACATCATAATTTTTTGAATTTAATTTTATATCCTAAAAAGAGTAAAAATAGAAAAAGAAACAAATTAATTAATACATATTTTAAAATACTACATATATATCATATCTTATTTGTTTTTCTTTTTTTTTTGTTTACATACTTCTTCATATTGAAATCTTTTTTTACTTAATAAAATATCTTCAATACCTATACGATCACCATGTTGTTTTTCAAAGTTGGTAAATGTTTCAAATAATAATTGAGCTTTACTCTTTGGAATATGATCCAATGCATATTTGTAGATTAATCTAGCTCTTTCGACTTCCTTGTATCTCTCTTCAAACTTTGCAAATGATATAAATATAGATTCATCACATCCCTCATCACCAAGGAAATCAATTGCTCTTGAAAAGATTGATCTTGATTTGGTAACATCACCATGTTTTTCTTCAAACTTTGCATATTTTATCCATGTTTTTGTAAATGGATGTACAAGTATATCTAAAAATAAATAAACAAAACAAACAAACAAGTTATTAATTAATCATTTCATTTAGGTTTAGGGTTACTTACACTTTTCAAAAATATTTCTAGCATTTTCTAAAAGATTTAATCTAATTTCAAACTTTATATAAGAGTTCCATGCTTGTGGTTCAGGTTTCCATTGCATCCAACGATCGAAAACAGCTCTTGCACCTGGACTGTTACCCATCATATCTTCAAAGAATGAGTATTTGTACCATAGTTGGGGGACACGTGGTAGCAGTGCTACGGCACGATCCCATACATTACGAGCATGATTGATAAACTTGTTTCGCATCTCCATGTCGGCATAACGAAGCCACACTTGAACGTTGCGATGGTGTCTCTCTAGACAACGTTCATAGATTGAACGAGCACGGTCAAACTCTTTTTGTGATTCTTCCCAAGAAGCATACTTTTGAAAGACGACCATTGAAGTGGTTCTGATCAACGTCTCTTCATATCCCTTTCTCTTTCGTGTACGATATGCTTCTAGTTCATCTTGATCTGTGATATGTTGTTTTGGTGCCTTTGGTGTCTCTGTTGCTGCACCGTCCAATGCAACACGTAATATATGTTCCGAAGTAATCTGTATCGGTGCCGCCGACTTGTTCTTTACTTTAGTTACTTTACTTGGCATTGCATTTTGTGCACCATTATTTAGATTTGACATCTCTCTATTGATCACTCTATCTATCCTATCCTATCTATACTATCTATCTTTGATACTATATATACAAATAATAAATAAATTGATGATGAAAATGACAAAGATAAAGATAGATATCTTGCTTGAAGTGCTCAAACTCAGAGTGTGTCTATTTTCTCTTTTCTCTCATTTTTCAAAATTTCACAATGAGAGGAGGGTCTGAGAGGTGAGACAGAGACAAACGAATCATTTAACTTTAATTAAAGTATTTATTACTTACTTGTTTGTAGAGATAGATATATAGATATAGATATAGATAGAAATGTCAGTTAATAAACCAACTACATTCACTCGAAAACAACCTGCTGCTGCTGCTGGTGGACAGTCATCATCATCTTCACCAATTACACCATCGGCAAACAAGTTACCAGGAGGATGCAAGTTATCATTACAGAATGGTAACTTGCTGACTAGTACGGGATTAGGAGATTTAGATGATATCCTCGGCGGAGGTATTCCAATTGGTTCGATTCTCATGGTTGAAGAAGACATTAATTCAAGCTTTTACATGTTTCTACTCAAATATTTCCTCGCTGAAGGTATCACTCAACACCACGGTGTCTTTTTCTCATCGTTGATTGGACATGATGCATTTGACATTCTCAACAAACTGCCAGCACGTATGACTCGACAAGAAGAATTGGATGCCGATACAGAAGAACAAAGTAATCAACGTAAACAACATGGTGGTAGTGGTGGTAATAGCGGTAGCGATGACCTAAAGATAGCATGGAGATATCAAAACTACATAGATGCAGAGAATGCTAAAAAGGCAAGCGGTGCAACACAACAACAAAACCAATCGTCACCGTTCTGTCATGCATACGACTTTACAAGAAAGATGAATATCCAATCAATCGATCCTAACCATCTACACACACTATCGTACACGAGTCAGACACAGTCCGAGTCATCATCACCATACCGTAGTCTCTATATGGAACTACAACAACTCGTTCAAAAATACAATCAAAGTGCCTCTCAAGGTGGTCCTATCAACGAATCAACTAAAATATTAAGATTGGCATTACAATCTTTTGCTTCTCCTTTATGGTCAAATGATGAGGTAAACAAATATAAGCATACATATAATCAATTTGAATATTAATATTAATATTTATTAATTCTATTTATTTATTTATTTTTATATATTTAGGAAGGAGTAATAGAATTTTTACATTCACTTAAAGGATTATTAAGATCATCAGTTTCAGTTTGTGTGATTACAGTACCAACTTATATTTATAGTGAATCTTTTGTTAAAAAGATTAGTCATATGTGCGATACGGTGGTATCGATCAACTCGTTTAGTGGAATGGGATCGACACCAGAAGCATTCCAAGAGTATTTGGGAATGTTTACCGTTAAAAAGATTGCTAGATTAAATACACTTGCTCCATCATTCAATCCAGACATGTTGTCATTTGTTTTCAAGATGCGTAGAAGAACAATGGCCATTGAAAAGATTTCTTTGCAACCTGAATTTAGCAGATCTGGTGATTCATCTTCCTCGGATCAACAAGATAAAACTAAATCTAAAAAGGAGGATATAGTTAGTAAAATGAAATCTGGTAGTGGTTTATTATGTGGTGCTGGTGGTCCTAAATCACAAATTGGTTCTTCACCTTTAGATTTTTAAATCAAAATCAAACAAACAAACAAATAATAATAAACAAACTTGTAGATTTTCAAAAAAATACTTAATATTCTTTCCTTTATTTATTTATTTATTTTAGAATATTACTTTTATATTTTTTATGATCATTTACAATTCTTGAAGAATCTAAAGAATTACGTAGACCAATTGAAAAGGAAGTGAAACCTTCGGCAAGACCAACCATGGGTGATACGACAACACCTGGGACACCCCATAATAGAGAAGTGAGGAATCCTTTGGTACCACTCTCTTGGTACGATGTGATTGGCTTGGAGAGGATACCCATGGCAGCATTGTAGAATCCCCCTATCACCTGTGACATGGCCTTGTGGGCACCTTGTGACAAGTTTTCAGGCTGACTCACCCAAATTGAGTTGTATTGTGGGTGATTTGATAATTGTTGTTGGTTGGCACTATGATCCATCGAATTGTGACCGCTACTACCACTATGATTATGATTGTTGTTTGTGTTGTACATGTGACTTTGGTTTGTTGAAGAGTTGTTACTGAGTTTACCAAGTAGTGATGATGTGGCACTGACAACCTTGCTAGATGCAGTGAGAATCTCTACTGTGAGTGTTTGGATGCCTAAACCGACACCTTTACCAACTGCACCAGCCATACCACCTACACCTGCATTGGTGTTGGCACGTGCCTCTTGAATGGGTTTACGTACGAGTGCAGTGATACCTGACCCAATGTTAAAGAGGATACGAACGGGTGCTACACCACCCAAGTATTGGAACACACCATTGGTGAGCAGGTTGGGTTGGTACACTGACAAGACACTCTCTACCAGCTTGCTACCCGGCACATTTTGCAAATGTACATGATTCAATGTAAAATTGGCTTCACTCAATGGAATCATACTAAACATCCAAACATACTCTCCACTTGTAAATGATGAATATTTCTCTTCTTCATTACCACCATTATCTCCATTTTGTTGACGTCCATTATGTGGTGATTGTGGTTGTTGTTGTTGATTACTATTATTATTATCTTGCTTATTAGTTGTTCTTGGTTTATAATCAATTCTAACTTCTAATGGGAATATTTCAATCTCATCATAAAATGTTGTTTCTTGTTGAGACCGAGACTGAGGTTGTTTCGATTCATTATTTTGATTTTGATTTTGTTGATTAATAAAAAAATCTAATAAGAAATCAATAGTTAATTGATAAGCTTGAATAAATAGAGGATCAACCAATAATTTGATATTGTAGAATTGACGACCAAAAGAATCGTCACGACTGTATAGTATGAGTGAGATGAGATGTTGACTCTTTTTCTTTTTCTCCTTGTAGTGTGATAGTGGTCCAAATAGATTACGATAGGGTGACTTGGGGATATTATCGTGTATAAAGATATCAGTGACATTGACTTTGAGTGATTTGTTGTATCGATGATTATTGTTGGATTGTTGTTGGTGGTTACTAGTTTCAAAGTTTTGCAACAAGATATCGGCAATGTGACATTCGATTCTAACACTATTGGGTTGTTTCTTTTGTAATGGATCGACACTATTATCTTCTTCATCTGTAAACACTAGATTGAGGTATAAATCAACCACTACAATTTGTGATGCAATGACCAATTCCTTTTCACGATGAATCACTTCGAAATCTCCAATACCATCATCTTCATTGAATTCATAAATGGTACTATGTAAATGACTATTGTTGTTGTCAACAGTCGATGAAGATCCTCCTCCATGTAATTGAGGTGTTTTCTGGTGACCATCATAGTCATCATCCATAACCTTGATTTGACTCTGTCCAACAAACCCGACAATTTGTTCAATCTGTTCCTCTTGATTATCTCCCACTTTGGGCAACACCATATACTTTGAAATGGTATCGATAAATTGAGGAACAATTGTGGTAAACAAATTATAGGTCGACTTTGTAAAGGTAAAGTCATAGTGATTGGATAATATCTCAATGTTTGGACCTTGAGTTGACGATAATACATTCTTGAGCATGATGATTAATTCTTGTTTTGAATAGCCAACCGTGATGTAATCTTTGATGGTAGAGAATGAGAATTGAGTGTGACCACCACTATCTGAACTCTTGAGAAGGATTTGAACTGGATTAAACATGAGCAATAAATCATCCCTTCTTCCATCTGGTGATACCAATACTGTCAACTTGTCATACAATAATATTAATTGTGATGATTCATTCATATATTTTGCCATACAATTATTTAATTCTATATGATATGCATTTGATTTATCATTTGACTTGTCATTTGACTGTTGTTTTTGTTTTTCTTGTTGTTGTCTACTATTTACATTATTATTATTATTATTATTATTAACTTTTACATTATTATTATTGTTATTACAATTGTCATTATCAACTTTAATCCAATCTAAAAATCCTGTAATTAAAGTCATTGAAGGTATGAAACAAATTTCACCAATTGTTAATTCAAATTGTTGAGATATTGATATTTTTTGTGTTGATGTTAATAATTGTATACCATCAATATTCTATAAATAAAAAATAAAAAGTATTAGTAAACATTTTAAATTATAATATTTTTGTTTCTTTTTCTCACTTACAATATTTGTTGAAAAAAATAATTGTTCAATTAATTGATTTGAATTTAAATTTAATTGACTTGATGAAGAGATGATTTTAGAGGAAGATGATGGAAGTAATCTTGCGACACAATCCAACGATAAAAGTGAAAGATGAATAAACGAGGAGTCAAATTGATTGGCTGCAAATACATCGGATGGATAACCTAGACAATTGTATAGGTTGAGGTCACTTGCCATAATACTAAATGATGATACAAAATGGTTGGTCGATGGACAGTTGGCATTGTTGCTGTGATCATTGTCAAACTTCATTTCAATGTTTGCAGTGCTCGACGACAAGGTGAATTGCATGCAACTGGTTTGTGGTGCATCCGAACTGAGGTCAAATGCCTTTATCAGACACACATAGTCACTTTGAAAGATGGTCAGCACCACATCGGGCAAGATACAGTTGATCTTGGTTGTGGCAATATTGTTGGCAGTCTCTATCGATGGGTTGATGTTGGCAGGTGATCGATACGACAAAAAACTATGTTCCAAATATTTCTTTTCATTAAATTGAGTAGTGTCTGATGGAATACCCGAAAGGAATATTTCTGATGAACTGTCAACTATTCCTCCGACCTGAGTACCACTACCTCGAACAATTTGTTGAATTGAAATAGTTGGTCTTTGTATACCATCACCATCATCCAATGATTGAATTGCCAAACATCTATACTTGGTTTCATTATTCTTTCCAGTTGGCAACAAGTCAATTGCCAAATTATCAAATGCAATTGATAGATTTGAAACATATGAAGAAGAGGATAGACTAGCGACATTTCTTTCATAAACCTTTAAAAACTCTACACTACATTGATTACCAAGTATATGAATTTTAAAGTTTGGTTTGGTACATATACTATCCTCCATTAATGGCAAATTGACAATATAATGAATCTTTGGTATACTAATACAAAGTCTAATATCTTTTGGTGGTGCTTCTTGTAATAATGCTTTTTCATCAATACTCTTGTTGAATCCTCCTTTAGATGGTGTTGTTTTGGTTGAAGAAGAAGAAGAAGAATTTGTTGTTGTCTTTGTTGTTATTTTATCAAATGCTTGGAATGCAGTACTAACACGATTAATTAAATCCATTAAACCAGATACTTGATCCTCTCCTACATTTCCCTTGATTGCACTATTAAATTGAATATCAATATCCAACATTGTATCGGTCGATTGTTGTATAAGAATTCTATTCATCTGGTTTGATGTCTCTTGATCACATGCAAAGAAATAGTGTTGATGTTCCAATTGAATAACCGATCCTTCTTTTTTATGAACCATTACTGAAACTTGATCAAATTCAATCTTTGGTATACCATAACTATTACGACTATTATTATTATTATTATTATTATTATTATATTCTTCTTCTTCTTCCTCCTCTTCCCTATCTAATATCTCTTCTTCTTCATCTTCTTCATTATTATTATCCTCTTCTTCTTGTTGTTGATTTGATTTATCATACATAAATGAAGCATGAGAAATATTAAATTCAATGGTTGATTTTGATTCTGGTGTTTGAATAAAGACTGACATGTTTTCAATCTCTACGATTGCATTTGAAAAGATGTTACGAAGATGTTCTTGTAAACCTTCAAACACCTCATCTTGCTCTTCTGGACGATTATCTACAATGATAGATTCACCGTCTTCTATTGAACTATCCAAACCAAGTACACTTGAACTAATCGATGATCTAAGTGTTGACGATGGAGTTGTAGAAGTGGATGAAGATAAGGAGGAATGAATGACTGACATGTTGTTATTGGAGTTGTTGACATTTCGAGCACCTGGTATGATGCTAATCTCTACACCTTTGACATGTACACGAATAGGGTCACTCATAATTTTGAGTATGGGAAGATGAAACTCTAGTCGTTCAATACGAACTTGATCAAAGTGAAATGGAAGACCATTGGTAAACTTTTCATTTAAAACATCGCTGTCTAGAATAACACTTTGAAGTGTAATGATACTAGCACCCTTGTTAAACTGTGTATCGAATTCATCTCTTTGAATGGGATTTAAAAGATAAGACTTAATACTATTGTTGATAAGAAATCGATAGAATCGTTGTTGTGGTTTCAAACTAATATTATATAATGTATCAGTTGTCATTCCAATCACCTTTTGTAATCCATTAAAAAATGTTCCTTTCCATCCTTCCATCTTTAATTCTCTAGTAATATATGGAGTGTTCTTTCTTTTTTTTAAATAGAAGTAGAGTATAGTTTGTAAGTAAAGATACAAACTATCAGAATATATATAACTACTAATATATTATATTTACCTCCTATCTATCCTACTCTACTCGTTCTCTTCTCCTTGTTTAATCTGATGACTAACTAACTAACTGTATAGTTTGTTCCTTTCTCTCTCTTGTCTCTCTCTTGTTTTCCTCTAATTACAGTAATTATTATTTGTTTGTTCTTCTTATTATTCTTCTTTTAAATTAAGTTTTTTGTTTCTCTCTCTCTCTGTTTGTCTCTTATTATTATCTTTGAAAAAGAACCCCTATGAATTTTAACAGTCCCCCAAAACACACAAACAATTAAATAATTATTAATTAATTTTTATTCTAAAAATTTAGATAAAGCTTTGCTTGCACCCATTCAGAGTTCAATGATTCATTCTTCTCATCTTAGAATTTTAAGATTATACAACAACATACAATACAGTGAGCTCATCTCAGATGAACAACGAGATAGATAGATAGATAGATAATCTACAACTCATCATTCCAAACAACTCATTCCAATTCAATATGGCTGCTCTATTTTTGTTTTAATCTTGTCTTGTGGGTGTTTTATTTATTAATATATATTTACACTCCAAGTGTTTACTCTATAAATATAAATATGCATCACACATCCTATCCTATCCTATCCTATCCTATCCCATCCCAATCAGTTAACTCAACTAGTTGAGTTTGGTTTTGGATTTAGATATAATTAATGTAATGTGTGTTATATATATTTATAGTTGTTTTCACTTGGATCGATTCGGGGTTTGGTTGGTTGATACATTGTTTAATCACTACCACCCAATTTTAATGTCTTTCGAATGGTGAAGGGAACTTCTCCATCACGATGAATGAGGTAAATCTCTTTAACTTGGAATTCAATTGGCTTAAAGTCTGTTTGGAACTGTGTAATCTTGTCGGTGGTTTGCTTGCCTGCTGCAGACTGCCCTACCGTCATATGCGGGCAAAAGCCTGCCTCTGACTTGTTTGAAAGTTCGTCAAACCCTGGGAGATTCGTTTCCAATATACGTTGGAGTTGGTTGATTGCATTGGGTTGGTCTGGCGTCTCTGGCTTGAGCCAGATCACTGAAGACTTTCCATGTTGAAAGTTTGAAAACTCTTTAAATACCAATGTGAATGATGAAAAGTATGATAATACACTCTGTAATTGTTCATGTTTCTCTTCAAATTGATCTATCTTTACAAATGGGAAGATCCTAAAAAAAAGATAATTGATTTTAATTAACAATTACAAGTTAACAATATATGACTCATCTAGAGTTTTCTTACAAGTTGATATGAGGCATCCACCGTTCGTATGACTTATCATGTTGCTTTCTAATTGCTTGTACTTGATCCAATAAATCTTGAGGGGGGACAATTACAATTGCACTCTTGAAATCTTTATTAAGATTGTTATGATTATTATTATTCATTTTGTTTTTAATTTGATTATTTTTGAAAAGATAATCTTTTTTGTTATAGCTAAAGTTGTTTGTTGTAAAATAGTAGTAGTAGCGATGTGATGACTTGAACAATCGATTGCTCTTTATATCTATTGATGAAAACAAAAATCTGGAAAGTGAGAAGTTAAACATATAAATAATTGTCTCTCATCAATCGATTAAATTGAATGCGAAAAAAAACAGAAAGATAGATAAATAACTATCTCTCCGTGTGATTAATTTATTATATTTAATATTTAATATAAATAAATAGATAGATCGATTTGATCATTGTATCCGACTACTACTAATACCATACTAAAGGTGAATGATAGTGTCTAAACTAAAAATGATGATGATGATGATGATGGGGAGGGGGGAGGGGGATTTGGTGATTTATACAATTGAGATGTGTGAATTGGATGTGTGAATTGGATCCTTTGTCTTTTTCTATAACTTGGTATATTGAGCTCTTCTTTCAATGATTGGTTGTCTCTTGTAAATGATTAAAATGATTGAACCAATGAGCAAGACACCTAGACCGACTCCAAACAAGAGTCCGACTATTTTAGATAGTGTCCATTTGCTGTCTTTGAGCTCTGGCATCTCTGGGTTGGCACATTGTGGGATAAAAGTGGTCAACATGTTGACATTGACATCCAAGTAGACGACACATCCATTGTCGTCGTCTTCATTGTCACTGTCACTACCACTATCACTATGACTGTGACTGCCAGGTGAAATGATTCGAGTGGATGGACCAAACTTTGAATCTCTTTCACTCTCGGTTTCACAAAACACCAATATTTGAGAATCCTTGTTGTCAACGGTATTGTTTGTACTTGTAAAGTTGAATATATCAATGGTTGTACCACTTTCGCAGTATATGCACGCACCAGTCTTTGATGCTTGGTTCTCGTCAAACACAACTGTAATCATCAATATAAAATACTCTCTATCATAGTTTTTAGAATGATTACCACTACTATTAGAAGCGGCAACCAAACCAAGAGTGGATGGTGATAGAGATAGATTATCATTGTTGTCATCCATTTCATTATCATTATCTGCAAAGATGGCACCACCAGAAACAGCAGTATTATTGGTCATTGTAACATTGATAATACTCGAGTTGTAAACTTGGTAAAATGAGATGGCACCACCAAACATGGCTTGGTTGTTGGTAAAGGTTGATTCTGCTATATGGACGTGTTGTCCACACTCGTACAGATGAACGCCGCCACCAAAGTCGGCACCTTTCTGCGATTGGAATGTGTTGGATGTCAAGTCGATCGTTGCATTGGACACTTCTACGCGGACAGCTGATCCTCCGACACCGTTTGTAAATGTGCTGCCCAGTACTGTGATGGGACTGTTGGTGTTGGCGACAAAGACAGTTGCGCCACTCGACGTTACTTGGTTGTCTGAAAAGTCGGTATCGACGATATTGACATAGCCGCCAGCCGGCTGTCCGCTGACCGACACAATGGCCATCCCCGCACTATTCCCAAAAAAGTTGCACGAGTTTATATCCAACATTGTGTTTCCCGTCACACTAATGACCGACGTGGTGTTGGTTACCATCGAAACTGCATTCTCGTGAAGGTAACAATCTTGCATATTAATCTCTCCTCCACTAAATGATATGAGCGATACACCGTCAACATTGGTGTTATTTACAAACAGACAATTAGACATCTCCAGTCCAGTTGACGGTCCGCTAATATTGACCAATGCACTATTAGCATTGTTTAAAAATTGACATGATACCATTGACAAGCTCATACTACTACCACTAGTCGAGGAGGAGGAGGAGTTAGTGTACATATTAACAACTCCATTACTATTACTATTATTTCCATTTATAAATGTAATCGATTCCAATTTAATATTAATTATATAGTTGTTGTCATTATTATTATTGTTATCATCTTGGATAGTGATGAATTGTGAAGAAGATTGTAGGTTGATGGTTACTTGACGATTGGTACTATCAGTGTCACGATTGACGGTAAGCAATAGTGTGAGGGACTGGTTTGCAATGATATTGAGGGAATTTTTGGTGTTGGATGACAAGTATGGAAAGCTTGGGTCCATTACAAACTTGCAATACAATGTCTCGGTGGTCTCTGATCGATTGGCAAGTGTTGTATAGTATGAAACCAATGCATCTTGCATACTAGTGCAAGCTTGAACTAAACTAGATCCACAAGCAACACCATCAATAGATTCATTACTTTGACTATACTTTGAAATATAAATATTCAAGTAGGGAGCTTGTGGATTCTCCCCACTACTACTACTACTCTCGCTTCCACCACTACTACTACCACTACTCTCACTATTACTATTATTGTTGTTGTTGTTGTTGCTATTACTACCACTACCGTCATCAGCTGAAACCAATGACATCATCAGCAAAGTGACGATAATCAATATTATCGTCAACACTCCTCCTCTCATTGTTCTACTATTATTTGATTATTATAATTATTATTATATTTTATCTTGTCTACTGCGAGATATTGATGATGATGTAAACAAACAAATAAATAAATAAATGCTAAACGACGGCGACGGTATAGAGAGTTATAAAATCGGTGTTGTAAAAAGAGAGGTGCGCGTTTGTTTGATTCGGACCACGGTGACATGAGCAAAAGGCAAATCATGGATGGATCTTGGAGTTCTGAGTGAGGAAACTTTTTCGCGTAATCTCTGCCGCGTTTGCACATATTTATCAAGATCTTTCCTCTTTAAGATTTGCGGTTCTTCTAAATGACATATTTGAATAACAAATCTACAGATATACTACATCAAATATTTCTTCTTTTCTTTTCTTTGTTATCTCGTCTTGATTTATTTTACATTTCTCTGTCTCTCTCTTTCTCTATCTCTCTCTATTGTTGCTAGTTTATTAGTGACAAGGTTGCAGATGGATTGATTGGCTTGATCAAGTGGAACAAACAACAAAGAAAGAAATAAATAAATAAAACAAACAAATAAAACAAACAAATAAAATAGTAATAGTAATACAGTATTTTTTGAATCAATGATCGTTGATCACAATTATCATAATAAAGGGTGTGAGGGTTTGGACAGACAAACAAACAAAAAAAGTTTTTTTTTTTATCTTTTGCTCTACCCCACACAAAAGACAATATTTATAAATAATAATAATCTTTCGCTACTCTCTCTCACTCACTCTGTCATTTAGTATAGAGTAAACAAATAAACCATCAACCTATTAAACTTTGTCAAGTGATCATCTTTTCATTTGATTTGAAAGCAAACAACTTTAAAAAGCAACTGGTGCATCAGTTCGTCGTTGTTCGTTGGATTACAAAGTTAGAATAATATAGAATAATATAGAATAATATAAATATATATATATATATATATGTCTCAACTACAAGAACAACAACAACAACAGCAGAGTAACAGTAGTAATAGTAGTAATGTACAAGGCAATGGCAGTCCACCACCAATAGAAGGTGACGAAGACACCGATATCACCGATGTTTTACAAGAACAATTACAATTGGAAATGATGAATGCTATAACTACTTTTACTACTAGTAGTACAACTGCTGCTGCTGCTGCTACAACTACAGTTGATAATAGTAATAGTAATAATAATATACCAGCTGTTGAAGAAATAACAACTCCTACTACAACTACAACAACTACAACAACTAATCAACCACCTTCTCCACCACCACAACCAAAAGAAATTGGTACACTTTTAGATTATTGTTTTGATTATATATTACAAAACTTGGAGAATGAAGAGATTAAGGGTTTGTGCGATCAGATACCAACTCCGTTAAAAGAGAACCTATTCTCTGATTATACATCTAAAATATCAAATTTACCACCTTCATCTCCGTTCCCGATAACGTCGTATCCCGAAGACCGATACAGAGACGTGCAACTAGTCAATCGTATCACATGTCAGCGTGTCATCCCACTTTGTTTTGCCATGTGGAGCTCGCTCGACTACAAATACGAAAAGGTGCGAAAGCTCATTGAAGAAGAGTCGTGCGATGTCAACGAGAGTGATCTCGAGGGCTTTTGTCCGCTCCATTATGCTGCCATCTATGGTCGTATCGATGCATGCAAACTACTTCTCAAGCATGGTGCCGATTGCACTAGAAAGAATAACTTTGGTAAAACTCCTGCCGATTTGGCTCAGGATGTAAAAGTTCAACAAATGATCAAATGTAAATATATATAGATAAATAATAGGAATGAATGGATGATTAATATTGTTTGTTTATATAGTGAGAGCATTTTTGTTTAAAAAGGAAGAAGTTAAAGAGATGGAACAAGATTTATTGGCCAAAAGAAAACATTTTGAAGAATTTAAGAGAAGAAAGTTGATAGAAGACTTTCAACAATTCTCAAATGGATTACAAAAGAAAGGTATTGAAAGTAGGAAACCACTTCATCATTCAATTTCAATCATTCATTTAAATAATAATAATAATCATATTGGTAATAATAATAATAATAATAATATTAATAATAATAATAATAATAATGGTAATGGACAACAACAACAACAACCAACTTCATTATTACAAACATCAGCTCATTTAATTCAACCTACTGCAACTCTACCAATCCATTTGAATGATCCTTCTACTTCATCTTCACAATCATCATCATCATCATCATCTACTAGTAGTATTGAAAATGGTAGTAATATCTCAACGCCAACCTTTTTGGAACAACAACAACAAACAACTACCATTTCAACCAACACCGACACCACAACAGAAACCATCAATGTAAATAATAATAATAATAATAATAATCAATCCAACAGTAATTCTTTATCTTGTTTAGATCCATCTTTATCTTCTTCATCTTCATCTTTATCTTCATCACCATCATCAACATCAACCATAAATAATGACAATGTATTTTCTATGAATAATAATAGCAATAATCCATTTAGAACACTTATTGCTCAAATCGATCTACCTCAACCTACTAGTCAGTCACCATTACTCAACAACCACCATCATCCTTCTATCCACATTCATCACCAAAGTTCGGCGTCCATCTCACAAGTCACCCACTCACTTGGTAATCTTACCATTGCCATTCCAAGAAGCAGACCTAGTAATAGTGCCGGTCCACTACCACCCCAAAATAATTCTCCTCTAGATGATTCTCCTCAAAGTAATGATGGAGTTGGAGTAGGAGGTGACCAGCATACGACGACGACGACCACAACAACTTCTACAAACAACTCTTCTTCTTCTAAATAATCATAATGTAAAAATAACAAAACAACCAAAATAACCAACCAGCAGGAACAACAACCATTTTTTTTTTTTTCTTTATCATCAAATTTGGATAGATGATCAATCAAAGGATTGTAGAATGATTAAATTAAATTATTACATAGAATAGAATAGATAGAATAGAATATTATTTATTTATTACTCATTTGTTTTAAACAACAAAAAAAAAAAAAAGAATGAAAAACAAAAGGATTGTTAGATGAAATATTTTCCAATCTTTTTTTTAAATAGAACCCTTTTTTTCTCTCTTTTAACAATTAATCAATCATACACAAAACAAAACAAAACAAAACAAACACACAAAAACTATGTATAATAAAAAAAAAAAAGAATATAACAAAAACCAAAACACAGAAAAACAATCAAATACTTTTAGATTTACAATTTTAAATAGTATTTATTAATTATTAATTATTAAGTATTTTAATAGGCAGTATTACGGAATCTACCTCTTTCATAATGTACGTTATAATCAATCTTTACATTTAATTGTTCGGCGAGGTCATAGGCAAAATGAGGATTACGAAGGAATCCACGAGCGTTGAAAATAAGGTCAGCACGACCTTGTTGTAAAGTACTTTCCATTTCAGAGCCAGTGTTGATGAGACCGACGGCTGCAATGACTAGTTGAGTGGTTTGTTGCTTGACCTTGTGTGCGAGTGGGATTTGGTAGCCTGGATAGACGTTGATCTTTTGCTTGAGCGAGTTACCACCACTTGAGCAATCGAAAATATCGACATCCATGTCTTGGAAACGTTGACAAATCTTGACAGTGTCGTCAATGGTCCATCCATCTTCAACCCATTCTTCGGCAGAGAGACGTACCGATAGTGGCTTCTCGGTCGGCCAAACAGTACGAATAGCAGCGATAATTTCAAAGAGGAAACGACAACGGTTCTCAAAACTACCACCATAGCTGTCAGTTCGGAGATTGGATGTTGGCGATAGGAATGATGTGATCAAGTAACCGTGAGCACCGTGGATTTCAATCATATCAAAACCAGCTTCCAAAGCTCTGGCAGCAGCATCTCTAAAAGAATTGACGGCATGCAAGATATCATCCTCTGTCATTTCCTTTGGTACAGTGTTTAGGTCTGTCCATCTGATGGGTGATGGTGCTACTGGAATCCATCCATTCTCGTGATCAGCCGGTACTGAAGCACGGGCATTCTCCAAAAATGGTGGTACACTTGATGCCTTTCTTCCAGCATGTGCCAATTGAATACATGCCAACTAAACGATTGAAAATAAAGTAAAAGAAAGAGGTTAGTCAATGAACATGTCACATATTCTATCTCTCTCTCTTGTTTGTTTATAAACATACAGAATTATATGAATGAATAGAATCAACTACACGTTTGAAACCTGGGATTTGTTCGTCCTTCCAGAGGCCAGCATCGGCAAATGAGATTCTTCCTTCTGGGTTGACAGCGGTAGCTTCAGTGACAACCATCGATGCACCACCTTGAGCGTATGAACTGTAATGGATCAAATGAAAGTCATCCATGAATCCATCCTTTGAACTGTACATGCACATCGGTGCAACCACCAATCTATTCTTTAACTCTACACTCTTGATCTTGAGTGGTTGGAAGAGCAATGGCACCTCCTTTTTACTCTCCAAGTATTCATGTGATACATATCCCGGTCCTCTATATGTCTTTGGTAATGTGAATAATGTTGTTGATTTATTTGCTTGATTTAATGTTGACATTTTTAAATTAAACAATATTATGATATGATAGATATGAATATGTATGTTGTGTTGTGTGTTTGGTACAAAAATGAATAAAACGAATGATTCAACCGTTTCAATTTATACTGCAAAGTGGAGTTAGTGGTCGAAAGATCGATTATATTTTTGACCGTAGAATGCGGTTGTCGAGAATCATCTTTTTTACTCGACGGGAACCAGACGACCGATTTAGAGCAACATTCTCCTTCTAAAAAAGAAAGGGTGTCTCCTTTGCTCGATGCAATTCATCAAGTTTGTAGATTGCAATCTACCAACTTCTACTTTCCCACCTATCAATCTTTAATAAGTTAGAATTAGAAATAGAATAATAACCTTTTTTTTGTTTGTAAAGAACAGAGAACAGAGAATAACCAGAGAGAGATAGAATAGAATTTTATCCAATTGCACACTCATCATCACAACAATAGTTATTATTATTTTACTTCTTCTTCTTTTTTGAAAGTTATCTTTGAACATAAAAAATAATGAAGTTAGACACAAGAGGATAGTGATGAGTCATCGATCAGGAGGGACTGTGCTTTTCCCAAGATTACGAATATTCGTGTAGACGAAGCAAACGAATAAAATTATTTAAAAATAAATTGAAGGGGGGGGGGGATGGTGTTGTTTCTCGTGGCATTGGATTGCATTGCATTATTCACGAACTGAGATAAAGACAGATTAATTAGAGAGAGTAGAGCATAATAGAGATATAAATATAGAGAGAGTGCGTATATTCAACAAGAGATATTCAAACAACAGTTAATAGAGAAGAAAAGAGAGGAGGTGATATCTATCGATTCAAGAGTGTTGTTGTGATTTTGTTATAGTTGCATTCAATGGTAGACCATCCCCTTTTACATATAGATTGATAATAAGTGGTAGTTAGTATAACAAATAATAAATATTAAGTAATAACAACACTAATAATAGTAATAATAATAACAAGTGAAAATAAGATTACTACACTACCTCATAATAAAACAAGTAATAATACAACAACAAAGTAATAATAATAATAAGATAGATAAAGAGAGAGAAAGAGAATGGATACATTAATTAGATCACTTCAAAATGATTTTAAAAGTCAAGGATTTCATTTGGTTGAACCTTTTAAAGTATGTTTAAACCAATACATATAAGTATACTTAATATTGATTTATTTATTTATTTAATTATTTAATTTCTTTTTTTTTTTTTTAGGTAAGCGATTATAATAATATATGTAAATTTAAAGTAGAGAATTATGGAATTCCAGATGCATTGGGATTGATTATTGGATGTAACAAATATTTTTGGGATCATTTTGTGACGTTTGTCACAGACTATTATACAAAGTTTGGTGATTTGCCAAAAGATCCAATGAACCTTTTCTGTCAGGAAACAATCGAACGTGTCGTTGGAGCGAATAAAGAGGTTGCATTGTCAAAGCTAAAGTATGATATTCGATACGATTGGAATTCAGTGGCCAGTGGAAGATACGTTCACATCCAAACAGCCGGTCATTTTGCTGGTATTGCACATTATGACCGTGATGTCATGTGGAGTGTACATCCTACCTATGGTCTATGGTTTGTGTTTCGTGCCATCGTTGTTTTCAACACCGAGTATGATGACAAGGCTTGGCCACGAAACCCAGCCTCTATCCCATTGTTGGATCCAGAGACCAAAGGTGAGATGAAGAAATGGACAGACGTAGCCATCGACGAAGGTTGGAGTAACATTGAAACAAGACTAAAGATTCGTGACTGTTGCACAGTCGGCAAGGAGGAGTGGAAATACCAAGGTGACACATTTGATTATTTCTATCCTCTAAAACGTACCTCTAGAAAGGTTATTCAAGATATCATCGATCGTAGTAATATCACTGCTGTCAACAACAAAGATGATGAATCGGATTCAAACAAAAGTATTGTTGGTCCATCACAATGTTGTAATGGAAATATTTCAAATATTATTAATAATAATAATAATATTAATAGTATTACAGGTAATGGTGGTAGCAGTAGCAGTAGCAGTAATAGTAATTAAATATTAAATATTAAATATTAAATATATTAAATATTAAATAATAAATATAATTTTATTTATTTATTTATTTATATTGTACATGTAATGTTCTTCTTTTTTTTTTGTTTGATTTAACCAACAGTAACCATTTTAATTTTACCATTATCAAATCTAATGGAATATTTTCTTTTAACAATATAAACAACTGCTAAAGTAGCAATGAGTAAAGCTGCAGCACATCCAATAGCAATACCAATAATTTGTGCAGTTTTCAATCCACCGCCACCTCCACATTCGTCTCTTGTATCAATTAAATAAGAGAAATCAGGATCCAAATAAATTTGATTTGAATAATTTGGAATATTTAAAGCTATAAGAGCACTTGTAGAATTATCATTTCCTTGTTGTTGTTGTGGTAATAGTACATTTGAAACTTGAATGATACGATAATCAACAATACCAGTATTGATAAATCTACCATAGAGTGTACGATCATCTACCTTGAATTTAATCCAATTCAATACATTACTATTTGATTGTTGGTCTTGCGAATTGGTACCATAGTCGATTAAAGTACCACCACAATCATTATCTTGGTTGAGAGATTCAACATTAATTGAAACCAAGAGTTGAAGTGTATTTAGAGTACTTTCAAATTCATAACTATCCATACCAATAAAATATTTAACAGTGCCAGGTTGCATTGTCAGATTTTGATTGGCAAATCCAACAATACCAAAATCATTAAATTGTTCAATGACGACGGTGAGAGAGGTTTTTCTATCCGTTGAAATGGTTGTATTGTATACGTTGATATTTGAATTGTTTCCAAAACTAGTATACATTAATGGACTGCCATTTGGTTGAGTTGTACTAGTATTATTGGTCCATGTCCAACTCTTATTAGAAGTAAACATAAATTCATTGATAACTGCACCATTAATATCCAATTCTCTGACACCTGCAATTGAAATGATACTCTTTAGTTTTTGGTCTTCTTGACTGATGGTTTCTGGTGCGGTTTGTGAGATGTTTGTTGGAACTGTGATGGTTTGTTTTTCACATGTGGTGCCAGAATAGCCAAGACTGCAAATACAACCGTTACTAGTACAATCACCATTACCAGAGCATCCAGTTTGGTAACATTGGTTGGTAGTATTTCCATTTCCACCTCCACCTCCTTGACTGTCTGACGGTAAAGTATAAACAGGTGTTATGACTGGAATAGTGATGGAATTGGTTTGTACACCCATAATTAATGCATAACAGGTGATGGTTGATGGTAATGGAGTAAAAGGTGGAACTAGTTGGAATGTGATAGATGTGGGAGTCACACTCGTTGACTTTAATACTTGTGCTCCATGTTTACACTCTCCACTCATCACTCCACCTGAAATACCAGCAACCACATAAATAGTAAGATTATGTCCACCGTTTGAATAGACCTTTGATGGATAGTATGATGGCATGACGGTTGTCTCTTGTACAGACATGTTACGAGGGATGTTTACTGGCGAAGTGAAACCACTCGAAATCTTGTAGATACTGGTAGCGCCATACACTGACACTATAAATGGGTAGTCGGCATCGGACGACATTTTGTGACCAAACCCAAATGGCATTTTAAATGTTGCGTTGTAAATCCATTCGGTGTTTGTAATAGGCGCACCTACAGTTGGTATTTTGAGATGGTAACCATGCAGACTTTGGATATAGACAAATGGAGGGTGTTCTGGTGACACTCCATCTACACTTGTTACCGTAAAATTGAGAAAGTAATTGAGGGATGGACGACCTGGATAAAATTGACTAAAGGATAATCGAATCATAGGAATGGTTGGTGGAGTCATGCCTTGACCACCATGATCCCCACACGCTGATTTCCTGGTGAGATTTGATGGATCGATTCCCTCTAATGGATTAATATAGTTGAGGTTGACGGCATGAGTATTATAATTGAGGATTGAATCATCCAATGACGGTGAAATGCCATAGTTGAATGATCTGTCTTTGGTCAGTGCCCAGCTCAATGTAAAAACTTCGTTGACACATTGTGTGATAAAACTAATTGTATAGACTCCAGAGTATGCGTCTCCCGATACTGCATCTTGTGGTCGAATCGTAAATGATCTGACCCTGTAATCCATATCTGAAGTAATATTTATAATCGCATAATCCAATCCATTTGGTTGATCTGTAATTGTAAATGTCCATTTAGCAGTTAAATCATTATTATTATCTTGAATGAAATCTGTCTTTAAATCTGTTATCATTGGTGGATATAAATCTCCATCTAAGAAAAATAATTAAAAATTAATAAATATTATATTAAATATTATTTGTTTGTTTTTGTTTTTTTGTTTTTTTTAACTTACAACTTGAAATAACATAAATGCTTGCATTTTGAGGAAACTTTGAAAGTAAACTAGTAAAATCAATATCGGGGAAACTTTTAATACTATATTGTAAATCACCTTGATAGATATTCATTGGAATGGTGAAATCGATTTGGAATAGTTGAGCATTTGGATTCCACAATCCTTCAAACGACAATTCTTGAATGGATCGAAGAGTTCTAAAACATTTGATTTTTAGTACCGGTCGGATATTGGCAAGTGAGACGCCTGGTTTGACTTGAACATTGAACCAAAGTGTGTTGTTGATGTTTACGTTTGTAACGTCGACTGTTTGGTATTTAAATTGAAAGTAGGTAAAATCCTCGGCCAACCAAATCATGTCAATGTTTGTTGGTATGTCAAAACGAGAGAATGAAAGGTTTGCTTCTAGTGGAAAAAAGTTACCAGCAAAATAAAGTGCCTGGTTGAGTGCTTGATCGATTGCACTACATTTTAAATTGGATAGTTTGGATTCTAGACCCTCAACATTATCGAGGTCCAAATATCCTTGCCAAGTTCCATCGTAAATGCTTCCAGAAATCAAATTTGATTCTGTCAAGTCAACTGCCACTAGAGGACGTGCCGCAGTAACTACCAAACCACAAATAATTCTCAATAAACCTGATCCTCCACCATCTATTGCTTTAACAGTAACCATTAATCTATTACTTGATATTGGTTGAATTTGTATTGATGATACAATTGGTGCTGTATTATCAATTATCACTTTAAAAATAAAAATAAATAATTAAATAAACATAAATAAATAAATAAATAAGATCTGTTTTTTTTTTTTACTTACATACTTGGAGAAGCAATAGAAACTGCACCATTTGAAATACTAAATGAAGTGGTTGATCTACCAATAAAGGAAGCCAAAATATTCTCTGAACTTGTGAAATAACTGTTTGGAAGGTAGATGTTGATCATCCAATCTGCCTCTTTGCGAGTACCATTGATGATTCCATAGGGTATGGATGGTACAACACGATAGAAACATCTTTCAGCAGTATTTGTTGTGATCATGAATCCTAGTCCAGTATAGTCAGTGGCGACGGGAAATGCCAACGTCCACTTTCCAAATGGGCTAACACTATTTTTAGTAACGGTTCCAGAGTTTTGGGAGGGAATGACAGGGGCAAAAGCCAACGTGTAGGGAACGATGCTAATGTTTGGAAATACATTGGACGATATAATAGTCAATGAACTGGTGAGTGTTCCATGGACATCTAGAATTGGATCGACTGTGAGATAGGTGGAGGGTTGTCCCATCTTGAGTGGGTGTCCCAAGACTGGGAATGAAAAGAGGTTGTACGAATTGACTGGATATCTTTGAGTGGGGTCTGTACAAGCAAATATTTGTGATCCTGTTGCTCCAGATAGCAGTGTGACAAGATTGGTCGATTGTGTTACAAAGTTGTTGAATGGTTGGGAAGACGGGCTGACAAGAGTACGACTAGAAAACAATAAAGTTCTAGTGGCACCCGATTTAATGATTGGTAGTGTAAAAGTGTTTGTAATAGTGGTTGGAGCAAACGAGTTGGTTACAGTCACTTTTGGTGCCATTGAAAAGTCACATACACGATTCGGATCGACCAATACCGACAATACAAAGGTATAGGTAGACGTGTCGTATCGATTCGATCCCTTTGTCACATTACTAGGCCAGTTTCCAGCAAATGCATAACATTCACTATTATCAACCGTCACAATGTATGGTGTCATCATATAGATCGCACCCATAGGTGTACGACTATAACTATCACCTTTAAAATTAACAACAATCGATGATAAATTTGAATATGCATTTAATAATGTTGGTATTATATAATTTGGTTCTAAAAGAGGAATAAATAAATAAATAAATGAATAATTAATTAATATTATGTATTATCTTTTTTTCTTTTTTCTTTTTTTCTTTCATACTTGAACAAATTAAAGGTATATCATAATAAGATAATAAACCAGTAGATTCAGCTATAAATGTGATGGTGTATGTTTTTTGAGGTGGGTCTGTTGCGGGATAATCAAAGCGCAGTTGGAAATCACATCGTGATAGTTGTGTAGGTACTTGTTGAACCGATGTACATGATAGTGATGAAGCTGTAACATTGATGTCGATTGGTGACGTCAGACCACCATATTGGTTAGCTCCGATAGATTGAGCATTGTAGTACGAGGTACACGTCTGACTAGCACCATCAAACCATGGAGACCCATATATCTCTTGAGGTTTGACTAATATATCTACGTGAAACTGTGCTTGTACTACTAGTACATCTACATTGATCATCAAACCGATGATGGCAATACCCAACAGTAATAAATGTAAACTCCTATTAACTGTTTTCATTGCAATCAGGATATCTCTAGTTATCTTTTTCTCTCTCTCTTCTTTTAAGATGTAGTTGTCGTATAAAAATGAGGAGACACGAAAACCCCAACAAAGGAAGATATTTCTACATTTGCTCGCATCTAAAGAATTGTTTTTCCAATGCACACAAGAGGTAGGAAGAATAAGAATGATGATTCAGTAGAAAAGGGGGGTGTGCTGGTACTCACTAAATTTTTAAGTTTTATCTCCTTGTGAAAGTTATAAAAGAAAAGTTCCATAAAATAGGAATACAAATAATAAGGCCGAAAATGTTCAAAATTAATACGGTACAAGGTTTTCTCAAGTCCTACTTAAGAGGGGAAACGAATACCTCAGAACGAAGCGGACCCATAAACAACCAATGTAGAGAACCGCAATACGATAGCTATCTCATTCAAGAGTTGGAACCAAGTCGGATTGTATCGAAACACTAAACCAATTGAATACTCTTACAAGGGATAGATCACAAACCAACAATAAACTCCAACTCGAAAATAGAGAATTTCATGTCGACTACACACAACATATCAAAACATCAAATCAAGAATTGAAAGATAGATCACAAACCAACACCAAACTCCAACTCGAAAATAGAGAGCTTCGTAACTACTACACAAAACGTATCGACACACTCTATCAAGAATTGAAAGAAAGATCACAAACCACCGCCAAACTCCAACTAGAAAATAGAGAACTTAAAGACAACTACACAAAACGTATCGAAACACTCTATCAAGAATTGGATGCACTTAGAAAGGATAGATCAAAAACCACCAGCAAACTCCAACTTGAAAATAGAGAACTTCAAGACAACTACTCAAAGGAAATCAACCAACTCAAACAACAAATAGAAAATCTTGTTCAAGAGTTGGAATCAATGTATGAATTTATAGTTGATAGATTTTAAATTTAGAATTATTTATAAATCATCTGTTATTTGCTATTGTTAAATTTAATAAAACTTTTTATAATCTCTTTTAAATTAATTTAATTTGACAAAAATTACATTATTCTTTATATCTTTTGTTAACAGGTTTGTTACTATCACTCGAGAAAGCGCTCGAATACTATCTCGTAACAATTAACAAACCATTACAGGGGGTGTAATGGAAGAAAGACAAACTAGACCAACCTATCAGATTGGGTCAAGATGTCCTCTCTGTAGGGAGGACTATAGCAAAGAAATGCACAAGTTGGACAACCATATTATACATTGCTTCTTGTATCTCATCGTTGACATGGATCGTCTCGACACTGTAAAGGAGACTATTAAAGAGATAGAGATTGACGAACAGATCAAGAAGAATGAGAGGGAGAGGGAGATGGTCGGTGAGAACAAACATCAAACTTTGACAAGACAAACAAGAAATTGCAACCAATCATTAATACTACCCTTAGAAGGAGATTATAATAATACAAGACTAAAGAGAAAAAAGATTCAAATACTTTATACTCTACAAAAACAACAACAACAACAACAACATCAAATCATTATTGTAAGATAATTAATTAATTGAAACTAGATAAAGCTACTAAATGATTATCATAATATTATTGTGTGTTGTGTTTATACATGTAACTAGTTCAAAATTCATTATTTAGAATATCAATGATATCAATAATGCATCTTGAAGATTATAATCAAAGAGTAATGAGATTGTTAATGACTTGTAAAGATGCAATGCAATGGAAGGATAGTGTAGTATTCCCAAGACTACCCTCAATTAATACAATAACATCTTACAAGAATGATGGGAGGATCAATCAAATACCAAAACGATTCCATCGAGTATCTATCAGGGATGTTGAGGGTCGAGATTATTTCAAAGAGAATCAAGATGGTTTAATCAATCACCATTGTAAAGTACTGAATTATAACATTTTCAATGATAATCTACCAATACTGCCTGCTGGATTGATACCAGATCACTTTACAAAGATTATAGTTTATGGACTGATCGAGGTTGGATCAATCCCACCTTTTACAACTCACCTCTATCTAGAGTCAAAAACAAGTGACCGACAAGAGATTTACAAACAACTATTCCCAGAAACATTAGAGGTACTAGATATCTCAAATGGAGTGATTGGGAAATCAAACTCTAATATTGATGATCTTTTACCACCCAATATAAAGAAACTTTTTATAGAAGCCTTTTTGGTACATCCCTATCTCTTTAAACTCAAACAACTCAATTGTCTCACCATAAAAAAAGTCTGTGATGTTTACTATCATCATCATACCAAAGTAAATCGGGACGACAAAGTAATAGATATTCATTTTGGTACTTTACCAAATACCATCACCTATTTGGATCTGAATAATTGCAAGATCGAGCCTGGATACACTATTCCATCGAGTGTAAAGTACCTCAAAGTAAATCTCTATAAAAACTCACCTATGTGTATTCCTTTATCTGTCCAGTGCCTCTATGCCTCTTGCCATCTAGAACCAACAACACTCTTGGCAGGATCCATTCCCTTATCGGTCACTACTCTTTTTTTAGATGGCTATTTTGAGGTTGAAAAAGGGGCTATCACATCTTCTGTGACTACCTTGGGGCTGGTTGATACTGATCCACCAAATTATTCAAACTTGCCAGCAGATAGTATTTCCACACTATTTATCATTGGACTCAAAGACCAACTCGATGCAACACTATACCCAAAGAGTATAAAGTATTTTGGTATTTATGGTGAATATGAATTCGCACTCAAATCATGTATTCCACCATCGACAAAATATTTTGACTATCAAAATTCTGATACATCAAAAATTAAATTCCATTCAAATGATATTCCAAATGGAGTTACTCATATTAGATTGGGTAAGTAAATCTAAATTAATTCAAATTAATTAATATTTAATGTTTATTTTTTCCATTATTTATTTAAAGGTTGTCAATTTGATGAATCTTTAGTACCTGGATTTATTCCAGATAGCTGTGAATATTTAGAATTTTCATCCATCTATGATAGAGAACCATTTTGGTGGTCTTGCCAAAGAGTTTAAAGACTGTCAGCTGCAATCCTGTTTAAAGATTAGCCAAAATATCCCTCAATCTATCAAACAAACATGTTCAAACAGGGGTCATGCCGGTATTACTAATTGGGATCTAGATGATTTTTGGGAAATAGATGAATGGCATTTAGAAATTTAAAAAAAAAAAATACAAAGAAAAATATTAAAAATATTTTGATGATCATTAGTTTAACATGCTATTCATACATATTTTATAATTTTAAATGAATCAATTACCTTTATATATACAATCGATTATATTATTTAAATTTAATCCTCATTTTGGTTTGAATGATACAAGAACCAAAGTACAATTATCTCATGAGGATACCTATTGTATCTCTGCATCACGTACATTGTCGAGGAGTAGTGTAGCTCCATTGTTTCTAGTCTCTAAACATTGGTTTAGTGTACTTTCTACGATGGCTTCTCGTACAGTATCTCTGATTACCATCGGTGGAATGAACAGCCATCTCTCATCACCACATTCGTTTCTCTCACTTGAAAGTATACAAACACTTCAAATCACAAACAATAATATCGATGAAACAAACATCGAATCGGTACTAAAGTTGTTGAATCACATGACATCACTCGTATGCATACAATTCAGTAACGCATCACAATCCTATGATATCAAAGCTATCATATCTCTATTGAAACAAGGCGGCATCAATAAGAAGATCAAATTTAAAGGTTTAATTTGGTTATATCAACAAGAAATAGATCAATTCAATCATAATTATGATAAAGACGAATTGGAGATTGTGGAGTTATTGTTTCACCATTCTTTTGATGATCAGAGATACTTTCAGATTGTAGAGAATGTGAGACCGACAACTGTCAATTGTTATACATCTGGTAATGCATGTATGTCATATGACCGACTTTTTAGAATAGATAGTATCACCGACCTCGATGTGACTAGCACTCCTGTCCCATTCAAATTTATAAACGTTGCATTGCAATCAAAGTCACTTTTATCACTCAGACTAAAGGCACCCGTACACACTTGGTTTCAAGAGTCTGCACCAACCGTCTCGATTGACTGCAACTTGACCATGCAACAGTATTCAGTGGCAAGATCACGTCATGGTACAAGTGACTATGGGTTTGTTAAAACGATCGACACGGAAACTGTCAATCCATCATTGATAGAATTTTCAAGACTATTACATACCAATCAAACATTGACACGTCTTGAATTCAAATCATATTGTACTCGTGATCACACTAGTAGTAGTAGTGGTGGCAGTGGCAGTGATGAGTCAAGGTACTCTCCAAACAAAATACTCACCGATTGTTTTGCCACTCTGTTTGAGAATAATCAAACATTAAAACATCTCAGTTTGGCAGAGGTTGATTATTTGGATCAAAGATTCTTTTCATCCCTTGCCACCTGTAAATCTTTACAATCTCTTGCCATTTTATTTAGTGACTCTACCCATCAATTCAAAAAACAGAGTGTCGAATGGATCTCTCAATCATTGCCGTTCAACAAATCACTCATTCTTTTAGATTTACATTTATCCAATTCTACTACCGATACCAACCTTTTAGAATCATTAACCAATATTCCAAATAGAAATTATTTAGTAATTGTAAAAAATTCTCAATCAAAAAATAAATATATTATTTAATTCAATCAATCTTTAAAATGATAATATAATTTTGTTTTTTTTTTTTTGGACTTTTTAAACCGTTAATTTAATAAAAGGGTTTTATTTATAGTATTTTTTTAAATTGGATAAGATTTAATTTTGGTTTTTTTTTCCAATTTTACATAATTTGATGTTTTCTCTGTATGGATCTAATGAAAATCAATGAAACCTAGCTCAATCGATAGGGAATTGAGTGGAGAACAAGAATTATACCTAAAAAACGATCAGCCGAAAAAAAATGGTGTGTTTATAACACACAAAAAAGTGCACCAACCGAGAATCGAACTCGGATCGAATCCGTGGCAGGGATCCATTCTACCATTGAACCATTGGTGCTTAATGAAAGATTTTTGGGGTCTTGGTCTTTTGACATAAAAAATTTTGGTCTTTTTTGTTGAAAAAATCTCTCGTTCTTTAAAAGACCACAAACTCTGTTTTTTCTTTGTAATATTTACTCTATCTACCCCACTGTCTTTGTTGGTTTGTTCATCTTTTAACCTTTTTTTATCCCATATTCTCATTTCTAGAATTTTCTATCAAAAGTTCAACTTATATATATCTCCTCAAAAGTATATATATATAAATTTATTTATAGAGATCAAGTTTAAACAGACAACATTCCTTTTCAATGTACTCTAGACACTCAATGACCTTTTAGCGCCTCCATAGTACCATTGAGATAAAATATTAGGTTAGGTGGTACTTTAGTTGTGCTCTAACTCTGCAATTCTAATTCTGACATTCGATGACCCTATTCATATCAAGTAGAATTAGTTCCCTTGACTTTACGAAAGAAAAAAAAATAGCCTACTAGTAATTTTATTGTTTTAATAAACTATCAGTTTCTATACAAAGACAAAACATTCTAATTTTTATTTTTACTAGTTTATTCTTTATCAACTCAAATTATCTAGCAATACTAAAAATGGATGTTTCATAGGTTTTAAAAAAATGGTTGAATGGGAAAGAAACCTTTTCCCATTATAGTTCTCTTTTTTTTTTTTTTTGTCCAACTATTTTTGAATGGAAGAACATACAATACATGAACATGTGTTTCTATCATCATGTTAAACAGTCAATAGAATTACACAATTCTCATGTTTCCCAAATTTTAAAACTGTTAAAAAGTATTTTAAATTAAATGCGAATCTCTCGTTTTTTTACACCCGAATTTGTTCAAATCGGTAAGTATCAAATATTACTTTTCATTGCATTGATAGATATAGGAAGTCAAAAGATGATGAAAACATCATTGCGATCAATATTTAGTATTGGTCAGATAAACATACATACAACATCAACTCTTTGTTCAAAGTACTTTTCATCATCTTCATCAATCATAGACAACAAAAGTCGCAGTAGTAACAACAACAATGGACAATACAGCAACAACTCATACTTGATATCAAACAAACCATTGTTTATTAATCATACGATTACAACAACACTAACACAACAAATGCAAGCAATGACATCAACCAGTATGTTGACAATCAACCCTTATTGTCAATCATCATTTGATAAAAGAACGATGATTAGTAAAGTCAAGAAACAACTAAAATTGGAAAAGCATAGACGATACAAACAAACAATGAACGAGAGAAAGGCCGAAAGAGAATCGACAGACATGTCATCACTACCAAAATCAGATCTATCACATGATCGTATGATCCCTAAACTCAAAGTAATGATTGGTAACAAACAAACAAATATCATTAAAGAATCTTCAAGATCAAATTGGCATATCAGACAACAACAACAAAGAGAAAAGAAAGAAAATGATAGTAGTAATGGTAGTACTACTATAGGAGTAAACAAAGAATTTAAAAATACGGGCTATGATGCAAAGGTTTTAGAAATGATTCAACAAAAGAAATTGGGACGTGTTAGAGTTGATAAACCAAAACAAGGTAAAACTAAATTAGATGTACTTAGAGATGAAGCTAGAAAAGATATTCCCAATGTAAATATAAACAAACCAATGACAATATATATATATATATATATAAATATATTAATATTAATATTTATTTCTTTCTTTTAGTACTTTCATTCAAAATTTAAATTTATTGGAGCAGCAAAAAAGGAAGATTCATTATTACCGGAATCAGATACACCAGAGGTAGCATTTATTGGTAGAAGTAATGTTGGAAAGAGTAGTTTAATTAATGCTATTACATTGAGAGGATTGGCAAAGACATCGGATAAACCAGGATTGACACAATCGATCAATTGGTTTGAACTTGGGTCGACGTTGCGATTGGTCGATTTGCCAGGTTATGGATTTGCATTTGCCAAACAAGAGAAATCAGATACTTGGAATCAACTAAGTGTCAACTATCTCACCAGTAGAAAGAGTCTCAAACGTGTATTTGTCCTAATAGACTCTAGACATGGTTTCAAAGATAGTGATCGTCAACTATTGGATATCCTTGACAAAAATCATACTCATACTCAAATAGTTCTCACCAAAACTGATCTATCTGAACAATTGGATCTTGCCAAAAGATTTACTTTGGTCGCCAATGAAATTAAACATTATAGACATGTACAAGATCCAATCTTAATGGTAAGTAGTAAAACTTATAAAGGTATAGCCGAACTAGATACAATTATAAAAAGTTTTAAATTACGTATCAAACCAACAACTCTACCAACAACAACGACAAATATTAAACAACCAAAAGATGAAGCAACAAAAACAAAAATAACAAATAATAATAACAAAAAAAGATTAAAAAAATTAGAACAATTAAAAAACCTAATTAAAAAGAATCCAAATCCAACAAATAATAAATAAATAAATAAATCCAAATACAAATACAAAATACAAAATACATCCTTGCTTTTAAATTATTTAATTTAAAATAAAATTAATTTGATTTATTATTATTATTTTAAATAATTTACTTGTAAAGCTTACCTTGGAGGAACTTCTTACCGCCGAGGAGACCATCCCAAGCAAAGTAATCTTCGACGAGGGTCTTGGTGGTGGCGTCAGAGACGTCGAGTTCCTTCCAGTCGTAGACGAGGTTGTCATCACAGTCGAGGAGATCGGCTGGGAGACCCTTACCACGGAAGATCCAGACACCAGAGATTTCTTGGTCCTTCTTTCCGTCATCTTCACCAGTAATCAACATGGAGCAGAAAGCGTACTTGTGGAGGGTTTCGAGACGTTGGAAGAAACCACCGATCAAGTTGGAGGTCATGAAAAGTTGACCGAGTTCCTCGTTGTACTTGTAGGTAGAGAGGAAGACAGAGAAACCTTCAGAGTCAAAGTTTTGCCAGAACCATGGGAGGGCGACGGCACGGGTCTCATTGTTGGAGTACATACGCTTCCATTCTTCAAGGTTGAACTTGGATGGTGGGAGGATGGAGAGTGGGTGTTGCTTACGTGGAGCTTCATCTTCCTCTTCGTCGTCGTTCTTGGCAACGACTTCCTTCTTTGGAGCCTCCTTCTTTGGCTCTGGCTTGGGGGCAGCTTCCTTCTTTGGCTTTTCCTCCTTCTTGGCTTCGGCCATGACGGTGGCAAACTTGACTTCTCCCATGACGGACTTGAAGTTTGGTTGGTTGATGCAGGTGGTGAACCAACGGTTGACGTTGACAAATGGTGAACGGAAAGATGGGTCAAAGACCATGGTGTAGAAGGTCGAGAGCGAACAGGCGACGACGATATCAGCCAAGGAGACACGTGGACCAACGAGGAAAGAGGAGGTCTTGAGGTGGTTGTCCAAGGTGGTGAGGAGACGCTTGACGTTTTCCTTGGCCTTTTGGGTGGCTTCTGGGTTGAACTTGACAAAGCCCATGATTGGGTACAACCAGGCGACGGCAGAGGCTTCAACTTCGTTGGTGGCAAAGTCCAACCATTGGTCAATGACGGAGGCTTCGTAGGCGTCAGATCCATAGATCTTACCACCGAGACGAGCGACGTAACGGGCAATCGAGTTGGATTCAAAGATGGATCCCTTTTCGGTGACCATGACTGGTACCTTACCGTGTGGGGCGACCTTTAAGAATTCAGCAGACTTGCTGTCCTTTTGGAAATCAAAGGCTGGGACTTCAATTTCAACACCAACATACTTGGCAGCAATCAAGGCCTTGTAAACACGTGGGTTTTGTGGGTAAGAGTAGATTTTCTAAAAAAAAAAAAGAAAAAGTAAATAATATGAGGGAAGAAGATTATATTAATATAATTGTACAAAGTAGAGTTGAGTATAGTATATGTTAAGAACATATACGTATACATTGTTGTTTATAAACTTGTTTACATACCATAGACATCTTTAAGAGTTTGAATCAAAAAACGATAACAACAAAATTAGATAATACAAGTAAATGAATTAATGAGGGTGAGAGAAGCAAGAGAGTTCGTCGGGAAAAAAAATAATTAAAAAAAAAATTAAAAATGAACTTTTTTTATAGCTGACGGATCGTACTTCAAAAAAGTATGTGGGAAGAGACGACCAACCAACCGTACTGAGAATATACTTGTATTAAAAATGTTAAAGATGAAGATGTAATGATAAAAAAATATAATTATTATTATATTATATTATTTATTAGGGGGTTTAGGGTTCGGGGGTAGTAGTTGCGATAATCAACTTTTGGTTTGTTTGAAGTTCAAACAGTTTTAGAGATAAATCAAATTGATGAGATATCTCTTGGTTGGTTTTGGTTGGCGAATATATTATAAGGGGGTGAGTGAGGGTGAATATTTAAATGATTAAATGGTGATTTTAGATATTATTATTATTATTATAGATATTATTATTATTATTATTATTATTATTATTATTATTATTATTATTATTATTAATAGGGGGTATTATTATTATTACTCAATGTTTTGTTTGTACAGGGGCAGGCAGGCTTGGGGTTGGGGAAAAACTATTTACAAAATTACTTTCTTTTCTTTTCTTTTAAGAACGACAAACACCAGTTTGACGAACTGGACTAGTTGGAGGAGAAGTCAAACAATTTGTAGATTGTCCTTGTTGTTGGTTGGCCATTGCAATACTAGATTTGGCATAGCATGTTCGACAGACTGAAATGTAGGATTCGGCACCACCAATGAGTTGTACTTCGGTACTGCTAGTCATACGTTTGGAAAAGGCTGCATCTTGATAGCAAATCATACAGACAGCATGCAACTTGGTGACATTTTCGGCGAGTGGGATCAATTCAAGAACCGATCCAAATGGACGACGTTGAAAAGTACCATCCAAAGCTGCTACAATTACAATCTTTCCAAGATTTGCCATAGTTTCACAAAATGATACAATGTCTGGGAACTAAAAAGAAATTAAAAAATAAATAAATAAAATGAGTAAATAGGAAAAAGAATAGATTTATGTTTTGACTTACAAATTGACCTTCATCAACACCGATGACATCAAATTGAAGACAATCAAGTTGAACATTTTCTAATTTGTCACATGGGACGGCAGCCCACATTTGATGGTCGTGTGTTGACATTTTCTCGACCGAGTATCTAGTGTCGCCTTGGTACTTGATGACTAGACACTTTTTGTTGGCAATGGTTTGTCTTCTGATTCTACGTAGTAATTCTGTTGATTTGCCTGAAAACATTGGGCCAAAAATAACCTCTATTGATCCTGATGGTACATTGAATGATTCCATTTTAAGTTGATTGAGTTGAACAAGTAAATAAAATAATAAAAAAAAAGATTGATTTGGTAAATAAATCTAAATCTCTTTGTTGTTGTAAAAAAAGTAATAATAATAATAATCTAAAGAACAAGAAGAGAGGAAAACAATAAAATGAATAGAGAGGAAGGAGGAAGCATCGCTGCAGCAAGAGCTTACACAGAGAATATCTTGTCAAAAAAAAACAGTTCTTGTAAATTTTAATAACTGTCATTTTTGGCGCCGATTTTTTGAATTTGAATATGAGCTCATTATCTTTTCTTTATTAATATTTTTTAAAGAGGAGGTATTGGGAGGAATCTTTTAGGAAGAATAACAATAAAATGACCATCGCACCTTGATGCATTGACTAGTTCTGTAGAGATATCAGAGTCAAAGGTGATAACTTGGTTAAAGTGACCATATCGTATCGGAGAATGGCCGACCGATGTTTGTGGAACCTTAACATAAGAATCATTTGGACGTTTGTAATCTTCTTTAGTACCACGGATTACTAGTGTTCGGCGATCAATCATTCCAACTTGAACATCTAATTCTGATGGTGAACCTGGTAGTTCCATACTGACAATGAATGAAGTGTCTCCAGACAACACATCATATGACGGTGAGAATTGTGGTAGAAACCCAATAAGTCCCATTCTGTTGTTGTTGTATTTAAATATTGATAATAACTGGTTCCATTCAACTCGAGTGCATGCAGCAGCGAGGCTTCTTTTATAGAGCCAAATATTAATCTCTAAAATTTTAAGTCATCATCATATTATGATCGGTTCTTTTTTTTTTAAGCCAAGTATTTTTTCTTTTTATTTTAATTTAGAGTAATGTACTTATTTCCATAGCTAGATAATATAATAATTATCTACATTTTATTTATTTATTTTTATTGAATAAAAACCTTCAAAGGAGCAGAAGTGTTTGGAGTTTTTTTTGGAAGAGTGATGACGAGAATACCATCATCAAATGATGCATTGACTTTTTCGGGTAATATAATAAATATATTTATTATACCTAATACTAGTGTGCTACCACCAGTGGTGGACATCTAATTCAAAAGAGATAGTCTTGGTAAAAGGACCATATTTTGTTTTTCTAGGAGGAGTAGTAGTAGTAATAGTAGGAGTATTTGTAGTAGTTGGTGTAGGTGAAACGAGTTGATAGGTATGATTTGGGGATTTAAGGAAATCTTTCTTGTCACCGCTGATAGTGATGGTTCGGGCATCTATCATTTGAATGTTTACTTCTGATTTGGGAATACCTGGTAGTTCCATTCTGACCATGAATGTATCATGATCCTGAAATGCATCATATACGGGGTCGAAAGAATATAACTCTAAAACTTTACTAAGAAAAAGCATTATGAGTGTACTATTATTTTTGATCAATGAATGATTTCTATTTAAACCAATTTTAATCTCTAAAATTATAAGTCTAATTTCTTTTTGATGCCACCCTTTCCTTTTTTGCTCAAAAAAAACTGTGATGGAAAAAATAACAAAAAAATGAAAATAAATTATTCGTTCGTTAATCTAATTTATCGATTAGAAGAACTTCTTAATTTTTTCGTCAATTCATTACATTATTACTTTATCAAATATAACTAGTTAGAATGATAAATAATAATAATAAAAACAATAACAATAGTAAAGATGATAAACAAAAGATAAATGAAAAGTTTCAATTTATTGATCAATTCCCAATCCCATACGCTTTGAATGGTGATATAGTAGAAAGATATAGACATGAAAGCGGGTATGCTATTTAGACACGTACACACAACCACACTATACCATACATTGATACTTACATTCACTCTTTTCTTTTTCTTTTTCATCATTTCTACTAGGATGATAGTAATAATACATAAATGTGCAGGACCAAAATTAAATGCAGCAATTGTAGTACCGACAGAAGCAACCAATGACAAGGGATTGCCCCATACGTTGGAGCATTTAATCTTTGAGGGAGGAAGAGTGGTACCATATAGAGACTTTATCGAGGTGATGGCGTATCGGTGCTATTCTGCACCATCCAATGCATACACATCTGAAGATCATACATGCTATCAGATCGAGTCGGTCGGTCCGGATGGCGTCATTTCGTATCTGCCCACGTTGTTGTCGTTTGTGCTTAGACCCATGTTGCGACAAGAGGACTTTGTGACTGAGATTTATCACATTGACGGACACGGTGCAGAGCAGGGTGTTGTCATGTGCGAGATGCAGGCTCGAGAAAACACACCAGAGGATTTGACCGAGCAGAGTTTGATTGGTATGCTCTACGAGGGTAGTCATTACTCGCGGTCTTATGGTGGGTTGACACCCGAGATTGCGCAATTGACAAACGACGAGATTCGCGAGTATCACGGTCGTTACTATCATCCCGAAAACATATCGATTGTGGTGCAGGGGTGTGTAGACACTGAGCGATTGTTGGACGCACTTGCCAACGTCGATATGGGTGATGGTATAGTCGGAGTGGTTGGCAGTCCTTTCCACGACGCCAAGTCACCCGTCTATCTCCCATGGATGGAGGAAATCCCACCACTCGTCGATTCAAAAGTACAAACTATCCGATTCCCAAGTGACGATGAATCGGTTGGATCCATCACCATGGGTTGGAGAGGTCCCCATATTCAAGATACTCATACCCTTACAGCTCTATCTGTCCTCACTCGATACCTCAATGGAAATACCTCATCCCCTCTTCCACAAGAATTTGTTCACATCTCCTCTCCCCTTGCAAATAATATCTCATTCTTTGTTCAAGAAGTTAAATCTACAAAATTGGTTATAGAATTTTCTGGTGTTCCTTTTAAAAAAGAAAAGGAATCTGAATCTGAAACTGAAAGTGAAGATGATGAAGATGGAGAAGGTGAAGAAGAAGAAGAAGAAGGAGATGAGGAAGAAGGAGATGAAGAAGAAGGAGATGAGGAAGAAGAAAAGAAGAAGAAAAAGAAAAAGATAATGTTAAAATGGAAACAGAAGAAAAACAAACTAGTCAAGATAAAGAAAAAGAAAAAGAAGAAGAAAAAGAAAATTATTTGTAAGTTTTAAAAATATTTATTAATTATTAATTTAATTATTTATTAACCCTTTTCTTTTTTTATTTTATTTGTTTAGAGAACCAAATATAATTTATAATAGATTAATTAAATTATTAAATGAATTAAAAGAGAATGGATTAGGAAAAGAATTGATGAATCAAGCAATTGATAGAGAAAAGGTAAAGATTTATGAAGGATATGAAGAAGATCCAATGGGAATGGTATTTGGTACACTTTTGAGTGATATTTGTTTCCCACCACACAATGCAAAGACGGTAGAGGAAGCAAGAGCAACGAAAAAGGATATTTCAACTAGATTTGATATGCTTGAAAGTTTGGACAAGTTGGTTGATGTGGATCGTAGTTTTTGGGTGGATTTGTTGGATCGATACATTTTAAATGCTCATCATGTCGAAGCCATCATGGTACCAGATCGTCAATTGGCCGTTGAAATGGGTGAATCGACAAAGAATCGTCTTGCTGAAAGATGTTTACAACTCAAAGAAGAAGGTCTCAAACAAAAGGATGAATACTTGAAAGCATGCATTGAAAGTAACAAATCATTCCCAGAGTCGTTTAGATCAAAGTTGCCTGCCACTATACCACCCATTAAAAATATTCCAATGATTCCATTGACCGTTGGTTATGAATATTCAGAAGATTGGACCATTCAAAAGGTTGGCATCAACACTAGATTCCCTCAAATCTATACATACTTTTATTTGCAAGAATTGCCAGGTCATCTCAGACCTTATCTCACTATATTCAACAGTTTGTTGTTTGAGACAGACATTGTGACAAAGGATGGTACGCGTATCGATTACAAGGAAGTGTGCGAGCTTATCTCAAGAGAGACAGTTTCGCTTGAAGGTGGATGCGGCTTTTCAAGTGGTGTGTTTAGTTGTTGGACCGCCGAGTTGTTTAGAGTGGTTGGTACATGCGAACCAACCGAACAGGGCGTACAGAAACTGGTACATTGGATGACCAACTGTCTGTTCAACATGGATATTACAAAGAAGAGGTTGGTCAGTGTTGTTAATAACCTCTTGACGTCACTCAATGAGACGAGTCGTGACTCTTCGTCTGTTTGCACGTCGTATTCGGCGTATCAGCTGATTGGAGACACAAAAAACAGCAATGAAGGACAAATCTCAATCTATGAGCAAAAACATTTCTTGACACATCTCAAAGCACAACTCAAACAAGACAAGGAAGAGCCGTTGGCACAGATCGTTGCCAATATTCTTGGTATCCAACAACACATGTTGTCCAACCCGTACAAGATGTTTGTGCAGATTGCATACACACCATCAATGCCATTTGAAACAATCAATACCATCTTTACAAAGGTGTGGAAGGAGCAGGTCGCTCAACACGCAGTCATTGGTTCATTGTCTGACGTGCGTCGCTATTATGAGCATACGGGTGACAACCGTCTTCCAGGACAGATCGAGTTTTTCAGTCCACTCGCAAGACACCCTGTGCGTATCCCCGCAACCACCGTCGCTCATCAAGTCGAGATTAAGAGTTCCGAAACCAACAACATGACACAGATGGTTGATTTCCCAATTAAACTCGTACACGCCGACTATGCGCCGTCGGCACTACTATGCGATCTCTTCCATTCCAAGGAAGGAGAGATCCGTAGCAAGGGCTATGCCTATGGCAACAGCCTTACCATCGACACGACCAAGTCGATTATCAGCTTCTCAATCACCGATGCAACCAACCCGGTCAAAGCACTAGAGTGTTTCCACAAGTTCCTCATAGAGTTGCCCGCCAAGATCAACGAGTTGGCAGCACCCTATGAACTCGAGACCACTGTCTCTACCGAAGTCTATGACTTTTATTCAACAAAGACAACACCATCCGAGGTTATCTACGAGGCTCACATGTCACTCTTTAAGGGACTACCCTCACTAGACTCTGACATTAACCTATTGGCCCGGTTCCAAAAGGTCACAGCAGCAGACATTCTCACAGTCTACCACAAATACTTTAAATATTTTATCCCACCTTGCAAACGTACCGAAGCCACTGTTGGTGCCTATCCCTATCTCAACGATCACGCCTTTTACATTGCCGCCACCAATCCCTCTTCGTCGGCCACTTTTACCACGCAGTTCAAATCAGAGTTTGACGTACAATTCAAACAAACACCCATTCCCACACTCTTTAAAACCTTTAAACCTCCTAAATTGGTTGGTTTACCAAAAGAAAGAAATATGACAAGACCAAAACCAAAACCTCAAATTGGTGATGAATATATCGTAGAAGAAGATAGTCAAAGTAAAAGCACTAGAAAAAAGGTTAAAAAACAATAAATGTAAATAATAAATAGATAGATAACCAATCAATCAAAAAGTCATCACTAGGATGGATACATGGGTGGTGTATAAATTAATTAAAATATATGTATTTTAACTATAATAGTTTTAATTTATTTAATTTTATTGTTTGTTTCATTTATTCTTGTTGATGGAATGAAAAAGTTAAATAGTAAAGACCATTGGTATAGGTATCGATAAAAGTAGTATCTTGGTTTTGTTGAGTTGGAACAAAGGTACAATTGTCAAATGGTACTGAAAGAGTGACGGATGAAGAGAGGGTAAAGTAGACCAAACCTGGTTGCAAAGCCTTGGATGAACTTGAAACGACAATGTTGGAAGAGTCAAAGATGATTTGGTTGGTGACAGAGACTGGGACTTGTTCGGAACGCTCAGAGAGAGTGTCGAGGACAAGATTCAAGGTGGATCCTTGCCATGCAGACAATTCATTTTGGATGATCAATGGACCGTTGGTGACGTTCATTTGACTGTTGTAGAGTTCGACATAGTTGACGGTCGAAGCACCTAAAAAGATGATTTGTGAATCTTCAGAACCGACAATCGACGATGTAATGTTGGAAGAGATGATAAGGACTTGAGAGTTGTCAGTGGCGACGGTTGGAGCAGACATGATGGTATTGTTCAAGATGATGAGAGAGTTTGGTGAACCCATGACTCTGGAGGTTGGGTAGAGGTTGATATGAGAGTTGGTAAAGTTGAGAGTGGCAGAGGCACCGGCAATGACAAACAATTGAGCGGCACCTGGAATAGAGTTGATTTCACAGTATACACTGCAGACCAAGTTGATAGAGACAGAGGCGACACTGTTGACAGTGGCGACGGTGATGTTTTGGAGGGAGACGTAAAGAGTTTGAGCAGAGGATGATTGGAGACTGAGTTGGTTAATGCGACCAACACCAAAGACGGATTGGGCATCGTTGATGGTGATGGTACCGTCAAAGAGGACATTTCTAATGCTGGTAGAGTCACCACCAGAGACGGACAAGGTTGAACCAACTTCACCAACCAAAGTTTGAATGACGGTCGACGAAGTGTCGGTACCAAAGATTTCAAGACTGGTTCCAGCAGAGAGGTAATAGGTGCCGGTAGCGAGGATACTGTCGACGGCAACGTTGGCACCACTGACAAGAGTGATGTTTCCGTTGGAGATTATCGATGCGACAACGACACTGTTTGGTCCGATAAAAGTAACATTCTTGGCAGAGTTGAAAGCACCTCCCATGATGATACCAGAGACGACGGCGTATTCGTTGAGTTCAACACCAGATGATGGATCGGCACTGAAACTACCGGCAAGGGTGGCAACACCATCAATAGTAATAAGTGACCCTGGACCGAGGACAATAGCGGCGAGTGGAGTGGTAGTGGTAGTATTAGAGACGACAATGACAGCGTCGGTTTGGAGAGCAAGAGTTGAATAATCACCAATATACAAATCACCATCTACAATATAGGCAAGACTATCGGCAATATTAACGGTGGAATTACCAGTAATGGACATTGATCCACCAACCTTTCCAGCGGCTTGCAACTCGATAAAGAGTTGTCTAACGTTGTCGTTGATAATGGTCAATTGAGCGACATTGATTGGTTGAGCGGCAGTGATGATGGCAGCATCGAATAGACTAGTAGAGAAATCAATTACGGCGTTTTGTGTCGAGTCTGGGACTGAGCCACCAACCCAATTTGATGGATTAAACCAATCACATCCACTTGAACATGATCTAACTTCAAATTGTACTGATACTGGTGGTTGTTGTGAAATTGATGGATTAATTAAACAAATTATTCCAATTTATTATTGATAATATTATTTTCATCATTGTAAAGTGTGTATTTATATATTTATATGTATTGAATATTTATTAATATAGGTTATTATTATTAATATTAATGAATGATCATTTTTTTGTTAGACTGAGTTTGTATGTTTAAATAGCTTTCTATTCTATTTAATATGATTTAAATTAATATTAATTCGTTCTCTCGGTTTCATTCAAAAAAACACTTTAAGATATCTTGAAAAAATCTGGATTTGACGGCAATGAAAGCCCTTGGTTTTGCGCGTCTTTTCTTATAATATCTTTGATGAATTGAGTGGGTTTAGCCCAACCCATACGCCGTATGATGAGGTGTAATGTTGTTTATAGAGTTTTTTTTGGCTACCGAAAATATCTAGATTCATAGAGCTAAATGGGGAAATGGCAAATGATGAGATCGCGTGGTTCAGGGACAGTCGAGTTTAATCATATCATGTCAGATCAAAACAAGAGTAGTTTAATCAAATAATTTGATGATTTTGTGTTACCCTAACCGAGACTATTTGCACGTCATGCCCAGTGCTACAAAAATTATGAAATAATTGACACCAAATCACGAAATCACCAAATCATACTAGTTTTTGTTTGCTAGACTCACGAAAATGATAAAGAGTTTGCCGAAGAGGTTTCCTCTACCATCTTGACTATTAAAGAGTAGAACAAAAGTAGTTCATATTTTTTCATTGAAACAAGTATAGAAAATAGAAAAAAATGAAACCGAACGTCATAATTACTTATATTAATTATTTAATTTAATTAATTTAATTAATTTATTAAAATTTGATTTCATAATTTTTTCTATTATTTTGTAATTTATCATTTACAATTTTGTTATTACTATTTCTATACTTTAAATAATAATCTACAATATGTTGATGATTATTTGCAATGGCCAATTGCATATTTTCGACAGAGAAGATTTTTGATAGATGATACTTGAAATCCATATGTTTGATTAGATCTAATCTTCCATTGGTAAATGCCTTGATTAAAATATTTTTATTCAGTGATGGCACTAGAGGCAACGCACTAGCATATGACTGAATAGTATCAACCAAAGTTGTACTACCAATTGAACCAAGTACCGATCCTAATCTACTTGATGCAGCTGCACCCAAATGAGATGTACCAATAAATTGACAAACATAATGAATTATATCTTGTTGTTGCTGATATAATAAATGTTGATCTTCATCATTGTTGAAATTGATCAATTTGGTTGAATAAAAGTTGAAACAATAATCCAAAAGAAATCTATAATTTGATACGTTTTTATATTTTGTTCTATAGGCGTTGGTTTGTTGTTCTGTTGTTTGGGAATCGACTAGATAGTGTTTTAAAACATCGATTTTTGTAAAATACATTGCAAAATGTATAAATCTTTCTGGGTGCTCCCATTCAAAGCAATTTGAAAGTGATTTAAAGTTGCATACAATGAAATGGGTGACTGTTGGGTTATCTAGAATTCTACTATTATGTGTTGGTGTTAATGTGATTGGTAATTGTTGTTGTTGGTATAATGGGTGTAGTATACATTTAACCATTTCAATGTTACAAGTTTCAAGTGCCAAAACTACCAAATATTGTGGTCTTTCAGTGACTTGATAGAGTAGGATATCGTTGATGATTTGTTTGACAAGTTCAAAATCTAATGATTTAATGGGACGTTTTAGAATTGAAAATAATGATAATGGATCAATATATCCTAATGATTGAAGAGTATTGTAGGTTTCTAGTGTCACTGGAGCAGAGTCTGATAATGGGGTTGGAGCTACACCCTCGTCGACCAATTGTTGATGAAAACAGACGACATTTGATGGGAATGGTGACCATGCAGAACTTTCCAACAACATACGACTTGGGAATACTGTCAAAAGGTATTGACATAGACCTTCACCACCCATATTGGTTAATGAAAGTATACGACCCATTGCCTTTACATGTGAATAATAAATTTTATAATCTTTTTCCATTTCCTCCAATAGTACTTGTAATATTGCCAAACAAACTGACAGTTGAGAGAAATTATAAACCATTCCTTTATACTCTCCTTTCCAATCTTCTGATATAAACTTTTTTAATTTTGATTGAACAGATTCTATTGTAGTTGATTCAATCTTGTTTTGATAAACTTCAAGAATGATTTTAATTATTTCAAGTTGATTGGTTTGATTGATTGTTGGAATATCCAATGACTTTGAATTTGGTTCCTCTACAAAGAGAATTTTATCAAGTACAGCATGAATATACATTGACCAAGATTGAGAGGATAATTGTTGAAAACGATTAATTGATTTTTTCAAATCTTTTAAAACTCTTTTCATCAATACAATGTCTTTACAAAGAAAGAGAGCAGATACCAAGTCTTCTCCTTGTTTACTTAGAATAGAGATACCCTTTTCAGTGGTGAATTCTTGGTTAAAGGTATCGTACAAATATCTAAATACTTCGGTCTGACCATTCTTTAGTGCCAAATATCCCAGTCGAGCAATTTCGGTAGCAGCGGGAGCTTGTGTCAACATGGACAATGTAAATGGCTTGCCATTTCCAGATGGCTTACCTCTTGTATTACATTCATGTATTGTCGTTTTGAGTAGTTCCAATTGACCGGTTGATGCCAATGCACCCAATATATTTTGAGGATTGTTTGTTACGACAACCCACAATTGTGAACTCTTGTAATGTACCAATAATGGATTGAGTAACCTTGAATCATTAAAGATGATACCAAGTATAATGACATTCTTGATATTTGGTAATTGGTCTTGTTGTCTATAAAACTCTTCCGATCTTTTGATTAATTGAACGACGGTTTCATCCGACCATGATCCGAGACGATCAGCTGTAGCATATTTGACCCACATTGGTTTGGTAAAGTCGAGGTACATCCCTTTATGTAGTTTCTCTTGGAGCAGACCGACGTGACGATGTTTGAGTAACCACTTTACAGATAGTGCCGATTTATAGGTACGAGTGCCCAACGATGGGTGTTGGAGAGTGTATTGGTTACATCTAGACATACCAAAACAACTACGACTCTTGTGATACTTGTTGACTGGGATGACTGTCACCATGTAACAATCACGTGTGAATGGATTGCCCTCATGTTTGAGTTTATAGAATAGGTCAATCTTTCTCTGATCCTTGTCTGCATAGACCAACTTCATTCTATTCTCTTTTGCAAATAGTAGTGTATCATCTTGTGTCTTTTGAGCTACTTGTAAACGATTTATATAATAAACATAATCAACAATGATATTAAATAGATATCTATTAAATATTACAAATTTAAATGTTTGATTATTCATAATATAAAGAGTAATGATTAAAACTTAAAATTGATAATATTATCGTATAGTATAGTATTCATGATTGATGATGATGTGATGATGGTTTTAGCTAAAAGAAAAAAAAGTTTAATAATAATAAAATAAACTCAGCGAGCAAAGAAGAAGAAGATATCTTTCTTATTTATTTTTGAATTATTTTTTATTCATTGTTAGTAACAGTTTTGTGTGTATCTCACCTCTATAGATAAACAGATAGTTAAGAGATAATATATATATATATATATATATATATATATGATCATAAGAGTATCTGTCAATATTGTATACAATGAACCTGATATCTCTCAAATACAGCATATATATATTCACGATCATTAAGATTAATTAATTAATAACTTGATGACAATCATTCTATCTTGAAGAGATAGATGATCATCACACTTTTAATAATCAAATCTTTTATTGTTTGTTATTACTCTCTTTATTTGTATGTATTGCTATCGATCAAAATAATAATAGTAAAATAATAATAATAATTCTAAATATTCTTTTTTAATTAAATGTTAAGCTTTTTGGTATTCTCACCTCATCGACCTTTGCCTTTGGTATATGATATTGGATTTATTCAAACTTTTAATATTAATATTATTTGCCTTGGTCACGTCAATATTAAAATTATTTCCATTTATTATCATGGTGGTAGAAAATTAAAGGATCTTAAAAAAGTATTAAAGATAGGACGAATGAATGGTTGGACTTTTACTAGTCCAGATTCAAACGATCTAAAATTTGTACTAGACAAATTTTCTCAACCAGGGATTAATAATAATAATAATCAAATGCGTCGTCATTTGATCATCAATGCAACACATCAACAAAATGAAAGAACCGTCAAAATTATTCATCTCCAACCAATAGAACCAAAAGAAAAACAAGATGATGGAATGTATAGTGGATGTTGTTGTGAATGTTGTGGAGATTGTGATTTTAAGCCATTCACTTGGGTATGTGAAAAACTATTTGGTAAATTCCCCAACTTGTCTACTGGTATTCAATTTTTCAACAAAAAAATGTACAATGCTTATAAACAAGAGGGTATCAATGCTTTCAATGAAATTAATCAAAATAATATAATAATAATTAATAATTAATAATATTAATAAAATGAATTTTTTATATGATCAAAGGTTGTCGCTGAATGAATGCAAAAGATTATGATGTCGATCGTTGAGAGAGTGCACAACAATTCAAAAACAACAAAATGTGCACATTGGGAATAACATCACTCCATCACTCACTCATCATATGATAAAAGTCTAACAACAATCAGCTGATCAATCAATCTATCTATTACTCAATATAACCCTACGCATAGAGCAAACAAATTGATGATATACCACACACTTGTAAAGAAATCACAGCAGTGGGATAGATTTAATCATTGGTATATGGATCTCTCTCACTATAGTAGTAATGGAGTTTGGGTAATCACCTGTAGCTCACCTCATATGAAGAATATAGCGATTGAGGTTTAACCCACAATGTGGGTGTAAAAGGAATTAAAAAATTAGGTCCCCGCGGCAATCAATCACATACAGTACTCAATCAATCTCATTCATTGCATTGAATGGAAATGGTATACTGAGACCTCTCTCTGTTTTGATCATTGTATTTTAAATGTAACAATTTTAATCAAAACCTAGATTAATATTTTTTTAAATGGGTAAGATTAAAAAATAATATTATAGTTTTATGATATTTCTAAATCTATTGACACATTTATTTTAAATATTTAATATTATAGATAATAATATATTTTCGACAGATAAAGAAGAAGTTGGAATTGCATTTTCTGGTGGTGGAATTAGGAGTGCATCATTTTGTAGTGGTGTTTTAAAATGTCTATGTCTATTAAATATTTATAAAGAGAAAAGATTTGTATTTTCTTGTGTATCTGGTGGAGGCTATATTGGTAGTGGTTTTTGTTATATAATGTCACAAGAAAGTGATCCCCTAGGTAGATGGCGTGCTTACTCCAAGTTGGATGATCAGCTACGTTCCTCTAAAAACAATATTGGTTACCTCATCAATTTTGAAGGTGGTTGGTGGTTGTTGGACATTTTCGTCAAGCTTTTACCATTGCTATTATTTGCCTTGGTCACGTCAATCTTGAAGCTGTTTCCATTTGTCATCATTGCAACAGAGTGTCTAACTTTTTTTATTGAAAGTATTCCAATTTTTTGGGCATTTATATCGATTATCATCTCTGGAGCAGCAGCCACCATCCTCTGGGTAGCTTCAAAGATCCTTCTCTTATTAAAGCCCCACTCTAAAAGAAATGCCTCCGTTTTATGGATCAAAAATGCATTAAAGATACTGTTTATAATATTGTTTATTCAATGTTTTCTCACACTATCTGTCATGTCGGCCGATGCATTTAAAAAACTATCAATTGTTGTGGACGAATCGTTTGCATTGGGATTTAGTATCGTTTCAAAACTCGTCCAATTGTTTGGAGTCATAAAGTCTGGGGTACTCAGTCGACTTGCTGGACTGGTTTGGGTCATCTCTCTTGTTGGAATTATTACCAGTTGGAAATTAAAAGGAAATGCGCCCAACAATTTTCTGCTTTATGACCGATTAACCTACAACCATGACGTCTGGTTGATATTCTATTATATCAGTATCGGTCTCATTGTACTTTATCCATTTCTCACGTTGGTATATGATCGAGCCCTATCAAAGTACTATCGAGTGTCCATCACCAAATCATTCTATGGCGCCAATGTATCACCACTTGTCAGTTCTCTAAAAAACAGGAATAGATATATCTCTAATTTATCCTCCAATGCCTGGGTCCAATCATCCAAATTGTCGTCACATTTTATTATTTCTGTTGGTGATTTTGGACCTAGATCTGATTCCCTTGGTCAAAATGGTGCTAACCCTCCAAATTCCAATGTCGGGTACTCTACCATCAACATGAATGAACCTACCATTGCCAATATACATCCAATGCCATATCAAATATCGATGCCCTATTTGATGGCCAATTCTGGAGCTGCCATTGCACCAAACAAAAATCAGTTTGGCAGCGCTGAAAGTCAGCTAAAGATTACCAATCTAAGTTTGGGATCTTGGATGGGTCCACAGCAAGAAAGGACTCTCAAAAATGCATTGACATACATAGGCGTCAACTTTGTTGCAAGCGTCCTAGTCAGTATTGGATTGATTGTCGATTCTGCTACAGATTATGGATGGACTATTTTCCTCTCACCAGTTGTCATGATTGCATTGTCACTGGCCTTTGATCGATATTTTGGTAATCTCCCAATCGTACCGCGTTTAATTCAAGATATTAGACATTTGTTTAGTATCCCCATCTATTCAAAGGAATTGGTTGGTACATACCTATCGGATGGTGGTCATTTGGAAAACACTGGAATCCTTGCTATCCTCTTTCATTGTCCACATATTGATACGATTGTGGCTGCTGCTGGTTATGAAGATAGTGGTCGTAGATTAAAGGATCTTAAAAAAGTATTGAGGATTGGAAGAATGAATGGTTGGACTTTTACTAGTCCAGAATTTCCGGATCTAAAAGATGCACTGTTACGATTTTCTCAACCAGAGATTAATATAAATAATAATAATAATAGTGAAATGCGTCGTCGTTTGATCATCAATGCAACACATCAACAAAATCAAAGAAAAGTTAAAATTATTCATCTCCAACCAATAGCACCAAAAGAAAAACAAAAAGATGGAATGTATCGTGGTTGTTGTTGTGAATGTTGTGGAGATTGTGATTTTAGACCATTCACTTGGGTATGTGAAACACTATTTGGTAAATTCCCCAACTTGTCTACTGGTATTCAATTTTTCAACAAAAAAATGTACAATGCTTATAAACAAGAGGGTATCAATGCATTCAATGAAATTAATCAAAATAATATTAAAATAGATATTAATAATAATAATAATAATAATAATGATAAACAAGAGGGTATTGATGCAGTTGGTTCTATTCTCCAACCGAGCACTGTCCCATCCCAACCACCTGCTACCACTTCGGTTCAAATATATGACAATACCATTACATCTCCCATCCACACCCCAAATGCAAATCCTCAAACTCGTCCTCCAATTCCTCCAAGAAAACTTAATTGATCATAAAAAATACAATAGAATACTTTTTAAATAAATAAATAAATATTTTTTTTCCAAAACAAATAAAATACTTGTCGAAACGGTGTTCTTCAGAGACCCTAATTTTTGCCAGTATAAACCAATTTCAACACTCTTTGGAGTGTAAAACTCACATTATTAGGGAGGCAGGGGGCTATTTAGAGTCAAAAAAGGACCAAAAAATGGAAACCTTATGGAAAGGAATGAATGTCTTCAATGGATAAAACCAAAGTGACAAGGTAGTGATTGGAGTTAGTTCAGCGTATGTTTCATACTCTACAAATTGTTTAGGTGGGGGAATCATAATACCATATGTAAAAGATTATTATACAGATGAAAAGATTGACTGCACACCAGTTGCCACAACAAACTACACATTAAGATGTATTGGTCTTATGCCCTCCTATCCTGGAGCCTATTATTTGGTCACCAAATGTCCCAATGACACTGATTATTCTCATCTTTGGATAACAACTTTGGCAGAACCGGTTGTTCCCGACCTTTCTATAAAAATAGAAAGAATCAATTTATCTACAGTCTATGCTAGTTGATCAATTAAAGGAGGTATGATATAATATATTATAATTATCATCATATATATTAATATTAATATATATTTATTATACATTTAATAGGAAATCCAAGTGTATGTCGAGAAAATGTCAGCTAGATTCCTATCTGTCTTTAGGAATACGGTAGATCTGGAATTCGAACATTGGGATGCATTTAGAGAAGCGTTCCTCACCGTCTTTGCATCCGATTCCACTGACCTTGCCGTGATGAACCGTGTTCTCACACAATTCCGTTATGATACCAAGTGGACGGTCTCGTCATTTACAAATGCTTTCACCATCATTGCTGGTCGTGTTTACGAAAATAATGACAATCGAAGTTTTGTACTGGCGTACAAAAATGCATTTTACAATGTCAAGACCATCTATAAGGAATTACAAGAAAGAACCATGGATTTTGAAAACAAATTACTACCATCTCGTTGGTCGTGACATTACAGTTTTCACGGATCACAAAAATATACCATTTATCAACGAGAATATGAAGATCGGCATCAATCAAAGGTTAAATCGTTGGATGGAGGTCATCCGTGGATTCCAACCCAAGTTACTCCATATCAAAGGTACTGACAATGTCATCGCTGACGGTTTGTCTCGCAACACCTTTACTACACAAATTGTTTCACCAACACTAGAAGATAATTTATTGAAAGAAATGATTAATGGTTATGAAGAAGAAAATATTGCAATCCGTAACAAGACACTTGCTCCTTGTAGTGCAACTTACATTGTAGATCAATTTGGTTTACGCAGACATCTTGGTAAAATTGTGGTACCAAGGATAGCACCTATCATTAATCAAGTATTGTATAGATATCATGACTCGGTATGGGCTGGTCACAGTAGCCCAAAGAAGACATTGGACGCCATCAAATCAAAGTTCTTTTGGATGGGTATGCGTGAAGAGATTTTAGACCATTGCAATCAGTGTATCGTTTGCAAAAGAGGTAGTGATCATCGTGATAAACGTATCGGTTTGTTACAACCATTACAACCACCTAATTATTGCTTTCAACGTGTTCATATAGACGTTATTACTGGTTTACCTAATGCTAAATATCATGGTAAAACAGTAAATGCTTTGTTAGTAGTTGTCGATGCGCTATCTAAAATGAATCGTTTAATACCTACCACAACTACTCTTAAATCACATGGTGTAATATCTCTATTCAATCGAGAGATATTCAAACTGCATGGTTTACCAAAACAGATCATCTCTGATTCTGACTCGAAGTTCACCTCGAAATTATTTAAAAAATTAGAGTCAATGTACAACATCAGAGTAATGGACAAGTAGAGCGTATGATAAGAACTATAGAAAATATCATTAGAAAAGATTTATTACAAAGTAGTGCAGAGAATCACAAAATATCATGGGCAGAGTGCATTGATAATATCGAATTTGCTATCAACAATACAGTACATTCAACAACTGTTTATTCTCCTTTTACTATTTATCTCGGATCAAATCCTTTATCTCCTCTTAATCTACTAGACACTTTTACACCAAACTTCAATGATAACACAGACATCAAAATAACAGAGAATCATAAATTGAAAGAGATAATAAGAGACATAGTTATAAAGAGAATTAACGAAGGCAACGCAATCAACAAAGCAAAATATGATCACAACAAGGTAGAGAATAATATTAAATCGGGTGATTTGGTTTATGTGCGTCGTGACAGAGATACACACATAAATAAGACAGAACCTATCTATTCTGGTCCTTTGTTGGTAAATGGAGTGGACACTCGTGGAAATGTCGAAGTTAAAGATTATGTGGCTGGAGCAGATGGTTCGGCGTCAAAGGACTTATTGGTTAATCCTAGATTTATCAAAACGTTGAAACCATTATTGGCTACAAGCAATCCCGTTCATACGGAAGGTGCTAAGAATGCACAAGGAAATCCCGTTCATACGGAAGGTGCTGAGAATGCACAAGGTTATCCCGTTCATACGGAAGGTGCGGAGAACGTACAAGGTTATCCCGTTCATACGGAAGGAGCTCAAGGTGCACGTGACAATTTGGATGGACGAGTCGGTGACGATCGAACTCTGTATCAAGATTTAAACAAGATTCAATCGACATTGCAAGGACAAGGTGTAACCGGTGGAGACCAAGGAATAGTGAGCCAGGCGCCAGGCGACATCTATGACGACGTCCCAAATACGGCTGACTGGACCAAGCAAAGAGTTGTGTTGAATGATACTCTTAAAAAGGTAGAAGAGAGTATAGGTAAAGGTAAGAGTAAATTACAGGATAAAGATAATAATCGAATTATAGAAAAAGAAGATATCGTCATCACCAATTACAATATTTCAAAGATAAATTATGACGATACCAAAATCAACTTTAAAGAATTATTACATCAATACAGACAACAACTATCCTCCCCAACTACAACTAAATATTTCAATATGAAAGAAATGAACTCAATTAGAATCATACAATCATTACAACAAAACAACAATGATTCCCCAACAAAAGATATAGTCAATAGTATTGGAGTAATCACAAGCAGAGCATGGTTGAAACCTCTGTTTATCGTCAAGTCAAAGAGAACATTCAAGTATCAAGGAAATGGACGTAGTAGAACGGAATATCTCATTAACATCAACGATTGTGAAGTATGGATGCCAAACGATCTAGTCAATCAACAACACGTCCGGGCCGTATCAAAGACTCAACAAGTATCCCTAGCCATTGTATCCACCGGTAAGGTTTTTAGTCCAGGTTGCAGTGACCAAGTGTTGCAACCATGGTTTTCCTACCATCTCAACAAGCGTGGTACGTGGGACTCGGTCACAATTTAAGAAGGGAGAATGTTAGATTCAGATTGTAAATTAAAGTACAGTTCAATGATTAGTCAATGATATTTCATCTAATTATCAACATACTTAATCCTGGTGCCAAATATAGAAAGTATGCTGGATAAAATAGATGAAATATCATTGACTAATCATTGAACTGTACTTTAATTTACAATCTGAATCTAACATACTACCAGTCTCTTCATTGATCATACGTTGGCAGGTTTCAGTAACTATACTCGAAAGTTTAATTTTGTTGCTGATTGTGATGGTTTCCTATCTCGAAAACTACCTCTTGGTTTAAATTTTCATATTTATCAAGGTTTGTAAATTTAAATATCAAAAAGAATAATTTTATTAATAACTATTCTATCTTTTTCTTTTTTTCTATTTGTAAAGAATTAAAATTTAATGTTAGAGTTGTTGGTATTGGATCAAGATCAGCTTTATTGGAATTGGTTGATGTTGTAGGAGATGATTATATGACCTCTTTCACATGAAAAGTGTAATAGATCCAATGTTCAACTCCAACCCAACACATTTTACATGGTCAAAGTATTTGGTATCAATGGATATAAAACATTATATTCATCCTATTTCAATTTTACACCCAATAATGTCAACATCACCGGCCTAAAAGCATATCAATATGATAATTCTCAATTTGTCATTGAATATGCTTCACGACAAAACAACAACAGTCAAACATTCTACACTGTCCTTGTCAATGATACAATCTATTGTCAACAAGATACAACTCCAAAACCATGTTTTGTTGGTTTGACCAAAGAAACATTGATCTCTCAATATACTATTCGTTAAAAAGTTACATCACTTCCAGATTCAATTGATCAACAAACAATTACATTGAATACTACTATTTTAAAAGGTATGAAAAAAATAAAAAAATATTTCAAAATATTAATATTAATTTTATTTTTTTTCCATATTTAGTTTTGAAACCACAACAAACTTTGGCAATCACCTCTTCTTCTTCTTCTTCTTCTTTATCTTGTACCATTACATTTATAATTGCTTTAATTATCATAGTTTTATTGTTTTAATTTCCAACAAAAAAAAAAAAAAAAATTGAAATTTTTAAATAAATAAATAAATATTTATTCTGGTTTTATTTATTTCAATTGAAAAGTTGGAGGGTATAGAAATCACCTGTTTATGATAATTGTGGTCGCCACAAACAAATTATATATTTTTTGTGATTTTTATTTAACATTTTATTAAAACAATTATTAATTTAAAAAAATTAAAGGTGAAAGTAGTAGATTTACAAGTTGAAATGAACTTAAACATCAGTCATTTCATCATCATCATTTGAAAATAGTTCATTGCGAATGCTTGCTGGAAGAGAGTCATACAAGTCCTGTGGGTTGATATTTGGTAATGGTTTGGTGGCATATAATTCAGGCCATAGATCTTTTCCAAGTACCACTTGTTTGGGTTGTTCGACGCGTGGAAGCAAATGCTTCTTATCTTGATAACGCTCCTCTCTAAGCTCCAACATTCTTTCTGGTGTATAAAGAATGGGTCGAGAGAGGTGTCTCACGGTTTCCAACCAATCCAATCTCTGCTTGTCAAGTTGGTCAAAATGCTCAAATGAAACTTGAGATTGATAACATTCAAATGAAACAATTTCACTGTGTCGATTCTCCTGGGCCAACTTGTCACAAGCCAAAAAGTACGAGAGCTTCATCTTGGACCAATTACCAAAAAAACCACGATATTTACCAAGTCTGGTAACAATATCTTGCAATCTTTTAATCTCCAACGGATCTTGCGAGTCCAACGGTTGCTTGAGCAATGAATCCAAGTGGTCTTGGGCAGCTTTGAGTTGTTGCTTGACCAAATTGTTCTTGTGGTAACTGGTGGTCACACCTGATTGGAAGCAATACAGAATGAGAACCGTGTTGGATTGAAGATATCCCAGTGTGGGATCAAGACGTTCAATTGACAACTTGTAAGGATTTGGGGATTTCACTCTGGTGATTACCTCATCCTTGGATTGACCGTTGGAGGTGGATTGACCAGTAGAGGTAGATCGATTGGCGGCGGCGTGGTCAGAAAGGTCCTCGTCATCAGAGAGGTCAGAGAGGTCTTGGTCGTCAGATATCTCTTCGTCAAGGAGGTCATCATAGTTGATGGATTGGATCTTGGCCACTGGTTGAGACTCGGCCACTGGTTGGACAGGTTGGGGCTTGACGACTTTGGATACTTGATCGATAATCACATGAGGCGTGTATTCAAAATCGATGCCAGAATAGTAACATCTTGCCTTTAAAAAGAGCCAGAGACGAGTGAGAAAGGGTACCGTAATGTCAAATCCCATTGGATTGTCCAGATCTCTTGTTCGTAGACCATTACGTTTGTCATTATTTTCCTTGGCATTTCTCCAAAGCGACTTGAGATAACTCTCCACCTTGTTGGAGATAAACAATTCTTTGAGTTCGTCAAAAGAGGGGTCGGCAAAAGACTGGTTGAATTCACTTTCGAAACCAATTGATCTAAGTAGGTCAGTGGTCCACTTGGCATTGGTGTTGAATTCGCGACATACCAGACGGATGTTATCCTGTAGGTAATTTGTGCTGTCGCGAAAACGATCCAAGCTGGACTGGCAGTCAGAGAGTGGTTCGTCCACCATGTAGGCACTAGAGACAGCGCAAAGCCCCTTCTCCTTTTCTCGAATGTTGTTTAGATCGACAACATCGATCTCATGATCTCCAATCTTGGAGTGCATATCACGACGAGAACTATCAATAACGAGAGATTTGTGTAGAGTATCAACTCTTCTGTTGAATTGATATACTAAATCTGTAAAGAGAAAAAAAAAAGGTTAGTAAAAGTAATAAAGTGATTTTAATTATTAATAATTATATAATATAATCAAAGATCTTACTTGCAGACTTGACATTGTGCCTTTTGTTTTTTGCAATCACATTCAAGTTCTGTTGGCAAAACAAATGGACCTGGTGGTGCTTGAAGAGCATCTGAACAACTTTCCATGGTCACATTTTGATTGGTTCCTTCATTATCGCAAGTTGGTGATGGGTTTTCTAAAGAAATGAAAAGAGAAAAGAAATGAGAAAAGAAAAGGTTAATAAATGTAAATATATTAATTATATAATCGTACTTGTTCATTGTATACATACCAATCATATTATAATTGAAAAGAATAAAATGTTTTTTTTTTTTTAATAGTAATAATATTATTTGTATACTTTTGTTGAATTGATGAATTTAAAAGAAAGTAAAGTAGAATATTTATAGTTCTAAAACCATTGTTAAAATCAATCAAAAACCCCAAGTATTATTCTAAAATGATTACCTAATACCCCCAATTCTAAAATAGGAATATTTAATATAGTTTTGGATTTTTGATTTGATTTTTAGAGTAATAATGGTTGCTTTAAAACTATAAATAAAGTAGTAGTAAGTTTATCAAATTAAAAATTATTAATTAAAATCATTCTATTTACCTATAATTATAATATGTTGTTCAGTATGTTGTCGACGAAATCATTGTCATCCATCCAACACTCTACAATTATTTTTCATCAATCTATGTATAGTGCTAACATTTCTATCTTTCAATTCCATCTCTCTTCTTCTTTCCAATTTTATTTTCTTTAGAGAATCTATCCCAACTTTCAGCAGTCTCTGGTCATTCTATCCAAAATTCATCCATCCAACCTATCCAATGTGCCAACAGGTGAATCAATGATTGCAGGTAAGAGGAGGATGTTGTGTTGGTGATATGAAAGTTTGGTTTTGAACCATGACAAATCATTGCAATAGATATTACAACATGTTGGTGTACTATGGTGAATAGGATATTCAGTTTGGTGTTGAGATGCGGTTGAGCATAAGTATAAACTATTTGAAAGATATAAATTGTTAGGCTAAAAGTCAATCAATGAATAAAAATAACAAAGTTCATACGTCATTATCAATTATAAATATACTAGATATCATAGCTGCAGTCATGACTTCCAACACCACCTCGTTAACTTTACAATATCCTTTCCTTTTTTCTCATGTTATTCTCACATCAATCAATATTGTTTATCTCTTCTTCACAACATGATTGAATATCTTTTGTCTTTGATATTATAATAAACTAAATACTTGATGATCTCTGTCTGTTCATTTGCCAATGATTTTTTACACTAGTGTTTTTTTTTATTTAAATTGTATGAGTGTGGTCAATGGTTAATATTATTTTTAAAAAAAAAAAGGTCGACATATAATTTGGTGAGTGGGTGGCTAAGAGCAGAACAAATGGTTTGTTGTAACCACTTCAAGTTCTATCTGAAAGTACCAAAGATTTAGGTCTATTGAGTTATCAAAAACTATCTTTTCTTCTTGTTTATCTTTTCCATCCAAACTTCATGACTCCATTTGCAGGATTTTAAAATGTAGGTGGCAGGGTTGTAGGAAAGGATGAAATCTATTTTCTTACTTTTGTTGATGTTAATATTATTATTTATCATGATTTTTTGTTGGTGTCATCATTTCTTTTCCTTTTAATCTCTCATTTTCTTTTTGATACTTTACTTAAATTGGAAATCTGTGCACTGAAAAAATTTAATTTATTATGCAACGGCGCGGAAGTGGGGATCGTCGTCACAAGTCTCCGTACCGAGACATTCAAATGAACAGGGTTGATATTTGAATGTACAATTTAAAAAAAATTGAAATTGAGGAGGCTCCTATTAAAATAGTAGCCAAATGAACCAAACATCTATTCATGATGCCATAGGGGAAGGAATTTTTGGCCAAGAAAAAATTAGGGACCAAACAGGGCAAAAAACCGCAAATTCAAGGCCCAATAGCTCTAGCGGCAGAGCGTCGGTCTTGTAAACCGAAGGATATTGAGACATAATGCATCAAAAAGTGATTATATGACCTTTTGATCTTTTCGCTCTGCCATATTGAAAAACTTGCCCGTGGGGTTAAATTAGGGTCCAAACAGGGCAAAAAACCGCAAATTCAAGGCCCAATAGCTCTAGCGGCAGAGCGTCGGTCTTGTAAACCGAAGGTCAGGAGTTCGAATCTCCTTTGGGCCATCCTTGTTGCCAATTTGTTGCCAATTTGTTGCCAATTTGTTGCCAATTTGTTGCCAATTTGTTGCCAATTTGTTGCCAATTTGTTGCCAATTTGTTGCCAATTTGTTGCCAATTTGTTGCCAATTTGTTGCCAATTTGTTGCCAATTTGTTGCCAATTTGTTGCCAATTTGTTGCCAATTTGTTACCTTGTTGATTCTTGTTTGTTTTTTATCCAATGTGGGTCATGGTGATCAATATTCAATCGACAACAAAGTTCTGATCAACTCTTTCAAGAACCTAGTGTGTATTCAAAAAGAGGGGGAAAAGAAGGAAGAGGAGAAGAGTAAGATTCCAGTTCAAACAGAGGAGGAAAATAAAAAGGAAAAGAGTGAGATTACAGTTCAAAAAGTGGAGGAAAAGAAAAAGCAGGAGAGTAAGATTCCAGACGAGATTGAATTTTGCACCAAACTACCAACCTTTCCTATCCGAATATCTACACAATTTTCTGTTTTGACTTTGCCTACAGTACATTCAAGAATCAAGTCAACAAGATTCAAATCAAGGTGTCATTTCAGAGCCAGTAAGAAAAAAAAGGGATATTTTTCAATTTGGTGAAACAGATCAAGCCAAACCAAAGATGGTGATCAACAATTTCAAAAGCACTCCCTACCACAGTGAACCAACAATATTGAAATACCTAGGTTATTATGGTGATGCTGTAAACTCGCAAATGAAAGGCAAAGATATTTTCCTGTTTTCCTATTTTTCCCTTGTCAACACTGCACTGCCAAGCTAGCTAGTAGTCTCTATGTGAGTAGCATCAACAATGATATAATGCAAAAAAAAAATTGATGGAATGTTTAAAATTTATAAATTTTGTACCTCGCATTGCAAATTTGATATTAACCGATTTTCCCTTTTCAAAACAGATAACGAATACCAAATTACCTTTAAAAAACTCAAACCAGGAGAAGATAGAGCGATACTCATGGACGAGAGAGATAAAAAAAAAGAATTTGATCAAAAGAGAAAACAAGAAGAGCCATTGTTAAAAAGGATTGGAAGATTCTAAAGAACCCACAACTCAAAGATGAATTTGTGCCACTACACATACCGACTTTGAAAAGTTTAAACAAGAGTTTGGTAATTATGAACTAGATTACAAGGTGTCTATCACTTACCTTACTGAACCAGCCACTTTAGAATACAGAGAAAACAAAGGTCTAAAAGGTAACCCAAACTATAAAGACGTAATAACATTAGAAAAAGGTAATGATCATCGATTGAATCCTAAAAAACTTGGGGAACCTCTATCGAGTAACTCTGTCGTTAGAAATATTCCAGTCCTAAACAAAGAAAATAATAACCAGCTCTTTCTTGCATTTTCTAGGTATGAAGGATATTATTGTTTTTATATATATATATTTTTCAATAACAAACCAAAACTAACTTAACTTTTTTTTTTATTTTTTTCCTCTAGACAATGGGACAAGGATAACATTCATTATCAATATATTATGAAATTGTTACCAATTTGGAGAATTGTAAATATACAAACTTTTTAAAGAACTATATTGAATCGAAAAATTTAAAATAATAACTTTTATTTTATTTATTTATTTATTTAGGTGGTCTATTCTGAAATTGCTTACCTACACAAAAGATAAAGATGTAAAAGTAGATGAACAAATCACACATCAAGCTGTAGTAGATGAACAAAGCTCATATCAAGATGTACTTTTAGAGAAATTTGTTAAAGATAAGGGATGTAATAACTATATAGATGCTTGGTAAATATATAATTAGTTTGAGAGGTATATAATAATAATAATATATAGATATATGAATATATAGATAGTAATAATGACTTTAGATTGTAAATGATTATTAATTATAGTAATAAAAGATGAATTAATGTTTATTGATTTCATTGGTCTTTTATAGTTTGTTGTTCGAGACGCCTAACCGACAATAGTTTAGGCGTTAGTATTTTATCCAGCATACTTTCTATATTTGGCACCAGGATTAAGTATGTTGATAAATAGATGAAATATCATTGACTAATTATATATTTACCAAGTATCTATATAGTTATTACACAACCCAAAAAAGAATTTACATTTTGGTCATTATGGATCACTTGAAAAGTTTATCGTGTTGGCGAATCTTTTAAAAGATCACAAGGACATTATTACTTTTGGAAATGGTTTTGGTAACGATCGTCAATATTCAGATATCAATACATTTACCCAAAATATCGATACAATGAAATTGAACAATCAACCATCAAAGAACTTGCAATTCTTTTAAAACAAAGCTCTGATGAAGAGGTAAAAGAGTTTTTGTCAAAAAATGATGGAACCTTTTTTAGCAATGATAATTTGGATCAATTTAAAAGATTGCAAGATTTAGTTCCGCCCTTATTTATTTACACAGAAAAATATCTTTGGATGGCAATGAAAAACAATGCAATGGATATTTGAACATTTGTAAAGTGATGAACATTGATAACTTTATGTGGCACAAGATATACAATCTTTCATTTTTTTCCATTGGTATGACGTTTTATTGTTTTTTTCTATCAAAAAAACCTTTTACAATTAACCTATGAGTAAACTATAGATCATATCATCGAGTTTATCAAAAGCTTAGCGAGAGTGATAAAGATCAACTTCCAGCACCAGACAGAAAAACAAAACATTTAAGAAAATTAAAATGTACTGGTGATATTTGTAAATAAAAATTCAAAAAAAAAACCTTTGAATAATTCTATTAATAAATATTAATATTTAATCTAAAAATAATTTACTTTAATTATTTTAATTTTTTTTCTGTTGTTGGGTTGATGTTGTGTATCGATCCACCAGTAGTACTTTGTTTTGATTTGAATTTTAGACCTTGAAATGCAATCATCGTACTGCATCTTTCAATGCCGAGGAAGGAGTACACTTTATTCTAAATATATTATTAAATTGTTGTTGTTGTTTTTTTGAGTTGAAAAATATATGTATAATATTATTTCTACAATTGAGAGGAGAGGCATTCTCTGCAGAGTTACACTGAAAAATTAATTTTATTTATTAATATTTTTTGATAAGTTTGTCTAATAAATTTTATTTTAGCTATTTCTTTTAGCACAATCAATAGCAACATTTTTTTGAACATTTGAATAAAATGATTTAAATCCTACTTTGAACTCTTCCGTTTTTTCATCGATAAACAGAGTTGATGGGGTTGGTTTTCCTGTTTGTGTAACAGATTCGATGATAGCTTCGTTCCATCGATCACGGAACTGACTGGTAATAACACAATCAGGTTTCTGAATGGGGTTGGGGTCCTTTACAAAGTTTGGTAGTGGTGTCTTTAAACAAGGAAACTTTTTCAAAGGGGCATTTGGTTTGCAAGTTGGTTCGGAAACATCAAAAGGAGGGTCAATTGGAATCATTGTTTCTTTAAATAACATTAATCCTTTGCCTCCTTTTACTCTTTGAATGGTTTGTGACCAATCACTAATAGTAGATGATAAAAAAAAAAAAAAAAAAAAAAAAGATTTAGAATTTTTACTCTAAAGATTGACATGCTCCTAGAAGTTTCAACTTACCAATCTTCTCTTTTTGTGCCGACGAGTGCCTTTTCTACAATTTGATAAAATGGCTGTTGATATCCAGCAGAGTCAAGAAATGCCTTCCAACTTTCAAAGGATCTAAAGTTTTCAACTTTGTTGGCAATGAAAAAATCAAATGCCTGATTGATTAGATACTGCCAGTTGGATTCACGGGATTTAAAAGTCGTTGGAAAAGTGAATAGTTCAGATACTATAGATCCATCTGGTCGTCTCGTGTCGATCATTGAACTTCTCTCTAGTTCTGTCACTAGTGTCGATTGATATCCGACGTGTCTATCACCATACCGATTAGTAGCAGCCGACACTACCTGGATACCTGGTTTAGCGGCAAGTTTGCGAATGTTGATATAGTGGCAATAGTCAATATCCCATTGTCGAGAAAACGATAGATAAAGACGTTCTTTTGATGTATCACTTGGTAATAAAAGGTTGGTGACCGATTCTTCACTGTTTATCTTGTAAGCGATGGGGGTGGTTGGTGGTGGTGTGGATGGTAACATAGCTCCAAGTCCATTTAAATTTCTTATTCGAATGTTATCATTGGTCATATCATTGACAAAGCTGCTGTTCATTATTTTGGTTGTACAAACAGAACATGGATGATACTGAGTGTAGAGGTATCGAATGGGTTGGTATACCAGTTTGGGTTTGGGGTAATTAGGATCTGTGAAATAACCTAGTGATTTGATGATGACACTTTCCGAGTGATAGGGTGAGGTGGTGAGTTTAGACATGGTTTGTAACACTGTGATGGGTGCTGCCACTATAGGAGGTTGGTTGGTCTCCTCTCGTATAATGTTATAATTTATAGGGTTCTTTACTATAATTTCCTCTTTTTCTTTAAAATATCTAAAATCGTTGATATCACAAACATAATATGATGTTCCTTGGGCTGTCAAATCTAAACTTGTAAATCGATTCAATGGAAATGCACCACCTTGTGCACCCAAAGACCCATAAAATGCAAATGCTAAAAAAAATGATACATTATTAATAAATAATGATATAATAATGACAATTCAAAACTATAGAATATTACTATACTATATACATACCATATTGACCATGTCGCATGTCCTTTACTCCTTCTGTATGTGCCATAATGTATTTATGTAGATCATTTCTTACTTTTTCATTGCTATCAAATGCATTGATCGTATTAGATATCACCAACAACAATAATACCAATGTGATCAAAGTAATTGTTGTTTTAAATTTATGATTAAATAATTTCATTATTCTATAATTATTATTTGTTTGATTGATCGATTGAAGTTGATTTGAGCAGACTGCTGATGAGTTGACACTTTTATTTAAAGAAGAACAAGAGAGTCTTCACCGAATCGAGTGAGGCCTTACCCGAATCAGCCTACCTGTCGTGTTCAAAGCAACCCAACCCAACACGCATCTCTTTGTGCATTAGGTTGGGCTTGTACAATCGATTGGCTTATCAAAACCCATTAATGTCATCGTTATTAATCTATGTGGTTTAGATTATATCCAGATATCTTATTATCACTTCATTTGTATGTGTTTGTGTAATACTATTGACAATGTCGTGCAACAACACAATTTTTTAAATGACGACTTTTTAAAGTTCTTTTTAAAAAAATTAATATTTATTTTTTTATTTAGGTATTTCATTTCTTATTATTTATTTATTTATTTATTTAGTTTAGCACATTCAATGACACCATTTCTTTTATCATTTGAATAAAATGATTGAAATCCTACTTTGAACTCTTCCGTTTTTTCATCGATAAATTTTGTTGGATCTGCTGGTGGTATCTTTCCATTTTGTGTAGCTGATTCGATGATAGCTTCTTTCCACTGGTCTCGGAATTGAGCGGTAATGTCACAATCAAATGTGGGATTGTTGGGGTCCTTTACAAAGTTTGGTAGTGGTGTCTTTAAACAAGGAAACATTTTCCAAGGGGCATTTGGTTTGCAAGTTGGCTCGGAAACATCAAAAGGAGGGTCAATTGGAATCACTGTTTCTTTAAGGAACATCAATTGTTTTCCACTTCCTTTTACTCTTTGAATCATTTGTGACCATTTACTAAATAATTGAAAGAAATGAAAAAAGAGAGAGTTAAAAAAAATATTCTTTATATTCTAATCTTTTTTTTTTTTAAATTTCTTACCAATCTGCTTTCTGTGTTTTGATAAGTGCTTTCTTTACAATTTGAGGAAATGGATCTTGATATCCAGCAGAGTCAAGAAATATCTTCCAATTTTCAAATGATCTAAAGTTTTCAACTTTGTTGGTAATGAAAAAATCAAATGCCTGATTGATTAGATACTGCCAGTTGAATTCACGGGATTTAAAAGTCGTTGGAAAAGTGAATAGTTCAGACACTATAGATCCATCTGGTCGTCTTATGTTGATCATTGAACTTCTCTCTAGTTCTGTCACCAGTGTCGATTGATATCCGACGTGTCTATCACCATACCGATTAGTGGCAGCCGACACTACCTGGATACCTCGAGTAGGGGCACTGAGTTGGAGAATATTGATATAATGGCAATAGTCAATATCCCATTGTCGAGAAAACGATAGATAAAGACGTTCGTTTTCTATATTTTTTGGCAATAAAAGGTTGGTGACCGTTTCTTCACTGTTTATCTTGTAAGCGATGGGGGTGGTTGGTGGTAGTGGTTTTAACATGGCTCCACGTCCATTTAAATTTCTAATTCGAATGTTATCATTGATCATATCATTGACAAAGCTGCTGTTTAATATTTTGGTTGTACAAACAGAACATGGATGATACTGAGTGTAGAGGTATCGAATGGGTTGGTATACCAGTTTGGGGAAGGAGTAAAGAGGATCTTTGAAATAACCAAGCGATTTGATGATGACACTTTCCGAGTGATAGGTGAGGTGGTGATTTTAGAGATGGTTTGTAACACTGCGATGGGTGCAGCCACTATAGGAGGTGCTTTGGTCACTTGTCGTACAATTTTATAATTGATAGGGTTCTTTACGGTAATTTCTTCTTCTTGTTTAAAATATCTAAAATTGTTGATATCACAAACATAATATGATGTTCCTAGAGTTGTCAAATCTAAACTTTTAAATCGATTCAATGGAAATGCACCACCCTGTGCACCCAAAGAACCATAAAATGCAAATGCTAAAAAAAAAAAATGATACATTAATAATAAATATAATAATAATATAATTTCTAAAAACTATACATACCATATTGACCATGTCGCATGTCCTTTACTCCTTCTGTATGTGCCATAATGTATGGATGTAGATCATCTCTTACTTTTTCATTGCTATCAAATGCATTGATCGTATTAGATATCACCAACAACAATAATACCAATGTGATAATTGTTGTTTTAAATTGATGATTAAATAATTTCATTATTACTACTAATTATTATTATGATTGATTGATTGATCGATTGAAGTTGATTTGATATTGGTGCTGCTACGTTGACACTTTTATTTAAAGAATAAAAGAGTCTTCACCGAATCGAGGGTCTTACTCGAATAGCCTTGCATGAATCAGCCCACCTTGTCGTGCTCAAAGCAACCCAACATACATGCACATATCTCTTTGTGGATGATGCCCATTAATTAATTATTCGGTTGGGTTTGTGATTGGCTTATCAAACCCCATTAATGTCATCGTTGTTAATCTATGTGGTTAAAGTAGATGATATCTAGATATCGAATTCTCTTGTAGTATGTGATGTAATACTTGATAATGTCGTGTACACACCATGGCTCACGTGAAAAAAAAAAAAAACAAATACTAATAATTATCTGATTAAAACTCTATTTATTTGTTTTGTTAGAAAGGTTTTGTAGCACATAAAACAGGAACTTTCTTTTCAGAGTTTGAATAGAAACTTTCAAATTTGGTAGAAAAGTCATTGGATATATCAGTTACAAACTGTGTTTGTTGGATTGGTGTCATTGTCATTGTAGTTGCGACGGAACCAGGTGATTCAATTAAAACTTTGATCCATTTAGCTTTGAATTCATCTACAATTTCACATTGTTCTTTGGGAAGGTCTCAACAAAGTTTGTTGGTGTGTCAACACAAGGAAACTCTTTGATTGTGGTACCTGGTTTGCAAGTTGGTTTGGGAATATTAAAAGGAGGGTCAATTGGGATCATTGTAAATTGAAAATCCATCAATTTCCTACTTCCTCTATATAACTTTTGAATCTTTTGTGACCACAAACTAATAAATGAAAGAATAAATATAAATATTACAAGTAGATGGTTATGATATTAAAATTTTGATTTTTAACGTACCAATCTTCTCTCTTTGTTTTTACAAGTGCCCTTTTACAATTTGATGAATTTGTTTTGGATAACCTTTAGAATCAAGAAATTCCTTCCAATTTTCATAGGATCTAAAGTTTTGAACAAAATTGACAGAGAAATAGTCAAATGCTTGGTCGATTAGATACTTCCAATTGTCATCTAGAGAAGCAGAGGTGGTAGGGAAAATAAATGTTTCCTGTTTTTTCGATCCATCTGGTTGTGACAAGTCGATAGTTGACATTCTTAAAAGCTCAATTAAGAGTAGTGATTGAAATCCAACTTGAATAATCTTGTCCCGATTGGTGGCAGCCGACACTACTTGGATACCTGGTGTATCGGCGAGTTGACGGACATTGAAATAATGGCAATAGTCTAGATCCCATTGTCTAGAAAACAAGACATAGAGACGTTGTGTTGTTGGGTCGGTTGGATACAAAAGGTTGGTAACCGAATCACCACTATCTGGTTCTGGCGTTGGATAGGGTTCAACCTTTGGTCCGTTTATATTGTTGGCACGAACTCTATCACTGGCAATACTATTGATACTGAGAGTAGAGGTACCGAATGGGTTGTGGTGACAGGGCGGGGACTGGGTGAGCAGGGTGTGTGAAATAAAACAATGATTTGATAATCATACTTTCAGAATGAAAGGGTGATTTGAATAATTCGCTCATTGTCTGTAACGCAATGGTAGGTGCAGCAGTGGTAGCTTTGGTATCTGGCAATCTTTCAATATTAAAATTGTTTTTGTCCAATGTATGAACTTTTTCAAAATATCTTGAATTGCCAGCATCGCAAACAGTAAAACTAGTCTTTGGATCCTTGTTTTTTAAATCAACCCCTTTTAATACATCTAATCCTCCCAATTTTCCATAAATTGCAAATGCTAAAAAAATAAAAAAAAAAAGAGATAAAAAATATAATTAATAAATTAAAGATATGTACATACCATATTGACCATGAGAAAATTCCTTTTGTCCCTCTGAATGTACCCAAATATATGGAAGTATACCATCTCTTACATCTTGATTACTATCAAATGTATTGATTATATTAACTATAACCAAAAAAAAATTTAATAATAAAAGTAGATTATTTAATTTCATTTATATATTGATTAAAAATATTATGATCAGTTTTGATTGTGGTTTCAGATCTATTTAAAGGTTTAAAAAAGGGTAGACCCAATTCCATCATCATATTGGTTGACATTGATTCTCCAATTTTGGGTTTAGGTTTTTTTTTGATTGGCTTTTCCCAAACTAAACCCATTCATTATCTATAGATTTTGAAAAGATCTAAAGATAATAACAATTAATTATTAATAATAACTTTTAGTTGTTTAAAAGTACTTACTTAATCTTTGTTTGAAATATAACTTGTAAAAGAAAAAAAAATACACCCATCTCCTCTCTCCTCTCTCTTTCGCTCATCATTTTCCTTTTTTTTTTTGTTTTTTTTTAATTTTTTTTTTAATTTTTTTTTTAATTTATTTTTTATTTTTATTTTTATTTTAATATACTTTTTTTTTTTTGTTTTTTAAAAATGATTATTTAATCTTGATTGTTCTAATTTTTTTGAAGCCAAATATTTTGAACGTTTCCATTTGTTCATTGGATCGATGGCAAGTTTTTGACTTGATTCAGGGTCACGAGCGACACGACGGAAAGAGGCATTGATAGAGGTTTCAGATTTGAGCATTTCCTTTATAGAGTTGTACATGTTGTCAAATTCTTCGTTGGATTTGTCCTTGGGTTGTTCGAGATCGGTGAGGAACTTGCCAATGATGCCATAGTTGTATGGGTCTGATTCCTTGTTGGGAATACGTGATGTCAACATGTTGGCCAATGAAAGCTTCTTTTCTTGGAGGGTTTCACGAGTGACAAACTTTTTACCGAGGACGGTGGAGAGCTCGTCGGGGTTGATCCAACTGTCGGGTAGGGCGTACTGGAAGACGTTGAGGATAGCACGCCATCCACGACGACCATAGGTACGGTAATTGACACCGCGGATACCAAACATACCGTTGATGAAACGTTGCTTGTGACCGATCATACCAATGACCGACCGACCCTTACCGGCACGGTAGAATCTGATCTTGGTGCTACGGTACTGGAGGTCGAGACCGGTTGGGACGATGCGGTTTTGGAAGAGGTGGAGTGTAAATGCCTTACGCTCGGCGTCTCTGCCGGCACGCTTCAAAGCGACCGACACAGACTCACCCTTGCCGTAACCGATACCTCCCGAACCAAGTCCGTTTCCGACGAGCACGAGCGCCGAGTACGAGTTGATACGACCACCCTTGGTGACACGGGTGTGTTGTCCCACACGCATCAAACGACGCTTGGTGAGCACACGTGGTGTGTAGACGACGTCGGTTTGCTCAATCTCTTCGTTGAGCAAGTCTGTGGCTTGGTCAAACTCGCCTTTCTCCTCAAACGGCGAAATGTCAATCGAGTTGGCGAAACGTGTTGTTCCATAGATCGCTTCCATGCCGTATTGATCGGCTTCCTCTTCAACGTGGGCGGCTGGTGCACCGTCTTCGTCGTCGTCTTGGCCGTCTTCACCTTCTTGACCCTCGTCTTCGTCGACGAGTCCATCGTCGTCATCTCTGTCGTCGTCGTCCTTGTCGGGCTCACCCTCTTCGCCGACGTAACCACGTTCGGCAAACTGTGCGCGGAACTCGTCCGTCTGGAGGTCGTCCTCTATCTCTTGGTCGAGTGCCTCGAGTTCCTCTTGATCGCGACGCTTCTCTTTTTGCATGTCGACACGCTCTTGACGGTGTGCGTCGTCGTAACGTGTGATGAGGTTGGAAAAGGCCTCCAAGTTCATACCGGCGCCTTCCTCGGCTCTGAGACGATCAATGTCGGCGTCCAACTTGGCCTGCTCGACGTCGTCTTGTCGTGACTCGACTGCCTCGCGAGCTGCCTGCTCACGCTTAATGTCGGCCTTGGTGTCGTCGTCGTCCATCGACAAAAAGTTGGCAATGTTGTAGTCACGGTTATCCAAGCCGTGTTGGTGCTCGGCATTGTTTATATTCTTGAGCAACTCCATACGTGTTCTAAACGTGTTGAGACCGTCCTCTGAAAACTGTGTCTCTACCACCTTGCGTTGTGGGTCGCCTGGGTAGAAAGAGTTGTAGTTGCCCGCTGGGAATGCTCCATCTAATTTGGCTGCGATAAATGCTGCATCCTTTTTATCATCTACCTCTTCTTGTGATGGTTCTTTTTTCTTACTACCATAATATCTAAATGACGATGATGATTGAGATAATAATGATGATTGTGATGATCTTGCACTCAACATTAAAATGTTGGTGCTAGAATGATTTCTAAGTACTGATCTTAATCCCAACATTGTAGTAAGTATATACTGGTTGTTGTGTAACTATACTATAGAATAGAGAGTAGTTACAAACTATATACAAAGAAGAAGAAGAAGGAAAAGGGATGAGAGATGAAAATGATCTTAGACTTGCTCTCATATTAATCTGATCATTCGTTTGAGTGAGACCAAGAATCGCTCAAAAAATTCATTTTTTTTTTTTTTAATTTCTTTTTTTTTTTTTTTTTCCTCTCTCAGAGTGACAGACATCCCCCATCAAGTTCTTTGACATCATGAACATCACATCTTCTTTTTTTTATATAGTTGTAAATTTTTATTAATATAAATAATATAAAAAGGGTAAATGTTGATTTTTTGAAAAAACATAGAGACAAAGACAAAAAAAGAGAGAAAGAGATAGAGATAAAAGAGAAAAAGGAATGATGGTTTGGTGATTTGTACAATCACAAAGAGACACACAAAGAACCTTCTTTTCAATGAAGAGATTTAGTTTTATTCCAACAAACAAACAGTCACTGTAATACATTTTATAAGATGACACCACTTGTGACTGGATTGAGAGAGTAAAAAAAGAGGAAAAAAAAAACCAAGTAACGAGGGTTGATCATCATTATTATTATTATTATTTTTTTAATTTCGCAATTTTTGTTTTATTATTCATCAACAACAAACAACTTTTTTTTTTTATTGTTATCATTTCATTTAAATTAGATTTCTTAATTTGTAAATAATACATTAACACAAATCTTTTCTCATTGTAAATAGAATATATATAAATCAATCATGTCTGACACTGAAGGTAAGAAAACAACAAATCAACTAGTTTGACTCGAATAGTCAAGATTACTTACCCGATCATTTGTTATTAACTTTTTTTCTTTTCTTTCTTTATTACTATTTTTCTTATAGAAATAATAAAAGAAATTGAAGAGACTGTTGAAGAAACAAAAGAACAAGTCAATGAAGTTATAGGAGAAACTGTTGAAAAGATTGAAGAAGTTAAAGAACAAGTAAAGGAAGAAGCAAAGGCTGTCATTAATAATGCTGCAGAGACTGTAAAGGCTGCTACTACTTGTCCAGTTTCATCATCAACCTCCTCATCCTCTTCTTCTACATGCCCAGCAACATCAACATGTTGTCCAGCATTAATGTGTGGTGATGTATCAATTTGTCAACACTTTGAAAACATATGTGGTGCTGTCAAGAGTCTTCCATGTCACGAATGTTCAAAAAAAATATTGGTATGGGATGATTTGGTCCAAACCGGTTTATTATTTGGTATCATCAATCTCGTTTTCTTCTTGGTCTGCGTATGCCAATACTCTATAATCTCACTTGTCGGTTACTCTTGTATGGTCGCCTCTGTCTCTTCTGTTTTATTCCGTATAGTCTCTTCAGTCTGTGATAAATACATTCCAAATTGTACTTTGGATAATCCAATTCTGTAAGAATTAGAAAACAAAAAAGAAAACAAAAAACAAAAACAAATCAACTCTCTCTCTCTAACCTTTTTCTTTTTTTTCTTTTTTCTTTTAGTGATAAGTTAAAGACATTAAATTTCCATGTTGAAGATGAAGTTGTACAAAAATATGTAAAGGGTGTTGGACAATTGGTCAACTCTGTTTTAGCTTTGGCCAAGGATATCTTTGGTTGCAAGAATATTGTATTGACTGCCGAGGCAGCTCTTTTATTCTTTGTTGTTGCCACCGTTGCCAAGTGCATCAGTGGTGCCACCATCCTCTACCTCGTCTTCCTCGTTGCTTTTATCGCCCCAAGACTCTACCTTGAAAAGCAACAAATCATTGACGAACAACTCGCCAAGGTCAAGGCTACCCTCAAGGACATGATCCACTTGGCTCACAACTATATGCCAAAGCATACCACTACCGCCAAAAAGAATAATTAAAAAAGAGATTTTATAAATCTCATCACATGTGTTATATATATAAAAAACAAAAAAAAAATAAAATTAAACCATTTTTTTATATAAATAAAAAAAAAAAAAAAAGATAGATAGAGAGACTACAAAAGGTCACTGTTTTTTTTCATTTTTTAAAAATATATATTTTTTTTATTTAAAAATTTATTTGATTTGCAAAAAAGACAAGATTCAACTGACTTTTTTTTTAAAACAGAACAAAAAAAGCCTTTTTTTTAAACGCAATAACAACAATACATATATTTATATTTATATATATAGAGAGAGAGAGAGAGAATTTATATCATTTATTTTAATTTATTTATATGTTTAATTCACAGTAACAAAGAAAAAGGCATCAGTAAAAAAACAAAAAGGACGAATCGTCTTTTTTATATATATATTAAAAGTAGTACTTTTGGTTTTCTGTTGTGTGTATATATATTCTTTCTTTATTTGTATTTTATATAATCAAATAGCTATAACAAACGAAAAACAAAAAGACTAGTCCTTTTCTTTTAGAAAAAAGTAGAGAATAAAAGGAGAAAAACATGTCTACTAGTAAAGAAATTCAACATCCTCCAACAAAAGATTGTATTGTAAGATAACAAAAAGGGAATAGAGTGAATCTATACTTTTGATTATGTGATGTGTTTTCTTACTCTTTCTTTCTATCTCTCTATCTATCTATTATTTTTTTAGAGTCGACTTCGAAAAGAATTTTTAGAGATTAATAAGAATCCTGTAGAGAATATAGTGGTATGTCCACACCCAGAAAATATATTGGAATGGCATTATGTAATATTAGGACCCGAAAATACTGTATATGAAAGTGGCTTGTATTATGGTAAATTGATTTTCAAATACAACTATCCTTTATCTCCCCCATCCATCATTATGACTACTCCTTCTGGTAGATTTCAAACTGATACTCGTTTATGTCTTTCAATTAGTGATTGTATGTAAAACAAAAACAAAAAGAAAAAGAGAGAGAGAAAGAGAGAGATTATAGATATATTTTATTAATTTTTTACTTATTTTTTTAGATCATCCAGAATCATGGTCACCATCATGGACAGTTTCTTCAATTTTAATTGGTTTATTATCATTTATGGTAGACAATGATTCAACTCTTGGTAGCATAACAACCACCAATGACGAAAAAAGAATACTTGCATCAAAATCTGCCGAATATAATAAGAAAATAGATACTTTCTGCCAACTTTTCCCTTATTTGGTCGAATAACATTAAAAGAAAAAAATATATAATCAAAACTTTATCCAAAATGAATGAATGATCATTGTTTAAATTCAATGGTTTATTCCCCAGACAACAACACATAAACCATACTATTTATCTTTTTTTTGTATTATTTTTAATTGATAAATGGTATCATTGTAAACATCAACAAAACAACAACAACAGACAACAACAGATTCCATCCTTATATTTCTTTTTAAACTTTATTGTTTAATAAAAAAACAAATCTCTTTAATTTATTTTCTTTGTTTTTTGTTTTTTAATCTCTTTTTCTTCTTCTTCTTTTTCCTCTTTTTCTTCTTCATTTTCTTCTTCCTCCTCTTCCTCTACTTCTTCTTCTATTTCATCATCAGTTGATTTTCTTTTCTTTTCAACTTCCTCTTCTTCTTCTTTACTTTTATCCATATCTTGATCTGGATCATTTTCCTTTTCCTTTTCTTTTTCTTTTTCCTTTTTTTCCTTTTCCAACTTATTTTTTTGTTGTTGAATATAAACAGGACTTTCATGTAATCTATCAGCTCCTTTTCCAGTCTAGACAAAAAAAAAAAGATGGTTAATATTTATTTTATTTTTGTTTGTTTGTTATTTTTATTTTTATTACTTACAGTTACAACATAATTATTTGGTAATTTATCAGAAGTATCTTTATCATAATCTTCAAAATCAATATCTTTACTGAAACGGAAATATTCAACTGGTAGGATCATGAGAGAAGAGAATTTTTGAGTTTTCCATTTCTTGTCTTTATATTCTTGAGCCAAGATTTGAAGACCATGTTTTGCAACACGACGAGTATCTTTACTGTACGGGTCCATTTGATCCATAGATTGAGAAATGAAATCTAAATAGTTCATTAGGATTGAATAATTATCCTTTTCTTCAATCATCATATTTGTATAGTATTTAAAGAATTTACTAGTTTCTTCAAAGTTTGGATATTCCTTTTCGACGGTGGGACGATGAGAGATGAGATAGATAAAGTAGGGAAAAGAGTGTTCTGGAAGGATTTCACCCTTTAGTTCTACATTGGTTCTAGAGATTGCCATTCTTTTCATCTTGATGATGGATGATACTTGTCGTTTGATCGAGGTGGTAATGGAAGCTGGTTGATTGGCAGTCATACCAAAAGCAGCCATAAACTTGATTTGAAGACGATTCAATTTAATGGCCTTTTCCAATTTACTAAAGAATCGATGTTGAAGATGATCATTTTTAATCTCGGTTCTAATTGATGCTACATTACAAAATGCTATAAAATGTACTGGTTGAAAACACATTATAAAATGTTTATATCTCAACATTCTAATAATTTCAAAATTTACTGATAATTGAATATGATATTGTTCCATCGATCTAAAAAATAAAAAAAATAATTAGATAAATTAGATTCATCATATCTATTTTGTTACATACGATAATTTTTTTAATTTATCAGGACGATAAATAATATCAAATAAAAATGTAGTTAATTCAAAAACCTTTCTTTTAATTTGTTCAGAAGGTAAACCAACAAGATAATTTCCAAGATAATAGATACCATGAATTCGTAGGAGGGCATCTTTAGAATAGGCATAATCCAATTTACCCAATGCTTTTGTATTTACATCCAATTTACAAGTACCATTCATAATTTGTTTGTAGACTAAAATTTCCATAAACTCGTAGCATTCTTGTTGATCCAAAATGGAATGATGAAAACGTGCAATCAATCCAAGTGTAACCAATGAAGAAATAACATTTTTTGGTGATTGTTCTTGAAGTTGTGTTACCATTTCCTCTCCCATCTCCTTTAATATAGTCTTTAATTGTTCCTTGTTTAATGTTATTCTATCTAATAATCTAAATGACATTTTAACAATCTTTGGTGATCCAATTTCACATAAATTTCTTAATATCTCTTGCAGTTTTCTAGTATAGGAGAGAGATAAATTAATAAAAAGATAATTAGGTTCTAAAATTTTTTTTCTTTCATACTTTAAAATTGATTTTGAAGGTCTAAATTGATTTGAATCAATTGTATTATATAAAATTAAAAGAAATTCATTTGTAATTGCTTTTGGATAATAAAGAAATGATATTAATTCTTCTTCATATCCTCTAAATAAACTTGGAAATATTGATGATAATTTCTAAAATAAAAATAAAATAAAAAAAATTAATAAATAAATAGATAAATATATATTTGTTTTTTTTGTTTTTTTTTACTTACAACTAATAATTCTATAGGTTCAGGTAAAGATTTAATATCTTTTGAATAAGTTTTAATATCAAAATGATCAGTTGGTTTTGATGTTATATCTTGACGGACATAATCAAAAATGTAAGCAAGATGTTCTTTACCAATAATACCAAAACTAAGATAAAATACAAGATATTTTATACATTCATAAAATCTTTGGTCTGTTACTTTTTTTGATGTTGATTTTTTATTTGATATATCAACCTAAATGAAAAATAAAAATAAAAAAATTAATATATTTATATTTATATTTGATTCTTTTTAATTTTTTTTTACTTACTTTAATATTATGTTGTTCTTGATAAGTAGTATTTTCATCACAAATAACTTTTAACCATTTAAATTCCTTTTTATGATCAAATAGGGATTTTAAAAGATGTTTTGGATTTTCGTTTTGAAATTTTGGTAATTGATTATAGAGATAGGTGAATGCTTTTTCAATATCTTTTTGATGTTTTTCTTCATCTTGAGCGGTTGCCTTTTTACCACCTTTTGGTTTTTCGTCGACGGTATTGTAGAGAAAGGTAAATTCACGTTGAAGAGTACTCTTTTTTTCAAAGAATTGGAATAGATGTTCTTTTGATTTGTTGTCTAGATAACCATACAATTCCAAGAAACGATAGGTTCTATCTTGAACATTATTCTTTTGACCATGTGGATCACCAAGAAGAATAGTGTCGATGGAAACTTCGGTAAAAAACTTGTCAACTTCATACATTCCAAAACATGATACCAATTTGGTTGGAATACTACCAAAACAACTTTTCAAATGAGCATCCCATTTACTTGGATCACCATTTTCCGTACGTAGAATTTGAAATACAGTTGCCAATTTGGTGATTGCATCTTTACGTACATTGGTTTCCTTGTCACGCAATCTATCATAAACCTTTTCCATAATCTTGATCGATACCAATTGTGGTTTTCTAATCATATATTTGGTCAGCGAAAAAATGGACATCGATCTAATTTCATGAACCGTATCACTTAATCTTTTTGTTATAAAATCCAATATAACATCTCCATAGGTTGAATCTATTGAATAAATTTGTGAAAAATCTAATAATAATATTCTAATTTTTGGATCTGCATCTTCAAATCTTTTTATAAACTAAGGTAAAAAAAAAAAAAAAAGTAAATAAATAATAAATAATGAATGATGTGATTTAGATTTTTACATACTTTAATAAAAATATCAGAATATTGATCTTCAAATTCAAGACTTGAAGTAAATAATTTAGATAATACCATAACACAATGTTTTCTTAGGGAAGGATCTTCATTGTGAATATCTTGACTAAAATCATAGACACTGATGAGATTTGGATTAAGTTTAAAAACTGAATAGAGAATTTCATTACGACGAGGAAGAAGTTTACTTTTTGGTGCTAGGTCATTTGAATGAAAACTACGAAGATAATAACGATATGGATCTTTGAATGATTTGGTAGAGAGGATTGATCTTGCCAATAGGATACGTGGTGGTAATTCAGATGCATCTTTTGATCCAGTAGTACGATCAACAATTCTCTTTTCACCTTCAAGTAGAAATTCAGTTAAACGATCCCAAATTTCCGATGGAACCTTTTTAATTGATTCCAAAGTACTAATAATGATATTTTCAAAGAGTGGAACAAGACTTGTTGCAAGACCGTCCTTTGCAACCAAATCGTTCAACATTTTGAGAATAAATGGTGGCACAGAATCTGGTTCAACTTGATCCAATCCAGAAAAAATCTTGATGGATTCTAATCTTTCAACTAGATGATAATATTGTGGGAAAAGTGATTCATCCAAATCATACAACCCAAATAATTCATCTTTAAATATTTGATAAACCTTTAATGAAGCAGTAGAAGAGGTTTGAGCCAATATTTCACTATCCAAACGTATAATTTCTGCCAAACAACTTGCCAGCACCAATTTAACTTCTGAATCTTTTGTTTCCAATAATGAATTTGTTAATAATGATTTTGATATTATATCATATTCATTATTTTTTAATATTGGTTGTTGATATAAATATTTATCAATTTTCTTAAAGAATAAAAAAAAAAAAATTAATATATAGAGAGGTTATATTTGTATAATTTTACTTACCATTAATCTTTTAATTAATTTATTTGATGGTAATGTTGATGAAATATAAGTTGTATCATTTAATCTTTCTGGTTTAAGATTTTTAATTTGAAATTGTTTTTGATTCTTGTTAGATTGTTGATGTGATGATTGTTTTTTTGGTTGTGATGATGGTTTTGGTTTTGGTAATTCTTCTTCTGATGATGATGATTCTTCTTCTGATTCCTCTTCTTCACTACTTTCTTCTTGTTGTTGTATAACTTTCTTTTTACTACTAGCAGCAGCAGGTTTCTTCTTTTTTGAAGGTGATGGTTTAGCTTTTGGTTTAGTTGGTGTTGTTTTCTTTTTTTTCTTTTCATCTTCTGATGATGATGATGATTCTTGTTCTGATTCACTATTTGATTCTTCTTCTCCTTCACTACTACTATTATTCTTTTCATCAACACTCATTTCATCTTCTGATGATGATTGATCTTGTTGAATCTTTTTTCTACCTCTTGTTGTTGAAGCAGCAGCAGCAGGTTTCTTTTTAGATACTGCTTTTGTTGGTTTTTTAGTTACCATCTTTCTATATATATATACTCCTACTATGAATATATGTATATTAAAAAAAAAAAAAAAAAGTGAAGTTGTTTGAATACCCTCCTCTTTTTCAAAAATTCTTGAAAAAAATTAAAAAATTGGCGCCAATTTTGCTCTCTATCTTCTATTATTATAACATTTTATTTTATTTATTTATTTAATAATTATTCATTTCATTTAATTTGATTTGATTTGATTTGATTTCATTTTTTTTTAATCTGTTTTCCTTTTTTTGAGACAAGAAATAATAAAATCTTCCAATTGTTCAAGATTTTGATCACTAACTTCATACATGTCAATTTCAACACCTTCATCATTTTGTTTGATGGCCTTTGGTTCTATAATATCTAAAATGTTTTGTAATTGTGCTTCATTTAAATCATTGATTTTTTCCATTAAAATTCTTCTATCATCATCTGTATATTTCCTAGATTGATAAAATTAAATTAAATTAATCCTATATTTTATATTTTCTATTTTTCATACTTTTTAATATTTTCTGGTTTAATTTCAGTTGTAGTTGGAGTTGGTACGTTGGTTGTTGTAGCAGTAGTTGAAGGAGCAGGAGTTGATTTACGTTTTTTTTCAGGAGTTTCAGGTGGATTATTATTATTATTATTATTAATATTATTATTATTTGTTCCTACTATTATACTTGGAGCAATTATAGGTATTTCAGGAATTGGTTCAAATGGAAAAGTTTGACCAAACTTTGTATTAAAGTTTTGGAGAAGACTTTTGGCAAGTTTCCAAATGGGAGTACCATCGAGATTAAAGGTGAGTGCATTGATAAACATGAGTCTCATGTCTGCAGCAAATTCCTTGATGGTCTTGTATGAACCATTGTCCAACTTGGTTTTCATGGTACCAAGATCCATTGGATTCTTGATAATGTCGAGATAGGTTGGTACACCATCAGCAACTGGATCAACAGGATAATGAAATACCTCTGCGTTTTTACGTTTATATATTTGAGTATAAATACCATTACATAATTCTAAATTCTTTTTATCCATTATATCTGTTGTTGGTGTAGATTCTGAAGATGTAGTCGAGGAAGAAGAAGAAGAAGAGGTAGAATGAGATTTCTTTGGAGTTGCTGAACTTTTACTTGATGATCCACCTGTACTTGCACGTGATTGACGTGTTGTAGTAGTAGTAGTAGCGGCGGCGGTGGTGGCGGGAGCATTTGAATTACCACTACTACTAGATTTAGAAGGTTTAGTTGTAGTTGTAGAGGTTGGTTGTTGAGGTACAATAGGTTCATTTGGATCAAATGGTTTAATTGGTAAAATATTGATTAGATTGACAAAATCAACCTTGTTCATTAAATCACCCATCTTGCTAACTGACAAGACATTCCAGTTTTTAATGATAAACTGAGCACAGCTACGCATCAATTCTGGACATGACTGTTTCAATTGATTAGATGTCTTTTTCAATTCTGGCCAAACCGATACAATAGTGGTTGTAGTTAGATTATGAATTAAAAACTTTTCACAAACCCCTACCAATGCCTTGATTTGATATCTTTCTGCTAAAACCAATAATGAAAATGCACTTGATAAATCAATTTGATCTGGTTTTATAATTTCTTTTAATTTATCTTTATATATCCTAAAAAATAAAAAGTTAAGTAAATTAAAATTAAAATATAATATATATTATTTCTTTTGATTCTATTTACCATTCTAATAATAAGATGAATAAATTAAATTTAACATCTGTAATTTCAATTTCAGAAGAGTTTGATTTCTTTAATAAAGATTTAAAATGAGGACAACGAGATGCTAAAATTGAACGATGAGCAGGAATTGAATGACCTTCAACAATTAATGTAATATCTGAATAGATTCCAATATTTGTATTTTCATCTTCAAGAGATGTATCCATTTGATCTGCTGTATTATTTCCATTTGTTTCAGTTGTCGTTGCTTTTTTTACAACATACATTAAACTACCAATATCATTTTCCAATGATGTTGATTTACCATTATAAATTAATTCTTCCAATTCTTCTTTTTTCTCTATTTCTAAAAATTAAAGAAAAAAAGAAAAAAGAATGAATATTTCTATTTCTATATTTTCTATTTTCTATTTTCTATTTTCTATATTTACCAATAAATGATAAAACTGATAAACAAGTATTACCAGATTTATCTCTAACATTTGTTTTAGCACCTTTTTCTAATAATTGAATGATAACATCTTTGTAACCCATTTGACAAGCCAAAAAGAGAGGTGATTGATCTTCTTTGTTTTGAATGTTGACGTCGGAACCATAGTTTTGAACAAGAGCCAATGCAGCTTTGACTTCGTGACAGTTGATGGCTGCATGAAGAGGTGTGTTGCCAGAACTATCGCGACAATTGACATCACCTCCATTCTCTAGTAAAAGTGACAGGCATTCGACATTACCTGATCTCGCACTATAGTGTAGAGGTGTAGCTCCACGATTCGTCTGACAATTGACCGATGATCCACTAGACAGTAATAGTGCTACAATGCTTGTATGTCCACTGATCGCTGCATAATGCAATGGTGAACGATTCGAACTATCGGGCTGATTCACATCTGCTCCCGACGATATCCATTTTACTACTCCTGCTTGATCACCACTCTCTGCACATAAATGTATTGTTTGTCCTTCCATTCAAATTAATATAAATATATAAATATAGATATAGTGTTGAAAAACAAACACTAAAATTGAAATAGTTGTTGTTTGTGTGTACAATGAAAATATAAAAAAATAAATTAAAAAATAATAATGAACATCACCCTCCAAACTTTTTTTGAATCCGTTGCAAAAAAAAAAAAAAAGCTAAAAAAAAAAACAAAAAAAACAAAAAAACAAAAAAGCGGGAAAATTTAAAAATTATGTTTTAATTTATTTATACACGTTTAGTATGCATGAGATTGTTGAGTATGAATTGAACCATAGTTTGATTGATTTATAGTACTACTTTTAAAGATTAAATATTTATCTTTTGGAATTAATTGATAATTTGAAATTGAATCAAAAATCCATTTATAACTAATTGGTAATTGTTTGGTGGTTAGGTGAATTTGTGACAGTTGTTGATGAGAAGAGGTATATGATGGATGAACAATGACTGTACATTTTGATTTTAATAATTCTTTGGTATTTGATGGTTTTGGTGGTGGTGCATCCAATACTATACCACCTGCCTCTTTGATGACCGATTCAATTTCTTGACGACTAGGTTGATCAAATTCACCTGCCAAATAAAACGCCAAACCATAAAAGAGACGTTTTTCAGAGAATAATAATTGTTGGCGTGCCTTGTTTGGTGATCCTTGAATACCAGATTGTTCATCACCTTGTATTTCATAGGCATCTTCGTCTAGCCATTTTTGTTCATTGAGTGATTCTAAAATCCAATCAAATGACACAATCCAAAGTCCCTTGGCTACTCCCATTTGATATTTAATGGTTCTTTTGGCCATTTGTCCTTGTTCTTCAGTTGCACATACAATATGTGTAACAGATTGATCAAAACTAGTTACATATCTACCTCCTATTGAATTGGTTAATGTAATTATATGAATTTGCATTAATCTTGATAATCCTGTTCCTAATATTACTGGTCCAGTAGTAGATTCAATTTGATATCCTGGTATTGAAAATAATTGACTTGGTTGTTGTTGAGATAAATCTGGAATTGAAAATGTTTGACTTATTTTTTGTTGTTCTGAAACATTTGAATTATTTGATTTAAGTGATGGTTGATGTAATGGTAAACTAATTGATGATTCTTTTGGTTGTTGTGAAAATTGTTGAGATGTTTCAAATTGAATTGATGTTGATAATACATTATTCTTTGATTGTGAAGGTGGTGGTTGAGATGAAATTGGAGTATTATATTTTAATGGTGATCCAATATGACCTCCTTTGGATGGAAGTGGTTGTGAAGAAAATAAATTATTATTATTATTATTATTTTGATGTTGATTATTTGTTGGTTGAGAGGTTGAATTGAAATTTGGAAAAGATAAAGAAGAAGAAGAAGAAGAAGAATGATGACTTGATTGAGATGATTTTTGTGATGGTTCTTTTTCTTTTTCATTTTCATTTTCCTTTTCAATTTCCATTTCTTGAGAATTAAAATCAACTTGATTTAAATTAATTGTAGTTGTAGAATTTAATAGTTGAGTTTTTGGATCAAATTCATCATAAACTTTAATAGTTGCTTCTTCATCTACAATTGGTTCTTGATCTACTTTGATTGTTGCTTCTTCATCTACTTTGATGGTTGACTCTTCATCTACTTTTTGTGTTGCATCTTGATCAATCAATGAAGGTTGTGGTTGAATTGGTAGAGGTTGTTTAAATTCAACAATTGTAGGTTTTACCTTTTTCTTGATTTGTTGAGATTCTATTTCTTCTTCTTCTTCTTCTTCTTCTCTTTTCTTTTTTGTAATATTTGTTTTAATAATTACTTTTTCATCATTATTATTATTAATTTCTTTTCTATTTTTAGATTCAAAAGATTTTCTAATATAATTTAAAGATTTTCCTTTAATGAAAATTGAATCCCATGGAGAAAACCAATGATATTTTTTGTTTGGTGTTAGTTTGGATAGGATTTGAATGATCCAAGCATGAACAGATGGGAGACGAATACGTAATTCATTACCACTACCATATTCAATGTAACCGTCAGCCAATAGAATGGCAGTATGTGTTGAACCGGCAATACTATACGTTAGACGATCACCAATCTTTAGATAGTTTTGTTTCATCAAGTCGTCAATCGTCACTTCTGGTTGCTTCTTTTTCCAATTGGGTATGACCAACCCTCTCTTTCTCTTGATCTTTCCTCCTCTTTTCATTACCATCTTTGGATCTTGACTGGTTACTGCATCCCATATTGGTAATGACATTGATTGATAAATGTCAAAATCAAATTGAATCGATTCTTTAATAGATTCTTCTTCTTCCTCGTCGTCCAAAGTAAAGATTAAATCACCATCAGTACTTAGAGTAAATGATATTGGTGCAATTTCTTGACTATCTGGTTGTTCAAAAGTTTGACTAAAATCTAAACTACCAAAAATATCCAATGATTCATTTTGTGTAAATGATTGTCTAAGAGGTTGATGTTCTCTTTGTTCTCTTTGACTAGGTTGAGGAGATGAAACTGGTGAGGGATCTGTAAATCTAACAATTCTTTTTCTTGTTGGGGAGGATGTTTGAAATGTTTGTTCTTGAATGTGTGCATCAAATGATGATTGTATGACATTTGCATTCATATTTTGTAATGAACTTGTATTCATTGGTGATGATTGTATTGATTGACTAGTACTAGTACTAGTACTACTATTATTATTCTTTGTTGGTGTTGATATTGATTGTTGTTGTTGAGATAAAGATGAAGGAGGTAAACTTGATTGACTATTATTATTATTATTATTATTACTATTAATTGGTTGATCAATAATCTTTTTATCATTTTCTCTTTTAAAATATTCTGGGTCTATCATTTGTGATAGATCACTTGAACTTTTAAGAGGTGACATTTTATTTGTTGTATTTGATGTGTCGTTATTCATTTTATATATATCTATCTATATTCTTTGGTTATTTTGTATGTTGTCAAAAGTGAAATGAATCGAGGTTTGAAAATTTTGGTATTGCAGTTTTAAAAATTTATTCTTGGAAGATCAAATTTTTTTTTTTTGGGTGAGATTTTTTCATGACAAAAATTGATCAATTTTTTTTTTTGTGACTATCAAAAGTCTCATTCCACATTTTAAGAGATAAACAGTACAGATAGAGTATTATTTGGTGGTAGAGGGGTGCGAGGGAGGCGTGGGGCGATGTCGCATGCGGCAAAAGGGCAAAAGATCGACAACTGCAGGGTTTGAACCTGCGCCTCCGAAGAGAATGCATTTCGAGTGCATCGGCTTAGACCACTCACCCAAATTGCCAAAACGAATTGGTGACATTTTTAAAACAACCGTGATATCCGCCCAAATAGCCGTTTCAAATAAATGACATCTGCCATTTAGCTTTGTGTGTACTCTTTCTATGTTATTTAATCTTTTATTTTATTTTATTTTAATCATAAATTAATTTTATATTTTTTAGACATGTTTGATTCCAGTCTTGGGTGACATTGTCTTCATTATTAATTAAATATTTTTTAAATAATCAACAACCGTTTTATCATCTCTTTCAATTCAATTAAATTGTGTACTTGATCATGTAGTGTGTAATAACTATATAGATACTTGGTAAATATATATTTAGTTTGAGAGGTATATAATAATAATAATATATAGATATATGAATATATAGATAGTAATAATGACTTTAGATTGTAATTGATTATTAATTATAGTAATAAAAGATGAATATAGAATATTAATATAGAATATAGAATGTAGAGTGTCTTTATTGGATTATTCTAATCCTTTTTATAATTGTTGATCCAGACGACTAACTGACGATGGTTAGTCGTTAGTATTTTATCCAAAATACTTTACATATTTGACTTATCCTAACCAGGATTGAGTATATTGAGTTCAATGAGATATCCATGAAATATCATTGAGATATCATTGATTTTAAACAATCTAGATCTAACATAGTGTCACAACCAAATGAGTGTATTGGTTATCACATCGTATCATTGACCACCTCAATATACGCATCAAGCATTAATTTTCAACTCCAATCCATTTTATATTTCTATACATATTATAATCATAATTGTTTCTTTTATTACTAGTTAAATCAACATTACCATTAATTGGCAAATATTATTTCATTTATTTTCAAAGCGGAACCAACTTTTGACACCATCAATCATTACATCCAATCATAACTACCCTTTTTTATTTATCCTTTTTAATTAATGTTGTTTGTCTACTTGGTTGATTTATAAAGAAACTAGAGCTGAGAGTTGAAGTGTTGTAGATCTCGAGTGAGAGGGTAGAGATAGGTCGATCTGGTGTTGATAGTTGTATGTTTTTACAAATATTATTATTATAGAAAGGATGTTGAGAATCCAAATAAAAGTTGATGCAACATCCAAAATAAAAAGTCAAAACAACGGTGATTGATATGTCATTTACAATAATTTACATTTTATTAATTTATTATTCTTGATATTCCATAATTTCATCATACTCTTCCTCTTCCTCTTCTTCTTCTTCTTCATCATCATAAAATGATTTAGGAAGGTAATCCAAATCTACAAGTCTAATTGGAAGGGGCTGGAATCTTTTCTTGGCAAAAAGACTTGGAAACATATCCTTTCCTAGAAGGATTTGTTTTGGCGTCTCTCGGCGAATTGGAACGACTTTGGCATTCTTGTATCTTTGGGCACTGAGCTTGGCAATAACTTCCTCAGTGTATTCGACAGGTTTGGCAAGATGACTGACTGATTTGACCCATTCCAATTTTCTTTCCTTTTCCATTGCATCAACGAGACGGTGGCGGGGAGCAGTCCTGGTTATATTTCCAAATACTTCCTTGTAAACTTCTCTTAGCAACTCGGTGGTCCACTTGGCAGAGGTATTGAACTCTCTACATATGAGGCGGCAGTTGTCTGGCATATATGTATTATGGTCCTTGATACGGTCGAGGCTATCTTGACAATCAGACAATGGCACGGCTACCATTATAGCATTGGAGATGGCACAAAGGCGATTCTGTTCACTGGACTTGCCGTGAGGATCGGTGACACCAATTTCATATTCTCCTTGCTTTTTACCAAAGTGGGGTCTACGTTCACTATCACGAACCTGAGCGGTATACAATGAGGTACTTCTATCATTAAAATTTTCAACCAATCTAAATAGATAAAAAAGAAAAAAGAAAAAAGAAAAAAGAAAAAAAAGGTTAAAAATCTAAAAAAATATATATCTCTTTGACGATCTTTAGGTGACGATTACTGGCAATTTTTACATCGATAGTTTGTTTTATCACAGTCACAAAGAACGGTTGGCAAAACAAAAGGTCCGGGTACTTGTGGCAACTGTGGTACATCAGCTACTGGAGCAATGATTGGTACATCGGTCAAGGGCTCGGCCATTTGAACAGCGGGCACTGGTTCAACCAATGGGACATCAGGCACTGGGTCAGCAATTCGTCGCTTAAGCTTGGGGACTGTTGAGACCTTGGCAAGAGAGGCAGTGATTGTAATGAGAGGTTCAGAGTTGAAACTAAAATAACTACGCTTCATTTGTATTTGTTGTTGTTGTTGTAAAAGTAGTAGTAGTAGTAGTAGTAGTAGTAGTTGTTGTTGTTGATGAAAGTAATGATGAAGAGCATGTTGGAATGCTCATTTTATAGCTAGTCCTCCTGATCATGACTGACCTACATAGCTGTGCACTGATAGACTGAACGATTTATTAGTGTGTATGTTGATTGAAATCGTTCAGTCGGTCTGAGCTGGCTTTGAGTGTGATCCATATTGATATTTTCAATGCATTTTTTTCATATTTTCTATCACTGATCGCATCCAAAGAACTATTGGTGGTTGATAAACAACAAGTACAATTTTAATGGATTACATATAGGTATGGTTTTTTTTTTCTTGTTATTTGCATGATCAATCTATTAATACAATCGCTATTATAGAGAGAATGAATACTTGAAGAAGATATCATCACCTGCTCTTCACATCTTTACTTTGGGTTTGAAGAGGCCCATGCCAGCAATGTTATATGTGTCACAACTCTTTACGTCCCCAATCATTCACATACCAAAGGATGTGATCATGATACCAAAGCCTTTGCTATGAATATTCGAATGGTTCACGTCGTGATGCAACTTTTGTCAATGACAAGGGTTTTTGGAAAGGACTGATATATAGTTTGCTCTCTATCTAGATACAGCACTGCTGACTGTGATCATTGTAGATAGCACGCGCGAGATGCATGGTGTTATGACTTTCGACGATGCATGTTGGAAGTAGCCAACAAATTCATACATGTCGACGATCGTTCGTGTCGAGTAGAAATCGACAACAACAAAGAGGAAATGAATTTAAAGGATCACTTGATATTATTGTCCAACATGGTAATATTATCATCAAATTTGAATCATTGATTTGTAAATCATTGGTCAAAGTATTAAAAGTACATCAAGCTAAATATCCATCAAAATTCACCAAACGATTAATTAATCAACCAAAGAATTCACCATCTCCATCCCCTTCCATCATCTCCTCCTCTGACAACAATAATAATGTTAAATATTTACAAAGATATGTTAAATCATTAGAGTCTACGCAAGGAATGATTAGAGTATTGGATTTGATGAACTTCTTTCCATTGGCACTACCACAAGTTTGGAGCCAACATCAACGATCATTGATTTAACTTCCCAAGATTTCTCATTCACCTATCCAATCTATTATCTCGAGAATAATAATTTATCAATTAAATTATTTAAAGAGTTCAATTCATCCATGTCTTTGAATGACCAAGGTTTCCTTTCAAGAATTTATTCAAAATAATCAAAATATTACAACACAATTATATCAACTATTAAATCCAAATGGTCAACTCTTTGTAATCAACAATGATTCAGTGGTCGTCGATGAAAATAGCAAAGAATTAATCATCAGAGATATTAAATCAACACAACTCAAAATTCAACATATTAATAATAATAACTCAACACTAGATCATGAAGATATTACAATGATTTGTAAAAAGGCATCAATCGAAGAAACCAATTTCGATAATATTGATAATATATTATTTATTACTCCATCCTCTTCTTCAAAGTTATCAACCAGATTGATTTCACAAGCATCATCAATTTCAAAACACGTAAAGTATTTCAAGTGATGATATTATGGATGAAAGTAAATATCAATCATTATTGGATTCGTATCATTTAGAGAAGGAGAAAAGGTTGTAATTATTTATTTGGAATCATTGATAGAGATGAATTCGAGTAATCTTGACAAGAAATCAATGCAACTCATCAGATTACACCAAATATTAAGAAAGGAACAACTACCTGTCAAATTAATAACATTGATAACTGGTCAACTCAATCAATGTTTGGTTCCAATTTGCAGAGATTATGATCGTCCATCTGACATGTTCGAGCATTTGATTCGATATCAATCAGCATGGATCATCAAAGTTGTAATCAACTTTCACTCTCTCAAATCATGCAATATTCCAACAGTGATTTCATTGGTGAAAAGAATATTAAATTGGAATGTAATGATCAAGTTATTCAAGTCCCAAAGCATTGGAATTGGGTTCAAGATGCATTATTAATGATAAACAAGATATTAGAGTCAAGTTTGAAAAGGATTCTAAATACCATCTTAAATCAAAGGCAGAGGTCTGACATTCGAAGATTATCAAGTTGAAGTTCAAGCCAAAGCAGCATCAGTCAATTTCAAAGATCTTATGACTTTGGAAGGTAGAGTCGATCAAAAAAGAAATATACTTGGACAAGATCTTGCTGGTATCGTCACAAGAATCGGATCAAAAGTAACAAATTTCAAGATTGGTGATGAAGTTTTTGGTTTGTCTCATGCTTTTACCTATTCAGTTGCTTTGGAAAATAATCTAGTTCATAAGCCAAAGGAACTCTCATTTGTTGAAGCTGCATCTCTGCCGGTTACAATGGGAACTGCCTACACGGTACTCAAAAAAGCCAGTATTGTTTCGTCGGATTCAATTCTCATTCACAGTGCAACTGGCGGTGTCGGTTTGTCAATATTAAATATTTTAGAGCACAAACAACACATCAGAACAAGAAAACATATTGGAAAGGTTGTCATTGATTATGAAAATGCTGAAAGAGATTTGGTCGAGCCATTGTTACGTGAAAGAGATAGAAAACAGATAGAAAGAGTACACTATCAACTTGATGGTGTTCAAGATACTCTTCTCATCACTGGTCAAACAGGAGTTGCTGTTGAATCACTTCATTATATCATCAAACATGCACCTCAACTACGTGATACAATTGTTGTTTCCTATTCATCACCAAAATATGAAATTCAATTATTAATGAATCATATCAACAAACACCAATCACACCTTAGATGACATTATGTTCAATGTTATATTGGAAATTATGATCAACTCTCTTTATCAATTCAACAACTTTAAGTAAAGTGTTACAATGATTCAACCATTAAACCAGTCAAATCAGTTATACATTGTGCCAATACCTATGTATTTGCAGATGCAGATGATGTTACAATGGAGAATCATCGACAAGCAATGATGGCCAAAGCAATCGGTGCATTGAATCTTCACAATTTATTTAAAGAGCTGCAATGGAAATTAAATCATTTCCATTTACTGTCATCGATTGCTCAATACTCTGGAAGAGAAAGTTTCAGTTATGCAGTTGCCAATTCATTCCTCGATCATCTTGCTCAACACCGTAGAAATTGTGGATTGACAGCAACAGCTATTATTTGGGGATCGATTGGATCAACTGGAAGAGTTGCAATTAGTAAAACTATCAAATGAAGCATTGGAGCACATATGATGCCACTCGCAACAGTATATGGAGTACTCAGATCATCGAGTATTATTTGTGCAGCCAATCAAATCGACAGATTCCTCTGAAACACCAAATCTCTCGCATTTATTCTGTCATTCGTCACACATTGTATCCAAGAAACCAACAAACAGCGGTGACAACCAAGACAATATGAATGAAAAGATTATTGAATTCATTGCATACTTGCTCTCGATTGAAAAGAAACTAAATGGTGACACCAAACTCAAAGATTATGAGTTGATTCTATATCAAATCATGGATTGAGAGATTAAGTTCAATTTAAACAATCTAATCTAATCAATCAAGCTCAAATATCAAATGGTACAATCAATTCAATTATTGAAAATGTAAATAGAATAATTAAAAAATAATAAACAACAAAAAATATTATAAACCAACTTCTTTTTCACATCTTCTTGAAATAGATGATTAAGAGATATCAGTAATTAATTAATAGTTGTAATAAATAATGAGCTCATCAGATGTAAATGATATTAAATAATTTTGATTTTAATCCATTTCCACCACCCCTGGGTAGATTTATTGATTTTTATTTATATGGTGGTACATTTTTTGAGTCCTTTCAAAAATGTGGAATTGGTCCTTTTGGTTGTTCTTTTAACATCATTCTTACTTGGAATTCACCTTCGAAGAAAAAGCTAACATGAGCAGCTGGAAGATTATACGTTTCTCCTTCTCGTTGGATGATGGTAGACTCCACATCAAGTTTCATATTCCAAATATCAGGACCACTTTTTTTGCAATTAGGAAGAAAGTCCAAAAAGACAGGAGGGGTCGATCAATGGAGTAGGTAATATTCTTGCTTTAAACAAAAAAAAAGTGATCAAAATTAATAAATTTTAGGAATCTAGAAATAAAAAATATCATCATACCAATTCCTTCCAGAGTTGATTTTCCCATGGCAGAGGTAAAAACGATTGTTGTAGGTTGTTCCATTATTTAATATAGATAAGGAAAATTTAATAAAGTACAAAAAATTAATGTGAGGTAAACAATAAATACACCGTGCAGTACAAGGCAAGAAAAAAAAAAATTGTTTTGATTAAATTATATTTGAATTTGTTAATTTGGGGGTAATCAACTTCAGCAACCATTACTTCCAATCAAAATCGAATAGGTTATTTATTAGTAGGCCATATACCCCCTCTGGGGGTTATAAAAAATAGAGATAATGGTGGTTATATATTCTTCCTTTTTGTATTTCTCTTTCATTGTATTCTTTTGATTGTTTCTTTTACTATCTAGAGATACACACTGATACAACACTTCAATCCCACATCACAATTGATGTCTTTAAAAAACAAACCTATACAAAATAATATATCGATATGGGAATAAAGAGTCATTCAGTTCATTCATTATTCATTATTATAGTTATTATTATAAAAATTATCATTTACAATCTTAAGCTATTATTATTATTATTTATATATTCATATATTATTATATAGATACCAAGTATCTATATAGTTATTACAGTGTAGAAAGCATATTTAACTATGATGTGAGTGATTGGTGTCGAGTAGTAAAATATTTGTTAAATATTCATATACCAGTCAATATTACTGTTGATGTATATCGTCATCAGATGATGATATCTTTTGATACCAACCAATTTAGCAATACCTTTAATCGACTATTAATTACTTCCGTAGCTGAGATACGACAGCATAAACTACGGCTCAACAACTTTGGCTACCTTGAATGATCACCCATTTGGTCATAGTAGTATGGGCGATAGTTATTATTTCTATTGTTTGGGAGCTGTCCGCCCCTCCTGCGTGACGACAACCAAGAGTACCCATGGTGCCGTAGCCGATTGGTTTTAGACACGTAATGAATGGCGACAGTCGCAGCCTCGTCACAGTATCCCCAACATTGCAAGAAGGGTAGATCATTGCCGGAACCTACCTATAACTAGCTAGGAAAAACATAACATTAGACCTATTGCACTGGTGGCAGAACAATTTGGTTTTTTTAAATAAAATATAAATTATAATCCTTCATTCGTCTATAAAAAATACAAGTGTTGGCATTTATTAAAAATTTAATCATTTTTTTATTTGATTTTTAATTAAATCCAACTCTTCACAACACCTGTCAAATTGTTTATTTGTAATTTAATGTTGTAGTATTTTTATTGTTGTTTGATTTTATGACGACAATACAATCTATTATATTTTAAGATAAAATATTGGTTGGTGCTAGTGCTCCCATTAAATGTTTTGGCTGTGGTTTCGAGTTGAATAATTTTTCAAAGCATTATTTGTGGATTATAATATTTTAATTATTAATATTATTGGAAGAAAGAATAAAAGAGGTGATTTTGAATAATAGGACATATTAATCATTGTCCGCCCATAGAGTTTTTCGGGTTTTAAATTTAAAAGGGTGTAAGTGTTTGGGTGGATATCATGTTGTTTTTAGCATGTCACCAATTCGTGGAAATTTGGGCGGGATCTTTTTTTTTTTTTTAACATCTATGACTACCACCATTCACATCCGTGATAGTCTTTGTTTTATTATTAATAAGAGTTTAAAATACAAGTTTTAGAGGTTTAGAGAGAGGAGGTTATATAATGGTTATCTACTAGCAAGAATGAAGGGATAGGGTAGGGAGCCGCGAGTTTTCCCCAGTTGACAGAGAAACGTTTACATTGCGCGACTAGTTCGAGACTGGTTAGCGGCCAACGATTAGGTTGGCATTTAGACAGTTTAGACTTGCAGTGATCAACTAGCTTTAGGTACTCTAGGTATATTACAGATTTGAAACGACTGGTGACGATTGCGACTTCATTTGTATCGATCAAACACGGTATGGCATGGGTATCAACCGTTGTTTTAACAATGTGACCAATTCTGTGGCAATTTGGGTGAGTGGTCTAAGCCGATGCACTCGAAATGCATTCTCTTCGGAGGCGCAGGTTCAAACCCTGCAGTTGTCGATCTTTTGCCTTTTTCCTGAATTCCGACACCTCCCTCGAACGTACCCTCCACCATCAAATAATACTCTATCTGTACTGTTTATAACTTAAAATGTGTTGTGGGTAGTCTTTTTCCTTTTGGTCGTGACAAAAAAAATCTCAACCAAAAAAAATTGATATTCTCAAATAATTGCCCACAAGCGAATTTATATACAAAGAATAGGGTTATCGGATGTCCACTATCCTTTAAACCAGTTTTAAATCTTTCATACAATGAAATAGAAAGTTTGAAAAAAAAAAAAAAAAAAAAAAGGAAATAAAAAAGAAAATAAAAGCACTAAACCAAAAGAAAAAAAAAAGAATTGAATAAATTGATTCAATTCTACGCTTTCAAAAAATGACAACAAATAATAATAATAATGCATTCATAATAATAATAAGAAACAAGATTATAAAAAGATTAATATTCAAATGTATTCATGAATTGGGAGCAACACCAAACAAAGAAAAGAACAAATCAACAAACAAAAACTTTATACCAATCTATCAATCACAAAACAAACTCAATCTGATACGAAGAAAATCATACCCCGTCAAAGGATCACGTATAAAGACATTAAAACTTGAATCAATTGTTGGTTACTATGCAATGTCTCATTACTTTTTAAGACCCATGATCAATACATTTAATGGTACGATTTCTCTAAATCAACCGATTAGATTGTATTGTCGACATCCCAATGCAAATCTAGAAACTTTAATCTATCTATTAGAAATCAATACAGACAATATTAAAGAGATTTCTCATTTAATCCTTGGTGATGTTTCATTTGGTGGACATATAAATATATTTAAATATTTAATAGATCAAGGCATATATCAAATATTTGAAAAGGAAAAGGAAAAAGAAAAAGAAAATAATAGTGGTAGTGATTGTTTACAAGAACATGATGATATATTTTCAATGGAATCATTAACAATCAAAGAGGAACCAATTCAACATTTATTAGATTTGGCAGCAAGTAATGGTCAACAATCAATGTTTGATTATTTATCTAATAATATCCAAGGTTTGAAATGTACGACAGAGGCAATGGATGGTGCAAGTAAAAACGGTCATTTAAATCTAGTCAAATGGTTAAATGAAAATCGTACAGAAGGATGTACAATCAATGCAATGACAATGGCAAGTGAAAACGGTTATTCCGATGTTGTCCGTTACTTGTATGAAAATCGTACAGCAGAAAGATGTGTAGAAACTGTAATGGATCATGCAGCAGCACATGGAGATTTGGATCTATTTATCTATTTACACGAGGATAATCGTGACAATAATCGCATGTCACATCGTGCCTTTTATTGGGCAGTTCGTGGTAATCATCTACCTCTTGTACAATATATTCATCAAAATACAAATCATTATGATCTTCCAATGGGACTATTAATTTCAAAATATGGTGACAATAAAGTTAGACAATATATTCAAAATGAAATGAATAAATTACAAGATAATCAAAATTAATAAAAATAGAATCAGAAGCTTTCGAAGCTTTCAAATCATTCGTCGATCTTTTTTACAAAAATGATAAAAAAAAGATTATCTTTATCTCTTTTTTTATTCTTCTTTTTGGTTATTTCTTCATCTTCTTCTATTATAGAAATTAAAGAATATTTAACAACAAATAATAATAACGGTCAATGTAATGGTAGATTTGAAAAAGGATCATTTATAACACCAAATGTTTGTGTAAATGGTCAAATCTTTCAACAACAAGAAGAATCAAATGATGATATCATAGTTTCAACCTATTCAACTTTAAATTGTACAGATGATACAAATGAATCAAATAATATCATTTCATTTGATACATGTATAAATAATTCAACTATATATAATAGTTTATCTACAACTCCAACAATACCAACAGAATTTATATATTTAACCTATTATTATAATTCAAGTGAACCAAGTTATTTGAATAGAATAGATTATATACCAACCAATATGTGTATACCAAATCAGGTGGCTGGTGGTTCAATCATGTATAGTTGTTTAAATGGTCAAATATTCATACTACATTATAAATTTGTATTAAATTGTGCTGGTTTACCAACTCATAAATCAACTCCATCAAGTGATCCAATTTGTCTATATGATCAATGTCAACAAAGTAAATGTTTTTAATAAAAAAGGATTTATTTAAATTTACTTTACTATGCAAACATTTCATCCATATCAATCTTTTTGTTTGTTTTAATTTTACTGGCAAGTGAAGGTTTGGAATGACCAGTTGCAGATTTACAACTTTCCTTTTCACCAATAAGATTCTTTACTGCTTGAGATGCTCCAGATCTATCTTGAATATTAACTGCTCTCTTTAGATTACTTTGTTGATATTGTGCTACCATATCAGCAAAATCACCTTGTGGTTGTTGTTGTTGTTGTTGTTGAGGTTGATAAGAATTAAATCTTGGTTGTTGTTGTTGTTGTTGTTGTTGTGGTTGAGACATTTGTCTTTGTTGTTGTTGAGGTTGTTGGAGACCTTGTTGGATACCTTGTCTTGGAGATTTTGGAGGAGAAGGAGAAGGTTGATAATTCAAATAACCATTTGAAGGAGGTGGTAGAGGGATTTGGCTTGGCTGTTGAGATTGAATAGTTGGAGGTAAACCATTTCTCATTATATCTGAAATAGATGGACGATATAATAATTGTTGTGGTTGTGGTGGTGGAGGTGGTGGAGGTGGTGGAGGAGGAGCACCACCAGCTACAGGACTTCTTACAATATTCGAAACAATAGTTTTTGGAACGATAATTGGTACATAGGAAGGTTTTGGTGGAGGTGGTTTTGGAGCAGGTGGTGGAGGAGGTGGAGCTGTAATGTTTTTAATAAGTTGTACAACGTGTTGAACATTTTTATGATTGACACCAAATTCTTTTTCTCTAAGAGCACGTGCTTCATTGAGAGTTTGAAGACAGAGTTCCTTTTTGTTACTTGATAGGTATAATAGACCAAGACGAATCAATATAGCAGCAACATGATTATGAGTTGGACCATAAATCTTTTTAGTAATATTGAGTGCACGAAGAGCAGAAGCTTCGGCAAGACGATAATTTTCTTGTACTTCATAGAGTGAAATCATATGACGAAGGATTTGAGCTACACGACTATGATCAAGTCCAAGTACAGCTTCATAAATCTTGAGTGCAGATTTGTAACAACTTTCTGCATCATTGAATTGATCCTTTTCAATGTACAATGAACCAAGACGATTAAGAATACGAGCATAACCAATATCCAAATCACCCAATTTCAATTCTGTAATTTCCAATGCCTTTATAAAGAATTCTTCTGCTACATCCAATTTTCTTGCTTCTTCAACAAAGTGAACTGAACCCAAACTATATGCAATATCTGCGATAAGTAAGTTTTTGTCGTCTCCTTTACTTTCAGCAATACGCATAGCATCTGTCAACATTTGTTTAGCTTCACCATGTTTACAACGAGCAGTAGCAAGAGAACCTAAAAGATTTAAAGTTGCAGCAACTTCAATATCTTCTTGACCACGTTCTTTGGTATAGATTGAAAGGGCTTGACGGAATTTAGTTTCAGCCAATTCATAACGACCTTGAACATGATACATATGACCCATTGCACGATCAACTTTGGCAGCTTCCAAATTTTGTGAAGAATTTACGTACAATTCTCTTGCCTTTTGATAGAGCAACTCGGCACCTTCATTTTGAGTCAATTCTTCCAAAAACGATGCAATACGATAAAGTATATCTGAAATGACCAATCCAGTTGCTTGTGGGAAACTTCTTGCAATCAATTGTTTATACTCGTACGTAGCAGAGTAAGGGATGAGATTCTTACTCTCTGCAGCATTACGTGGTGGTTTATCTTGTTTTTCCAATGTATTCCAATAACCAATTAAATCATTCTTGTGACGTGGTGAATATAATTTATCAAAATTATAAATATCTACTAAAAAGTTTCTTAATCCTTCCCAATTATTTGATCGAAGTAGTTGGAATGGTAATTCTTCAACCTTTCGTTCAGATAAATCAGCTTGTTCAAATAGGATTGATGCCAAGTCTGAATGAATATCGAATCTAACTTTATCATTATCAACATATTTACGTTCTACAGCAGTTTTAATATCATCATTTAAAAATGATAATAAACCACTACTACTTGAAATATATGCTTCCATTAAAACCAAAAGACTATTCCATTCTTGTGGATCAATACCTTTACGACTTAGTAGATGAGAAAGTTTGTCCAATTCGATACCATGACGAGCACCCCAAATGTAACGAAGGAATTCTCTAACCAAACCTTTACCTTTTTGATCGTAATCTGTTTCAATACGATCAAGAATGATTTCATACAACTCGCTAGTGTTTTTAGCACGTAGCAAACGAGTAATACGATCACCCAAACGATCAAATTCACCAAATACACAGATATCATCCAACAAGAGTTGAAGGAATCTTGGGTTATTGGTGGATGGTGATTGAGCGATTTGTAGTTCTTGTTGATCCGACACCTTTTTAGCAAAACGGTTCAAATAGAGACGTACAATTGCCTTGCGAGTAGCTTCATTGATTGCACCCATGGACAACATTTCAGCTCCACGTTTCTTCATTACTTCCAATGGACGTGATCCACTAGTTGCACTAATGATCATCTTTAGATTCATTGGGAATGTACGAGGGAACCAAATTAAATCCAATGCATTATCACGACTATCCAATTTATTCAAACCATCCAATATAATCACAACACGACGATTTGCCAAACTTGGATGAGTCATAATAACTGAAAGGAAGTTACTAAATTCCGATGCAATCTTGTCTGCCGATACATTCTCCTCTGGAATATCTGGAATCCAAGATACCAAATTATTTGTTGAAAAGATTGAACTAGATTCATTTCCACCACCTTGTTGTTGTTGTTTTGCTTCCTTTTCAATTTGATATTTAATTTCATTCATTATATTAATCATACAAAATGTATATTTTGTCGATGATGGACTTGCTCCAATCCAATTTGATACAACTAAATCTTCTGGATGATGTTCTCTATGTTTTAATACCCAATTTGAAAGTAAAGAACTTTTTCCCATTCCTAAGAAAAGAAAATTAAAATTAAAAAAATTAATAAATTATTATTATTATTATTATTATTTTTGTTTCTATTCTATTTCTTTTACCTTGATCACCATGAACCATTAAAACATTTTTATGTTTTGTAATAAAAGTATCAAGTTGAAGATTATATTGTTCATTTTCAACATAGAGTTTGGTAAGATGTTTGGCAAAGATGGTATGTAGGAAACGTTCCTTTTCGGCAGGTTTTAATTCATTGCCAACTGGGAATTTCTTGTCAATATACTTTTCCATGTCTTCATAGAGAATATCGGCAAGATTACTTGGACGACGGTATTCATTGGAACGGTATCCTTGATTCTTTGAAATCTCTTGTTTAAGACGATCCAACTTTTCCTTGCTCTTGCTACCTTCCGATACAAACAAGTTTCTATCCTTTTGTGAAATCTCTTCTACATAGTATGGATCTCTAAAATAAAACATTGCATTCTTTTTACCAATCATTGATTGATTATAATGATTATTTAATATCATTCTAAATTCAATTTCTGTTATTGATCTAAAAAATTAAAAAAAAAAAAAAAAAAATTAAATATTTTAGGTTTCTATTTTCTTTTTCCTCTTCTTCCTTACGAATCACGATATTTGTTAACCCAAGGATATTCAGAACTAGCACGATCAAGAGTAGTTGAAAGATGAGCTTGAGTTTTGGCATCTGAACGTTCTTGATTTGACCAACCATAACGTTCACCATAGAGACCAATGAGGAGGTTTGACTTTTCCAATTCACGTAGACACATTAATAGACCATTGGCTTGTTCGGCGGCACTAGAGGTGACACCCCAACGCAAATCAACATAGGTCATAATAATGTCACGTTCAATACAAAGTTTACGAATCTTTGGAATGACAACCTTGACAATTTGATCACGATCCAATTGCATATCCTTGAATGGAGAGCTGATAAAGATTCTAATTTCTCTTTCTTCAAATTCTTCCTTTTTAATTTGATGATCAATGTATTCATCACCATTACCAACACTTGAATCTTCATCTGAATCATCTTCAATTTCCCATGTCTCTGGAAGTTCCGAATCTTCAATCATATGAGAGTCATTTGAAGAGATGTTTGACTTTTCTTGTTGCAAGAGTAATGGATGATTTGGATTGGTTGAACCACTTTCAAGGTTAAGTTTGAATAGGTTGTCCATTTGATCACCGGTAAGTGTTGATATTCTATTGGAGAGTAAACTTTCAAAATTGGCAATATTTGAAATGGCACGTTTCAAATTGGCCAATTGTGCTTTTAGAATTAATACCTCTGAACTAGTAGTAGTAGATTGTTCTAGTGAGTGTACTGAACTGTCGACGACAGTAAAATGAATTGGTGTACCAAAGTTGACACCATCGTTACTGGCCACCATCGATAAATCACCAACTGGAAGTAATAATCCATTTGGAACGTATACTAGGACAGCATTGGCACCATGAAATTCATTACCAGTTGTAAAATGATTACCAATCTTTACTTTAAAGTTTGGTCCTGCCACAAAATCAAATCCAAACACTGAAACATAAAATCCTCCATTTTTACTACCACTTGGTGGTACCAATATTGTAATAGTTGGTGTTGGAGAAGATGCAATAGAAGCAATAGTAGAAGTAGATTTAACAAATTTGGTTGGTATAATTGATGATGATAATTTAACAGTAGGTGGAGATGATGATGAAGATGAAGATGTCAATGATGGTGATGATGATGAAACTACGATACTTGTTGTAGTAGATGTAGCAGCAGTAGCACCCTTTTTAGATTGAATCTTTCTAAGAATGATTCTATAATCTAAACATTTAATATCAAGTGATTGTGCAGTTGATATTGGATACTTGTTTTCAATTATCGATTCATTTGTTGTTATAATATAATCAATCTAAAAAGCACAAAAAAAAAAAAAAAAGAAAAAGTGTTGTGTTAGAGAAATTTTTTTTTTCTATTTTTTTTTTTTCTATTTTCTATTTACAGTTTTAGCAAATCTTTTAGTGATAGTTGAACCATGAGATTCAAAGAAAGATTTTAAACTATCTTTAACTTCAGATGGAACATTATTAAAATATACAGTTTTTGATTTAAATGATATTTTCTCTTTTGTCGCCATATCTTTTTGATAAAGTGAAAAAAATGAAAATAGAGAGAGAGATAATAATAATAATAATAATAATAAGAGAGAGATAAAGATAAAGATGTAGATAAATTAAAAATTAGGGACTCAAAAGAAGCTAATTAAATTGAAGCAGGTTCAAAAATATCATCAACTCATTTACCTCACAGCTTCAACGAATTTTCCAGTCTCGATCAAAAAAAATTCTTTTGTTGCCAACACCCTAATGATGGGAGCTGCTGGTCGATTTGACTTTCATCGTCGAAAAGACATTAAAAAAAGAGATATTTGTTTTTTTTTTTTCATTGAACCATGTTTATCATCTCTCATCTCCTGCGGGATAGCTGATAAAAATAAACGATCTAGAGGGGTTTGAGAATAATATCAATATCTGCACTCGCTCACACAAGACAAGATAATATAAACAAAAGAAGAGAAGGTCTTGTCATCTCTCATTTTGTATTATATTAGTAAAATATTTATAAATAAAATGTCAGATAAAAAAGAAGGTAGAACCTTTACTGACATTATGTCATATTGGAATGTAAAAGATACTTCAAAACAACAACAACAACCTCAACAACAAACAAATAATGATAATAATAATAATAATAATAATAATGTAGAACAAGTAGAAGAACAAGTAGTTGAACAAATAGATAATGTAGTTGAATCACCATCAAATGATAATGAACAACAACAACAAGAACAAGTGCAACAAGAAGGATTGATAGAATCAATTCAATCAAAACCAACAAATTGGGCAAACATATCAATTGCTTCAACTAATCCTTATTCAACTGTTTTATCAAATATGATTGTTGGTGAAGATGACAGTTCTACCTCTACAACCAATACTACAGCTATTGATAGTAGTGGATATGATCAACCACAATCGGTATCATCCTATTCTAATAGTTATAATAATAATAGTAGTAGTAGTAGTAGTTATAATCAATCAGTTTATTCAATTGGTTCTTATGGTCAAAAAAGTGATACTTCAACTTCAAGTTATAATTCATCTTATAATGATAATAATAATAATAATAATAGTAATTCATACGACTCTTCATATGGATATTCAAATGATCAACTTGAATCAAAACCAAAAACAAGTTCTGATACACCAAAAACTTCATTATTTGATTCAATTGATAAGAATCAAGAAACATCTTCTTCAACTCCATCAATTAATCAAAAAGGTAAAAAAAATATATTAAAATATATTTAAATATTTCTATTTCTATTTATTAAATATCTTTTTTTATTTTCCATTTAGGAAATAGTTGGAATGAAAAATTTCAAGAATTATTAGAGGAAAAAGATTCAGAGGAAAAGTTTAAAAAGTTATCAACTATAGCCAATGAATTTGTATATTGTGCAAATACTTATGGAAAGATTATTATATCAGAGAGAAATTTGGAAAATGATCAAAAGACTATATTGCCCATTGATATTGGTGGTGTTGCTGGTGGAAGTAAATTTAGAGTGATGGATATTATATTTAAATTTGTTGTGGACACAGAGATTGCTGAAGGTGTTTGGATGTATGGTGATCATTGTAAATCAGATGAAATGGCTCAAAAAAGTGCTGGTCATGAACTTAAAGGTCTGAATCATTATATGGAACATGCAATGATGAATGGTGGTGGATTAATTAGATTCCCTCTGATGGCTATTATTGATTATAGAGGTTACAGATTATTGGCCATTTCAAGTTTACCATTGGACAAGAAAACAATAGTCTATGGTAGTTGTGATGGTGGTCGTACGGTTCATGATTCAGATCCATTAATCAATGAAGAAATGAAACGTATCGCTTCTATTCTAAATATTAAAGGTCACTATGTTGGTCTACATCAACCTCCAACTTTTCTTTATGGTCCTGGTGATATTGAAGTTCATAAAGGTTTTGATGGTCGTTATTATATGATTGATTTTGCTAGATGTTTTCCTCCTGAATATCCAAATACAATGTAAATATAAAAAAAAAACAAAAAGAAAAAAGAAAAATATTAATATTCTTTTTATTTTTAATTTTATTTTATTAGTAAAGGAAAAATGGGAAGAGAAATATTTTATTCAATGTTGAGACCAGAATTAATATCATTATCAACTGATGCATTATCACCAGATGCATTTAGTGGATGGCAATCTGGAAAAGATGAACAAGAATCAAATGATCAAGTCATTGCAATGACTGAAAGATTACATAATCTAATTATACCAGAATGTGTTGAATATATTCAATCAACTTTGGATAATAGTGATCAAAAAGCATCTGATCAATTATTCTTTGAAAGTACCCATTTGGCAAAGGATATTAGGTCGACTACATCAGACCTTGGTGAATGGGAAAAGGAACAGTACGAACAAAAAAACAATGATGTTTTACGTATGATTAATGAAATCCATTCAAAAGGTATCAATATTAGATATCTTGGTATTGCTTGTCAAAAGATTTCTCAACGTTCTCTTAGATCAACTTTTATGACCGAAGTGGTAGCTCGTACATTCAAGAAAATCATTCGTGCTCGTTTTAGAGAGAAATTGGAAAATTCAAATCGTCCATCAGATGAACCACGTCAAATTGTTGCTCAAATTTTCGATATCCTATTAAATCGTGATCGTCATGATGAATTTAAAGATTTTTGGTCAAATTTAAATTTTGGTACTTTTAAATTTACTTTATTAAAAGGTAAAAAAAAACAAAAACAAAAAATAATTAATATTTGAATACTTGGTTAATTTTAATTTTTACTCTTTTAGTATTCCCAAATAGTTTAAATAATTTAGAATTATTAGAAGATTATGATATGAGAAATTCATTTGATATGAAATTTTTAATCATTAGATTAATTTATATTTTAAATATTAGAATTAATCCAGTAGCATATAGTCAATTTTTAAATAGTAAAAAATATGTAATCTCCCTTCGCGATATTGAAGATGTAGATTCTACTATAAAATATCCAACTATAATAGATGTTGCTGCTGGTGATTCATTAATTTATGAAGTTCAAAGATTATTGGTTAATCATAAAGTACCACCACTTCAAGCTCAACGTTGGATTGATTTGGCTCAACACAAATTAAAAACTGCACAAAAATCAATTCCACTATCTGGTAGTTTAACTGTAAAACTTGCTTCAACCTATTTACTAAAAGCAAATAGTACTGGAAGTATTAAAGATTCATTGTCTTTTCTGCGTATTGGTAGTCAATTGATTGAACAAGCAAGTAGTCACTCTCAAGAAAGTAATAGTGAATTATTGGCAGTTTGGGGTATGATTCATCTAAAATTGGCAACTCACTATTTATTTTATGGTTTGGATTATCAAAGATTTAAACAAGAATTGGATTTGGCTCAAGAAAGATTGGAAAAGGCTCTTTCAATTAATAGTTCAAGTGTTGAAGGTTATCTTTACCAATCTCTTCCATTTGAATACAATGAAAAAGATTCAGACGACGACGGAGTAAAATCATTTATTCTAAAATATAATCATTCAAATTCTTACAATACTGGTGTTGAACAACGTAAATTGTATGAATTATTATCAATGGTCATGTTGATTGATCAATGTCCACCAGATAGTACTCTTCATACTTTTATTAAATTGGCAATGGGACAGGTTAGAGAAATCTCTCAACTTGAAATACCATTTTCTTTGGCTCGTATCATAGATACTGAAACAGTTGGTCAACTGTTTGAAAATCTACCAAATATTTTAATACTGTCTGCCAAAAAGATTACATTTAATCCAACTCTTGCAAATAGTACTGTTTCAATGAAATTCCTTACAACATTGGAATTGACAGATTGTTATTTCACAGATAATACTAGAAATACACCAAAAGGTTCAGAGCCAATTCCAGATGGTTTAATCGATCCTTATCATCCAATTACTAGTATGTCTGATTTGCTTCGAGAAATACTTTTACAATGTAAAATGTTACATTCTCTTACCATCTCTGCTCGAGCAACAGATGATAAATCATTTGAAGGTATTGGTCATTTATTCGGTCAACTCAAACAATTATCCATTTGTCAAGGTTATATTACAAACAAGACATTATTAGATTTATCACCTCATCTTGATAATCTTGTTTCACTTTCACTTTCCTATACAAATGATGTAAATGATAATGGAGTCGTTCCACTTTTACAATCTCTATCGAGTCGTCCAATTAAATTAAAAGAACTTTATCTTAGTCTTCATGGTTTGACTGATGAAACTGGTAAACAAATCGTTAAAATGGCATCAGAATTGGAAGTACTCATGTTGATTCGTACAAGATTCACTGCTCCTGTATTAACAGAGATTCTTTCAAATCTAAGAATTGTCAAATTATTGGATTTATCTTCAACATCGGCAGATTCAAGCTCTATTGAAGCATTGGAACAAACATCTCAATCAATTGTATCATTATATTTGGATCAAACAAATTGTGGAGATGATCAAACAGTTCAAGCTCTATCCAACTTTGCTTCTCCATCACTCAAAGCACTTCATCTACCAAGATTCAAAGGAGATGGTCAATTACTTTGGAGTTATTTAAGAAAATTACCAAACCTTGAACATCTTCGTCTACCACCATCATCTCATCTTCCCTACCTAATTAAAGTTCACAAAGAACTAATTGACAATAATGAAACCATTGCTGAAAGTCCACTATCAAAGGTTAAATGGTTGGACTTGACCATGTGTACAGTTGGCTACGAGAGTTTACAAGAATTTATGTGTCTTACACCTCTAGTAGAATGCCTTTCCTTGTCGGCTGTCACCTATATCCATACCGATAGATGTATTGTTGTTGAATTTAATGACAACATTCTAAACCAATACCTAAAGCTCTTTACCAATCTCTATGAACTCAATATTTCCAATCACAAGACACTTGAAAAACGTCATATTGCCACCATTATCTCTCATTGTCAAATTATACGTAGAATATCTTGTTATGGTTGTGAAAAAATTACCTCCCAAATTGCTTATGATCTATCTCAAGAATATCCTCATATTAGAATTGATCATTAAAAAAATAAAAAATACAAAAACAAACATGTTTTATCATTTAAATAAATAGTTTTTTTTTTTGTTTTTTTTATTATTATTGAGAAAGATTTGACAAATTGATAATAGAAGCTCTATACTTTGTTTTTTGTTTCTTTTTAATTTCTTTTTTCATGATTGAAATTCTATCAATCATGGGTGCTAAAATACCATTTGTCCAACCTTTATAATTTAATTCACCAGACAATACCTCTCGAATCACTTCAATCGATGATTTCAAATTCATAAACCATACTTCGGCAGTCGGATCCATAGTTGTAATATATAAACTTATATATTGAATATTTGATAATAAATTTTCTGGTTTTGCTTTTATAATTACATATCCCATTATCTAAAAAATAAAATAAAAAAAAAAGTAAGTAAAAATATATATATTTTTTTTTTCTATTTCTTCTTACAGGTAAGAAATCATCAGGACCAGATTCACCCAATGGTTTTGTATAATTGAAAATAATATTCCAAGTATCAATAATACATTTCATCTTGTCATGAGGGGATTTATAAAGATTAATCTTTCTAATTTCTTGTTGTGCCAATTCCCATGGTGATTGATTGGCATATTTCTCTGGAATATAAAGTGATCTATGATCAATTGAACTTGATTTTGATTTTAATTCTTTTGAAAATATTACATCAACTTTACTTATACTAAATGTACTATAAAAAAAAAAGAAAAAAAAATTAATATTTATAATATTTATAATTATTTTTTGTCCTTTCCTCTTCCTTACTAATTATAAATTTGAGTCATTAAATTACGTTCAAGAGTATTTTGAGCAATGATTAGATCATCTTCAAGAGCATCTTTCCACCAAGGACTTTTAATGATTGCATCTTTGGCACGTTTTAAAAAGGTACTAATCATGGTTGATTTGAGAGAACAAGTATCGCAGATATCTGAATCTTCATCGTTGATGGTAGGAGAGCAACTACAGTTACCAGGCGTATTGATAGAGAAACGAGACATGAATTCAGAAACAAACTCGGTTTGCATACGAGTATAGGTCTTGTCTCTAAAGAGTCTAAACTTTTGATTGGTCAAAAATTCGATATTGATATTCTTTTGAGAGATGATTTGTGAAGTGTGACGTTGGAGCTGATCTAGATAGAGTAGTTTTAATTGTTTCTCCATTGATCGCTTCTTTTCACGACGATTATAATCTTCAAACATTAAATCCAACAATGGTTCATAGTCGTTGAGTTTGTAAGAATCTGGTAGTGACCAAAGACTTCTAATGGTTTCTTCAATTTGTGCTTCCAAAATATTCAATTCCAATGATCTTGAACGACCACATTGAAGTAGCAGTAATTCACAAATTGGTGTAGATAGAAAACCACAAAGATAATTTAATACACATAGAGAAAGTAAAAGGTTTTCTTTTGCCAAACGTATTGAATGCTGTTGACCTTGTACCAATGAACTCATCCTTGATTGATCTGCCGAATCTTTAACTTTTGGTATCACATTGATCACCAAAAATTTCATTCCTTCTTGCAATTGTGCAGCTGGTTGAACAGTCTTTATCATCTCTACCACTTCCAATTGTAATTGTTTGGTTTCTGATTCATCCTCTTCTTCTGGTTTGTTATGATAAATTAATTCCATCATTATAAATATATCAGTTGATGATACTAATAAATTTTGTCCCAATTCTAATTCATATATTGGTCCTAAAAAATAGAAAAATAAAAAAATAAGTAAAATATACATTTCTCTTCCTATTTTTTTTGTTTTTATATTTACTATGATAATAAGTATCAGGTTCTTCAACTTGAGAAACTTCAGAAAAATATTCTTGAATACGATTTGCAAGGTTCATACTTTCATTTAACCAAGTTGGAATGGATTGAGGATTGGTAAGGAATGTGAGAACCATTTTAGCGATTTGAATAAGATTATGACGAGTCTTTTGGGAAATAGTGAGACCAGTAAATACACCATAATGTTCTGGACGAATAAGAGCTGGAATGAAAAAGTTTTCAAATACCAAGTGAATGATGAGTTCATTCTCGTGTGCAATGTCTTTAATGTCTGAGAAATCGGTTGGCACCCAATCGTCGGGACGTGATGCACGAACATGTTTTCTCCAATACCCCAAAACTACTTTACACATCCAACGAACGGCATAGGGTAGACCAGATTGGAGAGCCAAAACTCTTTGAAGAAATTCGGCAGAGAATTGTTGTAGCAATGCCTTTTGATCGACATTGACTTCTTCTTCGAGTAGACCAAATTCTGCCAACATTGCCTTTTTCTGTGGATCATCTTCAAGATTCATATTGTGGTCTTGGATGATGGCAACGATTAAATCTTTGAGTACAGAGATGATATATGGTTTACCAAAAGTATACTTTAGATAGGTTGAGAGCAAAGTATAACAAAATGGTTCTTGTGAACCAAATTTACGTTTTTGATCATCTGGACATTTGGAAAATTCAATTTCCGATATCTTTTTGATCAATAGTAGCAATAGTTTTTCATCGGTTGCAGTAAAACAATTACCAAACAATGAAAATACAATCGCCTGTGATAGATCTGAATGTGTTGCTTTTAAAGATTTATCACCTTCATCTCTAAGATAACCAGCTCTATAAAGTGTTTCTGCCAATATAGTTGGTTCTGTTCTCATCAATACAATTAAACGTTCCATTGAATGTTTAAGTTGACTTGATAATTCTATTGTTACAATTTCTTCTTGTGGTTTTTTTTGATATTCATTATTTTGATTATTTTGATTTTGATTTTGATTTAAAGGAACATCTCGTTGAGAATTCCAAGATGATAAATCTTCAATTTTCAATCTACTACTTAGAATATGAGCAATTGCTTTATCTAAATTTCTAACTTCCCAAACCAATTGATAGAGTTCTTCGGATTTTTGTCTAGTGATTTTGTTGATTTCATCAATCACCTTTCTCTCTGCATTGTTTGTCAATTCTTCTGCCTTTAATAGTGATTGTAATAGTGCCAATCTTTCACCTTGACATTTAACAGGTTCATCACCATAAATAGGTGGTCCACTTGACAATGGACTTGGATTTGCTGGTGCATTATAATACATATTATTATTATTATTGTTGTTTTGATTATTACTATTTGATCTAGCATGACCAATTCTAGCTTCAGATGTTTTACGAATTGGTACTTGCCTCGAAAACTTTAATCTTTGTGATATTTTAAATTGTGATGATGGTTGTGGTTGTGGTTTGGTAAAACTATTAATTGATTGTGAAGAATATGAATGTGGTAATGATTGACTGATATTATTACCTTGTTGTTGTTGTAATAATGATGATTGAGGTGTATATGAATTGAGTAATGAATCTGCCATTAAAAATGGTTGAATTGATTGTGAAATCGAAAGAGCAGACTCTGAACGAACAATATTTTGATGACGCAATAAAAATGCATCGGCTACTGAACTTGACATCATGTCTGAAGAATTTGGATATGGTTGACTACTGGTTGGTGTTGTACAATCGGAATTTGGTGTATTAATTGGTGAAAATCCTGTTGCACGACGTGATATTGGAATATAATCTGTTGATTTTGCAAATATTGGTATAGTTGTAGGTGTAGTTGTTGTAATATTATTATTATTATTTTGTTCTGATAATATACTAAGATTACTATTATTTGGTTGATTCATTACTCCAATACTAATATTACTATCGAAAATATCAGACTTTGCTTGTTTTGTCAACAACATGGTTGTTTTTCTTGGAGTTGCTTCATCTGGTACTTCATCCAATTGAACAACAAAAACATTTTGAACAATTGGTATAAATGAATCAATTGGTTCTGATAATGATGGTTCAGAAGAAGAAGAAGGTTTTGTTGTAATAGTAGTAGTAGTAGTTGGTGCTGATACATTTAATGATGATGAAAGACTATTATTAGTTGGCTGTGGAGGAGGAGTGATAATTAAACTACTACTACTTTTTGATCTTTTAACTCTATGTGAATCTTCTGATTGTTGTTGTTCAGATTCATCTAGATGATGTTGTTTCTTTAACATTTTAGTAATTTCAGCACCTCTTTGTGAAATTGATAATGATGATCCTTCTCTTGTAATGGTTGGTGGTTGTGAAATTGATTGTGATGGTTCCTTCTCCTCCTTTTCCACAGCGGCGACGGTCGTTTCATCACCTTTAAGAGGACGACCACGAATATTTAGATTACTATTTCCTTTTTTATCGTTGGTAGGATTATGTGAGTTTAGATTAACAATATTATAATTGTTATTGTGTAATTCAATCTTGTCAAATCTTTCCAAAACTTGTTTAAAACTACTTGATCTTGTTCGATTTGAATCTACTTCAGATGAAACATTGGTTGTATCAGGGACAACACCAACAACAACGGTAGACGGTGGACTAGTTTCAACATTGGAAATGGCAATGGCAGTGGTGGTAGTAGTAGTGGTAACAGGACTAGTTGGTCTTTTATCTTCAACTTTAATTTCTTCTTTAATTTCTACTATTTCTTGTTGTGGTTGTTGTGATTGTGATGTTTGTTCCTTTATATCATTTGTTGTTGTTGTTGTTGTTGTATTATTATTAATATTAATATTAATATTTTTTTCTACACCTAATAATAATTGATTTAATTGAGTTGTTGATCTTGATGCAACGATAGGGGAAGAAGGTGTTTCACCATTTTCAGAGTAATCCTTTTCATTTAATCGTTTGATGAGTAGACTTTCTTCGTGGTTGGCAAGATTGATTCTAACATCGATCTGTGTTATATTTGATTTGATATTGTCAGTGTCACCTGGATCTCTACTCTGTAGTCTCTTTGCATTGTATAGTATATCTTTTGTCTTTTGATACTGTTCGATAGTGTCGACCAAAGTAGCTCTTGTATTGGTTGGTGATCCTTTTAATCGATTTAATCTCTTGTCTACCAAGCTCAATACACTTAGTATTACACTACTATCTCCCATTCCCCTTTCCTAATAATAATAATAATATTGTTGTTGTTGTTAATACTGAAACATATATATATATATAGATAGATAGAGGGAGAAAAGAGTAAGTAAATATATTTAAATCTAATCCTTTTAAACCTACAATAATTGTGTTGTTAGATATACTGCTGTATCTCTGAGTGTAGGTGTGTGTAACTTTCTGAATAAATCTATAGAGTATGTAAGTGGGAGGTGAGTGTATTGTTATTTTTCTTTCTCCTCTTCTCTTCTCCCTGCTCTTGTTTGCGCTTTGCTCTTTGCTTTGCTATGCTTTGTTGTGTGTATAACAAAGATGGGATATCGATAATGGGAGATGAGATGGATGGGTTGGTTGATGTTTATAATAAAGGAACAAACAACAAGGAGGAGGAAGAAAGATTGTAGTAGGAGGTTGGTTAGGATACAATTTTAGATGAGGCGCTGAGATATTTCCGAAGTGTCTTTTTATGTTTTTTTTGTACCCAAAACCGCGGGATCTCTGGGCGATTATCGTAACGACAAGTCAATTCCGATGATGAATATTCTCTCAATAAATTAAATATATATGCACGAACAATGTAATGTCGTCGACATGTGTTGTTAAAAAATGTTGTAAGAATGAATTTTATTTTCTTCTAAAGGAGAATAATAGATATATATTTACAATCAAATTGATTCCTATAAGTTTTGTGTTTGTTTTGTTTTTACAGATTTGTCTTGCTGTGATTCTTTCTACTTTTTAAATCATTTTTTTTTTTTTTTAAGGAAATTGATTTGGTTGAAGTATTTGAGAATCATAATAATTTTGTTGTAAATCATTGACTGCATTGATTACATTTTGGTCGACTCGAGCTCTTTGTGCGTTGTCATAGTTGTTGCCCATGGCAGCACCACTATTATCACTTCCAGTACTACCAAGTACCATTTGAATGGTAGATGGAGATACAAAGGAAGAGTCATGCATATAATTGATATCATTTGGATTCCAATTGGCAGGTGGATCGACTCTACCACTCGAATTTTGATTAGTACCATTTGTTTGTTGTTGTTTTTGGAATTGATTGAGGTTGTCAAGGATTTCGTGACCAGCAGGTTTCCATTCTGGATAGATGAGTGAAAAGTTGACGATTGACTTTTCCAACTTGCCTTGTTTGGTCTTGTAGTACTTGTCAGCGTCCTGAGTGGCACCATACTTTTTACTACCGTGTTTCTTGACGTCGGTAAAGGCACCAAAGCTGCAAATCAAGCCGACACCGTTGACACGCACGGTAAAGGTGCCGATAAAGTCGAGAATGTCGAGTGAGCACTTGGGAAGCGAAAAGATGAGGATGAATGGTGCAAAAATGACAGAACTGACTTCACGTAAAAAGTTGACAACTCTAAACTCAAAGAGAGTGAGGAATTCGTCGCGAACCGAGTATGTGTGACTCTTGCCCTTCCAAGAACGTGGACAATAACGTGTGTACTGAACAACACGTGTCATTTGGATGGCTGGACGTGCTACTTGATTCTCATCAACTACCAAAGACTTGCACACTGCTACTGCAGTACCAAAAATACCAACATACCAAATAGGAGTTTTTCCATAAATATCAAAGTTGAAAAGGAAATCGTCACTATAGATACCAAAAATCAAAAATACTGCCAATATAGATCCCAAAATAAAACTAATAAATTTTGCCATAATCGATACTGTCTCTGATGGAAAACTATCAACATATTTGTTTGCATGACTATAACTAAGATTTAATCTAAAAAAGAAAAAGAAAAAGAAAAAGTTAATATAAATATAAATATATTTTGTTTTTTCTTTTTTTTTACCTAGTTTTAAAATAATGAGATAATTCATTAAATTCTCTAAATTTCCATTTTGCCAAAGGAGACCATTCACGACTACCAAGTGAACCTGGTTTACTTTTAAATTCTTCAGCATATTCAAAAAAGAAATTAAGTAATAGGAAAAAGAATATAAATGGTGATGCAAATAATCCAATTAATCCAATTGTTTTAAATCTTCTTGATAATCTAAAAAAATAGAAATAGAAGAAATGAATAAATAAATTGATCAATTTTTTTTTTTGTTTTGTTTGTTTGTTTGTTTTTTCTTACCCTCTTGCTAATCTTTGTCTTTGATTTGTATCTAAAACTTCTTGTCTAATTTCACCGTTACGATCGAAAACATAACTAAACAATGCATACATTAAACTCCACTCTAGAGTTTTTGTGATGAATTTATATTTGTGAAGACCTGGGAATGGAATGGAAAGGTCAAGGATTTCTCTATTGACAATACCAATGATATAATTATCCTTTCTCATGATTCTATTTGCAATATCCAATGCATTCATATTACCCTTTACTACACATAATCTTGGTACTTTAATTAATTTTGTTACAACTTCTCTCCATTCAATTGTTTGTACATCATCCTAAAATAAAAATAAAAAAAGAAAATTAATAAATATTTATATTCTCTATTCTATTCTTTTTTGTTTTATATATATATATATTTACTTCAGAAATCTTTAAAGTATTATGATAAAAACTTCTCATTTCTAAACGAGACTTTAAACTAGCCAAGAATTTAATGAATTTGGCACACCAATAGATACCAAATAAAACCAAAAATATGATCAACCATGTTGGGATTTGTCTATCGAAATTGACTGATTTCTGTATGTTTGAAGGTTGACTAAACAATACACCATAATTGATAAATGATACCAAAAATGTAAAAAATGAAACTACAAATAATGATGTCCTATGGAAATAATAAATAATATAATTAATAAATAAATCTTATTTTTGTTTAACTATGTTTTGTCTATATCTTTACCCTAATTCAAAAAAGTCGTCAAGGAATAAACACATAAATCCTTTGCCTTGGAAGTATTCGTATACCTCTGTTAAAAAGGCGTCCAAGTTATGAATAGCGGGCATGCTCTGAGATGTTTTCTCTAAAAACGATTCTTGTTCTTCATTATTGTCCAATGTCGGTCTTGCTGTATGTATTACAGAACCTGTTGTATTGATATCTTCTAGTTCTAATTCATCGTCACGATTGATACTATTATTATTGTTGTTACTACTACTGCCACTTGCACCACTACTACTATTATTATTATTATTTGAGCCAAAATCTTGTAAAGGAAAGTAATCACCTCCTCTTTCCTCTCCTCTTTGACTACCTAATAGTTTTTGTTTAAACATATCTTATCTAAATATATATATATATTTATATATAGGTATATAAATAATATGATTGTTCTTCTATTTCTATCCTTCTTCTTGTTTTATTCTAATGACTTTCTCTCTTTTTTTATTATTTTATCTTTTTTAAAAAAGCAAAAGTTAACTTTTTCGTTGTTATTGTTTCTCTGTCTCACAAAGGTTGTTAATTGATAAATAATAAAAATTCTAATTCTTCTGTCTATGTACACACGGTTAATATAATGATAAAAATTTGTTACAACAAAATAATATAATATGGGCGGGTTACATATTTGCATGCATCAAAATACTCAATTTTTCATATTTACTTTTTTTTTTTATTTTATTTTTTCGCAGCTTGAAAAACCAATCCCACTTGATTTCATGCGCTTCTGTCAGAATCGCTTTCAAAGATTCGTTCCTATTTATTATATTATTCCTTTAAAACTGGTTTTTACCAATATTAATCATTAAATATTGATGATATTAATCACATTCATTACATACTTACTTTAATAATAAAAAAATATAAAATATAAATATAAATTATTATAGAGTTTTTCCTTTTTTGAAAATTCAAAGTAAAGTAACTTGAGTTTGATGGGTTTATAAATAAAATATAATATTTCCATCTCTTATTTATACTTGGTATTTGAGGATCCTATGAACAATAATAATACTTACTTTCCCTTCCCGCCTTTGAAAAAATCAAATTTTAAAAAGTTGAAGAGAGAGAACATGTTTTGTTGATTTGCTCACCTCATCTTTAAGATTCTTTAGATTATTGCTGTCAGAGCTAGAGAGAGAGAGAGAGAGAGTTGACATCACATCACATCATGTCTCAAAAGATAGAAGAGAACAAGGATGGAACTGTGTCTGTCAGAGTGGCTGGTGCAGATATGTTTGACGACGATGAACAAGACACACTACAAAAGAACAAGTCTATCATTGACCAACTCAAACCTGCCCCCTTCACTATACTAAAGACATTTACTTCAAGAAGAAAGGCTCCTCCTCCTCCTACTCCTCTAACACCTAAACAGGAGGATAATTATAATAACAACAACGGTAGTAGTAATAATAATAATAATAACTCTTATTACTCTTCACCACCACCATCTTCTTCTACATCATCATCTAATATTACAAGTCCATCATTTGGTAGTCCTTCAAGTAGCCAAGAAAACGATTACGACGGAGGATTCATATCAAAACCAGAGAGACAATCATTTAGTCAAAGAAAGAAACAAAAGACAGTGTCCAACGAAGAACGTGTACAAATGGCACAAAAAGGACAACAAAAGCAAATGCAATCGGTACAACCAGCAACTGCAAAGTCACGCGCAAAGACATCCAATGCAATCTCACTCGATGACTTGCTAATGCAAAAAAAAGAAAGAAAACCAGAGCAAGAAGTCATCTCTTATGATGAAATGATCAATCAACAAAATGAAACTAAAAAGAAGATATCTGAATCTGATTTAATTGATAAAGAAGATTATCAAAAATTATCAAAAGTAAATGAAAGAAAAAGACAAAAGAAAATATTATCTTACTTGGTTTATTAAATTTTCTATTTTTTTTTATTTAGTTATTAAAAGCAAGACCAGATTTAATGATGACAGAAAATCCAAATCAAATGTGTATAAAGGAAAAAGAATTGGAATTACCAAAGGTATTATCTCTATCAAAGGTATTGGATTCCAATTATATACCAGCTTCCAAAGCTGAATCTGATTTAATTCAAGTATTTAAAAATACTGGAGAAAGAACACCATTTAAATATTTTATTTTAAATGGTTTGGATTATTTAGTTGGAACTTTTGATACAATTCCAAAATTTTTATTAGATTTATTATTTTCTTATAGTATGAAACAAAAAACAATTTAAATCTAGATGGATGGATGATTTAACCTAATTAATTTTTTTTTCTATTTATTTTAGTTTGTTTTGAAAAAGATGAATTAACAGTTTATAAATCATATTTGATTCTATCAAAATCAATCAAAAATTCAAAAACCATACTTTTACCATTCCAAAGTTTAGTGGATGTTTTACAAGGTCATTATAAAATCAATACTGATCAAACTTTTAATGCTACCAAACCTTCAAATGAATCAACAAGTAATAGTAGTGCTTCTACTACCGCCGCTACAGAAGAGTTAAATAATATGGATAAACAACCAAAACGATCATTCCCATTCACAAATCTTTATTATATTTTAACTTTATTAAAAGAACAATCACAGTATGGAAGGAAAAACAAAAAAAAAAAACATTATACATTTCTAATACATTTTCTTTTTTCTCTCTTTAGTCAATTTAAATCAGAAGAATTAAAACATTTAATTTTATTTATTTGTTTATTATGTTTGGATCCAAATTTCCGTAGAAGTAATCAACAAGATATGTTGCAAGATTTTATCGAAGATGTTGATTTGAAACAAAAACAAGAACAAGAACAAAAGGAATCAGCTACCAATCTTGCATTGGGAACTACTATACTCCAAATCCTACTTTTACTCCCAACCCTTCTCAATACTCTAATCGTATCATTCTACAACACCTTGACAGTTGAACAATCGGCCGATGATACAACCATCACTCTATTTGATGATATTTGGAGTTCACTTGACGAAAAATATATTTACAGTCTATCAACTATTGTTTCCTACGTTTTACCTTGTCACGGTAAAATTAAACATCCAATTAAAATTGATCTTCAAAGAAAATTTGCTTTATATTCAATTTTAAAAATTTTAAATAATGCAAGTAAAAAGAATAGAACAGAAATCAAAAAAAATGAATACAAATTGTTTATACTCTTTTCTTTTTTTAATTTTAGAATAATATAAAAGAAATTATTTCAAAAAAATCATCAATGGTTGAAGAATTGGTGGTTATACTTAGACCATTTGTTCAACAAATTAAAGATGATACTATCGATGTGTTAAAGATGTTAAATTTAATTGTTTTGGTTGATATTTGTTCCAACAGTCGAAAAGAGTTGAATGAACTAAAGAGAAAGGATAAAATGAATCCATTTGAGCAATTAATTGTTAGATGGTCTGGAAAAATTAAAGAATCAAAAGATGCTATTGATTTTAATAGAACTAGAGTAAAAAAAAGAAAAAAAAAAAAAGAAAGAAAGAAAAAGTATTAAATATTAATCTTTATTTATTTATTTTTATTTCTAGATGAAAGATGGATTAGTTTCAATTCAAAGTAAATTGGCAGCTTTAATTATTGATAATACTTCAACAAATAGTTTCTTGTCAAGTTTCTTTATTCAAAATGACCCAACGGCAGAAACTAAAAAAGAAAGTTTAGATCAATTTATTCAACCAATTGTTAAATCTGATGATCCAACAATTCCAAGACCAGAACAAGATGAAACTCCAATGGAAGAAGAAAAGGTTGAACAAAAAGTTAAAGAGGAAAAAGTAGAACAAAAGATGGAAGAAGAAGAAGAAAAGGTTGAAGACAAAATTAATTTAACTCAAGCTTTTACAGATACAACAACTCCGACTATTAATATTGATCAAAATATGAATGGTGGTGATACAAAACCTCCACCACCATCTCCAATGAAAAAAACAAGACAAACTTCAATAACCAGTTATTTCCAACCAATTAGCCAGAGTGGAAAGAAATAAAAAGAATAGATCCCCCGTATCTTCTTTTAATAATTATCATAGATTATTAAAATGGAAGCAATTTCAAAGAATATTTAATCATTTGTTTATTTATCCTTTCCTTTCTCTCGGTCTAGAGAGTAGCTCTTCTTTCTCTTGTGTATTCAAAATCAACAACTTGTTGTTCCATCATTTGTTCAAAGGCGGCGGCTTGAGCAGCTGCATTGGCAAGAGCAATTTCATCTTCTTTTTCTTGTTTGTCAAATTCTTTTCTTTGTCTCCACTTTTGAATGGCAGGTGCAACCGATACAATCAAGACAACTGCTGCAAGAGTACCAAGTACAAAACCAACCATCAATCTCCAATCTGTTTGTTTTCCGGAACATGAAAATTTACCGGCATCTGCATCGACACGGAGATAAACTGAATAGTGTGGATCTAGGTATGCATAGTATTGGAATGCTGGTACTATAATACCAATGACAACAGTTGAATCTTGATCAGAATCTGGTTGATCCATCATTTCTTCTTGTACCTTTCCAACAATTGGAGTACCATCAGCTTCTGCTATTTTCAAGAATCTACCATCGATTCCAGTATTGGTATTTTGAATTTCAAGATTAAGATAACCGCTTGATGAATTATCAACTCTTTTGTTTAATTGTCCACAATCATTTTTACCCATTGTCTCTGATTTGATCAGAACTTTTAACGAGTTTGATGGACTTGCAAACTGCCATTGACTAACATTGATTGATACTTTAAGAGTATGTTGGTTGAGATGAAAGGTATGATTGGCAAATGTAAAATCTGATCCATTTTCTACACGAATGTATTCAAATGTTGCATCAATGGTTGCATTATTATCGAGGGTAATTGAAAATTTCCAATAGGTTGAATGTAAAGATTCTTGTTTAACAAGATTCCATTCTACATTTGTTAAATTATAATGTTTGACTGTATGACTATTGTTTCCAGTTGCAGGTACCAATGTATCTAAAAACTCTTCAACCGAATAAATTGAAATAATATATGAATTATCAATATCACCCAATTGAATTGATGATATTGTCTTATTATTATTATTATTATTATTATTATTATTATTATTATTATTATTATTATTATTTTCTACTACCATTGGCATTGAATCTATTAAAACTTGATCACATGAATAACCAGTAAAACCATCATTACATTGACAACCAAATTGAGGACTACATGTTCCATGACCACTACAATTAACTGGACATTCAACTCCTTGTAAAATATTGTCCGATCCATCTACAAAAAATGAGTTACTCGATGATATACCATCTACAAATACCTGTAGATTGTATGTGATTGGTTCGAGTTGAGCAATTACTTGACACTCGACAATCGATCCCAAAGCATCTAGAATACTAACATTTTGACATTGATAGGATCCCATCTTTACTTGGATGACAGTTGGGTCAATACCAAAGTTTGATCCATGAACCTTTGCATTCTTTGATTTGGTGTCATAGGTTGTGTTTTTGTCGATACGTGGAGTTGGAAATGTGATTTGATAATTGTCTGTATTTTCAATAGATTCATTACGGATAGTAAGATATCTATTACCTGTTCCACGACTTGGTGTACAAACTATGATAGTTTCATTTGATGATCCAACATCACAGGTCTCTGTTCCAATTCTAACAATGAGAGGTTGTGGAAAATGTCTTCCTACAATGGTAAGTGGTGTGAGATAGTTATCAAACGTAGACACTGATACTATAAATGGTGATCCTGAATAGTCAAACACAGACACTATATAGGAGTCATTAATCTCTGGAATCTTGAATGAAACCAATCCAATCACTTCTTGTCCACTTTTAGCAGTACATCTTAGAGTGGTAGCATTAATGTTGGTTGGATTGTCACAGGCAACCGATCCAACCTTGATTGAAATGGTTGATGCCGATGTATTACTACTAAAATGAATGTTGTATTGTGTCTTTGATACTTGGTAGAATGCAGTGACACTAGGTATCATGAGACATTGGTATGGCGACGCACTAGTACCACGTATGAATCCTGGCTTGCAATCACATTGGTAGTCTCCATTAGTATTGATACATTTGGTGGATAAAGTGTCACATTGAGCCGGTGTAGTAGTATCTGTACACTCGTTGATATCAGCGCAATCACCATTGGTATATCTGAACCCTTTTGGACATGAACAAGTATATGACCCATCCGTATTGACACACTGTGATGATCCGTGACATGGCGACGATTCAGTACATTCATTGATATCAACACAACTGTTGTTGTTGGAAGAGAGTGTCCATCCATTGGGACACAGACATGTGTATCCACCAGGTGTATTGAGACAACTAGAAATACCTTTGCACGGTTTGACGGTCTGACATTCATCAACATCTTCAGTGCAATCAGGACCCTTCCATTGGGCTGTACATCCACACACACCAGTTTGTACACTACACTGTCCTCCATTCTTGCAGACCGATGTACAAGGATACTGTAGTCCCACATCATACACAAAAGTTGACATTTGCTGAGCACAATTGCTACTAGGCATTGATGGGGTTGTTGAAGGTGTAAAATAAGACATTCCATTGGAATTGGCACATGTCTCGACCACCAAATACCGGTATTGCCATAGAGGAGCACTCGTAAAATCATAGTCTTGCGACTTTACAATCTCTTCACCCGCACCGTTACACACATCATGGTTACTTTGATAGGTTTGTAATAAACCATAATAAGTATCATCATTTGTATTCTTACATCCCATATATTTCAATTTTCTTCCAAAATTATTTAATACCCAATAACTTGATAATGTATAACTATAAAAAAGAAAAAAAAAAAAGAAAAAAGGAAAAGGAAATTATAATAAATTCCAAAAATAAACCAAAAGAGAGAGAAAGATAAAAATAGTTATTAATATAATTGTTTTGTTTTTTTTTCTTTTATGGAATGGTGGAGATTGAGATTGAGATATTTAAATACATACTCTGAATTTAAACAAATATTATCTGTTGATGTATTTGCAATCTTTATATAATTTAATTGTGAATCTGTTGTATGTGTACACTAAACAAGACATTAATAAAATGATTGATTGATTGAAAACATGTTTGTATATACATACTCGATAAATAGAGAGAACAGCACTTTCATTTCCACCCAATATACAACCTTGGCTGGTTTGGGTGTATCCATTTGGACACTCACATAGATATAAATCGACAGAGTATAAAAAGATTAATAAAATAATGGTTTGGACTTTGTGGTGAATTGAAAGTGAATGAAATATCATTCTTTTGTGATTTATGAGGAGAAGATGTGTGTATGTGTTTAATTTACAAAAATTATTATTATTATTATGTACAATGAATAAATATTTATATTGATATTAGATATATTTATGTTGGAAAAGGGTCCCTTTTCTTTCTTTTTTTATATTATATTGGAATCCTCCTTTTTGTGTAGTATATTTAAATGATGATGAACGAATGGAATGATGTACAACTAATTAAATAAACAACTTTTCATCCACTTTCTACTTCTGATTGCTTGGGTGGTTTATGAGTTTGTGGATAATGGATGATGGCAGATGGTGATGCTACATCAGAACCTTTATTTATCAGCACCATCATCAAACAGGCATCACCCTATTGGTCTCGTCACCCCCCATCCACAACATTGTCCTTGAAAACCACCACACCCCTACACAAATTGCATTGTTTGCTCAAGAAGATACCCTATGGCAAACAAAGAGTGTGTGTATCTTTGGCAACTGCTCTATCAATGAAAACAAGAGACGTCAATCTTGTAATAAAAGATTGTGAGTGGGAAACCAAACCAACTTTTCACACCAAACACTAAAAATAGTTGTAGTAGAGAGAGCATCGGCCATATCTTCTCTCTATCACTTCTCGTTGTGTGTTATAACTTGGGTTTAACCTTTAGTGGATAAGTCTTTTAAATGAAGTCTCTTTCTCTATTCTTGATTTACACTTTTTAATGATCTTCGACTTATAAAGTGTCTGTCACGTGACGCAATTAGTTGTGCAAATTGATTGAATGTTTGGTTGATTGATTTGTGATCTTATATGCATGTAATGTAATGTATGTTGATAATAATATTCTTATCTGCAGATACAATGAAATGAATAATAATAATAATAATAATACTACAATAATATTGTTGTAGACTTGTGTAAGTAATGAAGTACTTTGACAATTTCGACAGTGAAAATTTTATTTGTTTTTTTTTTTGTATTATTCAGCTGAACCTGAAGATCAGTTGCTTTCGATTCTCAATCTCACATACAATTAGCTTGATCGAATCATATTAGACAACGACGATATATTATATATATATATATATTTATATATTTAGATAGATAAAAGTAAGAATGAGTATTGGAGTACCAGTCAAGATCTTACACGAAGCAGATTCACATATAGTGACGATCGAGTTAAAGAATGGTGAAATGTACAGAGGCACATTGATGCAAAGTGAAGACAATATGAATTGCAAGTTAAAGATTGTTACAATGACTGCTAGAGATGGCAAGCAATCACAACTCGAACAAATCTACATTCGTGGCAGCAAGATTAGATTCATCATCTTGCCCGACATTCTCAAGAACGCTCCCATGTTTAAGCGTATCGATGGAAAGACTGTACTACGTGGAAAGAGTTTGGGTATTGGTAGAACTATGGGTAGAGGAACTAGAGGTGGTGGTCCTCCAGGTGAAAGAGGTAGAGGTGGAGGTAATATCAAAACAACAACAACAACAGACACAACAAGACACATTAGACAATGATACTTACTAACAAACAAACAAACAACTCATTTCAACATATTATATAGGTAGAGGACGTGGATTTGGTGAAAGAGGTGGATTCGGTGGTGACAGAGGTGGATTCGGTGGTGGTGATAGAGGAGGTCGTGGTAGAGGATTTGGTGATAGAGGTGGTTTTGGTGGAGGTGGTTTTGGTGGAGCTCCATCTGGTTTCCAATAGATTCATCAAAACAAACATATACAACAACAATAACAAAATCAAAATATTTATTACATTGATCCTTTTCCTTCCTCTCTTTAATTTTTAAAACAACAACAACAAACAAATAATAATAATAATTATTATTATTTATAAATGAATCGATATACTTTTTGGAGTTTAACGAGTGAATTCACAAATAGTAATCATATAAAACATATATGTACAAATTAATTAATCCCCAACCAACAAACAAAATACACATAATAATAACAAATAATAATTACGAAACCAAACTTTAAACTCTCACTCACTCACTACTACGAAACACAAATAAAAAATAATAGATCTTTAATTGTGAACAAGTTGCGTGTGTATTTTGGACAAACCATAATACTTTATACTTTAACCAAAAAGTATTCATTTCTTTTATTCTTTTTATATTTTTGTAAAAACAACTAAATAACCTTTGCAAGCTTCCAAAAATACCTAGGTATTTTTTTTAATTTTAAAAAAAAAGTGTGAACTTCATCATCATCATAATCAAAAAAAAAGGTTAACTCTTTTCAATCATTCTTATTATTATTACAAGTAAAGAATTATTTGTTCGAGAAGAAAGAAATGAAGAGATTAGTAAACTATTTCATGTTGGGATTAGCTGTTTGTTTGGGAACACTTTCACTTTTACCTCCACTTGGCATGTTTGGTCTCAAACAAGCTATCGACTTGGATTTTATAGCTACACATCCTCAACCTATATATGGTGATGCTTATCCTCCCAATAATGAATTAGACAAGATTGATTATATACATTTAGGTATGTTATATACAAAAGAGAATCTCTCTCTCTCACTCTTTCTTTTTTAATATTAATATCTTTCTTTTTTTTATTTTTAGGATCATATGAAGGACCTGAATCAATTGCAATAAATAAACAAGGAGATATATACTTTTCATTGAAAACTGGTGAGATTAGATATATCAAACATAAAGATGTTCATGTTGGTACTACGGGTACTGCATCACCATCGCACTCTGTAGTCGTGGTTGGTAGACCACTTGGTATATTCTTTGATCAAGATGAAAATCTATTGATTGCAGACTCTGTCAAGGGTTTACTAAGACTAAACAAAAATACAAATATATTGGAAATTCTAACTGGTCAATTTAATGGTACTCAAAAATTAACTTTTGTAAATGTATGAAAGGAATCAAAAAAAAAGGGGGTAGAGAATATTATTTATGTATATATATTTATTTATTGTATCAATGTTTTATAGGATGTAGCATGTGCAACAGATGGAATGATTTATTTTAGTGATAGTACAACATTGGCACCAATTTTAGATAAAGCTGGTGATTGGAATACATATATTCCATCTATTTTTACTTGTTTTAGTGGTCAACCTGCTGGAAAATTCCTATCATACAACCCAAAGACAAAAATAACAAAGGTGTTGATTGAAAAGATTGCCTATTCAAATGGAGTAACATTGGATCAAGAAGAAAATAGTGTTTTTGTTTGTGAATCTGCAACTTCAAGAGTTTTAAGATATTGGATTAAAGGTGTTAATGGTAAATAAGAAAAAACAAAAAACTTATATATTTTATTTATTAAATTAATTAATTTATTTTGTAGCTGGAAAATCACAAGTTTTTATTGATAATTTACCAGGGTATCCAGATGGAATTAGAATGGGTGATGATGGTAAATTATATATTGCCATTTTTGGAATGAGATCAAAGATTATGGATTTCCTTTCTCCTTATCCAATGATTAAAAGATTGGGAATTAGACTTCCCTTTTTATTCCCAAAACCCCATGGTGTTCCAATGGTTGTAATTGCTGATCCCAAGGTAAATTACACAAAATGAATGATGAATGATCGTAGAGGTTAGTCAACTAACATTTTATTTTTGATTGTTGTACTAGTCTGGAGATATTCTAGGGTCATTACAAGGTAGTCAATCCAAACTAAAAGTTATCACAAATGTTGTTGAAAGGGATGGAGTTGTTTATATTGGAAGTATGTATCATCTCTCTCTCACTCACTCTCTCATTCTTTCACTCCTTCATTTCAGTCAATCTGACCAATCAAATGATGATAATCGCGATAATTAATTAGTACACAACATTTACCATCAAAACCATCGCATCGCATTCAAAAATGTACAATCATTCGTGCCGCCACGAAACAATCACAACCAATCTGTCGTGTGATGACAACAAAAACACCCATCCATTATTAACCTAAAATGGGGTTCCTACTCTCTCTCTCTCTCTTTGACACTTTGCAGCTCTCGTAGTAGAAGTGGTGGAGAAGAAAAGATGAGAGTTTTGGTTGGGAACAAGCCCAGCAACCACTCCACTTTAGTGTCGTATAGTATGGAGAATTGGTGGGTGGGGCACGACAAGGAGGAGAGGTTGTGTGGTTTCTCTAGAGAGATGGTTGCGATTCAAAAGTAGCGAACGATATATATCGTCGAGAAAACGTGTGGAAATATTATTATTAAGAAGAGGAGTAGATCGACCACCACTACCACCATTTTTGTAGGTTAGAGGTAGTTGGTGACAATATTCATAATGAACCCCATTTGTCGTCGAAGTGATCTCATTCGTAGAGGAAATAACAACAACAACAAAACCATGGAAGAAAAGAAAATATGACAGGCGCCGAACTAATTAATTTATTTTAAAACCCTTTCCCACTCTTTTTCTCTCTCTCTCTACATCTGTCTTCTAATAATAGGTCTAATTGGTAATGTAATCGGGGTGAAATCAACAGCTTCCTCCGCCGCAACAGCTGCTCCTGCCAAATAGTCAACAATAAATCGAACGATAATCCATCCTAAACTGGTAAAAATGAAAATGACAACCAGTCAACAAACATCAGATCACACTTTAAAGGTTGAATCGACAAACACACTCACACACCAAATGCATTTCTCTTTTTGTAGGGGTGTGTGTCTTTGTTTGTTTTTGAGAAAAAAAGATCAATGGATGGATTGGAATGGGAGTGGTAGTGGTGGTGGGGTAGGTGGTTATCTTTAGAGGTGGGCGCAACAGATACAACAACAACAACAACAACACCAATCCACTATATACATCGTATGTGGTTGCTTCAAGTTAGTTTAAAGTTTTAAAATAAAAAGGGGGGTACGAATGTTTGTGACAACAAAAAAGGGGAGAGAGAACAAGTGTGGAGCTTTGTGTTGTAACACACTCACAGACACTCACTCTCTCTGACATGCCAGCCGTGCTACTACTGGCCAGTAGAGGGCACATGCCAATATGAATAATTGGCAACAAAATTATATAATTTTTTGAAACACCAACAATAACAACATAATAACTTATTTTAATGATTTACGTCATAGATCAATCCGCCGTTGTCGCTTCTACTATTTTGTTGTTTCTCCTCCTCTCTTCCTATTCCTACTGTTAATCCCAACCAACTCTCTCTCTCTCTCTCTCTCTATATATATAAAATCAAAGAGTCAATATTGATCCTTTTTATTTTAAAGTTGTACAACAAAGAGAGAATAACAAATCAAAAAATATTAATATCCACCACCACCACCAACTGTATCACAGAGTCATTTATTCAACACCTCGCCAGCGTCAGTCTTACTTGACTGATTACAATTACCAACCCAACTACTCATTTTTTAAAAAATACCAAAACAGTTTTACTTTTGTTTTTTAAAAAATATCCATCCATTGTCAATTGTAATTGGTTGATTTAAATTTAATATTTATTTGTTGATTGACATAAACACACCCCCACACATACATACAATCAGTACAACCATATATATATATTTATCCAAAAAAGAGGAGTAAAAAAGACAAGTTCTTCTTTTTTCTTTTACTTTTTTTTTTTTTTTTTTTCCCAAATTTTTTTTAAGATTCCAATAGATAGGTAAATAGATAAGATAATTCCTCACCAACCAATCCGTTGATCATTTAACTAATATAGGTTATTTTTTTTTTTAAAAAACCCCCCACACATTTATATATTTATTTATTTTCCTAACCACCTACGTACGTCAAACTTTAAATTCCCTAAACACTGTTGCCTGATTAATCATCATCCTCTTCCTATTTTCCTCCTCATCATCATCATCATTATCCAACTCTTTGGTCTTTTTAACCCCCCCTTTATGTACCCTTCTGTATTCTTGAATTGCCATTAAAACTCCAACAACCTACTTTTTTTGTTTTTTTTTTTTGTTTATCTTTTCATTAATTAGTTGCAATATATACCCTGTCGTTTGGTCAATGTATCACTGCACTGCATTTCTACACTATTCAAATCATATATTTTAAATTATAATATTTTAATATTAATATTTTTTGTCATTGTTTTTTTTTAAAAAATAATATTAATTTTTTTCCAAAAAAAGAGAGAGAAATTATGAATCAAACATCCACAATTCATTATTTGGATGATTATGATAATCGATCAAATTCTCCTCCATCATATAATTCTTCTTCATCATCCTCTTCATCATCATCATCAATGCCATCATCAATGGCAACATCACCAATTGTTCAACCAACCATTGAACCATGTCCATTTCCAAATTATTGTCTTATTTGTACCAAAGAATTACCACCATGTCTAGTATCTAGATCAGTATCTTGGGTCTCTATCCTACGAGTTGTATTTTATTGTTTAAAACAATTATATCCAGAAAAGGAATTTTTTAACCTAAAAAAAGATGTCTATGGTTATGTTGCTACTCATTGGGATATTATTTGTTCAAAAAAGAAAAGTAAATATAAACAAAAAAACATACAAAAAAAAATCAAATCTTTTTTCTATTTATTAATTTAATTTTTTTTTAAAGAAACAAATGGATGGAGAAAACAATTACAAGATGCACTTTCACATTGTAGAAGATTATTTGTTAGTGGAGCAGATAGACATGATTGTTATGGATATTGGAAATTAAAAGATTATAATGATCCATGGGAAGATGATCTTTCAGCCAACAATATTTTAATATCAAATCCATCATCTCCAATTCTTTCACCTTTATTATCACCTGAATTTCATTCCAATAATAATAATAATCAAAATAATCATTTTATACTTTCACCTCCCATTTATGGTTCAGCAAATTCAAATACCTCTACTCCACTCTTGACTTCATCCTTTTCATCTTTAATGTTTTCACCTACTCGTTCCTCTGTCAATGGTCAATCAAACTCAACCAATAATACTAATAATAATGGACCTTTATCAGGAGTACCACCTTCAAAATCACTATTTGAAATTAACAAATTATCAATGGCATCACCAAGTGCAAGACCAAGAAGTAGATCATTTAGTTTTGACAATAACACTAATATTAATAATAATCAAATATTTGATCATAAATTAAAATATATTCATCAACAATTAAGAAATCAAGGTCCTCAAAGAAATCAAAATACTGGGGTAAATGATTTACCAAATGGAAATATAACACCATCATTTTTTAGTTTTAGAGATCAGAAAGTTCCATCAATGATGAATCATCGGATTAGTCAACCTACATCCATTGATGAATTTGATTTCCCACCAACATTTCCACATCCACTCCGAGAAGATAAACCATTCCAATTAAATGGTAGTCCTCCATCATCAAATAATGGTAGTGCTTCCACTACTCCCTCTTCCACTACGCCACCAAGAATTTTAAATCTTTCTACAGGATCTGGGAATTCAAGTCCTAATCGTTATTCCCCATATCATAATAATCATCACAACAATCATAATAATAATAATAATAATAGTCATCCACAACCAATACCATTTTCTGAACATCGTATTAATCAATCTTCTTCTATATCATCTTCCAAATTATCAATATCCAATCTTATAAATCCAATCAATGAAGAAGAAGAAGAAGAAGTAGAAGAAGATGATGATATCCAAGAATGTTCTGATGATTTATTACCCAATCCATTAAACATTAAACGCAATAATAATAATAATATACAAAATCTAATTTCATCACCTCCAACATTTTTCTCATTACGCAATTAATAAATAAATAAATATAAAAAAAAAAAGTGTAAATAATCAATTATATTGTTCTATATTATTATTCTGTTTTGTTTAAATTTAATTTACAATTTTGATTTATTTTGTTTTATAATAAAACTATCTTTTTTAACTTTTTTTTGATTGAAACAAAAAGTGTTACATTTTTGTTTTGTGTGATGATAGGGAAAGATAATTTTTTGATCTATGATTTTTTTTTGTTTCTTTTTTCAATTTTTAGAAATCACCAAATGAACCAGATGAAGTATTACCGATTAAACCATTAGCGGTATTGAGGAGATTGATTGGAGATTTACCGTCGGTAATCATGAAACTCTTGAGACCGAGACCGCCGAGGAGCTTGGCTTGCATTTCTGGGCCAGCTTGGGCAATGGATTTGATGGTTTCGGTACCGAGGGCTTCGACTTGGTTGGAAAACTTGGAGACTTCAATGCCAGCGAGTTCCTTGGCCTTGTTGACCTCGAGTTCATTGAGTGATTGGATGTGGTCGATTTCAGATTCGTGGAGGGCAATGGTTTGTTCGAGTTCGGCGGCGGCTTCAATTTCAGAGGCTTCACATTCGAGCTTGGCTTGCTTGACTTCAGCGTCGATGGCAATGAGTGAGGCTTCAGCACGAGCACGGGCTTCAGCGATAGCTTGACCGGTGGATTCGACAGAGGCAGATTGAGCTTGGAGCTTGACGAGGTTGGAACGAGCACGTTCGGCATGGGCTTCATCAACAATCTTTTGACGTTCCAATTCACCACGAGCAATTTGTTCAAGACGTTCGGCATCTTGACGGGCAGATTGTTCTTGTGACTTTGTGGTAATTTCAATGGCCAATTGGACAGACTTTTGGAGAGAGTCCAAGGTACGTTGATCAACTGGTTCTACAGATTGAACATCAATGTTGGTAATGACGAGACCGTTGGTTTCGAAAACCAATTGGTCGCATGGGCTACCATCTTCAGTCTTGCCAAAGACAGCTTCGTGGATGATTTCCGAAGAGTGCTTGTGGAAGTTGTCAAAAGTGGAGGCAGCGACGGCAGCACGAACCAAAGAACCAGTAGCCTTGCACAAATCACCAGTGAAATCGGATGAGGCAAACAACTTGCTAGTATTCTTTGGATCGATCTTGAAATGCCAGTTGTAGGAGAGCTTCAAGGAGAGACGAGCATGATCGGCAGTTTCGACAGTGATGAGATCAGTCATGAAATCTGGACCGAGGAAGAGGGCGAGGGAACGAATATGGTTTGGACGCTTTGGAATCTTACCAGAGAGGGAGAGGACGGTAAACTCTTCATCTGGAGCGAGCATGACCAACTCTGGACCGAAAATGACACGAGCCTCCTTTTTACGGTAGTCATAGATTTGGACGGCGGCATTGTGTGGGACACGGTAAGTGACGACTTCAGTTGGATCACGTTCAACATCGTTGGACTCTTCGTTGGCGTCACGGGTGGCCGACTTGGAGAGGAGCTCGTCGACGATTGGGGTGAGGGGCTTTGGCCATCTCTCTTCGTTGGCAGACAACATGTACGAGGCGCCAATGACGGAACGGACCTTGCCAGTCTTGGTGTCACGGACATAGATACCTTCGTTGACGTCCAATGGGATACGCTTACGCTTCTCGACGACTTCGATTTCAATGGGTGGGATATAGTCGGTTGGACCATAGATCATCCAGCTGTCTCCTGGCTTACGGGTAACAGTCTCCTTTTCTGTCTTTTCGACAAACATTTCCTTGGCCGAGAGCAAGAGGGCTTCGTCTTCGGCGAGGACGTTGACGTTTTGGACACCACCTACCAAGGTTTCGCCTGGCAAGAGGAAGAATGTGCGGTCACCCTTGCGGAGTTGCTTGTGGCCGAGTTGGTTCTTGCCAGAGGTTGGGTCGATTGGGTCGGCGACGATACAGTATTGACGGTTGGTGAGGGTGATGGCCTTCAAGTCACGAACTACCTTTTCATCGACCGATGGGATGTAAGTGTCGCTGTCCTTTTGAGTGATGATCCACTCTTCACCGGCACGACGGGACTTGCCAAATTGATCCTTGAAGGAACGGAGAGCAAGCAATTGGTAGGCAATACGGTCGGTCAAGACAAGAGCGGCAACAAAGCCAACAATCTCTTCATAGACACCTGGCAAGTAGGCACCGCTGTCACGGACCAACCATTCTTCTCCTGGTTGACGGACAACACCCTTACGATCGGTGGTTTGGAGACGGGCTCTGAGACGGAGGGCTTGGTTCTCCTTGATGATGGTGGATTTGGCGACTTCGACAACTTGGACTTCGACCTTGGGGTAGTAGGTGCCTGGGCCTTCAAAGAGCCACTCGTCACCGGCGACGTGGTGGAGCTCCTTCTTGTCGGCAGTGACCTCGACAAAGTCACGAAGACACTTGAGACGGAGGGCACTGTTGGCGTGTACAACTTGGAGTGGGACTGGTGGGGCCAAGAGGACTTCACCTGGGTATAATGCAAATGGATCTTGAGCAAAACGAATCTCAGTGTCACCGTGTCTGAGCTTTGGTTGTTCGAATTGATCGAGAATGAGCTTTCCATCAGCTCCTCTAATAACTGGGTTTTCAATAATACAATAGTTTCTTGGTGGGATCATAATCATTGACAATGGTGATGCTGAAACTACCTTTTCGTGATCGAGACGAGTAAAGGTTTGTGGACCAATCTCGACTCTTGCAACATTTGTATTATTATCTAATACCTACAAAAATATAAATAGAGTAAATAAAATAATGAAATGGTTAGATTACTGAGTATATATTGATTGACACATGATTATCGTGATTAATTCACACAAAGAACAGTCGATGGTTGATTTGATCGATTGATGATCATGTGATTAAAGTCAACAAACAACATACATGAATATATTGGTGGGGCTTGATTCTGATTACGGTCGATGGTTGTGACATTTTTAGATGTGTATAAAGAGTAGAATTAAAAAAAGTATATTAGTGAATGAAAAGTGTTAAGAGAGATTGAGAATAAAAATATATATATAAATAAACAAAGTAAATATATATAGAGAAACCAAGTTAAATAATATAATCAAGTAAGATGGTGTGATGATGTAAAAGAAAAAAGCTGATATTAAAAGATGCTGGCCAATGGCTCTCTTTAATTATTTTCGAAAAAATTTTAATAAATTTCCTGTAAAAATATCCTAACGTTGACCTCACACAACGTGACGCACACATCGATCAGCTGAATTTTTCACAATTCACGGAAGCTTAGATTCATCTTCAGCTGATCGTTGCATTCATCTTTATATCTGCTGTCATATTAAAATGCAGTATGAGGCGACTTGCTATGGAGTTAATTGCAGTGTTGTTTGGTTATCTTTTTAAATTAATTGGTCGATGCGTTGCTCATCGGCTTGGTCGTGCAGACTTGCTATGGTCAGTGATGAATTGCTATTCCTTTTGTTTGATTAGCTCTTAAGAAGTTTCAAAGGGACTCTTTTGTATAATTTTTGTTTGTGAGAGAGATCAGCTATATTTTTACATAACATTGTATAATAATCATAATCAGATTATTTAACATCAATTTCATAGTCAACATGTCTACAGTTTAATAATGGCAGCTATTAGATATAATCGTCACCCCTTTTTAATCAATTGGTTATGTTCGGTCAGACCCATTGTTTATATTTATTGCCTTTTCATTCACGAATATACTTTTTTTAATTCTACTCTTTATACACATCTAAAAATGTCACAACCATCGACCGTAATCAGAATCAAGCCCCACCAATATATTCATGTATGTTGTTTGTTGACTTTAATCACATGATCATCAATCGATCAAATCAACCATCGACTGTTCTTTGTGTGAATTAATCACATGATTATCATCAATCAATATATCAAGTGTAGATATGATAGATTAGGATAGATTAAGAAGGTGACCCCTCAAGTCCGGCCTCAACAACAACAAGATATGTCTGCCAGGCTTTTGCTTTATGACCTGGAAAAATCTCTCAAGGCGCTTGAGGGAAAGTACCTCTTCAAATTGACAATGGTAAAAGCCATTCCATATGACCCAGCACTGTGGAGCTATTTTTAGCATTGTTAGATCGACCAAAGTCGCACTACCAAAGCCATTATCAATACAAAGGATATGATAAAGATGACGAACAGATCGAGGATAGTTTTACATTCAACCAGATTCCAATATTAATTATGGCCGAAGTAGGACCATATACATATATCAAAACCCCATATGTATATGAAGTGAAAATATCTATCAAATGCCTATCTGTATTCGAATTCATCATACCAGACAGAGACTACAGTAGTATTAAACATTTTTAACCCATACTACCAAACCAGATCTTTAAATAAAACCATCGCTCTTCAAGTTCTATATGATCTTTCGAGTTTCCTCTGTATTTAATATTAATAATGATGTTAAATAATCTAATTATGATTATCGCGAGTATATATTAATTAGTATCGACCATAGAAACACGGCCAAGCTGATGAGCGTGTTTCTATGGTCGATCATATCGCCACACGATCAAGCTGATGATCAGCAACGCATCATTTCATAGGATCAATTAATTAAAATTAAAAGTACACCAAATACCACAATTCACTCCATAGTATTGTTAATATGACAGCAGATACAAAGATGAATGCAACGATCAGCTGAAGATGAATCTAAGCTTCCGTGAATTGTGAAAAATTCAGCTGATCGATGTGTGCGTCACGTTGTGTGAGGTCAACGTTAGGATATTTTTACAGGAAATTTATTAAAATTTTTTCGAAAATAATTAAAGAGAGCCATTGGCCAGCATCTTTTAATATCAGCTTTTTTCTTTTACATCATCACACCATCTTACTTGATTATATTATTTAACTTGGTTTCTCTATATATATTTACTTTGTTTATTTATATATATATTTTTATTCTCAATCTCTCTTAACACTTTTCACTATACTTTTTTAATACTACTCTTTATACACATCTAAGCTCTAAAAAATGGATGCCACCAACTCAGGTTTGTTATCAAACAAGACTCAACATCAATAGAAACAACAAATAGAGCAAAAGTAGTGAACGATCTATCAAATGATCGACCACAAAACTGAACGCAATATTTGTTGTTAGACTTGATGTCTTACAGTCTTTACGATTTTTCTTAAGTTCTCTATTCTAACTTATTCATTCTTTTATTTCTCTTCTCTCTATTATATATTTTAGTGATACGTATCAAACCATACCAATACATTCATGTCTTGGATAATAATACCAATGTAACCAGAGTAGAGATTGGTCCAAACACCTTTACACGTCAAGACCACGAAAAGGTAGTTGCCGGTCCAGATCCCATGATCATGATTCCACTCCGTAACTACTGCACCATTGGTAACCCAGTAGTTCGCAAGGCCGACGGATCATTGGCTTTGGATGAGTTTAACCAAGTCAAGTTGAGACACGGTGATGAAGAGATCCGTGTTGCTCAAGACCCATTCCCATTATACCCAGGTGAAAAGTTGGTTGGCAAGGTCACTGCCCTCCAAGTCGTTCCACCACTCCGTGCTCTTCGTCTCAGAGCACTCCGTGACTTTACCGAAGGCAAGGTCACCCACGTTGCCGGTGACGAATGGTTATACGAAGGTCCAGGCACCTACTTGCCACGCATTGAAGTCCGTGTCGAGGAAGAGATCAAGGCCAACATTATCGGTCCAAACCAAGCCCTCAAGCTCCGTGCCAACAAGGCCTGTATCGACAGACTCGGCACTGCCAGAAAGGCCGGTGAAGAGTGGTTGGTCCGTCAAAGCGGTTCCTACTTGCCAGGCGTCGACGAAAAGATTGTCGAGACTGTCAACGCATACATTTTGACCGACAAGAAGGCTCTCCACCTCAAGGCCATCAAGTCGTTCACCGACGAGTCTGGCAAGACCCCAGTCCAAAGAAAGGCCGGTGAAGAATGGCTCGTCACCTCGTCCGACCGTGAAACCCATATTGCCGATGTCTATGAAACCGTCGTCTCTGAGATTGCCATCACCACCCTCTCCAAGCGTCAATACTGTGTCGTCCTCGACCCAGTCGGTGCCAACGGCAAGCCACAACTCGGTCAAAAGGAGTTGCGCAAGGGTGAAGTCTCCTTTTTCCTCCGTCCAGGAGAGTCGCTCGAAGGCAACCGTATCAACCCAGTCTACATTCTCAACGACCAAGAAGCCCTCCTCCTCCGTGCCAAGGAAACCTTTACTGATGGCGCCGAAACCCATTTGGCCGGTGACCGTTGGATGATCTATGGTCCAACCGATTTCATCCCACCCGTCCAAGTCGAAGTTGCCGAGAAGCGTACCTCGATCCCATTGGACGACAACGAAGGTATCTATGTCCGTGATATCAAGACTGGTAAGGTTGCCTCGCTCTCTGCCCGTACCTATATGCTTCGTCCAAACGAAGAACTCTGGGAAAAGGAGTTGCCCAAGACCGTCGAAGAAGTCTTTGCCAAGGAAACCAACGACCCCGACTTTGGCAGCCGTGACAAGACCCGTGTTGTTACTTACCGTGCCCCACACAACTCTGCCGTCCAAATCTACGATTACAAGGAAAAGAAGGCTCGTGTTGTTTTCGGTCCAGAGTTGGTCATGCTCGGTCCAGACGAACACTTTACCGTCCTCTCGCTCTCTGGTGAAAAGCCAAAGCGTCCACACGTCATCAAGTCTATTGCTCTCTACCTCGGTCCAGATTTCATGACCGACGTTGTCATTGTCGAAACCTCTGATCACGCCAAGCTCTCGTTGAAGTTGTCCTACAACTGGCAATTTGTCATTGACAAGACCAAAAAGGAGGATGCCCAAAAGATCTTCCAAGTCCCAGATTTTGTTGGTGACTCTTGCAAGGCCATCGCCTCGCGTGTCCGTGGTGCCGTCGCTGCCGTTCCATTTGACGACTTCCACAAGCGTTCTGCTGAAATTATCCGTCACTCTGTCTTTGGTTTTGATGAAACTGGCAAGCCAAAGGAAAACTTTGTTTTCAATTCCAACGGTCTCGTCGTCACCAACATTGATATTCAATCTGTCGAACCAGTCGACCAACGTACCCGTGACTCTCTCCAAAAGTCTGTCCAATTGGCCATCGAAATCACCACCAAGTCTCAAGAAGCTGCTGCCCGTCACGAAGCCGAAAAGCTCGAACAAGGTGCCCGTGGTCGTCTCGAACGTCAAAAGATCAATGATGAAGCTGCTGCCGAACTTGCCAAAAAGGAGTTGCTCGAGTTGCAAGCCCAATCTGCTGCCGTCGAATCCACCGGTCAAGCAACCGCAGAAGCTCAAGCCCAAGCTGAAGCCCAAGCCATCACTGCCGAGGCTAACGTTAACCAAGCCAAGCTCAAGGCTCAAGCCACCAAGATCCGTTCCGAATCTGAACTCCTCTTGATCAAGCAAAAGCGTGAGGCCGAACTCCAATACAAGAAGAAGTTGGATGAACTCGAAATCCAACGTGCCAAGGATCTCACTGAAATCGATGCCAAGAAGTTTAGAGACATTGTTGGATCCATCGGTGCCGACACTATCAAATCCATCGCCCAAGCTGGCCCAGAAATGCAAGCCAAGCTCCTCTCTGGTCTCGGTCTCAAGAGTTTCATGATTACCGATGGTTCTTCACCAATCAATCTCTTCAATACTGCCAATGGTTTGGTTGGTGGTAATATCCCAAAATAAGTAAAAAGTAAAGAAAAGATTAGAAAAAAAACAACAAACAAACAAATCTTTTAGATCAAAAAAACTATCTCAACAACAACAACAAAAAATCTAAAAACCTTTTTGTTTAAAAACAACAACCAAAAGTAAAAAAAGATAGTTTTTATTATACAAAAAATAAAATCAAATTGTAAATTAAAATTCTTTAAAAATCAAATCAAAAATATTAAAGTACTTTGTTTCTAAAACTAAAATACTAATTTGAGTTTTTCTAAAACTAAAAAACAAACATTTTCTACCCAAATAGGGACAAAGAGGTTAAATAAAATGTGACGGTTTTTTTTTTATATAAAAATCTAACCAAATGTGGAAAGAGGACTCTTAGATGAAAGACCCAACAAGGATCTTGATAGATGGGGAGAATACTCTAGAGAAAACAAAAATAATAGGATAGAAAGATGGTAAAATAAACTATGGTATCTAAACTAGAAAGAGCCGAAAAGGTTCGACAACATCATCAAGGTTATCTCGACCACCCCTCATACGTATTTGGGTTTAGCCAAAAACACAAAAAATCAATATCCTCTCAGAGAGAGCGTGGTTTCAAGGATCACGTGGTGGAATGCCCCCAAACAGCTAGATTGTTATACCCCAACAACTTCTAGACACATTTTCCTAGTTCCTCTTTCGATCCTCTTTCTCTATCAACATCCTCATGAGCTTTCCTTTCCTTTCCAACCACACTACTCAAATCAATAGAAGATAAGATAGATAATACACAGATAAGATAATATCATACATACACACACAAATTTGAGATAAATAGGATTAATTTAAATAACAATAATAATAATAATAATCACAACAACACAACCTTTACCTTTTTGTAAATAGAACCTTTAACCAAACCCCAATTTCACCCTATATTGTATATATATTATTATTATTATCATCAACAACAACAACAACACACACACTTGGTAGCTAAAGTTAAATGAGCTACTATTCTCCATCACGATCACAAAGTTCAACAACCAATGATATAGTATTTAATGGTCCTCTTGAGGAAGAAACAATAGTAGTTCAAGACCACCACTATTCTTACGACGACGAAGAAGAAGAACAAGACGAAGCAAACAGAGAACAAGAAGAAGAAGATTATTTCTTTAATTTGATCAATAATCAGAATCAAAATCAGCATCATTTATATTATAGTCCAAATATTAGTATCAATAGTCAGATCCAACAAGAAGATATTGATATTCTAAAAAAGATTGAACAACAACAAATAGAACAACTAGAACAACAGACAACATATGATTTGTATAGACAAAATAATTTTATATCATCACCAATGGAGTTGTTACCCACTGAAACCTTACTAGGTATACTTGGACAATTAAACGTATACGATCTCTTATCCTTTTCAAAAACTTGTCATTATTATCTGGTCATATCATCAGATGAGAGATTATGGAAACCACTCTTTCTCTCTAGATTCAACGTCCCCACAATTCCTCCTGTTCAATCGGCATCACAATCACAATCACAAACAGAACAGGAACATGGACATGGACATGGACAACAAAAAGAAAAACAACAACAAAAACCAAAACAAACCTTTGTACCTCAAAAAGGTTGGAAAAGAGAATATAAAAAGCGTATGATACTTGAATTAAGTTCTGGTAAGTGTCCAAATACATTATAAATAATGATAATAATAATAGTAGTTGAACGAGAATGAAGGATGAATAGACAGTTTATGTACTATCTATCTATCTATCGCCCCATCCCATCAACCACACACACAAACACATATACAAAAATAGATTAGATTGGATAATCATGTCAGATTTTGTTTATAAAATCTAAAACAAATATGACAAACCCCCAAGATTATCTTTTTTTCTTTAAATACAATTGTATTGTGTGTGTGTTGTGGGATATGTGTGTGGTGTATAGAGAGAGAGAGAGATAAGACGACGGGGGAGAGTGAGTGATGGGTTGGAACCCTTTCCTTTTCTTTTTCTTTCTACCATGTTGTTCAATATGTACATTGTTTGACTGACCCTTTTTTTTGTCTCTCTCTTTTTAGATTTAATAAGATATATAGAACAACATGATACAAAGAGAGCACTCGATGTATTGTCTTTATCGATATTACATGACAGCAAGACATATATGAGAGCAGCAGAAGCAGCCATTTCAAACAATAACCCACTGATTCTAGAATGTGTGTTAATGAACAAGTATGGTTGCCCCGAGGACAGCGTGTTATATGACAACTTTAAAAAAAAGTTTCTTAGACTTGAAGATATAACATCGAATTTGCAGAATCGTCTATCATGTATCCGTGTCTTGTTGGAAAATGGAGCTGATATCACCTCTTCAAATACCAATGTATTATTGATGGGTAAAAATAAATTTTATTCAATCAATTGGCATAGATCGTATGTAATATATATATAAAATTAAAAAAAACAAAACAAACAAAAAATAATAATAGAATAGAACAAACAAATAAATAATAACTAATATTTATTTATTTTAATTTTAACAACCTAATTATTATTATTATTATTATTATTTAATTAATAATGATTTTAAAATTATTTAGAGATGGAATTATGACATCAAGTTTATTTAATTTTAATTTAGAATCATCTTATTTATTATTAGATACAATGGTAAAATGAATATGAAAATTAAAAAAGAAAGAAATAATATTTATTTCATTTACTAACTTTTTTATTTTTTATTTTTAAGTTTGCACAAATTACATTATTTTTATGTATACAAACTGGAAATGAAACAGTATTAAATGAAATGATACAAACAAAGAGAGGATCATCATTGATATCATGGAGGACTGGTGTATGGGATTATGGTGGAGAGGTGGTACATATGACCGAAGAATGTAATCGACAGACAAGTAGATTGTCAACCACTTACAAACAAACCAAGGAGCAATTGGATGGCATTAGACCACTTTCACCACAACAACAACAACAAAAACAACAACAAGAATTAAATAGTAGTACTCTAAAAGACTATGAAAGTATGTTAAAGGTTCGTCATGCTCAATATAAAATGATTGAAAAGCGATTGGTTCATTTGGCTCAATCTTGGAAAGAAGAATATAATTCCTATACTCCTCTTCACTGGGCTGCTCAAGGTGGTCATGAACAAATCATCCTACTATTACTAAAACATGGTGCTATCCCAGACATGCAAACTTCACTCGAACGTACTCCATTAGATATTGCAAAAGAAAAAGGTCATTCAAAATGTATAGAAATTTTAGAAAAACATTTAGTATGTAAATAGAAATCAAATCAAATCAAATCATTTATTAATTTATTTTTATTTTAATTTTCTGTAGTCAAAAAAAGTAAATATAGAAGATTTTAAAAATATTAAATTAAATATAGAAAAAGGGGATCCATTAAAAGTGGCAAGAATGTTAAATTCTTATTTATTTGACAAGGATATACAATCTTTGGATCGAACGATAACATGTGATTTATTGTTTACATGTATACGACATGACAATCATAAATTGTTGGCATTGTTTTTTAATGCTCTGTCTGTCACCAACAGTGGTATCAATGACAGCGATGGAAACACACCGATTCACATGGCTGCTGCATACGGCAGTTTGAATTGTTTCAATGTATCTGTCGAATTTGGATACATTAACAAGTTGAACAAGTCATTGCAGTCTCCACTATTGTTGGCCGTACTCAACAACCACATTCACATGATCCAACCATTGATTATGGCCGGTGCAGACGTATCACTCAAACGTTGGAAAGATACTCCCATCATTCACTTTGCAGTTGGTCAACCCGAGATTGTCCGTCTTTTAATCAAAGCTGGTGCCAATATCAACGATACCGATCCAAATCAATCAACTCCCCTCCATTTAGCTGCTAGTGGTGGTCATTTGGAAAGTTTAAAAATAATATTAGATATTTTAAAAAAACAAAAACAAGAAGAAGAGGATAGGGAAGAAATTATTTCTATAATTAATATGAAAGATTTAATTGGATATACACCACTTCATTTGGCATTATGTAATAATACAACAAGTCAAGAAATTGTATTAGAGATGGTATCGCTGCTAATAGAGTCTGGTTCGGATATCTATCAATTGACAGGACACCAAATGGATTTATTGGACATTTCCATTTTAAAAAACATTTCACTTCACGATGCCCTTTTAGAGCAACTCTTGCAGGACGAGTCGACTTGTTCTAGCAAGAATGTACAGCAGCAGGCTATCCACCAGTCTCCATCGATCCTCGGAGAATACAACAAAAAGGCATCTCAAATGTCCAAACTATTGTACCTATTAAAGAAACGTGACCTATTCCCTATATCCAGTGTCATCATTGACCGATTCATTGATCATCACCAAGATGGATTATCCACTCTCCTCATCACCGATGAATTTTATCAATACATTCAATCAAAACCAAAGTACAAATCTTATTTTAATAATCGTCAATCAAAAGAAATTTTTAATTTATTCTTAAATTCAAAACAAGATTTAAATATTGTAAGAGATTAAAAAAAAAAAGAAACAAACAAAATTATAAATATAAATTTATATTAACATTTTAATTTATTTATTAAATAGTGTAATAATTTATTAAATTTAATGAAATTATTTAATATTTCATTATCAGATACTGAATCAACTCTTGTAAGTAAAATATATATAAATGTAATTTGATTTATGAATTAATTTAATTTTATTTGTTTTATTTTAGATATTTGGAGATTTATTAACATTGGGTAGATATGATTTAATAGAATCATTTTTACCATACAATTCTTCATTATTTGATTGCAAGGTATCATTTATTTTTGATTTTATTATTCGGGAACCATTGACAAGACAGATGGAATTGAAACCATTTATTGAAAAGTTGTTTGGACAAGATAAAGAAGCAATGGACCATTATTTTAATGGGATTTATCATTCGTTGATTGGATACGACAATGATGTATTGTTTGGTCATTTCCTAGTTTACTTTTTCAACGAAAGAATCAAGTGTCCCAAATCTGCACCTTATTTGTTTGAACTCTGTTTTGTAAAGGGTGCCTATAAATGTATACGACAATTATGTTTAGTGTATCGTATCCCAACACGTCAAGACCCAATCTCGATGGACAAGAAAAAGGAAATAGATTACATCATGTCATTCCAACTACGTAATCGTCAGGAAATTAGACGTGTATTTGAATCATTCTACATCCCAAAAGAATACATCGATGCTTTGGATAAACAACAAGGTTCATTTGGATTTAGTAAAACTTATCAAAATAATGATCCAAATTATACTTCAAAAAGTGCTACAAATGGAAATGAAAATAATAATAATGAAGATAATAATAATAATGGAAATGAAAATCAAGATAGTAATAATAATGGTACAACAACAACATATAAATCAAGATTAACATCATCTGCATCAGTCATTAAACAATCTACATTACATCCAATGACAAGTACAGAACTTCCTGGTCAATTTAGTAAAATTGACAACAACAATAATAATGATAATAGTAATAGTAGTGGTAATAGCTCAACTCCAAGGGGACAAGATACCATATCATTTAAATGTAAAGATTGTCATTTACAAGTTAATATAAATGATGCACATGATCATTTACATGCATGTTTGTTGAGAATGGTTGCATGTCCTAATTCATTCCATAATGGGTGTCAGGCCAAACTCATTCCACGAGAGTCATTGCCCAACCATCTAGAGAGTGAGTGTGCATACTTGCACTGCTACCAATGCGATGGTTACTTTACCCGTACTGCCTATTCCAGTCACATCTTTTCACATGACAGTGAAATGTGGGAAATATGTACATTTTGCAACCAGATGTTGCGTGGATTCAAACATAGCTACACTGACCAACTCGTCCATGTCAAAGAAAGTGTTGGTGCCAAGTTTAGCCATACCTCTTTACACAAACATCTCCGTGACAAGTGTAAAAGAAATGTAGTCAAATGTCCATCATGTAAATGTTCATTCAACCTAAAGGACATGAAACATCACAAATGTCTTCATACCACTCCACTACCTTTACCAAGTATCAATTCAATAGGTCGTACTTTATCTGTTAATTTGTAAACATAAAACAACATTAAAATAATAATAATAATAATAATAAAACATCTTAATAATTATTTTTTTGGATAGATAGATCAAACTATCGATTCATTCACATCGCGTTAGACATACAACTATATATAATTATAATTTTTATTGATTACGTTTATTGATTTTGTTGAATAAAGGTAACTTCATTTTGTTGTTTCTTTTTGTTTCTGGCTTCGAATTGCATACGATTCTCAATGATACGACGAACGATTTCAGTGGCAGTCAAACCTTCGGTATGCTTGATTTCCTTGTAGATACCCAATCCCTTTGGAAGCTTGTATGGATCAGCATCAACCGAAACAACTGGATCGTCACCATGAACAACAGTATTAATACGTAAACTTTCAATCATCTCCTTTGTAACATTGAATGGTGCTCCAATAATAACTTCATCTACATACTATAAAAAAAATAAACATAATTAATAAAGTATTATTAATATTAATATTATTAATATTATTATTTATATTTACTTACTCTACAAGATAAAACAGATAAGACACGTTCATGAAGATTCATGATTGGGAAATTAGAACCCTTTTGTTCGTTGACAACTTTGTCATCGTGAACACCGACAATTAAAAAGTCACCCAATTCCTTGGCTTGACGGAGTGCTTCGGTGTGACCAACGTGGAAGAGATCGAAACCACCGTCCATGTATACGATACGGTCAGTGTCTTTGGGGGCCTTGCCCTCAGAGAATTGAACAATCTTACGGGTGGTTGGTAAAAAGTGTGACAAACTAGTGTATGGTGATTGACGATGCAAGTCCTTTGGATTGACTTGACTCAATGGACTGGTGGCTTGACCTGTCGATGCAGCCAAATGGTCCTTGGTCAACAACAACATACGTCCGACAAGTTCGGTCGTGGAAATACCTTCGGTACGTTTAATGAAACGGAACTTGCCCGACTTTTTAATAGTCTCGTAGACGTCCTTGCCATCGGCACCGACAGAGATATCTTCACCGTGTACACAAAAGTCACAGTTTAATTGGTCGAGCAATTCGACGGTAGCAGTGTATGGTGCACCCTCTGCAACTTCATCGGCCCACTTGCAAGCACGTACAGCCTTGTATCTCTCTTGTTCATTCATGACTGGTGGTCCCTTATTCTTTGCAATCTCTGCATCTGTATGAACTCCAACTACTAAAATATCTCCCAATTCTCTTGCCTACAAATTTATATATATAGAGGGAAAGTGAGAAAGATTATATCAATATCATGTGATAATAAATCCTTCCTTCTTTCATCTTTTACTTTCTATTCTTCTCTTTTACTTACTTGTCTAAGAGCATTTGCATGACCGAAATGCATCAACTAATTATACATATAATAAAAATAATCAAAAAAGTATATCAGTAAGTAACTCAAACATCATTCCCCACTCATACATACATCAAAACACCCATCTACGTATACTCTGATTGGTTTCTTTCCAGTTGTGGTGGTAGTATTATTAGTCTCTGACATTCTATCTATCTATCTATCTTTCTATCTATATCTCTATCGTGATATTAATTTCATTTAGGGTGTATCATCGCTTCACCACAAAGAGGGAGAAGCAATAAAAAATTTAAATTAAATTTTCTCTTCAAGCGGAAGTTGAAATGTTCCCAACGGTCATCGATATGACTATTCCGATGGTCATCTCTATCTATCTATCTGTCTACCCCTCAATTAACACAATTAACAATTAATTAATTACAAATACATAAAGTGTGATGGTGAACAAACAAAGACAAACTGTTTATTATTATTATTATTATTATTCAGATCGGATGATAGTATTGTGTGATGATGCAATCAAGGAGTAGTAATAATATAGTGATGACGATATTAATAAAATAGATAAAATGTTGTGTATGTTGTGATCATCAATATTAAAACTTACCAGGGGACAGAGAAGTGGTGGTCCATCATCCAATAGATTGATTGGTAGGACAGCCCCTTTTTTGGGGTGCGTGTCGTGATCAATGATGACATCCCACTTTAAAAATAAACACTGTCTAAAAATAATTCACTCTCTCTCTTTCTGTTCGATCCTCCTCTCACATCAAATGTATCGCATGCGACAAACAATCAACAACCACTTTTTGTTTTGTAACAAGAAATCGGTGTAGATAGTAAGTAATAATAGTTGTAGTCAGTCGTTGTAGTAGTTAGTAAAAGATAAATAGATATTTTTTAAAAAAGAGGTAGTAACAAGCAAGCAGCAGTTCAGTTGGCGGAGTACAATAGATAGGTTTGTAGAAATTAATCTTTGGGTGGGGGTTAGGGTTAAATAATCATGATGAATGATCGAGTAGATATTATAGTGGATAGGGTTGGATATAGTGATAGAATGTATTTATTCAATAATGGATTATGTGGTGGGTAAATGGTGGATGTGTTGGGTGAATTGTATTTGTGTTGATGCCATGCTATGATCAAAACAAATCAAATCTACTTTTTTTAAAGTATTTTTTTTTATGGTTGCTATATAGTCGATATATATCGACATCCTCATCATCCTCCATCCTACTCCAACAACCCACATTTATTATCATAATGTAATAAATACTACGCCAGTAGAGTCTTGCTTATTTACTCTTTTACTCCTCATTCATACATATACAATTATTATTATACCCACCCAACTATACTATAACTAGTTATAGTATTAGTACTAATATTATTTATTTTTTTACCCTAATAATATTATATATTATTAATTAATTTTTACATCTTGGAAATACAATCATAGGATCATGTCGGAATCACTATATGAAACTTCTTCACCTCCAGTGGTAGGATCTTCATCTCCTCCTGACAATAATAATAATGACAATAATAATAATAATGGAACGACGACGAGAACAACTAGAAGTGGAACTACAACAGCCAATCTAAGTTATGCTCAAGCCGATGAAATGGTCAAGAGTATCGATGACATGAAGACAAAAAGAAACTTTCACAACCAGTTTAATGCACTCTTTAGAAAATCGGCTACCTATCAATGGAGACAATACAAAACTAATCTTTGTCAGATTATTTTACCTTTAATCCTTGTATGTAAATCAATTCAAACAAATATATTATTAATATTTAATATTTATTAACTTTCTTTTTTTGTTTAGATATTATTATTATTTATTCTTCAACAAATTGTAACCAATTTTGTAAAGGATCAAGATGGAGCCAAGATTCCATCGATATTACATCCAAGAGCAATGATGCCACCATTATTTGAAACCAATCAGACAATTGTCGAAGAGTGTAGGGCATTTGCACCGGCAGTCTATGCCAGATCGCTAATCTATATCGATCAACTCAACCAAAATTTGACAGTGGAGCCAATGATGCTCCAACTCGAAACATACGCTGGCACCAACAAGAGTAACGGTGATACCATCGTCCCACTTATTTTTGGTCAATCATTCCTTGGAAGATATGCAACCTATTGCTCAGACACTCCTAGTATTGCTGCACCCATTACAATGGAACGAATGGAATCATACGATAAATTTACAAACGAAACATTTGATAATTGGAAGACCATCATTGTCAATGGTGGCTATCGATTCGCTCAAGTTGACAATGACAGCCTAGCAGTCTCGCTATTATACAATCGATCTATTTCATTTGGCAAGGAACTAGGTACACTCTACACACTTGCATCACGATCATTCCGTGCCATCACTGGTGCCAGTCTAACTGAAATCATCTTTGATGGTATTAAAGATTTCCCAACTCGTCAAGCTACTTTAGATTTTGATCTTGTTAGTTTATTAGGTCGTAAGTAGTAAATCTAAATCAAAAATTAAATTAATAATATTAATTAAATATTAATAATATTAAATATTAATCTTTCTATTTCTTTTTATTTTTTAGCAATGTTATATATTTTCATATTTCAATTAATGATGCCAGTAGTATTAAGATTAATTCTTTATGAAAAGGAAAACAAGTTGAGAGAGATTATGAAAATGATGGGGTTGGAGATGAAGACGTATTGGTTGGTCACCTATATATTTGCCTACTCGATCTATTTTATTGCCATGATGTTGGTGTGGGCATTGGGTGCATTGTTTAGATTCCGATACTTTACAGTCAACAGTCCCCTTGTCATCTTTTTACTCATATTCTTTTGGGGTCATACATTGGTCAGCTTTGCCTTTTTCCTATCAACCTTTTTTACAAAAACTGAAACTGGTACCGTAGTTGGTTACATTTGGGTATTTGGTACTGGTATTCTTGCCTCTCGTGTCATTGATAATATCTTTTCAAGTAACTATCAAAAAAATAACAATAATATTAATAATCATTATGATTTAATCTAATTTTTCTATTTCTATTTTTAATTTAGGCGACTCAACACCATCAAGCTCAATATTTGTAATATCAATATTCCCACCATTTGTACTTTATAGAGCATTATTTATATTAAAGAAATATGTTTCATTTGATGGACCGGGTGTGTCAATTGCCAAGATGAATAATCCAGGATACCAATTTGGTGATATCTATGGATTTATGATTGTTGAAGCTGTTGTATTCCTCATTTTGGCATTGTATCTGGAAGAGGTGTTACCGTCAGACTATGGTGTCAAACGTCACCCTCTATTCTTTTTACAAAAATCATTTTGGTTCAAAAAAGGTGCCAAGAGAGTGACACCCATCACAATCAAACCACACCTTCAAAGTGAAAGTGAGGATGTTGCTATTGAACGTCAACGTGTCATACATCACGACCAACTCTTGGCACTTGAGGTATGCGATCTTGGAAAGGTTTACCCTGCACAAGGAGGTGCCCCTGAAAAGGTGGCTGTCAAATCATTGACACTTGGAGTCGACCAAGGAATCTGTTTTGGCTTTTTGGGACCCAATGGCGCCGGCAAGTCAACTACCATCTCTTGTGTAAGTGGATTGTTCCCACCAACCACTGGAACAGCACGTGTATTTGGCATGGATATTCGTGATGACATTGAATCGATCCATATGATTATGGGTGTGTGTCCACAAGACAATGTACTTTGGGATGATTTGACAGGCGAAGAACATCTACTGTTTTATGGTCGTATCAAGAATATGAAGGGTAAAGAATTGACAGACGCGGTCTACAATGGACTCAAACAAGTCAACTTGCACGAAGAAACCGAGAAAAAGAGTGTTGAATATTCTGGTGGTATGCGTAGACGTCTATCTGTTGCCATATCTATGATGGGTAATCCAAAGATTGTTTTACTTGATGAACCTAGTACTGGTATGATAAAAAAGAAAGAAAAAGAAATGGATCATTTTATTTCCAAAACCCTTAACCATTTTGTTTTTTATTTAATTTTGTTTGTTTTAGGATTGGACCCATCCTCAAGAAAGAAATTGTGGGATGTTGTAAATGGATACAAACGTAATTGTGCTATGCTATTAACCACTCATGCCTTGGAAGAGGCTCAAGAACTGTGTGACCGTTTAGGTATTTTTGTTGGTGGTGAGCTCAAGTGCATTGGATCTAGTTCTGAATTGATCTCCCGTTTTGGTAAGGGTTACAAGGTATCGTTGACTATCCAAGGTGGTCGTGAAGAAGACACTCAAAAGTTTGTTCGTGAATTATTGCCAAGTGCCACACTCCTCAATTCACTTGCCGGAACCTACAATTATGAAGTGCCAAGTAATTCAATTGACCTTGCCTCTCTCTTTAGACAATTTGAAGATAACCGTGAAAGACTTGGAATTACAGATTGGGGTGTTGCCAATAGTACCCTTGAAGAAGTTTTTGTTAAAGGTAAAATATAAAAAATATAAAATATAAATAATATAAATAATATAAATATATATATATTAACTTATTCTTTTTCTTTTTCTTTTCAGTTACAATGGGTGTCCAAAATGAAAGAGGTGAATATGTTATTGATGAAAAGTCAATGAATATTTCTCATATTACAAATGCCTAGTAGACCAGACTCACAAACATTCCCAGCCATCCAAATGAATACATCCAATCCAAAATTGTAGAATTAAATAAATGTTATTAATAAATAAATAATAATAATTACCAAGAACATTAACCATTCTGTTTCCTTTTTATTTATTAAATAATTATAATTATAAATTTTGACAACTTGTACTATTCTTTTTTTTCTTCTTAGTTAAATAGTATTTAAATCATGTAATAAAATATTTATCGGACAATATCCAGTCAAGTATCATAGGTAATATCAGTTGATAATAGTCTACTGCAGCTTTGACCTTGTCGTGTTGATTATCACACACTAATTGAATCCTTCTTTAGCAACTGTTATTGCCAAAATGTTGTACATTAGGTTTTGTTTGTATTTTGCCTTGCATATTGGGCCGATTAAATGTTGGAAAATTGGATATAAATATTTTACATACAGTTTAAAAATTTCATAATACAATTGTTGTTCCTTTGTTTCCTTTTTCAATTGAGTAATGAAATAATCCTTTTACATACGCCCATACCAATCTTGGTAATGGTTCACGCAAATCACACACACACATCCCTCTCATTAATCTCTCAGTTGGCGCCAGTAGTAGTAGTAGTAGTAGTACAAGTACTTGTTATTGAATTCCATTGATTTGATTTATTTGTACAAAAAAAGTAGTTAAAGGGGAGGATAAGTTAGGTTAGGTTGTTTAGTTTTATATATAAAGTTGTTGTTGTTGAGGTTGAGGTTGGGAGGGTTAATAACGTATCTAAATTCATCTATCTGATTGATCAATCTATTCTATTTCTTTCCATCCATCCAAATATTATATTGTTGTTATTGTTAAAAAAAAGATTATTATTATTATATATTAAGGGAGCTATTATTATAATTAGAATGGATTCTCATCTTCATTTCTTGATTTAGAATACATTAAAGTTAATGAACTATAATGGTTATAATAATAATAGGTTAGTTTTAGTTTCAAGTGATTTGTACATAATATGAATATAAATATAAATATAATAATTGAGGGATTGATTGATTGATGTTTCTTTCTTTTCTTTCTTTTCTTTCTTTCTTTCTTTCTTTCTTTCTTTCTTTCTTTTCATACCTAAGGAAAATCAAAACATTTTGTAAAGTGAGAGCAATACCAGGCCATTCGGCATTGCTATTTACATGTGGTGGCATAAAGGTTGCAGCCATAATCCAAACACTGCCTGCAATACAACCAAAGTTGATAGCAAAGCTGACAAATAGCCAGATACGAATCTTTGTTACATAAGAGTCATCGCCGAGGAACGACGATGAGTTGAGTCCATCCAACTTGATTATATTTGCCATCACCAAACCAACTGTCGAAAATATACCTGGCAGATAATAGACCCATTGAATAGATGGTCCAAAACCAGGTGTTGCTGCATTTCTAGTATTTTCATAAACATGTCCATCAATCCAAAGGAACCAAGCTACTCCAAACTATAAATACATAGTATTAGTATTAGTATTTGAATATAATAGAAAGGTATCATCACATCATCTCACATCATCACATTCATTCAATATTGTTATATTGTGATGATGATGATTATGATGATCATGAAACATACAAGTATGCCTGAAAAGGTTGATAAAAACTTTCTCATTCTCTATCTATCTATCTCTATTATTTATATTGTCTCTTTCCTTATCTTTTATATATATATTATATTATTATGTTGTATAGTACTATACGTGTTTCTCGATTATGATGTTGATGTTATTCTAACAACTCAAAATATTAAATAATAAATGTGTGTAATTTAAGCACAACACACTTGAGCTTACCCTCTGTCTCATAAAAAGTTTAATTTAATATTTTTTTTCTTGTTGAAGTTTTCCTCCTTTTTTAGGATCATCACCTCTTTGGTCGTCAATGTCAGTACTCCCGAGTCGATTCGAATCATCTATCTATCTATCTTATTTATCCTAAGATATTAATTTGTTTTACTCACCCTTTAGAGCACTCAAATACTTTATTTATAATGATATTATTATAAATACTTTTATTTAAAAGAGAGTAGGTGTGTAACATCAAATGTTGGTTGAATAGATTATTACCCTTTACATTATTATCTTAAAGTATCTACCCTATAAAAGGATACTTTATTGTCAAGATTCCTTTGAATCTAGATGATTTCACAACAAGAGAGCCGAACTTTCAAGGACAAAGTATCTCTGAGAAGATATTATTAATTAAAATTTATAAATTTTGGGCTTCAAACCTTCTTTTCGACCTCATTATTTCCTAATAGTCCTCTTCCGATAGAAATGAGAGCAGCAGAAGCAGTCATCATCACCTTTCTCCTCAAGAGATAACAGATAGTAACAGTAGTAGTAGTATTATTATTAGTGTAGCAAGAAAATGTTATTTTATTATACCATCCTCTTGACAGTGTTGGCAGTAATGTCATCATTGTCTATTAGCAATGCTGCAACACCATCATTCAAAATTGATTATAATCCACAATTATCTTTAGTTAAACAATAGTATGTTGTCTTGAAAATACACAACGACACCTGACTCTGACTCTCTGACTCTCTCTCTCTCTCAAATCATTTTTTATAGTAATGGAAGTCAATTATACACAATGATATCAACTGGATACGCTGATCCAATCATGGTCGCAAATCTTACTGGTTCACATTATGAAATGGGTTTCTCGCTTGGTGTTTTTTTGGCTGTATGATCATCAACTTGATATACCGTATACGATAGAGACAAATAACTAATCTATCTATCTAATCTATTTTAGAATGAAGCATATGAAAATTATTTATCATTATTCAAGACATTGGTTCCAAACTTTTTAGAGAATGATGCACTTGAAGTATTCCTTGATTGGCAATGGGATGATTATCTCTCTAAACAATTCCCACAAGAATTCTCTGATGAAATCAATGGTTTCAATGATGGTGCAGTACATTCCGGATTCACTCAAATGGGTAAAGCCATCACTAGATGTATAGTACTCTCCTCATTCCCAGGCGATGCTGGTCAAAATATTGAATATCTTTTAATCAAGTAAGACAAATGTAGAAAAAGATAGTAGTAGTAGTTCAATTAAATACTTATTCAAGCTTTCTATAGTGAATTAAAGTCTGAAGCATTTTTAGAGTATATTGAAAAAAAGGGAGTACCACATGGAAAGCTATCACCCGATTCAATGCAATGTAGTCATTTCTCAGTTTGGGGAGATCGTACGGTTCAAGGAGAGATGTATAATGGTCGTAATTTGGATTGGATCATTGACACTGGTATTGCCAAGCACAAGTTACTCACATTCTTCCATCCAACCACTGGAGGTAATAGTCATGTGGCAGTTGGATTTGCCGGTTTGTTTGGTGCCATCACTGGTATCTCTTCCAAAGGTATTTTCGTTGCAGAAAGTGACAATGACTCGGATTTGGTGACATTTGATGGTATGTCGTGGGCACATCGTCTTCGTTATGTCATGCAGTATGCCAACAATATAGAAGATGCTCTCAATATTTGGAAGGCAACCAACAACACGATGGGTATGAACCACATGCTATCGTCTGCCTTTGAAGTTGATACTGTCGAACATCCAGCCTACGCACTCGAGACTATGAAGGGATACACTGCCTTTTTCCCAGACAATGATACACTCGAATCTGCCTATATCTATGTAGACCCCAATACTGGTGACAAGACCCAAATGGGATACCCCATTCCACAAGCTGTCTATCGTACCAACCATGGATACGATCCACTCATTAGAAAATATCAATACCAATTACCAGGACCAGGTGACGATACTATGATTCGTTACATGCTCCTCTACAATGCCTTTGAGTACTACCAATCTGCATCGATTGCCATTGACGAATTGGCAGCCATCAACATCACATCCACCCTCGGTGCAAAGGGCAACGAAGGTGACTTTTTCGATTGTTCCAATGCAAACACTGGTATGAATGTCATTAGTGCTGCTTTCCATGCTGCCAACTCTACCATGTATGTAGCATTTGAAGAAGGTACTGGAAACACTAGAATTTGTGCTTGTTGTGGTACCTATGTTCAAGTTGACCTATCACTTTTCTTTGGTCAACAACAACAAATTTAAAAAAAGAAAGAATAATAATTAAACAGAAATTTGATCACATGAATGTATATATACTTTTTATTTAAATATTATTGATATTCAACAAATAATTGAATATTTTTAAATTTTGTTAAATTACTATTTATAATTGGAGGAATTAGAAACTTGATACCACATTGAGGGTAAATTTCATTATTTACTTTGGTTATTTCATCTACCAAACGATAAACCTAATATATATTGAGATTTCAAAAAGAAAGAAAGAAAGAAAGAAATGGATTGTGTTAGGGGCCAAAAAGTATTTATAATTATTGTTGTAGGTTCAGTTTAAAAGGACTACATCTTTCTCCATCTCTGACAAGATATGACAAGCAAAATAATTGGGATGATCCAAGAATAATTAACTCACGCCAAAAAAAAAAAGGATAAATAAATTATTATAATAGAAATAATAAGTACTTGGGTATGATTTTGATTTGTTTTGAGTTACATATATTATTATTATATTATATTATATTTTATTAGAGGGGGGAAGGAGGGGAAAAAAAAGTATTATTATTTATTTGTTTTTAGAGGTTTTTTAGAAGCCATAAAATCCCATGAAGCTTGGAATTAAACCAACAAATGGTGGAAATGGTTTGATAGGTCTAGACTTGAACTCTGGATGGAATTGGCAACCGACAAAGTATACGTGATCCTTGAGTTCGACAATTTCCATTCTGACATTTTGGTCGTCCTTGCCGACAAAGTGCAAACCCTTGGCGTCAATCTCTTCGACGACGTCTGGGTTGACTTCCTAACGATGACAATGACGCTCCTCAACGGCCTCACCGACCTTGGTGACGCCGTACAACTTGGCAATCTTGCTATTTGGGTCGTTGATGATGGTTGGACGCAAGCCGAGACGCATGGTGGCACCCATATGGGTCTTGGAAACCTCTGGCATAAAGACGACGACGTTCTTGCCGCCTCCGACATTGGTAAACTCTTCAGAGGTGGCGTTGGCCCATCCCATGACGTTACGGGCAAACTCCATGACGGCAACTTGCATACCGAGACAGATACCGAGGTATGGCTTGTTGTTGACACGGGCATAGTTGGCAGCGAGGATCATACCTTCAATACCACGGTCGCCGAAACCACCTGGCACAAGGACACCGTGGCATTGGTTGAGGATTGTCCAGGCGCGGTCGTACGACTCGACTGAACGAGTGGCAGAGGCGAGACCAGATGGCTCGACCGAGCTGGTGGCGGCGGTGCCGGTGGGGATGGGCTCGAGATCGGTGGCTTCAACCCAGTCGATGACCATCTTACGGTCGAGGTGCATGGAAGCATGCTCGAGTGCCTTGATGACGGACAAATAGCTGTCGGTGAGACCGGTGTACTTGCCGACCATGGCGATACGTATGGGCCCGTATCCCTGCTCGTTACCGACACGGTCCATACGGTCGGCCATCTCCTTCCAGGATTGGAGCCAGTATGGCACGGCAAAGGCGTCAGTTACCTTGTCAACGTCGGCGCCGCTATCTTGTTGTTGTTGTTGTTGTTGACCATTCTCTTGGCCGTGGATATGAATGTCGACCTTGGGGGTGAGATGGAGACGCTTGACGATGAGGTTGGCAATGTTTTGTTGGTACAACAAGAGGGGGACACGGTAGATGTTGGAGACGTCGTGCACGCCAATGACATTGTCTGGAGCAACATGGCAAAAGAGTGAGATCTTGCGACGGGTGTCCGAGGTGAGTGGCTGGCCGCTACGACACATGACAAAGTCTGGCGACAAACCAAGGGCACGGAGCTCGCGAACCGACTGTTGTGAAGGCTTGGTCTTTTGCTCGCCGACGACGCCAATCACTGGCACGAGCGAGACATGCATCAAACAAAAGTTTTCTGGGCCCACACGGAACTGGAACTGACGCATGGCCTCGATAAAGGGCATCGACTCGATATCACCGACAGTGCCACCGAGCTCGATGACGCAGACGTCTGGATAGCCCTCTTCGCCGTCGACTGGCACGTGAGCGACACGTTCAACCCATTGCTGGATCTCTTCGGAAATGTGTGGCACGACTTGGACGGTCTTGCCGAGGAACAAACCCTTACGCTCCTTTTCAATGACGGTGTTGTAGATCTTGCCGGTTGTAATGTTGTTGTCACGGTTCAACGAGACGTTGAGGAAACGTTCGTAGTTACCGAGATCCAAGTCAGCCTCTCCACCATCATTCAACACAAACACCTCTCCGTGTTCGAATGGTGACATGGTACCGGCATCGATATTAAGGTATGGGTCAATCTTGATCGATGTGACACGCAAACCCATCGACTTTAGAATCATTGCAGTACTACTAGCAATGATACCTTTACCAATACCCGATAAAACTCCTCCTGTTACTAAAATATATTTCATTTCTTTAAAAGTATAATTATATATGTATATAAATAAATAAATTTATATGTATTTGTTGTTGTTTGTTGTTTTTAAAAAAAAAAAAAAAAAGATATATATATAAAGTGTAGATATGGTTTAGTTAAATAGTTTGTAATGAACGATTTAAAAAACTTAAAGAAAGTAGTACGATTGTTTTAGATTATTATATAAATAAATTTACGAAAATATATTATATATATATAACAAATAAAATAATTATCTTTATCTCTACACTTGCCTAACGAAAGTTCAGGAAAGAGTTAAAAACGACTCGTTCGCCTTTTTGTTGGTTACGCAAGCTGTGACGAGAGAAAAAAACAAAAATCAATTTTAATTACTTTTTGGCGGTTTATTAAAACGAGCCGTACTCCCAAAGTACCGTACTTCTTCCAACTAGAAAAAGGAGTACTTTCCTTTTACTTACTTTTAAAACCAAATAAGAGTCTAAGTATAATATAATATGTTTTTTAAAAATGTAAAATAATGAAATGAAACAATCATGTCATGTCATGTTTGATTGTGTCATATGACCAGGGACATCCCTTGATAAGATCGTAATAATAAATATTGTGTAGTATTGTGCCAACGATGTAAATGGATCAAAGTAGATATATGTAGGAGGATATTATACAATGTATAGTATATCTCTATCTTTGTTTGTTCTACAACAACAAAGAGAGAGTGATGATGTGTGACTTTTTGTTTTATTTTTTTTGATTTTTTTTTTTTTCTGTCTCTGCGATCATTCACACACCTTTCCTCTTCGTTCATCAGAACAACTTGCAAGCAATCTATAGATTCTAATATATTACTACCCCTTTAGAAATAAGATAAATAAGAAAATGGGCGGCGGAGGAAAAGTTTACGGAAAGCAAATCACATACACCTTATCACCATTCCAACAAAAGTTGTTTGTAAACTACTTTAAGAATGCCATCCCACATTTGAAGAGAGGTGTCAGAGAAAACGCTCTCTACATTGTTCCATACTTTGTTGCTCTCGGTGTCACTGTCAACTGGGCCAACCATACCTACCACGAATCTCACAAGGAGTCATGGTACTAAACAAACACACCCTCTTTGTAACTAATCGTAGTAGTAGTGGATTTGACCATTTAAACTTGTTATATTCCATTATCACAAAAAAGTATGTAGTTTACTTGACTATACAAGATACATCATTCATAGCACAACATCAAATCAAGTTTACTAACACTTTACTTTATTATCATCATTATTATCATCATCATTACACTATATCTAGATAAATACATTAATATTTTAAAACTTACATACTTTAGCAAACAAAACAACATTTCAAATTTATTATTATTTCAATTCGATGATAGAGAAAAGAAATTATGTAGATATGAATATGTATATATCTTAACGTTTATTTGTTTAGGGATCAACAGACCAAATTGTATCATCAACACTTTCCCATAGGATATATTCTTTGTTTAATTTAGCAGACATTAGTTCGGCGATGGTTCTTCCAATGTTGGATGACATTGTACCTATAAAGTAATCGCAATCGGATGCGATCAAGAGCTCGGCAAGGAGGAGTCTTCCAATGATGGTCTTTTTGGATGGGTCGATGATGCCAGTTTCAATGTCCATTGCAACATCATTGTCACCTCGATCGACATCGGTGAGATAGTGTAGCTTGTACGGTCGATTGGGTATTGCTTCGATACGGTCGATGATGGTTGTGTTGTCAGTCATCAAAAAGACATTGCCAATGTCAATCTGTAGGTTTGATTTAAACTCGTTAATCTTTTTGTTCAATACATCTAGATAGACTTGCAGGTCGACCAACTTGGCTTCACTGATGAGTTTGTCTCCGTGTCGTACATGCATTGCAATGCATCTCGGTGCAAGTCCATTGTTTTTGGCCAATAATTTTTCTCCAAACACTTGTTTCCTCGTGGTTGTAAGGAATTCACGCATGGGATACGATAATGTCATCATCCATCGCATCAAGTGTGATCTAAATGCCCTGGCACTGTCCATAAACTGTGTTGGGAATTTACTAGGTGTCACGAAAAAGGTAATCTTTACAGGATGATCCTTTTCTATAATCGATATTCTTGCACTCTTGTTGTATTCATCTGTTCCATATAATCCATTTAATACTTGTGAATCTTTAAATTCATTTATCCAATTCCATTTACATCTAAAATAGAAAAAATATTAGAAACATATATCTATTTAATGTATCATTTGTTTCTTTTTCTTACATAGAGTAGGGTAAAAATAATTCGGTCCAATCATTTGTAAAAAAGGAAAAAGTTGAATCGTTTAGGACAAATATTCTATTAAATTCAATGGCACGTGTAAAGGAATAGGCTTGAAGATGGAGTGCTCCACACATACCTCTAGCACTCGACTTGTGCAATAGGATTTGATGTGTGTCACAAAACTCCTTGCCGCCACTAACCAAAAAGTTGGAAGAGAATTGGAGTTGTTGCAAATGGTTGTAAAATACCTTGACTTTTTGTGATTGTGTTTTGTACATGTGTAATAGTATACCTTCTTCCTTGTGACTACCAACTATCATATCACAACGTTGCTGGTTGTCTAAATCGAGGACAACTTCAGCATAACCTCCAACCATTTGATAGGATTTAGTAGAGTATCGATAGTTCCATATTCGATTGACCGTTGCGAATTGGTCAAACACCAATTCTTGGATGACTGGGTACAGCCGACACTGACCGACCACTGCAATATGATGTTGAGTGCGTTGCTCCAACATTTGAACGGCCTGTTGGAATATTTCGAGTGCACGGAATTGTTGTGGAGCAAATGTAATGTTGGCACCTAGGTGGATGACCAGCGACTCGATTTCATCCTCGTGAACAGCCCGTATCGTTTTAAAAAAGGCAAAGCATGATAATCGATATGGTCCACCGGTATTTTGGTTGTTTCTAAATTGACTATTACTATTTCGTTGTAGTTTCTCTTTTGAGACAATCAACTCAAAGTAGCAGTCATCAGGTCCACTATAATCATATATCAAATTCAATTGTTCTTGATGCAAATATAAAACTTGCATAAATAGAGGTGGTACAACTTTATCTTCTTGCTGTTCCACTGTTGATGGTGCACCAACTATAGCATTATTGTGTTGGACTAGTGTTGATTTTGAATTACCATCAGTAGTATCACTACTTATCCGTTGACTGTAATACAGTATTGAAAAAAGTACTGATACTATTATGATGCATAAATATATAATGTATTTTCCATTATTATTATTATTGGGATTATATTGTTTTTTGTTGTTGACCATATTAATAGATCTAATAACTGGTAAAAAGAGAGAGATGGAAAGAATTAGATGGATGCTACAATTGTATTCTCGAACAAAAAAAAAAAGAAGGAAGGGAATATACAGAAGAGAGAGAACAATGAGTTGAGTTCCATCATCAACAACAACAACTCGAGATAGCAAGTGTGAAAGTACCCCCTCCTATTATCACCATCATGATATGATAGATTTATGATGGTGGTTATTTTTAAATGGATCACCCCCATACACATTCCATTCGGCCAGGTTGACTGTTAACATGATGGGGTAATGATGAGAGTAGGAAGAATCCTTCTTTGTGTTTCCTAATATTAGAGTATAATATCGATTTAATGAATAAAATATAGAGTATTCTTTCTTTCTTTGATAGATGGTGATAAGAGTAGAGAGAGAAGAAAGAAGCAAAGAAGAGGGATGGATGAAAGGGGGAGGGATTGTTGATTGATCTACTGCTACTCGATGTTCGACCTCCTCTTCCTCCTCGTCACGACGATTATAATGGTTACGCATATATACATTTAATGCATTCTTGACAAGTCAAAACAAACAAACATCAATCTATCTAGATATCTTACTCTTTTGATGTGTGTGAAGATGGTTCTTTGTCTCTACAATGCCAAGTCGATGATGAGAGGAGCCAGATGGGCATCTATCGGTGGGATCCACATTCTTTCTGTTAATTAATTTCGCCCATCAAAACGACCAAGCGAAATTTAATTGTCTCTCATTGTTCGATAGAGCGGCGACCTCTCACAAAGAATGTTCTGTCTTGCGCTGGACGTCGGTTTTTTAAAAATTCGAAAAAAATAGAAAATTCGATCTTTGACAAAAAAGGAGATCCTTTTGCAGACAGAACATTCTTTGGCTCCATGTTCGATAAAATTCGCAATAAAATTGTGTAGGCATCCGTCCTCCCTCCTCTCTAGTTCAACAAAAAAAAACATTTGATTTGTCTCTCTCCCTCTCACTCTCATCACAACAAATTTGTAAAACTATACTCTCTCTCTCTTAACTTATTTATTTATTTATTTAAAAAGTACTACTAGCACTAGTTTTAGTTTTTTTGACTCTATAATAATAATATTTCGTTGACGTCAAAAAAGAAGAATTAAATTAAGATTTTTCATAATATAAAAAAAATTTAGAATCATCGAACACCACCATCGAAGCTCCCCACACCTAACCAAACCAAACCAAAAGTAATATTCCTTCCTTCACCGACACAAGCTTGCCACACTTTTACTACTCTATATATTTATTATTATTATTTCAAACAACAACAACAACTATATATCTTTCTCTATTTCTATGTATTGCAGTAAATTAACATTATAATTATTTCTTTACTTTTTTTTATTATATTATTAATAGAAAGATTAAATGACAGACATAAAGATACTTAGCAATATAATCAACGACTTGTCTAAGCACAATTTGAACAATAGTAGTAATAGTAGTGGTGGTAGTAGTACAGATGTCTCTACGGTAGTAGCGGCAGCGGCAGCAGCTGCAGTAGCATCAAGCTGTAATCCACTATTATCATCTTCACAAGAGATATATCAAGACAAACAAACAACGAAAACATCAACAACAACAACATGTGATAGAGTAGAAAACATTAATGATTTACCAAAGTTTGTATTGGTAGAGATATTCAAACATTTAAATTCAAAACTTGTTTGTCAAGACGTACCTGCAAACCCATACTTTCACAACTTTTGTTACGATGTCAATAGCAGTGAAAGCATAGCAAGAAGTAAACAATACTTTAGCGATCAAAAGAGCAGTGGAAACAATAACAATCAACAATTAATAACCAAACCAACAACAACAACAGCAACAAATAATAATAATACCGCTGCTGCTTGTGATAATGATGATGCAACATCATTTTGTAAATATTTAAACAATGTATTAAACTTGGCAGGAGTTTGTAAATTATGGGCCGACAAGATTGTACCAATTAGCATATGTGGAGTTGTCAAAATAGTATCGAGAAGACAATTGAGCACCGTGCTCCGATTCATGACCGATGGTATTATCAGTGGTGGCAGTAAATGTCTCTTTTCAACCATTAAATTCCATAGCAAAGCTGGTGCAATCCCAACCTGCGACTATAAGCTTCTTTTCAACGACGAGATGACCTCTTTGAGGTCACTCTGCTTTGATCGCGACCAACTATCGTTTGCCGATGTGGTCGTACTCAGCAAGTACATTGCCAACAGCACATCGTTGACCGTCCTCAAGGTGCCCAGCAACTTTAGCATGTGTTGTCGTGCATTCTACAGCTTTTGCGATGCCATCAAAAAGAACAACAGTGTACAGACACTTGACATGAGTGCCAATCCCATGTCCCTTGAAATGGTCATGTCGCTGTGCGACGCTTTGACTGCCAACCGTTCCATCACTCACCTCGACCTGTCGTTTAGCACAATCGGTTCCAACGGCACACATATCGCCGAGGTCATCAAAGTCAACAATACCATTAGATCGCTGTTCCTCATTGGCAACGAATTGGACGACTGCGCAGTCAGTGCAATCGCCGATGCATTACGTCACAAAAACACTTCCATCACCGAACTATCACTCTCAGAGAATGAGTTTGGCGACGATATTGGTGCAATGATTGGCAATTTGTTCAAACAAAACACAATCATCCAGTCGATTGATCTCAGCTGCAACCAATTGTCCGAGATGACTGCATTGTCATTTGCAGAGTCACTCGGTTCCAACACTACTCTTAGGTCGCTCAATTTATCCGACTGCTCGCTATCTGATGAGGGTGGTGCCGATGACGAGGATCAATGCGTGCGTTCGCTATGCTACGCTGGTGGAGGTGGACTTGGTGGTGGAGGTATCGAGCTCTTCCAGACATTGCAGATGAACACCACCATCTCACAAATCGTTCTCTGGGGATGTGACCTCAACAGCTCAGATGCACTCAAAGAAGAGTTGTCCAACTTGCTCAGCACCAACACTGCCATCCAATCACTCTCATTGGGCTACAACGAGCTCACTTCAGCCGATATTATCGATATTGTTAAGAATGGTCTTTGGCACAACAAGACACTCAAGTCTATCCACCTCAACAACAACCACATCGACTCCAAAGGTGGTATGGTGATTGCCGAATACCTCTCGCAAAACACTACCCTTATGGAGTTGTCACTCTACGACAACATTGTCGACAATGTTGGTGCCATCCACTTTCTCATTTCACTTGGCAAGAACCATACTATTCGCAAGCTCTGTCTTGGCTCTAATCGTGTCTGCCCCACCATCTCATCGCAGTTCCGTCCCATCGTCTCGTACAACCAACCGGTATGTGCCAATCTCAAAGACTTTTGGATCCAATCAAAACACAAATTCATGGCCGAAAGAACTCTCTTCCTCTCCAAATATCTCACCCTCCCAGGTGATTTTTCTCTTGTCATCAAACAATTATTTGACTTCCTTTTGGAAAAACAACCTCCATCCTCTTCCTTCTCTACTCAATTGGCTATAGCCCCGACTCCAACCTCAACTCCAACCAAACCAATCAATAATAACAATAATAATAATACTAATATTCAAAATAATAACAACACTAATGGATCATCAGCTCATCTAGTTGATTCTCTTGTTAGTAATAATTTATTCAAAATTTAAATAAATAAATAAATGTCGCCCGATGACAAACAATATATCTAAAAAGGTCACACAACTCTTTCTCATTGCAAAAGATTGACCCATTGATTTACCCCACATTATAAAATAAATAAATTATTTGAGAGTCTGATTACCACTCCATTTCTTCAACCACAACCATAATTATTTTACTTCAATTAATAACTTAACAAATTTTGTTCCTTTATTTAGTAATTTTTAAAATACCCAGTTATATTGTTGTTTGGAACTAGATCTTGTACACTTTTAGGTAATGTATTAATGTAATGGTTATTTATTGGCGTATATATACTACCCTCAATTTTTATTTCTTTTTTTAAAAAATGGTTAATTACACTTTTAATTAATTTTAGAGGAAAGCAAAACAACAGCTACAGTTCCAAACTAGGTACAAGATTCATTTAAATCCATTTCTTTGAGCGTCAATCATGTTGTCTTTGACGATGTCTCTTACCCTACCGATGTCATTGAACATCTTGGTGGCATATGGAAACGGTTATGACGGTAACCTTATTGACAGTTGTTTCTGATTGTGGGAGTGTGTACACGCTTCATGGTCCGTGTACACTGTGAACTCTCCCATGTCCAATAGTAAATGTTCATATTTCTTCAGCATGTTGATAACTGCTAGGTATTCACGGTCATAATTAACTTCTTCTTTAGTTAATTTCCTTGACTCATACCATACTGGTTTTTTAAGCACTTCATCTTGATCATGCCAAAATCAAACTTGAAAAGAGACACAACAGTTGAAAGATCAAACAATTCTTTCAATGAGAAGTACCGATATTTAAAATCATCTCATTATTTCTCAAAAGGTGTGGCTTCTTGGTTGAATTTGTCAGCAGATATAATGGAAGATTCCAGAGGAGGTGAGCAACTACTGAAAGGAGGTGCTTGGGGGCACCCCCACTGGAATCGTCTTGGTTCAAACCAAAGGAGAACAAAAATGGTTCGGTATATATATACAGCTTTATAAAATTATTATAAATAAATTTATTATCTTTTAACAGTTAATCTATCACTTCTGATATTGGTTACGATTGCAACGGTCTTGTCTGTAAATTGATTATTGTTATTTTGATTATTGTTGATGGCGTATGTCAAAAAGTGGCATGTTTTACATTTATAGAGTGTCCAGTCTTTTCTGTTGATCGAACCATTATTAATGCTGTTTGTTGGAGGTGATTTTGGATATTGAATTTCAACAGAAGAACGTTTATAATCACCAACTACATTGGTAATGTTGGTGTAGCCCCAAATAACATGATTGGACGAACTACTATAATTGTGCAACTTCTTCATGTCGTGTAGGAAAGAAGAGCAACCCAAAAGATTTGGACAGTCTTGACTCTGGTCTTTGGAGCAGTTGCAATTACGAGGGTTCTTGAATTTGGTAGAGTCAAACGGTGCCAACAGCGTAAAGACACATGCTCCACACAGACATTGGAACTGAGTGGTGGTGTTGTTGGTATTGGCAAACTGGGCTTCAATACCTCCACCCCATTCTGCGAGACCCTTTTGTGTACGACGTTGTTTACCCCAGCGACAGAGTTGCTCTACAAAACCAAGATTAGGGTTGATAATGTAACGACAGTCACGGATGAGAATAAAAGCTTCAAAATAGCTGATCGATCGAGAATCCATGAAATAACCAATAGCCAATGCCGCACTTCTACTAATTCCCTTATCAGACACGATCAATACTCTTCCTTGATGTACAATGGCATCTCTAATGAAATCAAATGCCGAAGTCAATGAATGTAGGATATCTTGTGACTCATCATCGTGCAATTGTAAATGTAAATATTCAAAATGATCAGGAAATGCATTTGGTGAACCAGTACAATTAATTATATGAGTTATATCTATAAAAAAATAAAAATAAATAAATTATAAATAAATAAATTCTTTTTTTCTATTATTTTGTTTGTACATACGATAATTATTTTTTAAAAGATTTCTATTCATGGAAGGTTGATAAGAAGATATATACATAAAAGAGGTGATTTTTGAAGGATATTCCATGAGATATTTGTGTTCGGGGAATTCTGGTTGTTCATTTGCCAAAGAGTCATCAGAGAGTGTTTGTTGTGATGCCTTTGCATTTTTGTTGGAGAGCAATCCAGTTGGATTGTTTAGGTTGTAGCTATGAGGGAAGAAACGACCTGGAGTATAGTGTCCACTGATCTTGCTAGGTCCCTTGTATCTTGTACCATCACCACCGCTAAAGTATTGTTTTGGTTGTTCGATATTTAGCAGATCGTCTTGACTGAGCTTCATCTTGATTTGTCCCAACTCGGCCAATATGAGTGGCTTGGCTACTGCAAATTTAGTCAATAGATCGCGTAATGTTGGACGATAGAATGGGTCACGGACGAAAATGAAATCCAAAAAGTCACAAATTGCAGACATGTTGCTAATCTTTGCCTTCTTGTCAGGTGTAATAAGTTCTTGACCGGGTTGAGTGACACGGATAAAGAACTTTACCCAATCGTCATCATAGAATAAAAAGTCACCAGTCAACAACTCGTAAAAGAGACATCCCAACGACCATACATCCGACGTTGTGTTACTTCCAACCTTTTTTCTTCTATCGAAATTCTCTCTAGTCTTTTGTGAAGCAAATGCAATCATCAACATTTCTGGACTCTTTATAAATTCTGTTCCTCTATTTCTTGTTGTGTATCCATCAATATCATGAATATAAACTTTTGCTTCTCCCCAATCTAATAAAATAATAAAAATGATTAAAACCAGTTATTGATAAATTATTTATAAATAGTTACCAGCTAAACAAACAATAAAATTTGGATCACTTGTTGGTTGATTCCAAAAATCTTCTTCCAATGTTCCTTTTTTAATTGGATGAACCAAAAAATTATCACATTTAATATCAAAATGATTGATTTCTAAAAGAGAGATAAAATTAGTATAAAATAGATCTATTTTGGGTTGTTTTTTTCTCTTACTATTTTCAGCTAAAAATTGAACAGTTAATAAAACATTCATATAAATATTCAAATATAATGGTAGATTTTGAAGGAAAGTTCCAGTTTGTTTTAATCTCCATTCCTTTAGAGAGCATTTATAGGATTTCATGGCAATCCAATAGTTTTCACCATCTACACCATAGTCAAACATATGACAGGCACGATGATCACTTCTAAAGGTATCCATAATGAGAATCTCTGTAAAAATGTCATGGAGTACGCAACGATCATGAATACTCTTTGGAACTGGCATGAGTTTGACTGCAACCTCCAAACCTTCGTCATGAGCTACATATCCTTTGTAAACTGTACCAAATGCACCCTTGGCCACTCTTTTAAGATCTTTGAATGGTGATGCATGGAATAATCGATTAAACAACAACTTTAGGATTCTATAATGATTTGGTCCCATTTCCAATGTCTTTTCACACAATTCTGGTATAATGTGTTCGTTTTGAGTATGATTAATATGTGATTGTAAAATAAATGGTACATTTAACTTTTTAGCTAAAATTGGATATTGATCTGAATAATAATGTTCAAGTGTTTGACTAAATAGAAAAATAAAAATAAAAATATATTAATACTTTTTTTATCTATCTTTTTGTTTCTTTTTTCTTCATACTTTGGATTTAATAATAAACTAAAAATTAATTGTAAAATAGAAATATGTAATTCCTTGTCGTGATACAATTTTCTATTGGCTCTTTCCAATTGATATCTTTGATTTTCATTTTTAATTTCCTTGTCTGTTGGTTCCGGTTGGTCAACAGCACCTCCACCGCCAAGTGTATTGCTACTTGCAGCATCACCAAATACCAATTGGAATTTTGGATCGTGTAAATCAATCTTTTGTTCAATGGCAGAAAGAAAGCCTCCTGGTGCTGGGTTTTGTTCTGATGGTAATGATGGTACCTCACTCTTTGTGGTTCGAGGTGGAAGTGCCAACAGTGGGAGGACAGGTTTGATTGATGGTGCACCATCAGCTGTCTTGGGTGGAATATTGAGTGTTGGTATTTTAGGAGGGGTCGTTCCTGAGCTACCACCCGGTAAATCCTTTGGTGGGATGTTTAATGCCGGTATCTTTGGTATACCCATTGAAATTGGTGAGTTGGTGCCATCCTTGGTTGGAAGGTTTGGCAAAGAGGGAACTTTTGGTGGAATATTCAACGATGGAATCTTTGGTGGTGTGATACTAAGAGTAGGCGATGACCCATCTTTGGGTGGTATATTCAATGTTGGTATCTTTGGAGGAGTTGTTCCCGATTGTGCATTGTTTCCATCTTTGGGTGGTATATTTAATGTAGGTATCTTTGGTGGTGAAATAGTTGTAGGTGTTGATGTTGTATTGCTACCATCTTTTGATGGAAGGTTGGTAAGATTTGGTACTTTTGGTGGTAGCTTTAATAATGGTAATCCTGGTTTCTTGATTTCAGAAGAGGTAGTAGAAGAAGTACTACTACTATCATTTGGTGTCAATGAAACGAGTGGTTTTATAATCATATTATTGGATGTATTATTAGAGAGTAAAGGTGAGTTATTACTACCTTCCTTTTTAATAAAGAATGATTCTGCCAATTGATTACGATTTTGTTTAACTTCATATTCCAAATTGACTTCTCTAACCATAAAATCCATTGTTCTCAATTGATAGAATTTTAATGATATCTTGTCATTTTTGCTAAAAACCAAATTAGTAAGATTAATATTATTTGTTTCTTTTTCTTTTTTCGTTTTTTACATACTTTATAGAAAATGCAATTAAAATATTTAAAAATAATTTACACAATGTTAAAGTTTGTGGATCAACTGTATAATTATTATATAATTTAATAAAACTAATATAAAAATAACTAAAAAAGAAATAAAAAAAATAAATTAAATTATTATTAGTTTTTGATTTCTTTTTTTAAACTTTTCTATTTTTTTCATTCATACCTAATATAAGAATCAATATAAATTTTTTTCTTTGTATAAGGATTCTTTTTAAAATAGAAAATGGTACAAAGGAATTCCATCATTTGTTTCTTGACGAGATAGTTTTGATAGAATGAACCAGATTGAAGGAATGGAAGGATGACACCATTACCAGGAAGCAAGAGATATTCCATCTTTTGAACCAGTTCAGAGATGTGGACTTGGTCTGGTTCAGTTTTTTCAGTTTCTCCTCTAGAGTCTACTTGAATGGATCGTTTGATCATATCTACACAAACCGAGTGATGTTTAAATACACGGCATCTATACTCTATCAATTTGATACTTCCACCCTTTGTCTTGTCACGTTCGAATTCCTTTTCCAACCATTCGCTACTGGTCAGCAACTGTGTATAGTGTTTGATGAAATTAAAAGTGTCTTCACGTTCAATGAAAATGGCCAACAATAGATCGTTCAATGGCGGATGCATGTTTTGAGTGATAATTTCATCAAAGACACACAACAAGTAATGAATGACGTGTATGTCTTTGTATCTATCGTGTGAAATTCTTCCTTTGAACCAATAATGTTTAATCTTTAATAAAACTTCAATACAAACATCTACTACTTGTGATGGCATAATTCTTGTTGGACAATGTTCCATATAATCTGCCAACATATGTAATTGATGTTCTAAATCATCAATCACCTAAAAAATTAAAATAAACAAATATTATTATTATGTTATTATTATTTGTTGTTTTTTGTTTTACATACATTTGTTTCAAAAATATTTAAAATATTATAATTAAATCTCCATAATAATACATCTAATTTCTTTCTATAGGCACCTTTTCTTTCAGGTGTCATTCCCTTTGTAACATCGTTCCATCTTATTCTATGAATATATTCTACATAGTCTGCCCAATTGTAGGCAAATTGAAATACCAAATTTAAATAATCAAAATCATATGGTATCATTCCTTTATACATTAATAATACTTCTGAATATATTAAATTCATTGGATTATTTACATACTATAAAAGAAATATTAATTAATTAACCAAAGTTCTTTTTTTGTTTTGTTTTTTGTTTTGTTTTTCAAACATACTTGAAGTAACCAAAGATTATGAGAGGTAGCAGCAATTAAAGTTTTTAATATACTTGATCTAACTTTATAAATATTTGATGAACGGAATTGTTGCATATCGATACTATTGTTTTGTGAAAGTAAATGTTGAGTTTGTCCGATTAATTGATCATACACTAATTTCTTTGGTGCATATGATGCCCTCTTAATTGAATTGGTTTGACTAATATGTGCATCAACTGCTTGTTTATATGATATTAAAGCTGTTAAATCAGCAGTTACAACTAAATAGATAAATAAATAAATATTTAGTAATCTCTTTCTTTTTCTTATTTTCTATTTGACTTACAAGTTTCACCCAATTTTGTAGCAATATCACTTAATTCTTTTGTTGAGCTTGAATCTAATAATTTAACTTCACCAGTGGTACTACGAGTTGAAGAGTTGTTGTCTTCTCTTCTTCTACTACTTCTAGTCATTTTTGCAGAGCTTTCAATTCGAATGGGTAGATTTAATTTTGGAATGATTGGTTTCAATGCCGATAGTTTGAGTGATGGAACTTGTGGAGGACTGGTTGGTAGTGATGCATGGCTGTTGTTGATATTGAGATTGTTGAGGTTGGGTAAAAGATTCTTTAGGTTGCTAAAACTACTGTTGGCACTTGATATGGTTGGTGATTCATTTGGGCTGCTTCCATTACTAGCAGTTTCCAATGGTGACAATACACCACTGTCTCTTAGATTCGATCGTTTCATTTGCTCGCTGGCGTTATTATTATTATTATTATTATTATTTCGATTTAATGAACTGTTACTGAGACAAGTGACAGCGTTACTTTTAACCTTTGAATTGACCAATAAATTAGCCCATCCTTCTTTGGGTGTTTCTAATGGTTTGTCAATCACCTTGTCAATTTGTATCATCGCAGGTTGTTGGTTATTGATCAATCCATTTGCAAGTTTAATCGATCCCTTATAATAGATTTCAATCAATTTTGGTATACATAAATCTTCAATAAATATCTAAAGACAAATAATAATCAAATCATCATGGTTAGTCATAGTATTAAGTAATAAGAGAGTCACGTATGTATAGTACATACAGATCTAATAGGATAGAGTGAAATTAAATTTGGGAGTGTTTCAGAGACACCGACACACTCAATGTCGTCACAGAGATGGTTGATGATCTGCTTGCAAAACAGTCTTGCCGTTTGATGGTTATTGTCGATAAGGTATTGCGATATCTCGAGTGCTATTTCATTGGAGAGTGTGGTACGACCACAAAAACACAGACACTTGATGAGGATAGTGATACCTCCTCGCAAGATAAAGTACGATACGTCTGATGTATCAAATGTCTTTGTCTTTTCCCTTAGTTTCTGTAGGATGTTGAAACCCTCTGCCGTAAACTTTTGACAGCACTGCTGCAGACTGAGTCCGCTCTTTCCACGACTAGTCAAAGCTGCAGCGGCGGTGCTGGTAGCTGCAGGTGGTGCTTCATTCAACAACTTGTCCAACGATACCAGCAACTCTTCTACATCAAATTTAGATTGTTTGTAGGCAGTGACAGATCTAATCTTTCTTTCTCGACTAAAATCCATCATCCCCCGCTAAACGTTGATTGTTTCTCTCTCTATCTCTCTCTCCTCTTTTCTGATTATTATTATTATTATTATTATTTACAAAGTTGGTTGGTTGGTTTGTTTGATTATATTTATAATGTGTGTCTTTCTATATTATACTACTAGTTGTTGTGTTGTTATTCATTATTGCAGTTTGTCGACGCGTCGATATATTTTTGTTGTTGTTGTTGTAATGATGGGTGGGTAGATTAAGATTAGAGGTTTAATAAAAGATATCTTTATCTTTTGCTCTGAGCGGGCTTTGAGAATTTGTTTGTTTTTTTTTTTAATTTATTTAGTTTGTGGAGGGGGTACCCTTCATTGATTTCAATTTAAATCGGTTGATGATCATTCATTCATACATATGAATGAAAGTAGTATTGGTGTGCTCTTCACTATTTATTCTATTATTGGCCTATTTATTCATTACATTTATCAATCAAGAAGATAGTGGTGGTAATACAATCAATCAAGAAAAGGAGCAAGGAGATATGACAACTACACCAACAACACGTATACTATTAGCAATAGCACATCCAGATGATGAATGTATGTTCTTTAGTCCTACTCTAGAATACTATCAAAGTATACAAGGAGAAGAATCTATAGTGCACGTAGTGTGTCTGTCCAATGGTAATGCCGATGGATTGGGAAAGATTAGAGAAAAAGAGTTGGTCAATAGCTGCAGATGCTATGGTGTGGCACGTGACCATGTGGCTGTCGTCAACGATACCAATCTACCCGATGGAATGGACAAGGATTGGGATGTAACCGTCATATCAAAATATATCCAAAAATACGTAGATCAATGGGGTATCACTCAAATATTAACCTTTGATCATGGTGGTGTCTCTGGTCATCCAAATCATATATCTGTATCAAATGGTGTAAAGTAAGTAAGAAGAAAAGTTAGATAATTGAATAGAAATTAATTAAATATATTTCAAATTATATAGATTATATTTAAAGAATAATACAAAGGTTAAAGGATATGAATTGGAATCTGTTAATATCATTAGAAAGTATATTGGTATTGGAGATGTATTTTTCTCCAAATGGATATTCTCATCATACGATCGATTGTATACGGCATACAAACTATTTGGAAAGAATTTTGAGGCTATGAAACAACATGCAAGTCAGTTGGTTTGGTTTAGATATCTATTTGTCCTTTTTTCTCGATACTCTTATTGTAATACTTTGGTTGAAATCAAACAAGATTAAATAATAATACATTTAGAGGGGGACCTTTTGTACAAAATATAAAGAAAGAACCTTTTCTTTTTTTTCATTCATTCATAACATTTATTGGTTACTCTACTATTCTCTACTTATGTGTGATAGATAACATAGTCACGACTACTACCACCAAATTGAATCTTGTCACCTTGATATAGATCATTTGGATGGTAAGGGTCGATTGGAGTGCCATTGAGATGTGTTTGGTTGGTGCTTTTCAAGTCCATTAGAATGGGACGTTTACCAACTCTCATGATGGTAATCGAAGCATGTGTACTACTGCAACTTGGGTGTTCGAGATGCACCAGATTCTTTGTTGCATCACGACCAAGTGTCACGGGACGGTCAGATGTGATTCTTATCGGATCACCAACAACCGTTCCATTTTTATATACTTTTAGATACCATTTGGTATCTGAACTAATATTTGAAGATGATGAACTAACATTACCATCATCATCACCAATCTTTTTCTTTTTAATCGATGATGTCGAAGAAGAGGAAGAAGAAGAGGATGAATGAGATGATCTTTCTCCTCTTTCACTTTCTTTTCTTTCTTTGTCCGATCTTTCTCTTTCCAATTCTTGTTGTCTTCTATCTTTACGTTGGTTGGTTTGTTCCTCTCTCTTTTTTCTTTCAATCTTTTCTTTGAGTTCTTTTTCCTCTTTGGCCATTTGATTCTCAATCATAATGTCTTTGTACGATCTACCTTTTACCTGACCCTTTCCAGTAAATGGATCGTAGTCTCTTGGAGGACTGAGTCCTCTCTTTCTCCATCTACTTTGATATTCAGTCTCTTGTTCTGCAACTGTCTTTGGTCTATATTCTTTTAATGGCTAAATGATAAAAGAAGAAGTTAGTTAAATATATCCATCTATCTATATCTATATATCTATATATTATGTTTACATACATCATCTGTATCATCAGGATCAGTAGGTATACTATCAAGTATGTATTTTGGAGCAGTATATGAATCGAATGCATTTCTGATATTGTCTCTTCTATCTCTATCGTATTGATCTTGTTCTTCATCCTCTATATTTCTCTTTCTTCCTCTTTTATTGTCATCGTCTCCATGTTTACTACTACTACTACTCTTTCGACCACCACTACTGCTACTACTACTACCGCTCTTTGATTGAACTACAATCTCTGTGTTGTAATTTGATGAATTGTTCTTTCGATCTTGTTGTAACTTTTTAATTTGTTCAAATGTTAAATCGTCGTCATCATCCATATTAATATCAAGATTATCTCTAACAACAACAAAGTTACAGCAGTCTTTTATAAAAGAAATAATAATAAATATAATTATGTTTTTTTGAAAAGATAGATAGAAAAACTAAATCAAGCAAGGTTAGAATTTTACTATTATTTATTAATCTTTTTTTTTATTTCAAACTCTTTTTAACACTTTCAATTATAGAGTTAATAGTACCATTTGAAATATGTGATTGATTGAGTATGTGAGGTTTGTTAAACTCTGATTCGATTTGGCCTTTGATTTGAATGGCAGTCATTGAATCGACACCGTAATCTTTGAGTTTGGTATCGCCATTTAACAAATGTTTCTCGATTGAAAGTGCATCTGAAATGAAATCCAGTATCTTTTTGTCAACAACTGATCCGGCACTTCCAATTGCATCCAATAGGTTACCCCCATTGCCACTGTTGGCAACATTCAAGTAATGTGAATAGAAATGTTCGAGATGTGGCAACTCTGAAACAAGACTTTTGGCTTGTAGATCGGCACAAATGAGATTGGTGATTGGTGTGGTAGTGTTGATGAATGAGCCTCTATATATACCATAGATGGCTGATAATGGCATCATCATTAGACCGATCGTATGTAGGATTAAACCGACACTTTTGTCTGACGCTGCTTTTCCAGCCTGTCCAATGGAACCCCAGTTGATAGAGGTTGATTCCAATCCAAGGTCTCTTCGGTATCTTGATAGGCCATCGAGGAATGCATTGCCAATCGAGTAACTGAGACCGTCGACAGGGATATACTTGGCAACCGAAGATAACATGTGGAAATGGTTTAGTTTCCAACCAAGCTCTTCAAACAGATTGTGAAGATTAAATGCTCCGGTTGCTTTACCCGACATGGCTGCATGATGACTCTCCAGCTCAATGTCATCGGGTGCAATCGTCACATAAGTGTTGGCACAGTGAACAACGACCGACACTGGTTTGAGAGTTGGCGTTCTTTTGTAAAGATCTTGTACAGATGATTTGAGTTGATCATAATCTCCAATATCACAACGAACAAAATAAAGTTTGATGGATTTCTTTTGGAGCTCGTTGACCAATAATTGAATTTCAAATTTTGGAGTTGAATAAGTGACAACAATGATATCACGTAGTTTGGATGAATGTTTGACGAGATAACCAAGCGACTCTACTGCAATACCAGTTTGTCCAGTGATGAGAAGTGTTTCTTGAATACCGTCCAAATCGTAATCTACTCTTTCAACTGGTTTATGTGGTTGTGATAAAATTGGATCAATCACATCTGTTTGAACATTTTCATAATCTATTACCACCTTGCCAATATGTTTTCTTGAACGTACATGATCAAATGCTTGGCCAATTTGGTGACTTTGGAATACTGTTATTGGGGGAACCTCCAATCCTTCTTCCACCATTTGTTTAATATTTTGGTGGATATACATTTGTTTACGTGAAAAGTGGTATGTCAGGTATCCCTTGTCAAAGTTGAGTGACCCCATATCGATATCACGAGCTTGGAAGAATTGATCAACCGACAAATCAACAACCACTCCATTTCTCGAGAGACATTTGAAATTGTCTTGCATTCTTGTATAGTCGAGTGTGTTGATGACATAGTCTACTCCTTTGCCTTGTGTCTGTTCCGTTATACTTTTAGTAAAGTTGTCGTAACCCAAAATTGCAGTGATAAATGAACCATATTGTTTTTCAAGATACAGTTTCTTTTCCTTTGATCCAACCGTTACAAATATCTTTCCAGTATGTTTTTTGAATTTTAAAAGGTTTAACATTCCCAATCCAACACCACCAGTTGCACTATGAATGAGAATAGACTCTGTTGGATAGATATTTGCCTTTTTGAATAAAACCAAACAAGCAGTTCCCATAGACAAGGGTAATGAAGCTGCTTCAACAAATGACAGTTCCTTTGGTTTTAGTACAATCGTATCTTCAAATGCTACTGTCGATGAAGCAAAACCAAGTCCATTACCATAAACCTCATCACCAACTTTGAATTTTGTAACCTTTGGTCCTATTCTTGTCACAACACCTGAGCAATCTTGACCAAGTGGTGGATTATAAATATCACCCATTGGGAATAATCTTTGATCAACTTTGCCTAAAGTAAAGTAATTAAATTAAGTTAATTAATTAGTTATTTTTAATTTATACTTTTTTTTTTTGTTTCAATCATTACCTTCTAAAATCATTAAATCTTTAAAATTAATAGACGCTGCTTTAACTTGGATTTCTACTTCATCATCTAATATGATTTCTTTTTTTTGTCTTAGATGGTATTTGTTGTCCATTTCAAAATTAACTTTTAAATCTTGAATGTTGTCAACTTTAAACTTTGAATCCAATTCTAATGATTGAGGTGATTCTATAATTCTTTCTACAAATAATTGAATATCGTCTTGATTGTTGTTTTGACATACAAGTTGAAGATCACTCTCTCCAAGATATTCAGAGTTTGCGCATTGTAATATCTTTTCAAGTGTTACTTGACTACTACTATCGTCCAAAATGATAGTGATGGAATTAAAATGGAACATTTCACCTCTTGCTTTTGATCCATATTCTCTTGCAATGGATCTTAGACAATGATTTAATTGACTAGCTATCAATGTTATTAATCTAATTGGTAGTTGTTCTTTTCTGATGATTTGATGTAATCTGATAAGTTGCATTGTTTTGACTTCAAGGTTTTTAGAGTTCATTTCTTCCAATGATTCTAAATATATTATTCCAACTCTACGACAATTTACACTATCGTATGATATCGAGTCTAATAACGATTGATATTTAGATTCATCCATAATATCATCATTTGAAAAATAACTAATTTTCTTTGCAATCAAATTTGTTGATGATTGTTGAATTAATCTCTTTGCCAATGATGAAGAAGATGAAGATGATGATGAAGAGGATGGAGTAATAAATAATAAATTATCATATTTTTCAATACTTGTTTCTTCAACACTTGATTTTCTACCAATTAAAACAATTTCATCTTTTGATTCAATATTATTATGAGTGATATTGAGTTGATGTGATTCCAAAAGATCTATCATATTATTATTATTATGATTATTATCGATAAAGGGTGGTTGATTACGGGTAGTGTTGATAATGACGAGTTGACCATTTGGATTTAATAACTCTTCAAATTCACCTGCCATTTGATTGTTTTCAGAAATGTATTCCATAGTTGATAGAATTAAATCAAAACTAGTTGCAAGAAAACCTTGATCGGTTAATGATCTTGACTTATTGATTGATTCTGGATTGTACGATTTAATCAACAGATTATCTTTTTGGAGGTCAACCCATAGAGTATCATCGTATGTAATAAAATCAATGATAGTGTTTGGATGGGAAAGTGAAATTAACTTTGTAAAGAGATCAATGGTAATACGATAATTGAATCCAAAGTCTAGTACTCTAATGACTTTATGAGAGGTTGTTGACAACTCCAAGAATCTTCCGAAATATCCAAGTATGTCTGACGATGAAAGTGACATCTCTGTTGAAGGAGCATTTTTAGGTTGCCAAATGGTATGTTTGATGAATTTGGATGGATTTTTGGCATGGTGTACTTTTAATACTTTTGTCAAAGATGTGCATACTACTTGTCCACATTTAATGACAGTATTTCCATCTTTATCGATAATATCAATTGAATTTTTAAATTCATTTCCAATTTGTGAATTGGTGTGTTGTTGTTGTTGTTGTTGTTGGAGTTTGGTAGTTGTAAACAAAGAGTTGCATGGATGTTTTGGAATATTGTTAGAGTAGATATGGAAATCTTCAACTCTATCAAATACAACTTCACATTTTGGATGTTCACCTTTAAACGTTACAATACAAGAATGTAATAGACAATCCAGAACTGATGCATTCAAAACGGTATTTGATTCTTCAAAATGGTTTCTAGACTTGCATTCAATCTCTGTCAATATCGAACCATCCTCGCTAAACAATACTTGTTTGGTTCTTTTAAATGATTCTCCATACATTAATCCAACCTTTGTCAACTTTTGATAGACCTCTGTTGTATTCATGGTTGCAACATTGAATGTTTGTCGTAATTGATCGACGCTATCAAATTCTTTGGTTGGATTCGGTGTTGGACTGTTGTTGGCAGATAGACGACCAACTGCAGATTTAATCCATTTCCCAAGTTTATCATCATAGTATTGGAATGTAGCTTGATATTCAATCGACGATGACTGGAAGAATGTTGATTTTAACTGACAAGGAGCTCCTTCTTTGAGAAAGAATGGTGCAATGAATTGGAGATGGTGAATGTGGATGTCTTGGTTTGGGAATGCATTGATAATGTTTTCAATGTATCCTGTACCTGGGAACAAATATTTTCCTTTTACTTTGTGACCTTTTAAATATTGATACGATGGTCTGTTGACATCGATCAATGTGTGATAGGTATTGAGTGATTCACTGTCACTAAAACCAAGCAGAGTAGTTGTCACTCCTCCAGTTCTAATCTTTTTATATATTTCTTGCTCCTCTAAAAAGTATTCAGTGTCCCATTGATATCTTGGAAGATGTCTTGATCTATTCTTCCATTCATTATCATTGGTCGTTGGTAGTTGTTTTGAAAAATCAACACAAACACCACCAAAGTAAAGTTGTGATAGACAAGATTGAATTGATTCAATTTCATCTTTCTTTTTGTTGAGTGGTGATTGAATATTGCTTGTTCCTTGTGGTAACAATGATTTCAAATAGAATGATAATGTTGAATGTGGTGCAATCTCTAAATAAATATATTGTTGTTGATTACCATCATCATTATCATTCTTTGTGAAATCAACTATGTTGTTGATTGTTTGTTGGAATAATACTGGATGTCTGAGATTATCATAAATGTATTGAGCATCGATTTGAGACGATAACATGATTTGTTGTGAAGTTGTAGTTGAAAAGTATGGAATGGTTGGTTGAGATGATTGATACTCTATATTATTTAGATTGTTGAATATAAATTCCTTTGTTTCAATTTGTGCCGATGAATGAAATGCACATGGTGTACCAAGGAATGCACTAAACACATTAACATTCTTGAGTTGTTGATCAATTGATTTGAGTTGATCTTCATTTCCTGCCAATACAATAGAGTTGTCCGAATTGTAACATGCCAACTCGACCAAATCATACTGTGACGGTTGGAATCTCTCTTTGAATGTATCAAATGATAATGATACTGCCAACATTCTTCCACTTCCAATCGTATCATTTTGGGCAACACTTCTCAAATATACTATTCTAACAGCTTCTTCCAATGTTATTATTCCTGAACACCATGCTGCTGTTATATCTCCAAAACTAAAAGTAAATTATAATTAAAGATTATTAGAACAAATAATATATTTTTTTTTTAATTTTAATATGTTTACCTATGACCAACTACAATGGATGGAGTAATACCAAAATGTTGATACAATTGTACCAATGCAACTTGAATGATAAATGTTGCTGGTTGGGCGAGGATTGGATGATGTATTTCCTGTTGATTACTCTTTCTTAATTTATCAATGATTGAATATTGATAGTGGCGAGATAATAATCTATCAACACGATCAGCAGCATTACGGAATATTGGACATTGATACAATCTCTCGCCCATTCCGTTCCATTGTGCACCTTGTCCACAAAATACCATCACAATCTTTGGTTTTGGTGAGCTGTTCAATTGTGACATACTTGAAACATAGGTTTGTTGTTTTTCAAAGGTTTGGACTGATTCAGAGGAGAATGTTTCCCAATCCTTGGCAATGATAACCTTTTTACAAGTTGGATGGTTTGTTTTAGATTGTGATTGATATCTAACAAAATCTTCAAATGTCATCTTGTTACTATACAATTCAACATTATTCTTGATCATATTAATATAAGAATCAATTGATTTTTGACTATTTGATGAAAATGGAATTAAATAATCTAAATAAATAAATATTTAATAAATTAAAATTAAATAAATAAATTTGTTTTTAAAATTAACTTACCAACATTATCCATAGAGACAACTGTAGTAGTACTATTATTATCATTAATATTATTATTATTAATATTAAAATTTTCTATATTTTTATATTCTTGAAGAATAATATGAGCATTACTACCAGTTAAACCAAAAGAATTAATTCCCATTCTAATTATTCTACCATCATTTGGAAATGGTTCATTTTCAAGTACAATCTTGATTTCACCATTGAGTAGATTGATTTTTGGATTAAGTTTGTTGAAATTGATATTTTTGATCAACATTCTATTCTTGAGCATCATTGCACATTTAATGAGTGATGCAACACCGGCTGTACTTTCAGTGTGTCCAATATTACTTTTAACCGATCCAATTCTGAGTGGGTTGGATTGGCTGTGTGAACCTGCAAACACACGTGATATTGATTCTATTTCGAGTGGGTCACCCGTCGGTGTTCCAGTACCATGGCATTCAACGTAATAGATATCCGATGGTGTCACTCCGACCTTGTTGAGAGCATTTTGTGTGTTTAAATGTTGTGCAGCCGATGAGGGGGCAGTTGGTGAAAGCTTCTCCCAATTACCGTCGACGTTGCAACTACCACCGTTGATGACACAATAGATATTATCATTATCCTCAATTGCTTTTGACAGTTTCTTGAGAATGACAACACCAACACCTTCACCACGGACATAACCGTCGGCTGATTCATCAAACGTTGCACATACACCCTTCTTTCCAATCATAGCCGCGCCAGTGAATTGGATTGATGTTTTTGGTTCGATAAAGATATTGACACCTCCACAGATTGAAAGGTCACTTTCACCTTTGAGGATGGTATCGATACCTTGGAGCACTGCAACCAGTGACGATGAACAAGCAGTGTCAATCGAAAGCGATTGACCACGGAAATCATAACAATAAGATGCTTTGATCGATGAGTCTGAACGACCTGTTTTGACCTGCGCAATCATTGTGGCGAGATCCTGAGAAAGAATGTGTTGGTTTCCATCGTACATTTGACCGAGAAATACCGATGTATTGGATCCTCTTATGGAAGCAGGATCGATATGTGAATCTTCTAAAGCTTCCCAAAGCACAGACAGATAGAGGCGTACCTGGGGATCAATGGAAGCAGCCTCCTTGCCAAGCATCCCAAAGAAATGGTTGTCAAAATGAGTCCACTCTTTCATGTCCAAGAATCCAGCGCGATCAGTAGCAATGTAACCTTGATCCACAAATGATCTTGACCATCTATCCTCTGTCATCTTGGTGATACCATCCAAACCATCGACCAACTGGTCATAGAATTGTTGTGGTGTTCGCGACCCACCCGGTAGTCTACATCCGATACCAACGATCGCAATGTCTTGTTCCTTGATAGGAATGGCTTGAGTTTCCATTGGATGTATAGAAACAACTGTGTAGAATGAATGAATGAATGAATGAATGAATGAATGAATGAATGAATGAATGAATGAACGTATCAACAATGAATGATAACAAAAGTTGTAATAAGTAAATGATGTTGAATGTTTGTTGAATGTTGAATGTCCATAAATATCAAATAGTTGTCATTCAACCTCTCTTAAGTACACATTCTATTCTCCTCTTCCTCCTCCTTCCTTCTAGAAGATCTGAATATACACAGCAGCTACATGTATTGGTGTATATATAATATGTATATATATATAAATATTGAAATAACACTCTTGTGAATAATGGATTGTGTTGTGTATAGGCTAATATGATGATAAATTGAATGAAAGAATGTTTGTTGTGAATCTCCATTTCATCTCTTGTAACCCAAGGCGTGCACCTAGGTAATATATTTATAACTAAAGATACAAAATGAATCCAGTGGAGTTACTAGTAGACAAGTAGTATTGAAAAAAAAAGAATTTAAAATACTTTGGTATTTTTAAGGAAATAATACTAGCACTCCAGATTGAATTAAAGGAACAATAGTCTGAGACTATTGTTTTAAAAATAATCTATTGTAACTTATTTTGATACATATTGAGTTATATTTTTGTCTCTTAAGAGTAGAAGACATCTATAATTAATTATAATAAATAACCGGAAATATTAAATATTCAAATATTAAATTAAAATGGTATTATATTTGTTCACAAACATATTAATATTATTGTACAATGGAAGTAGTTGCACTATGGTGGATGGATATCATTGTTATGATTTATTATCACTACCATTATCATTATGATGATTTATTAAAGTAGTTGTAAAATATTTTTTAAGAAATTCGTACGATGTGAATGTGATGGCGCAGGAAGGAGTGACTCTGAGAAGGTTGATACCCATGCCCTTGTACAGTGCTTGGAATCCTTCTTCACGCACGATTCGTTTGAATGTGCTGATGAGACCGCCCTGGTAGGGATGCGGGGAGTGTGGTGAGCTGTCTTGCATACGTGATCTGAGTACCTCGTGGGGATAGGCCACCATGCTGGCTATGATCTTGGACAATGACGATGCCATGAGAATATCTACAAATGTGAGTTGTCCCTCTGGTCGATGTCGCTCCAACACCAATTTCAAATGTTCGTAGGTTGGGAATTGCACTCCAACATGCAGAGTGCCCAACAAACTTGGTCCCAACCCTTTGTACAATCCAGCTGCTCCCTCTTCTTTCATTATTTTTACAAATGCATGTGTCATACCATTATAATTTTTTTGTCTTCCTGACATTTCTTGTGTCTTATTAAATAAATGGAAACATTAATAAATTAATTATATTGAAAGTATATATATATATATATATTTAACATACAATTAATCTAGTTCTTATAACCCAAATTGGGGCAGTTAATATACTTGTATTTGCACCTGCGGCCATAGCCGAGAATACTAGGAGACTGGGAGAGTTGATGTCGCAGTCCAAGTATTTCGATATATTGGTTTTGAGTGACGAGTAGGTTGTGAAATAGATTGCCCATGTCGTCACACTGCCTATAAGAGTTGGTTTTAATCCAGTGTACAGTGATCCGATTCCTCCCGATTCAATAAAACTTTTTGTCGTACTAATGACACTCTGTGATTGTGTTTGTACTTGCAGAGTGATCTTTAAAACATCCAATGGAGTCGTCAACAATGATGTTATGATACCTGCTCCACTTCCACTTAATATTTCAATTAATTTATGGTGTGTTGGATTTATAGAAGTTGTTGGTGTCGTTGCCGATATGTTACTTATAGTCTGTTGTTGTTTTATAGAATCTTTCATTTTCTATATCTCTCTCTCTCTCTCTCTGTCTCTTTTTAACTTGATTGAATAGAAAGATGTATATGTTAATTTAAATACAATCCTATATACTACATCTACTTTCTCTCTGCTATCTTGTAACTTACAATGTAATGCCTCTTTTTAAATTCGTCTTTCTATTCTACACTTTCATTGATCCTCTATTCTTTCTTTAGGTTGATCGATCAATATATCTATCTATTATGTGAATCGTGATTTTAATAATAATAATAATAATAATAACAATAAGTAGATATAGTAGAAATAGTAGATATAGATAATATATGATGATGATGAGGAGGATAATATCCCAAATGGGGATGAGAATGATCGTCTACCACACTGCTTCAAAATGCGAAAATATCAATATTAAATTAAAATTATTCATGAATACATAATTCTGATACGGCAAACCTAACTATTTATCTCGCTCTCACAAACTACATTCAATACTATTTATATCTTGCATATTGAGATATATATATATTAGATACTATATCAATGTTTTCTGGTTTATTTACAAAGAAACCTGCAAATACTAATAATAATAATAATGATACAACAACGAGTGTTCAACAAAATGAACCTACTACACCTGCAACTACACCTATCATAACTACGACAACAACCTCACCAAAAAAGATGGATATGTTTCAATCTTTAAATATTGTCAAGAAGCAACCTGCACAACCAAGACAATCGGTACAACAAATTGCAACACATACTACTCAACAACAACAACAACCACCTGTGTCTTTGAATCAACTCGATTCATCATCATTTACTCATCCTCTTCAACAACAACAACAACAAGAAGACCAAAATGTATTCATTCAACAACAACAACAACAACAACAACCTATCATATCAAATGATACTTTACCTCAAATGATAAATGACCCTGCAATTGAAGTTGAAAGCAACAACAACAACAACAACAATATAGAGATACCTACTACAACTCAAGAAGAACAAAAACAAGTAGAAGAAGAAGAAGAAATAGATGATAATTCAAAATTAATTCAAACATGGAAAGAAAAGAATAGTATTCTAAGATACACAGTTGAAGTTATAAAAGATGATTACAAGAAACTATACAAACAAAGAAAAGAACTGAATAGAGAATTATTGGATAATATAAAAAAGGTAGAGGGACTTGAAGAACAACAGTTGGAGGCTGTTGAACGTGAAGACTATGATTTGGCTAGTCAATTGGATGTAGAGATGCAATCAGTCATTCAAAGAAACCGAGAAATACAACGTAATTTAATCAAATCACTCGATGCTTTGATGAACGGTGACGATACCTATGATGCAACCAAAGATCAACGTGAAACCATACGTTCATTGGTAGAGAAATTGGAATCGATTCGATTGGAAAAGGACAAAGAACTGGGAATCTATCAACATAGTGTCGAAGAAAAGATCAATAATCTTCAAGATGACATTAACGTTAAAAAGGAAACAATCGATCGTGAAAAGAGTCATTTACAATTGGATCGTGATCTATTGGAAAAAGATCAATCTGCACTGCAAGAAATCATCAATCAACAAGCATCACCATTCATCGATGAAAAGAATCAATTATTGGATCAAAAGAAATCACAACAACAAGAAATAAATGATATTCTACTCATACTTGAAGAAAAAAAGAAACAAATGGAATCTACAAACCGAGACATTGAATCATGTGATGAAAAGATTGACAGTGTAGCATCAAAGTTTACAAAAGAAAATGATAGATTAAAAAAGAAAAAAGAAAATATTCTAGAAAAAGATGATCATATTAATCAATTAGTTGTAAGTAAACAAACTATAGAATAACAACTATGCAATGATGGAGTATTAAATATTTATTTAATTTATAGGATGAATTGGATATACTTGAAAATAATTTAGTTGAAATGAAACATCCAAAGGATTTGGAATCATTTAATACCATCCGTGAAATCGACCAAGTACTACAAGAGAACCAAGATATTTTAAATAGATTCCAAAATACATTCACAGATATTAAAACTAAAAAGGAAAAGTTTAAATTAATTAATAATGATATAAGTCAATTTAATTTAAATATTGAACAGTATGTATTTAATATTAAATAATACTATTCCGAAAAGAAAAGAATATTAATTAATTATTTCTTTTTTTTTTTTTTTAATTTAGATTAAATGAAAAAATTAAATCAATCAATGTTGATGTTGAATCTATTCAATCATCTAAATTATCAAAACAAAAAGATTTATTGGTATTAAAGAATGCAATCAATGTTATTAATGAAACGATACCTCAATTGGAATTGGCTAAAAATACAGCCAAAGAGGCAAAGAAATTCACAGAGGCTGGTGCCTTGTTGAATGATATTAAACAACAACAACAACAATTACTCGATAAACGACAGACACTTTCACAATTACAGGATTCTTTGGAGCATGATACAAACAATATTAGTAATCTTGGTGAAGAGTTGGAGATTATCACCGCTCAACTCTCTGAACAGGAATCACAAATGTACATTTGTTTACATACCCATTTTTCACAAAGACTTGATGAAATCAAACAACAGCAGCAATCATCTGAATCAACCACCATAGCAGATGATGATTCATCATTGGATACGATCGAACAACAAAGTATTGAATATGAATTGAAATATTTAAAAAATAAATTAAAGCTTGTGGATTAAATAGGTTTGACAAATATGTATATATAGCACCAAGCAGGGAGGGAGCCATCCAAACTGACAGTGGAATTTAAGAGTGTTCAAAACAACAATCATATCATTTTTCTCTTGGATCAAGAGACTAGATGATGACGACAAAGCACCATGATCATTGATTGATTTATTGCTTGAAAGGGGTGATGAATGACAAGAAGTACTATTTAAATGGCCAAGTTGGTGTTTCTTCCAACTGGTGAATAGATTGTTGGACCACCAGTAGGGGTTGGGAGGAAGCCACCACGTCTACCAGCACCACTGGATGCGGGTCTTTCATTGAATGAGTCTAAATACAGTGATGAATAAAAGTTAGAAGTGAAAATATTGAAATCTATATATCTTCTATCTATCTTTCTATCTATCTATCTATGCACACAACACACATACTATCGAATTGTTGCATTGTTATATATGTATTTGTACAAAAAGGGGGTGTAATAGATAAGAGAAAGCTATGATCGAGGATAGAGTTTTATTGTGAGCAAAGATGGCCAACAAGAATCCCAAGATATTATTCATGAAAAATATCTTCCCTTGATTTCGGGTTGTTATGAACTTATGAATAAATTATTATTTTGTTATTATTGTTGATTGTTGTTGTTTTGTTCAATCAAAATATGATAGTAATTAATAATAATTAAATAATAAATAATTATTAATTTAAATAGTTTGATCAAAAAAGAAAAATGTAAAAAATAGTAGTTGTTTCGTTTCGGTTTAGTAAAGTTACTTACATACATATACATATATATATATATATATATGTAGAATGAATACACGATAGTAACGATAATATAATGTAAATATATAGATATAGATATAGATAGTGAAAAACTATCGCAGATACTGATTATCAATATTATTATTGTTAATTAATTTATTTTAGGACGACAACAAAGGAATTATTATTACATATATATAGGAATAGATTTTTAATCGATACTATTAAACATCATAATCGAAGTGATCAACAGAGAAGAGATGTTGGTTGTTGTATAGAGAGAATTAGTCGGTACGATCATTGGTATACGGCCGAACAGATGTTATCAAATAAACACGACCAACAGGCACACACCAACCTATTGATTGACAAGTTAAAGAGAGGTATTCATGTACCGTTTACAGAGAAATCAATCGCAATGATATGTAGACGTGTAGATGATCTAGAACAATTCAAATACCTCTATCAAGTAAAGAGAAACTCATTCTTGGGTGGTGACTTGGTACAGTCGGCTTGTAAAGCTGGTAATCTACAAATCATCAAATTACTACTCGATCAGGAACACCCAATCAAGTTGTCAACTGAAGGATCTTATTTATCGGCACTCAAACACGGACATCAACATGTACTACAATTTCTAATTGATCATCGTATCATGTTTCCAATTGATGAAATGACAAGTCAGTTTAAATTGGTACCAATATCATTTGGAATGATTAAAGCTGCTAAATGGTTAAAGGCAAATTATCGATCGACCAGCATCGAGTATAATCAATACCTTGATTCGTTGGAATTAGCTTTGGATGATTTCCTAGTTAGACATCCTCACCAACTAAACAATTTGTCGTATATTAATAGATACCTAAAAGGAAAGATGATGTTACAAGGATTGGGTATAACTGAAATGCTAGAGTTGGAAATGGAAGATCAACAGATTCATATTGAAAAGACAATGGATGCGATGAATACAGGTACCAATGCATTCACTTCGTATAGGATATTCAAGCATGTCAGGTTGGAGGACTTGCCAACCGTCATTCAAATGTTTAGCGGCGAGAGAGAGCAGGCAATGGAGTATGCAATGATGAGAGAGGACAGTGATGCGGTATCTGTCATCATGTTGATGCGTGACAACGACTATCCCATCCCTCTCAATAGTTTTACGCCATACACCATCAAAAGTGAACAAGTGTATATTTATCTATCTCAAGTTGTTACACCCGTACAACTCGCAGAACGCTTTGACTTTTGTCCTCCAACCAAAGTCCCGACATTCAACCCACTGTAATTTGCATTTCAAGAAGAGGATATCAACATGATCAAACCACATTTGACCTCGGTCGAATCGGCAGTATCTATTGTATCAAACAACTGGAATCATCGATTCGTCCAACCAGTCATCCAACTCGCCCAACAACTTGGTTTCTTGGGCCACGAAACCGGAATCAATCAATTGAGACCTGTGACATGGTCAACGGATATTGAAGTGATTGCTAGGTGTCAGTCAAGACTACTTTACAACCTCTACATCAAAGAGGAAAAGGAAAGTCAAAGGATTCAAAAACTAGTCATGACCAATGGATGCACAGGACTGGATTATCTCAAATACGTTCACTCTAGGCATCCAAAATGGATAGTATATAATCTAGACAGTGCCCTCAAGAGTGGAAGTATTCAAATCATCAAATATATGATGACAGAGTACCCCAAACAATATTCACTCAAACAAATGCTGCCCGAGATGATCAAATCAGGACAAGTAGACATGCTCCACTATTTCCTAAATCAACAAGGGCAACTAGTTTCCACGACAAGTTTAAAAAAATATTATCTTGCCATTGACCAAAAATCATTTATGGAAAGATTAATTAATGGATTTCACATGGAGATGTTTTTATATCTCTATCATTCTGGTTACCAAATAGACGTTAAATTGGTTGGTACTTGGAAAAATATTAAATCAGATTCAACCTATAATAGATTATTCCTATTTGTTAAAAATCAATATAAATTAAAAAAAGAAAAAGAATTGGGATTAACTGAAAATGATAATATTAATATTGAACAACAACAATATCAGACTAGAAAGAATAAAAAGAAACAAAAACAACAAATAGAAGGATCAAATTTAAAGAAATCAAGAAAATAAAAGAGGCAAACAAAATAAATAATATTATTTATTTATTCATTTTTTCAAAATATTTATCTATTTATTTTATTTATTTTATTTATTATAAAATTCTTTATCTTGTTTATAAATTTGAATTAAAGAATAATTGATAGGTTTAAATTTAGGCAAGAAACCAGAGTGGGCTCCATTGGGAAAAGTTGATATCCAAAGATTTTTAAGAGTTGAATATTGAATGGGAGTGGCATTGGTAACGGATAGTAAATAAGTGGCTAAATTAATCTTGTCCATCTTGGAAATGACATATTCCAACATTGAAGGTTCCATATCTATGCAGTTGGGAGTTGTTGATTTGTTGAAAAATGCTTTTAATAGTTGTGCACCTTCCAATGATGCTTGTCTAATCACTTCAAATTGATCGGGTGTACCAATATATAGAATGATTTTGAAAACTTGGTTGATATGACCTCTAATATTTTCAATCTGTACTCTTACTTGGGCTTCAACATCTTCTCTCTGGTTAAATAGATAGTCTGCTATTACTGGACAATCCGATTTAATAGTCTCCAAGAGGAAAATGGCATAGGTTGGGAAATAGAACCCCATTGGCTGAATATATCTGTTACCAGCGTCATGGGCCAAAGACCCCCAAAACTCCTCAGTACTACCCTCATCAATCTCCAATTCTTCTTGTTGAAGTGATTGATTTGTGTAGAGTAATACCAACTTTGTGAAATTGTACATTTGATCGACATTTAAACTTGGGTCTACTCTTGGCAGAGTAAAGATAAACTTTTTATCCTCCTCTGTCAATTCCACATTCTGATTGTTGTTGAATTGTTGTAATAACTTGTCGACCTTGTCTTGATAATGGATTGGGTACAAATAAGAAAATATTCTTTCAAACCCATCACAATAGGGAGATGACATGACCAATTTATGCCAAGTCATACCAGTATATGCGTAAAAGGGAGCGATATTATTGGAAAAGAACAAGTCGTGAGAGTAGTTGCTCCAATCCACGTGTATGTTTAGTTCATAGTATGACGGCTCGACTTGACGCATGTTTTCAGTGAGCTCTGTGTGATCGATCAAGAGTGGAGTGTCGGGGTCTGGAAGACCATATGTATCAATGTATACACTGAGATCTGGTTCATTCCATTTATGAGAATTGACTAGGTGGGAATACGGAGGAGTCAATAGATGCTGAGCAGCGGGTGGTATTTGATTGCTGACTAGGTGGAGGATCGTTTTGGCGTGTATCGACGGGAACGATGATTTATCTAAAAATTTCAGTGCATAACGAATGTCTTTGATGTTGAGGTGATAGAATCGAATCAACTCTTTTTTTGTTTTGATTGCGAGAACTATCAAAACTCTTCATTTGATGGTTGTTTCGGGTGGTCATGAGTGTATTTAAGCGAGGATCGTGTGCCACTATGATGAGTTCCTCGAGGCTGAGCATAGGCAGTGCCGATTTAAACATCTCTCCTATTTCCAAACTTGCTCGACACTGGTTAAAACTCGACTGATCAAACTCGCGTAGTATTTTGTTCTTGGCAATGACAGGTTTTGGAGTGTACTTTTTGGTGATAGTGCATCCAGAAAATAAATCCGATATGTCACAGTACTTGTATCGAGCGAATATCATGTATGTAAACACCTGTGCGTCATATGATATCCAACCAAATTGTCTCGTTCCTTTTGATCTTTCTAAATGTTTCTTTTGACGGTCAAGTGCCAACATTAGCATATCCAACATTTGAATGTCATAGCATCCTGCCAGTGTGACGATATGGTCAAATGTAAAAGTATCTAGATGGTCATCTAACAACAATCGGTATATTTCCAAGTCTCGACAAGTAATGACACGTTCTATAAATGCTGAATCAATATTTTTAATCTTTCCAGTTGACATGTTGTTGTACACCAATTTAAAGTATTTTGGTGATAAATTGAAAATATCAATAGCTTCTTCTATTCTACTCCAATTCAATCTTTCTTGATTTGGTAAATGTGTAAATGACATTATTTTTGAAATTAAATAACTATTTTTAAATATTTTTAAAAATAATGTTGGATTTGGTTGAGATATTGATAAAGGTGGAATCTTATTTTCTTTTTCTTCTTTTTCTTCTTTTTCTTCATCTTGATCTCTATAATGAATAGTTTGTCTTGGAAATATTAAATTAAATTGTTGAAATAATTTAATTGTATTTGATTGAATGGAATCAAAATTGGCAAGAATAAAAGGTTGAGATTCTAAAATGGATTGAGTGATTGACCCAATTTGTGCAAGGTATTGTAATGAAACCAATTTTCTTGAGATGAATATATGATTCAATTCTCGATCTGATAATTGCAAGTGTTGAGTGTCTTCTACTAAACGCTCACCAATAGCTTTGGCAATATCTACACGACCTGAAACCAATGATCGATAGTACAGATAATGAAGAGTATTGAGAGTTGGTTGATTTTCTTTTAAATAAAAATCAACAATCCAATCTGGTCTATCATTTAATAGAGTATGTGCAATAATATTGGGTTTTAACATCAATTGATCATAAATGGTGCGTTGGTATTGATGATACCATTGAATCATATCAATATTACCATATTTGATTGCATTTGTCAATATGATACGATGAACTTGATCCAAGTCCACCACCACCGCCAATCCAATATTATTCCTACTTGCATGTTCTTTTATAACCATTTCCAATTGGTTGATTGTACCTTTTGATCCAATATAGGTCCATGTATCCTCTCCAAATTGAACGTCTGGTCTATTCTGGATGAGAAAATCAACTATTTCATCATCCACACCAACCAAGAACGCATCATCTAGAATAGTAGTTCGTGCTCTTTCACTGACAAGAGCTGTACCACTGCTTTGACTGGGAGGAAATAGAGAATGGAGTAGTTTGACAGCCGACATTCTAGCATTACAGCATGCAGAGGCAAACATGGTGTAGATAGAAATCTCTTCCTGAAAGTGTTGAAAGAGATAGGTAATCATAGAGCACAGGCTGTCATCAGAGAGACTTGATGTCATCTCGTCAACAAGATAACGAGATATCACAACTGGTCGGCTGTTTCTATGTCCCTTTATATCTACGTATTGATAATGATCTTGCATAAATTTGATCAACGACAGATCCAGCGACATGATGGCACTCTGGATACTATAGTAGTGTTGGAGGACTGGTTTGTGTTTGATAAGGTATAAAACCACTTCTGTGTTTTTGTTGTCTTGTATTGCGTGGTGTGTACATTGTTCATCACGATTTAGGTGTAGGAATCTTGTAATTTCAAATGCAGCCTTTGAATCTGGTCGAGATGCTGCCCAATCCATTGCTTTGTGTGATGCCTTTGATTGTCGTACGCCGTCTGTGGGTGACAATGATATCTTTTTATCAAGATATTGTACTTGTTGTAGTGTACCCACTTTACAAAGTACGTCAAACATATGGAAATGACAGAAAAAGTGGTCTTCGTACTCGACCAAACCATCTACCAACACTTCCACTGATTGTGGATAATTCTTTATAGTATTCTCTACCAATAAATTATCATGTTGTGAACTATAATATCTAAATAAATTTAATAATCCTATTCCTTCCAATGTATCATCCAAATTATTATTATTATTATTATTATTTTGATTAATTTGATTTGTATAAAATTCTATTAATTGTTCACAAATTGATTGAGATCTTTTAGTTTCAATTGAACCAAATCTTTTTGTCCATTGTTGTTTTTGTTGTTGAGATATTGTAGGTGTTTTAAAGTTGTTGAGTATTTGAGTTATGTATTGTTTCTTTTGTGTTGAGGTGTACTTTGTGGTAAATGTACATTGTCTTATTTGATCAATCAAGTATTGGGTTGGATGCTCTTGTTCTAGGGTATCTGGATGTTTCCAATTGTTTGGGTTGTCCACGTATGCTTGATAATCCTTTTGAACCTCTTCTTCACATTGTATAATCCCGTAGACTTGTTTTCCCCATTCACTATTACGATTACTGTGATGGTATATATAGTCGGGTCGCAGATACGACAATTCCTCAATCATTGTATCATCCAAGAAATGAGTTGAATCATTGACAAACAACTTGTCAATCTGCTCCCATCCAAACCGATTGAGTAGTGTAGATAGACATCTAACACTAGCATAGTCACGATATTTAAATAGCATTGCCCTCGGATAATGAGTGTATGCAGTGATCTGATGATATTCACTTTTAAAACTCCTTGTATATTGAACCAATATCTTGTGTACATTCAACCAAATCACCTTTGACACTCTATCATTGTTTAATAATCTCTTGAATAATAAACATTTATATTCCAAATCTTCTTTCACTATTTAAAGAGAGAGAGAGAGAGAGAAAGATGATAATATATTATATTAGTACAAACAACCCCAAGTAGTATGTAATGTAGTACTATACATACTTTTTAAATGATCATATATCTGTCACGGAAATAGAATATACTAGAAGCATTAAACTAAATGCATTTGTTACTGGTATCTATCTACCACTACAGCAGAGAAGTTACTTGTTTATAGTAGACCAAAACAAAAGATCTACACCAAAAATCTTTTGGAAATTTATAAGAGATAACCTCTGTCTCAGGTTATCAAGTTATTTTCCATTAAGTTTCAAACGAGTTTAAGACCGTTTCTAACTTTATCTATGTAAAGATAGATAGATAGATAAATGATAGTACTATGTGTTAAAAATAATAAGTAAGAATAATAATATTGATGGTGTACTTTTTCTATCTTGCTCTTTCTTGTTTTTTATCTTTAAAAATTTTATCTTTTTATTTAAAAATCTTTTACCAGGCAACCAAAGATGATCAAAGTGCAAAATACATTCATTTCTCTTTAGTTGTTAGATAACTATCTATTTATCTATTTATCTTTTATAACTGTTATATATATATATAATGAGCGCAGGATTATTATTTAGAAATGCAGTAGCTAATGGTAAACCACTTCAAGTGGTAGGTGCCATCAATGCCTACTCTGCCATCTTGGCTGAAAAGACTGGTTATCAAGCTTTGTATCTCTCTGGTGGAGGTGTTGCTGCTGCTAGTTATGGTCTACCTGATTTAGGTATCACTACAATCAATGATGTAGTTGAAGATATTAGAAGAATTACAAGGTACATAACTACATATCAGTCACTATATATATATATATATGTTTACGTTACTCATACCTCTCTCTCTTTTGTTTTTTAGAGTAACCAAGTTACCATTGCTTGTGGATGCTGATACTGGTTTTGGTAGTTCATTCAATATTGCTCGTACTGTTGAAGAGTTTGAAAGAGCTGGTGCTGCTGGTTGTCACATTGAAGATCAAGTTCAAGCTAAAAGATGTGGTCATCGTCCAGGCAAGGTATAAATACTAAACTGTGATCAATCAATCAATCAATCAATCAAACATACTAATGTAATCTCTTTTTTTTTTTTTGATTTAAAGAAAATTGTAAGTTTGGAAGAAATGGTAGATAGAATCAAGACAGCAGTTAGTGCACGTAAAGATCCAAACTTTGTTATTATGGCACGTACCGATGCACTTGCCAACGAAGGTTTGGAAAAGGCTATTGAAAGATCAAAGGCCTATATCGAAGCTGGTGCCGATATGTTATTCCCAGAAGCTTTAACTGAATTATCACAATATGCTGCTTTTAAAAAGGCATTACCAAATGTACCAAGTATGTAAATTATCCAACAACCTTATTAATCCCTAACTCACCCCCTATCTATCTCATTTTAGTTTTAGCAAATATAACAGAATTTGGAAAGACTGAATTATTTGGAGCAGAGGAATTGTACAATCATGGAGTATCTTTGGTTTTATATCCACTCAGTGCATTCCGTGCTGCCAGTGCTGCTACACTCCAAGTGTATGAATCCATTAAAAAGGATGGTACACAAAAGAATGTTGTTCCCATTATGCAGTCTAGAGAAGACCTCTACAAATTCTTAGACTATCATAAATTTGAACAAAAATTGGATCGTTTGTTTGGTGATGGAAAGGAATAAATAATAAATAAATCAAATTCCAAATTTGTAATAATAATAATAATCCAAATAATTGATAAATCCATAGAATAGCTAGACCATTAATTATCATTATTATTAATTATTATTAATTGATTGGGATGGGGGAGGGATAAAAGAGAGAGTTTATTCGATACTGCTGTTTATACAAATTATTATTAATATATAAAACCCTCCTCTTCTCTCTATTTTTGTTTGAAATGAGCAAGTACTTGTGATTTATGTTGTTTGTTTGTTGTATACATGATTATTATTATATCTATTTTTTTTTTAATCTTTAACCAATCTCCATCTCTTTTAAACATAGATACCACCAGCCAAGAATACAAAGAAAATACCCAATCCCAAAGTAGCCGATGCAATAGTAGCTAAAGTTAATCCCTTGAAAATGTTCTTTTTGGTTGAGGTAAGTTCAGAACTATAGTTTGAATTGATCAAATGGATTATTAATAAACTGTGTTCTTGACAAGAAGAAGAAGTAAATCTCTAAATGTGTGTGATTTTGTTGAAGCCATTCATCCATCCGTCCATTATTATTACTATTCTATTATTATCTATTATACCTACACAGCAAAGGTTGAAAAGGCAAACAAACCAATGACTACAAAAAGGAAAGCAAAGAATGGGTATGCTGATGGGTCAATTAGACTTTCATATGCTACTAATGCCTATATAAGGTAAGGTGTTGTGTATTGAGTCGAGTTAGTGGGGGTTACATCAATCTACCTATCGAATTGGTTATCATCATGTTTTATTCCTTGTTAACTGTCCAACATCATTAATAGATTGTGTTTACTACACTCCTCTCTTGCATGCATGCTCCTCCTCTTGTAAGATATCTATTTCTATTATTGTGGTGGTTACGTATGATGGCATGTGTTGTAGTATCTTTACTCCTAGCTCGGTGATCGAACCTGTCCACACACCATATACCAACAATGCAATGAATGATAACTTGTGTGATTGACATATAGAGTTATCTTACCATGGTTATATATTCTCCTGTCTCTTTGATATATATATATAAAGTGATGAAGGAATCTTGGTTGTAAAGCCTACCAACAAGATGATAGAGGGTTCAAAAAATTAAAAAAATTGATTTTTTTTGAACATCACATGAAGAGAGAGATTCCAAAAGCTAATACCCAAGACATGTCATATCATTAAGAAGAGATAGAGAGAAGAGAAGAGATAGTTTAATATTAGATCACACACACTAGATATAGTAACAACTGTTTTTAGTCATGATGACACAATTGATCAAAAGACGGGGATGGATGATCACATTTGATATCGACAAGTTGGGCAGCCCAACCCATGCCTCTCCCATCACCCACAACCATCTCAAATGTGATTACATCGTATATAGGTGTTTAAGAGGTTAAATCAGTAAATCAATCAATCAAAACAAACAACAACCTAACAATAGAATCTAAAGACGAAAAGGATTGGTGTAACTTGGTTGCGATGCAAGTTTAACCACGATCGAGAGAGGAATCAATCAATCAATTTGATTAGGATGTGGATGGATGGATGGATGGATTGGTGTTGGCTCCAAAAGAGAGAGAGAGAGAAGAGATCATATGTGGTATTTAAAAATCATAAGGCGAGGGAGGAGAAGGAAAGATACACACTATTATAGTCGAAAGAATCACCCAATCAGCATGCATCAAACATCAATCATTTCGAAAGTTTCGTCTTGCCAAAGGTACCCTTGGTTGCATACTGGAGTAGTATCGTTTCAATTGGATTTCAAACTTTTTGTTTCCTTTAATGGAATCAAGCTGCAGGCTCAAGTTTTACTTGATTGGGCAAAACCTGCAAAGTTCCCGTTTTTGATCTCGACTCTTGTTTGTGTTGCCCAACAACGCCAAGCTGGTTTTTCCAATTACAGTGCTTGCTAGGCACCCGTTCCATTTTGATGATCATAGTCATCATGTGCTAGCATAAGTGACCCAAAACAGTAATCTCTGGCACTCGAGGTAAACCGAGATTTTAACAAAGAGTCACTTTAACAAGAGTATTTATACACTCGCAAATATTTCACTACTCTTCAGTAAGAACAACAAACATTAACAACTACCCTACTACCCACTTTACACTTCTCTACTTTTGCAACAACACACTAAGAAGTCTTGAAAACAAAAAAAACAAAAATCAGATCTTCCCACATCCCGAAACAAACAAAAGTCGACTGACCGCCCTCATCCTCCTCCCCAACACCACTTCATTTGTTGCCAATAAAAAACGAAGAGAGCCGCCAGCCAGCCAGCCAGCCTAGCCTGTTGATACAACACAAAGAGATCCCTTTCCCAAGTGTGTCGTCGATTTTCTCTTAAAATCAGAGCTCTGGCCATCCCTCCAATTACATTATCCAGCCCTCCTCTACTCGTTTGTTTGCCCTTTTACCAGACAACGGACCAATTACCTCCTCGTCAATACAAGAAACCGAAAGAAACATTCATTATTAATATCTATCTAGCCTTGCCTTGCCTACCGACCGACACGACAACTGCTCGCTTGTGCAAAGCCTCTTATTGCCCCCCCCTCCTCTTTGACTTTGACCACCACTCGTTTGACCACCAATCATCAAATTTAAAGATTTTCTTTTTAATTATTCCAAAGATCACCAAAAGGTAAGGTACTTATAGCCTGCACATTTGACTTGGTTTTGATGCGGATCTCCCTCTAAAAGAAATATTATCTCTTTCTAATATTATTTCTTTCCTTTTCCCTTTTCTCTTTTTCACATTCCAGCCTCTCCCTTGTCTAAAAAAAAAACAAAAACAAATTCCAGACTATTTTCCACAACTCTCTATCTTTTTTTAAAAAAATGAATTCCTCCTCCTCTCCTCTAATTCGAATGATACTTGCCACGGCTGTAATCTTGGGTCTCTGCTTTATGCCAGTTGCCCTCTCACTCAACATTGTAGATACAGTGTTAACCGTCTCCACACCCTTTACCTTGGCAGACAATGAAGTCTTGAGTATGACCAATGCTACACTCATCCTCGACACTCTCTCCATCACCGTCGGTCTCAACGTCCAATTCCAATTCTCTCTCAATTGCCATATCCAATCCCTCCAAACCTTGGCCATCCTTACTCCAGTCTCTATTCAATCATCTTCAGCTAGTAGTACAATTTCAACTTTAAAATTATCAAAGTATGAAGGGAAAAAAAAAAAAAAAAAAAAAAAAAAAAAGTAGAAAAACAAACATTAACCTTCTCTCTTTTCTCTTTATCTTTTTTTTTCTCTCTCTCTTTTTTAGTGTTGATTTATCATTTACATCAACATCAACATTTAGTGATACTATTTTAGAACTTGATAGTACTAGTTTATTGGTTGCCAAGATTGCAACTGGTTATTTTGCTTATACCTCTGCTTTGACTGCATCCAGTACCAATTTATTCACTGGAGGTAAACTTGTAGTTGTTCCAGGTGCCACTGCTGCCATTGCTGCCGGTTTCCAAGTGTCTACAAGTCAGACATCACCACCAACCGTCAATTTGGGTACTTCAACCATTTTCAATGCCAAGAACTTCTTGTCCAACGTGCCATTGGTTGTTGACGGATCCAAGCTCATGGGAGGACAGTTTTGCAACTACCAATTCCAAGCACCCATCTCTGGCGCCGGTTCACTCAACTTTTCCTATTGTAGTGTGTCGATGGTTGCCGTCAACATGAATGGTGGATCGGTCAATTTCCTATCGTCTACCTGGAACCTCGGTAACTATATTGCCAACGTTGTATCGACCACTCTCAACTTTAACGCCTACACGAATGTCCTTGCCACCTACTCTACCGTCCAAAGGGAGACTTTTGGATCGATTGTATTGGGTGCCAACAGCTTTGTCAACTTTAACGACCCGGCCACCGCCAACTTTACACTCGCATACCCCCCACTCGTCGTCGGTAGTGTCAACAACTACACTTCTGTCCATTTCAACTTGATCCACTCGGCCGACGGAAACATCAACTGCAACGGCGCCACCTCGACCACCCGTTTCCGCACACCCGGTCTCATCAACCCCAACATCATCTACACCTCGGGCTCGGCAGTCACCTTTAAAAAAGCTCAAGGCTTCACCAAGTGCGCTGCAGGCTCTGTCTCCTTTTACATCTACACTACCGACAATCCCTATGAAGCCGACAATATCTTGGCTGCCGACTGTCCAGCTGGCGAGTCTCGTTGCGGTGCATCGTTCTCTTGTCTTTCTCAAGCCAGTATTAACGCCGGCGACTGTCTTCTCGACATGTATTGCATGCGTACCGAGCCAGTAGGCGGATCACTCTTTTGTTGGACCGGTCAATGCACCGTCTCGTACGAAACATGTCCACCATTGCCATCGTGTCCTCCAAGCCTCCCATTAAGATGCACCGACGGATGCAAGGCAGCCACCGCAACCTGCGACCCATGTCCAGCCGGCACCAACCCAACTCCATTTGGATGTCTTGCCGCCGGCGCACCCGTCCAACCATACCAAGGATGTGATGCATTCCAATACCAGTGTCCAGACAACTATGCATGTGTCTCTAGTCCCTCACAATGCAGCAACTATGGTACCACTAAAGTCCCATCTTCCAACCGTGTCATGGTCACAGCCACCCTTGTCTATCAACAAACTCGTGCCACTGCATCCATCTTGCAAAGATACGTCTCACCCGCCACACCATTCACCATCGGCTCTAACATTTTCTTGGATCTTGGCTCCAATCTTCCAGCCACCAGTGATCATCTCAAGATTGCCCCATACGCCGATTCCTATGCTACCAAGGTTTCCAGTTCATTAATTTCTTCAACCTTTGATTATTATTCAAACCTCTTATCTCCACCATTTAAACTTACTCTTAGAGATTCTCAAAGTAAGCCAAAAATAATATATATTAATAATATTAAGTTTGATACTAATTATTTATTTCTTTTTTTTCTAGTGAATATTCTAACAGTTTCAACTACTAGTTCAATTTATTTCAAGAATCCAAATCCATCACTCAACTTGTCAAATGCTTGTCTAGCCTATGTCAACTCTGCCAATCAATGGCAATGCACTTCATTCCCACTCGTATCACATAATAGTGGTTCGATCATTGAAGGTAAAACTAACCTTATTCCAGGCAAATTTGCATTCATGTCTACAATTTAAACAAAAATAGACAACTCTATCTATATATTTATAAAGATATATATATAATATTCCACCTGGACAATAGTAATTACGATTTATTAATTATAATAAAAGAAAAAAGAATTATTTGTTTTTAAAATATATTATTTATTTTATATGTATTTCTAAAAAAAAGGGTTTTACACAAATTTAATTAAATTAATTATTATATTTAATTGTATATTAAATTATTGTTGTTATATTATTAATAATTGAGTTTTATATATTGTTTTTGGGGTGATTTCAAAAATAAAGAATAAAGGAAATCAAGGTAATGGTAACATAGGTAAACAATGAAGAAGATTTAAGAATAAAGGCTGAAGATTCTTCAGATGGTGGAGGAACAAATTTGGCAGCCTTGATCTTTCCAATGTAAAGAGTGCCTTGAGTGACTGAAGAGTCCCAACCGTCGGTCTTTAGCTTGAAACCATCGACAGTGGCACTCTCCCAAAGGCCAAAATCTTCAAATGGAATGGTGAACGAGAGCCATCTGTTGGGAGGAATTTCACCTCCAAGATACTCGGCGATACCCAGAGGTTGGATATCAGTTCCCTGGTTGGTAAGCGAAAACCTGATCTTTGGTTGAATAGGCGTCTGTGAAACGTCGTTGGGATCCGTGTATGTATCGGCATTGGGTACAAAGTAGACAGAGATGATGAGACCATTGTTTTCGACAGTGTCCAATGCACCAGCTTCGAATCCTACGGAAATATCATATTGATTGTTGAGGTACCACTGAACGGTACGATGAGAGGTGTATTGAACGACGGTAGATTCAAAGTTGGAACCTTGTGAATAGACGGCCAGACCATCGGCCAGCGATCCGTTAGAGTAGATGGGCACACCCTCTCGCTCGTCCATACAAATCGATCCATTGTTGAATTGAATGTCGTCGAGTACTACAGAACCCGCAAACTGGCCAGTGGTCGACCCAAACGCGATACCATGGAGCCTGGTAATGTTGGACGGGTTGATGATAAACTTGCTCATCGGTATGTTGACCTTGTACCACGAATTTGGCTGACGCGTACCTCTGAGATACTCGCCGACGTTGGCACTGGCCACCTTGGTACGGTTGGCGATCAGGTAGACGGTCATCTGCTGCGACGAGGCAAAGGTCAGCCCGTTCATCCAGAAACTGAGGTACTTGAACTGCTTCTTGGCAAAGCCACCGTCTCTCTCAAAGTAGATGATCGTGTCCTTGTCGAGGTTGAAAAAGAAGCCGTTCTGACCACGGTGGTATGCTTTGGTGTAGTTGACGTAACGGAGACTGGTCGACTTGTCGGTCCAGTTCTCGTCGAATGTGTCGTTGTAGACCCACTCGGCACGGTAGTTGGAGCAGTTCTCCATAAAGTAGTAGAGTGGTGTGCCGACGTACTGGTAGATGGGGTCCTTGTTCTTGGTGATGTTGCAGTTGGGTGTGTAGTTGTAAAAGCTGACAATCGCCTCGGTCGGTGCGACCGTGAATTTATTTTCGGTGACAAAGGCACTGACCTGGGCTGCAAAGACGGGTGAGTCACCAAACTTGCGAGTATAGCCGACGCGGTGCACCAACAGGTTGTTGACGAAAAAGTCGACCTGGTTCTCGGCCCACTCAATCGTGTAGTTGGTCATGTACGAGGTGAGATCGGTTGTCATGGTCTTGCGCACCACCTGCTGCTGTTGCTCGCTGTTGGCGTTGGGATAGACGTATCCCATTCTCAAGTCGGTTGAGTTATTGATCATAAAGAACATTTCATAGGCCGAAACACCGCTACCCGAGACCAAGGAAATCTTGGTGCTGGTGTACTTGCTCTTGGTGCCACGTACCATAAATTGATGTGTTCCAAAACTAACTTCAGAGCCAACAGTGAGGGCTGAACAAAAGTATTTCTTGGTGCATGTTTCACATGGATCAATTCGTAGTTCTTTGCCACCATCAGCTGCATCGTCAAGGTTATCAATAGAAACCTCACAACCTGGGAATGGCTTGTAATCGGTGGATTCTTTCATTGGGATGGCACCTGACAGACCAACGACCTCGGGAAGACAGTCTACCTTTTCAGGTTCGGTACTGTCAACTGACGAGTCTGATGGTTTGGTAGTTCCAGAGGTGCTGGCTCCCGTAGTGGTGGCTGGGGTATCATCTGATGAATCGGTTGGTACTGCAGTGGTTGGGCTCTTGGTGGTCGAACTCTTGGTGGTCGATGATGTCGATGATGAAGTAGTTGGTTTGGTTGTTGTAGTACCAGATGTCGTTGTTGATGATGATGATGATGTAGTTGGTTTGGTTGTAGTAGTACCAGTAGTACCAGTTGAACTGGTCGCTGTCGTTAATGCATCAGTAGTAGTCTGACCATTAATCATATGTATAGATAATATTATTAAAAGCACCAAAATGGGGAATAATATCCTTTTTATCCTCATTTTCTACTTTTGTGTATGATATATTATTTGTTGATGATGACTATTTAATATTTAATATTTGTTTGGATAATAATAATAATGAATTATTATTTGTTAAGAACCTAAGTTGTTTTTAAAGAGTGAGTGAATATTTACAAATAATAATATATAAATGAATATATATTTTAAAGAAAGAAAGAAAAAAAAAAAGAATAGTTTTTGTTAGTTTTTGATTGAACGTTTGTTGTTATTTTATAGGTGTGTAGAGGGTATGAATTGGCGATTAGTTTGTTTGAGGTATGAATGGTATTGGATAAAGTTATACAAGGTGTGATTGATTGATCACAACAAACAATAATAATAAGAGAAGAATAAGAAGGAAGTTACCCAACTATAAATTATTAAATTAGAGAGAGAGAGAGAGTGAGAGACGATAGCTCGATAGGGGATTAATCTTGTCTGAAACAAATGGAAATAATTTTATACCATATATATAAAAACAAACAAATAAATGATTACCTTTTGGTTTATAGATAGACTTTTAGATTAATTGAAAAAAGAATATATATAAATGATGACTGGATGGAATAATAATATAATATTAAATTAAATTATTGTTCTGTTCAACAAAACATAAAAGATTGATTATTTTAAATAATAATAATAATAATAATAATAATATTTAAATCATCACCAATTTAAAAAAAAAAGAGAGAGTGGAGAGAGAGTGTGATGACGAATTATATGTATATAACTAACCTAAATGATGGTGGGTGTGGTTGTTCGATTGACATGAGGGTGAACAAAGTTGACTGTTGACCACTACCAGCTGTGTTTGTTTCTGCTGATTTGATTTGATTGTATGATTGTTTGATTGTTTGTGCAAGGCAGAGCAGATTATTGCAAGTGATGATAATGATGGTAATGGTTTTGTTTTGGTGGAGGTTAATGGAATAATAATAATATAATTTACAACCACTCTCTCTAACACACAAAAGTATACGTATACGTGATAAGGGTGTTGGAATATAAAAAAGATAGAGTTTATCTATCTAAAAGATAAGGAATGTGTGTGATTGATTGGGAAATAGAAGAAGAAAACAAATGGAAAAGAGAGAGTGTTCCATATGATTGTTGATAATACTTTTTTGGTTTCGGCGGTACTTGGTATGTTATTAATTTAATGTTACTGGTTTGGTGTTGTTGTTGTTGTTGGAGTTGGTTGGAACTATACTATGACAAAGACAATTGTTGTTATCTCTTCTTCTTCTTCTTCTTCTTCTTGTTCTTCTTGAATATAAGTAAATAAATAATTTGTTGTTGCTATGTTATTATTGTTGTTTTGGTTTCCTATTGTTTGTTTCTCTAGTTTGATAATAGATTGGTTGATGGATGGAAGGATGGATGGATGAATTTTTAATATTATTCACCAAAATGGTGAGGAGTGGGGGGTGGTGGTGTTGGTGGTCTTGATAATAATAATAATAATAAATAAATATTCACCATATGTTTGAAAAGGGTCGTGTCAGCCATTCATCCAGTTGCAAAATCCACCAACAGATGTTGTCCGCTCACTCTATATACAACCGTTGTGTGGGTGTGGTGGGAGAAATTCAAGTTAAATCCTCCATTGTAACAATTGTGGTGGGTGGTGTGAGGGTTTGTGTGTATGCTAAACATTCAATTATTTTTCTTGACACACACACTATAGAGAGTGTAGGTCAACATAAGTTCAATACTTTACTTATTTTCAAAATGTATGTTCATCTTCACATCATAGCAACACGTGTTTGTTGTGTCAATTGGATCCATCCATCTATCTGTCACGATCTCCAAAGTAGTAGTACAAAAGTCTGCAGTCAACAGCAGCAGAGTACCATCATCATCATCATCATTTTCTACTGTAGCAGTTCATCGATTGAAGTGTGTGATGATAGGTCACCATGTGATTGATTGATTGATCGAATTTTCATTTCATTTCATTTCTTCTTTTTCAACTACCATTCATTGATTGACCCATTATTATTTGTATTTGGCATTTAACTATTCTGTATCTGCAAATTTAAATAAAAAGTAAAAAGAAGATGATAAGTTTGAGCTCCGACTCCACTTCCCTTCTACTCGGTTTTACAGCTGCTGCTTCTTGTTTGCAAAAAATGAATGCTGCGATATTTCCACTTTTTAATAATAAAAATATAATTCACACAAGACAATGAAATCTCTGTATGGTTGTGATTGAGGATCACGGGCTCGATAAAAGTCTTTTCCATTTTTCCTTTTTACTCTGACAACCCCCTATCTGAGGCCATAGAGGTTACTCTTAAGCTCAATGTCTGTACTACCTTATTTTTGAAGCTTTTCTCGAACATTCTCCGATATTTGCACGGACTTGTAAAAATCATCTGATTTTGTATTTTTCGATTGACAAAAAGATAGTAGAAAGGGGGGCGACAAGACAGACACGATGCCCCTTTTTTAACTTTGTTTTTTAGTTTCTTCAAACTTGACATCATCCAACCATCCAAGAGTATCTTGGTTTTTACAAAAACTTTTCCTCTCTCTCTGTCCTTGTCATTCATTATGATTGCGTTTGTGTGTGCAGAGAGGGAGGGCAAATGTCTCTTTCTTTCTCGATGATGCCGATATTCAAAGAGTCTAGATTTTTAGAAAGGGACAAGAACATTTCTTTCCTAACCACCCTTTTGATATCACCGCCCACAAAACCATCCATGATCTCATAGCTAAACAAACAAAAAACAGATCATACTACACTTTTTTTCTTCTCTCTCCTATCCTATCCTATCTTTTATTACAACAATTAATTTATATTTATAAAACTTTATTTATTTATTATTTAATACATATACAAACATACACACAAATAATATTATATATACATATATATACATCTTAAACATAAGATATATAATTATTATTCATCATCTCGTCTTAGACACACACACACACTCTGATACTGAATTCACCACAAACAAACACACACACACACATCAGCCGGTTTTAGTGTATTCAAGGTTCAGTACCAATTAATAATAATAGAGTAGTGGCTAGTAATAATAATAGTCAATCAACTTTTCAAATTTCAATTCAATTACTTTAAAAAGGTCAACAAAAACAGAGAAACAAGACAACAACAACAACAATAACAACTATAGTTACAACAAAAAAGAGATAAATGGGAGGGATCAATTCAAAGACAATATCCAATTCGATCATTGCCAAACAAGTGATTAGAAATTATCATCATAATAACTCTGTCACCAAGAATGAAAATATAAGTGTTGGAGGTAAAGACCTATTATCTGTATTTTGTAAGTATCCATAGTAGTACTACTTGATTATTTATATATATATCCATTCCACGTCACAAGGTTTTCTTTTTTTTTTCAAAAACCACCGAGCCGTTCGTTTAAATTCAAATAATCGAATCTTGGTTTTGGATGGTTTTTGGACAACAATGAAAAAGTCGACGTTTGGATTGTGATTGCGATGAGATATGACGAATGAACATCTTGTAAAGGCTAACCCTAACCCATCACCTTCTTCTTTTTGTACTTCTATACTATAGTATTTGATTGTGACAATGCTCCACATTACTCTAATAAAGATGTCAAGTCATATATGAGTAAGTATACACTTACAAACCTGTCCCAAGATGATAATCATAGGTGATCATAATACTTATTTATTTATTTCTATTTTCTATTATTTATTTAGATAAAAAATTAAAAGCAAAGATATCATATGGAAATAATGATGAATCAATATTACAAGCACCATTTATAAAGAGACCAAGTTGGGAAAAGGGGTATGTCCAATTCCCATTCAACGAGTTGGAAAAAAACATACGAATTGATATAGAGTCTTGTGATGGTGACAGAATTGGATCTGCCACCATTCCACTCGACCAATACCAACCCAATCAATTACATTCCATCAAGTTGGATACTACCAATTCAAAATTCAAAGATGATACAACTGTCAGTTTATTATTTTCAAAAGATGATTTAGATGAATTAGATATTGTTAAATCTGTAAGTAGATACAAATGAGAGACAATATATAAGTATATATATATAATATATATATAACCTTTGTTCTAACTATCCTATCCTAAATGTCTTTATTTATTTTTTATTTATTTTAGACAAGTAAAGGTAAATCAAAATCAATTGTTTTTCAAGATGCAATTGATTCATTGGATAATGGAGATGTTATATTTTATGATGGTGGAGAATCACTTATTAGTAAATGGATTAAAAAGAGAACATGTAGACCGTATTCACATTGTGGCTTGGTTGTAAAGACATTTCCCCAACGACAAAAGGGTGAGCCTGCACCCACTGAAAAGGAGTTGTTTGTGATCGAGTCGGTACTAGGATACGATGGAAAGGATCCATTCCGTGAATACGATGTCTTGGCCGGTGTCAATATCTATCCACTCAAGAAACGATTGCTCGACTATGAAGGTCCAAGTATCTGGAGTCTCAAACAAAAGGTTCCATTTACCGAAGACCAAAAGGAAGCATTCATGATGAGTGTTTGGGAGTACCATGGAAGACGTGTCAGTTTTGATGTACTCAATTCCAGTTTTATTGCCATGGGTTTCAACAACCTCATTTTCGAAGGAAAGCGTGCCTTTTTCTGCTCGGAACTGGTTGCTCAAATCCTTTTCAATGCCAATGCCCTTACATCGGAAGAGGCCAATCAAAAGGCTTCGGCTATCGATCCAGGACAACTCAGTGAATTTGATTGTTTTGGTGGTCAACATCCTCGTTTATTAAGACATGAAATTAATAGTCATCCAACTAAAATTGAATTAAGTCATCAACATAAGAAATAATCAAATAATCAAATAACAAATAACAATATATACCAATAGAAGATAGACATAGATAGACATAGATAATAATAATAATAATAATACTAATTAATAATTAATAACAACAAGCCAAAATTCACAGATATTATAAAATAATACATATAATAATCACCCCCCTCCCTCATTCCCAAAATCCAACCACAGCAATTCCAGCATGTATAAATAGTCAATCAACAATAACCATAACATGATAATAATCCAAATAACAATACTGTATAATCCATAACCAACCAACCATCTCGCCTTACTCACACTCACTCACTCACACATATAATTAATCACAACAAACAAATATTTCTATTTTAAAAGAAGAAATAAATAAATCGATCACTCCTTTTTAATTTTTATAAATTAAAATTACAAACAAACAAATAATATTTAAACAAAACTAGTAATATATTAAATACTCTAGAGTATAGTCTCAATAACAATTATTCTTTGTTTTTTGTCTTTTAAATTAAGTATAGTGTGGGTGGAGAAGGGATGTTGCGCTAAAGCACACTGATCATACCCTCAACAAACAAAAATTGAGAGCATCTGCTTTTGGATATCTACAAGGTAGTGTAGCCAACAAGTAGAAATGAGCGTTGCCACTCACTGAAAAGAGACCTTTATGATCATCTCTCTCCTGCTCTAAAAAATATACTTGAAAATAGCCTCAATGCTTCTATTTAAGCTTTTTGGGTGGTCCTGTAGAAAATTCAAAAAACTAAAAAAAAGGGACAATGACCACAAAGATATTTTTAGAAAAAAAAAAGAACCAGAAATTATTATTATTTATTATTATTTATTTATACCTATTAAGATTAATTCTTTCAAAGTTTAGTGTATCTTCTCCTAATATGTATGGGTTCATTTCTATGGTGCTGTAAACATCTTGAGTTGATAAAATTGGATTACTTTTCTTCTTTGTTGTAGTGGTAGAGGAGTATTCCCCACCACTAGTATTGTCATCATCTATTTCATCACAAATATTATTATTGAATAGATCAGTTGGTATTTTATAAACTGGTATACTAAACGACAACAATGGATTCTTTGATATAAAATAGTTTGGATTTGGTTTGGTTGCCAATAATTGTTGTTGCGTATTATTGTTATTATTATTATTTGGTTCAATTACATTTGTTGTTGTAGTAGTAGTAGTAGAAGTATTAGTAGTAGCATTATTATTATTTATATTATTATTATTATTTGGTGTATCTATTGTTTTAGTAGAATCAATTTCCATTTTGGTTTCATTATTATTATTAGTTGTATTATTATTATTATTATTATTTTCTATATTCATTTTGTCAGGTTGTTTTTCACCATCATTGTCCCCATTATTATTATTATTATTATTATTATTATTATTACTATTTGTTTGATCGGTAGTATTTGTAGTAGATGTTTCATCATTATTATTGTCAAGTTGAATATCTTCATTTTCTTGTTGATTATAAGATTTCAAAGTTAGACCAGATGTAGTAGGATGATTATCAATTCTTTTTTGTTGTTCTTTTTCTTGTTTTTGATTAAATAATTCATTACGTATAGAATCATATTGATATGCCAAATATTGTGGAGGTGGTCTTTGATTGGGTGGCAGGAATTCATCATCAGAACTATAATCATCCTCGTCGTCAAAGTCTGTGGGGATGGGGGTATGATAGAAATAATGATGTTTATCTTGTTTGTCTGTTAATTGAGGATTACTATTATACAATATATCTTTGATGTGTCGTTCCAATGCCAACATCATATATATCACTGATTGTCTCGATACTCCATTCAATCCAGATTCACATGCAATCGTTTCCATTCTATCCTTTAATGATTGAACTTCAGGTGAATATAATAATGAATCTATAAAATAGAAATAGGTAAAAAAGTAAGTAAAAGTATAGAATATATATATATATATTATATTATATTCTCTGCTTTGTAATAGTTTACATTTTGGATGAGTTCTCTTTTCCTTTGTTTGAAGTGAAGTTTCAGTGGTTGTTGTATTGTTATTTCCAGCCTTTGATACTCTTCTCGAAGAGGTTGAAGATGATAATGAAGAGGATGAGGAGGATGGTGCCTTTGGTTTTTTCGACTTGCTTGTTGTGGTGGTGGTAGCGGCTGTATCTGCCGATGACAACGACGATGAAGATCGACCCTTCTTGTCCTTTGATCTGTGTCCTTTACCACTCGGCTCCTTGTCTTTGGATTGAGCAGGTTGAACAGGTTGTTGATAGGTAAGTATTTTCTTCTTTGGTATTGGTTTTGGTGGGTCTAGAGTTTGGGTTGGTGGAGTATTTGCATACAATGAATTTTGTAATAGTGCTCTAATAAATGCATTATGTAACTTTACTGTAAAGTTATTTATAAACACGGTAAGTATATAATAGGATAAGACATTATTCTCTTTTCATATTGAACATACAATGTGATTCAGTAAGATAGAGTAATACGAAATGATCCAATTCTCTCTTTGTCATTCTTCCAGTAAAGAATTGTTTGAGTGTGTCCCAATACATATCAGCTTTATCTTTTAATACATTGTTTAGTTGTTTCTTGAGAGGTATATAGTCTATACGCTCCATTTCAATTCCATTGATTGGTGGTGCTACAGGTTTAGTTGGTGTTGTTGTTGCAACCAACTGTTGGCTACCTTCTTTTGCCATCTCTCTCTACTCTTTCTCTGTCTCTTTACTCTCTCTCTCTTATTATTATCTCTCTCTTGTCGATATATTAAACCTAATTTGATGATATGTGTCCAAATATATAATGATCATTGTCAGTTTTTGCAAAAGAGCATCATCGGCTCTTTCTAATTTTAGGGTTTAATTTGTTATTTAACTTACACGTAGTTGTTGGCTAGATATTTATATAATGTCGATTCGATAATCAATAGAAACACACAAACAAGTGTGTAGTATCAGTTAGCAATAGTAGTAGTAGTATGATCAAACTTGACTATGAAAGAGAGTAGAGTGTGGTTTTTTCGCGCGCGTGATGACCTTCCTGTTTTATCTATTCCGCTACTCGATCAGGTTTAATTAATAGAATGATCGCGATGCTTTCATTTCATTCAAATTTTAAATTATTATTATCTTTTAATCTTTATCTTTTTATGATAATCGTATTTGTCAGAATGAATGAACGATGAATGAATGAATATTCATATTCATCATATTTAAAATAATAATAATAATAATATTTTTATCATTCATCATCACAAAAGTAAAGTATAAAACCACACACTCGCTTTGGAAGAACACACTTTTCATTCAACCAATAATCACTACCTACCTCTAGTCAGATAGATAACAAAGAAAGAAAGAAATGTATGTATTTTGAATTAAATTGTTTATTTATAAACCTTACTTTTTATTAATTTGTTTATATTTATATTTGTTTTTTAATTATAGAATAATAGTAATAATAGAATATATAATAGTTTAGTTTAGTTTAGTTAATAGTAGTAGTGTCTCAATGACTTGGACATTATTTGGATTTGATGCAAAGGGGAGAGTATTGGTATACTTGGATTGGTTGAGTTTAGGACCAGTGTTGCTGCAACCATGGATGGCAATGACGATCGGTGTGTTTATCATCTTGGGCGTGTTTAGGGTGTATGTTTGGAGAACACATCATCTCCAGTCAAGACTCAAACAACAACGTTTGATGCGTCAGAGTAGCGGTGGTACACTGTCAACAGGCGGTGGAAGTGGTAGTGGTGGCGGCGGGATCTATCAGTCACGTCGAAAGGATAGTATAGTCGACCCGATACTTCTCATCAAACAGATGATCAACACCAAGCCAAAACGATTTGCCGATATATTCCCCGAGGAACTTAAAGAGTTGGCCAAACGTCGTGTCAATGTATTACACGAAAAGGATCCATTCAAGATTTCTAGTTTGTTCCCCTTGATGCGACGATCCAGTACGTCATCGGCACTGTCCACATCAAGAGGGATTTCGACGCCACCAGGACTCGACCACCCCGGCAGCAACAGTCTCAACAAGAAAAAGGTGACCATGTTTAGAACACCCCAAACTCTTAGAGGAAGCCAAATGCTTCAAAAAGAACCGTCACCACTTGCACTTTCACCACCAACCGTGCTACCAGCCTCTCCTGTCGGTGCGGGTGTATTGGTCGACCCAATCAATTTAAATAATCCAATCAATGATAATAATAGTAGTGCTCCCGATAATGTAATCATTCCAAATTTTATAACTGAAAAGGAAATCAATCAATCTAAAAATCAACAACAACCACAACAACAGAATAATAATGATGAAGATAAACCAAAGATTGAACCATACGAATTTGATAGTAGTAGTAGTAGTAGTAGTGATGAAGATTTTGAAGAGGAATCATCATCATCATCATTTCATAATATAAATGTTGAAAAGAATAGTAATAATAATAATAGTCGTCATCATTATTTTAATCATTCATCATATTCTGGATCAACTACATCACCAAAAATACAACCATCTGTTGATTTTGGATTGGTTGGGTTGGCATTGTCAGGTGGAGGTATTCGTTCGGCAACCTTTAATTTGGGTCTCCTTCAGGCATTGGCAAAACACAAGTTTTTTAGAAAGGTGGATTATCTTTCGACGGTTAGCGGTGGTGGATTTATTGGATCGTGTTTGATATCACTTCTCAGTGAAGGTACGCATACTTCGGAATGGAGTAACTTTCCATTCCACTATAGCCGTGGAATGAAGGAGGGTGTACCACTCAAACATCTTCGAAACTCTGCCAACTACTTGGCCAATGGTATATTTGAATTTATGCTGTTTCCAGTACTCATTTTACGTGGTATCGTTTTAAATCTCATCTCGATATTCCCTTTTGTATGGGCGCTTTTACTCTTTGAGCGTTATGTACCCATCATTCAAGCTCGTGGTAGTTATTACCTCACTCTGCGAATCGCCTGGAATCTACTGGTTCACATTGTTATTTTCCCACTAATATCTAGACCCAAGGTGACGATACCGGCGATCGTCTTCTTTTTGACCATCTACCACTCGGACATTTCACAGTACTTTTCGGGTGTTAGAAACATTGAGATGATCATCTCGCTCGTACTACATCTCTACCTCAACCACCCTTGGTTATTACGCAAAGAGGACAGCAAGGTATGGTATGATCGATCGTTTGGTTGGCTATTCATCCTCCTCATCTCGATGGGGTTTGTCGAGTCGCTCCCAATCATTGAACGTCACTATCTTTACTATTTCGGCAGCAACGATCAATCGTTCCGAGTGTATCCTCTCATCTCCCTTTTTGCGCTCATTCTAGCCGATTCGTTGGCATTTACATTGCTCACCAATCCCAAGATCTCACCCGTCAAACGTCTCGTATTCCACATTATCGTCTCTGTCATTGGTCCCATCCTCCTCATCTTGACCTACTTGGAGCTGGGTGTCTGGCTCGATCCAAACGCACCTGTTTTTGGCCTGGGAAACGGTATTTGTTTCTTTGTCTCGATGCTCTCCTTTTTTACAATGGATATCAACGAAACGTCAATGCACAAGTACTACAGAGACCGTCTTTCCAAGGCCTACATGTTTAGCATTCGAAACGGCAGATTCAGACCATACGGTGGCGAAAAGGTATCACGTATCAACCGTCGATCGATCGCACCCTACCTCATCATCAACACGACACTCAACTATACGACCAGCGAGACTGATGACAAGACTGATATTGGCATGCCAACCGATACTCGAGGATCCGACTTTTTCATCTTTTCGCAGCACTATGTCGGGTCAGAGAGTTGTGGATATCGTTCAACCGAACAAATGGAAAAGCTTGATCGTCGTCTTGATCTCGCCACAGCAGTCTCCATCTCGGGTGCAGCTGTAGGAACAAAAATGGGAACTGCTACCATTCCAACACTCGTCCTATCTCTTGGTATCCTCAACATTCGTCTTGGTTATTGGTTACCCAATCCTTTGGGTATTTTCCTCCGTCATCCTCATCTTGGTCGTCTCTTTTATGGTGGTTTTGCTTGTTATCATCTTGTCAAGGAATTTGGTTGGACTCATATGACTAGCAAGGATTGGTGTATTAATCTATCAGATGGTGGTCACATTGAAAACCTTGGTGCTTATGAATTAATTAAAAGAAGATGTAAATATGTTATTATGAGTGATTCAGAAGCTGATCCTGATATGACTTTTCCAAGGTAAACAAAATAGAAAGAGAGAGAAAGAAAAAGAGAGATAGAGAGTATATAAAATAATTTATTAATACTTTTTATTTTATTTAGTATGGCACAATTAATGAGATTAGTTAGAATTGATTTTGGAATTAATATTCAAATTAATTTGGATGATATTAGAAGATCGGAAAATGGATATAGTTCAAAACATTGGACAGTTGGAAAAATTATCTATCAAAAGAAAAAACAATTCTCTAATCTCTCTACTAGCAACAACTATCAAGATAGTGGTGATTCATCGGATGTTCCACCTAGAGGTGAAGTAGGATACATTCTCTATATTAAATCTTCATTGACAGGTGATGAAGATGAAGTTATCAAAGAATATCATTCACAACATCCTTCTTTTCCACATGAATCAACTACTGATCAATTCTTTACTGAATCTCAATTTGAAGGTAAAAAGAAATTTATAATCATTATTTATATTTATAATATTTACATTTTTTTATTTAATTTATTTAGCATATAGAAGTCTTGGTTATCATATTGCAGGATCAACATTATTTGGACCAAAACATAATAGATTATTTGATGGAGAAGATGTTGAATCATTTTTTGAAAGAATCTATCAATCTTGTCAAGGAGAGTTACCATCTGGATGGCAAGAGAAAAAGGATGACAGTGGTGGTCAATACTTTGTCCAGAATGAAACCAAAAAGTCAACACTCAACGATCCTCGTCTAAGAAGTAAAAAGACAGCATCAACACCTGAAAATGTACCTCTTGGCATGAGTAAATCAATGGAGAATGTTAGAACTACCAACACTCCTCCACCACCAGTCAATATTACAGCCCCTGCAGGCAACAGTGAATCACCAATATCAACCTCTTCAAATACAAAAGGAATAAATAATTTTGATGTCTTGACCTAAGGAAGAGATAGATAGAATAATAGAAAACAAAATTTATATAATAATAATTAATATTATTTTTTGGTTTGTTTTAAAAGTTTTTTTTTTATAGACAGTAACCATTTCTGGGTTCTGTCTTTTTATTGGTGTAAAAGATTACATTGTTTCCAATGGAATCTTTTTTTTTTTGTTAGTTTACCAATGATAGAGTCACTAACATTGGAGCAACACATGGTCTATTTGATTGTTTGTTGTCCAATTTTTAATAATATAGTTGGGAATGAATGTATTTTGAACAAGTTTTATAAACCATTTAATTTGAATCGATGGTCTTGGTGAAGAAGCTGGTGGTATTGTTGTTTGTTGTTGAAAAAAAAATAATATATTCATGTTTTCCTTCACCAAAAATATTATTCCAATGTTGTGTGATTTAAATTTCAAAAGATTTTTTTGAAAATAAATATTTTATATCATTGTATAGAGGGATGGAGGATTGATTGATTGGATAGTGTTGCATGTGATACAAGTTATTTATATGTGATTCACAAAAAAATTTCTCCAAATTTGTTTGTTTAGATATTTTGGAAATTTGGATATGCAGGTCCACCAGCATCCATATCAATACCCATCAATTCTCTTGTAGGGTCTATTCGGAGAACGTTAAACTTTCGCATAAGATAAAACAAAATGGTAGCAGTGACGACACACCAAAGGGTAACGACGGCAACACCTAGCAGCTGTACTCCAAGCTGTTCGATACCACCGCCGGTAAACAACCCATACGTGTGCGTGGGGTTCCGAAGTATTAGGATTTTGTTGACATCTTTTTCCGTCGCAAACAGTCCCACTGCCAGCGCACCCCATACACCACATGAGTAGTGAATGGGACCATTGTCGAGCGGATCATCGATTCGTTTTTTAAGCAGTAAATGTGAAGACCCCAAATAGACAAACGCGGCAACACAGCCAATGACAAAGGCGCCCCACGGTTCGATCATCGAGCAGCTAGCGCTAGAGGCAACCAGACCGCCCAACAACCCGTTGACGCTTTTTGCCACGTCGTATTTGCCGCTGTACACTTTGATTGCCAACAATGTCGTTGCACACGATGCAGTAGCTGTGATGGTCATGGTGACGGCCGATCTCGAGGCCACCTCGATTCTACCGCCTGAAATACCCAACGTTGAACCAGTGTTGAATCCATAGGATCCGTACCATATAATAAATGCTCCCAATGTCGATAGAGTGATGCTGTGTCCCGGCAGTGGCTTGGGTTTCCCGCTCTCACTGTCGAAACGTCCGATACGCGGACCCACTATATAGGTGCCAACTAGGCCGACGGCACCGCCAACCATATGCACAACAATCCCCCCTGAAAAATCTATAATGCCGTTGGTTCCAATCTTTCTTAGCCATCCGCTTTGCGCCCATACCCAGTGTGCCGCAAACGGATATATAATCGCCGACATGACCACCGTATATATTAAACAACTATTTATATGAACTCGTTCTGCCAAGCTACCACTAACTATAGTAATACTTGTAGCTGAAAATGCCCACTTAAAAATAGAAAATAAAAAATTAGAACTAGTTCTATTTAGATGTAAGTTTTTTTTTAGTTTTTCTTACTTGATAGGCAAAAAAAGTAAGATTTGTATATCCAATTAAAAAGAATTGACTTAACCCCATAAAGAAATTTCCATTTGCCCCAAACGAAATGGCGAATCCAATCGCCCAAAATATCAGCGATCCTATCGCCGTATCGATAATGCTTTTTATAATAATACTCTTTGCATTCTTTGCACGGACCACACCTGCTTCTAACATACAAAAGCCCGCTTGTGTATCTAAAAAAAAAAAGAGAAAAAGAAGGAAAAAAAAGGTCAAAATCTATAAAAGTATTATTTGTATCAATAGAACTTACAAAATACAAGATATGTGGCATTCAATACCCACATATCATCTACAGCAGCTACAAAGGAATCCGATGTTGCATTTAATTCAAGGTATTCCATTTTTTACTGTAAATATATATATATGTTGTTGTTGTTTATGTTGTTGTTATTGATACTGTAATATAGAAATGTCAGACAGTTTATGACGATCCTCAATATCGGCTATTATAGTTATTATTATTATTATTATTATTGTATTGTTTGTGAGGGTGGTTGGTGAGTGATTCAGTCAGTCAACAATGATTTGATTACTTTTAACTGCCGTTGCTATTATTATTATTATTATTATTATTATACAAAATGATAAATAAATAAATGATGGTGTTGTAGTGATAGTAGTAGTAGTAGTATAGTATAAGGTTGTATATAATAAGTGGTCGTTATGATATCTCTAAAATAATGACCAAAAGTAGATTGGTTTGATAACAACGATTGTTATTATTTGTTGTTATGTTTGTCTAGTAGGTTATGTTGGTTGATTGTGAAAAGAAAAGAAAAGAAATGTATGTCTCTTTAAATTTGTTGTGGTTATTGTTGAGAATTCTATCTCTTTCTTTTGAGTGTCCGTTACTACTACTCTGTTGTTGTTGTTATTATTATTGATAACTGTGTTTTTAGGGTTATATACAATCAGTGTTGTCTTGTCTTTCAAAGGTTGTTGCCTAGACTCTATTGTTGTTGTTGCATGATAGATATATTGGTTATACAAATAACCAAAAAACTAAAACTAAACAAACTCTTCTCTCTCTCTTTCTTTCTTTCTTCAAACTAGATTAATTTTAGTGCAGCAGTGTGTGAGTTGAACCAAATTAAATGAGCAGACTTCTTTTTTTTTTGTGATAGGTCTTTAATCTAAAGAAGATGTTATTATTATTAAGTATTTATTCTCTTTAATAAGGGCTCTTCTCTCTTTCTATTGAATATGTCCGCGTAAGCTCGGCAAAGTTTTGAGGTATATATAATCTTGCAAAAACTTCAAACCTTTCAAAAGTTTGAATAATAAAAATAATATTATTTTTAATTTTAATTTTTTCATGAATCGATCAGCTTTGACACAAACATTGTCCCACCCTAATACAAGTATATTGAACCTCACATCCATCATATATGTTTAGAAGTGTCATTCGAACTATAACCAATCAACAGATATCATCTTCCTCCTCCTCCTCATCTTTTTTATATTCCCCTACCAACACATATACAACAACAACTAGAAACATGTCAAGAGTAGTCGTCTCAACTCCAAATGCTCCAGCTGCCATCGGCCCATACAGTCAAGCTATCAAAGCCAACGGTCAAGTTTGGGTTTCAGGTTGTTTAGGTCTTGATAAGGATGTATGTTTGAACATATGTAGAATGTAGAATGAATCATCATCTTTTGAATATGTATAACTGACGCAGTTGTCTTGTTTGTTGTTGTTGTTATTATTATGAACAACTCTTCCTCCTCCTCCTCCTCCTCCACTCAGACCATGGATTTTGTATCAAAGGATGATGTTGAACTCCAAACTCACAAGGCTTTGGAAAACATGAAGGCTATCTTGGAAGCTGCTGGTTCATCTATGAACAAGGTTGTCAAGACTACCATCTTGCTCAAGGATATCAATGATTTTGTAAAGGTTAACAAGGTTTATGCTTCTTGTATGTTTTATATTATATTATACACGCCCATATATATATATATAATTTATTGATATTCCTCATCATCATCAACTTACCCTCCTCTCTCTCTCTCTCTCTTCATTTTAGTCTTCCCAGCTGAACCACCCGCCAGATCAACCTTTGCCGTCCGTGACCTTCCAAAGGCTGTAAGTTTAAAACAAAAAACCAACAAGTCACACATGAACAACCAACTATTTTATCAATATATACTAATATTACTTTGTTTTTATGTACATAGGCTCTTGTTGAAATTGAAGCTATTGCTTTAGAGTAAAACCTTTTTCTAAATAAAATTAAATCAAATTAAAATTAATATTTATTAAATCATTCCTTCCATTTTAATTGTTTATAGTGATAAGATATATTTCTCGTGGTCACCATGTTTTGGGTTGGTTGAGGACATCTACGCTGTTTGCCAATTCGACCATTGAATTGTTCATTGTCCCCAATGTATTGTTGATATTATTCAGTGCCTGTGCTATTTGTGGGTTTACATCACAACAAGATGCACATTGGCTCTTACAACTCTAGCTCAAAATAATATTATAAAAACCTATCAATTATTCTACCCTATTTTTAATTTCCCGTTTTTTAATCACTAATTTTTAAAATTCAATTTTTAATCCTGAAATTAATTATAAATCAATAAAATTCAATTATAATATATATTTAACTGATAATCTAACTATATATCATATTTTAAATATCAAAATACAGGAAATATTAATTTAAAAAATATACTTGCCCAGAGCCAACTAAGCCGCCGCCGGACTACATATCTGCTGCTGCCTCCGCCCCCCGACCATCAAACACTGACAAAATATCTGACAACAGAAACCACCACCATCATTTTCCATAGTGTGAGACATTCCTTTCTTTCGTAAAAAATCTAAGGCTACAGCTCACTACTCTAAAATTTTAAATTTAATTTTATCATTCTTTTTATTATTTATATATTATAACTATGATATATTAACATAGTTGTATCATTATTATTGATTAAATCAATAATCATACTAATTTTTACAATCCTGATTTCAAAGATTTAGTGGTCAATGAAGAAAATTCATTTCATTTTTTTGGATATCATAATTTTAATGAAAATATATGGATAACTTGACCATATGGTCATTTAATAGTCTAATTTAACAATATATACTTTAAAATGCTTCATTTTAATATCTCTAGTCGATACAGCTCAAAAGTGACTTGGAGGTTAATATGTCAACGTTTTATGAATACCTGATTTTTTTTGATATTAATAACTTTTTTAATATCGCCAAGGAGGGTTGTAATAGCATTCTCAACCAACAACTGACCACGGTGACAAAGATCGACCCTCTAACCAATGCACCAATTTCAATCTCGAAACCAGACGAGGTGCGAGAGGAGATTGAACACTTTTACACCAACTTACTGGCACCACTACCTCCACCTGTACAACCACCAAAACCAATCTGGTTGACTGAAATGGTAAAATCACCAAATCCAAATGCAGCTACCATCACCAACCCCATCACTATAGACGAACTGTCCACAACCATTTCAAACTTGAAGAATGGTAAATCGCCAGGCTTGGACAAAGTTTACAATGAGTTTCTGAAAAACGGTCCAACCAACCTGGATGCTGCTCTACTCCACCTTTACAATGGCTGCTTGTTGTTGAGAACAATTCCCGCCTCTTGGAGAAGAGGCACTGTCTATACAATCCATAAAGGTGGCAGTTCCACTGACCCCTCCAACTATAGACCAATAACCTTGCTGTCGAGCCTCTACAAGACATTCACTTCACTTTTATCCAAACGTCTTTCCAAAGTTATCGAGTCGAGCAACGACCCAAACCACCCTCTACATCAATTCTCGGACACGCAATTTGGCTTTAGGCCGTTTAGATCCACAGACCATGCGCTCCACGCCATCAACTCCATCATTCTAAATAGTAATACCAAAAAAAGTCCACTACACATTGCATACATCGACGTCAAAAAGGCGTTTGACTCGGTACGTCTCGTCAACCTAATAGAAGGATTAGAACTGAAAGGTATAGGTCAGGATTTTATAGATATCATTTCTTCTATCATGAGTCACTCTACAGTACAAATAATCACTCCCTATGGTTTAACCAATCCTATTGATACTATTGGAGTCAAGCAGGGTTGCCCGCTCTCACCTCTTCTATTCGACGTATTTCTAGATCCCCTTCTACATCATCTCTCATCGCAAGATGGTTACTTTATGTCTCCTTCATCTACCAACAGCTACAGCAATCTCGCATTTGCTGACGACATTGCGCTAATCGCATACAGCACTCCAAAACTACAAAACCTTGTCACCATTACAGATAACTACTTTACTTACTGTTTAATGGAGATAAATAGCAACAAAAGTGCATACGCAATCAACTCTTCATCTGTACCTGACTCTCGTATTCATATCAATAATATTCCTCTTCCTCTACTTTTAAAACACCAACCATACAAATACCTTGGTGTTTTACTATAACTCGACCTCAAATTTAAAAACCATTTTAATTATATCATCAAAAAAATAGCTCCCTTTTTAGACCACATTGCGAGAAGATTAATCACTCAACAAACAATCACACTCATCAACTCTATAACAATAGCTCAAATCACTTATGCAGCATCAATAATAATATTTGCTAAATACCAGATAAACCAACTCAACACAATCATTCTACGAGCAGTTAAATATTCAAAAAGAATACCTAAACTGCACCAACAACAACATATACTATGCAAACATAGAGCACATGGGATTGGGGCTTCGTAATGTAGAAACAGAGCTCAATGCTCTCAAGCTAAACAGTCTTTTTAGAATTCTTAATTCTAAAGTTAAAACCACAACAAGCATTATAGCAGAAGACTGGCTGGCAAAGCAATCATACAGCAAAGACAACAATCACTGTTTATACATCCAACCAGACAACCCATACCTCAAACACATCAATACCCTCCTAAAAAAGTACAACTGCTCCCTCAACACTAATATACAACAAATAGATTATAGCGAGAGAGCGTTATACCCAGCATTTTACTTGTCGAAAACTCTTGATCGACTCAAGACTTGCTATCACTCAACAACAATACAGACCCTCCTTGAACAAGACAATACATTTATTTCGCGCAGGAAAGCACGACAACTAAATTTAGAGCTAGGAGAGTCTGAACTAGAAAATGTAAGAAAGCATATCTGCTCTGGTAGCAGACCTTACAAGCTCCGTAGTGACATTGAGGAATTGCTAGACCACTTACAACAAAAACAACAACAACAACAACAAAACAACAATCTAATCAATGAAGAGGAAAATGCTCTCACCTGGACAATATTCACAGATGGCTCTTGCCAAGCGCCTACAACCCACCTCTCACCATCACTGGAAACGCTACTTCCCAAATCACCCAATCGTATCAAAGCTGGGTGCGGTGTCTATATTCCTCCACCACCACCACCACAACCCAACGACAACAACACGACTCTAGTCATTGACGAGGCAACTTTTTTATCGACCAACCCAACTGCCTCTTGCAATAGTTTTTCATTTAGAGTAAACAACACTCAGACAATCAACAATGCTGAACTATCAGCCATCAACAAAGCACTAAGATCAGTCCCCCCAAATCACCACCTCACCATCAAGACAGACAGCCAAGTCTCGATAGACGTCACCCGTATAGTTACACAAGCAAATTCAATCACACCAATTTTAGGCCAACCTTTTGCGCCAGTAGCGCTAGATATTCTAAACATTATCAACACCAGGAACATCAACAACGCAACAACCAAATTGGAAAAAATTAAAGCCCACTTAAAGGTTAACGACGAGTCGTCACTAGAGGATAGGCAAAACATCTTTGGTAACGACCAAGCAGATGCTCTTGCCAAAGCATCACTTAACCTTGATGACCCAACACCAAACACAAATCCTCTTCCCTTTTTCTTCACCACCAACTTCACTCCAGAGACCGAGCATGAACGATTTATCCCAAATATCAAAAGATATGTCAGAATGGTAGATCAAAATTCTAATCATATCGAATGGAGCAAGAAAAGTACACAAAACAAAATGCTATCAACAAACTTCGATAAACAACTATACAGAATCATAATTAAAAAAATGCCCAACTATTTATTTAAATTCCAACGTCAACTCTATATCACAACTGGGCCATGGAGGCACTCAATATTTATAATGAAACAGATCACCTCTGGCCATTGTCTATATTGTATGGACAACAACATCAACCCAGAAGATCCTCCCATGGACTCCCCATTCCACACGCTTTTTGAATGTCCCCAAGCATGGTCTCTCATCGATCCAATTCAAGAATGCTTTAACAAGGCATTTGAAAAGCAACGCTTCAGGATCAGCCCGACCGAGTCCTGGCTATCACACTTTACAGACAATAACACCAACACAGCCTACCTAATGTTAATGGGCACTCCTCCAACTACCTTTTCATCAATATTCAACACCTATTTCTATCGCTGTAAAAATACAGTTATGTACCATAGTCTATGCCAACAATTATTCACCAGTCTTGTATCAACTATCCAATCCTATATCATTGAAAGGATGAGGAAATCTATTCAATATGACAAGATCACCAATGCTGCCCTACTAGACACATTGGAGATACCCGACCTACCCCCCCAGGATGCAGATCAAATGTCTCCTCCATCCTCTCCTCCCTATCCTCCTCCCCCTCCCTATTCCTAACCCTATCCCTACTACAAAACAAAAGCTTGCTTGAGCACGTAACCCACGATTCGAGATAATTCCTTACTCTTCCCTTCTTATAGGGTAATTTTGGTTCCAGCTATACTCTTCCCGTTACCACACATGCCTATGTGGCTAAAACAAGTAACAAAGCCTCTGGCTCAAACACCAACTTTATCACAGATTAATTAATAAAAACCACCTTAAATGGTGAGATTCCAAAAAAAAACCCTCCGATTGGATGTTGGAAAAAAGACATTGCGCGCTATTTATACCCGTTTTTTGATACTCAGCGATGACATCAGACGCAAGAGGACGAGTGTCACTGAAATCAGTGTATCTAAAAAGACTAACGACCGCCAACGAGGACTGGAATACTTTCAAACCAACCCCAGGCCAAGAAATATTGGAAAACGAGATGGTCAAAGTCCAAGAGGCACTCGGCAAGCTCAACACGATCATACTGCCCAAAGGTAGAGACCTCACTTGGAGATACCTCAACAAGTGTCTGCCACTCGTCAAGTCGCACCCAATCGACCAACGATTTGGATGTTGAAAAAAGAATATTGTGCGCTATTTATTCTGACCATTTTTTAATGTTTTCTACTACCTAGTGTACACTAGTATTTTGATTGTTTTGTTTATTACAAATGTATTTAAAATAATAATCTTTGGGGTTTTTGTTTTTTCTTGTCATCAATCAACAGGCAAACAACATAGCTCTATACACCAAAGCAACTGTACAGTATACTATCTATAGATTCTATAGAGGAACACTTGTAGAATAATCAGCCACCAAACACACTTGTATTCAACTCTGCATCCAAAACAATCGCGGCGCAGCCTATCATCATGATCTCTACAAATGACCTTTAAAAATCATCAGAAAACATAGCTAAATTCAAATTAGTTGAGTATCTTTACTCCTTTGATAGTCTACTACCATTCATTCTACTGAAAAGATCAATTAATAAAACTCGCGAAAATATATATATATATATATATATTGCACCAGAGCTACAGGCTTTTGGATGTTTAAAAAGCATATTGCACTCTACTGTTTATTTTTGGGAGCAAATTCTGACTTGAGGACCTTTTCCCTTAGATCACTGATAGAATCGGTATGAGACACCAAGGTGACTTTTAAGTGATCAATTGGAGGTGAAAGAGCTTGGCAATGGAGGTGGTGGTTTTCTCCAAAGACGAGAAAATGGTTATTTTCAATTGGTAAGTTTCTGCCCATTGGATTGGAGAGCAGAATGAAAAGTAGTTCGCCCAAACCTATGGCTCCTTTGCTCTGATCAGCCAAAGATGAGTTATGTTCAAAGTAGAATCTTTGTAGGAACCAAGATTCCAAAAATCTTGCTAGAGCGTGGTCGCATGGCAAACACAAGATTAACACTTGGGTCTTTCCTTCAACGCATTTGAAGGTATCATTTTCATAGTTAAAGGCTACAGCGAATCCTGGTTCGAAAATGGCCTCTATCTTTTTCATTGTGGCTTTGTCCTTTTTGAGTGTAAAATGTTCATGTTGTCTCGTACCAATGAATCTTGATGTTTCACCAATGTACTTGACGACGTGACTATCCCGGAAAGAATGGATATGAAAGTAAAGACCACATTGATAACATTCTTGATCAATTTTATAGCGTTCCAATACAAATCTAGGGATGGTCAATTTATACTTTTCATCTATCACATCGACACTGATCAGATAGGCTAGATTTTTGTATACATATTGTCTCAGTTGTCGAAGTGAACTATTCATATTGAAATGAATTTCATCTTTAAATACTTTTGAGTTATGACATTATAAAGAAAAAACTATTAATATGACGACAATCCAAGGATGGAGTCAAATGTTACATACAATCTGGTTTAAAAAGACCAATGATCTCTTTAATATCCTCTGGTGTTGCACCATTTTCACACATCCTTTCCAACAATCCACAATATTTTGATTGTTCAATCTTATCAATCATCACATCTGTATAATTAAGGTTCCTATTTTTTAGATTAAGTCTTAGCGTCATTTCTCTTTTCTCTTTCTATCTTTTAAACAATGAAGGAAGAAAAAATTCACCACTGTTAAAGCCTTTGTTGACAAGGAAAAAGTGAAGATATTTCACATCGTCAAATTTGACAGTTTGCTGTTTTTCAAAACGCTGGGTTTTTTTCAAAACTCATATAAATTTGTGAGAGACCGCAAAATTCTCTCGTACAGAGTGTTTTGATTTTTAACATTTAGGGAAGCCTCATAAATTATAAATTATTTAAATAATGATTTTGGATGCCCGCCATGTCATTTTTCTGAATACGGTATTCGATGAAAGTTATAATGGAAAATATCGATGGATATCTATTATTATATTGATGATTGATGTTTTATGTAAATGCTAGCATGAGAACGCAAGAATTTTTTCCTCGACATATAGTAGCTGCTGCCGCTTTTTTTTTTTTCTCTCTCTCTCTCTATCATAATGGCCATAAGATCTTGACACTACAAAAGGTCGAAGGGACGGGAATTGATAGACGGGATGTAAAAAAAATTTTAAAAAAGTTCACTTTTTTTTTGGTTTCGGTGGCCGAAGCAACCATAACAATGGCTGCTATCGAAACGACAGCCAAAGCGAGAATTATTAATGTTCTACTCTTCATCTCTTTTGTCTCTAATCTAATATAAGAAAAGGAAGGAAGGAAAAAAAAATTATTTTGTGAAATGAAAATGGTTAATAAATTAAAATTAAGAGTAAGTGCTGTTGTTGTTCCCTATGAACCGTTGGTTCCATATGTGCATACATTGGTTGGTCCACTGATCAAGTTGGCTAAGAGTCCAGTGATCGAAAGTATTCAAAGGAATCGAACTCCTTAGCTGCCTTGCCTGGCTGCATGCGACTCGTCAAGCTGCATGATGGTGCTACAAGTGAAAAGGCACTCAACGTGTTTGGAAAGATATACAATGTCGTACTCTTGTCGTGTACGCTAGAGACTGATTGGATTATGTTGGACCACCGAATTTTCCTTGCAACCGATCTCATCACAGAGATGGCAAGTGGAAATTTAATGACATTTGGTCAGACCAAGTCGACGATGGACATATTTTTAAAGTTGGAGAAAATATTTGCAAAAAATCGAGTAGTGGTTGATTACGACGAAGACGACGACGACGACAACCAAGATGAAATGGACCATCAAGAATTTGATGAAGATCTCGATGTACTTGTCGATGTGATTAACAAGTTTTACTCGATGCTTGGAGAGATGGTCAAGATAAACAGCACAGTCATGATGCCTCTCATCACCTCGGATATATTGAAAAGAGCTTGCGAGTTTCTGCAAGAAGAAGGGGATAGTGCCGAAGGAATCCTAACTTTTATGACTCAGTACTTTCGGTATTGTGGTGGTGGAAAGTCGGTCATCAAAGTATTCTCACACTTCATTCCAACTATTATCGGGTGTCTAGAGATACCTGATAGCGATGTGAGACAGAATGCAGTCAAGGCACTCATAGAGGCGTCAAAGATTGCCAAAGATAAATTCTCTCCATGGGCTATGGATGCGTTAGTTGCTCTCGACACTATCAACGACCAGGATATCACGGAATATGTCATCTCTGCGATGAGCACTATCATCCAAAATGTGCCACTACCCTCCAACGATGCACATGTCATCATTCCAAAATGGTTCAACTAGCAATGGTGGTCAAGAAAAGTTCAACGATGATCTTTATGCCATCGCCCAGCTTTACCCTGACGAATTCAAAGGTCAGCAACTACAACCGAAAGGTTGTTGGAGGAGTGAGGAAAATATGATTCGTTCATGTGAAGTTCAAATTTTTGAAATAGTTTTGAAAAAAGATGAAGCAGGGTTGTGGCGCCAATTTCCAAACACCTATGACATGTCTCTCGATTTTATTTCATCCTCACATACAATATTGTTGTTTAGAGTTTGTTAGTTTGTTTATATTATATTATACTATATATTGACACAGACAGACAGACAGACAGACAGACAGACAGACAGACAGACAGACAGACAGACAGATATGACAACGCCTAAAAAGGACAAATTCGTAGATCCTCACTTTGAATTTGAGGCACCTCAGTTTGTAGACTTTACTGCAACCTCTCAAAATGATGATCGTTGGTTTGGTATGTACACTTGAAAGTTTGAAGTAATAGTAATCATCATCATCATCATCATATTAACCTCCTATTCTATTCAGCTGGAAGAAAGGGACATCCATCATGCCCAACATCATTTAGAAAATCAATGGAAACATCATTTGATACAAAGAATAATAATAATAATAATAGAGTCAGTGTCAACAACGAGAATCAAGAAAACAATTCATCACTTTCCAACTCCTCCTCATCTTCATCTATTTTAAAACCATTGTTTGGTACACCACAAAAGATACCTTTAAAGTTGCACGATAACATTTTAAAGTCATCTGCAACACCACCACCAAAACCACTCACTGTTATCAACAACAATAATAATAAGACACCATTACAAGCAAAATCACCTATTCTATATCCATCGTTGGTTTTAAATACACCTGATACTCCATCGACCACCAGTAGTAGTGGTAGTGCCAACACTAGTTTCTCAACTCCACCACCACGTGTAAAGACTCCATTACAACCAACAAGTAGCAGTAGTGCCGCCATTAAATCACAATATAAACCTTCTGTTCCCGATACACCAGTTCTCTATCCATCCCTTCCCACTACTACCACTGGAAAGGTTACTAGAAGAGCTTCAATGGCTGCTGGCAAGACAACAACAACAACAGAGTTACCATCTACTACTTCCTTGGACATTAATGGTCAAGATAAGGAGAACAAGATAAATAGTAATCTTTTTGGATCAGCTATTTTAGTAACACCTTCTAGAAAGTCTTTGAATGTACCTATTCCAAATCCATTCCAAATGGATCAACTTGAAAAGATGTCACAAAAGGCAAAGAGATTAAGTACAAAGGTTCCAGTTGATGACTCTTCTTCTTCTTCAACAACAACTACAACTGCTGAAACTACAACAACAACAAGTAAAAAAAAGAAAAAGACAGCTGCTGCAACTGCACCAACAACAAACAAAAAATTGGCAACGGCAGGTACTATTGTTGCCCCTGCAAATGATCCACCTAAAGAACCACCCAAAGCTCCAACTATATTGGGTGCTCCAAATGATGTTGTTGCATCACTAGAAGCACAAAAAAAGAAAAAGAAAAAAAAGGTTGTAAAAAAGAAAAAGGATACTACTGCTGCTGCGGTTGCAACTGTTGAGACTACTACTACTGTAGTAACTCCAACACCTCTTCCTTCAGTTGCTCAAGCCAAACCAACTCCAATTTCTGTTGCAACTACCACTACTCCAACTACTACCACCACGTTGAGAACACCAGTCAAGACTCCAATCCGATCATCTATTTCTAGATCATCTTTGGTTGCATCCGAGTCACCAGCTGCCAATGGACTTTCAACATCTCCATTGGCCAGTCATATGGTATGGAACACTCCAAAGAGTTCAAAGGTATCTACTATTTCCCAACAGCAACAGCAAACACCACCCAACAATAACAAGGTTATCTCTGCTTCAATTCATGTGACACCTTCCATATCAAAGGTCATTTCCGTCACTCTTCCATCTACTCCAACTCCTCCTCCACCAAGTACAAGTACTGTGATTACCACACCACAAAGATACTCTACTTCTACTGCTTCTACTACAGCAACTGCTGCTGCCTCTTCTATACCAGTTGTTACACCACGTCGTAGAGCTACTTTTGCCGAGTTACCAATATTCTCTGTTCAAGAGTTTGTCCAACACCAACCTATTTCCAACTCATCGGTCTTGCCAACCGCTAGCTTTGTTCCAACATCTGCCATCAAAAAGAGAAAAGATCCAGAACCATCCATCACCTCTTCAAGTTTTAATTTCAATTTTAATGATATTGATAATATTAATAGCAGCGGTAGTATCTTTGGTGTACAACCATTGTCCATGTCAACACTTTCAGCTCCACCACCTGCACCAGTCCAACCAGCTCCAACCCCAACTATATTCCCATCATTCAATGTTGATAACTTTTTACAAAATGTTCAAAAGGTTCAACAAGGAAGAAGAAGTTCATTTATGGAAGTTAAGCCAGCTGTCGTAACACCATTGGTCACTCCAACTACTACCAATGGACTTGTCTTTCCAAATGTACCTGTTACTCAACCAACAGCGGCAGCAGAGATCTCACCTAAATTCCCAGTCACCATTGTCATGAATATTCCAGAACAACAACAACCTCAATCAAATGTTGAGAATGGTGGTGTAGATACTACCACCACCTCGACTACCACCTCTACCCCATCCACAGTGGTTGAAGCTCGTAAGCGTAGAAGATTGACAAAGGTTGAACCATTCAGTTTTGGAGTTGACAGAAGAGTTGGAATTGTCACTGATCCCAAACCAGTGTCCACTACAACAACAACCACCACTCCGATTGTATTCCCATCCCTTTCCAATAACAATACCAATACCTCAACTAGTACTGGTACTGCCAAGACACTCAATACAACTTTGCCAAAAAAGACAACAACAACAACCATCAAACCAGTTGTTACAAAGATCAACACTAACAACAAGGTCAAGGAAACCAATTTGAAATTAGGAAAACAAGTTGTTGATACCAACAAACCCAAGGTTGTTACCAATCCTCCAACTATTGTACAGAATAATTCTATTTTCACCAACAACATTGGCTCAACAACAACAACAACAAATAGTACTATTGTCAAACCATCATTGACATCAACAGCAACTACATCATCACATCTATTGACAGTTCCACATGAATTCCGGTTCCATACAACCGATAGATCACAAGTTAGAAAGGATGAAGACTCTGATTTACAAAATAGATTATCACAACTACAACATTTCAAAAACAAACCAGAAGAGAAACAAAAAAGACTCACTATCCATGAATTGGTTCATAGAAAGAAAACTATTGCTGCAACTGCTGGTACTTCCACCACAACAACCAAACCAGTAACCAACACCACCAACAAGGACAAGGTAACCAAAACATTAAAACCAATTAAACCAATAATTAAAAAGGAAAAAGTAATTGCCAAACCACAACAATCACAACAACAACAAATTAAAAAGACAACAACGACAACTATGGCAACAGTAACCAAATCCAAAGAATTCAAATTAAGTTGTGGTCACGGTCACGGTAAAGTTTGTAGTAATCCAACTTGCAATGATGTACTTGAAAAGTTGAAAAAGGAAAAGAAATGGATCTAAATTCAAATACCAAACACTATAGGTGTTTGTTTTAGAAACTGGGTTTCTTCTTTTTGGAAACAATTAAGTTTATTTTCATATTAAAAACCAAGAATCAAATCATCAATTTAATCAATAAATATTAAATAAATATTTTTTAAACCAACAACAAAGTTATTATATTTTCAACCAATAATATTGATTTTATTATTCAAAAATACAGATCTTTGTTGTTATAGTTATTGTTGTTGGTGTAGAGATTTAAATATTCGTTTCTACTTGTAGTTGTTTGTTTGTTTGTTGTGATTATCCTATTTCAAAATTAGGAAATAGAATATTTGAAATATGTTTATCGTATACAGTGTGGGGGGAAAAAAAAAGGAATCGTTGGATGGAGAAGAGATTAATTATTAATTAATTAATTATTGTTCGGATTATTATTATTATTATTATTTGATATTTTATAATTGTTCTAGAAGAATTTGAATTTTCCTTTCTTTTTATCTTTTTCTTTGGAGGATGGAGAAGAAGTGGTATTATTGCTTTCGAGATCGATTTGGTCAAGGAGATCGGTTAGCATTGCCTTTTTGGGTTCTTTGGTAGAGTGTCGTGATGGAGAGTCGGCAGCCGATGAGAGGGATCCATAGCTTGCACTTGGACTTCCGCCATTGACGGATTGGTTGAGAGGACTGTTGGAAAAGGTGCCAGAGGAACTGAGAACGTTGGGTGTAGAAGAGGCAGAGGTATATGATTCGCGGAGATTGTTGGCTGATGTATACATTGGAGTGGATCGCGATGTAGTGGTCGTAGAAGACGATGAGGGAATATCTATTGGTTCCGTCTCGTTGATGGGTTCGCCCAAACTATTGGACAACTCGAAATCCTCTTTAAGAAATTCTGACAACATTTCATTTAATTGTAATTCAGTCTGATACTTTGTATCCCAATCAGCCTTACTTTCTTGTAATTCTGATTTAGTTGTTTGTTGTTGTTGTTGTTGTGGCGCGGGTTGTTGAAGTGGTGGTGATTGTTCACTTTTGACAGTTTCGGAAGAAGAAGAAGAAGAAGGGAGTTGGATATTGGTTGTAGCGTTATTGTTTGATTTCAATTGTTTGATTTGTTCCTTTAGAGATTCAATTTCTTTTTCATATTCTGATGGTTGTTTGTTGTTGTTTTGAGATCGTCTCGAGTTATTTTGGGTGAGGATTTCTATTTGTTTGGAGAGTTCGTCAGCACGTTGGATGATGCATCTGACCATCTGCACCGTGTACAGTCCCACGTTGCCATTGTCGATCGTGATCTGATTGATTTGCTTGATGGACGAGGTCGAAGGCGATATGGGTGCGCCGACCTGCTTGGACAACTCCTCCAAATTGGAGCTGCTTGTGATCAACGATTTTTCCAAGCTCTGTGAAAAGGCGACCAACACTTTGAATACCTTTTGTTCCAATTCCGGATTTTGTGTAGAAGTTGAAGAGGTGGCGCTGCCAGCTCCACTATTATTATCGACAAGAACTGTCATATTTTTTCCAAATTAAAGGGTGTATATATAGATGTAAACCGACTAAATCAATATAATTGATGAGAATATTTTGTGTTTTTTAAATTAATTCCAAATTTGTTGAAGAACAATGACTATATATATATCTATTTATCTATTTATCTATTTATCTATTTATCTATCTATGATTAACAAGAAAGAAAAAGGTTAATATTATTGAAAACTAACTTGATCACATATCAAAAAAAAATAATAATGATAATAATGATTCGACTGGAAAATATGATAATGATATAATAAACAATTTCGGAAGAAGGAATAAAACGGAAAAAGTGTAAAAGTAAAAAGGGTGAGATATATATGTTTTTAAAAGTTACTTTACCCTTGTATAAAATAAAATGTATAAACAATAATAATAATAATAATAATTTGAAATCATACACGGTTTACAAATATTGCAAGGAAATTAAAAAGATGGACGGATTGATAAATTGATGATTGAGCAACCAACTGCATAGAGAGGAGAGACAATATATACAACGAGAAAAAAGAGAGAGAGAGAGAGAAGAGATAACTAGTATAAACTCTCATTCAGTCTATATGTCCAAACAGTTCCCAATACATCTGCTGTCTACTTTCCACTATTTACCACATGCATTTACACAATCAACAACAAAGTAGTATGGTGAATGGTCGAATGGACGAATGGTTGAATGGTTTCCTTTCTACCTTTTTTTTTAATTTCCTTCCTTCCTTCCTTGTTCCTCCCTCCAGTTTAGTTTAAACTGTTTTAAACACTAAATATTAATTGATTGATCAACCACACCCACCACCACTCACTAACAACTATATATCTAGGTGTTGGATTGGTTGGCTAAAAAGATAGTAGTTGTGTTTTTTAATTTTATAATATCATATCAGGTGATTTGATTTGATTTGATGATGATGATGATGTGGTGGGGCAATGTCAGTCAGACAGACAGACAGCCAGTCAGTCTCCCGATACTGATCACACACACACAACACAGTCTGACTTTTTTTTTTGTTTGTTTGTTTTAAATGAACCATTGAGAATACAAACAGTGTACTAGTTGTCACTAAGAGTTTGAGTAGGCAGCGAGCTTGCTTGAGAAAGAGAGAGAGAGAGAGAGAGAGAGGAGAGAGATCGATATAACAGATATGATTCAACAAACAAACAACAACAATAACAACATATGAAATATAGTAGTAGTTGAAATGGAGTGAATGATGGAAAAAGAGTAAACAAATCATAAATCGAATAGATTATTTAATAAATTGGGTGAGAAAAGAGACAGACCATTCAACAACACATAAATAGATCTACCTATTGACATGCTGCTGCTGCTGGGGTGCGGGTGGTAGGGGTGTGAGTGAATGAACGTGTTGAGGTGGTGAAAGTAAGGTGGGTGGTTTGGCGTTACTACAAAATAAAACAAAAGGGAGGGAAATATAATGATAGCCCGAGAGAGAGTGAGAGACAATCGATTCAATATCAATATCAAAATAAATTGATACTATTATTTGATTCGTCGTGTGTTTGATTGATTGATTGATTGATTATTGTGAAAATGATAGGGTGAAGGGGGGTAGAGGTATCCATCAATCAAACTATCCACTCGTGTGTTGGAGGGAGGATGAGAGAGGGAGGATCAATCTTTTCAATTCTACACAATCCAATGAACTAAACTAAACTTCTTATTCTTCTTGTTCTTCTTACTTTTTTATTCGATCGATCCTATTTTAATGTGGTGGTGTTGATGTGATATGTGGTGATTGGCTATTAATTAATCGCGTTGTTGTTCTAAAATGGTACTTTTCGATCGATTGCTATCGCTATGATGATGTTGTGGTATGTAAGGGTATAATGTTGTCTTTTGAGGTATATTTAGAATCACTTGTTTGTTGCTTGTTGTTACTACTGTTATATTATTGTTGTTGTTATGTATTTGTTTACTAGTATTATTATTATTTGTTTATTGCAATGAGAGATTGTAGAATCCACTGGAGAGGAAAAGAAAGACAAGACCCACAAACACTAGTTGAGATATTTTTGAATCTCGATTATTGATTCAATTTTATTTTTGTTGCAAAAAGAAAAAAAAAACAAAAACAACCGCCAACAACTGCGGATGGCCACCACATTGCATAGGGAGGGTTGTTGCAAGCAAAGCAAAAGCACCAGAAGATCTTTTATTATTATCCGGTGATTATCAATGAATGATCAGCGTACTGTTTTGATCAAAACTAACCGCACAATAAAAAGAATCGACCATCTTCGTTTTTGGTGTGGGGATGGGTAGATATCCGGTGAATGAATGCAAGCCTGCAAACGCCCGCAAGGGTGTTGACGAGAGAATAAGATCCCTTCCTTCTTGTTGCAACAACATTACCCAAAAGAGAGGAGAAGAGAGGGAGACGATTGATGGTCTCATTCCATATTTGCATTATTATTGCATTATTGGATTGATATTTGATATCGATAAGACATCCACCATGCACAATTAAAACATGTTTGGTCTATTGTTGTTATTACCGAAAATCTGTGATCCACCCCCACTTTGTTGTGTTGCAAGCATACTAAAATAATCTGTTTGTGACTAATAATGAATGAAAAGAATATGGTGGGGGCAAAGGGGGTTAGTTAGATGATCGGTCTGTAAATCAAAGGGGGGCTCGATCAATTGTGCCGAATCGACAATGAGTGGATGAACTTACATATTGATATTCCAAATCAAGTGTCGAGGAAGTTCTCTTTGGAGTAGATGGTTGATAGGAACTTGAAACTAGATCATCTAGATCGGACTGGAATAATGGACCATTAATGATAGTTTGTTCAATATAGATTTCCAACTCTTTTAATCTTGTATCTTTTAAACTCTTTATCAAAGGTTGATGAACCAAAGTTGAACAAGTAGATGATGACAAGGTATTGGTAGTGTTTTCGTTATAGTTATAGTTTCTAGGTAATGTAGTATAGCCTCTAACTAAATTTGATTGATGTAACTTTGAAAATGATTCATCGTATTTATCCAATGTAGAGAATGCCGATCTTTCAATGTTCATTGGTACCGTTATTGATGATGATGATGATGATGATGGTTCATCCTTCTTTTCTTCTTCTTCTTCTACTTTTATCTCTGTAGCGGTAGAAGGAAGTTGATCACGTATACCAACTACTAGTAGAGGTAGTAATCTATTTGTAACCATCGAGTGTTTTAGTTGCAACACCTTATCGATATCTTCATTGTCATCAACAATCAACTCATTTAAATTGATACCATTGTTGTTGTTGTTGTCTGATCGAATAGTAGTAGATGATGAAGAAGATGTCGATAATGGTTTTGGTATAGTAGACATATATATATATCTATATCTATCTGTAGAGTTGTATATGTATATGTATATTAAATTTAATTAATATTTTTTTTCAACTTGAACAAGTCTCATCACACAAACAGTCATTTTAAAAACAATTTTATTTATTTATTTATTTTTTGCGTGTATATATACATATAATAATAGTTGTGGTTTAGTTACAAATAAAACAAAGGTCTCTTTCTTTCATCTCTCTCTCTCTCTTAGAATAATAAGAAAGAAATAATGAAAGAGATTAAAATGAATGATGGTAGGTGAACACGAAGATCACTAGTGGCAAATGAGACATCATCATTTTCAGCACCAATGGAAGGATCCCAAAAGACAGAGTCCGGTCGTACTTGATCGAATGAATGGACCATAAGTAACCCTGTAAAGTTGGTATGATCATCAAAGGTTTCATCGAGGAGATGGTAGAATGATGGAATGTGCTTTGGATTAAACGAAGACTTGTTGGTGACAATATCAATGGTCTGGTTACCATTGACAACAGCTTGGGCCACAAAATCAAAGGTTGGTGCAATAGGGCCGTGCATCTTGAATCTACCACCTAAACCACGTGTTTGGAATTCAGCAGTACCTCCAGCAACGAGGAAGCTGGTAAAGAGGGCAAGACGAGTGTTGTTGTTGGTAGATGGACCGGTTGACAGACAATCAAATGGACGTTTCTTTCCACAGTCGTCATCTGATGGTTTGTTGATAGACTCGTTGAAATAGTTGTTAATCTCTACATCAATCTTGACAGTCTCGGAATTAAAGTCGACAGAGTCAATGGTGATGGGAGCATCAGAGATGGTGAAACGAAGTGATACCATTCCATTGGATGAGTTGGCGACAATATCATAGGCATTAAACTCTACCGATGTTCCATTATTTAGTGTTGTATTAAAAGTGGTTTTGTTGCTTGTAAATTTGTAAGAGTCGGATCCAAAGAAATACCATCCTTCTAGCTTATCTTCATCGTATTGGAAACCCTCTACACCATTGGTTTCTTCATACTCGGCAATGGCGTATAATCTATAGTCTGAAGTGAAGAAATTGGCAGTCACATTATCTTTTTTCGAGTCTGGAACATCGGTCACATTGATACTACTATAAGAATGTCTAAAGATAACAGCCTTTTTAAATACTGAAAAGGAAAAGCTATTCAAATCTGCAAAGAATTTGTTTGTATCATTTTTGTTTTTCTTCCAATTAAATAATGACTGAAGGAATAGAAATAGATAAGAAAAGAAAAGAAAATTAATATTTAAAAAAGAAATGTTTTGTTTATCTATCTACAAAAGTTTTTACTTACACCATAAATTGATTTACCAGTTAATCTAAATGCATTTCCTTCAAAATCCATTTGATAATTTCTTAAACAATCGTGGTCATCATCAACTAAAAGAGAGAAAAAAAAACATAAGTATACATAATTTTTTGGAAATGATGTAATATATAAATATTGAATATTTACATTTAATAGGTTTAAATCTTTTAGCATGGACAGTTGATAAAAAGCATAAAAGTAATACTGCTGATAATAAATACAATTTATTCATTTTTTGGAATAATTGTGAAGAGTGTGACAAGATAATAAATAATAAATATTGTATAAAAGATATTTTGTATTTGAATACACAACGAAATACATTGGACTCTTTTGTGATGCCTTTTTATAACTTAGGTACTCAACTAATTTGACTGGATTGAGATTCGTTGAATTTTTGGTTATCAAAAAGTGTGTTTTATTGGTTCTGTTTTCACACCATCAATCGTTATAATAAAGGGTCGCGTTTTTGTGAACACACATGATCGGTGATGATATCAACCGACTCTCTATATACTATTGTGATTGCATACTTTATGACCTTTTTTAGGGGTATCCCAAAAACATACAACAACCCTCATTCCTTTGAAATATTTTCAATTTTATCATAAAAAGCCTTGAGACACTTGAAACAGATTAATTGATTCAATTTTGGTACATGGTATCTACTTTTTTAGGTTTTATTAATAATATAGTATATTTTAAATATTAATATTAAATATTATTATGACGATTATTATTATTTGATAAATCACGCATTTCAATACCATGATCTTCATCATCATCATAATTATCATTATTATTATCGTCTTCGTCACTTTGGTTATTATTATTATTTTGATTTTGTTGTTGATTTCTAACAAGGTTATGATGCATATGTTCACGATTAACTCTTGAATCCAATTCAGGTGGTCTTATTCTAATGATTTTAAATATATTTTCACTTCTTGCCCTATAATTGTACCTATAGAAAAAGAAAGGGATTAATATATATTATTTATAAATATAATTGTAATTTTGATTATATCTATATATTTACCCAATACAAATAAATAAAATTAAATCTATATTTTCACTATTCATCATTGATACCCAATTATTAATGATTCCTCCATACAATAATAAAGAGGTAAAGAATTTTAAAGTTATAAGTGCAACCCAAAATAATAATATTAATTTAAACATTCTACAAAGAAATAAATAAATGAAAAAATATTAATATATATTATTATTAACTATTACATTAGTTTAGTTTTTTACATACACAAATAATTTAAACTTTTTAATAAATAAAACAATTTCCTCTTGACTAAGTGTTGTTTGAGATTCTTGTGAAGGATTGTATTGTAGAATATGATATTCTAATTGTCTTGAATTTATATTAATTGCTATAAATACATAGAATAATAAAAATACTCTAATTGATAATATAAATAATTCTACAAATAACTAAAATAGAAATAAAATTAATATTTTTGTTTGATTTGATTTTCTTTTCTTTTTTTTTTTTTAGCTTACATAAGAAATACTATCAGAAACATATAATTCATCAAGAATCATAGCAACTGATAAACCACCAACCAAAGCCATCATATTATATCTATCACCTTTGATTGTATTTTGAGTGACGTACCAACCGGTACCAAGTAACAATAAGAGTACTTGAATGTAAAGATTAAAAAAGATGTCCAAGAATTTACGGAAAAAGATTTGTGTTGGTGAAGTATCGAGATGTGATAAGTCTCTAATGAGGGATGCATTGTAAAAGCAAATGACTAGTTTTAGCAGAGGATAGAGTGTCATAAAGAAATGAATCTTTGATATTCTTTGAACGTGTTTGATATTGTTGTAGAGCCAGAACAGTAATACGATGCACCACAGTATACCCATGATAGTATACATGAATGGTGCAGGTATCAATTCTGCCGATAGATTGTTATTGTCTGGATTGATCATCTTTAGGTCCAGCGTGATGTTGACTGGTTTCTCTTGCACCACACTATCTTGACAATCCAATATATTGACCAAATATTTGTTGTATTTTGTAATGACCTTGTACACTGACAATGTATCTGTAAAATTGACTCCAACATCACATATCTTTAACATTTCTGGGTTTTCTAATAAATTACATGTTGGTTCTGGTATCTTATATCCAAATATCTAAAAAGAGAATAAGAAAGATAAAACTATTAATCATCAACATAGTATGTAATGTATCATTATATAGTTTAGTTACATTCTTCCAATCATCATCTGAACAAAGTAAAAAGAATAAAGGATGATTCTGAGGTTTTGCATTAATAGATATAGAGAATGTTCCTCCTTCAAGATAAACAAATTGCTGCAAAAGTAATAATAGATAGACAAAAGTAAGTAAAGAGAAGTGATGATGATGATGTTATATTAACTTTTGTCAAAACATACAACTAATGGATTAGGATCATATCTAGTTATTTGATATGAATAGATATACTGTGAAGCATCTATCGTCGTTATAAACAATAATGACAATATTATCAATACATAATAATATTGTTTCATTCTTTCGTAGTATTGTTATTCTCTTTTGTTATTTTATATATACATGTTATCTCTTTCTTTCTCTCTTTAATAAATAATACTACTAATTTCCGACGATTCAAGCATCAGAACTCTAAACTATTTGAACTTTTATTTTGAATTGAGGAAAGAAAAAAAAAACAGACAAAGTAAAAAAAAAAGACAAAGTACAGAAAAAAAGGGGAAAATCAGTAAATTGAGATCAACATTATATTTTCTATCTAATAACTTACAGCTGGGGGGGGGGACTTTCATATTTATGCAGGAAGGCCCTGTTAAGGTTAACTAGGTCGTGTCTACCCTCCCAATATGCACGATATCGGCAGGTAAAGGACGATAAATCCATGGCCTGTAATCTGCGGTTTGGTGTAAGATTCCCAATAAGAGAATATTCTTTGCAGCGCTCGAGTCTCTGTTGAAGAAATGATCACAAACTGGACAATATAGCCATTGCCATTTAGTTTTAAATGGCATTTCTGTCGCATTTGGGTTCTTTGACTTCCAGAGATCTTTGATCTGACTATCACAAAGAGACTTACCAAAACCATAATCGTGGGTCGAAACAGAGTTGCTTGTAGACTTGTTCCCATCCTTTTGACTATTGCTTTGATCTTGGTCCTTACAACGATCATTAGTAGTTGATGACGATTTTGACCTCTTTTTCTTATTTTTGCTAGCATCCCTTTTTTGTTTTTCAAAATTAAACTTGATGATAGCGTTGATAAGTTGGTCCTTTTTGCTGTTGGTAGCACCACCCTTACTATCCTTGTGAGAACCTCTTTTGTTTTTCCCTTTGGTTGGCTCTTCTTGTTGATTGTATTTGATAGAGTTTAGATTGCAAAACTCTATCAACTCCTTGACAGTCTTTTTGCTTAAAGAGAAAAGGGATTCCAATAGCATAGTTGGAGAAGGTGAAGTATTTTCAAGTGATATGAATACTTTTAGAGTTTCATTCATATCATCTGCCAATTGAGACACTTTCAGAGTTGAATCATTCTCTTTGTCCGCCAATTGAGCCTTGGAGCATTGACAATTGTAATCAGTCAATTTGCAACCATCACATAACTTGGAATCCTTTCCTTGCCAACGAACACCATTGTCTGAAAACGTGGAGGATATGGGTGCACCAACAACATGGGTCTTTTCAAAAGATTCTGGCAACACATTTTTAACCTTTTGGTGTTTAGCTTTTTCTAGGAACTTGTTGTTGTTGGTAGAATGAATTTTGGAGGCACATGCATTATGAATCTTGGAAAAAAAAATATTAATGAATAGCCATTTCGAGGGTTGATCTAAAAATTCAATTATTAAAACACACATACTTTGGAGGTATTAAATTCATTGACAAGACGTGCCTTGTAACCCATATTCAAAAACAGTCTGAGTAGTGTCTTTGATGTACAACCAGTTCTACCACCACCTCGGGATCCACGGAAAAAATCAGACCCTCCAATATCTATAAAAAGAAAGAAGATTAATAACAAATAATAATAAATGGTTTGAAGAAATAAAAAAAACATACAAATCACTATTCTATTTTTCGGGATTGTTGTTGGTGGTACAAAGCTCTTTGCATAGGCATATTGGGCGCGCTTCTTGTCAATGTTCCTGTTCTTGTCCATGGTCTGAAACGTATAGGACGTCACTACATGGGAATAAAGACGACATTGATCCCTATGGGTAATTCTTTCATACTCTATTCGTCTCAATACAGATTCTACATTGAATAAAGTATCTAGGAATTAAAAAAAAAGTTAGTTTATAAATATTAATATTATAATATATAGGTGGTATAGACAATGAATATTTAAAATAACACTTACCAAAGGTATTATAGGTTGGCAATCCACTTTCAAATTTGGACAGGACCGGGTTCTTTTTGTAGTTTTGTTGTCTTGCCAGAAGACGGTCAGTGCCCATGAGGTTGTAATAAGATGCCACTGAAACCACTCGAGCACGATTCATAGAGTCTACAATCGTGCATTTTGACCTTCCAGGATCAATTCCGATATAAAGATAATTGCCACGGTTGTTTTCCCTCATAACTTTCCATTTGCTTCGGCGCCTTCTACACATTCCAGAGTGATAAAAATCTCTCTTTGCTCTTATATGTTTCTCTTCATCTTTGTAAACGCACTTTTCATTTTTTACAAAAGGTTTAGAGTAGGAGGAGTAGGAGAATGAGTGTGAGGGGAGTGAGGTATAGGTCAAGGATGAGGTATCGGTGGAAGAGGGTGGAGTTGAGGTATCGGATGAGGTGGTTGAGGTATCGGTCAAGGATGAGGTATCGGTGGAAGAGGGTGGAGTTGAGGTATCGGATGAGGATGAAGTGGGTGGGGCATCGGTCAAGGATGGGGAAGAGGGGAGTGAGATATCGGTCAAGGGTGAGGAAGGGGTGGGCAAGTAGGAGGACGGAGATGGGGACGAGGTGGAAGCGAGACACCTTTGCACGGCTTTTTTGAGGGTTTCCAACGTCATGAAGAACCAATAGTCTGTCAAAGGGATTTTTTTTTCTCTCGCATAGGCCAGTATATCTTTTTTCGATTTTGATTCCTCTAGATCAAACTGTTCAATTTTTTGTTCTGACCATATTTGAAACCCAAGGACCGATTTCAACAAAACACATTCAACTTGAAGACGATCTTCTTTGATATTCTCTACGTCGATTTTGCGGGATGTGGCCTCTTCAACTAGATGTTCCAACGTCCATTGTTTAAGTGAAGGAAAATCTTTTGTTTTGTTACTTAGATTTGGGCGTTTGGTGGTCTTTTGATTGGAGGACGAAGAGGAGGATGATGAAGATGAGGTGGATGATAAGGACGACGAGGAAGACGAGGCAGATGATGAGGATGACGTGGATGATAAGGACGTGGAGGAGGACGAGGAGGACGGGGGCAAGGCAGACGAGGAAGACGAGGCAGATGATGAAGATGACGTGGATGATAAGGACGTGGAGGAGAAGGAGGACGAGGCAGACGAGGGGGAATTCGATTTAAATGTTTGAACTGGGTCAAATTGAGATACCTTTGGAGCCATTTTGTAGATATCATGAGCAATCAAAATATAGGCTGCTGTTATGTGCAACGCAAACATGACTGATGGATGCGGAGCGATAGCAATGAGCCTTTTAGGAACTATCCTACTTACATCCACCTCTTTGTCCTCGGTTGTGCCTTTGGCTTTATCTAAAATGGTGTGATAAGATTCTTGACTATAGTCAACCATTTCGTAATCCAAAGGATTGGCATTAAAAGCCTCTTTGGCTGCCTTGCAAGGGAATTGTCCACAAACAATAATGAGCTTGGACGTTGTCATTGAAAAATGGTTCATTAATTCCTTCACCATGATTTCATGTTTGATTTCATTTTCAAATCCGCCAGTAGACGAGTCGTGGACAAAGGGATATGCATCACGAATTCTAAATTGCATCGAGGGATCGGATGTAGTTTTAATAAGATTGAATAGGTTCCGCATGGAGGGTGCAATTCCTGACCTGTTACTGTTGAGTGCTATCGAGGTGGTGTTGAGAGCCTCGTGTAGAAAAATCTCCACGTGGGGTGACTCAGGTTGGTCAAATTTGACGAGTCGATGATTGATTTCGGCAATTAATGGTACTGGTGGAGGGAATTGATCATCCTTTGAATCAAAGGGTGGCATTTTTTCAAATGCATTCCTTTTTAGTTGAATATCAACCGAGTACAGATCCATCAGGTCACCACATAAATCCAATCTTTTTTCATGTTCCGATAGAATAGGAATGGTCGCATCACATTGTTCGCACACCATAGGCAAATCTTTAAGTGAGTGGGATGACAAACAATTGGCACAGATAATATCTCTATCCTTGACTTTGGGAATGTTTGGTTTCAACCCAACTTGTTTTGCCACAAAACAAGCATAGTGGGGATGGTTGTATGAATATGAATGGTTCTTTTCCATTTCTTCTACTTGTTTACATTTCCATGATTCATCATCATCATCGTCGTCGTCATCGGAATCATCCATGGGTGTGCCATCTTGACCGTTTTTTTGAGAGACCAAACTTTGCTCTGGAAAAGATTCTTCTAGTTTTTGTCTCTTTTTCAAATGGTATGGCAAGAGACGGCTATTCATGGATATTTGCACATCAGAAACTACTTTTTCATTTGCACCTATATAAAGATTAAAATTAAATATTAGTAAAATGAATGGGTCGTAAAAGATAATAATGCTTTAAAACAATGACATTTACTTTTTGTTTGGAACCAGATATGGCTGGGAACGTTGGTTGTCACCATCATCGCCCTTTGATTGATTAGGACCGACATTTTTTGGTTATAAATGTAACCAATATTGTCTCTTTCGTAATCATTAAAGTTGGGGTGAATTGTTTTTGTTGACCCGTTGAAATCGAATGGGTTGTCTTTTACATACGGTGATTGCAAATAATCGCAGAGGACTGATTTTCCAACAAATCCAATCGTATAGTAACGAAAAAGAAACGATTTTTTTGTTGAAGCAAGAGACTTTGGCATCCATTTCCTTGGCTCATTTCTCTTCACCTTTGGGCTGTCATTGAATAGTTTCTTGAGAGTTCCTTTCAGTGTTGGCAATGAACAACAGTACCAATCATATTCGATTTTAATAGTGCTAGTAGGTAAAGATAACCATTTTAAAATGCTAACTTGACTGGATTTGCTGTAGTCAAAGTCTTCTTTAAAATCTATTTGCAAGCGTTTTACCATGTCTTGCCATAAAACCAATTTCAATCTTTTAATATTTTCCTCTTCTTGGACTCGTGTATCAATGTTTGGGGATTCGATATCTCTAAGTTCCAATTGTCGATTAAGATCCTCCAATTTAAAATCTTTAAAATCAGGGAATTTTTCTAACTTTATATCCACAATCTCACTACGAGGTCTACCTCTTTTTTTTTTTGATGATGGGGATGGAGATGTAGTTGTATCAGACGAAGAGGATGGTGATGTTGTTGTATCAGACGAAGAGGATGGTGATATTGTTACATCAGACAAAGAGGATGGTGATGTTGTTACATCAGACGAAGAGGATGGTGATATTGTTACATCTGACGATGAAGGAAAAGAAGCCAAGTGCGAAGCTTTGAGGATCTCAATTTCCTTGTCGAAAAACTTAAATCTATCCAATGGATAGCCACTTTCCAATGGATGACCAATTTCTTTTTCCAAATTAGGTAATATTTTTGAAATATACCTTAATATTTTGTGTTTGTCGGTCAAACCAAGGGACATATCTATTCCAGAGTTGACGATTATACTGACAAACAACTCTATCGAGAATGGGATAAAAGTACTGTTGAATCTATAGATAAAAAAGAGGATTAGTTTTAAAAATATAAAAAAAAAGATATTGGTCAATTGTTTTATACATACTTTGCTTGTGGTGCAAAGCTATTCAATGCGAAAGGAGTAGTTTTTATCGTCTCCAAATCGGACGTCATGAGGGATTTCAATCCTGTAGGGTCATATCCTTTTGGAAACTTGTATCCATTTGATTCACAAAAATCCATTAAAGATGGATATTGATCTTTTGTCAACTTTGAAAAATCGATTGAATTGTCCTCTCTATAGAAAAAAAAATAAGATTACAAAAAAAGCATTTGATTAGTTAATTTAATGATAATAATAATAAAAAATAACAAAAGAAATAATAATAATAATAGTTACGGATTAATTATATTTTCCAAATTTAGCATTTTCAATCTATTCAATTGGAGGGTATTTAACCCACTCCAGGCACTTATTGATGTTGATGATTGGATCAACGCTTCCAACTTTGATGAGAGTTCAGATTGTAAATAATCACCAGATATATGTTCTTCAACCTTTAATTTCTTTACATTTTTGCTATCAATCTCTAAATCTGTGGCCAAATTTGATATTGAATAAACAGATGCATCAAAATTGATTTCATCAAAGTTTTCAGGCCTTTTGTCACCCAAAAACTGTTTCTTCTTTTTTTTTTCCTTGGGAATGGCTGGCTCTTGATTTTGCTTGGCCTCTCTTTCCTCTTTTAATTTTGACCTTTTCTTTTCGCATTCCAAATTATGATCTATAATGATAAATGTAATAAATGTTAGAGAGGTTTAAAATTAAAAAAAAAAGGTTTGACAGGTCTGTCACTGCATAGAGAGAGCAGGCAAAAGAGATAGGGATGCGTTGATTGGATAATGAAAACAAAAAAGAAATGGTGTAAAAGCAATGATTGTGATGTTTTGCATTATCGATCTGATGGAAAGATAAGTGATAAAGAAAGTTACCGTGAATCAAACTAACAAACAAAAGGGTGTGGTTATTTTGAACAAAGAGCAAATAAAAAATAAGAGATGGCCAAGTAGTGTATAGCTTGGTGAACAGACCATGCATGGTATTTGAAAAAGGTGTTGATGATTACACTTATCATTGACCAAACAAAACAAATGATAAAAGTTGGGCGATGTGTTTGGTTGGTGCACAATTAGGAAGAGAATGAAATAGACTGGGACCAACAATGAGGCGAGTGGTTAGATGGGTGGTGCATCTCGATAATAAAAACAAATATAATCAAAACAAGAAAGGGTAAAAGAGGAGCAATGGTAGTGATTGATTGCAGTATCTGATGGAAAGTTAAGTGGTAAAGAAAGTTTGTCGGATAGGAGAGTGGATCAAACGAACAACAAAAAGGATGCAGAGCGATAAAGAGTGGTAGTGTAGATTGGTACTTGATTTGGATCAAAAAGGATTATATAATTTATGAGTGAACACAAGAGGTCAATGATATGTAAAGATGAACTTGGCCAACAATGAGTAGTTAAAAGGAAAGAGATGGGTGGTGCATTGATTGGTAAACCAATGAAAACAAAAGATAATCAAAAAGAAATGGTGTAAAAGAGGAGTAATGATAGTGATGTGTGGGTTCTTACACTAAAAGTGTAACTATAAACAATACTCGCTGTATTCTATCTATTGATAATGTTGTGTTGAGTGTGCGATGTTATTTAATAGTTTAATATACATTCTCTAAATTTGGTTTCTGTGAGTTGTTTGAGATGAAAAAAAAAATGAAAATATTAAAAAAAAAAAAAGATCTGATCGACACTCCGCAAACTGCCCCTTTTGACGTGTATGAGAAAAAGATAAACAAAATGAGAGATCGAGTTACATGAACCGACGCAAGAAGATATTTAAAAAAAACCTGTGATGGTGTTAATATCAATGACATACCTTTTAATGGTTGAGATGAAAATATTAGTTTGAGAGCTTGGTACCCTTCACCGATATCACCATCATCTATTTTGGCAAGTATATCCTCCAGAAGATCCGACACCAACTTGGACTCGTGGTGGAATATGTTTCGGTCATCTTGACGGTCTAAAGCACTCTCCACCATCCTTTTGCAGGTCTCGGCCACCTCGGCCGAGTAACTATTGCAAATGGAGTTGGCAAAGGCGGTTTTATAAGAGTGGCAACAGCCAATTGGATTCAGATCTGGGTCAAGGAGTGCATATCGGAGGATTTGATATTTTGCAACCATCTCGTCTACCTTGAGTTTGGCAAATGTTCTCGATAGCATTTTGTTGACGATTTTCTCTTTTGCTTGGACATCTTGTGCAGAATTCTGTAAAGAGTAAACAAAGAATAAAATAAAAATTAATTTATTATTACACATCATAACTGTCACAGACTGTTATACATACATAATCTCTTGGACTATTACTGCTTTTGCGTGTGTCTATGTCCATCACCTTTGAGATGATGGCCTCCACAATTAGAGAATCCCATCGAATCGGCAAAGTCAACCGATTTTCCATTTTTTCATATAATTCATTTGTTTTGTTCTTTGAAAGAACACTCATGTCGTAATACTTTGGTATTACTTTTTCGAGTTCTTGTCGGGACAAACTAAACACTAAAAATGGTAAAATACATGAAATCGATCAATTAGTTCATGAACTTATCTGAATGATTCATGTTCAAAAAAAAAAAAAGGTTGATGATATCTTACTGTTATTAAAGTCGTATACAAATATTAAAAAAAATTGGCCTACTAACCTCTTAACAGAGTGATAGTATCTTGCATATTGGCCGAGATGTGTCACAAACAAGTTTTGTTCGTTATTCCACTTCTTACCCATGAGACGATCGAGAGGGTATTGAGTTGTTCTTGTCTCTGTTGCGGATGGAAGTGGGCCATTCATGATGACCACTGTGCGATAGTGAACCTCAATTAGAAGCTTCCTATATAAAAAATATATAAAGGTAATACAATATAGCAGAAAGATAATGAATTGAAGAAAAGATAGATAAAATGAATAATGATGTGATGAGAAAAAAGAACACTTTAAATAGAGAACATTGGAGCTTGATGAATAATATTTTATTTTAAACAAATGTTTTCTTGTCTTTGTTGATTACCAACAAAAAGTGAGGGTGATACATATACAGATGGGGTTGTGTCCCAATGATATCATAATCGTATGGTGGTTTCTTAATACCCGAACTGTGTCATCACCACCGTTTAATGGGGGCATTCATGATGCCTAGGTGAGCCACAGCAGCACGATCATTTATGATTGAATATATGAGTGAGGGGGATAAGGAGGAGGATAGGGGGGTGGTAGTCATGGTTGGATATGATCACCAAAGCACGATCATTCTTTGATGTAACCGTCAGATTATGGGCGTGTTGATTCACTATATGAGTGAGGCGGATAAGGAGGAGGATGGGGGGTGCGGATTAGGCTCATTATATGAACCAAGATCTAAAATGGAAGAGAAGAGGAGGAGGGAGAGGGGGGGTGTATGATACCAAATCAGGGTATGATTCTATTGTTGTTTCTTCTTTTTGATAGGATCCATTTATTAATGAGAGAGAGGGGCTATTTGCTGTTGTTGTTTTGAAACAAATGTTCAAACCTCGCAATGTATCAGGTCAGTCACCTACGGCACGCATAAAGATCGCACTATCTCATGAGAAAAAAAAATTTAAAAAAAAAAAAAAAAAGTGTAGAATCAATAAACAAACAATTAATTATTTAATTAAATTGATAATATCTTTATTTAATGAATTATCAATATTATAGATATATTTTTATCTTTATTTTAAGCATATTAATCATGAGTAAACTATCACTGCATCAGCAGCAGCATCAGTATCAGTAGCATTAGTACCAATAACAACAATCTCTGCATCACCAGCAGCAGCAGCAGCAACAACAACAACAACAACAACAACAACACCTCCAACAGTCTACCAACGATTAATTGGCGACCGTGTTAAACCAACATTCCCATTAAGACAAGTGCAACGCATTAGAAATAAAACGTCATTCCTGTTGAGAAGACATACAAATGGCGACGAAGCACTACAAGCAGAGGTTCATCAACACATGTAGTATAGGGTATCAAGTTAAATTAAATCTCAATCATCATCGTCATTTAATGGATGATGTCTGTCTCGAATGAATGAATGAATTTAACTTTAGGATGGGTCTCGCGCAATACAATACAAGTAGTAAATATGAGAACACAGTACAGCACAGCACTATCATGTCATGAAGAGAATTAATTAATTTTGGAGGGAGAATTTTCATTCATCATCATCATGACACCAACAACAATAACCATCGATCGATTAGATTCATCAAGATATTTTAAACAATCATCAATCAGTCAATCAACAATGGGAATGACGCCTTTAGAGGACATGACGTAGACCAACAATCACTCTGTGATGATTCACAACTAATTTTGAAACTATGTCAACCCATTATAGTTTTAAATTTGTATGATAACTCGGCCCCTTCCTCCCTCCTCTTCATCTCCTCCAGGCCTACATCTCTTTCATCCTCCTCTTCCACAACCGCAATGAAAAGAGAAAGATTTTTTCATACACACAGTTGTTAGATGATATGTTGTAGATATTTAAATGGGATTCTCAAAGTTGGGGAACCAAACAAGTATAGTTTGAGTGTTGGGGGAATTGATCGATCATTTGGCGTGCTTGGAGTGTGCGGGTTTGTTTCGGTAGGTATATTCATAAGTTTCCAAACAAGGCCATTTGTTTACCGCGTGAGGGCAAAGTTGATTGGTCGTCAATTTCTTCTTTCATAAAGATTGTATGTGTTTTCTTTCTTGATGATGGGTTTTTTATTTTAAATCTATAACAAGTCTGTATATATTGGTACTTTAAATATAGAATCAATTGATTAGAGACGAGTTGGTCCATTTTTAAAAACTGTAAAGATATGTATCTTGTAAAATTACTGTCATAAATACTGTTTACTAATTATTATTTATTATCTTTTAGAATGGATGGTTTTGATAGACCGAATGCGAAATTGTCCATGACCACTAGCCTTGATGGGTTTTAAAAGAGCCAATTACAATAATACTAGTATGTACCAAATAAATAACCATGATATCGATATATGAGATTAAGCTACCATTACTCTTGAGCGTTCACAATTGTTTTGAGATTGACCACTTCTGAATTATTTGATTATTGATCCATTCCAAATATACTAACCATCTTGTCTAGCGTTGCTGGATGTGGCATGCATTGAACACTGCCGACACCAGTGCATATAATGTTGAAGATTCAAGGCGCCTACACCTCTTGCGTTGGCGCTTGTCTTTTTATTTGATTAATCGTGATCCGATCCATGTAGCACGTAGTTTTATATGGTTGCATGTTTACTATATGAGATAGGCTTTGAAGAATAGCATTTTTTTTATTTGAATAATCTTTGAAACGACGATCCAATATCACCAATAGATACAACTTTTTGTGCTCTTTCTGTTTATATCATTTGTTTTTCCAAACAATGCTTTCTAGACCTCATCTTAGCCCATGGCTAATGGCGACTTTACGGAAAGTACTTTTTAGAAGGGTGAACCTCTCGCAAATTTTTTTGTCAACCATTTGATAGATAATTAAAAGATCTATCGATTGGTAAAAGAATAATTAAAAATAAAGAAGACCATAGAGAGAAATAAGTTTTACAAATAAATAGATTCTGAGGCGGTACTCCCAACCAAAAATTTTCAAAACCCCCAAAGAAAATAAATATTCATTTTTATTTTTAAATATTAAGCACCAAAAGTAAGACATTCATTCATTTTAGTTTAGTTGGTTAGATATAAATACAATATTATTTATTTATTATTTAGAGTTATTAGTAAAAAATGATTATGATGATTGTTAAGTATTATTATTATTATTATTATAGTTCTTTCTTATATTTTAATAAGTTTGTAAAAAAGCATCTCTAGCATATTCAAAGGGTTGATCACGATATTCTTTTGATTCGTATTTCTTTACTTGGATATAGGCATTGACAAGATTCTTTCCAAGATTGTCGGTAAGGTATTTATCATTTGATAGATGAGTGAGTGCTTGCGAGAGAGACGATGGAATAGGTTGGATGCGATGGGCATCACGTTGCTCGTTGGTAAGAGCCGATGGGTTGATCGAGGTTGGTGGATACTCTCCAATCGAGTGGTCTGGGTCTGTCATACCATGAATCATCGAATAGATGATAGCAGAGATGACAAGGTATGGGTTGGATGTATGGTCGATTGATTTGACCTCAAAGTTGCTGTTACCCTTGACAGGTGTGCTAGCAGAGGTTGGTACACGAACAATAGCTTCTTTGTTGTTGACACCCCATGCAATCGAGCCTCCACTCCAACTATTTGGTTTCAAACGGTCGTACGAGTTTTCATTAGCGTTGAATATGGCTGTCATAGCCTTGGTGTGGTAGAGAATACCTGCGATGGCACGAACCGATGATTTGGAGAGACCTGCAACCCCACCGGCCAATGGAGTGGTGTTGACGAGGGTTTTGTCGGTGGGAGATCTCGACGCCCAGAGTGAAAGATGGAGATGACATCCACTGCCGGCGGCATATTGGTATACTTTGGGGAGGAACGATGCGATGTAGCCGTGCTTGTGGGCGATGGCGTGGACGGTCTGACGAACGATAATGTGGCGATCACAAGCTTCACGGATACCGCAGTATGGAACGGTCAATTCAAACTGGCCTGGTGCAGACTCGCTGAGCATCTGTTCGACGGGGACATTTTGGTCTTCCAAATTCTGAACAATCTCCATCATCACATCGGCATTTTCATCCAAACTATAGACACTAGCAAATGTATAGTTCTCTACTGGTGGTGGACACTTGGTTCCAGGTGGTTCGTTGGCAAGTGCCGATTTCTTGAGCAAAAAGAATTCCTCTTCAAAAGATCCCTTTAAAATGAATCCTCCTCCTCCTCCAACGTTGTCGTCTTGTGATTTACATTGAGCAAGTGCTTGTTCAGCCTTGTCAATACATACACGTGGACATTGATCCCATTGTACGATCTTTTTAGTTGCAGGATCGACCCTGTAAAAGTGACCAAATACTTGAGCCGTTCCTTTAGTGTATGGTACCAATCTAAAAGTCGACCAATCAGGCACCAAAAACATTTCATCAAAATCGTTCGAAGCTAGTGCCTCTCCAACGACGACATCTGAATTGCCTGGCAATGCCATACAGGCACTGGTAACACATACATAATTGAAAGAGTCTCTATTTTCAAGTAGCCATTTGGTTCTGACCGACTTGCAACGAACCAAATTAGCCATATCAGTCCATACTATTCTAAGGAAAACAATGGAAGTAGATTCTTGTAATACCTTTAACACTTGTTCCTTTTTGGTAATATCAACTGTTGGAAAGTCATGATTGATTGGTTGATTCATAATCATTTTTTTTTTAATTTTGAAAATGGTATGATTGTTTTATGTGTGGATGTGATGTAAAATTTGTTGTTGTATTTTCTAAACTGTACATATATTATTTGAAACAAGGAAGCAAAGGTTAGCAAAAGCTTTATTGTTTTTTTTTTTTTTTTTTTTTTATATGAACCTCCAATGACACTTACAATAATGTTTAAACGACTGTTACTTCTATTAATAGTGACTACTATATAACTGTGAAACAAATAATGAATAGCTACCTCCTACTTTTTTGTTGTTTTTTTTTTATCTATTCTGACTTGACTTAAGATTGGAACTGGAATAAGAAAGAAAAGTTGTTGATGTGTTATTATTCATAACAAATAATAAATAAACATTTAATCTCGATCAATGTTAAGATTTACCCACACTTCCTCTAACATTAGGGTGGGTGATTGGTGATGGTGGGGGGTGTTGTGAGTGTGGGGGGATTGTACAGGAAACTTTTAACGATGATGGGTTTCCATTTTAAAACCTTAAGTACTTACGTTGGCAATGTATGTTTAGGTACTCGATATCATATATATACACACGCACATCAATTGCGAAGTTAGGTCCCTTCTTTGTTTCTTTCTCTCTCTCTTTTATTAAAGTAACATGGCTCTAATTGAGTGAGTTTGACATTTGGTCAACGCCCTTTTAGACGAGCAACGCGCATCGTCAAAGGCTTGCTCTAAAAATAAGATATTAATCGCAATCAACACCAAATCTCTCGCAATCACATGTTCGCATACGTACGTTCGGAACCCGGCAACAGTCAAAAAAAGGTATTTTGCAAGTTGGGCGAAAAACAAGTGCCAACCCGTAGGTAGGTACGCCCCTATTGGTTCGATTCGAAGCACTCCCATTATTATTCATCTACGGCGATCGCGAATAAATAATAAATAAATATTTTAATATCTATCTATTCGTTCCATTTCGAAACGAACGTTCGTTAGATATTCTCTATCTCTTTCCGAGCCTGGGTTTTTGTTAATTATATAATAAATAATATATATTTTGGGGGTGTTTATTATTAAGTTTTTCTAAACTTTTTTAATAATTTGAGGAGGAGATGAAGGTGTAACTGATTTAGTTGTTGTTGTTGTTGTTTGATTATTCTGTTGTTGTTGTTGTTGTTGTAATAATTGAATTGAAGGTTGAATAGTAGTTACATTTACAGGGAACGGATCACTTTCAGAATAAAATGAATTATAATGATAGGTGGCTAGTTCCTCTTCAAATACCATACCCAATTTGATTGCTTTTTCCTTTGATTCCTTGAAATAGTTTTCAGAGCCATTGATATTGTTGTGGACGACGATGCCAATGAGACCTTTGAGGAGCAAGAGACGGGGTTGACCGATGGGGAACGTGTCGGTGAAGCGCTCGAGGTGTTGCTGTGCCTCGGTGATTTCAGTGATCATCTTGGCACGTTGTTGTTGGTAGGTTTGGGTACGTGACATGGGGTGGTTTTGCAGACTCTGGAACACACGGATAATGATCATCGAGAGGGAGGCATACGACTCGTAGACGGAAAAGTTGTTTGTGTCACAACGTGCCAGGGCAGAGAGTGCCTTTCGTGCAGAGTCGTAGGCTTGTGAATGGTCATTTTTGAGGACACTTTGGAACTGTGCCTTGAGCGAGAGGTAGTGGATGTAGGTGCCAGAAGTCTGCTCGGCCATGCCAATTGCCTGCACGAGCTGTTCAATCTCGCGCAACGTGTCTTCAGCAGCCTTGACCTCACCCATACGCACGCGGGCGTCACCGGCTACGAGCAATGCCATCATCTGTATCTGGACATCCTCACGTGTACGTGCAGCGTCGAGTGACTTTAGTGCAAGTGAGAGTGCAGCCTGGCTCTGTCCCATGAGATAGAGACATGCGCCGAGGAAAACACCGCTCTCCTCGACCAACTTTTTGTCGCCCATCTTGCCAGCCGACGCGGTTGCCGTCTGGTATCCCGACTCTGCTTCGGACCACTGACCCGTGCCCGACATGTATATACCCCATGCTTGATGCGAATTTCCATACACGTAGCCATTAGTCTCGCCTGAACGACTGAGTACAGCCGCATAGTACTTTAGCGGCGTTGTATTATCTCCATTGACACCGAGCACACGGATGCCAATCGAGTACGCCTCACTCTGCAGACTCCATGAGTCGGCTGCCAACTGGTTGGCAAGGAACGAGCACCAGCTGCTACTCTGCTTTTGACAGTCGTGCAAAAAGATCTTGGACAGTACCACCAGCGACAGCAGTGCCTCACGTTTCTCCATGGCATCGAGGTTGTTGGTCACAAACTTAGTGAGTGAATCTTGGCGTTGTGGAGACTTTAGTAGACGGTGTCGTTTGTCTGGTGCAGCGGCACCCATAGATGGTGGGCCCATTGGAGCACCAGTAGTCGCGTCAAATAGTTGTGTTGGACCTTTAGCCAACACTGGTGGCAACTCTATACCAAGGTGTTTGAGTACAGCAAGGAATTGTTGCATAGCAGACAATAACAATCCCATATTATACAATGCCAACCCAAGTTTTCTTGTAATTGATATCATTTCAAATGGTATACGTTTTAGAGTTGGTGATGATGACGATGATGACGACGACGACGATGTACTACCACTACCACCTGGAGGAGACCCGACAGAAGTAGTAAGATTGGTAGGTTGAGTGATAAATGTATTGGTTGAACTACGACGATTCAACTTTTTCATTGCCTTTACCTCTTCCTCTTGTTGTTGTTCTAGCTCCATGCATTTCAATGCCAATTGGAAGAATTTAACAGCTTCTTTGTTGTTATTGTCAGAGAGGGCATTTTGACCGGCTTTGGTGGCATACTCTACCGTCTTGGAGTAGTCTTGGGCAGCGTGGTAATGGTTGACCAGAGAGATGTAGAGTGAGTTTTGTGGGGTACATGTAATCTCGAGAATCTTGGCAATCTTGTGATGCAACTCTCTACGCTGAGAAAAGAGCATGAGGTCATAGATAACTTCTTGTGTACGTGTATGTACAAATGAATACAATACCTCTGTTGAAATTGGTACCAATCCAGGTGATGATAATGCCGGTGGTGTAGATTGATTGGAATTATCAAGTGACAAATTTAGAGGTGATTGAACTATAACTGGTTGTGGTGGAGACATACTACTGTTATTATTATTATAATAGGGAGAAGATAAAGGTGAAAGAGAAGAAGGAGATGTTACAATACTTGAACGTGATCTAAGATAATTGTGATGATTGGATTGTTTGGGTGATGGGGTATTGGTGCCACTGCTGCCATTTTGATCTTTTTTACTCTTGATAAAGTGTAAACGTTCAAGGATGATAAGGTCATTGGTGAGCTCTGATCGGGTCGAGGTTTCGGATGTTGGTAATATCTTGAACAACGAGTCAACTGTAAAAGGTGTACCCATGACTGATGCAACTTTGAGTACCAACTGCTGTGCTGTCGAGAGACGATCAACTCTACTGGTAATGAGCGATGTGACTGTACGTGGAATGTTGACACGCACCTGCTCAATAGCTTCGTGTTTAGAGTTGAATTCACCTGTCTTTTCATCAATATAACCACTGTGTTTGAGTCCATTGACCATTTCCTCAATGACAAAGTGGTTACCTTGTGACCGATTAAATATCTCGTCTACAATCTCGTCTGGCAATTCATAGGATGGACTATTTCGAACGTTTAACATTTGCTCTAATAGCAGTTGAACTTCCTCACGAGTTTGGAGTGGTTCAAGTTGGATAAACTCGACATTGTCAAGATGAGAGAACCCGTGTGGGATACCTTCCTTGAGTGGACGCAATGCAACTATGATGAGACAGTTTTCAAGTTGACGACACAGGTTTAGGGTAAGTGTCCAACTCGCGCTATCCATGTGATGAGCATCGTCGATAATGATGATGGATCCACGCGGTACTGCCATTTGGACGAGTCTAAGCATAAGCATTTGCAGAGTCTCTTGACGCTGTGGCGCAGAGTAACGACGGTTGGTTGAGATGGAAAAGTTGAGGTCGAGGATGGGATTGAGCAAGTTGACGTGTGGACCAAGTTCAAGCAAGCTTTTAAAGTTGGTTGCTTGCTCTTCACGCAAGTATTCACCAAGAATCTGACGCCATACATAGAATGGTACACTCTCGTTCATTTGAAGACCAGTTGTTTTAAAGATACGGATACCCATTGCAAACGAGTACTTTACTTCGTGAATGAATCGACTTTTCCCGAGACCTGCTTCGGCTTCGATAAAGACAATCTTGGTGCCGTCACCTTCTTCTTCGGTGCGAAGGCAGTCTACAAGATGGGCCATTTGGCGTAGTTGGCCGTGACGCCCGATAATGCCCTTGTGCTTGATGGCCGCGGTCTGCTGTTGTTGGTGCAGGTCGAGCCCGCCGACGATACCACGGTTGATGACAGGCTGCGCAGATCGTGTTGACGCGCCTGGACGCGGACTGTTGTTGGATGACTCGTGTGTATGACGCTTGATGGGTTTGAACACGTTGACGCTGGTCTGTTTGCCCTTGACCTTGATGGGGTCACTGAGCTTGACAAACTCGATCTTGCGCGACGCAAGCTTGGATGTTTCCTCATCGACGAGTACACCTCCCTGGCCATGCGACATGAGTCGTGCCGACAGATTGACAATATCACCGACGACGGCATACTCTCGACGCTCGTCACTTCCAACATCACCGCAAAAACACTTTCCAGTCGTCACACCAACCGTGCTAATCACCTTGAGCTTGAACAACCCAACGACAATCTCCATGGCTGCTTCTACCGCACGACTAGGATCGTCTTCATGAGAGAGTGGTGGGACACCCCAAGCAGCAATCAACACACACCCCTTGTCATCGACGATAAACTGACGCACAGTACCTTCGTACCGATACACGATCGTCTGGATCTCACTGACAATTTCCTGTAACTTTTTGGCGTCTTTGGTGGGATCGGGAATCTCTCCGTATGACAAATTGACAAAGATGACCGTGATGTAACGTAGCTCGGCGAGATAACTACCGTGACGCAGTTGATTGAGTACTGCGTTGGGGACGAATCGCTGCAGCGACTCCTCCATATCCATCAACAAGGGCAGTTGCAGTATGGCACGACGGTCGACAATGTTGAACTGGTCAACCGGCGCCTTTTTGTTGCTGTTCTTGTCCATAAAGGTCATATTGTCCAATCGAACGTTGACTCGCGTCTTTTTCTGCACGCACGATGAGAATGGCTTGACAGCGTCATAACACGCTTGTGAAATGTAGATTTCTCCCGACTCTGCCTCCTTTTCACAAGAGGCCGCCTCGTGGAGTGCCTCACCGGCAATCAAAAACTCTACCTTTTGATTGACTCCACCTACATAGAGACCGGTCAAATCACCACATCCAATACCAATATGCAACGTCAAAAAGCCACCTGGTACTGGAAAGTTGTGTAATTTCTTTTGTAGTGTCAATGCACACTCGCATGCTGTTCGTACACGATTCACCAACTCTCCATAGGTTGGCCAGTGACACAAAACTGCATCACCTGCAAACTTTACAATATCGCCACCAAAATCTTTTACAATCTTGATTAGACTTTCAAAATAACGATTTAAATTCTTTGTCAATAATTCTACACCCTCTTGACCATGATGACTTAATCTTTCTGTCAATGCTGTAAATCCAGAAATATCTGCAAATAATACACAACTTTGGAAACTACAAAAGTAAAAAATAAAATAGAAATGTTAATAAATGGATATATTATTAATATTGTTCGATTTGATATATTTACTTTTCACTATGGGGAGGTTGAATTGGATTTGGGGAAGCCAAGAGATCTTTAATGACAAGATTTGAAACATAACTACCAAGACTTGTGATTTGAAGTCTTTGTTTATCATCGGATGGAAGCTTATCAATACGATCTTGATGAGTGGACTTGTCAAGCCAGAATTGACTAAAGCTATTTCTTTGTTTTTGTTCATCGGTTTGTTTAACGGTTTTCAAGTGTTTGGAGAATATATTTAATCCAACCTTTTTCTTTGATTCTTTGATTGGTGTTGTTGGTGATGTTGGTGGTGATAATACTGGTGTAGAAGTAGTTGTTGTAGAAGCAGTAGAAGTAGGAGATGTGGGATTATTATTATTATTATTATTATTATTATTTTGTACATTATTATTATTATTAGTATTATTATTAGTATTTACAATATTATTATTATTATTTTGATTATTATTTTGATTATTTGATGTATCTAATACAAAAATAGGAGGTACTTCAAATTTAACAGGAGATAATGATGTCTCTTTAAATATAGTACTATTACTTCTTGTTATTCTATCTCCACCACCACCACCTCCAGAAGCAATGCTTATATTACTTGATCCAGACTCATCATCAGATGTGATAGCACTACTGGTCATCTCGTTGCCACTTGGTTTTCTTTGAATCTTCCATTTATCATTTGGAGGACAGTCTTGAGTAACCTGTGTATCTGGTGTTAATCCTGTAGTTGTAGTGGTCGTTGTCGAGGCGGTGGTACCAGTACTAGGTTGACGTTTATGTTTATGAGAGTTGCTATAATCCTCTTCATCACTCTTGATCACAAAACTATTACTACCATTGCTACCAATACTACTGTTACTACCAACGCTGTTTGTACTCTCCTTTTCTTTTTCCTCGTTACTCGTCGACTTGTGTCTCTGATGCTTTGTAATCTTTGTCGATGGTTTAATGATCGAACTAAAGAAATTCCTCGATTGAGTCGTTGTTGTTGTCGTCGTTGAAGATGATTTGGGTGGTGAAGATGATAGTTGAGATCCACTCATCGCCGATCCCGTCGTCGTTGTCGTTGATTCCTTATTACTATTGCTACTACTATTTTCTTTACTACTATTTTTAGGTACACCTGCTGCTTTTCCTGATATCAAACTCATATATGATTGACCTATATGAATATGTATGTATATGTATATGTATGGTATATGGTATATTTATAGATTATATATTAGAAATTGAAATAATAATAGTTATAGTATAATATAGTATAATATAGTATAGGTGTAGTAGTACAATATATAAACACATGTATGTGTGATAACAACAGAAATTGGGTTTTTGTCGGTTGTTATTAATATTGCAACCTGTTGGCCTTGAGGGGCTCTCCACGCGTGAGAGGTTTCATAGACACAACCAACAACAAAACAACAAGATTTTTTGGTTTTTTTTTTTCTTTCTCCCTTTCAGTGATTGATATTGTTTGTCGATCTCGCATTTCAATCGATCAATACACAGATGTCGAAATGGCCTCTGTTTCACTGATCGTGTGTAACATCTCCAAAAATAAACAAACTAACCTTTAGGAATATTCCAGTATTGCAGATATTATAATGAATGATATAATAATAATAATAATAATACTACTCTCTAGTAGGTTTGAGTTGTTGTGAATATGAATATGTTGATTGATTTGGAAGATGGATTTGTTGTACAGATATTATATTATAACAAACAATATCAAATGGAACTAGACTTGATTGATTGTTTTTACAAAAACTAATAATTAAAAAAGAGTTAACTGCAACACCTGTACCCAAATTATATAATTATAATTTTTCAAAGCAACAACAAATAACATGCATGTTTAATGGTTGGTTTAGTGGTTGTTGTTGTGTGACAGAATATCGTTAACATTGGAAAATTAGTTAGTTGTAAAAGTGTGTGTTTTTGATCAACTATGAAAAAACGAGGAGGGAAAAGAGGAGAAGGGGATGGATGAAAATGAGAGGTGGAACAATGGTAGTGATCACCCCCAACAACTGCGGGTGTTGTTTTAATTATTCACTCCCCCCCTCCCAACAAGCACAAACAACATCTATTTATTTTTAGTGGTTGGAAAAAAAAAAGGGAGGAGTTGTTGAGATAGATGGATGGATGGTTGAATGATGATAGATATCTATCATATCAATCGTGATTTTAAAATCATTGACAATCTAGATCAAGATTTATAACAACAACAAAATAAACTAAAAACTAAAAACATAAACTAATTTCTTCTTCTTCTTTTTAAACTTACCTTTAACTTTAAATGGTAAACATTGTAATAATGATAAACTGTCTCGTACATGTTCAATAAGTTCCTATTATTTTTTGTTTGAAAGAGATCTTGGTTGGTACTTTTTGAATTGTTTGTTTGATTGTTTGATTTGTCTTGTTGTTGACTTACACTATTTGATAAACTTGTTAAACTATTAATAACCGATTGGAATTGTGGAGTTCCAATGTAGAGTGAAAGGATGGCCAATAAATCGACCAATTTGGAAACGAGTGATGGCAATGTGATACTTTTAGTTTGGCTAATATATTGTGCTCCTTTTGGTGGAGTTGATACTGTAGTTGTTGATGATGTTGGAGTAGTTGATGGAGTAGTAGTCGTGGTAGTTGTTGGATTAATTAATTTATTTGCCAATATTCTTTGATAGTTTAATAAATGCCACAATAGATTGAATAATGAAAAGTTTATATGGTATATGACATCAAACAACTCTAATAACTCTGGTTTAATATTGGCCACTTCCTCGGTACCATTTCCACCACTTAAACTACTACTACTCGAACTACTGCTACCACCAATTCTAACGATATTTTGTGGTGGACGATCTGAAACTGATGATCTACGTCGTCCTGTAGATTGTTGTTGTCCATTGGGTGATGTTGGAGGTGACTTTACTGGTGATGTTGATGGCGATGATGATGAAGATGAAGATGATGATGAAGTTGGAGAATCTACTACTTGTTGATTGAGGGAAGAAAGATTGATAGGAGTGACAAGTGGTTGTCTTGGAGGTGGTTTCCAGGTGATTTCACAAATCAATAAGACCAAATTCTTCCATGACTCGATCAAGTCCTTTCGTCTATTCCAATATTCACCCTTTGGAATGAGTAGTTCATGGAGTGGTGACCCCTTTTTAGCGACTTGGTTGTATTGTTTTATACATGTAATCATCGATCCAATGATATCAATAATCACCTTTATCTGATTGAATTGTTCTTTTTCACCATGTTGTCTAATTATACCAAATGTTTCACATGTTGTCGTTGTTGTAGAAGTAGTTGCATTTGTGGTCGACTTTATCTCAAATGAAGATAATTCAGAGCATCTTGAAGTCATACGTCTTGAAAACATGACAATCTCCAATTCACTTACAACATCTGATGCATTGACAAGCTCATCGATTCTATGCAAGTCAATCAACATTAACCTACTAAACTCAAATACCTTTCTTGAATTTTCATCTGTTGGTAATACTATTATATGTTCAACATTTTGATTACTATTATTACTATTATTACTATTATTATCCATTCTTTTTCTTTTTGAAAAAGAATAGTATATATATATCTTTTATATTATTATTATTACAGTTGTTATATTTATATATTATTTGTTGTTAAAATACAAAGTTGTGTTTATATTATTATTACTATCTCTTTTCTCTATCTTATCTCTCTCTCTCTCTCTCTTAATAAATAAAGTATATATGTATATAAATAGAGACAAACTGAAAACACAATAATAAAATCTAAAATCAATAATTATTGCATCTGTATTATAATGTGTGTGTTGTGTCTGTCTGTCTGTCTGCTGTGTATATATCTATCTATCTATTTTATGTTGTAATGTACGATAAAGTAAGATGAATGATTTGATTTTATCTAGATACGATGATGAATGGTTATGTGAATGGGCTCTATCCTTGTTCAAGCAGACCTCTCTTGTAAATTTAACTCGGTTTGTTGATTTTTAACTGTTTTCAAGCAAAAAAAAAAAAAACATTGAAATATCTTGAAAACCCGCTCGCTTCAAATTTAAGTTATAGACAGTTTTTATTTACTTATTAGTACTCTTGAGTATTAATAATAATAATTATATAATTAAATAATGAAGTATACTCTCATTTCCCAATGGTATCATAAATAATAATATCTAAAACTCACCCTTCTTTGAGACGCAATGGTTGTGGTGACAGTGACAGAGAAGAAGAAGATATTAAGTACTAGTCCCCGAAAGAGCAATGAAATTATATGATTTTCGTTTTATTTCACTGGGGATAGCTGCGGGATTGACCTTTTTCCTACCAATACCATTTTAATAGTCGTTGGGTTGCCCTCTTCCGCTATCACATGATTCGGCATTTACAATGCCATGGTGGGGCATACCCAGGAGCGAGTCCATCAATTTTGTTGTTCCCAATTCCACCATACCCTCACCTCCCACTGCCCTTTGCGTAAAAAATCATTCAGCATTGTTATACACAACACATAATAATATTTATTTATTTATTTATTCATACAAATAAACGAGGTAAGAGAAAGAAGAAGAAGAAGAGAAGATATATTTTAAGAGGAGTTATCTACAGATTTTTTGAATCAAAAATGTGTCATATGATATGACACACCACCACCACAATTGTATTGTTTGTTCATCCACGAGTACACTCACTGGTGATCTAATCATATTCTGTTTGACGATGATCATTTTTAATAGTTGTTAGTTGGTTAGTTTCTTTTTTACTCATATCTTTTCTATTCTATTCTTTTCTATTCTTTTCTATCTTATTATCTTATTATCTTTATTATCTTTTTAAAGGATGATGAAACAAAGAGATATAATATTATTTATAACAACATTGTTGTTGATGGTGATGTTTGGTGATTCACAACAAACATGTTTCCCAGGATACCAAATGACAACGGTTCAGCTAACAAAGTATGGATACAGTGGTCAATTAAGTTTACTTTCACCTGGACCCTACGGTAATGACATTGGTCTCTTGTATTTCGATGTATACTTTCAAACACAACAAATCGTTCGATTCAAAATCTACGATCCAAAGAATGAGCGATGGGAAGTACCATTCACCAATCAACTGCCAACTGCCACCTCCAAACCAAACATCCTAGACTATGACGTTAAATTCACTGCCAATCCATTTGGTTTCACCGTAGTTAGAATTGCAACCGGTGAAATATTATTTAATTCTTCACCATCAACTGGTTGTCCAACAAATGGTTTAATTGTAAGTAAAAATATAAAAAACAACAAAAACAAAAAAAGAAACAATATACTTATTCTATTTATTATTTATTTTTAGTTTGAAGATTATTATCTTGAATTATCAACAAGTTTTACAGTATCTAATCCAAATCTTTATGGGTTGGGAGAAAGAGCTGCACCTTTGAGATTAAACAATTCAATGACTTATACATTGTTTGCCAAGGATCAGGGGACTGCGTCGACAGAGAATATCAATCTCTATGGATCACATCCATTCTATATGCAATTGTTGCCCAATGGTAATGCCAATGGTGTGTTTATGCTTAATTCCAATGCCATGGATGTTGTCTTGCAACCCAATTCATTGACCTACAAGATTGTCGGTGGTATCATTGACCTCTTTATCTTTACCGGTCCCACCCCAGTCAGCGTCGTCCAACAATACGCCCAATTGATTGGTAATCCTCACATACCACCCTACTGGTCTCTCGGATGGCACCAATGTCGTTGGGGTTATCACACTGTCGAACAAACTGAACAAGTTGTTGCTAATTATTCAAAATATGGTATTCCTTTAGAAACAATGTGGAATGGTAAGAAAGAATAAGAAAACAAACAAATAGAAAACAAAAAGAATATTAATATTATTATTTTAATTTCTTTTTATTTAGATATTGATTATATGGATGCATATAAAGATTTTACAGTTGATCCTGTTAATTTCCCACAAACGTTGATGTTTAATTTTGTAAACAGTCTACATGAAAACCATCAACATTATATTATGATTGTTGATCCAGGTATTCATAATGAAGAGGGGTATGCTCCATACGACGACTTGATGACCCTCGGATCGTTTATTACAACCGATCAAGGTCAACCGTTGATTGGAAAGGTGTGGCCAGGCTCAACTATATTCCCAGATTTCCTCGACCAGAAAGCATGGGACTTTTGGCAACAACAACTTCAAAACTATCATGACATGGTACCATTTGATGGTGTTTGGATTGATATGAATGAAGTTAGTAATTTTTGTGATGGTGATTGTAGCGATAGCAATAGCAAGAGTGGTAAAATGATGTCAATGTTCGGTTCATTTGATCCAAATAATCCACCATATCTACCAGGTGGAGTATCACTTGACCAACATACAATCAATCTTACAGCTGTTCAAAATGGTAATATTTCAGTTTACAACTCACATTCACTTTATGGGTATACTGAAGGTATGGCTACTGTAGATGCCGTCCATCAAATCCTTGGTACTCGTACCACTGTCATTAGTCGTTCAACTTTTCCAGGTACCGGCTCACACAATGGTCATTGGTTAGGTGACAATGAATCATCCTACAATGACTTATACCTTTCTATCCCAGGTATGCTAAATATGAATATTTTTGGTATTCCTTTAGTTGGTGCTGATGTATGTAATAGAAAACAAAAAAAAAAACAAAACAAAAGAATAATTATTTATTTTCTAACTTTTGATTTCTATTCTATTTTAGATTTGCGGATTTAATAAAGATTCAAATTCAGATTTATGTGGTAGATGGATGCAATTGGGTAACTTTTACCCATTCTCTCGTAACCATAATTCATTTAATTCGATTCCTCAAGAACCTTATGTTTGGGGACAAGCTGTCATTGATGTTTCGATCAATGCAATCAATCTAAAGTATACGCTGTTGCCATACTATTATACATTGTTTTATTTGGCCAATACTCAAGGTCTACCAGTGATGCGTCCACTCTTTATGGAATACCCAACCGACGCCAACACCTATGCCATTGACACTCAATTCCTTGTTGGTCCATCACTCTTGGTATCGCCAGTCCTCACTGCCAACACTACTACAGTCACTGCTTATTTCCCAACCGACACTTGGTACGATTTCTTTACTGGTTCGCCAGTTGCCCAAGTTGGCAAGTCTCAAGTACTCCCTGCCCCATTCGATGTGATCAATGTTCATATTCGTGGTGGTTCCATACTTGCACTCCAACCAACCCAATCATATGTTCCAGGAGAAGGTGAAATCCCCATCACTACCCATGTTGCCCGTACACTCCCCTTCACCATTAATGTCGCCCTCGATTCGACTGGCAGTGCTCAAGGACAACTCTTTTTGGATGATGGTATCTCTCTTGACACTATCGAGAATGGTCAATACACTGTCATTGATCTTCAAGCCTATTATGACTCTACTCTTGGACAATACGCATTTGAATCATCCGTCTCTTTTGCCGGATCCTATCTTAGCAATGCCACCATCTCTACTGTCGTCATTTTTGGTGTCTCTGAACCTGTATCCAATGTATATGTTGATGGCACTCCAAGCACCGCCTATACCTATACCGCTGAATACCAATCTCTCTCTATTAATAACCTTGTCCAATCAATCACTTCTACTAATCTTATCACTTGGAATTAAAGTTAATAAATAAAATAAATTAAAAAACAAGATGAATCACCGATTCATATTTATAAACGGTGAACATTGATTCTTTCTTTCTTAAACTCTTGACTGTAGATCGTACGATCCAACCAATTCTTTTAATCAATGGCCACCCCGAAATAACTTAATAATTAACCCGACGATTTAACCAATTTACATTTTTTCCCCCCAAAATCAAAGTGTAACTTGGAAAAGATTTTTTAAACTCAAATTTGCCAGATTACAACAAACTCTGTCACAGAATTGATCATAGAGATACTTAACAATGACATATCTAGTAACTAATCCAATAATATAGCATCCACCCCCTCCTTTTGATGACTTTTTTAAGTAACCAAACTACAACTTTAAAACCCCCTCCAAACTTTTTAATTTAACCAAACTACAACTTTATAACCCTGAGGTATCTCTAATAAAAACCAAAATTACAAAGTTTTTGGATATAAATACTTACTCTCTCTTGTCTGTTTTTTAAATCATTTTAATCATTATCAAAATTTGTTTTAATTAAAATTATCAATCAAAGACACAATGTCATATACTAAAGGAGTTTCAACAGGATCACTATCTTTGAGTGCATCCTCATCATTTAATGCTAGTTTTACTCCAAACGGAGCATTTATCAATGCCAATAAATGTTGGCATCCAACTGTCGCCGATACCAATCCGTACGTCCAAACCACCTATCAAGGAAATGGTATTGCCGAGTATTCAAAGATCGAGTTGCAAGGAAGACCAGATGCCGATCAATGGGTCACTGAAGTTGCTATAAAGTATACCAAGGATGGTGTCAATTGGTTGGATTACAACTCTGGAAATGGTATTCAAACTGGTCTGACCGACAGAAACACTCCAAAAACCATCACCTTTTCTCCAACCATCAGAGCTCTGGCCATCCAAATCATCCCCAAACAAGCTACTGGATTCAAAGCAATGAGATTCGAGGTGGAATACAAACCAATTCCACGTTCCACCATTACCAACTTTGAAGTTGGATTGGTCTCTACCAGAGATGGAAATTTCCCAAAACTCTATGATGGATCTGTCGCCGATAGAAGATATGAACACCCAGTCAAATTTACAACTGGATTTATCAAGCCTCCCATTGTAGTTTGTGGTATCCACAATCTACACTTTAGCAACACCAAAGACCTAAAGTTTAGTATCATCCCACATGATATAACAGATGAAGGTTTCACCATTCTCATTAGAAGTTGGGATAATGGTCAAATGGAAGAAATTTCTTTTAATTGGATTGCTTTTGAAAGTAGTAACTAAAAATTAAATAAATTAATAAAAACTTTTGTTTATTTAAAAAAATACTATTTTTATTTTTATTTAATCTAATTTGGTTGTGTTGGTAAACTTATCCCCAAGGTAATCGATAGGTATATCTTTGAATTACTATAGTTCTATTGCTTTAAAGTGATTGCATTGCCTCTTGTTCTTTTAATTCTTTTGTAATCCTTGCCAACTCCTCCCTCACAGAATCACCATTGGGATCGTTCATGTCCATCCTCTTTATTTCTCGGCCAGACTCGTTGTACTCTATGACCACCGATCCATTGACTGGGCCATTGTATGATGTAAAATAACCTTCAACTTTGACCTCTCCAATGTTTGATGGATCATCTCCAAAAGATTCAACTGCACTACCACCCTTTCGACCAACCATATTTTTGATGCTTTTGAGCTTCTTGAAACAATAGAGAACCAAGAGATTGAAATGATGGAACAAGAGCATCTTGCATTGATGGTTCTTTTACAATGACAACCACTTGCATCCCTATAGAGAGATCGCGTTGACATCTGTAATAAACTTGTCATATTGTTCTGGTGTCTGGGATAGTTGTAAAAGTTAAATGGAAAGGCATCCAGTCCATACACGGGGTTGTACGGATCGAATACCCATAGATTGATACCAGAGTCTATGTATTTACCATTCACGTGGGTACAGTTGCCACCTTCATAATCAAATTGTGATTGTGTCTTGCTCAATGTTACCAGTGTTACGTCGATAGTGATAATTTCTGTTGATGTTGTTGTTATTGCTGAGTGAGTTGAGCTGGACTGTGTTAAGTTCATGATTGTTGTTTAGAAGTCAATGATCGTGTGAATGCAAAAAAATATCGCAGTGCGATAAATAAATGAAAATTAATTGGTAATAATACCATGACCAGTTGATTTATAATTATTATTAAATGTAGTAGTCTATATATATATTATATAGCAATGTAAGGTATAGGGTTAGACCCAAACCATATGATCAGTCTATTGAAAGAGTTTAATTATCCATGGTAGCATTAATTATTAATTAATTATATTAAAAAAAGATTACATCTTTTGTTGGTACTCGAGTCTAATCAACACAGATTTGTCTGTTTGAACCTATTCCTTTATATATTATCATTTACACCTTGAGATGTAGTAATCTTTCCAAAAGACTGTGTCCGACATTGACTGATGCCATTATCAAGGTAAGATCTTGATCAAGATCTTGGTGATTATTATTATTATTGTTGATTTTGCTTAATCCTCTTTGTTTAGATTGTAGTTATAGATATCTTTAAAAGGAAAAAGAATCTAGGTACAACTCGGCAACACCAATCCATTTGATGGTGTTTGGATTGATAGCAATAGCAAGAACATTAAAATGATGTCATTTGGTTCATTTGATCCAAATAATCCACCATATCTACCAATGGTCAATACACTGTCATTGATCTTCAAGCCTATTATGACTCTACTCTTGGACAATACGCATTTGAATCATCCGTCTCTTTTGCAGGATCCTGTGTTAGCAATGCCACCATCTCTACTGTCGTCATTTTTGGTGTCTCTGAACCTGTATCCAGTGTATATGTTGATGGCATTCCAAGTACCGCCTATACCTATACCGCTGAATACCAATCACTCTCTATTAATAACCTTGTCCAATCAATCACTTCTACTAATCTTATCACTTGGAATTAATCTCGTTGAAAAAATAAAATAAAATATAAATATTCATTTTATCACAAGTGCTACCTTGGTCTTGCCGCCAAATTTTTATTGTTTTTTTTTAAAAAATAAACTCTGTCGAGATCTTCATGGTTTGAGAGGCCATTGTCAAAAGTTGAAGGCTGTGAACAGGGGGCTGAAGGAGCTCAAAGGGGTGCCTTTTGATGATGGCCATCCACAAAAACAGTTTTTTCTTGGGGCGATATATATTTATCATGGGCCAAATCATTCTGTGCATAGACTCTTTATTATATTGGTTCATTGTGCCCCCCTCTACCCTCATTAATAGACTGGTGATTGCTCGGGCATGATTAAATCAACCAACAATACATTTTAGCTTTTGTAATTTTTTTTTTTTTTTAGTTTCTTTCTCTCCTATTGTACCTTGCCACCTTGGGTCAAAGAGGAGAGATGTTACAAAAAATAGAAAAGAGAGAGAGATAGTATTAGAACGTTTGTATAAATATATATATCAATGACAAATATATTAAAAACTAAAAAATCAGCTGCTATTATTAAAGAAAGGAACCAGAGATTAAGAGTACTTTCAACACAACCCAAAAAGATGGTAGCTGCTGACATACCAATTAAAAAGGAGAAAAAGGTATCTCCAACATCAGAAACATCTGCATCCTCTCGTGAAGTTCCAAAAGGTTTCGACATGATGGAATGTTTTACAAAAAAAAAAAGTAATTACTTTTATATTTAAATATGATAATACCAAATTTCGACACAATCAAATCAAACGTTTTTTTTACTTACAATGTTTTTGTATCTCTCTCGACTCTGATAATATTATTTTTATTTTATAAATAGATCACCTTAGTAAATCGGATGTGGGCAAATGTGCTAAAATCGGTTCCCAATATTATCTCATTGTCAACGAGTACTGGCTCGGGTTATTAGCAGACCACCTGGCTTCCATGAAAAAGGGCTCCTCCTACCTAGGTCCATATCACACTTACCTCTCAGAGTGTATCAAGAAGTTCTCGATCGAGCTGCACCTGTTGGACGGCCATCCCTTTTTAAGAGGCAAGATCATATGCTGTGGCATTTTCAGAGACCCCAACCAATCAATCTTCCCCGCCTATCCACGCGTCATGGCTGAATGCGTTCGTCGATGCATCCTATCCCTCCATCCAGAACGTTGCCTTCGAAGATCTATCCCAATGTATGTCTCTTACCCTGAAATGGGGAGGGTTTGCCTCGATGTATCCTATTTAATGAAGAGATGCCAGCTGCCAACACCCGAACATTCAGATGCAATTGATGATCCTCTTTCGGGCATTTGCCACGAAAGAAGGAGTGACATTGACATAGCCAGAGCCATGGCAAACCAAATGAATTCGGGTCAAGAGGGTGAAGAGGAGGAGGAGGAGGAGGAGGAGGAAGAGGAAGAGGAAGATGAAGAAGAAGAGGAGGAGGAGGACGAAGAGGAGGAAAAGGAAAAACCTCAACCCAAGAATGAAAATAATCCACTCCTTCAAATGCAACAACAATTCCTTCAAATGCAACAACAAATTGCCCAACTCACAACTAATCTGAATCACCAACTTCAAATTAATCAACAACAACTCCACCAATTTAATCTACAACCTCAACAACAACCTCAACAACAACAACAACAACATGCTGACCAACATCAATATAATCAATTCAGCCAAATGCCAATGACTTGGTGACAAACAGCGCATTGTTTGTCCTCGTGATCTTAATATTTGTTCATTCATCTCTGAAATTGTAAACAATTAATTTAAATACCAATAAATTATAATTCTATTTTGATCAACACAAACAATCATTTGTGATCTTGAGTATCTTCAGGTAACCCTGGCTCGATTTCGAACATATATTTTTTTGAGCCCAATGTTCTGAGGCGATATATATCGCCCCAAAATTTTTTCAATTTGCCCTCGACTAGTTCGTGATCAACAACAATCTATCATTGAGATGTTTTCAAGTACATACAGATTGTTTTTTTAGTTTTATTATTTTATTATAGACTTATTTGTTCATAATATTGGACATTAATCAACAATATTATAGAAACGTTAAAACGATGCAACAAAAAAATAGTTTAAAAACACTTACAATACAAAAAATAGTAAATGAACGCAATATGAGACAATCAACACCTCCAAAGGGATTTGATGTCGTGGAAGTAAAGTCATCGGGTTGGTTTACTCAAATATTTATACACACACACAGCTTGATCAATGACTAATATTGTTTATCTTCTTCTTCTTCTTCTTCATTCTTTTATTAAATATAGGGACATCAACGATAGCAGTATCAGATTTTGGCAAATGTATTAAAATCAAGAATATATATCATCTCATTGTCAATGAATCTTTACTAGTGATGCTCGCAGATCACTTGATCAAGCGTCCCAAGGTACGTGGCGTCGAGACGTACCTAGAGAAATGTATCAAGATATTCTCGATAGAGCTGCACGTGTTGGATGACCTTCCCTTTCTGTCAGGCCATATTGTGTGTACTGGTAAGTTTCAGTCTCCCGATCAATCTATATTCCCGGCCTACCCTAGTGTGATGGTCGAGTGCGCCCGTCGCTGTATATTGTCAATGCATGGCGACCGTTGTTGGAAAAGATCAGTCTCTCTCTATGTATGTTATCCCACATTCCGACGAACCTGCCAAGACCTCAACTACCTCAAGGAAAAGCGCCACATATCTCTTGCCGATCTTTCAAAGGACGATCCGCTCTACGGAATCTGCCGCGAGCGCGAGCCAGATACACCACTCTTTAAAGCCATCCACAACGATTTCCCCATTCCCACCAAAACACAAGATGATGAAGATGACCAAGACGAAGAAAATAGCGAGGACGATGATGATGATGATGATGATGATGACGAGGAAGAACAAGAGGACCAACAAGAAGAAACGAAAAAGAAAAAACGACCATCCAAACTATTAAAAACAAGCTCACCTAAACTTGCAGACAGCAAGACCAAAGATCCAGATCCAACAATAGAAACAACAACAACACCAACTGTAAATCAACAACTTATGGAAAGCAGTTCGATGATGCAATTTTTCCAACAACAATTTATTGCACTGCAAAGCCAAATCACCCAACAAATCACCCAACAAATATCAGAACAACAACGACTCCAAATCAACCAACAAATGTCAGACCATCAACGACTACAAATCAACCCTAACCACCAACCAAATCAATTGCCAGATCAACAAAGACTCACAGATCATCAACAACGACCTCAAATCAACTCTAATCACCAATCAAACCAATTACCTGATCAACAGCGACCACAAGCCAACCCTAATCACCAATCAAATCAAATGCCATATTCTCAACCAACACTTCCTCCACCAAGTTCCATACCGGTAAACCCCCTTCCTCCACGATACCCACCATACAATCACCATAGTTATCCACCACCACCACCACCACCATCAATCCCTACATCAGATGCACCCCATTACTCTCATCAACAATCGATACCTTTACTGCCACAAAGTAATCAACAAAATTTCAACAACAAACCTAGCCCACATTTTATTCAGCAATCACAACACCAACAACATCCTTTTGTTGACAAAAACATTCCAAAAGATAATTTACCAAAACATCATTATTATTAATAAAAATGTAGATGTCAAAGGATGTATAAAGTTTCACACAATGTAGACAAGAAAATGAAAATAGATATTATTATTATTACAGATGATGGTTTCACAATTCTCATTTTGAAGTTGAGATAATGGTCAATTGGAAGAAATCTCTTTTAATTGGATTGCTTTTGAAACTAGCAACTAAATAAATAAAAACTATAGTTTATTTAAAAAAACTATTTTTATTTTTAATCTAATTTGGCTGTGTTGGTAATTGTTGTTGTTGTTGGGAATTGATGATGGAATCAAACCTTTTCAAAAATTTGATTCAAATTGTTGGAACAATTGGGAAATTTGTGTTGCATCTAGATGTGCCAGATCTGGTTCAGGTTTTTTAGATACTGGAAGAGGAAGTGAAGGAGGAGTAGGAAATGAAGAAGAAGGAGAAGAAGAAGAAGGAGGTGGAATTATATTGGTGGTTTTTATAACTTTGGGTTGCATTTTACTCAAAACCTTTTGCATAGGTGGAGATGGAGGAGTAGGAGATCTTTTTTTGGTGTATTGTTTGTTTTCTTTATAATATTGTTCCTCCTCCTCTTTGTCGTCATACTCTTCTTCTTGATCATCATTTTCTTCTTCCTCTTCCTCTTCCTCTGAATCCTCTTCTTGTCCATCATGTCTTTGTTTAACCTTTGTAGAAGTATTATTGATTGCTTGCTCTAATGAAATTCTACGGTGTTGTTCTTGACAAATCCCAAATAGTGGATCTTGTTCAAAGGGAACGCTGATTTTGATGTGATCGAGTTCATTTAAAAAGTAGAGATCCTGGCAACATCGACGCAATGATGGGTAGGACACATAGAGAGAGATCTGACGTTTCCAAATCTTGTCTCCATAGAGGGGTAGAATGCAGCGTTGGGCTACCTCGGTCATTACACTGTGGTTGGCTGGGAATATTGAATGTTGGGGGAATCTCTCGAGCTTCCCCGTCCCTACGATTCGGCCAGAAAGAAAAGATATTCTATCTATACAGTGTAACCTAATGTGGAATTCTTTGGCGCATTTGTGTGTGGGTCGGGCGTTGGATCGCTGGCGTCCCAAAAAAGTTTACAAGCATTCGCCCTTGCAGGGCTCATTATATATTAAATAAGTTAAAATAGTTAATTTATTTTTAGAAATATATATTTTTATTGTATTTTATTATTTTTGAGAATTAATTATTAACTTTTAATATTTTGGATAGAATTATAAAGGTTAAAAAAGTTAAGATTATTTTAGAAAAATAGAAAAATATTGGTTTGATTTTAGATTTTGGATTATAAATTCATAATTTTAACCATAATTGGATTGAAATTATATGCAAACATAGCTCATAGAAAATGGATCAATGGAAAAAGATTGGTTGGCATCACAAGGTATTCCACTTCCATCACTATTTTGGATTATCAATTGTCCATCTAACATACAACAGATTCTACATGGATGAATAAATAAAGTTGGAGATTGTTTTTGGTATGTTGACACTGTGACTATTTGAATATTGGGAGGTCTAAATCTTTCAGGAATAAAAACATCAGTATATACTTCTGAAGCTGTAGTTTGCATTGTCAAGGTTGGAGGTGAATCAACACAGAGTGTAACCAGTTTACCAATTCTTACGATATGGATTTGGTTGTATGAATAGACATACAAAGTTGAAATATAACATGGATTGGATGATAAACGAGAATGCTTTAGTGAGAGTGGTTCTAGCAATTACAATAGACAAAACATTGATTATCAATGTTGTATGTAATAGGTTGAATGTTATTGTCATCATAGAATGTTGGTATATTAAATATAAATTGCTGTTATCGTTCAAAGTTGAGCTGAATATATAGGACCTCTATCTATAATAGAAGACTACCCTCTTTAGTAGTACTAATCTTTGTTCACATAAGACAAAGTATCCATCACAACAACATCATGTTTTCTATTATCTCACGGCATCTCTTTTAATCATAACATGTATAATGCCAAGACAATAACAGAAATTGCATCACAAAGCGATTTCAAACGATGGTCAGCAAAACAAGTAAAAGAATGGGCTACAAAAGAAGTTCAAGTAAGAGAAGAATATGCCCAGATGCTTCTTGATAATGATGTAGATGGAGAAAGTATCGCAGTGTTTACAGAGGCTGATTTTAGTAAATGTGGCATAGTCGTAGCACCTGCAAAGAAGCTCTATCTGGCTGTTCAACAACTTTTAATTAAACAACAACAGCAGCAACAACAATCGCTATCGCATCAACACAGCAGCAGTAGAGGTAAGTAATGATAACTATGCATCTATCTTCTATTTAACCACTCATATTCGTCTTGCACATGATTGTCATTCGTCAGATTCCCCCACCACCCCATCATGATACTCTTTGCTTTACTTTAGTTACTGGTGGTGTTGTGGTTCAAGTCATCTGTTAATCACACCATCAACCCTAATATTAAAGTCTTGTGTTATCATCACTCACCCATTAGACATTCTAATGATTTTTATTTATATAAAATAAAACCACCATTTTTTTAATAATTATAATATAATATTTTTTTTTCTTGGAGTCTGATGATAGAAGCACCATACCGCAGAATCAGCAGCAGCAGTGTTATTATGTATTTCTGATACCTTTTATTTGTTCTTTTTTTTTGCCATTTATTCATATATTTCATATTTATCTATTCATCAGTTAAAGAGACACCAGTATCTTGTACATATATATTCATTCCCTCTCTTTTTTCACTCCTAGTATTTTAATTTATAAATATATATCCGCCATATAACATTCCTTACCACATTTGCTCATTTATTGCCTTTTTATCCTTATTTCTTTGACATTAATTCATATATTATCTCTTGTACTCTAACACTCAACCACCAAAAGAAGAACAAATGTCTGGCACTCGTAAGTTATATTTGGAACAAAAATAGTTATTAATAAGAAATTGACCATTTTTTTTGTTTCAGACAATCCCAACCCTATACAGGACAAATCAAAGACTTGGGAACAGTGGAATATTGAAGAAGTGTATGGATGGGCAAAAAATCAATCCGATGGGGAGGACTATGCTCAAGCATTGAAAGATCAATCCATCAAAGGGCAGTTTTTGAAAAATCTTACCTTTGCAAGATTAACTCAGTCAGACGGTCCCTATAAATTCAAAGATGGTTCTGCCTATTCTCTTCTTGAATCAATCGAAAAGCTCACGAAAAGTATGTACAAATTAATCCCAAATCAATATGTGTGTGTGGACACTAAATTTCCTCTCTTTTTTTTTTTGTTAGGTACTCCAGCCGATGCTCCTCAAGGTAATATAAACACAATTTTATTCATATTTCATTAAATTTATATTTTATCAACAACTTTTGTTTCCATTTTAACATTCCATCGGATATTGCACTACATTCTCCTCTTTCAACTATTACCTTTTTTTCACCCATCTCCTTTCCTTTTGACCACTTGACACTTGCCTCATTATTGGCCAGTCTATTTCTTACACCAACCAAACACCATCACCAATCAATGCACCACCCATCTCTTTCCTTTTAACCACTTTCGAACCAACCAAACACTAAACATTTGCAATTTTGTTTTGTTTGTTCATATTTTATATCATCGACCTTTTGTTCATTGATATATTTATAATCCTTTGATCCAAATCAAATACCATTGCCCATTCACCAAGCTACACTCACTCTTTATCACTCGACAACCTTTTATTTTTATCAACCATCTCCTTTTCCATCTTATCCACTACTTTTGTCAAACATACCTAATTGCTACACCAACCAATCACCATCATTCAAATCTAGTCATTTTGTTTTGTTTGTTTGTTCTCACATTACAGGCCTTCACTTGCCTCAGTGTTGTTGGTCAATCCATTTCCAACCATTCCTAATATTATCAACCAGTATTAATATCACTGGACACTCAAAACCTCTACCTTTTATTAGTTTGTTTCACTCACCTATCCGGTTAACAACACTTCCTATATCCATCAAATAATTAAAAATCACTATCATTGCTCCTCTTTTTTGCACCATTTCTTTTGATTATCTTTTTTTTTTCATTACCAATGCACCACCCATCTCTTTCCTTTTAACCACTTGCTTCATTGTTGTACAACCAAACATTTGTCATTTAGTTTTGCTTGTTCATCTTTACATATCATTGACCTCTTGTGTTCGTTGATATATTTATAATCCTTTGATCCAAATCAAATACCATTGTCCATTCACCAAGCTACACCACTCTCTATCGCTCTACATCCTTTTATTTTTATCACCCATCTCTTTTTCCATCTTATCCACTACTTTTGTCAAACATACCTAATTGCTACACCAACCAATCACCATCATTCAAATCTAGTCATTTTGTTTTGCTTTGTTTGCTCTCATATTACAGGCCCTTCACTTGCCTCATTGTTGTTGGTCAATCCATCTCCAACCGTTCCTAATATTATCAACCAATCACCATTAATATCACTGGCTATATTCACTAAAATCCCTCCACCTTTTGTTTGTTGGTTTGATTCACATCCAGTGGACAATACTTTCTTGTTTCATCAGATAATAAAAAATCACTATCATTGCTCCTCTTTTTAAGCCATTTCTGTTGATTATCTTTTGGTTTTTATTCATCAATGCACCACCCAGCTCTTTTAATCTATTCATTACCAATTACCCATCTTTTCCTTTTACCCACTTGCCCCATTGTACTTCTAACCATTGTCGAACCAACCAAACACTAAACATTTGCCTCATTGTTGTTGGTCAATCCATCTCCAACCATTCCTAATATAATTATAATTATTATATCAACCAATCACCATTCATATTTCTATCAGATGTTACAATCACTATCATTGCTCCTCTTTTTAAACCATTTCTTGTTGATTATCTTTTGGTTTTCATTATCCCCACTCCCATCTCTTTTCCCTTTTAACCACTTGCCTCATCTCCACATAGGCAACAATTTTAAATACATTTCATTTACCTTTACTGCAATATATCTAACCATTCTTTGTTTTCTTTTTCTTTTTCTTTTATTTCTTGTTGCAAACCTTTTAGTGTCTGAAAAGAGAATACTCGAATTCCTGGAGTGCCAAGGCAACAAAAAAAAAAAAAAAGTCATTGTTGGTGAACAATGTAAGTCAAACGATCAATAATAACTAGTGTTTTACTAATTTCTTGCTTTCTTAGTATACTATCAAGATCAGGAAATAGTTGAAACTGTAAAGAAGCGAAGAGTTATTGGATACTTCAATAGTTCAGGGGGAGCATACTCTATCCCTGAAGACTCTTTTTCAAAGTCAATCCACAAAGGCAGATTTTCCTTTAATGAAAAACAAGTCAAGATTGTGGACAGAGGCATCTCAAAAAAGCTTCAAGACTTCATTTCCTCTTCTGCCAGAGATTGCAAGAGAGGGGTGTACATACAAGGTCCACAAGGATTCGGAAAATCTCATTCAATCTATCAAGCAGTATATCTGCTTCGACTGAAGCCCAAAAACATCGTGATATATATCCCTGATTGCCAGGGATGGGCAGAATCGAACAATGCCTATTCATTCCTGATATCCTCAATGGTTCATGCTGCCTCATTTGCCCAAGACTCTACACTCTCTAATTTTTTGTGTAGCCAGACTATTCCACAATCACTTGCTTCATTGAAAGAACTCATCACCCAGGCCACAAAATTGTGGTTGGATGCTGAACATCAAGTGTATTGGGTTTTCGATCAACACAATGGCTTGACAGATTCACAAAGAAAAGAGTCCCCCTATTGCATCATTGAAAGCTATCTTGCTGGAGCTATGGAAACATATGGCCAAATGGTGGTTGTGTCGTCTGCATCAGCAAATAATAACTATTATTTCACAGTCGCTCATAAAGAATCTTGGCCTGTTTTCCAATTTTGTGATGGCTTCACCAAAGAAGAGTGTTTGGCATACTTGGGCATACATAATGTCATTGTGTCTGAAGATGACCTTGAAACTGTCAATCTTTATACAAACTTTATCCCGTAAGATAGGCTTCTTTTTATATTTATAACAAATAATCGCTAACCAACTTTGGTACTACTTTCTAGATTAGATCTGTCGATCTGGATCAAACAGTTGGAAGGACCTTTTTCCTCCAAAAAATACATCAACAACGATGATATCATCCTGTCACTCGACAATTTCGATGCTGCAAGATCCGCACAAATCGGGCCATTAGACATTTTCTATCGCAAAGAATACTTACAGGACCCAGAAGACCTAAAATCTTTTACCAGATCAGTAGTAGCAATGGCATTAAAGGTATAGTATTTATTTAAAAATATTCATCGTACGATATTTATATTTACCTGATTCTCTATTAGATTCCTATTGAACCCCCACACTTCATTAACCAACAACTTATGTTTGTCAAAGACAAACATGTTTATGGTATTACAAAAGTAGCGGAAAGTATACTTGAGGAGCGTTATATGGGTTCTGTTGTGTATAAAGAGTTACTCGATCATTTTTATAACCTTATTTTCAGAAACAGTTTGGAGTTTACAGAGGATCTCCGCGGCAGAGTTGTAGAGAAATACATTATTGACTCTATTATTGAAGCAAAAGCTTTCAAAATATCATGTTCAAAGATGTTTTACAATATCGATTACAAAAAAGAGGAGAATGTGACAAAACTTTTATCAACTGGGATGGACTGGCAAGGTCTTGAAGCACAGAAACTCAAAACAGACAAACTCAAAGCTTACCGTTGGGGTTCACCATATAACGAGATTATCGTACCATCGGCCTCCAACTTTCCACATGTTGACTTCTTCTTGTGGACGGACCTGTCCTCACTGCATGTCAGGTCACCGTTGCGGCTACACACAAGAACGAATGGGAGGATTCCGAAATATTTGGTTTAATTAAAAGAATGTTACCCCCAGGTACCAAAACAAACTTTTTGTGGATAGCCGATCGACGTTTAAATGTCAACAAAGAATCTTTCAATAACCAGTTTATTGTATATTTGGACGAGATAACCAACAACAACAACAATTTGAAACTTCTCGATTTTTTTGTTTCAAAGAGTGAATAGATATTGGTATTAATTGGTGGACCAAATTTAAATAAATTATTGAATCAACAAGAAGTAGAACCAATATAAGTGGGTTGAAAGTGTGGCGCTTCAAATCAATGGATTTTGAAGCAGTGTGGATGGAAGTGCTATATTATTATTATTTTTTGGGGAAGCGGTGTATCAATAATCAATGGATTATTAAAAGTGGTGGACCAACATCGATTCATTCAACAGTGGTTGGGAAAACGGACCGCCTCTAATCATTCGTGCCAAAGTTCTTCATTGTATCAAGTAAAAAGCAATGGAACTTTGTTAATATTTAAGTTTATTTAATTTTATGAAAAGAATCATGATAGCTATGGTTGATCTATCACAAAATAATACAAATAAAGATTAATATTATATTAATCAAACTTGATTCTTTAAAATGGTATACCATTGTATCTATTAATAGCAAACCACATGTTTGATGCTTGATCAATAACTTTGTTTACTTTATGATAGCGAAATTTTGAGATTAATTATTCTATCATAAAGACCTTTGATCTTCCACCAATCTTTTGTTGCTGTTCTGTTTGTTTTGCTTGATTTACTTGATTTGCTTGAATTGTTCTTTCCAATTCCAAAAGATTCTTTTCTTTCATTTCATTGTTCATATCTATAATTGATTGTAATTGTTCATCTATTTGTCTTGTATTTTCATACTTGCCTTCCAATTCTTGTATTCTCTTTTCTGTCAACTTTTGATTGTAAAGTATTTCCATTGATCTATCATCTTTTTCTTGTCTTCTCTTTAATTTCTCCTCCTTTGCTTCAAACAACATTGACAATCTCTTTTCCAATTGATCAAATCTATCATTTTCTTTTTTTACTATTGGTATCTCTTGTTTTACTTGAATATCATCTTTTGTTAGATCAATAATCTTTTTCTTTGTTTCTTTATCCAATTCTTGTTGATTCTTGAGTACAGACTCTCTAAAGTTGGCATCCTGTATTGATTTGATCATGGCAACTTCATTTGGATTTGACCAAGCCAATACAGGGCTGCTTTCTTTAGAGAGTTGCTGTTGTTGTTTCCTCTCATCATCTAATGCTTCTCTAATCAACTTTCTAATCAATTTTTTATCATTCTTTTTTGATCTAATGTAAACTCTATCTACTCCATGTTGTATGTATCGTCCTCTTTTATCTTTTAATCTTAATGGTCTCTGTTTTTGCTTCTTACCTCCAATCATCATCTTGTATTATTATACAATATAATTATATTTAAAACTTCATAATCATTTTATTCTTTATAATATCTGATTCTTTAATACTATTTATAGGTTGTTGTTTTATCTCTTTCTCTACAACTTCATCATTTACAATTAAATTATTTTTTTGTTGATGAACATTTCAATGAGAGATTCCATTTTTTTATTCATTTGTTCAAAGTCTTTTTTATTATTATCTATTACTATTCTTTTCTTTTTAACAGTAGCTTTGTTGTTTATTCTTTTCTTTGTATTATCATTATCAGAATCATTATCCGAATCCGAATCACTATCATAGATTATAATTGATTTTTTCTCGCATCACGTGCTTTTTTTAGATTTAGAGCAGATGTAATTGATCTTTTATCTTTTTTTATATCTTGATCCATTCTCTTTATTATATATATATAGAGTAATTTATTATATTACTATTTTTACACTACTTTTATAATACTTTTTCACTACTTTATTTAAAGACAAAATAGCGACAGCAAATCACTTTTATTAGAGTAATAGTAAATTTTAATAATTTTATAATAATGTTTTACTAATTATATATAAAAGTATGTTGATTACACATAAAAAAATATTCTATATAAATTCACATAATAGAATCAGTGGTACTAATTCTAAATTTAAATATAATATTATATATTATCCTCAAGACAGATTTGACAGAGTTGCATAATTACAAGCGACAATACCAAAATCATTTTATACAGTTGGAAGAGGATTAAATACTTTTGAATTGATAGAAGATGATCAATCAACTATTATTTCTATCCCTGTTGGTAATTATTCAAGAAAATCATTGCAAGACACATTGGAAAAGCAATTGAATGCATTGTCACCAAACAATGTAAAGTATGCAATCGGTTGGCCGACATCACAACAACCAAATACTGGTAAATATATTTTTACTTGTGCATCAACAAGAGATATTCAACCAATCTTTTCTTTTACTAATCAATTATTTCGTCATTTAGGTTTTAATAAAGATTCAAAAAATCCATTCAAGAATAATATTTTGGAATCAACCAATGTAATCAACTTACAATCTGACAATGTATTGTTTATTCATTCAGATTTATGTAGCAATGGAGATGATGATATATTACAAGAGGTTTATTCTGCAGCTGGTAATGCAGATTTTTCAAATATTCATTGGCAAAACTATGATGTTGAATCATATAGTAAACAATTGGTATCAAATACAAAGACAAGCTTTACCATTTATTTGACAGATCAAGATGGAAATGAAGTAAATTTAAATGGTGTAAATATCAATCTGACATTGATTTTATTCAAACATAATGACATCTCACAATTGGTAAGAGAATATATAAATTATTTATTGGTTAAAGAAAAAGAATCATTAACAGTTGTTGATGAAATTTAATTTTAGATATATAGAATATATAGAATTAAAAAAATGGAACAAGCAATTTCAAATCAATTTGATTATCGACAAATGGTTGGATCAGGACCACAATATGAATACACTAGAGTATATCCTCAAGCTGGTGCAACTCAAACAACAGTTTATCAAGGAGGAAATGACACTATATTTGAAATACCACCAACCAAAGCATTCAATTTAAGTAGGTCATGGTTTTCATTTACATTTACATTACCTGCAACAAATAACAAGTTTGGATTTGTATTTACAGATTTTACTCCATTCTTTAGACAGATACAGGTATTTACAAGAGGTGGTACATATTTTATGGATCATACCAACTTTCATTTACATTTCTAAATGGTGACCAAGATCAACAAAAAATTAAATAATACACTCAACACTTTCAACTCTGCAGTAAATACAGCAAATCAATCTTATATTCCTTGTTATTCTTGTAACACTTTGGTAAATATGAATCCAAGATATGATGGCACTTCATGTGATAGAGCATTTACTGTACCAGACTATTTATCTTCAGGCTTTGCGGCCAATACAGCAGTTAATTTAAATGTAACCATTCCATTCAACGAATTATACGAATCCATTTTATCATTGGACAAGGATATTATGTTGAATGAAACATTATTGGTTAGATTTGTTTGGTCAGAATTACCAAATATTGGTTTTGGTGCAGATGCCTCTCTTACTCCCCAAACAAACCCAGTTGCTTTAACTGCTCCTGCTGGACCCAATGTACAAGGTATGGAAATACATTTAGCAGTTGAAAAGAGATTTGATATTATTCAAAATTTACAACGATTGCAAGCTCAGAAGGTTTCTCTTTACTTATTCCTTATTGTTATACTACAACAGCATCACTTACAGGTACAAATCAGCCGGTATCATTAAGATTAAATAGACTAAATGGTATTACTTTGGAAAGAATTTATCATAGTTTATTTGTTACTGCTTCAGTTGCAAACTCTGCCATCTACAACAACAATGTGGCTGCGACAAATTTGGAACATTTTTACACCAATATTAATAATACAAGGCGAATGCAATACGATTATTATCCAATTGTAAATGATGATTATAAAGCATTGCGAGACAAATTGATAGATTCAACAATTCAAACACCAAATATTCACAACTATAATTGGTGTTGGTTGGATAGATTTGATGATGGATCATTTGGTTTGTTAGATGAAAATATTGTTTCTGGTATTGATTTAAATCTAGGAGAGGTTAAATGGGATTTTATTGCATTTTTAAGTGTTGCAACCAATCTTACTCATCAATCAACTGTGGTATGTAAAAGAAGATTAGTTATTACTTCAAATGGATTGACATTAATGTAAATATTATTTATTCATTATTAAATAATATATAGGAAAATGAAATTCAACAAACAGACAATTATTAAAACAATCCCAATTAGTGGTATCATTCCTGGTGGTCATGCAAGGTTGATGGTTCAAATTAATTTAGATTTTGTTCCAGATCTTATTACATTAAAACTCTATAGTTTGGATGGAACACTTCATATTGGGGATGTGTACACAATTAGAACTTCATTGATTAGTGACAACAACCTTTTTTCCTTTTCAAAAATATCCACCACCAATTGTAATTTACATTTTACAAACAAAAGTGGAGCCATTATACAAGGAGCTTATTATTTTGAATGTGTGGATCAAAACAACAATTATTTGGAAAATGGATTGGAATTTGCAGCTGTATTTCAATTTACCAAATTTTAAATCAACATATATATAAAAATGATAAAGCTAACAAAAATCAATAATGTCATTGTGGAACCAATCAAATTACCACAACCACCAAAAAATGTAAAAGGATCAGAATTATTTAATCAATTAAATGCAAATATATTGGTATGTGCTCCAAAGAATAGTGGCAAGACTGTTGTTATTAAAAAGATTATAGATGAATGTACTAATAAACAAACCAATGTTTTAATTTTTTGTGCGACAGTTCACAATGATCATAGTTGGTTGGAAATTCAAAAAGATTTGGATAAAAGAGGAATAACATTTATGGCATTTACAAGTATTTATGATGACAAGGCAAATGTGTTGGAAGCATTTATTCAAAGTTTACAAGTAAAACCAAATGAAAATAGTAAATCATTGATATTGACCAATAATATTGTGGCAGAGAAATCATCATCAAAAAAAGAAGTGGCACCAGATTATTTAATTATTTTTGATGATTTATCAAATGAATTAAAAGATCCAAGTATTACCAAACTAATGAAGATTCAAAGACACTTTTCAACCAAGATTATTATTAGTACTCAATCATGGAAAGACACTTCATCACATATTCGAAAAGGTAATTTGGATTATGTTTTGCTATTTAAAAATATACCAACAGAAACATTAAAAATCATTTATGAAGAACTATCACTGACAATTCCTTTTAAATTATTTATAGAGATTTATTCATTTTCAACCAAAGAGAAATATCATTTTCTTTACACAAGTAGAAATGGAGATTATAGAAAGGATTTCAATTTACAACTGGAAATTAAAATATAGATTTAAATATATATAAAGAAAAAATGAGCAGAAGGGTATGGATTTCAAATGATGGAGCTTGTATTCACACAGGTTTGGGTGGCCAACAAGGAGATGGATTTGGAGATTGGTTTAAAAAAGCATACGACTTTGTAAAAGAAAACAAATTAATATCACGAGGAGCAAAGGCACTTGGTGATGCTGGTGTTCCTTATGCTAGCAAGATTGGAGAGGTTGCAGACAAATTGGGTTATGGAAAAAAACCAAGACGAAAAAGAACACAAGCTGGAGGAACGCAATATGGAATTAATGGTGGAGCCAAGAGAAAAAGAGGACCTAGAAAAAAGTAATATATTAAATATTGATTAACAATTAATATAAAAAGAAAAATGACAGCAAGATTTGTAGATTTATTAAATGAATTTGAAGATGTGGCCATTGGACAAGTTGATGAATTGACAATTACAGATCAACTGGTACTGGAAAACACAACAAATCAAATTATTTTTGGAGATTTGCAAGTAATTTTAAATGTAGATACAACATCACAATCTACAATAGACATACCAAGTATTGGATCAAAAAAGGTTGCTCAAGTGGTATTGACAGAAATAGATCAAACAATTAATGGACACAAGACATTTAGTGATAGTTTAAAAGTCGACAAATCAATTGAATCAAATGAAATGAAAACAAATACAATTACTCCTCAATCGGGTGTAGGTATTACTATTAATGGAACAACAACAGTAAATAATCTTGAAATAAATGGAAAGGTTAGCATGCAATTACTGGATATTGCCAACATAGAGTGTGAATCTCTTGCAACAAACAAAACTACTGGAGAAACAATTAATATTGCAGCAATCAAATCATTATTTATCAATGCACCATCTGTAGAAACAAACCAGTTATCATTTGTCAATCTAATTCCAGGTTATATTCCAACACCACTGGATTTCTATGAATATTATACGCACTGGGTTCAATTTAAATACAATCTATCTGGAGGATCATATGTTTATTCATACAACCAAATCCATATCGTAAGAATTGGTAAACTAGTTACACTGTGTGTTGATTCACCTCCAACCTTTACAATGCATGCAACAGCTCAAGCTTCAGAAGTATACACTGATATTATTATTCCTGAAAGATTTAGACCTCCCAATATTCAAATAGTCACAGTGTCAACATACCAAAAACAATCTCCAACTTTATTTATCCATCCATGTAGAATCTGTTGTATGTTAGATGGACAATTGATAATCCAAAATAGTGATGGAAGTGGAATACCTTGTGATGCCAACCAATCTTTTTCCATTGATCCATTTTCTATGAGCTATGTTTGCATATAATTTCAATCCAATTATGGTTAAAATTATGAATTTATAATCCAAAATCTAAAATCAAACCAATATTTTTCTATTTTTCTAAAATAATCTTAACTTTTTTAACCTTTATAATTCTATCCAAAATATTAAAAGTTAATAATTAATTCTCAAAAATAATAAAATACAATAAAAATATATATTTCTAAAAATAAATTAACTATTTTAACTTATTTAATATATAATGAGCCCTGCAAGGGCGAATGCTTGTAAACTTTTTTGGGAGCACCAGCGATCCAACGCCCAACCCACACACGCATTTGGCCAGGTAGCTCTTGAGGCCTGGGGCAACCCAACGTTGTAACAAAAATTCAGAGATCATTTCTAAAAAGGATTCATTAACAATTAGATAGTATATCCCATCCCTCAACAAACATTTTCCCCAATAAGAAACTGGTAATGCTGTATTACCTAAAAAAAAAAAAGAAAAAAAAAAAAAAGAAAAAAAAAAAAAAGAAAAAAAAAAAAAAGAAAAAAAAAAAGGTTAGTAAATATGAATTATAATGGTTTAAATTTATAAATAAATATAATTAAAAAATTATGGTTAGATTGATCAACCATTTTGTTGAACAGATGTAAATCCATTTGGAGGTTCTTTTTTGAGGGTTTTATATTTTTTTTGCATATTTAAAACTGGAGTTTTACAGCTACTAGTACTAGTAGGATGAGGATGATATTTATCACTATTAAACATTTTTTACGCAATGATTACTTTACATGATTTCTAGTTGCTTTAAATAACCTCGCAAAAAGGTTTTAAATCTAAAAAAAGTATACTTGCTTGTTTTAAAAAAATTTAAATTGACTTCTAAAAGATCTGGAAAGTATTTATATTTATTAAAGTCGTCTAGGTTTGAATCATCTTGGCTTGCAATCTGGATAATAAAATATTTTTAATAAAATGAAAAAAGGTTGATTATTTATTTAAAGTTTACTCTTACATTTGGAAAGTCTGACAAATAGGGGGAGGGGCGCTATCATGATATACCGTTACTCTTGGGGGGTGCATTTCATTCCGGACCACTATATCGGTGCACAAACGTTTGTAGTTGAGAGATTAGTACCGAGGTTATCAGATCAGACAAATATTTAACCGAATCAATTAGAGTTTCAAAAATAATATTATAATATTATAGCAGTAAAATGATTTAATTAATCATTATTACTATTATTCAAATAATAATAATATTTTGAATTCCTAACTGGTTCGGTTGCATTGTATTACATTAAATGTAATCAAATGTTTTGTCTGTATCTGTTGATATCACCCAGGAGCCATATCTGATTCTAAATCTATACGCACGTTTGGCATCTAAAAAAGCATCGGTCAACAGAGTGTACGCATCCGAGAGGATGTACATTGAGCCTTGATGGGGACCAAGCTTTCGTCAGAAAAGATTAGACTGGGCATGTCTGACTTGGTTGATATCATGTGGACAAGTGCCAAGATACAATTGAAATGATGGTAAATAATATTCGAGTTGGCTCGGTCTTTGTACCAGCTATCAGAGAATCTGGCGATGAAAGAGTTGGGGGAGCTTCAGTGATACGGTTCTTGATCATATCGCGGTACTTGATGAATTCAGATGAATGATTTTCATCAGATTTGAAATGTAGATGGAATATTTCACCAGCACCCATCATCAAAGTCGACCACTTTGTTGTTACGGACCTTGAATGCATTGCCAACCTGTGATGGAGGTATGGCCTATGCTTCTAAAAGCATACGATATGTAATGTTAGGTTAAATGGTGTTATTGTGAATGAGATGCCATACACAAATGGGTGAACATTCATATTGTATTCAATGGAGACAATTTTTTGATTCATAAACTACCATTGCTTGCTCTGGTACCATATATAAGTGGTCGAGGTCACTCTTGACGATTCTAACAGTAGAGTATCGATGGACTTTATCTTCTTGCTCTTTGTATTCCTATAACTAAAAGATTAGAGGGAAAAAAAAAAAGTTAATCCTTTTAATAGTAGTATTTGGTTCTGTTGCTGATCGATCTTACTTGTGTTTGAGCTGTCTACACTATTTGCATAAAGAAGGATACGGGTCTTTAAATATAGATAGATCTGTACAAAGTATTTCAACCTTATTTAACATTTATATATATATATATATATAAGTGTTGGTGATAGAGATAAATAAACAATAATCTATAAACAAACAAGAAAGCTGATCATATTATGATCTCTTTTGTTTTTAACAACAGGTTCTTGAATCGAATCATGATTGTGTGTCAAATCTATTTGATTATAATGAATGTTCATCCAAATGATTTTTTTTATTCCAAAGAAAATAATCAAAAGAACCTTAGTAATAATAATTGAATACTATTGAATAACTTGGATAGATATATGTTTTTTTCATTGGAGTCCAAAAGTATATTATTGAATCACTAAAAAAGTATAAAAGATCTTGCCCCTATATCTACAAAAGTAAAGAAAGAGAAATATTAGACAAGTATATATTTATTCCGGCCAACCTATAAGTATATAAAAGAAAGAGAAATATTGCGTTAGTTAATGTAATTGATGTGTTTCTAGGTCTTAGTGGACACTCACCAGTGTGTTTACCCTTGATCAACAAATATGACTGTGCTCTTTTACATAATAATATTAAAAATAATATTGATAATAAATAATAATAATAATTTTGGACTTTGTGAATATTTGGGAATAGAAGAACATGGTATAAGAGGACTGAGTCAAACAAAAGTATATAGTCAAAAACCAAAGATTATAAGTTTATTTAATAAAGTATCCAGGATATTGTTCACCAGAGTGGATAATCATAGCTGGAATATGATATTATCAACTTAATAAAAGTAACCAAGGAGCTTACCACCTATTAATAAGTAAAAGAAAGAGAAATATTGCGTTAGTTAATGTAATTGATGTGTTTCTAGGTCTTAGTGGACACTCACCAGTGTGTTTACGCTTGCAATCTTCGTGATCCATAATACCCAAGGAGGTGGTTAAAACGAGGTGACCGAATTGTCTAGAGGGCAAAATGTAGGATGTCCACTTCTCAAGCTCGTTCAATGGGACATCGAAACGTGGAGAGATGACGGCGCACTTGTTGATACGACCGACCAACTCGACGACGATCTTTCCGGAACGATGATCATCGATGACTTCGAATTCACCAATGTACTTCTTCTTCATCATGACAGTCAAGAACTTGACGATGACCTTGGAAGATGGTCTGATGAGGACTTGACGACGACCTTGACGTTCGGCGTTGAGGATGCTGTTCAAACAATCGTTTAAGACGGAGACTCTGACCATTTTTCTAAAAGAGAAAGAGGAAAAAAGAAGGGGTTAAATAATATGAACAAAGAGTAAAAGGACAATCAAGTGTGAAGGAGTATCAAAGGGTCCTAGCAGCAAGTATGTGGCAGAGAAGAGAGAGAAAGAGAGACGGCGACTCTGGGTGGCAAGGACCTCTCTACTCTAACTCACTGCTCACTATGCTGCTATTTGATGGACTACTTGATATTCCTTCACCATTGATGTGCAAGAAGAGGAAGGGTCTCTAGATGCATGATGAAGGGTATATCTACCTGTTGGATTAATCGGGCTGATGTGCTAAAAGGAAGAAACTGTATCACCTGATAAGCTCATCGAGTCGTCGGTGGGTCGCTAGCTCAGTGATCATTCGTCAGCTAGAAAAAAAAAAGAAATTGAAAAAAATGAATGTTTTTCTTTGGATTCGAAATAATTGCCTCTGTGAGTGACAATGAGAAAGAGCCTATTGTCGTATACAAAAACACATAAACATATGACCGAATATAGAGATTGATTTATTTGATAAGTATCAAGTACAACTACATAGAGATGAAGTTTTAGAGAGAGAGAGAGAGAGAGAGAGAGAGAGAGAGAGAGAGAGAGAGAGAGAGAGAGAGAGAGAGAGAGAGAGAGAGAGAGAGTATTTAGATCTTTTTTTTTGTAGTGAAACAGAATAATGTATCTTCAAAAGTACATTGATCAATGGTGAATAAGCACATAATATCCAAACATTAATATCTAAATAAAAAAGTGTTCTTGAAAAAAAAGTCATAGATAGAATCAAACAAACAAACAATCAAACAAACAAACAATCAAACAAACAATCAAACAAACAATCAAACAAACAATCAAACAAACAAACAATCAAACAAACAATCAAGCAAGAATCTATATTGTTATTATTATTATTATTATTATTTATTAATCAATTAAAATGGTCAAATCTGATTTACTAGTTATAGGTATTAAAATATTATTTTTGATAATATATATATATATTTATATTTACATAATAATTATTTATATTATCTAGATCGAGATTTTATTAAAACATTGATAGATTTGATACTACAAGAAAATGACGACGGGTCATCGGGATGTGCAGGAATAAGACTATTGGATAGAGAGAGTGCAACTATTGACCAAGGAGAGTGTGAACAATTGGTATCAATCATCTTTTCAAATGTTGTTGATAGAGTTGAGGAAATCGATATAGATATTTGGAGCAATTCAACAACAACAACAAAAGACAATGGTTTTGAACAGGAAGATTTTGAAGCGGAAGAAGAAGAAGAAGAAGAAGAAGAGGAAGAAGACAATGACAAAGAAGGAGAATTTGGAGAGTTTTTAACAAATCCAATTCTATCGATTAGTATTCTAGAGGAATGTAAAAAGCGAGTCATTTCAACATGTTGGAAAGATAGACATACTGCTTTGGTAATCTCAACTAGGATACTTTTATTTTTAAAAAAAGATACTATTGCTCAAAAAGAAATGGAAATTGAAAATCTTATCAACATGTTTATACATATTGCCAATGATTCAAATCCCAGGGTTAGATGGGCATTTTTTAATTTTCTTTCACAAATATGTAAAGTTGATCGAATAATTTCAACCAAAACGAGTATAGTTCAACTATTCATATCTATCATTGAAATGGCAATTCAAGATTCAAATAATCGTGTAAAATTAGCTTGCAAGTAGAGAGGAATTAAAAAAATACAAATGATTTATATTATATCTCTTTTTTTTAATTTATTAATTCTCTGTTTTTTTTAGGTTGTCAATTGATTCAAATATTTTTAGAAAATAATTCTTTAAATTCAATTTCATTTAATCATTTATTTACTTTATTTGAATATTTAATACTATCACCACAAGATAGCTATTGTGTAGAAAGTGCTTTAGATTTACTTGTCAAAGCATTTACAATTTCCAAAGAAAAAAATATTTCTGTTTGTATTTTCAAAAAAAAAAAAAAAGAAAAGATTGACTAACCAAAATGTATATATTTATATATTTAGTGTATATTATTAATTTTAGAAAAATATAAATCATCTAGTTTAGTAATTGAAAAGTGTCGTCGTGCTTTTGAAGCAATTCGATCATTTGCAGAAACCAATGGGAAACAATTTTCAAAACAATTAAAATATTTATTCCAACATGTTCAAAGTCATGGTATAATTGACTATTATCTTTTCTCTGATTATATCGAAATATGTTCAACGGTATCAAAGAGTCTTGGAATGGATTATTCCATCTACCTTGCACCAACAATGAAATTCATTTTGGATATTCTCAATCAAGATATTGAAACGATTGATCAAGAGGATGAAAATGGGTCAAAAAAAGTGGATTTGGTAGCATGTGCATTGCAAAATCTTGAAACCTTTGTCGATTCTTGCAAATCTAGTATTTCTCCATATCTTGAATTATTGGTCGACGCATCTACAAGACTGTCAACTACCAATACTCGTAAAGGTATTCGTTATAGTACCACTGAAATTTTCCGTTCATTGTTTAACGCGTGCATTGTTAAATATGGAAATAATAGTCAACAGGCTAAAACAATCTACTCTAGACTATTGTCATGTATATTGGATTCATGTGGTTCAAGTGAACAAGAGATTGGTGTGCTAATTGAAAAGTTATTTGTTGCTGGTGGTATGACCAACATGATGGATGACCATTTCATGACATTTGAACAGATTCAAGATTGCATTTCAAAAGCTTGGATTGTTAAAAAAGAGATTTTTTGGTCTTTTGGATAGAGATGATGAACAAGTCCAAGACAATGATGGTAGCCTACCAGAATCAATTGGAGCTCTATTTCAATTGATTGGTGATATTGTCGAAAAAAATCAAGGCATGGTAATCAATGTCATAAAGGTGGATATTATACCCGAAACGATACAATTGCTCAGCGACCAAACAGTAGATTACCATATCAAGAAATCAATACTACAAATGTTTTCAGATATTTGTCAATTTGGTGGTCAACCAAGTATTGTATTGTTGTATCCTCTAATCATTCCAGTCATGATTGGTCATCTTTCAAGTGACAATGTAGAGATTGCACTAAATGCAGCAGTTGGGTTGGGTGAAGCTGCTGTCTCGAGTAAAGATCAATTTGCACCCTATGTATTCAATGTATTGATACAACTCAAGGATCTCATCTCTTGTAATGAAAATAGAAAGAAAAAGAACAAAGTTCCAGCAACTGAAAGTGCCATATCAGCAATTGGTAAATTGATTAGACATGTCCCTCAATTGGCTCCCCATGTTGGACAAATCATTCCAGCTTGGCTAGAGAGACTACCCATCAAATATCACGAAGAAAATGTACAGTGTATCGAAAACTTGTACCACATCATACAATTATATCCAAACGAGTGTCTTGGTGGTAGAGATGGAAATCAAATGACAAATGTTAGTCGAATCAATCATATTGTATCCAAATACACAACAGACCCTGAATTTCAAAAAAAAGTGAAACAAATGTACATTAACTACAAATTCAATTACGATGAATTAGTTACCTACAACCGAGGTAAACAATTATGTAATAATATTCAATCATTATTATCAAAAATTTAAATATTAAATATATATATACACATTTTTATTTTAAAGGATTAAAACCAAAATACTTTGGTAAATAGTCTTGGAATCTTTGAGATGCATATTCTAAATCTGGTTCAATTCGGGGTTGCCAAAACTGACAATTGGAAAGGGTAAAGCATCGTTTTGAACCATCTACAATGGCCAAATGTCCATCTTCTTGGGGCATGACACCAAGATAGTTGCCTGTTAGATAGTTTGTGGGGTCGTCGTGAATACTTTTGATCGAGTATTTGAACAATTCGTCCTTGTCCAATTCCTTTTCAAACGATGAAAAAAAGAAAGGTTCCCATCCTAATCCAGGTCTTTGAAATTCGGCCACATACCTTCCATATTCAGCAGCAGCAGCAGTTTCACACTTGTAAACTCTAAACTTGCAACCATATTTATTGACCGAGTATTGGTCATCACCTCGACTATTCTGAAGCAACAGGGGTTGTTGAGGTACAAATGCACCACCAGACACTTCCATATAATATTGGTTACCTTGGTGATGTAGTACAAGTGTAACATGTGTTGCATTGATCAATTGACCTAAAACAGCACATCTACCTCTGCACAAGGAAATATCCATTCCACTTTCCTTTAGCAAGTGATACAATACCGTATGTAATTGATAACACATTCCACCTCTACCATCGACCAATATTCTCTCGATTAAATAATCTCTATCCCATTTTTGTTCCTTTTTTTGGTATACATCAAAGTTGTTAAATGATACACTCTTTGAAAATGCTTCCATCAATCGAGTCAAATCTTTAAATTTGATTTCATCCAATTCCTCCAATCCTATTCTATTAAAAAATAAAGTTTTAAATTCTTTAAAACTATATAAATATTCTTTTTTCATCATTTCTAGAAATATAAATATAAAGAGTAATAAATAAATAAATCAATATAATAATAATAATTAAAAGAGTATAATTATTTAATAAATAATGAATATATTAATAAATATTTAATATACATTAACCAATCAAATATGTTGATCGGAGAATGAATCGAATCGTATCGAATCGATTTGAGGACCTAGTGTTGTTTGTTCCACTTCTCCAACCGTTTTCTACCCACCTCCCCCCCTCCACCCCCCTCAAAAGTGGTTATATATATATATATAAATATATATTGATGAATTGGTTTGACCAGAAATAGAGATAAACAATTATGTAATAGATAATAATATTCAATCATTATTATCTATATTGATTAAAAGAGAATGAATGATAATTCAATTAAAATTAAATTTATTTATTTTTTTCAAAATATTGTAAGATCTATCTCTAGAGTTATCTTTTCAATCTATTTTAACAAACCTAGCATCATGATCGTTAATGTAATGTATGATTTGTTTTTGGCGGGAATTTTTTTGTTGTTCAAAGAGAAGATGAAAGTTAGAGTTTTAGAGTTTATTTGTTTTTGTTTATTTTTTTATTAATGATGAATACGGTTGAACATCCAGTATTGGAATTTGTTCAACTCATTATTCAATCATCTAAAGTAGATAGTGAAATAGAAATACAAAAGTACATTGATGGTACACCGATCGATGATATTATTTCATGGATATTGTATCTACAAACTCAACAAGAAGATGACACTGACACTACTGCAGATGATGTCAATCTACGATCAAACTCAAATCGATTCTTCCTACTACGTATTGTACAACAATCTATAAACAAACCTTTACTTGTTAGATTATTAAAATCAAAAGTTACAGAATCAATCAAACAAACCAAAACCATCAAGAATCTAGATACTATCATTGAAGCAATTCAATTAGTATCTGATTTACTTTATCCAATTGGTATGTAATAAAAAAAGGAGAGAGATAGAAACATTTACTAATGATTATTATTATTATATTTCTTAAGGAGAATGGAATGATTATTTTAAAACATTGATTGATTTGATTCAAAACGAAAATGACGAGCCATCAAGATATGCAGGAATGAGATTATTGGTTAAAGCAAATAAAAGGTTTCATAATAATATCAAATATAAATTAGAGTTGCTTAAAATGGTTGCAGTGACTGGACTAAAAGACAACACTACGACGAGAATTAGATTCGCATCATTGGATTTATGTATCAAATTGTATCCAAAGAAATCATCAAAACATCAAATAATCGATCAAGCCATTCCATTAATCATGCCAATCATCGGTCAAGCCTATCAAGTAGGTGAGATTGAATTGGTTGAAAAGGGTCTACGAGTATTATTGCGCCTTTCAAAGAAAAAGTCATATACAAAACACTCTATAATCTTCATCGACACTCTGCTACCAATAATAGTAGATCAACCAGTAGCAGAAAGGTCATTGGTTGAACCAATCAAAGAAATGTCATACAAATTGTTAATGTCTGTTAAATGGAAACACCAAAAACACCAACTCGAACCATTCATATCATCAATCTTTTCAAATGTTGTTGATAGAGTTGAAGACAATTGTCTAGACAATTGGAACAATTCAACAACAAATGGACCAGACATTGATGATGGTGCAAACGAAATGATTAGAAAATTGGTAGAGAATTTGGTAAAACCAGATCTATGGACTAGTACTCTAGAGGAATGTAAAAAGCGAGTCAATTCAGTATGTTGGAGAGATCGATATGCTGCATTGATAATCATTACGAAAATGGTTCCAGAGTTGAATGAAATTTTTGAAGAGAATGTTCAAAAAACTTTGGAAATTGAAAATCTTATCAACATGTTTATACCTATTGCCAATGATTCAAATCCCAGAGTTGGATGGGCATTTTTTAATTTTCTTTCAAAAATCTGCAGAGAAGAAAGTTTTCCAACTATTATGGTTCAACAATTAATATCTACCATTGAAATTGCTGTTCAAGATTCAAATGATCGTGTAAAATTAGCTTGCATGTTGAAAAACAAAAAAAAAAAAAAAAGATAATATATTATTTTTTTTTATTAATTCTTTTTATTTTTTTATAGGTTGTCAATTTGTTCAATCATTTTTAGTACATTGTAAAGAGGATGCATTAAAATCAATGAAACCAAATAATTTATTTATTGCACTTGAACATCTATTGGAATCACCACATCCTAATGTTGTAGAATGTGCCCTAACTACATTTACAATTGCCCAAAGAAGAGATATTTCTGTTTGTATTCTTCAACAACAACAATATATAAATATTTACTATTTATTAACTGTTTTTTTTTAGTACAATTTCTTTTCAAAAACAATTATTTTAAAGATGATTGAAAACTATAAGTGTAAATCACCTATTGCACTTGGAGCAATAAAAATATTTATAGAAAAGAATGGAAAACGATTTTTAAAGCAATTTAAATCTTTATTCCAAAATGTCAGTGGTCAACGAGACAATTTTAATCTATTATCCGAATATATCGAAATATGTGCAACGGCATCGAAAAGTCTTGGAAAGGATTATTCCATATACCTAGCACCAACAATGAAAATCATTTTGGATATACTCAATCAAGATATTGAACCAACTGGTGATTATAAAAAGGATGAAGCTCACAAGAGATTTAGAGTTGATGCATTGAAAACTCTCAAACCCTTTTTAAAATCTTGCAAATCTATCATTTCTCCATATCTCGAATCATTGGTCGATGCTTGTACAAGATCATTTTCAGTTTCTGGTCAAGACTATATTAGTTTTGGGGCTACCAAATTACTACTCGGCATTTGCATCGAAAAATATAATGTCAATAGTCAACAAACCAAAACCCTATACTCTAGAATAGTGAATAGTATCTTGGAGTCTTGTAGTCTGAGTGGGACACCTATCAAGTATCCAAAGCAAAGGTTGGTCATTGCTTGTCAATTGACAGAAATGATGGATGACCATTTCATGACATTTGAACAGATTCAAGATTCCATTTCAAAAGTTTGGATTGTTAAAAAGAGATTTTTTGGTCTTTTGGATGGAGAAGAGGATGAAATTGTTGGCCAAATCACTTCTGATAATACACTACCAGAATTAATTGCAACTCTCTATAAATTGGTTGGTCAAATTGTCAAAAAAAATCAAGACATTGCAATCAATGTAATTGTGAAGCGAGATATTGTACAAGACACTCTACAAGTATTGGTTGATAGATCAGAAAATGAAACGCTACATATATCAATACTACAAATGTTTGCAGATATTTGTGAATATGGTGGTCAACCAAGTATTGTATTGTTGTATCCTCTAATCATTCCAGTCATGATTGATCATCTTTCAAGTGAAAATGTAGAGATTGCACATTTAGCAGCAGTTGGTTTGGGTGTGGCTGCTGTCAACAGCAAGGAGCAATTTGCACCCTATGTATTCAATGTATTGATGCAACTCAATGATCTCATTTCTTGTAATGAAAATAGAAAGAAAAAGAACAAAGTTCCAGCAACTGAAAGTGCCATATCAGCAATTGGTAAATTGATTAGACATGTCCCTCAATTGGCTCCACAAGTCGGACAAATCATTCCAGATTGGCTAGAGAGACTACCCGTAAAAAAACACAAAGAAAATGTACAATGTCTCGAAAACTTGTACCACATCATGCAATTATATCCAAACGAGTGTCTTGGTGGAAATCAAATGACAAATGTTGATCGAATCAAACATATTGTATGCAAATACACAACAGACACCGAATTACAAACAAGAGCCAAACAAATGTACAAAGATCTCAAACAAAACTACTCTAAATTGGTTACCTACAATAGAGGTCAACAAGCATGTGATAATATTCAATCATTATTATCTATTTTGATTAAAGAGACTGAAGAGGATAATCAAAAAGATTGATAATAAAAAAATATAATATTAATTAAAAGATGAATGATTCTTTTATGATTATATATATATATATATATCTTTCTCAAAGATTGTATTTACTATTGCATCTACACAAAGGCAATCAAACAATCAATCATAATCAACTGAACTTGCAACACACGCTGCTTTGTGCACTCAATAGTTAGAGTTTCTGTGACAGTGTGTGGCAGACAGCCAATGAACATCAAATTTAATTTAATTGGTGGTGCGATGATTGCATTCTCCTTTTTAGTCAAACTCGTTTAGGATGACAGGCTGTGAGACATGCACCCCCCACAAACTCATCCATCATCATCCAGCAATGAAAATTAATTATGCGTATTAGATTTATATAAACCCCCCCACTACCCACACACAAACTAATATTAAAAATATTTAAATAATTACCGAGTGTTTCTTGGTATACCCTACCAACCTTCTCTCACTTCTCTCATACTCTATATTTATGCACTGATCATTTTATTTCTTTTATGAAACTTGTTTCAAAAATCGTATGATATACAGATTATAATAGTGTTATACTATTATCTCTTTCTCTCTCTCTCTCTCTCTGACCCTCTCTATACTATATCCAACTCAAACTCTTAAACTTTAACCATTTCTCTTACTCTTATTTTTTTTTTTTTCTTTTCTACTTACTACCATCTATCTATAGTCTTACAGCAACATAATCATTTCTACTACTACCTATCAAAAATCAAATCATTTATTTTACATTCATTATCCAATCATGAATCCATTAATTATCATCTTTATTTTGTGTATCCTTGTATCATCCGTTTTTGCCAATATGTCTTGCAACAACCAATATGTCTATGTCAACAACACCAACACATTGTCATCATCTGTTTCATTGTTTGACCATGTTGAACAACAATCAATTATCATCCAAAATAAAAATATTTCTTTGTCTATGATGATGCATCATCAATCATCAGTTTCATTATCATCATCTTATCATTTCGAAAATCCAATCATTCTTATCAAAAACAAAAACAACAAAAACAACAACAACAATAATATTAATAATAATAATAACAATATCGATTCATCTATTTCAACCCAATTTAATTCAAATCAATGTCATTTAACATCAAACCATACTTTTATTCCTGTCTATAACAAAAACAACAACAACAACAATAATAATTTATATTCATTAATGTCAATTCCTTTTAATGCTTTGCCAATTAGTTTTCCATCCTTTTCACACAATATTCACTTTAACTCAAGCCATGTTTTGTTTATCTCAAATCATTCAACAACCAAAAACCATATTATTTTAGAAGAAGAGGAGGACTTCAACAGCAGTCCAATTTCAATCTCGTGTTTCAATGTTAACCATCAATCAAATCTCATCAACAATCATAGTTCATTTTCATTTACCTTAGAGGAGGAAGAGGACTTTGTTCAATTGAACAACAACAACAAAAAAAACAACAACACAACCACATTCTCATTGTTCAACCATGTTGAACATCATTCAATTAATAATAATAACAATAATTTATCTTTTAATTCAATTCATTTTAATTTAAATGTTTTGTCTCATTTTCAATTACCCTTAAACTCTAGTGATGTTTTGTTTCATTGTCAATCACCAAATCATTCAACAACCACCAACAATATTATTTTAGATCAGGAGAGGGAGTCTGAGTCTGTTCAATTGAACAGCAGCAGTACAATCTCAGTTTCATATTTCAACCATTCAATTCCCATAGATAATAATATTTCATTCTTCAATGGCCATCAATCATTGATTCCATGTTTTAAATCTAGTGATTTTTTTACTCATTCAACAACCAACAACCACATTCTTGTAGACAAGGAGGAGGAGTTTGTTCAATTGAACAACAACAGAACACATTCATTAACATGTTTAGACCATGTTAAACATCAATCAATTCCAATTAATAATCAATCAAATAATAATAATAATAATAACTATTTTTCATCATTATTGATTTCACCTATTCCATTTTCATCTGATTATTTTATCTCTTCAAACACATCCATAAATATAATATATTTATTTTCAAATACAATCAATTCAACCAGATCAAAGACAAGCCCATTTTCAAGATACTCCAGCAACATCTCAAGAATAGAAAGCAACAACGCGGTAACAAGCTCTGACAATTTAAACCATTTTACTGATACCTCTTCTTTTATTTTTATAGATACCAACAACAACAACAACAACAACAACAACAACAACAACAACAACAACAACAACAACAACAACAACACCAACAATTATTTTGATTCTCTCAACTGTTTCGGAACCACTCATTCAAATCATACAATACAGCAACAATCATCATCATCACCAATCAATCGTGATACAATCCTCACCACAATCCACATTCAAAAATCAACTCACAATCAATATTCACAAATCATTCCACCATCTTCAAATAATAATAATAATAACAACAAAAATAACCCCAACGAATCAGCCTCACTTATTCACTCATTGAACATGTACATTTCATTTAATTCACCTGATGTTTCGACCAATTGTCGATCATCACCATTACTCTTTAATCATTTTCACAACCACCATTTTCTTTTAGCAGAAGAAGAAGAGCAGAGGGAGGTGTCATTAAACAACAACAACAACACAATCCCAATCTCATTGTTCAACCATGTTGATTCAATTCATAATAATAATAATAATAATAATAATAATAATAATAATAATAATAATAGTATTTCTTTCCATCAATCAACCATTTTATTTTATAATTCAAGTGATACTCAATGTCAATCAAATCATTCATTCATTCCTGACAACAATGATAATTATTTATTTTTTAATTCATCCACAGTGTCAATTCCTTTTAATTTTCAATTACCAATTAATCACTCAACAACCAACAATCACATTCTTTTCTATGTTCAATCGAACAGCAACAAACAACGAATTCAATCCCATGTTTAGATCATCAACCAATCATTTCCATCAATAATAATAATAATGATAATTCGTTCTGCAATGTCCATCAATCATCGATTCCATGTTTTAATTCAAGTAATATTTTAACTCATTGCCAATCAAACAATCTCGCAGTCGTCACCAATCCATCCACCCTCCACATTCATCTCCAATTGACCCACAATCCTCAAACCATTGGACAATCTTCTAACAATAACAAAAATACAAATACAAATCATAACAACACAAGACCAACAAATAATAATAACAACTCCAATTATTCCTCTTCCACACACAGACAACCCATTCATTGTTCACCAACCACCAATAATAATCGTAAAACTATTACAATCTTTGCCAATCACTTCAATCCACAGTCATTAAAAAATACAAATAATACAAACAATATCTACATTAAATTAAAAAATACTAATAACAACGCCAACACCAACAACAACTCATCATCATCATCATCATTCTCATGTTTCAACCATGTTGAAACATTCATCTCAACCAACAATCAAACAAAAAATATTAATAATAATAACAATACCAATAATAACAAAAATAATAACAAGAATAATAACAAGAATAATAATAACAAAAATACAAAAACAAATAACAACATCAATAACTCAAGATCAACAAATAATAATAATAACAACAACAATTATTCCTCTTACATAGACAAACAACCCCCTCATTATTCACCAACAAATAACAACATTCCAATTACAACAAAGAATATTCATAATAATATTACAATCTTTACCAATCACTCCAATCCACGATCTTCATTCACCAATCAATCATTCGTTCATCACCAATCCTCTAGTCAGTCGCCCGTCCCAAATCCAGTGATCAAGAGTACCAGTTTCCAAGCAACAATCACCACCATTCGTAGACCAACATAATTAACTCTTCCTCTGTATCAAATGTTGATAATTAATTATAATTTTACTGACTCTTTTTCTTTTTATTTTATAGGTACACTAATCATTATTCTCATCAACTCTTTTGGTAATAACAACATCTTAATAATAATAATAATAATAATAATTACAACAACCAACAGCAATAACTAATTTAATAATAATAATTACAATCCTCTTCTTTTCTAAAAAAAGATATTCAATTACTTTTACCCAAGTGGCTTCCCTCCTCTTCCTACTCTTTTCTTTTTATACATTGTCCGTTGCCATCGTCCGTGTCCGTTGTCCAGTCCATCATCGTCCATCCATGTTCCACGTCTCCCTAGGCTTTTATACCCCAAAAAAGATATTCAATTACTTTTACCCAAGTGGTTTCCTTTACAAAAAGATATTCAATTACTTTTACCCAGAGGGTTTCCCAGGTTCGCCCCCGTGTAAGTCGATTTTCTTCGCATTGGGGGGCTTTTTTTTTTTTTTTGGACTGTTCCCATGGTCTAACCAACCATGGGAACAACCAAAAACTATATTTTTCTATTTCTTTCTTTCTCTTTTTTCCCTCTCTTTTTTATTTCTTATTTTTTATTAATTCTTTTTACCCGCCAAATCAATATTATTTTTCTGACTAATTTAAATTAATTTAATTCATCAGAATTTGTAATAATTATTTGTAACAAATATTTGTGACACTTCAGCTATAGCAACATGTGTCTATATAAAGGTGTGCATCCAAAGATGGTTTATGGGTTTGTAACTTTAATTTATTAAAATTAAAAATAAAACTTTAAAATAAAAATAAAATAAAAAAAGCAACCACACCACTTCACCAACTCTGACTTTATTATTTTATTTTTCTTGTATTTATAATTATAATTAATGACTCGTTAATACAATCATATCAATATATATTCATACATAGATAGAAGATGATGATGATACGAATAAATAAATAAAGACTGTTCTATGTGCACTATCTGTCTATTTCTTACAATCATTATTTAGCTCCATCATCCACTAACTATTCCTCATGATTTATCTTCCATCGTCCATTACCCATGATCGACAATCATGCCTAGTACAACCATCATCCACTGGTTGAAAATCAAGAAAGTATAAGGACTTATTGTGACAGATGAATTTATTGATCAAGATAGATTCTTCACAAAGGAAATAATAATATTAATATAAATTTATATTATTTTAAATATATTTAGTTATTTTAGAGACACCACCAATGTACTATAGTTGATACATGATTATTAAGGATTGTGGATTGTAGATAGTGGATCCTATGTCTACCATCCTCCACCATCATTTACCATCTATCAATCATCCATCTATTGTCTATCTATCTACTATCCATGGTAGACTATCGTCAGCCATCATCCATCTTTCTCAATCTCATCCACCATTGCACATAATCAACCATCGTCCAAGTGGAAATCAAGAATGCATCATGTTTTATCAAGATCGATGGTTCAATGCACTGGAAGTTGGAATGATGGATCAAATACAATAGAATCACAAAAGTCCAACTTTGAATATCGTAATATTATTATTTACATCAGCAACGGACTATAGTTGATACAGTACATTTTGATTATAATGATTGTTTAATACAAAGAATCCAATAAACTTATAAAGACCTTTTAAATTACAATTAAATCTTAGACTTAAATTTCTATCTCTTTCCACGATCCTCTATCCAACATCCTCCATCCACCATCCACCATCCATCCTCCATCCTCTATCCACCATCCATCCTCCATCCTCCATCCACCATCCTCTATCCAACATCCTCCATCCACCATCTATCCATCCACCATCCAACCATCCTCTATCCACCACCATCCACCAACCATCTATCTGCCATCCACCATCCACCATCCATCCTCCATCCACCAACCATCAATCGTATTGTATCCAACTGCACAACAGACTCTGAATTACAAACAAGAGCCAAACAAATATAAGATAATATGAACAAACATAATTACAATGGATTAGTTCCCTACAATAAAGGTAAACAATTATGTAATAATACTCAATCATTATTATCTATAATGATTATAGATAAATATAATTAAAAATTATTTAATTTATTAATTTTAATATTGGTATTTTTTTTTAAAATATCTCCCAGTGATATTGCTTTTTCACAAACTTGTTCTGATTTACATTTATTACTTACTTTATTAATTAATGATGGGTGAACCTCCATTAGAATTTATACAACTCATTTCTAGTTCACTTGAACAACAAATAGATGACGAAACACTTCAAGTAATAATACAAAATTATATGACAGACCATAGTATACAACTTGATGATATTATTTCATGGATAACCCATAGCGACAATGATATTGTAAGTTTGTTTACATCATCAACATCTTTTAAATGTACATTTGTTGTTCTTATATGAATATATATCTCTCTCACGATAGGTTCTATCAAACGCAAATCGATTCTTACGTGGTGTAATACAACAATCATTAGAGGACCCTTTACTAGTTACAGTGTTAAAATCAAAAGTCATAGAATCAATCAAACAAGCACAATCAAACAAGAATCTAGATACTCTTATTGAATCAATTCAATTGTTATTTGTTTCACTATGTCCATCAGGTATGTAAGAAAACTAAGAGATTGAGTGAGAGAGAGAGATAGGATAGAGAAACATAAATACTAATTTATTTATTAAACTAATTTTAGGAGAATGGCAAGATTATATAGAGACATTAATAAGTTTGGTTGAAAGTGAAGACGAGTCATCAAGATATGCAGGAATGCGATTATTGGCAAAAGAATGTTATATTGATGAAATTGATATTCAAGATCAGATGACTTTACTCAAAACAGCTGTAATCATCGGATTAAAAAACACTACCAATGAGAGAATTAGATTCGCATCATTGGGTCTATCTATCAAATTGTTTTCAATGAGATCATCAGAAGATGATGAAATCGTTCAAGCCATTCCATTGGTCATGCCAATCATCGGTCAAGCTTATCGTGCAGGTGAAATAGATTCGGTCAAAAAGGCCCTACGACTATTATTGCGCCATCCAAAGGAAGATTTTGTCAATTATGCAAGAATCATCATCAACACTCTACTACCCATCGTTGAACAACCAGAAAAGTCTTTGAAAACACCAATCAAAGGAATGGTATTCAAAATGTTAATATTGGTTTCAAGTGTAGAACTCGAAGAGTGGGATCAAAAACAACTTATAGAACGATTTGTATTATCAATCTATTCAAATGTTGTTGATCAAGTTCAAGATCTCGATATAGACGTTTGGAATAATTCATCAAAAGACAATTACATTGATTTAAATATAATTGGTGAAAAATATAATGAATATAATTATCATGTTGATCATCAAGATGAAGGAGAAGGAGAAGGAGACGAAGAAGAAGAAGAAGAAGAAGAAGAGGATGAATATTCAATTTATGGCAATCAAGAATATAGTGTCAATTCAAAACAATTGACTAGAGAATTTGGAGAGTTTTTAGCAAATCGAGTTCTATTGCCTATTACTCTAGAGGAATGTAAAAAGCGAGTCATTTCAACATGTTGGAGAGATAGACATACTGCATTGGTACTCTATACTAGGATACTACCATTTTTGACTGAAATTTTTGAAGAAGATTCAGACTTTAGTCAAGAAATTGAAAATCTTATCGCCATGTTTATGCCTACTGCCAATGATACAGATCCAAGAGTTAGACGGGAATTTTTTACTTTTCTTTCAAAAGTATGTGAAGAATGTCCAATTTTTTCAACAAGTGTGATACAACAATTACTATCAATCATTGAAAATGCAACTCAAGATCCAAATGATCGTGTAAAATCAGCTTGTAAGTAGACACAAAAAATAACATAAATATATAAATAATAATAATAATTTATTAATTCTCTTTTTTTTGTATTTTTTTTTTTTATAGGTTGTCAATTTATTCAATTATTTTTAGAAAATTGTGAAGAGGATACATTAAATTCAATTTCACCAAATGATTTGTTTATTGCACTCGAACATTTATTAGATTCACCACGTCTATATGTTGTAGAGAGTGTTTTATCTGCACTTGCCAGTACATTTACAATTGCTAAAGAAAAGAATAATTCTGTTTGTATTAAAAAATATTTAAAAAATACTTTCTTTTATTTATAATATAATTAACCATTTTTAACTTTTTATTTTTATAGTTTTATTCAAATACAATTATTCCAAAGATTATATCAATTTTGGAAAAATATAAATCATCTAGAGAAACAATTAGAGTTAGACGTCGTGCATTGAGAGCAATTCAAACATTTGGAGAAATCAATGATAAAAGATTTTCAAAGGATTTTAATAGTTTATTCCAATATGTTAGTGATCAAGGTAGAAAATTTGATCTAGTTTCTGATTATATCAAAGTATGTTCAACGGCATCAACTAGTCTTGGAGAGGATTATGCCATCTACCTTGCACCAACAATGAAATTCATTATGGATATTTTCAAGTACGACATTGAACCAACTGACGAATACGATGATTCTCACTCAAGAGAGGTGTCATTGGTCAGTTGTGCATTGGAAAGTCTAGATTCATTTTTAAAATCTTGCAAGTCTACCATTTATCCATACCTCGAATCATTGACCAATGCTTGTATAAAATTCTCAACGACCGAGGCTGATCAAGATATTCGTTATAGTGCCATTAATAATTTCAATTCATTGCTTGGTACATGTATTGGTTTATTTGGAAATAATAGTCAACAAGCTAAAACACTCTACTCTAGACTATTGTCATGCATCTTGGATTCGTGTGGTTCAAGTGAACAAGATATCGATGTGTTGAATGAAAAGTTGTTTGTGGCTGGTGACTTGACAGAAATGATGGGAGACTATTTCATGACATTTGAACAGCTTTCAGATACCATGTCAAAGTTGTGGACTGTTAAAAAGAAAAGTTTTGGTCTTTTGGATAGAGAAGATGAAGACGAAGATTATTATTACGATTATGATAGTCCGTCTGATTCAATTGGCACCATTTATGAATTAGTTGGTGATATGGTTCAAAAGAACAAAGATATTGCAATCAATGCCATCATCGTAGATATTATTCCAGAGACTTTACAAGTATTGGACGAAAGATCAGAAGATGGAAAGATAGAAAAATCAATATTGTGCATGTTTTCAGATATTTGTCAATTTGGTGGTCAACCAAGTATCGCATTGTATCCTCAAATCGTTCCAGCCATGATTGATCATCTTTCATCAGACTATGTAGAGTCTGCACAAAATGCAGCTTTTGGGTTGGGTGAAGCTGCTGTCTCAGGTAAAGATCAATTTGCGCCCTATGTATTTAATGCATTGATGCAACTCAAGGATCTCATCTCTCGTAATGCAAATGACAAGGAAAAGGAAAAAGCTCCAGCAACTGACAATGCCATATCAGCAATTGGTAAATTTGTCCGTCATGTACCTCAGTTGGCTCCATTTGTCGGACAAATCATCCCAGCGTGGTTGGAGAAACTGCCCATCGAAGAACACCAAGAAAACATATCGTGTCTCGAAAACCTGTACCACATCATGCAATTATATCCAAACGAGTGTCTTGGTGGAGATGAATTGACCAATGTAGATCGAATCAAAGCAATTATATCCAACTTTAAAATACTTTCAATAGTCAACCATGAAAGTCAACTTTATAAAGAGACCGAACCAAATCCAGAATTAACTACAAGTTTTCTTCACGGTCAACAAATATGTGATAATATTCAATCATCACTATCTCTATTGATTAAAGAGAGAGAGAGAGAGAGAGAAAGAGAGTAATCTCGAGATTGATGTGTAAAATAAATAAAAAAATTAAAAAATGATAGTTGAGAAGACGCTGCATTCATTTCGGCTTTACATTTATTACTAATATTTTATTATGTTCTATATAATATAGAATGAATACTAGTAAACCTCCATTAGAATTTATTAAAATCATTAGTAATCCTGAAAAAGTAGACAATCAAACAATTCGAACACAAATACAAAAGTATATAGGTCCAACACAGATTCATAATGTTATAACATGGATATTGTATCTTCAAAGTCATAGTGACAATGATACTGTAAGTCGTTTATTATATACATAAGATAGTCTTCATCATCAACTATAGTTGATCAATCAATATTGATTCATATCCGTTTTCTATACTTGTTAATAGATTCTATCAAATTCAATTCTATTCCTAAGGGTTGTAATACAAGAGTCAAAAGACAAACCTAAACTAATGACAAAGTTAAAGCAAAAAGTTATTGAATCAACCAAAGAAGCACAATCAAACAAGAATCTAGATACTATCATTGATTCAATTGAAATGTTGTTTGAATCATTTTCTCCAATTGAAGAAGAAGGTAGGTCGAGAGAGAGAGGAGTAGAGAAGAGTATCATTTTTAATTACGAATATCATGATACTAATTGTTATATTTAAATATTTATTTTTAGATGAATATTGGGATGATTTTGTTTATGTGTTGATAAATTTGGTTAGAAGTGAAAACGAGTTGTCAAGCTATGCTGGAATGCGAGTATTGGCTAGATATACTGACTTTTTTGTAGAAGAGATTGAAGATAACATAGATGTGCTTAAAGCAGCTGCAGTGACTGGATTAAAGAACACGAGTAGTGAGAGGATTAGATTTGCATCGTTGTATCTTTTCATTGCACTTGTTTCTATTCAACCATCAGACGATGAAGAAATTGATCAAGTCATGTCATTGGTCATATCAATCATTGGCCAAGCTCATCGTGTAGGTGATGCTGTATTGGTCAACAGGGCGATCCGAAGATTATTATTACAAGCTGAAGACTGTGATTTGATCTATCATGCTAGAATCATCATCCACACTTTTATGACCATCTTGGATCAACCTGAAAAGTCATCGATCTTACCAGTTAGAGGATTGTCATTCAAAATGTTATTAAGGGTTTCAAGTACTGCTCTTCCGCAATGGAATCAACAACAACTTGAACGATTTGTATCATTAACCTATTCAAAAGTTGTTCTAGTTCAAGATGTCGAGCTAGATATTTGGAACAATTCAAACAATAACCCAGAAATGATCGATCACGATAGAGATATAAATGATGATGAAGATGAAGATGAAGAAGAAGAAGAAGAGGAGGAAGAAGAAGAAGAATATGAAGATGAAGATGAATATTATGAAGATGAATATTATGAAGAAGATTATGATGAAGACCAAGATGAAGATGAAGAAGAATATGATGAAGATGATGGTAGTTATGACGAACGAAAATACAATCTAGATTTTGAAGAATATAGAGAAACAGATGCTAGAAAATTGATTAGAGATTGTGCACAGTTTTTAACAATTCCAATTCTATTGCCTATTGCTCTGGCAGAATGCAAAAAGCGAGTGAAATCAACATGTTGGAGAGATGTATATTCTGCATTATTAATCAATACTCAGATGGTTCCATTTATGGTTAACTTTTCCGAAGAGCACCCTCAAGAGATGGAAAGTTTAGTCAGAGAGTGTACGGTGGCGGTCAGTGATACCAATCCTCGAGTTAGATGGGCATTTTTTGCTTTTCTTTCTCAACTATCTGATGATTGTCCACATTTTTCGACTAGTCTTGTTAAACTATTACTACCTACCATTGAAAAAGCAACTCAAGATCCAAATGAACGTGTACAATCAGCTTGCAAGTAGAAAGAATTAAAAAAAATTAATTTATATTCTTTTTTATTAATTCTTTTTATTTTTTTTATAGTTTGTCAATTTATTCAATTATTTTTAGAAAATTGTCAAGAGGATACATTAAAATCAGTTTCACCAAAGAATTTATTTATTGCACTTGAACATTTTTTACAATCACCACGTCTCTATGTTGTAGAAAATGCTTTATCTGCCCTCGTCACTATATCGATGGTTGCTCAAGAACAAAATAATTCTGTTTGTATTAAAAAAAATATATAAATATTTATATAAATATATTAACCTTATTTTTCATCTATTTTTAGTGCTGCATTTCAAGAACAATTATTCCAAAGATTGTATCAATTTTGGAAAAATATGAAACATCAAATGAAACAGTTAGAGTTAGACGTCGTGCATTGAAAGCAATCAGAGAAATTGGAACAATCAATAGTAAACAATTTTCAAAGGATTTAAAAACATTATTCAAATATGTTATTGGTCATGGTGGCACCAAAGATGACATATTTTTTGAATTTCTCAAAACATGTTCGTCAGCAGCAGAAAGTCTTGGAAAGGATTATTCCGTCTACCTTGCACCAACAATCAAAATCATTTTGGATATTGTCAATCAGGATATTGAACAAATTGACCAAGACGAATATGATGAAAGTCAAACGTCTCGAGTCGATCATGCGCTGGAGACCCTGGAAACTGTTGTGACTTTTTGCAAGTCTAGCATTTATCCATACCTCGAATTATTGGTCGTTGCTTGTATAAGACACTCAACTTCCGAGGCTGCAGAAGATGTTCGTATCAGTGCTATTAGAAATTTCTATCCACTGTTAAGAGTATACCTGGAAAAATTTGGAAACAATAGTCAACAAGCCAAAACACTCTATTCAAGACTATTATCATGTATCTTGGATTCATGTGGTTCAAGTGAGTCAAATGTCGAGATATTGTATGAAAAGTTGGATATTGCTGGAGATATGACTGTCATGATGGGCGACCATTTTATGACATTTGAACAGATTCAAGATACCATGTCAAAGTTGTGGATTGTCAAAGATAGATATTTTGAACTTTTTGAACAACAACAAGAGGAAGAGGAAGAGGACGAAGATGATGATGATGATGAAGACAATGACGAAGACGAGGACGAGAATGAAATGCAAGATGCCATTGGAATGATATACGATTTGGCTGGCTACATTATCCAAACAAACAAAGAGGTTGGAGTCAACGCCCTCGCGGATTTTATTTCAGATTCTATTCAAACGTTAGAAGACGAAATGGATGAAACGGTAAAGATTGCAATACTACAAATGCTTACAGATATTTGTCAACATGGTGGTCAACCAAGTATTGCATTGTATCCTCTCATCATTCCAGCCATGATTGAATATGTTACATACAACGATGATACAATCGACAACATAGGTACTGCAGCATATGCAGCAGTTGGTTTGGGTGTTGCTGCGACCCATGGCAAAAATCAATTTGCACCCTATGTATTCAATGCACTCATTCAACTCAAGGGTCTCATCGCTGGCTTTGGCAATAAAAGGGAAACGATCGAAGTAACTGACAATGCCATTTCAGCAATTGGTAAATTCATTCGGTTTGTCCCTCAATTGTCTCCACATGTCGGGCAAATCATTCCAGTGTGGTTGGATAAACTGCCCATAGAAGATCACGAAGAAAATGTAAAGTGCCTCGAAAACTTGTACCATATTATGCAATTATATCCAAACGAATGTCTTGGTGGTAATCAATTGACCAACGCCAAACGAATCAATATTCTTTCATTTGAATGCCAACGATATCTCAAAAGACAAATGCAAAAAATATATCATCAAAACGTTGACCCTGACGATCAATTGGCTAGCAGTGTCACAGGTCAACAAACATGCGAGAATATTCGATCATCGCTATCTCTATTGATTAAAGAGAGATGGGATAGTCTAGACAAAAATATACAACTTCGTTTTGTATCAATGGATTTAATGAATGACCTAAACACAATGTATTTAAATGATGGTTATACAGAGTTTGTTCAATAAAATATAGTATTCTTTTTTATTTATTATTTGTTTGTTGTTTTCACTTCTTCTTCTTCTTCCTCTTAAGCCTCTTGAAGACCATCCAATTCACCTGAAGCAGCATCTTGTGCTTTCTCTACACCATTGTATAATGGTTCAATGGTATAAGAGTATTTGCCACCAAGGTGTGAGTCTTCATCTACGATCTCTCCTCCATCAATTTGAACATATCCAGTGGTCGATGTAGACGATGGTTCTTCAGATGATGATTCCTTAGTCTTTTTTGGTGGTACTGTTGGCTTTGGTGAGGCAAATGACCATCCAGTAGTGGTAGTAGTAGTAGATGCCTTTGGTGCCTTTGGTACCTTTCCAGTGGTGGTAGTTGTTGTTGTAGTCATTAACCATGGCTCAATGGTAACATCAGGTGGTGAGGTTGGTTTCTTTGTTGCGATTGTTTTTGAAACTGATGGTTTCATAGTTGGTGTGATAGTTGGATTTGGTCTAATGGTTGGTTTCATTGTTGGTTTCATTGTTGGTTTCATAGTTGGCTTAGCAGTTGGTTTCATTGTTGGTTTCATAGTTGGTTTAGCAGTTGGTTTAATGAATGGTTTCTTGGTTGGTGGAGCTGGTTGAACATGATCCTCTTGATCAATTTCCTCTTCTTCTTCTTCCTCTTGCTTTTTATCCTTTTTCTTTTTTGAATCAGCATCTGGACCATAGAGTGGTGGCAAAGTGTTTGAATTCTTTTTGTGTGGGTTGTTGAGTTCTTGGAGGTAGGCTTCTGCTACACTATGAGGATTTCTTCCACTCTTCATAATACACATTGATTCAAAGTTGCAACATGGATTCTTGGAGTCACAAAATACTACATCTTCAGTTCCTCTATTTTCACATGTAAATCCACTTGGACATTCAACATGTTTACATCTTCTATCTAAATTAAAGAAATAAAAAAAAAATATAAAAGGTTAAAAATAAATTGGACAATTTATATTTCTCTTTTTTGTTATTATTATTTACCATTTGGAACAAAATAATTTTCCAATCTACCTGGAAGACAATCTATATTGTTTGTAGAATATTGATAAAAGTTGTGATGATCACCAGAGGCAAGACACCACTTTGTATCACTATCATTAAATTTGCAAGAGTGTTGTGGGATTTGGACACATTCATAGTCAATGTCTCCACAACATCCAGTACCAAATACTGGTGTACAATATGATGATTTGGCACATTCTCTTGGTCCTAATGATTTACAAACTAAAAAAATAAATAAATAAATAAAAAAGAAATTAATTAATAAAAAGGTAAAATAATATTAAAATAATTATAATTATATTAATTTTTTCTTTTACAAACCTGGAATTTCTTCTACATATTTAGACGTTCTTCTTACAGTAGTAGTTTCGGCAGTTGTTATACTTGTCAAACAACAAGATAATAAAACTATTGATAGTAATAATAATAAATATATTTTCATTTTTTGTTTTGTTTTTTAGGAAACAATTAGATAGTTGATTGTTTTGTTTGTTCTAAAAATAAACAAGAAAACAATTAAATATTTATAGGTTATGTATGATTGACGAAAACGATGGAGAGCGACAACAACTTGTTGACCTTTGTAGATTGACTCACTCCTATACAACCTATAGAGAGATAGTTTAAATTGGTTGGTTGGTTGGTTGGGTGATATACTAATATATCCAACTGCCCATATGCTTTCCACCATCACACTTGTTACCACTTCGTCAGAACAACATGGCACATTCGGGTGTTTATGGATCAACAACAATGTTGATTTGATTGAACAACGCCAAATATTATACAATCACAACCATCGAGTTGATTGATACCATAAGCAGCTGCAATAAACGTCAAAGATTAGAGAGAGAGAGAGATAGAGAACTGCACAAACAACTGCAGTAAAATGATTCGTACGAATATATTGGGAATGTGTAATCCGAGTAAACACTAATATACGATTTTAAATGATCCAACATCCATGATAATCATCATCATCATTACCACTCCCCATAAGATTGGGTGTTAAGTTTATGATCATCATATTTAATGATACACATGTACAATCTATCCATTAATTAAAAACGCCAGAATAATAAGAAGAAGAAGAAGAGTAACAAGTGGATGATGAGTGAGGAAATAGATTGATTGATATATGGTTAGTAAATGTGTGAGCGTTGTTAACATTTATGTATACATACCCCCACTTGATTGGATAGATATTCAGATAGATGGTGTTGATTGTAGAAATACGTATTATATGTTTTTTTTTGATCTATCTATCTATTCATCCTTCCTCAACATCATCACGTGGTGTCGAATATCATCAACATCATCATCATTAACATCATCTGACGTTGTTTTTATGTATGTGTTATGTATGTATGTGTGTATTGGATTGATGAGTAAAGATAAAGAGATTCACACACACGCTCATGAAAAAACAAATAAAATACCCAAAATACAAAATAAATATTATTATTTCCAATTAAATATATATATACATATTTGTATACAATGTTATATGTATATTTATATTTCCTCTTCTTTTAAAAAAATAAATAATTTTATGTTTATATATTATATATTATATATGATAATAATTTATGCAATTCATCGATGATTAAAGTTTGGTGATAAAAAGGATGAAGGTGTTGTGAATGACGATGAACTTGGTGGTGGTATCGAGGATGATGATGATGATGATGAAGATGATGATCTTTGGTGAATTTGTTGTTGCTGTAATGTAATGACAGATACCTCTATTAATGAAATTCTTTCTTGTAATAATTGAAGTGATGATTTGGTTTCCTCCATAAATGTCATTATCGATAAAAGTGTTTGTTCAAGATCAATATTTGGTAAAGTTGGTAAAGTTGTCGTCGTCGCTGTCGTTGTTGTAGTTGTTGTTGGTTCTTTATCATTTAATTTAATTGGTGGTTTTCTATTTGTATTATTATTATTATTATTATTTAAACCATTCTTTGATGAATATGGTGATTTATAAGGTGAATGACTAAATGCAGTAAATGATGTTGGCATTTTCTGAACAGATGAAGTTAATCTTGATGTATAATTGGTTGTTGTTGTTTCTTTTTTACTGCTACTATTATTTAATTGATTATTATTATTATTATTTATATTTTGATTATTTATATTATTTTTGGTTGTTGTTGAAATATATGGTGATTGTTGCTGTACAGGTGAAGAATCAAGTGGTGACATTGAAATACAAGATGAATTGTTGGATATTAAATCATCTTCTTCTTCTTCCTCCTCCTCTTCTTCCTCTTCTTCTTCCTCTTCTTGTTGTTGTTGTTGTTGTTGATTACGACTGGAATCTTTTTCTTTCTCAAGGAAATAATCTAAATTGAATTTCTTATTACTATTATTATTATTATTTCCATTTCCATTAGTTTTTGCCAATAATAAAGGAGAAGGAATAAAAGTATTTTGTTCAAGTAATTTCATTGGTGATGGAGTTGACCAATTATTATTATTATTATTATTATTTGATGGGGTAGTTGATATAGGTGATTTGATGTTGTTGTTGTTATTAACGGATAAAGGTGATTGTAAATATTGTTTTTGATTTTGTTTTATATGATTGAGTGAATTGTAGAGTGAAAGGGTGGTATTGACAACATCTCTAACTGTTTTGATTTTATCTTGACGACATTCCTCCAATGCCTTGATCACCTTGGTGTGGAATTGTATGACTGTCTCTGTGTGTATTCGTGTTGCTATAGAGGTGAGCGCGTCACAGGCAGCCTTTCTCACCATCCAATCGGTGCTGTTGAGCATATGTACCATGTTGCCAGCAACCAATCCAGCCTTTTCAACGAGTAGGTTGCCAGCCACCATCACCATTGCACTGACACAATTTATGATTTGTGATTGACAGAAGCAGCCTTGATGGTGGAGTCGTTTCAATAGTCTGTCGACCAAATCAAACAAGTGTGGACGTAAATGGTTGAGATGTGAGTTTTCAATGACTTTGGCAATCGCTGCCACCGCTGACACTTGATGATGTTTGTTGATGTTTCGAAGTAGTTTAAAACATGGTTCGAGGTATATATCTAGTGGTCCAATTGGACTGGTAGAAGACATTGATGGATGGGGTGTTCCAGGTGTCCCCGGGACACTACTTGTCACTGCACCACCTCCACCAACCGATAAATGTTGATGTGCAGTCAGATGATATGCTACAATGCCCAATGAATCGGCGCACATGTCTGACGTGCCTGTATGAGTATCGAGTATTCTCTCCATCAAACATGCAATAATCTTGTGTAGGTAGGGTGCAACACTCTGATGTTGTATACTCACAACAAAACCAATCAACCTAGCAGTCTCTTTTCTTGCCAATGGTTTCAATGCATCATTACTATCAAGTAAACATGACTAATAACATAGAAAAGAATGTATTAGCGTATAATAATAATATAATATAGATGTATATACCATAAAAAAAGATAATGAATGTTCATCTGTAAGAGTTTGAACCAGAGTGACTAGATTCTCCAAAGCCATCTTTGCACTATTAGTGTCACCCAATCGATCAAACAAACCAACCAATCTATTCCTCCATTCAAATGTCTCTGCATGACTCTGTGTACTAGTAATCTTTAATGAAATACTGTTTGGTGTTGATGGACCTACTCCTATGTTTGGTCTAGACATTGGTGTTGACAGTTTCGAGACTCCTCCTTGTTGTTGCTGCTTTGATAATGGTGTAGAGTAATATCCTCCTCCTCCTCCACTATACATGCTATTACTGTTATTATTGTTCATTTACATTGACACTCTTTCATTCAAACACAATAAAGTGTAGTAAAAGACCTGTATGTTCAGAGAATAATTAATTTACAAAGTCAGGGGAAAAAAGGGCGGGAATTTGTTTCAACACAATATAATGTTTGAATGCTTATAAATATGACCTTCAATTTCTCTTTATTTTTTTATACTTGGAGGATATAATGTACACACTACAAGAAGCAATAAGATAGTGTTTTCGTAAAGATCTTTGTGATAATAATATTAGAGCGCGAGTGAATCAATATTATTATTATTACTATGTTTTGAATTTTATGTTGTTGGTATACACCGATCCATTATTAAATAATTATATCTTAAGGTAATAATAAATAAGAATGTTAGAAATAACTCAAACAAGTAATATATATGTTTTGACTGATTTGGGTATTGATTGTAACATGGACTAATCGGATTGCGCGATGATTAAAAAAATTAAAATTAAAATCATTGTGAATAATGAACTGGGACAGAGAACATGCTGCTCTTTTTGTCCTCAATATAATCAAGTCACACTACTACAAAAGTACTAAACGACACGACTCTCTTTTATACATATATATATATATATCTTTACACAGACCCCCCTCTCATTCACATTCACGTTGTTGTATCTAGTTAGATAGATAGATAGATAAAATACCCTTTAGTTTAGTTTGTGTAGATAGATTAGAATTAGTGGTTGAACGACAACAACAACAACAACAACAAGATAGGGTATCTAGGAATGGATCCAATACCTTTAAATAGAACAGTTCAAAACATATTCAATATATGTCCAAGAAAGGCAAATACTTTGAGAGAAGCATGTAAAACTGCACAAGATACGATTCGTGATTCTCCTATCTTTTCCTCTTCTCCTCATGATGTAATAACGTATGTGTCTGTCACATGTCAGAGATTATATTATATATCTAATTATCATTCTTTGTCTCTATCTATCTATATTTAAAGTGATAAGGACTATGAATACTTGGCAAATAAAATATTCATACCATGTAAACTTGCATTGGAAACAAAGGATGCTAAATTAGTATTTGCTGGACTCGATGGTTTAGAAGTAAGATATATATATATTAGTGAATCACAGTGTCATTGCATTGATCAAACCTTTCCCATTCTAACTCATTCATTTTTCTTTTTAAAGAAATTATTATCATTGATTATTAAACCACAATTAATGGATTTAACAAGTCCACCAGTTTCAAATGGAGTGATAGGTGCACCTGCACCAGAAGGAAAGAAATTGGTTGAAACTGTAGTTGATTTAATTGGTTCCTATTTTGATTTTCAAGATCAAAATGTTCAACTTTCAATCATTAAAGTAAGAGAGAAAGAGAGATATAGAGAAAGAGATAATCAATATATCTAACAAATATATATATTATCTTTTATTTAGACATTATTAGCAGCAGTTATAACACCAACATGTGGTATACATGATACATGTTTAATGGGAGCTATTCGTAGTTGTTATAATATTTATTTGGTTTGTCAAAACAAGAATAATATCATGGCTGCCAAGAGTACATTATTCCAAATGGTTGATTCTATATTACAAAGATTTGATAAATCTTCATTTGATAGAGAAAGATTAATTAATCAAAAATCAACCAACAACAATAATAATAATAACAATCATACCAATACTACTGTTAGTACTGGAACTCCAACAAAATCAAATAATAATCATCAACTTGATAAAGATGAAGAAAGGTAAAATTATCAACCAAATGACATTCTCTACATTTTATACTTATACTTTTATTTTTATTTACCTTTAGAATAATACATAATTATAATACAGATTTATCAGATGTAATATTATTATTTAGAGCATTTTGTAAATTATCAAAAAAGGATGTACCAGTGGGAGCAGCATTGGATTCACATGAAATGAAGAGTAAATTGTTATCATTGGAATTGTTACAACGTATACTCGAGAATCCATTGCCATCGTTGAAAATGTCTGAAAAGTTTATCAATAGTGCCATCAAGCGGTATCTATCCATCTCACTGTTGGCCAACGGCAGCAGTTCCAATCTGATGGAGTTTAAGATCACCCTTCAAATATTCCTCTCTCTCATCATTCATTTCAAGGAACACCTCAAGGAAGAGATTGGACAATTCTTTTCAAAGGTGATTCTCGAGACACTTTCCAGTCAAAATGTATCTGTCAAAAAGAAATGGTTGGTGTTGCCCGTTTTATTTGAAATCTCCAAGAACCCGCAAACCATTGCCGATATATTTGTAAACTATGATCGTGATCCCGAACACAAGGATATTTTCGAGAGAATGGTCTATGAACTCTCCAAGGTTGCACAGGGAGCTAGCAGCGGCCAAATCGAACGATCGCCCCAAACATCGGCAGAAGACACCAAATTCAAGACACTCGGTCTCGAGTGTATCGTCACGATTATGAAGAGTTTGGTCGATTGGTCCAAGGAAATCTACGACGAGAACAAGAGAATCGAAAAACAACGTGAAGTAGATTTGCAAAAAGAAGAACAACAGGAAAAGGACCAACAAGAGATTGAGGAAATGGAAAAACTCCAGAAAAAGATTGAAAACCAACATCCCCTACGTTCATCGATCGACGAGAAACAAAAACAACAATTTTTGGAACAAGGAAAGTCAAAATTCAATTCAATGACTCCAAACAAGGGTATCGACTTTTTAATTCAATGTGGTTATCTTAAAGAAAACCCTATAGATGTTGCTCTCTTTTTAAAAAATCAATCAGATTTAATTCCAAAAAAAATTTCTCAATATTTATTATTACCGTAAGCCAAAAAAAAGAAAACAAATATATATGAATATTAATATTTATTTATGTATTTGATTTTATTTAGGAATTCATTTAATATTAATATATTATATAAATATATTGATTTATTTGATTTTAAAAAGATGGAAATTGATCAAGCATTAAAATCACTTTTATCATCCATTTTAATTAATGGTCATGAAAATAATTCAATGGATAGATTAATTGAAAAGTTTGCTGAGAAATATTTTAGTGATAATCAATCTGAAAAAATTCATTTATTAAATGCTGGTAAATATAAAAAAAACAATATAATATAACTATATTAATATAACTATATTAATATAATATTAATCTTTATTTCTTTTATTTTATAGAATCTGCATATTTATTATCATATTCAATTATAATATTAACATCAGATTTAAGAAACCCATCAATTATTACCAAAATAACCAAAGAAGCATGGTTGAAGATGAATTCAAAACAAAACAACAAAAAGGATTTTGATGAACAATATCTATTGGCAATGTATGATAGAATGGCATTGGAATCTTTTATATTGTTTGATCAACAAGAAAAACAAGATGAAGAGGATAATACCACCGGCGGTAACGGTAATAATAATAATAATAATAATAATAATGGTAGTGGATATGTTAATGGTACACTTAGAAATTCTGCATCTCAAGAAAGATTATTAAGATTCAACAAGGAAGGAGATTATATAGTTGAACAATGTCAAAAATTGATCAAGTCAAAGTTGGAAAAGAAATCAAAGTTTTATCGTGCTCGAAATATTGAACATGTTAGCCCAATGTTTATCTCGACTTGGTGTTATGTCTTGTCAACACTTAGCGTCATTTTGGATGAAAGCAAGGACAGAAAGATTATTCAATTGTGTCTTGACGGTCTCTCTTATGCCGTTCGTGTCAGTTGTATCTTTTACCTAAATGTCGAAAGATCATCTTTTATCACTTCACTCTCCAAACTCTGTCTTTTGGACTCTGCCCGTGAAATCTCTATCAAGAATATCGATTGTATCAAAGCTCTTGTTCAAATTGGTACCACCGAAGGTAACTATTTACAAGATTCTTGGACGCCCATCCTCAAGACTATTTGCATCCTCGAGAGACTCCATCTCATCAATGACTCTCAAAACACTCCTCCTCAACACTCGGCCCAACCAACCAACCAACCATTATCCAATCAAAAGGCTCTCTCACCGACCGTAAACTTCCCCTCAGTCGTTGAATTTTCACAAAATTCTTTACAAAATAAGATTAGAATCTTGGTTGAAGAATATCCAAAAGATACTGTTTTTGATTCAATTCAAATTGAAAGAATTTTTACAAATACCATTTATTTATCAGATGTAAGTAAACAAAAAAAAAGAAATAGAAAAAGAAAGAAATATTTATTTAATTGTTTTTTTTAGGATTCAATTATAACATTTATAAAATGTTTAGTTGAAGTATCAGAAGAAGAAATTAATCATTATTCAAGAATTTATAGTGTAATGAAATTGGTTGAAGTGATTGAATATAATTTAAAGAGAAGAATTAGATTGGTATTTTACAACATGTGGGAGATTGCAGTTAGTCATTTTATTCGTGTTGGACAACACAACAATAATGATTTGGCATTACATGCAATCGACTCGTTACGTCAACTGGCCAACAAGTATTTGGAAAGAGAGGAAATGTCCAATTATAATTTCCAAAATGAATTTTTAATGCCCTTTGAAACGGTCATGTCAAGCAACAACTCTGTCCAAATCCGAGAGCTTATTATCCGTTGTGTTGGTAATCTTATCCAATCAAAGTCACAAAATATCAAGAGTGGTTGGAAGACTATTCTCAATGTACTCAGTCTTGGCTCGACAGTTCCCTATGAACCAATTGTCGTTCTTGCCTTCCAAATTGTAGAATCTATTACACAACCAAAGATTCTTTCTCAGGTACCCTCTCATCACTACCAAGATTTAATCAATTGTATTGGTAGATTTGCTGCACCCGCCGTTCACTTTAATGAAATCTCCCTAAAGGCTGTCAATATTCTCGATCAACTCACCCGTAATCAATTGATCATTGACAGTGCCGGAAAAGACTACCGTCCATTGATCCTCAAGGCTCTCATTACCCCCATTACCCATGACAGTGAATCTGTTCGTTCACTATCCTCTTCCATGCTGTTCTCCTTTTTACAAAATCTTTCTACCACTTTTACTCAAGATACTTGGTCTCTTATCATTAATGAATTAATCAAAATTATCAAAAAAATTATAAATTCTAAAAAAGCTCTAGCTATAAATGATTTTGTAAGTACAAATAGAAAAAAAAAAAGAATCAAAGTAGTAGGTAGATATAATATTAATCTTTTTCTATTTCTATTTCTATTTTTTTTGTAGGAATTTATTTGGGTAAAACAAACATGTCCATCATTATTAAATGATTTTATTAATCTATTTTATAATCATCATGATCAATTAATTAACTTTTATCCAATTTTAATTAATTTATTTGAATCTTTTGTTTATAATTGTAATGTATCAAAGAAGAAACATGCGGATAAAAATTAAAAATGACTAATTATTTATTTATTTTTAGTAAATCAAGTAGTATCAAATATTGGATGTGAATATTTATGTAAATTTATTCAAAAATGTGGATGTTATTTTAATCAAGAACATTGGCAACAAATTTCAAAATTGATTGGTAATGAAATATATTATCAATTGTTGGTTTCTCAAAATAATACTTTGCCCCAAGACTTTTCATTGTTGGGTGGTGGTACTGAAGACTTGGCCGGTAAAAAGTTGGACGAGTTGTTATTTGGTATCGATATCCCAGTGTCGTTTGTAACCCTATACAATTGGCAGATCATTACAAATATGATGCAAAAAATGACTCATGTAGTGGTAGAGATTTACAAACAAGTACCAAAGCAATTCTGTATTGACATTATTCAGTATTGGTCATTCATATACAAATTGGCCAAGAAATTAGACAAATCATCCTTTTTGGTTCATCAGTCGTCGTCCTCGACAAGTGCTCCATCTTCACCAGTGTCTGGCTCACCAACCCTACAACCAATCAGCCACCAACAACTTCAACTCAAGCTTCATTTTGAAACCACCTCGCTGTCTTGCTTGTTAGAGTTTGGCTTTGAAATGTTTTTAAATCAACACTGTCAAGATCGTCAAAACCAAGTTGAAATCTTGATCAATGGATTGGTGGTTGACTTAATCCAAGAATGGAATGGAAAGGCCGTTACTCCAGCTCCCATTGTCATGATTGTAAAATTAATGATTCACAACATTGACAAGTACAGTGGCCTCCAATTCTCAACCCACTTTCCAACTCTCTATCCATCGTTGATTGATCTTTCACTCAATGACAATGCAGAAATCAGATCCTCTCTCATGACACTCTTGACTCGATTCGGTAAAAATGCTCTCTCTCCAATCGCTCCCATTACCACTCCAGATCCCCTTCCCCTTGATCCTCCTGTTACTACTATCCAAAAACAACCACAAGTAACCCAAAATCTATTCTCTCCAACTCCTACACTATCATCTCCAATTACTTCTCTTCTTGTTCAACAACCAAAAGAACAAGAACAAGAAAAAGAAGAAGAGGAGGAAAAGGTTGAAGATGAAGAAGAGGAAAAAGAGGAAAAAGTTGAACAACAAGAACAACAACAAGATAGCCCAGTTTTAGTTGAACAACAAGAAGAAATGGATCATGAAGAAAAACAAACAACTGAAGAAGATGTAGACGATCACTTTGAAGAAATTAAAGATGAATTGGATGAACAAGATGATGATGAGCAAGTCATTATTGTCGATGATTTAAAAGAAACTAGTGAAATTAAACAATTGGAAGAATTGGATATTAAAGAATTTGAAGATGACGAAGAACAAGAAACAAACAATCAAGAAGAAATTGTTGATCCAGTGCCAGAAGAACCACAAGAAGAAGAATCAATACTTTAAAAATCATTTTTACATAAAAGAACTTAATTTAATTTTAATTAGATTTATTGTCTATTGTATGAATTACTTTCATTATCGCTGTCATTCCTTATACTATGACAATTCATTCGTCCATATTTGTATTATCAAGGGTTGTTTAATTTTTCCAAATATTAAATCTACCATTAAAATTATTTGTCAAGTAATCGGAGAGTGCTCTAAAAAAGGAACCCATTACAAGTTTTGATTTGATCTCTGAATCCATCTCCATTGCTGATCCAGGAGAGGATCCTTTTATGCCAATGATCGTGTAGAGAGCATTGTATGGTACTGTCATATCATATTTGCATCCACCAATCATTTGAAGCCCCAATCTCTGGTCGTTGCTATGAAGAATCAGATGATCCAAAAACCATCAATAATTATTTTTAGAAATTAATTTAAACATGAGTTATATAAATGGATCAAAAGATCACATTTAGATTTATTAGTTATCATCAGAATTACTTTCATTGTCGCTGTCACCACTACTTTCATCATCTTTTTCGTCTTCTTGTAGTAATATATATTCACGTGAACTCAATCCAAATCTAATCATATCTCTTGATCTTAACTCTATGTATTGTAATGTACCAACTTTGTTTCCATTTAAACTTGTTCCATTTGTACTATCTAAATCCAATAAATATGGTCTAAATAAATAAATAATAAATAAATAAATAATAAATAATTTGAATATATTTCCAGGGTCTGTTTAAAATGATTTGTTTGGTTTGTTTCATTTCACATACCTTATAATTTTAACCGATTCACCATCAACTTCTGTATTTACCATTCTATAGACAATGATGGCATGTTGAGATGAACAGGATGGATGATCAGCTGGAATATCGGAAATGGTTCGATCACGACCAATGAGATAGGATTTTTGTCGGTGGAGGTGATATGGATCAAGTGATTTTCCATCTTTGAATGGGTATAGTACAAATCGTTTGGTTGGTAATCTAGCCTCGTGTGGTTCAGTCCATTTCAAAGCTACTGTCGATGCAGCCGCGCTGACTGATTCCGTTCCACTACTCTTCATCTTTAGGTCATCTATCAATGCTCCCGATGGTTTGAAATCGGGTTGTTCCTTCTTTTTCTTTGGTCTATCATCTTGGTCGTCTTCTTGTTGATCTTCATCTCTTTCAAATCTCTTTTTACCGTATCTATCTTCTTCGCTCATCTTTCCAAATCTTTCTTCCTCTTCTTTATGTTGTCTTTCTCTTTTCGTTCGATCTATATTCTTTAATTCTCTCAATCGTTTATATTCTTCGTCTTTATTTATATCTCTATTATTATTGGGTCTTCCTCCTCTATTATTATTATTATTATTGTATCCTCCGCGTTGACCATCTCTATTATTATCTCCTCTATTGTCTCTATTGTCTCTATTGTCTCTATTATCTACTCTATCTCTACTTTCTCCTCCTCCTCTATAATTATCTCTATTATCTCCTCCTCCTCCTCCTCTATCTCTATTGTCATATGATCGATTATAATTATCGTTTCTATCACCTCCTCTATGATCTCTATCTCGATATTCTCTATCTCTGTCTCTATATCTATCGCTCATTCTGAGTATCGATCTTTAAATTAATGAAACTTGATCAATTGAAAATGACACATATCGATGTTTCCAATTTTGGATTATCATTTAATATTATTATTATTTTTTTTAATTAATGGGAACCAACAACAATAATTAAACAGTTGCGGTAATGATATTTATTATTATTATTATTATTATTACTACTATTATGTATAGTATTATTATATTTATGATTTTACGATTTAATTAGCCTCTTTAAAATAAAATTACCTTCTTGTTTTAATTTTTCCAGTTTTGATTAGTTTTTTTCTACGATTGACAACTGGAACTGGAACTACTTGTTCTTTTTCTTCTTCCTCTTTTTCCTTTTCTTCTTCCTCTTCCTCTTCCTCTTCCTCTTCCTCTTCCTCTTCTTCTTCTTCTTCTTCTTCCTCCTCTTCCTCATCCGTTTCTTCTTCTGAATCTAGTTGTTGATCTTTTTGATCACTTGTTTGAGCTTGGTGAATCTTTAATCTTAAACTTTTAATTTCTTCATCGATTGAATCTTGATCAGAATCTTCTTCATCCTCTTCATCCTCTTCATCTTCTTCATCTTCTTCATCTTCTTCTGAATCCTCCTTTTCCTCCTCTTTCTCTTCCTCTTTTTCTTCTTCTTTGACTTTGAAATCCAATTTTAGATTTCTTTTACTTAATCTTGAATTAAAACTCTTTAGATAAAGTTTATATTCATTTGGTGTAGAAACGATGGCAAGATTGGAACGAACCACTGATTTGGGTGTTTTATGGGGTGTCACTACAACAACACGTGAAACTGATCCAGGTGTTTTATGAATTTTGATTGTTGATGATGGCATTGGTGATTTGAATATGTTTCCTGATTGCTTGGATACAGGTGTTGATGGTGGTTGTTGTTGTGAATAGTTATTGTTATTGTTGTTGTCTTCTGAATCTGAATTTATCTCCACTTGAACCTCTTCTTCTTCACCTTCCAAGATTGATTTAAAGAATTCAGTGTCATCTTGATCATCGATCACTCCATCACTTGAAATTCTAATGCAATTGTCAATGGTTGCATCTTCGGGTGGGTATTGGAGTGATTCAAAGAAGGGATGTGATAAGAGTTGGTTGGGATAGACAAACATCAACATTCTCTTTTTAAGGTTAACGAGGTGTTTTTTTAGCTCTGCATTGGCTGGTGCTCCAATATCGGATATTTTAATACTGTTGATCGATGTAACCAACTTTATGAGATCGTACGTTCCAATGAAATGTTTACTATCTGCATTCTTTGGGTTATAAATAATAGTACCCTTTGAACCATTATTATTATTATTATTATTACTTAATTTAATACGAGAGAGACCATAATCACTAATTTTGACAATATTGTGACCTACAAACCAACGACGGTCGGCGTCACGGTACATGATGTACTTTTGTGGCTCTTTAAACGACTGTAATAGAATGTTGCCAATATGAAGATCGTTGTGCATAAACTCCATCTCTTTCTGCGAAATAGAGAGAGCATAGATGATTTGAAAGAGCATGGATTGGAAGTGGTCAAGAGTGATTTCTTGGCCAACTCGATAGTCTGCCATGCTCTTGAGGTTGGCATACTCCATCACATAGTTCATGTACTGTTGTGACTGTAGGTCGCTCTTGGGAATAGCGTGTTTGGACAATAGGTTGTTGTCACGGTCCGCGTCAGATGACGGCAACGACTTGTACCACTCGATAAGTTTGATAAAGTTACAGCACTTGTTTGTATCCATCATCGCACCCAACTGCTGAAAGATCAACAACTCTCTATAACACTTGTCTAATCCATCTTTTGGTGCTGCTATATACTGTCTCTTGACTGCATACAATGTGGCAGTGGTTGTGGTGGTGTTGGAACCCGACGACGACGACGACGACAACAACGACCCAGTTCCAGCAGCAGACTTTACAAAAAACACTTGTCCATGTTTACCTTGTGATGATGTTATTGACCTATCCATACGATATGTTGACGATGTCTGTGTCTTATTATTCTTGTTATTCTTGTTCTTGCTAGCACCATTCAATGAAGAAGAGGAAGATGATGACAACTTCATATTCTTTTGAAACTTTTCATTTAAATTCTCTAGATACTCTTCATCTTCATCATCATCATAATTACCATCTTCGTCTTCATTATCTCCATCTTTTATTCTTCTATCTAATCCACTTTTTGTACAAAAGTAGGTGTCAGGTGTATTCATCAGATTGGTATGTCTCTGTACCCATTCCGATGAATTTTTCTGGTCATCCTCTGCTGACCCTCCACCTCTTGTACTTGTTCTACCTCCTTGTTGTTTAATCATAGATAGATAGCTATATATCTCTGTTATTTAAATATATATCTTGTTTTGGTTGAGAAATGTGTTGAAGCTCATTTCATGATGAGACAACCCAAAATTTTTAAAAAAAAGAGGGAAAAGTAGAAGAGTCAAGATAATTTCATCACATACATTTCTATCAAGATATCTTTATTGAACGATCGATAATGGAACCCAATAATAATAATAGTAATAGTAATAGTAATCAAAGGTACGATAATGATAATCGTAGTACCACAACACCCTCTTATTATCGTCATGATGATAGGACGAGTAGGTCATCATCAAACGATAATAGAAGAGATAGATCTAAAAGAAATGATAGCGATGGTGAAGATGACAACAACAACAACAGAAATTATCGTTCATCATCATATTCCTCTTCGTCCACCTCTTCTTCAAGATATAATAATCATCAAAATAAAAGTAATCATTACGACCCTTATAAACGAACTAATAATAATCGAAATAATAATAATAGTCAACGTGATAATCAACGTAGTAATAATAATAACAGTGATAGTAATAGTAATGGTATGGTCAAAGATAACCTTGACCAAAAAGCATCAACAACAGTAAACAGTAAATTTTATGGATCTGTTCCTGATGGTATGTTTACAACGCAAAAGATCTCATTTTTATTGGAATTCATCATAATAATAATGCCTTTCCATTGTCTCTCCCTCCTCTCTAACGCGTATTTCATTTCATTTATCACCTAATATGAACGAACTTCGATACGATACACAATTAATTTAATTTGAATTAAATCTTATTATGGACCATTGAACAACAATCAACTACAAACGATCAATCATTCAATCATTCATTTGCATACTTTTCAACTCAACTATCTATTTTATTATCTATCCATGTCAAATCATACAATTAACAACACCAATAATAATAACAAAAACAACAAAAAACATAAATATGTACATTATTATGGATATACCAACAAAGTATTATTAAGTCAACAGGAAACCGATCCATTAAAACTACAATCTAGACAAAAAGATATTGATTATGGAAAGAATACGATTGGATATGACAACTATATCAATACAGTACCAAAAGACCAACGAAAAAAAGGTCATCCAATGACACCATCTAAATATCAATCTTGTAGTCGTAGGTCTTGGGCTGCACAAATTAAAATATGGAGAAAAGCTTTACATCAATATGATCCAGAAGGCCATACTGGTGATGATGATGACTACAATCGTGATAATGATGTCAACAACAATCGTAATAATGAAACCAATCAAAATGGTGGTGATGGTGTTGTTGAACAAACAAATATTGATGAACAACAAGATGGAGATGATCAAGGTGGATATGAAAACTTACAAGACCAATTACTAGAAAATCAAAATTTACTATTATCTATGATGGCTACAACTGAACCACCATCAACAAATCAATAAGATGAAAAAAGAAGATTAAGAAGAAAAAAGAAAGAACCAATAATTAAAAAGGATTGGTAACTTTTTAAAAGAACTACTACTACTATACTATACTGTAAATATATATAAAACAAAACAAAATATCTTTTTTGTGCTTTAAAAAAAATTATTATTACTTTTTTTTTTTTTTTGTTGTTGGAATGGAAAGAAAAAAAAGTGAAATGAAACAATTCCAATGGAGCGATTGTTGAGTTGAGATCACCATTTGTTTGTTGATTTTAAAAAAAATAATTAAATTTTAATTTCTTTTTAAATTAATTTTTGGGGTTTGGGTTTTGATTATTGTTTTTCTTTTCCAGAGTCTGTTAATGATACATTTGCAGATAATCTATTGCTACGAGATTCTTGAACCAATTTCATACGCTTTTCACGAAGACTCATTTTACCGGTTTTTACATTGAGGTCTTCCAACGATGATGATCCTGCAGCACCGGGGTTGTCAGGGTCGACTGGTGCGTATTGCCCCGATGTTCTAAAGGCAAACTGTTGCTCCAACTTTAACTTGGTGTCGGCAACCTTTTCACTGACCGATGATGTGATTCTCTCCTCTTGCTCCTTTTCATGTTTGTCTGCATCTGCCTTTTCAGCAATGATCGCTGCAATCCAATCTTCTTTGGTTTCCTTATCACTTGCACAAATAACTAATCTATCTTCACTTGATGTTGATATCATAAATGAATTTGTACATGCTAAATAGAAAATAAATAAATTAATAAATAAATTAATAAATAAATTAATAAATAAATTAATAAATATTATTATTATTTCTTTTCTATTTCTTTTCTTTTTTTTTTTTAACATACTTGGAGTATCATCTAAAGGTTTTAATCTTAATTTATGTAATGGATAACTTGATTCAAATTGTAAACGAATTGTTTTTTGTTTACCAAAGAATGAACCAGATGATTTAGATGGACGTGTGACAGCCAGAATATCGTTAAATAAATACAAGACGAGGGCACATTTTTTCTTGACCATTCCCTCTGTAAACTCTCCCTCCTTGACGAATCTTCTGTGTGCCTTGACGACAGCCGATATATCATTCGAGTTGCCCTCCAACTTTTCTTGAATGTCTGCCAACTTCATACGATTCTCTGCATTTCTCTTGGCTTCATTCATCTTTTCGGCGACAGTGTTCATTGAATTGTATGCATTCTCCAATGATTGATAATCTGGATGTGATGCCCATGTATGATTAATCATATCTTTAATTAATAAACTATATCTCTAAAATTAATTAATTAAATAAAGGTAGGTGTAAAATATTAGTTATAATCCTATCATTTCATTTATATTACTACTACTAAGTTTATAAACATACTGGAATTCTTTGAATTGGACGAATCAAATAATCTTCAAGGCCACGAAGTCTAATTTCTTCGTTGTGTTCTTTTAATTTGTTCAAGAATGCTTTGAATTTTGGTTGTTTCTTGCATACATTGAGTACTTCGAGACAATCACCATAGTTGATACAATACTGTGAATAGATCATCAAGAATCGACTAAACTTTACAAAAATATCACCAATCAGTGTGTCTTGTTTCCAGTGCTTGCAACGAACTTGCAACTCGTTCAACAATTGAGTATTGTATGCAATGATTGATTCCAACTCACTGAAAATAGCTCTAATCTCTTCTTCTGAAATAATTGGTGATCCCTTTGCAATTGCTTCTCTTAAATCTTTTAATGGTTGCTAAAAATAATAAAATAAACTAATTAATCATTTTGTTCTTTTAATATTGTCCCAAATTTGAAGTAGACTTACATCTCTTAAATAAATTAAACGATTCAAATATTCAACTTCAGTCTTTGTAATCTCCTGAGTAATTCTTTCTCTGTAGGCATTGTCACGTTCTCTAACTCTTTGACGGTTTCTCTCTAACCATCTTCTAGTGGCTCTTTGAATCTTTATAACTGCCTTTAATTCAGTTGAAAGACGATCTAAATTGTAATAAATATTAGTATTAATATTATTGGGCATTCTGTTCAATTATATATAAATGTTGTTGTTTTAACATACCTTGTTTGGGATCAGGAGTTGAAGTGCCCGGGGTGGAAGATTTGGGAACTGTCGTAACAGTTGCAGTAGAGGTGGTTGATGAAGCTGTAGTGGCTGTAGTGGAGGTAGGAGCAACAGCTGTAGGGGTGGCAGTGGAGGTAACAGTGACAGGGGTTTGGGTAACTACATTTACTGTTTTAGGAACGGTTGAAGCAGTCGATGTGACTGAGGTGACGGGAGGAGCAGTTGTGGTGGGTGCCGATGATGATGAAGTGGTGAGACCGCTACTCTTTAGTTTTTCAGCAACGGCGGCGGGTGATGGTACATGTGAGGAGATGGTTGGAGATGAAGGGGCTCCAATTGGACTTGCTTTGAAACCTAGTGATGATCTCTGACTCTGAGGTTGAGTAGTAGGGGTAGGAGTAGTAGTAGTAGTATTAGGAGGGGAAAGAGGTATCATATTAGAAATACTAGTACTCATTATTGGTAGATCTACATTATTATTATCAATATTATTGTTTTGGTTGAAACTATCATTATCATTATTATTATTTACACTGGCAGAAAATGTAATAGTATTGGTGGTTGTAATGGATTCTATAATAATTGGTTTATCATTATTACTATTATTATTTGTTGTTGTTGTTGTTGTTAAAAGTGGCGTGACGATATCGATTGGAATTGGTGTTGTAGTAGTAGTATTGTTGTTATTGTTGTTGTTGTTATTGTTGTTGGTATCGGTAGTTTCAGTGGTGGCGGTAGAAGTAGTACTACTTCTTCCTCTGACCTCTCCAATCTTAATTGGACTATCTCGGATGGTAGTAGTAGTAGTAGTTTTAAATTGGTTGTTGTTGTTGTTGTTGTTACTTGGATCAAGAGACAATGATGAATGAACATCGTCGCCGTATTGGTTGATGATGACTTGCTCGACGGTTTGTGAGTTGATGGGTGGTGATTGGATCGTATTTGCAAGCGCGACTTTTAACTCGGTTGCATTGGATGACTTTCTATTAGTATAATATGGTTCAATGTAGGAAATGGTTGCTTTCTGTTCCTTGGGTGTAGGGACAGTTGTTGTTGTTGTCAAATGTGATGCAGATCTATGAATTGGTTGATCTGCTGCTGTTGGTAAAGGTAATATATTATTATTATTATTAACCTCTTGTTGTTGTTGTTGTAATTGTTGTAATTGTAATTTTTGTTGCGTTGGGATTTGTTTATTCCAATTTGGTGGTAAAGTTGAATATCTACTTGATCCCCTTTTATAATTATTTTGGTTGTTTGTTGTAGTAGTGGTAGTAGTAGTGGTAGTATTTATAGTGTTGGTATTATTACTGTTGTTATTATTATGAGTATCACTATTACTTTTAAGTAGAGTATTTTTCCACTTGTTTAAAATACTTTTGAAATCATGTCCTCCACTTTTACTATTACTATTACTATTATTATCAGTTGATGTTGTTGACGTTTGTTGTTGTGGTTGTTGTTGTTGTTGTTGTTGTTGTTCACTGTTATTATTATTATTATTTCTTGGGATGAAAACACTATTTGAATGTTCTCTACCTCCTTTAAAAATTGATGGAACAAATGAAGATTGAGATATGAATGACCTGGAATGAGGTCTAAACGTTTGAAATGTCTCACTTCTTTTCATTGTACCCTCACTACCACCATTATTATTATTATTATTATTGTTACTATTATTATTATCCATCATGTTATCAACAATACTATCACAATCGCCATTGTCATTATTATTATTATTATTTTGATTATTATTATTAATATTGTTAGTAGTTACCTTTGGAGAATTATCAGGATACAATTTCTTTTGATCGGCTATATGTTGGAATAATTGATTCTTTGTTGCGGCAACCGAGAAATCACCATTCTGTGTCTGACTCTTCTTGATGACTTCTTGACGTTTGTTTTCTCTGATTGTGAATTGAGCGAGTAACGACTCGGCTTCATGAACTTCTTTTTCGCTAAACTTTTGTTCACTTGCCTCCAATACAGGCCATTCAATACTGAAATCATATTGTGAATCTTGATTTGCAATCTAAATTATATAAATATATAGAAATAGAATAGAACAAAAGAGAGAGAGAGAGAGAGAGAGTTAAAACACAACCCTTTTATACGATTGTGTATAAATATATATATATATATATAATCTAGAGACAAACCTTGCAAACAGCTTCCAAACATTCAATAACTCTACGAATATTGGTATAGGTAGGACGTTCTTGTTGAAGATCGGCTAGAGTAAACTTTTTGTGTCTTGGGATACCCATGTCGATGGAAGCTTGAATAAAAAAGGAGATATTCTCACTGTTTTTAAACATGATGGTACGTTTAGGGGCATTGGGGTCGGGTATAGAGATACGTGGCATCAGTCTTGGACTGATGGCTTGGATGACACGACACAACAATATACCATCGACCAATAATTTTACAAAGTCTTCATTTTGATCCAAACTAATCTCCAATACATTCTCTATCCATTTGACTGCTGCTCTCTTTTGACAGAGATAATGTATTGCTTTTGAATTCATTATTGCTTAAATAAATATATATAAAGTTGAGTTATTCTATTATTATTATTATTATACACGATATATATAGATACAAAGATAGATATATAAATAAATAAATAAGATTTAAATTTTCTTTCTTGTCTCTCTCTCTATTAATTATTATTATTATTTATAACTTATAAATAACAGCTGTTTAATGATAGGATTGATTGATTGTTGGTGTGTGAGGTGAGAGGGTGTGTGATTTGAATTGATTTGATTTGAGGTGAGGGTTTGTGGTGTGGCACTTGATATCGATGATCTAGAGTTAAAAAAAAGTAGTAGGTATGATATGATATGATATGATTGATGTAATAATAATATAAAAGTAATAATACAGAATGAATGAATGAATAAATTAAAGCCAAGTAAGCTTTGTGAGTAGTGAATGTCCAATGTGTGTGTGCGAGTAAAGAGTAAATCTGTGAACTATGGAGGTTTGTGATGGTGAGGAGGAGCAATGGAAAAAATTATCATAAAAAACCCTTTTTCGGATTAAAATTTTTGTTGAAAAGAGGTGGCCTCATGTAATTAGTCGTGTATGATAATAATAATAACAATGAAAGACACTATCATACATATGTATATTTCAATCAACCATTTTATTTAATTTATAGTTTGCATATAGTTATACTTGTGGTGGCCTGTGTCAATAGGATTAGATTGAAGATAATATGAGGTATATACATTAGTAGTGATCATCAAGATTAGTTGGTTGATTTAGTAAGTTTGTTTGCTGGATACATACAGGATATTAATGCTAGTACTAGAAGATTTCATCTTATTTGATGATGATGATGATGAATCATCGGTCTTTAGCTTCTTCATGTCATCGACAATGGTGGTGGAGGAGGAGGAAGTTGGTTTGGACGATGATGAAGTGGAAGAAGTGGAAGAAGTAGAGGTTAAATTATTGTTGTTGTGGTTGTTGTTGTGGTTGTTGTTGTTGGAAGAAGTAGAGGGATGCATGCATGCATTAGATCTAATTGGCATTGGATTTAATGAAGATAAACCTTCTTCAAGTACATTTGGATTGAATAATTCAATCATGTGAACAATCTTATCATTGTCATTGGTGTGTACGTGTGTAAAGAAGAGTTGGTGGTATGGTTTGTGAGAGGTGAGTACCACGCCATTGGCTTCAATCTTTGCGAAACTAGAGTTCTTGTCAGTCGACAACATCGTGATGATGACACTGTTAAAGTGAAAGAGGTTGGTCCAATTGGTAAAGAAATCTCTTATCGCCACAATACCAGAGATCTTTCTTTTCTTTTGTTCATAGTGGTATGGAAATTCAATCGTTGCATTGCCATCGAATAATTGTAGCAGTTGTTCTACACTTCCTCCTGAACTAGTTCCACATGTCTCAAAATATTTATAATATTTAACTATTGCATTATTTGATAAATCCATATCTCTCCTCTCTAAATAATAATATTAATTAAAATAATATTAAATAATAATAATAATAATAATAATAATACTTTTTTCGTAATGTTTGTTTTGGAAACACACCCCCTCACCTCATTCATTTCATTCCAGTTCCATAATTATTTGAATTTAATTGGTTCTGGAAATATTAATATTAATATTACTATTCATAATAATATTAAATATCCAACACTATCCCTCACTAACACGTTTATACTGATAATTCTTAATTTGTTTTAGATTGTTTATATTATTAATATATTATTAATTAATTGGGTTTTATTTAAATAATTTAAACAAATTGTAAAATTTGAACCAAATGATCACTTGATCCATACATTAGAGTATTATCGGCAAAAGAAAGACAAGATATACTTGACTGTGAAGTGTATAAATCCTCGGATTTGTCGTTGTTCATATTCCACCATCTGATGGTTTGGTCGTTGGATGCCGATATGAGACTAGAGCCATTGAAACAAAGACTACGAACCGATCCGTTAGACTTTAGGGTACGATAACAACTGTTGGTACGGAGATCCCATAGCTTGATGTTGCAATCGTTGGATCCCGTGGCTACGACATTTCCTTCCCATTGGAGACACCGGATACCTTCGTGGTGACCGGCCAATACACCGATACTCTCCATCTTGTTCAAGTCCCAGAGACGAACCACCTTGTCCGAACCACCACTAATCAACTTTCCATTGGTATCGGCTTGGAGACAAGTGACACAACTTTCATGTTTGAATTGGTGTATTGGAGTTTGATTCTCGATGTTTCGGTGACGTTGTTGTTGACGTTTTTCTAAATTGTGTTGTTGACTATCTGATAGTGATGACGGTGATACAGAAGAGTTGGAATCGTCAAGTGAATATTCGGCAGTGGCGGGATGGATATTATTCTCTTCTTCGTATGATCCAAATGAATCGTCTGGTTGAATGTTATAATTTACAATGTTGTTTCTTCTACCTTCATAGTACAGTTGTGATTGGTAGACTCGTTCGTCTAATGTTTCCGAGTCGTCCATTAGTTCTCCGACAGACCATAGTTTGACGGTGGCGTCTGACGACCCAGTGATGACAGTACGTCCATTGGCATTACCACGCAAGTATTGTAGACAAAAGACATCAAAGTTGTGTGCGCGTGTTGACACGATACCCTGACACGTTTGCTTCTCGCAGTTCCACAGTCTGAGTGTATTGTCGAGTGATCCAGTTGCCAAGAAACCATTGCATACGTCCAAACATTGAACGGTGTACGAATGACCCTTGAGAGTGTACAAACATTTTCTATTCTTTGCGTTCCATACCTTGACAGACTTGTCGTAGCTGCCTGTATAGATCATTCCATTGTCTGTATCGTTGATAAGTGTCCAAACAGTACCACTGTGACCTCGTAGCACAGATGCGGTGCAAATGTCACTAGACCAACGTTGTTCGGTGACATAGGCACGTGTAAAGAGTTGGTGCCATTCCTGATCATCCTTTTTTCCTTTTTGGTTGGCTTCAAACAATTCGATGTTTGGTTTACAGATGAAATAATTTTGGTAAAGTAGACGCCAGAGGAAATCCTCGCACGTCAACCGATGCCACGAATGGCAGACCAACATGATCGAGTAAATGTCAGAGTGATCGAGGAACCCAATGATGGTGACAAGTATTTCATCGGGCAATGCGAGTATATTAGTGGTGGCTTGACGAACCTTTTCACGACGTTGAGCAGTGATTGGCATGCGATCTAGTAAATAACCAGATGAATTACTAAATTTGGCTTTGAAATTGGTTTTGGAACGTGAAAGGAATCTAGCCAATCTTCTCATCTTTGAATTTTCCAATTGTGCTGCCAATCTAGCTTCTTCCTCTTCTTGTTCTCTTCTCTCCTCTTCCATTTCCTCAAATGAATTTTCATATGGGAAACTATCAAATGTAAAATTATTACTATTTGATCTAAATTGATATTGTCCTACAAACATTTTTTTTGAAATCTTTCTTTTTAAAATGATAAATGTTGTATATCTTGTTTATATAAAATTATTCTTTTTAGTTATTGTTATTATTATTAGGGGATATGAAAATGATTAGTATTTCTTATCCAATTCTTTTTACTATAAATCATTTGGTTTTTTAGTTATTATTAAAGAAATCAAAAAAGTTTTTTGTTTTGTTTGGTTTAGAGAAAAATATAAAAAGTTATATAGTTTAAATAAAAAATGAAAAAAGGATAAATAAATAAATTGAAATGATATATTTTGAAATTTGATTCAAATTGAAATTGAATTTATATGTTGAAAAAGAGTAAAATGAACAACAGGAAATTTGTGGAATACGACTATACACTTGTGGTTTAGGTGGTAGGTAGTTGAGTGTAGTGACTACTACTTTTACTTTTACTACTACTAGCAAAAAGGTGGAAAACTTAATTAAATTGGAGTGGTAAATTTAGATTTATGTATGAATGTTGTACTCGAGTGTTGTTGAACTGAAGAGATGATTAAAAACAATCTGGGCGCCAAGACATACGGGCTGGGGATGAGTATGTGTGAGTGTGTGGAGGGAAGGTTGTGTGTTGGAGTAAGTAGCCAACAGATTGCTATAGAGATTGTTGATGGGATTTTGCAGAACAACACAAAACCACTCTCTAGCTTGGTTGTAAAAAAGATTCAAAAGATTAAACGCGGAAATATATATAATTTAAAAATGTATTGACCCAGTCTATATTGACATAGTATGGGGTAGGGTATATTGAATGGATTTAAAAAATAAAAGGTAGAGATATATAATTAAATAGAATAGATATCTCCTTGAGATTGAATTCAAAATTGACTGTGACCGATGACAGACAAACTGACGAACGATGATATAATAGTGACAAAATATAAAATAATTTATTTAAATCATATATGTATATGGAAATGGATAGGGATAGACATCATCAATATAGTTGACTATTATGGCAATTATATATTTAACAATTGATGAACACAACACACAGTTGAGAGAATAGTTAGTGTGTGGATTTTAAACTCGATTTTCGAATGAGTAGATACCCAGTCAATATATCTGGGTACCCAATTAAAGTGAGCTGGTAGGTGTTGTTGGTGAAGGGGTGAGTAGATATAGTGTCATTTAATTTCCCGGATACAACGACTGTTTTTGAAATCAACTCTTTTTTCTTTTTTTTTTTTGTTGTGAAATGAAGGGAAGACATGTAAGAATAACAAATCGTTAATCTATCATTTGAAAATACAACAATCCAAAATAGGGTGGGTATGTTGGGTAAAATGGAAATTTCCACATTGTGGAATGAAATGAACTACTACTATTGGGAAAAAAAAAAAAAGAGGGTGAGATATATTTGTTTGTTTGTAGTTGTAAACTTACATTTATTTTGAAAAAAAGAACAGTTGTATGTTCTATTTTGATAAATATCTGTGGTGGTGTTTTGAAATTATTACTAGTACAATCCTATTATTGATCTCGGTTTCTCTCTCTCTCTAAATCTTAATCTTAAACTACTAACTATTGTAAATGAATGAATAAATATCCGTGTTTCCGGTTTTACTTTTAAAAAAAAACAAACAAGAGATGATGGAGATAATAGATAAATACTATTCTCGATTACTATTACTATTGCTATTATTATGCTTAAATGATATTATTAAATTGAATATACTATTCATCTAGAGTCTGGTCTAGTTGGAAATATTGAAAAATAATGAATCCAAAACAAAAAATATTAAAAATTAAAAATAGAATTGTTTGGGATGACTATGTACCAATTAATTAATGAATACTATTTTATAAATTTAGAACTAAAACTATGATGATTATCAACAATGGAATGTTTTAATATTAAGGAAGAAATGGTTTTATTCGTGGGTGGTTAGTACCGCTAGCTTGGTTTACCAAGTTGGATATTCTTATCATTCCATCACAGCTCTGAAAAAGAAAGAGTAGGAAGAGGTTATTATTAATTCCCAGTCTGAAACTAAGATTCCATCCATTCCATCTCACCTTAACCGACTCATATGATTGTTTAGGGTCGATATAATTACTAATAAAACAACAAACATAACATTATGATGAATAGAACTCATTGATCCAATTATGGCAATTACCAGAAAACAAACCACACACACACTAACTAATAGCTATACCCCCGCTACCATTAAATGATTATTATTTGAACTTTCCAACTTGGGGAATCGATCTTGCCTATATTATATATCTCAACACTATCATGATTGTTCGATAGTGATGCTATGGATGGAAAGAATAAACTCTAAAATTATAATTATAATACAATTTAAAAAAAGATTTAATTTATAATAATAATTCTTCAACTAACATTATTATAGTTTGTTGATTGTGTTTTATTAATTTAATTTGTTTTACAATAAATCTAAATTTGGAATAAATAAAAGAAGGGAAGGAGGATAGAAATAATAAATTAATAATTAATTGAATAAAATATGTGCAAAAGAGAGAGAGAAGTAAAAGATAGGATTGAATTGATAATAAAAATTCTTTTGATTAATTTGAATTTGGGTGGCTTTGAAAAAAGCCTTTTGTAATGTTTATACAACATATGAAAAAAGATAAAATCCTATTCCAGGGGCGGATGTTATTCCTATATTCATAAGAGTCCAACGAACGGTGGGCGGCTAGCCAATCGTTTAGTAGGTTTGGGAACCTTCGGCAGAGGCAGAGGATTTCTTCTTGGTAACCTTCTTGGTCTTCTTTTCGGTGGCTGGAGTTGGAGCAGCGACGACACCACCGTTGGCAATAGTGACGTTGGAGAAGAGATGGTTGAGCTCAGCATCGTTACCGACAGCCCAGTTGATGTGTTGTGGGGTGATACGGGTCTTTTTGTTTTGTGAACAGATGTTGTGGGCGAGTTCCAAAATTTCAATCACCAAGTATTCGAGGACGGCAGCCAAGTAGACTGGAGCGTTGGATTCGACACGTGGGGCATAACGACCGTCTCTGAGAAGACGTTCAATACGTGAGACGGGGAAGGTGATGGCGGCTCTCTTGGAACGAGACATCTTTTCCTTGTCGTCTTCACCAGTCTTCTTGGTCTTGGCGACCTTTGGCTTGGTCTCAGTCTTGTCCTTGGTTGAGGTTTTCTTGTTGGTTTCTGACATTTTTAAAAGTAGAGGATGATGAAAGTAATTACTAACTGACTATTAATATTGAATATTAAAGATAGGGGCTTGTGTGTTGTTGTTGGGAATGAATATTTGGTAAATGGATAAAATGAATGATGAGTTCAAGGTGATGTTTCTTGCTGTTTCGAAATCAACTCAAAAAAAATGTCAAAAAAACTCACTTTTTTTTTGAAATCATATGTAAAAGTCGGATTTTTGAAGGTTTTTGCTCAAAAAAAATGAAACCACTTCCCTCCAAATTCTCTAATATCCTAAAATTCAAATTTTAAAAAAAAATCAGATAAACTAGTCGTTAAAAAAATTAATCGATCAAAAAAAACAAGATTCTAACGGTTAAAGTATATTATATTCCCACTAATCTAGTTGACGAACTCAAACAAACATTGCTTTACTCTTAAAAAGTTTTATTTTATTTTATTTTATTTTGTTTTATTTTATTTTATTGAGTTGGTTAAACTTTTTATTTTTATTTTTTTATTTTATTATTTTTTTATTATGATTCCTATAGTAGTACTTAAAGATATATCTTGTATTCTAAAGATATATTACCGACTTTGTATTATCATGAGTATTTTTTTTTTGGGTGTTTGATGAATTTTCAAAGTGACTAGTTTCCATTGAAGAAAATTCAATATTTGTTTTACTTTCTTTTTTTTAAAAGAGAGGAAATGTATTGAGAAGAAGATGGAGAATAATCATCATCATTTAAACAATAATAACAGTAATAGTAATAATAATAGTACAGATATTATAACAAATAATAATAATAATAATATAGATATGACAAACGCACAACTAATAGGAGCAATTGAAATGATTGAACCACTTAAAATACCAGAAGAGATGCTTCAACCATTCAACAAATCAGTGTTAGAGGAAGACGATGATGACGAAGAAGAGGAGGACTTGTCATTATCATCAGACGACGACGACAATGATGAGAACAGTGAAGATGAAGAGGATATAAGTGTTGCTGCTACCATCGCTGCTGATGATATCATGAACTTTGGACAACAAGATGTATCATCATCATCAACAGACGATGATATGGACGATGAAGAAGAGTTATCATCAGACGATGATTTAGAAGAGGAAGAGGAGGAATACACAACAACAAACAAGAAACAACCAAAACAAGCAAAAAAGAAAGTAGTCAAGATAACCAAGACACCAAAGGTAGAAAAGAAAAAGAAACCACCCAATGCATTTATCCTCTTTTCACAACACCGAAGAAAAGAGTTGAAATTAAAGCATCCAGAGCTCACCAATATCATAATATCATCAATGTTGGGTCAAGAATGGAACAAATTACATCCATCTGAAAAGAAAGGTTTTACAGAACGTTCATTAAAGTTAAAAGAAGATCAAAATAATAATAACAAATAATAATAAGAGTATTAATAATAATCATTTTTATAAATAATAGAAACAACCAAAAATAATAATAATAGTAATAATAGGCAGTTCATTTTGCATTATGTATATTAGATACTTTAATTTTCAATTCCTTTAACTACTATTCGTAGTGGAAGGGATTGAAAATGGAGTATTTATTTCTTGGTGCATTTGGACAATGGATAATGACCCAAAAACATTGGCAAATGGTAAAAGTAAATAGTTTAATTGGAGTTGGTATTCTTTGTTACTAAGAGGTGATGCAATTTCTCTTGACCATTCAAACTTTTCAAAATTGTTGTATAATACATTAAATTGATTACTAAATAAGAAAAGAAAAGGTAGGAAAAAAAAAAAAGGAAAGGGAAAAAAGGAAAAAAAAAAAAGTAAGATTAATATATAGTTTGATGTATATACACAAAATAAATTATTAATGCATAAATTATTATCATTCATTTTACTATTTCTTTTTTTTTTGGAAAGAAAGACTAGACATTCTCTCTCGCTCTCTCTATTTGGTAAAATTTACATACAATATTAATTTTTGGGTTTCAGTAAGATGTTCATTGATACTGGCCAAACAACCCATCATGACGTAGGTGTAGGGAATATCAAAACCAATTTGGATAAGGTAGGTGAAGGCACCAGATGCCTCAACCAAGAGATCCTTGAGAAACTTTATATAAAGGGTTTGTGCATACAATCGATACATGATCAATATCACCAATTGTTTACTTGGCATTAATTTGACCATTGGGAAAAAGGCATTACTCATATATAATTTATAGTCTTTTAATTTTTTGTGTAACTAAATATATATATAGGCATAAATAGAAATAAATTAGAAATTAGAGGTTTGTATCATATATCATATATCATATATCATATATCATATATCATATATCATATATCATATATATATCTCTCTACTTACAATATGAATAAATTTGGTTTCATGTAACTTTTGCAATCTTAATTTGTTTTTGGTATAAATTTTTTTGAGTAATGAAATGGATTGATAGAATGGTGCAAGGTTGGTAGGAAGTAGAGGGTGAAGTAGAGCTTGGATTTCTTCAATTGATGATGTTCCTTTTTTCATCATTGAATAATTTCCAATCAACATGGCTGGTATTGTATGACTATTAATTTCCATCTCGACTGTAGTGGCAGTTGTTGTTGGTTTGGATTGTATTTGGTACTTGAGTTGTTGACTTTGTTGTTGTTGTTGTTGATCATGTACACGAGGATTATCTGGTATATAGGTAGATCTCATCAATTCTGGAATGAGTGTATGTATTTGTTGGCTTTTAGCAATTGTTTCACTAACCTTTTGTTGGTAACTATTCAATTGTGATTCAAATGCATTTGGTTGTAATGCAAAACATGATTTTGATAATGATATACCACTTGTTGTTGTTGTTGGCTTTGTTGTTGAAGTAGTAGTAGTAGTAGAGGTAGATGTTGTTGAAGCAACTTGAGGTGTCTTTTGGTTTGTGGTATTGGTTTGTTTAGGTGTTGGTTGAGTTGGAAGAGGAGGAGGGATAACAATAGGTTTAGGTTGTTGTTGTTTATCGTTATTCTTCTTTTGATCTACCTTTTTTTGATCTACCTTCTTTTTATTGATACTATCAGCAACAACAGGTGCAGTAGTCGTCGCCACAACAGATGTTGCAACTGTCGCATTGGTTTTAGTTTCTTTCAAAACCTTTGCAATGGTAGGATCATTTTGTTTCTTTTGAATAGATGCAAGAGAGTCCATGAATGCGAGTGATAATCCACCACTACCACCAGATTGTTTCTTTTGTTGTTGTTGTTTCTTTTTTGGAGGAACTACATTCTTTGGTACTGCAGCAGATTTGTCTTTGTTATTCGTCGTCTTTTCATCTTTTGATTTAGACAAAGTAGTAGTATTCTTCTTGGTGTCGCTTGTCGGTTTCATTCTTTCTTCTTTGACCAAAGCAAAGCTTAGACAACTTGCAAATATATTTATATAAATGACAACAACTCGTCCTCATCTCGCAAGTCAGATGAATGCAATCATTCAACTCAACTCGTTCAAAAATAAATTAATTTAAAATTATATATCAAATCAAGATATATATCTCTCTCTCTCTCTATATCTATCTCTACTTTCGATCTATCTATCTGTCTATCCTATCTATCCTATTTGATATTTGTTTTTGTATCATTATTTTTTTTTATTTGTTTTCTATAATATATAAATTGTGTAATGAAAGTAAAAGTTTAGGATGAAGCTGATGGTGTAGTTGTTGCGAATTTCTGTAGTCTCTTATTTAATTGTTCTTCGGATCCTTTAGAGTTGGAGTTGTAAGAAAATAATATATATATTAATGTCATTGTTCATTGTTTGTAATAGACTGTGTCACAAGTGATATAAATACATACCAGCCAATGGATTGGTTGCACCAAACTTTTGCTTTCTCTTTAAAATCTCTTCTGGTGTACTCAATTTAAGTGCATCCTTTGGATTTATCTTTTTAATTGGTACTTTGGCTGGAGAGGTTGTGGTTGTTGTCTCGCTACCACTGGATGATGATGATGATCCAGCAGTCTTAAACTTTTCTCTTCTTGCAGCTACCTTTTCAGCTTCACTTAAACCACTACCGTTGGTTGATGGAGTAGCAACTGAAGATGTTGTCTTTGGTGATGTTGTAGTAGTAGTATGATGATTACCATTGTCATTATTTGATGATAGAGTAGGTGAGGTTTTAAATTTGTTGGCGCGATATAGAGCTCTTTCTTGGTGTGTCATTTTTGTTATATCTACCAATGAACCAGATGATGCTATAGGTGATGATGATGTAGCAGTAGCAGTTGTTGTTGTTGTTGTTGGACTACCCGATACACCTGTGTTGTTGTTGTCTATAGTTGAAGCATCTGATTGAGCTGTAGCATTATTGTTGTTGTTATTATTATTGTCACCTGAATGATGTGTTCCGTTGCTACCATGCTTTTCTATATATTCGATTAATCTAGCTTGCAAGTCTGCCTTCTTGCCCGATGTATCTAATCCCAATGTAGTCAACTCTTTTTGCAAGTCTTTGACCAACATCTTATCAATTGAATCTTTAGTAAGTGCCATCTCTCTTTGTTATCTTTCTTCCTTTCTTCTTTCTTAATCTCTTCTTTCTTTGTGTATGTGATCTACCAACTATCTTATCTTTATAAATACTCTTAATAATAATAATAATAACAATAATAAATAATAAATACAAATAATATATATATATCTCGTCAATAATAAACAAGTGTCACCAAAGTATTTGTCAATGAAGTTCATGTCACCAATTGGGTGTGAGGTATCATTATTTGATTTTTGTTTGTTTTTTTTTCATCAATCCTCTCAAGCTTGAGACAGATGTATGAATCATCATACTTGATTGCGTCTCATTTATTGATAGATAGATAGATAGATAGAGATGGGAGGAATTATAAGTAAATATAATGGTACTGATGAATATAACGTGTTGTTTGTGGGATTAGATGGTTCTGGGAAGTCAAGTATACTGTATCATTTCTTGGGACTTGGAAAAGACACTACTAAAATACCAGTACTTTGTAGTTTTACTGAATCAGTGTCGTACAAGAACATTCAATTTACGTCTTACGATCTTGGTGGTGATAAAGGACCGTTTGGTCAAGACGACCTATTTCAAAAAACATCTGCTATCGTCTTTGTCTTGGATGCATCCGACCCATTGAGGCTAGATCAATCTAGAATCGAGTTGACCAAACTACTAAACAATGAGCATCTACAGACTGCAAGTGAGATAGTCTTAATACTTGCCAATAAAATGGATAGACCTGATGCTATGACAATCGATCAAATAAGAACCATCTTGTTGGACCATCCATCTATTGTCGATTGTGCAATCAAACCAACTATTGGAAATAATCCTGAAATTGGTAAAGATGGTTTCATTGATGCTATGAATTGGTTAATAAATAAATTGGAAAACAAATCATAATATTATGTATAATAATATAGGTTTGGGGGGATAATATTTGTATTTGTTTTGTTTTGTTTTATTTATTTACATTATATGATTTTATTTACACGTTATTATTATTATTATGATGTGGGAGTATATTATTATTATTATTATTATTATTTTGGATTGTGAATTATAATTATTATTATTTGTTTGTTTGTTTTTTGGTTTTAATATTATCTACAAAATGATGAAATGATGGATAAAATCCACTACTCATGGACTCTTCCTACTCTTCATTGTTCACTTTGGAATGCTGGTTGTGGTTTGGCTTCCTTTAAGAATTCATTGTCTCTTTCGACATCGTCTTGTACAAATGCTTCACCTTCCTTTCCCCATCCGTATCTTCCATATCCCTCTATTTAAAATCAAAAAAAAAAATAAGAGAAAGAAATAATTAGTAAATTGAAATGATTGATCAAATATATTTATATATATATGTACATACCCTTCTTTGGTAAACCTCTTGTTCCGGTTCCAGAGTGACGGTCTAATCTTACGTTCTTGTCTACTTTATCTTTTAAGGCCATTTTGGAATATATTATATATTATATTTGTTTGTTTGTTTTATAAATTTGAAATATGCTAAATGGTTTTGTGAATGAATAAATTAGAATAAATTGTATGAATGAATGAAGATGAAGATGAAGATGGTTGGATTGATTAAATTAAATTGTTGTTTGGATGAATATAATATAATATAATATCAATTCAATTATGAAAAAAAAAGATTTGGGTGTTAGTTAGTTTTGTTTTTGTATTATTACGATGATTGTTGATGTTGGGGGTAGCATGCATGAAAGTGCAATAAGCAACATGGTGGTGAAGAGGAGGAAGCATGGGGATCGGATGGAATGGGTGGAAGTTGCATAGCAGTTCACTCACACCACATGTGTCAAAATGTCACACACAACTACTACGACTGAACCCCCCTCCCCTATCCATTCAATTCACCTCTTCTCTCTCTCTTTGCAATGTTAAATATTTGCATCTCGCCGCTCTCTTTCCCATTGGATAGAATAATATATTATTATTATTATTATCTATTAACATTATTATTATCACCAACATTATTATTATTTATTATTTATTATGTATGACATACCTTTAATAATTATTATTATTATTATTTCTTTGTGTTGTTGAAAAAAAATGAATGAAGTTGTTTATGCTAAATAAATAGGTGAGGTCAATGCTACTTGAACTATTATTATTATTGTCCCTGATTCTTTAAATTTGGGTTGTGGGGGTGCGAATCTGAATCTGTTGTTGAAAACTGTTTGGTTGCAATGGAATTGTTTACTCTCCGGGTACCCATATTTATACGTGTTGGTAGGGAGGGTACTCTTGAAAATTAAATTAAAAAATTAATTTCCTTCCAGGGAAAGAAGGAAAATATCTCAAAAATTTCAAGTAACAAATTACTCAATAGAAAATTGAACAGATAAAAGATTAGATCTAGTCTGTAGAATTTCCCAATTCGAACTTGGCTCTGTAGAGAATCAACAACGACAACAATCTAGTAATCATCAGTTGGCTAGCTGTATTGATAATAATAATTGATCTATTCAATTGATCTTGACGAATAGATAGATGGATGGAAATGTTACAAGTTCTGTATATTTCGATGATCATATGATTACCTGGCTGGTTCATGAACATGTTGCTCATTAGGTGAAGTGTATTAGGATGAGTTATTATTATTATTTCTCAAAGTAAAAATGAACTACTACTATATTTCGATAATAGAATAAATATTATAGTTATTAGGATTTTTGACCACACTCAAATTCCTTACCTATAAAAGGATAAGAATGTGAAATGAAATGAAGAGAGGAGGCACTATTATATATGATGTCATCATCAAATATAGAGGTAGGGGTCTGAGAGAGTCCCTTTTTATCTCGATCGCGTGTAGGAAACTCTAGAGCTAGAGCTATCTATAAAGCTTCTTGTCTCTCTCTCTCTCTATATCTCTCTGCTACACCAACAAAAATGAATGTGAGTTTTGGTGAAGGGGAAAAAAAGAACTGAGATGGTGTGAACCATCACCAAAACATAGTTATAACAAACAACATACAACAAATAAAATAATCCTAACTGAATTATATAACCCACCAAAAACAACAATTAACATACATACAGACAGACAAGACATAAATACATACATATACATCACCATTAGTATAGAATTCATAACACTTATTATATATAGATTAAATACAAGATAATAATATATTTTTTTTTTTGAAAATAACAACAACCTCATTCATTCATTTATTCTCTTTCTTTCATTCATTATTCTCTCTCTCCCTCTCTCACTCTCTCTCTCTGTAATTTTATATCAAAAATCAAAAGATTCTTTCCCCTTTGTACATATATATAATCATCATTATTACTCTTTATTGTTGTTGATATACATCTTTTCAACTATACAATAGAACTCCAATTATCTCTCTCTCTCACACTCCAACCACTTAATAATAATAATAATAATTCAACAACATTGCGTGACAACTAATTACACAACAGCAACAAACAAAGCAACAACAGAAACAAACAACATCAACCCATACTTTAATAGTTTCATAATATATAATAATATATTTCTGATTAACTATTTTAAATAATAATAATTATAAATCAAATTATAATCAAGTAGTAGTCGTATATATAATCCAAGAGAATTATAATCATCACAGTAGCACAGTAGTACAGTAGTATATAGAACAGTTATATAAACCTTTGAAGAAGAAGAAAGAAGAAGAAGAAGTTGATAAAACCAACCATCTCATCTAAAAAAAGCAATTAGTTTAATAATCAAATCATATAATCGTTTTATTTTATTATCTAACGAGTGAGTGAGCCATCCATCACCTGCTACTCTTTAGAACCCTCGATATCCATCCAACCAACAAAACCAGCAAAAATCAAACAAAAACAAAAAAATTTCAACTGACGTCACAGCAAACACAAAGTATCCTCCTGCTGCTCTCCCGTTCGATTACTCTCTCTTATTTTTATTTTTTGTTTTTTTTTATCAATCCAACCATCTTATCTCCTCTCCTTCATCTCATCAACAAGCAAGACCAACAACTCGTAAAAAGTTTTTAAACTAGACTAGTTATATATCATATCATATTATAATTCTACTATGATGACTGACGTCTTTTCTTCGTACGATACAAACTCATCTAAAAACGAAATCTACGGATCGCCATTTGAAGCTTCTTCTCCTATTATCAACAACAACCAAAGCAACAACAACAACAACAACAACTCAGACAATAATAGTCTCACATCTGCATCAAACATGTACACTCAAACCGATACAAACAATTCTGTTGTTCAAAACAACAATCCATTGAAAAGAGGTGCAGAGTCACAACAACCGGTTGATTATTTCGATTTGTAAGTAGTTTGTTGATAAATAGATAGATATTATTATTATTTGTATTTGTATTTTTTGTATTGATTTTTTTTTTTTTTTTTTTTTAAAAATGATTAGGGTAAATGGTATGATTAATAATGGATCAAACCAACAATCAAACAACAATAATAACAACAACACTGTATTATTAAACAACAACAATCAAAACTCTTATTCCTCTTCATCTAATGTTGCCAAGAGTGAATCGGTGTATAGCAGCCCACCAGATTCTCCACTGAACCAATCAAACAACAGCAACCGGGTTATTTACAACTTTCACCGACCCCAACAACCACAATTGATTGGATCACCAACCACCACAGACGAGGGTTCACCATCACTCACCTCGCAAAATGGAGGAACTGCTGCCGCTCTTTCATACAGTCCTCCACAATACCTACCAAACTATGGTCTTGTATTGGACTCTCGTAATCCAAATATCTTGCCACCACAAGCTTGGCCAGTCAACAACCTCAGCAGTGACTGTAACCTTGTCAACAACACCACAACCTCTTCATTACAATTTAATATTGGTAGAAATGCCAATGGTGGTGGAGTTGTCCAACAACAACAACAACAACAACAAAAGTTACAAACTCAACCACAACAACAAATGGGAGTACCAGTGAATGCATTAAACATTCAACAACTTGAACAACTTTTACAACAAATGAAGCAAGAACCAGAGCAGCAATTAAAGATGGGTAACTCTATCCTAATGAACTTGCTTGGTTTAGGCAACAACAACAACATTGCCAACAATGGTCTCAACAACTCTACTTCTCTCATTCCAAATGCAACTACTACAAACCAATCCAATGGTTCATTCATGCCTTCTTTGCAGCAACAGCAACAACAAATGGTTCAACAACAACAACAACAACAAGGACAAGGTGATAGTTCTCCATTAAATACACCTCCATTTTCACCAAATACCTATCACTCTTCATCAAGCCCACCACAACCATATTACAATGAACAACAAATGGTTCAACAACAAACAACCTCTACAACTACAACTACTACTACCAATTGTAATGTTGCAAGTTGTACTGCTGTTTGTGGTGGAGTGAGTGCCAACCAACTTAGTATGGTTGGAGGAACACCTATCAAGTCGACCATTTCACATTGGGAGATATTTGGATCAGAGTCACTCAAGAAGCAGTGTGAGAGCAACCCACCTATTACAGTGCGTAGCGGTACTGTTATTTTCGAGCCGTTCAACACCACCAATGTCGGTCGTCACCGTGCCTGTTGGAATTTGATTGATCCAATGCACCGCAACTACTACCAACCAATCCAATTCAAGTTGCCATCAATCACCAACAACCCATTGATCATGCAGCAGCCACAAAACACCAATGCCCCAGTCGACGTCCAACGCCAACAATTGCTCAACCTTCAGCTCTTGTCCGAGTGCGACGCTCGTCTCCACAACCGTTACGAGGGCTACCGTATCTACATCCACCCCTCGTTGGGTTATTCTGGCAATGCCAAGCGTTTCAAGCAATACCCCGATCAAAACGAAAAGGCACTCATCTTTGACGGCAACGTCTACGACGGTCACCTCAACCCCATCCACAACTGCAAAATCTGTACAGAGTACTACCAAACAAAGTCGTACTTTTCGGCCAACCCCCATGCCAAGGGCAAGGTTCTTCTCATCAAGAACAACATCCTCACCCGTGTCAAGGACGGACAGTTCAACCTCTCGCTCAAGCCCATGTGCTGCTCTGGACACAACTCTCACATTCCACTCTACCTGCACTTTACACTCACCGATCCAAACACCAAGGAGGTTGTCTTGCAAAGTTTGATCAATGTCAATGTAAAGCAATGGAAAAAGTCGGTCCCAAACAAAAACAAGAAATCAAAATCTGATGATGGTGAATATTATCTTAACAACAATAATAATCAACAACCTCAACAACAAATCAACCAACAAATGCAAAATGGTGGTAATCTTTTATCACAACAACAACAACAACAAATCAATCAACAACAACAACAACAAATCAACCAACAGCAACAAATCAATCAACAACAATTGCTTCAACTTGCCCAGTTTTAGAAACTAGGTTAACCACACCTCCCCCGTACACATATCCATCCTTCTATACATTTTTTTTTATTTATTTATTTTTTTGCCAATCTTTTTGTTAGATAGATATTTATATATAAAGTTTATATATTTTTTTACATTGTATTTATTATTATTATTATTTCCATTCATACTCCATCAGTCCATGTCCTCTCAAATATACATTAAATTAAATTAAATTGATATTAAAATAAAATGATCATTCAACAAATCAAAAGTTGTTTTGGCTAAAAATCAAACAAAAGTCTATTCCTTTTCTTTTCTTTTCTTTCTACATGATGATTCCATTTATTGAAACAAGAATTATAAATAATTCTTGTATATTATTTTCTTGTAAAGAATGCTTTGAAACTATCGACAATGGTTGGTGAATCTTTTTTAAGTATTTGTCTTTTGGTTGCTTCGAATTTTTCCTTGTCTTTCCACTCTTCTGCAAATACAATTGGTGTATGTTGTGGATTATTATAAACATTTTGAATTGATAATTTAACAAAATGTGATACCTTTCTAAGATATTCTTCATAATTTTCTTTTAATCTAAAAAGTAAGTAATCAATCAAATGAATCATGTTGTTAGTAATAGACTCATAAATCTAAAAAGGGAATGGTGTGTGAGGATATAGACATACAATTTCTCGGCTTCTGGATTTAATGCAGGATAGTTGTATTTATCTGGATTGTGGAATACATTTTTGATATAACAAAGGATATGACCAATCATATACTTTTCTGGCTTCCAATCATGGAAATGATGAGTAAGATCAAATTCTCCATCCATACCAATCAATGGATGAAATACAGGTGTTTGGAATTTAACTACAGGACATTCCTCTGGGAAACTAAAAAAGATTGATATATTGTTAATATATATATATGACATAATATAATATTATGAGAGAGATTATCGCTCATTAATTAACATCACATACTCATCAGGGATAATAATAACAAATCTAATGACAGATGATCTATATACCCTATTTCGAATGAATAATACGCAATGCCATTCAAATATCGATGTAAATGATGGTATTACGTATAATCCTTTAATTGATAATTCTTGTAACTTTTGACTAGAAACAAACAAAAGATGCAAAGATTAGAATGATGATGATAATAATAATATCTTATATGTATCCTTTAATAAATATTTACTATTCATAAACTAATCTATGTCTTGTATTTTGTAATTTAGAGTCTCTATCTTTATTATTACTATTACCATCTTTATAACTTGAATCACTTTTAGAAGATCCCAAACTACCGCTATCATCAATCGATTGATCTCTAAGGGCGGTTGGTTTGGTTGGTGTGAATATTGAAGGTGATGATACACTTGGTGATGAACTATCTATTGTACTCATTCTCTATATATTGTAAAGAGTTTTACTACTATTCAATATGTGTATTTGTGTATAAATAAAGTTGACAAAGATAATAAGAGGTATGAGAGACTGATGGTGAAACTAATACAACAATCACAAATCAATGATTTTTTCATTTTTTATTAATAATTTATCTAAAAGATAGTGTATACACTCACGTCATCAAAAGCATATACATTCATTCATTAATATTAATATATATATACCCTCCTATACATTATATCATAACAAGAAAAGATAATAGGAGTGTTGGTTGGATGATTGATTGATTAGTAATATAGTAGTAATAGTCTTTTACTTTTCTTTGCAACTTTCAACTTCACCATCACCATCATTCCCAAAATAGGTTAAAACTTTTCATTTTAATTGTTGTTTAAAAGGAAAATCATCTATCTCTTATCTATCTATCTGTATATATAACAAACAAAATAGTCAAAGATGTTGATCACATTTGTAGTTGATACAAGTGGATCGATGGGTCAAAAGACGAGTAATGGAATGACATTGTTGGATTGTGCCAAGGCAGCAATAGAACACTTTCTAAAGATAAGGTCAAAGGATACACAGATCTTTCGTAACGATCGTTACTTTTTAATTACAACAGAAGAGTGTCCGCAAGCAGTCAAGATTGGATGGAGAGACAACTTTAATAGCTTTCTTCAAGAACTAAAGAATTTGCAACCAAAGGATCTATCAAACATACCGTATTCTTTGGTGAAAGCATTCGATCATTTGAATCAATTTCGTATTCAATCTCTCATTGACAACTATGGTTTGGGTCGTAACCCTTGGTTTATTGAACCTGCTGTCGTTGTACTATTAACTGATGGTGGTGCTCAAAATTCAAATGGTTTATTAGATAATGTAAAGATAAGAAAAGAAAGAAAAAGAGAGAAAGAGAAAGATCAACAAGATATTAATACTTTACTTTTACTTCTTCTAGATACAAATACCAAAATCACAATTATCAGGAGGTGATTTAACCATTGAACCATATAGATGGGAACAGAAATTATTTTCATTGGTATTAAGATTTCATGGATGTGCATCACCGATTTCACAAACTCTTTCAGAGACACCTGTTATTGCAGCGGCATGTGATGCAACTGGAGGTAGAGCACATATTGCAACTAGTATGAAGTCATTGACACAACAAGTTGAAAATTTAATATCTAGACTACAAACAAGTGTGTTGGTCAATTTCGATGCAATCACAACTCCCAATAATATGCATTCCAACAGTAATCTTCCTGTACAACCACCACCTCCACCTCCTCCACCATCACTTCATAAAATGTTATTTGTAAGACCTGGTCAAGGTTTTTGGCCAATTCCAGAAAACTATTATACAGATTTTTCAACTTTTAATTTAGTATGTATACAAACAAATTTGATTTAATTATTTAATTAATTAATTATTTATTTATTCTATTTAATTTTTTTTAGATACCAAGACCATCACATCCAACAATTAAATTTTCATTACAAGATTCAGATACAAATATACCAGAGAATTTTCCATTTGATAAATATGAAGTGGAACCATGTCCGGTGACACAATATATCCTATCAAACAAACTTACTTGTCTACATGTATATATGTATAATAGTTTATCGGTACCAGGTCAAGGAGAACCATTTGGTTGTCTGAGACCGGGATCAAATGGACAGTCGGTGAGTCTATTTGTTTTCCCATACAATTACCCTCGATTGTGGGGGTTGATTGACGACCTGGTCAATCATCTTAGAATGAATCCTTCACCCAAATGGAGAAATGAATTTGACAATTATCTAATGTCAATCCCCATCTATTATATTGGTCCAATTAAAGCTGCTTTTAAAAGATTTGCAAATATTAATGTCGTTCCCGATCCAATAGATGCTCAATACAATAATTATATAAAGAAACAAAAAACAAAAATGGAAAACGAAAGAATTTTATTACAACAACAGCAACAGCAACAACAGCAGCAACAACAACAACAGCAACAACAAAACAACAAATTTAGTAAAGATTTGTATAGTTTTAAACCATCAAATACTACTCCTGTTGCACCACAACTAAATTATTCAAACAAACAATTTATTGGTAAAAATTATCACAAGATTTTAGAGTCTAATTATGATAGTCTCAGTGGTACAGTTCAACAGTATTATGACAGCGGCAATAGTGGTTCAAATGGTGACGCAGATGATGATTCTTTATCAAATTCATTGGGGTCTGGTGACATTGAATTGGATTATTATAGTACTAGCAGCAGTACAAATAATAATAGTAACTCTGATCAAATTGATCCAACAACTTTTGCAAATATGCTTTATAGAAACGTGTTTGATATTCAGAAACCAAATTTACTCGATCAATTGGACAAGATGCGACAGCATATATTCAAACGAAAGATTGACACAGAGATTGGAAAGTTTAGTGTCCCAATTAGTCAGATGGGCAATTATCACGAAACCATCAACAAAAGAGAAACGCTACGTGAAATCGACGAGGATAGAAAACCAAATCATCCCCTCTTTGGTAATCCATATCGTAGCAAGGACAAGGGGCATAGAGGGTTTGAAGTATCGATTGATGAGGCTGAACTTGACAGCGATATAGAAGGATCTGGTGGAAAGAAACCAATCAATCCACAAAAAAGAAAGAGAAGATTGCCCCCACCCATCCCCATCGTACCAATGTCCAAACAAATACAATTACAAAAAGAACAACAGGCCAAAGAACAACAATTCAAAGAACAACAACTCAAGGAACAACAAGAAAGAGAGCAAAAAATCAAAGAACAACAACTTAAAGAACAACAAGAACGTGAACAAAAGATACGTGACCTACAACAAGCCAAAGAACAACAATTACTCAAAGAACAACAAGAACGTGAACAAAAAATACGTGATCAACAGGCAATTCGTGAAAAGGAATTATTATTATCACAACAACAACAACAACAAAAGTCAATTTCATCTAATATTCCTCAACAAGTCGCACCACCACCTGTAATTAATAATCCAGTTCTCATTTCAAATATTATTCCAAATATTCCAAGTCCAAAACTACCTGTACATTCTCCACCAACAGCCTCCACAATTCATAAACCACCTCAACTACCATCCAAAACACCATCTCCTCCCCTTGTTCAACAACAGTCGCCAATTAAAACTCCGTCACCTCCACAAGTCCATCAACCTCCACCTCCACCTCCACCACCAAACCAACAACATTCATCAAATAATCAACATGTATCACCTGCTATACCACTTGTTCCAACCAACTATTTGATACTTTTACAAAACAATGAAAAGGTATTAAAATTGATTAGAAAGGAAATTAAAAGACCAACAAGAAACAATTCAGATTTTGTCATTCAAACTATATCTAAACTCGTTGGAAACAAAAAAGATATAGATGTTTTAATATCAAAACAAATTTTACCATATGCACAAGAATTTAAAAAATATTCTTTAATTTTAAGGTTAGAGTGTATGTTGGAAAAATTAATCCAATAAATACAAAAAAAAAAGGAAAGATTTATTAAGTTATTACAATTAATGGGTCAAACTTTCTTTCTTTCTTTCATTTTCTTTTTTTCTATCTATAGATAACCTTCTTTTTTAACAATCTTTGTAATGATATCAATTACAACAGATGTTGAAGTATCAAAAGAAGGATCTTTAATCTTTAACTCTAATAATTTATCCAACATTAATCTAATTTCTCGAATCATTGCCAATACCTTGCCACTTGATTTAAACTTGATCCACTGATCCAAGATGATGTGTTGGAATGTAGAGTCAATTTCAACCTTGCCACCAATTGAAAACATCAACAGGGTCAACGACGACACGCAAGTGGTATGGTGAGCAAACAAACGAGAGGTTTGAACCTTGTCATGGTAGACAATAAATGGAGAGGTATACTCTCCCTCGTCGAAATTAATGGAACGAGGGTGCAAAAAGATTCTTTCCTTTTTGTAACCATGCTTAAATTTGTCAGAGTTTTTAGCGTCCTTGCCACCAGCGTGGCTGTTGATATATTGTTCATGCATTTCCTTTAGTTCTTGCGGAGTTGCCTTTCTCTTTGTAAGGATCTTGAGATTCATTGGATCGTGCTTGTTGGCAATGGCACCACCAGCAGTGCTGACATAGGTAGTTGGCGGAACATCGATTCTACCAATCTTTGGATACATTCCAGCACACAATACAGATTTTAATATCTTTTGATCTCCACCATTTGAATTAAATAATGCTCCAACACTTTCAACTATACCATCAGATCCTCTATTTAATTTCTATAGAAAATAAAAAGAAAAAGAAAATTAATAAATTGATTCACACTAACTATCTATCTATTTTTCTTACTTGTTCTTTTTGAATTGATCTTTGAGTAATATTTGAAGGTAAGAACCCAATTTCGGAAAGGATTTCAGCAAATTGAATCTTTAAATCTTGAATTGTTTTTAATGTAGAGAGAGCAAGACCATTCTCTTTACAGAAACTAAACTCGTTACCATCTTTAATTGCCTTTCTCCAATGATCATAGGCAATGGCAAATGTGAAATGATCACTTTGAAGTCCGTGTCCGTATTTAACCTGTGGCTTATCACGTTTGTCGGCACCACTGATAAATGGTGTTTTGTAACTGAGTGTTGCAGCAATAGTGAGAATAGGATCGATACAACGGAAAATACAACCAAATAACAACATTTTTCCAATGTAGATATCGACTGGCAACTGTGCCAAATGGTATCCAAGTGGAGTAAGTCTCTCTCCTCCATCTTGTACTTCGATGGCATTTACAGACTCTAACTCTTCAATAGCAGCCTTGATTGATTCGGTGGATGGTGGTTGGATAGCATTGGATAGGAAACTCTCAATCTTGTTGACCTTTCCACCAGCAGCGGTATTGTTCATATCGGTTTGGAAGAGTTTAACATGGAGACAAAGTTGCTGGAGTGGTGTTCTAAGAATCTCTGGTGTTTCTTGGTCGTCAAACTGACTCTCCATGGCACGGGTGTAGAGATGATAGCAAGTACCTGCAGAGGTACGACCAGCTCTACCAGCACGTTGTCTGATGGCTGCCTTGGAGACAAACGATTCGCCCATCATTGAGTTTTTAGTGATTGGGTTGTAGTTGACCTGATTGGCACGACCGGTATCGACGACGATAGAAACGTCATCAATGGTAATAGAAGTTTCAGCAATGTTGGTGGCAACTACAATCTTTACACGATCAGCTGGTGCCCTTTCAAAAACTCTTTGTTGGTCTTTGGGAGTGAGTGACGAGTGCAAAGGCAACACCCACATGGACGATGACATGGAACAGTTGTTTAGTCGATCACAGATATTTAAAATGTCACCCATACCAGGGACAAATACAAGAATCGACTTTCTCTTGCCCAACTCTTGTCTCGCCAAATAGATGAGCAACTTTTCAATAAACTCGGCATTGATTCGCTTTTGTTTCAAATTGGCATCCATATGATACAAAATATCCTTGACAGAGTCACTTGTTGATGTGGTTGATGTAGTTGATGTTCCATCCTCTGATTCACCAGACTCTTCACTATCCTTTTGCTTTTTCAAAAAGACTGACGGTTTGTAATCAATCATCCGAATAGAATCCTCGAGATAGACGTGACTAACTGGATGAGTGAAACCAGCGACAGCAAAGATAGAATCCTTTTTAATGGAAAAGTAGTTGGCAATCAACTCTGCATCCAAGGTAGCACTCATTAAAATAACCTTGAGGTCACGACGTTTCTTGACCAAGGCTCTTAAAATGATGAGTAGGAAATCATTGTCGACACTTCTTTCGTGAACTTCATCCACTATGATATGGGAAACACCCGAGAGCATATCTCCTCTTTCTCCACCAACCATCATTCTAAGTAGAATACCAGTGGTACAGAACAAAAGTCGAGTATTTCTGCTTCGTTTACTCTCATTTCTGATTTGGTAACCAACATGTTGACCAGTCTGATCCTTTTGACCACCACTCCATTCAAATGAAACACGATCAGCTACACCAATCGCTGAAATTCTACGTGGTTGAGTACAAATGATATTGCAGTTGGATCCCTTTCCATTCTTTACAAAACTTTCCATAATGTATTGAGGAATTTGTGTTGATTTACCTGAACCTGTCTCACCTGTTACCACAACAATTTGATTACGTTCCAATAGATCGATAAATTGTTGTTTCTTGGAGTAGACTGGCAACGATTCTCTAATCTTTTTAACTGGTGTATAACTAGTATTTGACAGACTAGTTTTATATGATTGTAATAAATCTTGATTGATACGATCATCACTCTTTATACTACCAAGTGTTTGTCTAGGTTGTTGAGATTGTTTCTTTCCTGTTGATGATGATGTTGATGAAGTACCCAATAAAACATTCTTGTCAATATTATTATTATTGTGATTTGATTCCTCGGCAGCTGCACTCTCTTCATCCTTTGAATTGGCAATGATTTGAGGTAAATCAGTTGTACTACACCAATTGATAATATTGAATAGTACAGGTGAGCCAATAAACTCTTGGCATTGTTTAACCATCTCTTTGCAAATCACATATGACCCCTTCTTGTTCCACTTTGACTTGGTCAATGGTTTGAGAATAAGGACTGGTGGTTGGAATGGATACTTGCACCATCCCGGTAGATAAACCTCTAATACACCAACATCCAATGTGATTTGATAGGTTTGTGGTGAGATGACCTTGATAGAGTCACCATAGATTGATCTAAGAGCTTCAATCTCCATTTCACGTTGTTCTTGACATGTTTCATCATCCGCTACCACGTCTGTATCAAAACTCTCATCTTGTAGTCCAAGTAACCGATACCAACATCTTGCAAAAGCATCTTGGTTGTCCTTTACCAAAGATTCCAAAGATGAATCAATCACCTTGTCAATTTCATTTGGTAACCATCCCAAATCAATCAATCTATCTCTTGCATCAATAATATGAACATTTGTAGTTGAAGAGGTTGAATCAATTTGAGTCGTTGTAGAGGTCTTTGATTTCTTTTGAATACCCAAATTCTTTGGACGAAAAGCAACTGGTAAAGTATCATCTTTAACATTTAAACATAACCAAGATATTAAATTGGTCAAATTTGTAATATCCTTTACACGTTGGAATGCATTTTCAATGTCTTGTTGTTCGAATCCCAACTCTTCCAATGATTTACCAACAATTTCTTTTTCACGTTTGTTTAATTCTTCTCCACTCATTGTCGAAGAGTTAGAGCTATTATTATCCAATTCATTTTCACCTTCTAATCTAAGATTCATTTGTTTGGTCAATGAATGAATAGTTCGGATTGCTTCATCCGACATGACAATACTTGGGATTTGTTGGGTGTGTTTTGGTTCCCTCTCCTTGCGTCTTGCCTCGATGGCTAGTTGTTGCTCCATCTCCTTTTGGATTTGTTCCTGTTCCACCTTGGCCACTTCGGCCAACGACATCCAGAATGGTGTAAACTCGGGTGGGAACAGTTTGTAGATGGTGGTGTTGCCACAGAGGTCGTGTAGTGCCACCAAGGCAGCATATGCCTTTGCATCCATCACGGCGGGTGATCCGTGTGGAGGTTGGTATGACTTGTAGGTCATCTGCTTCTTCTTGCCTTCAAATGCAAGAGTAACCTTGAACTTGAATTGTTGTTGTCCCTTAAAGTGGAATCTCATCTCTTCAAAGACAGGTCTATTCATTTGATTCTTTTGACAATACTCGTTTAAATATTGTACTGGCAATTTACCTGTCCATCTTGGCTACATACAAATAGTAGGAAAGTTAATATTAAATCAAATGTAATAGATGATAGATTTGTAACAAACCTTGGGTGGTTCAGCAGGAGCTGGTTGTTGGGGAGTTGATCCATCCTTTCTTGTCTTGGTAGATGCTGCAGCAGCTGCAGCTGCTTCTTGTTCCTTTTTCTTGGCATCATCTACTTTGATTGGTTTACCTTTTGAATCAACTTTTGCTGCTGGTGCTGCTGCTGAAGATGATCCCTTCTTGTCCTTGCTGTTGTTATTGTTATTGTTATTATTATTATTATTATTATCCTTTGCTCCTGATTTCGACGACGAAGTCGTCTGAGATGGTACTTTCTTTGATGACATATTGTTCACAACAATCAATCACTCACTCACTAATTACTCTTGTATTTGTTATTGTATTGTTCTTATCTTGTCATAAATAATGATAATGATTCTTATTGTATCATACACTAATAATATACTATGTAGACGAATGAAATAATGAAAGGTTGAATGCTCACCAACAAACTCGACCAACCAATTTTTCATTATTGAGAAATCAAAGAGAAGAAGATCATCAAACTTTAGATTAATATACATATAATACATTCAATATCTATCTATAATGAATATAGATACTAGATCACAATTGGAGAAATATCAAAAGAATAGTTATGATTTAATTAGACGTACAAGAGATCTAGTTGACTCTATTCATAACAATAACAACAATGACAATGACAATGGAGCATCAAATCTAATGGACTTGATGATGAAACTTAAACAAGAATCATTGAATATTGATAGTACACTATCACAACAAGATGAGGTGTTGGACCAACAAAAGAGTAGAAACGATGCACTGCAAGAAAAGTGTCAATCATTGGTCTACCAAAAAGAAGTACTGAAACAAGAGATTGAACATTTACAACAATCATTCTCTTTTGATCTCAACAACCCATCACTTAATCTACCAATATACTTGTCATCTGATCAAAACCAACAAGATAATAGTCATCAAATCATTGAAAGTTTGGAAAAAGAAATGACTCTAAGAATAAGGTAAAGATAGATAAAGATGATGATGGATACTATTATATATAAATACTCACACAATATATCATATTTGTATAGTAAATTAAATGAATTAGAAGAATGGAAACAATCATGTAAAAAGGCAAAAGAAGAATTAAACAAAAGACAAAAGGAATTGGATTCATTTGAATCAAAGTTGAAATCCAATCATATAACATTACAACAAATCATTAAACCATTGCAACCAAATATATCCGTACAACCATTACCATCACTACAACAACAACATGACCACCAACTACTAGTACTTGCTCCACCACCTCTTTATAATCTCTACCATGAAATTCAAGTATTTAAAGATTTATTTTGTATGTATAATAATTATTATTATTATTTTAGTCATGTCAATCCAATATTAATACATTCCAAATGTGAATAGATAACCGACTCACTATAGATATTCAATGTAAAACTGATATTGATGTATTGAGGAATCAATTATACAGAGGAGCAGGAGGAAGTACAGGCACTGCTGCTACAACCAATCAACCATTTCCAATTTCAATTGCACTTTCCATTCCATCTACCAAGAATCAATCCACTCTATTATTAGAGTTTTATTATTATCCTATTATGAAACTTGTTACTGTCAATCCATCACTAGATGGAAATGAACAAGCTGGACAACAAATATTGGAACCTTTGGCCAAAGATAAAGGTTTATATCATAATTATTTTGAAAGGTAAATTATAACACAGAGATTATCATATCTATTATATATACATAATCAATATTTACAATTATTATTATCTTTCTAGTGAAACAGATTTAAATGTAAACAAACAACAATTAATTGGAAAACCATTCATTTGGGCACAATATATAACTGGGTTATCATTCCTACCAGATTTGGCAGTAGAAGACATCAGTAACAAAGATTATCATTTACAAGATTTCAAACCAAAGACATCAAATGAAATATTGACAGAAATTATAACTAGTTTTTAAAAAATAAATCTGGTTGTAATAATATATAATACAATAATAATAATAATCACGACAAACATAATAACGTGTAATAATAATAATAATAACCACTATTATAGTTGTAATGAATGTTTGATATGATTGATTTTCCTGTGTTTTGCTTGAATTTGTCGAGAGAGTCGTCGTTCGTTTTGTTGTTGTTTCCAATATAATAAAAGTGTAGTGATTTGCAGACTGATATTTATCTATATTACTAGAGGTTTATTCATTAATGCATGGCTAATCCGTTTAGTTTGACTTTGGCTTTGGGGCGTCAACGTGGAGTTGCTTGAGGTTTGGTGGGAGGATTTGCAACAATCTTGGGACCTTTGTTTGATCAGTAACACGGAGGGTGTACAAGTAACGGGCACATCTGACCTTGAACTTGGTGATCTTACCATCCTTCTTGATTCTGACCTCCTTGGCGTCCTTACGACGAACAGTGAGGAGGAACTCTTTGATATCACGGATTTGCTTTGGCTGTAGAGAGATAAAAATAGAGGATAGAGGATAGAGGTGAAAAGTTATGTATAGTAGTAGTTGAATGTAAACGGATTATTAGTACTCTGTTTCGTGTGCACTCATCGTGATTCTGTTAATGCTGTGTCATATGCTGTCATCGCTGTGTGATATGATAGTGATAATAACGTACCATTCTGAATGAATAGGAACGGTCAATAGATAGTCCTTGATCATTCAGATTCGTAACACTCTTACGCCTCAGCAGTACGCAGGGCAAAGCCGAAAAAAAAATTTAAACGAAAAATTCACCATTTCATGAAAAAAAATCGAAATTATTGCCCACGCCTCGTTTTTGAACTATAGTTTATGAGGAAAGGATATCCATGTATTGGTTCTACATGGATGTATTGGTTCTACTTTTAATTAATTTGGTAATGATATTTATCTTTATATCATTGTTATAAATCAAAATCGAATTTGATTATAATCATCTTATCTTTATCTTTTCTCAATTTTATAAATAAAAATTGGGTCACATTAATTTTCGGTTTGAACATGTTGGCCCTCTCAGTCTCACATAAATCTATAGATTATATAGAGAGAGATATATATATATGTAGAGTGATGCTTGAAAATCGATAAAGAGAGGGGTTTATAACTATAGTTATAAAGTCTTTCTTTTCATTATGTACATACTGACCCTATACAATTCTATTTTAAATATATGTATTTTTTCTCAATCGACCAATTTATGTTTATTATAATAACAACATCTGAACGAATGAACCGTCACTGACGATCGACTACTACGTGTCACTAGTACAACGGGAGACGGTTTGAAAACATTCCTTTTTGAAACCGAAAATAACAGAATGTGTAGATGGTGTGTTTAGAACCCCTTCCAACTGAATTCCCAAGAATCCGCGGAAAGTGGAAATTTGGAGTTATGTGTGGAGTATAAAGGAGTGAAGGGGTTGATTGATTTTAATTCTACCATTTTTTTTCAACTTCTACAATCTCTCATGTCAAAGCAAACACATAATAATAATAATAATTATAAAAATTCTAAAGTCACACCTAAAAAAACAAATTCTCCTATCACAACTAAAAAACATAATTCTACAACAACTAAACCTACCACAACTAAACCAAATAATTTTAAAACAACCAAACGTGATATCAAAAAAGAAATACCAAAAAATAGTAAAGCAGATCTTAAAAGTAGTGATAGTATGTATAAAAGAAAAAAGAAGATCCGATTTATACCGGTACAAGTAGATACAACACTAACATTATTGATATTAATATAACAAAGTTAAAAAGAAAAACCAAACCAAAAAGTGTCAAGTATGTCGTAAACAAATCGGGGATGGAACTCATTGTCAATACCACAAGAGAGAAGAAGCACTTAAACTTCAATTAGAACAGTACAGAAAGAGAAAAGACCAATTCGGTATAGATCTGATCGAGAAGAACTCTCAACTCAATGGACAAGACCAATACAACCCATTACAACCAACATCTGGTTTTGATGCCATTGGACTGGCTGCCAAAGCCAAGACCCTCTCAAAATTTTATGACATATGTGTAGCGAGTGGGTACCTTGATACAATCGAAACTATCATGGATGCAAACTCAAAAGGAAAGAAGCTTGCCGATATTAGAAAAAGAGCAATAGAACTCGCCAGTCTTGTCACAACCGATACCAAGGTGGTTCGAATGATGGATGGACATGGAAGATTGGTTCTTAATTTCTTTGGTGAGGTTATAAAGCAACATAAAAGAGATCGTCTTAACAAGTTGGTAATCGAGCTTGTTGACAATGTTAAAAATGTCACAGAATATCATAAATCGTTTTTCTACACCGAAGGGCGTACCATGATCAATTGTATCAATGCTGACATCTTCCAACGACCAGTTCCAGATGCCGACACTCTGGTGTATTACAACTTTTGTGGAATCTCTCCATCAGTCGATAGTATGAAGGCTCGTCTCAAGGTCTCTCCTGCCACCCTTATGGTCTCTTTCTCAGTGGCTCGTGGTGCTTCCACCAAGAACTTTGGAGCTCAACTCTCCTTAGCCGTAGTACACATAAAAGATAGATGTTTTACATATTTAAAAACGGAAAGAGAAGACTTCAAGACAATGATCCTTCGAGTTTTTTCCAAGAGCAAGAAGGTATGTGTTACAAATTTAAATTAATATTTTTAGATACCAAAGTAAACTAACATTCTTTCTTTTTTAATAATAGGCAAATAAGTTAATTGGTATATTGAAAAAGGATGAATATATTAAACTTGACAGTGGACTATATAAGAATAAGGTTGGACAGTTTATTAATTTCACACCCCCATTTATCAACATTAAATATGAAATCAAGGACGTACCTACAAGAGTTGGTTGGGATGTCATTGTGTATCATAATCATAATGACATCAATATTTGACACCAAGTCATATGCCACAGACTTCTTGGCAACAAATCCATCTTCTCTACAATGTTTAATCCCAATCTTCAAATAAATACTCCCTTTGTTTTTTAATTGTAGGTTTGTCCAATATTTGGCAGGCTTTTATTAGTATTTTTTTAGTTCATAGTATTGAAAGAAAAAGTTTCTGATCAGAAGAAATAAATAAATATATTTTATAATTTTTAGGTTTATTAAAATGAGGGTTTTTTTTGTTTTTGTTTTTTTTTATGTTTTTTGAAGTTATTTTTAGATGGGGATTGTTGGTGTTTTGTTACTTTTAAGGTTATCAAGTTATTGTGTGAGTTTCATATCTTTCCCAGCAGTTCATTATGTTATTTGGTTATTTGTTGTTGTCGAGTTTATGGTTTGAAAAAGGTGTTTGTTGATTTGTTGTTTGTTACTGTACCACTTGTTTGTTATTATTATTCCAAAGTCTTTTTTTATCTTATAAACTATTATTATTATTGTTATTATTTGCTATTACTATTATTATTTATTATTATTTATTGTTATTATTAGTTTTTTTTTTTTTGATGGGTCCTACTACTACAACGTGTAAATTATTGTTGATTTTCTTCTGATGACAGTACTGTTGGCGTACTAATATTTTCATTGCCTTCGGATTCTGATGCTGATTTTTCGTTGCCTTGTTCTTGAGTTGTTTCTTGTTCAACTTGAATTTCAGTGATGAATGCCTTTGGACGACGTTGCTCGAATTGTTCGTCATCGTCTTCGTCTTCGTCTTCCTCTTCTTCTTGATTGGTATATAAGATGTGATGGTTTTGTTGTTGGTCTGCAAATGACTCGTCATCGTCGTCGTCCTCGTAGACAATTTGGTGGTTTTGGAAGTTACCCTCTACAAACCCTCCGTTGTCATAGGCATTGTTGTAGTCGTCATTGTCATTTTCATAAATTTGATCTTCATCATCATCAGGTGGCATCATCAAGCTCATTCTAAAATCACCCAATGGTTCACTCTCCAATGTAAGTACTGGTTTCAAAGAGTCTGAAACAAATTCTGCCCATTTTGGATTAGCTACAAAATAAAAATAAATAAATAAAATAGAATGGAATAGAAATAAATATTAATAATTGTTATCTCCGATGAGTGTTTAGTTGTATTCTATCTATATCTATATGTATATTTACCATCAAGATAATTCTTCAAAGATGGATTTGATTTGGCAACTTCACAAATTGAAAAAGCAATACTGTTCAAAAAACCCATATAACCGTATCTGATTCCTTTGGTTTGTTTGATTTCATTTGTATTATCTTCATCGGCCTTTATAATTCTATCAAGAAGTTTAGAATCGTGCAATAACTAAATAAAAAAAAGTAAAAAGTAAAAAGAAAAAGAAAAAGAAGGTAAGTATTTGTGTTTAGCTTTTTTGTACATTGATTGATTCAATTCATTTATAACATACGGAAAGTTTGAGTTCATCCTTTTCTGGGTCATTTTCATTCTCACTTTCGCTATATAAAACAATTTGACAGATTTGATTAATTTGGCTGTGAAGAAGGTTATTCCATGGGTAATTGAAAAACAAGTCCTATAAACAAGAGAAATAAAATAAATAAAAAAAGTATTAGTAAATGTATATATCTCTCTCACTCTCTCTCTCTCTCTCTTATATATTTGATTTGATTTGATTTGTTTTTGTTGTTGTTGTACATACCAAACATGCAGATAGGATATCTTGTTGAATAAACTTTTGATCGATACATAAATAACGAGAATTAATCAAGTCGGCAAAGAATTCAATGACCTTTAGTCTGTGGAATCCAAGTGGTGGAGAAAGAAGACCGGTGGTAGTAGTGAAACTACTTTCGGTTGGTTTGGTCAAAAGATTCTTCAACTCTTCTGTGTGAATAAGAGATTCCTTGAAAACAGGTGCCAATTCTGCAAGTGGTGTCTTTTTGGTGACAACTGAATCACTGTGCTCCTTGTGTCTTCTCAAAAGCTTAATTATAACAGTTAAACCATGTAAAAAGCTTGTACCCAATGGAACCTAAAGAAAAATAAAACAAAAAGAATAAGGGATTAATATATATAAACAATGCACATTGGTTGTATATATCTCTCTTTTGAGTTTACTTACATCAGATAGTATATAATCGAAAAGTTTTTGGATGGTTTCTTCAGATTCAAGTTTAATTATCAATGGGGAATCTGAGAATGATCTATTTAACTCGATGATCTCTGATAAAACAAATGAGGCATTCTCATGGAACTAGAAAAGTAGAAAAGGAAAGAAAAAAGGGAAATGATTGATTAATAATCAATGATTAAAACATCATAGCTGTTGTTTGTTATCTATCTATTTCTATTCTATTCATACCTCAGAGTCCAAAGTTGGGCTAAACTTGGCAACAATTCCTCCAATTAAATTTGATTTGTCTAACCATTCCAAGGTACCTGCGCCGCCTTGGAACTCTTCAATGCTTATGATCTTTAATAACATGTCTACAATTGGGGACTTGTCAAGGTGATTAATAAACTTTTCAATGATGTTATCTTGCTTTTTGATATATGACATGGTCTAAATTGATAATAAAGAGAAAAGAGGAAGAGAGAATGTATTGTTAATTGATTGAACCAATTGTTGTTATATTGAATATATATAGTACATACTTCGATGGTCTTTCTACCCAAAAAGTTAATAGCAACCTTGCTAATGTATGAAGCAAGGCCCAAGTTAAACTCTTGTTGGTTGACAATATCGTAGAGTTGGGATAGGTAATGCTCATCCTTGTAGACGGCATCAATCAAAGAAGTAATGTCCATACATAATATTTCAGATGCCAAGAAAGGATAAGTCTCCTTTCTCTTTCTATCCGATTCTTCTGATGCCTCCTTGGTAATATATTCAAATAATAATGACAATGATTCCGGTTTGATAAGGCTAAATGAGTAATATAGTATAATTCACAAATTTGTTAATCATCATAATCTTTCTTTTTTTTTTTTAAGTCTCCCTCCACTTCTTCTTCTTCTTCTTCAATCTCTCCTCTCTTTCTATTCTCTATGCTATAGTACTGTCTACATACAACTCTATTAATTTCTGGTTTTGTAATTTACATTCTTGAAGTAATTCGTCTTCATCTAACAATTCATCAAGAGTGAATTGCTCACGATCCAATATAGTCTCGATATGTGAGATTGGATGAAATCCAAAATTACGCCAAAAACTCATTGTTGTATGTATGTATGTCTAGTCTAGTTATATATATAATCTATCTTTGTTGTCTGTTGTTATGTAATAGTCGTTATCTTCCTTCTTTTGTTTCTTTCTTTTTTTTTTTAAATATAAAAATAAATCTAGCAAAATAAAGAGGTAGTAGTAAAGAGAGTCGTAGGTAAGTATATTGTACAAAAAAGGTAATATAAATAGGTTGTTGCTTCGGTAGAAATAAGATGATGATGATGATGGTCAGGTTAGGTTGAGAGTGGATGGTGATTTGATGGATAGCAAAAATTGATGATATGATAAAAAAAAAATAGATTTTTTGTGGCTGTTGAGCGCTTCTTTTTTTGTGTGGATAAAAAAAAAAAAATAATAAACTTATCATCAAATTCCACCACCCAACTCTTCCTCCTTTCACGCGCGTGCCAATGAATGAATGATGGTCATCCTCCAACATTATGATCAAAGCCACAAATCAATCATCAGGATTATTAATAAATTAATTATATAATTGAAGATATGATAATGGTATATCATATGGTTGCTATGAATATCGATATAATATTATCATCCTTCTCCATTTCTTCTCTAAAAATAATATTGGTCTTTCTTTTGGATGATGATGATTATGAAGAAACAAAGATATATAATGTTCGTTGTAACTGTGATTCCTTTTGGATGATGATGATGATGAAGAAACAAAGATATATAATGTTCGTTGTAACTGTGATTCCTTTGTCTAGTATCGCCAACCTATCGCTTGAATATTATATATATAAATATCGTCATTAAACCGCTCTTCATTGTTTGTTGATCACATCACATGAGTTATCATTATTAATATATTTTTCTTCTTCTTCTTTTAGTATTATTATTATTAATCGATTTGATTTATCAATGTATGTGTATGTAATGTATGTATGTATGTATGTATTCTCTTCTTCTTTGAGTAATATGAATCGATTGGTATTGGAATTGGTATTGGTTGGGTGGTGATGCAAGGGAGAAAAGGATGAGGAAGAGGAGGATGATGTGGTGGGAATAAAGAATGGTACTCGGTTTATATTCTATGTCAACAGTGATATATGAGATTGTGATTGATAGATTGATTTGATTGATTGATATGATAGGTACAAGATAAGATAGGATTTACTATTTTGGATAACTATTGATTATTCAAACAAACCGTTAGTACTCTCTTCAATAACACTTGATTCAAAAAAAAAAATACAAAAAAAAGAAAAAAAAGTAGAAGTGAGTGGAACCTCCGATTCTTCCAAAAGGCGAAATTACAGTTTTTAGAGAACAGGTCTTACATCTCATCGCATTCATTCATCTTGCATACTTATCTTTCTATATTTATATTTGTATATATTATTTGTATCTCTATTCATATCATAGTACAGTTTTTAGATAGATAGTTGATTGGAGAGAAGAGTTGTTGTTGTTGTTGTTGTTGTTGGGTGTACAAGTATTGTTTTTTGTGACGTTGATTGCTATTAGACATATAACATATAACAAACAACAGTACAACATACATACTTACATACACATAGATACATATAACTACTACTACTGCTACTGCTACTGCTACTACTACTACTACTACTACTACTATGTCATCACAAGAGAATTATAAGGGAGTGTTACAAGAGCTTTGTCAAAAGACAAAGGAGCCGGTACCCATCTACTCTGAGAGTGTGCAACACTATGAAGGCGGCCAGAATCTGTTCACGTCCGAGGTAAAGTGCTCGATGAAGGGTGTCTCGTTTGTCAACAGCGGCAAGGGAAAGACAAAGAAGGAGGCCGAGAAGAACTCTGCCTTTAGCACACTGCAACACATCTTTACAAGATTCCCCGATCTAGCTGCCGAAGTGGCTCGTATGGGTACGAGTGGTGCTGGTGGCGGTGGTGGTGGAAGTGGTGGTGGAAGTGGAGGAGGTGGCGGCGGCGGAGGGAGTGGCAGCTCAGAGAGAGACCGCGACAGGGAAAGAGAAAGAGACCGAGAACACAGAGAGCGTGAACGCGACAGAGGTGACCGAGACCGTGAAAGAGAACGCGACCGCGAGCATCGAGACAGAGAACATCGTGATAGAGAACACCAACCTAGAGACTGGGACGCTCCATCGTCATCGTCGTCATCATCAATGATGAGTAGTACTCAATCGTCTGGAACAGAGTTACTACAACTAAGAATGGCGTTTGAAGCATCTACCAAGCACTTTACCGAAAAGATTGCTACACTCGAGCGAAGATACACCGATCTCAAAGAGTATATTGACAACAAGATCAAGACACAACGAAAGTCGCGCAAGTCTGAGAGATCACCCAACCAGACATTCTCCATGTCCGAGTTGGTCGAGATCCCAACCATCCGACTCGGCCATGAAGAACAACACCTCTCACACGCACAGCACGTCAAGTTGCCAGACACGACACCCGACACGATCGACTTTTACACGTACCGTGTTGTCTTTTCACACGGATTCAAGCCAAAGTCGTATTCACATCTTGGACGCGAGTATTTGTTCAAGGGGTTCATCTTGTACACTACAGAGATGCAACATACACCCGTCATTCATATTGCCAATGCTGGAGGACAGCACTTTGGCATGTCGATCGTCGAAGCCGAGCATGTCACAGTCTCGCGCGACGACTTTCAAAAGATGTTGACATTTAACAACTTTTTCTATGGCAAGGTGTTGTCGCAGACCTATCTCGAGTACAATAACCCACAGGAACTGTTTTTCGTGCCAGAGCTCAAGTGTCTGACCGACCCACTGCGCAGCAACTTCCAGACGCTCATGGATCTACTCACATTTGAAGATATCCTCACTGATCTGCCCGAGAGCGTCTCGGGAGCAGATGTCTCGGAAAAGGAGTTTCGTCAATACTTTGAGAAAAAGTATTTGCGCAAGCTTCTACTGTCGCCACGTGGTGACTTTACCATTTGTCGCGAGATTGACAATACCAAAAAATTTGTATATAACCACAACTCGGGCTACGCCGTCTCTGATATGGAAGGAAAGGTGCTCGAACTAAAGAGCGGTATCTGTCCAACACTCCTCTGTACACACGCCACTGCATCGTTGGCCCGCGACTATTGGGCACTCAAACCACTCTTATTTTTCACCAAAGACGGTCTCCGTGAAGACATTCATCGTTGGAATATCGATATTCTCAATCAATCACCATTACTCAATAGCGCTGGTGGCGGTGGTGGTGAAAATGGATCTGGCAAAGATGATAATCACGAAAAAAAGATAGAATTTGAAAACTTTATTAGAAAGAGTAAATTGTATGCCAAGGATCCATTGATTTGCAAGGTACTTGGTATTACTAGTGAAATGCATGCAATGGCCAAGGTAGCCATTCTCGTCTACATTCCAGAGTTAAAGTGGTGGAAAAAGGTAGATCAATTCCAATCAAACATTATCAGCTTTGAAAACGATCTTTTGTTGCGTGAAATCTTTACTCATCCATCGAGTAAAAAGATCAATTCACTCAACCCAGCCGAATACAAACTATTCAAGGATCTACTCCCCTTTACCACTGACAATCAACGTCTAGAGTTTCTCGGTGACTCTATCCTCAAGTTTTGTGCATCCATCTATCTCTTTTTCAAGTATCCCAAAGCCAACGAAGGAGAGTTGACAACCAGAAGAAGTGAATTGACCAACAACACTTATCTACTCGAAAAGTGTAATGAATGGGGTATCATTGAATTACTTCGTTACTCTAGCACTGAAGATATTAAAAAACCAAAGGCCGATGTCATGGAAGCAATGTTTGGTGCAATCTTTTTAGAAAGAGGATTTAAAGAAGTCTATCGTTTTATCGTTCATACCGTTTACAATGATCATCAATATTCAACTTTACCAACTTTTAAATGTAATCATTCTTTTGAAAGACAATTATGTATGTAAAAAGAAAATTAAAAAAAAAAAGAAATATTTATAAATATATAACTAATTACCTTTTATTTTTTATTTATAGCATCAATACAATCAAAATTTTTATTTGATGTTCAAGTAAAGATTAGTAAAGTATGTTTATTAGAGGATGCAATTACATGTTTGGGAGATCAAAATTATTCTTATCAAAGATTAGAGTTTTTGGGTGATTCCTATTTGGATGGTATTGTATCACATTTCTTGTATCGTGAATTCCCACTAGAGAATGAAGGTTTCTTGTCACAAGCAAGAGCACTTTTGGTTAGAAATGAAGCATTGGCTCAAATTAGTCAAAGAATCAAACTCTACCAATTGGTAACCGATCCAAGTGCCACCTTTAGTACCAAGAGACTTGGTGATCTATTTGAAGCATTCATTGGAGGTGTATTGTTGGACAATGAATTGGAAGATACCAAGAAACTTATCTACCGTCTACTTAATCTAAACAAGGATTATGTCGTAGAGATTTTAGAGGCTCATTATGCCAGTTCAAGACCTGTCCCACACAATTCAACTGAAATGATACCAGATTCCGAAGTATTACCAGTTCGTATCGATCAAATGCTCGATAACCAACCCATTGCATCAACCATTCCTCCCAAAAAACAACGTAATGGTATTTATTTAAATAATTCACCAATCTCTTCTGCAGTTTCAATTTCTCCAGAATCTTCATCCTCTTCCACCTTGTCCTCTCCACCAGTTATTACTCCTCCTATAACAATTAATCAAGGATCTACCACTCCTCCCATGACTGTTACCAGTACAAGTATAATGGATGTTGATGTTCAAGATAAACAAGATGAACAAGTTCAACAACAACAACAAGTAATATTAAATGTTGAAGAAGAACAAAAAGAAATGACAATATAAATAAATATAAATAAATATTGTTATTGTAAACATGCATATTTATCTAACCTTTTTGTAAATATTTATACTATACTCCTACTTTACTTTTTGGGATGGGTGTGGTCGACGATGTACTCATGGGAGAGTCTTTACATAGTTCCTTAAAAAGCAGAAATGGTACTCTGAAGTCAATGAATCGAAGGTTGTTGATATTGAGTACTGCTTTAAATAACGTTGGATCAGAGCAGTACTCAATAGCAACAACGATCGAAGCATAACATGGCTGATATGATGAAGATTAACATTAATAAAGTAATTTTTTTTGGTATACATACACATGTTGAATGGGTGATCATTTACCACATGTTATGTGGTCACCTTCAATCTAATAATGGACAATATCCAATCAAATTTCAAGGGGGTATTGGTGCATTGAGATTTCAAAGATGAGTTGGAATAGCCCTATGCACGACTTGGCCAGGACAATTCAATCGGGGATCTTGTCGATCATATTCATGGCATATTGTTGATATGATGTGGACAGATGTTTATCATAAAAGTGGTTGTTGAGGTTGATCATAATGAGGATAACCCTTTTTGTTATCTAAAATAGATTGATTGATTGGTTAGAAAATATTTTGGATAGAGTTTTTATTTTTTTGATTGTTTTTCATACCAGCAAAAGTTGATGTAAACAAAGCAACACCCTCAAAGGTAGGGGAATCCCAAGGAGATTCTGCACCAACTGTACGGGTCGAGCCCGATACCTCACTATCCTTTCTTTTTGACTTTATTATACAATGATTATTAAAGTAGGAATAAAAAAAGTTATTGGATCGTAAATATTTAAGTTGTAAAGTAAATGAAAGTTCATTTCTTACTTATCAAGTTAGTTTGATTATTAATATTTTATGTTTGGTAAATGATATTTGCTTTGATAATAAATAGAAAGAGGGGGATGACGTTGATGGCTTGGAAGCAAACCGGTAAAATCCCCATATACCTATCATTCTCCATCACCCACCACTCTAAAAGTGAAAGTAAAATTTTTTACAATCACCACTTTAGAAAGACTGTTGTCTATACATAGAGGAGAGAAAGAGAGATAGAGTTTGAAGCATCAATCAATCACGTTCATTTTGTTGTTCTTTCCTATGTATTCTGTTGTGTAAAATTAAAATTAAAATAAATTTATGCCTTTGGGGAATTAAGAGCTTCATGTTGAAGTTACTTTGCCAAAAGCCTTTGATTATTTATTAATTTCTAAATTTATGCCTTTGGGGAATTGATAGCTTCACGTGCCTTCTTTCCTATGGAAGTCACCTTGCCAAAAGCCATAGTTTTGTTGGAATCACGTAGGGTAAATCTAGACAACTGTGGATTGGTTGTAAACTCTTCTAAACAGACGGCACGGTTAAGGACGATACGACACTTGACAGACTCACCATTCTTGGCAAAGGTTGGCTTCTTTTTGATTTCTTGACCGGTCTTCATGTCGATGGTAGCAACCAACGACTTGACGATACATTCTTCGACGGCAGTGTGGGCGTGGAACACGGCTTCAAAGTTGGAGGTAAACAATTGCTTTTCCTTGGGGAGATCGATGAGGGCAACGATGGCTTCGATTTCAGAGACGACTGGTACCGGACGTTGGATTTCAGAGAGAATGGAACCAGCACGGATAGTGTCTTCATCGATACCCTTGAGACCGATACGGAGGTTTTCACCAGTACGACCAGTTCTAAAGTTACAGGTTTCGTTAGAGAGAGAGGCGACTTGGACTGGGGTACGACCTGGCATCAACCAGAGAGATTGACCGAGGGTGATGGTACCAGATTCAATCTTGCCCATGACAGTGACAACACCACGATCCTTGTAAGAGGTGATGATGGGTACACGCAAAGCACCAGAGTCGTTACGTTCAAATGGTGCGAGGGCGTCCAAGGTACCCATAAGCGAGTCTCCATCAAACCATGGACAAACTTCAGGCTTTACACGATCCTTGATGTTGGCCGAGGTGAAACCAGAGGCTGGGATGAATTGGAAGTCCTTCTTTGGGTTGAAACCGCACTTTTTCAAGTGACCAGTGATCTTTTCTACAATGTCGTCGTAACGCTCCTTGCTCCAAGCAACGGTTGGCTCATCCATCTTGTTGACGAGAACGATCAAATGCTTGATACCAATCATCTTGGCTAGACGGGCGTGCTCGATGGTTTGACCACCATCGACACCAGCCTCAAACTCACCCTTTTTGGATGAGATGACGAGGATGGCAACGTCGGCTTGGGCAGCACCCGAAATCATATTGGGCACGTAGGCCTTGTGACCTGGTGCATCCAAAATGGTGTATCTCTTCTTTTCAGTCTCAAAGTGAGCACGTCCAACTTCGACGGTCTTTCCTTTGGCTCTTTCCTCTTCGTTTGTATCCATAATGTATGCAAATATCCAACTCTCACGATGGTTCTCCTTGGCTTCACGTTCATATTTGGCCATAGTATGTGAATCAACTTGACCAGTCAACAACATAATATTACCTGAAATGGTTGATTTACCAGCATCTAAAGAAAAAGAAAAGGAAATAAGTTAGATCAAATCATTTGATATGATATATTTATCTTCTATAACTTTTCTATCTATATATTTATCTACTTACCGACATGACCAATGAATACGATATTAAGATGTTCTCTTTGATCCTCCTTAAAGTTGGATACATCTTGAATGACAACGTCATCAATCTTGTTGCCCAATTCATCGACATCGTCATCAGTGGTTGGTGAGGTGACGGTTGTAGTTGGACTAGTGGCAGAGGTGCTGGTGGTGCTGGTGGTGGTAGTAGTCTCGACTGGTGCAGCTGCAACTGGTGCTGGCTTCTTTTCAACCTTTTTCTCTTCTTGTACAACAACCTTTGGTTCTTCAACAACTGGGGTTGAGTTGGCAGCAGCAGCTGGAGTGGCAGCAGTGGCGGCTGGGGCTGGAGTAGCCGATGGCTTGGCGCCAAACTTCATACCTGGTACGAATACAGATGCGTTTGGATTCATTTTAAAATCTATCTAGTTGTATTTTATAGAATATATATATATCTATTTATAATGTTTTGTATTAATTTATAAGTGTTTTTGTTTTTGAGGTGGAGGAGGAGAATGATGGTCAAAGTCAAAGGTGGTTGTTGTTGTAGTTTATAATTTAATATTGTTGATTATAAATAGATCTTCTTCTTCTTTGCTAATTGTCACATCTAATAGTTAAGTTGTAGTAGTTTAACTGTTGTTTGTATGTACTACTCTCTCTTTCTTCTTTCTTAAACAATCTTTTATAATAATTTAAAAGATTGAATAGCAAGGAATAATAATAGGAAGTAGTTGTTGTTGTTTCTAAACTATAATTATAATGAATCGCTTGTCGTCACTATCGTTATTTAAACTTTCGTCAATTTGTTGTTGCTGTCAATATATATAACTTAAAGTATTATTTCTTTCTTTGTTCTCACAATACTTTGTCAATGATTCACCCTTTTTTCTCTTCTGCTTTTGTTCAAGTACTTTTGTTTTTGAAACATTCTGTGTTGTTGCTGAACCATTCATCATATGACCATAATACTATTATTGTTTATACTAATGAATGAATGAATATTTGATATGATACCTACACTATAATAACCAAATAAATAATCTAATTAAACAATCAATCAAATCAAACAACAAAGTGTTTCATGTGTTTCACCTCCTTTCATGTCCTTCCTCGTCTCCTTCGTCTTAGTTTTTTTTTTTTTTTTTTCATTCAATTTTGGAAGTAATATAATTATTACATTATTTATTGTTATTAATTCTATTATTTATATAATTCTTGATTCTGGTAATATATATATATATATGTTTTATTTATTTATATTTTATTTGATATTTATATTTTTTTACATAATTGAACAAGATTTTCTTGAATTTCCACCAAGACTGTATTTCAATTCATAGGCGATATTCTTGATTTCCTCATGTTTATAGTAGGAAGAGTACTTCATGAAACCAACCACAGAGTAGACACTCTTGATGGTTGTTGGATTGAGAGGCAAGGCAGAGGTAAGATCATCCTTTAGAGCAATGATGGCAATTGGCTTGGAAATATCATGCTTTCTAATTTCTTGAATGTATTTTGGAACATTTTCATAGGTATCCTTTTTAGATCCATCATAACAAATAATAAATAATGAAGCTTCACGGAATTTATATTTATCAAGACTATAATTCTACAAAAAAATAAATAATAAATTAAATTAAAATTAATATTAATATAAATTCATAGTTGAGTTGATTATTTATATATATATATATTTCTACTTACAACATCTCTAAAATTAATCATATTTTTATATTCCTTGGCAACATAATTGATACTATTGACAAAAGTAGTTTTACCAATTCCAGTGTCACCAAAGACATAGGCAATGAGAGAGGTTGGTTTAAAACTTTCAATTTCATGAGCACTGAAATCATATGATGAAAAGGTAAACATTTCATTGACGGTGGATGCAGAGGATCCGTCAGCACCAGTGGTAGAACGTGTAACGGTTGGTGGTGGTGTTGGTGGAACGTATGCTTGAGGGTTGGTTGATTTGCTACTGGTAAAGTATCCCAATGTATGATTGTAATAGTAACTTGGTTTACCCTTATCGTTGGCAATATCATACCACGATTCTTTACTTTTGATTTCACTTGGATACCCATATTGCTTCTTGATGACTTTGACAACTGGCTTTTTAGTTTCCTCTTCAGCGGCAACAACTAATGGAGGTGTAGTTGTAGTTGAAGTTGTTGAAGTTGTTTCCTCTTCCTTTTTAACTTCCTCTTCTTCTGGCTTTTTGGTCTCCTCTGCACTTCCTTCTTTGGTCATTTCAACAACATAGTTTTCCTTGTTGAGATCGGTCAAGATTTGTTGGAGGTCCTTGTTCTCACCACCTTTTTTGGCCAACTCTCCTTCATACTCTTTAAACTTTTTGCTCGATGCTTCACGATAGCAAATGGCCAAAAACATCTCTGTAATAAGATCAAACTTTTTAAAGTCGATACAAATACCTCCAGTACGTTCAGCAATATCATTATAGAAAATTGAACTACCCAATGCCTTTACACCATAAATCTTAATACCTCTTTCATGTAAATCATCCTAAATAAATAAATAAAATTAAGCAATCAAGTTAGTATGATATGTTTCTATTATACTCTATTTTTTTTTTCTGTTCTATTTTTAAACATACACATTCTTTAAACCAATTAATATTTAAATCGGTGAATGTTGGTTGATGTGGATTAGAATCACCAATCATAACAAAAGCTTTGGATGTGTGTTCGGACCATGTCAACTCTTTGGCCTTCATAAGAGCAAATTCGTAGGCCTCTGGAGCATCACCACCAGAGGTCGATGGAACATTCTTGATAAACTTGACCAAGGTGGTAACATCTTGGGTCAGGTCTTGGGTGGTCAAGACAAGCTTGCCATCACAGTAATCTCCCAACCCCATAATACCAATTCTAATCGATGGGATATCCTTCATCAAACGTTTCACTGTATTCTCTACTTGTGTCTTTACATTTTGAATGATTGAACTCATTGATCCAGTTGTATCAAAACAGAAACAAACTAAAATAGAGAGTGAAATGATTGTTAGTTTGTGTCTATAGATTAATCTATAATTAAAGGATATACATACTTTCAACATCAGAAGAGATTGAAGATTCAACAAAACTACTTAATAAAGCATCCTTGTCAAATTGTTCTTCTACAATAGGTTTGCTTGGTGAAGAGTATGATGATTTAGAGTAAGAGTCTCCTTCATCATCACTACTGCTACTGCTACCACTACCACTAGCAACTTTGCTACTGTAAGAGGATGATTTCTTGCTTACTGGTGGAGCAACAAGTTTCAACTCGATGGTATCAAAGTTACTAAAACTACTTTGGAGTGATGTGTATTGAGTGATGACGGTTGAGGTACCTGGCTTGTAAATCTCGATCTTGTGTGAGCTGACTTCTGGGATATCGGCAACCAAGGAACGTTTGATTTGTTGTTGGAGATGACTGATTTGGAGACCATCATTGTTTGGCAATGCAAGGTTATATTCTTTTCCTTCATAAGATACAGTGTATTTCAATTCCTTGATAACCACCATATGCACGGTAGCCTCCTTTTTAATACCCGATGCTCCTACACTTCCTGCTCCAATCTTATCACCTGCAAATAACAATTCAAATTGGAATCTTTTATATTCTGTACGTTCTGCAACCTAAACATAATAAATACAAATACATATTTTCAAGAATAATAGGTAAGTAAAACTTCAAACTTCAAAAGCAAGAGTTGTGCGTTTTATAATTATTATTATTAATTTTTTAATTATTTTTTTTTTTTTACCTTTGTATACAAAACTTCAGTCGATTCATCTGGTTGAACATCCAAAGAAAAGGTGATGGTTGGTGTTTTAATTAAAATTAACATTCTTTAAAAAGAGATAGATAGTATATAGTATATTATATTATTGTTGTTAAAAGTACAAATAGATTTAGAATTTAGAATGATAAATAAAACAAATTATTTATTTAAAGAAAGATAGATAAGACAGACAACTATAAGTTATAACTTGTATTTAAAGTTATTAAGAAGCGATTGATGGTTTGATCGAATTCGTTGGTCTCATTCATGCTTTTATTCTTTTGGATGAAGCTAAAAATAAATATCTTTTGGATTTCTGTAACATCAAATATTTTCGATCACAAAAATTCAAGGAACCTTGGAGTGTGAAAAAACCAACAGATACAATCAAACTTTCCCCAAAGATCGTTAAGTATTTGGTCGATGTCCAATGCTAGAAGCGAAGACCGAAATAGATTGATAATGTATCTATCCCTATTTGGGTTTAAAAGGAATAATAATTTAATGAGAGGTGATAATTAAAAATTAATAATAATAATAAAAAAATGAAGTTCTTGTTTTGCGTGAGTCAGCAAGCATCTGACCAGAACTTTTAATTTATTGATGATGACCATATTTTAAAGAATATACAGACAGTTTGTTAGATAGATAGATAGATAAGGAAAAGTAAGGTAGTAGGGATGAAAAGAACCGATAAAGATCCACCTTCTTCTTCAACAAAGGTTGGATCTACCTTTATTTATCCTGACAACAATAACAATAATAATAACTTTGACGATGACATTGCTAGTAGTAGTAATAGGAGAATAAGAGAGATTGATGAAGATGATGAAGACAATAATAATAGAATATTAGATCAGTTATCAGATATTGAACATAATAAAGATGATGACGATGACGATTCTTCAGATTATGACTCTGACAATGATGATGATGATCGTTTCAATCAACAACAACAACAAGGTGATGAAACATCAGAGGATGAGGAAAGCAGTTTCATGAGAAACAGTGAATCACTCAACAAGAGTTTACAACTCCTAAGAAGTTTAAAAAAACAACAAAAGAAGAATAGAAAGACAATCAATCATGCAGGAGGCAATGAAGGTGCATCTTCATCAAGTAATAATAATAATAATAATAATAATAATAATAATAATAATAATAATAATAATAATAATAATAATAATAATAATAACAGTAGATCAATGGTATCATCACCTTTAAATACATCAGTATCAACTACATCGGCACTTATGGCAAGAGATAAAAACAAGACAAAGATACTCTACACTCTATGGTTTGTTGATCCTGAATGGATCGATGAAATACTACCAAATGAAGAAGATGAAGAAGAATCAAGATTATATAATCGACATGGTTGGTTATTTGATGCAAGAAGAAAGAGTATGAAATGAATGATTATAAATATATATTATTGATTAAATTAATAACATTTATCTTTCTCTCTTAGGATATACAAGATTTTTAATTAAATCATTTCAAACATTAATTAAATTACCATGGACTGTTGTACAATTTATAAGTACAAAATCGACAAGACAAAGTAAAATATCACAATTGCATCTACATCATCTCAGACAACCAAAAGCAAGATTACTTTCAAGTGATGATGGTTCATTGCTGGCCAATACCCAAAATTCAACCATTGTCATTAGAAGTTCAAATGATAATTTTAATTCAATTCAAAAGAAATGGAATGGTAAATATATATAAATATATATATATATATAGTAGTATTAGTATGATTGTTAGTTTACTAATACTTTTCTATTTAGATATACAATATGATAAAGAAGCACAATGGCAAAGATTATGTTTTAGTCCTGATAATCAAATTATGGCATTTTCAACAAGTGGATGTACTATCTATATCATTTGTATAGAGACAGAGACAACCATACATATATTATCACCAAATGTTTTGGGTATTAATCCTCGTGATGGAATTGTAGATTTGGCTATTAGAGTTGGTGTTTGTTCATTATTAAATTCTCCTGTTAAATGGTATGAAATAATATAAAGAGATATTATTTCTTTTCTTTTATTAATTTAATGTTATTTTTATTCTTCTCGTTTTAGTTATGAATTATTAGTAATGGGATATGATATGATATTAAGAAGATTTCATATACCTTTGGTAACTAATTCATCACATGCTAATAGTAATTCATTTACTATACATCCAATTGTAAATTCATCGGATGCCAATTCATCGGTTGGTTGTTTTCCACAATTATCACCTGTTGATGTTAAAAACTTTCATTATTCAGTTGGGTGCATTCACTATTGTCACGAACGTGATATATTGGCAGTTGGTGGAAACAGAAGATCAAAGAGACCGAATCGTAGAAGTGTCGTTAAACCATTTGTATCGTTTTGGAAGTTGATGGACAAGGCACCTTATTTTAAACTATTAAATCCACCTGGACAATCGGCGGTTGATTTGGACACCTCGATCGACGGCACCAACAAACAACAACAACAACAACAGCAACAACAACAAAAGAATAGCAAACAGAAAAACTTTTTCACAAAGTTGACTACATCCATCTTTGGTGATTACTCGCAATCTATTATTCACAAGATTAGATTCTCTCACGACGGATCACAATTGGTTGCATTGGATTTAAATGGTAATATATCTTTGTGGAATACTCCAAGTACTTCACAGGCTGCATCTTCCTCTCATCATCATCATCATTCACCAATCAAACCAATTAAAGTATGGACTACAAATGATTTAATTCATGTTTGGGATAAAGTATCTCCAATTAATTCTCCAATTAATAATAATCAAAATAATAATGGACCAGCAAGTCGTAATAATAATAATAATAGTCCTATTCAATCATCCTTACATCATCAACATCATCAATCTTTATCTTTATTACAACAACAAAATGAAATGTTTAATAAGCAAGTGATTGATATATCATGGTGGTCAAATCACGATATTATACTTGCAAATGAAGGTGGAGAGTTTGTTATCTTTTCAATGGAGACTGGTGAGAATTGCTTGTTACATGATCCAGAGACAGTTGCATCGGTTCAACCACCAGTCTTGACGTCTGCTCACAAGGGTCGATTCTTTATCCTAGAGACGAGCGGTGACCTCTTTTTCAAGCCATCCATCTTGACACTTGCCAACGAACAGTTTAGAGAGCGCGTTGCACGACCCACCATTGAAGCCTACAAATATGTGTACCGATACTTTTACGGTGACCATCCAACCGATTATGACGAATTCAATTTCCAAATCGATCGTGATCAATATGGTAGAAATATTTTTGATCGACGTAGAAATAATAATAACAGTAACAAAGCAGTATCACATCCAAAAGCATTAGAAGGTGAACAAGATAAACAACATATTATTCGAAAGATTATTAGATTCCAATCAACTACACCAGAGCAATTGTTCAAGGCCAAAGTTGCACAAAAAGAGTATAGCAACGCTATTATTATAGCCGAACATTATGGATTGGACAAGGATTTAGTACACCAAAAGAGATGGTCAAAGTCAATTGTCTCTCAAGAAAGTATTAAATCATTCTTGTCAAAGGTACAAGACCTCGAGTGGATTCTTTGGGAGTGTCATACTAGAATCCCATTAAATTATGAAGGTGCTAAACTATTGTTAGAGTATGGTATCCAACGATCGTCTCAAGATCGTAACAACATTATTATCGTACTTCATCGTAATATTCTCATCAACTATTTGAATCGTTTGGCAGTATACAAAGAGATCTATGGTAATCATTATGATGCACTAGACTATCTCAGATTCCGTAGTTGTAAGTTAGAGTCGGTTGCCATGGAGTATGCAACCGTCGAACATTTCAAAGCTATCGAGGTGTTGTTTACATACTACCCCAAGACTGTCCTTCCCGAGCGATTAAACGTTCTCTCTATGATCCCAGAGACAACCGATCCCACCTCTTACAGCAAGTTGCTCCCAGATGCAACCAACTTTTGGGCATCAAAGAAACCATTTGAATTGGATCAAAGCCAAAAACCAGAAGCATTTACTGGAAAGATTGCAAACCTCTATGAACAACGATGGAACTCTACCTATCTCAAGAGTGTCTTGCAGTCACTTGGTAGTGACTATGAAGATATTAGAGGTCGTGATAAAGTAAATGATATCTATTCATTGGATTATGTTTTAAATAGCAATACTTCTACTCAAACTCAACAATATCCAAATTATTCAATCAGTAGTGGTACAGTTTCACCAACTCAACAACAACAATCAGTAACATCACCACCAATGAATAGTGGTAGAATAGATAGTGGAATGGTTACAAAATGGTATACTGAAAGAGCTGTTGAAATTGACAAGAGATCAGGTCAAGTAGATAATTCATTGTCATTGATCAATATCGGTTTGGAGAAGGAGGTTATGGGACTGTCTGACATGCGTAGTCTGGCTGAACAGGTAAACATCATTGTCTATGAAACCGGCCAAGATGTATCACTCAACGACTACATTTTGTTGGGTACAAAGGATCGTCTCTGCTTGCTGTTGGGTGATAGTTCACCAATGACAATCTACCAAAACATTGTCAAACGATGTCAACCATACTATCGTGACACTCTCTACAAAGATTCACTTGTCAAAGACTACTTTGTTGACTTGGCAAAGAAAAAGGGTACTTTAAAAATATGTAAAGCTTACATTGAAGCTGCTACCTCTAGACTTAGGGGTAATAATGATGATGACACTGGAAGAGGAGATAGAGAGCCAAGTTTATCTACTATTCTATCGATTGGTTTATCGGCCATCCACGCATGCTCATCCACATCAATCGAGTCGATTGCCCAAATGGACGCCATTGTCAATCTCATTCCCGACCGTAGCTACAATGACGACACGAGCACTCTCCACGCACTCTACGACCGTCTCGCACAGTACAAGTCGTATGTCCAGTCAAACATGATTCTCTCAAAGTATGATATGGCCAAGACCATCGAACACCACAGCAACCACCGCGATACAGAGGACTGCCATCAACTACTCGCAGCCCTATGCAAACTTGGTAAACTCCAACGATTCAAAAACGCACAGTGGAAGACCATGTTTGATGACTTTATCACCGTTAGACAACACATGTTCCACAACAACGATCAGGCTGCACTCTACAGTCTCTTTGTCAAGAATATCTTGGCCGAAGGAAAGTACACGCTTGCAAAAGAGTACTTTTCAAAATGTGGATCACCCGAACGTGTCGAGCAACTCGTTCTTGGAGCAGCTAGAGAACTGTTTAATGCATCACAATCATTTGGTCAAGTGGCCGAAGAAGCACAGCTATGTCTAGAACTCATCAAACCACCAACCAGAAAGATCATTAGAGAGTTGAATCTTATCAAAGCAAGTGATATTCTCTACTCAAAATTCAACTATACCAAGATTCCAATTCAAGTACGTTTGATCCTGGAGAAATCGTTGATTCCTGCACAGACATCGGTCGATCAACTCGTCGCTGATCCTCAACCAATCCAATCAATCATTGGCTCCACATCGGCACCCAACACGACATTCAACTATATGAATTATGGTCGATTCGAGTTGATTCAATCATTGCTAGATACAAACCCAACAGCCTACAAATCGATTGATGATATATTAAGTATTTCAAATCTATTAAAGGATTGGAGAGGTGAAGAGGAAGACCAAGACATTGGAGCACCAAATGACAAGATCATTATCCAAGTCATGTTGATTAAAAAGGCATTGTCAAATGATGACTATCCAATTGCCAGAACGATTTGTTCGTCGTTGATTGAAAACGAGAAATCAATTCCACCAACCTACAAGGAAGTGTGGAATATGTTTGCAACGTTGGCATTGAATGCAAACTATGGAGATATTGATGAAAGATTGGATTTATTGTCTTCAGCAATGGTCTATTGCGATGAATCAGAATTGGCCAACTTATTACAAGCCTATCAAGAGATGGAAATTAGAAAAGATTTATTGATAGAACAGGATAGTAAGACATTGGAATCATTAAAATTATCAAGAGAATTAAATGACTCTGGTGTTACTATGAATATATTGGAGAAATATAGACGTGATGAAACCCATCTCTATCAACAATTGGATAATAATAGACAACAGGTTGTGATGGAACCTCCATTTATTGAATCACAACAACAATATTCTTTAGTATCTCTGCTAAAAGAAAAAGAACAAAATCAACCAATTGAACAAGACCAACTTTTCAAAACTCAATTATTATTACATATTCAACAAATTATGAAATATATTCAACTTGATAATAATAATAATAATAATAGTGATAGTGATAGTGATATTGGTAGTGATCAAGAAATTATAGTTTATCTTGTAAAGTTATCAATTAGTAAAGGTCAATTTAATTTGGTACTTTCATATCTATTTGGATTGGCAGATACCAATATACCAGATGAAATATTTAATCAATTGATTAAAACTGCTCAAACCAATGTAGAATATGAAAAGAGTTTGGAACGTGTAATCATTTTGGCATGCTATTTTTACTCTCTCCAACTATTGTCTAGTGGTACTGCTGGTGCTGCTGCTGAACCAGACAAAATTCTATTCAATCAATCAATTGACGGTGTTCTCAAAGATGCCAAAAAGATTATTGAAGAACGTCCAAATGAATATCCAGCAGATCTCGTCAAAAAGGTTGGTAGCTATCACAGCCTACTGATCGATTCGATTCAAGCAAAGGAATTTTCAGATATGAAATCAGTGGTTGATTTTGAAAGATTCAGAGAGGATGGTAACTATAAGAGGGAGACCATCATTCAATTTGCTCAATCCAACGATTTGAAATCATTCCAAACATCGCTTTCAATGGCTGAAAGAAATGGAATCTCGGTCAACGAGGTTATCTATGCCTATGTCGAGTGGAAGATATTGCATGACAATAGCTCGAATCTCTTTATCGACTCTCAAATGGCCAAGAAAATGCTCTCACCCGAAGCCATCCACAACCTCTACAATGAAATCACTGGAGTCTCTTACCAAAAACTACAATGTTTTTATGATGTTTTACAAAAGCTCGATTTAATCAACACCTTATCACCCAATGATACTCATGGTCTAGGTGAAAACATTCAAGCTAGATTAAAGTTGTTGAGTCTACTCATCAAATCAGCAGCCAACAAACAAATGTCACATTTGGATTTCAAAAAGATGGTCGATGAAAAGGACTATGATGTGTACAATACAGAGTTGGGTCAAGTCTTGTCAGAGGAAAACATTGCTTTCTGTTGCAATATTATCAGTATCCTCCAAACGATTCGTCCCATCGATGACAATATCCAAAACCATACCATTAGTAGTATGTACCACAACCTTGTCGACAATATCATCGAAAGCAACATCAATCAACAAGGTTCAAGTAGTGATGGTTGGGACGACGGAAGTGGTCACACCATCATGGAAACTTGCACCAAGTATAGAAAGCAATTGGATGACCACGATATCCAAGAACTGTACGAAAGTGTCTCTATTGGTCCTTACTCTAAACATCTTACACTTGCCGAACGTATTCATGTCATTGATGATTTGGTTCATTGGAAGCATGTAAAGAATTCTAGCTCGCCGTCACTGTATAAACATTTCCTAGAGATTCTCAATCACCTTGAAATCTTTTCAAAACTCCAACAACAACAAACCATGGTTGAAAAGGGTCTTGTCGAAGAGTATTACCAACAATTTATCAAACAGAGAGAGTCTGCCGATTTCAATTATCAAGAATTCTTGCAATCACAGTGTGATGCCATTTTACCAACCATGATCCCATCTGCTCGACCACAAGATTTATTGGATACCTATCGTTTGATAAAGGGAGATAATCAAGAAGATGACTCTCTTATTGTTTCAAATTATTATAAACAATTCCTATCAACTTTGCTTCATCAGGAAAAGGAAAAAGAGTCGATCAAATCAGGATTGGAAAGATTTGTTGCATTGTTTAAAAAGGAAAAGGAATGGTCGAAATTAATCCCTACCATTGCACAGGATATTTTAAGAAACTATATTTACAAATCAAGTAATCCATCGCCAACTAGAATACTCTTGCTCGATTTTATATTGAACCAAACCAATGGAATCTTTTATGCAATGGAATCTGATCAAGACAAACAGTCCCAAGACCGTATCTTGCACAATCAATTCAAAACCAAACAAATCATTGAAAATACTTGGACCAATGTCGATTTGGCCAATATTGACATTGATTCACCAGATGCAGCTGTTTTATTATTTGACAAATTAATCCAACATTGTGATACCATTCACAAGGTTGTATATCTGTCTGAATTGCTGACAATGTGGAGTAGCAATGTTGGAAAGAGTCAAGACAGCAATAGTCTCCAACACGAACATCATGATTGTTGGTTTAGATTGTACAGTGAATTTATTAATCAACTACAAGGAAATCAAAAAGCTATTGGTCAATTACTCAGCCTTCGAATTGATCAATCAAATTTATTCCCAATCAATATAGATGAAGAAAATCAACTTGCCAAACAATTATCAGAAAAGGATCAAATCACTTCATTCAAATTTGGTTTACTTTCAAATTATTTATCAATTCAACAACAATCTATTCAATCAATCATCTCTTTTATTAAATTAACTTTTGAAAAAGAAAAAGAATCAACTATTAATCAACCTCTAGTATATTGTACACACAACAAGAATAATAATAACGTAGAATTGAAACAATTTATAGATTCAAATCAACAATTGTTACAACTCATTTTCCAACAAGGATATATGTACAAGTTTGCCGATACTATTTTATATGATCCATTACAACAACTCGTCAAGATTCACAACAACTTTGATCAAGAAGAAGATATTCAAAACTCTGATCAATACTATAGGGGTAGAAATATTCCACAATCTATCGAACACACCATCTCTCAACTTGTCATTCACCAACACTACTACCAAGCTGCTTCTCTTTGCGTTTGGTGGTTGGCTATTAGTCCCAACCCAAATACCTATTGCTCCTTTGACATTTCAATCTCTCTTCTTTATAAATATCTTCTCACAACCATTCAAAAATTACAACAACATCTTCAAACCAAGGAAAACGAAAAAGAACTGGAAATGAATTATTTAACTTGGAATATTATTTTAACAAACTTTATCAACGCAAAAGAAATATTTGAAAAAGATACTGATGACCAAGAAGAAGAAGAAGAATAAATAAATAAATAAATCAAACCCAATTTTTAATTAAATCTGATTATGTATCATTGTTGTATCAATGTTTAAAAAAAATAGAAGTTTTTTGGAAAATTGGTAAATGTATGAGAATTGTTCCACAATTGTTAAATTCTTTGGCTGCTATAAATAAATGGGTTGATTGAAATAAAATAATCAGTCATCTTAAAATACTCTTCAAGAGAAGTTGCAATCGTTCGCTATGAACGCATAAACATTCTCTTACTTCGATTATAACAAAATTATCTCCAAAACAAACCAAGTTTAACTTACATGTTGTGTAAATCAAATTTAAAAACCGTTTGTCTAGATGGATATGGGCTGTCCATATCCTCCAGCAAACACCCCCCCTAATTAATTAAAAGAAATAAATAAATTTGAGTCTAGACTTTAAAGACAAGTCTTTATATTGTTTGGGGAAATACTCAGAGAGATTAAATAATTTATTCGGGTTAACTTTGGGTTTCTTTCCTTTTAAATATAAACATTTTTGACATGGTTGAAACATTTGTTAGATCAGTTAGAAAACTATCAACTGGTAACGACTGCATTTCAAATCCATAAGAACTGGAAACTTTTTCTAAAATTGGCAAATGATTTTTTCGATCTAAAAAAGAAATAAATAATATTAGTATTATGTACAAGTTAAAGGTTTAATTGATTATATTGTTATTTCTAAATATTTACCTAAAAAAGAAAGATAAAAAGCATTTTCAGGATTACTCTTTGATAATAATTGATTGACCGTATAAAACAAAGGTTCAATAGAAGCATCCTGATAGATGAGATCCGATCCAATGACAATATCAAATTCATTAAAATCCTTTTGAACCGAATCAAGTGTCCCCTGATTATCCTTTCCCCAATACAAATGTCTTATTGATGGTTTTACTAAGGTGACAATTAAAAAAAAAAAAAAAAAAAGAATAAATATAAAATGTTTAAATCAAAAGTGTTTGTGTTTTAAATTTAAAAATGGAATTGGTCCAAAGATTAAAAAAATAAATACCTTTAAATATTGAGGAATTTAAATCCAAATTGTCACTTAGTTGACCTAGTGTAGACAAATCACCATCTGTCATTAGAATAGAAGCACAAAATTTTGAAGCGACCAACCCACAAACACCTTTAATAATAATAATAATTTATATAGAAATAATTATATAAACATAAATATATAGAAATATATATAGAAAATATTAGATTATATAGAAATTATATAGAGATAAGTATATAGAAATTATATAAAGATAAGTATATAAAAATAATTATATAAAAATAATTAAATAGATATAGTATATAATGATAATAATAATTATATAGATAATAATAATATTATATATAGATATATATTTTTTGATTATAGAATAATCGGGCAAGTAAAATATGTTTAGTAATCAATTCATCGTTGAGGCCTAGATATATAGATAAAAAAAATAATAATATATGAAAAGCTAAATAAGGTTATTTACCAACACCGGTTCCCAACTCTAAAACTTTCTTATTCTATAAATAAAAGGATAAAGAAAAAGAAATAAATATTTTTGAACTAAACTTGGTTTGATTAATTAATTTTAAATATTTACATTAAATAAATTATTATTGATTGCAATAAAATTAAACAATATTGAAGCGGCAGGCCATGGCAATAGACCGGTAGAGGGTTGGGTATTTATATTTTGTAATCTATAAAAGTAAAAGAATGGTTATAGGAGAGAAATAACAGTTAGTAAAAGTTTTAAAGTGATGGTTTTCATTATTAGTTATTTTATTTTTTTTTTGTTAAAGGTTAATCACAACTATAAAGGATAATCCCAAGTGGTAGGGATTATTATTTTAGCATTTTATACCATTATAAACAAACATTAAACAAATATAATATAGAGATAATAAATATATATAGATATAATTATATGGGTATTATAAATAGATGGATAAAATTATATAGAAATATATAGATAATATATAGAAATAGGTATATGGAAATAATATATAGAGATAGCTATATAGATATATATTTATTATATAATATTATAGTTTTATAGTTTAAATTATTTAAGAGGAGAGTTTTTGATTTTGATTTTGAACAAGTTGGAAAGAGAATAACAAAATGATTCAACTTTTTGAGAGAAACCATATTGTTTGAGAGTTGATCACCAAACCAACCATCCTAATTCCAAAATTACATGTACCATCCCATCCGCCACCCTAACCCTAATAGTAGTAATTATTTTGATTGATTGTTTCAAGTTATATTATTCTTTTACCACACTCAATCAACCAGTACTAATACTGGCAATTGATGTAAAAAAATAATAATATAATTATTATACACCCCCCCTCCCAATATTAAATATAATAAATGTGATTAACTACTTTTGACTGACCATTTCGGTATTGTCATCAATATCACACACACATGCGGTGATGGTTCCAAAAACTGATTTCACCCTGTCTACTAGGTGATGTTGTCTCCAGTGAATTGATGTCGATTACACACTACAAGAACATTGTGGGTATGTGGTTGTGTGGGATGATGCTAGTAGTCGAGCAAGACAGTGTGGGTATATATATAATGTGATGATTGATAGATAAAAGAACAACAGACACGCACGCACTTACTGTTGACCTTTAATCTTTAAGTTTATATCGTTAATGTTGTAATGATAAATCTCTACCTCCTCACAAGGAGGGAACATGTCACTTAAACTTAATTCTTGTTCATCATCATCATCATTATCATCATCTTGTTCTTGTTCTTTTTTGTGATGACGATCTATTGTTGACGATACTACTTTTTCTTCTTCTTCTTGTTTCTTATCACCCATATTATCATAAATAAACTATGTAATGAGCTGTAAAGAAAGGGCTGCTACTGCTACTTGTTGTTGTTGCTTACTGGATGACTGACAAAAAAGAGAGTTGTATAAACAGAATGACAATCGAACACAGTAGGTTTTGTTGGGGTAGTAAAAAAAAATGTCGGAAAGATTATAGCCTATTAATATGGATGTTTGGGTTAGCTAAATCAAAATCGTAAGAGTAGGTGACTTTGAATATCAATCAACCAACAAACCAATCCATTTTTATCAACCAATCAAACAGAGATAATAGACTATAGTCTGTTTATTTCGTAGTTTACTACTACACCACATGTTAAAACATGGATGGGGGTATTGGGTATGTAACCAAGAATAACTCATTTGTCGGGTATATAGATTATTTAACTTGGAAAAAGACATCTAATAGATCAGAATTCCCATGTATCAATCAATCAATCAATCAATTTAGAATTTATTCCTTTTCCCATCCAACCATTCACTTTTGTTTTTATTTTCCTATTTATCAACTAAATCTATTAATTTGATTGAATCCAGGTGACAGATTTCTATCTTTTTTTATTAGAAAACATATACTGAATTTAAAGAAAGGGAAGGGGAAATAATAATAATAATAATAATTGGATTCGTAATACGCATCACATCCTACAAATTGAGTATGACCTCTTTAAAATATTTTACTTTTTTGGGAAAGAGTTTAATAATAACAATAATAATAATATGATATGGTTGTTAGTTTTTTTTGTAAATTGTAGAAAAATATGATAATATAAGTTGACATCACGTGTTGTTTATCATTCATTGTTTCATTAAACACTTATTCCACCAACATCATGTTTAAAAATGGCATATGACAAAATGTACAGTGTCCCTGGTAAATAATTTTTAGTAAAAGGAGTAGAATTGTGTGACATAGATTCTATTTCTAGTAGATCATAATGTATTGAAATCAATTTATACACTTGGTCATGAGAATAAGGTTTGAATGTGGGGGTGGATCACACGATTAATCAAGCCATTTTAACTATTCCTTTCAACACCCACACACTATTCTCTCTTTACTACAATATTATTCCTGTAACTTTTGTGTGTTGATATAATATCATTGGGTATGCCAACAACCCTCTTACCTGGATTTTCTATGGAAAAAAATGAACAAAAGACAGTGTTTTTGTTTGAAAATCAGCCGTTTTCAAGTGTAACTGGGAGCTAGTAATAAAACTAGTCAATTTCATGCTCGTAGTAACTCTATACACACGTTCATACATGATCATCGGGTATGTATTATAGACCGTCTATCATCTACCACTGTTGTTGGAATTCTTGAGTTTAAATAGAAGAACCATGGTTCAAATATTAATATTTTATTTTATATTTTCTTAAATAATTTAATTTATTAATTCATTTATCTCTCCAAAATGATTCTAGGTAAATATAATTAATTATATCAAAAGGTCACAAATTAAATCTAACTTTTTTTTTTTTTATTCCTCATCAAAATGTTTAGACGCCATTTCAAAACTATCAAACTTTGGTAATAAATCAACAGTTTCTTTATCTATTCATCAACAGTGGAACCATGGTTCAAATTTAAATAGTATTCAAGGAATTACAATGGTAGCTGATGACAAAAAATCACCAAGATCTGGAATCTATAATAAACCAAAATGGGCATTGTAAGTAATCAATATATTAATTATTATTATATTCAATTTATTAATTCCATTATTTATTTATAGTTGGTAAATCAATCAATAGAAAAATTAATCAAACAAAAAATTTTCACAGAGGCAAACTAAACATTAGTTTAAACATATATTTATATAAATTCTATCCCGTCGTATTTCATATTCATATCTCCAATCATGATTTAGATTTTAATTTGTTATTTTGTTTTAAATTGTTTTTGGTATTTTATTTTTTGTTTAAAATAATATTACAATATATTGGTGTGATGATTTAATTAAATTTGTTGAATTAATTTGATGGGATGGAACCTTCGACAAACATATTGCTGTTGTCATCATAGAAAACTGATTTATCAGTATCACTGGTGTAGGTGAGGGTGAGTGCTTGACTAGTAATGTCAGAGATGACACTACCATTGTTGAGTGAGGCGGCAACATAGACAGACAATGTGACGATGGGAGTGTATTCGGCAGACTGGTTGTTCAATACTGTGGTTGCATTGAGTTCACCATCGACTTGGACACCGTTAACAAGAGCAGTTTGGGTCAAACCAAAGGTAAGTGATTCACCATAATTGTTGACGAGACCATACGATTTGACGACCACTGAATTGGCTTGGTCAAAGAAACCAGCTTTGTTGAATGGATATTGATGAGTCTTGCTGGCACCCTTGAGATTGGACAGACGACTAATAGTAGCACCATTTTGGATTTGAGTTGATGAACTGTACAATCCATAAACCTCTTGCCATTCTAAAGTGTTGTTCAAGAATGGTTTGAAGGTTACCCAGACTACATTGGAAACTTGACCATTTACAGATTTTACTACACAAACACGTTCTTGGGCAGATGCAATTGCAGCTAAACCAGCTTGAGTAAAGTTGAATTTTAATGAATATGATGTCATTTTTGAGAGAATTGTAGTTGAAAGTTGAAAGTTGAAAGTTGATAAACTTATTTGTTTAGTTGATTATTTAGTTGATTGATTGTTTGAATGATTTGAAATGATGAGTTGGACCTTGTATTTATATGTTTTGGTTGACCCACCACACGGTCATTGTCAATCAAGCGCTAATTATTGTTACACTCTGACGAAGATTCCTAAACAATCGACCAAATGGTACATTGGTTGTTTAAAACCGATCGAATAACCCACGTCTCTGTTCAATAACAGTCGAAACACCCAATACTGTCACGGTCAAAGGTAAATCTATCAAAACAGATTGGCTTTTGATGGGTTTTGCAAACCCACACCAAAAAAAGATTTTTTTACACAAACACCAAAATGGTCATGCATTCATTATTAAAAACGATTGACAATCTAGATCAAATATCAAATATTAATAATTAATTAAATTAAATGTAGTAATCTGTAACAATACTTACTACTACACCAGTACAACCAGATGCCATCTAATCTAATCTAATCTAATCTATACAGTACCGTACGGTACTTTTTGAATACTCTCTTTTGTTTAATAATAATATAATATAAGTAGTTTTAGAGGTTTAGGTTTATTTTTTTTAAATGATGGCATGTTTCTTCAAGTTGGCAACGACTTCATCGACAGATTGAACCTTTGAACCACCAACTCTCTTGGCTGGTTCTTCAACAGAGACAATCTTGAGTTTAGATGAAACATCAACACCCAATTCCTCTGGTGTCTTTGTTGGAACTACAATTTTCTTTGCTTTCATACTAATAGTAGGATAGTAGTAGTTGTTCGTTAATATATTGTTGAATTGATTGTATTCATTATTATATTTATTATTACTTACATATTTTGAAGTTTGGCATATCTTGGTTCATTGAGACGTAGATCACAGGAAATAATGGCAGGTAACTTCATTTCCAAAGTTTCCAAACCACCATCAATTTCACGTGTAACTGTAACCTTATCACTTGCCTTGTCAACAACAACCTTTGATGCAAATGTAGCTAAAACACATACAAAATAAAGATTAATATTAATATAACTGTATCTTTCTTCATTTCTCCTTTTTAATTACCTTGAGGCCAATTTAATAGACCAGCCAACATTTGAGCAGTTTGATTAGAATCATCATCGATAGCTTGTTTACCGAGGATGACAAGTTTTGGTTTCTCTTGTTCAACTAGTTTCTTGAGGATCTTTGCAATGCCGAGTGGTTGCATATCAGCCGATGCACTGACATGAATACCAGCGTCGGCACCCATAGCCAACGACCCACGGATTGTTTCAAGACTCTCCTTTGGGCCAATAGACACGGCAACAACCGAATCTGCAATAGTATTCTCTTTTAATCTAACAGCTTCCTCGACAGCAATTTCATCGAATGGATTGATACTCATCTTGACATTGTTAGTCTCTACACCCAACTTGTCAGGTCTAACTCTAATCTTTGCTGCATAATCTATAACTCTTTTAACTGGTACTAATATCTTGAATGACATCTCGTAATATATATAAATGATATTAATAATCAAAGGGGATGATGATGATGATATAGATTAATGAACATCGTTTTGATCATCACACCCAATAGCAGCAATTTCATTTTTTTAATTTAATTTTATTTATTTATTTTGTGTCGGCTATGCTAGAGATAGATACTATAACATTATGTTGTTATTATTTATAAATTAACATATTCTTCAAAAAACTCTTCAATGACTACAAGAGTAAAGAAATCTTCTTCGTCACCATCACCCCATTTCGTTTGTTTACCTTGTTCGTCGGTGACAGTGTATTCAAACAAATAGTCGTTGTTGGTGAGTGATGGCATTCTAGTAGGTCGGTTCTTGATATCACCTACAAACCATTTCAACTCTCCCAATTTATCTGGTGTCAATGCGACTCTATGACCTCTTGGATTAATCAGAATACCAGAATGTAGATTGGTTACAACCGACATTATTTGACTATTCTCTTTATTCTTTCTTAATATTGTTACTAGTCCCTAAGAGATTAATGGAAATGAATATTAATCACCTTTCTTTTCTTTTTTAAATGTACATAACCAACTATACATACATTATTTTCTTCACAATTGACAATGTTAATTAACAAGAATGTTGATATTATTAAAAGTAGGAAACAAGATTTAAATTTCATTTTATAGAATAATAATAATAATGAATATTAATATCTAGGAACCAATCATTAGTCTATATATTCATTCTATCTATTTACCAAGTTTGTGAAAAAGACAATTAAATAATTAATTATTTTTCCAAACTTTATAAAAGAGTGTTTATTTTCCAACATTGCTTGATTTTCCTTTTTCTTTAAAGAATTGAAATAATATTCTGTTATTTATATATATTTATATTTATATAATATATATATATATTATATATGCCTCGTAATGAACAATTACAATTATGAATGTACATCTTTATAAAAAAAGATGGGTATGGATAGTTTGATTACTTTGAAAATTTGTTTATAATATCAGAACAATCAGCATCCTTTGGACACCTCATTTTGATTTGTTCAATGACATGTTTTCTATTGTCTCCAATACCCATATATTTAGACCAATCTTCAGATGCTGCTTCACTTTCAGATTTCCAAAAGTATAACCATTCCGGTATATTATTAAATCCTCCAAAGATAAAGTAATGGAAAACTAAAAACACTGCTAAAATACAAAGATATCTTATTAAATGAAATAATACTCCTTTTCCTAAATAAACAATAGTGATTAATAAAAGAGGAATGATATTTATATTTCAAGGGTTCTATATTTATGTTTACCTTCAGAATAATGAGGTCTACTTGGTCTAATTGGTTTCTTTTTTTTCCTACGATCTTGATCTAGTTCTTTGATTTGTTCTTCAAGCTTTAACTTTTTTCTTTGGTATTCTTCATCACTACTATCCTCTTCATCACTAAACTTGATCTCTTCTTCTTCTTCTTCCTCTTCTCCCTCTTGTTCTTTCTTTGATCTATTTTTTAATAAACTCTTTTCTTTCAATTCCTCTACTACTAACTTTTCTTTCTTCTTTATCTCTTTTGTTGTCATTACTGTATTGTGTTACTTTATATGTATAATGATGAATGATCAATCTTTAATCAAACAAATGAATAAATACGAATTAAAGAAGTGACGTCACATTCATTCAATCTCATTTTTTTTTTTTTGAAAAAGCAACAAAAACAAAAAGTATTTATTTATTTATTTATTTATTTATATTTAGTATGATTAGTTACACGATACATATTTGAAGGAGCATTTTGTTGTTGTTGTTGATTTTTTTGAAATTCCATATAAGAAGTATTGGTTGAACCACCTGATAAAGTTTTCATACTACCGGTGGTACGAGTGACGGTAGTAGTCTTTTTCTTCTTTTTAATCTTTCCAGTTGTGATATCATCGAAATCTTCATCCAAAGTTTCAGCACGACCACTGTCGTCACCTTCTTTGAGCACTTCATTGAGAAGACCGAGTTGAGCCTCTTTTGATGAAAAGTGGAGATCGGTCTCTAGGTCGAGACCTGGTAGTTCAGAGATGACCTTGAAACTGTATCCCTGATCAATCAAGAACTGTTGTCTCTTTGTACTATAGTACATTTCCTGTGTATCCTTTGAGACAAGAGAGTAGAAAAAGGCATTGTAGTTGCCATCAGACTTTGGCTTTGGACGGAGGATACGACCAAGACGTTGAGCCTCTTGACGACGACTTCCATAGTGACTAGAGATTTGGATAATGACTGTAGCCTCTGGAATATCGATTGACGTGTCACCAACCTTGGAGATAAAGATGGTACGGACCGATGGGTCAAACTGGAACTTTCGCAAGATAGATAGACGTTCCTGACCAGATGTTTCACCATAGATAAAGTATCGTTTAAACTCGATAGCGTACTTTTTGAGTGCATAGACGTTATCGGAAAAGACAATGATCTTGTCGCCACGTTGTTCGTGGTAGCGAATGAGATACTCGCACGCACGACACTTGTTGGGGTTCATAGTGTAGAGCAACTTCTTTTTACCCTGCGAGTCGTTGGTTAGATACTCGCGGTAAAACTCGGCTGTCATTTCACACCAAATCTCTGAGCACGAGACGTTGGCAAGAAACCCTGCCTTTTGGAGGTCGAGCCAATTGGCCTCATACAGTTTTGGACCAATGAGGAAACTGAGATCTTGAATCTTTTCATCTTCTCTGAGGAGTGTAGCAGTCAATCCAAGCTTGCAATGTGCTTTAGTGACGGTTAGAACCTTTCTAAACATGGCAGCTGGCACGACATGCACCTCGTCCAACAATACTAGACCCCATTCACGTGTAGTCAACTCGTTCATAATCTTGAGACTCTCCGGACTACGTTTTCCACCAAATGCAATCATTGTATAGGTTGTAATAGTCACACCGGCCATAGAATACATCTTTTCCTTGTTGTCTGATGTAAACTTGGAGATCATCTTTTCTTCTATATTACTCCATAGTCTAAACTGGAATTTCCACTGTTCGACAGACACTGCCGATGTGCAGAGCACGAGAATACTCTTTTTGACAGTACAAGCTGCCGTGATACCAGACAGCGACTTTCCAGCACCACATGGAAGCACGATAATACCAGATCTTGCACGACCATTTCCAAACATCTTGGAAAGACTCTTTTCCTGGTACGGACGAATCATAGTGGTTGGTTTGAGATCGATGGGTAGGTTTGGGTTGACAGTATCGTTTCTAAAGTCGTATTCTTCCAACATTGGATAATCGAGTTGGATGCAACGCTTTTTGACTGCTTCAACTTGCTGCGAATCGATTTCAAACGAGTGGTATTGTTGATCCGAGTTGTTTACTGTATCCTCTTCATCACCCAACAACACCTTGTCAAACAATTGGTTTGGTTGAATACCACCAGAGATTTGACCAGCCATTGTCTTGCCGACGAGAAATCCAGTCGCAGTGTCGAGTGATGGTGGTGCGTCGGTCGCTGCGTTTGGTCCGCCGTCCAACATTAGTTGTTGGTCTGCCAACACATCAGCAACCGTCTGCTTGATACGAGCCGATGCAATAACCGAATCCCTTAGCAAAAACTCCAATACCTCTGGATGTGCACTTTCAACAAAGTATTTGTTTCTTTGTAGCACCAACTTTACCTTGCCATAACTACTTGTACATTGACGAACAAATGATTCTATTTCAGGTGGTACTTCCATCTTTGACAATGTATTGAGTACCTTTATAATGTGTGTTGTATCGATACCAACCGATACAGCCGCATACAGTGAAAAGGGTGTCATTTGATATTCGTGAATCAATTGAGGACGACACACTGGTTCTGCAATAGCCACTAAAAAGTCACTAGCCTCTTTATAGATTGGTGAAAAGGTTTCGAGAAAGATTCTACCATCGGGACACACCCAAATAGGTTTGGATGCAATGTTGTCTTTGATCTGACATCTCTTTGAATAGTCTTTGAATGCTCCCTTTGGTTCTCCAACCCCAATCTGTGGTATGTTTCCAGTACCATTGGTTCCTATTGAATTGGGGTCTCTTGTCTTTGTATTCAATTCACTCTCTTCTAAATCCTCTTCATAATCTGTCCATTTTTCATATGTTTTTTGTGTACTTGTTCTTTTTCTCTAGAAGAAAAAGTAAAAAAGTGAATGTATAAGTATACAAATGTAACAACAACTTTAAGATCTAAAAGGTTACCTTTAATGCATCATTTTTGTTTGACATTACTCTCTATGTTTTTTTTTTTATGTATATTGTAGTTTGTTGTTTATTGTTTATGTTTACAAAAAAGTAAATAGGGTATGTATAGTTGAGCAGCTAACTAGTTAGATTGTTATAATGAATGATCAGTAGTATCAAATATTGATTAAAACACCAAAAGAAAGAATAAAAAAGATATAGAATAATAATTATCTCTTTCTCTCTTTGTGGAAATTAAAATGATTCTTTCAGTGGAACTTTTATCGATTTTGTGAACGCTGTTCTCGAGAAATTTAAATAAAATTAATTAAAAAACAAATATTATTATTTTTTTATTATCAACCTAAAGAAAGAACAAGTGATGATTAAAAAAGTAAAAGACTCCAATATCATTCATTCTAACTCATTCATCTCTAATTCTTCAACATTTCTCGAGTTATTTTATTTATTTATTTTTTATTTATTTTTTATGACAACTCATCGGTTCACTTGAACATCGCTCCTGTCGACAATGAGTTATTAGTCTATTAGATAAAATGACAACAGAGATAGAAACACATAGAATCAACTCATTGATTGAAGATATTACAATTCTTAGATTGGATTGTGATTGGGTCAATGATCAAACAGAACAATCATTTAGATCGATTCTTGAAAAAGGTTCTTCAAACTTTTTATTTCTGTATGTCTATCCAAACAAACATCTATCATCTTTCATATTATATATATATATTTAACCTATATTATTATATTCTAGTGAATTAATATGTTCAATTGGTAAAGAATTATCAGTCTATTTTGAAAACATTAATATAACTGATGATTTAAAGAATAATGCACAACTTTTAAAAGAGTCGTTTGGTAACCTCTTGAAATCAACATCGTACAATGGATCAATCGATCAAATATTCTCGAGTGATTCTGATGACAAGGCTGTAGCTATTCGTCTATCAATGTTTGAACATGTCTTTTTCCAATTACAATCGATTCAATTGGAACTCTTTCAAAGAGAATACACAATGCAATTGGACCAAGACAATAATGATGAAAAGAATAGTACTAAAATGAGAATGTCAACAGACTCGACTACTACCGCCGACACTGAAATGTCATCTGATCAAGATGATTTCCAAGGTGATTTGATCAACAAGATTCAAATCCTAAGTGAAATCTTTCAAATTAGATTTAACAATTTTGATAACTTTTTATCAATTCTAAATTCAATCTATTTAAAGGTAAATAATATATACATATAATCTATTTTAGTTTTACTTTTAATTAATACTTTTTCTTTTTACTCTTTTTTACTTTTTTTTTAGATTGAAAATGTATTAAAACAATTACCAAAAGATTTTATTAGTGAACCATTCTTTAAGAATGTAGTGTTTAGTGATGAAGAGAAACAAAAGATTGAAGCGATGAGTAAGATATTGTTTGCAGACTATGACAAGAGATCAGAGGTGTTGTGCAAGAGATTAGACGTTACTGTGCAATCGTTGATGTGGTCTGACAAGGTACAACATCAAATGGATGAAATCAACTGGCACATTAATTACCAAAGAGAAATATTCCCGTCGATTCATTACTACACCTTTCAAGACCTCATTTGTACACACTCTGATATTCTCGATATTATCAAGACTTGTCTTCAATCAAAGTCTACAGGCCTCACCAAACAAATCATCGTTGGTACTGTACCAGATCGTGGTGGAAGAACCACTGATCGTCGTCCTGCTATGCCATCTTTCCACAAACGTGTTGAACATCCTCAAGATAGTTTCCATCATAGAAAGAAATCAAAGAAATAAATAACAGCAGAGTAGTACAATTTGACCAAGATCTAAACGATAAAAGAAAGGTCAAAATTTGAGTTTATTTAGTGAATGTTCAACACATACATCATTGAGGTTTTCGTTTGTGGCTTTAAGTCTTTTGACTTCACTCTCCAATTCACAGTAAAACGATCCAATACCCTCTTCAACATGGATATTTCATTTTGTTCTAAATTTGGAAGAAAATAATAAAATTAAAATAAAATAATAATTTATGACACATTTAATTAATTTATCTATTTGTTGTTGATATTGTTGTTCATTAATTGATTGTTTATCACTTACCTTGCAATTGTGCTGGTTGAGCCATTTTTTTTCAGTCTAGATGCCTTTCCCTTTGTGATACCAACAGCAGCAATAGATTCCAGTGTATTGACAACAATGAAGTTTCCATCTATTTCTTCATCGATGAATCTTTGCGCTTCATCAACACTTCCGCAAAAAGTCTGCAAAATTGCTGCGATTTCCTCTTTGGTGGTGGTCGAGTTGATTCGTTGTTCATTTACTGTAAAAGCTGAGCTTGTAGATATTCCTTCTCCTTCCATTAAAATTACTATTATCTCTAGATCTGGTGTTGAAAAAAGAATAACAATAAACTTTTTAACCCTTTGGTGGATTGTAGGTTTCAAGTTGAAACTCACCCATCTAATTAATTAATTAACAGGCAGGAAACAAATCTGCTGAGTGAATAAGAGAGTTATTTATTTTACAATTTGTTAAACCATTATTTATTTATTTTTATTTGATTATTTAACATATAACATATGTTGGTAGTATTTTTAAAGCTAGATTAATTAATATTCAATAACGTATTTTAATATTTCTAAATCAACGGCCATTGTTTTGTTTGGCACCTTCTCTTAAAAGATCATAGCACGGTGCCATATCTTTAATTGTATATTTAAATGCCATCGCGATTTAATAAATAATAAAATACTTCCATAACAATTCGTTTGTATCACTATCACTCTCATTCTCACTCTCTACCAATGGTGACAAGAGAACAAATTCAAATGCATCTTTCATTGTTGACAATTGATACTTCTTTTAAATAGGAGGGTGCATCAACATTGAAATAAATGTAAACATGTTGGATCATTCACTAATACAAAATCCTGTTCCACAGTGTCCACATTGTATCTTTACAAGTATAACTATAAAATGGTTATGGTCAACTAACTGGTCACGTGACCCGTACGCGTCTACCAATCGCAATTTAACCCTTAACACACCTGATAAACAATCTACCAGTCTGAGATTATGAAGATATGATTCCGTTTCTGGGTGTGCTAATGAGGATAGAAGATAGTCACACAACTAGAAATGAAGCAAGAGAGTGAGAGAGAGAGATACCATTTTCTAGTTTATATTTTTAAATTAAGTTTGTTTGATGATTGTACCAGTACCCATAAAAACTCGTTAGTAATTATCACCGACGAGTAGAAAAGGATAAAAGGCAATATTCCTCTATGGTTCTTGTGTTGGTACTAAAGATGTAGGGTTAAATCACATCCATAGACCGACTGTCGTATATGCAAGACCAACACTTTCAAATTGCTCAAACGAATGAAATGTTTCTCATAAGTCAGAGTCGCGTTAAATGCGTATATGGGAAACGAAAATACGAAAAACGAGTCAGGTGATTTGGAAACAAAAAAATGGTTTGTTGTTTCTTTTGTATTATGTACATGTACTTTTGACCGTTAGAAAGGATAAGAACACTAGTGTGTTGTTCTAATAGTCGAGACGAGAACGAGGGTCACCAATGATGATGATGATGAGACACAAGAAAGTTACCTAATCTTCTCCCCTCTTGCTTCTTAAATTAATAATAATTTACCTCTACATTTTATCAAAAGATAATTAGTAGTCGAGTTGAAACATACCACTTGGAGTTCCCTTCTTGATGTCATCTCTTGCCAATGGTGTCACCTCTATGTTGAGGTTAAAACTAGAGAGGACATTGACGACGATCACAAACTGCAAGGATCAAGACTACGACAAGGATGACAATGACAACCAGCTGGAAAATTTTTACCTCCAGCCACATGGCACCAGATACTCTAGATCCCCAGTCCCTTTGAAGCTGGTTGATACACTTTAGTCAATACTGTATGTATATGTACATATTATGATCATTGTCCAATAATATTTATTCTTTTATTAATCCTCATTCCTATAGTCTATTTTTAATATTTCAAAACCTGCCATCCTTTAGAAAAATAGGTAATACCTTTGTAAATAAATAAATAAATAAATGAAAGTAATAAAATGTTGACAATAAACTATTTGATATGCTTTCAACAAGACTCTGATTTATGAGAAACATTCATTCGATTGAGAATTTGAAAGTGTTTGGTCTTGCATATACGACAGTCGGTCTTGTGATAGAACCATAGAGGAATATTGCCTTTTACAATAACAAAAACAAAAACAACAACTTTGATCGTCAATATGATCACATCTAACTTTTTAAGACTTTTAAAGAATAAATAAACAAAAACAATGACGCGTCGTTATTTTCAATAGTTTCTCTTGAAGGCTATTTATTTTCTGTTCCCTTGAAGAGGATCCACAAGTGTAACCTGTTCCAAGTATCGAAAAAATAAGCACACCATAATACAACTCGTCGTTTAGAGACCGAGTTTTGTACGTCTCCAATGTCTACGCTTGTTGTTGTATCTTTAGATTTGATTGTAATAAGTGAAAAAGAGTAAGTTATGTGTCATAATAAGGTGAAAAGAGACTTTTCTAATGTGTATGTATCAAACCTACCTGATGGTGTTACCAGTCTTTAATCTAATCCATTGTGGGACTGATCTGTTTTGCTTTTGCTTCTTACCAAGGATCTTCTTGATCTTCAAAGTCTTGTGGGATGGCTATAAGTTTAGATAGTAGTAAAAAGTATAGATATAGGTATGTAATGATAGTGTAATTGTTAGTTCGTTTCTCGTGTGATGATGTGTGCTCCTCTCTTGAGGACAACACATAAGTAGAGGATATACTATACCATTTTCACGGGTGAACACTAGAAAGATGAAAAGAGCTATATGTGCAGAAGAGTTCGTCTTGTTGGGTAACCAAGCCTGCAGAGGATAGCTTGCCGAGTTTTTTGAAAAAAAATTGAAAAAATTTAATTTTAATCAAAAATCAAATGAGGACGGGCATAAATTTACATCGCACAGATGCAATCTAACTCAACTACTATCTTCATCTATATAGATACACATATACATATATTAATATAATATTTATATTATAATCTTTTTATTATTATTCACTCTACTGTACTACATACGATACAAAGGGGTGTTGTCTCTATCTATCTAGATAACAACGAAAATGTCATGGGCAAAACAACTAAGAAAACAACAACAGACTAGTCAGTTGGGTAGTAATCCTCATAAACCAACATCACTACCTACAGTTAGCCCACAACCTATACTAGAAACTGTCACGCAGACTGCTGCTGTTCAATCACCAGTAGTACAACAACAAGTTCAGCAACATGTACAATCAACCTTTACATCAAACTCTTCACCACCACCATCATCAACTCTACCATCATCTTTACCATCACCAAATCAATCACCATTACTATCTAGAGTTAATAGTATTCCTTCATCAAACGCAACACCGATAACAACAGCAACTGCATCAACACCAATAAAAGAGGCATTTGTACCACCTACTACTACTACTACTAATGTACAATCACCAATCTTGTTTAAACAAGATTCTATCAATGTATTAAAACAACCAACTACTTTATCAACCCCATCATCTCATACATCAACGACGACGACGACGACGACAACAACAAAATCAACAACCCCACCCAATTCATCACCAACCTATAAACCATTATCAACAAATTCATATCCATCAAGAACTCCATACATTCCAACCAAAGTTCAAGAAAAGAAATTAACTGGTGATATGTTTAGTGTATGTAAAATCTAGATAGATATAACAAATCATTTGAATGAATGATTATTAATGTTTGTTTTGTTTTAGGGAGTTGACTTTTCAACAATTAAAATAGTAGAAGAATTAACAATGAAAACTATAAATGATCAAGTTGGAGCAGAAGGGATTAGATTTGAGCCTGCACCATTTAATTCTCTATTTTTGAATGCACAGATTCAACTATCACAATTGGAAAAAAATGTTGATGCAAAGTTAGATCGTTTGGTTGATGAATGCAACTCTTATGGCATGGAATACAAGAATCATTTACAAGAACTATTAATCACCTATCAAGAAACATTTCAACACTTTTCCAAACTTGAAAAAGGAGTCAATACAATTGGAGCAGGTGCTATTCATTTTGGTGATGAATTAGACTCTGTCACACAACAAAAAATCAAAGCTCAAAGTGCACTTTCACTTATAAACTATTTGCTGGAATTGAATAATCCAGAAAGTGATCAACGTAGTGATATCTTTACAAATTCTGAAAGAATTCATGAATTGGCAAACCTTGTAAAGAAATTAAGTAGTGTTAGTGAAGATTTAAAAGAAATTTCAATTCTAAATAAGGTAAAAAGAAGAATATAATAATGATTATCTTTATATTTAATTCTTTTTTTTTTGTTATTTAGGGAAAATCAGAAACTGAAAGTTTAAGTAATACATTAGAAAATGATTTAATTAATCAATTTGAAAGAGCACAAGAAAGAGGAGATTTGGAAAAGATGAGACAATGCGCAAGTACACTGCACAATTTCAATGGTGGAATGAGATGTAGATCAAGATATATTCAAAAGTTAAAGATGTTTTTCGATATTGAAAGTCTTAGAAGAGATGAACATGTTGCACGTGACGTTGCAAAGAGAAGTATCAGAGGCAATAATATTCAAGATGAAAGATTTAAAAAGTTTTATGCAGAAATTCTTAAAGATGTTGCTCATGAACAACATATCATTCAAACTGTATTTGTAAATCAAACTTCTGCTATGGGAATGTTAATTACTAGAATTTTTGAACAAAGAGTAAGAAAAAAAAATAGAAAAAAAAAAATATTTTATTTATTTATTAATTTATTTTTATTTTTATTTTTCTTTTAGGTTAGATCATTTATTGAAACAGTATTGGGAATGGAAAATGATAATGTATTATTTTTGACGACACTTTTTTATGCATTTCAAAGTACAAAAACTTTATTGGTGGATCCACTTGCACAATATGGTATATCTGGTGTTGATTTTGGTAATTTAATTTCATCTATTTTCTGTTCTTATCAAGATGGTTATATTTCAAGAGAATTGTCAGCACTTCAAGGCAAATTAAATGAATTATTAAACGAGGAACGTGAAAATGTTAAAATGTTGATCAAAAATAATGAATTTGATGAAGGTGGATTAAATCCAGAATTTACTCAATCATTTATTCAACAAACTGAAAATGCTCTAACAAGATGTTTACTTTTATCTCCTGAATTACAAGTGTAAGAAAAAAATAGAAAAAAAAGAAAATATATATAATTTTAATCTCTTTTCTTTTTCTTTTTTCTTTTTTTATTTTTCTCTATAGAGCTGATAATATAAAATCAATATTTTTCTTTTTATTACATGGATTATGTACAGATTATATTGAAGCAACATTGGATAGAGTAATGAAACTATCATTACCAACATCTGATAAATGTTTTCCAAGTCTTTCACAATTGTTCAAGGTTGTACTAAGTGTAAATCAAGTAGTTGGTCAATTACAATCACTCTATCAATTATATGTACTTCCACCTATTCAAGCCAATATTATCATTCAATCAAAATGTTCTGAACAACTCTATTATCATATTTCGAGAATGGAAGATAAAATCAATTATGCTCTGGAACAATCTCTATTGACAATGGTTGCCATTGTTGATAAGGTTTTATTGGATCAAAAGAGAAATGATTACATGTCTGATGATTATGACGCATCGATTACAACTACTTGTAAAAATGTCGTTTCAACCATTCAACAATTATTTGATTTATCAAATCTTTGTTTACAAGGAAAAAATTTCTCTATTTTTATTGAAGAATTTGGTTTAAAGTTAAATGTGTAAGGAAATTAAAAGAAAAAAAAAAAGAAAAGAATCTTTTATTAATTTCTTTTTTAATTTTGATTTTTTAGAATATTATTAAATCATTACAAGAAATTTAAAATTTCACAAGGATCATTTAAATTGATGAGTGATTTAAGTAAATATAGAGAAATATTTAAACAATTTAGATCACACAAGGTTGATGAATCATTTGATGTATTGTTTGAATTATCAAAACTACATATGGTCAATGCCGAAAACTTTAAATCTGTCATTGAAGGTGGTCCACTTTCAAGAATGAGTAAAGCTGATATTCAAATTTATATTAAACAAAGATCAGATTTTAAATCAATTTGGTTAGATATGTTATAAAAAAATTAAAAATAATAAATATTTTAATATTTTATTTATTTTTCTAAATCTATAAATTCTTGATTTGATAAAAAACCTTTTCTAATAAGTTCTTTTTTTGAATGTAATAAAGTTAGATGAATTGATTTTAAATAATGAGTATCATTTTTAAAACGAGGATCTTTTTTGGTAAAGACTATTTTTCTAAACATTTCAACTTCACCTCTTTGAATAGCAGAACTTAGAAATGTACCAGTTGATCGACGTTGAACGTTTACAAAATCAAGGTCAGGGTCTTTTGATGCATATGACATGTCCCAAATCGTTTCAAATGCAACCAAAGACTTGTCGAGTAGAGATCGCAAATCGATAGACAAGACATGACGAGCTTCTTTTTTCTTGTGAAATTCTTCAATCACTAAAAGAATCTCGTCTAGTGGTGTGTTTGGATTACCAATATAACTGTTTATAGAGTTTGCATCTTTACCAATATCTTGACCCATTCGACGGAATAGAGTTTCCATAAATCGATACAATTTGACAATATCATGTGCCTTTGGGTTGGCAAGTAAATGACAGATTGACGATGGATTAGTGTATAGTTTGTTTTTCAGTGCAATCTCGAGAAGGTTTTCAGCGTCTTGAAGATTACCCTCCCAAAGCAATTTGTAAAAGTAGTGTGAAATGTGTGACGAGTCATACTCGAAATGTTTAAATACCAGTGGTGAAATGTGCCAATTGATCACAGGAGTGAGTGAAACTAGTCGATAATAAGTACTCCCAAATGGGTCTTCTAGTATATAGACTGCTGTTGATTGTTTGATTTCTGGACATGTTTGATGGCCTATTGAACAAAGTGGTAGAGAAAACCGTGTACCAAATTGACGTGCAATATAATCTAGTGTTGGGATTTGATTTGAAGCGATTGCTCGTTGACAATAATTTGCTAATTCATCACCGTCAATGTTGGTCATTGTAGAGAGTGCCCATTTGACAAGTTCTATATTTTCAGATTTAGCAGTCTCTTGTAAATTAATTTCATTGTTGAATTGATAAAGGTACTGTAATACATCCAAATGACCAAACAATGAGGCAAGTGTAACGATTGAATCACATAATCTATTGCATCGAACAACATTTTCTAGATGACCAATTGATTCTATATGTTTGATTAAATCCAATGAACCAGTTTTGGCAGCCCAACGTAGTGTTGGTACAAAAAAGGAATCATCACATCCCTCTAATGCATTGACAATATTGATAATCTCTACTGTTTTACATTTAATTCCTTTTGTCTTTATGTATTGACGTGCATTCACTAAATCCAATTCCAATAATCTTCCAAATACTTTATCGTAACCTTGTTTGGCAGCTATTGAAAGTGTCTCACTACCAAACAAGTCTTGTCCCGGTTTGACATGATACAGATTCTTGTGAATATAACATAATGATTCTATATCATTCTCTTTGGCTGCACGACGTAATGCATTTGGTGTACATTTTTGATTCCATTGTTGATGAAGGAATTTAACAATCTCTAATTTAGTCGGTGTCATGTTACTAAATGGAATACTCTCTATTGCACTCTTTTTTTCATCTGCCGTCGCAGTAGTAGTAATAGTCTCTAGTATTAAGAGCTTGCCATTTAGAGTATACTCGTAAACCAATTTAATAACTTCCAATGTAGATTGTCTTGCAAGTAGTTGTATAATATTTTTGGTACTAATTTCAGTGTCTTGATACGATTGATGTACCCATCGAATAAAATCAACGTCATTGGTGGAGCATGCAAACATGAAAGATGTGGGGTCGCGATACCCTCGTTCGTGTAGTACGACAAAGCACTCCTTTTCTTTCTCTGTGAATGTGTCTGGCGTTCTCTGACAAAACCATTTAATCACCGACGTGTTGTTGCATTGTAGTATCTGTTCTGCCTCTTTGCACACATATTCTAATTGTTTCGGACACTTTACATGACGAAGAAACATTTCAACCAACGATTGTGATATACAAAAGTTCTTTGATGCTCGCATCTTGTCTAGCAACAGATAGATATCTTTTCGTCTCTCTATGAAACCACATGATGCATATTGATATTTGATTCCTCCTCCTTTATGAATCTCTTTAATAAATGATTTGATATTATTAAACAAGTATCTATTTAATATTATTGATTTAAATAATTGAAATCTATATTGTTTATCCATATTTATAAAGATAGATAGATAGATATTAAATAAGCGAAGATTAATTTTATATATATATTTTTTTTTTTACCTATTTTTTTTAATTTCCCTTGTTTTGTATGTGTGGGTTTGATGGAAATTAATGAAACTTGGACAGAAATGTAGGAATCATCGAGTACAATACGAATACAATGGAAAAACTCCGATCGGAGCGGCAGCAGAAAAAAAATCAAAAAGCTTTATCAAGAATGGGAATCGAACCCATGACCCAAACCGTGTTAAGGTTTTGTGATAACCAACTACACCATCCTGACTTTAAGATGTCTGCATTTTGCCGCGCAGCGCAGAAATACCCCCGCCGCTTGCCCAATTCCCCAGAACAAATTAACTTTAATTCTTCTTGAGATAATCTTTATTTCTTGCAGGTCAATTAAAAAGTATAATTAATAAAACTTTGTAACTTCTGAGTACTACTCTTCCCGATAGGAGAGAACAGGAAAAGAATTACTTTAAAAAAAAAAAAAAACGCTGGCCCAATTGAGAGTTTGGAATTTTTCTGTAATATTCTATCTCTTTCTCTCAAGAGATAGAAACAGAGAATTACGTATAGAGTACTATAGAACTTCACTCAATCATCAACTATCTTCAACTATCTTTTATCAACATTACTATTTCTTTTCACACTCACTAAAAGCCACAACTAATTGCCCTCCCTTGTTCAATTATTTATATCATTATCATTATTTTCAATCAGGGGCGCGAGCGAGCACAAGCACTGCCTATATCAAAGATCACCAACAAGAAAAAAAAAACAAAAAATAAAAAAAATAACAAAAAAAATATCTCCATCTCCTTCTCTAATCAACACAATACAATATTAAAACAGTATCGAAACAATAGGAATTATAATTAATAGGTGGAATTTAATTATCATTACAACAAGTCAATACAGTTTGAAAACAGTATTCACATTACTATTACAATTGGAAATGAACATCATCAACATCTCATCAAAACATCAATCAACAACATAACAATACGAACAACAGAACGATATAAGATAGATAATCATGGTGTAGACACAACCACCAACCATTACTTGACACACACATACATATGGATGGTGACACTGGGCACTCCCTCCAACAGTCACGATGTGGTCATTAATCTGACAAAAGAACTATGGATCGTAACTCACAGAACCGTTCAGCCCCCCTCGATTCAACAGGTAAAGAAGCTTCCCGTCGTATTGATGAACAAATAGAACTAATAGCTCCCACCAAGACTTCCCATTTTTGCTTGGATGGAAATAGAACAGACATTTGGCACCCCAAAAAACAGATAGGACTTGTTTCTTCTTTGGAAACTCAGTTCCCATTGCTGGTCAAACAAAGACTTCAATCAATAAAACTTCGCAATCGAAAGAATAGTGCTCCACCTACAGGTGGATGCCACGAAATGAGATGCTAAAAAAAAAAATCCGCTGGCCCAACTTTCTGATAGTCGAGTAGTTTTAACCACTTTTTATGTTTTCATAGTTTTATAGTCAATTAAAAGATTAAATTTTATTTATTTAAAAAGAAATTCGAAGGAAAATAAAAAAACAGCGTTCCAAATACTTCTTTGCTAAAAGAATTGAATTAATGATTTTGATTGATTAAAATATGGGTGATTTAAATCTTTCATTTCTCTATCAATCACCAAATATTGAATAGTGTCACTTTCCAACAATGCCGAAAAGAAAGTATTTCCAAAATGATTTCCAGTAATATCCAAATCTATAATTGATTTGTTTTGTTTAAATGCCATTTCCAACTCTTTACTCGATTCCAAATGATTATTTCTGATACAGACTCTTTTGATTGTGGTGTTGATCACCAATAATTGTGAAAACGATGGAATATATTCTTGACGTAATGTATAATGTGTCAACATTAAAGTAGTGATGGTTTGATTATTAACAAGTGTTGTGAAAAATAGAGGTGATATGATTTGTGGTAGTGATGTCAATCCAACCAATTCAATCTTGTTGTTTTTATCCCAAATTGGAATAAATGATGATGCTAATCTATCCAGTGTCAATGATTTAGATTCTATTTCCATTCCTTTTTTTCTTGCCCAACGTTCATAATGGAAAAATTCTTGTTTTGGATCTTTGTCCTTCAATTTGAGTCTCTTGAGAGATTTGTTGTGACACAAATTGAAACAAAAGTCTTTCCAATGTTTTGATCTATTTCCAAAAGCATCATCACCGATAAAACCATCATTGTCATTGATATCATCTTCACCATCTTCAATATTGCCATCTTGATTGATAACATCATCATCGTCACCGTCGTCTTCATTATTTCCATCTTCATTGATAACAATTTCATCTTGATTCATATCGAAAAGAATACAAGTATTAAGTGATTCTAGTTGATATGGCTTGGCGACATAATGTTTAAGTTGTGATAGTTTGATCGTCTCGCCGTAATAAGAGTCGTTTGGAAAGTTGAGGTGTTTTATCGTTGGTGTTAAATGTTGGAGTAATAGAGAGTAATCAATATAACTATTCCAAAAAAGGTTAAGGTGGGAAGGGTCCAAATCATCTATCATTTGATAAAAATCTTCCATGAAGGAATCATCGTCTTCGTATTGCCATTCAAATTCGCCTTCGAGTGTAATGGTGATAGTGGGTTTGATTGATTTCATAATGTTTATATTCTTGGGCCATACAAGTTTTGATTCACTGGATCTTATGAGAATATGAATGTTGGGAGATATATGAGGGAATGCATTGACTACTTTTTCGACAGTCTCTAAAGTACTCTCTTCTATATTGTGTGTTGCAATATTGATTGATTTTAGTTGTTGTAGTAGTTGTGGAAGCTTTGTATAATCAAATTGATTGTAATCACATTTTGAATAATCACCCGTATCATACCATTTGATAACATTCCACTTTAAAGCCGATACAGTGTCTGGGTTGAAAAATGACAGACATGATTCTTTTAATGGACCTTTGATCTTTAGATTTGGTGTTGATTGTCTTGTTACTTTTAACCACCATTTTGATACCATTGCAATGTTGATTAATTCATGGTGGCCAACGAACTTGTTGCTTCCCGTAGGTTCTCCTCTACTGTACATTAGACGTGATCGTTCGTCACGTCCATGATTGTCAATACGATCAATCAACTTTCCAATAATGATCGATTGAATGTATTTAGATAAGAATACACATGTACTACTACTATCTTTTCTATTTTCAAGATCGATCGACCCAATTCGTTTCAATAATATCACCTTTGACTGATGGTATTCTCTTATTGATTCCTCTTCAATTTGAATCGCGATGTAGTCGCACCACAAACGTCCAATCGAAAAGAGACAAATGAACAAGAATAATATCGAGTATTGAATTACCAAAGTTTCGGGACCAAGGATATAAGCCAATCCTTCAATGTATTGATTCTCTACTATTTGTTGTAAAATAGATTGCATTCTATTGTATGTATGTGTATATATATATATATATATATATATATATATATATATATATATATGATAATAAAAAAAAAAGAAAAAGGATCAACTAGAAGAGCTGTTAGGACATGTGTTCTCTTTCTTTTTTTATTTTTTTCTATTTTTTCTATTTTATTTATTAATTAATTTTTAAAAAATTGAATCTTTATTCTAAAAGAGAAGGAGTATAATATAGATCTTTGGGTTTAAAAAGTGATGGAAAGAATAAATTCAAATGTGTAGGGTCAGAATCGATATAAAATTGAATTAATGATTTTGATTGTTTAAAATATCTATTATTTAATTTGTTCATTGTTTCATCAATCACCAAATATTGAATAGTGTCACTTTCCAACAATGAAGCAAAGAAATAATTTCCAAAATGGTTTCTAGAAACATCCAATACTTTAATTGATTTGTTTTGTTTAAATGCCATTTCCAAATCTTGAATCGATTCCAAATGATTATTTTTGATACCAACCCTTTTAATTGTACAATTTGACAATATTAATTGTGAAAATGATGGAATATATTCTTGACGTAATGTACCATTGGTCAACATTAAAGTAGTGATGGTTTGATTATTAACAAGTGTTGTAAAAAATAGAGGTGATATGATTTGTGGTAGTGATGTCAATCCAACCAATTCAATCTTGTTGTTTTTATCCCAAATTGGAATAAATGATGATGATAATCTATTCAATGTTTTTAATTCCCACCAACGATCTTCTTTTTTTGGATGTTGATCCATTAATTCTAGTCTCTTTAGAGTTTTGTTGTTTGATAAATTGTTACAAAATTCATCCAATCTTCTAAATCATTTCCATCAATACCATAGTCACATCTCTCTCGACAATTGTCATTTCCAAGTTCTCTTTTAATATTACATAATATTATAAAAGATCTAAGTGATTCTAATTTAAAGGGTTTGGTGAGACAGACAATGAGATGATATAATTCCACATAGTCACGACCAATGTTGATGTGTTTAATGGTAGTTATGTGTCGATGATGTTTGTCTTTGGTTGGTGAAGGGTTACCAATACAATCAATGATATTTTGAATGATGATCGATTGAATGTGTTTTGAAAATACACAACTATCTTGTTTCTTTTCTTTTTTCATCTTGGGTTTTGTGATAGATAATATATAATATCTAAAATGTTACATTTTAAAATGAAATATCTATGTACAATAATAAAATTATTATTATTTTGCCCAAAAGAGAAGATAGACAAAGAAAAATACTTGAATTAATTTGGTGTGGTTGGAGTGTTTTTCTAATTATTTTTGAAGAGCTCAACCTTCTTTCTCGACTGTACAGCCAGATATAGAGTTTACTATGAATATAATAGATTGAGGAAAGTGTAGGTAGAAAAACAATCTTATAGAAGAAGGAGATGATATTTTTAGCATGTAATGATCCTATGTGAGCAAAGCATTAATCACATTGCGTCATGAAAAAACTATTTTTTTAAGCAGACATCTTTCGTTTTTGCCTACAGGTCGTTAAGATAAGACGACATCTTTGCCTGGTTGTCAAGAATCCAGATATTTTAAGGTGATCAAAAATATATATATGTACAATGTTTTTGTCATTATGAGTGTTTGGTCAAGTCCAAAAGTCTTATTTAATAGTGTCATTGTGACCACTATTATCATTCTTCATCGATCAAAAGTAGAATGTATAGATATCGGCTATTACTAGCGATACAAATACTACTACTATTAGTAGTGTATCAATCTAATCAAGCTTACTCACAAACAATATCTACAAGCGAACGTATGTTGTTTTGCGAAGAATGCATTGTCAAAAAATATTTATATTTTTTTTTAAAGAAACCTATTAATTTCTATCATTACTACTACAACAAATTAGTATTATCTATAAAATGGCTAAGTAATCAATACCGTCTTGCTTTACCAACCGATGAAGCTTCATTGTGTGCCATTTCAGGTATCACATGCACAGTGGAAAATGGAGAGAAACATTTTACTTCTATTACGTATGAAGTATAAAAACAACAATAACAACAACAACCCATTTGACTAATATTAAACATTTTATTTTATTATCAATTATCATAGATTGCAATCAACTAATATTGCCAATCAACCATTACCAACAGCCACAGTTTTAGATTTCCCAGAACTAACACATCTCTCCTTGAGTTGTGGAATGGGTTTGGGAGATGCCGCAACTGCTTTGTCTCCAATAACAGGATTGGACAAACTCAAAAAGATTTTAATTACTTGTTATGCTATTACTAGCATTCCTCCATCCTTTCCAGGTGCTCTACAAAGCTTGACTGAATTGTATGTTTACTAAATTTTACAATTCTCATATATATATATATTTTAATACTAACTAAACAATCAATATATTTACATTTATTTATAGAAACCTGTATAGTTTTGGAACAACTAATATACCAGTGACAGTATTCCAAAATACCAAAGCTCAATCAATGAGACTTATTTCTTTTAACAACTTGGTATCAATCAATTTTCCTACAGATGGTCAACTATCATTAAAATATTTGGAACTCTCTCTTCCATTAAATCAACCAACCATTAGTTTTAATTTACCATCAACTAGCTTTAAACAAATCGATGCATTGTATGTCTATTTATCCGATTCCTTCTCTACATACATATAACAATCATCTATTCTTTATTCTCTTATATGATAGGTATTTACAAATGGGGGATGCAAATTATGATATTCAAATAGATTGCAAAGTTGGCCAATTGAATTTACGAGGACCACAATCTCTAATCAATTCTTTAAATGTTCCAGGTGTATCAAATATGTATGTACAATTAAAAAAAAACAAACCAAAAGAAAACACTGTTTTCAAATATAATTATAGAAACAGTTTTCTTTTACTTTTACTAATATTGAATCTTTAGAATGCGATGGGAAACAAAGGTATCACCAAATTATAGTATTACACCAAATATGATACCAAATGTTGAACATCTTGTAATGGGTCCACTAACATCGACCGATCCACTGACACCCACAATTACTCTTAATGTTCTTGCTCCAATCTCTGAGCTAGCTATTTTCAATTCTAATCTAGTTGTATCAAGTATACCATCATCATTAAGTGCCTTGCAATTTACACAACCTGTCAATGACAACCCAATTGGTATAGCTGGATTTGATACCTATTCAAATATATCAAGATTGACTTTTGATACGGTTAAACAAGTTTTACCTCTACCAAAAAATATTCAAACTTTGTATGTCAATCATGTAGTACTAATGAAAGAAAGAAATATTTATTATTCAAAATTTTGTTTTTAGTGCTATGGCAAATCCACCTTTGGCAATCACTTCATTACCACCAGCTAGTGATTTTGAACGACCTATTCAACAATTTTGGATTCGAAATAGTACTTTTATTACTGGAACTATTCCATCGTATCAATTCTCATCACTGACTTTTCCTCAGCTAATTTTAATGGAATTACCCGCATTGGTTGGTTCAGTACCAGAGTTGTTTTGTTCAACTCTCTATAGTTTGGTTATTTCAGATACTGGTATTTCAAAAGTCCCAGAATGTTTCAAGTGTAAATGGGTAGATACAACTCCAAGGTTTAGATCTGTTTTATCAACACCTGTCATCAATTCAATTACTCCATCATCTTATTGTGGTCAAACATTTGATTCTACAACTCCATTTATTTTTGTTAATGAGGTTTCACAAGTGGTTAAATTGACAGGTAGTGCTTTGGGATATGCATACAAACCAACTAGTGGAAACACTGTATCAACTGCACTTGAAATGAAAGTACCAAATACTCTTTTCGAATACACAATCACTCAAGCACAATTAATCAATAGAAATGAAACCATTAGCTTTGGAACATTAAATCAATTCAATGGATTAAATCCTAAATTGGTTACATATCCAATCACATGGAAATTATTTTGTATGTTGATAAAAAAAAAAAAAACAAATTTTTTATCTTTTTTGATTAATTGTTTTTTATTAGATACAACAAAGACTAGTTTTAGTAAACTACCAAATGCACTTGGAGTTGTAATGGAAGGATATTTTGATGTTGGTCAACCCACGATCACTGTAGAGTCTATTGAATGTACAGTTACATCATTTTCAATCAATAGTATTAGTACTACTTGTCCAATCATTCCAAATACCAATATATTGAATTTTAATCTAACAGCACCTGTTCTCAATAATGTATCATCTTTATTTAGTACCCCTTTTGTTATTAGTCGTAAGTTGAACAAGAAATAATATTTCCAAGATATATATCCTAACCAACTATATTAATCATTTATAGCAATAAGTCAATTTTTTATTTCATCGATTCAATATAATCAAAAGATTGGTGATACACAAATCGCTATTAATGGTCAATTTGGAACGAATAATATTTATCATGTAATACTGAATCCAACAACTGCCAATCCAATCACTTGCAACCTTCTAGTAAATACTACAACGTCAATTATTTGTTCTACAAACTCTAGATTGTCCGATCTCAATGAATATTTTGTTCAAGTCACTGCTGATGGAATTCCTTCTTGGACTCCTACTCCACAGAATATTTCTTTTATTTTTAAACAATGTATGTAGTATTTTATTGAATCATTAAGTAATCATATTGAATCAATTTATTTATATTGATATTTTTTTTTCTCAATTTTTATTTTTAGCATACCCATATATTAATTCAATTCCATTTACAAATGTTGGAAATGCAACAAAGGTATCGATTTATGGTCAATTTGGAACAAAATTATTCAATGTATCAGTATTGATTGATAATGTTAATTGTCCAATTTTAAGTGTCAATTCATCATTTATTGAATGTGAGATTAATATGACCACTTCTGGAGTTAAACCAATTCTAGTTTCAGTTGATAATTGGATTTATTCAAGAAATGATATCATGGTATTCGTGGCTGCCCCAGCCACTCCAGGTGATCCATCACCATCATGTCAATGTACTAGTCATGGTACTTGTTTATCAAATGGTCAATGTCAATGTTTTGATGATTATTCTGGTCCTCTTTGTCAATTTCGTATGTATTCAAATAATTCTTTATTATTATTATAAAAGTATTAATATTATTTTCTTCTTCTTCTCTTTTAATTTTTCAGCACCATTCATAAATGGAGGTAATATGACAAATAATGAAACAGATCCATCGGTTGAATTTCAAGGTGGAAAATTCTCATTTAATTTAGTATCGATTAGAGAGATTGGAATGGATGGTTCTACAATCATTCAAGAAATGAATCAATTTAATTGGATTTATTCAAATTTGACAGTTGACAATGTTGATTTATTTATTTATAAACATAATATATCAACCAATTCAAACTCATCAATACTAGAGATGGAAGCTGTCATTCAACAATCTAAATCATCACGTACAGTTACATTTGCAGGAATCACAACAACACTTGCAGCCAATTCAATTAAATTGACTATTAATATAACCAATTGGCCATATGTATCAACACTCAATTCATTGGTAGCTGTATTCTCTTCAGATATTGGTGATGTAAATGATTGTTTTGGTAACAAGATCAATGCAACTGTAATGTCTGATATCGATATACAATCAGTAAAATACCTTCAAATTGTCAAAGATAATGTTATATTTTATGGATCATTCCTTGATAGAGTATTATCTGATGGTAGAGTTGCCTATTCAAGAAATCAACTCTTGTCTATGGATGACAGCCAACAAGAAGGAAAGGTATTAATTGGAATTAGTCTACCTTATTGTAAGGAATGTATTATCGACCCCAGACTTTTCTTTAGTCCTACCAGTTGATGAAAGTGGATCAACAACTTGTTCTTCATCTAAATCATCAGACACATGGAAGATTATCACTGGTAGTGTTATCGGTGGAGCCGTCCTAATCACTTTAATCATAGCAACAACTAGACTTTTATTAAAGAAATCAACTAGTTTAAAGGTTTTCAAAATGAAATTATTTAAATAAATAAATAAATAAATAAATAAATAAATAAATATATATTTTTATATTATAGTTTTATAGTTTTTAGAAGAGGTACCATCTTCTACCCAGATATTTTTAGATAAAAAAAATATCTTTTTTTTTTTTTGTTTGATTAACCACAAGTCCTTGTGATTATTATTATTACCATGTTATCGATCAAATTCTAGAATGTATAGACTAGTTATACTACTACTATTACTACTATTAGTAGTGTATCAATCTAATCAAGTCTATTCACAAACAATATCTACAAGTGAATGTATGTTGTTTTGTTGCAAAGTCAAACTTCTTTTAACAAGTACAGCAACCCTATTAATCTATAAATAACCTTTTATCACCTTTCTATCATTACTACTACGACTTAGTGACATCAATAAAATGGTTAAGTGATCAATATCGACTAGGTTTACCAACCGATGAAGCTTCATTGTGTGCCACTGGAGGTATCACATGTACAGTGTCAAATGGAGAGAAACATTTTACTTCTATTATGTATGATAGAGATATATCTATATATATATAACAAAAACAACCATAACCCTTTTTGAATAATTCTAATTCTATTTTGATTTTTTTTAATTATCAGGTTGACATCAAGTGTTAATGCCAATCAACCATTACCTATACCAAAGATTTTAGATTTCCCACAACTAACACTACTCAGCTTGACTTGTATGGCCACCACTGTTTTGGGAGACGCTCCAACTGCATTGTCTCCACTAATAGGATTAAACAAAATCACAGAGATTCATATTGATTGTCGTCCCATTACTATTATTCCTGCATCCTTTCCTGGTAATCTACCAAGTTTGACGAGTCTGACCTTGTTGAATTTAGCAGCGACCAATATACCAGTGACAGTCTTTCAAAATACAAAGGTTCAAATATTGAAACTTACTGGGTTCAACAGCTTGGTATCAATCAATCTTCCCACAGACGGTCAACTATCATTACAATATCTTTATCTTTCCCTCCCAGTTTTAAATCAACCAACCATTAGTTTCAATATGTTATCAAACAACTTTAAAAATATTACCATATTGTATTTATATTTGGGTGATGCCATCTATGACATTCAAATCTATGCAAAAGTTGAAAATTTAAATTTACTTGGACCAGAATCTTTAATCAATTCTTTATTCTTACCTGGTGTAACTAATATGTATGTAGATGTCAAAAAAAAAAAACAAATATATTTATTTATTTATTTATTTATTTATTTATTTATTTATTTATTTTTTAGAATGCAATGGCAATCAAAGGTACCACCAAACCTTAATATTACACCCAATATATTACCAAATTGGGGACGTTTGAATATTGGACCAGTTACATCGGCTGATGTAATCACAACTACTATTACTCTTAGTGTTACTGCTCCCATCTATGAGTTATCCATTTCAAATAGTAATCTAGTTTTAACAAGTTTACCTACAACTGTAAACACCTTTTATTTATCATATCCTGCCAATGATAACCCAATTGATGTAGCGGGATTTGATACCTATTCAAATATTACAACTTTGGCGTTTGATTCTGTCAAACAAGTTTTACCTCTACCAAAAAATATTCAATCATAGTATGTAGAATAGGGAAAAATAATATAAATAATATAAATATATATTAATATTTAAATATCTTTTTATTTAGTTCAATAAGAAATCCATCTTTGGCAATCACTTCATTACCACCAGTAACTGATTTTAACTTACCAATTTATCAGTTTTGGTTTAGAGATACTACCTCTATTTCTGGAACTATACCATCTTATAATTTTGGTTCAAAGGTTGGTGTCCCAAAATTAGTTTTAAATAATTTACCTGCATTGGTTAGTCCAATACCAGAGTTGTTTTGTTCAACTGTCTATGATTTGGATATTACAGACACTGGTATTTCAAAAGTCCCAGAATGTTTCAAGTGTAAATGGGTAAATACAACTCCAAGGTTTAGATCTGTTTTATCAGCCCATGCCATCAATTCAATTACTCCATCATCTTATTGTGGTCAAACATTTGATTCTACAACTCCATTTACTTTTGTTAATCAGGTTGCACAAGTGGTTAAATTGACAGGTAGTGCTTTGGGATATGCATACAAACCAACTAGTGGAAATACTGTATCAACTGCACTTGAAATGAAAGTACCAAATACTCTTTTCGAATACACAATCACTCAAGCACAACTTATCAATAGAAATGCAATGGTTAATTTTGGAACATTAAATCAATTCAATGGATTAAATCCTAAATTGATTTCATATCAAATCAATTGGAATTTATTTTGTATGTAAAGAAAATATAAATATATATATCTTTTTGAAAATGAATTAATTATTTATTATTATTTATTAGATACAATAAAGACTAGTTTTAGTCAACTACCAAATGCACTTGGAGTTGTAATGGAAGGATATTTTGATGTTGGTCAACCTACTATCACTGTAGAGTCTGTTGAATGTATAGTTACATCATTTGCTGTTAATAGTATTACTTCTACTTGTCCAATCATTCCAAATACCAATATATTGAATTTTAATCTAACAGCACCTGGTGGCAATAATGTAATATCCTCTTATATTGCCTCTTTTGTTAGTCGTAAGTCTTTGGAAAAGAAAAAGTATATTTTTAAAAAGATATAATACTAACTATATAAAATAATATATATTTATTATTTATATCATTTATAGCAATAAGTCAATTTTATATTTTGTCAATTCAATTTGATCAAAAGATTGGTGATACACAAATCATTATTGATGGTCAATTTGGAACGAGTAATATTTATCATGTATTATTAAATCCAAGAGCAGGTCAATCAATACCTTGCAATATTCAATCAAATACTACATCGTCAATTATTTGTTCAACAAACTCTAGATTGTCCGATCTCAATGAATATTTTGTTCAAGTAACTGCTGATGGAATTCCTTCATGGATTCCTACTCCACAGAATATTTCTTTTATTTTTAAACAATGTATGTATTATTTTAGACTAATCAATATTCTTTTTTATTAATATTTTTTTTCTCAATTTTTATTTTTAGCATACCCATATATTAATTCAATTCCAATTACTACTATTGGAAACGCAACAAAGGTATCGATTTATGGTCAATTTGGAACAATATTATCAAATGTATCAGTATTGATTGATAATGTTAATTGTCCAATTTTAAGTGCCAATACATCATTTATTGGATGTGAGATTACTATGACCACTGCTGGAGTTAAACCAATTCTAGTTTCAGTTGATAATTGGATTTATTCAAGAAATGATATCATGGTATTCGTGGCTGCTCCAGCCACTCCAGGAAATCCATCACCATCATGTCAATGTACTAGTCATGGTACTTGTTTATCAAATGGTCAATGTCAATGTTTTGATGATTATTCTGGTCCTCTTTGTCAATTTCGTATGTAACCAAAAAAAAACTTATTGTTATTCATTTGTATTTATATTATTTTCTTCTTTTTCTCTTTAATTTTAGCACCATTAATAAATGGAGGTAATATGACAAATAATGAAACAGATCCATCGGTTGAATTTCAAGGTGGAAAATTCTCATTTAATTTAGTATCGATTAGAGAGATTGGAATGGATGGTTCTACAATCATTCAAGAAATGAATCAATTTAATTGGATTTATTCAAATTTGACAGTTGATAATGTTGATTTATTTATTTATAAACATAATATATCAACCAATTCAAATTCATCAATACTAGAGATGGAAGCTGTCATTCAACAATCCAAATCATCACGTACAGTTACATTTGCAGGAATCACAACAACACTTGCAGCCAATTCAATTAAATTGACTATTAATATAACCAATTGGCCATATGTATCAACACTCAATTCATTGGTAGCTGTATTCTCTTCAGATATTGGTGATGTAAATGATTGTTTTGGTAACAAGATCAATGCAACTGTAATGTCTGAAATTGATATACAATCAGTAAAATACCTTCAAATTGTCAAAGATAATGTTATATTTTATGGATCATTCCTTGATAGAGTATTATCTGATGGTAGAGTTGCCTATTCAAGAAATCAACTCTTGTCTATGGATGACAACCAAGAAGGAAAGGTATTAATTGGAATTAGTCTACCTTATTGTAAGGAATGTATTATAGACCCAGACTTTTCTTTAGTCCTACCAGTTGATGAAAGTGGATCAACAACTTGTTCTTCATCTAAATCATCAGACACATGGAAGATTATCACTGGTAGTGTTATCGGTGGAGCCGTCCTAATCACTTTAATCATAGCAACAACTAGACTTTTATTAAAGAAATCAACTAGTTTAAAGGTTTTCAAAATGAAATTATTTAAATAAATAAGTAAATAAATAAATTTTAATTTCATCGACATTATGCATTAGTTTCTTGTATTGAAAATAGAAAACATCAAAGATTGGGAGGGAAAGGACAAATTTTTTTTTTTGATCATTTTACCATAGATTCTTTTCAAGACCTTTATTGGTGTGATTTGATGGAAATTAAAAAACTATGATAGATTGTCGATTTTTTTCATTCTGGGTTGCAAAAAAAAAACACAGTGCCAATGAAAAAATTTGGATCAGAGGAATCATAATCTTAAAAAACATCAATACAGTTGACTTGTGCAGGATAGTTTTTTTCCCATGATTTGTGTGGTTTGGTGAAAATCAATGATATAAATGTAGGGAATTGTGTCTACTACCAGAATATCATGAAAAAACTTGGATCAGAGGCAGCGGCAGCAAAAAAAAGATCAAAACAGGTGCCTTTTGGGCTGCCTTGTGCCGGGATCGAACCAGCGACCTTAAGATCTTCAGTCTTACGCTACTACCAACTGAGCTAACAAGGCTTGGATGTTTCCAAAAAAAAAAATTGAAAATTTGAGCCCCGCTTTTTTTGACGATTTTTAAGGTTTCCAACTAAAATTTGGTTTAAAAATTTTTTCTGTTTTTGTTGTTTGGAACATCCAAGCCTTGTTAGCTCAGTTGTTATCTTATTTCGCAAGGCACTTGATGATCCCAATTCCAAAAATTGAAAGTTTGAGCCCAATGATATAGTTCATGTTTCAAATGTTAAAGCTATTACAATTAGTAAAAAGGTAAGAACATAAATATTGGAATATATATTTACTAACAAAATACTATCTATCTATTAATTCAAGACAGGACAACAAACCCAAAAACAATTAGCTGATAATGATAGAATCTGTTAATTAATATATCCCAGCAGTAGGACGTCCTACTTTTTAAAAATAATAATAAGTATTTTTTATCCAACTTTTTAATTTAATACCAAACAACAACATCAATCAATCATAACAACCAATCAACCAACACACAAAGTATTATAGTCAAAAGTGTTTTAACCAACCTACCTACCTACCAACCAACCAACCAAAATAAACATTACATTAATAACAATATTTATTTATTTAATCATCACTCAATTTAATAATAATAATAATAATAATTCATCCTATATTTATTGGTATTCGAACACCAATCCAATTCAATTCAATCTCGACCTCACTCTACTACTTCTAAACTCTTTGTTTTAAAGAAAAGGAGAAGGATTACTAATTAGTAATTTCAATAATTGGGCAATTGATGGAGAAGGTTGCCGAGAACAACAACAGGTACATGTATTTATCTCTTATTTTTATTTCAAACCCAGTTTAGTTAAATTTATTAAAGTTTAGTTTAATTTAGTTTAATTTAAATTAGTTTTTAGATTACATAGCACCACCACCAATCAAAGAAGGAACAGGCTTATCAATATGACAATTGATCAAGATTGGACGTTGAGAAACGCTTGAACGTTCACGAGCATCGGCAAAGGATTTCTCTAGCTCTTCACGCTTGGCATTGTTGTGAGAGAGTGAGAAGCTCTTGCCACCATAGGCAACCATGATCTTGTGGAAGGCAGTCTTGGGATGATCATGATGAATTTGAGGAATCTTTTTAGAGTCCTTGTCCATCACGACTTGGTCGTCAGAGGACATTTCACCGATGGAACCCTCGACATTACCAACAACGATATTGATTGGGATGTGATAACGGTTGAGAGTTTCAAACTCTGGGATACATTGACTGATGGATCTGTCGTCACAGAGGAGCCAAACATCGACAGATGGATTACACAACTTGGAAGCAATGGCAAGACCAATGGCAGAGTTGGTGTTGTGTCTGACACAGGTGTGGTCAAGTTGGATCCAAGCTCTGACACAGTCTGCAAGCATAGATTGGGCACACTCCTCAAACTGGCCATTGTCACAGACGATGATGGGACGAGACTGACTGTTTTGGAGAGAGTCACGAAGAGCCTCGAGGACAAGGTAACTGTTGAGATGTTCACCCTTGAATTTAGACTTTTTGTCAAAGATGAGAGAGCTGATACTATCCTTTTCCTTGAGGTCCATGATCCAAGACTGGAACTTGTTATAGTTGCGTGGCATCATGTAACCGAGATGGTGAAGGAATGTGCTTGGTTCGACACGATAATTGGAACGTTTGATCGATTCAAAGAATGAACGATGGAGTCCGTGGCCAAATAAGGAGAATCCCTTGTTTGACATGAGCGTATCAACAATGACCATTCTCTTTTTAGAGAGATTGTCACTAATGTGTTGTTGATGGTGTTCGAGTAGGTCATTGAGAATGTTGGTTGGAATACCACAAGAAATGATAAGGTCAGAGTGTTTGAGTGCATACTCTAAATTGTCGTGTATGACATTTTGGAATGAACTATCATTTAGGACCTTGGTAAATCCAGTGAGATAAGTAGGTAGACCGAGCAATTTGATTGACAACTTTAAACTATCATTACGTAAAACTTCATCTTCATATTGACCAGAGGTAAGACATTGATCACCTAGTAACAAGAGAGGGTTTTCAGCTTCATAGATGAGATCTAACACTTCTCTAATTTGGTCAGCCTTGGGAGCCTTGACGCAGTCTTTTTGGAAATGATGAAAGACAACTTCAGTGTCTGACGATGGATAGGTAAAGCTGTGTTGGATGTCATTCCAGACACGCTTGAAATACCATTTGGATTGATTCATCATCATGTTGTTCTTTTGAATTTCACCCTCTGGCACGATCATTTCCTGAGAAAACTCCAAATACATTGGACCAAATGGTGATTGCATACAACGGTCGAGTGACTTTTCCAAGGTTGGTGCAATGTCTGTAATAGACTTTACAAATTCACAAGACTTGAATGAATGTAAACTCCAAATGGGGAAATGTTCAGATTGTACAACTGAACCCATCATACCCTTGTCAGTATCCATCAATTCATTAATACCAACGACCAAGAGTGGGAAATTAATAGTTGTATTGGATAATGCCAATAAATCTTGACTTGTTGAAACAAAAATACATCCAACTTGTTCTGTTGCTCTATAAATTCCATCAGCTGCATTTAATGCATTATTAATATTTTTCATCTAAATATAAAAAAAAGAAAAAGAAAAAGAAAAAAAAAAGGAAAATTAGTATATTTGTAATGAATTCTTATTTGTTTTTTTTTTTGATTATTTTTTTTACCTTTATAACTTTAATTCTAAGAGATGAACAACATTCAATGATTGGATCACATTCAGTTTCACTTAATGAAAAAATGTACCTAAATTTAAAAAGAATTATAAGTATTAATATTTATTTCTTTTTATTTTATTTTTATTTTATTTTTTTTATTTAACATACTTGACATGATAATTTGAAAAGACTCTTGAAATAATGTTTGCACCAGATTTTAATTGTTCCCAAGTTAATTTTTCCTTGATCTTTTTACTGTTTACATAATGATTGTACATGTAACCAAGAGCCAAAGGAACAGAGACAGCAGCACCAGCCATAGCCAATGTTCTAGATGTAGAACCTGATGGCAAGATACGTTCAAATGCTTCACTCAACATTTCGTGAAACTTTGTCTTGTCAATATTAACTTGATCCAAATGTCTAATTACTTCTTCAACGTTATCCATTTTCTAAAAAAAATAAAATAAAAATATAAATAATAAATTTAAAAAAAAGAAATAGGTTTTGAATTTATACCAAAATAGTTTATATAGTTGTAGTTTATCGTCATGTCTTGTTTGTGGAGAAATAGGGTTGTGTGTGTGTGTGCGTGTGTTGAAACCAATTCTATTATTATATTGGTAAATCTATATGTACATTTATATATCTATATCAATGACATCGATTAGATTTGTGAGAGAGAGAGATATACTCTTTCATTTTCAACCACACCACACACAATTGTTTTTTTGAATTGAGGATAAATTAGAAACTACTATTGTCTCTGTTGTAGTGGTAAACCTGGTGTGTTCAGTTCAAATAGAACAAGAACATGTGTTCTATTGTGAAGAAAAAAGAGAGTATATATGATTTATAGGACTAGAGAATTAGTGAGAGAAAAATGAAACGAAGACCATCCGGCTCTTAGCCATGTTCCGGACGAAAATATCTTTGAAAAAAATTTTATATTTAAAGGGGCGATTTAATGATCAAAGTCCCCTCATCATTCATTTCATTATATATTCATTCAATACAAATAGAGAGAATGAATAATCAACAAAAAGAACAAGAAAGAATCATTTCAATGATATTTGCAGTATCAGAGAATCATGTAATAGGCAAGGGGAATGATTTACCATGGCATTTACCAAAAGATTTAAAATTCTTTAGAGATACAACCAATGGACACCCAGTCATTATGGGTAGACGTACATTTGAATCGATAGGTTGTAAACCAATGCCAAATAGATATAATATAGTTGTTACTAGTAGATCTGCCGAATCTTTTAAAGATAGTGATGGTCAAACTCTAAGTAACATTCAAGGCAAATTAGCTTTTGTATCATCTATTGAAAATGGTTTACAATTAACAAAAGATATTCAAAAAGTTTTTATTATTGGTGGTAAATATATATAAAAGAAGAAATAGATTAAAAAAAAAGTATTTACTTTGTTTTATTTTTACTTTAGGAACAAAAATATATGAAGATGGATTACAATTTTCAAATGAATTATTAATTACACATGTTCATTCAAATGATGTTCAAGGAGATATATTTTTAAAGATATTTAATAATCAAGAAACATTACAAGATTTAAATGGTAGTCATTGGAATGTATTGACTGAAGAATTCCATTCCAAAGAACATGATCAATTACAACAATTTGATTTTACAATCAAAACTTATAATCGTCGAAATTAAAAAATCTATTTTTTCTTTTATTTTAAATATCATATTATATTACTTTTACTATTACTACATTTTTTTTTTGTTTCTTTTTCTTTCTCTCTCTCTCTTTTTTACTTTTGTAAATTTACAAAATCCAATTCTTCAACTTCTTCTTGAAGATCAATAGATTTTTGGTATTTGTTGATGACTTCTGTCAAGACATCGTGTAGTTGTTTGCCTTCACCATGATGACAAATGATTTTTCTCTTGTTTGGTTCAGATTTGAATTTCAACCATACAATGTCATTGTTTTCAGTGTCGACACTAACCTCTTCAATACCGGCATACGAATTTTCACTCTTGATTCTTTGTTGGTCCAAGTTAAACAGCGAATCAATGGTAAGTTTGAAAATACGATCTTGATGTTTACCTGCACCATTAACTTTGATCACCTTGAATTCATTGACCGATGGATCATGTGAAAGTGATCCTTTACTTTGAGACAGTCTTGCCAATCCCATTTTAAAACCAGCTTCAAAAATATCTTGAATAATATGATCCCTTTCCAATTCTCCATTACAAACATATTTTCTTGTAGATGATGCATCATTTTGATGATGTCCAGAACCTGGACCTGGTACTTTGATTGATAAAAATCCCATTTTTTTGTTCACATTACTACTATTATTATTATTACCAACGAGTAAAGAACCACTTGTAAATTTCATTCCAATTTCAATTGATCCTGCTGCACTTGTAATTTCTTCAATCTCCTCAATTCTCTTTTCATTTTGAATCTTTTTAGAATTTGGATCAATATTTAAAATTGAATTACTTGTAAATTTAATTAATCTAAAAAAATAAAAAATAAAAAGTAAAAAGTAAATATACATTTTTCTTTTGTTTCTATTTCTTTTTTTTGTTTCCTACCTTTCTTGTCTTTTTCCTTTTGAATTAACTTTAACAACTCTATAACTTTTAGTAATATAATCTTTACTAGTTTCTGGAAGAGCAATATTTTCAGTATCGATAAAAGAAGTTAATTGTTTCCAATTGTATACATCATGAATCTTTCTTTTTAATTTACGACTTGTAAATGCTCTCATAAAATTAATTACAGCTCTTGTATATGCTGATGGATGTACAATAAATAATTTATCAATATTCTTTTTATATCTAAAAAATAAATAAATAAATAAAAAATTAAAATGATTAATGATCTTTTGATTATTTTTTTCTTTTTTTTTTGGCTTACTTTCTTGAAAATACTTCAGCCAATTTTGGTAAATGATTAAAGATTGCCTTTTTAAGATCAGATGAAATATGAGCCCAAGACATATCAACAATGAGTGTATAAGAGACATTGACACATGAATCCATAACCTTGAAAATATGGGCAATCAGAGGATTGACATTGTCAAATAGTTCTGCTTTGACACGATTGACAATAAGATAGAAAACAGGTCTATCATGCTTGTCATTTGGACCTTGAAAGAGAAACCGTGCACGTTCAAGTTGGAATGTGAGATCATCAAAACCTCCTGGTCCAAGTTGTTGTTGTTGTTGTTGTGCATGATCAGTTTCTTGTTTTTTCTTTTCAACCTTTGTTTTGGGTGATGGTCCAAGTTCTCTTAATAATTCCAATATACGACCTGCTGCCTTGTTATTGGTTGATACTAATTTCGTCAATATCTTGTCTTTATATAAATCCAATATACGATGGAAATCAAATAAATCTTGAATTTCAAGATTTTTAATATATCCATCCCATGAAAATGATGAAGATGAATTGGATGAAGAGTTTGATGGTAGGACAATTGGTGATGGTGATGTTGCTCTTTTACCAGCTGCCGATGATGAGGAAGAAGAAGAAGGAGATGGAGTTGGAGCCAATGTTGATGGTGTTGTAATAGTCCAACCACCAGATTTACTTGGAGTATTGGCACTACCTGCACCTGTAGTTGAACTACCACCTGATCCCTTTGTTAACATTGCCGATGATGGTGATATAGATCTACTATTGGATGATTTAGAGACTGATGTCCAAGTGGTAGGTGCAGATGCTGTCAATGATACAGGTGATGATGGTGACGATGGTGGTTGACTACCTTCCAAATCACTCCATTTTTGACCACTTGATGACAATGACGATGAAGATGAAGAAGATAAAGATGAAGTATCTTTACAAATCATTTTAAAGTAACTTGTCATTTTCTCTTTGTTTTCAATGATGAATTGATTCATACAAGTCATGTAATCTTCTTTGCCACCAAATTGAACACCATTGGATGTGTTTTGAAGTACCTTGGCTAAAAGGACGAGATTTCTCTTGGCACGAGTCGATGGTACAGTGTCGGAGGAGATCAACTTGCTATACTCTGGTGTGACAATGGCAGGTGAAAAGAAACGGAGCATGATAAACCCACCAATCAGTGGTGCCAAACTCTCTGGTGCATACTTTAGTGCAGACTCTGCAGTATAGTCTGCCACTGCTCTAATCTCTCTTGGCATTTCCTCTACCACTGTTGGATCGGTAATACGGTCAATAAACAATTGTGAAATCTCCATTAGATTTTGTCTATTTTCTTTTAATACTCTTTCAGCATCGAATGGTATAGATGGGCTTGCAGGTGTTTCCTTGTTGTTGGTTGTTGCATTACCACCACTATTCTCTTTTGGACTTGTATTACTACTACTACTACCGCTACCGCTACTAGTCTCTTTGTCATTATCTTGATGATGATGACGATTCTTTTCAACATCTTCCATATAAGACTTTAATTTACGTGGATCTATTTCAAGACACATATTATTATCGTGAACGACTCGTGACACCAAATCCGATAGTACAAAACGTAAATAATTAGCTCCGACCAATCGAACGTATGCACCTTCAATCTTGTTGACAATGTTGTTACCACGTAGAATAGAACCTTCACCTTCAGCACCAGCCTTTGTATCAAACTCTGTATAGATTAGATCTTTGATCAATGGTAATGTCTTTCCTGCAGTTGTATAAATATTGACCACTGTCTTTGCAAATGAATCTACTTCTGCTGAATCTAATAAATTGGCTACTCCTCTTGTAAATCTAGTAGAAAAGATAGATAGATAGATAGATAAATGATAGATAGATAGGATTGGATTGGATTAATAAATCATCATTATCATCATCTGACTTTTTTAACTTTAGACATACTGAGTATCTTTTACACAAGTATCAACCAATTCACCATATAATGATACTGCATTACTCCATGCTGATTTCTTCCAAACAAGAGGTTTACCTCCTCCTGATATAGTTAAATGATCTTCCATATTCTTTATCTCTCTCTATCCTCTCTCTATTTTCTCTTTTCTCTTTTAGTTGTTTGTTGTGTTTGGTGATTGAGAATCAGATACTCTCCTCTTTCTCTCTCTCTCTCTCTTTTTTTTCTCTCTCTCTCTCTCTCTCTTTTTATTTCTATACTACACAAAAAGAGGTAGGTTAAAGTGAAGTGATACTACTATAAATAAAGAATAAAAGAGGTGGGGGTTAAGAGGTATGCCTAGAAGAATCAGATGTTTTTTTAGGCTTCCATCCACACAAAAATATCTTACACTTTTGATGCGGTTCCGATTTTTTTTGATAAACATGTTTTTTTTGTCACAATCGATCACCCAACTTTGTGGGTGTTTCATCAAATAACTGTGTCGTCGGTCACGTTTCATAATGGAATTTTACAACGTCCCATTTTTGATTGGATGTGTTTAAACAACAAACAAATTTGGCAAAGTAGTCAATCAATCCCAACAATGATTGGGCAATCATTTTTAATTAATAATTGTGTTTTTATTTTATACAAAAATATTTAAAGTGTTATTATTATTATTATTATTATTATTATTATTATTATTATTATTATTATTAGTCTTTTTGACATCATCATCATCATTATCATTTGATGGTTATTGTTGTTAATAAATTAAAATATTGGTTAAATTTTAATGATATATCTAAAATTATATCATTCGCTTGGTTTGTTTTGGATTGTGGATTTGTTTTCCACAAATAAATAAAAAAAAAATGGAAATCTATTATTATTATTATTATTATTAAGAGTTGTGTGTTTCAAAACTCTCTCTCTCTCTCTCTTAACTTGATCCACAACATGGTTTTTTAGGAGCTTCACCACCTGTTCCAATTATAGTCTTTTCAACTTCAGTATCTTTCATGCTATACAAATTAAAATAAATAAATAAATTAGTTTCTTTCTTTTCCTTCTTTCTCTTCTTTTCTTTCTCTTCTTTTCTTTCTTTCCATTTCTTTTTTCTTTTTTCTTTTTCCTTACGTTTGTTCAATATGTTGTACAATATGATCGAAAACATTGGTTACACCCATATTCTCTTTTGCGCTAGTTTCAAAGAATTTAATGTTTAATTCTTCGGCCAAAGCCTTTCCTTGTTCAAAGGAGACCTTTCTTTGGGCAGTCATATCGATCTTGTTACCTACGAGAACGATAATCATACCATTTTGGGTGTATTGGTTAATGTCTGCAATCCAATCTCTGCATCTCTCAAACGACTTGACGTCGGTAATGTCGTACACCAAAATGACACCATGTGATCCTCTGTAGAATGTTTGTGTAATCGATCTGAATCGCTCTTGTCCTGCAGTATCCCAGATCTGTAGCTTGACCGTCTGTCCAGTCTCTTTGTTTCTAATAGTCTTTACGTTAAAGTCTACACCCAGTGTAGGTGCAAAATGTGTATTAAATGTATTGTCTGTAAATCTAACGAGAATGCAACTCTTTCCTACTGCAGACTCTCCAACCAAGATGATCTTGTAACATAATGTATCTTCTCTAAAAAAAAGAAAATAATAGGTAACAATGAAAAGGAAGAAGATTAATAGATTGTTACAAGATATAATAATAATCAATCTCTCTTTGAATAACATACTCTGCCATAATGTTAGTTGTGTATTATATTGTTATATTGTAAAAAAAAAGAAAAAGAAAAGAAAAGTAAAAGAAAAAAAAAAGTCTTATCTGTTTGTTATCTGCTCTAATAATAATAATATAAATAATATAAAAGATATCGGGCGTATTATAAATTTAATATATATTATTATATATTATATTAAATTAGTATTATAAAAATGAGTGTTATTATTAACGCAACACTTCGTTGTCTATTGTGATCTCTCTCTCCCTCCTCGATTTGGGGGTTTTTAGAAAAAAAAAAAAAAAAAAAGTATTATATAAATAATTGTGAGAGAAAGATAGTTTGATAAATAGAATATATATGTATTTATAAAATATATATAAATATTTATAAATATTTAAAAGTATAAAATTTTTAAAAACTTAATGTAATGAAATAAATAAGAAAAAAAAAGATAAGTGGAATGACAAGTGATGAGAATCAAATTTCCGTTCGACGAAGTAATTTCAATTCGTCGATTCAATCTTTAAAAAGTTTCCCACCAACCAACCATTCTCCACTAAACCAATTTTCGTCACGATAACTAAAAACAATGAATTATCGTAATGAATCAATCTCCATCATTAATAAATAATAATAATAATAATAATAATCAGTATTAAGTATTATTATTTATTTATTTTAATCAATTAAATTAATGTTTGAGTGCGATGCTAATCTAGTCTTGTATCATGATTCATATGCCAAACTGGATAACGATAAGGATTACATTTTAAAAACCATGGGAGAATGGCCACTTGTTTGTTAAATTGTTGATCCATATCTGATAGTTTTTCAACTCTTAATTCAAAATGTTCAGGTACTTTTAATAATTTCTTTTCCAGTTCATAGATAGTACCATTAATTAAATCTTCAGAGAATACTAATAATTGTTCCATTTTATTAATACCACATTCTGTACATGATAATTTTTTTGCCTAAATAAAAAAATACAAAAAATTAATAATTAATTTGATTTTCTATTTTTTTTTTTACATACAATATTAAAAGGAATATAACCATATCTACTCATATGCATACCACCAAACATGTATTGACCTGAATGACCACGATTTCTATTTGGATAGGTTTTAGAGGATTTAGCTTTTTTGATTGTATGAAAAGTGGGATCACCCAATGTAAATGGATGATTGTCATCAACTGGATAATCAGATCTAAATGCTTGTGTCACTATACCATATGGAAACCAAATGCCAATATCTATAGATGTAGCTGTCTCTTTGAGTTGACAATACTTTAACATATGTATATTTCTTCTCGTTGTCACTTCATCAGTATCTCCAAATCCAATTATATCAGTGTCTTGGTATAGATTTCCTTTTAGTTTATTCCATTCTTGAAATTTATCCCATCTCCTAGACTCTTGATATTTCTCTGCTCCAAATATATTTTCATCACCACTATCTTTGCCAGTAGACTTGGGTGCCAATCTCAATTGATCAGCGTCATCAAGTATAAAATGAATAATTTTGTCTTGAAACCTGATAAATCTATCTTGGTATTTGACTTGCTCCCATATCAATGGTTTCTTTAATCCACCATAATGGGTATGTGCTGATTCAATAATAAAGAAATGGTCCACTATATCATACAATTCGTTTAAATGGATTTCCAAAGTATCAACATCGAATCCAAATTGAATCATATGTCCTACTTTGATTGGAGTGGTCCTCTTTCCATAAAATAAATTAGGATATTCTTTACAATATTGATCGGTAATATTTTCTAGTGGTAAAAGTATTTCTTCAGGTTTGCATGTATGATTGATTGGTTGTAAAGGTGGAGCTATTAAATATGGTAATAATTGATAGAGTAATTTTTGTGAATATCCATCTGTAAGTTTTCTATTTCCAGATTCCACAGATTCTTTATATTCATCCCATGGGAATGATTTCATATCATCTTTAAAATTTTTTAATTCTCTTTGTTCTTTTTGTTGTAATCTAAGTTGTTGTATATGTTTTTCATAAACCTTATTATTATTTTGATTTTGATTAATATTAATCTTTTGATTATTTTGAATATTATTTGAAAAATATAAAGTTAATGTTAAAATAATTAAACAAATAAATATTATTATCTTATTTCTTTGTGCCATTCTTTTTTTAAAACATATTATTATTATTGAATGAATAAATGATGATTAAAAAAAAACATTCAAGTGATCAAAAGGTTTGTTTGTAAATTTACAAAACAAAGGAATAGTTTGTTGAAAAATATGGACAAGGTTATATCATCATTTTCGTCCGACTAGTTTGTTAATCCCTACAAATATTAAAAAAAAAAGATATTTTGTTATTAAAAATTAAAAACAGGTGCCGTTTGAATAAAGTACCTCGGAGAATGGTGTTGGGATGCTGTACAGCCTTTTGACGTCACTTTCGGGGAGGATATTTTTTTTTTAAATTGAATCTGATCGGATTCGAGAATAAAAGGAATTTTCTAATATTATTATTTGTTTTAATGGGGAAATCTACAAAGGTGTATATATTATACTTATACTTATTTATTATTACTATATTATTGTTACTTTTTTACTTTTATATTGTTGGGTTTATATTATTATTATATTATATATTATTATTTTCTTATTATTATTATTATTGTTGAATTGCTTTTGGTTCTAATTGTTGAGATACTTGATAAAGTACTTCATCATCAGCAATGGGGAGAGAATCAAAAGTGGCGAGGACCATTTCTGATTTTTGTTGTTGTTGTGTACAGAGTGGGAAATCGTATGGGATTTGTTGACATTTCTGGATGATGGATATGATATTGTGCATGAGTTTCTTTTTACCCCAGTTGATGAGTCCTTCGATGCTATCGGCATTACCGTCTTCGATAAAGGTCAGATCCTTGAGATAGACACCGAGATAGGGGATGCATGGTGGCACAATGTCCTTGATGATCGTTCTAAATGCTTTGAAACTGCCCTCCATCGACATGATCTTTTCGAGGTCTTCAAGGGTCTGCTTGTGCTTTTTGGGTACTTTGGCCCATGACACACGTAGTCTGAGTACCGAGCTGTTACGAATACCAGCCAAAAAGGCGGTCAGTAGATGGAAGTTGTTGAGTTCGCGCAAATGTTGGGCAATCTTGATGAAACGGCAAATGAGCTTGATACGTGGTTTGAGTTTGTTCTGGTGGAGGATGGCAGTTGATACAGCCATTGACACCTTGTTGAAACGGTCAATCATTTTGAGCAAGTTTGGAGCCTTGTACTGCAATTTTGGTTTGTTCCAAGCTTGGTTCAAAAACTCGACAATCTGGATACGCTTGAATGTCTCATACTCGCGAACGGTTAGTTGTTGTGCGATAAACAGTTCGTCGTCGAGGAAAGAGTTGGCTAGTGACGGGATCTTGGTCGCTAAAGCGGCACGGTGAACCTCGGGCATTGCATAAGCACGCTTGCCCTTGATGGCAGAGTCATACAACTTCTTTAGGTTGGGTACCATATTGCTGTATCCATCTGCATTGAGACGGTCGATAAAGCTGTTGATACGTTCGAGGAAACGTTCTTCCAAACCACCACCTGATGCTGCCTGTGGAGACTGCTGCTCTAGCCAATTCTTGACAAACACAATCACATGCAATTGAATCACCTTTTTCTGCTTTTCTTCACCCTCTGGAACCGTGTATCTCTCGATCAACTTGTCCAAAAGTCCGTCCGAAGTTGTAAATGATTGGTATGTCATTAATAAAATGTTCATTGATTCACGATCCACATCAATGTTGTTGGTTGACAACTCGACGAGCTTGTTAAGTGTAGCAGCACGTATAATCTGACTTTGTGCAGTTGGTGGGATAGTAGATGCGATAGTGGCAGTTGTGGTCGTCGTCGAGATGGATGTGTCACGTGACGAAGCCGGTGCATGGTGCGAAGGTGACTCATCATAAATGATGGTGCTACGGTCATTTGGTTCCTCCCAAATATTGGTCATTACATGATTCTGGAACTCTGAGTTTTGCAACTCGACCTCGTCAGCCAGTACAATGTAGAGACTATTCTTGCTCGTAAAGTTTTGACTATTAAGAGGTTGTTGACGGTTGACAGTTGGTCCATCAAACGTATCAATGTGGAAACGACATTTGCTTTGGTCGATAAAACAGTCCAACCAATTATCCTCAGTTTCCAATGACTCGTTGAGAGGAAGATGTAATGGTATCTGTACAACGACTTGTTTTGGCTTGACTGGTGCTGGGATAGCCATTAAACTAACTACATCTGCCGATGTAGAAACTAATAATGGTGAATCTTGATGAGACATTACTAATCCATTGTCTTGTACACTACTGATTGTAGCAACTGATTTCAATTTATCTTCTAAATTTTCACAAATGGGTGTTCTTTCAATCGAATCTTCACTATCAGATGTAGAGTCTCCTTCATCATCTGCATCGTCAACATCCATAATAGTGGTGGTTGGCATGCCATGTCCATTTCCACTTGCATTCAACTCATCTTCTTCCTTGATTTGTCGTTGTTCTTTTTGTTGTTGGAATAGTGAACAATCGATATGCAAGGTAATGGTTGATGGTCTAACTGCATATCTGAGACACACACGACTGTTGATACGGTAATGATACAATGGTACACCCGACTCTATCCACTCGACTGTTGGCTTTTTGTTGAATCTTCCACCACTGCTGCTTGTATTCATCGTGCCGCTGACAAGATGGTCTTGATTGAGTGTGTCTTGACGGTCGATAAAGATACCATAGTAGTGGAGATTGTGCATGTTGGATGGGTCCATAACCTTTTCCGAGATTTCTGCAAAGATCTTCTCTGTTGGTGACGTGAGATCAAGACGAAGCTGCTCGTAGGTTCCATCGGCAAACTTGAGTTTCACCATCTTTTGACGTAGCTTGAGTTGGACAGTCGACTTTGGATCCTTAAAGATCTCATAGTCGTGCAACTTTTCAAGTGGCTCGAGCCAGTACCCGCCCGTGCCAAAACCAGCCGAGTCGAGGTACAACCCAAAGTCATCCGACTCTAGACAGTAACGACCGATCGCTGGCAGATGCTTTTTGACGATATGGTGGACCAGTCCGGCGCACGTGGTGGTTGGATCCATTGGCTCCTCAATAAAGTGGTTGGATTTGGTGCTGATGGCGCTGTCCATGTCTTTGACCTTTTCAAGTGACATTCTAACCTTCCACGGCACCATCTTTAACGTGTACTGCTTGAACAAGATCAACGAGCGAAGAGGTGCGTTGCTGCCATTGGGTTGGGAGGCATTTTGCTCGAGGATATACTCGTCATCACGCAAGAAGCGACCGTCCAGCGACTGTGTCTTGCTGTCTCCGTCACATACATACAATCCCCATTCTCCAAACTCACGCAGATTCGAATTGGACGAGATGATGGCACGGATGACATCACCAGCCTGTGATTTCTTGGAGATTGGTACAAGTACTTCTCTCATTGTTACATTGTTATTGTTATTGTTGGCAGTAGTGGCAGTAGCAGATGAAGAAGCCAAAGGATTGTCGTCAGAATTGACAGATGTTGTTGACTGGTCTAGTTGGCCACCTGTTACCATGGTCGGTGTACCCGACTCATTGTTACTATTAAAGGTAGATGGATTACAGGCAATCTTGACAACTAATCTACTGTCAAAGATGGGGTCAAATGGATCGGCACCGGTAAAGTTGGGACTGCTTGGCAGAGAGAACCCAATATCTGATCCTCCGCCGCCAGTACCGTCCAATCGTGGCGACAAGCTCGGTACAATGTAATTATCATCTTCCACCATCATACGCTCAAATGCTTGCATCTCGCGTTCTAATGATTTCCAACTCGACGTTTCAATACCATCACCATCGATACGAAGATTCTTGATCGACTTTTGAATACCAATTGACAAAATTTCATTTCTAATATCTACACGAGTTGAAAGTTCCTTACAACCCTTTATCAACTGGTTAATCAAAGACATGCAATTCACCTTTACGTCCAATGTGTATTCCCCATCCAATGGAGAGTGAATGAATCCAAGTGGAGTTTGCAACGGCACCTGATGTTTTTTGGAATAGGTCTTTATCGATTCCAAAACAATCGTTGAACCAATTGTAAATGTTCTACACAATACATCCAAAACTTCCAAAGTTAATTTCTTTACTGATAATGAACTAGATGTTACATGTGGGAATATAATATCAGTCATATCACATAATAATATTGATTGCATTTCAAGCTAAAGAAAAAAATTAAAATATAAATAAAAGATAATTAATAAATTTATCTTTCTTTTTCTCTTTTTGTTTTTTTCCCTTACTTCAATTAATAATTTTAAACAAGATAAACATTCATTAATGACAAGATAATCTTCTTCAACTTTTGGTTCTCTTAAAGAAAAGGATGATATCATTGATAAAATGGCAACTATACCAGAACTTTCTGCAAAATTGACAACCCATGTAACAGGTTTATCAATCAATTGTTGTCTTAATCTACATATATCTTCATAACTAAAAAGTGAATGATTTGATAATACTTTTGAATATCCTCTTGGACTTTTTGGTATTCTTGTTCTAAATAAAATAAATAAAATAAAATTAATAATTGATTTTTGATTTGTTTTTGTTTTGTTTTTAATCTACTTACAAAGAAGGAGGAGGTAAAGATTTTGGTGATTGAGTTTGAGAAGTTGTAATTTTTGGAGGAGAGGATAAAAGGGATTTTAATTCAGTTGTGGTTGGTTGAGTTTGATTCAAGATTCCATTTGAAAGTAGTGAATTGACACAATCTGGTTTTAATCTTTGAAGGAATGACCATTTATCTTCAGTTACTAAATTGACCAATTCCTCTCTTCTCTTTTTAGAATAATCCAAATCATCCAACAATGCTTCAAATATAGATTGGAATGACTTGTAATTGGGTGTTTGAGGTGGTGGTGTAGATGATGTCGATTGTGAAAGTGGAGTTGAAGGAACAAGAGGAGAACTACCAGATACTGATAATGATTTTCTACGCAATGTAAGCATATTGAGAAAAGATGATGATGATCTACTGAGTGCAGGTACTTTGCTGTTGCTATCTGAAAGATTAGTTGGTGGAGTACCAACTCCATTACTACTATTATTTAGACTACCTCCACCATTTTCATAAAGATTACTACCACTTCCTTTTCTAGTTCTATTTAGAGGGGATCCGACAAGTGAAGATGAAGATTGATTGGTTGGTGTTGTTTGCCCATCCATCAACTTGCTATTGGCAAATAATTCACTCAATGTTGAACCACTGCCACCAAGACCATTCATACCATTAATACCATTAGTTGTAATTGTCAAACTTGATCGTGGTGATATAGATGATCTCTTGAGAGTATTATGAAGATGTGATGATAACATCATACTATTTAGTGATGAATTACTTGCACTTGTTGATAATAAAGTGGTAGTTGTACCATTACCATTATTGTTATTTGAAGTTGAATGATGAATATTAATATTATTACTATTATTATTATTATTACTATTATTAATATTATTAATATTTGGATGATTAAAAAAGTTACTACTACTAGTTGAATTATCAGAATCTGAATCACTTTCTGAATCTGATGAAAAATCTGCTAGACGTCCAGCTTGCATGCCATTGTTGTGCATTGCCATTTTAGAGAGTGATGTTTCGCTACCCTTCTTTTTCAGTGTGCCACTCATCATGGAGCCGAGAAAGGGGGAGCTGTTTGCGGGACTTTTAAGGTGTGGTGATGTCGTGTTGGGGCTGCTCAAGCCGTTGAGGAAAGGGTTGGTGAGAGAGTTGATAAGCGAGTTGTTGTAGCTACTGAGGGTGTTGTTGCTGCTGCTGGCCGTGTCTTTTAGGGCGACGCTGAGACTGCTGCCGTTGCTGCTACTCAGGTTGTCCGAATCGTTGTCTTCGTCAATGGCAGCGAGCCAGGCGCTCGACGAGCTGATGCCGACCGAGGTGGTGGTGGCGCCACTCGACGAGACGACGCTGTTGTGTTGGTTGCTGCTACTGCTGCTTGTGCTCGGGTTGAGGTGCTGGATGAGCTGGTTGATGGCGTCGGACTCGATCGAGGCGGCCGAGGCGAGGATCTGGTCGTAGCAGGCGTTGTTGTGGATGGAGAGACGTACGAGGTGCTGGAGAAAGTCAACTTGCAAAAAGGAGGGCAGTTCCTCGAGCGCGTTGTCGTGAAGGGAGAGGAGGTTGAGGTTGTGCAGCTGACGCAGCTGCGCGGGCAGGATGGCGATCTTGTTGAACTCGAGGTTGAGCTTGCGCAGTGCCCGACACTCGCCAATCTCGGTGGGCAGCGTGACGAGCCTGTTCTCCTGCACGTAGAGCTCGGTCAGCGCGGCCAGCTTGCCCACGGACGCCGGCAGATGCGAGAGGGTGTTGTTGTTGAAGCGCAGGGTCGTCAGCGCCGTGCACAGGCCTATGTCCTCGGGCAACACACGCAGCTTGTTGTGCTGCACGTGCAAATTGCGCAGCTGCTTGAGCTGGCCGATCGCATGCGGGATCTGCTTGATATTGTTGCTCGAGACATCGAGGTAGGTGAGAGAATGCAGCGTGGTGATCTCGGCCGGAATCTGCTCGATGGCATTGCCGGCAAATACTATTTTACAGAGCGACTTGAGCTGGCCGATCGTCGCTGGGATCTGCTTGAGCTGGTTGTCGGCAAACGACAGCGACTCGAGCTGCGTCAACTCGCACAGCTGCGCGGGAAAGTTGGAAAATTGGTTGGCGTCCAGCGACAGCTCCTTGAGCGACCCCATAAACAGACGCACGGGGATCGTGCCCAACAGGTTGTATGAAAGGTCGAGCGACCGCAACTGCGACAGCTTGCTGATCGACACTTGGAACCGCGACACTTGGTTGGAGCTGAGCACCAGCTCTTCGAGTGCCTCCAGACGCTCTAAACTAGGTATCTCTGACAGACGGTTGTCCTCTATATGCAGTCTCTTGAGTTGCGACAACTGTTCTATTTCGTTGGGCAGCACCTTGAGACGGCACCCCTTTATCACCAGCGATCGCACCGTCCCCATCTCTTTCAACTGCTTCACTATGAGCGGACCCGCCGACTGTTTGATCTTTTGGTGTTCAATTCTCACCGTCTTTCCATCTTTACTTATTCCTTGTTCTATATATTTTGATACAACTGATTTCATTTTTTCAAGAGGATGATGATGAAGATGAAGATGACTTGACTGTTGGATTTTTTTTTTAAAAACTATATGTGGGTGTTTTTATCAAAGATTAAAAATCCAATGAGGTTGGAAAATAAAAATAAATTAAATAAATAAATTTGGTTGTTGTTGTTGTTGATGGGTTGATGTTGAAGATCTTCCTATTATTATTATTATTACTATAACTAATATTACTATGATAAATTTTTTTTTACCATAAAAAAAAAAAAAAAAAAAAAAAAGATGATGTTGATGTTGAAATTCACTAAACTCTGATTTCCCTATTTTACATCTATCCTATCTTGTATATGTATGTATGTATGTATGTATATATCTATCTATGTATATCTGTTTGTTTTTGCCTGTGTCTATTATATTATATTATCTATCTATCTTTTTATCTATCTATGTTGTGTATATATATATATATGTCGATTGTTTTGTTTGTTTTGTTGTCTTGTCCAAATAATATTATACCAAACAAATATTTGTTCTTCTGTATGATGTTGATGTTGTTGGGTGCTGCTGCTGGTAACTTGTACTGCTAATGTGAATAGTTGTGAACACAACAACAGAGTTGAGAGTTAGTATTATAAATATAAAATGACTAGTCTTATTCTACTAAATAATAATAAATCATGTACATAGACGATGATGATGTTAGTGATAAATATGATGTGTGTTGTGAGTGTGTGTAGATAATAATAATAATCATGTGTGGGTGTGTGTTTGAATGATTGGTGTTGGTGGGAGTGATCGAGTGAGTAAGTCGAGTGATGGATAATCCATGTTGCTTTCAACACAAACACCAACCAACCAAACCAACCAACCCAACCAACCAACTAAACTTGATTTGTCCAAAACAAGATTCTTGAAATATAAAAAAATAAAAATCGTCAAAAATAGGTGCATCCTTCGGTCTAGGGTACACCTCTATCCTTGCATAGAATGGTCACCTCGTCGATTCGTCAACAACAACACAGTTGTGATTAATCTGGCTATAGAGTATATATGTCCCAAACCCACACCACCATCAAAGTGGAGAGGGTACTCCATAGAGTAAGTGAGTGAGTTCGTACGTATTATTATTATATTTTTTAGTGGGTGGTTGGTATTGGGTTTTTGAAAGTAAATATTTTACTTTCTTCTTCTTCCTCTTTACTTGATTATTATTATTGTTGTTGTTAACATGTACACTTGTTACTTGATTATATAATATAAATGTATGTATGTATATATGTATGTATGTATGAATACATTAAAGGGGTGTATAGATTAACATAATTACTTGACTCGATATTCTCTCTTGTCTTGTTTTACTATTTAGATTGATTGATAGGTCTATCCATGTAGATAGATAGATACTAATGTTGACGATTTCGTAAAGTAACTTTTTAAATATGACACTACTCTGTAGGATGGATGATACTTTTTTTTTTCTTCCTCTTCTTGAAAGATGAAGTTTAAAAGTTTATGTTGACCCTACCCTTTTACTGCTGTTGCTAGCTACTATTCCAAAATAATTACAGATGGATGATGTTTAAATAATAATTGGGTGGAGGTGGGTTGGTGGAAAGAGTATGGATGATTTAAATTAAATCTCTTACCTGTAATATTGTTAAATCAAGCCAAAAAAATTATTATTGTCAAGTTTGTTCTTGGTTGGAGTTTTTGTTGTTGTTGCTATAAGTGTGCGGATGGAAAGATTATAATTAATATTGATCCTTGTTTTTGGAAAAATTACTTTAAAGAGTTGTGGTATAAACAAGCAAACAAACAACACAAATGCAACGCACAAACAGTTGTGAGAGGGAGGACAAAAAACAGGAAATGATGTTGATCAAAGAAGGTAGGTATCGATCTATTGATTTCTTATAGTGTGATATTTAAATATTTTAATTTGGATCCTATATGGGATTTCGTGTCACAATAGTTGATTGATTGATAATGATGATGATGATGATGATGATGATGATGATGATGATGATGTATATGTGAGGATGAAGATGAGAGTGGTAAAAAAAGGAAACAAGAGGATATCTTTTGTATAAAGATGAGATATCGACGGATGGATTGATGGATGGATGCAAGGATGTATGTACTCTTCCTTTCTCTCTCTCTATTTTTAAAAGTAATAACAATACTACTACTCTTGAAGGGTGGTCAATTGTTGACTGATTGGATGTTTGGATTCCAAGGAGTAGCGAAATTGGTAGGTAGGTGTTGGAATGATATATAAAATTTTAAATAGGTACTACTAAAGTTTGATGGGAGTAACAATGATCAAATGAAATTGGAACGGAATAAATCAAGAAGAAGAAGAAGAAATGTGATGAGTGGAAAAGTAGCACATTGCAAGTGATTGGTAGAGAGAACAACACGCATTGTGTGATCAATGACACCAATACTCTGGTCCACCAAATTTAAACTCCAACCACATTGCTATTGTTTGGCGTTTGAGATTAGGATAAACAATGCATCCAACCCTTAACCCCCACCGCCACAAAAGACGTTTCAATATACCATGCTATAGTGACTCTCTATGGGTTCTGAAATGAGTTTTGTTAAAGATCTCGATGACTTCATCGTTCACCCATCACACACACACACACATCTACCGAACCATGGTCAATGGTCGGTCAAATATTTCACACCATTACCACCCCACACAACAATAGTGATATTGTGAAAATGAAACGGTTAGACTGGGTGATGGTGATGATGACTTTGGCAATAGTGATGAACAACTATAAGTGTAGTATCCATCGTTGCACTACTCTTTTGTTTGTTCTGTTTTTTTTTTTGAGTAGGAGAAATAAACAATGTGGTTTGGATTGTACTAACAATTGTGTTGTAAATGTTATTATTATTATTATTATTCATTCTAATTATTGTGTGTTATTTAAAAGAACGACGATTGAATATGTGAAGCACAACAAATATGTATATAAATGTGTTATTTTAAAATAGATAATCCTACTACTACTACTACTACTACTACTCTCCTTCTCTTTCTCTATTACCAAACCACTCTATGCTGGCTGTCTGCTTTTAGATTAGTTAAGGTTGTTGTACCGTCGTTTAAACTATGTTCTGCATTTATAATGACCATTCGCTCATCATTATCATCATGGACTGTATGGTGGTATTAGAGTCATCATCATCATCATCATATGATGTTGTTTCTAATATTCTCGATCGAGTTTGGAAAATCCAAATTTAAAACATTTATATATGGACGGAACCGCCCTAAATTTGAACGCATGCGTGCACGACGATGAGAAGTATAGAAATGCACGACCGCCAAAATCTGAATGCTATACCCTATTGCTATGCTATGAAATATTTCTAAACTGCAATCTGCTTTTGTAACTGTGATCATCAGTTGATGATTGAAAAAGGATTCCTTTTGACGAAAACAAAAAAATGATTGTTGTTGGGGTAATTTGTGGGGAGAATCTGTGTGATGACGCTCTGTCCTGTTCAGTCGACTTTGCACGATGATTGCCCCAAAACAAAACGTGTTCACTACATTTCATTGCATTGCTAGAGTGATGTATTGAGTCTACCTACAAACTGCTACTACTACTACTACTACTACTACTACTACTACTACTACTACTACTACTTGTACCAATGAATGTTGATTTCTTTACCTACCGTAGATTAATCTTTCTTATAGAAAGAAAAGTGTAAAAAACGAGATCTAAGATTTCAAATAGGGTCCACAACAACTTGTTTGAAAAACTAATTAGTTTTCTTTCTTTGGTTTGTTGCAGCTGATTTTTAAAAAGAATTCTTTCAATGAAATGGGGTCGCTGCGCAATATTGTGACGATGATGGTGGTCAATATTGAAAGATAAGATTAGTCTATGATCGATTGCTTTCTCCTAATGAATGTCATGTCGACTATTTCAGTGATCAGCTGATGTTGAATATATTTACTTATTGACTCTTGGTTACTAAATTTACAGGGTATATTATATTACTCTCTCTTTTCGATCATCAAACAAATATGATTTAAATGGTGATCGTGCTAGCAGGTAGTACTTCTTTTTTAAAAAAGGTAAAGGTTGGTTTGTCTCCAACGTTATTATAATTATTACTACTACTACTATTATTATTCCTCTTCTTATTATAACCTTGCAAGTTGGTTGGGAGAGTTGAAGATGATCGTGTGTGTTGGTTGGGTTGTGTTGTGTTGCGTTTTGTCTGTTGAGGTGTGTGGATGGTTTTGGTGGATGGCCGACTCTTTTGATCTAGTGATGAACACACACGTGATGTAGTCTTTTTTGTCCTTTCTTTGATTACTCCTACTACTATTATTACAATGATTCTGTGAATGATTCTCTCTCTAGGCTTGATGGGAGAACATAATAAATAAATAAATAAACGTGATAATTGATTCTTCTCTTTTTCTATTACAACTAACTAGTTATTCAATAATACAAAGTGACACGAGTAAACATAAACAATCATGGTGATGGAAGTGCCTTTATCAGTTCAATTCAATAAATTGATGACAAGCAAGAAGATTGCACAGACAGCGCTGTCCTCCACCACTATTTTAGTTTTTAGTGAAAAAAAGCTATTGGGGCTGCCATCCTTTCGAGATTGAGCAATCTCCTTTTTCTATGTCGCAACAGATTTGTTTCAAAACCGCTGATGATCGCATCTCATTCGACTCTGGCCTAAGTAAAGATTGACTGTGGGAAACCTCACCTTTGTTCAATTTGATTTAATTCTCAAATATCAAGCAATAAACAAATTAAGTAAGTATGAATCAGCTGACAGTCAAGATTTACTTTAGTATCTATCAAATAAAGATAACTGAATAGTATAATTGAATAACTTAATTTAATTCTGTATGTTTAGATTTAAAAGATCTATAGAATGGGGCCGACCGTTGAATTGATGGAATTGGAACCCTTGTGTTTTTTGAAGTAATCACGCGAGGAGATCCGAGTTTTTTCAAAAGTTAAAAATAGATGCCCCTGTTTCGTTGACCAATGAATGAATGATCAGATAATCAGTGCCACATACACAATCGGATTCTCATCCTGTTGGTTTAAAGAACCAAGAGCCAATGGATTGTTAGTTTTGTTACAGTTTTAAAAAGGTCGACCTGATTGATTTCTTCAATCAATCAGGGGAACGGGTAAAGAGAACCTTTATTACAAATAAAAATGTGAGTGATAGGAGGTAGTGATAATAATAATTTTAAGATATTATTTGATTCAAATATAACATAGCAGTAGTAGTTCTTTGCAAATTATTATTACCAAAAAAATAAATTTTTCACACAATATTTTGTTGTAAGAAAGATAAATATATAATATAATTAAATTAAATAATAAATAAGAATTATTAATATAGATAGATAGATATAAAGAGATAGATAGAAATGTGTATGGATTATTTAAATAAAAAATGAAAAAGCCTGGAGAAAAGAAAATAAATAATTCCTTATCTCTTTTCCTTGTGAAGTTTGTCCAAAGCATAATAGGCAGCAATAAACAATACAACAGTCCACTATATATAGATTATAAAAAAAAGGGGTTAGTTCAAATGTAAAATATATATATATATATATATATTATTATTATTATTATTAATATTTACCATAACAACAACACCAAAAGCATTTCCACGAGTCCAATGATCAAGACCATAATATTTGAGGACATCATTTCCATTTGGGAAAAGACAAGGAGTACCATCGGTTGGACAAATCAATTCTCTATCTTCAAATTCATTGACCATGACAGATGCAAAACCATAGTACAATGGATTCAAGTAGTGTAACCAACCAAAACTGACTGGTAATTGTTGGACTGGTACAAAGAAACCGGCAAACAATTGGTAGATGACGCTGAGACCTGAACCAATGGCAAATGTGTGGTCAGAGGTACCGGTGGTGTTGGTGATCCAAATGATACAAAGATCAGAGAGAATGTGAACAAAGAGGTAGACCATCATGGCAAAGAAGAATCGACCGACATCAGCTCTAAGATTGGCGATACCATAGGTGATACCACCAAGGGCAATAGCAACGACAAAGACAACGATGAATTCAACAAGCATCATGGCAATAAAGTATGGGAATGGATGGTAGATCTTGGCAGCACGTTCAGCATTAAAGAGAGCTCTTCCTGAAAGGAATAAAGAGATGGATGTGAATGGAGTGAGATTGAGACCACTGATTAAAAAGAAAATAACACCAATAATCTTTTGAATGTCGTTTTGTGAAGTGGTAAGACCACCAAAACAAGCACCAAACAACAAACCAACGACCACTGCCGTAATGGAACGAGCACCAAAATTACCTGGATTTCTCCAGAAATCCTTGTAGGATCGGTGCAGTAGGATCTTGAACTGATAGGAAAACGATGGTTTCTTTCTCTTTTTGGTGATGTGGTCGGGGGTGGTCGTGTTGGCAATCACCTCTGATTCCCAGTGTTGCAACCACTTGTCACAGATTTCAAGGTAGCGAGAACTTTCACCGATGGCTACGGCAGAGTCGAGACAGAAATCGGCTGGATTGACATGGGCGGGACACGAGTACCCGAGGCCGTCAAAGTAGTCGAGGATATTGGTGCCGGCATAGATCATGCGACCCTTGACAACCACCATAATCTTTTTAAAGAGACTAAAGATTTCAGTACGTGGTTGATGGATCGAAGCAATGACAGTGACACCCTTTTTGGTGAGACTGGTCAGAGTGTTCATGACGACGAGTGCTGCGACCGAATCTAACCCACTAGTTGGTTCATCGAGGAAAATGATGTTTGGGTTGGTCACCAAACCACAACCAATCGATACACGACGCTTTTCACCACCAGACAAACCACGCAACATAATGCCACCTGGAAGCATACCACCTACCTTGGACTTGGCCTTGGCAGATAGACCAATGTCTTGGAGTACCTCTGCAACACGACGATCCTTTTCCTCACCACTGAAACCAGATAGACGAAGGTCCGCATAGAATCTAAGGGTCTCTTCGACGGTGGATGTTGGCAGCAAAATGTCCTCTTGTGTGACATAGGAGCAATAGTTTTTGTAGGCATCACCAACTTCACGTCCGTTGACCAATAATTGTCCGGTAATGGTACCAGTACTCTTTCTCTTGGCCAGAATATCCATCAGCGTACTCTTACCACTTCCAGATGGACCCATTATAGCAACGATTTCACCAGGTTCAACAACACCACTAACACCATGAAGAATGGTTATTTCCTTTTCCAATGGTGGTTTTGGTTTTCCAGTGTTGGTCTCTTCATCCTCTTCTTGACCATCCTTTGATTTAAATATTTTGTTCCACATACTATTTTCCTTGCCATATAATTTATTTGGAACACGATAAACTATATTTCTAAATGATAGTTGTACTCCATTTCCATTATTACTGTTACTATTATTACTATTTCCCAATTCAATATCGGTACTATGATTATTTGGTTGTTCTAATTCGATATTCATTTCTATATAGAAAAAGTATTAAAAAAATATATATATATATTATTAATTAATTAATTTCAAAAAGTCATATGACAGACATGTGTAATTATATTTATATAAAATATTTTAGCGATGATAGTAATTATGATGTAAGCAACAAACAAAATTAAAAAGTATACTTTTGTTGATGGACCTGGTCAATGGCCTCTCATTGTTTTTACGTAAAAATGTGTGGGTTATAATTATAACTATTTTTTTTCATCGAGATTATAGCCACAACGTTTTATGGGGCTTTGCAAATGTGGAGGGTGGTCTTCTGTGTGATTACATGATAGATGCGACTTACTTTTTCAATTGAATAAAGGGTAGAGGGTTGTTTAATTTAGTTATAAATATACACAGAACAAGTAATGAAATGATTGATTGTTGTTCTCTTTTAGATACAAATAGAAAGTTTAATTTTACTTAAACTTATTTATAACTAAAAGAGTAGTACTTGAAGGTATATTTATAGTTGGGTAGGGTGAGATGTACTAATGATGATGAAATGAGAGTGCGCGTTTTACTTTAAACGATGTGGGCTCAGCTGACGTTTTCAAAATAATAATTGCGGTTATAGGGTGTCATAAAAATCGATTGGAACATTTGAAGTATAAGAGGAAGAGCAGACGTCTTGTCCTTTTTAGACATGCCATGATGTGTTAAACGCGGTGGGAAGCGATCATCTTTGCACGTGATATATATTAGACCAAAAGAAATCGTGGTAGATAACAATTTACCAAACCCGTTGCATGGTCGGCCAGCTCTTCCTCTTAAGCATCAAAGGTTCCTTGATGCCACCCTTATTATGACTCATTAGGGGGTAGGGGGTACATATTCCCTAGAACTGTAACCCTCCAATGGTGATGCATACTATGATCAATAAAATGAAAGAGAGGATGGTATCACTGCAGACCTACCCTAGTTTCAATTATTTTAATATTTAATTATTTAATTTAATTTATTTATACAAGGATACACATAATTATTACTTTTTTTATATTATTATATTATAGATTATTTGTTTGTTTGATAAGATTGTTTTCTTGAAGTTAATAAACGTTTTCTTTCTTGATTTAATTCCTTTTCCAAACGAAGAATCTTCATTTGTTGTTCCAATTCCTTGATCTTTGAACCGGTAAAGTTAAAGATTTCTTGTTCTTGTTCCTCTTCTTCTTCTTGGAGGGCGGTGGCTTGTTTGGCAGCCTCGAATAATTTTGAAATGGCAGAAGTGACAGCCTTGGCAGCGGCCATGAGTGTTTGGTGGGCTTGCTTGCTAGCTTGGTCATCACCAGATTTGGCACGGGAAGCAGAGACGAGACGGGCGGTAGAGGCAGCAACCTCTCTGGCAGTGGCGATCAATTCCTCCTCTTCGGCCTTTCCTTGTGTTGATTTAATGGCAGCGTTGATCATCATTTGGACAGCTCCACCAACCGACTTGGCAGCAGAGATTAATCCATTCGACCAAGTTGGATCTTGTTTGTAGTGAGACCCAAGACGTTGTTGTTCTTGACGACGTTTACCTTGTGAGACGGCAGCCATTTGAACGAGCTTGGCAACGGCAACGGCAATGCTACTAGAAGCATCAACAATGATACCGGCGACATCAGTAGCGTCCAATGGGACACCAGCGGCCTTTTTAGTGGTCGATGGACGACTAGCAACCAATTGCTTGGTGGCATCTTCGATAGCCTTGGTCAAGGCATTGAGTTCATTCTCGGCACTGAGTTCGAGGTCCTCTTCGACCTGGTCGTCCTCCAATACAATGTCTTCACCACCTGGGATGGTCTTGGCCGATCGCATCAACGTACGGACATTGTCTGAAACCAGTCTACTTGTCTCTGAGACCATTTTGGCTCCGTTGGCGTGACCTTCTTTATCTTGCTCTCTGACATTGGTAATGAGGTCGAGAATACTGAGGTTGAGTTGTTTGACGCCGTCAGTGAGGGCGGCCTTGTCGTCCTCCTTGTCGAGGAGCTGTGTGGCACCCTTGCTGTTGGAGATGAGCGATTGCACGGCCGTGACAAGTGCTTGCGACGACTTGACGAGGTCGTCTTGGGTCATTTGGTACGAAGTGACAATTTCAATTGACGACTTGGCAACCTCACGGATACAAGTGACGACTTGCTCGGCCGATGTCTTGTGGTTGGTAATGACAGTGTCGGGTCTCTCAACAAACGAGTTGATGACAAGATGAGCCTTTTCAAGTTCCTTGAGTCCCTTTCCAGCTTCACTAATGGCAAAGTAAATGCTTGATATGAATTGACCAACTGCTTCAGCTACACCTTCAGCAGCCTTTCCAAGAGATCTAAAGGCAGTACTATCCTTTTTGAAACGTTGTGCGTCTTTTCCAGCCAACACTAGTTGTTGAGATGAGATGGACAATGCTTTGCTGGCAGACAAAATGTCTTGTTGTGAGGCAGTATCGCTGAGGATACTGGCAATCTCCTTGGCACCCATAGCGAGGTGACTGACCATCTCGGCAAATTTGGTGGTGGCAGAACCGAGGTGTTCTTGGCTACCCTTGCTCGAACCGACCAACTGTGACCCACTGACAATGAGTAATTTGGCACCAGTGACAATATCCTTTTGGAGTGATTTGAGTCTGTTTTGTTTGGCTTGGGATGTGTTGCCTGATGCGGCGGTTGACTCGAGTTGACCGGCGGCAGCAAAGAGAGAGGATGCGTCAATATCACGAATAATCTTTTTAATCGATTCAACGGCAGCGTCACTTTGGATTTCACCAATAGCACCTTGTTTGATGGCTTGGAGGAAACGAGTGATACCGTCCGATGCACTCTTGAATGCTTCGCCGTGTGTGACAGATGATTGTGTTCTGCCTTCAGACAACTGCTTGGAAATCTCTACAATAGTCGAGGTGGATGCAATGACTTGCTTGGCATTGGTGAGGATAGCGTCCTTGATCTTTTGGTCGCCGCTAGTACCGACAACATGTACAACGTTGCCCGAGATGGATCCAACCAATGATGCAATATCCTTGCATACTGTAGAGATTTGGACAAGGTTGCTTTGATCGGTGGCAATGAGACCCTTGAGTGATATGGCCAGATCCTTGGTCGATGTGGTAATATCATCCTTGTAGTCTTGGTAGTTCTTTTGGTCTTGTTGTTGTTTGGGTGCGGGGTGGTCTTTGGCAAGATTGGCCAATGAGTGTTTGATACTTTCAAGTACTTCATCGAGATCACGGTGCAAGTTGACACCTGATGAAATCTGGGCGACGAGACGGTTCATTGCGTCGGATGCATCGGCACAACGTGTGAGAATCGTTTGGTATGTCTCTTTGCCGGGTGCGGTACTAGCGCCAAGTGAAGCTTGACACAACTTGAGTAAACTGTCTCCGAGCGACTTGCTTTCATTGACTAACTTGCTCTGCGAGTCTTGTTGCTCCTCGGTGAGTGTTGAGAGACTGGTACGGGTAGCTTGGACGAGTGTAGGGGTGGTAAAGGCAAGTGCACGGGCAGTGATACCAATCTGCTCGGGTGATTGACGGGATGCCTTGCCGAGCTCGTTGATACCACGACCAATCGACTTTACAATATCGACCATTGACTCTTGTGCAGCAACATGCGACACACCTTGGTTGTTGTCAAAGGTCTGACCGACGGCCACAGACAATGCCATGGTTGACAAGTCACCAATCGACTTTTGAACAACATCGATAGCTTCCTCGCACAACAATACACCTGGCATCATACCAGCACCAACCTTGAGCACATCCTTGATGGCGGTCGACATGCTAATGGCAGCGTCGTTGACACGTGACTGCACCTCGCTTTCCTTGGGCTTCATGTTGGCTTCGCTGGCCGAATGAATGACATTGAGTGTTGTCGAAGAGACTGCACGACATGCTTGCAAGAGACGGGCAAAGTCCTTGGCGCCGCCAGATCCCCTGCTGCTCGAGCACATCAACAACGATGATGTCGACTCTTCCAACTCTCTAATTGACTGATCGAGGATCTCTTGTCCGTTGGGTTCCTTGGACGTGACAGCCTTGACACCACGTGCAAGATTAGAGGTGGCGTGTGCGAGTGTTTGGGTAGTTTGAACCATCTCGCTGCGACCCGACTCTTCGTCCTCACCTTGTTCCTTCATACGGTCCTTGGTGACTGCAAAGATCTGGGTGGTGGCTGTAGCAATAGTACGTGCAGCTTGGATAACTTGTGGTAGACCTTCAGCTGATCCAGCCGACGAAGCACGGATAAGTGCGGCCGAATCAAGGATCTGTTTGCTTGGAATAAGAATATCGGGTGCGGCAGATGACATGGTGGTACGCAAGACAGATCTTGTCGAGTTGACAATATCCTTGATGATATGAGCTGCCTTCATCGCGCTACCCATCAATGCCTCAGAGTTACCCATCACACGGGCACTCGAGACAATATCACCACTGCATCGACCGAGATCTTTGGCCGACGAGGTGAGTGCAATAAGAGATTGTTGGTGAGCCATTTCAAACACACCACCTCCAAGTACAATACCCTCACCAACCTCTGGCATAATGAGTGTGTCGAGTAGACGTGTTGCTTCGATAATCACATCAATCGACTCGTCGCAGACACTCATACCGCCACCACCAAGTGCACGGTTGAGCTTGTTGGAAGTGTCTTCGACAAGCTTTGCACATTGCAATAGTTGTTGATCATAAACTGGATCTTTAGAGTTGGCTACACGAGCCTTGGCATAGTCCAAGAGAGTGACCAACTGATGACACAACTGTCCAGTATTGGAGATGAGCGAGCTTTGTGTTTGTTCGGTACAGTCGCCGCATTGAACGACCTTGTTGGCACAGTTGACCATCGACTGGACCGTCGATGAGGTGATCTTGCTGCTTGCACCAAGACCCTTGAGATTCTTGGATCTTGCCATGGCAATGATCTGGAGGACAGAGGCATTGAGTGCCTTGCTGACAGACGACAACTCTTCTTGGTACTCTCCAATTGACTCGTTACTCGATCCGTGGTGAGCGGCGCTGCTGAGCTTGGTGAGGAGGTTGCCGATATCAACCGACGCCTCATCCAACTCCTTGCAATCAATATGCGAGCTAGCAGCAACTAAACTGGCGACAGTCGAGCCGACATCCTCGCTGGCAGCATCCAACAATAGCTCGGCGGCAGGGTCACCTGGATTGGTCGCAATCGAGCGACTGGCACGCACCAACTGCTGCATGTCAATGGTCAGTTGCTTGACAGTGGCGAGCAGCTTCTTTTGTGGTGCCTTTCCAACGGTCGTTGAGATCAATGCACGTCCAGCCATGGCGACTTGGTTGGCAGTCGACGTACTGGCCTTGACGAGGTCTGCGAGACGAGCAGGGTTGGTGCGGATCTCGGTGGTCAGCTCGGCATTGACGCGGTTCAGGTCTTTGATGGCAATCATCAGCATTTCAGTGCTGTTCTCGCGTGTCTGGCCTGGAATGGTCTCGACAAAGCCACCTTGGATGGCAATCTCGAGTGTCTCGAGCTCCGAGATGGTCGAGTCAAATGCCTCGAGCGACTCTTCAATTTCGGCGTGTCCGCAGATCTTTTTGTAGGTCTCGCACGTCTTCATGAGACGCTGGACGGCCTGCGATGCAGCGTCGGATGCGTACACGAGCGTCTGCTTTTGGTTGGCGTCGCCAATCTTGGGTGCAAGACGCTTGCTGGTCGACACGAGGTTCATGGGTGGGAGCGACTGCTTTTGCGAGAGTTCGAGGAGCTCGAGCTGCATCTTTTCCGACTTGGGGTCGGCGCCGACACGCTTGATACCGACCATGAGCTTGGCGAGTGCGTCGCTGACCTCCTTGGAGGCCTTGTTGAGCGACATGCTGTTGGCGTCGGGCAAGTGAGAGGACGATGCTCTAGCAGCACCCATCAACGCCGACACGTAGCTGATCATGTCTTTGGAGCAGTCACGCAATGCCACGATACTGGCAATCTTGCCGGCATCGACCGACATGCTCTGTGTGAGCGACTGCAAGTGGCCAGCCGTCTCAATGACGTTGGCATACGCCGTCTTGTCGTCGGGGTTCTTGATATGATGCTTGCACGACGAGGACAGGTGTGCCACCGACTCGAATACAGCACGTGTGCTACTATACAAACGTTGCTGAGTGGCCATATCGCTACGTGCGGCAACTGCCTTGGTGCACGAGATGAGACGGTTCGAGTTGGCAGCAATCACTCTAAACGACTCGAGAATCGACTCTGGCGTGTTGCCAAGATTGTTTCTCAACACCATAATCGAGTTGGTGAGGTCGTTGGAGAGACCCGTAAACTCCTCGGTCAAAGCATCGCTCGACAAGTTGAGAATCTCGTCGGCACCGCTTCCGCTGGCCGTGTTGACTGGTCGGCCCTCTACGCAGTCGAGTGCGTATGAAACGAGGCCGAGCGAGTCTTGAACATCCTGGAGACGGCTGCCGAGCAGGTCAATGTCGCCTTGTTGCAGGTTGGACGACTTGAACGACGTCATGAGGTGCGACGCCTTGTCCGAGAGATGCGAACAGAGTGTTTCGATGAGCTTGCGTGTCTCGGGATGGCCAGCAGTGGTGTTGACGTTTTCAGTGACGGTGAGGAGCTGCTCGCCGGCCATTGTGATGCCCGTGAGCGTGTTGGACAGCTGTTGGTGGAGCAACTCGTCGTCGACCATGAGACACTTGTCGCCGCCAATACCGACCAACAAGTTGGAGCTGTTGACAACGCTCTTGACGCACTCTAATACCATGTGTGCCGAGCTCTCTGTGACAAACATATTGTCGACGGCGGCCATCATCATGACGGCGAGTGCGTTGGTGGCGTGAACTTGAGCACGGGCAATCGCGTCGTCGGCCAACACACTGTCGCCCATCGTTGAAGCAGTCGTCAACAGCTTGCTCATCGACTCGGACAGTCTTGTGGCAATGGCAATAATCTCGTCTGAGAAGCTAGCCAACTCTGGCACAAACGCAGCGTTCTTTGCGCAACTACCGACGGTCGACAACTCGGCCATGATCACTTGCGAACGTCTGATCATCTGTTGGTGGGTGACCGACATACCACCGGCTGCAGCAGTCGTCATGTCGTGTAGCAGCTGGCTGGCAGCGGCCGATATAGCATTGCTGTGCGATATCAACTGATGCTTGTACTGCTGTGGTGTAAGTGTCGTAAACGAACGAGTAAAGGCAGTTGGCACAATACCAGTTTGCGAAACACCCTTGAATCCATTCAACTCATTGATGAGCATGTCAGTGGCACGCAAGGCGCTCTTGAGATCGGTAATGGGGATTTGCTGGGATGGCGACAGGTGATTGGGCTGGTTTCCAGCACCCGGAGTGTATCCGTAGCTCTGAGTAGTCGACGCATTGCCACGCTTGATCGCGACGGTCTCTTCGACAGCCATACCCGTCTCGTTCGAGTCGACCACCTTGTTGGGATCACGTCTCGACTTCATGATAATATCAATGTACCCACTGATCAACGTAGACACCTCTTCTGGATGGTTCATCACCAACACCAAATACTCTTGTTCATGGTCACCAAAATCAAAAGTAAATGATTTCTCTGTCGATGCCCATCTTCTAATATGTTTCAACGGGTGATTCTTTATCACCTCTTTAGTATCATCTTGAATTAAAATCATATTCTCTCTTGTAATACCTAATGTCATATCTAACATTTTCTTTCCAATTCTAAACTACAATAAATAAATCAAAAAATAAATCAAATAATTAATAAATAAATAATATTTCCAAAACTTTAATTAATTTAATGTTTATACTTACTTTACACTGGAAACTAGTCATACCATATGTTTTCAAAGATCTACATAATTGAACGTATCTGTATTTAGCATTGACTTCAGTCATCGATACCAACTTTCTATGTTCTTTGTAAATATCCTTTTCAGCTGATTTATTCTTTACCCATTGTAATGGTAAATATTCCTTTAAACTAAATCGAATCAAAATACAATATTAATATTAATATCTATATTTATATATTTATATAATTACTTTAAGAAACCAGGAATATGTTTTTGAGGAGCATGATCACCAAGTGCAACTTGACATTGAATGGCAGCCAATTGAACTGATTCTTCACGTTGAGTTGGGTATTTACCTTCAATGATAGCATCACGACATTGAACAAATAAAAGATGTAATTGAACGGGATCATTACGATCGATATTGGCATCATTGAAAAAGAATTTCTTTTTAAATACTAAAATGTCGGTTTCAACAACACCTTGTTCCGATAGTGTTTGAGTGGACTTTAACCATTCGACTGGTACATCGGCCTCTTTGCCTTCCTTTTGTTGTTTCTTTAGTTCCTTTTCATCTAGGACGGGTGCTTCTTTGAGCAACGAGTATTCTTCTGGGTTCTTGATACCCATCTTTTTGGCAATCGAAGCTACGATTTCAGTGACCGTAGTAGAGTCGTCGATCAACTGTGTCTTGATGGTTTCATCCAACAGTTTGATCTTTTGAGGTCTGTGTTTCTTCTTGTAGTCCAATACAGACTCGAGTGAGAGATCGTAGAATGACAATGACTTGTCCATTGCCAACCAACGACTGACTATTTTACCTTCGACACCTGCTTGAAACAGACCATGATCTTCTCCTCCCTCGCCAACCTTGTCTTTGATTTGTAGGCATGCCTCGTGAACTGACATCTCTGGTGAGAATCTCATAGTCTTGACGGTATTACTACCAACTATATTGATTTTTAATGATAATGACATCTCTAAATTATTCTTCTTCTTATATTATTATTATTATGATTATTCTTTTAATAATATTTATATATATGATAGATAGTAGATGACGACGATATGATAATGATACAAAAAAAATATTAAAATACAATGATATATATATATAAATTACTGATAGAGTATGTATAGTATACTGCTGATCAGTTGACTATTTTAAAAAAGAAAGAAGTTATCTATCTATCTATCTAATCAAATCTATATAGCTAGATATCGATATTAAACAAGTATCGTATGTAGTGTTGATACTTTCTTTCTTTCTATCTGCTATCTGATTAAACAACAGTGAATTGAGTTTTGTTTGATTGATTTATGAGGTTTGTTGTTTGTGTGTGCGGTTGTGGTGTGTGTGTGAGTTGTGTGAAATGAGGTGATGGGCAAAGATAAGATAATTATCTATTTCTGTCTGTCTCCTCTTTTTTGCCTGTATGTAATGAGTGTATAATATAAAATGACTATGAGACCTGATCAATGAAGTGTAGAGTATGACAGTAGGCAGGTGGAGAAGAGAAAGACGGTTAGATGTGATTCAGCCGGGATGTCTGACAACTAAAAAACTCGATTCCGATCGATTCAAGATTCATTGGGGTATTTTATTGATTATTATTTTTTTTCTTTTCATTGGGGTAAAACACGACTCCTCCAATGAAAGAGATAATATTAATACCAAAGCTAATTTTAATTAATTGAGAGATATATTGTGTATACGTTAACTTCGTATTGTTCACGATCTACCTTTATTAATATATTATATTATATTATATTATATTATATTATATTATATTATATTATATTATATTATATTATATTATATTATATTATTATATAAATATATCTTGGGTTTGATTAGATACCTCAAGTTCTTGTAATTTCAGAAAGATTTCCATTTTTGTACAGGATTCTAGGTCGGTACCTTTTAAGCACCTATGACTCGGTCGATCAAAGTAAAATTGGGTTCATAGTAGATAGAGATACAAACATACACATATAGATAATAGTATAACTAGAGGATGGAAGAACCAACAGGTCAATTTATAGCTGATGTTATCAACGACCAAGATCAAGATGATTTATTTAAAACTCTGCAAAAGAATACTGATCAAAAAGTAGTTTGGTTGTTATACCTTCTTGCAAATGGTGTTCCAAATGTAAGATGTCATCTTTTAAAGATATTGAATCATACACAGTAGAGATAGAGACAAATACTAAACAAAAAAAAAAAGAAAGAACATAACCATTTCTTGGTGTCTAGCTTGTCAATCAAGACACTACAATTATCATTTGATAGAATTGAAATCAGAAGAAATATATCAACCGAGATTAAACAAAGAGTAAAACAAGAGATTGTACAATATATCAAGACACCATGTGCTCTTAATCATCGACCTGAAAATGAAGATACCTTTGAAGAAATGGTCATTCAAAATTGTACCAATATTATTTATATTGCACTTTCAATGCTACAAGACAATGGTATGTTTTCAAATCAACTATTTTAACTTTAATAATAATCATATTAATCATACTTCTTTCTTTATTTCATTAAAGAGGATCATCAACAAGAATGGGAATGGAATGAATTAATAGAATTTATAAATAATGCGTGCAATCAAAATCAATATCGAGAGAGAGATGTCAATAACTATGCTTGCATGTTAATGTTGAAAGCAATCCAAATGGGTTACGACAAAGTTTCTGTTAAATTGGAAGTTTTTGATTATTTGTCTGGTTTCCTTGACCAAAAGCATACAATCTTGGTCGATACAACATTTATAAAGAACATCATACAAATCATCAAATCATTACAACAAGAAGACAAAAAGATGGCTACTTGTATGTTATTAATTGAACATTTGGATAAAGTAGAAATACCTTTCCTACTTTCAATAAGAGAAATGGTTATCTTTCCCACCTTTAAAGATGAACTACTTGATATCATGGTTTATATATTACAATCAGATAAACGATTTATTTATGATTCTATAGTTAGTATGGCATCAATTATTCCTCGTGAGGTATGCAATATTATTATTATAATTAATAATTATAATATCTTTAATATTAATATTTCATATTTAATATATATGTATAGTTAAAATTAGATTGTTCAACATTAGTAATGCCACTTGTACAATTATTTAAACCTCCTATTTTTAAATATCACACTGGATTTTTGCCTGTTGCAAGTTACATACTCTGTCATATTTATCCCAAAGTAGCCGATAATAGACTTGTTACAAAATCTATTCTTCAACTATTCAAATACAAATCTTTGGAAGTAGAAAAAAAAAAAGAAGAAGAAGAAGAAGAAGAGGAAGAGGAAGAGGAAGAGGAAGAAGAAGAAGAAGAAGAAGAAGAGGAGGAGGAAGCAGAAGAAGAAGAAAAAGAAGAAGAAGAGGAGGAGGAAGAAGAAGAAGAAGAAGAAGAAGAGGAAATAAGAGAAATACATATCTTTGAACTACGTGATTTCTTTCAATGTTCAAGAGATCCCCATTCTCTTTTAATTTACCTTCCACTTTTGATGATGTCGATTTACTCTGCATTGGATATTGACACTGAAATGGACAAGAAAGAAATTCAATTGAAAATACAAAAGGAACTAGAAAAACCAAAACAACCAAAAGAACCAAAAGACCCAATGATGGTGGATGGACTTTTCCAAGATGAAGACGAAGATGAAGAAGATGAAGATGAAGATGATGATGATGGTGAATATGATGAAGAGGAAAATTCAATATTATTATTCCTTTTCAAGATTGTTATAGTGGCTACACCATCTGAGATCTATCCATATGCATTGTCACTTGCCATAAAACTTGTCAAGTACAAAGAATACGATATAGCAGGTATGATGATTCCATATCTATTGGAATCGATTCGTCACAAAACACCATACAATCTCGAGGACGATATTCAATCGGTGGTGGTTTATATCTACAGCAAATTCTTTCGACCTACTCATCAAATGTATCGTCGCTTGTTTAGTTTTAGTGGACCCGTTGTCAGAAACGCAAAGCCACTCTGTCGTCTCATCCAATCGGTTGGCCCAGGAGCCATGTCAGATTACGAGATATGCGAGAGCTTCCTCCAATCCAAAGCATTTTTTTATACATCTCACGACTTTATGAGAGATGCGTGTATGGTACCAGACAATGATCTCAAAATAATAGGGTATTTTGGAAGTCTGAGTTGCATCTGCGACATGGTCATCACATTACTGGAACAAAACAAAAACGTATTGTTGCAAAGACCAAAGGCTCTTATCGCGATTCAGAGCGGATGGGTGGAATTATTCTCATACATTAAAAGGCAAAAGAGTGATCCAACAATGACATATGATCACTACCAAAGATCATTGTCAGTGTTTGGTGGTATCATTCTATTTGCAATACAAACCTATTTAAATGGGCTGGAACCAACATTATCATCGTCGTCGTTGGATGAATTATTGGATATTGGGTGTGTTATTGGTATGCTGGAGAGTATCATCAAAGAATTACAACCCGAGCCTTTTAGAAAAAATCAATTCCCTTTAACTGAACAAATAGTCGAAGAGATAATCAGATTTTTTGAACAATACCTATCATTTGTTCCTTGGGTTGGCGACAATGAAGACAACAAAACTATTCAACTTGCCAAAAGTCATATTAAAACAATCAAAGATATATATACAGAGAGTTGGATTTGAAATATTAAATAATAAATAAAAATGTAATATTTAAAGAATTGGTAGATGAATATACGTCATCTAGTAGTAATACTGGAAATTAAATATTCAGATTCATCAAGATATTTCTTCATTCGGATATTGCATTCATTTAAATTTATTTACAATTTTGATATAGAATAGTTTAATTAAATTTGTTATTTGTTATAATTTTGGAACATTCCAAAGGGTAAATACACCATAACCTGATGTTATAAAAAATTTACTATCATTTGTCCAACAAACAGAGTTGTCAGTATAGGGTGTCCCCTCTGCTGCCTTTGGTAGAGTGTCGAGTAATTGACCATCGGATACTCTTCTAAATTGAACAAAGTTTTGGTTTCCAATGGCAAACACCTTTCCATTGGGTGCCATGGTGACCAAGTTGGCTGGTGCACCAACAAAATCATTTCCAACTGCAACCGTATAAATAACCTCTGGTTCTTGTCCAATACCATAGTTTATATCTAAATTCCATAGTTTTAATAATCCATCCTTTGATACTGTAATCACTCTTGTACCATCATTATTAAATGATATTCCAAATATACTTGTCTATCAAATAAATAATAGTATTAAACATATTTTGATTAGTTGGTATAATGATAATTAATTAATTCTATTTCTTTTTTTTTTTCATTTCATACTTTATAACCAGTTAAACTAATTGCTTTTGGAGCCTTATCAAATGAATTATCTCTTTTGAATGATGGTTCCCAAATTTTAATTTCTGAATTGAAAGAGGCAATACTAAATAATTTACCGTTACCAGACATTGATGCCATGTAATGTTTCATTTGACCAGTGTTGATGGCTGTTAATAGAGTTCCTTTCAAACTATCGTACAGTCTGACCATTGTATCTTCGGTCATGACAAGGATATAGTTGGCTGATGCACACAGAGTAATTACCCGTGGTCCTCCAATAGGAATACCAGTGTCTGCTTCAAACAATGTGACGTATTGTTGTTTACCCTCGGCATTGGTCTTGAGTGTCCAACCAATCAATTTTCTCGAGTCGTGAAGTGTAGCGTATAAGTTTCCATTACTCGACCATGCAACAGTGTCGGCCGTATCAAACTTGATGTTTGCTTGTGTTGTCTTTGGTGCACCATCAAATATACTAGACATTGGGATAATCTTTATACAATTGTCTCCAGTCTGACCACCAGTAAATGCAAGTTTGTTATCAGATGACATTGATACACCGTAGATCCATGGTTTTGGTGTCATTGTCTTGAATTGTTTAAAGAACAATTGGTGTAGTTGTTGTTGTGGTTGAATATGTGGAGATGATACTGTTGTTGTAGTTGTAGTAGTTGTGTTTCCTTGCTTTAGTGTTGTTGTGGTAGTTGATATACCTGATCCAACTGAAGTCAATGATGAACCACCTTTCTTGGTCTTCTTATTAATCTCTTTACTATCATTTACTTTGTTACTGCGACTACCATCTTTAGAAGAGGATGGCGATGACGATGATGATGAAGAGGAAGGTGTGGATCGAACCAACCTAGTAACTATAAACAATACAATGATAGTGATTGGTATAGTTGCATACCAATGATCAATCACCAATGTATAATATTCTTCAATCATATTATCATATGTCATCTTTTCTCTCTCTCTCTCTCTCTTTATCTCTATCCTTGTACAAAATAATGAAATTAAATAAAGTGTGAACTTCACCACTGAAAAGGTTTGAGAAAAAATAATCATATTTACAGAGTTGAGTAGAGACAGAGTTTGGGTTTAGAATACATACATACATACATAGATATAATATAACTTGGGGATGGAAGAACCAACAGGTCAATTTGTAGCTGATGTTATCAATGACAATCAAGATGCTTTATTTAAAACTTTGTGAAAGAATACAATCAAAAAGTAAGCTGGTTGTTATACCTTCTTGCAAATGGTTCTCCAAATGTGTGTAGCCTTTTAAAAAGATAGAGTAGATAGAGACAAACACTAATCAAAGTTCATTATATGATATGAAAGAAAGAACACAACCATTTCTTGGTGTCTAGCTTGTCAATCAAGACACTACAATTATCATTCAATGTAATCAGGAAGAATATATCAGCCGAGATAAAACAAAGAGTAAAACAAGAGATTGTACAATATATCAATACTCCCATTCCATCCAAAGTACCTCAGAAATTATTAATTCAAAATTGTACCAATATTATTTATATGGCAATGCTTCAAAACAATGGTATGTTATCAAATCAACTTAATATGGGATGAGTTAAAATATTTTAATCTTACAGTTTACCTTTTTCTTTAAAGATCAAGAAGAATGGAATGAATTAATAGAATTTATAAATAATGCGTGCCGTTATTCAACCATCTCTGCCAATAACTATTCTTGCATATTAATGTTAATAGCAATACAATTGGGCTATGACAGGGGTTACTGTCAAATTGAGTGCTTTAGATTATTTAAACATCGCCCTTCGATCAGAATCAGAAAAGGTCTTGGTTGATTCAACATTTATAAAGAACATCTTAAAATTCATCAAATCATTACAACCAGGAGATGAAAAGATTGCTAATTGTATGCAATTGATTAAACATTTACCAAAGGTATATACCGATTCACTAGTTAGACAAAGAGAAACAGTTATTACCATCTTTAAAGCTGAACTACTTGATATCATAGCCTATATTACAATCAGATAAACGATTTGTTAATAATATTATATTTGGTTTAAAATCAATTATTCCCACCAATCAGGTATGCAATACATTATATTAATATTAATAATAATAATAATAATAATTTGTCAACAATTTATTTACCTTTTTATATTTTTATTTAATTACAGGATTGTTCAAGATTAGTAATGCCACTTGTACAATTATTTAAACCTCCGCGAATCGAATTTTACTATAACTGTTTACCAATGTTGCTGATCATAGACTTGTTTCAAAATCCATTCTTCAACTATTCAAATACACCATGACTAGGGGTGCAAGCGAAGATGATATCCTCAAACTACATGATTTCATTCAATTTTCAAGAGATGCTACATTGGTTTACCTTCCACATTTGATGAAGTTTATTTACTCATCTTTGGATATTGACACTGAAAGAGACAAGGACGAAATTCACTGGAAAATACAAAGGGAACAAAAAAAATTACAACCAAAAGAACCAATGATGGATGGAATTTACCAGGAGGGAGAAGAAGAAGAGGAAACCTTTAAACTAAATTTCCTTTACGAGATTGTTAAAATGGTGGCACCCTCTGAAATCTATCCATATGCACTGTCACTTGCCATAACACTTGTGCTAAAATACCAAACATACCAAATATCGTTTTCGATCGTTTCATATCTATTAGAATCGATTCGCCACCACAACAATACTCCTATTCTCCATCATCAAAGTCAATCAGTTTTTGTTTATAATTATAACAAATTCTTTGGCATAATATTTAACATTTATGGACAAGTGATGGATGCTGAAGGTCCCAATGAACGAGTTTCTCCCTTTATCGAGTACTCAATATCACTCTGCCATTTATTGGAAGCTGGTGGTTCTGGAATAATGTCTGGTAATGAAATATTCGATAGTTTCACCCAATTTAAATACCATTTTTTTGTATTTCAAGATTGTCTAAGTGAAAAAAGTGAATATACGTTGTATCAAGAAACTGAAATATTGACATAATATGGTATTTTGGTGGTTTGAGTGCAACCTGATCATCACATTATTGGAATTAAACAAAAAGGTATTGTTGGAAAACCCATCCAAAGATATGCCCGAGGCATCATTGGAAATATTAAAATATATAGAACAACAAAAGAAAGTGGAAAATGGTACAGATCATTTCCATAGATCGTTGTCAGTGTTTGGTGGCACCATTCTATTTGCAATAGAACCCTTTTTAAATGATCCAGTGACTGTATCATCATCAGTGTCGTTTGATATTGGATATATTATAGAAATGTTGGAGGTTATTATTAAATTAATACCACTCAACAGTGACGATCTAAAATGGGCAAAGCCGGCAATCAAAGAAATAATTAAATTTGTTGAAAAATACATAATATTGGTTCCTTTGGTTTGTGACTATGAAAACAACAAAACCATCAAACTCGTCAGAAATCAAAGATACTATGGATAGTTGGCCAACTATTAATAACCAAGAATAAAATCAAAATATAATATAATTATAGGGTTAATGAGTCACAGACTCTGAATGAGTCACATGTGTGGTTTGTGAATTATACCCTTACTTAAAAAAAAATAATTAATTAATTCAATACTATTAGTATAAATGCTACGACTTTCAATCATGAAAAGATTATTAAATATTATAGTATTGGTTGGATTTGTGTGTCTTTGGATAGGATTCTTTCAAGAGTATAAAGAGACTATAGAGGAGTTTTATAGACTAGTACCTCCAAGTAAACTACTCTACTTTATCAAACACCCAGAAACCATTGTTACAAAGTATAGTCAACAATCAAGGATATCGGAAATATACGACCTTATATCTGTCTGGCTGGTTCAAGTACTCACAATAATATCGTCAATCTATTGTCTCATTTCCTATCAATTCCTCTTTATTTTGTCTGATGGTACTAGAACGATTGGATACAAGTCGGCCGAGTGGGAGCGAGCTCCTTTACTATCAAACAACTTCAACGTCACTTACATTAGAAGAAGAGTTAGATTTGCATACTCTTTATTCCTTCTATGCCAGGTATTAACATTCATCGAGTCCTTTAGGACTGTTGAATGGTGTAATTTTGTGTCATATGAATGCCCACGCTTATTGCAGAACTATTGCTACAAAATATTAAATAGATTGGGATTTAGCATCTATCCAATTTGTTTGTTTATCTTAAATGAAGTGACTCTTTTTATTAATAGAAATAATAGTACAACCAATTGCAACAACAACAACAACAATAACAACAACCTACCATCATTGAATAATTATAAATATCCCAACCAAAGATTTATAAATATATTATTATTGGTTGGATTTGTTTATCTTTGGATAGGATACTATCAAGAACATATAGAGAAAATATATTCGTTTATGACAGGACAACTACCTCCAAGTAAACTACTCTACTTTATCCAACACCCAGAAACCATTGCAAAAGAGTTTAGCAAAGATACTCCTTTATCCCATATTTACTGTATCATAGTAAACTGGTTGATTCAAGTACTCATAACAATAGTTTCAATCTATTGTCTCATTTCCTATAGATTCTTCTTAATTCCGTCTGATGGTACTCGTACCATTGGATACAACTCTGTCAAGTGGGAGCACTCCCCATTACTCTCAAACAACATCAACATCGCCTACAATAGAAGAAGAGTTAGATTTGCATACTTGAGTTTCCTCCTGTGTCAAGTATTAGCATTCTTTTGCTCCCGTCTGACAATAAGGAGCTGCCATGGTCACCAGCCACCAGTCCCAGACCTCCTCAGTTATTATTGCCAATATATGCTCAGTGGACTAGGTGAGAGCATCTATCCAATCTATTTGATTATCCTAAATGAAATATCTATATATCAATCACACAACAAACTCCAACAACAACAACATTATCCAAGACCCAAACAAGACCAAAATAAACTGAAATGAATCTATTCTATTCTTTTCTCTCTTTTACACAACAATTAATTGTTATTTATTTATTTATTTATTCATTAGTTTATTTTCTAAAACTGATTGGATCGAAGCCAAGTTAATAGACAATCTTGAATCCACATTGGTAATATCTATGTCATAGTAATGGGAGAAACTATTTAGATATCTACGTTCATGTCGTTTGTTGGAATAGGGTTGTACCAACCATGAACCACATACAACAGACATGGTAGCAACAAGTGATTTCCAATTGCTTTTGGTCGATATATACAATGGGATGAATGGGACAAGAGGAGACATACTCTTTAAAAACTTTCCAATTCTACTTTGTCCTTTACTGAAAACATAACTACCTCTAAGCAAATCAAAGAAAACGATAGAAGAAAGACCATGAATAGGTGTCATCCAACCCATGTACCAAGTGAACGATGTAGTCAATGCACCATATATTACTTTTTCATAATGAATATACCAACTTGTTGGAATGATATGTGATATATGGAATCCAGAAAGCCCTTCCACATTATCTGAAGTCAGTCCCATTTTTATGACCTGTCTTGATATTATTCTAACCGCCAAATCGATATCAACCGTAGAAGCATTGTCTCTGACCATTGGAAACAAAAGTGTAAACATCATTTCCAAACAACTCTGACTATATTGACGTTGAGGGTTTCGCACTACACTCTTGGCAATTGCACGACCAAATATAAAAGAATGGTGATCAAATCCTGACGAGGAAGCAAAGTTTGAAACATCTTCCAATGTCTTCACCCCTAATTCATCATCTAAATTAATAATATTATTAATAAATAGTATATAGATATCTATATAATTTATATTCATTTCATACCAATTTCCATAATATATATCATAATTGAAAACAAATCATTCATAAGTTGTGATTCTATTCCTTTTAATAAATAGAATGATCTGATTTCTTTAGCATCTTGGGGACTTTCTTGGTACATTATATACAAATCTTGAAAAATACAAGTAAATAGTAAGATTGTGGTACGGTAAAGGGTTTCAAAAACTTCGTCTAGTTTGAGGCACAACTCTGAGTTATCTTTCATCACACCTGCTAGCCATGAAAAGTATTGACTAAATTTAGTATGTTGCTGCAAGACCATCTCCATCTCGAAATTATCACACGCCTCTGATAGTTTTAGTAACATTTGATTAAACTCTTCTGCCAAGTCATCATAAGAATATTGTAACTCTTCTTCTCGATGCAATGATCTTGATGCCGAATATAATGTCCATCCCACAGCGGCTGACCCAATACCCAACTTGTCTGTCAATGTTAATCTATCCAATTGATCACCGACAAATCTTGGTATTGATTTAACCACTCCAAAAAAGAATTCTTGTTGTTGTTTTATGTTCATCATCCTATATATAGATAATCGATAGACAGATAGATATCTTTGAAAATGAACTGATCAACAACAATGAGGTCAAAGAAAAAAAAAAGATCAAATGAGCCCAGGTCAGGTCGTCATGACTACGATACGATATCTTGCATTTACATTGATGATGGGTCGTTATGTTTATTGTTGTTGATTGACAATACAATGCATTGTTCATTGATTCTTCTTCTTCCTTTCTTTTCATCATGAGTATGAAGTTGTACCTTTTTTTTTTTGGTTGAGCATTTGTGGGAAGCAAATCCACCATCTCTAACACTTGGAACCGTGATGGTCGATGAGAAGAACACTTTGATTGGAGCAAACTTGATCCAACGCGCGTTGGTGTGTGTACACACACTACTAAGATGTAGTTCTCCAATACTTGACAATATAAAGTAATTCATTGAATGCTCTTCGTTCTGCAACCACTTTGTTTGCGAACCCATACTTTGCAAGAATAGCAGCAACTTGTTTGGGATGATTCTCCTCGACAAGTACCATATAGAATACACCCTTTGGTGAAAGAATCGAATCGATTTGTGGTAGTAACTTGTCAATCACCTCTCTACCGTCGATACCTCCAGCCCATGATGCTGCAATACCACCATCTTCAATCTCTTCTGATTCCGTTGGTACGTAGGGAGGATTAAAGAGTAACACATCAACCTTTCCTTTAACTCTCTCGATACCCGTTAGAAAAGAGGTATTGATAACATCTAAACTAACATTGTTGTGTGTTGCAGTTCTAGAAGATACTCTTGCTGCAATTGGGTTGATATCTGTACTCATAAAATACCCATTATTCTCTAATATCTTTGCAAGATAACTAATTACAAATCCACTTCCTGATCTAAAGTTATAATTAATTAATACTGACTTCAAAGTATTTAGGCTATATCTCTCTCTTTTATATCTTATACATACCCAATCTCTATAACAAATGAAGGATTTAATAGTTTCAAATCGTCTAGGTCCTTTTTAAGAGCATTGATAAATAAATAAGAGTCTTGTGCTGGTTCGTATACATCTTTATAATCCTTTGATGTCAAATGATCCATCAAAGGTTCATCAACTAAATCTTTAAATGATGGTATTGTTGTCATTCTTGAAGAAATGATCACACACAGTATTACTTGTGAAAAGTTGTTGTTTGTGTCAAAAAATGAACAAAGAAGAAAGAAATAAAATAAATAGACAGATTTTAAGTTTTTAATTATCCTTGAAAGGATATATGTACTAAATAGTATAGGATTTATTATTATTAAAAAGTAGGAGGAAAGAAAGAGAATTTAGATAGTTAATTAATTGAAATGGATATAATTATATCATTGTGATTAAATAATAATGGGTGGCGTTCAAAAACACCTTTTGTTTTTTATATTGTTTACTGCATTTCCATTTAGATAGAGTAAATATCATAATGTTCTTTAGATGCCAAACATACTATATTAAAAAATAATATATTATTAATATATTCCAATAGAAGTAATTGTATTTCTTTTTTTAAAATATACTTACAACAATAATGAAAACATAAATGCTAAATAAAAAGAAAAAGGAAGTTAAAGAATAATAGTCTTTTTGTAACCATTTAATTTTAATCATATTGAATAGATTATGAGAGTGTTTTAATTAAAAGGTTACTACTATTATTAGGAGTGATAGAAATATATAAATATGTGTGTATGACTCTTACCTTTTGTTTGAAATCCTTAATCCTTTGGTCCTTCCTAGTTTGTCCAACCTTTCTAATAAACCTTTGAATGATTTATGATGTGAGCCTAGCTCAAAAACAAAACAATAAACAATTGAATTGCAAAGGGGGGTTTGGATGAATCTGCAAGTGCTGTTGTTAAAACTACAAACACTACGACTCGACTGAAGATGATGGTTAACGCTGCTACGTAACATCAGAAGACTACAACATGCAAAACACAAACTTTGCTTGGTATCTAACCTTTTATAGTACCCAGTTGTTTGATATAGACAAATCTTTGATTACCTTTTGGAATGGTAATGAGAGTGAAAATGAATCTTTTGTTTGACTTCCCATGAACTTGTTTAACGAATCAAGTTGGATCTCATCATAGAGGTTTCAGAGGATTCCTTAACCTTACGAGAGACGGATGGGATCTTGGATTCCTTTTCAAAGATTCTCCAGAAACGGAGGGTCTCATCGGCAGAGGCAGAGACGATGGTCTCTCCGTCTGGTGAGATGGCAGTGTGGAGAGCACGGCTGGTGTGACCAGTGAGCTCGGCAACCTTGGCCATGGTTGGGTACTTCCAGACGCAGAGTTGGTTTTGGGAGAAGCCGTGGGAGGAGACGAGTTCCTTGTGGTGGGTAGACCATTGAATGGAACATACTTGGGACATGGTGTCGATAGAGTTGACGCAAGCTCCGGTTTGAGTGTTCCAGAAACGGATGGTACGATCAGCGGCACCACCACCGGTAGCGAGGAGGTTTTGTTCCCATGGACACCATGCGATGGCACGGACAGCGGCAGTATGTTGTTCAAAGGTGAACTTTGGGGTCTCGAATCCAGCGTCGTTGTTGACGTCCCAGACATTGACAATGTTGTCATTGCCTCCAGAGGCGAGTTGGGTACCGTCGTGTGACCACTTTAAACCGCAGACCTCTTGGGTGTGGCCAGAGAGGGTGGAGACGTGGTGGTTTTGAATACGGACGTCGTGGTTAAAGATGTTGGTGTCGGCGGAACCAGACGAGAGGATGTAGTTGTTCCAGGAGAGAGCACCGACACGGCCGGCATGACCACGCATCTCACGGAGCTTCTTTTGTTGCTCGACGTCCCAGAGTTGGACAACACAGCTGTTGGTGCCAACAGCCAAGTGTTGACCGTCCTTGGTCCATTGGAGCGAGGTGATGTAGTCGTCTTGTCCCTCAACGGTAAAGAGTGACTTGATGTCAGAGGTGGTGGCGTTCCAGAGGTAGACGGTCTTGCCGAGTGGAATGGCAATAACGTTTTGGGAGGACCAGTCGAGGAGGTTCAAGTAGTAGTCGTCGACGATGTCTGGGGCATCGAGGATACGTTCTGGGGCTTGTGGGATGGCACGGAATGCCTTCTTGGAGGCACCAGAGACAGCAGCGGTTTCAACCTTGTTTTGTGAGTAGAGGACACGGAGGGAGGAGGAGGCAGCAGCAGAGACTGGAGCCTTGGACTTGTAGGAGAGGATCTTGGATTGGATGTCTTGGGCATCGAAACAGGCGTCCTTGTAATAATCGTTTAAGGCAGACTCGATCGATGGGACAGAGTTTTCCTTGCTCAAGTTGAATTGAGACAAGTTGTTGAGACTTGGCATGAAACGATCACCACAGGTAGCCTTACGTTCCCAACGGGCAACTTCTCCGTTCAATGGGGTGTTGAAGGAGAGGAGTTGTTCGAGTTCGGCAGTTTCAAAGTTTGAGTTCATTTTAGATAGAGTTTGCTTGGTGTAGCGTGATATAAATTGAAAGGGGGGTGGTAGTAGTAGTAGGAAAGTAATATAACAAGTTATATAGTAAAGAAACTAAAATGACATCCACCCTTTTTATGTTCTCTCCTTGCTTTTCCAAAAATTAAAAAAAAAATCAAATTTTCCCCCCCAAAAAAACCAATTGAAGACAACGGTTGAAAATTCAAATTTTCCTTTGAACTTCGTTTGTTCTAGAGACTTTGGAGATATTTTCTTAATCTTTATCTATTTTTAAATAATTTAATTTATTATTACATTACAATTGTGTATTTGTGTTTTTTTTAAATAAGTTTATGTTATGACATGTGTTTGTTGTTGTTGTTGTTTGTGTTGTGATCCTCTCTTAATAGTTTGGTAAATAAGTCATAATTGGAAAAGTGATAAATTCATTCTTTGGTGTTGTACAATAAGACAATTTAACCTTGGAATAGGGACCATAGATTTGGCCGTCGAGTAATAGATCGAATGGTTTCTTTTTATCATCCTTGTGACTTTCAATTTCGATGCAATTGGTTGTAAAGAGACATGGTTGATCTGATTTCATTCTCTTTTTCTTTTGGTCAAATTCCATCATACATAATTCCATTCTAACTCCTTCTCCAATACCACCACCAGTTGCATTATTACTACTATTACCATTGATTTGATGATGATATTTTGGTATTTGATTTTGAATTGATATTTCAAAATAGGATTTATAATCGATTGACATTTGTTGTACAAATTGACTAACTGGATTGACCAATGAGAATCTAACACTAACCAAACTTGGTGAATATTTACTCATCTTGTTACTCATTGGACTTTCCATTAAACTTGTATCACCCTATACAAATAAATAATAGAAATTTTAAATTATTAGTCATATGTAAATACATCATTGATTTTACTATTTATAACATACAGTTCCAATAATATAAGGATTTAAACCAAATTCAGCTTTTAAAAAGAATGGAATAGTATGATAGGTATCATCCAACCAAGCTTCACATTTCATTAATGGAATGTCCAATTTAAAGGATGCTTCTCTAAATAGATATTCAATCTCTGAAAAGATGACAGATGATGGTGTGGTGGTATAGACATCTTGTTGTGGTTGATCTGACAAGTCCAATGAAGATGGTGATTCTTGTTCACTCACTGATTGACGATATACACTACTCTTTCTATCTTCCTTTAAATTACTCATTGATTCAATAAATTGTTGATCTGAATTGTATGAACTAACTGGTCTAAATGATGGTATAATTTCATATAATGAACTAAAAAAGAAAAATAATTAATTAATAAATTAATTAATCTTATCTATCTATCTTTTCTTTTTACACTTACTTTATAATACAAGAAACTTGTCTATGATACCAATTATCAAAAGTAGAAATGAAATCAGCAAGTTTTGATTGATTACCAGCTGGAATGATATAGAATTGAATATCAAGATTATCAAATAATTCTGGTGATTGATATCTAAGATAGACGTAGGATCCAACAAGATGATGAATAGAAGAATCATTACCAACAATACAAATCTTGACCAAATCATTTACATCTGCATTGTAATTGCACAGTAGATTGGTAAGAGTGTTGGATGTCTTTTTGTAGACTGGTAATTGAAGAGAGGTTGCATATTCATCTGGCTTTTTGTTTTTAATAGTGTATCGATAGAGTGACGTAAAATGATATGCCAAATGTGGAAGATTAATTGGTTTTGGTACATGATTATGAACAGTCTTTGTTGATTGTTTAATCATTTCCTCTCTAATCAATCCCAATTCTTTAATTTTAATTGATTTTGATTCTTCTTCTTCCCTAAAATAAAACATAAAAATAATAAATTAAAATAATAAGTATATATATTAATAGATTTTAAATTACTATGACTTCTTTCTTACAAATATAAAGTTTTGTTTAATAAATCAACAATTCTATTATGAAATTGAGCAACATCAATTGGTTCAAGAAATTCTAACCCAAGAATTGAATTATCAATACCCATTATTCTTTGATAAATATCTAGAAATTTAAATAAACCGAAAATTAATTAGTAATATATCATTTTAATTATTATTATTTTGATTATTATTTACTTGAAATATTATTTGATTGTAATTGAGTAATGGAAGGAATATTATTTTTATAATTTGATTCAAATATTTCTTGAATTGATAGAGATTCACTGATATAACGATCGACCATCATGTGAACGTAGGGACGTGACTTTGATGCAAATAGTGGTGATGAGAGAGATGCCGATGTTGCATTGGAACTAGAGATATTGATCGATGGGAATTCAGATGATAGAATGGTACGGAAATAGGCACCTGGGCAACGATACTCTAGTGATAGAATCTCGAGAATCTCCTTGACAAAGTCACAGTAGGGTCGTGGCCAAAGATAGAATGTCTTGATGATGGACATGGCCGATTGAAGAGCAGATGGTGCAAAAACGGGTGACACTAGTAGTATGTGTTTGAGCATTTGAAGGAAAAACAGCATACGTTTCTCCAACAATAATGGGTGTTTGAGGAATAGGAATAGATTGTCCAAGATCATTTTCAACTTTGTCGGGGATTGTTGCAACTCCATTGTAATGCATGTATTGAGCCAACTGTTTCTATGTGCTATAGGGTTGTTGATGGTGGCAGCAGCGGCGGCAGCAGCAGCGACAGCGGCAGCATTTGGATTGGATTTAGAGGTAAAGTAATAGTTGGCGGTAGTGTTGGCATTGGTGTAGGGCAGAGTGATCGATCCCAAATCCGAACAATGGTCAATTAAAAAGAAGATGTATTCATTGGTATCTTTAAATCCAGCAGACAAGATACGAAGAATATCAGTGGCACTTGAATCTTTGATTTCGGCCAACTTGGAAAGAAGAAGTTTCAGTGTAGGATGATAAGAATTGAATGAATAAAAGAGTGATATAAAAGTGATCGTATTGATAATCGATGCTTTCATTGACTCTAAATCTTTTAATTCTTCAGCTGATGATAATTGTTGTTGAGGTTGTTGAATATTATTATTATTACTAAATCCAATTGAAGAGTTTGTTGTATTATTATTGATACTAATCCCACTATTTTGTAATTGTTGTTGAACCATTGCAATTTGTTCTTCAATATTCATTTGTTGTACAATTGAAGGTAATAATGGTGGTTGATCAGTTGATGATGATTCATCTTCATTATCATCATCTTCATCATTTTCATTGTCTTGTTGTTTTGATGTCAATACAGGTGATGAAGATGCGGATTGAAGTTTTAATTGTTGTTGAAGTTGTTGAAGATGATGTAGATTGTTGATAGTCAATAATTGTACTAATACTTGAATCAAAGGGAATGTTCTCTTGTCGGGCATTGTAGTCACTTGAATATACTTTGTGAGTAGTAGAGAGATGATCAACGATATGATATCTCCATTCTCTTGTACATTATGTAACAGTGTATCCCAAAACACATTGTGAGTAGATATCGATGAACATAGTTTAAGTTCAATCGAGTGTTGAAGTATCTCTGATATTTGTATCAATGATGGTGAAGGCTGGAATGAGTTACTACTATTACTACTATTATTACTACTACCAACTGATGGTGATGATAAAGGTGAGTGAGAAGAAGCTACATTTGTATCAAATACTATTCCTCCTCCACTTTTACTCGTAGAAGAAGAAGAAGAGGAAGAGTCTCCTCCTGTGACTGTACTCATCTCTCCTTATTCTTATTTCTTTTATGAGATATGAATGTGATAAAACGTTATAATATAATATAACAGACAAACGTCAATTGAGTGGGTGGGGTCTGAGATATTCGATGCAAATAAAAAAATGAATGATCAAAGACCAATCGGCTCACAAACCAATCTTTGCCCCTTTTTCAAATCGATCATTGATATTGAATATTCTATTCTCAAATTAATATGTATAATACATATTACTATCAATATGTGTTTATATATATATATATATATATTGTTATCATACATTGGGATAGATTGACAGATAAACAAGCTAGCTTTTATTTATTATCCACCAATTTGGGTTTGGTTCAATGAAAATCTGATTTTTTTTTTAATCCATCCCAAAGTCCCCAAGTGTTGGTTCATAAAGTTGGTGACGTTCCATTTGATAATTCATTTGTATTTAGAGTTGTATTATTTATTTATTTATTTATTGTGTATTATATATCTTATCATATCATTTTATTAATCAATGACATCAGTATTAGGAAATTGTAGCAGATGTGGAGTAAAGGTATGTGACTATCTAAATTAGATATAGTTAGTTTGATTGATCGAACATTACTAACTTAGCATTAATGATCTGATTGAATGATTATAATATAGGTCTACCCACTCGAAGGTTTGATTGCTGCTAAAAAGCCATACCATAAATCATGTTTCAAGTGTATGTACAAAATCAATTGATTGATCAAAAACAACAAAACAACAAGACAATCAATCAATCAATCAAGTAAATCAAGTGAATGAATGTATTTCAAATCATTAATCAAATCTCAATCAATATAAATATCAATATTACAAATAATAATTGGATCAACTTTACTACTACTACTACAGGTGCAACATGTGGTTGGAAATTAACTTTAAATAACTTTAAGGATTTAAATGGTATTTGTTATTGTCCAAAGTATGTATAAATATTTATTTATATAAACAAGAAATGAATCAATTTATACATATAAACATTTATCTAACCATCATCATTCCTTATCTAGTCATTATCCAGGTAATTAATTAACTGATTGATTCTTTTTTTTGGAGATTTTTAGTATAAATACTAATTATTATTTATTTAATTTAAATTTTATAGTAAATGGATTTGGAACTAATCATGTTGTTGGAACTACTCCACTCGATTCACTTGGTGTAAAGACAGCTATGGATGCACCAAAATTAGATACTGTCAACGACCAAATTCGTGGTGATGGTGGCAAGACTCTTGTAGATATCAACAGTCAACATATTGCTAAACCACTCTCTGCCCCAAAGTCTGATGTTGTCAATGACCAAATTCGTGGTGATGGTGGCAAGACTCTTGTAGATATCAACAGTCAACATATCGCCAAACCACTCTCTGCCCCAAAGTCTGATGTTGTTAATGACCAAATCAAATATGGCAAATAAACTGACATCCACCGATCAATCCAATCAATCGATCGATCGATCAATATTCACATATTACATACACATTTATATATATATTGTCCATCGATACCATAAAATTATATAATATTATAGTATAATATTATTCATGATGAGGTGTCGTTTTTACAAATCTTTTAACCGTTCGTTTTAAATAAGACAATGCAATTGTGTTTAAACCAATAAGTGATCACTTAAACAGATGGACTCCCCTCACGCAAACAATGACAATAATACTAATGTTATTGAAACGATTACAACTAAAAAGGGAACAAAGATATACATTAAAACATTAGATTTGGTACATGTTGAAAGAGCTGCACTCGTCGTCAACTTGGCTTATCGTGGTCCAAACTTTGAAGGAAATAAACAACCACAACAACAACAACAAGAAGAGGATGATGAGTGTTTGGTAGATGGTGCAGATGAAAGTAGTAGAACTACAACAACAACAACAAAAAAGAAAGTATGGACCAATGAAGAAGCATTCTTTTCAAATGGAAAGAGAATAGATGAAGATGGTTTAAAGAAAGAGATTCGTTGGCAGAGTGACAACCCATTATTGAAACACATCTTTGTGGCAGAGATGATGATCAACAAACAACAACAAGATGGAACGTATAAAGAGATGTTAGAGGTGGTTGGTACCATCAAATTAGAAAGAGACCAAGTAAAAGACAGTGAAGGTGGTATGGGTCTATTGAGTGTAGACCCAGCCTATCAAAGTCACGGTATTGGAAGAGAACTCATTCACTTTGTTGAACGGTACTCTAAAGAACATTGGAGTCTTCACAAAATAGTCATCTATGTAGTGTCACTCAGAACAGAGTTGATTGCATGGTATGATTCACTAGGTTACCATTCAACCAATCTCTACGTTCCCTATCATAACCCAGACTTTTCATCATTACAACGATTTGATTTACAATTCATTCAAATGGAGAAAATACTATAATACTATAATACTATAATAACAAACAAACTATAAAGTCTAGACGTAGAATACCAAGTATGTGAATTTTTAATAAACAAAAAAATAGAGAGAAAAAGAAAAAATTGGGAAAATCAGTTGTTGGAGTGTGGTGATTGTCTCTGAGTCAAGCTGAATCATTGAGGTGCATCTAGATGATTTTAGAGCTAAAATAGATACTTTATGATATTCATCGAATTGAACAGTTGACCAGCTGCTGTTTATAAATTAAAAATGATCAACATTAAACTATTATTATTATTCAATATACAAACAAACAAACAAATAACTATACTTATACTTATACTATATAATCATGCCATTATTTATAACAATCCCATCATCAAATAATAAAAAGATTGGTGTACCTTTTAAACCAAGTCAAACGGTTCAAGAACTGATCAAAGAGGTGATTAAAAGAGCATCATTGGTATTGGATGACTATACACTTGAATACAATGCAAGTGAACTGTATGAAGAAGATACATTGGAAGATTTAGGTATCAAAGATGGTATTGCTTTGTTTTTAAGATCAAAGAATGACAGTACTAGTGTCATTGCTCCTACTCCTACTGTTGTACCCGATCCTATAACTCCATCAACTACTTCATCTACAACTACAACTACTTCAACTGACCCAAATAATAATAATAATAATATTGGTAATCTTGGAAACCTTCAAATTAATGATACAACCTCTGCTGGATCTCCTCCACCACCACTTTCACAAGTTGATGATGGTATTAGACAATTAGATGTAATTGTATTAGATTTAAGTGGATCTATGCAACAACCAGCATATATTGGATCAAGAGTACCAGGAGAATTGGAGATGACTAGAATTGAAGCTGCTCAAGCCACCTTTCAAACATTTATCGATCGGTTCGTGTCGTATCGTTATCCAGTCGCCGTAGGGTTGGTTTGTTTTGGTCAAAAGATTGAAGCGACGTTCCCCATCTCATCCAACTTTGACTCATTCTCAAATGAGTTGGGAGAGGTCGAAGCACACCAGAGTCAGACACGTTTGTGGGAAGCCATCAAGAGAGCCGCCGAGGTGATTGTAGAGTTTAAGAAATCACCTACTCTCAAACTCGCACCCAATGTTAGATCACGTATCTTTTGTTTGACCGATGGTGAAGACAATGGTTCTACACCTGTCTTTACAGTGTTTGATTATCTCCGTACACATGGTATCATCCTCGACTCTATTCCAATTGGTCAGCAGGGTCGTGCTACTTTATCGGCCTTTTCCAAGGCTACCGGTGGCACATGTTTTGTCGCCAACTCTTCCATCGAGTGTGTCCAGTTGTTTGAACGTGAAGCATTGTTGATGCTCGAGCATCGTGACCATTCGCCATTTGCTATCGATGTCCCCAACTCGGCTGCATTCCACGCACTCGCAGGCTCCTACACACAAGATGTCACGTCCAAGGTCAGCGTCAAGTTGGCACCGACCACCAAGTGCTCGTCGACCGTCACAACCGCCCAAAAGACACAGGCAGCCACTGGAGGCAGCCACTTTAAACGTATCATGCAAGAATATGTCAAGTTTAAACAAGATATGGATGAGTCCCAAGACCCACCCTACCACCTCTTTGTCAATCCCAACGACATGCAAGTATGGAAGGTCATTATGAAGGGTCCAGCCGCCACACCCTATGAAGGTGGTCATTTCATCCTCTCGGTCGAGTTCCCAGACGACTATCCATTCAGACCACCCAAAGTCCGTTTCATCAACAAGATCTACCATTGCAACGTCTCTAACGACGGTGCACTCTGTCTCGATATTCTCAAAGACCAGTGGTCGCCCGCCCTCACCATCAAGAATGTTTTTGTCTCTATCTCTGCCCTCTTGTCCTGTCCCAATCCCGACGACCCACTAGATGCCGTCAAAGCCGGTGTCTACCGTGACGACAAGGTTGTCTACAACCGCAATGCCAGAGAATGGACCAATACTCATGCCGGTCAAACTTTAATTGAATTAATGCAAGCTAATTCTTTGGCTTAAAAAACAAACCAATCATCACACACCATTCTATCCATATGTTAACATACATACATATATTGTAATTTGTAATTCAAGATTAATAAACTAATAAATAAATAATTATACTTTCAAAATACGACTATTTGGTTTGATTTTTTTTTCATTGTTTGTCGATTTTGACGAATAATTACTTTCTGATGAGTTTCGCGAGTTCAGTTCTATCCATTGTTATATTGTTCAATAGATTAGAGATAGATAGGAATGTTTAGAGGAACAGTAGATAGAGCAGGTACAAGAGAAGGTAAAAAGACATCTTTGAGAAAGACAGGTAAAGATAAAAAGACAAGTTCTGCACCAACTCTTGACGATGCCAACAAGAATCGTGACAATGTAGTCGTTCCACCATTAAAGGAACGTGAAAATGCAGCACCAGATGCATTCATTTCATTTGATAGTGGTGCCAATCTTGTCAATAGACATCTTGAAGCCGATCATTCAAGAGTCATTCAACGTGCTTTGCAATCGGGTGTCGAAGGTATTGCCATCATCACCAACGATTTTGAAAAGACTGAAGTATCCCTCTCAATCGCTCAATCATTTGAAGGTGTTGTCTACTCTGTAGTAGGTATTCATCCAAATAATATATCTGCTAAAAAGATGAGTGATAAATTATTTCTTCAATTGGTTAGTCAATTACGTAGTGTATGTAGAAACAACAATAGAATATAGACACATGTCACATAATGTATTAATCATTTTTACTATAACTTATAGTATGCATTAAAACCACAAGTAGTTGGACTTTATGGTGGATTGGATTATGAAAGAGATTATGGTTTGAAATTCCCTCAAGAGAAATTCCTTAAATCTCAATTAACTTTGGCTTGTATGTATAAAATAGAAAAGAAAAAGTAAAGAAAAGAATGATATAAACTAAATTTATTTTGTTTCCATTTCATTTTATAGCTGAATTAAATTTACCAGTAGTATTACAAGATTTAGGAGGTGGAGAAGGTTTATTGGAAGTGATGAAAGAATGTAGATCACATTTTGAAAGAGGAATGATTTATTGTTTCAATTCATCGAGTAGAATGTTGGAAAAGTATATAGAGTTGGACTTTTACATTAGTTTTAATGGTTTGGTGTGTGAGGTGTCTGACAAGGGTGACCAAGTCAGAGACTACATTACAAGAGTGCCATTGGATAGATTGATCATTCTCACAGAGTCTCCCAATCTCACTCCTCAAACCATCCCCGATGAACATATTAGAAAAATGCCAAACGAACCTTCCAATCTTAGATATCTTATGGAAAGTGCTGCTAAATGTTTGAATCTAAAGATTGAAGAATTGGCTAAAATCGTTAAAGATAATTCAATGAGATTTTATGGTTTAAATAAACCAACAGTTTCAGATGAAGTAGTAGAAACTGAAGAAACAAAGGAAACAACAACAACTACTGCAACTACTCCAACATTGAAAAAGAAAGAAGTAGTTGTAGAAAAATCAACCTCAAAGAAATCTGCTCCAACAACGCCAACTACAACTGCACCAAAAAAGAAAGGAGGAAAAAAAGTGATTATAGAAAGTGAATCAAGTGAAGAAGAATCAGAAGATGAAGAAGAATCCGAAGATGAACAAGATGAAGAAGAAAATAATCAAATTTTAAAGAGATTGGATAAGAGTGAATTGGACAATTTATATTATTGTTGTAAACAATGTAGAACTAGATTGTTCAAGATGGGAGAGATTATACAACACGAAGAAAAGGTAAAGGTTCTGGATCACACTAGTAAAAAGGAAAAGTTGCAACAACAACAAGCTAAAAACAAGTCATTGTCTTGTAAATCCATATTTATGACGGTTGGTCAATGGGTAAAGACTGACAAGTTACCAAATATCTATTGTCCACGTTGTGATGCTAAACTTGGATCGTTTGACAATTCAACTGGAGGCGAGCAATGTTCCTGTGGACACACTGCCAAGGGTCTCATTCGTATTCCAAAGAGTCGTATCGAACTTGCTTTGCTTGGTGAGGACGGTGAACTGATTGATCTCTCATTGTTGAACCTTTCCGACGAGGAGAGTGACGACGATGGCACCATCACCAAACCAGGTAAAAAGAAACAAAAAGAAGCAAAAAAGAATGTAAAGAAGAGCAACAAGAGCAATTTCTCAAACTATAGAAACAAAAATACAACCATTCAACCAGTTAAAAAACAACAACAAGCACCATCACAACCAAAATTCCTTGTAGATGATGATGAAGATCAAGAAGATCAAGAACAAGATGATCAAAGTGACAACTAAAAAGACAAAGAAAAAAGAAAAGAAACGAAATTATAGTTAATTATTGATAAAAAAGAATAAACAAAATTAAATAATTAACAACCAATTTTTTTTCAGATGACATCCGAACATTTTTATTGTTGTTGTTTGTTATAATATTATTCTAGCAATCTATATATATATATATATACATACATACACATTTATTTGCATATTTACATACAAAAGAGAAGCAGAAATTTAGTAATTGTAGTTGGTTGTTTGTGCTCGACTATTGGAGAACACCTCACAGCTCGAGCAAGAATAACACGGCACACAGTCACGCTATGTCTGTTTTGTTCACTAATGCTGCTAATCAAGAAACTTTTTTCACCAAAAGATATAGGATTTGTTAAACAACATTTGTGATGAAAATAGGTAGATGCTATAGACCAGTTGATCATCACTCGCAAGGGCTCTAGGGACTACCATGCCTGTTTTATGGATCAATTCATTCGTTCTGTAGGATTGGGTCGTTTGTCCAATGTCTATATTACATTTGCATTCGAACAATCATCCCAATCCTACAGAAAAATGGATAGAATCTACTCATTAATAGTAATAGGTAATAATATTCGTAGTAGTTTTAATTCTTTAATTAGTTCCCAAAATATCTTCTTTTTACCGCCTTTTTTTTTTCCAGTGAACTTCTTTTTGAGTTTTATTTTAAATTCGAAAAGAGTTTTGTGCGCAAAATTTTTCACAACGGTTTCATTTTTATTTTACCTCCACATGTAAGGACAGATATATATTTGATAATTATATATATATTTTGGTTTGCGCGATGATCATAATTTATGATGTTGATGAGATAGATGATAGATGATAGATGATAGACAACACACACACACACACACACATAGTCTAGCAAACACAACAAACAGAGTGGTTGACAAAGAAGAGAGAGAGAGAGAGAGAGAAGAGAAGAGAACTTCACAAACACCTCTTTACCTATCCCACATTTACCACACAAATAATAATAATAATAATAAATTCGAACAAATAATAATGGATGTGACTAATGATCATCATCATCAACACCCTTCTCATTCTCATCACTACACTTTTTTTTTTTTTTGATATTACACCAACACATAAAAAAAAAAAATGTGTGGTAAATGGATATGTATATTAGTTTCATCATCATCTTCATCATCATCATGAGACATCAAGAATAAATGTTCATTTACTAATCATTACTTTTATTTCGTTTTTATGTATGCTTTTCTTTTAATTTTAGAATCAATCTCCTACACCCCCTTTTTTTTTTAATATTCTAGATTATCTTTTTAATTTGTTTGTTTGAACAATCAAGCAAATAATAATAATTTGATAACAAAAAGGTTGTTTTACAACCAATCCTTCACCATTCACCTCTTCAACTACAATATTATTTATTTATTTAGCCCATCCCCTACATCCCCCTCCTCCTCCTCAAAAGATATAAATAGATAGATTAGACAACCAAACAAGAATCTACTATATTATACAGAAAGAAAAGAAAAAGAGATAAGAGTACAAATAGATCATTTTTATTCCAAACAAAAAGAACATATCATACAATGTTTCATTCAGAGTATGAATCGAGACTAAAGTCTCCTTCTAGATCATCACCTTCCAAGACAAAGAATATGACTCCCTCTTCTTCCTTGACCCCTTCCTCTTCCTCGATATACCAAGACCTCATTCGAGAAAACCCTCCCATAGCTCCCCCAAACTTTTATTCTTGTATTCAAGATCCATCATCTAATAACAATAACAATAACAACCAAGAAGAAGATGAAAATACAAACTATAATAATAATAATAATAATAATAATAATAATAATAATAATAATAATAATAATAATAATGTTAAACTCATTAGTAAACAATCTATTCATTTTGCCAATGAAGATACTTATGGCGATCGTTTTATTCCGGTTCCGGTTGGCACCGAATCGCATTGTAAATTTTCAACCATCGATTGCAATTCACCTCGAAAAGGAGGTGGAGATAAACTATCATTGAACCAACAACAACAACGTAGTAACAACCATATTAATCATATCAACAACAACAACACCAACAATAATATCAATAACAATAATAATACTAATCATCTTTTAAATGGACAATCAAACAATAACAATACTGGTGGATTATTAAATGGTAATGGTTCAAATGGTAGTTATAATAATGGTGGTTTAAACAATCCAAGAGATGAAAGAACCTTTGCATACAATCTTATTTTAAAGAATGAGATATTGGGATCACACTCTTCTCCATTGCTATCAATGGATCAATCATCTGCCATACGTTCATTTGACCCATTTTCCACAAATAATATCCTTCATACCCTCTCTTCATCCGTCGCAACCTCCTCCTCATCCTCCTCCTCATTGTTGTCTGTAAATAGCGTATCCCTCACCTCACCCACCTCTCACTCTGCCTCTACCACTGCACCCATCATATCTTCACCGTCGCCGTTGTTGATCAACAGCTGTCTCTTGTCTCCATCATCAATGCAACAACAACAACAAGAGCCATCTATCCTACAATTCAAATCAAAGAGTCGTGCTAGTAGTAGTGCGTGTTTGGATGTTCACTCACCCTACTCTTTGTCTCCACTCAGTGGCAACTCTCAAAAGTTATTGTCGTCTCCGCGCAAACCTCAACGCAAGATCTCCAAAGTGCCATTCAAGGTACTGGATGCACCCGCTATTTCAGACGACTTTTACCTCAACCTTGTCGACTGGAGCAGCCAAAACGTGCTCGCTGTCGGCCTTGAAAAGAGTGTCTATTTGTGGAACGCAGTCAACAGCCAAGTATCCAAGTTGTGCGACTTTTCACAAGATGACAATGTCACCTCGGTCAGTTGGATCGAGCGCGGTACACACCTGGCTGTCGGCGGCAACGACGGTATTGTTCAAATCTGGGACGTGACCAAAAAGAAAAAGATCCGCGAGCTCCAAGGCCACTCGGCACGTGTCAACACGATGGCCTGGAACAGCCACCTCCTCTCCACCGGCTCCAAAGACCGCTCCATCCTCCACCACGACGTTCGTGACAGTTCCAACTATGTCTGCAAGCTACTCGGCCACCGCAACGAGATTTGCGGTCTCAAATGGTCCCCAGATGGCCAACAACTTGCAAGTGGTGGAAATGATAATCTACTATGTGTTTGGGATCATTCAATGAATCAATCATCTTATTTAAATAATAATAACAATAATAATAACAATAATAATTATAACTATAGTAGTAGTAGTAATAATAATAGTAATTATAGTAATAATAATCAAAATAATAATAGTAGTAGTTTTTCATCGCCATCATCATCAAACTCAATTTGTAACAAACCATTGTATCAATTTAAATTTCACAATGCAGCAGTCAAGGCTATTGCATGGTCACCACATCAAAGAGGATTATTGGCATCGGGTGGTGGAACACATGATAAGTGTATTCGCTTCTGGAATACTGGTACGGGTGCATCGTTGCAGTCAATTGACACGGGTTCGCAGGTATGCAACTTGGCGTGGTCCAAAAACGTCAATGAACTCGTCAGCACACACGGATACTCGCAAAACCAAATCACTGTGTGGTCGTACCCCAGCATGACCCCTGTCACTACTCTTATTGGCCATACTAGTCGTGTATTGTATCTTGCCGTGTCCCCCGACGGCACCTCGATCGTCACTGGCGCCGGCGACCAAACCCTCCGTTTTTGGAATCTTTTCCCAAGTTCAAAAGAAAGTTCCGTCTTTTACAACTCTCCAAATTCTCTAGACACCCTTTATAAATCAGAGTTGGGAATCATTAGATAAATCTAAAAGAAAAAAAAACAAAAACAAAAAGAAAAGAAATCTTTATACAAAAAAAAATAAAAATTATAAAAGTTTATTAAAAATTCACATAATTCAAATTAATTAGATAATTTGATTGATCATAGAGATTGATTGACCAAATCAAAAATAGTGGTGGATTTTGCCATCCATCCCACAATGTTTGTTGATATTGCAATAATAGAATTTTTTTGGAAAATTGGTAAATGTATGAGAATTGTTCCACAATTGCTAAATTCTTTGGCTACTATAAATAAATGGGTTGATTGAAATAAAATAATCAGTCATCTTTAAAATACTCTTCAAGAGAAGTTGCAATCGTTCGTTATGAACGCATAAACATTCTCTTACTTCGAATATAATATTACCAAACAAAACCAAATTTCTTTTTACGCCGTGTGTAAATCAAATTTAAAAACTGTTTGTCTAGATGAATATGGGATTCTCCAATATCCATCTAGCAAACACCCCCCCCCTAATTAATTAAAAGAAATAATATTATTCTTTGAGTCACAAACTGGAAATAATTTCTTTCCTTTATCAAAATTGTTTTCCAAAATATTGAGAATATCAAACACGAACATTGATCCTCTGCTTTCAGGATATTTAGTGCATTGTCCTATTATTTCCATTTACAAAATATATTTATTGATTATATCATAGCAGTTGGAGAATATTTCTTTGCAATTAATTCGTGACCGCCACCAGCGTCCGAACATTGGTCCTCCGCTTTCAGGATATTTAGTGCAGTGTTCTATTATTTCCATTTACAAAATATATTTATTGATTATATCATAGCAGTTGGAGAATATTTCTTTACAATTAATTCGTGACCGCCACCAGCGTATCCCGAACCTCCACATACCAATGAAATAACTTGATCACTGTCATAATCCTTTTGACAGGTCAAACATTGCTTTGTCTCCAAAGGTGTTTGTTTTTTGTTGGTTTCATTCAACTTTTCCAAACATGGTGAGCAGAATACATGTCCACATGTCTTTAACGCTTTTAATTTGTGAATATTGGTCAATGTCTTTTCGCAAATTGGACAACAATAACCATTTCCATTATCTACATCTTCTTCGTCGTCGTTGTCTTCATTATTCTTATTGTTATTTGATTTTTGATTTGAAATTGATTTAAATTTAAGAGTAATCAATTGTTTAGAAAGTAATGGGTGGTTACCTTCTGGACAAACAGTATTCATTGTTGGTTTATCAATCGTTTTAACTTGTTTAAGTGGACTTGGTATTAAACTTGACTAAAAATAATTGGACGATAAAAGTAAGAATCTACAAACATCATATGATCACATGTTGTGCATTTGCATGTGTAAGTTACTTACAACCCAAAAAGGATTTGGTTTACCATCTTTATCAAGATGATTGTTATTCGTGTTTGTATTTGTTGTAGATGTACTGCTGGTCTTTTCATTTTCTAAAAAAGTTACATTATTCGATTCAAACTCTTTTAGTTTACTATCCTCTTCTTGTAACTTTTTTTCTTGTTCTTGTTGTTTAATCTTTACTTGTTGTTGGTCCCATTGTTTCTCTTTTTCCTTGTTTGCTTTCTTTTGTTTCAATAGTGATGTCAATATACATTCTTTACAATATATATGACCTTTTGGACTAAACAACATCATAAAGATTGTTAGTTAAACCTATATCTATCTATATATATGTACACAGTAACATACCAACACTGAGGAGTAACAAAACTAGCTAAACATATACTACACGAATCAAAGTCTTTAATTGAATCCTTACCCAAACGAACCTTTGAAGTTCCATACTCTAATTGTTGTCTTTCATGATACGTAAATTGACCTTTTGATGCTGGATTCTTTGAGTGTCTTGGCATATCTATCTGTATTGTACCTATCTCTTTCTCTTGTGATAAAAATAAAAAAAAAAGAAAGTAAAAAAAAAGTATAGATATTCTTCCTTCCCGACTCTCGCTCAATAAATTCTACACTATTTATTTATTTCAATTAATATTTATTTAATTAAAAGAGTACTTGAAATAGAGATACTATTAAATCTATCTGAGATAAGTGAGTTAGCCGATCAAGGGGTGGGTGAACATACAATGCAAACAGAGACACACGATCACCCATTGCTTGTGTATGAAAACAAGATCTAGTAGTAATGTGCTGGTGATGGCGTGATTGGTTGTGCTATCCGTGACCCATTTGGTCGTCATTTTTGTTGAGATTTTATCTTTGACCCCTATTTTCAGTGTGTTCACTGAATGGCTCTGCTTTCTCAACAAACTGATTGTTTGCTCAGGCTCAGTATCGATAACTTTGAATAACTACCTAAACAAACACACACAAAGAAACGAGAGGCCACCACCATCCGATCGGCAACAGGCTACTCATTCAAACCCAAACCCATTTTGTCTAACTTCTCCTTTTCTTCTCCTCAACAAACGAGCAAAGCAGCAGAACCTCTTCAAACATTCCAACAGACAGAAAAGAAAAGAAAGAATACTTTATTATAATAATTTCTCAATGAGGTAAGTTTATTGTCAAACGTCAAAGGGAGAAGAGAACGACATTTGTCCAATCCAACTCGCGAGTAAGGTGTCACCATCACCATCTACGAGAGAGGGTCGCATTTATATTAGTGTCTTTGTCTTATTTATGCTATGTACCCAAGCGTTATATCGCTTTCACCTTTCATTGTCAATCAATATCTCTACCTATCAGTTCACTTGTATTACCACAACACACAGATAACAGATAAAGATATATAGTTATAGCTTCGTTGGTTAGTTGGTTAGTTCAACCATCCCCTTACTTCATTTAGATAATAGATAGTTAACAAAGAGAGAGAGAGAGAGAGATTAATGGTATGGTAATAATAGTAATAATAGTGATAGCTGTCATCAATCGTTATGACGAATCAGAATAATAATCAACGTGGTGTTACCTATTTTGGAGGAGGGGTAGGTGGTTGATAAATCATATTGGATGATCGATCATCGAAATATTAATATTAACCTATGTTAATGATGTATTCTCTGTTTTGGTGTAATCGGTATATCCAGGTGGTGGTTCACACTGAGGAGGGAGAGGGTAAACATTATTATAAATACTTTTCATTCATATAGGTTGTTTTAAAAAGTTTAAAACAAAAAGAATAGAATTAAAAGATGTTTATGTGTAAGCATAATAGAGTTGGGGGTATATTATTATTATATTATTATATTATTTATTATTATTATGACGGTATTAATATTGTTGTGGAATTAATACGGTAAAATGATTTTGTATTTATTGGGTGGGCAACTGGAAAACAATAATAATAATAATAATAATAATAGCACAACTCGCATATAATCTTTTACCACATTCAATCTAGTGAACCAAAAAAGATAGAGAGAGAGAGAGAGAGAGAGAGGAAGAGAGAGAAGAGAGAGAGGTTAACATCACCCCTCAAGATAGTAACATGGAATCAAGAAAAATGTCGTTGGTTTAGTTTGTAAACTATTTAGTTTACCAAACCTACATTTTGGATCAAACCTGTTTTCCCATTATAACATTGTCATATGAACGGACTATCCTCTTATCTTTTTCACCAATCACCAATATCTTACAACCTTTTTTTGTTATTATTATTCTTGTTTTAAAAACAATAATTATTATTATACACCAAGCATAAACATCATATATATTATTTTTTTTAAGCAACAATATTATTATTTATTCCAGGGATATTATTATTATTATTATTATTATTATTATTTCCATCTAAATATATCTCACTCGTCTCTATTGTTATTGTTGAAATTCCCTTTTTGGATATTGTCCGTCCATCCATCCATCTATCCAATCCATTCATTCATCCATCCATCAATCCAATTTCCTTGTTTTTGAAATTATTATTTTAAAAGTTATTAATACTAGTTGTGTGTGTGGAGACATAACATCGCGATTATCACCCCAACCACCCGCGACGACGCACATCGCGCATACACACTCCAATTCCAACTTCATTGTCACTTTATTCGAATATACAACACAACAATAACATTCATACCTCCTTCCCCTTCACAGCTGCCACCTTGTATCACATTCCATCCACACTGTTTTGACCCAACTTCTTTGTACACCCCCTTGTTCCACCACCACACATCCTATAATCAAACAGCAGTTAAAGAAAATGAATTCTAATACTTTTTATCACACCCCTACTCCTCTTCTTCTACCACTGCTCCACTCCTCCATCTGCTCTATTCCAACTCCTCCAGCCATCACCTCGTCCACTTGTACTACTACTACTACAACTACTACAATTAATAGTTCCTCCGATTTCAATTTATTAAACTACAGAATAGCAGCAGCAGCAGAAACAACAGAAACATCACCACCACCACCAACACCAGAATATTTAACAACCCGACTCATCAACCTCATACGCCACTATAACAACAGCAGCAACACTAACATTATCTACAACAAAAACAAAAAGAGAGTTTTAGTCTCCCAAGACGATTTATTATCATCACCTATCTTTGCCAAAAGACATTATTCAAATCAGATCGAAGAGGAATTGGATCATTTGGAACAGATACACTTGGAAAAGACAGCTGCAAACGATAAAAAGAAAATCCAAGATTCAAGTCATCATCAAAAGACAGCTCAATTGATTTACTCTTCACCCACAACACTATCTTTTGCATCACCTATTAGATTGAATGATAACCCTTCCTTTTCTTGCTCTTTTAATAACAAACAAACAGAATCATCTAATCATCATCAACAAACAGAAGAATCATCACCATCATCAACGTTATTATTAGTAAATAACAATCGTTATAATAATAATATTATTAAATCAAAAGCGATTTTAAAACAATCACCTCAACTTGTATTAGTAAAATCAATTGCAATCAAACAACGACCATTGTTGTACGCACGATCCATTTGTACTGAATACTATCAACCTCTAAAAATGGCACCCCAACAAATCAAGTTGGTCACTCCTCCTCCATCTCCAAGAGTGTTGGCCCCAACTTTGGTCAATAGTAGTAGCAGCAGTAGTAGTGCTTCTTCTACTGAACAACAACAACAACAGCCATGTAAAAAGTTTGAAAAGAATCTTTGGAAACCAACATTATGTAGTTTTTGTTTCAATTCTATTGATAAACATCAAAATCTTGATATTGATTCAATCAATAATAATAATAATAATAATAGTAGTAATAATAATATAGTTTTACCACAAACACCAAGAAAAATGATATCAGTAGTAACTTCACCACCCATTTCACCATCAGTATCTGTTAGTAATTCACGTTCATCATCGTCATTGTTGATGGATCAATCATCATCAGTTCCAACAACTCTATCCTCCTCCACCTCCTACACCTCCACCTCTTACTCATCACCTGTACAAAATTCAAGTTCTCCTGGAGGATTACATAGAAGAAAACCATCCAAAGCATCTATAGAAGACATTCAATTGGAATCGTTGCAACTCAATATTCCAACACCTCAACAATTCACTCAACTTGTTCCGAAAATAACAATTATTGCATCGCCAACAGAATTCCAACCAATCAATCAACAACAATCTTCACAGGCTATTATTAAAATGGTGCCAATCTCTAGTCAACAGAATAACAACAACAAATCAAACCGAAAATCAGTATCAATCACCATATCAACTTCGACATCTTCGTCTTCATTGATCAACAATGAAACAGATGCAGTTGTAGGTGTCACTACTTCATCGTCTCGTTCATCGACCAGTATATTGTCAAAGGAGACTTCAACCGATTCATTGTTATCAACCACTATTTTAACAACAACCACAAGCTCAACTGTTCCATTTCAAGATGACCAACAACAACAACAAACATTGGCCAATGGTAATGGTTGTTCATCTCCATTATTGTCAACTTCACCACAAATGCCAAACTCTGCCAATTGTTCACCCATGATGTCATCTAAAAAGGCTCCAACTACAATGACCACTACCACAACCTCTTCAACATTGACCACTCGATTACCAAGACTACAAATTGGCAGTCTTGAAAACCAACAAGCTGGTGATGCCAAGGTTATAGTCCCACCACTTACTCTCAAACATCAATCAAGTACTGCTACTCAAGAAGATGAGGAAGAAGAAGACGATCCATTTGCAGATTTTGAGGATCTTGTTGATAATACTCCACGTGGAGGATCAACTTCAACCACTACAACTACTCACACTACCACGACAATTGATAATGGCAAGCTTGAAACTACTTCATCTCAGTCGACTACCACCATCCTCTGTAGTCCACGCAAGCTAGACACTACAACTACCACCACTACAACCAGTACATCGACATCTTCGGCTCCCTCACCATCCTCTACCATTTCATCGGGATCATCATCCAAGGCCAATTCCATGGGAAGCAGTCTAAGCTCATTCCTCAATGCAAAGAAAAAATCACCCTCTACCGTCCTCGCCAAAAAGACTAGTGGTATGATGAAAATGGATCAATACGCAGAAAGTGAAGATGACTGGGACCAAGGAATGGATCTTTCATCATTCCTCAAGCAAAAGAATCGTGTAAAAGACTTTAGCTACGCAAACAACAAAATAATGGAAATATCAAGCGTAAAGGAAGAGGCTCAAAGACAATCTGTCGATTTTGGTGGAGGTATTCACCCAAGTGCTTTCGCCGCGTTCAAAGAAGTCCTACAAGCAAAGGAAACCCAAATCCAACGTGCCATTAAATCAAACAAAATTGATAGCGATGAAAGTACCATGTTGATTGAACATATCCAAGGTGTAAAGGAATTGTTGGAAAGATTATTAGCAATCAATGAAAAACGTGATCAAAAATTACAACAAAAGAAATTAATCAATAATAATAATATCAATATCTTAACAACAGCATCTTAAAAAAAACAACAAATTATCTAGAATAATAATAATAATAATAATATCAAACCAAACCAAACAGTAATACTAACAAACCAGAACAAACAAACCAAACCCCAACCTAACAACAAATAATTATATAACAGAGATAATTATATCGAATACTTTTCCCCTCCAAACTCATATATTGAATGAATGTATCAATAATAAAAAACCCCAATTGTAAATATTACTCAAGAAGAATTATTAAATATATATTTGTTCCTTTATTTTATTATATGTCATTCGGTTAGTTTGGAGTTATAGTTACGGCAGCCATTGTAATATCAGTTTTTTTAATGAGTGATTGTAAATTGGTTGATTGTTGATGGTCTTGACCATAACAGATGGATGCTACTTGGTGGGCCTTGAGATAATATTTGTGTGATTCTGCCAAATAGTTTCTCATTGCTTGTGGTGAGACAATGGTGTTTGATTGTTGTTCCTGTGCATTCATTCTCTGTGAGACACACCAGATGAATAATTGTTCAAAGAGTTGACCAATTGTTTTGTAGCAATCTACCAACTCGCCTCTATCACACTGGAGAACATTCTTGACCAATCGTTTGACCACTTTAGCATGGTAAATAGATTCGTTGAATTGTTGTAATTTAATGTATGCATTGGACATGTGAAGATGGTATTGCAAACGAGCATGATGGTTCTTGTGAATCTTGTTTTCTAATTGTGCCATTGTCACTGATGCTTGCTCGACAAATCTATCTGCATTTTCACGATATGATCTCTTTTCAAGGTACTTTGTAAATGATACTAGTTGATCTTGAATATTTTTAACGTGACTCTCTGAAGCTGTACCAGTACAATCATCACAACCCCATGTTACGGTTAGACTTGTTGATCCATCCTCCTTATTCTCTTTCTTTCCAATTAATGGTGCAATCCATGATTGACAATCCTTTCCAACACAATTTATACTCGAAAGATGGCAATCCTCACGAGTACTACATCTTTTGCATTGACAAAAGAAGTTCTTTGATTTTAACAATCCCAATTGACGTTCATAAGTTGGTAACAATAAATCAACATAACTGTCATATATACTATCATCTTTATCCATATCCTTGACTACTCTCATTTGTAACTTGTCTCCTAAATAAATAGAACAATTAGTATCTTGTCCTAGCCTATCCTTACTCTTCTATTTACATACCATTAAAAGAAAAGAAAGCATTTGGTTGACAAGAATGATTTAAAAGGGCGGCTTGATAAAAGAAACCATTTGTAATGGTTGTATTGTTGGAGGTTTCACCAAACGAGTTTGTGATGATGGTGCAAGCAGTGTTTACAATCTCGTCATGATCGAAAAAGGAGAGAAGCGATTCTTCAACCTTGTCATTGACCAAATACTTGTTGAGAGTGTCGGCAAAGCGTTGTTGCTTGGCGAGCCATGTTGGATTGTTTGTTTTGAATGCCTCTCTGTTGGATGATAATCGACCGACAGTCTCGTTGAATCGATCGTTTTCAACATGCTTCTTGATGAGAATACGTAAGAGTAACAATGCAAAATACAAGTCGATTCCTTCCTCTCTTGAAGCTTGTTCTGTACGATTGATAAACGAGCATTCCAATTGATGTACGATATCCGACATACACTTTTCAGTGCAAAACTTGTATCCACAACCATAGGTACATTCTACAGACGAGGTGACAGCTGTCTTTTCGGTAGGAGTAGTAGTAGTAGTTGCTTGTTTCTCTACTAAACTACTACAACACAACATACAAAGATTCGAAGTCAATGACAATGGGATAGATGCAAATGATTGCTCTTCAAACAACAGTGACCCTTTTGTCATTGATTCGCATGACTTGACATCACGACCAATCTCTTTGTTTGTCTCATCTATTCTATATGACATGACTACTACTACTACTATTATAGTGCTATCTTTATAACTAACTAAGCTTTCGACTAATCTAGAAATTTGGATGTCGACCCATCGGTCGTTTTTTTTCGTCTAATGCATATTCAAAGACGACAATCAGATAAATCAATAAATATTTTTTAAAAAGTATTTATACTCTTTTACTTTTATGAATACTAATTGTTTGAATTAAATTTAAATTGATTTATTTAAAGTTTGATTTTCAAGTTCTCTTATACCCTTTGCAATTTCCTCGATATTTTCATCTGATCCTTTCTTTTTAGCAATCTTTAAAATGATACTGATAAACTCTGGTGTCAACTTTATACGTTGTGAAACAATGACTCTAAATATTTTCATCACCTTTTCAAAATCACCTTGAATACCAACAATTAATCCTGTATAATCTTTAATACTTGGTCTATTAAAATATTAAATAACGGTTAAGGTAAATAAATCAATCAATATTATTTATACTTTTTCTATATCTTTCTTTTTTACATACTTTATATTTAAAACCTTCATTTCCAATAATAATTCATAAGCTTTTTCAAATCTTTGTAATTTTGAATAGGTTGGTATTAAAACTTGGAAAGTATCCTTGTTTGGTAATATTTGATATCTTTCCATATATTTTATGATACGATCCATAAATACATCGACATCATAAATATTTTCTTGTTTCGTAGATGCAATACGTAAAACTAATCTAAAAAGTGAATTAATCAATCCAACATCTGGTCTAACATTATAATTAATCATATCTTCAAATAATTCTAATCCTTTATCAATCTAAATAAAACAAAATTAATACAATATATTATTTATCTCTCTAATATATATATATATAGTTTACCTTATTTGTATAACAACAAGTAGAAATTAAAATATCATAAGTTTTTGTATCACTTTGAATATCTTTTGTATAATTCATTTCTTTAAAGGTATCGTAAACTTGGAATACACCTTGTGGATTATTTGTAAGTTTACAAGCGTGTAATACTGTATTGATGAAATAACGATCGACCTTGACATTACTCTTTTTGAGTAGTTTAATGATTCCAGTGTATTTTTCTATTTGTTTAACACCGTCTGATCGCAACTCGTCCAATTCTTGTGAATTGTGTGATGTGTTGATTGTATGCAACAGGCCAAACTTACTTTCGAGGAATCCAGTTCGTTGTTTGTACTCTTCAGACATGGCAACGACCAATGTTGTGTAGGTTGCAATGTCGGGCTTGACACCTGCCCCTTTCATATTATTGACAAACTCGAGTGCCTTGTCATGCTGACCGACATACACCAATGCCTTCATGACAATATTGAGAAAGGTGGTGGTCATTGCAACATCATACTTTTCACACTCTGCAATCACCTTGTCGACACGTTCACCAATTCTCTCGTTTGATATGCCACGTGCAGTAGTACATGTCTGTAGGAGATGTGCCAACGTGTAAATAGAAGGTTTGAGTGAATCCTTTTTCATTTGATTGTAGACGTGCCATGACTCGTTAAACTTGCCTGAAACGGCACACGCCAACAATAGATTCTCGTAGGCAAATACAGTTCTCTTGTTTGTACCCAAATACTTGTACAATGTACTCGCTTCTTCATATCTACCCAATTTACTAAGTTTCTTAAAGTAATCTACTTGTGATAATTTACGATCTTCGGGTGACCGTTCCAATAGTTTTTGATCATTTGATGTATATTCAGCATCTCTTCTTCTTGTCTTTACAATCGAATCAATTGCTTGTTGATCTGATCGTTTTATATATGTTGATTTCTTCTTTATTATTGGTTGTTCTGATGTTGAAGAAGAAGGAGGAGGAGGAGGAAGTACATTTGATTTAATCTTTTTAATTGGTGATGTTGTACAATATGAAATCGATTGTAATGAAGAATACAATGATGCTGATGAAGTACATCTAACTACACTTTGTGTCCATCTTGATAACATCATCTCTTTATCTCTTTATGTCTATCTCTGAGTACTCTTTCAATTATTAAATAAATACTTGAAAATCTCGTAGTCGAGTCGTCTGAATGAAAATACAATATTTACTATATATATTTAATAATTAAGCTTAATCGATCAAAAAAAGAGTCTTTATTCACAAAAAGGTGTATTTAATATAGGTTGAGTTGAGTTGGTTTGGTGGATTAAGATGATTGATATACCAATTTACAGTGATGAAGTACTACTAGTGTCACATATTGTGTGTTGAGGTTAGTAGGTTGGGTTGAGTTGAGTTTATGTTTGTATGTTTGTTTGTTTGTTGTATGTTAAAGGTGAATTGTTTAAATTCCTTGGTATGGTTCTTGGTACTTTGGAGCATTGTTGTATTGATCAGATGATGCAGAGCTAGACATGTATGGGTTTGGTTGTGGTTGGTGTGAAATGACGTTGTTTGATCCAGCAGCAGTTCTGTAAATATTGTCTCTAATGTCAAAGATGGAGAGAACGACCTCAGCCATGATTCTACCTCCAAATACAATACCAATAAATTGAATAATACCATACTATAAATAAATATTTTAGAATCAAGGAGGGAAGATATTAGCAATGAATGACGACGAGTATTATCTAAAGTCGAATTATTGATTGATAGTTACAAGAAGACCGAGGAAGAAACCACCAGCCTTGAAAGCAATGGTATTAACAACAATCTCTGAAATAAAGAGGATGAAACCAACAATGAATAAGAAATAATAAACAAATGGTACAAGACCGCTTGCTTGCCATGATCTAGAGATAGATAGATAGATAGATAGATAGATAGATAGATAGATAGATATATAGATAGTAATGTGAATAAATGTTAGTACAACTATATCTATCTACCTTTTGTTTGTTTCATGTGTATGTATGTATGTATGTATGTATGTATGTATGTACCTAAAGTAGATCAACTCTCTCCAGTTCAAAAATGTGTCTGGGAATGGACTTTCAGAGGAGTCTCTTGGACCTAAACCAACGTATTTTCCTGATGATGACATTGTTGTTGTATGTATATATATATATTAGATGATGATGATGATGATGAAATATCTGTTAATCTATAAGTCTATAGAACTGAAGTAGTAGTAGTTATTTATATGATTAATTTTGGTATGTTTTTGAACACATTGCTTCTTCATTCTCTCAAAGTCAAGAAAAAAATAATTAAAAATAAAAATAAAAAAAAAAGACAAAGAGATTTCTTCAAGAGACAAAGAACCATTCATGTCATTATAATAATTAAGTACTTACCTCAAGTCTAATAGGTGACCTATAGACCATCTTGAATTCAAAGGAATCGATTAATGACAGTCAACAACAACAATACTACAGCCGACGACGAGAGTTTAGATATTCTATTCATCGACGATCGAATAGTCGTCTCTACCGTCTACAACATCATCAATTTAAACAACACTTGCTTTTGCAAGAAACAAACATAGATAAGGAATCAAACAAATATGGGTACCTGTCAACTGTCAACTGTCAACTGTCAATTCGATCGAATGGTGATAGTTGTATCGTACATGTGACTGTCTGTGTCTGTCTGACTTGTCCATCCATCTTGTCTATCTATCCGTATCTCAATTTTGGGAAAGATTCAATCACATGTGTTCTTATTAATTAGCATTTAATTACTGTTAAACGCATGATCAGTCACTCGTCAACTCGTATGTCTCTGCATAAATGAGTGTGTTGTGGTGGTCTATTGTTCAGTCAGTAGTTGGAATAGATATAAACTAGTATTTTGTTTGTTCAATTGTAGTGTAATAACAAAAGGGGGGTGGGTAATATTAATATAATATTATATTTGCGTGATCAAGAATTAGAATTAAGGAACAAGCGTGGTAGGTCGATATACAGATTCGAATTATTTATTTCTTTGTATTGTTATTGGGTTTGGTGATCAGATAAGTTATTATTAATATTTACGATTATTATTATTATTTTTTATAATCATCCCACCAACATTCATAAATTATATAAGCAGAGTTTGCTACTATTCTATTATTACTTGTTGTTGTTGTTAGAGAGGAATAGGAATCACTCATGGATTTATAATTATTATTTTTGTTGTTATTTAATTGGCCACCACTTTTTAGTAAATATGGATTTGATGAAAAAATACCTAAAAGGAAAAAAAAAAAAAGAAATAATAGTATTAGTATCATAATATATAGTTTTGGAAATTCAAATTAATAATATTTACTTATTATTGACATTGTTTATTTATTTATTTTGGGAAAAAGTTTTTATTGGATCCCAAGAGTATTATATTTTATATTATATATATATAGGTGAATCGAATAAATTTTAATTGTTAAACAATTAAATTGGAAATATTTGGTTGGTTGTTTGCTTGGTTGGTTGGTTGATTAATTGAATGAATTAATTAAACAATTATTTAATTTCTATTTATAGAGTTGAGGAAAGAAGAAGGGTTGTTTGAAGTTGTTTTAATTTCAATATCTGTCTAGCTTCCACCCTACACCCTATTCATCTCATACAACTTACATTTATTTATACTTTGAATTAATTTATCCAACAACTCTTTTGTCTTTTTTATTATTTCCTCTTTGCACTCATGATATCATCCTTAAATTATAAAGTCAGTCAACATCACAAACCCCTACTTATCTGGATGATTTGCCCACTGATGTGTTGAGCTAAGGACAATTGTTTATAAAAATAATGATTACCATTGTTTGGGTAAATAATGCTATTTGTTTTTTTTGATTCTCTCTTTCTCTACTCTATCACTATTTTTAATTGTAGATTGTTGAGAAAAAGTCTATTCAATTCTATTATCCATCCAATGAATGGAATATAATAAATTGACAAGGTTAAAGGCTATTTTATCATGAATATGTTTTAATCTCCTAAACTATATTATATCAACCCCATCCCATCCCATCACTATTAATGATGGGTATAAATATTAACATGTCTTGAATAAAAGGTATACCCCTCTTTCTTTTGGAAAATTCAAAGCCACTCGTTTTTGATCCATTACTTGCTCCTCCAATTCTGACATCATCCACAATCCTCATTTCAACCCTTTCTACATCATTTGATAATATCACCTATCAACCATAATAAATTTGTGTCATTTGTTGTTGATTTGAAACCCCGAATTTTGGTCGATTGATCAACAGATTGATTTTGTCAAAAAATGACTATTCATCAATTGAGAAACGAGTGAGGAGGAAGTGTGATAGAGAATAAAATAAAATAGATGGATCTTATTATTATATAGATTGATTGATTGATTATTATTTCTTTTCTACATTATTTTTTTGTGTTTTATGGTGATTATATTTATTCCATTTTTCAAAAATAAAATAAAGTTGTTGTAATCTTGTTATTATAGGTAGGGCTGTAGGTGATAGTGGTTGTTTATATAATATATATATAATCTATCTATATCTATCTTTTATCTATTCCATAGAGTGTATTTTGATTGGTGTGTGTGTGGTGTGTTGAGGAATATGACATCAGCTGATAAATCATTTACTTTGCCTTTGAGTATCTCTCGGCAACATTACTCCAGTTAACAATTTGCCAAATGTTCTTCAAGTAGTCAGCTCTAGCATTCTTGTACTATTGAAATTAATTAATTTCATTTAATTTGATTTCATTTAAAATTCAACCAATTGATCAATCAATCAATCAAAATTAAATTTAAATTTAAATTTAATTAAATCGGTCGGTAAACAAACATTAGTAACCTTGTATACATTATATATATATATATATAATCCAGTTGTTTTTTAGTGACTTGATACATACTTGAAGATAGTAAGCATGTTCCCAGACATCAATACCCAAAAGTGGAGTTAAACCAATGGTAGAGAGTGGATCTTGATTGGCACAGCTAGAGATGACAAGCTTGCTATTAGCCTTGTCATAGCCCAACCAACCCCAACCTGAACCTTGAATGGCAACAGTTTGAGCATTAAACTTTTCAATAAACTTTTCAAGTGAACTATATATATATAGAACAACAAGAGGAATGAAATGTAAGTAAGAGATATGAATCATAATCATCATTATTATTATTATTATTATTATAAGTTTTACATACCCAAATTGTTGATTAATGGCATCAGCGAGTGGACCAGATGGAGATACACCACCTTGAGCATTCTTTGGAGCAAGGTTAGTCCAAAAGATGCTGTGATTGACATGGCCACCACCGTTAAACTTGATGGCAGATTGGAGACCAATCATGGCAGCAACGTCCTTGGCAGACTCTGCAGCAGCATACTTTTCAAGAGAAGCATTCAAGTTGGTGACGTAGGCTTGGTGATGCTTCTTGTGATGAATCTCCATGATCTCACCGGCAATGACCGGTTCAAGTGCTTTGTAGTCGTATGGGAGGTCTGGCAATGTGTAAGAGGTTGATGTTGAGCCATAATATCTGACTGCACCTCTTAAAAGGTTGGTTGATGTAAATCTACTAATCATTGTTATTATTGTTAATTGTATTTGTACAGTTAGTTAAAGAAGTGATTAGTTACTGTTAGCAAGATTTGCAACCCAGCTGCGATCTTCACCAAAGCAATTTTTGATTTTTTTTTCAATAACCCTTGTCAAATATATAATCCTAAAAAGGAAACTGGACTGATGCTATCATTGTGTTCGAATGTACTTTGACAAAGTAATCATTATTCATTATTCATTGTGTTCATAATTTCAAGTCTAATATATCTCTGTTAACCCTAACTAACCTAACTCTAGAGTATAATGGTTGATGTATAGAGAAAGATAAGAGATGGTAATGATAATATAATAATGATGGATGATATATATATGTTAGATTCATTATAATAACAAAATAATAATAGAAATATAATAGTATTATACTATTATACTCTTTTTGTTTGATGATTTTTTTTTATTTTTTTTTATTTTTTTTTTCCTCTTCAAAGAGATGAATGGATTCAATGAGCTTTTGTTTAAAGATAACTTGTAGTCAGCAACGATAGATAGATAGATAGAACAATATAACAACTATGGGATTATTCAATCTTTCAAGATCAAAGTCAATTAGATTCCTAAGAAACTTTCAAAAGTTCAACTATGTAATCTATGGAGTTTCAATGACTGCTACTTGTGTACTACTTTACAAAGAGACACGAGAACACAAAGAGAACTTTATCAATCAATATGCAGATGCTGCTGAAGAAGATACCACAACAAAGTCACAACCTGCAACTACTGCTCAATAATCATCATCAATGTGATCATACCTACTTTCACAACAAGTCTCTTACTTTTTAAAAACGTGCTTATCAAAAATAGACCCAGATAAAACGAACGAATCTATGGATATATATTGTTCATCATATCGATTCCGGATTGGAATTGGTGATGGATACACAACCCTAACTCCAACCTCACCATCATCATTTCAATCGATAATGAATGGATTGGTAATCATTCAATCATCTGAATGAATGGTGATAAATATAACAATTGTAAATAAAGAATAATATAACACAAAGCAAAGATATACACATATATATATATACGTACATATATGAAAGAGTTAGGATTAATAATACAAGGGGATGATTGATATTTTTTATTATTATTAATTTTTTTTATTTTTTATTATTATTATTTTTGAAAAAAACGACGAGGGTAAGAAAAAGGGTATTTGTTATTACTAGTTATTATTATTATTACTATAATGTTCTTTTTTTTTATCACTTTTATAAGAGTGATTAGTGTGTGTGTCTGTGGTTGTTGTATTGTTATGACACTACTCTTGTTATGTTGTTGTTTGTTGTTGGTTGTTGTTTGTTATTATGTACGAGGGAAAGGTTGGGGAAAGTGAATGGGTGATGATGATGAGATGTGAGACGATGGTTGTTGAGGGAGGTGAGGAGGGATTAAAAATGATTACAATAAAACACAGCTAGACTTCTTCTTGTCCTTTGTTGGACCGACTGGGTTCTTTCTGTTGATTTGACGGATGAGATCGTAGAAAATTTGTTCGACATTGATCTTGTTCTTGGCAGAGGCTTCCAAAAACACACATCCTGAAAACTTACGAGAGAGTTCCTCTCCTTGTTCGGTGGTGATGACACGTTGATCGTGGAGATCGCACTTGTTACCAACCAAAACCATTGGGACATCTTCGCAGTCCTTGACACGGAGAATTTGTTCACGGAGATCTGGGAGTTCGTTAAAAGTAGAGTTGGAAATGATACTGTAGACGAGAACGAAACCTTGTCCATTCTTCATGTAGAGATCTCTCATGGCTGTGAATTGTTCAGTACCGGCAGTATCCAAAATTTCGAGCATACATTGATTTCCATCAACTTCAACTTGTTTACGGTATGAATCTTCAATAGTTGGATCATACTATAATAATAATAAATAGAAATAAATATGAATAAAAGAGAGATAGAAAGTAAGTTAATATAACAGTCTTGTCATTTTTAAATAACATTATTATCTTATTTTGTTTGTTTGTTTGTATCTCTATTTGTTTTTTTTTTTTTTTTTTTGAATCTAATCTTATCGATTTTTGTTTGTCCTATGTCTTGTCCTTTGCATCTACATATATATCTCATCGCATGATACTTTATGATTATTATTATTATTATTATTATTAATGATTATTTATATTTAGTCATTTTGATACCTGCCTTTTCAACAAAAATACCTTGTACGAATTGTACGGTAAGTGCGGATTTACTATTAGATGATGGATATGATAAAGTAGTTATATAGATATGTTAGTTTGGTATTCATCTGTCTGTTTGTCTGTTTGATTGATTGTACATACCCAACACCACCTGAACCTAAAACGACGATTTTGAATTCTCTGAGAGGCATGTTATTATTATTATATATGTTTGTTTTTTTTTTTAAAAAAAGGTGAACTGTCTTGTTGTTGTTGAGGAGGAGAATAAATAAAGAATCTAACGGTTTCGACTAAAGTTTATCGCGCGCTAAGCTAGTTTTACTATACAAGTGATCTGCTGTTTGGTATTGTTAAAAATATATATATATATATATAATGGTTCAAAAATATAAATATAATGTTAGTAACTGTGTTAAGGCGAGTAAAAAAAAAAAAAAAAAAATAAATAAAAAAAAATCCAACTATTTTGTCGAACTCAGGTGGGGAGAGGTTGTTGAGAGAGCAAGAGAGTGAGTGAGAGAGGTGGTGGGGACAGAACAGAACGTGTGATGATGGGTGGGGGGTAGTATTGTTTGATTGATCAACCAGTAGAGTAGTGTAGAGTAGAGAGCATGCATGATATCGTGCGTTATATCTATCCCTTCCCTCCTCCTCCTCCTATCACAACACTCTATTTGATTTATATATACTACTATATATTTTGTTGTTGGTTACCAACCAATAATTCGATGAACACCAACCAATATAATATATAATAATAATAATAATAATAATAAAAAAGATTGTTCTTTTAATAACAACAAATAGTTATTTTTAAAAAGAAAAGAATCATCATCTCTATGTCTTATTATTATTATTATTGTTGTTATTATTAAGTTGTTGTATTATTATTATTATTTGTTTGTGTGTATATTATTATTATATGTCCAAGTGGTTGGTGATGTGATGCGATGTTTGTGTGTTGCTCACTTTATATCTATTGATTGTTGGATGTTTACGTTTACAATGATGATGATGATGGTGTTTATAAACTATAAATAATCTACCTTTTTTAACAGTGTTTGCAAAAAATATTAGTGAGAGATTTTAAAGGTGAGTTGCTTTGTTTTGTTTGATGAGAGGGCCACCAAGTTTAAAAAAAAAAAAAAAAGAAAAAAATCAATCACCAATTTTCAATGAATGTTTGGGGATCGCATGCAGCTGTGAAAAGAAAGATGGGTACCAATAAAGACAAAAGATAAAGATGGATCATGGGCCGGGTAACTTAATAGATTCGATTCATCACCCATCCATTCCCTTTTTTGATCTTTAATTAATATAATACTATACTACACAAATTATAACAATGATATATATATGTATGATACAAACCTATTCTATTTCTATTATTATCTTTTTGATAATAATGATGATATGATATAAATATATATCTTTATTTCTTTGAAGATTGGATGCTAACTAATAATATATTTATGAAAGAAGATGTACTAAAAGGAGGATAAGACTCTCTCTGTGTTGTTGTGTTTTTATAATAAATATGATTTACAAATTTGTGATTGATTTAAGAAAATGAGGGTAACTTTTTTGTTGTTGGATTAACAACGTTGTTGCACCAAAGCCAAACCTTTCCTTTCGAATTGATCGATACACATTAATTTGGTTCATACCCCTTTTTTTAGGGGAATGGTTTCACTTCACACAATAAAGTGACACTACCAGTATGGGGTAGGGGGTGATCATTCTGTCGGTTGGTTGGTTGTTTAGGTAGGGTCTGTTCGCTGTCGGTGTTTATCTTCCATCCGTTGTTGTTACTCTCTATCCATCCGCTACTCATCCAAGCTGTCTCAGCTTCCAAACAACAACTACGAACTTAAAACTTCAAACTAAAAAATTCAAAGATAAAATCCAACAACATACTCTAAAATTAACCTCACTCTGTCGGCTTGGCAACACTTCACAGCTTTACTTTTGTTGTTGGCGAATATAGGCAAAAGTATACTCCTATCCTTTCTATCCTTCTCAACCTTGGTAGTTTTTAGTACCTCTATCCTCTATCCTCTAAATATTAATCTTCTTCCTTTGCCTTAGATAAGCTTACAGAGTATCTTTGATAGATAGATAGAGAGTAGTCTAGTCTAGTCCAGTACACAACCGTTCATTCCACTTCCTCATCATCCTCTTCGACAAACCACACATAATATCCGATATTCAAAAACATCGGTTACACAGTTTTTACTCTCTCACGTTGTTTATAAAAACATTTACTTCTACACCCTAACAACACATACACATACACATACAATATAATATATTTATAGTACATCTTTCTTTCTTTTTGTGTGTGTGGTTATTGGTGTCTCCTTACTCGCTTACAATCACAACATTATATTATATATTATATATTCGTCGATAAAGAAGTGTAAAAGAGTTGTTGCTTTGCTGCTGCTACTACTACTACTGCTTAACAATATTATAAATCAATCATTCATTTGTGTTTTATATGCTTTTATATTTATATTCTAGTAGTTTGTAGTATTTTATTATTTTAAATCATCATTGACCCTTTATGTATAATTAAACAAAGAGTTGGTTAGTCGTTTGTCAAACACCAACAACAACAACAACAAAGAAATCACATATACAACTCTTAGAGAGAGAGAGAGTTGATCAATTCTATAAATAATGGTAACAACAGCACCTTCATTGGTAGAACTATGTTTCCTGACGATTATGGAAAAGATAGAGTACAACAATGACGATCTTCAAAGAATCCCATTAAACTTGATTGAAAAGATGATTGGATTCATGGTATCAAAACTACAACCTTCCATTGACGCGTCACTCCAAACTCGTCCTATACGTATCAAATTGGTGAGACAGAATCGTTGCATCACCATGAAATTCTCTGTACACTCTAATATCGACAAGATCATTCATCAAATCTATGATCGTGTAGTCAATGAAGAGAAACATGACTTTTTAGAAAAGACACTTAGGACAAGACAACAAAATAATAATAGTAATAATAATAATAATAATAATAATGGTCCAACCACTAACAACTCCTCTAAAAATACAAGTATATCACCACCAGTATCACCTGGTAGATCAAATCAACAAGATTTAACAAGTACAACGAGTACTACAACAACAACAACAACTACCACTACAACTACAACGACAAATAATAATAATAATACTACTAGTCCAAATTTGGAGGAGTTGGATAGTTTAATTGATAGTGATGATCATGGATTTATATCATCATGGGGAGATATAACAAATTATGGATTATTTCAACAAGTTGGTCAATTTAGAAATGCAAGATGGTTAAACCTTGATCGTACTTTGGCAGATTATGATATCGATCCAAATGAAACATTAGAGTTTAAGAATACAAAGAGTGTTTTAAAGATTAAATTTAATGGACCGTGGGAACGTGTAGTACATCCACTTCATCAATCGACCATGTTGCTCGATGAAACCATCAAGACATTTATCGTGGACGAGAGCAAGACAGTCTCAGAGATATCTCGTGACCTCGGTCGTAAACTATCACTTCGTTATCCAGAAGAGTTGTCACTCAAGAGACAATCGACAGATGACCACGACCTCGGTATTTGGTTGGTATCGGATCTTACTCTACCCGAACAAGGAATAGATCCACTCTATTCCATCTTTTTCCTCAAACGTCAATTTTTCTACAGCAAGGATGTTATTATCGACTTTTCAATGGATCCTGATATGTTGCATTTTGTGTTTTGTCAATGTTTGGATGCCATTATTGACTGCAGTCATCCGTGCTCTGTCAATGAAGCCATCCTCTTTGCAGCACTGCAATGTCAAATTTGTTTTGGAAACTATCGGTCGGGTGTGGTCGACTCTCTCCGACTCAAAGATTTCCTGCCGACAGAGTACATTAGTCAAAAGAATATTCACAAGGAGATCGTATTGCAATACCAAAGACTCAATGGCATGAGTGAACAAAAGGCTAAATTAAATTATATCCAATTGGCAAAATCACTCAAAACCTATGGCTACACATTCTTTAAAGTCGAATCAACTACCACCAAATCATCATCATTTACATCTTCCCTATCTTCAAGTAATAGTAATAGTAATTTTGTTTTATTTGGTATTTCTTCTGAGGCAATTTTAATTTTAGATCCTGAAACTAAAGTATGGACAAAAAAAACAAAAGAAAAAGAAAATATATATTCTAATATTTTCTTTTCTATTTTCTATTTATAGAATACAATTCATTTATATTCATTGGCAAATGTTAAAAAGTATCAAGTTTTAAATAATGTATTTTCAATTGATTTTGTTAGCAAAAAGGAAAAGTTTATTTCAGTAGAATCAGAAGCAATTTCTTATGTATTGTCATCTTATATTCATTATAATCTAAGAAATTCTCCTTCTGTTCAAAAACAATGGGATTTAAATTATATCAATATTGCAAAATTAACTGCAAGAAGAAGGTTATCTTCAAGTTCAAATACTTCAATTAGTGAAATTTTAGAAAAGAAAAAAGGTAAAAAATTATAAATATAATAATATTTATTTATTTATTTATGATATTAATATATTTTCTTTTTTTTTTTAGAATCAGAAGGAGTAACAAGTAAAAAATGTCCTTTATATATTGAACCAAAGAAATTATATTTAAATCCATTATTTACTTTATTAAATGATGAATCATCATTGACTAAAAAGGAATTATTTAAAGATACAAAGGTCACCAAGGTAATGAGAGCATTATCTGATCTATCATCAAAGATGATTCAATCATTTTCAAATGGACGATCAAATATGGGTAGCCAGGAAAGAGATATTGTAGTTAAATTCTCTGATAAAAAGGTAAAGACCTTTGTAGTAGATGAATCTAAAACTATCTCTGAAATCACACAAGAGATAGGAAATCGTGTGGGTATTAAAAATACAGAAGAATTTTCTTTACAAATTCAAGTTAATTGTAATAATAATAATAATAATAATAATAATAATAATAGTAGTAATAATAATAGTTTAAATATTTTAAATTCACCACTTTATAATGTAATTAATAATAATATAAATATCAACAACAATAATAATAATGTGAATAATAATAATAATAATACTAATACTAATAATAATAATAATAATAATAATAATAATAATAATAATAATAATAATGTAATTAATAATTTTGTAAATAATAATAGTAATAATAATAATAATAATAATAATGGATTTTATGGTAATAATAGTTGGATAGCAGGATCAATGGGAGATGAATTATCAGATGGTAGATGGTTAAGACCTTATGCACCATTAAAAGATCAAGGAGTTACGCAGGATGCCAAGTTTATGTTTAAAAAGAAGTTTTATACAGATTCGACATCAGAGTCTGATTGTAATAGTGATCCAGTCTATTTCAATCTTTTATTTTTCCAATCTCGTGACGCCATCATTTCAAACACCTATGCCTGTTCAATGGAGGAATCAATACAGTTGGCTGCCACACTGTTCCAAATCAATTTCGGTGACCACAATCCAACCATTCACAAGTCTGGTTTTCTCAAGGCACAGGATCTCAAGTTCTTTTTGCCATCGGATTGTCTAGAGTTGTGGGGAATGAGTTTCCAAAAGATTGAAAAGATTATCTACAAGGAACATCGTAATCTTCGTGGCATCAAAGAGGTCTATGCCAAGTTTAGATATGTACAATTGTGTCGATCTCTTAAAACGTTTGGAGCCACCTTTTTCACCGTCAAACAAAAAGACAAAAACCACAACCCTCTGCTCCCATCCAACAGCTCACTTTTACTTGGCTTTGCTAGAAAATGTATCCTCATTATGACCGTCAAGACGAGAAAGCTACTGTTGGAGTTCCCCTTGTCACATCTAAGAAAGTGGTCATATAACCGTGATCAACAAACATTTACTCTGGATTTTGGAGATTACACCCAAGGTATTTTTGTACTTCAGGCACCAGAGGCAGAAGACATCTCGTTATACCTAAGTGATTATATTGATTATCTACAAACTAAAATGTATGGTAGTCAATCATTTTCTAAAATCATTTTAGGTAATTAAAATAATAATAAAAGAAAATATCTAAAAAGAGAGAGAGATCATTTTTTGTCAAACAGAAAAGTATGTTTATAAACCCGATTGGTGTATGAAAATATCCTTTTTTTCAATCCCGACATTCCGAACCATCAAAACTCTTCTTTAAAAGGATCAGTGCGATTGTAAAATGATTTCATTCAATTTCAATTTCAAAAAAGATGAATAATCAATTTATCTTTAAGTTATTTATATGTATTCTATTTGTTCTGAATGGACAATTATGTCACAGTAGAAACATCATTGTTGATACTGATACCAAAAGATATATTGATTCTTATGGTAGAGAAATGTATTTCCATGGTGTAAATGTTGTTGTTAAAGGTATGAAATCATCAATCATCAACCAATTTTGATCAAAATATTAATATTATTTTCCTTTTAATTTAAAAGAACCACCTTGGACACCATTATTAAATATAACAAATTACCAATTAATGCAAGAATGGGGATTAAATTCAATTAGACTTGGTGTAATGTGGGCAGGTGTGACACCAGAGGTAAGAGGTGAATATAATCAAACCTATTTGGATTATATTTCAAACCTTGTAGAGGTAATGGGTGAATACAATATCTTTACATTGGTAGATTGTCATCAAGATTTATACTCGTGGGTGTATTGCGGTGATGGCGCACCAGCATGGGCTTCTTCAATTCCAACCGAAGGTATTGGAATGTTCCCAGAACCACTAAGTAAACCATTTGTTATTAATACAACTGATTTGGTTCCATCAAATCGTATGTAAAAAATTAATACGTTAAACAAAAAGATTTATCTTTGTTAATTCATTAATGTTTTAATTTTAAATAGAGGATTGTGGATTACATTCATGGTCATCATACTATTTCTCTGACGCTGTTAGTAAGGCATTCCAAAATCTCTACGATAATGTAGATGGTATCCAAGATGAATTTTCAAATTATTGGCAACAAGTTGTACAAACCTTGAAAGATAGTCAATATGTATTGGGTTATGAATTAATCAATGAGGTAACATACATATCAAAAGGATAGATATTATTTAAATAATATTTATTAAATCTTTTCTGTTTTTGTTTTTTATTTAATCTTCTTCTATAGCCATGGGCAGGTGATATTTATAGAGATCCATTATTAATGGTACCTGAAACAGCCGATAAAATCAATTTGGCACCAATGTATGAAAGACTGTCAAAAGATATTAGATCAATTGATCCAGATCATATTATCTTTTTTGAATCTGTAACTTGGGACGAATATGGAGTAGGTTTTGACACAGTTCCAGGAGGAAATGATTGGAGAAACCTATCGACCTTGTCCTATCACTATTATGTACCACCTGATTTTTCAATCAAAGAAATTATGTGGGCAAGAATGAGAGACTTGGAGAAACTTGGAACTGCTGGTTTCCTTACAGAGTTTGGAGGACCACAAGTTGGTGATCCTCAAGCCATGATCCAAGTATTGGAAGAAACTGATTTGAATTTACAATCTTGGATGCTTTGGGTATACGATTCTTTATTCAATGATAATGGAGAACCAAATCCAGAACAGATAAAGGTAAATATAAATACAAGATATCTTCGATTATTATTGATCAAAACAAAAATATTAATATTCTTTTTTTTAATACTACTACTTTTTAGATATTTAGTAGAACTTATCCTCAATATGTAAGTGGAACCACCAAATCAATGTCATTTAATACAACAAGTGGAGAATTTTCAATGGTTTATACTATGAATCCAAATATTCAAGAACCAACAGAAATCTATTTGAATGAGAATGTCCATTACCCAAATGGTTACACTTTCACTGTTTCACCTTCCAAAGATGTTGTGATTGCATCAACTCAAACCAATAGATTATTATTGACAAATAATAATAATCAACCAATTGATGTTACCATTACAATCACTGCAAATTAATAAATAAAATATAAATATTACTGAGCAACATTCAAATTTGTATCCATTTTTTGTTGGAAATAATCAAGTGCATTGTTTTTTTTGCGAAAGACGAGTCGAGAATGTAAAGACGATTTGATTCATTGATTTTGACAGAGAGAGAGATACATCGAGTGGAACATGACAGATAATAATAATAATAATAATAATAATAATAGTATTATCACATTGTTAACAACATTGTATCGTAGTACATATGGTAGTAAGAATCAATTGATTACTATACAATGTCTAGATTCAATAAAGACTGTTGTTAATGTCATCACTCTGACCTCTTCAAATAATAATCAAGATAATCTATTCAATTCAATAGCAGATTATATTAATCAACAATTAGCCAATAATAATAGTACTGGTAAAGAAAAGTCCTCAACAACACCAATAGATTATCAATTCATTTTATATTTGTTATTAGTACTTGTTAGTCTTGAAACTAATGACTCTACTTCATCCTCTTCATCTAGTTCATTTATATTAAAAGTATTAAATCATTTTATATTAAATGATAATAGAGTAGTTGTTAGAAAAGGTGGTAAACAACAACAACAACAAAATCAACAACAACAAGATGAAGATCATTCATTGATAGTTTGTAAAGCAGTTGTATCTATTTTAAAGGGAGATTCAAAGGATTTGTTGACAAGTGTATTGGAACTATTGAATAATACATCAAAAGAGGCTGTAAAGTATGTCTACAAGATACTCTACCTCGTATTACCCAATTGCAGTGATTCATTCATATCGGTTGTATTCCCAACTCTATTGGACAATATCAAACAAACTGCCAACTCTACCATTAGAACATACTCTTTACAATGTGTATCAATCATTCTTAATCGTAAAAATCAACAACAACAAAATAACAAAAGTAACAACAACCAATTATTACCATTACTATACACCGCAATCTCATCACAATCAAGTGTAAATGAAAGATTAAAATTGATATTCAAGTTTAATACTCAATTCTTGTCCAACAACAACAACAATGGTAATAATGAAAATGAATCATCATCATCATCATCAACATTTAATATTTTGGCAGAAGAATCATTTTGGAATGTTGTAGTTGTATCACTTGTAGATAGTGACAATGTACCAAGGAAACAAGCACTTCATATTCTAAAGGCTGCTTTGTCATTGCCAGTTCAAAGATGGTCCGATTATCTACCACCATGGGACAATACACAATGGAATATCTTTATTTCACTCTTTGAATGCTTCAATGAAACAAAGTCACATCTCTTTAAACCTGTTTGGGCAAAACTTCCTTCTCTCCTTCCTCAACCACAAAATAATAATAATAATAATAATCATGTTATTGACCCAACAAAATCAAATAGTCAATTATATTGGTGTGATGTATTGTTTCGTCGTGGATTCACTCATATTAATCCAAATATTAGAAGACGTGTTGTGGTTGATATCCTTGCCAATCCAATCATAGTCGATCTAGTTGGTCGAGAAAAGAGTTGGGATTTGTTGCATCGGTTGTATCGTGCAATTGATCTTGTCGATCTATCAACACTTACAACCTATGGAGGAAAAGAATTAAATGAAGCACTCACCAACTTTTACAAGTCAGTTATTGAACAATCGTCAATCGACTCTATCAAGTCAAAATTGGTGATTGATATATTACACTATATCAATACACAACACGTTCAAACACCTTCAACTCTTTTATTACTTTTGTCAAAGGTGATTGAAGTAATTAAACTTGGAGTGGTAGGAAAGGACAATGTCACTGTCGGTGATACATTGGTCGAGTCATTACGAATGATTTTGGAACAAAGACCAGTCTCAAATTCAGCCATCAATATTCACATTTACAAGAGTGTACTCGAGTTACTTTTAGCAACCAATTCATCATCCATCGCAGCCAAAACAAAGACTGTCTCAATTGCACAGTTGTCCAAGTTATTGGCAATGTATCCTAGACCACTTTTAAAAGAGGAACAATTAAACGTTAAAAAATGGTTAAACAATGAGTGGATCGTTCAATATTTAATAGATAATCTTTCAACTACCCTTGCAACAGACACTAATAGATCGTTTGAAGCCGAACAAATGGATTATGCATCACAATCATGTTTACTCTTATTTGCAGATTCATTAGAGAAATATTTATTCTATTATCATATCCTCTCCTTTTCCTCTTCATCCACTTCATCTTCTTTGGTAATGATTAAGAAATTATCATTAATTTATTATATTTCATTGGATAATCCAACTATATTATCAATCATTCCATTGTTACAATCACCAATGTCATCATTGGATCGCAGCGGAATTATTAAAGCATTAATGGATATTCCAGAATCATGGCCATTTAGAGCTCCATTTGATTATAAGAGATTTGGATTACTCGATTATCCACTAATCATTAGACGTCCAATGGATTTGGGTACCATCCAGAAAAGTTTAAATGATGGTGTTTACAACAACAACGATCAACCATCAGCCACTTTATCTTTCAACGATGATTGTAAATTGGTATTTACAAATCAAATCATATTTAATCCACCATTTTCAAGAGAATCAAAACAAGCAAAAATATTTTTATCAATATTAAATATATTGATTGATTTACAAACAAATAATCAACAACAACAAACAGTAAATGAAATCATTTTACAATTTATTAAAGAGGACAACAAAGAGGAAGAAGATAACAGACAAGATAATCAAATCATTAATCAATTTAAATGGGTTGAAATGATTATTCAATTATTGGCATCATCCAACAACAGCAACAAACAAAGTAATCAAGATATTTTAGAGTATAGTCAACAAGTAGTATTAAATTATACTAGTTTTGATATTAGAAAATTATCAATGTCTATTTTCATTTTGGTCAAATTGGGTAGCAATATTGAAGATCAATCAATATTGTTGGATAAATTAATTGATATGACACCAAAATATAAATTCAATAGTACAACTTCCTTTTTATTGCCAAGATTATTACAATATCGTTGGGAATTTATTTTGCAACTTTTACAACTTTCATCATCAAATAGTGTTGTTAATCATCAATCCAAAAATGAAAAGATATTTACAAATGCTATTGAATTGTTGGATATTGCAGCATCACCATCATTACCAGCAATATTTGATTGTTTGGCATTGGTAGCATCTACAACAAATGAAATCTTGCACGACACTGATAAAATGACCCAACTATTCAAAAATGTCTATCAAGCATTCTCAGACTCTAACAAAACAAATCAATTAGTATTATCATTTATCAATGTATTATTTAATCAAATTTATTTCCATCAACCTACCATTATACCATTACTAAAAGAATATTTAAAGTATGTATATATATAAATATTAAAGTTATCTATTATTCTAATTTTCTTTATTTTTATTTCTAGAAAAACATTAGATCAATGGGGAGAATCAAATCGTATAAGTTGTGGATTACTTGGTCATTGTTGTGCCATTTGGTCAACTTATTTGGATACGATTGATCAATTTAAACAAGAGATTATAGATCTTTGTTTACTTTCACAAGAGGATAATAATCAAACCATTCAAGAGGATCAATCATCTACATCGTCCACATTGAAAATAACAAGTAACCATGGATATATTGTTAGATGGTTTGTTTCTCAATTGAATAATCATAGTGACAAGGACCCGAGAGCAGTTTTATTTGTTAGATCATTGATGATTTCAATGTTGGAAATGAATATTCAAGGAGAACTTGGTCATCGTGAATATTCTCAACAAAGTCGAACCAACAAGATGAAATGCAAGTTGTGGAGAACACTTTGTTCATTAACCCATGTAATTGGTGTGTTTGACGATACTGAACATACAAAACGCGTACACGAGTTAATGTGGAAGATCCTTGAAATCAAGAATCATCCAAATGTCAGATACCTCATTCAACTCTTTATCATCAATGTCATGGTACTATCACAGTCTACACAAACTAGTGTTGACCTATTAATCAACCACTTGGCCAACGTAAATACCGACTATCAAATGTCTGCGTCGGTCGTTATCATCTCTACATCTTATCTGTACTATTTATTGAGACAATTCAATAACAATGGTGAGAAGAAGGATAACCCTATTGACCAAGTGTTGATTACCAAACTATTCAAGAGTATTGTACCATGGGCAACTGATTTCCATCATGCTGTTCGTACATGTGCACAATTGGCCATCCACACTATTCTGTCACGTTATCCAAATCCATTATTATCAACCCTGTCTGGAGAGGATTCACAAATCATTCAAAGTATCTACAACTACTTGGATAATAGTAATCTTCACAAGAGATTAAGAGAAAAACAATCATTGTTTATCCAAAATGATGATCCTCTAAAGAATGCATTGGCAAGCAATATTTTCTCAACAAACAAAAACACCAACTTGGTCGTCGACAATGATGACGATGAAAATAATCAAGATGATAACAACAACAACAACAATGATGGAGACCAAGAAGAAGATGCAGAATTAACTCAAGGACTATCAGCAATTGATGAGTCGGTTGTACCAATGTCATTGTTGGATATTGCTAAAAGAGTCATTAAAGATTTCCAATCAAGTTTCCAAAATAGAGGATCAAATCAACAATCATCTTCTGCTGCTGCAGGAGGAGAGGGAGAAGATTTCCAAAAACGTATCATACCAGAATTAATGTCAATCGAAGACAATTCTAATATTATTGGTGGTGAAAATAATAATAATAATACGGTCAATACAAACAAAAATCAAAGACAAGAAATGATAGTAGTAGCAACCTTTGTAGAAAATACACCAAATATTGCTGGTTTAATTCGTACGTGCGAGATTTTCAATGTAACCGAAGTTGCCATCCCCAATCTCAAACTATTAAACGATCCTCAATTCCAACGTGTTAGTGTCAGTGCCGACAAATGGGTTCCAATTGTTCAAGTTGCCAGAACCAACTTGCAAGCCTATTTAATTCGTAAAAAGGAAGAAGGTTATGCTATCATTGGTGTTGAACAAACTAGTCAAAGTAAAAGTTTATCAACTTTTGTTTTCCCAACAAAATGTTTACTTTTATTAGGTCAAGAACAGGTAAAAACAAAACAAAAAAGACAAAAACAATCTATTATATTATTATTATTTATATTAACCCTTTTTTATTTTATTTATTTTTAGAATGGTATACCAAGTGACTTTTTAAATCTTGTTGATTATTGTGTAGAGATTCCACAATTTGGCATCATCAGATCCTTAAATGTTCATGTCAGTGGGTAAGTAATATATAATATAAACAATATATTGTTGTTGATATTTAAAAATATCGAGCAAAAGAGATTAGATAATGAAATGAGTATCGTGTGGTGACTCGAATTATAGATTTAAAACAATAACACCAACAAAAAAACAATTAATTAATATATTATATTTTATTTTATTTTAAATTTAAAGGTCAATTGTACTTTGGGAGTATTCACAACAACAAATTTTAAAATCAATTACAAATAATGAAAATAGCGACATCAACAACAACAATGAGTAGTGACGGTTAACCACAAACCACCTACCTACAGACATCTTTATAAGAATAAACGTCAGCGAATGCTTATCGTTTGATTTGCAAATAATCATATAATAATTATGATTGCTTTATGATGTGATAAATATCTATCATCTTTTTGGGGAAACCCAATGTTGACCAATAGTCAAACATGGGGACGATTGAATCATGTAAATAAGTTGGTTGATCACTGTATGACCGGGACATACAACCGATCAAAGATCATACAATTCCCCTACGCAAGAGAAAAAAGATATTTTCAAAATGTGAAACTCGAGCCAACTGTAACCAATCAAATTGAAAATTAAAAAATTGAAATCCTTTTATAGAAGCCCCTATCTACCGTGTGTATCGGGAACCACACGGTTAAAAACTCTTTTGAAATAGAAACCCTTCATCAAATATTTACATTTAGGAAAGTGATGTGGTTGAAATCATCACCCTCCTTGGGCTTGAATCTGTGGGTTGGACTGAGATAATTATAAATACATACATTGCAATGACACATTTGTCTCAATTCAATTCAAATTTAAAAGAGTGTCAAACAAACATATAAATATATTGGAACGATTTATAGATAGATCCACACAAGGTATGTTATATTACACTTTCGAGATATTGTTGTTATTACTTCAATTGAACAGACGAACACCGAAAAATGTTTAAAAAAAGTGGTGTGTGAATGGCAAAAAAACAAATTAGTATTTTTTGGGGATATGGAAAAACAAACAAATCTAAAAGATTGTTTATTTCTATCCAACTAGAATTATATATTATATATTATAATTTGTTTGTTTGTTGGTGTTGTTGTTGTTGTTGGCGTATTGAGATTATATAAAGTGTCAAGCATGTCCATCTTTAAATATCAAATTATTTTTCCCAACCATTACAACAACCAAATTGCAATGCCATTACAACCAAACCAAACAAGCACCAGCCCTTTATGCCCTCATGACTATTTTCTCGATATCATCACACCACGCTACCCTATTGCCATGCATCCATTTCTTTTTTTTAATATTCCAATAAAACCTAATCTCTCTCTACCTTGATAATTTAATTTGTTTCAACTCTACCTTTTTTTTCCAATGTAATAATATCTTTCAAGATCAACAAATATCAGTTTTCTACCACACATACCTTGCATTATGTAAATTCCTGTTGTTATTTTTTGTTGTTGTTGTTGAACACACCCCATGCCATTGGAAATATCTACCTCCGCAATTCTCAGGCAATGGAAAATTATAAATTGAAAGCATTATCAATACGGAAATAGAATCATTTAATATTTTGTTAAAAACCTTTTGGAATCTGAAATTTAAAAAGAATTAATATTAATATCTTTTTTGTTATTATTGAAAAGTTAAATAACATACAACTATATATATATATAAATGTATTCAGCTTTAATCTTGACCATTTGTATCTTTTGGTTTTACTATTTGTACAAGGTAAGTTTTTGATCCAAAAAAAAAAAACAAAAAAAAATAGGTCAACCAAATTTTAAACCTTTTTTGTTATTTTTCTCTTTTTAGAAAAGAAATTCTTATTTACCACCAGGACCAACACCATTCCCAATTGTAGGAAATTTACTTAGTCTAAATGTTGATCCACATATTAAACTTTTAGAATTTTCTAAACGATATGGTGGTATATTTACTGTATACATGGGATCGATCCCAACCGTTGTCATGAATGATCCAGAGTATTTGAGAGAAATATTTGTTCTTCAATCTGAAAAGAGTATCGATCGTTACTTATCCACTAGTGCTTTAATTATTGGTGACAGTATGTACATACAAAATATACAATATTATTATTATTTCCATTATTTTTTTTGATTGGCTAATAAAATTTGTTTTTTTTTAGATCAAAAAGATTTCTTATTTTCAAATGGTGACTATTGGAAGAGATATAGATTCATTCTTGCCAATACATTTTCAAAATTAAGACATTATCCTTTAATTATGGAAAAAGTTTCAAATGAAGCTCTAACTGCTGTTAAAAGTTTAGAAAATCATCTAATCGTAAGTACAAAAAAAATAGAAAAATAAATTTAATATATTTGTATACTAATACTTTTACTCACCTATCTTTAGATTAATCCACAAGAATTTTTCAAAACATATACATTAAATGTAACTACATTAATTTTATATGGAGATCGAAATGACTATCATACCGATGAAAAGTCATTTGTCATTGATGCCGTAACCATTGTTGAAAAGGAATTATCGGTTGGCAATGTTGCCGATCTTTTACCATTCTTGGAGTATTTCTTCCGAGGTAGCAGAGACAAGCTAGTAACCATTTTACAAAAGCTTTGGGATTATAGTGAAAAATCAATTCATCAACATAAAAAGAAATTAGAAAATGATCCATCAAAGTATGTCAAAAACTAAAATTTAAAAAAAAAAGAAATATATTGATATTAATTAATATTAATAATCTATTATTATTATTATTTTAGGATTGAAGATTTAGTTGATTTGTTTTTAACAGAAATTAAAAAGAGTGAAGATCCTGAATACTTTACCAATGGTTTAATTAAAGTTTGTAGTGATTTGTTGTTAAGTGGAACCGAGACATCTGCGTCTACTTTATCATGGTTGTTCCTCTTTTTGATTAATAATCCAAACTATCAGGAAAAGGTATATGATGAATTGGTTGCTTGCCAAGCCGACACGATCACCTTGAAACATCGCAACTCTACACCATTCCTCAACGCTTGTATGAAAGAAACACTCCGTATTCGACCAGTTGGTGCCCTTTCTCTACCACGGAGAGCCACTGAAGATATATGTGTAAAGGATAAATACATCATTCCAAAGGGCACCCAATTAATCATGAACCTCTATGGTGTATGCAACGATGAAAAGTATTGGAAGGAACCAACTGTATTTAATCCATACCGTTGGTTGTCAGATGATGGTTTGATGGATGAAAACAGCACCAACGACAAGTACCTTCCATTTGGTATTGGTAGTCGATCATGTGTCGGCTCTTCACTTGCCAAAGAAGAAATGTATTTGATTGCTGCCAATATCTTGTTGAAATACAAGTGCCATGATTCTCTTGGTCGTTCTCATCTAGACGAACATGGTGTATTTAGTGTTGCTTTAGCTCCTCAACCTTTTGATTTAAAACTTACATGTAGATAGAAAGATAAATAGTCTACTCTACCCACGTCCACATCTAAAATATATATAGATATATTTAATCTATAACTCTCTTATTTCGAAACTCCTCCTCTTCCTCTTCCCACCACTCTTACTTTATAAACAAATAAACTAAACTAAAATGTAATATCTCTAGCTATGAAATTAACTTATTGGTTGACACGTGTTCTCTCTGAGATTTAGATCAAAACATGTTAAACTTGATATCTCACAGCACACTATAAATTTTGAATCATCATGTCTACTACTAATATAATATATAAGATATATATTTATATGATTAGTATATAGTTTCTTTAATTAACAAGAGATATAGTATAATTCTTTATTCTTTCTTTACTTTACCTATCAAGTTGGATTCTCTTTTTTTTCTTTCAAGAAGATTTTTTTTGAAATTTTTTTTTAATTTTCAAAATTAAAAATTCCAAGCACAAACAAAAGTGTGAGTCTCTCTATTATTAAAAACTCAGTAGTTGGTTGCATCACAAATAATACAGTTAATTTTATTTATATAAATACACTTTTCAACACACACATACAAATATATTAAAAATGTCCAACAAGGTAAAGTTAGAATCATCAGACAAGCAAATCTTCGAAGTCGAAAAGGAGATTGCCAACATGTTCACTGCTATCAAGAATCTCCTCGAAGATATCGGTGAAGATGCCACAGAAATCCCACTCCCAAATGTCAGCTCAACCATCTTGGCCAAGGTTATTGAATGGTGCAAGTACCATCTCGAACATCCAAAGCCAGATGAGAAGCGCGATCCAAAGGAAATCTACGAATACATCTGGGACAAGGAGTTCGTCAAGGCCCTCGACCATACTACTCTCTTTGAGTTGATCCTCGCTGCCAACTATCTCGATATCAAGGGTCTCTTGGACGTTACCTGCAAGACTGTCGCCAACATGATCCGTGCCAAGACCCCAGAAGAAATCAAGGCTTACTTTGGTTTGACTCAAGATTTTACTCCAGAAGAAGAAGAAATGATTAGAAACGAAAATGAATGGTAAGTTAAATCATTTAACTATGATAATATATATATCGATCTCATAATCAAGAAAGGAGAGAGAAACCTTGATAGGGGGTAGCGTAATGAGGGGAAGAGAGAAAAAAAAAAAAGATTGGAGATCGATATTGCCACGACATCAAAAAACAAATATCATCAATGACATGTCACTAACTTTTTTTTTTTTTTTTTTAAATTTTTTCTATTATAGGTGTGAGATCAGAGAATAAACAATTCGTCGTTGTATATATATAATAATAAACAAACTTTAAAAATAATGAAATAATATAAAAACCAAACTATCAAATACAAGTTTCATACTTGAATTTTTTTTTTAAAATTCACAAAAAGAATCTCTTTCTTTACAAAAATCAATCGATCAAATTTATTTATTATTTTAATTTTGGTTGGAACCAATTCCCTTTAAAGATATTTTAGTTCCTTTGGAAACTGATGTTATCAAATTCTAAATAAATTAAAATTAAATTAATTTAATTTAATTATCTATGTTGATATATCTATTTATCTATTTTCTATTTACCTTTAATGGAGTGATATTATCTAAAATTGAAAGACCAATATTACGAATGGATTTGACAAGGAATGAATTATTTTCAAAAAGGTTGAATAGAGTATCTACACTGGCAAGCATCTTGATATTCTCAATCTTTCTTTCATCTTCATATTTCTTTAACATCATGGAATCACCAACATTGTATCCACTCTTTACACTCTCTGATATAGTCTTGCTCAACGCAATTACATCAGCCAAACCTAAATTAACACCTTGTCCAGCTAATGGATGAATAAGATGTGCTGCATCCCTACAAATATAATTATGGAGTTGGAACAAAAATAAATTAGTTTTTCAACAAGGCTATCATATTTATATTGGATTACTTACCCAATTAAACATAAACCTTTATCAGTATAATTTAAAGTATGATCAAGTCTAAGAGGGAATGATGCTCTTTTAGAAGACACCTTTTCAATTGGTGGTAGATGTAATTCCTGTCCAGAAAGTCCAGATGGATTAAGATCGAATATTGTAGTGAGTGCATCATGTACACTGTCATTTGATATCTTTGATGGCGAGAACCATGCATGATTGAGTTGAACCATAAAGCTTTCATCATCCAATGATAATAAATAATTTGCATGAATAGTATTGGTTGACCAAATAATTGATGCATATCCATCACTCAACTATAAATAAATAGAATGTGTGTAAGTAACTTTATCCATTATCTATATTCCATTATCTTATCTGTCAATTCGATCTTACTGGTAATAAAGCAATTGGACCAGTTGGTAGGAATCTTTGATACAATGTATTTGGTTGATGATTTGGTGCTAGTTTAATCGTACAAACAACAGCCTTTTGATTATAATTTCTTCCATGACTAGATACTCCAATTTGTTTCTTTATAATTGAATTGCCTCCATCTGCTGCAATCTAAATAGTAATGTTACTACTATTAGTTTTAATATTCTATTCTATTCTATTCTATTCTATTCTATTCTATTCTATTCTATTCTATTCTATTCTATTCTATTCTATTCTATTCTATTCTATTCTATTCTATTCTATTCTATTCTATTCTATTTAACTACTAGTTTTACATACAATTAAATCAGTTTCCAATTGTTGATCATTACTTAAAAATACACGAGATTTACTAGATGATTGTTTGGTTGTAAGTTCAACTGATTTGACTTGTACAGGTGACTTGATGGTAACGTTGTCAAGTTGTCTTGATCGTTCGAGTAGTGCGCTATTAACTACTCTATTCTCTAGTATGTAACCCATTGCATCATTGTCTTTGAAATGAATACCTGGGAATCCACTACTGTCCCAGACACGTAACTGATTGAATGGGGCTATACGAGTACCCTTGATGAGATCCCATGCACCTATGGCATCGAATAGTGCAACTGATGTATTGTTGAATGACAATGTTCTAATGTCATGTTCAACGGTCAGAGGATGCAATGGTTGGATCGGTGCAGACTCTACCAAACATACTTTCAAATGCTTTGTATAATCACTTGATCCCAATGCACATGCCATTGAACTACCAACTAATCCTCCTCCTACTATTACAATATCATATTTTTCGACTTGTTCTGAAGAATAGTATCTATAACAAGTTGATGTTGATGATGATCTGAGTAGTGATAGTGATGATGAAGATAATACTCTCTTTAAACCCAATGATAACATCTTTGATAAAGTAATAGAGTTAGAGTAAGTAATGCGTTCATTTCATTTCATTTCCGACTTGCTTGCACCAAAAGAATAAAAAATTAAAATGATGATCGTCCTATCAAAGCCCAAAAGTTCAATGAAAAACAGCTGGCAGGGTTCCCTCTACCTGGTTAGCGATTGGGATTGTTCAAACAACCACGACGATATTCTACCATACCATGGTATCCCGAACTCCTTTGAGAGGAGGAGAAAGAATTACAAAAATAATAAACACACTCATTCTCTCTCACTTTCCTCCTCACTCACACACTCACTTTCTTTGTTGTTAGAGGAATAGTATACTTGTGTGTTGTATAAAAATCGATAGAGTCGTAAACAAGTCAGAAACGAGTTGAAACAAATATCCAAAGATAGATATTATTTTATAATCAATCTTTTATCTATATCTATCTTCTTCTTTCACTTCCACTTCTATTACTTTTTCTACTACCTTTTCTACTTTTAGAGAGAGATAGTTTGTTTAGAACTCTCCTCTTCGTCCTTTAGTTTTAGTACCACAGTAATAGTAGTAATAATAGTAATAGTAGTAGTAGTAATAATAATAAATAATGACAATACCTCAGGTATCAGATGACGAAGGCGAACAAGTAGTAAGCACAAGAACGAAATGGTATCATGTAATTACAAAAGGTACTATATACTATTATCATCATCATCATCATCAAACATGATTCATAGTGAGACATAAAATCAATGACATGTCACCAACAACAGTCAACGATGGATATAAACAATCTCATGCCAAATATTAGTCAACCCCACACCACCACAACACAACAAAATATCATAATATTAAAAAACAATGACATAATCGTAAATAGAACTATGTCTTTTAATTAATTAAACCAATGTTTGTTGTTGTTGTTGGTATAATATAATATATACACCAAAAAGCATTTTAAAACAAATACCAAATCGGACATACACCAACTGGTCATAATAATATGAATGTACCTATACTCCAACCACACTTTTTAAAACAGTTTCAATTTCAATTGTTGTTGTTGTTGTTGGATTGAAATATTTGTTGTTGTTGTTGTTGGATGTTTGGTATAAAAAACACAACAGGAAAGAGCAGGGTGTATTAAAAGATTTGAGATTAAAGAGTTGGAGATCATACTCTCTCTCAACTCACTCTTGTCCAATGAATTTCAATCCCATTCTATGTGTCAAATTAATTTAAATCCACCACCACCATTACTCAACAACCACGACAATATATCATAGTAGTAATAATAAATTCATATCCAATCATTATCCATCCATCCACCCATCCTTTAATCAATCATCATTTTCCAAAACATATATATATTACATTTTAATATAATAATAATTACAAGAATAATAATTAAAATAATAAATATTACAAGAAAATAAATGGTTGTAGAGGTGGAATTATCCATTATATTACCGAGACAAGAACAAGAAACATCGATAGATAAAACATCCAATCCATCACCACCGCCACCACAATCATATTCACCATCAACATCAACATCATCAGTCTCTTCTTCAATTGAAACTGCATCAACTGGTTCAAATCCTTGTTTGTTTTCCCCAAATGACCTTTAATTTTTTTTTAAACCAGAGTATTAATAATCTTTATATATATTTTTTTTAATAGGTGATCAAAATATTACAAATGGAGAAGTAGTACCAATTTTAAAAACCCAAGCTGAACAAAAGAAACATGATGAAAACTTTAAAAAGAGAGCATTGGGTATAGGTATTGTTGTGGCAATTGCCATTCTAATGACTGGAATTGGTGAATTAAATCAACATATTTTAAGTAATGGATATAATCAACCTTTAGTTCTTGGTATGAAATTAACAAATATTCAGAATAATCAAATAATATTAATATTTATTTATTTTTAAATTCTATTTTTAGTTTTATTTAATACATTATTCCTTTCATTGGCAATACCAATTGAAATTGGAGTATTATTGTTTCATCGTAGAAAAGCAAGAAAATCAATGGCGACAAATACTATTGGTAATATTAATTCTAGCGTTGAAGAGATTGAAAGAGAAAGGGTAATGGGTGAAGGATCGATGATTGCCATTTACAAGTCAGAGTTTTTAAGTGGACTCACAAAGATGACGGTTCGATCATTCTTTTTAATGACCTTTTTAATGTGTGTACTATACGTATCGTTGAATTGGATTTGGTCAAAGGGATTACCATTGACAGAAGTTAGTACATCAAATGCTATCTTTCAATCTGCCACGGTCTGGGTATTCTTCTTTTCAATCTTTATCCTAAAAGATAAAGTTACCATTTTAAAAATAGTCTATGTCTTATTCTTTGTTGGTGGTGTTATTGGTATTTCAATTGCTGATCATCAGTATGTTATAAACAAAATCAAACAAACAAATCAAAATATATAATATTAATTAATTTATCTATCTATTTTTTTTAGAACCAATGGATCAAGTTCAAAATATCCAAATCCATTACTTGGAGATATTTTAATGATTGTATCAAGTATAATGTGGGCATTGTATGAAGTATTAACTACCAAATTCACTGGAGATTGTAAAAGAACAGTGGTAAATACATTCATTGGAGGTATTGGTTTGTTTAGTGTATTGATTGGTATCCCAATGTTGTTGGCTGTTCATTATTCTGGATTTGAAAGATTTGTATTACCTGATCAAAGAACTTTCCTTTTGATTCTTGGTAGCAATCTTTTGGCATTTGTTTTAAATTATTTAATTAATTGGGGTGTATGTATATTAATGATTAAAACTTAAAAGTTGAGACTCAATTAATTAACAAATTGTATTCTACTTTTTTAGTTGTCTGTAACATCACCATTACATGTACGTAGTGGAGAATTAATGACCATTCCATTTACATTGATATTCGATATTGTATTTAAACACATGACATTCTATCCAATTGCAATTCCAGGTTTCTCATTAATCATTATTGGTTTTGTTCTTTCACTCTATGTCGAGAATAAACATATGAAGGAGAAATTGGCAAAAGAAGCTGAACAAGCTAAAGAAAAAGAACAACAACAAGATCGACAACAACAACAAGATCAAGAATATAATAAAACGGTTTAATCTTCTCTCTCAATCCTTTAACATATCGTTAAGGATGATGGGATAGACCAACCAATTAAAATTAAAATTAATTCAAAACAAACAAACCGCTGTTTATTTATTAAATTCAATCCATGGATTTAGGCAAAGATGAACAATAAAAGAGTGACCAAAGGGATTAAAATGGATGGAATGATTTTACCAGCTGATGATCTTGGATGGTATCCTTGTGGAATACTTGATGTTGCTATTTTAAAAAAACAAAAGGATTTAAATTAGTTTATGGAATAATGATTGAATTCATTTGTTCAACAATGTGCATACGATTTTCAACAAGATTGACAGCAGCAATAGTAAGGTTGGAGGGTCTTGAAGCAACGCCAATATGAAGACCATTGAAAGTTTCAGCATCAACGTTGGCCTCGGTTACATCAACTCTAACAAAGACCCATCCTGAAAAGTCGGTAGTAGATACATAATAAGTGTCATTGTTGAGAATAACCTTCTTTGGAGTACCAACAGTATCAATGAAAATGTAAACATCAGTTCCATTTGCACCTTCAACAAGCATCCAAAACTCTAAAAATCTATCATTATCAGTATCAAATTGATTTGGTTTCATTCTGAATCCAATATTGTCTAAGAAAATAAAATAAAATAGAATAAATTAGTTTATCAATTGATTTAATCTTAACCTTTAATCTTAATCTAAACATACCATTTTCATTTACGATTTGACCTAAAATACATTTGTTGGCCTTTTGACCACAATTGGTAGAGTTTGAAACAGCAGCAGAAGAGTCTGAATAAATATCAGTACCATATCCATTGTCATTAAAGAGTACTTGATCACCAAGTACAACACTGAAAAGGAGGGCTGCAAGTAAAAGAATATTTCTAATGTACATTTTCGAAAAAAGAATAAATAATAATTATTAAGATGTGTATGTGAGTTTAAACTCTGTTTTAACAACAATGAGATGAAATGAAATGAAATGAAATGAAACAAAATAGTGATCAAGTTGTTGTTGTTGTGTTTAAATCACTGTTTAAATTAATTCTTTGCATTATTACCACGAGGTTTTTCAGACAATCAGCTGATGGCCCTGTTTATGAGAATAAAAAACCTTTTCCGACTCGGTGCTCGTGATCCACCCACCCAAACACGTTGGCCTTAGGATCTGTGGTATAAGAGACCCCGTTTAGAAATCAAACAACCTAAAATATTATTAATCAGATTCAATGAAACAAAACTATACATAGTTATGGAAGTATATTATTGGACACAAGTCGAAAATCACTATAGATAGTGGATTTATTGTAATTAGGGGAGTGGGGGAGTTTCCTTTTAAATCACTCCTATATAACTAGTATTATTATTACTCATGAAGTAAAAGTATAAGAATTATAGGATGAAGAGGAAGAGGATGTAGAAACTAGAATATCAACAAAATCATCTGATGATATTTGATTTTCAGGATCTACTTTGGAGGAATTCTTGGTTGATTGTGATGATGATTGATCATCATGTTCCTTCATTGCTTTGTTTTCGACATAAAGTGATAGAACAAATCCAACGATAATAGCCACAAAACCTGGAATTGAAGTCAATGGCATTTTGTAATGTTTGAAAATAATATCCCAAAATAGTGTGCCTGGAATAGTCATCAATTCACCTGATCTAACAAATAATGGACTACAAATTGATAACTAAATTGAAATTTAAATTAATAAATTATAAATAAATTATATATCAACCGTCTGTTTGTTTGATTGTTAAATTATTTTATACATACACCAATATTCATAACATATAAAAGTGCAAAAGCAATTGAAGCCATGATTGCCAAATCTGTAAGTTGTTTGTTGTCTGGGAGATCAAATGGTTCGAATCCAATCTTGTTGATAATGGCAAGTGTTGGAATACCGATAATGAGCATGTTGAAAGTGGTCATACCAATGAAAAAGTTTAAAACGGTTCTTGAAGCTTTACCAAAGAATTTGTTGACCAAAACCTCGTACAATGCCCATAGACACGCCGATACGACCATGATAATATCACCAATGACTGCATGTGGGAATTTTGAAGAATCGTCACCAGAGAGTTGATCGGCAACAGTAATACCAACAACACCTCCAATGAATAAAAATACATAAACCACCTTTAACAGAGTTGGTTTATCTTTAAGAATAATAATTGAAAAAATAAATACAAAAACAGTTGCCGATTCTAAAATAAATAGAAATATTATACATTAATGAATAAGTTAATGATGGATAAAAAATAAATAACGTGTGATTTACTTACGATAAATAGCAGTAGCAGTACTAACTTCAGTTAAAGAGAAACCAATCATCCATAACCAATTAGTAACCAATAATAAAAAGGTCATACCAAAACAAACCAAAAAGAACTTTGGATAGGAAAACTCTGATTTTGAAAACTCTGATTTAATAGTCTCGATCATAGAGTCGTTGTTGTTGGATTCCAATTCGTCGTTGGTTTCTTGAATGCTACGTGCCATCAATGGTTGTTTTTCTTTGTTTGATTTTTTAGATTGATCAATTTTTAATGCTACCAATTCAATTGGTATGGCTAAAAATAAAAAGGCCGATGATGACATACAAACAAAGAATGGTTTTGGAAAATCAAATAAAACAACTTGTCCAAACTCTGATAGCGTAGTTTGCAACAATAGAATTAAAATGACAATCACAATACCAATAATTCTTTTTGGTTTTGGGTTCTCTGTTTGTTGTCCAACTTGAACTGAATCAATATCTTTTTTTAAAAGTAATGTTTCTAAAACAATAATAATAATAAATAAATAACAAAATAATAATATTAATATTAATTTGAAATCTTCACCTACCTATCTAATAATTTAATGATTAAATAGGTACCATTAGTGCCATAATTAGTAGTATTTCCTCCACTGTCATTGTAGTAGTTTGTCATGATTGTCTCTTGGTTGTTTGTTTTTCTATTTGTATTTGATTGATTGAACAATTAAATAAATGAAATCAATTGTATTGATTATTGATTATTGATAATTAAGTGTATGATGGTGAATGGGTGGTGACCATTGCTTAAATACGAAATCTATAATCTATTATTAATTAAATGATGGTAGTTGAGTTGACACCACCACCTCCCACAACCAGGATTGATCTATAGTGCTAGTAGTACGGTGTCCAACCTTCTAACACGTTACATTGCGTACACCTCTGTATCGTGGTCGTTAATCATCGACTAACAACGGAGAAGAATGTGAAGAAGGAGGATCTACTTTTGAAAATGGAAATATGTCTCGATTCGTATTCAAAAATGAATTTTTTTAATTTTTGTTCTTTTTTCCAACCGTCAAATGGTAGTCAGTAGGGTTGGTGACCAGGCCATATATTGATCGTCGTAGTCATGCTCGGTAATTACTGAATCTTCTTTGTCTCTTTTCTATTTAATTTATTTTCTAATATAAAAGAAAAGTGGTGAACAAACACAATATTTAATTACAAATTCACAAAGAGAATATATTTATTTAATTTTTTACATGAATCCTTTCCTTTGGATTTGATTTATAAAACAGTATTTGGATCCCAACAAATATGTTTGGATTGATTTAGAGCATCTAATTTCTCTTCCAAATCCTTTGGAATATTAAAATTGTACAAGTCTGCATTTTCTTTGATTCTATCTTGTTTAGTTGATTTTGGAATGACAACTACTCCCTTTTGAATAGCCCATCTTAATAAAACCTGTGATACTGATTTACCCAATTTTGATGCAACTTCTTTTAATGTTGGATTTTCCCACTGTAAAAGTAATATAATATATAATTATTGTTAGACAACTTAATTGAATGTATGATTCATTTTTGGTTTAATAATACATACATCTTGACCACGAACCAAAGAAGAATAAGCTTCCAAAGCAATATTATTTGCCTTGCAATAATCGAGTAAATCTTGTTGATAGAGGAATGGATGGAATTCAACTTGGTTGACATGTGGTACGACAGTACAATCTTTTTTCAATTCCTCTAGATGTTTGATGGTATAGTTGCTCACACCAATAGAACGACACTTTTTATCTTGATACAACTTTTCAAAAGCTCTCCAAGTCTCCTTTCTAGTGACAGAGTTTTCTGGTGCAGATGGTTGTAAACCCTTGACACCTGGCCAATGGATCAAATACAAGTCCAAATAATCGATACCAAGCTTCTTGAGTGATCTCTCACATCCATTGATTGCATTTTCATAACCATGTTCAGATGTGGCAGCCTTGGAGACGATAAACAAATCCTCACGTTTAATCTTTCCACTTGCAAAAATCTCCTTTAGCGCATTGCCAATCAACTCTTCATTACAATACGATGCAGCAGTATCAATATGAATATATCCATCTTCAATTGCCCAATTTACAGACTTTTTAATATCATCTCCTGAAATTTGATAGGTTCCTACTAATAAATAGAGTAGTATAGATTAGTATATGTAAATGATGTACATCATCAAGGTCTTTTATCTTCATGAATACTTACAACCTAATAATGGCATCTTTACACCATTTGCAAGAGTAACAGCAGATCTAATAGTTAGAGACATTTTATACAAACAAGAATGATTAGAAAACAAGATAATAAATGAAATGATACAATACAACCAACAAGATAGATATTATTATTTTGAACAATGAAAGTTGTAGAGCAACTTCACACACAACCCCCCCTCTCCCAAACTAATAATAAATAAAAATTAATTAATTATTTTTTTAGAATCAAGAAGAAGTTCTTTGCCGAAGATATTGGAATACTTTCCATGTATTCTCACAATGGAATGATGATGTTCACCTCTTCTTGTTGTTCTTCTTATAAACAAAAAAAAAAAAAAGACAATAATAATCATCAAGTTATGGATCGATGGATGTGTGTGATCAATTATATCTAAACATAGATAGATTAATCTGTCTAACCATCGATATACATTGAATGTCCATAAATAATCAAATATTATTATTATTATTTACTGTACGAGAGGCATTTATAATAATGCTCTCCACAAAACCTGTGTAGTAGTTTTATATTTTAAATATGTTTGTTGTTGTATTATTGTGTGTTGGTTTGGTTATTATGTTATTATCATTATATACTATAGTTGTTATTATTGTTACTATCTATCCTATCTATCGTTTAGATGTTGGCATCGTCGATTGGTTGCTTGTCCAAAGCAGCATAGTATTCTTCTCTTTCTCTTTGGATCTTGTTGACATAGCCAAACTTGAAGTAGAGACCTGGGATGACACCAATGACCAAACCATAGCCAATATCCTTTAAGATTTGTGTCTTAATGAAACCTGGGAGAACGAGTGACATTTCTTATTTCTATTGTTGTTGAAATGATTTGATTATATTAGTAAGTTGTCCTGTACACGAATCATCTTGTATTCTTGTTCTATTCTTTTGTTGTTTGTCTGATCGCATCACAGTATATAATATATCATTTGTACGACCATATGTACATATGAATACACATTATGATCGGTTGTAAGATCATTCATTCACTCATCAGATCATCACGATGAATGAATGAATGAATGAATGACATCATGTTGTATTGTCTGTCGCATGATATGTAATGCATTTTTGCGATTTCTAATCTACTGCTTCTCGTACTGCTGTTTCTGTCTACTATGTTGTTGCTATCTATTGTATGATCATCATCTAATATATCTACCTTTTTAATAATTTAACAGAGTTATCTAATAATACTGCACAAAGAAATCAATGAATGCAAAAGTGGGTGATCAGCAAGCACTGTGAGAGAAAAAAAGAAAAAAATCAATTAAAATTTTTTTGTCTGTCTCTCGTTTCATCCAAACAATGAATAGACTCAGAACAGATCTGTCTTTATCTATACCCAAACATGGAGTGCTTTAATATGTTATTCTCCAGCATTTACATTTATTATTACAGGATCGATAGTTAAATGCCTTGAACTTTTATTATTATTTATTCCCATCAATGTCAATTGACTCTTTCATCTTGTGTCTCTCTTGCTCATCATGAAAATGGCAATTATAATTATAGTCAACAAATTGGGAACATGACCCAAATAGTTATAGTCAAAAGTGTCATCACCATCATTCCAAGATCTATTCATATTCATCTTTGTTTCATTTCTTGTTACAATGAATGAATGAATGAATGATTGTGAGAATGAATTCATGAAAAAGTTTTGCGGTTAGTATAATAACAGAACAACCAATGGTTGACTGTTGAAATGTTCATGATATTGTTATAGTGTGTATATATAATATACAGTATTTCTGTCAAAGCCAAGATATATTAGGTTCCTCTCGCCAGAGGATGGGCAAGAATTTAGAGTCGTTGAAAAAGTAAAAATGCTAAAAATTAAAATTTTTTTTAATCGAGTCGACGCTCTATGGTGGGCTCGGCGTGTTGCCGCTTTTGCCTGCAAGAGATTCACCTACTTGGAAGATTTGTGTTATCCGTACATCCTCTAGCTATCACCTCACAATGTTGACCAGCAAGAATTTCACCTTATTCGTAGAGATTGGCCGTGTTGTCTTCATCAACTTTGGTCCATTCAGAAACAAGACTGCCGTCATCCTCGATGTCTTGGATCAAAACAGAGTATATATCTTTTAGCAGCAGAGGGAATAGTTAGAATAGTTAGAATACAGTTACAGCAGATCTCTAATCATCTTATTTCTCCTACCCATTACTCTATCTTCTCTCTCTCTCCTTCACTCTCTATCAGATCCTTGTTCACGGTCCATCCACCAAGGTTCCACGTCAAGTTATTAACCTCAAGTGGGTCCAATTGACCAAGCTCAAGGTCGAAATCCCAAGAGGTGCCAGACTCACCAGTCTCAACAAGGCCATCAAGGAATCCGGAGTTGACTCCAAGATTGCTACCCTCGCCATCGTCAAGAAGGTCGCTGCCAACAAGGCTAAGGCTGCCTCCAACGATTTCGATCGTTTCAAGGCTGACATTGCCCGTAAGGCCGTAAGTATCACACATACAACATTATACAGATTTAGATTTTAGACAGAATCAACTATATAGTACATACAATAGCAAGGATTTGAGCAGCATTATATATATCAAACAGGAATGATTATAGTTAGTCGTTGTTATTATATAGTTGATTCATGTCAAAAATCGATCATTTCAAAAAGACAACGTTATTAATCACATTATCCACTTATCTTACTATTACTATCATACTTAGCGTAACAACAAGATCAACGCTGAATTCAACAAGTTGGTCAAGGCCCACAACGTCAAGAGAAACACTTACCTCAAGAAAGTCGCCGTCAAGAAATAAATAAATTTGTAGGTTTTTAAGAGGGAGGATATTCCTAAAAATATAATATACACAAACGATTGCATGCATATGTATAATCACATGCTTTACTTCATTTATCTATCTTTGTATTGTCTTTTTTTGAGAGTTGTTATATTATTTCCGTCATCCATTTTTTATTCGCTACCATTTATATTTATGGCAGATTAATTAAATGACTGCACAAATATACCCAAATACAAATACAAATAAAAGAAATATATAATTATCCTTTAAAGATAGATAGTTTGATTTTCATCAGTACTCCAATCAATCAGTATTGATTCGTCGTCGTCTTTTTTATCTATTTCCAAAATTCATTGATCTTCTCATCGACGCACTCACTCTTTGTAATATAAATACATCAAAAAAGATAAAAGTTATAGTTGTAGTTGGTAGTAGTCTATTACTAAAAGAGAGTATAGAGTAATAGAGAGAGAGAGAGAGAGAGAGAGAGGATAGATAAGATGCCAACAGCAGGTGTAATTTCATCTTCATCATCAGATGATCATCATATGAATGTTGATGTTGATGATATTGTTAATAATAATAATAACAATCTATCTGTATGTATATGAACATGTTCAATACTTTATATATATATACACAATAGAATATAGATAGATGAGATGTTAACATATCATTATTATACTTTGTAGGAGGAAGATTTAGCATATGAAGAAGATATAAAAAAGAATTCATTATCAATAGCAAGTTGGTTAAGATATTTAGAATACAAGAATGATGCGACACAATCGATTCGTAATGCAATCTATGAGAGAGCTGTTAAAGCTTTACCTCGTAGTTATAAACTATGGCATAGATATTTACATGAACTTGTAGTTTGGGTACGTGGTAAATGTATAGTTGATCCAATCTATGATCAAGTAAATAGTGCTTTTGAAAGATCTTTAATATTTTTAGACAAGGGATGATAGTTATATATATACATATATATATATATATATATAAAGGTTGGTTTACAACAACCTCTCACTCATACATACATTTATTTTCTATAGATGCCAAGAATATGGATAGAATATTGTGAATTTCTAATATTACAATCAAAGGTTACAAAGACAAGAAGAACATTTGATAGAGCATTGAGATCATTGCCAATAACACAACATGATAGAATATGGGGATTGTACATTCCATTTGTTAGAAAGATTGGTATTAGAGAAGTGATTACAAGAGTTTATAAACGTTGGTTCAAGATCGAGTCGGAAGGTTTGGAGGATTACATAGAGTATCTGATGGAGATTGGTGCATGGGCAGAAGCAACGACACAGTTGTTGGCCATATTAAACAATGAAAAGTTTGTTTCGAGAAAAGGAAAGACTCGTCAAGAGTTGTGGCAACAACTGTGCGACGTTCTAACCCAGCACCCAAGAGATGTTGCTTGTTGTGGTGTTGATTGCGAGGCTGTCATTCGGTCGGGTATCGCCACCTATCGCACACAGGCTGGCAAGTTGTGGTGTTCGTTGGCAGACTATTATGTACAGTTGGCGCAGTTTGACAAGGCACGTGATATCTTTGAAGAGGCGATGGAGAGTGTTGGCACAGCCAGAGACTTTTCACAGATTTGGGATGCCTATACCATGTTTGAAGATAGTTTGTTGGCTGCTCAACAACAGATTGTCGAAGAGAGTGCAGGTGATGAGTCTGCATCGGTCATTGCGAGTGACGAGTTTGACCTTTTGGTTGCGAGGTACGAGCATTTGATCGAGAGACAACCATTCCTTCTCAGCTCGGTACTTCTCCGTCAAAACCCTCACAATGTCAACGAATGGCATAAACGTGTCGCACTCTACCACGGGCAACCCAAGATGGTGGTCGAAACGTTTGCCAAGGCTGTTGCAACGGTCGATCCGAAATTGGCCAAGGGTCGCCCACACTCGCTGTGGAGTGCATTTGCACGATACTATGAAGACCACGATAAATTGGATCAAGCACGACGTATCTTTGATCGTGGTGTAAAGGTAGAGTACCGTACCGTCGATGAGTTGTCATCACTCTACTGCGACTATGCCGAGATGGAGATTCGTAGTCAAAACTATGAAAAGGCACGTCAAGTATTATCACGTGCCACCGTATCACCTCGTCGTCCTCACCACATTCCAGACAGCGAGCCCGTCCAAAAGCGACTTTGGAAATCATCCAAATTGTGGACCTTTTATGCCGATGTCGAGGAATCATTTGGCACCTTTTTATCGACCAAATCAATCTATGACAAGATGATTCAACTTAAAATAGTCACCCCACAAATCATCCTAAACTATGCAGAATACCTTGAAGAGAATCGTTACTTTGAAGATGCTTTCAAAGCCTATGAACAAGGTATCTCTCTTTTCCCTTTTCCAATGGTTCAAGATATTTGGATTTCCTATCTAACTAAATTTATTAATAGATATGTAAGTAAAGAGAGAGAGAGAGAGAGAGAGAAACAAATAATAGACATATATATATTGATCAATATACTTATATTTTTATTTATTTTATTTTTTTTCATAGGGAGGAACAAAATTAGAAAGATCAAGAGATTTATTTGAACAAGTATTGACAAAGGTACCAATGAAACAAGCCAAGATATTTTATTTAATGTATGCCAATTTAGAGGAACAATTTGGGTTGGCACGTCATTCAATGTCAGTTTATGATCGTGCTACAAGAGCCGTTGCCAATGAAGACAAGTATAATATGTATTTGTTGTATATTGCTAGAACCACCGAGTTTTATGGTTTATCAAAGACCAGAGAGATTTATACACGTGCTATAGAATCGCTGCCCGATGAAAAGGCTAGTGATATGTGTGTTAGATTCGCAGACATGGAAAGAAAACATGGTGAAATTGATCGTGCTCGTTCCATCTTTGTTCACGGCTCCCAATTCTCAAATCCCAACAAATTACTATCATTCTGGCAAGCATGGCATTCATTTGAAAGAGATCATGGTAATGAAGAAACCGTTAGAGAAATGATTCGTATTAAAAAATCAGTCACTGGTCAATTTAATCAAGTTAATTTGGCTGCCATAGAAATGTTAAATAACAAACAAAAAGAAGATGAAAATAATAGAATTAAATTAGATATTCAAATGGCTCAATTAGATAAATTAAATAATAATGGAAACAATAATAATAATAATAATAATAATAATAATAATAATGGTAATAATGGTAATAATAATGGTAATAATAATATTCAAAAGGTTGATAATCAAGATGAAATCGATATTGATGATGAAGATGAAGAAGATGAAGAAGATGAAGAAAAGGGAACAATGCAAATTGAAGAAAAACAATTACCTTCATCTTTATTTACTTCAAATACTAAAAAATAAAAAGAATAATAATAACAATAATACAACTAGGAAACCAAACTAAATTGAATCATTTAATTAATTTGATTAATTTGAACCATATCCACCAAGTTTTTTAATTGAACCTTGTACTCTAGGAGGAGGTTTGTTAACAACAATACGTTGATGTGGATTCAATTCCAATAGAGATGGAGGACGATTATTTGGTCGTCCAGAGGCATTATAATAATGATTACCATAATCTACCAATTGGATATGACTATTCTCTTGTTGTTGTTTTTGACGATCAATTTCAGCATGTTGTTTTTGTTGGTATGCATTTAATTGATCTTGGTGTTGTTGTTTTTCTCTTTGTTTGGCTTCTCTTATTCTTTGTTCTTCCAATTCCTTATCAGCCCTTTTCTTTTGCAAAATAGCCAAATCATTTTGTCTTTGTTGTTTACTATCTCTTGATCTTGTCAACTGGTATTCTTTCATTTGATCCACTTGTCCAACCTTACTATCTACCAATAATTGGGCTGCCCTTTGTTTCTCCAATTCTATCTTTTCTTGTACCCTTTTTCTCATCTCCTCCCTATCTTGTAGTGTCTTGTCAGTCTCTTGTTTTCTAACACCCTTGTATTCATCCAATTGAGTAGTTTGACTAACCAATTCGACCTTTTCAACTTGTAACTTCTTTTCTTGTTCTTGTTCTTTATCCCTTTTATTCTCCTCTATTTGTATTCTTTTCAAATCTTGGCTCAATTCATCTTCTGTCTTTACTTTGAGATGTTTGTTTCTATATTGATTTAATTGATCTTGATAGAAATCTTTATCACCATCATTATCTATTAATTGATTTGTTTCCATATTGTTGAAGTAATAGTATAAGAATCTTTTAAATTGATTTGTAGTTTAGGATCCTTCCTTCTTTGTGATTGCAATGGATATCCACACCTTTTGTTTTTTTTTAATATATTTTGAACAGACATATTGTTGGAAATTTCAATTAATAATCATTTGATTTTGATTGATTGAGCATAATAATAGATAGATCCAGGATGGATAGGATCTATGTTCCTGGATAGAAATTAATATACAAATTTTTAACCTTTATTTTTTTTTTTTGTAGTTTTATATATTTGTTGTTTTCCAAAAGGAGGTGATGTGGCAACAGTAAACCAAAAGATATTATTATTCTATACCATCATCCATTTTTAAATGAAAGAGATTAAAATATAACCAAATTTGGTTTACTCATTATTAAAAGGTTGGCAAAAGGAATAGTGAGGAGAAGGAGGGGAGAGGTTTGATTGATTTTTTGAGTGGGTCATCTTTTATATAAGAGACTGATAGAGATGATTGGCGCCATCAAATCTTTTTCGGGTAAGGTTGGTAGGTAGGTGTTGGTTGTAATTTGGTTTGTTGTTTGTTTTGTTTTGGTTTGTTAAACTATTTAGTTTAATAGTTTGATCCTTCGGGTGGTTGAACCAACTTCTTGTTCGCAGATGAACCCATTTCTCTACGCAATTCAATGAGAATGGTTTCAATGGTTGTCTTTGGGTTCCAATCTTTCAACAATGGGAAAGACTTTGTTTCAATTGCACCTGTACCACTGACACATCCCATATTAATCTTTGACGTAAATTTTACAGCTGGTGGTTTCGATGGGTAATCCTTATCACAAAATATTTTAAGAGTGTAAATTCTATTTTCATGTGGACTCTGTTGTTGTTGTAGTTATTGATAAAAGGAGAATTGATACAATTGTGTATATTAATATCTTTGTTTTAGGTAGAATCATGATATATACCACCCCCAACACCAAGTTCTAGAAACCTATTCTATTATGTCTTGTCTCTCTTGTTGTTGGTTGGTGATAAGATCTGTGTAAAACTATTCTATTCTACTCTTCTATTCTATCTATCTATCTATCTTTGATTACATACATTGCCTGGTCCGATAATAGTACCGATCCACGAGCTGAGATAGGTATCATCTGGGGATTCTAAACCATAGCTTACGTTTCCATCACCATTCAAGCCCTTTTCACCCTTTTCTAATTCTTCTAACAATCTAAAGTTACGTGGAACTTGAGACATTCTCTCTATCTATCTATCTGTGTATGTTATATATATATTATAACTTCTAATAATAATTGGTTTCAACTCTTTCTCTCTCTCAAACAATGATTCAAGCAACTCACTCTTTTTGTTTTTTTAATTTTTTTTGATTTTTTTAAGAATGGAAAGCTTTGTAGTGCTCCAGGATTCAGAGTAGTAAGACTTATTAAATGAAGGATGAAGAGTAGTTATTATCTATCTATCTATTAGTTTATGATTTGATATGCTTCTTTTGTTGTTTATTTCTTCTGATGGCACTAAAAACACTTATACCGACAATTATAGCACCTCCAATTAAGAGTGCTGGTGGAAATGCCAATGCTGTTGTAGCAGCCGTTGCTCCAATACCAACACATAAACCATTGGATATCGAGTCTGATTGAGGAGATGTCGATATATTGTCTATCGATACCCAAGCAGTTACTACATTCTGGCAATTGAAACCACCTCTAGAATAATTATATCGATATGGATTGTTGTAGCTACACAATGCTTCATACACTCTCATATCTCTTGTTTTACCTTTTCCCATGGTAATTGTAAATGGTGATCGTGCTGAAACCTAATAATGATTATTAATATATATATATTTCTATTAGTTAGTATATACATTTTGTAGGCAGGATGTTTGGTATATTAATATATATATATATACCTTATTTTTAATTGTATAATGGTTTGCATTTGTAACCAATAGATATCCAATTGACTGTTTATTTGATAATGAGAGACTAGAGAACTCATTTCCAGGAGTTACAAAATGGTAAAAGGAATTGGTCTCCTTGTTGTAGAGTAGATAGTGGAGGCCAGATATAACTGCATCTCCATGTTTTAGTGTTCGTACACTCTCCTCTCTTTCCTTGTAGATCAAGTGGTCTTTATATGGACGGCCCTTATCACAAGACAAGTAAAGCTCTGTGCTTACATGTAAATCTAGTGAAGTGCATCCCTCATCATTAAACAAGTCAAAACAATTTTCTAGGTCTGTCATATTTATTATTATCTCTTTGATGCTAAATATTTATTATAAGATGTAAATAGAGAAATTAATAATAACAAGTAAACTGACAACCAACTTTCTTTGCACATTCATCCAATCAATTTTTAAAAAAAAAGATCAACCAACGCTTCATTGAATATTTTTTGATCAGCATTGCAAAGGGCCACAACAGATAATTAGTTAGTTAAAAGAGATAGATATATATATATATATTTATATATTTAAGAATGGTAGAATATAAATTAATCATATCATTTGATGGAGGAGGTATGAGAGGATTAGTGACACTTTATCTATTAGATTATTTAGAGAAAGAGTTTGGAGTAGATATTACATTAAAGGCACATTTAATGGGAGGTACATCGACAGGAGGTATTATAGCATTGTCAAAGATACAGAGGCTGTCCAATCAAGAGATCAAAGATTGTTATTTAAATGTTGGTAAAACAGTGATGAAGTTTAGTTGTGATAATATCGTCGAGGCACAGACACTTGCCAATACACAACTCTACGAACAAGAGTTGGCACTTAAATTCAAAAATACAAAGATGCTTGAATTGGGAGACTACAGAAAACAACGAGCGTTGGTGGTGTGTGGCTCCAAACCAACTGGATCATTTAACAAATTCGATGTCACACTCTTGTGCAACTATCCAACCATCAGTGACAAGAGAAAGTATTTACCAAAGGACAGACCAATCGATGTGACCGTGGTCGATGCCATTCGGTGCACATCAGGCATCCCACTTATTTTTGGACCGATCAAGTGTATTGCCAATATGGATGTTGTCGATGGCGGCGTTCTACACAACAACCCTGTCAATGTTTGTATCAATGAAGCAATCTCTGAATGGAAGTCTGACAATGTGGAATACATTGTCATTTCACTGGGTACTGGACGTGCAGAAAAGTATAAGAGTCCAGTATTGGAACAACTCAAGAAATCAACCGTACGCTCACTCAAAGGGTCATCACAAATTGGAGTATCCAATTCTTCTGAACAATTGACACTTGGAGTCCAAGTAATCGACCAGTTGCTCGAAGGTACTTCAGGCGCACACTCTGAATATTTAAAGTTTGTAGATACCGTCTCCAAACAATCAACCTTTACAATCCATCCTTTTAGACTAGACCCACAACTTCAAAAGTCATATTTCCTTGCCGACGCATCAGATGAAACCATCAAAGCAATGAAAACAGATACTGATAACTATTTAACAAATCCAACTACAATAGAAACAATTTCAAAATTAAAACTATTATTACATCAATCTGGATTTATTCCTTAAATTGATTTAAACCCATCACCATTAAATTTAATAATTATGTATATTATAATAAATATCTAAAAATATTTTTTTGATCAACTTTTCAAACTGTTTTGATTTAAGTTCATTTTAATAATAATAATAATAATAGAGAGAGAGATAGAGATATATGTATTAGAATGCAATATGAATATAAAAATATATTAGTATTGGAAGGAGGACCAAGAGTATTGTATACACATTATCTAATCAAAGAACTTCATGAACAGTTTAATATACCATTTGATAATGTTGACTTGGTGATTGGTACATCTTTGGCAAGCACCTTACTCTTTTGTAAAACTATTAAACAACAAGAAGAGTTTGCAATGCAAGTTGGATCAAAACTTAGTCTATCTCCACTTTGGAACACTCGACATCATCCAGAACTAGCAACCACAGAGTTTTACAAGGACCTAGATATCCCTAGTTTTGATCAATATCTTTATAAAAGAGTAAGTTCAATTTAATTAATTAATATTAAAGGTGTTGTAATGAAACATATGTGACTGATATCATCTATTTATATATAGTTTGCTGTAATGTGCGCAACTAAAAAGATAAAGAATGGGAAGCCTACAGTGTTACCATACCTATTTAGAAATTATCATAATCCAAATAACATTACTAGTAAGGTTGAAGGATGTACATTTGGAGTAGAGTCTAGTGCTAAAGACATTTTACATGCATGTACGGCCATACCATTTTATTCGGTACCTATACAATATCCAAATCTTCCAGGATCTAGATTCATTGAAGCATCAATATACAGTAATAGTCCTTTAGAGGTTGCTTATCATGAAGCAATGGCAATATGGCCTCCACAACCAAATATATATATAAAATTCAACTTTATATGTCTTGGTGTTGGTCTCGATAGTAGGAGATACTCTGTAGATACAATTGGACAACCATTGAACCTAGATGGCTCTATTACCGATTTGTCATACACTTCTGAAGCTACCTTTGAAAGAATGAACCGTTTCAAAGAGCGTCAAGAATCCAATTCCAATATTTGTCTAGCTAGAGTAAATGTAATAGATGGTGAATTTAATCAAGAGGGACATACATTCCAAACCATTGACAAAAAGGAGGTTGTCAAACCATTGGACAATAGAGTGTATGACAATGACATTGCTGGTCAAAAAGCAAGGGACACACTTGCTAAATCAGCAAAAAAGGCTATAAAAGATAATCTAAATTTATTTAGCTTCCATAAGAACTACTCAAGTACCACCACCACCACAAAATCATCATATGTAGTGGCAGATGATGACCAAATATTTTAAACAAAAGATTATCCACTCTAAATATATTATTTAATATTGTATGATATTTCTGTTAAAATTCATTTACTTTTCAATATATCTTAAATATAAATATATACACACTCCAAGCAGACAGACAGTGGTAGTAATAATAATAATATTAATTACAACCATGGTTAAAAAAGGAGATCTTATTATGTACAATGGTAAAAGTTGCCAAATTGCAGCACAAATTAATGGTCACAACATTTATTTTACTTTAGATACTAGTTCTTCTTACACGTAACTATATTATACTATACCTATATGAATACAACGTATATGATTTTGTTCTAATTAACTATATTTTATTTCTATAGTCAAATTTCATCAGAGTTGGCAGAGTTTATTGGTTTGAGTGGTCATCCTTCTATATTTGATACATCAATGATTGGTGGAACTGTACAGAGAAATTTTTTATGTCCTGCAAGACTATCGGTTCTTGATGGGGTAGAGCTTCCTGTTGTTGTCAAATGTTCACCTGGACAACCATCACTATTTGGTTTAGAGCCAATGTTGTTGCTCAACATGCAAATTCATTGTTTAAAAGGCAAGTTTACAATTGACGATGATCCAATCAACTTGCAGACCATTCATCCAAAGCCACCCTTTCCTTTTCTATTTTGGGATCAACTACTTGTACATTTCAAAGTTGATCCAAGTAGCATTGTTCCTGTCAGAGATCTACCAAAAGTATCAAGAATAAACGTTGGAATAGGCCTTGGTATTTCATATCAAAGTGATGTTGACTTTAAACTTTTAAATGGTGATTAAATAAATAAATAAATAAATAAATAAATAAATAAATAAATAAAAATGCATCTGATCATGACCATGGTGGTAATGAAAATGAAAGAGGGTGAGGTGATCATATCAAAATTGACTATGTTTGATTGCTTTGCTGCAGCTGCTTTGTGCACTCGATTTTGATTCTCTCAACTGTTTCGGAACCAGCCATTCAAATCATACAATAATACAACAACGATCATCATCATCACCAATCAATCATGATACAATCCTCACCACAATCCACATTCACAATTCAACTTGCAATCAATATTCACAAATCACTCCACCATCAAATAATAATAATAACAACAAAAATAATACCAATGAATCAGCCTCACCTATTCACTCATTGTACATGTACATTCCATTTAATTCAACTGATGTTTCGAGCAATTGTCAATCATCACCATTACTCTTTAATCATTCAACAACCAACCATTTTCTTTTAGCAGAAGAGGAGAAGAAGGAGGAGTCATTTCAAGAGAACAACAACAACAACAACTACAACAACACAATCACATTCTCATTGTTCAACCATGTTGAACATCAATCAATTACTATTAATAATAATCATAGTATTTCTTTCCATCAATCAACCATTTTATTTTATGATTCAAGTGATACTCAATGTCAATCAAATCATTCATTCATTCCTAACAACAATAATAATTTAATTATTTATTTTTTAATTCATCCATGTCAATTCCTTTTAATATTCAATTACCATTAAATCACTCAACAACCAACAACCACATTCTTTTATATGTTCAATCGAACAGCAACAAAACAACAAATTCAATCTCATGTTTCGATCATCAACCAATCATTTCCATCAACAATAATAATAATAATAATATTTCATTCTTCAATGTCCATCAATCATCGATTCCATGTTTTAATTCAAGTAATATTTTAACTCATTGCCAATCAAACAATCTCGCAATCATCACCAATCCATCCACCCTCCACATTCATCTCCAATCAACCCACAATCCTCAAACCATTGGACAATCTTCTAACAATAACAAAAATACAAATACAAATAATAACAACACAAGACCAACAAATAATAATAATAATAATAATAACAAAAACAACAATTACTCCTCTTCCATAGACAGACAACCCATTCATTTTTCACCAACCACCAATAATAATAATCGTAGGAATATTGCAATCTTTGCCAATCACTTCAATCCACACCCATTAAATAATAAAAACAAAAACAGCAATAACGACATTAAATTAAAAAATACAAATAACAACAACAATATTACAATCTTTGTCGATCACTTCAACCCATCCACAATCCATATTCACCAATCCATCCACAATCGGTACTCACCAATCAATCCACTCATCACAACCACCCATCAATCATATATTCATCTCCAATCAATCCACAATCTTCAATCACTCAACAATCAGCAACCAATAATAATACAAATAACATTACAAAAAATAATTATTCAACAAACAATAATACAACAAACAATAATAATCCAAACAATAATCAAACAACAAACAAGAATAATCCAAACAATAATCACAATAATAATACAAACAACAATACAAATAATAACTTAAAAAATCATAACAACAATACATTTGATAATAACAATTTAAATAATAATAATAATAACAACAATATATTATATATGTCACAATCCAACTCTTCCTCCTCCTTTTTCACCTTTTCAATTTACCAACCCCCTCATTGTTCACCAACAAATAATAATAACATTCCGATTACAACAAAGAATAATCATAACAACATTACAATCTTTACCAATCACTCCAATCCACAATCCTCATTCACCAATCAATCATTCATTCATCACCAATCCTCTAGCCAGTCGCCCGTCCCAAATCCAGTAATCAAGAGTACCAGTTTCCAAGCAACAATCACCACCATTCGTAGACCAACATAATTAACTCTGTATCAAATGTTGATAATTAATTATAAATTTACTGACTCTTTTTCTTTTATTTTATAGGTACACTAATCGATTGCATTATTCTCTTCAACTCTTTTGGTAACAACATCTTAATAATAATAATAATAGTAATAATAATCCAACAACCAACAACAATAACTAATAATAATTACAACAACCAACAGCAATAAGTAATAATAATAATAATAATTACAACAACAAACAACAAAACCTAATAATAATAATTACGATCATCTTCTTTTCTAAAAAAAAGATATTCAATTACTTTTACCCAAGTGGTTTCCCTCTCTTCCTACTCTTTTCTTTTTATACATTGTCCGTTGCCATCGTCCGTGTCCAGTCCAGTTCAGTCCATCATCGTCCATCCATGTTTCCCTAGGCTTTTATACCCCAAAAAAGATATTCGATTACTTTTACCCAAGTGGTTTCCTTTACAAAAAGATATTAAATTACTTCACCCAGAGGGTTTCCCAGGTTCGCCCCCGTGTAAGTCGAATTTTATCGCATTGGGGGGCTTTTTTTTTTTTTTTGGACTGTTCCCATGGTCTAAACAACCATGGGAACAACAAAAACTATATTTTTCTATTTCTTTCTTTCTTTCTCTCTTTTCTCTCTCTTTTTCCCTCTCTTTTTATTTATTATTAATTTATTTATTTATTTATTAATTCTTTTACCCGCCAAATCAATATTAATTAATTCATCATCAGAATTTGTAATAATTATTTGTAACAAATATTTGTGACACTTCAACTGTAGCAATATGTGTCTTTATAAAGGTGTGCATCTAAAGATGGTTTATGGGTTTGTAACTTTAATTTATTAAAATTAAAACTTTATAATAAAAATAAAATAAAAAAGCAACCACACCACTTCACCAACTCTGACTTTTTGATCATTTATTATTTTATTTTTCTTAAATTTATAATTAAAATTAAACTTGATACTCACATATCAATATTTATTTATCATATATAAATATATATTATCTATAGATAGAGATATACTAATTGAGTACTCAAGGTGGATAGAAAAGCAATGTTGATATTTTAGAGTACCATCAATGTATTATTGTTGATATATGATAGATTATGGATGGTGGATGGCAGATACAATTGGATCCTCTGTCTACGATCCTCCACCATCCATCTATTGTCTTTCCATCCACTATCCATGGTAGAATATAGTCAATCATTGCCCATCAACCATCGTCCACTGTCCGCCCGCCAAAAAGTGGAAAATCAATGAATGCATAATGTTTTATTGGGATCGATGGTTCATGAATGACCAATTAATATAGAATAACAAAAGCCAACTTTGAATTTCGTATTATTATTTTATTGACATCAGAAATGGATTATAGTTGGGGTTCTGATTGTAATGATTGTTTAATACAAAGAAACCAATAAAATTAAAGATCTTTTATATTATAATTAAATCTAAGACTTATATATTTCTATCTCATTCCATCCACCATCTACCATCCATTCATACATTGTCTATACATCCATTCATCCATTCATCCATCCATCCATCCATCCACCCACCAACTATCCATCCATCCATCCATCCTCTATCTATCCACCAAATATCCATCCACCCTCCATCCATCCATCCATCCATCCATCCATCCATCCATCCATCCATCCATCCATCCATCCTCTATCTATCCACCAAATATCCATCCACCCTACATCTATCCACCAACTATCCATCCATCCACATCTGTTAGATCTAGATTCTCTAAAATCAATGATATCTCATTCAATATACTCAATCCTGGGTAGGACAAATCAAATATGTTTTAGATAAAATACAAACGACCAACTAAATATTTCATTTATATAGTTATACCTCTACATAGTTTTTACACCATCCATCCATCCATCCATCCATCCATCCATCCATCCATCCATCCATCTAAGTTAGTACAATAAATATTTAAAACTTTTATTATTAAAGTATATGTTTAAAAATTTAGTATCATACATCTATCTTTCTAGATTTATGCAATAAGAAATCATTCGTCTAGCCATATATTTGATACTATAATATAATAAAGGATTTCAAACATTGGTGACAATATAGTAAATATTTTAAAATAGTAAACCATGGTGGCACCTATTAATAAGTAGTACCGAGACTTCGAGACCTCGAAACCTAGACGAGCAAAACAAACCCTCTAAAAAGTAGACTTGTGACGATCATTACTGGGGGGAGTGAGGGCTATCGACTTTCAACTAGTCGGTTTTTTTTTTGTTTCCCTCCTCAAAAAGAAAGATATTTTTAATTTTTTTCAATGGGCCATTGGAGATTTTGGGACAAGAGAGGAAAACGGTTGCAGAGGACAGTAGTTTAAAAATAATCAATCGTGTAGACATAAAAAGAGATAAAGAGAGAGAATTGCTTGTTCGATTGATCAATTAATTCTACTTTGCCATTTTGTTTTTTTCAACTCTTCCCCTACTCCTTCCTCTTCGTCCAACGCAAAGTTTTTTTTTTTATTAGTTAAAGGTGAACAACAATGATTAGAAATGACAGTACAACTAGAATCTCATCAAAATCATTACCAAAATTAAATCGATCAACAACAACTTCAACTTTGCTATTTTTAGTAGTGGTATTCCTCTTATCGATAACAATCAACAACATTAATGTAGTCAATGGTAAGTTGCAATGATTGATTGATTATTTTGGGCATTGGCAATCATGATTATTTATTATTTATTATTATTTGTAGGAGAACATTATATTGTTGAATGGAATAATCCAGTTGTATCAAATCTAACTATATCAGTTGGAGATACAGTAACATGGATTACATCGGATATGGAAATGAATACTGTAACATTAATTGAAAGAATCCCTATTTATCTTGATCATGACAATCAAGTTACTTTTGAAAATCCAAAATTGAAATATCAAAAGGAACAATTACAACTACAACAGCAACAACAAACGCAAACGTCAGATCAAATGACTACTAACCAACAACTACTACTACTACAACAACAAAAAGAAAAAGAAAAGGAACAAAAGGAAAAAGATCAAAAATATAGTTATTCATTTGATTCTCCCATTTCTTTTAATAATCCAAAATATCATCAACAACCACAACAACAAACGGCGGCTTCATTACAACAACTATCACAACAACAACAACAACAACAAACTGTAATATTACAACAACAACAACAAGAACAATCAAATTTGGTTAATCCAAGTTTAAACTTGCATGAAACTCCAACACGCAGAAGATATTCATTCACATTTACTCAAGAGGGACTTTACCTTTACTCTTCAAAATATAATCCAGAAACCATGCAAGGAACTGTTCAAGTTTTACCAATTGTTTGTATGTTAACACAAATTAATACTATTAATATCCAACAAAACTTTTATTAATTAATTTAATTTAATTTATTTAGATGATCCAGATGCAAATTCCAGTTCCAAACAATCATTATGGAGTTTATGCTTTGCATTTTTCATTGGTCTTTTAATGTTTTTCATCTTTAATTAATCAATTATACTACGCCATTTTTTATTCTTTTCAATCAAAAAAGAGGATAACATAACCAACTATTAAAAAAAAAAAAAGATAAAAGAGGAATTTCATAGATAATGAGTTTCCATTCTTCTTTTTAGTTGGTTTATACTTGAAAAGTCCAATTTGAAAATAAAAAATACCTTTTTCCCAAAATATAATAACCATCCATTGTCCATCGTTTCGTTTTGTTTTATATTTATATTTATATTTACATAATATTTATTTATTCGTTTGTTGTTCTATAATATATTTGAAAAGAATGTCCAAAATAATACAAAAGACTAAAATAAAATGAAAAGGAAAAAAAAAAGGTTATTAATTAATTATTTAATTAAGTTGTGTGTTTGATTATTCTATTTTCTTTTTATGAATGTACATACCATCATACCAGAGGTAATTTCATACCACATTGTTTTTGGATTAACAAAATAATTAATTAAAGATTTATGTGAAATACTATAGAGTGCGCAAAATAGAAAATGAACAAATACAAAGAAAACAAAACCCCATAAATTGGTCAATCCTAATAACCCTGCTACACATCCACCCAATGATGATATTAAAATTCGACTATAAATTATAAGATAAGATATTAGTTATAAATACTACTACTACTACTACTTGATGATGTTCATTCTTTCATATGATGATGATGATCATTCATTCGTTTTTGTTTTTTTTTGTTGTTGTCATTCATTCATTACCAATTATTCTTTGATCTTAAATTTAAATTTATATAATCACTATCATAAATCTCTGGTATGATAGCTTCTGGTGCTTGAGGTTGATGTTGTTGTGGATTGATCATCTTATATACTTATATATTAGAGAGAAAAGTTCTAGTCTTTGAGTTATCTCTATCTCTTTTAAATTTTTGTGTTCCCTCTCTTTCTTTTGGTGGTGAAAAAAATTAAATTTTTTTAATTTTTTTGTTTGTCGATTGTGGTGGAGTTCACAAACAACTTCAAAAAACCTGTATCAGCTCAAGAAACAAGAGAAAAGCTCTAATTATTTAAAGATTTGAGGCTCTTTGAAGCACTATCAAGAGTAGATTATCTATTTATTCATATATTCTATTTATACACTATCATTTTTTATAAAAGAACCATCCAATTTGGTTTTAATTACTCATTTTTCAACCCCAAATTTGTACTTTGAAGCAACCAAAGTTTTGAAAAAGATAAAGAGTAAGAAAGAAAGAGAAAGAGAGAAAGAAAGAGACAACAATGACAACAATGAAATAGCATTCGATACTAATCAATATATTCTATTCTATACAGGTTACCATAATGTTATTCTTTTGAAGATTAGAGAATCATCAGTTTTAGTACCCTCAATCAAAAAGAATAAACAAACAACAACACTACAAAACAACCAAACAACCAACCAACTTCCTCTCCACACAACCAACTACATGACATATATGGTTGATGTTGGAGGAAACAACTTATATAGAATAACATAACAACATCCAACCTAAACAATTTTCAAACAAACAACAAATACAAGACATGGTCAAAAAATCAACAACTTCAAAATCATCGTCATTGACATCCGCTGGCGATGAAACGTCGACGACAAATGGTAGCGATGATATAACCATGGGAGAATCTACATCACCATCATCCAATAATACTACTACTACTACACCACCATATACAAGAAGACATAGTCGATCGAATAGTGGTGGTGGTACTAGTACGACCTCTACTACAACTACAACAAACAACTCATCAACATCTCCATCACAAAATTCAACGCCATTATCAACTAAAAAGAGAAAGTTTGTAAGCAAGATACCTATTCATCAAGCACAACAACAACAACAACAACAAAATACCTTACCGGCAACATCAACAACAACAAATCCAATTATTACACAAAACAATGAAATCATCATGGAAAAGAAATCAGAGATTGATAAAAAGAATGAACAAATCGATCAGTTGATTGAAAAGAGACAGTCTATGATTTATCAATTAGTCTATTTGGATCAACCTTCTTCAGCTTCGAGTTTATTAGATTTTCAAGAAGATGATACATTATCAAAAATATATAGTCATGACAATGGTATAGAGGAAATGACACCATCTACCATTCAACCAAAAATACCAACTTCTCCACCTTTAATTGAACCTATTCTATCTTCTTTAAAAGATGATCATAATAATAACAATAACAATAATAATAATAATAATAATAATAGTAATACAATTACAACACCAATATCCAAAGGTAGAAAGAAAACTATTATTACAATTAAAAATAGAAATTTATCTACCTCTACTTCTTCAACGACTACGATACCAACAACAACAACAACACCATCAATAGAATCATCTAATACTTCTACCACCTCCACTTCAGATATAATAATAGATAATCCAATTAAAAAAGTAAAGACATCAATTAATTTGGCAACATCAATATTTTCACAAGATGATCAACAAAGAAAAAAAGAACAAGAAGAATTGGAACTAGACGAATTGGAAGAGCAGTCATCAAAATTAATTATACCATCACCAAATATATTTTTACCAATACCCAGAATGAATAGAGAGACTATTGAAAAGGCATCACAAGATGCAGAGACACTTCGAAGGATACATGAACTACAGAAACAAGGTATTTGGAGAAACAAACAACTCTATAAACTGCCAGAACCACCAAGACCAAAGGTTCATTGGGACTATGTCCTCGAAGAGATGGCATTGGTGGCCGAGGATTTTGGTAGACTGCGTCGTCAAAGATCGCGGGTGCTCAAACACATGAACAAGGAGGTCACCAAGTATCACAAGGCATTGGTCAACCAAGAGGAAAAGATGGCCAAGGAGGAAGAGTTGAGAAGGAAAAAGATCTCTTTCAACATTGCCAAGGAAATCAAAAAGTTTTGGACTCAAATTGGTAAATTGGTCAATTACAAGTCACAGATTCATGTCGATCACATCAAGAAACAAGAACGTGAAAAACAACTAGATCTAATTGTCACTCGTACCGAAGAGTATTCAAACATGTTGGCTCAAGGTCTAAAAGAACGTGAACAAGAAGTTGTTCAACAAGAGGAAGAAAAGGAGGAAGAGGTAGATCCAGAGTTGACCCAAGAAGCTATGGAGCGTATTAAATCAAGACAAAGATTTAGAGATTTAATGTCAATCACTGATCCAACTACAATGGATGATTCTGATGATTCTGATTATTCTTCTGATCAAGATGATGAACAAGATGAATTGGATGAATTGGATGAATTGGAATCAGAAGGATCAGATGAAATGGAAGATTTGGATTTACTAAAACAAGATGCTGAAATGGATATTGAAGAATTGATTCAAAGAGAAATTAAAGAAGAACAAGAATCACCATCAATGACAAGCTCCACCGGTGAACGATCAGCATTATCTATATTCTTGAATCAATCAACTATGCCAACCGAGAGTATTTTGAAAACCAAGGTACCATTCCTTATCAAGGGTAAACTTCGTGAATACCAACACATTGGTTTGGATTGGTTGACGTCGCTGTACAACAAAAAACTGAATGGTGTGTTGGCCGATGAGATGGGTCTGGGCAAGACGATCCAGACCATCTCCTTGTTGGCCTACCTTGCCGTTGAAAAGGGTATTTGGGGTCCACATCTCATTGTCGTTCCAAGCAGTGTGCTGTTCAACTGGGAGATGGAGTTTAAGAAATGGTGTCCTGGATTCAAGGTGTTTACATACCATGGATCGCAAAAGGAGCGAAAGGAGAGTCGAAAGGGGTGGAGCAAGAGCAACGCGTTCCACGTCTGCATTACGAGCTATTCTACGATCGTCACGGACCAGCTCATCTTTAGACGAAAGCATTGGGTGTATCTCATACTCGATGAAGCACATTCGATCAAGAACTTCAAGTCACAGCGTTGGCAGACGATGCTCAATTTCAATGCCGACCGTCGTCTCTTGCTCACTGGCACGCCGTTGCAAAACAATCTCATGGAGTTGTGGTCGCTGATGCATTTCTTGATGCCCGATATTTTCCAGTCGCACCGCGAGTTTCAAGAGTGGTTTTCTATGCCCGTCACGGGTATGATCGAAGGCAACGAGTACGTCAACGACGAGCTGATTGCCAGACTGCACAGCGTGTTGCGTCCATTCCTCTTGCGTCGTCTCAAAAAGGACGTCGAGAAGCAGATGCCCAAAAAGTACACACACGTCGTGCCCTGCCAGCTGTCGCGTCGTCAAAAGTATCTCTACGAAGAGTTTATCAATGCCAACAGCACGCAGGCCACTCTCAAGGGCGGCAGCTTCTTTTCCATCATCAATATCTTGATGCAGCTCAGAAAGGTATGCAACCATCCCGATCTATTTGAGGTGCGTCCCATCGTTTCACCGTTTGAATGCGACCCTATCACCTATGACTCACATTCGCTTTTCTCTGGAGCACTCGATGATGCGCCATCGCGTACCATCAACCTCAACCTGCTCAATCTGGATCTCACCTCGTACGAAACCTCTCTACGAACAATGGACGCCAACACCATCTCTGACTTGATGCCATCCGACAACCGTATCCGCGAAATCCCACATTCAATGTCATTCAAGCTCAATCTGTCACAACAAAACATCAACTCTCAGACACTTGCCAGCTCATCGTCAAGTGTGTCGTCCTCCTTGTTGCCAACATCGTGTCTCGACATTTTCCAAGCATCTCGACACGATTCACAGCAACTCAAGCAAAAAGAGTCGTTGGATCGAATCACCCTACTGAAAAGTCGTCGTAGCTATAACCGTCCTCTCTTTGGTTGGGATTTGGTCAATACCGTCACTATCCAAGATCCCGTACAAGACATTCATGCCATTGCAGCCGATCCATCACGTTACTTTGACTATCCCAACAAACTGTTGGAAATGATCCTCACACCAGTACAACGTAGCAACAAATTACAATCAGTCATTGAAAACTTTACCTTTCTCATTCCAAAAACAACAAGTTCCCCTATTCAATTGATAGAATCTCATCCAAACCCTTCAAAACTATTATCTCGTTCACTTTATCAATCAAATTTAATTCAATTAATTCAACAAAAGTATAAGACTGAAAAGGGTGTTGGAGGAATAGATCAATCAACCAATACTTTTGACATTATACAACAAGAAGATCCATTTACATCATTATACGATTCATACAAGAGAATGAAATTATTCTTCCCAGACAAAAGACTTGTTCAATATGATTGTGGTAAACTACAGAAATTGGCAGAACTATTGCGAGAGTTGAAAAAGGGTGGTCATCGTGCCCTCATCTTTACGCAAATGACGAAAATGTTGGATGTCTTTGAAGGTTTCCTCAACTTGCATGGATACACGTACGTGCGTCTCGATGGTTCGACCAAGGTGGAACGTCGTCAACTTTTGACGGAACGATTCAACAAGGACAACCGTATCTTTTTGTTTATCCTCTCTACTAGAAGTGGAGGGTTGGGTCTCAATCTGACAGGTGCCGATACCGTCATTTTCTACGATACCGATTGGAATCCCTCCATGGATGCTCAAGCTCAAGATAGATGTCATCGTATTGGTCAAACCCGTGAAGTACACATCTATCGTCTCATCACTCAACACACCATCGAAGAAAACATTCTCAAGAAATCAAATCAAAAACGTCAACTCGATGATATGGTTATTCAAGGTGGCGAATTCACTACAGACTTTTTCAAAAATATTGATTTAACTCAAATGATTGCAAATGATAGTAATAATAATAATAGTGGTAGTAAACAACAAACCAATAGTTCACCAGTATTGGGTAAAATTTCTCAAACTGAATGGGAAAATGCAGCTGAAAATGTTGAAGATGAAGCTGATGTTTCTGCTCTAAAGAATGCTCAAAAAGAACAAGCTATGGAAATGCAAGAGTTTGATGAATTGGATCGTACAAGTACCTCTTTATCAACTACTCCTCCTATTGAAGATGAAATTAAAGCTCAACAAGATTTAGTTGAAGAATATTTAAATCCAATTCAAAGGTAAACATATAATAGAAAATAGAAAAAGGAAATAACAATAATTATTATAGTTTAATATTAACATATTTATTTATTTTTTAGATTTGCATTAAAATATATTGAAAATATGGATACATTTATTGTTGAAGATGATGGAAAAGCTAAAAAGGAAAAGGATGAAGAAGAATCTGATGGTCAATCTGATTCAGATTCAGATTCAGACTCTGACTCTGAAGAATCTGATGAATCTGAAGAAGAAGAAGAAGAAGAATCTGAAAACAACAAAGATAATGAAAATCAAAGTGACGACGATGATGATATATTAATGGGTGAAGAAAAAAAGAATAGTGAAAATAATAATAGCAACAACAAGAATAACAAGAATTCTAGCACCACCAATCAAAATAGTAGTAATCCAGTAGAAAATGGAAAAGTGAATCAAATGACCAATGGTAAAGAAAATGGTCATCTATATACAATGTACAGTGATATTAATCAAAAAGATCAAACAACAACAACAACAAAGAAATTATTAATTAATCAATTAAATAATTCTCTATCAATTGAAGAACAAGCAGATAAAGATTTGCTTTTTTTTGAGGTAACAAAAAAGATAGAAACTTTTAATTAATAATATATTTAACTAATAATTATTTTATTTTAATTTCTCTTTAGTTAAGTGGAATAAGTAATGTAGAGTTTCAATCCTCTCTTTTACTCTATGGCGAATTTTTCGAAACATTACCTGATCCAGAAGAAAAGGAAGAATGGTTTTTGGCACCAATGCAAGAACCGTTTCCCGAGAATCTCTTGGAACAAGTCCTAAAGGATCAGGACGAATACTATCATCAGCACCATCACTACTTATATCCACCATCACCACCAACCATTTCATTTGAGTCCATTGCCAAGCCAATGCGATCAAAGTTGAAGAGGGGGAAAATTATCAAACAAACAGCTCAACAATACATCTACAACAAACAATTTACAAAGGAAAAGGAAAAAGAAAAGAGACTACTCATCAAAAAGAAAAAGGAAAAGGACAAAAAAGAAAAGCTGCGTCTCGAGGAGGAACGCAAAGCAAAGGAGAAAAAGGAGCTCAAAACCAAAAAGTCAGAGGCTCAAGCCAAGAAACTCGACGACAAGATGCGCAACAAAAAGAATGGTGGCCCACCGGGAACCGAGAAAAAGATTATGCGTCCCGACGACATTATCATGACGAGCGGACAACAATCCGACGAGTTTGAAGAGTTGGCTGAAAGCGTAGAGTCAATGTTGAACCGTGGTGCCAATGACGGTAGCTGCGACGATGACTCGTCCAAGAAACGCTCGAAAAACAGTTCTGGCCAAGGTCTGTTTGGGAGCAGATCCGCCCTTCGAAAATCACGCGATGGCGGAGACGCTCAATCGCATCTCGAAGGCGGTGCTACGGCTGACCCAGGTCCTACCTGGTTGCCGTACGAGGATGCTGCCCTGCTTGACGCAATCCGCACATTTGGTACCAACAACTGGGACCTCATTGCCACGCTGCTCCAAAACAACATCAACGAGCGTGTGCTTCGATACCGTCGTACCAAGTCGCAGTGTGCCGAGCGATACAAACAACTTGCACCCAAGGAACTCGAAAAGAAGCATCATCCCCAGACTGGAGCGACCGACACCAACTCGAGTGCTGGTGCTGCTACTGCTGCTATCGAGAGTACACCGTTTCCCTACTCTCTGTTGGATCACGTCAAAAAGGCAATTGCACAAAACAAGCTTATATGTCGTCCAGGAACCGTCTCGCTCATTGAAAACAAGATCCCAGTTCACCAATCACACAGTGCTAGTATTATGGCTGCAAACCTTCATCCCACGTGCTCGACCGCCTCGGAACTGTCCATTCTCACCACCACCAGATGCATCAAGGAAAGATTGGCTGCCAAACAACAACTACAACAACAACAATTACAACAACAACAACAAAGAAGTCAACAACAACAAATTGTAATGAGACCTAATCAAGGTCAAGTAGGTCAAGTAGGACAACAGCAACAAGGTCAGGGTCAGGGTCAGGGTCAGGGTCAGGGTCAAGGTCAAGGTCAAGGTCATGTACAGGTACAAGGTCAAGGACAACCAATCCCAAATATTCAACAATTACCAAATCAACAACAACAACAACAAGGACAACAACAAGGACAACAAGGACAACAACAATTGCAATTACCTCAACAACAAGATTCATCAATGAATGTTCAATTTAATCAACCGAATCCAACATCATCTATTGGTGCACCTATAGCAGTTCAATCTATACCAATTCCAATACCACCACAACAATTACAACAAATACAACAACAGAGAGCAAATCAACAACAACAACAACAACAACAATTGCAACAACAACAACAACAAATGAATGCTCCAACACCTATAGTTGGAAAACCAATACCAGGACTTTATGTACAGCCAATGAATCCATCTACTAATGCAACTATTACATCGAGTACATCCTCTTCTTCCAACTTGGCTCCTCCAACGACTACTGCCACGACAATTCCACCAATCAAAGTACAACAACCACCACCACCATCTACTCCAACACAAGCTCCACCGCCCACATCCTCCAAAACACCATCACCTCCACCTGCTGCTAAAAAACCTCCAAAATCAACACCGAAAAGAGCAAAAAAGGAAGCGACTCCAAAAACAAGTAAAAAGAAAACTGACAAGTCATAATAACAATCCCTTTTTTTTTTTTAGAAAAAGAAAAATAAAATATAAAACCACAAAAATTTGTAAATGTATAATAATAATAATTATATTTGTTCCATGTTGTTTTAAAATATTGTTAAAAGTTGGAAAAATTAAAAAAAAAAAAAAATAGAAATTTTCCTCACTTGATGCTTTGGGTGCAGTTGCTGATGATCTTTCGACTTGCATAGTTTTAGTTTGTAATATATATATTGAAGAAAGATAGAGAATGTCAGTATCAGCACTTACTCATCAACAAACAGTTGTTAGATTATATCGTAAATGTTTAAAGTCAATCAGAGATTACTCTGAAAACTATGACTACTTCCTCAAACAAGCTACTATCTTGCGTAACACTGTCAAGGCACACAAGGATGAAACTAATCCATTCCTCATTAAACAATATATGAACGATTTTGAAAAATGGTCTAATAACTGGGAACACCCAGATCCATATATTCGTATGTATCAGATGAAATTCAACTTGCCGCTGCTTTGGGTGGAATGTTTCATTTTGGTGTATTTGAATCAAAAGACTCTCTCATCTAATCACTCTTTATGTTTATTACCCTTTTAGCATGTGATGCCCCAGGTGGCTCAAAGTGGCAAAGAAACATACCACCAAAACAGTGGCAAGTTAACCCAGCTAGATACGATCTTAATGTAGAATAAACAACAACAATAATAATAGTAATAACAATAACAGCAATAATAACTATAGTAATAAATCAACAACAAAACACTTATACATCAAATAACAATCAATCAATCAATCAATCAATCAATCAATTCGTTCTTTATGGTATAAATATGTATATTACTTTATTGGTTTATTTTGGTTAATTTGGTGAATTACTTGCAGTTAACCATCTTGTCAGAGTGATTGGTCTAAAACCAAGATTACGGAAAAGATTTTGTGAAGGTTGATTTTCGGTATTGATATAGATAAACGGTACAAGAAGATATGGTTTGCTTAGACATTTGATTAAGATATCGGCAACGACTCGCATTGCATATGAATTACCACGATGTTTGGGAAGTGTAAACAATGATCCAACAGATCCATCGGTATATTGAATGGCCCAAGATATGATTTCATTTTCTTTACCTCCTCTAACACAAGAGGTTATTGAATGTTTTGTTGTCCATCTCATAAATGCTAAACTCTTTGTTGATCTATATGTCCAATTATTATCTAAAAAAAAAAAAAGGTAAAAAGAGAAGTATTAATATATATACTTATCATTTGTTTCTTTCTTGTTCCAACATCTTCTTCATTTTGTTTCATACCAACAACATCAGCTTCATCAAATGTAATTGGTGATTCACCACCTTCTAAATATTGTTTTAAATCTTCAATTTTATCTTGTTTACTTTCGATTGGCAACATTAACAAATCAAATATTTCTGGACTTGGTTCAATCTTTAAACCTTGTCTTCGTAGTACATCTTCCAATATATCATTTTCTTCTAATCCCAATGACGCAAATGCCAAATATCTTCTATTCAATGGTGTGGCATTGTAACAAATAAATAATGTGTTAGTTGAGAGAGTGATGATATATGTTTTGTTTTGACTTACGATGAAGGTAATAAATGATCAACTAGACCATCCTTTTGATATGGATAGGTAGTTGGATCCATGTCAATTTGATATTTTGGGTTGGATAAGAAACCCTTCTTCCAGTCGACACTGTTTACATATCGCTTGAATCGTACAATGTCATTGGTAAAGATACTGAGTTGACCACGAACAATATCGATGAAAAGCATGATGGTTGGTGATGCCTCGATATCGACAAATGCAATATAGTTGAGACCCTCCTTGTTGGTAATGATTCCTTTGATTCGAACCGATTGTTTGAATCGATCGACATGTGGCAATAAAATACTACTATCTTTGATTTGATACAATTCAATCACCTCCTCTTCATTTGATGATATTGATGATGATGATGATAATAAACTCATGATGATAATGATTGTTTTCTTTATATAAAGGTAAATAATTAAATAAATAAATAAATAAATAGATTGATTGATCCAACGGATAATTTGTTGTTAAAGGAGGGAGTTGTTGACTGTGACCCTCGTTCGTTGAACTCTTGATTAATTAATTAATTAATAGGGTTGGGGGTTGTTGAGTGTGCGTTATTACTTATTATTATTATTACTAAGATTAAAATAAACAACTTGACCTGTGTTTATTATTTATTGTATTGTTATGATAAGTGTTTGATCTTTGAAAACAATTTGTATTATTGTTGGGTTTGGGACTTTGAAACAACAATGACACAAAAATCGAACAATCAAACGGACAACACTTCTGAGAGTGCACAGCTAATTCCAGTTTTTGGTAATTCAGACCACTTAGAAACTATTTTACATATCTTAAGGAGTATTTATATATCATCGTCGGTTGTGTAAAGAAGTATTCTTCTTCTTCTTTTTAGAAAACAATAAATAAATATATATATTATTTCTAATATTTAAATTGTTGCAGTTGATTAAATTTAAAAAAATCACATAGTAACATCGGGATTGAAATGGTTGTTGGTATGAAACAATCCAATTATAATTATGAGTGGGATCGATTGATGATGAATGATGGGTGTTGGGGAGGAGGGGGTGACCGTAGAGGAAGGGGATGGGGATCACAACAAACCAAGAATAATGTAATGACTACGTTTGTAAATTTGTGTTTTGAAAAAAAAAAAAAACAATTCTCACTGGGTGGGGGGTGGCAGCTTGTGCGAGCTACCCTAATTTGTATTGAATGCGATCGATCCCGTTCTCTCTTGTTAGCATTGATTCTCGTCATCAACAGGAAGAGGATTAGTTTAATTAATTATTGTCGTTTCGTTTCAGTTCTAATACTATGATCATCATCATCGTCGTCGTTTGTATCTTTTAAACTACTGTAAACCTATAACTATGATTTGTGATTATGAGGTAAGGTTCAAAAAAATTTAAAAAAATTAAAAAAAAATAATTGTGAGGGAGGAGTTGGATGAGGTGATGTTGTTTATTAATGAGCTTTTTCAAGCTGCTATTAATAATAATAATAATAAAAAAAAAAAAAGAAAAGAGTAAACTTATTAGATACCCTACACTCTGCTGACAGCACAACACAACCAACCAAACCAACCAACCAACCAACTGCACAGGCTCCACCACCACAAGGTTCGTCGTTCACATTATATTATATTATATTATATTATATTATATTATATTATATTTATTTTGTTTGTTTGTTTGTTCCTATCATCCATCCATCACCATCATCCACTCTACCCTTCTTTCTCTTTCTCTTTCTTTATATTATGATGAATGATTAAATGATTATTAACTTTTTATTTATTACTACCCCATATGTATTATTATATACTGTAACAATGTAATTAGATTACACTATATTAAATTAAATTAAATTAAATTGGTCTTTACAGAGTGAACTCGGCTGCTTTACTTATAGTACTTGATTCATTGATAGATTAGATCGTCGATCGATCATTCCATTCCATTCCCATCCTATTATTCATTTCACACATTCCCACGAGGTCATGGTAAAGATACTATCATAGGTCATTTTGATGTTTAATAACAAATAGAGTAGAGTAGAGTATCAAGAGAGAGAGAAGGAGAGAGGAAAGGAGACAGCCAAATATAAAGTAATACAATACAGGTAGTAGTATTACGATCGTTAACCTCTTCAATCAAGTAGTATCATTACCTATCTACAACATCTACATACATACATACATATTCACATTATACCATTAGTTGGTCATATGATGGATCAAAATCACCTATCACAACAAAATAACAACAACACCAATGGTTCAAGTGAAACAGGATACAATAGTGCACAATATCAACAACAACTACAACAACATCATAACTTTACCGTCGGTAAAAAAGAAGATAATCTAGACGAAATGGATATAAACAATAACAACTTTGCAGACGTGGAGTATGAGTTTAATAACAACAACGCATATACAAACAATGGTAATAACAATAACATATCAAATAGAAGTAATTCAATGGATGGTCCAAAAGATGATCAATCTCTACAACAACAACAACAACAACAACCACAACAGCAACAACAATATCATGTAAGTTATGGATTGATAGATATATCACTATCGAGTGTATTCTAAAGTTTAGAAGTAGCTAACCATTTATCTTTTTTTTTTTTTTTAAACTATTTAGACTTCATCACCAATTGCTCAGCAGCAGCAGCAACAACAACCTCAACCTCAACAACAACAATATTATAATAATTCTCAACAACAAATGGGATCAGTGGCAATTCAAGGATCACCATATCATCCTCATCAAAACATGGTATCACCTCCACCACAACATCACATTTCACCAAACCCATCGCCGGGCATAAATCATCAACAACAACAACAATCTATAAATACACCAAATCAAAATATGCACTCTCCTATGATTGGACCACAACATACTAGTCCTTCGACACCGATGCCGCACGTATCACCAGCTCAAGTATATACTCCGAGTCAGCAACAGCCTCAAACCCCACAACCACCTCAGGCCTACTCGACACCCTTTTTAAATAATCCGCAAACCCCAACTACACCGCAGCTGCAACAGCCAAACACACCCATCCAACAGCCACAAACGCCTCAGCAACAAGCTCAACAATCCGTTGTAAATAAGCCACCTCAAACTATCACTCAACCTCCCCCACCTCTTCCTCTACCCCAGCAACAACAACAACAGCAGCCAACCGCTCAGCCTCAGCCAGCCGGTATTTCTCCCGTACATACTATACCACAGCTTGTTGCAAGCATGCCACAATTTCAACAACAACATTTACAACAACAGCAACAACAACAACAACAACAGGCACAATTGAATCAACAAGCACAATTGAATCAACAGGCTCAATTGAATCAACAACAGAAATTGCAATTACAATTACAACAGGCTCAACAACAACAGGCACAGCTAACACAGCAACGGATGACTGCGCAACCCCCTCAATACCAAATGCCAGGTGCACAAACACTGCCTCCACAACTCCAATTATACCAACCGACCCAAATCCCAGCGTCACTCAATCCCAATCAATTTTCAGCCTATCCTCAACAATATGGTACCACACCAAGTCAAATGCATTTGTATAGTTTGATAGCTCAACAACAGCAACAACAAGCGCAACAACAACAACATCAACAACAACAACAGCAGATTTTTAAACAACAACAACAACAACCAAACACAATTACACAGGCACCAACATCACTACCATTGCCAACATCTCTGACCCAAGGAACGAATCAACAACAACAACAACAAATATCTTCACCGGTGACAGCTTCCACCAATCAACAACAACAACCAATGACATTTCAAACTAATCCACAAACATCTGTTTCTACTGCTACGACTGCCACCTCTCAATATCAACCCAAACCTTATCCGATTCAACAACTTCCCAATAGTAATGGTAATAATGTTGGAACACCTTTACAATCTGTACCTTTGATGACTGCCCAAGGAGCTCAATTGACTCAACAACAACAACAATTACTTATTCAACAACAATTACATCAACAACAACAATTACAACAATTACAAGCACAACAGCAACAAGCTCAACAACAACAGCAACAATTACATGCACAACAATTCCATCAACAACAACAACAGCAACAATTACAATTACAAGCACAACAACAGGCACAACAACAACAACAACAACAACAAGCACAGGCACAGGCACAAGCTCAACAACAAGCTCAACAACAAGCACAGGCACAGGCACAGGCTCAAGCACAAGCGCAAGCACAGGCACAAGCACAAGCTCAACAAGCAGCTCAACAAGCATCAGAAGAGAGTGAAAAGAAGAAAAAACGAAAGAGTGACAAGAAGAGAAAGAGTGAACTAGAGGCATTCAAGAAAAAGTTTAATGAAGCAATGGTTGAAAGAAAGTTGGCAACTGAACCAGATTACAAAACTCCATTTCAATCAATCGAGGATTTAAAAAAGAGATTAAGTTGTTTTCAAATATTTTCAGAACTTGAATCATCAATCGGTATGTATTAGTAATAATCAATAATAATAATTTATAATATTAATGTTTGTACTATTTATTTATTTATTTAGTTTCTGAAGAGAAATGTAAAAAATTAAAAATAGAAACTTTTAATACTGTAGATAGACTATTCAAGAACATTTATAAAATATCAGAGAATCAATTAAAAGAGGACAATCTTTACAAGGAGGATTTTTGTATCCTTGATCGATTGATTCAAAATGAAGTAGGTGTATTTAAAATACATTTACAACATTTCCAACAACAACAACAACAACAACAGCAACAAGCTCAGTTACACGCCCAACAACAAGCTCAACAACAGCAACAACAACAACAACAACAACAACAGTTGCAACAACAACAACAACAACAAAATACAATGCAATCACCAATTGGAGGAATGCAACAAATGAGATCTCCAAATGGAACACCTATTCTAACATCGCCACCACCGGCAATGCCTATATTGGTTCACCAACAATTCCAAGCCCCACCACAACAACTTCAACTCCAATCACCACCTCCAATGCAACAACCAAAAATATCACCAAACAATACTACTCCGGTCATTGCTGCCTCGCCATCACCCCAATCATCCAGCAGCGCAATGCCAAGTACTCCGACCCTAACTACAATCACTTCGCCACCTCCTCCAATGGCTATGAATTTACAACATTTACAACCAACACAATCAACACAACAAATAACACAGCAACCACCACAATACAGTAATAATACTTTTGAAAATAATAATAATAATCATGAAAATAATAATAATAATAATAATCATAATGGGATGATAAATAATAATAATAATGAGAGTATACAACAACAACAACAACAACAATACAATAATAATAATAATAATAATAATAATAATAACAATAGTAATATAGGCAATACTAATCTAACCTTTTTTAAAGATCAACAAACTACATCACCAATATTTCACAATAATAATAATAACAATAACAATAACAATAGTAACGAAGTAACATCTCCCTATCAATCACAACAACAACAACAATTTAACAAACAACAAGATAATAATAATAATAATAATAATGGAAATGGCATGGTCTCAAGTATACCTGTATTTGTAAATGGAGCTCACACAAAATAAAACTCGACATAATAAAATAAAAAACACCTAATTTATATACCAACCTGATGATGATGGATCATTAGTTTTATATTTTTATTATTCTAGGTAAAATTAATTAATTAGTTTATTGGAATATAAAAAAGATAGTCAAACCATCAGACCTACCCTTTTGTGTGTTTTGAATCATAAGTTATGAATATGATTTTAGTGAAAAATACATAGAGATAGGAATGGACAAACAGAATAACAATTTATTCCCTTTTTTTATGAATTTTGCTCCCAAACATAATAATGATCAACAACAACAGAAAAATAATAATAGTAATAGTAATATTAACTTATCACTTAATGATTTACATTTAAAACCAAATCTACCATCAAAAATATCACCAGACTTTTCATTGCAACATCAAAATAATAATTCATTTAATCAAAAGACTTCTAATATTTCTTCTTCTACAACATCTGAAAAGCCAACCATTAATAAACCAACTAATTTATTTAATTTTCTTGAAAATAGAACCAATAATAATAATAATGTTAATAATACTTCTTCTTCATCCAACTTGTTACAACAAAACAATAAAAAAAATTCACCTATTAAACAACCAATCCAACAACAACAAAATAATACAAATAGACAATCAAACAAATTTTCTCAAATATTTGATGAAACTTCATTTCAAAAGGATTTAAATACTGGGTTTTATGCTTCATCATTGTCGTCATCAAACAACAATACAAACAACAATGTGAATGTCTCTAGACAACAACCTCCATCACCAATATTGGTTCAACAACAACCAACTCAAATTCAATCAAAGCCATCATTGATTAGACCTATATTTGATCATCATTCTACCACGTCTGGTCAATCTTCTGCTTCACCTTCAGCACCACCAACTCCAAATATCAAACAATCTATTGCTGCACAACAACAACAACAGAGTATTGGTACACCTTCAACTATCAATTCCATTGATTTATCTTATGAATCTGAAGGTGATTATTTATCTTCACAAGCCAACAACACTACAACTGATTCTGATGTAGATTATCCTCAAAAATCATTTACAAATCTTTTAAGAATATTTGGTAAGAAACTAATAGTTTAAATTTAATATCAATATTGAAATTAACTCTCTTTCTTTTATTTATATAGATGATATTGAAGATAATTATCAAAAGAGTATACAATTAAATGAAATATTTGAACAACAAATTAAATCATTAGAGTTGGATGTCAATGCCAAAGAGGAAATGATCAAGAATATTCAAGATGAACGTCATTTATTACAAATCAAATTCGATGATATAGAAACTCAATTCAATTCTATTCAATTTGATCAAAGATCAACCAAGATTCTTTCCAAATCCACCTCTGAATATATTGATGATGCCCAAAAGAAAAAGGTAGAATTGGTTCAAATGATTGAAAAGGTTGAAAAAAACTATCAAGAAATAACAGAATATGTTCATACCATTAATAATCTTACAGAAAGTTTACAACAAGATTTAATATTACAAAAGAAATCAATTCAATCTTGTAAGTAGAAAAGAGAGATAGATTACAAATTATAGTTTTATTAATTATTTTATTTCTATCTAGATAAAGAAAAAGAAGAAACATCAAAAGATGAAATTGAAGCTATGCAATTATTAATGGAAAGTGAAACAAAAGAATTTAATGATAAATTATGTATGTCAACTATATTAATAATTCTATTTATTATTGATTAATTTTTTTTTATTCTTTTTTTTAGTAAAACATAAATTAGAATATAATACATTGGAAAGTGATATAAAATCATTAATGAAAAAGAAATCAACATTACAAGAAGATTATAATATTAAAATGGGAGAGATTGATAAATTTAAAACAAAGAATGCACAATTGAATGAACACAACATGTCAATGTCTGAAGAAATCTTGAATTTAAAATCAGTTCTTGGAGAAAAGGATGGTGAAATCTCAAGACTTTGTAAAGATTTGACAAATACTGAACAATCTCTTTCTGGATCAAACAAACATTTATCTGAAATTGAAATTAAATTACAACAAACAACAGAATCTAATCAACAAGAAATTTTAAAATTAATTAATAATTTTAATTTGTAAGAAGAAGAAGTAAACCATTTATACATTTATTTTATCATCCTTTACTTACTTTTTTATTTATTCTATAGAATTGAAAAAGAATTAAATGAAAAAAGAAAAGAATAGAGATTATTGAAAATGATAATAACGATTTATTGGTGATTAAAGATAATTATCAAGATTTACAAGAAAAGGAAAAACAATTGGTTGAAACCAACACTGAATTGAATGAATCAATTCAATCATTATCATCAAGAGTATCTTATTTGGAAAAGGAAGTAGGAAATCAATTTGAAGAAAACAAAAAGATTTCAAATGAAAAGGGACAATTGGTAGAGGATCAAACACTTTTATTGACCAAAATGTGTGACAAGGATCACAAAATACAATCTCTATTGGCAAAAATTGCAAAACTTGAATCTGATTTGGAAACTTCAACAAAAGATAGAGAATTAAAATCTAAAATGATTACTGTAAAGTAAAAAAAGAGGAAAAAAAAAAGACATAAATAATAATTCTTTTTTTTATATAGGAAAAAACAAATCAATATGAAAAGTTGGAAGAAGTTTATAATCAATTTAAAATGGAATTTGTTGAAAGAGATAAGGTGGTACAAACAATATCCGAGGAATTGGAACAAAGAAAGAATGGTTTGGAAAGAAGAGAAAAGGATTTATCAACTAGAGAATCAAAAATGGGTGAGGAACAAACAAGAAGAGCAATATTATCTGATTTTTCATCAACTGAAATGGGTGATAGATCACCATCATTTACTCAAAGTTTATTACATGAATCAAATCAATTAACTCAAATTTCAACCAACAATATTAATAATATCAATAATTTCAATCCCATTCCCATTACCAATACTATAATTACAACAGCAGATACAATTGTTCCAACTATTAGTATGATTTCCAATCCAACTTCACCACCACCTCCAATTTTAACAACACCATCAACAATCAATACTACCAGTACTATGGTTTCATCAAATGATCCAACATCTCCACCTCCACCAGTTTATAGTCCAACCAGTGCAAATACCAATCCTTCTACTACAACTGCTCCAACACCTGCCACCATACAATTACCATTAAGAGGAAAGATTTCAAGAGGTAGACCAAGAGTTACAAAACCATTATCAAATCCAAATGGGAAAGATGTATTTTCTTTTACTGATTAAAAATACATTTCAAAAACAATAAAAAGCCAAAAGGAATCACAATTCATTTACAATTTAAAATTCATTTTCATTTCTCTTTGATTAGATGAATATTAATAAGAGATCTGTAAACTTTAGTTCAATTTATGCATTGGAAAAGATACTTTCAACATCTGTTGGACCAAAAGGATTAGACAAGGTCATTACTAATGAACAGTTAAAAGAAACTATCATTACAAATGATGGTGCTACCATTCTATCAAATCTACCAATAAGTAATCCTTATGCTTTAATTATGAAACAATTGGCTTGTTCAATTGATGTATGTAATAATATAATCTATCTCTTTCTAGTTTATCTAACCTTCTTTATCATTTTTTAGGTAAAAGTAGGAGATGGTACAACATCTGGTGTAATATTGGCATGTAGATTATTATATCAAGCAGATGTATTATTAAATCAACATCATTTACATCCAAATGAAATCATTGGTGGGTATAGATTAGCTTTGACCTATTGTAAAGAAGCTTTGACCAAGATATCTGTACACGTACCAATAGAAAAACAAACTACGTTTATACAACAAGTTGCAAAGACTTGTATATCATCAAAAGTTTTATCAAACTATTCTGATGGATTTACAAATCTCTATTTAAAAGCAATTGATATTATCAAACAAAAGAATGGACAACAAAAAGGAACACATCATGAAAATCTATCAAATGTACATTATACAAAGATACTTGGAGGATCTATATCAGATTCAACATTGGTTCATGGTTCATTCATTCAAGGTAGATTTGCTCTACCAAAAATGACAAAAGTCATCTCTTCTAACGCTCGTATACTACTTTTGGATTTTGATCTTGGTTATACTGATCAATCTTCAAATATTACCTCTTCAAATCATTCATCTTTTAAATTTATTGATTTATCAAAATTATCTTTTATTGTAAGCTTTGTGAGAAAGTAAAACAAAACAACAAAAGAGTTAATATTAATTTATTTATATATTTTTATTAGGAAAGAATGAATATTGAAAAAGAAAGAAAACAAATTGAAATTGAACAATCAAATATATTGATTGGAAATATTAAAAAGATTTATGGTGATGGAGTTGAATTGAAAGGAATTGTATTATTTTCAAGTAAAAGAGTATCAACAGCATGTCTATCACAATTATATAGCTATGGTATAAATATTGTAACATTGGTTTCAAAACAAGATATGAATCAATTACAATTATCAACTGGTGCAATCATTTTAAATTCTTTGGTCATTGAATCAAGAGATCATTATCTTGTTCCAATTGATAGTTGTAAAGAGGTTTTGGAGAAAAACTCCCAATACTTTATTCAAATTGAAAACAAATCCTCATCAACTTGTACATTTATTTTAAAAGGTCCTTCAATTTATACAATTGATGAAATTTTTAGGGTAAAAAAAAACAAAAGAAAAAAGAGAGAGTAAAAAACAAGTATTAATTTATTTTTTAAAGTCATTAAATGATTTAATATCAATTAGTTTATTAGCAATGGATAATCCAAATATAATTAGTGGAGGAGGAGCAAGTGAAATTGAATTATGGAAATATTTAATGGAAAAGAGCAGAGAGACCAAAAATTTCAAAATTAAAAAAATATTACAAATGTTTGGTGAAGCATTATTAATTATACCAACTTTATTAATTAAAAATGCTGGTTATGATCCAATTGATTTATTATCAAAAGTTAAATCTCTTCATCTTCAACAAAATAATAATAATAATAATATTCATCAATCAATTAACTTAACAAATGGAGAATGTCAAGATATGATGGAAAATGGAATCATTGAATTATTTCTAGCAAAACAACAAATACTAAGTATGGTTGTTGATACAGTTTCAGTTTTAATTAGAATTGATCAATGTATTATTTACAATAACGGTCCAAATATTATTTAATAAAAGTGATCATTTACATTTATTATTTTATAATTGTTTTTAGAGGAGGTGCTTAATGGCATCCATTTCAGATAAGAGTTCCTTACGGGTAACATCGAATCTATCCTTGGAGAAAGCATCCAATTGGAGACCTTGGACGATTTCATAGTTGCCATTCTTGCAGATGACTGGGAATGAAAAGTAGAGACCCTTGTCGGCACCGTATGAACCGTCAGAGTAGACACCCATGCTTTGCCATTGGCCGTTGGTACCAAAGGTCCAGTCACGCATGTGATCGATGGCAGCAGAGGCAGCAGAGGCAGCAGAAGAGGCACCACGGGCGTTGATGATGGCGGCACCACGTTGTTGAACGGTTGGGATAAAGTTGTCCTTGACCCAGACGGCATCGTCGACATAGTTTTTGATTGGGCTACCCTTGATGGTGGTGTGGGTAATGTCTGGGTATTGAGTGGCAGAGTGGTTACCCCAGATACAGAACTTTTGAATGTCAGTGACACCGCAACCAGTCTTGTCGGCGAGTTGGGCGAGACCACGGTTGTGATCGAGACGGGTCATGGCGGTGAAACGCTTTGGATCAATGTTGGGGGCGTTACGGGCGGCAATGAGGGCGTTGGTGTTGGCTGGGTTACCGACGACGAGGACACGGAGGGTGTCACGGTTGGCGTTGTTGTTGAGGGCCTTGCCTTGAGCGGAAAAGATTTGAGCGTTGGCTTCCAAGAGTTGACCACGTTCCATACCCTTGCTACGTGGCTTGGCACCAACGAGGAGGGCGTAATCAGCACCGGCAAAGGCACGGTTTGGGTCGTCGGTTTGGACGATTCCCTTTAACAATGGGAAGGCACAATCGTCGAGCTCCATAGAAACACCCTTCAAGGCGTTCAAGGCTTGTGGTAATTCCAAACATTGGAGAATGATTGGTTGGTCCTTGCCCAACATTTCACCACTAGCAATTCTAAAGAGAAGTTGGTATCCAATTTGACCAGAGGCACCAGTAATGGCAACTCTTAATGGTGCTTTGGTGGTACTGTAGTTTCTTACTCCTAAAAAGGTAAAATTAAATAGTAATTTTAATTTAATTAATATAACAATTATAAAGGTTCAATTTTTTTGTTCAACTAGTTGAAAGATCTTCTTTAATGTGAATAAAAAGGAAATTTCTTCTTTGCTGCACTAAACTAAAAATATGATAAAGTGATCACTATTGTTTTTTTTTTCGCTCTCTCTCTTTTCAATCAATTATTCTGTGTTGTTTGTATGTTGTAATGTGTAAGATATGTTTAAGATCTTTACCAGACTTGACCAAGAGGGATGATGCTGATTTGAACATTATTATATTAAATATTACTTTGTGGGTGACACAATGAAAGAATGAATGATCATCAACTCGTGTTAAATGCTCAGCAAAAGAAAAAAATAAAAAATAAAAAATCGTCATTCGATCTTTGGTTACCTTTTTTGGAACTACCTTTGATTAATCAATAGAGTTGATCATACAAAGCAGTATTTATTATTTATTTAGATATCTCGTAGGTTCATCAAACATTCTCAACACACCATTTCACCTATCCTCTAGACTTTTACGCGAGTGCATAATAGCCGACTATAAATCAGCAGCTGTTGGTGTAGTTGATCTCAACCCGATTACATTACCCATACCTATTAAAAGTCATATGTAGGAGAGAGAAAAAGAGAGATAAATTAGTTTTACTATTGCTATTCAGAGAGAGACATGATCGATATCAATTCATACAACCAAAATACAAAAATCCATCCTTTTCAACTACATTTGTGATTACTTTTAGTTTGGATTGACTACCTTGTAATGACCCTAGAATATCACCAGACTACAAGCAGACTAAATGTTAGTAACTACACCTCGTCGATCATTCATTTAAATTTATTTACCTTGGGATCAGCAATTACAACCATTGGAATACCATGGGGTTTTGGGAATAAAAAGAAAAGTCTCGCTCCCAATCTTTTAATCATTGGGTGAGGAGAAATGAAATCAACAAACTTTGTTCTCGCTCCAAAGATGGCGATATATAATTTACCATCATCACCCATTCTAATTCCATCTGGGTATCCTGGTAAATTATCAATAAAAATTTGTGATTTTCCAGCTGTACAAAAAAAAATAGAAATTAATTAAAATATTAAATATTTAATAATATATCTTCTTTTTACCATTAACACCATTAATCCAATATCTTAAAACTCTTAAATTTGCAGTTTCACAAATAAAAACACTGTTTCCATCTTGATCCATTGTTACTCCATTTGAAAAGGCAATCTTTTCTATTAATACTTTTGTTTCTTTTGTTTTTGGATTATAGGATAAGAATTTTCCAGCTGGTAGACCACTTAGACAAGTATAAATTGATGGAATATATGTATTCCAATCACCCGATCTATCTAAAATTGGTCCCAATGTTGTACTATCACTAAAATATATCATTCCATCTTTTGCACATACTACATCCTAAAATATATTATATAATTCAATTATTCTCTCTATCTAACTTTAGATCTCTCTCTCTCTCTTTCATACATTTACAAAAGTTAATTTTTGAGTACCATTAAATTGACCAGTTAGAATTTCCAATAAATTTGTATTTTTGTTTAATCTTAGTAAACCCTTGACAGGATCTGCAATCAATAGATTTTCATTTTGATCAAATGATATACCAAGTGGTCTACCAACCACTACTACAGAGTGCGATGGTGATGGAGTACTTGTAGTAGTACTAATATCTCTTTGTTTGATAAATCTAATTTCACCAGTTTTCAATGAAAAGTATATATCTCCTTGTTTGTTTATTGCAATTGATTCTGGTTCTTTGTATATTCCTAATATTTAAAAAAAAAAAAATATTAAAAAAGTTCTATCTCCACAAGTATTGTGTCTCTCTCCCTATTTTTTTATTTTTTTTTTTACCCAAATTTATATAATCAATTTTGTCTAGTTGATTATTGGGAGGATAAATATCATCATTTAAAGGTAGAGGATGGGAGGCTATAAAATCCAAGTCTATCGCTTGGTTGGCACCAAACATGCCAAGTGGGGGGTAAAAGTAAAAGTGTACCCAAACAAATAGCTATTCCCAAAATGATATAGTTTACTAATCCCTTCATTTTTCTAATATTAAACAAATAAAATTTTATTGAGGTTGATTGATAAATATGATTTGGCATAGGAGTCGTAAGGTTTATGTAATTCGATAAAGTATGGTTTGGTAAGGTGTATGAATTATAAAAATCTATGTAATAGATTTTAAAAAATAGATCTTTTAAACACTCATTATTAGTATTTGTTTTTTTAAGTGTTGTGTATTATTTTGTACCTATTTTTATTATATGATTACTATAAACACATTCTTGTATTAATTATTATTTAATAAAGATTTTTCAAAAATATATATCTAAAAAAAAAGATTCATTCAAAGAAAACAAGTGTAGAGTCACCAGGCGAGTGGGTTTGATGGCTTGGTCCATCAGCTCCAACCCTATTTTAAGATATTTTCTAATTGTTTTTTTTTGTTTTTTCATCACGATTAGTCTTAAACTCTGTGTCACCTTCTCTGTTTATTCAAACAACATAAGAAGAAATGATAAGTAAAAATTTAATTTTATTGATTACATTATTTGTATTATCTTTGAGTATTAATGCTCAAACACCAGGTTTGTATCAAACATAATAATAATAAAAAGAGATCTTTGACTTGATTATTAATATTTTTTATTTTTATTTTACAATATAGTATTTACATTTACAACATCATTTTCAGAGATTGGATCATTTCAAGTATCAATTTCAGCTGATGGTATAGTTGGAGGTGATCTTCAAACAAACTTTACATATTATGTAAATAATACTATATTTTGTGACAATACACCGAATACCTCTTGTTTTATCGAGGAATTATTATCAAATTCCTATTATGAAACTAAAGTGGTTGGTGTCAATGGAAATGGAGTAACAAATACATCGACTGGTAGCTTTACAACTGCTTCCCAGATTGTCATTACAAGTTATCAAGGTGTTCAAACGCTCAATAACTATTTTACAGTCGAATGGGAATCAACTGGTGGAAAGGATGCCGCATACTATGAGATCTCTGTAAATGGTACAAGTATGTGTCAAGACACTACGGCTGATAATTATTGTGAGGTTGATTTGACACCCGAAACTGTTTTATCAACTCATTCAATTGAATTGAAAGCTTTTTCTGATCCAGATTCCAGTGACTCAAAAACATTTACTTTTCAAACTTATAAACGTAAGGAAAAACAAAAAAAAAACAAAACAAAAAGAAACAATCAAAAACTAGTATATTTAGATGAATTTTTAATTTAATACCTTTTTCTATTTCCTATTTTTTAGAACCACTTGTTAGAAATATTTCAGCAACCATTATTAAAAATGGTTCAATTGAATTAACATGGACTTATATTTATGGTAATACAAGTGATTTGATTGATTTTGGAATTGATCATGGAATCATTGAAAATGATTTATTAATCCTTGTTGAAAGATGGGAAAATACAACTTTGTATGTGGATGATTTTGAAGGAAGTATCCATTACTTTGAAATCGCTGTCTATAATGCAAATTTCGATGGATATGAAGATGAAGCCTTTTTCAACTTTACCTCTTGTGTAACCAACAACACTGCCACTGGTTTTTGCTCTGGCAATGGTATCTGTCGAAATGCAACTTTGGGATGTTCATGTGATCAAGGTTGGGAAGGTCCATTATGTTCAACCAAGACTGTTGTTCCAAATTCAAGTGATTCAAAGAGTGATGAAGTATCTTTTGCTTTTACTCTTGAATCTTCTATTTTTATTTCATTATTACTTTGTTTATTATCTTTATTATTTTAATAAATATAAATAAAAACATAATTATCATTATGGATGAAAAGATTATACTTTTTGTTCCTTTTTGATCAAATCTATTAAAATGTAATAATTATTAAAATAATAATTTTTCTTTTTTAATTTCTCTGGTGTTTTGATCTTATTTTTTTGGTCTTGGTGTCTTGAATGTCATCATCATCATCATCATCAACATCACTAGTATAATTAACTTTTTAACAAAATAGTTTGAAAAGTTTTGGTATTAATACTACATAGTTTGAATGTTTTTTTTCTTTTATATTTACCTTGTTCTAATTCTTGGTCAAAATATTTGTCAAATTGTTCGTCTATTTGTTGTTGAATTTGATCGGATATCGCCTTTGATATTTGATCAGATATCCCCTTTGATATTTGATCAGATATCGCCTTTGATATTTGATCAGATATAGAGAGATGTTTTTTTTGAACAAGATAATCATACTTTAAAGTTGAACAAACAGCTTTGGTAAAACCATTACCATTGTCATGAAGCTCCATATCATTTTTTTCTCTAACGTCATTGGGATAGATATCATTTTCTATTATATATTTAATATTATGGTTGTTATCATCAAACCCATGTTTCTCTTTTAATAATTCGATCAATTCTTGTGACATGATTAAAGAATAGATTGATTAATGTACAAATAAGAAATAAATATAATGTACAAGTAGCTCCTGAATTGAACAACAGTTACTCTCATCTTATTTTTTAGTAACAAGGAAAGTGTTGTTTGATTGGATCGGTCATTGAGAATCCTGCAAATACATAATCGATTCCTTTTGAATACAATTCATTATGTACACGTTGCAATAAATATCTAAATAGATGATTACTCATTTCTTGATCCTCTCCCAATGCATAACAACAATAGAGTTGACGATGTTTTTGTGTTTGTTGTTGACGATTTTTGAGTGTAAAGATTAAATCTTGATTCCAAATCGATATTGATGCTTCATACAATTGACCATTACATTGCATCGTTGCAATATAGGTTGATTCATGATATTTTTGATTGTCTACAAGAATATCAGAGAAATTGGTTGGAATAAAGTTGTATTGTTGAAATGCATTATCCCATCTAATTTTTATATCTTGATTCTCAATCACTTTCATAAATCTGACTTGTGAACAATTGGATGGTAAAGAATAAACTTTGACTGGATTGGATACCTTCCAAGCCATTTGACATTGATCATATTGTGGAGTCATTTCAATGTTTCCAGTTGCCTTTTTGATGGGGGCATTATTCTTTGATGTCGATGCAACGAGGATGGTTGATCGGTCGTCTTGTTTGACGGCACTATGAATATCTCTGAAAAACATATTAGAGATGGAGTGACCACGGTATTTTGGATCGACATTGATATCAAACATATTGTACAATGTCTTTTTTTCACCACATACAATCACATCTTTGATGTTGCATGCATAGGCTCCAACAGCTTGATGTTCGTGTCTATCTTCAGCAACGATAATCTTGTGATTCTTGGTTAGAGTTGGACGGATTGTGAAATCGATTGGATGTGACATTCCTTCCGATGCATTGTAATTGTAGGATATTGGTAGTCTTGGAATGGATGAAATGGCATTTAAATCTTTTTCCTCTGAAAATTCTCTTAATATAAATCTATTATTATTATTATTGTTATTGATTGAATTCATTTTTAATTGTTGTTATTGTATTTGTTGGTGAATAAATTACAAGTTGATAGATTATTATTTATAGTTGTTCTTTTTTCCAAAGAAGATAAAGATAAAAGACCGTCAAGTCAAAGTCAAACAGACGACCCGGGCAAGGTGCAAGATCACCAGTGGGCGACTGAATGACTATCGTCAACGATAGTGTTGTATCGGTAAACGGACAACGACACATTATTATTAATAAATGAATAGACGTGTCGCGACATTTCATTTACCTATAGCTTGACTTTTGTGTGATCTCATCACATCATCTGTTTGTCAAGTTCGACACTTCATATCTCGTTGAGTGTGCGGATTGGGATGATGGTCGAGCTTACATATCATCTATCTTGCAAAAGTAGATAATTAATATTTGTATCGAACAAACATGAATTCAGTTGACTACTATTTCGTGTGTGTCTCTTCGGTGATTAAAAAAAATTAATTAAATTTAAAAAAATAATAATAATAATTATTATTGCTATAATCATAATAGATTGATAGATTTATTTTTTGAACAAGAATAATAATAAATCTTTAATCTTTTATTTATTTAAATTAGTATAGACGATGGAAATTTAAACTTTGATGGACTTTGACAAACTTTGACTTCTGACCTTACCTTTTTGGTCTCTGAACCTTTGATGATCATATTTGTTTTTCATCATCTGACGATTAATTTTTGTTGAAGTTCTCATGTACTATTATTATTTACATGTTGTGTAGATGATCATATGCTATTCCCATAAACTCGGAAATCGATCATATTTGACAGCACATCAATCAAGAATAAGACAACACAATAATGTCGGGAAAAGTTGCGTGGTCCTCTTGTCCAAGCCTACGGGAGACGTCAAAACAGGTGAATAATGACGTCCTTAGAAGTTGAGCGGAACAACCGATCATACAAAATGTGCCTATCATTAGATCCTAGTCAACAACGAAATCCTTCGAACGTTGGAAATCGTGGTTGTGTAAAGAAAATGGTACTGAGCCAGGCTGGATTCACAGAGCAGCTAAAACATTTCGCTGGGATTGGAACGGTAGAATACACATTAAGATCGGCCACAAGACGACTAGAGAAACAGTTAGACCCTGTCTTTTTTTGCATGTTTTAAAGGACGCCGGTGGAGGGGGTTTGGGAAGCCCCGGGAAAAAGCACGCAACCAACAACACAACAATCTGTTAAATACCTAAGTGCTTGCTTGGTTGGATGGATGGTTGATTGTTGAATGGTTGCTTGATTGTTGGGGGTTGTAGAAATGATTGATTGTTGACTGGTTGCTGGTTGGTTGGATTGCTAAAGCTAGCATAGAAATGGTCATTAAAAAATTGAATTATTTGGTTGCTGGTTGACTTGTTGATTGTTTGATTGTTGGTGGTTGTACCCTGTCAGATGATTCGTGTGTCCTGTCAACTGATTTGTTTCCTTGCCGTGGCACCACATGCATTGTTTGTGTAATAATTACGACCGTCTTTGATTATACTGTGAGTCCGAGAAAGGTGAAGATGTGGAGAAGTAAGTCTCTTTACAACCCAAACACATATGGCACCGAAAGGATTAATTGTCCAATTGGCCTGGCGACAACACAATACTCTTATCTGTGTTGGAGCTGGAGTTTAAAAAATATCAGTGATCGATCTGGGTTTGACACCCTAGATTGGGCATTTGATGTCCTAGAGTTGTGCAAGTACAATGTGAAATTGGATACCAGCGACTGCTTGATCTTTTAAAAGATATCAAAGTTTCCTCCTAGTCACAATGATTGGCAAGAGATGACAAGTTTGAAAGAAGGTATATGCAATATCAATTATTCTTTAAAAAAAAAAAATTAAATTAATTCATTAAGGATTAATAAAGTACAATATAGATAGATTTATACATACCAAAGTCAACCTTGAAAGGCAAATGTAAGAGCTCTGTATTGTACGGAAGATGAAAGAGAGGGAGGGGTACGGTGATTGATTTATCGTGATGTCGCTCTTTTACACATTAGGTATAAAGCACTAGGAAATCAATGCCACTAGGTCAATTTGCATTGACTATAGTAGATATTGGGATTGTTCAAGCTGTTGAAATGTGTTGCCCATTCTGTAACATTAATCTAAAATAAATAATAAATTTGGTTAGTATGATTATTAAAATAATTACTATATATATATTCATACCAAACAAAAAAATAGACCATCGTTTGGAGGAGGAGTGAAATGATCATCCAAGTATTTGCAAATTTAACAAATATAATTATAATAATATAGAGATTAGATTAGATACTCTGTATTATTTATAGTGCCATGCATACATCTCTTTAAAGTTTAAACAACTCCTACTCTCGCTGCAAACCGAATTGTTGATTTCCTGCAACAATTGTGAGAGCTAGGCTATATATATATATCAATCAACATAAATATATATATATAAAACTAGAGTGTTATTATCTGATCTCTAGTGAGACAAGTGTAGCAACCATGATCAAAACTAAAAAATTTTAATTAATAATAATTTATTTCTTTCTTGCAGAGCCAAAAGGGTAACAGCTTTAACAAAAAACCCTATTTTTATCATTATTATATAGGATCATCATTATTAGTTGATTTGTTTTTAACAGAGATCAAAAAGAGTGAAGATCTTCAATAACTCTTTCGATTGACCAATGGTTTGCGCCAAACGGACACTGTCACCTTGAAACAACATCGCTACCCTATGAAATGTATACCATTCTTTAACGCTTGTATGAAAGAGACACTCTGTATTCGACCAGTTGATGCCCTTTCTCTACCACGGAGAGCCACTGAAGATATATGTGTAAAGGATAAATACATCATTCCAAAGGATCATGAACCTCTTGGTGTATGCAACGATGAAAAGTATTGGAAAGAACCAACTGTATTTAATCCATACCGTTGGTTGTCAGATGATCGTTTTGATGGACGAAACAGCACCAGCAACCAACAATCAAGCAATCATCCAACAATCAATCATTTCTACAATCAACCATGCAAGCATCGGTATTTAAAATATTATGTTGGTTGGGTGCTTTTTTCCGGGGCTTCCCAACCTCCTCTTCCTCCTCCTCTATTTTTCTATTTTTTGTTTGGTATGAATATATATATATATATAATAATAGTAATTATTTTAATCATACGAACCAAATTTATTATTTATTTTAGATTAATGTTACAGAATGGGCAACAATTTCAGCAGCTTGAACAATCCCAATCTCTACCAAATGGTATTGATTTCCTAGTGCTTTATACCTAATGTGTAAAAGAGCGACATCACGATAAATCAATCACCGTACCCCTCCCTCTCTTTCATCTTCCGTACAATACAGAGCTCTTACATTTGCCTTTCAAGGTTGACTTTGGTATGTATAAATCTATCTATATTGTACTTTATTAATCCTTAATGAATTAATTTAATTTTTTTTTTTTAAAGAATAATTGATATTGCATATACCTTCTTTCAAACTTGTCATCTCTTGCCAATCATTGGGACTAGGATGAAACTTTGATATCTTTTAAAAGATCAAGCAGTCGCGAGCATTCAATTTCACATTGTACTTGCACAACTCTAGGACATCAAATGCACAACTCTATGTGGTCTGGTCCTCCAACGCCCAATCTAGGGTGTCAAACCCAGATCGATCACTGATATTTTTTAAACTCCATCTCCAACACAGACAAGAGTATTGTGTTGTCGCCAGGCCAATTGGACAATTAATCCTTTCGGTGCCATATGTGTTTGGGTTGTAAAGAGACTTACTTCTCCACATCTTCACCTTTCTCGGACTCACAGTATAATCAATATATAGAAATATAATCAAAGACGGTCGTAATTATTACATTATTACACAAACAATTCAAGTGGTGCCACGGCAAGGACGCAAATCAGTTGACACGATACACGAATCGGCTGACAGGGTACAACCACCAACAATCAAACAATCAACAAGTCAACCAGCAACCAAATAATTCAATTTTTTAATGACCATTTCTATGCTAGCTTTAGCAATCCAACCATCCAACAATCATCCACCCAACAATCATCCATCCAACAATTAACCATCCATCCAACCAGCCAACAATCCATCCAACAACCAACAACCATCCATCCATCCAACCAACAATCATCCAACAACCATCCAACAATCAATCATTTCTGCAACCAACCAAGCAAGCACAATCACGCAAGCACCTAGGTATTTAACAGATCGTTGTGTTGTTGGCTGCGTGCTTTTTCCCGGGGCTTCCCAAACCCCCTCGCCTCCTCCTCCGCGTCCTTTAAAACATGCATAAAAAAAGACAGGGTCTAACTGTTTCTCTAGTCGTCTTGTGGCCGATCTTAATGTGTATTCTACCGTTCCAATCCCAGCGAAATGTTTTAGCTGCTCTGTGAATCCAGCCTGGCTCAGTACCATTTTCTTTACACAACCACGATTTCCAACGTTCGAAGGATTTCGTTGTTGACTAGGATCTAATGATAGGCACATTTTGTATGATCGGTTGTTCCACTCAACTTCTAAAGACGTCATTATTCACCTGTTTTGACGTCTCCCATAGGCAATTGGAAAATAGGACCACGCAACCTTTCCCGACATTATTGTATTGTCTTATTCTTGCTTGATGTGCTGTCAAATATGATTAATATTTAGGTTTATGGGAGAATCATATGATCATCATACAGCTGATGTTGTACGTACCAAACAAAAAAAAATTGATGGTGATGATGAAAAAATAAACCGAACCAAAGATCACCAATACCCATTCAATCAATAAACACCAACAAGCACATTAATATACATTATAAAGAGAGAGATGGCAGATCAACCAGTATTTTTAGGAGGAGGTAAATGTTTACCACCAGGGTTAGAATCAGAAAATGTTAATTGGATGGAACAACCAATTATTGTAAGAGAGAGATATAGAACAAAAAAAAAGTCAATGATCTACTAACCATATATATATATATATCTATGATGATTTATAAATCTAGGAAAATACAGTACAAGAAGATTATGGAGAAGAATATAAATCAATTGAATTATTACGTAAAGAACTTGATAACATTAAAAAATCACTTGTATGAATCTATCTACATATCTCTCTCTCTATTTATTTATTTATATTATATTTATTTTTAGACATCAATATTAGCACCAGTTGAATCAATTTATAGAAATCAAGAAAGACTCCTTACATTGACCAATGATCAAGACAAGGCAGCAACAGAAAAATTGATAAAAGATAGTGAGAACAAGCGTGATCAAGTGATTGAACAATTGGAAAAGAATTTACCAATGTTTGATAAACATCCAGAATATGTATCATATAAACAAGGTGTCCAAGAAGCTATTGCTTTGAGCAAGACACGTTTCAACAACAAAGAAGAACATTTCAACTTTGGAAATGCTTGTAAAAAAACTACTACCAACATTTTCCGTGATCAAAAGAATTTATTAGAGAAAATGAAATTAATTAAAAAGACCAAAGCAGCAGCAGAAAATAAATAATTATAAATTATATAATATATTAAAAAGTGTATTTGTATTGTATTGTATTGATTATTATTATTATTATAAAAGATTCGATTAATTGTACTTTCCAATTTGTTTTTTTAATCTTTGAAAGCAATTTTACGAGTCTTGATAGTACTCCATTTCAAACGCTTCCAGTAAAACATTGGGAGAGCAATGATAGAGAGACCGAGGATGATCTTGATACCGAGTTTCTTACGATCGTCGTGTTCTGGTTCGGAAGCCCAGGCGAGGAAGGTGCCTACGTCCTTGGCCATTTGAGAGACCGAGGCTTCAGTGCCGTCATCGTATTCGAGGGCGCCTTCAGCGAGTGGTGGGGCCATGGCAATCTTGGTACCGGGAAAGTATGGGTTAAAGTGTTGACCACCGACAACCTTGACACCAGCTGGTGGGTCAGAGTAACCAGTCAACAAGGCAAAGATGTAATCTTCGTGGTGAGTACGAGCCTTGACGACCAACGACAAATCGGGTGGCAAAGCACCATTGTTGGAATATCTGGCAGCGTTGGCGTTGGGGTATGGCTTGGGATGGAAATCAGTGATGGTTCCCTTTCTCTCAAACATATCACCCTCGCTGTCTGGGCCGTCCATGACTGTGAGTTCGGCAGTCAAATTCTTCATCTCTTGTGCAGTGTAGGCAACGTCAATCAAGTGACGGTACGACACGAGGTCAAGAGAGTGACAGGTCGAACAAACTTGAGTGTATACTTGATGACCACGACGAATCGAAGCGTGATCAAATGCTTGCCATGGGAAACGATGGTTCCATGGATACTCGGGTGGTTGTGCAAAATCATCAGAAAGGTAAACTGCTGCTGATGATACTCCTGCAACACTTATTCCAACTCCTCCAATATATTTTAGTGCCTAGAGTAAAAAAAGTAAATCAAAAATTAGAAAGTTGATGATGATGATGAATGATCATTGTGCAGTTATGTAGTATATTTTTTTTTCACACAACACTAAAAAATGAATGATGATCAGATCTGTCACCAACCAAACTAAATAACTAACTAACTAACTACTACTGCTGTATCTTATCTACTATCGTGACATACATTATTTCTTAAATGATTGAACATTTTCTACGCTCTTTGTTAGACTAGATAGAATGTTAAAATGTTGTATAGAAAGGAATAGTTAGTGTTATGACCATTTTGATTCTTTTCGTTCATTGCAAATATTCTATCTATCTCTCTCTGTTATTCGCTTTTTCTCTCTGTCTCTTTTCTCTATCTCTCTTTTTACTCGCAGATGATGATGTTCTTTGCTTTTAATATTAAAACACATACACTAGTCGCACGCTAATCAAATAATGTAGGCGCCTCACTGAAATCTGAGCACACCATCACATCACTCTTTTGCAGCTTGGGATGAAAAAAAAAAAAAAACAAAAAAATTCAAAACAAAAAAAAAACGTTACCTACTTTAATCTACTCAGTTCAAAGATAGACATACCTCTATTCATTTCATTTACTACTTACTTACTTAAAGAATGTCTATATATAAAGTATTTAGAAATAAAGTAATATTAAAACAGATTGGATATGAAATTGAAAAGATTCATAAATTGAAAAGATTAAAATCATTTAAATTTAATGATCTACCATCATTGGAATGGATAGTAAACAATGATACAGGTGATTTAATTCATGACCTTTTTAAAAACAAAGATAATAATAATAGAGCATTGAAATCATTACAAAAAGAATGGCCAACATTGGATACAATCATTGCTATTTGTTCACCACACCGGTATCATCGATCTGTAACCTTTAAATTGGATACATTTGATGCAATCTATTGTTACTATGAATCTGCATTCAAAAATGAACATATGGCTTTGGATTGTGCTGTAGATAGTCAAAATATCAGTCTTGTACAGTACCTACTTGTCAAAGGTGTACCTTTTACTACTCGTTCAATCGACAATGCTTCACAATTTGGTAATTTCAATTTAATTAAATTATTATTAAAATCAAATAATTCAAATACTTTGGTAAGCAAAGAAGAAAATATAAAATAATATATATAATTATATAGTTTTATTAACTCTATTTCTATTTCAATTTCTTTTGTTTAGAGTAAATTTACAAATAAAACATATGATAATTTATCATCTTGTGGACATTTGGAAATATTAATGTATTTTGATGAACAATTTAATAATACTTTAGATTTTACAACAAATTCAATTGACAATGCAACTATAAATGGTCATTGGAATATTGTTTATTATATATTAAATAGATTTAAAAATGATAACAAGAGATCAAGATGTCTATTTACAGAGATTGCATTGACTCATACAGCAGGTAATAATCAAATGGAATTATTTAAAATTCTATTGGATTGGCCTGATAGAATGGCAAAAACAAGTGGTAAATGGGTAAATGAAGCTTTAATATTGGCATCTAGAAATGGTCACTTTGAAATGATTCAATATTTATTTAATGAATTTCATATAGAAACTATTCAAGATAACGTATTATCTGCTGCCATTGAATCAAATCATAATGATATGATTCAATTTTATTTAAATCGTATTTTATCCCCATCATCTCATTTACCACCATTTAAAATAATGGGATATGATATATCAAGTCATATTTTAATTGTAAATGGTCATTTGGAAATTTTAAAACAAATGTACAAGTATCCAATTCAATCCTATGTAGAATTGGCTTGTACATATAATCAATTGGAAATATTAAAATGGATGTTGAGTATAAATGATTCAAAAGTTTATATTGAAATGGAACATCTTTTAAAACAATCTATTGGTCATTTGGATATATTAAAATATTTAATAGAAGACATCAAAGTAGTAGTAACGATTGATGATTTGGAAAGATGTTGTGAAATTGGTCATTTGGAATCATTACAATATCTTTTAAGATTTTATCCAAAAGATCAATTGATTAGTATTAGATCAATTAAAAATGCTTGTTTTGAAAGTCATAATCATATTTTATCATTTTTATTCATTCATCATCATCATAAACTTTGTAATATTTCAATCAATGAAAAATTTCAATTATTACAAGCATGTATTATATCTGGTTCATTTAAATGTTTGGAATTAATATTTGGTTATTTTGATGATGAATCATCAAACTTTACAGAATTAAATCAAGAAATGATAGCAAATTTGGTATTAAAAGCAATTCAATACAATCAATTGGATATGATTAAATATTTAATAGAGGATAGATATCCTTTAATTTTAAAAAGAGAATTGATTCAATTGTCAAATGGTAGAAAGTATTTAGAAGATGCAGTTCATGCTGGTCATTATCATACTTTGGATTATATACTTGGTGTATTGGATCAATCAAATGGTCAACAAATATTTTATACACCAAATCCAATACCTTCATTAGATTTAATTCAACTTGCTATTAGGTATGACCAAGTCGGTTTAATTGAAATGATTCATAATCATTGTCCAAAAATGGTCGTTCCCGACCCATATAAACTGCTCACTAGAGGATACACCAAACTATTTAAATTGGTTATCAAATGGAATTTGGACAATGGGTATGATCAGGATGACAGTATACAAAATCCATACATTAAAACAGAACAATCAAACAAGATATGGTTCCTTGAAACCATTTCACAAGGTAATATATCTCTATTAGAATTTTACAAGGAAAGTGGATTCATTAAAATACCTGATGAATTGGTTATTCGTCCATACACTGAACTTCAAAAATACTATCATGTCCAAACTGCGCTCTACCTAGTGTCGCCCTATATAGTTGACAAGAAACCAAATCCTCATCAATACAAACAAATCCTATCATCTATCGTTTCAAAATGTGCAGACAAGAATATTTATTCAGTGATTGATGCAATACAAAAAAAATTAAAGTCACTTGGTCAAGATAATATACTAGTTGTATCTGCTGTATTGATGGCAGCAACTCATTCAAATATATCAATGATTAGATTATTATTAAAATTTGGTAAATTTAAATACCAAGATTTCTCTAATCTATTAAATTATGATTGTTTAAACTTTTTTAAAAAATTAAATTAAAAAAAGAAATAAAATGTATTTTAAAAAAAAAAAATCAAATGTGTGATGAGTGAATGTTAAATTACTTTAATTTTTACTTGTATCTTTTAAAGAGAGATAGATAGAATGCCAGGATCAAGTATTATATTAGCAACAGCAAGTTATGATCATACAATCAAGTTTTGGGATCCACCAAGTGGTAGTTGTTATAGAAGTATTGATTGTGGTGAATTCGTAAGAACAAAAGAAAAATGATGATGATCTCTCTTTCTCTCCCATCACTCATTCTATTTCTATTTCTATTTCTTCATTCTTTTATATTTTCTTAGCATATAAATAGATTAGAGATAACATCAGATAAACATTATATAGCAGCAGCAGGTAATCCACAAACCAAACTATTTGAAGTAAATTCAACCAATAACAACCCGGTCACTAGTTTTGATGGTCATAAAGGAAATGTATCAAGTGTAGGTTTTCAAAAAGAAGGTAAATGGATGTATACTTCATCAGAAGATGGAACTGTAAAGATTTGGGATTTAAAGTAAGAAAAGATATAATAATAATACACTACTTTGTGTTATTAATATTCTCTTTAATTTAATTTTCTATAGAGCACCAGGATGTCAAAGAGATTATGAATGTAGTGCACCTGTAAATTGTGTAGTATTACATCCAAATCAAGCAGAATTGATTTCAGGTGATCAAAATGGTAGTATCAGAGTATGGGATTTAATATCAAACACTTGTAGTAGAGAATTGGTACCAGATGGAGAAGTTGGTATCACTTCACTATCAATTTCATCCGATGGATCAATGGTGGTTGCATCCAATACCAAAGGAAAATGTTTTGTTTGGAGATTAGGTGAAGATGATACATCTCGTTTTGATCCGCTTCATAAAATTGATGCTCATAATGCTCCAATTCTAAGATGTTTATTTAGTCCCGATACAAAGTATGTAAACGAGTGGATAAATAATTTTATTTTGACATACTTATTCGTTTTAATTTAGATTACTTGCAACAACATCAGCAGATCATACAGTAAAGATTTGGAATACTAAAAAGTTTAATGTTGTACAAACATTACAAGGACATCAAAGATGGGTATGGGATTGTGCATTTTCAAATGATTCTGCCTATTTGGTAACTGGATCAAGTGATCAATTGGCAAAACTATGGGATTTACATCAAGGTGATTCTGTCAAAACTTATTCTGGTCATGTAAAGGCTGTTAATGCTGTTGCATTAAATGATCTTCCAAGATAGAAATATAATCAATGATCTTGAAACTGTAATTTAAAAGAATAAAAAAAAAAAGAATAATATTATTTGTAATATACATTTTTATTTGTTTATTTTTCCTTTTCTTTTTTATTCCATAATCCAACCATGACTAACAATTAAAGATTGACCAGTTAAAGATTTATTTGGCATTGAAGCAAAGAATACGGCAACTTCGGCAACATCTTGAACGGTTGTAAATTCACCGTCGACGGTATCTTTGAGCATGATTGTTTTAATGACATCTTCTTCAGAGATTGAAAGTCTTTTGGAGATTTCTGGGATTTGTCGTTCAACAAGAGCGGTTCTAACAAATCCAGGACAGATTAGATTTGATTTGACATTGTACTTTGCACCTTCACGAGCCACTGAACGAGTTAGACCTTCAAGACCATGTTTGGCAGTGACGTATGGTGATTTGAGATCTGAAGCATACTTGCTATGAACACTACCCATAAAGATGATTGATCCACCACGCTTAATATCTTTTTTAAACTCCTTGATACCATACTTTGCACAAAGAAAACTACCATCCAAATGAACACCCAACATTTTCTTCCAATTATCCAATTCCAATTCATCGATGGCTTGAATATGTTGGAATCCAGCATTTGACACTACAACATCCAATCCACCAAACTTGGCAACAGTATCTTCAATACCACGTTTAACATCCTTGTCTTGAGAGATATCAACTTGTACTGGAATAGTAGAGTTTGGATACTTTTGATTAATCTCATTTGATACTTTGGTTGCCAATTCTCCATTTAAATCTACAATTGCTACTTTGGCTCCTTCTTTTACAAATCTTTCTACAAAAAAAAAGTAAAAAAAAGAAAGTATAAGTAAAAGTACCTATTTGCTTTGTTTTGTTTGTTTAGATTTAGGTTCTACTTACCAACAACACCCAAACCAATACCAGCGGCACCACCTGTAACAAAACAAACTTTATCTTTCATTTTATCAGATGTTACATATGATGATGAAGATGAAGAAGAATAAGATGACTTTGAGTAACCAAAACTACTACTACTACTAGTAGACTTTATCAAGTTACAAGTAGCAACTCTTCCTTGATAGTTAATAATTGATTTAATTGATTGTTTAAACATTTTAATGTGTATATGTATATAATGAAATTGAAAAAGAACTCTGTTCTTCATCTCTAAATCTTTGTTGACGATATTAAGTTTTTTGTGTTTGAAAAAAAGAAGAAAGGAACTTCGAAAAATTAAAGAGTTTCGTCTTTTTCGAGCAATGATCATTGAGCATTAGTTTTAGTGTTTGTAGTATCTATCTTTTCTATTCATTCATTCAGATTTACATATATATATATATCTATAGTTTAAGAAGATGCAAAGATTCTATAGTCATTTAGGTTTATCTAAACCAGCAAATTGGAGAGGTTTATACAAAGCCTATTGTATGGAAAAGATATATCTCTTCAACACTGAACAAATCACTTTTATCACTTCTAAATATGGAGCTGCTCCTGCTAGTTCAAGGTAATTCATCATAGAAGAGGAGAGATATAGACAAATAGAGATAGAGAAGAAAGAGAGAGAGAGAGACATAGAGAGACAGAGATATCTACTAGAGTCAGACATTATACAAAAACATAGATGAATGATAAACTTACACAACATTTGTTTGCTATTATTATAGACAATTCAAATATAGATACTTGGAACCATTGAGATTCTGGAATAGCGATGTTTCCTTTGTAGAAAAGAAGTATTCAACTGAAAAATATGGTGTAGAAATTAAAAAGAGTATGTTAACACAACTAGATAGACTTGAACAGACATGATGATGATTCTAACAATTATTATTTCAATTAGATGATGGATCAGTTCACTTTATTGACACAAAAGGAAAGAATAGTGATGAAATATTTAAGTTGGTTTTAGAAAAGACTGAAGGTAGAAAGGTACCAATCAGTATCCCACCACAATAAATATATCAACATTAAAATTATAATATTATTTAAAATTAAATAGAATATAGAAGAAAGAAAGGAAGGAGGGAGGAAGCATTATTAATCCCTCCTAGATATATTATAGTACATGACGAGTTGATTACCATCCACTGATTCATTCATCGATAATATAGTTTTTTTTTTTCATTGCACTGACAAAAGGGGCTCATTCGATTGATCATTCAAATATATATTTGTGAACTTCTTTTAATTTAGAGAAAGAATAGATATCTATCTATCGATCTATCACAATGTTTGCATCTAGACAATTATTATTGTTTAGCGGAAACAATATAGCTAGTAGAACTACAACAACTGCTACACAATCAACAACAACAATAGGAAACTATTATATTAATCATAATAAGATTCGTAGTAATGTTACACAACACTCTGTATCTAGAGGTAGTGGTTTATTGATCAATAATAGTAAATATTATTCTACTTCTTCTTCTTCACTAAATAAATTAAAATCAACATTTACTTCTACTACTACTACATCTTCTACATCTACTTCATCATTAACTAAATATTTCAAGAATAATGAATCGTCGTCATCATCATCATCAAATAATAGTCTTCTTTTAAGAAATTATAGTATGGTAGCACCACCACCAATGATGATGGGAGGAGGAGGTAAAGGAGGAGGAGCAGGTTCAAACCCAATGGATAATAACAAAGAGACACAAAACTCTGCTCTTAGTATGATAAAGACGGTTGGAAAATACTTGTGGCCCAAGGATGATTGGGGATCAAAGGGTCGTATTATATTGTCGGTTGGTTTGTTGGTTGGTGCCAAGATATTGACTGTACAGGTACCATTCATCTTTAAGGATATTGTCAATCATTTTAGTGATGCTGGATCTCCCGATTACTTGGTCGTTCCATTGGGTTTGTTGGTTGGATATGGTGCAGTGCGTATATTGTCGGCTGGATTTCAAGAACTTCGTAGTGCCGTCTTTGCAAAGGTGGCACATAGTGCCATCAGAGATGTTTCATGTACCACATTTAAACATCTTCACGATCTCGACCTTACATTCCATTTGTCACGTCAAACTGGGTCGTTGAGTAGAATCATCGATCGTGGATCACGTGCCATCAACTTTTTGCTAAACTCTATGCTCTTTCATGTTGTCCCAACTGCACTGGAAATTGGTCTAGTTAGTGCACTCATGTATCAACAGTTGGGATGGGAGTTTTCAGCTGTCACCTTGGGAACTTTGGTTGCCTACACTGCATTCACCTTTCAAGTAACTTCTTGGCGTACAAAATTCCGTAAACAAATGAATTCAATGGATAATGAAGCTCAAAACAAAATGATGGATTCTTTACTCAATTTTGAAACCGTTAAATATTTTAATGCTGAAAAGTTGGAAGTTGAACGTTATCATCGATACCTTAAAGAGTATGATGTTGCTTCTCTCAAGACTACCTCTTCATTGTCAGCACTCAACTTTGGTCAGGCACTTATCATCTCTTCGGCAATGACTGCTGTCATGGTAATGGCCGCCAATGGTATTTCGGCGGGCACTCTAACAGTCGGTGACATGGTACTTGTTAACGGTCTGCTCTTTCAAATTTCACTACCACTCAATTTCCTCGGTACTGTCTATCGTGAAATCAAACAATCTCTGGTAGATATGGATCACATGTTTAGTTTGCTCAACCTCAAACCACGTATCCAAGATACACCCACTGCAAAACCATACCAATATAAAAATGGAACCATCGAATTTAATAATATCACTTTTGGTTACAACCCAAGCAAGACTGTATTAAACAATGTCTCATTTGAAGTGCAAGGAGGTAAACGTATTGCATTGGTTGGTACTAGTGGGTCTGGCAAGAGTACCATATTACGTTTATTGTACCGTTTCTACGATCCCAACAGTGGTACCATTCTTATGGACGGTCAAAAACTCACAGATCTCGAAACCGACTCGTTACGTAAAAATATTGGTGTTGTTCCACAGGACGTTGTCCTATTCAACGACACTATCCTCTATAATCTTGCCTATGGTAATCCAAATGCTACTCGTGAACAAATCGAAAAGGCTGCCAAAATGGCCAACATCCACGACGTTGTCATGGCCATGCCAGAAGGTTATGAAACCATGGTAGGTGAACGTGGTCTTAAATTATCTGGTGGTGAAAAACAACGTGTTTCCATTGCAAGAGCCATTCTCAAAGATTCCCCAATCCTCTTTTATGATGAAGCAACATCTTCACTCGATACTGCAACTGAACAAGTTATCATGCATGCTCTACGTGAATTATTTAAAAATAGAACTACCATTATGATTGCTCATAGATTATCTACTGTTGTTGATTGGTAAGTAAAAAAAAAAAAAAGAAAAAATAGAAGAAACTTTGTTTCATTATAATTTATTAATTTTTTTTGAATTAGTGATGAAATTATTGTTTTAGGATCTGGTGGTGTTGTTTTGGAAAGAGGTACTCATCAACAATTATTGGAACTTGATGGAAAATATAAATCAATGTGGTTAAGTCAATTGTTTGATGATTCAACTGTCTAAAAAAAAAAAAAACAAAAATATATAAATTTAAAAATACAAAAGTTTTAATCATAAACTAAATAGGTATCATCTGTTGGACAAATTGGTTGATCAAATTCTGAAATTGATACTAATTTTGTTTTTGACATCATATTATTCCTAAATTTTAAAAAAAAAAAGGATAGGACTATATTAGATAATTTAAAAATGTTTCTTTAATATTTAAATGATATTTACCATAATCCAATTGCAGCAACTTGACCACCAATTTCACTAAAATGAAAACAATCAAAATCTGTTAAAAAAGATCTTTTAACTCTAGCTTGAGATAAAAAGGGTTGTATTATGGCTCTAAATTGAATATTATGTAATTTACTATCATTATTTATAATATCTACTGATTTTTTCATAATATTATTATATTCAATCGACATTGTATCTAATACTAAAGGATAAAATTTTAGTACCTTTACTTTTCTATTCTTTTTATTTTACATACATGAATTAAAATCAGAATTCTTTGCACATTTACACTCTTGCATAATATGATCACGAATAATTCTACAAAATTCCCCTTTTCCCATTTCACTCATATCACTTAGATGTTGTGGTACTAGGATAACATTGACAATGGTTCTTGGAAAATATTCTCGAATTGTTGATAATGAATTTAAATAATTATCTTGCCAAAATGCAATAGTTGATTGATTTTTAGATTTATCACAAGAATCACAAATCTAAAAAAAATAATAAATAATTAATAAATAATCAATTATTATTAATTTTTGTTTTTAATTTCATACATCATTTGCACCAATAAAATAATTGATTAATTTCCAATCATGAATAATATCAATTGGAGGCTGGACTTGATCAACAAAACTCTTTAAATAGAGCATTTGTTCTTGTACATCATACAAGTTGGCTTGACTAACAGCAGCATTTAATTTGTGAGTAGATGGAGATCTAAAAAAATCTCTCATTGCCTCTGGAAATAAATGTAATAATGGTAAACTTCTTCCATATGATTGTCCAATTGTATTCTAAAAATAATAATTGTTAGAACCAAAATTAATAAAAGGTTTCTTTTCTTTTCTTTTCTTACTGCACCAATTTGTTTTAGGAAATTTGGGATGGTTGCAATGTTTGAATCACCACCAAGAGAAAAGGATCTACCTCTTGATTCTCCTATATAACTATCACCGGCACCAGATCGATGATAGGTAAGGGCAAATCCAGCAGTAAGAGAATCTCCAATTGCCATGACAACCTTTATATCATTTGGTCTAACTTTGGTAACATTATTTGGATTAATGATTGATTTTGTCAAAGGCAAACATGGTAAATTGTATTCATGTGCTGAAACCTCTACTTCTCCAAAACAAAAACTAGAAAAAATAGTTAATATTAATAATAAAACTAATAAAAAAGAAGAATTCATTATAATTGTTCTTAAAAAAAATGTATGTTTTGCCAATTTGTTGTTTCAATAATCTCGAGATTCCAATTGATCCTAAAATTCAATCATCTTTCTCCATTAAATATTCGTGGTGTATATATTCCACACAGCACATTTTGACTTTACCACAAAAAAAAAAAAGAAGGTTGATTGGTTCGATCCTCTGTGAAAAAAACACTATCCAGTTTAATAAATATTCTTCCACAACTATTTTAGCTAAAATGTTATTCTATTTTATATATTTTGTATTGGCTTTTTAAAGTAGTCTACCAAAATAAAATGAGATTGCAGCGATTAAGAGTACAGTCAACAAAGTTTGAATTAATGAAAAATTGAAACCTCCAACTTGTCGTTGTTGTTGTTGTTGTTGGGTTTGTGAAGAATTATTGTTGTTGTTGTTATTTCCGCCTCTATGTAATTGTTTTTCCATTGTTTCAAGTTTCTAAATAAATAAATAAAAATCATTAGTCTTTATCAGTGATAACCCAATATGTTTTCTAAATCATACCACTTTTAGAGTTTGAAGTTCGTTTGTTAATGAAGCATTTTCCTTTTCGATAGAATCTTTTTCTTGGTTAGTTGATGATGATGATGATGGATTGTTGTTATTATTTGATTGTGCTGTTGTTGTTGTTGGTCTTTTACGTATTTGAGAATCCTCTTTTCCTTGTTCAACGGTTGGTGAGGTTTGTGATGGAGTAATAGTAGACAAGTCGGCAAAATTATCCTTTTCATCCTCAGAGTCACTATGACCCAAAGCACTTGACATTAATGATTGATTAGAAATGACCGATAGATCTTCCATCTTTGTTTGTTGTTGTTGTTGTGATTGTTGTAATTGTTCGACACCAGGTTGAGAAGCAAAAACAGCTTTTAATCTTTGCTTAATGATTAGATTTACAGGTGTTGTACTCCACTAGAAAAAAAGAAAGAATGAAAGAATGAAAGAATGAGTCAATTGACTGTATGCTCCAATCTATCTATCTATGTTTTGATAATTACAATTAATTTTGGATCAGCAGAGACTTCACTCACAACTGTACTTTGAATTTGGAATTTATCTTTAGTCTTTACAGACATTGATGGCATATCCTTTGTACAATTCAATATAACTATAATAATATATTATATATGATGAAGAGTAGAAGAGTTAGATATCACTATTCTATTCTATTCTGTTGTTATTCTGTTGTTATTGCATACTTTGAACATCTATGGTTTCACCTGGTGGGATGATACCGGTATTTGGTCTAACACAATATTTAGCTGGTGCAGTAGTCTTTACTTTGTATGCTAGAATCTTATCACTAACATTTTGTAATTTCAATATATTGGTCATCAATCCTTGGAATGGTGCTATATACAGGTATAGTCGTAAGGTAAAGAAAGAGTAAAACACAAGAGGTTAGAGGGTACATCATAATCATCAGATGACACTACAACTACTACTATAGCTGCTTTGCATTACATACGATTATAAACCAATTCTTTTGGTCGAAGTTTTAACATAACTTTTTGTAATAAACTATCTTGTATAGAAGCTGGAGTAGAAGCTGATAACATAGTAATAAATAATTAAATAACACGACAAATTAAACGGTTAGGGACAGATAATAATCAGAGTCGATTTTAAAGAAGAAAATTCAAAAAAATAATGAAAGTTTGATGACTTTTTTTCTCATCACCAAAGGAATCATTATCATTATTAAAAAGTAAGATTGTTGTTTAGTTTAGAATAAGAATAATTCAAAACTATAAAGTTGTTGTTGTTGTTGTTGCTGCTGTTGTTAACAACATCGAAATACTCTCACTCACTATGTCACGCTATTACAAAAAATGATGATGTGTATCGCTATCGATTGGTTTCGATAGAGGTGGTGGGTATTATTTCTCTCAAATCATAGAGAGACAATGGGATAGCATTGGAAATCAAGATACTACGTATTTCGGGTCATTGGTGAAGTTGAATTTCTCTGATGAACATTATCATATTTGACTCTTTTGGGGAAAAAGTTGTCGCCATTCAAAACGGGACATTACAGGTTCCGTCATCTTTGTAAAATGACGTGATTTTCTGCCTTGTATTATTACTCGAACTTTTGGTGACACAATTGCTACTCTTTGCCATGTGCCGGACGGACCATCTCTTTCAACAACCATTGTAAAAGCCTTGACTCATTGAATTCTATATCTTATCTTTGCTGCCGCTACGCCCCTCCACCGACTATATAATGAATGAATGAATGAATGAATGGTTAACCTTTTGAAACAATCCACCTCCTCCAACAACACTCAACCCACCTTAAAATCGACTTGACTATTAATTATAAATAAAAATAAAGACACATTTACCCCCTCTTCCCCTTCTCCTCATCCCACCTCCTTTCTATTCAACTCAAAAGACATTCGAAGGGGTCAATGCATTACATTTGTTACTGCTGCAGATAATAATAATAATAATAATAATAATAATAATTTAATAATTTAATAAATTAAGAATAATATGTATTCAGAAGAAGATGCAATTGTGGCACCAACCAATAATATTTCACCAACGGGAGGGTCACCATCAATTAAAAAGGATCCAACTCATATCCCTACATCACAAAATGACTTGAATATAAATGAATCGCAACCATTGCTCCAACAATACCAGCAACAACAGCAACATCCATATCAAGCCTATGGTTCCAGTATACCACCGGGTGTACATTTCGTGGACGATGGATCCAATCTAAAGAATGAAACACCATTGTCAATGTTACTCTTTACACTTGGTTTCTTTTTAATCGTACCATGGGCAGTTCAAGTCTACCTCTTTATCAATTCTCAAACTACATCTATTAGAAGATTGTCCAAAGCTTCCCTCGTACTCTTATTCTTTTGGCCTTTATTCATCATCACTGCCAATCTATTAATCTTTTTCGTTGCTTCAACTAAATCAAATTCAATGAATAGCAATTAAAAATACAATATCTAAATCAATCCCTAATCTATAAATATATTTATATCAACCCTAACTAACAACTTATTTAAAACTATTATAATATCTTCATAATAGTAAAAACATAAAATAATAATCTCCAATCAAAATTAATTTCTTTTCAAAAAAATATCTATCTATCCCCCCAATCAATTAAAAAAAAAAGATCCATCATTTTTTAAACAATTAAATCAAATGTTTTAAAATAATCTTCTTCTTTTTTCCGTTCCAAAATGCATAACAAATAATAATAAAAACTACTACTTTAATTTAAAGCTTTATTAAATCTTGAATTTTAGATTGATCAAATTGATTTTGATGAATGATACCACCGCCACAAACTGAACCTTTCCACATGAATATTAAATAGTCATTGTCTAGCCTACGTATATTGATTTGTTGACTTGAAGGTAGACCATATGGTTTATCGGTGGTTATTTTAATGGTTGATAGGTGTTTGGTGAATGTTCCAGGTGGAATGCGAAGTTTGGTGTCGCAAAGAGTGAGTGTTTTACATGATTCTGGAAGTGGTGTTGGAAGATAAATGTATTCCTGCGTAGAGTAGAGTGGAGATAGTTCCAATTCTTGGATAGTTGGAGGAAGACTAATTTGTTGTTGTTCAACTGGCGGCAGACGACTCATCTTGAGATATTGTAACTTTGGAAAATGGGGTATGGGATAAGAGGTGTTGGTTTGGAGGTGAGTGAGATTTGGAAGGTTGAGTTGGTCGAGTGGATGGTTGTAATCGCGTGGGAGATAGAGTTGCTCGAGTGATTGTGGTAGGCCGAGTAGATGGGGAGGTGCAGTGACCGAGCATTGGGTATAGTCGATCGATTTGAGGTTGGGTGGTAGGTAGTAGGCTGTGGTCGCATTGAGTGGTGGATGGGCAGAGTAGCGAAGGAAAAGGGAGAGTGAGGTGACCGACGGTGGGATGGCATTCTCAATGGTCGCGGCAGCCGATGAGATGGAGAGGTGTGTGAGCGATGTACAGCATCGTGGGATGATAAGATTGGTTGTTTGGCGGTCCTGTGGGACGTACATGCCAATTGACAGAGTCTCTAGTTTAGTCAGACCTTGGAGAATACCAATTCCCAGCGTCGACTGGTTCATATCAATCGATACTGATACGAGCGATGATGGCAGACGTTCCTCGAGTACCCCACTACCCTCATAATGCAAGAGGTTGGGTGGCAGCACACCCTTGTCAATCGCACGATAATAGTCTTTAAACGTGAGTGATTCCAGTCCTGCGGGTAGCGACCCCACCAACAATGGCATGTCAAATCTATCGCCAAACACTACACTCTTGAGTGTTGCAGGGAGTGCACCAGGGGGCAGTGGTTTATTAAAACTCACACCAAACTCCAAGTGCACAAGTTGTGATGGCAGAGTGCACCGACTTGGGTGTACATAGATCGCTGAATTGTACGCTCCTCCAAGTCTCAATGATTCCAATGTGTCTGGCAAAGTATTAGCAGCAAACGATTGATTAAAGCTGTTGCTCAACTCTAACCTTTTTAATCCCTTTGGCAACGCTCCATTCCCTTCTATCTTTCCATTAAACCTTCCACCAATACACAGAACCTTTACACTTTCAGGAACAATACCATTTGAAATAGATGTACCACTATCCAAAGCATTTAAAATGACACGTTCCACCGTACAAGGTATCTTTCCAATTTCCAATCTTTCTCCATTATAAATAACAATTGTTGGTTTTGTTGTTTTCATCGATGTATCTATAGGATTGGTCATAACATGTTTGGAAGAGTTGTAATAAGCACCTTTTAACATATTCATTGGTGTTGTAATAGCAGCACCCATATGATCATATTGGTTCTGATAGTGTCTCTCCAAATCATCATCAGACTCTTCATTAAACACTTTAAATTGTACATTATCTCTAATTGCAAACAATGCTTTACATGTCATCAACATGCACACCTTGTCTAAATTATCTTCAACATGTCTTATTATATTATACAATATTTGATTTGAAAATGTTGTATTCATTTTAATTACTAACTACTACTAACACTACTACTTGGTAATAGATACATAGATATGTACATATAAATGAATAATCCATCCTTCATAGTTCTTTCATTAAAGATGGTAATTATCTTGAAAACAGAGATTTTTAAAAGGTATCTTGTTCTCTGGGAAACACAATTTTTTAAATTTGATGACAGTTGAGAAAATAGAATGTTGGCGCCAATTTTGGGGGTTGGCGATCGCCACCTGCGATGATGATCGCAGCATTATCATTCTCTAGTCATTGAAGAGAATACATTCACCACAACACTCACCATACCATACATACCACCATTGCCCACCTCTCTTATACTTTGATTGCATATAGAAGAGAGAGTTGATGGATAATTTCATCATGGTGTTACCGGGAGACTTACAACTATCTCCTCCTTCTGTTTCGACAACAACGACCAATAGTACTAGTGATAATAATAATAATCAAAATGATGATGAAAATAATATAAATTATAGTATAAAGCAATTAATCATTAATCATACAAAACAACAAACAACAACTACACCTACACCAACTCCAGCTCCAACACCAATTCCAATAGTTTCGAGTAATCCACTTAGAAGATTATCAATATTAAGATCAAATAATAATATAACAAATATATTAAATAGCAATAATAATAATAATAATAATAAGAATAATAACAATACTAATACCAATACCAATACTAATAATAATGTAAAAAAGATGACAGATGTAGTAATTCAACAACCAATAGCAACTACAACTGGAACATCAGTCACCAATAATAATAATAATAATCCATTAGATACAAATAATTTAGATGTACCAACATCATCATGGTTTTCATCATTATTCTCAAATATTACAAAAAGAAAGAAATCAAACTATGAAAATGAAATGGATGCTTTTAAAGATGCCCGTATGTTAAATCCATCATGAATAATCATATATACACGATACATTATTATTAACCAACATATATATATATATATATATGATTTTTAGTATTATTTGTTAGACCAATTAATAATGAAGAGGGTATCCTTGTACATAAATTAGACAAATCAAAGAAATATATTCACTCTCTAGGCAATCTAGATATTGGTTTTGTATATCTAACTGAAAAAGATACTACTCTACTACGTCAAAATGAAGATCAAGTAACACTTGCCAACAAATTGATTATTCAATGTAAATCATTTAAAAGATATTCAATCGTATGTCTAAATAACAACACAAATTATTATTATTAAGTATTATTTATTATTATTTATTAATTAATTACCTCTAATTTAATTTGATGGTTTATTCTGTCTATAGACTGGTATTTTACAACAAGATATTGTTACAATGGCATTGGAAAATTTTACCAAGAGAAAGATTACTCAAGGAATGTTATTTATCGAAGAGGATGGACAATTGTGTAGAATATTCTATCGTATGAATGACCTTATTATGAATACTGTCTATGCCAGTCATGATGATACAGTACTTTTACAAAGATTACCAAATGGTGAAGTTAGAGTAAGCATAAAAAATAACTATTAAATTAAAGAAATAGAATAATATTTAATTTATTTATTTTTTATTCATTATTTATAGTTTAGATTTGAAGGAACTCATAGTCATTATCAAATTGAACAATCTATTATTGCTCAAAATGAACCATCGAATCCAAAGGATTGGAAAAGAATTACAGTACTTCGTGAACAATACCATCACTCTAAACAACCAACTCCACCATCTGAAAGTATAACAACTAAATTCTTAAACAAATTTCAATCAAGATCTAAAAATGTATGACAAACAAACAAACAAAAATAGATAGATGGATGGATGGATGGATGTAATAATATTAATATTAATATTTGTTTACTTTAGGAACAAAAAGAATTAAAACAAAAAAGGGAATCAACTATAAACAAATTAAAGAGTAGAATGAATATTAATTTAAATTGGGAATGGAATAAAGAGGAAACAGTCGATAGTGAGGATGACAGTGATAGTGATAATGGTGAAGATGACAAGGAGAATGTAGTTCCACCAAATAATCTAATGTCATCGTTGGTGACAAAGGTTCGTGAAAGAATTTCAAGAATATCAGCAGCTGATAAACCAACTACTATTACTCCAAAGGTTACAACTTCTGCTTCATCTTATATTGTTACACCACCAGTTAATATGCAGCCGGTATCTGTGTCTGCTGCACCAACGACAGAAGAGACTGTTTTGATGGTACCTGCGCCACCTGCACCACCAGCACCACCTCCACCACCTCCACCAGCACCACCAGCTCCACCAATCAACAAATTACTAAGAGTCAACAAAAAAAACATCAATGAAAAAAAGATGAGACAGTTGCATTGGAGTGTTGTTCCAAAAGACAAGTTAAAAGAGTCATTGTGGGACTCGCTTTCACCAGTCAAGTCAAATGAACGTGACCAAAGTCTGGTAGAGTCATGGTTCTCATTGTCGCCATTACCAAAGACTCAAAAGAGTCTGATTGGACAGTCGGACAACACTGGCACTGACTCGACTACCGCTACGACTGCAGCCAAACCAGTCGCAGTACAGTTACTAGACCTAAGACGTGCCAACAATGCCTGCATTCTATTGTCCCAATTCAAATTATCGTTTTCTGCTATTCGCGAAGCCATCATCTCGTATGATGAGAGCAAGTTGTCGGTTGAGCAGTTGATTGCCCTCGACGCAATGCTTCCAATCACCGAGGAAGAGTCGATTGCACTGAGTAGTTTTAGCGGGGACCGAAATACTCTTGGAACAGCCGAACGATTCTTTTTCGAGGTGATGGATATTACACGTCTACAGGCTCGTATCCAAACCTATCTATTCCGTGCTGAAATTGACACTCAAATGGTTGATATTGAGAGATCGGTTGGTGCCATTGCAACGACACTGCAACAACTCAAAGACTCTGGAAAACTTGTACAAATACTCAAAATCATCTTGCATGTTGGTACTATACTCAATCGTGGTACCTACTTGAATGGACGTGGTTTCCGTATGGACAGTCTTGCCAAGTTATCAGAGACCAAGAGTAAAGATCAGAAACACTCGGTCATTGATTTTATCGAAACCTATGTTAGACAGAATCGACCAGAGTTGATGGATTTTGCAACCGAGTTTGGTAGTCTAGAGGCAACTGCCGGAGGTGCACCACTAGAGACTATTGTTGAAGATGTCGAGTCGTTGGCTATCCGTATGGCACAGGTTAAAGAGGAACTAGAGTACCATGCAGAGCATCCAGCAGCCTCTGAACTAGACAATTATACCCGTGTCATGCAGCCATTCTACCAAGACAGACTACAAACCATCATCAAGTTGCAACACAGTCTAACAGCCGTACAAAAGCAGTTCCAAGAGTTGTTGGTCTACTTTGGTGAGGATAGTACCAATACCTCCAAAGAATTCTTTACCAATATCCTAAAGTTTGTGGTTGCATTTAAAAAGATATCAATTCTACATGACCAACAATTGGCAAGACAAAGTAAAACTTCCTCCTCCTCTAAATTGAAGAAGAATACTCCAACCAAAGTTCAAAAAAAGGTTGAAGCTGCCATTAAAGTTGAACTTGAATTAAATCAATTATTACAACAAAAGGAAAATGATTTGGTTGAATCAAAAGTAGTAGTAGTTGAAAAGGAAAAGGAAGAGGAAAAGGAAAAGGAAAATGAATCATCATCATTATCAACATCCACGATTATTAATTTGGATGAATTACAAAAACAAGTTGAAGAAATTCAAATATCAACAACAACAATGATGGAAAATGAATCAAATAGTTTTGATTTAATTGTTAAAAAGGATGGTGATATGGATCAAAATGCATTGGAAAGATGTAATCAATTAGAAGAACAACAACAACAACAAAATATTATTAACATTTAAAAAATCGACACAAACAAACAAAGAAACAAATAATCTATTCTATTTTCTAGGGGAGAAATCATATGACCAAAGAGATTGGTTTAACTAGCCAATCTTTTAGGACACAATAAAATAAATATGAAAAAAGTTAATATACAAGTTAATAACACATATAATTTTTAAATTAACTAAAAATGATGAGGAATAGATAAGGCGGTGCACACAAGTCATTATCATGCCATAACCAAATTCCATACGTTGATAAATGGCAAGTGTTTGGAATCTTTTCTTTGAGCATTGAAACCATTTTGTTAACATATATAAATAGTATTCTGAGAGTGGCTCACCTCAAAAGGGGTCGTTCCAAGATCTTTTTTTTTTTTTTATAATTTTTTTTCGTCAACGACACACAGATTTTTTTAATTTAGAGAATGCAAATAAATTGTTAATTAATATATATAAGTAATTAGATTAAAGAGTATTTATTTATCCATTTTAGTTATTCGATTAAAGATAAGAAAGTTCTTTTCCTTTTATTACTTTTATGTGCTTAAATTGGGCATATTGTATTCGATCTTGTTCGTGTCCCTCCCTCCATTCTATCGCATTGTAAATGGTATGTAAAATACCTATTCTTCCTTTCCTCTTTTTGGTTGTGATGATATCTTCACTCTTTCTTCTTTTCATTTCTTCTGCATATAATTTTACTTCTTCAACGGTTGTTGATACAATGTCTCTGTAAGTGTCTTGATATTTTGTTGTCTCGTTTTCGATAAATTGTTCTAAATCATCATCATCTATATATCCGATACCCTCAAGCAACACCATTGCATTGCTCATTGTTCTACCACCATTGCTTTTATAATAATTAATACCTTTGAAATAACCAATAAAGTATTTTTTACAATGTTATCAAATACCAATACAGGTTGTTCTATTTCCAATTTTAGTGCTTCATCCTTGTTAAACTCTTCTTCTTCTTCTTCTTTTTCTTCTTTGGTTGTACAAATATCTTTGGCTAGTGTTGGTTGCATAAAGCCACCAGCAGCGAATTTAATACTAAAGATGTCCACACCATAATCATTTCTGATACTCGTGATTTTTCCCTTCCACCACGTCCCACAATCTATAGTATTCACACATTGCGAATACACAGACTCACCAACATTAAATTGTTTCACTCGTTTGTTGTGTAGATTGATCATATTGGAGTGATTGTTGTTGTGTAGATTGGTTGTATTGGAGTGATTGTTGTTGTGTAGATTGATCATCTTGGAATGTATGTTGTTGTGTTTGGTCGTATTGGAGTGACTGTTGTTGTATATTGGTTGTATTGGAGTGATTGTTGTTGTTGTGATTGTTGTTGTGTATATTGGTTGTATTGGAGCGATTGTTGTTGTGTAGATTGATCATATTGGAATGTATGTTGTGTATATTGGTCGTATTGGAGTGATTGTTGTTGGAGTGACTGTTGTTGAATATATTGGAATGCTTGTTGTTGTGTATATTGGTCATCTTGCAATCCTGGTGGTCGATTGCAACATCCCCTTCAATGTTGTTAATCACCCTAGTTTCAAAAAATTGGTTGGATTAATTAGAAACGAATGTGGTAGCAAAGTGTTGGTAAATATCTCCAACAAAAACAGTCCATAAAGATATCCTAACAACATTCCAAGAAACAAAAGAGAAAATTAAGCAACACATTAAAGATAATAGATTGGGGAAATACCACATTTCTTTAGACGTATGGAGCGAGGGAAAAATGAGGTGCCGAATGTCTATTTCCAAAATCTGGTGCCATCACAGAAACGGCTGACCTTCCATAGATTCAAAGGTCTTTTTCAAGGTTTATTCTTGACAAATCAAACTCCAAGGATTCACTCTCTTTTGATCTCTGGACCAGCCAGAATCAATATTCCTTCATGTCAGTAATCGTCCACTTCATCGACGAGTTATTCTCTGATTATTCTCTGCTTGCTCTACCAATGTTTGATCTTGTCATCTGATTTGGTTTCAATACAGGACACCATCGCATTTGGATAGTTTGCGTATAGGATTGAGCCAAAGGTGTACTTTTTAGTGGTAATATTTTAAAGTCTGTCTAACAGTACTCCTTTGGCTCAATCCTACTCTAGATAGGCACCCCACCCGCTCACCCTCTTTATGTATGTAATATAAATCAAGACTGGTAATCAAAATAATTTTAAAAGTAAAGGTTTATTGTAATATACAGTACACTGAATCTCGATCAACCTACAATACTCACTTATTTATTTTAATATTATCTACAAAAGTGGTTGGTTGATCGTTGTGATTTCTATCCATCTATCTATATCTTATATATCTCAATCTATCTATAAGTTGAATAACCTTTTCTAAGTGATAGATAGGATTGAGGGATATTTAATGGAAACTTTTGAATGATTTGATAAATGGTTGAATTACAATAACGTAACGATGACTTTGGATCAGTGTATGGTGCAACATAACCTGTAATGTCACAATATTTTTTTGTTGGTAATAAAGTAGGTGGTACTTCAATATTTACATCTACAAACAAAGAAGAAGAAGAAGAAAGAAAGTTCAGTTAAATGGATTAATTATTCTTTTTAAAGAGTTGGATATATTTACAAGTTGGGAAATTAGCAGGTAATTGTTGATAATTTTCAGAGGTTAGAATTTGTTTAATTGATTTCCAGTTTTGTTTCTTTTTTGGATCGATTCCATTGATATCAAATGATGGATTTTTAAATGGTAGTGTGTTTGATGGTGGTACCGATGAATTGGCAGACGATGAACTTGAAAGTGATGGCGTCGAAGGATTTGATGTATTGGCTGGTGTATTTGGTGCAGACTTTTTACTACCTGCCTTTGTCTTGACTGGTAATGGTGGTGGAGGTGGTGGTGGCGCCTCCTCTTTTTTAGTTGTAGCAGCTTTCTTTGATTTACTTTGTTGTGATGGTGTTTGAGTTGGTGATGTCTTTTTAGATTTAGGTGTTGGTTGTTTACTAGTTGTTGGTGGTGTCTTTTTAGATCTCTTTTTATTATTACCACTACCAGACTTTGTTGTTTCTGTATCCTGGTCAACATCCATTTCATCACCAGATGATTCTGAATCAATGTTGTTATTGTTATTATTATTATTGGTTGGTGAACTATTTGAATTGGATGAACTATAGGATGAACTACTAACTGGTGATTCAGCAGAATCATTTCCAACATCTACATCGGATCCATCGGAACTACCACTGCTACTACTACTACTACTATTTTCAATGTTTCGTTTGGCACTTGCCTTGGTTGGTTTACTCTTTGAGGAAGCCGCAATCTTTTTAATAGGTGCTTGTTTGGCCAATGGTGCTTGTTTAGAGGAGGATTGTTTAGATAGAGGAGGTGTCGAAGATGAAGCAGCTGGTTTCTTTTTGCTCTGTGCTGCTGCTGGTTTTGCTTTAGATGTTGAAGTAGTAGTACTAGTACTTGACTTTTTGGTTGTTGTAGAACCACCTCTTCTTGTATTTGAGTCTGGTGATGAAGATGACTCATAATCAGAGTTTGACGATGATGATGATGATGATCTAGATAACGACCGCGACGATGATCTTGATCTTGATCTTGACCTTGATCTAGATCTTGATCCATCATCAGACGATCCCTCATCAGTTACATCTGAATCAGAGTAATTTGCACTGACTGTTCTTCTTGCTCCACTTCTTGTTAATGCCATATTTACAAGTATACTAATACTATATTATACTATATATCTATCTTCAAACAAACAAATTAGATTAATTAAATTTAATTTAATTTCAAAGTGACAGTGAACTTGACTCAAGCAGAGTCGCATAAAATTTAATTTAGTAGTGTAACAGTTTCAAAAAAAAGAGATAATTATAGAAGTGGAAGAATGAGTAGTAATCCTCAATTATTGACAAGACTGAAATATGAAATGGATTTGTTCAAAAAGGACCCTCCTCCAGGTGTACAAGTTTGGAATGCCAATGGTGAAAGAGTAGATAGCTTAGAGGCATCAATTATCGGTCCCGATGAAACTCCCTATGAACATGGTATCTTTAAATTAACTATCACATTACCTACAAGGTAGGTTACATATAAACCAATCAATCAATCAATCAATGAACCTTTGAACTCCTTTATGATGATTAATGAATGTTCTATTGTTAGATATCCATTTGAACCTCCTGATATTAAATATGTAACAAGAATCTATCATCCCAATGTTGACGATCAAGGAAGAATATGCTTGGATACCTTAAAGATGCCACCTCAGGGGTCGTGGGGACCTGCCCATAATCTTTCTACAACTCTTACAACTATTCGTTTATTGATGGCTCATCCAAATCCAGATGATCCTCTTATGAAAGAAATTGTATGATAAACCAAATTAATCATCCATCTCTGTGATAATATAAACTAACAAATATATATTTATTCAAAGACTGAACAATATAGAAACAATCACCAATTATTTATTAAAACTGCAAAAGAATTTACAAAGAAATATGCAATCGATTCACAACAACAACAAACTGTAAATAAGAAACAAACAAATGAAAATGAAAAGAATACATCGACATCATCGACAACATCAACAACTAGCACAACAGAATCTATTGATTCTGATACACCAAACAAAAAAAGAAATAGAGACGACGATGAAGAAGAACAAGTGGAAAAAGAAAAAGAAGAAACATTGGAAAAAGGATCATTCAAACACCAAAAAACAAATAATGATCCAGAAGAAACAAAAGAAGAAGAACCAGAGGAAGAACAAGAAGAAGAAGATGTTTGGGAATAATAATAATACTACTATCTATTCCTTTCTATATATTTTTGGATTGGATTAATAATTTATATTTTATTAAAAGTAGTTTTAATTTAGGACTATACAAAGGTACTAGTTTTTGTGTTGATGGAATTGGTAGTATTTGAAGATTCAATACTAGCTTTGCTACATATACATTCAAATTCACATTCACAATTATTATTGTTGTGATATTTACTGTTGTTATTATTATTAATATTATTAGTGTTATTGTTATTTATGATGGTTGTACTGCTACTATTGGTAATATTACTATTAATGGTTGTATTACTATTACTTGATGAACGAGAACGTGATGCCTTGGTTACAGTACTGTGAAGTTTAAAAGTTGAGGTTAGATCTATTGAACAAGATAGGTCAATGTCAATATTGTTGGCGCCTATAGGAGCAGTGATAACCATGGTCTGTTGTTGTGCAGCTGCACTACTTGGAAAGATGGTGCGTACCAACTTTTCAATCTCACCGAGCAATGTAGGAATGTGTTGTTCGCCAACACCCAAAAACTCTAGCATAGACTTGTCTAGTGAGGCAATCGACATCATTTCAAAGTAACCTGCTTGTAAAAAGTTGTTGGTGTATTCTTGGAGCTGAAGACGTTCGAGCCAGGCACCCACAACCTTGCTGGGTGACATGGCGTAGGAAGAGGGCAACTCCACCTGTCTTTGCGTGTACTGCTCTGGTGCAATATGCTTGACAAAGTCGATCATGTCGTCGGCATAGTCGTCCAGATACTTGGTGTCGATGTTCCAGTGCGTTGCCTCCTTGACCGGAACGTAACGGAAAAGGTTGGGAAACAGCTTTGATAATTTTTTGGCGCTTTTAATATTTACAATGTCGTCACTGTCCCCGTGGACAACCAACGTCGGGCAAGCTATTCGCTCGACCTTTTTAAGATGGTCAAATGACTCTATCGACAGGAGCATGTTGACTATATTTCCACCCAACGTACTTGGTCCAAACGATGCAATGACTACCAATCCTCCCAATGGTTGTCCATTTCGACTAGATTGTTTGGATTCGCTTATTGGTGTTGTAGATGATGCAACTGTTGAATAGGGTGATGATGGAGAAATCGGTGAGGTTGGTGTTGAAGAGGATGTAGTGTTATTATTATGTATTGGTGAAGTTAAAGACAAGGTAGATTTGGATTTTTGATATAAACTTGAAGCAAACTTAATACTACAAATTGTTCCTATTGATTTACCCATTCTAACGAATTAAAAATATATAAAGTAAGTATTTTGTTTCCATTCACTCTCTTTTTCTTTTCTTTTCTTTTTTTACATACAAAATAATTGAAGAAGGTGATATATTTAAAGTATTTGTTAAATAATTAAAAACGATAGAGATATCATTACATAGTTCTTTCAAGGTAGGTTTACCAGAGGCATTTAAGCCAAAACCAGTGTAATCGTAACAAAATATATTACATTGGAGGATGTCTGAAAGGATACGCATATTCTTTCGAATGAGACCGAGATCTTCTCGATCACCTCCACTGTAGAGGATGGTGAGATCCGACTGTACTTTACTATCTCTACATTTCCATTTGTGAAATAGACATGGAATCGATTTTGATCCACTTCCAGTGACACCATTTGAAATCCAAAATAGCTTATCGAGTTCTTTAGTGTAGGATGGTAGGGGTGGTTGAAAGAGTAGTTTCTCCTTGTCACTAGAATGTCTCTTTTTAGTGGGCATTGATGCCAACAGATTCTGAACTGAAGATGCATGGAGAAGCTTTGGTTTTTCTTTTGGTACTCCTCCTGCTCCATTACCACCCGACGACAAATTACTGATAAGTTGTGCCGGTGTTGTATTGGAGGACATGCTCGTAATCTCTTTGAGTTCAATGGTTTGCACTATACCCTCGTCGGCACCAAAATAATTGGAAAGTGTTTGGTTGTGCGATAGGATCATTCGATTGAATAAAATAATGAGATTGACACGGTTTTCTAGAACGACCAATTCGTGAATACGATCCAATGTCTCTTTGACTGTAAAGTTTAATGGGAATCTAGCAACCTTTGTAATAAGTGGGTGTGACTCTGGTAGTTTGACCCGCAACAATACAGATCGGACATCGCGGTTGGGTGTCAACGAAGTCGATGTAGGTGTCAAAGATCCATTGATACTGTTACCACTGCTACCTCCACCCGCACTATTAGTGTTGATTGTCAAACTATCGTTACTCCAATTCGAACCAATACTCTCGTTTAATTTTTTGTTTGGTGTTCTATTTTCAGCAGACGATGTCGATTGTTGTAATACACTACCACCATGATTATGTTGATGATGATGGTGGTGATGATGATGTTTGGTATAGTGTAGAGGTGATGAAGATGCTAAAATATTGTTACTATGGTTGGAAGAGGTAGATGTCAAACTGGAAGAGGTTGATAATGAAGAAGTGGAAAGTGATGAAGTAGATTCGCCATCGTCGCCAATCATTGCAACCCCAGTTGCTCCATCCACCTCGATTGTATCGTCATCTCCCAATTCACCGCCAATATCTTGTTGTTGATGATGATGTAGTACATTGTTGTGTGATGATTTTGGCGATCGAATGTCTCCACAAGAAGAGGATAGCGATCGAATGGGTGAAGAGGTTTGTTCAGGAATAGCTTCAATCATGCTATTATTATTGTTATTGTTATTGTTCAAAGATAAGCTGGCTCCAGCTGCTGAAGATGATGTGGTTGTTGTTGTCGTCGTTGTAATGACTTGTGTAGTCATGGTTGTTGTGGTTGTCGTCGTGGTGGTTGTGGTTAGTAGGGTTGTTGTCTTTTGCTCTTTTTCCAATCTAAGTTTGGGTAGGTCCTCTTCGGTGGTACCGTCACTAATTGCCTTGCTAATATCGTGAAACGAGTGGGTTGGGGTGTCGGGTGGAGTGTTGATATTGAGCTTGGTCGCGAGACCCTTTTGGCTAGGCAAAAGTGATGATGGCTTCAATGAAGATAGTGAAGGTGTCGATATCGATGATGAAATGGATTGATTTGATTGTGACTGTTTAATCCTTCCACTCGATAAAACAATCAATTCACTTTCACAACTACTACTACTACTACTACTGCTACTGTTACTACACGTTTCGCTCTCTATATCATCACACTTGTCTTGTTTGCCAGATTCACAGCCACTATTATTATTCGTCGTCTTCTCCAATTGTAGTACAATGCCAGCTGATGTTGATTCACTCTGATTCATGAAAATCAATCAAATCCAAAAAAATCAATCCCAAGGAAATTATATATTATTCGTTGTTGTTGCTGTTAAATAAACTTGAATTGTTAACCATTAATACATATTTCTGTTGATTGTTGAACAATTGAATCTGGCTTACCCTAAAGTTAATTAAAAAACACACAAACTATGATCGATCAATACTTTCTTTGTTCTAAATATGTGTCTGTCTAATTAATATTAAAAAAAACTCTTTTGTTAATATAATGTTTATGGTTGTTGTTGTTGTTATTGGGGTGGTGATGAATATTAAAAGGTTTGTTTGTCACGATGAAATTTTAAACGGTTGACACCCAATCAAAATGTTTTTATAACGGAGACAATTACATTTAAAAAAAAAAAAAAAAACCAAACAACAAATTGATCTACCAATAAATGAGCTAATTATTGTCTATCTCGATGATAATAATAATAATAATAATAATAATAATATTAAGTATTATATGCTATGGAATTTATAAATTATATTATATCATGTGTTGGAATTATAATAAATTATTTCTTTCTTTCTTTAATTTGTTGGGTCAGAGCTAGCTGTGTTTGTCTACTACTATTAATACACACACATATAGAGAGAGAGAGGTGTTGGGTGGTATATACTTTATATATATTAGTGTTAATTATTTTAACACCATCATCCATACAAGGAAGAAACAAAAAGAAATAAAAAAAGAATAGGTATAGGTTTTGAACAAGTAACGAATGAATTAGGAAAAGAGAAAAAAAAGTACGGAAATTATTGGATGTGTTTGTTGTTATTAAACTCACTCACACTTATATTTATAAATATATAAATACGCGCTAGTACTGTAATAATAATAATAATAATAATAGTAGGTAGTAGGAGTAGGAGGAGAGTAGTAGTATGTCACTGATATTTCCATTTTATCCTCCTCTTCCTCTTTCTCCTCAAATTATACAACGGCACATTCAACATCATATCTGTCCATCTCAACCATCCTCCTTTCCTTTCAAAATTGTGGAGAAGAGGGTGGTGGTTGTAGTAGTGTGTGTGTGTGTATTTATAATGTGTTGTTGTTGTTGGTGATGATGATGATGATGATGAGTACTATTGTGATTTAATTGAGGAGAATGGGTGATTTGATTTTGGTGATGATGATGATGTACATAATTTAAATTATACATGTTACATATAATTATCCCTATCCCATCCCCTACCACCATGTTTGTTACATCATCATCATCATCAACATCATCATAGGATAGGTATGACTAACAAAGATGATATTTCCATCCAACCAGAATATATATAAAATATCTATCTGTTAAAGTTTTGATTTGATTGTGATTGTATCTAAATAGTTAACTATCTACCTATCTCTCTCTATCTATCTATCTATCTATCTGTGCCTATACACACTGCTAATAATGATTAATCTCATCAATCAATCAATCGATCAATCAATCAGACCACCAACCAATTAAATCGGATGACTATTGTCATCATCCATTCATCGATTGAATTGTATTTGTATATTATATATATTATTATTTGTTATTGCTATGTCTTGTCTGATACACGGCAATAAAATAATTACTTTTGCTTCTCTCTCTGAGATATGATTAAATTATTCTTATTATTGGATGGAAAAAAATTAAATATTTCCTCTTCTTCTTGTTTGTATATTATTCATCTACTATATATATACTATTGCTATCACTATCAATCTATCTATTTCATTGCACACCCATACTTATAAATATATATATTCTGACAATGACAATATTGCTATTGTGTAGTAATAAATTATTATTATTATTTATAACAACTATAAAATGTATAGATGGATTGATGATGATGATGATGATGATGATGGATGTTTAATTATTATTATTAGAACAGGTGGCGGTGGTGGGGAAAGAGTTCAAATTGATGATCACTGCAGACTGAGCTCAATATTTAAATTGATCGCCACTCTAATAATATTTTCTGGATAGCTATCCATCGTAGTTGAAGGGTAGTAGTGTAGTGTGTGTGGTTGATCAATCAGTCGATCAACCCACCTCACCCTCTTCTCTTCTCTCCACGCTAAAACTAATTTAAAGAAGCCATACATATTCATCGATCCAACACTTTTTACAAATGATAAACTTTGACTATGGCCTACCCAAACTTGTCCATTTTAATTTCATTACCTACTCTTTAATTAAAGATACCTGGTGGTGGTGGTTGTTGTTGTTGTTGTTTGAACTTCTTCTTCTTCTTCTTCTTCCTCTGTCAACGCGACAATGAGAGAAGGAGAGAAAGATAGATGAAATAAATAAATATAATATATACAAATAAATAGATAGGTTATAAATAACTAGTTGGGTGGTTGGTTCAATCAATCAATGATTGATTTGGTCCGCCTCCATTGTGAGCGGGTCATTCATACCCCCATCAATCACGGGGGTTTGGAGTTTTATAAAGTGCAAGAGCTCATTGTTATTGCTGTGCAAAATTATTTGAAAAGATGAGCTCACTTTTAAAAATCAAGATATTAAAAGATGGAGATGAAATTAAGGAGAACAACGAGAAAAAGATGTTGTTGTGTTACTATTATTGATGTTCACAACTATAGCTACTCTGGTAGCAGTTTGTGTTTGTTGTCGTTTGTCGTTGCCCAAAACAACAAATACTCATCAAGAGAACAGGTCAGTTAATAAAAGTAAAAAAAATCATAAGATTTATTTTAAATAAATTAATTTAATAAATTTTTGGTCTGCATCTGACATGACTGTGACCTCTCCTCTGCTCTTTAATTTTAATAAAAGAATGAAGTTGATGAATGAATGAATGTTTCTTGACAACAACAACAACAACAACAAAAAGGGTGTGTGTGAGAAAACTTTGAGTTTCATAGTTTATTTTATTTATCTTTCTTGTACATATATATTATATTATTATATTATATTATAACATTACAATTATATCATTATCATCTTATTATCAAAACCAACTATTCATTTCATTTATTCCATTCATTAAAGAGAGAGAGAGAAAAAAAGAACCCATTGAAAAATATCTATTGTTCACAGCGCTTTCTCCCCTATCCTTTTTAATTATATTAAATTTTAAAGTTCCGTCTGTCCGTTTGTTTTGCTAGCAGCAGCAAACCTTGAGGAAAAGATTCCACGTACATCATTATGCTCAAAGCAAATACAACTACAACAACAACAACAACAAGAGATTATATTACCGACGGTGGCGACGAACTAGTTCAACAACATCTAAACCGAAAATTACAGTCTATTCATCGATTCATTACAAACTTGATTCTTTTTATGACAAGTTATCTATTTAATTTATTATCACCTAAATACTATTACAGCAATCAACAACAACAACAACAACAACAACAACAATATACAAAGAAAAAATCACATCCACCAGATTATTATCATTACTATACTGAACCAACAACAGCAACAACAATAACACAAGAAGAACAAATAATGACCAAACAAAACAAAGAGTTTTATGAAAAGGTGACAGCTTCACCTGTCATCATAGAGACAGAGGTTGAGTGCAACAAGAAACATTTTGTTCTAGCTCTCTATCCTTTGGCTTTGGTCATGTCTGTTAGAGATAAAAAGTCATCTACCTCTGCTACCGCTACCAATAGTCCACCAACTCCACCTTCATATATCAAGATGATCCATTCTTCAGCCATTACTGGTACTACATTGGATGGTATTGTTTCTACACGCGTCTCATTACATACATGTGTCAACACTGGTGATGAAAAGCGTGAGGTTAGAACTCGAAAGACACTGGTGTTGCAGTTTGGCAATGCCGACGCTGCCAAGTCATTTATTGACGGAGTCGACTCGTTGCTCAACGCATTGCCATCGGGACATCCAAAGAACCGTAGTGTGCGTGTCATCCTCAACCCCAAGTCTGGTAAACGTCTTGCAGAGACTATATTCAAAGAGGTCGAACTCTTGTTTAAAGACTCCAAGATGAAGGTTAAAAAGACCATTACCAAGGGTCCAGAACACGCCAAACAAATCGGTTATAAATTCAAACTCAACAAATACGATACCATAGTATTTGTCAGTGGTGACGGTTTGTTCCACGAGTTTATCAATGGTCTGTTGGCACGTGACGATTGGGAAGAAGCCAGAAAGGTAAGATTGTCTCTGATTCCAGCTGGTACTGGTAATGGCATTGCATGCTCGCTTGGATTGGGTGATCCCATGTCGTCGGCTTTGGCCTGCGTGCGTGGTGGATCGCGTCCATTGGACGTGTCGGTCATCAAGCAAGATGACCAACATAAATGGGCATCCATTCTCTCACTCACCTGGGGTCTTGTCAGCGACGTCGATATAGAGTCGGAAAGATTCCGTTCGTTGGGTGCTCTCAGATTACAGTTGGGTGCTGCCATACGTATCCTCAACCTACGTGTATACAAAGGAAAGATATCCTACCTTCCTGCACTCGACACTCAAAAACAAGATTTGGCAAAGATTCCAAAATGTACTCCCTCTTGTGATGTTTGCAAGAGTAGCGATAGTGTTGAAACAATGAAAAATATGTTATCAAATAGTCAACAATCAATTGTAAATGGAAATAATAATCAAAATCAAAATAATCAAATCAGTAATGGTCATCATGATGAATCAAATAATAACAATATTAATAATTTAAATTTAAGTAATACCAATGGTAATCATAATATATCAGTTGATTCAACTTCAACTACTACTACCACAACAACAACAACAACAACAACAAATAATACTGTAGAAACTCAACAACCACAACAAGAAGAATCAATTAAACAAGAAAATAATGGCGATCAACAAATTCAAATTGAAGAACCAACTTTAACTTCAACTTCTCCATCTTCTCCATCTTCTCAACCTACTCTAACCAATGGTAGTAAAGTAGAAACAAGAGATATTGTTGTACCATTACCAAAGTTACCAACAGAAGAAGGACTTTTACAAAGCGATAAACCATTGCCAAGTGAATGGCGTACCATCGAAGGTGAATTTATTGGATTCATTGCCAGCACTGTTTCTCACTTGTCGGCTGATTTCATTGCATCACCATTCGCTCACTACTCTGACGGTTTCATTGAAATGATTCTCATTAGACACAACCCCAAGATCTCAAAGTTTGCCTTGGCCTCTATTCTCACCGATGCCGAGACAGGTAAGCACATAGACAGTCCATTCATTGAGCATTTCAAGGTCAAATCATTGGTACTTGAACCAGGTAAACTCGAACACCGTGAAGGTATTCTCGCCGTTGACGGTGAAAGAGTACCCTATGGAAAGACTTCAATGGAATGTATTAGAGGTTGTATCAACCTTGTTTGTAAAGCTGAATATTAAATAATATCAATCAATTATCAATTGTGTTATTAAAATAATAAATATATTATTATTTAAATTTCAATATATCCAACTACTAGTAGTGTTTCGATAATAATAATAATACATGTGTGTATATAGATTCTGTATTGTTTTGTTTTACATTCATTGTTTTGTTTTAAGAATCCATTCTTTTGTTAATTTATAATAGCAATCGAGTCGTTTAATCTTCATCATCATCGTCTTCCTTTGGATCAAATATTTGTGGAGCTATATAGGCAAGTGTATCTGCAAGGATAGTTCTTTCTCTACATTGTTGTGAATGAATAAAAAGTATGAATATCTAGATTGCTTTTCTTTTAGATTCGATTCGATTCAATTGTTATTACCTTGGTAAATCAGATGTAAAGATTCTTGGGAAGTAATATTGAAGTGAAAGTACCAAAGGATGAATCTTGTGTTCTTCATCTGGTAGATTGGCAGCATCTTCACAACAAGTCTTGAATGTATTTAATTGTGCAAGACACTTATTAATATCCTTTTGGTTATTAGTTGCGCTATTATAATAGTAAATGAGAAATAATATTATTAGTACTAATCTAAACATACATTAAACAGATATATAGCTATCTATCCCTCAACATACCATTTAAAGAATTCATTTGACTTTTCTTCACAATGTTTAATATTCTTTACAGAGAATGTAAAGTTATCTTCGTCTGCCATTCTATTCTATTCTATTATATTATATATATACAAGATAATAAGTATCTCTTACGATGATGGTTTGTTGATCATGTCGCTGATCAAACTCTTTGAAAAAAAAAAATTAATTAAAAATCTTGGTGGAAGGTTTGATGATGATAAAAAGAGTTATTAAAATAATTTATTACAGTTGGGGAGTTACCTATACATATACAAATATATGTTTAGAATATATTTATATATATATATATATATTGAAAAATATTCACTTCACTTTTTTGTATGTACACAATCTTTTCAAACGGTAAAGAGGAAAAGGTTGATTGATTGATTAGAATTGGTTGATTGGTTGGCTGGTTAGTTAAGAGTATGGTTGGTGGCTAGGGGAATGCTGGTTTAACACTCTCCTGGCAAATGGTCATCACCAAGTCCATAGTCAGAGGTTGTTGGGATTGAACGGTGACTGATAAAATTGCTGTAATTAATCTTGGAAGGTGAAGGATTGCTGATGGTGGTGGTCGAGGTAGATGGAGAAGAGGAGGTATTGACACGTTGGGATAGTTTAACCAATTCTTGTTTTTGCATTTGAACTACCTCTATCAATTGTTTCTAATAATAATAATAATAAATGGAAATTAGAATAATTAATTGGATGATGGAAAAATATATATATATATATTATTTCCTTTTCCTTTTTCTATTTCTTACATTTTCATTATTCAATTGATGAATCTTTCTAATTCTCTTGTTATTAAGTGTCATATCCAATTTGTTGACTTGATCAGATTCCAAAATATCAATCTTTTGCTTGAGATTTGAAACTTGTTCTAGCAATTCATTCTTTTCAATGTGTAGCTTGTTGATTTGACGTACACGATTGTTGTTGATCTTGGCCGTGTTTTCTACTTGGGTATAGTATAAAAGAGACGACTCTAACAATTGGTTATGGGTGGTGAGTTCAGAGACTTGCTTTTCGCGCAAGGCTCTCTCTTGTTTCAGTTCAGCCTCGAGCTGCAAGACTCTTTTCTGGAGCTGTTGTTCCTTTTGTTGGTTTTGGACTGATGGAGGAATAGCAGTGGCTTGTTGCTTGATAGCACTGCTATTCTTTAGAGGGCCAAGTGGTTGTCGTGTCGTCGTCGTCTTGAGACCAGCTTGAATGACATCACCTGATGAATTGATTTGATTTTCTTTTAATGATTGTGTTGACATGGTTTGATTCTCTTTCTTTCTCTAATTATTATTATTATTATTATTATTATTCTATTATTATAAGGTTGATTGATTGGTTAAAGGATGAGTTGGGTTGCTGTAAAGAAGAAACAAAAACACAAAAACAAGGACAAAGGACAAAGGGACAAAGGGACAAAAACACGGGCAAACAAACACAAGGTGGGTGTAGAGGGGGACCTGCTAATTGTTATTAGTAACTAATACTACTATCTAGATATAGATTTAATGAGAATGAGTACACCCATGAAAACAATTGAATGGAGGTGAGGGAGAGCAAACCCAACGAATTTTTTTTTTGTACACCACACAGCCAACGGTCTAAAAATTGAACTTCAAAAAATTGGCGCCAAGAATTCTAGTTGCAAAACTAAAAGAAAGTATACTTTTTTGGAGTGGAGGAAAGAATAATCAAAATCATTATTATTATTATTATTATTATTATTATTATTAATATTATTAATAATTATTATTGATATTATTATTTTAAAATAATATATTTTTGGTTATTGATCTATTTTGTTTAATTATGAAAATTCTAAATATAGAATGTGAATTAGGTCAGTTCCCATTTTTTTGATTGGATTCACAAATGACAACATATGATGTTACACTGAAAAAGGACTGTACAAAACTACATAAAATTTATTGATTTAGGAATCATACACAATTAATTTTCCGCAACGGGTTTTTAAAAGACATGTCCAATGTTGATGAACTGCAGTTTGGTGGTTGTGAGTGAGTGGTGATCATTGTTCTTGGGATGGGGTTGTGATATTTTGTAAAGGTACGCACATTTAGGACTTCCAATACCTTTTATTGTGAATTAGACAGCTGTTCCAAGGTTTGGAAGGTAGGAATGTTTGAAATACAAACACCAATATTTATTTAGACAAAAAAAACAATAAATGAATAAAATAAAAATGGATATGGATATAAATATTGCATGCATTCTGTAAAGAAATAGAACCATTCTTATTTAAATAATAATAATAGTAATAATGAAAACATCAATCATATTTATTACTTTAGTAGTTTTAAATCTATATTCAATCAATTCAACATATCTTCCAGAATGTGCTGAAATTATTAATAAATATATTGGACTTGGTTCACCGTATGTTGGCATTCAAATAACAATCGTTGATCAATCGGGATCGGTCACTTTTTCAAGAGGAAGATCTCTCTCTTGTTGTCAACAATACCCAGACAAGATCATGGCTGCCATCGGTTTCAAAGCCATCTTTAGTAACTCTACCAACTGTGTCGGTACAACCAATGGAGAAGACCTGGTCCAGACATTCGATGTTGCAGGTGTACGTCCATTGTTCTATGATAGTCAATCATTTGTTATCCGTAGAGATGGATCGGTCCTACTCAATTTGGCTATTGAACAAAAACAATTTGATTTCAATCTAACCTATTGCAAGGACAAGATTCTAGTAGGTCACACTGATTCAAAATCATTTATCTTTCATCTATCCAATGTAAATTCGAGTGATGTTGGTGATGAAAAATGTGGTGATGCTCCTAGAACTCCATTCCCAAATCCAACATCTCCAACGACCAAAGTATCAATCACCACTACCCTACAGACCTCATGGAATGAAGGAGACATCTTATATAGTCTATGGGAAACAACTATTAAAAATAATGGAGGTGTTATCATTAACAATCTAGTATTGGCATCGACGATGCAACTAAAAGATGCAACTACAATGTGGAGAATGAATACTGTGTCTCCTGGTAAATACACCCCAGTTACTCCATCTCTAGGTGTATATGAATCTTACACATTCTCATTTATCAAAGTTGGTCATGATTATCCAACTTTCACAGTTGTCAATTAAATATTAAAGTTATTTCTATTCAAAAAAAACAAATATTACATAAAATTAATATCAATAAATTTAGAAATAAATTTTACACTAATCAAATTTGACTGAGACTTTTATGTATTAAAGATAAATATGGATGACATACATGTATTTAATTGAATCAACTAGTTTTTGTTTGGATAAAAGATTTAAAAATAAAAAAAAGAATTAATAATTCAGATCAAGGTGTAGGGATTGATTATTTTTGTACAATTCTAAATCGATTGTCTATTTGATCTAATCTCCTGTTTACCTGAACATGTTCATGACAACATCATATATGATGTTGTTGATGATATCTGGAAGAAGGAGATTGATGGATGGATTGGATAACTCCTACCCCATTGATATTATTAATTTGGAAATGATACATCCTCCTACCCCAATTTCCAATCTCATTTGTTTGGATATAAAAGTTCGTGTATTTTTAAAACCAACCATGATATAGGGAAATAAGTATAGATATAGCTGACTGTGTGCGTGTTTGAGAGTGTTGTGTTGTGTGATCATTCATAATTGCAATGGAAGAGAATGTTGTGATATTTTTTACTGGTAGTAAACATTATGGGGGTACATGAATACGACAAAAATTGAGGTAGGGGTGGGGGGAATTCAATTTGAACCACCACCATCACTGTTCAGGGTTAGAACAAACTACCTTTAAACATAAACATGGTAAATATATATATTACACAATAAAATTTGGCTTTATATATTCACTTATTTAACAAATTATAATTCTCTCTATCCATTTTATTCTCTATTTCTATCTTTTCAAAAAAAATATTTTTTTTCAAAATAATTAATAATTATAATTAATGAAATCATCATCAACATCATCAATCATATTAATACTTATATTAGTATTATTAAATCTATATTCAATCAATTCAACTTATCTACCAGAATGTGCCGAAATTATAAATAAATATATTGGTAATAGTGCACCGTATGTCGGTATTCAAATGACGATGGTTGATCAATCTGGATTGGTTACCTATGCCAGAGGTCGATCTCTATCATGTTGTCAACAATACCCAGATATGATCATGGGTACTATGAATTACCCAGCTGTCTTTAGTAACTCTACCAATTGTAACGGTCTCAATGGAGCAGATCTAGTGCAACCATTCCACGTTACAGGTGTACGTTCATTGTTCTATGACAGAGGATCATTCTATTTCCGTAGTAATGGATCGGTTCAAGTTAGTTTGGTCGAAGGTCAAGGACAATATAGTTTCAATCTAACCTATTGCAAGGACAAGATATTGGTAGGTCACACCGACTCTAGATCATTTGTCTTTCATCTATCCAATGTAAATTGGGGATCTATCGGTACTGAAACATGCGGTGATGCTCCAAGACCACCATTCCCAAATCCAGCAGCTCCATCCAACAAAGTATCAACTACATCTACACTCCAAGCATCATGGAATGAAGGAAGCAACTATTATAGTCTATGGGAAACAACTATTCAAAATACTGGTGGTGTCATTATAAACAATCTAGTATTGGCATCGACCATGCAACTTAAAGATGCAACAACCATGTGGAGAATGAATACTGTGTCTCCTGGTAAATATACTCCTGTTGATCCATCTCTAGGTCCAAATCAATCTTATAAATTCTCATTTATCAAAGTTGGTCATGATTATCCTATTTTCACTGTTGCCAATTAATTGAATATTAATAAATATTAATAATAACATATTCCATAAAATACAATTATTTGATTCTATATATATATGTTCATATACAAATATATTATTGTTTTTGAATCATTGAATATGTATTGTTTGATATATATCTAGTGTGAATAATAAATGATGATGATTCTTTTAAAGAATATCCAAAAATAGGAGGATGGTATTCGCATTGAAAATGGAACGATGATCTAGATGAATTAATGTATAAAGATTGAAAAAGAGTGTATATATATATATGTGCGGGGGTTTAGGAATGGAAAAGTAGAGTTTATAACAACCAACCAACCATCAATTGATACTAATCTGAAAGTAGTGGTTGTTGAACAAAGCAGCGTTTGCGTTCACTTTGCATACAACATACATCAATCTGTATCACTTTTAAATTGGCTTTGGAGATGGGCGATGATGTATGCACGAGTAGGGGATAGATGGTGGGTGTTTGGATACTTAGAGGTAATAGGAGTGTGTGTGTTGGAAAACAGGATGGATGATGGTTAGAGCAAATTGGTGGGTTTTACCAATTAGTATTGTAGAGCAGAAATAGTACAACTTGTATACAACATACACTACTACAGAACAATCGATGAGATGGATTTTTGATGGATAGATGGAAAAGGATGGTGATGGTCAAGACGTGGTGGTGGGTAGAAGAGGAAAAATGGTGGATTGATGGATGGAACTACATACATTAAAACAAGCACCCACACCTACAAACAAACACACACAACTACTTTGTATTGTAGTAGTAGTGGGATCAATCAATCAATCACCCCTGACCACTACAAAAAATGGATTGGTATGGGTTGACAGATAGGTGGGGGTGGGTGGCGGTTTGAACAACAAACATACGTACGATCGTATGGGTCAGCAGCAGTTTGGTACTGATCCATCAGCCAAACAAACAATCTATATATTTTCAAAAGAATGATTGATTATATTAAAAAGGGAAATGAGGGGTGAAGTAATTTGGTCACTGTTTCCTTTTTCATCACAAAACACAATCGTTGCCATGCTAAACACCCCCCGCCGTCATCATCACACAATCTAAAGAGTAATGATGAATGAAAACATCGCGCGTTGCCGACGTCTCTTTGGTGGTGGGTAGAAAATGTGAGACGCCATTTGGTCCATATTCCATATCAACAAACACCAACACCTGCAGATATTAGCAGCGCAGATATTCATAGAAGGGTGAAGGCGATGACAATGCCAACTTGTACTCACCACCATCTTTATCCATTTACTCCTAGCCAACAACTATAAATTAATCTACTTAAATATCAAATTGAATACATCAATCAATTAAATATTAAATAATAATTACCTTTTTTTTTAAACTTTAAAACTTTTACCTACATTTTTATTTATTTATATTTATCCTATATCTATAATCATCATTATTATTTTTAAAAATGAAATTAATATTAATTAATATCTCTATTATTCTTATTTTTGTTGTTTCTTTTATAAATGCACAAAATCCAAATTGTGCGATTGCATTGGCCCCATGGTTTAAAGCATCGGGTGTTGGTATTCAGCTAACCATGGTAGATGCAAGTGGATTGGTGGTCTATGCCAAGGGAAGCTCGAGTAATTTTATGAATACATACCTGTTTACGACAAACTCGTATGGCTCGCTCTACAACAATGCCACCAATTGCAACGGTCCCGCTGACGATAGCTCCACGATCCAACCATTCGCGGCCGCCAAAGCTGGATACCTGTTCAACGACAAGGACACCTTTTCCATTGCCAAAGATGGTAAGGTCCACATGGTTCTCGCTGCACCAATGAACCAAGGCATCTTTGACTTTTATCTCTCAGACTGCAAGAGCAACTTAATGACTGGTTTCAGTGACAATAGAGTATTTGTATTACACTTTTCACTCAACCAATACTCTGTCTTGGGTCAAGAAAAGTGTGGTGATGTCGCCAAATCACCATACACTACTCCATCCTCAGCTCCAACTCAACCACCAGCTGCTGTCAGTACCAGTACCACTGGATCAACCCCTGCACCAGTATCTACGACTACTACTACCACCACTACGACTACTGGACCATCCACATCTACATCGGCACCAAAGGTTGCATTTTCTAGCACTTTAAAGGGATCATGGAGTGAGGGAGGAATCCAATACACGCAATGGGACTCCTCAGTCATCAATACTGGTACCACTGCCATTTCACATTTGATTATTACATCAACCATGACTCTTAAAGACTCTGCATCCCTCTGGAGATTAGATATTGTTGCTCCAGGTCAATACACACCATCATTTGTCCAAACTATTAATCCAAATGAATCTTATGATTTCTCTTTTATCAAGTCTGGTTCAGATGCTCCAAGTTTTAATGTTCAATAATTAATTAATATTTGATTAATGAATAATAATAATAATCGCTCGATAATATATATATATAATATAATATATAACTTAACCTACTATTTATTTAATAACTAAACCGAAATAATAAAACAATTGTTAGAAAAAAAAAAACATTTTTAAAAATATATAAATATTTGAATGAATGTGTACATACTGTATAATTTTGTTGAGATAGATTGTATCAAAACAGGTATCTACAATGTGATAAACAGTCTTTTCTTCAACATTAAATGAATAGATACAAAAATCTAAACGAGGGTGATCAATTGTCAAATGATCTATTATATCTCCAACATATTTCAAATTTGAAAACATTTCAGCATAGGTCTCTCCTTGTTTTACATCAAAAAATTTAAACTATATATATTTAATAAATATTAATATTTATATTTCTCTAATAATATTTTTGTCTTCTTACAGAATGGTCAATTAAATAAGCTTCCAAAACTTGACCAGATCCATCATCCAATAAAAATTTGGAACAATATTTGAATTTGAAATCATCTGAATTGTAACATCCTTTACAATACTTTGGAAGTTGTGGTATTTTTAAATCTACAAAGCTTGAACAATTTAAACATTGTAATACTATCCATTCCTTTGAATAGGCAGCCGGGAAATAATCAGATATACTTGCTTTGATTCTGAAATACATTGGATGCTTCATTCTTTGAGAAATAATATGTACCTTTGAAATTGGTATTATATCTTGATCTTCATGTTCAATTTCTTTAAAAAAAATTAAAGTCAGTCGAATGAATTTATAGTTATAATTTAATAAATTTAATATACATACTTGTTAAAGATAATGTAGATTGTCCTCCTCCATTTTCCAAAATAAGATGTTTGTTTAATCTGACATTATGATTTTTTTTTAATCTTACTACTCTTTCATCAGTGTGATCCAATTGAATAATTTCAGAATGGTGATTTAACTTTAATTCTGATTTCCCTCCATATTCATTTAACCTTTAATTAATATCAAAATATATATATATATATGGATTTTAGTAAATTCTTTGGATGGATTGTTTGCATTATAATAACTATAACTATCTATCTATATTTGTCATACATACTTTACACTTTTTAATTGAATCCATGAATCCATTGCCACCTTGTCTAGTATCTCTTTTTGCTTTTTATCAAAACAAATGACAGTGATAAAAACTCCAAGAACACTTTGATCGACTCGAGTATCATAGGTGGTTCCACTACCTGTACCATCCCAAACCATTCCTTTCCAAGGTGTGCTGTCGAAATACTTGGCAGATACTGGCTCTTTTGCACACAACTTTACAATTATATTATCACATATATCCTTTGTTGATAATGTTTCCAATGTTTGATAAACATTTGAAGGTCGGTTCAAATTTGATCCTAACCCTTGTTTTCCATTTAAAACTTGATTATTATTATTACTAATATTATTAATATTATTAAAATTGTTATTGTTGTTATTGTTATTGTTATTATTGTTATCATTAATGTTATCGTTAGTGTCATTATTATTATTTATATTATTATTATTATTATTATTTAAATTATTATTATTATTATTATTATTATTACTTTGCCTTGGATTTAATCCATTTGTTTTTTTCTTACCCAAAGACAAAGGAAGTAGTACTTTTACGAGTCTCCTTTCACTCTCTCCAGAGATTAAGGTATCTATTTTTGTGGGATTGTCTTGACACAGTAATGAATAATTTACAATCGAACTAATATGTTCATAAAGATTGAATTTACAATGAGAATAACCATCTTTGTTTTGGAATGACTGAAAATAAAGAAATTGATTGTTTAGTTGATCACAATGTGTAATAATAGAGTTGTCTTTGTAAAACATACCTCTATATTGATTAGAGCAACAACATCATATAGATGGCAAGGGAAATCATTTTTGTTCCTCATAAATACATTTACAAAGAGTCTCTTATCACCAAGTTGATCAGTTAGTTTAAACCTTAATATATAATCTATATTGATAGGTAGATAGATAGAGATAGATAGATAGATATAAATTAGAATCTATATCTCTTAGAGTATACTATACACCCATTACTCAAGTATAAACCTACCTTTTCCAATAGAGAATGGTTCTTGAACAAACTCTGCAATCCCAATTACATTGTGTTTGACCTTATGATTTTCTGTACCAATATTTTTATATACTCTATTTGACATTATAATTATCAATCAATCAATCAATCATCAAAGTAATACGTAAGCAAAGGTGTAAGTGTATTTTGTATCTTCAAACATAACGAATGAAACACCCACATAAGAAACCTGGGTTTTCCGTACTTCATTGTTTTGGATTTTTTATTTTTTTTTATTTTTTTTTTTGAGTGTTACTCTCACAAGCTCACCTCTCAATAGAGAAAGCTCATCAACAGTTTCTTCCTCTTCTCTTCTTCATCTTATCTCTTTTTATTTATTTATTTATTCAATAACACAGTTAGTAGTTAGTAGAACTAGTTCTAGTTTGTTATTATTCACAATCGACACGACTCTTCAAAGGAATGATGATGATTAACAACAATGGTAATGGAACAGCAGCATCATCCTCTGCCGATACAGGAGGGAATGAGGTAGTGGCTGCAGCAGCCGAGAGAACAAATGCAGACCTCGCTCAAGAGTTTCAAACAAGACTGTTTGTTTTGACGTTCAACGATGCTATCGTCATCAACAAACTAATGCATTTTGCAAGAGACCATATTAAAGCTGCTCAAGAAATAGCTCCACTTGTAGAAGAAAGAATTTTAGAGGTATAGATAGATAGATAGATAGAAGATAGATAGATACACATGATGTAATGCGATCATATTTAAATAGACTACTACTAGATATTAATACTGTACTGTTTTTTATTTATTTTAGAGTACAAATCCCAAACAAAGATTAGCTGTTTTATATGTATTGGATTCAATTACAAAGAATGTTGGAAAGATATATCAAACTTTGTTTGCTCAGAATATAGTAGCTGTGTTTTGTTCGACTTTTGAGATGGTCGACGACACTATTCGTACGTCATTGGTCAATTTGTACAATACATGGGTCAAGGGAAACGTCTTTGATCAAGCCTCTCTCAAGCAAATGGAGGATCGATTCGGTGCCGACGAGTTCCAAAGAATTGCAATACTTCGAAAACAAATGTTAGATGCCAAGAAACCTGCTCAACCAAGACCAACACAACAACCAACTCAACCACAACAACAACCACCACAACAACACCGTCATCAACAACCAAAATCCAATCATCATCAACAACAATCTCAACAACAACCAAGACAATCACAATCTCCACCTTCACAAACACAACAACAACTAACTCCACAACAAATTCAATTCCAGCAACAACAACAATTACTACTACAACAAAATCGTTTACTTCAACAATTGCAACAACCACCAAATGTGAGACCAAATCAATCGTTTTCAAATGTAAATATATTTAGTAAAGTATACATCGCTCTCTGTGAATCACTTGTTAACACTTTTTATTTTATTTTTTATAGGATCCAAGGGTAAACAAAGGAAGTGCTCCTGCCAACCCTCAAAATGATTTCTCTCAACAACAACAAGATAATGGAGGTTTTAATCAAATGTTTAATATGATGAATCAACAACCAATGAATAATAATAATAATAGTAGTAATAACAATAATAATAACAGTCTAAACTATTTAAATACATTTAATAATAATAATTTAATGCAAATGATGATGAATATGAATAGAGGAGGAGGAGGAGGAGGTATGAATAATAATATGATGGGTATGATGAATAATAACAACCAACCTTTTAATAATATGGATAATATGAATAATAATAATTTTATGGGTGGTAACCAACATCATCAAATCGGTAATCAACAATTACCACCACAACTTCAAAATGAACATCACTCTAATAATAATAATAATAACAATCATCACAACGAGAATAATAATCACCAACAACAACAACAACAACAACAAACGGTCATTAGTCAAGATCACATTCAATTGGCCTCCATTTTGGAAAAGATTGATCAATATCTCAAGCTCTACAATGAAAATGAAGAGTTTTTAAGACTCCAGAGTGACATTAAAACAAATCTCTACAATCGTCCCTACAACCAAGCGACATTTTCACAACTCAAGCAACAATACTCGTTCCTATGTCAAAAGTACCATGTCACCTCTACCGAGGTTACTCCAGCCACTTCAAAAGAGTAAGTATTACCACATACAACCACTTTCTCTATTCTCTTTCCTTCTTTCTTTCTTTCTTTCTCTGTCCCCACACACGCCGCACTTGGATTGAAAAGTAATATTGAGAGTATACATCCCAAAGATCTATTTTGAATTCAACCAAAAAAAAAAGACATTTTTGTTTTTTGATGGCGATTCTTTTCCTTCTTTTTTTTTTGACCAACTACAAGAAAATGTTGATGATGGTGATTGTATTTTTAAATAAATAGTCACACAGTTACCCATTGATCATCCATCATCTACTTTTTACAAAAAAAAAAAAGAAAGGAAAGAATACCAATCAAAATCAATCATCTATTTTACTCTTTTGAATGATACTCTCAATATTACTTTACTCTAAAAGTGTGGATTGGTTCTACACTTCAACGATTTTATATTCTGTACAGGCGAAAAAACAAATCAAAAACTCCAACAACAACAACAATTAGATTAGAATAGTATTATCCCAATGGCCAACTCTAGTTCAGACTAAAGTAGAAAAGAGTGTAAACATTGATCATTTGGCTATCAAATATACCTCTATTCTTTTTTTTTGACTGAATTTACTGAATAAAACCTTTAAACTCCTCCAACCGGATCAACTCTCATTTTCTTTTTTTTCTGCTGCTCTAATATATCAAACTATTTGAAGTCAATACCAAATATCTAATCTCAAAAGAGAGAGAGAGAGAGAAAAAGAGAGATATGGATAGGGTATGGCCATATCTCATACCATACAAACAAGTGATGGTGGCCAATCTACCCAACCATCCAAACTTCATCATCCTACCCTCCCCTTCCCTTCATTCAACAATATTTATTTAACAATACCTTTAAAATATATATATATATATATAACTATAAATTTCATTTCATTTCCTTTCCTTTCTTTTAATATTCTTTTTGGAATTCATCATCATATTTATTTATTTATTTTTACCAATTATTTTAGGGATTTTGATCCAGCCGATTTATTATATCGATCATTACCATTACAATGTAAACACTGTGCACTAAGATTCAAGGAAGGTGATCAGTTGAGAAAGCATATTGACTGGCATTATAGAGTTAATAAAAAAGATAAAGCAAACAAAAAGGACAAGGAAAAGGCAAAACAAGCAATGTCAAGATCTTGGTTTATAACTGAAGACGATTGGATGAATGCTCAAGGTGGAACACATGAACATTTACCAGAACAACCTGGTATGTATATAAATAATATATTTATTAAATATTTGACAATTATATTAACCTCTCATTTATAATAATAATATTTTGATTTATTATTAGCTCTTGCCTACTTTTCTAAAAGTCAACAAAAAGAGGAACAAGACAAACCATTGCCAGATTTAATATCAGACGACAGCCAACCAAATTGTCCCATTTGTAGAGAAAAGTTTGATAAGTTTTGGGACGAGGCAAACGAGGAATGGATGTATCGTGCCGTTGAAGTGAGCGAGTCACTTGGAAAAATCGTTCATTGTAAATGTAACCGATCAACATCTCCAAACTCGGACCAAGAAGATGACGACGAATGTATGTACATAGCAGTAATATAATTATCAAAAATAGAATCAACAATAACTCGTCGCGACAAGGTTAAGGACAATCGCTAACATACCTCCGAACCATTCAATGAATCCAAATTATTATTTTAGATGAATCAGATTATCTCAAAAAGAGAACTATTCAAGACTCTGTAGCAACCGATGACAATGAAGCCCATTTAACATCTGAACTAGCTGACCATAAGAAATCCAAGTTGACCTAGTTGATAGTAGTAGTAATATTCACCATAAATAATAAAGAACCAAAAGACAAAGAAAAAAAAATACTATGTGTCAGTGCAACAATCAAAGAAAAAGAAGAGTATTTACTCCAAAAAAAACAATAACTATGAAATAATAAAAGACAATAATAAATAAATTATTTTTGATTTGATCTAAAAACAAGCAAGACCGACCATGGTAATGATCTACACCTTGGTGGTTTGTAGACGAACGCAGCAGCGCCCTTTCGTTTATATATTCGCACTATGAGTTTTCATTATGATAATAACCAAACGAGAAGAGAGAGAGATATATTTTCTTCAAGCCAAACAACAATAATTAGGCCAACACAACAAATGAGGAAACGTGATGGTTTTTGTTCGTTCGTTTGCGTAGTTGAAAAAAAAGATTACAATAATAGATCACCTTTTTTGTGAAGGCAATTCAATTTCCTCTCCTCCATCTTCCTCGGAGACTATGAAATTATTATTGTGCTTATGAAAAACACGATGATCGACAGAGGAGAAACTATCGTTCTCATAATACCTGATCAGGAGACTCGTCTCTCATCTGGTGAATCGAAAAAAAATATCTTCCTTTGCTGCTTGGTGTGTTGAGGAACAAGCGGAGGGTGAGTAAAATACGTACCTCTCTCCAGGGAGATGGGGTACCAATTGATTCATGAGTTCATCCCCTTCCTTTCCCCCAGCCAGCCCAGTCAGTTGCGTTGACCTCCCTAACAACAGCAATGATTTAATTAAAAAGGGCACTTACCAACCAAGCAAACTAACTATTTAACTAGCTGCCTATCACCCACTGTTCCCTATAATAGTAGCAATATCACCACTCTCTTTAAAACTTTATTTTCAATCATCCCTCCTCTCCTATATAAGTAGTAGTGCATGCACTTCCAATACATTCATTTAAAAAAAGAATAACACAAAGACAAGATAGATAATATAACACAACGCGGATATTTATATATATATATATATATAGAATAGATACGGATCATCATCATCATCATATGATACCAATCAAATCGCATTAATAGTAAACCATTAGATCATTCAATCCAATCAAATCATTTTGAAAGAAAAGAGGTCCTCGATCGAAACAGAAGAGACTCAACAACAACAACAAGAAGAAGAAGACCAACAATACAACAAAAAGGGTAAGACAGATTTCAATAGATAGTGTTGGAATGAATGAATGAATGAGATGTGGTGGTATTAAGTTGAGAGGAATGGTTTAGTAAGAGAAAAATACTCCATCCATCCATCCATCGTCTCTCAACTCACCCACCCCACGCAGCACACTCACTAAATGTTGGTAACACAACAACACAACCACAACAATACCACCACTGTTTGAGTGGAGAGGAGTAGTAGTACAATTCATTAGTCTCCTACTACTCTGTCCTATCAGACAACACCTACCTAATTTAAATATTACCTACCCCCATCGTGTCGGCACGATTCATCTTAATAATGACTATTATTATTATTTAATTATTATTTGTGTGACTGTCCGTCTATCGCTAACTGTTGTTGTGCTACTGTTGTATCCATCCCTCCTCTAATCTCTTGAACATTTCTTTTGTGAATTCACAGCGCTTTGCTCTGGCATTTTAACAATTGTTGTTTACTACAAATAATAATAATATAATTACACCAATATTATATTATATTATCACATACAATACAATACAATATACCTATAGTAATAATTCTGTAATAATATTAATCGTAAAAAGAATATTGACCAGCTTGCCGATACTAGTATCAATCATCATTACACATATATTATATTATATCTCATAATTTCACAGTAATAATAGAATAGTAATATTAGTTTGTTTTAGTAATAATAATAATTGTAATAGTAATATTAGTTAGTTTTAGTTAGTTTTTTTTTTTTGAACAACAACAACAACAACACCGAACAATATTGTGGTAATCGATTAATACCAATAATTATCCGTCGTCAAAATCAATCAATCAATCCCCACCAACCAGCCAACTAGCCAACCACATCACAAACTCTTGAACAGCCCTCGTGCGCTACCTACCTACCTATCAATCAATCACCCTTTAATCCATTAGAGAGCAACACAACCAAAAGTAGCAATATAGCAACAACACCAATTTTCTTATCCTCCTCCTCAAACTTTAACTTCGATCCACTTTAAAATTTAAGATCGCCAACAACAACAACAACAACAACATTATTGTTATTATTATATTATATTATATTATTATTTCCTCTGATAAATCATATGATTTAAATCTATCGATAGATATATATTCAATAATTATTATTTAATTAATTAAAATTTCACTAGCGTAATAATAATAATATATAATAATAATATAAAATTATAATAATAATTCAATCAAAATAATAATAATTCAATAATATTAAATTGATTGTTTGTAATAATAGGATAGGACCTTCCCAAACAATCTACCAATCATTTCAATTTAAATTGTTCCATTCATCAAATATTTTCATTCAACAACAACAACAACAACAACAACAATATAGCAGCCAACAACAGCAGTAGATAGCATTGTGTTTACTCCAACAAAACAAAAAAAAAAAAAACCATAGACAATTTGTGAAATTAGAAGGGAAGATTAGGAAATCTTTTTTATTTTCCTTTTTATCTTTTTGGCCTGTTATATAACTTTTACTTTAAAAGGAAATCTAATTAAAATTCAATTTCCCAATTTTAATTTTAATTTTTTTTTGTTTGTGGTTCCTTTTTTAATTGTATATTGTTTTTTAGGACCCTAAAAACAACTATTACTTTACATCTCCAAACCCATCTATTTTTAATTCCTTTTCCTTTTCCATTTGGATTATAATACATATTTTTTAAAACAAAAAAATATATATATACACATCCTATATATTTAAATATATAACCCACCTTAATATTACCACCACCACGTCACCATTCTCCATATTTCATTTATAACATTGCATTCTAGAATAGTAATAATTGTAATTTAAAAGTTTCAACAATATATATATATTCATCATCTTGTCAACAGATTTGAACAACAACCCTCAACAACCCTCAACAACAAAAGTTGAATAATTTCAATTCGTTTTCAACCATTCAACAATTTTTTATTAATCAACCCAATTTATTGATTCATTCTATGGATTCAACTTTAAGTAGTTTTTTTCACATGGCAGATACAATGGAAACTACAAGAAATTCATTATTAGATAATTCTTCACCATTCTTGTCGTCGCCAGATGACGGAGACAAGAAAATGAAAAAAGTTTACACCTCTGGTAAGTTCAAAAAAAAACAAAAACAAAACAAAATCAACTCTCTCTCTCTCTTCCTCCTCTTTTTATTATATATCTGAAACATTCATCAGAGATTATGATAAATAAAAAAAGCACTACTACTACTACATTTGGTTAGATCCGAATCTAACCATCACCATCCACATGTCCAAAACCCTGACTATATATGGATAAAAAAAAAAAAGAGGACAATCGATTGTTTGGTTAATTGACAAAAAGACATATATGTGGGTGTGTGTTGTGACGACACGGAAACAACGACAGCTATTTCATTCATATTTTTTTATATAGCTGCTAGATATGGTGGTAGTTGTGGAGTGGGACTAGTCCGCATAGATAAGATAGATCGATTAAAAGCGAGTTAATAATAATAATCATCATAATAATAATAATAATCAAAAGCTGATACTTGCTTGTTTGCTCCTCTCCTCCTCCTCTTTCACTTTCCTTTTATATCCCGACCAATCATCATTTATTTCATTCCTCAAAAATTTGATTAAGTTAACTAACTCTACTTCTTCCTCCTTTTTCCTTCTCCCTCTTCTCTCTTTGTTATGATTATTTTTTATTCATTGACTACATTTTGAAAATGTATGAATGGAATGAATTACTAACCTCCTCATTCCTCATCCTTGCAATTAATTTATTAATTTATTTATTATATTATTTTTTTTTAAATTTAAATCTATTGTTCTAATCCTCCTCCCCTCACTTCTCAACTACTGCTTACTCTTACCACCACCACCACTAACACTCATTCATCTTCATCTCATATAACAAATTTGACACACACACGGGTCGGTTCTATAAATCTATAAAACATTTAATATTTAATATATTTGTTTGTTTGTGGGTGAACAACTAACTACTACAACGACGACAAACAACATTATTCATCTTTTAACTTTGTTCCCTTTTTTTTTAATTTAACTCTTCTTCTTCTTCTTCTTCTTCTTCTCTGTGTATACAACTACAAATAATTATAATACTATTTGTTGCTATTATTATATTTACTATACTATTATATTACTTTAATTCTACTACTACTTACTACTACCACCACCTGTCTGTTTCTACCTTTTTAACAATTCAAATTATATATATATATAAATATATCTTTATATTATATTATATATATATTTTGTTTTGTGTATATATTTAAATTGATTTTTTTAAACATTTTTGTAATACACTATTTGTATATATAAACATCCATCAAATCAAATCAAATCCAAATTCATATTATCATAATGCAAACTACTACAACAACAACAGACTATTTAAGACAGTTTAACAAAGAGGCTCCATCTCAATTATATCCATTTCACATTGGAAGCAATTCTTTGTCACATCATTCATATATTACACCATCGTCATCATCATTCAACAACAACAATGACCTCAACATCGATGCCAAAGACCGTCAAATTTGTGATCAATCAAACCTGATCCAAAAGCTCAAAAGTATCATTTACAACTCTGCCGATGATCTATTAATTAATCAAATGAATATTGCTTTTTCAGAAAGTACTTATTATAAGCTTACTGCTCCTCCAGGTATGAAATGAAACCAAAATAATAATAATAATATTATTGGTTATTAATGTAATTTTTTATTTTCTTTAGAAATTCCAAGTTTATCATTCCATGGATTAGGAGAATCAGCATTCCCACCAGTGATTGGTGGTCAATTTGGAAGAGCTGGATCACCAAGAAAGGAAACATCACAACCACCACTTACTCCAGCCTCTATCACTTCAAATATTCCACAACAACAACAACAACCAACACAACACAAATCACCAAGAAAACTCAATAGTTCATCATCATCCAACAATATTACCAATGGTATTGGTGGAATTAGCGGATCACTCCCCCCACTTACCAGTGTAGCATCATCATCATCCAACTCGGCAGCCCTCAACAATCTTGCCAACTCGTTTGGTAGTTTGACCGGTGGAGGTTCAAAGATTAAGAAATCACCCTCTATGCCAACCATCACAAAGAACAACAACAACAACAACAATAACAATAGCATCAATAGTCTCAGCAATAATCAACCATCACATAGTTTCGATAGAACCAATAAGCCACCCCTCACCAAATCTAGTAGTAATACAAATATCTCTGGTCTCCACAAAGGTGATGTGTCGCCACCCAAGGGCAAGAGCAACAGCAACAACAACTTGGTCGACCAACAACAAATGCCACGCAAGCAGATGACCAAGTCTGTGAGTATGGGTGCCATTGTCAACCAACAAGATTTGCCCATCAAATGCACTTCGCTCGAGGAGATCACCGGCCAAATCTACCATCTCACCAAGTACCAAGCCGGCTGCAGATTCCTCCAAAAGAAGCTCGAAGAAAACCCCGACAGCGAACATGTAACACTTATCTTTAACGAGGTCTTTGAGCATATCCAGTCGTGTCTGTTGGACCCATACGGACAGTACCTCATCCCACAGTTGATGAAGTATTGCAGCTCGGCTCAACGTAGAATGATTGTCGACCGTATCGCACCAATGGTCGAGACGTTTGCGTGCCACATTTACGGTATCCACGGTATTCAAAAGGTGTTGCAGTATCTCGAACCCGAGCAAGTCGACTGTATCATTGCGTCGATTCGCGACAAGGTCATCACACTCTCCAAGGACAACAAGGGCAACTACTTGATCCAGTCGTTCCTCAAACTCTTCTCACCCGAGCAGAACCAGTTCATCGTAGATGCCATCATGGGCAACGTTGTCGATATTTGCACCCACAAGGTTGGCTGCACCGTCGTCAACCGCTGCATCGACCACTCCAACGAGAAGCAACTCGAGCAGCTCATCAACAAGATCACTTCGTGCTCGCTCCAACTCGTCCAGGACCAGTTTGGTAACTATGTCGTGCAACATTTGCTCAGCAACAACAAGCACTACTCGTCCAAGCTCATCAAGAGTCTTGTTGGAAACATTGCCGACCTCTCTGTCCAAAAGTTTAGCAGCAACGTCATTGAAAAGTGTCTGCAAGTGGCCGACGCCGAGACCTACGACATTATCATTGGCGAGTTGACCAACGCCGACATACTCACCCTCCTCCAGGACAAGTACGCAAACTTTGTCATCCAAACCGCACTCGATGTATCCGACGAAAATCAACATGCCAAACTTGTAAAGATCATCGTTCCATACATTCACCAAATTAAAACTCCCTATGTAATACATATTCAGAAAAAGATTCTTCAAGTTTAAAACTTGATATTTAGACATAATTATGAACAAAACAAAAAAAAAAACAAAAATATAACAACAACAATAATAATAATAATATACCCGAGAGAGAGAGAAAAAGAGAGAAGAGCGAACCGATGAGAATATAGCTTCCATCAACCTTATAATGTTTAATAATAATAATAACTTTCACCCAATTCTATTCCATTCCAACCACCCACCTTATACCAACAACAAATCGCCCTTTATTTGATAAAGTGAACATCTTAGCGAGATTTACTTTATTTTTCCCCCAAACATTAAAACCCCCCAGATATCACACACAACTATTAGTTTGTACAAAACCTTAATCATTTAATAAATTTTATCATCATCAATATATCTTAATAATATTATACTCCAACAACTTTTTAATTTCTTTTTTTTTGATCCAAAACAATGAAAACCCGAACGAAATGAATGAGTAGTACAAATTTTTACTTTATCTATCAAAAAAGAGATATATTATAATATCAAAGAAGAAGTTGAAGTGATGGAGAGTGTAACATTATCATTGAATGATATTAAACAAGATGAAAAGAGTAGATCTACAACATTGACTATTACAGACTCTGTCAACAATACTAAGAAAGAGATCCAAACACCTGCATTCATTCTATACACAAAACAAGGTAGTCCTGATAACCTTACAAAGGATCTATTAAACTCTTTACCTTATTGGAATGTTCGTACTATGCAATTGTTATTACAAGACATGTATGTATAATATAATATAGTAAGCAAAGAAAGAATGAATGAATCGAGATGATTAATAATCATTATATATATTTGGTTTAAAGTGTACAATTCAAAGATACATTACAAAAGTATGGTAAAGGAGCACATTCATTCCTTAGTTTACAAGAACATATTCTATATTTGGCAGTTAGAGATTCAAATACATATCAAGAGAATACTTTTAATGATCAATCTTTTAATGTATTGGCTAGAAAGGGTAATGTTAGATGCCCAACTGAAGACTTTATAAAGACTGTTCTTGCTGCTAAACCAGACTTTGTTACCTCACTATCATTTGATAACTATTGGAGTACTTCTCAAAAGAAATTAAGAAAGCAATTGGATTATTCTACAAAACAATTGGATACTTTATTATCTAATCAATCTGTTAATAAGGTAAGAAGAAGAAGAAGAAGAAGAAGCTAAAGAAGTAGAATTGATTGATAATAATGACTATTTATTGACATATGAGTTTTGAATATCTATATCTATATCTATATAGAGTACAGTATTTGCAAATATTATTGGTGGAAAGAATGAAGAATTATTATTAAAATATAACAAAGATATTGCTACAACAAAGAGTGTTGGAGGATACACTTTGGCAAACTATGGTACCAATGAAACCATTGAAGAGAGAACACAACAAATTCCAAAGTTGGTGGAATTATTACCATCGGATAAACCAATTTTAATCACCGGTATTGGTGCACCAGAACAAGTATTATCACTCATTGAAATGGGTATTGATTTATTTAGTACAAAGTATGTTAATATATTTAAATAGAAAGAGATAGAAAGAAAAAGAGTCAATAGTAACTAATCAAACTATTTATTTATTTATTTTAGTTATCCAAATACATTGACAGAGTTTGGACATGCTCTAACTTTTACCTATAAATATGATGATTTAAAGAATGTTGATGATAGTTCCAAATTAAAGGGATCTAGTAAAATGAATCTTTGGGATGTTAAATATGTCATCGATGCTACGCCCATCTATGATCAATGTCCATGTTTTACTTGTAAAAATCATACTCGTGCCTATATACATCATCTACTCAATACTCATGAAATGACTGCTCAAGTATTACTAACAATGTAAGTATTATATATATATATAAAATGTTGATTACATGTAAAACATCTAAACTAATTAGTTCATTCCAATTATTATTATTATAGTCACAATGTTTCACATTACACTGGATTCTTTGTTGAAATTCAAAATAGCATTAAAAATTCTTCATTTAAAGAATACAAGGATAGATTTATCCTTGAAAGATCAAAAGAATAAAACTATCGATTATTATTATTATTATAATATATATATACATACATATATAGTTTATGTTCCATCTTTTTTGTTTGTTTGAATTTCGAAAATTTCATTGTTTTTGAAGATCACCCAACTCTTAAAAGTTGTTGTATATAGTGCATCGAGATTAGATTGATAACATCATCATCATTATCAATCATCAGTACAATCAAAGCATTATTATAAAGAATATAGATTGACATATATAGAATGGTGAAAAAGGTAAAAGGAAGATTTGAAAGATCGATTGTTGTAGGTTCAATTTCACATTGGTTGGGAAAGAAAGCCGACGGACATACACATACACATAAATGGACTGCTTATTTAAGAGGATTGAATAATGAAGATCTACCATTCATTAAAAAGGTTGTCTTTCATTTACATGCAAGTTTCAAGAATCCAAATAGAAGTATGTAGAGAATAGAAGTAGAATAGAGGACAAGACATAGTCTATTCATTTCATTCAATTAAACTCTTCTTCTAACAACAATCGATTGATTGATTTAAATCAATTATAGCTGTCGAAGTACCGCCATATGAAATGAGTGAAACTGGATGGGGAGAGTTTGATCTAGGAGTAACGATATACTTTACGGATCCAAATGAAAAGCCACTTGACCTATTCCACCTTCTTCGATTACATCCTCCCGATGGTATTAAAACAAAACAACCAGTTGTATCAGAGACACTCGATGTAGTTGTCTTTCACGATCCAACAGAAGCATTCTACAATCTAGTTAAACTACCAGATAAAAGACCAGAATCAAATGCTTCTAAAAAATTAACTGAACAATGTATGTATAAACATCATATATATCAATCTCTATCCATCTTCTTCTTTTAAATTAATCCTCCCCTCTTTCTTTCTTTCTATCTATTTAGCATTAACATTACAAGAACAAACAGAGATTAATAAAATAGTGGATGGAAGAACTAAAGTATTGGCAGACATTGCTAAATATCGAGATTCATGTAAACAAACAGAAGGAGAGGTAAATACAACGCTTCAAGCAATACAACAACTAGAGAAACAAAAGATACTTTATAAAAAGAAATTGGAAAAGTATCAAAAACAACAACAACAACAACAACAACAACAGTCAATTGTAAATAATAGTAGTGAAACTGCGAATAATAATATAACCTCTACATCCACACCTGCCTCCACCTCTACTACAATGGACATAGATAAATAAATGCTATGAATCGTAACGTAATGTCTCGTAGATAGATTATTATAATAATAAGAAAATGGATAAAGCTTCATTTGGGAAGAATGATGATGACTTTTTCAGATCTGGAACAACATCACCATCACCATCACCAACACCACCTTTGCCATATACAGTCATTTAGATTTATTTGGTCTTTGATCAAATAGTAACATAAAAGATCACTCATCCTTTCCTTTTTTTCGTTTACCTGCTAAAACAGATAAAGTAATCTCCTTTATAAAGTAGAAATGAATTCTATAGGGATGAAAATCTCAATCAAAACAGTAGCCAACTGCATAACCAGTGAATGTGAAACCAATCAAAATCGATCGTTTGGTGATGTTCACCATCATCATGTTTTGGTTTGATAAGAGGGGCTGACAGCTGATTGCATTAAAAATCAAATATCTGCTGTGTCAACCACACCGTTTCATTTTTCCACAACAACACCTCTCTCATGTTTCAGAGAATGTAAAACGGGGCTGAGGTACCGATCCATCTATCTTCCAGCTGACTTTTCATTGACCATATTTATATATTATTAATTTACTTTTGGTAAACATGTTTATTATTATTATCAGTTCAGTTGACACGTGTCGTTATCTCCCTTTTTGTTGTTTTTGCCCCCATAGATTCTTTGCACGTGAATCGGGCAGAATTGGCTGCCTGTGGTAACTAATCAAAGTGGTGGGGGGGTTAGTGGGTGGGGGTGGGGTTAGGGTTTTTAGATGAATGGGGCTCTGCCTTGGTTAAGGCTTGCAGCTAGATGGTTCTCGATTTGGCGAGTAGTAGGAGTGTTGTTTTTTAATTGTCATCCAAGGGTATTTGCAGACACCCTTTAAATTCGATCATGTGATGATGAAGCTTGTTTAATGGAATGCCCCGACTTTGCCTCAAAGTAGTGAACAATAAAAGAGAAAGTAGCAGCAGATGTTATAGTGATATTGGATCAATAAGCCAAAAACAGCACAACATACCAAAAGTAAACATTAGTGGTGATCGATGCTAGTTCGCACTTTGATAAAGAAAGAAGGTAGGGATAATAGAACCATTTGACATTAATATACAAATTGTTTTACGGATTCGCGGTTTGTGGCAAGGTATTGTTCCATCAATCAAAATCACACCCCCTCCTACCCATACTCTTTGTTGTTGTTGTTTTGAGCCCACACCACAGGTCAATCAAATTAAATCATATCATATCATATTCCTGCCAATATTATTATTATCATTATCATTATTATTATTATCTTGAACCGATCAGCTGACTCCCCCACCCCTTCAACCAAACCCTCCTCCCACTCTTCTCTGGTTGAAACCCTACCTCTCTTTTAAAGATATATCTAATCAACTCAATATACAACATTGTTAATTTATTGTTGTGGTTCGTTGGTCAATAGTCAAAAAAAGATAGATAAATCAGAGGATTAGTAGTATCAGTAGCAACAGTGTCCATCCATCCACCCACACACCTACCTACATACCAATCTTGCATCGAACAACACTGTCCACCCACACACACACACATCAAATCACAAAGTCATATTTCCATATCCACACTTACTTTGAACATCCGCAACTCAACAACTGATCAAAGAAACACGCACACACACACAAAGTTAGTTATACATTAATATCTTTGTATCTGTTTAATCTTTTTTCTCATTAGGTGAATAGATCGTTGTTGTTTGTTGTTGCTGTTGTTGTTGTACTAATATATTTATATATGTTGTAATCATTACCAAATCTGTCCCATTCCATTTCCACTCATTCAACAACTGTTTTGAATCAATCCTTTCCATTCCTTTTTCACCCTCACCTTCTCCATTCCAATCCAACCTAACCTACACGACTGAGCTCTTCATCTCTTTCTCTTTTTTTTGAAATATATCACTACTTTGTAGCCAGACAAGTCCCTACCAGTTCAGTCGATTCAAAAAGTCAAACAAACTTTGTTGTTGGTCACCAAATCATAAAGAAAGGTATGTAACATTTATTTGTTTGGACGACATGAAATCCACCTCCATGTTCTTTGCTCCAAATTTTACACCTCAGTGTTGCCATGTGATCATTTTCAAAGACACTCTAAAAGTCGTCATTTTCATTGGTCTGTGTCTGTGCAAACCATCAAGTTTGCGCGGGCTCTCTCTCTGCGGGTTTTGAGGGGTCATTGATCACGTTTCGCATATCTTTTTTTGGGATGTTCCCACCCCTCCAATCCGTAGACTAATTAATTTAACAAAAAACACACAAATATCTGCGCCCCGATCATGTTTGGGCGAGATGTTGGGTTGGTTCATTTCATGTCAACAGTTGTTTAGAAGAATTGTTGACCAATCATGAGCTCCACTATCGTCATCGTCATCATTCAGCAAGCATCAAAGAGAGAGGAGGTGGGTGGAAACCCTTGACGAAAAATTGCTTCTCCTTTGTTTTGATTCTAACCAACAAACAAAAAAGACAGCAAAGTTCTGCTGCGAGTGATCGAGCAGAAGGCAGAACATTATTAATTAATATCCAAGACAGAGATATGAATGAATTAAAAGGATGATGCTTGCTTGTCATTTCATTTGCAGCCCCATATACGATAGTTTGTTTGTTCATAGAAGAACCATGGGCTCGACGATATTGTATCTTCTTCCTTGGTTTGGGGGGTGTCAGACAGAGACACAGGCGACTTTTCAGGTGCTCCACGAAGCAGATTAATTTTAAATTGTTTGTGCCGACCGTGTGTGGGGGGGGCGTGTGCGGGTGTGGGCGCACTCATTCAATCAATAGACAGGGTAGTTTAATCCGTTTCATATGAAAGTTAATTAAACACAAACAGTCATGTCATCATCCATCATCAGCAGCAGAAGCAGAATCTATCGTATCACTCTTTTATTCTCACACTTGAGATAAAGTAGTTAGTTAGTTTACTGCAGTAGTGTTTCATCATCAGCATCAGCTGACCTTATTTGGACCTTTCTTCATTCTCTCTTTTTTTTTTTTTTTTTTTTTTTTAAAAAATGGGGATATTTATAACTCTCTCTCTGCTATATATATCTACTATACTTATTTTCATACAAGTATTATTTATTATTTATCCTTCCTTCCTTCCTTCCTTTTCTCTCAAGTTGTTTCATTATTTTTTACTTTCAAAAAAATAAATCATCATTTATTTGCAGTCATTGTCCCGCCGCATATATATAAATATCCATCTCAACCCAACCGTAGCAGTCCATCCATTCAAAGGAGTGATAGACATATCACGATTTAAATACACATATATATAGTATTTAGTTTATATTTGGTAAGTTATTAAAAAAAAAAAAAAAAAGACCATTCACCATAATCATATGATCCATACCCAATCACCATTATGGCATGGTACGGTATCACCAAATATATACATATAAATTTTCACATACATTATTGTCCTATTTTTGTACAAAAAGTATGGATGGGTACTATACCAACCAATACATAATCCATCCATATTTCGTTCCATCCATATTTCATTCCATTCGTATTTTTTTTTTCATACCCACCCCTCCCCTCATTTTCATGTTCATGATTTATTATCGGAATAACACACACACACACACATATACACCTGTATTCACTGTTGTTGGTGGATGGACAATGGTGGTATGAACTACTCGTTTGGGGGGTCAATTTTCAAATCAATCTTAATCGTGTATCTTTGTTTGATCGAGATATGTTTCCGTTGGATATGATCCAAAACACACAACCACATTTATGGAAATAAATGTATTAATGTGATGACAACAACAACATCAAAAAAGGTGTTAGAGATGGCACCCAAATATTCATTTAAAGGGTTATTTATATAAATACGATTCATGATAACATGTGATCATAGCTATGAAGGAAGAAGAAAGAATCGCGTTTAATTTATCTGTCTCTCTCCACGATCCCCATACCACTCCGCTCACTCACTTGACTTCACTACCACAGACACACAACAAAAAAAACGACAAATTAAAATCACCATGTCCGCGCATCATATCATCACATGACACTAGTGTATTATTATCCGCAGTAACAATGATAATAATATTTGATTTACTTGATTTCGTTGTTGATATGCGAAAGAGGAGGTGGAGTGGGTGGATGTATGATTGTTATTATTTTTATTGTTGGTACATACACACATATAATATAATAAATTATGTGGTTCGAATGAATCCATTCCAGGGTCGTTCGTACGTAGTGGAAGTAATAATAATAATTGATGGTATATATATAAAAATAAAATCGTAGCAAGGGAGGAGGAGGATAAACAAAACCAACAACAAATTTATTCATTTAAATCCTCTACTCTACTCTACTATATATTGTCAAGATTATAATTATTATTATTTTTGACAAAGTGGAATTTTCATTGTCATCACATATTTAATTAATATTCCAATCATTATAAGAGTAACATTACCTACCCAACCAAATATTAACCGTTTCATCAACAATCATCATCATCATCAATATCCTACCATTTTTAGGCAACATATTACCAACAGTCCAAACGTCCTTGATTTTAACCATAAAAGGTAAGTTTTATACCCAACCATTATTTATTTCTCCGGTCCTTGTTCAAGGGACCTTTTTTGTTTTTATTTTTTTTGTTTTTTCCAATCATTTTATTTGGACACCCCCTTTTTTAATTTTAAAACTAACTAGGCAAGGGCCAGCCCTTATTTACTCGGCCCATTTAAATGTAATTTGCCTGTTTGTTCTACACACCATACCCGTCTCTAATATTAGTGTCGGCTGGGTTAACATTCAAAAAAAAAAAACCTACACATTCTTCTTCATCTACATCTGCACATCTAATGTCTTTAAATTTAAGGAGTGGTTGAAATTCCATCTCCTCCCACATTGTGGTTTGGAAAGCTATCATATACTACTATATGGAAATAATACTGGCAAGTTGTTGTTTATCAATATCAATTATTATTATTTAATATTGTCAACACACTCAATTTATTCTTATTTATTCATTTAATTATTTGGATACGGTTCCAACAACAAAATCTAATAGTAAAGTATTACATAACAATATAGTTGTTGTGTATATAGTTAGTTAGAGTTGTCACAAACAACTGTTGTGTTTTTTCACTCACTCATTCAATGTTCATGTGGTTAGGAATCAACCCAAGCACTACTACTACTAACAGTCTAGACTGTTGGAGATTCAAGTGTCAGTCACCGTAGTAGTTATTGCGGTGGAGGTGGTGGTGGTGGTGGTGGAAATGGGGTGGTTTTCTATTTAAACATCAGAACAGTAGTAGTGGCAGTACTGCTTCTAAATTCCATTCATTCATTTGTTCATTCAATATTGCATGTTTGTTGTTGAAAAGAAAAGAGTAAGAGCAATCAACTACTGATGATACTGCTGTTATCACCAACGGTGATTGGTTTTGATTGATTGGTGTCGTCAGCTAACATCATATTTCACATGAAAAACACATCATCCTTGATCAAAAAGGCAATAATGATCATCCTTGCATCAAAATTTTCCAAAGTAACTGGGAACACACAAACACACATCGACAATTGGATTTTCGAAATGAACCAATATTTAGCCACCACACCCTAATTTCCACTCAAGCACCCACACACAGTGGTCACTCACACCTACCTACCCCCTCACTCTGCCACCACGTTAAACAACAACAATGTGGAGACACATTAATTAGAGTTTTAAGAATAATTAATTGGGGTAGGCAAGTATGCTATGTTCTACCACACACACACACACCACCCCACCACATTGTTTTACAATCCTTTATCATAACATGTTGAAAAATAGGAACCAAAGACATACATAGTCTCAATCAATCAAATTCACGATTGGTTTCCAGTCCTGTGCACTGGACTCATCATTTCATGAATGAGATTGATGAAGAGGAGGAGGACTGTACTGTAGGTTGGTTGTTTGGTTAGCTGGTTGGTTTGCTAACAAAACTCCCTATTGCATTTCTTTCTTCTTTTGTCAATATATATATAAACAATACAAATGTTGTTATGTTACTGTTGTATATTAGTCAGGTCGTGTAAGTCTATAGAGCAGAAGAATCATATTCTTTTGGTCATATGATGATGAAGTTGATCAATGGCCCACCAAAAATAAATTTGCATTCACCCACCCACAAAGTGTTGACTTTTTGTTTTTGTCAAAAAAAAAAAAAAAACAACAAGAGATGGATGGATGGATGGATGATGTTCAACCAACATGGAAACAAACATAACTACTACTAGTGTAGCGCACAGTTTCTACACATCTTTTGTTGGTAGATTTCATTCTTGTCACCATCGGATTTTCTTCCATCCATCGACACCCCACAACCTCCACACTGTTCTTTCTGCACACAACACAGACACACATATACACACATAACCAACTGTGTTTCCAACTATCCATAGTGTGTGAACATAAAATCATTATTTGTGGTGATGGGTTTTTGGTTGTTGTTTGGTGTTGCTAATGTTCTCACAACAAATCCAGTTAATCACTATTTTGGTTTGTGGTTGTGTGCAGTTCCATTTCTTCCATTCACTCATCCAAACCAAACCTAACAAAGGTTAATTAATTACAAAGATAGCTGGCTAGCTCAGCTGGCTAGCATACACAAAACCTTCATCTTGTCGTGACGGTATGGGTTGCTAATCAGACTGCTGCTGCTGCTGCTGATGGTCAGACTGATGCTGCCAATTCTCTACAATATGTGTATCTCTACATCTGTTACCGCTGCTGTCACCAATATTTCTTAAACAAGATCATCGACTCTCTCACTCCTCACCATTTATACAAATCAATCAAATCGACGTCTTCTTCTTCTTTGGACATACATACTAACTTATAAATAATCCATTCATTTCCAATATCAATCTATCCAGGTTAGTTAGTTAGTTAGTTAGTTTTCATTTCATCTTTCTTTTTTTTATAAATTTTACCCAAAAAAACAATTTAATTGTCAATTCAACAACAATATTGTAATCTATATAATATTCTAATATAGATTAGTTAAAGAGCTTAGTTTCAAAGCTTGATTTTTACCCAGGTTACCCTAAAGGTTAACTACTCCCCCCCCCCCCCCCCCCAAAACCAAATACTAAATAATAATCATAATGGCTGCCGTCTGTCAAAATGCATCGACCACTGGAGGTTACTGGACCAGTTCCGCTGGAAATCATTACCAACCATACGAGTCAACATATCCAATCTACCATCACAATCCACAACAACAACAACAGGCTAATCATAATAATAATAATGTTCAACAACAACAACTTCACCAAATGCCAGTTGTAACACCCTATTCACCGACTGTTTCTTTTGTGCCATCGTATCAACAACTATCAACAACCTATGGTCAACAACAACAACAACAACAACATAATTACCAACTACAATTTGGAGAATCTTCATCATCATCATCTTCATCTTCATCATCTTCAACATCAGAACAAACCAACTATCCATACATGAATTACCAATACCATCATCATCACCATCAATCACATCTTCAACATCCAATGTTTTCTCATATCGGAGGACATCCGATTTCACCAGTGTTGACACAAAGTAGTAGTATGGAAGACCTTTCCATATCCAACCATTCATCACCCATCATGATGAACTTGAATCCAATGCATTCATCGAGTGACGATTCATACCATTCACCAACAACATTTCCAATGAAGAGAATGTTCCCTGGAGATGAACCAAACCAACACGACAATGACAATGACTTTGAAGATGACTCTTCCGATGTTGACGACCAAGACCATATGGGCATGGGCGGTGACCAAGACCATCTTCAAGAGGAGAATCTTAAAGTCTCCCTTTCCCCATACATTGAAATGGTACTTCAAACTCCCATTGCATCCATCATTCTTCAATTAATTTCAGAGTGTCTTGGTGATCAGATAACAGTTAAATCAATGTTATCAAAGGTATGTTTGTATGAAATGAAAGATAATTAATAATATTTTTGGAATTAATCTAACTTGTATTTTTTTTGTTTTTTTTTGTTTTTAGATTAAGAATTTATGTTTAGAATATAAAATAGAAGATATATACCAACAATTAATACAAACATTTATACAATTTGATGGAGATGTTAGAATGGTCAATTATCTGGTCGAGAGTGGAGTGGATGAAGGTGACTTGGAATTTGTAAAGGAGATCGAGTTGAAGCATATTAGCGTCGACAATTCACCAAAGAAACGTGAGAGAAAGCGCGAGAGTATAAGTAGAGGTCTGCGAAGCCCACCCAACAAATGGACCAAAGAGGAGAGTCAGACGTTGATCAGACTAGTCACCGAGAATGGCGACAAGCAGTGGAAAAAGATCGCCGCACGTCTTGGAGGTGGAAAGACGGGTGCCCAATGCGCCCAACATTGGAAGCGTGTGCTTTCACCCGAGATTAAAAAGGGGTCGTGGGACGAGGCCGAGGAAGAAACGCTGTTTGCATTGGTCGATAAACACGGACAGAGTTGGAAGAATGTTGCGATGGAGATCAAGACACGTACCGATATTCAATGTCGCTACCAGTACTTTAAGGCAACCATGTCTAGACAGACAGCATGGGTACAGGCAGAGATCGATATCCTCACTAAAAAGGTTCGTCAACTCCTTCAAATCGACGAATCTAAAATCTCATTCCAACAAGTCGCCAAACAACTGGCACGTGCCAAAACAACCAAAATCCCTCGAACCGCTTTAGAATGTAAATCAAAATGGTTCGAGCTTCAACAAGGTACCGTCAACGCTAATATAGGCAATGCCGTCCAACCCAACAACAACAACCCATTATTTTATCATGATCCATCTGGTCCTGCTGCATTTACTTTTAAATAATAATTGTATAAACAAATAATAATAATAATATCGTGCCATCGAGTAGGTGGGATAATAACAAATAATAATAATAGTATAGTATATACCAACACAACCTTTTTTTTTTTTATACCCATCTTTCCAACATCAATCAAATCAAAAAAAAAAAAAAAAAAGATTTTAAAAAAATAATTAATAATTACATATATAATAAAATAGTTATTTTAGTTTTCTTTTTCTTGGTCCATTAAAAAGAATATATTCCTATAGAATATTTCCTAAATGGTAGTCCAACAAAATTATAATATATAATATATAAACAAAAAAAAAAAAATATATTATTAAAAGATTTATTATTACATTTCTTCTTTTAAAAATGATTCATTAACTTTACTTTGGTTTAATTTTAATTACCTGTATATCCAGGTAAATGTGATGCTTTCTTGTCTTTGGCTAATTTCATTGATTGTTCAACTGCTTCTTCAAATTTGGAACTAGAGTGATGATCGCCAATTTGGTCACGGAAGAAGTTTGCCCATTGAAATTCAGCGTATGGGATCATTGATTTTTTGAAACCTCCTTGGATCTTGACCAAAGCAGCTACACTACGAAAGAGATCGTCGTCAAGACTACCAACGTGTTTGGGAATCTTGCAAAAGTCGACCGGACCCTTTCCATGCTTGTCGTAGGGATGTACCCACTTTTCATTCTCCATCTTGCTCCAAAACTCTTGGTCTGATTTTAAAGCAGATAGATCATCAACCACCTTTACAAAACATTTTGGAGTGGATGATGGTGAAGGTGATGCTTCACCACCACTTGTACTACTCTTTATGTTTTGTGAACCATTTGAATTGAAATCCAAGTCAGAAAAGAAGTCTCCTTGTAGTTCAGACAAGGCACGACATAGATGGTGATTGTCAATAAGATATATGTTGTCGTTTCGAACGACTACAGGTGCTGGATGGTTACGAAGAAAGTCGACTACCTTGTCCTTGCCAGCCGTCTGTTTGAGCTCTTGCATCTCACCTACCTTTCGCATAACATGTTTCATACCAACTGCACATTGAGTTGGTTTCAAACTTGACAGTTCTGTCCATAGTGATGATGTTGATGATGATAGTTGTTGCGGTGATGATGTCATTATTATTCTATTTATCGTATTCTTTAATATTATATTCATTAATCAGGTCTCCCTCTCTTTCCTCTTTCTTCTTTCTTTTATAATATAACCTGTTATATAAATATAAACAACAAAATAAATAAACCGTAACCCTGTTGACAACAAAAAGAGAAAGAGATTTGAGTTGACATACAGATAAATTAAAAATAAAAAACTGATTTTGTTTGTTTGTACCTTGAGGTGGGTGTCACGTGACTTTGAAGATTATTACAACTATTATCTTCAAACCGCTGACCAACCAAACCAACCAACTTAACTACTAGTAGTAAACCAACACAGATATCATACATACCTACTCGTAGTATAGTATTGTATTAGAATAATACATATTAATATATATCGTTGTTCTTTGAACTTCAACCAACCAACCAACATCATCATTATTAATAATAGATAGATAGTGTTGGTTGTTGTTTGTTTGTTCAATCAACTGTAGATAGTTAGAGAGTTAGTTAGTTAGCTTTGGACTATAGACCATCATCAACATGTCTACGACAACAACAGTTAGTGGTGGAGGCAGTGGTCTGTCAATACAGAGTAATGTAAAGACTGATGCAGACAACTTGTTGATCTTCATCAAAGACTATACCTTTTACAGATCAGATAGAGCTCTATGGTACTTTAAACATCTATTGTCTACTAATTCAAATATAAGAGTAAGTTGTTTTCTAACATTGGAATAGGAAGGATATGATGTATATGTATTGACTCTCTCTCTCACCCTTTCTTTTGATATTATTAAATTATAGTATTTAGATAAAGATGATTCAATCATTATATTATATGTATCATTGTCAGAGAGTGGAACTATACTAGATCTACATAGAAAACATATAGATGCCCTAAGAGGTACTTTTAGACGATTCGATCATAGAAGTGGAAGATTAAAAAGACTACGATCAGAACAAGAGTTGGATCATCGTAGCAATAACGGTGATGATTATGATTATTCAGATGACTCTGATTCTTCAAGTAGCAGTAGTAGAAGTAGTAGCAGAGGAAGTAAAAGTGGTATTATACAAAGAGATTCATTCAAAAAAGAATCACCAAAAGATGAGCAAGACGAATCATCGTCATCATCATCATTGGTTGCTAATACCAATGGTGGTGGTCAAGAGACAATCATGGATGTTGATAAGGATCAAGACAATAATGACAATGATCAAGATGATCATGATCATGATGACGATCAAGACGACGACGACGACCAAGAACAACAACAACATTATAGTGACAATGAAAGTAAAGATGGATCGGCAGTAGATGAACAAGAAGAAATACATACAGTGACAGTAAACGAACAAAGTCAATACCATAACCTACCAGTCATATCAATGACTCCAAAGACACAAATATCTCTTCTATCTTCAGTGTATATGCTCGTTTTCTATCTCGATCTTTCACCATCAATGTCTTCAATCGATCCAGTCACTGGTACCATTCTCATCGACTATGTATTCCAATCTTTACAATCAATATTATTATCATTGGCATTACCATTTGAAACAAATAATTTAAATGTAAGACACATATACAATATTGTATATTTATAATATAGTTGACTGTCAATCTTATACTTATATCACTTTTGTTAATCTTTTTAGTTTGAACCAAGTATTTATGTAACTGTTATGGCTCAAGGAATTCATCCAACTTTTAAAGTAATTACTCAATGTGCATTGGTGAATAGCGATACTGTCTTTGGACTATTGGACGAGATAGAAGAGGAATTGGCACAATTTGAGGATCAAGTGGCACAGGCATTTGCAGCAAACGATGACATACCAACAACTGATTTGACAACCATGTTTTCACACTGTCAACTGGCACTATCGGTCATGCCCGTTGGAGCATGTCCATCAATCACAATCATCACCGATGCTGTCACATCAATGGGTGACAATGATCTAAAGATATTTGACAATTCAATCATGATGTTTAATCGTAATGATATTGCTTGTAACATTGTACAAGTTGGTAGTGGTGTTTACAGTCATGCTGATTTTGGTTATACTCCTGATACTGGTAATTTAAATTTAATCATAATACAATTTGATCAAAAATACAGGTTATTAATTGTCTTTTTTTTCTCTTTTTATCTCTCTATTTTTAGATATATTAAAATTTTTGACAGTTAGTACACATGGATCATTTTTCGATCAATCATCATTACCAGTATTCCCAAAGAATGTTGAGAAACAATGGTACAAGAATGGTAAGCGAGATAGATTATCATTTATATTTTCAAATAGTAGTAGTAGTCATTCTACTCACAAAAAGGGAGGAGCAAGTTTAAAAAACAACAAGAACAAGAATCACCAACAAAGTTTGAATGATCCACAAAGACAATTGGAACTTGAACAACAACAGCAATCAAATATTGAAAAGGTTATTGAATTGCAGCATTGTTTCCTAGTGAGAGAGTTTTCACCCAACAAATTACACTCTATCATTAATACAAGTCATCAACATCATCATCACGGTCACAATCAACATCACCATCACCATCACCACCACCACCACTCTTCTCATCATCATCTACCAAACTATTTTTATAGAATTGATAGAATGAGTCAGTCGTCGTCGTCTTCATCATCTACATCAATGACAGTATCTCTAAAGTCAAACGTATCACCATCCTCTACGGTAACATCAGAGGATCTTAAACCAACCAATATCCATCAATATGGTCAACAGCAAACCACACTGATGGTTGACAAACAACAAACATTTAATCTATACCCATCCAAATCAACTTCCAAAGAGAATACAGCTATTGCCAATGAAACCTATAGTAGTAATATGGCAACTATCCAAACTTTGATGGCTGTTGATTATCCATTCCCTTGGATTGGTGCACCTCCCCAAGTTCCACTTCTCAAAGCTGCCGTCAAAGATTACAATGTCGAAGTTGATGTTTTAAAACTATTGGATCTACGTATTAGAGAAGGTTTCAATGTTAAATTAGTTTCTTTAAAAAAACCAGATTCAGGTAAGTTGATAAATCAAAAATTTAAATTTTATCTTAAATGGTTTATTTATTTGTTATTTTAGAATTAGGAGTTAGTTTATTATTTAATTGGTTACCAAATATTAAATTAGAATATAGAATCAAGTTTTTAGGAGATGCAATTGATCAATCATCGTCACACCACGGTGGCAAAGATCTTAACCATCATGCATCGTTTTCACAAAAGTTAAATGTTAGGGTGGCCATTGATATCATTGCATACTATGAATTTCTAAGAGAGTATACTGGAGCTGGAAGTGTTCCCAGCTCAAGCAAGAGAACATCGACGTCGCAATCGGTCATCAAACTACAACAATTTATCAATTCCATTATTGACAAGGACAAGCTATTGTCACTCATCTTTTTGCAATGTCAACCCTCTACAGTGCCGCCAGTCACCACCATCAACCCTATTCAGGCACAACAGACACAGGCTACCTCCTTCCTCAAGATGTTGAACCATCTTGGAAGCTTTTCGTCGTGGGAGAAATGGTTGCGTGCTGAATCGATCAGTGTCGTCCTCTCGCCAACCATTGCTCTTGCAACTGCACCGTGCACGCAGCAGTCGGTCAACTATGTCATACGGTACGACGCGTCGCGTAATCAGCTGCTCAAGCATTGCTCGAAATGGGCAAATCATACATTCAACATGAACTATGGACATTTGTTTGTACGATTCCTTCCGTCGACCACCTCACCCTCTCTGCATTCACCTCCACTCGGCCCGTCGTTGGCAACCACCCAGACACCCGGTGCCAATCCCAACCTTCACATGCATTTCCCGTCAACCTCCTTTTGTATTTTACGATTCCACTGGGACGCTGCTGGGTTTGCTACGATCAACTTGTTGTTCTTCTCGACATCGGAAGCGGTGCGCGAGTTGACCATCAACAATATGAAGAGGGAGTTGTCCTCGATCGTTTTACCCATCTCTTCGTTTGATGTCGATGAGATGGAGGAGGAGTTGAGTGGTGACCTCATGCACGACATTGATCGTCGAAAGCAGGCTTCGCGCATGCTCGGAGGTGACGACCAAACCTCTGGTCGAGACGTCCATGCCATCCGTCCCATCGATCGTGAGTTGCGTCGTATCCTCGTAAAGTATGATTTCGAGGTGACACACAATACTTCGGCACTCAACAACAGTCCTACGTCGAGCCCGGCATTCTCACCGTCTTCGATGAGTTCACTTCCGTCGAGCACGTCGTTGACATCGATTCCACAAAACATGAGCAATAGTTCTTCTTCACACGGTGGTGCTCACCACCAACGCAGTGCTTCTACATCGGCTATTGGCAATAATAATAATATGAACAACATGTCATCTGCCACCCATATTGCACTATCACAATCTTCGTCTGCCACCAACCTACACCAACAACAATCGTCACGATACAGTGTACCATCCATCTCAATTCCAAATGGACAACAACAACCAAATGGTTCAGAGAAATCACCACCAACTTCTGCAAGAGGACAACAACAAAGTCAAAGTCAACAAAGTCAACAACAACAACCACAATCTCAAGGTTCTCACCAACCATCTCAACATCCAAGCTCGATTCATTCATTCCATTATCACCAACATACACCTTATATGGTGTCACCTGATCTCAAAAACTACTTGTGGAGTCATAGATGGGTGTATGATCTCGGTGATACCAAGACTTGTGAACATGCCATTGGATTCATTGTAAAGGAGAGATTGTGTGAAGGTTTCACTCTGATCAACTTGTCAACCTTTTTATTCTTTAAGGATGTTTGTCTCAATAGCGACGATGCCGATACTCCTGTATATACTACACTCCAATATATCGTATACCTACGTTCTCCTCATTGTTTGGTCATTGAGTTTTGGATGGAACCTCAAAAAGGTTATTTATCTTCATCATCTAATCCAAATTGTATACTTTATGAAGTAAGAAATAGAAAAATAGAAAAAAAAAAAAGAAATAATTTATTTGGTATTAATAATATTTATATATTTATTTATATTTTTGTAGAAAGAATTATTTATATTATTTAAACAATGGATTGAAGAAGCAGATGGACATATTGTATCTGCAATTTGTAGTTTTAGTGATTTATTATCGATATCTGTATCATCTGATCCTGTAAACGAACTTAAATCAATTCTATACCCAGAACATAATTTATCGCTACCATTTAAATGTTCAATTCATTCACCTGTCTATCGAATCACAGCAATGAAACCTAAACTATGTCTTGATGCTCTCATATCATTTTCAACAGAAACTCAAAAAATATTTTCAATCATTCATATACCAAATAATATTTCACCTGAACAAAGTATGAAACAAATAGAATCATAATATATATATATTCTAATCATTTATTTTTATTTTCAATAGGACAATTATCAATTAAATCAAATATTAAATTATATTCGGCACTTGGTGAAATTATTAAAGCTATGAATTCAGTTGAATTACCTGCCGATTCATTTTCACATAGTTGTAGATTAAAAGGTGGAAGATGTTTTATCAAACCTACCAACAGCACAGATTTTGTATTTACATTCCTTCATCCTCATAACCTTGAGAGTAAGGATATTGAATCAAAGAAATCTTTCTGTATTTCATTCTATGAATGTTCTATGAAAGGTTTTATTGATGTTGAACATTCAAAGTATGTACTAAATTTATATATATATACATCAAACATTATATTAATATATCTATTCCATTTATTTAGACATACAATGGATTATTTATTAAAAATATTTAATATTAATGAATCACAACAATCAACATCATCATCATCATCGTCAATGGACAAGAACAACGATGATATGAATAATAATATTAATCCTGCCACTACTACATCTGTAACAACAACAAGTAGTAATAGTGATGATATACTTCAACTATATTATCAAAAGAAAAAGAGTATCTATCATGAAAGTATTCATCATACCACTCCACAACTTAATTCTACCAGACAATATATACGTTTGGTAAAGAGTGGATTTGAAAGAGCATACCTCAAGGCATTATACACTAATCTTCGTGATAAAACCCCAACCGATCCAAATGATGTAAACAATGGTGTTACTGCTTGTAAAGAATATATTGTTGATGTATGTAAAACAAAAACAAAAACAAAATCAAAACATGGACAAATGGATTACAAATATTAATATTTATTTATTTGATGTTTAGATTGACGTATCACAATTAATTAAAATATTGTATAAATCAAAGAATGATGGAGATGTGAATGAATATTTGAATGGAAAATTCTCTGAACAAGTCATGTTTGGACAATTTGGAAAGGTTGAAGGAACGGAATTGTATTACTATGATAGACAACACAAAGGTGCAGGTGAACAAGATTCGTCATACGATGAGGAGTTACTCAACAGCGACGACGACAATGATATTTATCGCGATGATGAATTTGAAAACATGCGAACCGAAGAGGATGAACAAGAGGAAACTGGCGTAGATTCATCGGTCGAAAGAGAAAGTACAATGGTCGATGAAACTTATCCAGACAGTGACTCTGAAAACTCAATTGACAATGGCACCGGTACTAATACTGGTACTCCAACCAGAGTCAATAGAACCATGTTTAACCACTCTTCACCATCTTCACACAATAATAATCACCATGCCAATGCTATCGATTCTGCATTACTAGACAAAAAGATTGAAACATTGCTGGGTGACTTTGAACAAGACATTGAAAAGAGATCGTCTTTGTTTGGGTTCTTCCCATTCCCACTGTTTGTAAAGATGGAGTTGATATTGTTCCATGCCAACTCGAGATACCAGTCTTCGGGATTAGAGGGAGACGACAGCTACAGTTTGTCACTCGACTCGCTCCATCCCTACCAGTACCGTGTTACCATTGGTGGTGACGTGCGATCCAATGTCTACAATGACGACGATATCCCAACGATTGGTGAGTTGAATCCGGAAAAGGCGTATCTACGATTTAAATGCATCGTGTTGCCATCGCCAAACTCACTCCATCTCCGTCGTCCAAACCACCACCACCATCGCAAGCGATCGTTCAAGTCAACGTTGCCACGTATCCTATTCAATGTGATGAAGATCCACCGTCGTCAGGTCGTCGCACTCATCTCTGCAGAGATATTGACGTGTCTGCGTAGCGTGAGACCCATCAACAAGCCAATACTCGACCTTGTCATCTACCATATGAATAGGCTGTCCTACTACCGTTCTCCGCTGTACCATTTACACAATTACTCGCTCAATCTATTGTTTGTCGATGCTAAAGAGGGTCCGTCCATGTTTGTATCACAACTCGAAGCATTGTCATTGTCGGCAACCAACGACATCAAACTCAAGCGATTCAACGACCTCTTGTTCTACTATGAACCAACGTCGTCGATGCTATCTTCATCTTACTCTCCTCTGGATGGTGAGCCGATGATGATGCGAGGCGGGGGTGCAGGAGCTGGGTTTGACTCTGCTCTGCCCTCTCTATCTCTCAATAACTCGGTGTCGTCGTTTGACGGATCACCCTATCTCAACGATGGACAGTGGGGCTACTCTCACAAGGATTTGGTTGATATCTATTCTCATTCACCATTGCCCCCTCTTCCTCCAACACCTCCTCCCCTTCCTCCCACCACTACCACCAACAACAATAACAATGCTTTGTCGGGATCGGCCAGTCAAGATATTATCCTCAATTCCTCCAACTATGTCGTTCCCTATTGGCTCATCTTTGTGTACAACTCTAACAAAAACATGTTAAAGGTACACTTTTTCTCAGAGGTGGTCAATGAAGCACTGTCGTTTGGTGAGCAGTTTGTAGGCGGACGATTGATCTCGTCGTTGGTCGTCGAACCCAACTTGACACCCCCAACCACGCCCAGCTCGTCCGTCATAGGAGACTCGATTCGAAACAGCCACAGCAACCTATTTACAGAGTTTGAACTAGAGTCTTCGCAAGACTCTCTACTCTCTATGCACCGTTGCAAGCATCGTTACAGTCCATTCGATATCAAAGACAGGATATCCGTACAGTTGACCCAGGTACTTCGACGAATCAACCAGTTGATCCTACTCAACCAACTGTTCCACGAACGTTCGTGTAGTCCATTGTTGCTTCCTCCAGTTGAAGCACCACCTCCCTCTTCGTCGTCGGCAAAGGGTGGTCCACACCAAAACTCACCATCATCATATAATGACGCTGCAAAGAGAAAGAAAGCGTTCAAACATGGAGAGTTTGCGTGTCCGTTGGTGTATTCGATGCAGTTACCACTCAATGAACGTTTGAGTCCGTCCAATGCTATTCGTAGTTTGATCAGTATTGCATTACATCCATTTGCAATAACGAATAGAAAGTATATGTTTGTGTATCGTGAGCGTGGAGGAAATACTTTTTACCTTAAACTCAGCGAGCCGACCACATCTGCTTCCTCTGGCTCGGGATCGACAGTGACCGAGTCACCATTTACCTCGCCATCACCTACCCCATTGCAATCGCCGAGACACTCACCGTCGCCATCACCAGGTACCTCTCCACCAAAAGAGTCTATGATGCACAATGCTCGTCCGAGTGCTCCGTCGTCCAGTTCCATCTCTCCCCATTTGCAAATGTTGGCTGCTACAACACCACCCCAGCAAAAACTACCTGTTTGTCGAAGTGTTTGGTGTTGAGTTGCCCGGCAGTGAAATCACAACACAGCTCCATCAAATGCTCGAAGTCAAGCTGTCCAACATCACATTGGCACTCATTTCCAACCTCATCATTCGTAATCCAATGCTCAAGCTCACCATGGAAGATGTCGAGTTTATCAAACCACCTCATGTCATCCCGACTATCGCCACCATCAAACTACCGGCACTTGTCGGTGACTATATGTTTATTCAATTGGTTAAACAAAACTTTTTACAGTTCCTTACACTTATGCATCTTACTACTGGCAGCGGTAGCGGTGGAAGTGGAAGTGGTCCAAATCCACTATCATCATCAATGGTCATGAGTAAAAGTGATGATAGTGCTTTGGCACCACAAACACACCATCATCAACCTGGTGAAGGACTGATATCACAACACCGTACACTCAGCAGTACAATGGAAATCCCAATGTCATCGTCCATGTTGAGAGGAGGAGGAGGTGAAACAAACGCAGCAGCAGGAGACAAATACGAGATAAAACCATCAGACTATACATTTATCTATAATTTCGTTGCATCGTCCTCTAGTCAATCGGCACTCTCGTCGATTGGTCAGGGTATAGCTACCATTACACTTGGATGTGCAGTCAGTGAGAATCTGATTCAAGAAAACGAGTCTGATGTGCCATCGACAGCTGTCCCCGTCACCTATATTCCAATGACACTATCATCAAATGCAGACTCTTCAAGAAAACTAGAACTCATTGAAAAGCTCTTGTCTGGTGTACAAGTATTGGAAGTTAAAAAGGAGAGGGAGAACTCTTCCTCTTCACCCACTCCACTCTCCAAATCAACGATGTCTAGTTCCTCTTCGTTGGATCAGCCCCAGTTCTTTGATCATATTCAACTAAAGATTTGGTGTAGAGGTTCTATTAATGCACAAGCATTGGTTGATAAGTTGACACTATCCATCAACCAAACTCTTACCGAGTACTTGATGGAAACAGTTATCTCACAAACCATTGTCACTCCATCATCGCTCCAATCAGAGTATCTCACTCCTGTTGAAAGAGTCATGGCAACTGGTAGATCTCTCTCGACCACATCAATGAACGAGATAAAGTTACCAGGTCAATTCCATCTTCCAACCTATGCTACCAATGATTTCCTACTAGATGTCAAAGATTTAATTAATGATATCAATTCCAAGATGCATCCATCTCTATGGTACACTGAACAACAAACAACAAATGAAAATGATGAAAAGAAACCACCTCTTGTTAAATATTCTCCAAAGAGATCTCAACAACCATCCACTACTGCCACTGGAGTAGCCACTGCTGCGACTCCCTCTACTACCAACATTTCAGATTCAACCATATCTATTCCAATTGTTTCAGTAGAACAACCCAATAATAATAATAATGGATTAGGATCAAGTAGTCAAAGTACATTGGATGAAGATAGTAATAGAATCAATTTGTTAAACAAACATAATTATCAATTATTGGTGATTGGTGGAAAGAATATTCAAGAACCAGTTGTAGAAAATACAACAACAACAACAACAATGGAATTACAGTTACAACATCAGATTATTCAATCAGAGACAACTACTACAACTACAACCACGGTTGTTTCGGCATCGATGACTGATATTGCATCTGGATTGATGACATTTACCGAAGAATCAATCTCTTCAACCTCTTCCATCATCTCTTCTATCACTGGTAGTACCAATGCTATTGTCAAGGGACCACCTTCTTCTTCCTCACAACAATCTGTCATCTCGGACGATTATTTGTATTATCCACACATCAAGGATCCCCAACTTGTCCAACCTATCCACCGTACATGTTCTATTATCGCTACGATCAAAGCAAACCAATTCTATATACACACTTATAATTGGAGTCAGTCTAAATTGGATCTTTTGCAAGCCGGTCTCAATCGTATACAAACTTGGAAGGCATTACGTCGAACACTGCTCAACAATGTGCTCCACCAAAAGATGGGATTATTCAATCACGTTCAACCACACTTTGTCAACCAAACCATTAGTTCCTTTTTCCCCGATGCCAGAAGCCAGTCTATTGTTAGATACACCTATGAAAATGTTGACTTGTTTGTTAATTATCCATCTACTCCAAAGAAGCTTCCTTATTCTCTTGTAGGTAACAACCCTCCTCCTGCCAGTGCACCAAGAGGAATGATTAAATCATCTTCTTTGACTGCCACTCCCGCTGCTCTTGGTTTACCAACTCCTACAACTCCCATGACCAGTGCTGCTCCTACGACGAATACCACTACAAGTACGACGACACCTGCAAATAATAATACACCTGCTACTGCTGCTACGTCGACAACCACAACTACCTCGACTGGAAACAAGAGTAATTCTTCAACACCAGCCAATCCAACAACTACAACTACACCATCATCCAATCAACCAACGGCCAAAAAGTCATTACCAGAATTTGACACTATTCTACGTGACAATAGTATTCAAAACACTCAACTATTACAGCAACCAACTGTACTACCAATCATTGCTGATCCAGTACAACGATATGTAGGCCAGATCAAAGCATTGGCCAATCAAGTTGAAAAGGCTGCAGAGGCCAAAGCATTGTTTTCACAGGCACGTTCATTCTTTGTCGATACTGATAAATCACCATCCAAACATCACCTCGAGAGTATCATTAAAATGTCTAGATTGGTGCACTTTAGATGTGTACCGTTCCTCTATGACGAGTATCTTGATGGAAGTCATTCGTCGAGAGAACAAATCGGTAATCAACAGACAGCCAATAACCCACCACATTTAATCTCACCAGCGTTGGTTGGTATTGTTCATGCACCACTCAAAGGCAATGCTCTGCCCTATCTGGTCATGTCTGAAAGATCACTCACGAGTCAGGGTGACTGGAAGGGCAAGACAATGGAGTTTTTCCTGGGAGAGTACATTCACTACATGGAAAAGATGTTGCAAAGTGCCAAGATCATCATCACCATCAACAATGATGAAGCAGACACTCGAAACGAGTACATTGCCACTGCCAAACGATCGTTGCGTGCCTATCTCCAGCAAACGTTCAAGGGTGGATCGCTTCTCATCAAGATTGGGTTCCGTGACTTGTCAGTGACGTGTGAATTGTTTGCCGTGCTGCAACCAACCGCCCAAGGCAGCAATCTGCAAACAACCACCAAGAATCTGAGCAATATGTTTGCCGAAGAGTATGGCAGATTCACACACGAACTGCATCTCAACTCGTTTGTCTATGACTTTCACATACGCCAGATCTATGACTTTTTGCACAACAATCACATCTATTACTCACCACATCAAAAGGATAGAGCAGGAGAGTCACCAAGAGTTAACAATGTGTCGTCGTCTGCCCCTGCTTCACCCCTCCACCACGAACCACAAGTATCACCACCGGCCAAATACTTTGTCGAGATGATGCAGTCGTTGTCGCGATACTATCCCAAGCCTCCAGCACATGCCTTTGGCCATCTACATCAATCGATCATGTCGTTGGGTGTGTCAATCGAGCCAATCTATTTGTTTGAGTATTTGACCAAGAGTGTACAACACTATCAAATCTCACATCTCGATGAAAAAGGTATCTTCCCGGCACTTTTCTTTTCGATTCCTGGTGGTACAACGTCTCCAGACTCAGGATCACCATCCTTTACATGGGATGTTGTTGTATTTTGTTTGAATACTAAACAACAAGATGAAGATGGCCAAGACCAAAAGGATATGTTGAAGCTGTCCAACAACTCTACAACAGTCATTCCATCCCTCATTATGGAGGATTCAAAATACCAAATTCAACTCCAATACATTATTATAAAGACAGCGACCGATACTACATTCCCACGTCTCGACCATTTTTCACCGCTTCATCCTGTAAATAACCAACACCTCACAATGCCAAGTAGTAGTAGTAATACCTCTAGCACTAAACAACACCAACAACAGTCTTGGAACTCTAATCCAAACCTATCACCACTACCGCCCAAACACCACAAAGAGTCTCAGTCACATGCTCCATCTGCACATCATGTGATGAACCCCAAATCAGTCGATCATATTGAACGAGCCAACAAACAAATGAGCATCAACGAGGAATGGGTACGTACCAAACTCTCCAAGATTATTACAAAGGCCAGTATCAACTTTCAACGTGATCGTCTCTGGAACAAACTTTTACGTGGAAATCCATACGAACCTGCTCTTACCATTGCCGAGTTTAGCCAGTTCACACATTTGGTCAAGAGAAAATCAATCAAGACCATGGATATTGACCTAGTCTCACCCAATATCAATCTATTCCAAAATATGGGTCATGTATGGGTTGGGTTATGTTCCTATCTCGTCAAGACGTGTGGTGATCGTATTCGTCAACTTCACAATGACGCAGATAAACATCTCTTCATTCTCAACCCAAATGTAGACTGTCTCATGTTGGAATTGGTATACAATGAACGTGAAAAGGAATCAGATGCCTTTGTATGTCGTAAAGAAGGTGCCAACAATTGTAATCTAGAAGAAATTGATGAACAAGAATTTTTACATGCCTCTCAACTTGTCAATACTCTCTGTCATTATTTGTGGACTGAATTACTCAAATCCAATAACACTTATATTTAAATAAAAGTTAAACAAACGAAAGGAAACAACCTTCCAAAATAATATATGTTTGATTATTCTAATCATATATCAAAGTATTTATATTTTTAAGTATATATTATAAACCAAAATACTCTCGGTTTCTGATCTCAATACTCCACCTTCTTTTAACCGAATAAATCAAAGTCAGGGCTTGACAAAAAAATCAGGAAAGGCGAAACTTCCAAAAAAAAAAAAATAAAAAAAAACCAACTTCAAATATGTTCAGAAATAAATGAATTGAGTTCATTGTTATTGTTATTGTAGTTGGTTGTAGATATATAATATATAATAGTAGTAGAAAGCAGATAGAAGTGTATAAATAGTATCTCTACGACTGATAGCAACATTATCATCACATCAGCTATCTATTATTTAATCAACAATGAACAAGAGTAGGTTTAGACGAGAAAAAACCAAAGAGATAGATCTCTTTGATATCTATCTATCGATCTTATCATATTAAATAGATAGAAATATATAACAATAAACTATTTCATTTATTAACTAACTTATCATTATTTATTTGTTATAATATTTGTTATCTATCTATTTATAAATAGATAACTATAGTGATGACGAAGATGATAGTCATTCTGTAGGAGAAAAAGATCATCATGAAGAATCAATGAGTGATAAGGAGAATAGAGACCAAGATATGGAGGAAGAGGAGATTGGAGCAACAAAAAAGAGAAAGACTAAAAAGAGTGATCACCATGACATGGAGGCCGAGGAAAGCGATGCAGGTAGCTTTCGCGACAGCAGTGAAGAGGACGAAGATGAAGATCTCGATCGATACCAATACGATGATTTCGTCGTAGACAAGGACGAAGAGTCAGATGAAGATGGAGATCATGGAGACCGTAAACATGGTCGAAAGCACGAAGACCCAGAAGAGAGAAGACGCAGAAAAGAAGAAAGAAGAAAAAGAAGAGAAGAAAAGAAAGCTGCCAAGGATGCTGGCAAATTACATAGATTAAAGAAAATGAAAGTTGGTGATACTGGTAGAGATTCTATAGATGATTTACTTGATGAAGATGGTATGTAATTTAAATTCTTAAATCAAGTCGACTTTGTTTATCTTTTACTCATATCTTTTATTTAGATTCAGGAAAGATTAGAGATGATAGAGGATATGATGGTGATATTGGAGAAGAATCAGAAGATGAAATGGACGATTTTGTTGTAGATTCACATAACAAACCAATCCACAGAAGTAACAGATCAAGTAAAAATAATAGAATATATGAAGGAATCTTTGGAGACGAAGATGTATCTGGAGATGTTCCACAAAAAGATGCATTGTCACTCATCAAAGAACAATACGAACCAAGTCTTTTAGAAGAAAAACATTTTACAGATGCCGATGAAGATATTAGAAAGAAAAATGTTCCTGAAAGATTACAAGTAAATATTTATATATATATATATGTCTGTCACATGATTAAATCATTTGTTTCTAATCTATTTTCTATTTCTGTTTAGACTCGAAAAGGTACAAATTATTCAGGAGAAAAACAAACATATGAAGAAGCAGAATGGATCTATGAGATGGCATATAGTTCAAAGGATAGTAGAGACTTGAGACAGATTGAAACCATCTCGAGTATACTTAAATTTATCCAACGTGATCTTTTAGAGGTACCCTTTATCTACACATACAAAAAGGATATATTCGAGACATACTTTACACTACAGGATCTTTGGAACATCTATGACCTCGATGAAAAGTGGGCGCATCTTGTCAACTCTAAGCGCAACTTGGAAGGTATCATCAACAACAATCCACGACTCGAACACTACCTGTCCAGTGTCAGAGAGTGCAAGTCAGAGGAGGGTATTGCCGATTTCTACGATCTCTTCCAATGGGTCAATGGATTGGACCAAAACAACATCAACCGAAACCTCTTGACCAACGGCGAGGACTTTAACCCACCCCCCACCCAACAGCCACGTTTCAAGCGTGCCATCAAGAGAGATCTGTACACCATCTATGCCAAGGCTGGACTCTGCGAGTTTCTCAAGTACTATGGTATGTCGGCACAAGAGTTTGGCATCAATTTGATGGACAATTTCATGACCAATATGCCAACCGATCACTCTGAGGATCCGTCGACTGCTGCCACTCAGTTTATCTGTCTCGAAGCAGACACGATGGAAGAGGTGCTCAAAGCGACACGATATCTCATGGCACACGACATTGGATTCGATCCCAATGTGCGTCAGTCGATCCGTGTCATTTACCGTCGTTATGCATACATCACCACGACACCCACTCCACATGGATTCAAAGAGATTGACGCATTCCACCCATACATCACTGTCAAGAATATCCGTGAGAAACCATTCCTCCAATTTGACGACACACAGTATTTGTTGATTCTCAAGGCCGAGAAGGAAGGATATATCAAGACGTCGATTGGCATCCCCTCGACTGTCCACATCAACACCATTCTACCTGAAATGGATTCGTTGTACTTGTCGGATGGAACCAGCGCCATCTCGCAGCAATGGAACAAGGAGCGTCGCAGTATCTTGGCTGACGCACTCACCAAGTTCCTCTACCCCCTGTTTGACAAGGAAATCCGTAACAAGTTGCTCACCGAAGCATCCAACCGTGTTGCCTTTGAGTGTGCCAAGTCACTCGAGGAAAAGTTGCGTGTCGCACCATGGCAGCCACAAAACAACTCGTCGTCTGACGATGACGACGATGAGTATGAGTCAGACGATAACAACAACCGTAAGCGTACATTCAAGATCATGTCGTTTTGTTGGGGAAGTGGAAAGATCCCCACCATGGCAGTCGTACTCGACTCTGAAGCCGAAGTGGTTGCACACGCCAAGTTTGACTTTTTGTGTGACCGTGTTGGCGAGACTATGGTACAGGGCAAGAAGCAAGACGACGACGCCCGTCTCCACCAGATGCTCAAGCAACACCAACCACGTCTCGTGTTGGTATCGGGCACTGAAATGGAGAGTCGTCAACTCCTCGATGTTGTACGTGACCATGTCAATCGTCTAACCGACGACAATGCACTCAAAAAGTCGGTCGACGTCTACTTTGCCAACCCCGAAATCGGTCTGGCCCTCCAAAACAATGCTAAACTCACCGATGAATTCAAAGAGTATCCTGCTGTGCTCAAGCACGCCATCGCCGTCGGTCGATGTGCCTTGGATCCATTGACAGAGTACTCGAACCTCTGCGTTGGCTCCACCAACGATATTCTCTATCTCAAGCTTAATCCACTTCAAGATATGATTGGAAAAGACTATCTCTTGAAACTTCTTCACAGATGCTTTATCAATGTCGTCAATGCCGTCGGCGTCGACATTAACAAGTTTATTCGTCACAAATTTGCAGCTGGACCTCTCCAGTTTGTTGCAGGTCTCGGCTCTAGAAAGGCCCAAGCCCTTTTAAACTCTGTCATTCGTCGTGGCGGTTTCATCTCTTCAAGAACAACTATCGAAAAATTATTAAATGGTCAAGATGTTGTATATAAAAATTGTATAGGTTTTATTCAAATTAGAGAAAAATATTTCGATGATTATAGAGATTTTAGTATGTTCAAAAAAAAAAAAAAGATAAAGATAAAAAAAAAAAGAAAGAAAGAAATCAAACTAATAATAATATTTATTAAATTATTTTATTTTTCTTTAGATCCACTTGATGATACTAGAATTCATCCAGAAGATTATACTTCGGCTTATAAGATTGCTGCTGATGCTCTTGATAAATCAGTTGATTTCCATGAAGATTCATCTGTTATTGAATTTGTTAGTGAAATTATGACAAAACCAAACAAATTGGAATTAATTGGTAAATTTAGAAAACAAAAGAAAGAAAAAGATAAAAGAGAACATATTTTAATTTATTCTTTTTATTTTTCTTTTTAGATTTGGATGCATTTGCAGATATTTTAGAAAGTAGAAATAATACACAAAAGAAAAAGGTATTATATATGATCAAGAATGAATTGACATCACCGTTTGCAGATATTAGAAATTATTATCATCCACCAACATATGATCAAATATTCACTTGGTTGACTGGTGAAACCGATGAAACCTTTAAATCGGGTACATTGGTATCAGTGTCTACCATTCGTAACTCACCGGAAGGTGTTAGATGTAGACTTGAAAATGGTTTGGAAGCAGTCATCCCATCGGACTGTATCAGTGACACTGGAGACACCAAATCGTTCCCACGTGGCACCACGCTCTCGTGCAGAGTCAAATCTGTCGACAAGGAGAGATTCAATGTAACATTATCCTGCAAGCCATCAGACATGGACATTAGCAAGTGGGAGGACATGATCTACCACGACCTCAAGATGAACGGTGACAACAAGTACCTCAATCTCGATCCAACCCCTCCAACGGCTCTCTTGACCATGACATCGTTGTCTGGCGGCAACAACGGCAACTCCAAGGCTCTCGTTGAAAGAAGACCAGTGCCAAAGAAGGAAGCCAGACAAAAACGTAATGTCGTCCATCCACTCTGGAAGTCGATGAACTTTATGGAAGCGGAAAAGTATCTCAAGGACAAGCCTGTCGGAGAAGCTATCCTCCGTCCAAGCAGTCGCGGTCACGACCACATCACCGTCACGTTCAAGTTTTGGGATGGCATCATTCTGCACCACGACATCAAGGAGGCCGACAAGCCCAATGCCGTCAGTCTTGGAAAGTCGTTCTATATGGGCGAGACCAAGTTTGACAGTTTGGACGAAATCTTGGCGCGTCACGTCGAGTATCTCATCAACAACCTCAACGACGTCAAGACACACCGCTACTGGAAGAGCGGCTCCAAGGACGAGATCGACGAGTTTATGCGCAAGGAAAAGAGCAAGAATCCCAAGCACATCCCCTACCGCTTTGGTATTGCCATTGAACGTCCCGGCTACATTGTGCTCTACCACGTACCATCCAACAGTCCGCGTCACGAATACATCCTCGTCAAGCCCGAAGGATTTGAAATGCGTAAAAAGATGTACGCCTCGCTCGACGAGTTGATCAAGCACTTTAAAAACAACTATGCTCAATTGTTGCAACAACAAGCAGCTCAACAACAACACCAACAAATGTCTTCTTTGCAACGTCCACCTGTCAACAAACCTTCTCCTACTTCAGTTGCCAACAACAATAACAACTCTTTGTCTGCGTACAAACCACCCGCTCAATCAAGTGGATGGTCTCAACAACCTCAACAACCTCAACAATCCTACAACAACAACAACAACAACAACAACAACTATCCATCCCAACAACCACCAATATCGTCGTACAACAGCAGACCACCACCATCACAACAACCACAAAGTGGATGGCCACAACCAACCAACAATTACCCACCTCAACAAGTCTACTCGGACAGAAGAGACCCATTCCCTGGATCTCAACAACCACCACAAATGCCCTACCAACAACAACAACAACAACAGCAACCAAGATACGACAACAGAGACTTTAGAGGACAACCACCTCAAATGGCTCCACAACAAGGATACCCTTCACAGCAACCACAACAACAACAACAACAACCATACAGACAACCACCTATGCCTCAACAACAACAACCAGGTGGATGGAATCAACAACCCCCACAAGCTCCATACAGTCAATTCCAGCCACAACAACAACAACAACCACAAATGCCATACCAACAACAACAACAACAACAAACACCTTTTAACCAACAACAACAACAACAACAACCATACAGACAACAACCACCTCAACAACAACCATGGGATGATCATCAAAGTCAATGGGATTAATTTAAACCATATTACTTTAAAAATAAATATATATTTAATCAATTACACTCTGGATAGTATGTCCCGCTTTTTGGTGTATTGGCTGAACTACAGCAGACACTTTTTCTTTTTTTTTTTTTTTTTTTCGCTTCGAAGTCACACCCCTTTTTGTGGCTTTTGTGTTTGGAATGCGAATTTATTATTATAAAAAGATTACTCTCAAACACATTAACCTAAAGTAAGAATATCTATCAACTTTAATACAACCAGAGAGTAGAATATAGCACAGTAGTAGTAGTAGTCGTAGTCGTTGTGATATACTTTGTTGAAAGAGAAAAAAAAAGAAAGGATAACAGATATATTATATAAACCCTTAGGAAATATAACGAAACATCATAGAAGAGAGAGAGAAAGACTATATAGAAGCTCAACAATAACAACAATCATATAATCTATAAAACAACGCGTGACACATTCAACAAACAGGTAGACACTAAATCCAATTCAACAACACCCCCTCTCTCTTGTCTGTCTATTTCGCTCTGTTACCACCTTTGTTCATTCAAAATATTTTATTTATTATTGTTGAAAATTTATTCGTATTATTATTTTTTTGTTCATTCATTATTCCTCTTCTTTCAACAAACAAACAAACAAACAACCAGCAATATTACCAAGATTGAAAAGAGAAGAGCGATTGTTTCACATCAAAAATACATCAAACAGCAAGTAGGAAATTGACAATACTTTATATTTTAATTTGATTGTTGTTTGTTTGTTTATTAATATCTCATAATAATAATAATAACGAAAAATAATCAACCAACCAATCAACCAATTGATTTATATCAGTTGTAAATATCTATATATATATATCTATATATATATATATATATAGTTATAGTTATCGTCGTTGTCCATCCACTCTTTCATTGAATACATAAAACTAGTTTACTTACTCTCCTTTCTCTTTTTCTCTTTTATTCTATTTTTTTCTTCTCTCTGTAGAATTTTTTACAACTTGTTTCAAACCTGTATCAAAGTCAACAGCTAACAGTACAACAAACAAGAAGGAATAATTCAAAGATTAAATAATAGATAGTTAGTTAGTGTAAGAATTAGTAATCATGTTGAGATCTAAACAAGACCAAAGAAAGAGTCAATTCAAGAAGAGCGTCGATGCCGACGATGCTCGTAGAAAGCGTGAAGAGTTGGCTTTGTCCATCAGAAAGTCCAAGAGAGAGGAAAGTTTAGTAAAGAAGAGAAATATCAGATTGGACCCTGCTACCAACCAAAAGGTAAGATAGAGAGAAACAAAAGAAGAAGAAGAAGGAAGCAAAATATATCATATGATGATGACTAACATTTCTATTCTCTGTCTATCTATTTGTATATTTATACAACAGTTGGAAAGTTTACCAGCATTGGTACAAGGAGTTATGTCTAATATTCCAGACAGCATTTTACAATCAACCATTGCTTTTAGAAAATTACTTTCAATTGGTATGTTGTTGTCATTGAGATGATGATGATTTGATTTTGTATTTTCAATACACCTAATATTAATATTAATTTTCTTACTACTATTTCACAGAGAGATCACCACCAATTGAAGAAGTTATTGCAACTGGAGTAGTACCAAGATTTGTTCAATTCTTGCAAATGAGCAACTTTCCACAATTACAATTTGAAGCTGCTTGGGCATTGACCAACATTGCATCTGGATCTCCGGAACAAACCAAGGTTGTCATTGAAAGTGGAGCCGTTTCAGTGTTTGTTTTCTTGTTAAACTCACCAAACGACGACGTCAGAGAACAAGCCGTCTGGGCCTTGGGTAATATTGCCGGTGACTCTTGCGAATGCCGTGACTTGGTACTCCGTAACGGTGCCCTCCCACCCCTCCTCACCCAATTGATGTCACCAAACCCACCCAAGTTGTCGATGATCCGTAATGCCACTTGGACATTATCCAACTTTTGCAGAGGCAAGCCAGCCCCAAGCTTTGAATTGGTCAAGATTGCCTTGCCAGTGCTCGCCCAACTCATCTACCATCTCGACGAGGAAGTTCTTATTGACGCCTGTTGGGCCCTCTCTTACCTCTCGGACGGTCCAAACGAGAAGATCCAAGCTGTTATCGACGCCCAAGTGTGTCGTCGTATGGTCGAGCTCCTCGAACATCTCTCGATTGCCGTCCAAACCCCAGCTCTCCGTACCGTCGGTAACATCGTCACTGGTGACGACTCGCAAACCCAGGTCATCCTCAACGTGTCTGCCTTGCCCCTCCTCGGCAACCTCTTGACCAACCCAAAGAAGGCCATCAAGAAGGAAGCATGCTGGACCATCTCCAACATCACTGCCGGCAACAAGAAGCAGATCCAAGACGTCATCGACGCCAACATCATCCCCGCTCTCGTCAACCTCCTCAAGAATGCCGAGTTTGAGATCAAGAAGGAGGCTGCCTGGGCCATCTCCAACGCCACCTCGGGCGGTTCCCCACAACAAATCGAATATCTTGTCCGTCAAGGCTGCATTCCACCTCTTTGTGAGTTGTTGAGATGCAACGACGCCCGTATCATAAACGTCGCCTTGGAAGGTATCGAGAATATTTTGCAATCGGGCAAGAAGGAGAGCCAAAACGGAACCAACTTGTACTATGAATACGTAGAGGATGCCGGCGGTGTAAACAAGATCAATGAACTCCAAAACCACAAATTAAAGGACACCTATGAGCGTGCCCACAGAATCTGTACAAATTACTTTGATGAAGACAATGGATCAGTCAACGGACTCGTCCCAGAAGTTAGCTCAACCGGATCATCTTTCACCTTCCAAGGTGTTCAAAATACCAACTTTGGATTATAAAAAAAAACAAAAAATAGAAAACAACAACAACAACAATAGAAAACAACATATAGAAAGAAAAAAAAAAAGAAAAATAATAATAATAATAATATAATGTTCACATACATACAATCACTATCATCCATCATCACAGTTCAACAAACATACTACTTTTTCTTTTTTTTTTTTCTACAATCCAACAACATCAATCCATCATCATCACCCATCATCGGAACAATAATCAACCTATTGAACCTCCATCCCTAACCAACCCTACCAACAACAACATAATGACCCCAAAACGACAAATGACATTACTACCAAAAAGGTTCAAAAAACATACGGTTTTGTTACCGCCTCTCTCTTTATATTCTTCACCACGTCACCCTAATCTATCGATAAATAGTGTATATATAGTATATATAATACATGAATATAATTTATATTTCCTTTCCTCCTAGTCTATCCCTCCTTTCCATTTTCTAATCTATCCACTTTTCCCACTTATCCGGCACGTCAATCAATCTAATTACACACGATTACCACCCACTTACAAAACTACCAGACTGACCTGACATATCCTATCTATCAACTTGCTAACTGGCAAAACGGTTAACATTTACCTTAACAATTACATAAACTTACACAAAAAAAAACAAAAAACAAAAATTATTTCTTAAAAAAAACAAAAACAAAAACACTATACACTTACTTTTGACCTTGTGTTTAACTTATTTGTCCCAAAACTAACTACTTTACTTGACTACTCGGACTTGAACTTTACCAAAACATTACAATTACAAATTTCCATCATCCATGTTTTTTCCCAATCTTTTTAATATATTTAGGTTTATCAAATTGTAAGTAGCCCTGCCCCCTTGATTTGGTGTCATTTTTCGAACCAACAAAAATTTATTATATGGTTTGTAAATAAATTGATTATTTTAGGCTCATAATTATTATACCATGTTGATTATGTGTACTTTGTTGGTATGCATAGAACCATTTTATTCACGGAAAACGAGGCAAGATCTGAGTGTTCTGGAACCATCTTTTTTAAAATCTTTTTTTTTTTCATGGTTCCGACAACCTTTGTCATTAAAAGGGTGAGGGTTTGAACAACATTCATTTAATTTCAAACAAACAAACAAACAAAACAAAATAATCATGGTTAAAGTATTTGTATTAGGTGCTACTGGTCTCATTGGTCAAGAAGTAGCTACTCAGCTAATAAGAAAGGGATATGATGTCTATGGTTTGGCTAGAACCCCTGAAAAGGCTTCCCATCTTGCAACTTTAGAAAGTAACTAAATTAATGAATTAGATAAAGTGGATAGGTTGGTTACTTACTTACTTATTCTTTTATATTAATTCTTTCAATGATTTCAGTTAAGCCAGTGATTGGAAATGCTCAAGACCCAAATACATGGAAATCAGTAGCAGAGACATCAGATGTCATCATCGAGGCACTAGCAGATTATACCAATTTAGATACAGAGTTGGTAGTTCTCGATGCAGTGACAGAGATTGCAAAGAAGAATCCAAACATTACTCTAATCTATACCAATGGTCTATGGAGATATGGGTCGATGGGAGCCAAGCCAATCTCAGAGGGTGACAGTATTGACTCGGCACCAGAACTAATGAAACAACGTAACAATAATCAAAAGAGATATCAAGAGCTGGGAGGTATTGTTATCCTACCACCAACTGTCTATGGTGGATCAGGTGCTCATACAGCTCACTATTTCAGATCCATTGAAAAGGGAGAGATTGATATTTATGGTGGTCCAGAACAATTGTCAACCTATATCCATTACATTGATATTGCTTCACTCTATGTATTGGCCATTGAGAATAGAACGTCTGTTAGAGGTCAAGAGTTTATTGCAGCTGCCTACACTCACAAAGTGGTCGATGTCGTCAAGACACTATCCGAACAAATAGGCAAGCCCGTCAAGATCAATTATGTCAAACCTACCAACCCTTATCAAGAGTGTATTGGACTCAGCCAAAATGGATCAAATCAAAAGGCTAGATTACTTTTAGGTTGGCAACCAACTCAACCTTCAATCTATGACCAAGGTAAAAGATACTTTGATTCTTGGAAACATCTTCCAATCAATTCAAATTATTTATATTAAAGAAATAAATAAAGTAAAGCAAAGTAAAATAGAAATATAAACATTTAGTTAATCATTGAATTAGCCGATCGGCAAACAAACATGCTTTTATTAAAAAAAAAAGAAAGAAAGAAGTGTCAAATGACTTTGTTTGAAGAGTCGTAGTCATTTTTTTACTCTTCAACAGGGTTGTATAAGAGATAGTATAGATAGATAAGATAGATAGATATAAATGATCATTTGGTAGTAGCAAATTAGAATGGATAATAATAATAATAATAATAAAAGGAAACAGAAAAATGGGAATAATGATAATGATAGTGAATCTGAACAACTAATACATCAGAATAGTATAAACTCATCAAATAGTCATATTCAACATAGATATACAACAATCAATGAAATAAAAGAATCATATAGAGGCGGTGGAAGTGTAAGTGGAGGACCTATTTCTTCACCATTACTAAATACATCAGAACATTTAAACTATCATATGAACGAAGGAGATGGTGGTAGTCAACATTTCTTATCACCAATGTCATCACCAAATGCTAGTTTTAATAGATACTATCTAAAACCAAGAGAACCAAAAGGAAAAATAACCTTTAAAAAGAGTATACTACCAACTATACTGATGCTAGTCATCACGGCTATCGTTATCTTTCTCATAGTCTATATGAGAGACTACTCTGCAAACAATCAATTTACAAATCAATTCCCATTCGTCATTGAAGATGATCCTCAATTGTTACAAGTAGCTTCTGCTGCACGTCAAAGACTACTCAACATTCACAATGGTACTATGACAGAACTAAACTTTTCTATTCTCCTCTTTAACCCTATTGGATCATGGTCTTTGGCAACTTATAATGGTTATCAACTTTCAAATGTTTCAAGACTTGTTTATTTACCATTTTTAGTTGCAACTGTAAAGTATGTACAAATTAAAAGAAAGAAAGAAAAAGATAAGAAGAAAGAGTAAATGTTTATCTAATTAATTAATTATATATGTTTATTTCAAAAATTAGTTGGTGTATTAGTCAAAACAAGGATCCACATTGTTTACAAATTATAGCAGGACCAATGATACATGATTTTAGTTCGATTCACGCTGGTATTATATTTGATACTATTACAGCAGCACCAAATGCACAATTTGCAGCCTACAATGAATCAACATTCTTGTCTTGGATAAAACGTAGAGAATATGTCGAACAATTCCTAGATTCCTATGGTTTATTAGGAAATCAAACCATTATGAACAAAATTTATCCATCAAATTCAGGTCCAATGTAAATATCCAAAAAAAGACTATAGAAAACATAACAAATATTTAATAACAACAAACAACAAACAACTAATTGATTTATTTTTATTATTTGTTTTTAGACCAATTTGGGCAGAAGAACAAGTAATTGATTTAATGGGAGTAAATCAAATGGATCCATATGATGCAGCAATGTTGATGCTATTTATATCACATGGAGGAATAGTACCAAGTGGACAAAGTTATATTACCGATTTAATATCAGAGGAAACCTTTTCAGAGTACACGTCACTTGGTTTTGGATTACCTCCCGGAACGATTTTACATACGGTCATGGGAACGACAGAAACACAGGTAAACGAGGTGGCTCATATCGTCCTTCCCAATGGTAGAGAGCTAATTATATCTGCCTTTTCAAATGGTTATCAAAACTATGGTAATCCTCCATACCAGTCATCGATACTCGGCATGTTTGCTTCTGAACTCATCACAAAGATGAATCTGACCGTTGGTAATCCACCATGTATTGTCATGTCGGCAACAAATGGTGCAGTTGCCATTGGTAATTGGCAGACTGCACAAAATATACAGGCGTTTAACCAAACCTATCTATACATTGCCGGAGGTACACCTGGTATTGCAACGGTCACGTGGAACTTTGCAATCAATGTATCGGGGTTGTACGAAGTGTGTGTATGGTTTCCAGCCGGAGGTAATCACACCACCAAGGCTATTTATGTCGTAAATACTGCCGATCAGAGCGGGCTCACCTACCAATTTGTCATCAACCAAGTTCACTATGGAGCGAGATGGGTTTTATTGGATTCGTTTTATTTTGCTGCTGGAACTAGCCCAACAGTTGCTGTTTCCAACATTCAAATACCATCAAATCAACAAGTGGTTGCTGATTCTATCAAAATTACGTCATGGCCAACCCATGACAATATTCCTGGATTATCAGCTAGTTTTGTAATAGATACTTATGATTATGGTTACGATTAATAATACATATAAATACACACATAGATAGACAGACACCTCCCCAACAACTTAAAATACACCACTCGGTAGTTCTATATTTATCATCTTTTCCTCCAAAAAAAAAAAATCAATACAAATCGTATTTTTTTGTGGTTATAAAATCTAAACAATATCATCATCATTCATCATCATCAATCAAAATGAAATTTCCATTATAGAGAGAGTCAAAAGTGATGTATCTAACACTCACTCACTCACCCACCTACCCCAATGAAAATAATTAATTAATTAATTTCCTTTTTCTATGACAATGAATCAAAATGACTATAACATTTTTTGAAAGTGAAGGATAGTGATTGTGGTTCTCATATTAGATCCTTCATCCTCATGGTTTGGATGATACATACTATACGATTTATCATACCTCGTGTGTTGGGTGGTTAGACAACATCCATTTCTTTAGCAAAACAGTCATACCTCCCAATAACAACCACAACCACCACCCCGATTCTATCCCCACAAATCATCACAATGTTGTTCACTATCATATCATATCTATCTCACCCACCATTTAGGTATAACCATGAATTGTTAACGGTTTTTTTGTGATTGATTAGGATCAGAATTTCCATATTATAGACCAGAGGCAACTGTTAATTCAAATATTTGGTTGGATATTAATTCGAAATCACCACCACCACAGTTGGAGATCAATACCAATACAGCTCACCGCCCACGCAATCACCATCATCATTGACAGCAGTGACAACAAACAACTTTAATATCATTTTCATCATCATCAGTGGTGGGATTAGTTTGGGGGGCGCGGTATAGAATGAGGTGTTTTGGAAAACCAACACCCTTGTGTAGGTAGTCCCGTCTTTGTCATCGAACAATAAATTAAGATATTCAATACACACCACCACCACCTCCCCCAGTAGTGATAAGTTTGTGTTGCCAATAACAGAGTTGGAAACAGCAGGTATCAAATTAAACTATGGAGAAAAGTGAGAATTATTTGTTGGTATGAGCTCATGGGTAGGGTGATAAGGGCAGAAAACCAATAATATTATCAGTAGTAGTAGTAGTAGTAGTAATAGTAGGTAGTAGGTAGCAATAGCAGCACAATGGTGATGAACCATGAACCATGGTAATTATTTAAATTTATTTATAAAACAAAAAAAAAAAAAAAGAATAGCCAACAAAATGCCATGGCAATACCCTCCTATCCTACTACTACTCCTCTTACCTCATACCAACCTACCTTCCTAGAACTTTAAATAACGTCGACATTTGTTTTATTTTATTTGTTGTTAATCAAAAGTTCAACTTTCACTCAGCCAACATCTCCACGACAAGATACATGCTCATTGGCAGTGGCAAAAGGGGATATTCTCAAAACTTACCTGCTCCCCATCCTTGCTCATTGTCACTCATCTCTTAATCCACATGTTTATTTATAAAACTCACAGTCAATTATTTATGTTTCCATCTCTTGACAATTTACCAACCACTTTTTCTGTGTTTTTACAATCCGAGCTCATTGACATTTTATATGTTTGACCAACCAGCACCCCTTTCCAACACCACCGACCCTTTTTCCACCTACACACTACACTTTTTTAAGTTTTCCTATTCCCTATAGCAACAATATAGTTGTCGCTTCTCTGCTGCTGCGATCGTTTGGCAATTTCATTTCACCCTTGACCTACCACCACTACCAACTCATTGACATTATTAGTGACCATCGTGCTATTTTGGTTTTACACCCAAACAGTTTTGTTGACAATAAACATTGCCATTTACACATTCTTTATCCATCTGTTTGATCTTTTCCCGAGTTATTTTTAAAAAAAAGTAGTGACCCACTGCCAACCTTTTTCTATTTTACTTGTTTTATATTTATAAATTACTTTAAATATCCATAAATATTTATTTATCCATTTATCCTTTTATGACCTGAACCGCAAAACTATTAAATAATACAATTTCCAATCCTAAAATTGTATCAAACTTTAAAAAAACAAAAATAGGGTCTCTTTTATTTATTTATTTATTTCCATCCAACCATCTATCTACATCTCCTCCTCCTCCTCTCAACTCTCACACCCCATCACTAAACAATCCGAAATGTACATTTCAATATTTATTTTCATTTTTGTTTTAATATTCCGATCTTTTTTATTACATTATTCAAGGTAAATAGATAGATTGATAAAAAAGAGAGGAGAACTTCATTTTCTAATTATTTTATTTATTTATTTATTTCTATATAGAGCTATTGTATATGAATTTTTATATTATCTATCAATATTTTTATTGTATTTTATTGATCCAAAGTTGGAAAAACAATGGGACAATGTATATAAACTTGAAATTAAAGTCCCATCTAAATATAAAGGATCAATTTTTGAATTGGAAAAATATTTTGAATCACAGTTGGAAGAAAGAGTTAAAGATTTTTCAACGGGATCAGTATTGTTGATTCAGAATGGTTCAGAGAGAGCAAGTTCAATGGTTAGAGCAATCACTGCAGCAAGAATGTCCCATTGTGCCATCTATTTAGACCCATCATTTGCATCGGCCGAATTAATTCCCAATCTATCACCTACCCTGTTGAATCGCCCACTGTTGTGGCAAGCAGCAGGTGAAAAACAATCAAGTGAATATGGATACAAGTCTGAAGGACCAGATCTTCACTCGATGGCTAGATTCTTGGCATACTATGTCACTGTGTATCCAAAATCTAGATTTGTTCTTCGTCCACTCAAACAACAAATGTCATCGGCCAACATTGAAACGATTAAACAATTTGTTGCCAAAAGTGCAGACCAACAAAAACAACTATTTTGTTCCAACATCCAACTTACCTGGATCCATCATACAGCCCTCAAACCATTTAGATTCCTACAATTTTTAGATCATCTCTTTATTTCGGAAAACAAGAATAGAGACGATTACACATTTTGCAGTAAATTGGTTGCAGAGACTTATAAACATGTAGATATCATTCCAAAAGATATTGACAGCAATGCTTTCAACCCAAGTCATTTCTCCATGCCCAATATGACTGACATTTTTTCAACCAAAGAAACAGAAATTGTATTTAATTATGTTTAAAAAAAACAAATCAATTCGAGAATCAATCAATCAAATCAAATTCACAACCAAGAACAACAAATTTGGAAAAAAAAAAGAAAAATAGAATTTTTTTCCAATATTATTTTTTAGGAACAATCAAAAGAAACTCTAAAAAAAACAAAAACTATAGTTTTCTATTCTATTACTTTTTTTTTTTTACAACATACTCCTATTGTTCTTTATTCGATCCCCATCGTCTTTGGTCTTTTTATTTTAAATTAATAAAAAGATAAATAAATATTATGGTTCATTATATAAATACCTCCTGGATTTTATAATGGTTATTATTTACAAATTTAATATTATATCTTTTTGAACGATGATATTAAATATTTAATGACCCAAGTTCCACTTTTGTGTCATCTTCAACATCATTTCTATTAATATTATGAGTTTGTCTTTTCTTTTTGTTTCCATTTCCTCCTTCACCACTCTTTTCCTTGGCTGCCAATTCTTTTCTTTGTTTATTTGTTAAATGTGCATTTCTAAAATAAAATATGATAAAAGTAAGTAATTGGAATCGAGGTAAACAATGACACCATTCTTCCTTTACATACTTTTTTGAATTATCATCATCATCATCATCCTTTTCCTTTTTCTTTCCTTTATATTTTTGTGGTTTACTATTGGAAGAGGTACTAGAGGTTGAAGTTGTAGAGGTACTTGTATTGTTATCATCATCATCTATATCAAAATCAGATGCACTACCACCACCATTTGATAAATCAATTTGTGATGACAAGGCAATGAGATAATCGATTGCTGCTTCGAAATTGCCTTGACAATCTTCCAAGGCTTCTTTGACTAATTTTACACTTGTAACACCGGTTGCATTCATAATGGCAAATGTAGTATCATCAATATTACTCTTTCCACTTTTACCATTACTACTGCTATTTGTATAATCATTGTTGAGAGTGGCACTCATATTGGGAACGGGAGCAGCATTTTTTGCGAGAGAGGCAGGTGTGAGATTGAGTGATCGTACACTAGCATAATGCTCGTCATTGTGATAGGATAGATGAATCATTTTAAACTTTGCTCCAACATAGTTTATAATCTCCCAACGTGGTTGATTCATCTGATGAATGGCAATATTGACTTGATAGATAAGAGAGGCAGCTTGAATCTCTACATTTCCTCCCCAACTTGCATTTCTTTGCATCTCTTCAACATATTCTTCAAAGGTTTCGTTTTCATCCTCATCGATAAACGGAGCAAACATCTCCTTGTTGCTACCAATAAAACGAACGATATTTTGACGATACTTCATATGTTGTTCAGGATTGTCTTCCAATTGATCGGCAATCGCTCTAAACAAACAATTTCCATCTCCTGCTACATCCTTTATATAGAATCCTTGTGGTTCTAATTGTTGTAGAAATGCATTAAATGATTGTTTCCATTTTTCATCCTAAAATTGATAAATAAATAAATAGATTAGAATCTTATACATAATGAATTTGAATGAATGAATGAATGAATGAATGAATGAATGAATGAATGAATGAATGAATGAATGAATGAATGAATGAATGAATGAATGAATGAATGAATGAATGAATGAATGAATGAATGAATGATAACATACTCCATGCTTTAATCTATGTTCTCTTTTTCTCAATGAAGCTTTTACAGCTCGATCGTGTTGTTTATTTGAGTTGTTGTTTCCTCCTGCGTTTCTCTTTTTACCCATCGTTAGCTCTACTATTATCTCTATTATTTATTATTACAACTCTTTAAAATTAATTAAAAACTAACGACTTGATCAAGTTTTGATCGACTGTGCAACAGTCTTTTGCAAATTATGAGAAATTCTCAATAAAAATAATTAAAACCAAATCTTGATTATTTTCATTACCACTTGTCACCAAAGCCTGTACAGATAATTAAAGATAGATATATCTATCTTCTATCTATTAATATGAATAGTATTAGTTATCAACTGCAACTAGTACAACTAGAACAACTAGAACAATCAAGTCATGTAAAGAATACAGATTTGTTTTTTACAATCTTTAGAAATATATTTACAAGAAGTTTATTGTGGAGAATGATTCAAAAGGATTTACATCAGTCGGGATGGACTAGAGGTTCTAAACTAAGAACTGCATCGTTAAAGACACTTGCTATCCATGGACTGGAAGATCAGTTTCTTCAGCAGTGGGAGACCATGCAAGTGGGACGTTCACACCATTTGATAAGTAGGACTGGACGAATGGCAGACCTCATCTATACGGCAATGACGAGTAACATGTGGCGAGTAGTTAAAAAGTTGGCCATCTATCACCTCAAAGCTGTAAAGATACGAATCATTGCACAAAAGGGAAATTTGGATATGGTTAAATTCATGGTGGAGAATGGGTTTGCCAAGATGAATGGTGGACCTCTATTTAGTGCAATGGAGAATGGTCATTTGGAAGTGGTCGAGTATTTGTTTGGTGTTAATCCATATCGCAGAAACAAATTTTGGTATGAAGCTACTTGCAAGACCGCTGCCAACGGTCACTTGCATGTCATTCGATTCCTCAATGCAAATGGTGTCAGTGAGGCATTCAGACCACCTCGACACAAATCAAAAGATTGGCTCTTTGCAGGAGACCTTTTGTCGCGTTCAATCGATAGCAACAACGTCGAACTTGTCCGATATTTATACACCTACTTTTACAAGGACAACCAAAAGTATACATGCCATAGTTTGATTACCAAGGCAATGGATAGTGGTAATATCGACATTGTAAACTATATTCGTGAGAATATTCCCCTCGACCACACCATCACTACGTTTGGTCGTATTCACAAGGATCTCATCGACCGACACGATCTCATCCAGAGTATTGTCGCGACCAATAGAATCGCCATGATAACACTCATCTTTTCGCTCATTGCTTCGTCGAGGATGGAAGATGATGAGATTAAACTCGGCCAACAAATCCGATCGCTCCTAACACTCTACAAAGAAAGCAATCCTTTTTACCTTAATGATGGTGGTGGCAAATTCGAGATCAAAGGGCTACTAGAAAAATGTTTGTTTTACAATAAACTCACTCTATTTAGTGAGTTTGTCAAAGACGAAGGGTATATTTTGGAGGATCAAAGTAATGGACCTGCGCTCATCTCGAAACGACAATTTCAGGCATTTAAACTGCTCGTCACTTTCTTGCCACTTACAACCGACATACATTTCACATCGGCCTTTGCCATAGCCCAATCATCCAACTTGGAGATGGTCAAGTGGATGGTCCAAAACCGCCATCGATTCCAATTCAATCTCCAATCTTTACTTATCATTTCAACTTGCTCCACAACATCACCAGGCAACCTAGAGGTGATGGCCTATCTTTATGATTTATACCAAAACCAAAGTCATCTATCAAATATACCTTTTATCAACGATAGATCTTATTTACCGTACGCCTATACTAGAGAAAAGGATTTATTAGTATTAACTGCAATTCTTCATCAAAATGAAATGGTAAACAAAATTAAAAAAAGAATATATATGTAATCAATCAATTGTTTTTTAACTAACCAATATTTCTTTCTTTTCTTTTCTTTTCTTTGTACATTAGGTAAAATTATTATTATCATCAGGACATACTTATTCTCCAAGTGTAATGGATCATTTTGCAGCAGTTGGAGATTTGGAATTTATCAAATATCTTTGTAATTTGGGACACAAATGTACAGACAAGGCATTTGCCAATGCTTGTGAAAAGGGGTATTTGGAAACTGCAAAGTTTCTTTATGAAACCTTTGAAGAATGTAGAACCACACAAGCATCATTGACTAGTGTTGTCTCTAAAGGTCATCTATCCATTGTTCAATATCTGACGAGTATAGGAACTTATGATCAGGCTACCATTGAAATATCGGTTGGTCTTGCCATCCATAACAATGACATGCCAATCATAAGATATCTCCTTGGTATCACACCAGAAAAGTGGGATAATAAGGCAATGAAGCCATTTTATCAAAAGGCAATAGCACTTATGAATCCATCATTTATAACTTTATTTGGTCAATCTTATTTTAAATAAAAATAATAATAAATCAACCAAATAAATAATAATAAATAATAAATAATAAATAATAATAATAAAAATACTATAATAAAATAGTTATTGTATTATATATATATATTATAATATCCATGGATTTTGTGAATCCACAGTTACAGGTACTTTGTCTTGTGAAGTATGATTATATAAAAATATCTTGAATTGTTCATCGTGATATGTATGTGTCCATCTTTCCATATCAAATATATATGCTACAACTCTTGTATTATACTATAGAAATAAAGAAATAAAGATTAATAATAAGTAAATATAGTTTTTGGTTGGAAAGTACTTACCACTTTGTTATTTTCTAATGATTCGGTGGTAGTTGTATTATTATTATTATTAGTATTTTGATTATCAATATTTAAAATATGTTGAGTTCTAACAATATTCTTTAATCTTTGTTCGATTAATTTGAGTGCTTGTGGAATGAGATAACATGTGAAAATGGTTGGATATGTATGAACACTCTCTATCGTTTCGTCTATATTTTTTAATTTAAAATCAAATGATTCATCTGCAAAACTCTTTATCCTAAATTGATTGATTGGAAATATTGATTAGTAATCAAACCATTGAATGAATGTAAACTACTGGCTATAGTAGTAGTAATAATAAATTAATTAATCGGATAATAATAGTTACTTGAATGAAACTAAATGTTCGACACCTTCTTGTTTTGCGTCTTTAGCAGCCTTGGCTAATAAATCAGGGTTAATATCGATACCTATAGCTCTGATTCCATAATGCTTGGCAGCGTAGATTGCAATTCTACCATCACCACATCCTATATCCAATAATACATCATCTTTTTGTGTATTGGCAATCTGTAGCATTCTATCAATTGAAAATGGTGAGCTAGTTGCATATGGGCACTAAAGTCATTATCATTATTAATACAAAAACTAATACAAATCTCTCTCTCTCTCTGTGTCTGTTCAATAACACATACACATTGACCGGGCAAAGGATCCAACTCATCAAGGTAGGGGATCCAATTCATGTTATTATCTGATAAATATATATTGATTTAGATATATATAGTATAAAGTATCAATATTGAATTTACCCCTCGTCAGACGAGGTATCTTATTATTATTTCATTTATTAAAAAAGTACCTTCGTAATCCATTTTTAGTGTTACTCTCTCTAATGATCTCCTTTTACTACTATTACTACTACTACTGTTTAGTACTACTACAAATGAAATGATTAGGGATCACCTATCTCCGCTCAACTTTCGTCTATCTCGTCTTTTTGTTTTGTTTTGTTTTTTTTTTGATCAATATTAATTATAAATCGATTGATTTAAATTCTTCTTTAAATCAATGTTATACACATTATAGCAAGAAGTCGAAATAATAATAATAACAATGTTTGATTGAATAGATAGTATTCGTGGTGGGGGGGGGGGGTGTACATACTACAACACCCACTACTCACCACTAACCTCTTCTTGATTATTTTTAGTTGGTTTGGTAGACCGTTACTCAATCATCATAGCATCAAATAATATATATATTATTATCCATTACCTACATTACTACATTACTACTACCTACTACTATATTGTTTTTCAAATCATTTTCTCAATAGAAAAGGAGAATATATAGAGAGACATTATGTATAGGTGCCGATACTTATCAATTATAGTAGTATTATTTTATATACCTCTTCTTATTATTACTATTATTAGTAGTAGTATTGAAAGAGTAGAATCTAGAAATGTAGTTACTGTACCAATGTACAAAAGAGACAATCAAGTTGTTTTAAAACAAAGATCAACTATCAAACATTACCATAGTCAAGATGATGACTGTGTATTATTGGATACTTCAAAATTAGAGAATACAATATATGACGACTCGACTATTCCATTGGGTGATATTGATATTGATATCGATATTGATGGTAACTCTACTACTACAACTACAACTCATACGTTACACAAGATCAATCTTCGAGGTGGAACGTCAAAATCATTTGAATACTTTATACCAGTTTGGATTGGAGACAATTCATTAAAAGAGCAACAAATGTTTATGGTACAAGTGGATACTGGAAGCACTGCATTGGCCATTCCAGGAGACAACTGTTATTTTTACAATCAAAGAAAAACAAAGTGTAAATGTGATCAAGGAGCTCTGGATGATCTCTATCAACAAGGATCATCTGCCGAAACATTATCATGTCGTTCGTCTCAGTGTAAAAGAGGCTGTAGTTTTATAACACCCTATGCCTCTCATCCAAGCACTTGTGGATTCAAAATATCCTATCAAGATGGATCATTTATTGGTGGTGATCTTGTTACAGATTATGTAACTGTTGCTGGTCTAACTGTTAAAGCAATCTTTGGAAATATGCAAGCTCAATCTCTTAGTATGTTGTATATATACTTCTTTCTAAAAGTGAACATTATTATTAACGTTTTATTTGTATTATTTAGATTTCTCTCAATCGTCGTGTCCAGCTGATCCATTTGCAGCACCAAGAAAAAGAGATGGTATTATGGGTTTATCTTATCAATCATTGGATCCAAAGTATGTTCAAACAAAATACAACTAACATATAATTTAACAATTTACTAATTAACCTTTATTATTATTTCGAATTTTCAAAGTAATGGAGATGATATATTTTCATTATTGGTAAAGACACATGAAATACATAATTCATTTTCAATGTGTTTATCAGATGAAGGTGGAATGTTGGTGTTGGGAGGAGTTGACCCAAAAATGAATTCAACCCTAATGAAATATACCCCAATCACCAATGAAAGATATTATAGTGTCAATTGTACAGGACTTAGAATAGATGGAAACAATTTAAACTCTAAAAGTTTTCAATCCATCTCAATTGGTAATACTATATCTATTAATATTCTAAATGTTGCTGACCTGATCTCTAATATTTAGTTTACTTTTTAATTTTCTCAATTTTAGTTGATAGTGGTACAACAATTATGTTTTTAAAATTAGATATATTTAATGATTTGATATATTATTTGGTTCAACATTATAGTCATTTACCAGGGATTACAACACAATCTGAATCACTTTGGAATCATCAATGTTTTACCTTGTCAGACAGACAATTGGAGAAATATCCAACCATTTCAATGGTGTTCCCCAACACGGAAGGAGGACTCTTTGAAGTGGCCATTCCACCAAATCTGTATATGATCAAGATCGATGACATGTATTGTTTTGGATTTGAAAAGTTGCCTATCAAATCTCCATACTCTGTACTGATTGGTGACGTTGCTCTTCAAGGATACAACGTACATTATAATAGAGAAGATGGTTCAATTGGATTTGCAAAAGTAACAGACAATTGTGGTATGGGTCAAGATAATAACCAATACCATGTAGAGATGATTTCAGAAGAGGTGCAAGAAAATGATTCACTCGTCGTCAAAATACATGCAATCGATGCCAATGGAAGGGACGGAGGTGCACCAAACGTCAATGTCCTCTTTGACATTGTTCAAGGCAACTGTTTGTTTGCCGAGAATCAAGCATCCAACATCTCTGTCCCATCAGATAGGTATGGAATTGTCAAGACATTATTGGAATGTAGTCAAGATCGGTCTGCCATCATTACTATTAGTGCATTTGAAAATAATAGAGTCATATCAAACAAGATTCATTTTAATCTTCAAACCGTCCCGAAATCATCAGATGGTGGTGGTGGTGGTGGTAACTATAACAGTAGAGGAGGATTTAGTTATGGATCACTCTTTGTATCTTTTATGTCAATCTTTGTGGTTGTCATCATTTTATTGGTTGCCATTGTCTCTTATTATATCAAACGAAACAGATACAGTATTCTCAGTAACAACAATATCGATCTTACAAATATTGGTCCCATTTCTCCAAGAAGTAGTAATTTAGGAGGTGGAGGATTAGGACAATCTAGTCATCAACAAATAGATATGGTCAATCTTTTAAATACTAGTCAAGGTAGTATCGAAATTAGTGATGATGATGAAGAAACAAATTATTAAAAATGACATATTCAAAATTATAATTATTACATTGTTGTCTTTTTTTTATTTCTTATTTATCTTTTTTGTTTTACATTATAATACAAGATTTTTCTTTTGGATTTAATTTACCCAAACTTCTTAATAAAGATTTTAATTTATCATGATCTGTAGCGTTGATTACCTCTGCCGGTACATATTTAACCAAACAATCAATAAGATTGTCTGATACGAATCGATGAGTTTGACTTTCCATTATATTCAATATTCTTCTAAACTTTTTAACCTTTTTTGTCTTTGGGTCTCTTTTTTCTTCTGCTTCTTTTAATTTACCAAGTTTTCTTTGTAAATAATATTCCAATAGTTCAACGTGATTCTCTTCAATCGAGTGTTTGAGATATAATACATTTAATTGATGTGCTCCTTCCATGATTAAATTTAAAATAAAGTCCGTGTGACCAAACACATAGGCCTCTTTGATCATCTCATAACTATGGCTAATCATTGAATGTTGACAAAGTGTTTTATAAAGATGAATTGATCCAATTCTACCTACAATTCTCCAACATGTTGATGAAAATCCTAATAAGTTAATCAATCAAATAATTAATAAATGAAATACATTTTTTATCTATCTTTTCTATTTCTATTTCTTTTTTCTATTTCTATTTACCTTCTTTTCTATTTTCTAAAAGATATTCTAAAGTTTCTGGATGACCACCAATAACAACTTTATCAAATATTGATGGAGAATAGAATGGTTCTGGATGCATAGCATGTATTCTCATGACTGTAGAAATATTTCCGGTGTATCCGGCATGTGCAAATATTTTGATGATAGTTGGTTCCTTTAGGGTTACTTGATTGTAAACATCGACAAAATGTTTTGTTAGAAATTCAAGTTCCCTTTGAGTGTTGCATTCAAACTCTAATTTCTTTTCACCAGTGTACAGTAGAATCATTTTCTCGAATACTGGGTAATTGTCCATTGCGATTGCCTTGCTGATGGGGATTGACAGTCCCTTTCTACTAGACTCTGATATTCTACCAAGTGAATAGTCAACTAGCTCCATATTGTTATTTCCAATTTGCAAGGCAATAGCAAATGGCAATACAGAGAGGTCAAACTCTTGCATGAGATATTTCATAATATCCACACGATTGCAATGATTGAGTGCAAACTCTGTTGCCAAAAATCCTTTTTCTCTTACGGCGATGACATGGTCTAGAGTTACCATATCACCACATTTAAGTAATTCATCAATTAAACTGGTTGGAAGAGGTTTGTACAAGTAGAATAAATAGTTCCAATACTCTTGATTTTGGATAGCCAATTTTAAACTTCTTTGAATCAAACTTTCAATAACTGAATGATTGCCATAAATAAAGGTAACCATCTCTAGATAGACTGCCTCCCATCGTAGAGATTCGTCACTAATAGCACCTGATATCGATTCGTAAACAACTTCGTATTTGATGATGGGTTCGGTATTCTCCTTTTTCAAAGCTTGTAAGATGAAATCCAATGAACGGACACGATCCTTGTTGATAATGTCAGTGTCTCGATGACGGTATCTTGAAAACAAAGCAGTTTGGTCTTGCTTTGGATTGACAGGGCTCATACTCTCCAACTTTCTAAACAATTCATAGTCATCGCCATGCAAAAAGTATAGTTCATCGAGTAGATAGACAATATCAAATGACGCAAAGGTAGTCATTAAATGTCCGAGTGTGTCTTTGCTCTTGATAAACGATGCATAGTTGGAGAGGACCTTGACAACGCGGTTTGGACTAACAAACGGGGTGATGGCGGTGATAATGTCGTGTTGTGGCTCGTCTGGGTATTTGGTGGGTTTGTACAAGTGTACTTGAATACTGTTCATCAGTGCGTCATAGTGTATATCCTTGGTACGTTTTTGAACTGGTCCAGGTGACAACTTGAACGAATCTTTCAAGTCTATTGTAACTGTAGTAAATTGGGCAGCCAATGGATTCGTCTCGGGTACCTGTGCTTGAAGGAACAGTAATACTGGCAGGTTACAGTTGGGACCTGTAGAAGCAAAGAAATAGCATTGAGAGACATCTCCAAACTCTCGTCTATGTGCATTGAATATAATCTTGAATTGGTCCAATGGTAAACCGAAACTACACAGTCTCTCGACAGCACGTTCCGTAAAAGTGAGTGTCTCCTTGCGAACGATCTTGTCAATGAGCAGCGAGATGTATCCGTGGTCGACCATCCACTCGACTCGTTTGATATCCTTGTATCTAAACGTTCTATGGATGTTACTCGATGTCATGATATCGTACACCTGGCCATTACCAGCTCGCGACGGTACCATCGCTGCACTTGGGTTCAACAACAAGTGCGACTTTCTACTACTACTCGGAAGAACGGTGTCTTGGTTGGCTTCATCGATTGCATCGTTATTGGCGTAATCTCTTTCTTGCAATAGCTTGATATGTATTAGATACACGTGTTGAATGATACATCTCAAAGTCACAATATTGTGTAATACAAGTGTCAATGGACTTTTAACTATAGTGGACGACATCTTTCTCTTCCTCCTCCTCTTTCTTCTTTTCAATAATAGTAATAATAAATATGTATGTATGCAATAAAGAGTGATGAATCAACTGCGCAGATCAATCATTCTATTTGTTTGTAGTAGTATTTGATCCTAAACTATGGTTGACCTAAAAGCTTGATGACGACACCTCCATCAAAATTCAAAGGTATTTTCGAAATTAAAAGAAATTAATTCGTCAAACACACTCGACCTAATGCTCTCTTCTCGTTTTATTCCATCTATCTTGTTTTCGTCTATCTCTCTCTCTCTATTTGTTTATACTGTACATTCGGAGATGAAAAGAGAAAGAGAAGAGGAACAAGAAGCTGGAAGAGAAACTGTTGAAACGACGACGAACATGGACACGACTACTACACCTGTAGAATCGAATGATACTACTACTACTACTACTACATCTACAACTACAACTACTACAGATAATACTTCTACAACAACTACAACTACTACACCACCAAATGAAATAAATAAGAATCATAATAATAATAATAATAAAAAGAATAATAATCATAATCATGGTAAAAAGAATAATAATAATGGTAAAAAGAAAGGAGGAGGAGGAAATAGTAAAGAAGAACAAAAGAAATGGGTAGATGTTAATTACAAGTTTTGTGAAGTAAAGGAGAAACAAGAGGTAGAGGATCATATGATTCAAAAGGAGACTAGTTGGCAAGACGTTGATTGGGATCACGTTCGTGAACAAATTGCAAGTTCGTTGGTGTCGGCCGAAACCGAATGCATGAATGACGATCAGAAATCAGAGTATGAAGAAAAGGCAATGAACTATTGGGACTTGTTCTATCACAAGAATCAAGATAAATTCTTCAAGGATAGAACCTACTTGCATATGGAGTATCCAGAGTTGAACTACTTTAATCTTACTCGTCCACAAACAACTCTCTTCTTTCACCATCTAAGAAAGAAACAACAACAACAAGAACAAGAAGAAAAAGAAAAACAAATGAAACTTAATGAATCAACTACAACGAGTACAACTACAACTTTAGATAATAGTTCAACTAATCAACAAGAAGGTGGTGAAGAAGAGAATGGTGGTAATAATAATAATGATCAAGCAGATTTACAAAGTATCAATTCAGAGGAACAAGAATTATTAAAAACAGAATGGGATTCAACACCAGAATGTACCAAACAAACTGCTAAAAAGATTGTAATGGAAATTGGATGTGGTGTTGGAAACACTGTCTTTCCACTTTTAAAACTTAATCCTGAAAAATACTTTTATGCATTTGATTTCTCTCCTCATGCTGTTAGTTTAGTAAAGGTAAATAATATATATATATATTTTGTATATTGTATATTGTATTGTATTTAACTTAATTATTAATTCTCCTTTTCCTTTTCCTTTTCCTTTTCTTTTTTAGTCACATCCATTATATAATGAAGATAGAGTAAGTGCATTTGTTTGTGATATTGCAAAGGAAGCATTACCATCAATCATTCAAGACAATTCTATTGATTTGATGATGATGGTGTTTGTATTGTCAGCCATCAGTTTTGAAAGAATGGATCAGGTCATATCGACACTCTTCAAGGCACTCAAGCCAGGAGGTATAATCTATGTACGTGACTATGGACTCTATGATATGACCCAACTCCGTTTCCTCGCCAAAAAGGGACGCAAGTTGGACCAAAACTTTTATCTCCGTAGTGATGGTACCAGAACCTATTTCTTTACGACCGAAGTATTACAAGGTCTCTTTGAAAAGGCTGGATTCACAACTCTTGTCAACAAATACGATACAAGAGAATTAAGAAATCGTAAGAGAATGATTTCAATGTACAGAGTTTGGATTAGAGGAAAATTCATGAAACCTTTGGACGAAACTACTAGTACTACAACAACAGACACTGCTACTGAGACTACCACATCGACGACTACAACTACCTCAAAATAAATAAAATAAAATAAAATTATTACGGCTATACTATAGTATATTAAATAATAATATATATATTATTAAATCAATTCTATCATTTAGAGATATTAATGTGGGATGAGGATGATTTCACCGAAAAAAAGCGGACTGAGGTCATCATTACCACATTGATGAGGATTTAAAACACACAGATAGATATAGGAGAATATAGGAGTTGAATATCGATATTCATCAGTATGAGTCATAGCTAGTAGTAGTTTAACATTTGTGGTTTGAAACAAGTATAGTGGTCATAGATCTGGTAGACTCTGATAAGAGAGATATATAAATTGTCGTCATCATGTCTTCTTGGATGTATCTAGCATTGACTTCGGCAGTTGTCGCAAAGACTGTTTCTGTTATCGAAGGAAGTTGGCGTTATATGGGTGTATGTATAGTGTATAGTAATCATCATTAATACTCAAAGAGATAGAGATAGAGATAGAGAGATCACATTTACTTAGACTTTTTTTTAAAAAAAAGGGAGCATCTATTGTATTTCATGGAGTCAAGACATATATCTTTGGAAAGTTGGTTCGAACAATTGAATATCCCGATGGTGAAATGGTATCCATCGTAGTTAGAACTAATAACATTAATAGATTGAAAAATGAAGTATGTTTATGGAAACAACACATTTAACTAGACTTGTATAGATCTAACGCTAATTGATTAATATGTTTGATTTTAAAGATTATAAAACAACAACCTGCTTTATTCCCTGGTGTAGAACTTGGTCCCTCTGATGTAAAGTATTTGGCAAGATGGACACCACCCCATTTCACAGAACAATGTAGTAAGAATAGAGATCTAAAGTGGGTAGCCGATGGAGGCGTCGTCTTTTGGAGCAGATTTGATCCAATACCAAAGAGAAATGTGACACTCGATGTCAAGGACAAGGAGTTGATTAAATTGGACCAGGCAATCAGCTTTGTCACAAAGATGGGCAGAGAGGCACCGATGGACTCTCCCACCAACCAAAAATTGACAGAACCACAAGAGAACGCCCTCATCGACCTTCTTTTGGAAAAGGACGACGGTGTTTTAGCACTACATAGAAACTTTAACAGTAGACCTGCTCTATTTAAACATCACGCACTACGTTATTTGACTACCAAGGGCAAAATAATCGATCCTGTCCTAGTAGATTTTCTATCAAGTGATCAAAAACAACAACAACAACAAACTAATACTGTATCTGCTACATCCTCTACAACTACTACCACTGCCTCTACTAATCAACAAAAAGAAAAGGAAAAAGAAAAAGAAAAAGAAAGAGAAAGAGAAAGAGAAAAGGAGAAATTGAATCAACAACAAACTTTACAACAATCACCAACCAATCCTCCATCACCACATGAATTAACAAATACTGTATAAATAATAATAATAATATAATAATAATAATAATAATAATAATAATAATAATAAAGTAATAATAGACAATGAAATGAAATGAACCTCCGAGGAGAGTTGACGAGAAATAATGATAAAGCAGGTGTGGGTTTGCAGATTTAATTATTGAAAATGTAAAACAAACACTCTACCATACCACCCACAACCAAACAAACAAACAAACACATAATAATATCAAAATCTTATATGGTGGGTAGGCGGTTCTATAGATTCTAACCCTAGATTCATACTCTTCAACAACATGTTGTTATCATTATTATTATTGTAATGTTAAATTATAATTCCTACCCTTTTTATATTAAAATCATAGCTAGCTATTAGGACAACAAAAAGAAGGGACAGACAGAGAAAGACAACATCCATCCATCCATCCATCCTTCCTTCTATCATTCCCACCAACCAAGAAATAATAATTAAAACTTGTACATTTTTGGTAGTTGTACAATCTGATAAAGTCATTTCCGTCATCATCATTATTACTATTCATTTCCACATTTATCCATTGTTATATATTTACATATATATATATATATAATAATCCACATTAAAAAATGGATACATATGATGATCATCATAATAATGAAAAACAACCATTAATAAGTCCAAACAATAATCGCAATAATAACTATCCCTCTGATTCTAGTAATCATTCATCTCCCCATAATAATAATAATAAAACTAAAATGTCTGATCCTGTATCACTTGAGAAAACCGAACAGCCAGGTCAACAACAGCAACCACAACAACAAGGACAAGAACAAGGACAACAAGGACAACAAAATAATCCACCTCCACAACAAGGACAACAAGGACAACAAAATCCACCTCAATACCAACAACACCAAAATCCTCCACCATACAATCCACAATTCCATTATTATTCTTATCCAAATAATCCACCACCTCAAGGTGGACATGCCGATCCCAATGTAATCTATGTGGTTGAAGATCATAGTGGCCATCATCATCACCTCAGTCATCGTAGTTCAGATCTATTCTGTTCTATCATTGTATTTATCATTGGTTTCTTTATCTTTCCCATCTGGTTGATTGGTATTCGTTTCAGAAATTCGCACAGCATAGTTGCTAAAATCCTTGGTATTACTAGTGTCATCCTATTTACCATGTCTGTCATTTCACTGATTATCATTCTAGCTTTAATTCGCCATTAAGAATAATAATAATAATAACTCTTAATTAATTATTCGCTCCCCAAATCCATATACAACTCACAACAACAACAAACAACAACAACTATGATATAATAACTTTTATGCGAATAGCATCTCTTGTATTATATAATGGATCTCCATTTATTAGAAATTCTCTTCCAATCTAACCTACTGACTTACTACTATATATATTATTTATACATTTGATTGATGATGTCATGGCATGGTCGTAGTAGTTATCATCAAAAACAGATAAATAAATAAATAACAACCTGCGAGTTGGAAAAGGAAGAAGAGGATTAATATTATTAGACCAACAACAATAACAACAAATTTTGACTTAAGTACTTCTTATTTATCCGTTAACAAACACACATTACATTATTATCGACAGTATAAGACAATGTTGGTTGGGATTTTCCTTACTTCTTAAAAATAGATCATTTCATTTGATTTTTGACGATGATTTAATCGCGATGCGAGGTTGTTGTGAAGTGTTAATCGACATTGTCCTTAAGGATTTTTTGTCCTGTGGCTTCAGCTTTTGCCTTTTGATGAACGGATAATTTTCGTTTAATATTGAGTGATTCAGTGCACGGATAGAGACAAACCCCTTCCCCATTATCGCATCCATAGTTACGATCATCCCCCTATTGTTCCACAACATCATCGTCGTTGTTGGTAATAAACACAATCATAATCCTCTCATTAAAAAATCTTGTCACTTGACTCTCTGTCCGTTGTGGGGCTCACATTAATTAGAGAAGAAAGAAAGCCTCCTCTCCTTCAATCTTGAGTTCAACAACAACAAAGTTTAGATTCATTCACAGCTCATTGTTTAAATTATTTATTATTATTATTACATACATATATAACAAAGAGATAGAGATAGAAAGGAGAGATCAAATCACTTTTAAAAAGCCACCAACTTCTTCGATATCGATCTGTCTATATCGCTTACTTTTAATTTTAGGTTTCATTGCAATTTTCATCATATCATTGTTGTGTGTGTGAGTTGTGTGTGTTGTACATACCTGCATTGGGGGTGTATTTGAATTGAATTAATTGGAACTGATTCCTTTAAATAGACCAAAGAACCAATCTTTTTTCAACTTACAATATCCCACACTTAACTGAATCGCCACAACAACAACAACAGCAAAGGTAGTCATTATTCATCGGTCATAATCATCCACAACAAGCAGCAAAGATTTTAACATCACATCCTCATAGTTTGTGTTAGTTTTATTTATATAATTATTATTTATTTTTGTAACATATATTTATTTATTTATTTATTTATTCGTCGGCAAATCTAACCAATCGCGTTGACTTGTCTAAAAACACATCCATCCACACTCTCCTCATTTTTTGATTATAATCAGAGGTTTCCGTTGGGGCCATACCATTTTTTTTTTTTAAAAACAAACAAATACAGCGCGCAAGAATAACAGCACTGCAAGAAGAGTCACATTCTTTGAATTTATGTGTACAAAGATAGACTAGACTCGTCGTATTACAACAATTAGAGGCAACAAACAAAACATAACATAGACAAACCCAACAGACAGAGAACCACTCAATCAAACCAAACCACCAGACAGATATTTTCTGAAGTGTACACTGAAAAAAACAACCACAAGAGAGAGAGAGATAAACAATCAAACAATCAAACAATCAAACAATCAAACAAACAATATAACTAGCACTTTTCTTCTATCGATTGACACACACCCATAGGTGTACTGCACACGCACACAAGTCAAACCATCATCATCACTAAATAATAATAATAATAGTATTTTTATAGAACAGAATAATAATAATAGTTATCATTATATAATTATATTCAAGATTAATAATAGTGTAGATTGATAACTAATAGAACAAACAACAACAACAACAACAACAAGTTAAATGTTATGTTATAGAGTCAAGGAGATATATATTAGATAAACAAAATTTGGATTATAATTAATCAATCAATCGATATAAATAGATAAATATTAGATCAAGATAGATAGAGAGTGAGAGAGAGAGAGAGAGAAAACAACCAATCATGAACGAAATAACAAATAAGATGAATTACTTGTTATCAAAGTTCATTGATGCCAATCCATCGAGTGACTTTGTGTATGGTTCAACACCGGATCGACAGCAAAATGGAGGAGGTGGAGGAGGATCGAGTAGTAGTAATGGAGGACATAGTAATGGTGGATCACCAAAACTGTTGACTGGAAGTGGCGGTATCGCCAGCAAAGATGGTACGATAAAGAAGATAAAGTACAAAAACTGGTGTGCCAATGTAGAACGAAAGTGCCACTCGATCGTCATTGCTCTGCCTTCACTCGACTCGCTGTCATCGTCAGACGACAAGAAAAAGGAAAAGGCCTGTGGATCACTGGTCAAAGTGACCGGATTACTTGGAGAACTTGGCACTCTACTGGACATTGTAACATATAGACCATCCAACAAGGGCGCCGCACCCATAGACGGGGCACAAGCCTCACAAAACAATACCGATCAACTTTTATCGACGTCACCACCATCTTCATCCTCTTCCTCTTGTACAGTACCACCACTTCCAACCAAACAAAATAGTAATTCCAATCTACATAGTCTTGCCTCTGCATCATCATCATCATCGGATGGCAAGGATTCAACAAGTTCTGCGGCACCACCACTTCCTCTACTCCCAACCAAAGATAGAGAATCTAGTATTGGACGTGGTGGTAGAACCATGGGTGACAGTTCATTAGGTGGTAGTAGCCAAAGTGAAAATAACAGTAGTAGCAGTGGAAAGGAATCCAAATCAACTACTCGTGCTGTAGCAACATCGTGTCGTGACTCTATGCTTGGTATTTGGGGTGCACTTGTTCCATTTGTCGAAAAATTCTATACCATTGACAAGGATCTTTCGGCCTTTTACAATGTTATTCTACAGATTTCAAGACGAAAAGAATTTGATACACTCATGTCTCCAGCGTTTGATCCTCTCACCTTTAAACCTTGGTCCAACGATGTTATTTTAAAATATCGTACCAAATTGTATAAAACATTTTCATTTGTTGGAATGGCAATCTCTACCACTCCATTTTTAAGTGTAGCATTAACTCAATTTTGTTCAAAGGTAAGAAAATAGAAAGAAGAGAAAACAATCATGATTTATAATCAATATTAATATTAATCTTTTTGTTTTAGTTTATTGCAACCGCATTTTTTAGAATACCAAAAGTTGCCAAGGTAATATTAGAAGCTTTAGTACCACCAGAAACTGAAATCACTGATATTATATCATATTATCCATGTCCTCAAATTTGTAAGTAAAAAAAAGAAAAGGAAAAGAAAAGAAAAGAAAAGTAAAAGTAAATTGATAGTTGTATTTACATTTTTATATAATATTTAGTAAAACATTTAAATGTAGTTGGAGAAAGACCAGATAAATCACCATTCCATCCACTTTTAATGCAATTTGATAATATTGAAAAAGAATTGGATATTGTTCCTCATGGGTATGAAACAAAAAGAAGAAGAAGAAGAAGAAGAAGAAAGAAATATTTTGTTTGAAACAATATTAACTATTAATATTTATTTTATTTTCTATTCTAGATGGATTGATAATTTAGCAAGAAAAGAGAATTTATTTTTTATATTTTTAAGAGAATGGGTAGGAATTTGTAAATATGTAATGGGAGACAATGTAGATATGAAGATTATTCCAGGGTTCTTTACGTTGACCTATGCATTACTTCATGAGATCAAGACTAGAGACCAAGTGGTTCCTCCACAATTCAAGACGACACCAGCTTTGGAAGCTCACTTTGCACTCTTGTCGGTCAGTCACAACGATACGGCCATGCTCGACAGTTTTATTAAAATCATATTCCTCAAGACATGTGTATTTGATTTGGTGTTGGTAGCATCGACACTTGGTATAGTAGAGGCTTGGATAAAAGAGTACGGTGTGCTCCCCGATACCTTTGACATTGACTTTTTCTGTGCCGGGGTAGACAGTATCATCGCCGCCGACCACCACCAAGTCGTCATTCGTCTTCTCAACCTCATCTACAACACATCTGACTGTTTCCAAGGAAGTATGCGTCAAGTCCTCTTTAGAGATTTACTTTTACACAAATACTTTTATCATTTGTTCCTTCATTGGGATCAACCTGTTAGAAATGCTTATCATCATATTTTATTATATAGAGTAAGTTGGAAAAATAGAAAAATATATAAGAAAAACAAAAACAAAAACATACATATTAATTTATTTATTTTTTAGATGGTTAGAATTAAAAGATCATCATTACATCAATCAGGATTTTCAATTGGTGAATTTAGTAAATTGACACATAATAATACTGCTACGACCAAATATTCATTGTCTCCGACCAAGTACCCAGACAAGGATGAAAAGAATAATGATCACAGCTACAATTCATCGAGTCGATTAGCATCTTCTACGGCATCGATCAAACAACCAAAATCACCTCGTAGCGTTGGATCCCCTTCATCGTCACTGTCAACATCACCTCAACCACAATCACCTTTATCCTCAAGTGGAACCAAAAAGATTCCACCACCAGTCCCACCAAGAAGCAATTTAAATTCATCCTCCAATAGTAATAGTAGTAGTAATAATAATAATAATCATCAATTGTCGATTCCAACAATAGAAGAACCAACTGATATCAATGGAGGATCTACTAGTCCACTTAAAAATAGTTATGGTGATGATGCAGAACCATGTTCGCCACGTCTTGCACCAGAAACATTTGAAAAGTACAACAAGGAGTTTTCTATTGATTTGGAATTGTTTATGGAGATTGAAATCTATCAGAAAAAGGTGACTGATCAATTCCGTCAACCAGAACTCCGTTTCCACGATCCAAAATTATCAAATTATGTAGCTGCTTCACTCTCTGAATTCAAGACCTACATTGCCATTGGCAACCAAGCAAATGCAACTCCACCAAAGATTATCCCACTCATGTACCAAGGTCCGACTCAACTCAATTTAAATAAGTTTGATTAAATTTAATCTTATAAATAACAATAATAATAATAACAAATAATTAATTAATAATAATAATAAATAATAATAATCATATCATAATAATAATAGCAATCTTATATATATTATAATAATAATAATAATAATAATTCTCACAAAACATTCCTCGCGCTGCAATGAAACAACAAAAAAAAACAAAACACAATCAATCAATCAATCAATCAATCATAAAGAAATATTGGTTATGTTGTATCTAGACAGCTATCTTCTTGTATCTTATCATTTATATCTTCTTTGAATAGTTTTAGGAATGATAATAAAAATAATAATAATAATAATAATAATATTTATTTCAACTTTTATTTATTTTAGAGTAAAAATGATTTGATTTTTATTTATTTATATATATGTACATCAAAACAATGAAATCTAAAACAATAATGATGGTGATCATCCTTTTTTCAAGGGTTAAAAGGAGATGATGATGATGATGATAAGTAGTAGAATATCACACAAGTTCATCACCAGCAACTTTGTTGGCACCTAGTGATGTTTGAGTGGTAAATGCATCTTGGAAATTGAATCCATTAGTGTTGGTACTGTTGGTACTAGTGTTGTTGGTAGCTGATGACGAGTATCCACCAGTTTGGATTTGGGAGAGGTTGGCTAAGTGTTCTAAAAAAAATTAAAAAAAAATTACACAAAATCAATTAACATGTAATTTAAATAAATAAAACCACTTACTGAATAACATTTTGAAATATAGATGAAAGAATAATAATTTATTGAATTGGATTGATTTTATACTTGATGGTCAAAGCCAAACACATCTTTGTGGCATGACTAATCTTGCTTTTTTTTGTTGGCTTTTTTACCCACGCTAGATTCCGGAGATTTCAAATACCAAAGATGTATCCGGACAACGATCTGTGGGTCATCCCTCCTATGGGTTAGGTTTTAACCTACCCAGGAAATTAATGATATTATTTAGATTTAATTCAACTCCCTGTATGTAAGTGTAATTCTTGTACCTGAAGTTGAAATCAAATATTTGATAAAGGGATTTCTGAGTTCGTCGGAAGATATTTTTTTTTGATGAACCTCACCACGCATTTTTGATTGTGAGAGCTCTGCTGGTCGGAGACCGACTGAACGATTTTTTACTATGAGGAAAAGAGGCTGAGGATCTATAAATCGGTCAGTCACCTGTCTATATAATGGACCTCTCCCAGCCTCTCCTTTCATTTCAAATCATCAACCAACAACCTTTTAACTCTCTCAACAACTATCAACAAATAACTACCCTAGTAATAATATTTATATTTAAACATAAATATCCCTTCCCTCGCCTAAAATGTTCAAATCTGATACTGGAATTTCTTGTTGTGTATTTCCACCTGTCCACCTAGGCCGAATCATTGCCCGTGCTGCCCTTACCTCGGTCCTCACTACTCAACGTGCTCCACCCATTTCCATGTCCCAAATGCTTGTCAACCAGTTGGCCACCGAAGTTAGAATGATGTGCCTTTACCTCGAATACTCTGTCAAAAGAGACCTCATTCTGTTCAAGTTATCTGTCAAACGTCAAATATCCAATTTCGTAAAGATTTTTGTGATACCATCAATGTCGTTGCAGGAACCATTATTTATACCATTGAAATAGCCAACAAGAGTATTCACCAATCAACACAATCTATTAAAACAACTATTAAAAGTCATTTTAATAATAACAACAATAATAATACAAACCCATTCATTAATAATAATAATAATAATAATAATAATAATAATAATAATAATAATAATAATAATAATAATAATAATATTAACGGTGTTAACGGTGTTAATCGTCGTAGATAAAGATATCTGTAGTTGTAAATAAAATAAAAAAGAATATAAAAGATCTATTGTATAATTAAAATTCCTCTAGTTTAATGACATCGTATGCAACTGTTTCATAGGGATGAGATAGTTTGAGTGTTTGAACAGCGTGTTTGATAAGTGAATCTTCAACTACCATTTCTACTTTGTATTCTTCTACAACTTCAATGATATTCTCTTTACCTATAAAAGGTGTTGCACCGGGCAATGCACGAAACTGTCCTTGACCTTTGAATTCAAAGCAACAAGAATCATAGTTTCCTATTTTACCTGCACCCATTGCAAACAATGCTTTCTTTACTGTCAGTAGATGTGTCTCTGGTACAAAAAAACATAACTTGTACATGATTGATTGATTGATTGAATACAATGTGATTCTTATAGTTCTTTTTTATATCTCTCTTTAAACTCGAAACGTATCTGTAAACTCATTGCAACCAAGTTGTAATCGAGTATCTCTTGAAACGAAAAATTACAAAAATAAAATAAAAAAATAAAATGAAATGATTGTTTTTAAACATCCCTGAACATCATGATGCAATTCCAAAAATAAATAAATATTAATATTAATAAAATTTTACTTTTTTTTTTATCAAATCATTATTATTTTATAACTATGGTTGGTAGTCCAAGTCTTTTATTTTATATAAATTATACAGGGCCCGTTAGCCATTTTGTTTGGTTGGAGCAATAACCAATTCTCTGAGATTGACTTCTTGTGGAAGATCATAAATGAATTTACAAGAGGTGGCAACGTGGACGGCATCCATTGACTTTCCTCCCATGGTTTGTTTCCAAGCTTTGTAACCTTCGATAATCGAGTCATTGGAAGTGTGACCAAGAAGTTCAGTCTCGGCAGCACCTGGTGCAACCACAGACACACGTACATTGGTAGCACATACCTCTTCTCTTACTGTCTCTGAAATTGCATGTACTCCAAATTTAGTTCCGCTAAATATTTAAAGTTTAATTAATCATCAATCATTTCACATTTTTTATAATTAATATAAATATATTTATACATACCAATAAGCAGCATGATTACCAAAAGCTTTTCTACCAGCAACAGAAGAGATGTTGATGATGGTACCAGAGTTTCTAGCCATCATATCTTTGAGAACAATCTTCATTCCATTCATAACACCTAAAACATTGACATTGAGCATCTCTTGCCATTCCTTTGGATCTTGATCCCATACCTTTTCAAGCTTCATGACACCAGCATTGCCAATCAATAGATCGGTTGGTCCGTAGACTGCTTCAGCATCTCTGACGGCATCTTCGAATGCCTTGTAATCGGTGACATCTACTTTAGTGCAAATGGTATTTGGCAAGTTCAATGCTTGCATAAGTTCAAGTCGACGAGCAACAAGCAATAGAGGGTGACCAGCTGCAGAGAATAACTTTGCAAGTTCAACACCAAATCCACTATAGTTAGACAGAAATACATATTAATATCTCTAAATAATAACCCTTTCCTTCAAAGTTGCTAACATAACAAACATACCTTGAGGCACCAGTAATGACTACCAATTTCTTTATTAAAGTTGCTGGATCCATTATTATTACTATCTTTTATCTTTTATCTTTTATCTTTTGAACAAACAACTAATGACAATGAAAGAAATCATGGTTCAAATCTATGAAATTTATAGGCAAGATATTAATATCTGCAGAATAACAGAATAAAAAAAAAAGTTATTCAATTTCGTTTTGGGATTTTTTTGCTGCATAGAACATGTTCACCGTAGTTCTTCATAGAAGCTTCTGCTTCTATCTATCTATCTATATCTAGATATCTTTGTGCTTGCTTGTTCTATACATCTGATTGATTCTTATATTTATCTCTTTATAGAATGATCATATGAACAAACGAATGAAAAGAAAAAGATCTTCAAAGACCACAGAAACAAAAAATCAAATATTTGTTTATTTACTCTCCACCCTATAGTCTATCATTCATGACAATCATTTGGTCTTTAAACATGGTCGACCATGTTCACCAACCAAAATGTTGGTTAGTTATTTTCGAAATGAATAATGTACTATTGTAGTTTTTTTTTTTTATTTAGAATAATTTAAATCAAGTGATAGCACATTTATTCAATTATAATTAGATTATTTTTAATAGATAGATCATTTTTATATTGATCTATTAATGTTTGGTATTGTGGAATTGAGTGTACAGATTTTGTTATTAATTCCTTGTTTTGGAAACCATCTAGTATATCGGAATCTTTGATATCTTTGTAATTTGGTAGATAGATACAAAGTGTTGAAAGAGGTGTAAACGTGATATGGTAGGGTGTAGCTGCCTTTAAAATACTCTTGGCGTGGTAGGCAATACCCAAATCTGAATATTGTACCATAAGTTTATCGTTTGATCCGTCACCCATCGAGACGGTATGTTTTTGTTCTAGTCCATTCAATTCTGTCAATTTCTCTAACAATGCCTTTTTCATTTGTCCATTTACAATTGATCCAATTACTTTACCTGTTAATTTATTATCAATTATTTCCAACTAAACAGAAATAGTAGTAGTGGTTAATTATAAAAGTACTGTGATGTGACGTTCTGATCGTTGTTTGTGTCTATGTATTTTACTTACTTGATTTGAAAATACATAATCAAAACCTAATCTTGAACCAATACGATATGAATAATAAGTAAATCCTCCCGATACAAGAGCAACCTTGAATCCAAGATATTTTAATGTTTTAATGAGTGTATAGGCACCGGCATTCAATTCAATCTTTTCCCAAACCATTTCCAATTGTTCACATGTCATTCCTTTGAGGAGATTGAGACGCTCTCTCAATGCTTCATCAAAGTTGTAGTGTCCTTCCATTGCCTTTTTAGTAATCTCTGATACCTTGTCTGATACTCCCATGATAACTGCCATTTCATCAATACATTCATTCTTTATAATACATGAATCCATATCCTAAAATAAATAATAAATATATTAATTACATTAACCAAAAGAGAGTGAGTGGATGTTCATATTATATATTTACAAAAGCAGCCAATTTTCTTTGATTTCCATAATGATTATCATTATTAAAATAGAAATCTATTGATTTCTTCAAACAAGATGAAACAAACAAACAAACAAAAAAAAGAAACAAGGTTAGTAATTATTAACATTAATCAAGAGTAACTCTGTCTGTTATCTTCTTACATTGTCTAGATAATCATGAAATTGTTTTGATAGTTGACCATCATCATGACTAGTTCCTTGATAATTGAATTTATATACATTGATATTATAACTATTGTTTGATAAATCATCAACCTATAGATAGATATAGACATGTCAGTAAATGGTTCAAAGTTAGTTCACTTGATGATTATAATACACACAGCACTTGTTTTCTTTAGATTAAATTTATTTAATAAATGATCAAAGTGTAATTGATGATCAATTTGATTAGATCTATCTGATACTAATACTAATGTATATCCACTCATTCTTATTACTAGAGTTGCAACTATATATCTGTGTATCTGTGTTAATTGATTAAAAAGGAAATAAACTTTAATTTTGCATCGGGAATTTTTCTCCTTTTCGTTTTAGAAGAACTTCACTTCTTGATCAAAGAGAGAAGAGATAATGAATACACATTATTTTAATAACAAGAATAAGAAAGAATAAGAAAGAATAAGAAAGAATAATAATGGATAGAGTTATAACATTTCTAGATATATATAGAATATCATATATAAGAAACAAAGTGTTTTGGTTGATGGAGAATGAATTATATAAAACTGAAAAGAAGTTATTTAATCATCAAACTCTAAAATCAAATACTTTTATCAAAGGAAAGCAATTGATTAAACTATCATCAATTGTATTGTTTCAGAAATATGCACTGCCATGGGACTTTATCAAACACTATATACCAAAAGAAACATTGGGATCATTGGACTTGAAATGTCGATCAAAAATGATTAATGGTTATATTTGTCATCCCAATGCAACATTGGAGACACTCATTCATCTATTGGATTGGTCACCAGACTTTATTTATGATGGTTCAACAACTGAAATCATGTTGGGTAATGGGAATTACGAGATGACATTATACTTGGCTCAAAGATTGACACAACAACAATTGAATATCGACGTTTACTCTTTAGAGAGTGTTTGTAAGTCTGGTAGTAATCAATCAATTGAATTGGCTAGATGGTTGATCGAGACCTACCCCAAATTTGAATGGCAAGGTGAATTAATCGATAGTGCGTGTATTGGAGGCAACTTGGAGCTTGTTAAATGGTTGGACAATAACAAAAGTATTAACGTTACTAGTACAATTCGAGCTATTGATTCGGCTGCTCGTTTCGGTTATTTAGACATTATAAAGTATCTTTATACCAACGGGACTAAAAAATGTTCTGATCAAGCAATTATTCAAGCTACTATTAATGGTCATCTTGATATTGTAAAGGTATGAATGATAAATCAAATGAATCAATCAAATATAATATAATAATTAATTAATTAATCATTATTATATTTAGTTTATAACTGAAAATTGTGGTCAAAACAAAATTACAAATCACGCATTTATAGCTGCAATATTAAATGATCGATTAGATATTTTACAATACCTACAAGATAATGCACCTTCTGGTATTGCTTATACAGTTGATGCAATGCGTACAGCTACGGGTAGGGGCAACTTTGAAATGATTAAATGGCTGCATAAAAATAGAACTGAACGTTTCCCAAAACATTCTATCCAAAATGCAGCTGAAAATGGTCATTTTGAAATTGTACAAGTAAGTATACAATGAAATATTAATCAACCAATTATATTATAGATATATATTAACATATACCTTATTGTTTTAATAGTTTTTGGTTGAGGATGGAATAGAATGGTCAGGTCAAGCAATAATAGAAGCTGCAAGTAATTCACATTTTAATATTGTCGAGTATCTATTCCAAAAAAGAAAAGAAGGATTTAAATCAATCGTTGTTCCAATTGATAGTATTGCAAAAAATGGACGGTTGGATATAATTCATTATCTTGAAGAGAATCAAGTGGAACTTTCGACGACCAATAGTCTGTATTTGGCTGCTTCAGCAGGTCATATAGAGGTAGCTAAACATTTGATGGAGAAGAAGTATGACACTTATTTTACACACTTGTTGGCTGCCGCCGCTCACAACGGTCATTTGGATATGGTTAAATATCTACATGACCATATTGAAAGGTTGGATTATCCATACGCCCCTCTCAACTCGGGCTCGGCACAGGGTCATATCGAGGTGGTCAAGTTCCTTCATTCGGCAGGCTACAAAGGTACAAAATTTGCAATGGAAGATGCCGCAAAAAACGGGCACTTGGAGGTGGTACGCTTTCTAAATGAGCATACAACCGAAGGAATGGTGATCGATGCAATGAGAAAAGCAGCAAAAGAAGGACATCTCTCGGTGGCACAATATCTGTTTCAGTACACTACAGAAAGTGATAATGCCTGTGATGAGACTACTTTAAAAGAAACATTAGAAAATGGGTATTTATCAACTGCCCATTTTCTCTTTAATAATAACAACAATCGTGTTTATCCACATGATTCCAAAGTTGAATGTCAAATAAATAGAATAGTTTATTATTGATATAAATATATATATATAGATAGATAGGTTATAAACTAATATTAGTGGAATGATTGTTGTTATTGTTGTTTGTTGTTGATTCATTATTTACTTACCTTTTGAATTTTGTTTCAACAAGACAAGTGGGATTGGGTGATGACAGTAGTATGAATCTGAATCACTGCTAAGATCTTGTAATTCTTTTAAAATACAACCCCCAAAGATACCACTGCCTCGACAGACACATCCGACGTGGTAAGTGGTCGATGAATGTTTGTCATCCTGTTTGTCACCATCCCTTGTATCATGACAATGTAAATCATCAGTCATACAAAGCAAAGAAGTTCTCTAGATGTGCGGGCACATACTTTACATGATGCCTGCTTGCGATAAATAAATGGTTTGGTACAATCACTAGATACTCCTAACCATTGGTGGAATTTTTTGCAGTTGTTTTAATAACCAAACTACCTATTAATACTAATATGGAGATAGTAAAACATTTGCATCGATCTGGCTCATCATTACTGAGTAATTATTTGTTGGGATACTATTTGATAGACTATCATGTTCGACCCATTATGATCTTCATTCATTTTTTTTTTTGTTCAAAATAAAAGATATATAATCAAATAAATGGAATCATCATCTATAATAACATTTCAATATATATTTAGAGTACCATATATTAGAAGTAAAGTAATTGATTTCATTGATGAACTACCAAAGACGACAACAAAGAGAGTGTCATCGTTTCAAACCAACAGACCTGCATACATCAAAGGCAAGGTGTTGATCTCTCAATCACCTGTACAATGGTTTGAATACTTTGCACTGCCTTGGGACTTTATCAAACACTATCTACCAAAAGAGACATTAGGACATATCGATCAACAAGCAAGATCAACACTCATCAACCGATACCTGTGTCACCCAAATGCCACTCTGTCTACACTTGTTCATCTATTGCAATGGTCACCTGACTTTGTATTGGATGGGTCCAAGACAATACCAAATATACTGGTAAATGGTCAATACGAGATAATGGTGCATCTCGTACAGCTGTATCCTCTTGTTTGCAACGGCGGTGCAATTGACAAACAAGCTATTGTCAAAGCATCGGAATCAGGCAACGTTCAATTGGTCAGTTGGTTGTATAAAGAGTACCCAGATATCAAGTGGGTGAAACCTTCATTGAACGTTATCTGTTTAAATGGTCACTTTGATTTGGTACAATGGTTACATGAAAACAAGAAAAAGGTTATTTGTACAGCCGATGCAATGGACAATTCGGCCAAAAATAATCATCTATCAATTGTACAATACCTTTATCATAATCGTACTGAAGGATGTACTGATTATGCAATAGATGCTGCATCTGTAGGTCATTTTGAAGTAATCAAGGTAAAAAGAGATTTAAATGAATGTATGATTGAATCAAAAGAAAAGAAATCTAATTAATTAATTTATATTTTATTTTTAGCTTATTCATGAAAGTTATAAAGATTGTGGAAAGGTGTTATGGACATGTCAGGCATTAGATACAGCAGCTAAATATAATCGTCTGGATATTTTAATGTATTTGATTGAAAATAATCCAAACAATTCTACCATTGGGTGTACAACACGTGCTATGGATGGAGCGTCAGCGAACGGCCATTTGGATATGGTGAAATGGTTAAACACCAATAGAACTGAGGGATGTTCAAAGAAAGCTATCGATAATGCCGCTATGGGTGGCCATCTTGATGTCATTCAATTCCTAACTGAAAATAGATCAGTCGAATTTACCTTTGTTGCAAGAGAGAATGCTTCAAGAATGGGACATTTAGAATGTTTAAAATATCTTTATCAAAATATAAAAGAAGGTGATTCTATGTTTGCAGGTTGTAAGTATTGAAAAGGAATAGTACAGTGAATCCAAATTAAATACTAACATGTTTGTTTATTTTTAGTTTCAGATTTTAGTTTTATAGCTAGAAATGGACATTTAAATATACTAGAATATCTTTTAGAGCACGCTCCAAAACATTCAACAAACTATGCACTTGAATGGGCGTCAACCAAAGGTCATTTAAAAGTGGTAGAGTTTTTGTTGAAAAATATGTCTCGAGATTTAGTCAAAAGAGATATTGTACAAGCAATGTCTAGTGCAGCTCAACACGGACATATTGAAGTGGTCAAACTATTTGATAGTTATTATCACCAAGTTGCTGGTCTATCACTTGGATCATTTTCACATACATGTTTTTTTGCCGCAGCCTTTGGACAATTACAGATTTTAAAGTTTCTCTTTTCAAAAGGCTATGCTCATTCTGTCAATGATGTAAATGAAGCAGCTACTCAAGGGTACCTAGATATTGTCGAATTCCTTTTAAATCAACCGTCCTCTTCCAACATTTCCCAAACACCAATGAACAATGCAATTGAAATGGGTCATCTAGGTGTAGTCAAATATATTTACGAGCATAAAAGACATGTAGGATGTTCGCTTTTGAAAATTGTCATCTAAATGTTGGTCATTTCCTTTATCATCATAGAAATGAATTAAATCTAAAATTAAATAAATAAATAAATAAATAATTTTAACCAGAGAGAGTTGTGGAAAAAGACGAATATTCAACAAAAAATCAAAAAAACTTGTATACACCCCCTACACCTTGAACTGCAGTCGTTTTAGTTTAGATTTAGTCTCTAGTCAAAGTATTATTATTGTACTATCAATCTATTTATATATCTATATCTAACGAAAGAGAACAATGTCAATGTTATTAAAATCAGCTACTAGATTGACACTTGAAAAGTCAGTGTCATCATTCAACAGATCATATGCTGTAGGCACCAACGTTTTAGCTACACCACATAGCTTTGTCGATCAATTCAACAAGATTCATTCATCAAACCAAATATTCGAAGGAAAGAAGGTTGTTGTCGTTGGTATCCCAGGTAACAACCCAATAGATACTTTCCATCATGTAAGAAAGAGATAGATAGATAAAGATAGATAATGAATGATCATTATTAGATACAGATATCTGACAGAACTCTTCAACTTTAGGTACCATCATTCACAAAGAACGCCGATAAGATTTTTGCCAAGGGTGTTGATTATATTGTTTGTTTGTAAGAAAGAAAGAAAGAAAGAAAGATATATTGACCACAAAATACATATCATATCTCTAACAGTTTTTAATCTTTTCTTTGTTTTTGTAGATCTACATATGATGTCCCAATTTTAAGAGCAAACAGAATTAGTTTGGATCCATTAAACAGAGTAATGATCATTATTTCAACAACAAGTTTAATATTAACAATTGTTACTAACTGCTAATTGATTTCTATTATAGCTCACTCATCTTAGCGATACAAATGCTGCATTTGCAAAGGAATATAATTTGGCAGAAGAGAAATACTTGCCAACCACCAATTCAAATGCTCCAGTTGATAGATTCAAGAGATTCGCTTTGATTGTCAATAATGGCAAGGTTGTTTATGAAGGTCTTGAAAAGGATCAAAATGAGTATGTAAACACACAATTGAAATACACAACCTATTGAATCATTATTAACCCCCTCCTCCATTATCATCATCATTTAGATGCTCTGCAACAAATGCTGAAGCTGTATTAAAGAATCTCTAATATAATATAAGAATAGAATAAATAATAATAATAATAATAATAGATCAAAAACAACAATATATTACTCTTGGATTATGGTTTATTTTAAATTATGATGGTTTATTTTATGATTTCGATCGTTTATAAATCATCACCAAGATCTTCAATTAATTTAGCTACAAGAGTAGTCCAACCTTGATGGATTGCACCAACACCATTACCATTGTCACCGTTAAAGTATTCATTAAAGAGAATATGGTCTCTCCAATGTTCCTTTGCCCAAATTGGTTTTGATTTGTTGTATTGACGCGAACCATCACCGTTCAACGTAAAGATTGAGATGAGACGACGCGACAGTTCCTTTTGCACAACATCCAAACTGACCATGTTCTTTGAGCCTGTTGGGAACTCTACTTCAAAGTCGTTACCATAATAAGAGTGGTAATGCTTTAACGATTGGATCATGAGATAATTGACACAGAGCCAAATACTACCTCTCCAACTACTGTTACCTCCCATGATACCAGTAGTCGATTCACCAGGTTCATAGGCGACTGTAACCGATTGACCATGGTGATTAAACACAAATGGCTCGGCTTGATGTTGTTTAGAGAGTGAACGGACACCAAACTCTGACAAGAATTTGGTTTCATCCAACATCTTTTCCAAGATGAGTTTGAGACGATCACGATTGACGATAGAGAGCAGACGACGTTTCTCTTCACCCGGGACGATAAATGATGCCATGCCATTCACCAAATGAGGACGATATTTGATGAACCAGTCCAATCTCTCTTTGAATCGTGGCAGACGGTCCAAGGTGGATTGTTCGATAATGTCGACGGCAAACAATGGGATCAAACCAACTAGTGAGTGCAGTTTGATGTGTTGAGAGTATCCGTTTGGCATTTGAATAGAATCGAAAAAGAAACCAGCGTCTTCATCCCACAATCCAAGTGTACCATGCTTTTTCCCCGAGTATATGGCCTTGGCAATGTATACAAAGTGTTCGAGGAACTTGGTTGCAATTGATTCATAGGCAGGTCTTTCCTTGGCAATTTCCAACGAGATGGCCAACATGTTGAGACAATAAAATCCAATCCAACCACTGCCATCAGCTTGCTCTAGTTTACCTCCACCTGGAAGTGGTTGTGATCTATCGAAAATCGATATATTATCCAATCCCAAGAATCCACTTTCAAATAGATTAATCCACCATGTAAAGTTTAATAGCAATTTATGAAAGATTTCTTCAAGAAAATCTAAATCCTTGTGTCCTGTCTTTTTTAATATATATCTATAAATCTCTAATGCTGCCCATGCATGTACTGGTGGATTCTATAGAATGGAAACAAATAAGTTAATATATAGAAAATATTTTAAAATATTTATATTTATATATTTTTAAACTTACAACATCATTAAATTGAAATTCATAAGCAGGGATTTTACCGTCTCGAGACATGTACCACTCTCTTGTCAGAAGGATTAATTGTCTCTTTGCCCATTCAACATCAACCATTACCAATGAAATAACATGGAAACAAAGATCCCATTGAGCCAACCAAGGATACTCGAATTTATCTGGCATTGAAATGACATCGTTGGCATAGAAATGTTCCCAGTGAGCATTTCTAGTGACCAAACATTCATTGATTCTTGGTAGAATTGGATCACCCTTTTTCCACATTTCAACACCAAAATGATAATATTGTTTACTCCAAAGTATACCTGATAATGCTTGTCTTTGAATTGCTTTAATATCTTGACTCAATCCTTTTCCCTATAAAAAATATAAATAAATCAATAAATTATTATTATTTGTTTGTTTGTTTATGTTTACATACATGAATCTTATTATAAAATTCATCAGCATCATCAATTCTATCTTTAAAGACTTTATCAAAGTCGGACCAAGGATTTTCGAAATCATAATCGGCAAATCTAATCTTGACTGTAAATGATTCACCTGGTTGAACAACCTTGTAACAGTTGGCAGCTACTTTGGTTCCACTTGCATAGTTTACTACATCACTCCAACCCTTTGTAATGTAATTATTGATACCATCTTTGACGTATGGGCTGGCATTTGGCCATTTAAAGAGTCGTTCAGTGTTGGTATCGTTTTCGGTAAAGAGAAAGGGAACGTTTTCAACCAATTTACCATCGTTGTCTCCTTCATACGTGACAGCATAGAATCGCTTTCCAATGTGGTGTTCTTCGCCGACCAATACACCCTCTCTGAGTGTCTTGATGTAGGGACGACGGTTATTGTAACCCCACGACCAGGTGTTTCGGTACCACAGCTGTGGCAACACGTTGATTGGGGCGGCATTGGGTCCACGGTTGTGGATTGTTACACGACACAAGATATCTTCTTCGGCAGCCTTGGCATACTCGATAAAGATATCAAAGTATTCGTCATTGTCAAAGATACCGGTATCTTCCAACTCGTACTCTGGTTCGAATTTGTTTCTCTTGGCATTCTCTTTGACCAATTGTTCATAGGGGTACTCTTTCTGTGGATACTTGTACAACATTTTGCAATAGCTATGGTCTGGAGTATTATCGGAGTAAAAGTAGTGTTCCTTGACATCCTCACCGTGGTTTCCTTCTGGACCGGTCAAACCAAACAATCTTTCCTTTATAATTGGATCATTACCATTCCAAAAGGCAAGTCCTAAAACCACATTTTGGAATCGATTACAATAACCTCCAATTGCATCTTCACTCCATCGATAAGCTCTACTTCTAGCTTGATCATGGTCAAAGTACTTCCATACATCTCCATCAGAACTATAATCTTCTCTAACTGTACTCCATTCTCTATCTGATACATATGGTCCCCTAAAACAAAATAAAATAATTAATATTATAATCATATGTATGATTGAATGTCACATGTCATTATTATTTATTATTATTATTATTATTATTATTATTATTATTATTATTATTTAAATTTACCATTTCTTCCAATCAGATTTTCTTTGTATTGAATTTAATAATCTTTCACCAATCTTTAAACCTTTGTAAGGAATTATATTTGATACATCTGATGGTGTATAATCACTTTCAAATGATGGTGGCGATGGACTAGAATTACTTTGATTTGTTGTTGTTGTTGTTTGTTTTATCATTTCTTTCTTTCTTTCTTTTGATAAAATAATAATAAATTAAATTATCTTTTTAAATAAATAAATACAAATAGAAAGTGATAATAAAAGAAAGAGAAAGAGATGATAGAGAGGAGATGAAGAGAGAGGAGATATTGAATTTAATTAAAGGGCTATGAATTTCATCACCTTTTCAAGAACATGGGATCTTGGTGTAAAAAACCAAACTTGGCTCGCTATCAACCTTCCGGATTAGATTCATTACGTTCGGATGGCTCTCGAAAGAGAGTGAGAGTTGCGTTCTGTTAATTAATGTGTAGAGACGAGACAACCCGAACACTTGATAGAGTGATGCGATAGATGATAGGTCAGATTGTGGGTGGGAAATATAGTTGTTTGGCTTGGGTGTTTTCGAACATCTACTCTATTATCTCTCACATTCTCTCTGACTATGATGACGATGATGATGATGATGTATTTAATATATAGAAAGGTACATAATGTACTTAATAGAGTTATACTTTAATAAAGTTATAATACTTTAAATATTATCTATCCTTCAAAAGAAATGGTTGAAAAAAATGAACTCATGATTAGACAGACAGACAGATGAGCGACTCGTCTTTTTATTTTAAATTAGATTATATTTGATCAAATATATTTATAAGATGGAGAATAATAATAATACAACAGCAGAAACAACAGCAGTAGTAGAAGAGTCAACAGGATGTACTATATTCTGCGCAAAGTTGAAAGGAATCAAGAATACATCACCTGCTAATATCTTGTCGAGTCGTGCAGTCTTTTCATCACCAACATCATCCATCATAGCTACAGGTACTGATATAGTAAACTTGAATGTATGTGTGCCGGTGAATTGAATTGAAGTTGATCAATCCAATGATATTAGATACAATCTCTCTAACATTTGATTACAACATCTATCTCATATGATGGATGATATATAGATTAAATTCCCAAACAATTATACAAAGAAAAGTACAAAGATTAAAGGTATACCTGCACCCATTCAAATAGATGAATGTATTGGTGAAACAATCATTGATTCAAAGTTGACAAGGGAGATTCAATCGATTGCATATTCAAGAGGAGGAACTGGTAGCAGCTTAGATACATTGGCAGTAATAGATAACAAAGGAAATATCTCTGTGTTTGATAATACTGTCAATGGTGATACTGGCATATCTACACTAAACTTTAGATATAGTATCACATCAGACAACAAGAGTGAACCTGGATGGTGTGGTGTTTCAGTCAACCATACATCACCCAATATCATTGCATCATGTTCATTCTACGATAAACAAGTTCGTATCTATGACAACGGTAAACTAGTATCCTCATATAGTCTTGCCAATCATCCAACTCAAATAGCATACCTTCATAAAGACGATTCTCACTTGTTGGCAGTCTCTGAACAAAATCAATTAAATATCATTGATACTAAAACAAAAGAAATCATTCAAAAATTCATTGTATGTCAATAGAGAGAGAGAACCTGTCAATAATTAAATGAATACGTTATTAATAATAATAATTTATTTTGTTTATTTATTTTTGGTTTAGCCAACAACATCAAATATTTATTCATTGGAAACATCAACAAATGGATTGGTAGCAGTTGGAGGTGAAGGTAGAACAATACATGTATATGAATCAAAGAGATGGGCAAATGTTGGTAATTGGTCTGGCTGTTTGAAATATGAAATCACTGGAATCAACTTTTCCGATAAACTAAAAGGTGTTTGCTATGTCAGTGGAATGGATTCAGAGATTTTAGCAGGTGACTATGATGGATCCAGTGGATCAGACCACTTTGCAGGAATCCGTGTAGATTCGAGATGGTTAGGTATCACCAAACTCAATGGACATGAATCATTATTTGGATTTACTTCATCTGGTGGTCTATATTGGGTACATGATGCCGATAAACTATATGCCGGTAAAAAGATTATCACCAAATTAACAGGTTCCAAACATCAAAAAGAAAATATTAATAACAATGGAGATCAATCAACCAATTCATCTGGTACAAACTCACCAAAACATATTAATAAAAAATCAAAACAACAATAATCCTACTATACGATAGATCAGGGGTATATTTGATTATAAATATAAATATTAATATATTTATTTATATATTTTCAAAATCGATTCTAATGTTTCAAAAAAAAAAAAAAAAAAAAAAACAAAACAAACCTGGAATGGAGTAGTCCAAGTTAATAGGTTATTATTCTATTACTAAGTTATTATTATATATTTAATTATTTACAAACAAGGTTGTCCTATTATATTTTAGTACAAAATTATTACTATTATTCATATTTGAATTTGATTGATTGGAGGAGGAGGAGGAAGAGAAGGAAAAAAACAAAAAAAAGAGATATACAAATTAAATTTTAAATGATTCCTATTATTAATATTATTATTACTTATTGAAATAAATCAGCAAACCAAGATCTAAGAGCAATCAATAGAATAAATTCAGTGATCAATAGACCAAATACAAGGAATGATAAAAGAGCCTTCCAAGTAAAGATGACTTGCCATTGTCCAATTGGATTGATTCTAAAGGTAGTATGATAATAGGTCATATTAAATACTTGATTAGAGATGGGTAGATAGAGATAGAATGCTCTCTCATCTTGAATGCTTTTATCCAATAATGCTACAACACTATGTGTATGTAAATCAACCAATTGATATCTTTGATCATCCAATGGACTACCATTATAAACTAGAAAATAGAAAATTAGTATTAATAGTTATTGATTTCAAATTTGATTATTATTATTATTTAATTCTTACACTTTCTTGAAACAGCTTGTCTACCATAACTTAGGAATAAACAAGATCTAGAATGGTAGATCAATAAGATGATTTGGAATATAAATGGTACGAGTAGGAAAACAATATAAAAGTATGGTTTGACTGAATTGACACCAGTGATAAACAGAATCCAAAACGATAGGATACCTGGAAGAACAAAGAGGAATAAAAGGATTGGATGGAAAAGGAAAATAAATCTCATCAAGAGACCTGTTGGACGAGGTGGTTCAGTTAACACTACATCTGGTACTACTCTTGGTCCTGATGTTCTCATTCTTCCAGTATTGAAAATTGGGTGAGATTGTTGTACTTGTTGTTGTTGTTGTTGAATTGGAGGTATATTAATTCCTACTCCTCCTCCTCCTCCTCGATTAGTTCCTTTACCAAGTTCAATACCTCCATGATCATTGGGTGTATTATCATATGGAAATTCATCTTCATGGTGATGATGATGGTCGTAATGTGGATGGTGATGATGTGGATGGTGGTGGTGATGATGATCGTGATGATTATGATGGTTATGGTTATGTGGATGATTATGATGATGACTTGGATGATCTAAAATAAAAGAAAGATTTAATGATTAATAATAATGGTGGTCAGCGTCTTCAATTCCAAAATAAATAAATAAATAAATCATACCAGCTAAACTTTGAAACTCAATTGATGTCTCTTGTTGTTGTTTTCCATGTAATAGTGATGATGGAGATGTTATAAAACTCTCCAAAGATTGCATATTTTAAACTTGGTTTCCTATTCCTATTCCTATTCCTATTCCTTATCCTTGCTCTAAATTCGAAAGTAGTAAAATATATTTAAAATTATATAGATAGGGATAAAAAAAACAATTGTATTACTGTTGTTCTATCTATCTATCTCTCTCTCTTTGTCTTTGTCTCTAAATTATTATTATTAAAAGAAATTTAACAATTGCACATACGTTAGCATGGAACCATGTCATTATTATTATTATTAATGCATGAACAAAAAAACAAACAACATCATCATTGATCTCGCTGGTATCACCCTCCTCAGTCTCTCTTTCTAGTCACACCCCTACATAATAATAATAATAATAAGTGGGGGTTGAACCTATTGCCTACAAACCAATTAGACACATGTGTTATATTATATGGGGTTGTTCTCTATTCTCTCCTCTCTTACACACACACACAAAAAGAGAAATAATTGAAGAAGAAAGGGATGCCACTCTTTTCCAATGTAGAGATAAAACGGTAAAATGCCAAGTACCGTGTACAGGAGGAGGAGTAAATAAAGTAAGCATTGTTTGTATGTTTACTGATTATTATTATGCATTCACTCTCCACAAAAGGAAATAAATCGTATCATTCATTTAAACAAAAAAAACAAAAACTCTCTACTTTGGATCTTCTTTTCCTCTTTCCTATTACGCATTTACACTAAAGTCAATTTCATTTGCCAATTCAATTTCATTTCATTGTTGTAACAACAATCACTAATTATAGTTGTAATATATATATATATACACATACACACACAGAGAAACAGATAAAAAGAAATAATAATACTAATAATGTAAGATACACGGTTTCTAATGATCTTCACCATCTCATCTCGGTTTTCTTTTTCTTTTTTTTAAATTATTCAAAAATATATATGTTGCAAGCAAAGAAGCAGCTGATTAATTAGAGTAGTTCATTAATAATCACATTTATATATTATATATTATCTATAGATAGATAAGATATAAATAAATCATGACAAATTTATCAAAATCAGTAATAGTATCAATGAATTCATATACAGAGACATTGGTTAAATTGTTTGCACAGACATCTGGTAAAGACAAGTTAGCAAAGATACTTCAATATGGAGCCAAGTTGTTTGGATATATAGCATTGCGACAAAAGAACAAACATTGGATGGAAGTGATGAAGAAGCTAGAGACATCGAGTGGTAGTGCACGTAAGGTGTGGAGATTGGGTAACACGATGCAAGAGCAACAAAAGATCTTGCAGATGTTGCGTCAAGGCAACTGTCACCAATTCCTCAACATGTTGGCATTGATTCGTCAGTTGGGCATGTATTTCTATTGGGTGTTTGACAATTTGATCTGGTCGACCAACATTGGATTCACCAAACTCGACACCGCACGACTCGGATGGTACAGCTCCATCTCTTGGTTGTTTGGTCTCGTGTCTTCGATCATCATCGATATGAATGCACTCAGTGTTACTCTCAGAAAGGAGAAGCAACTCATCAAGGACGGCGTAGACATTAATAGCGACCAATATGTTGCCGTCCTCAAGAAAAAGCACGAGCTCTATCTCAATTGCTTCAAGAATGGTGCAGACTCTGTCATTGCCGCCAATCTCCTTAAAATCTATCAAACCAATCAAGGTACAGTTGGTACTTGTGGTCTCATCTCTGCTTTTATTGGTGCTTATCAAATGATTAGTGTTCAAAAATAATCAATAATGAAACAATTGATCAACCTATCAAACCTTATTTCCATTTTAAAATGCCGCACACACATACATTTTCAATTTCATTCATTTATTCCTCCTATAACTATTTATTTATTTATTTATATATTAGAGGATAATATTACATACCAAATCAACCAATCCTTATACAACTCACAACCAAACCTTATATAATAGTACAAAGTAAAAATAAAACAAACCTAAACCTTTTTTTTTAATTAATTAATCATCCTCTTGGATTATTATTCTTATTCCAAAATAATTAATTTATTCTTTTCATAACCAATGGTTGATAATTGGTCACTTAGTGATTGGTTAAATGCCAATGGTCCACATAATACTACACTGTTATTTTCCAAGGTCAGCGATTCATGATTCATATAACATTTACGTAATAACTCAAATCCAAGTCTTTGTCCATAAAATGTTTTAATTCTATTATTATTATTATTAGTAGTTGTATCTTGATTATTATTATTATTATTATTAATATTAATATTATTATTATTTTCTTCTTCTTCTTCTTCTTTTGTTATGACATGATATAATGTGAAATGAGTATGATATTTTTGTTGAATAGTTTCCAATTCTTTTTTATACAATATATCAGATGATTTGGAATTTGAATAGATTAATATTAAATGTGGTTTTGGTTGAAGTGAAATTGTAGTCGAAGAAGAAGAAGAAGAAGAGGAAGATGTTGTAGAAATAGAGATAGGAGGAGGAGGAGAATCAAATAGAGATTGATTGGTTTCTATTTCTACTTTTTCTTCTTTTTCTTTTTCTTTTTCTTCAAGTGGGAATAATACATTCAACATTTGAATGATTGGTGTAATGCCTGTACCACCAGCAATACAAACTAGATAGGGATGTGAATAATTATCCAATTTAAATTCTTGGTGTGTTTTAATGGGTCCTCTTAATCTTAGAGTATCTCCAATTGTTTTAGTTGATAAATATCTTGATATATTACCATTGGTATAACTCTATAAACAGACAACAATAAGAAATTAATATCAAATATTAATACAACATTATTAGTATTATTATTATTATTATTATTTTACATACTTTGATTAAAAAGTAAAGATGAGTTTTGTTTCCAATAACAGATGCATTGATAGGAGTATAACTGTTAAATTCATTGTTATTGTTGGCAACTGAAACATGAGTAAGTGGATGAACCCAATGATGTGCTTGGTTGAATGTCTTTTCAGTTGGTATTTCAACTTGCAAATGGAATGAATCACTAGATGCCATTTCTTTTGATATAATCTTTCCTTCAAACATTTTAAATGAAATTGATGTTGAAATCGTCGACGATTTTTGATGATTGTTAATATTTGTATCTTTAATATTTAATGTTGAAATTAAAGAAGTTGTTGTAGATGATATTGACAGAGTTGATGAAGACGTCGATGAAGAAGGTACCAACTTTGGTGGAAGGGATGATGGAGGAGGAGGAGCTCTATAAGAGGGTGAAAGTAGTGATGGTGCAGCCATTGATGATTGTGGTTGTTGTAACTTTGATGAAGAAGAAGAGGTCGCACCACCTTTTAATCTACCAATACAAAAACATTCAAGAATGAGACGAGCATTCTTACTGTGAAACATTGCTTCAAAGTCGTTTGTACCATTTTGACCACCTATTCTAAACAATAGGTTGAATCCACCAGGATGATAGTTGAGATAGGCAGTCAAGTCGTATACGTATGCACCTACAACCGTCCAAAAGTCAGTCTTTGTATTGTGTTTTGATATCTCATCCCAATCATAGGTTTGACCCAATTTGCCATTATACTTTGCTAATGCCTCTGTAGCAACATTTCTTATTCTTTCACTAACTGTATTTGGTCTGTTCATCAGCTATTCTATAAATAAATAGAAATAAATAAAAAGGAAAGGGATATAGATGGTATATTTGTAAAATGATTATAAACTAGTAGTGGGGTGGTAACAAGACGAATAAAACTTAAGTAGTTTTTTTTTCTAAATATTAATTTATTTATTTTCAATTTTATTTACAATCTCTGAGACTTGTTCAAGTTCACAAGTTGTGGCTGTATTGTCTTTTACGTCAAGTGACGTACTTGTATATATATATATATATACACGCAATCTCAAAAGTTACCAAACAATCATCGTCATCTGACATTGCACTGATTCTCGTCGTCAAGACATCATCGCATCTGGTATCGATGGTGTACCTTCTTTCACCGGGTCTTACCAAATTAGATATCACTGGGGACTACCCCTCTATTGACGCTGCCCTCCTTTTGTTACACAGCTTGGGTGGATGGCCTAGACTTTTGGAGTTATTCCTCTTTGACAGGAACAAAATCGATTTTATTCCTGTCAAGGAGAAATAACTAACTACCAAGATTCCTGGATCAAACCAAACGCCGAGAGGGATGCTCACATTCCTGTCGATAGAAAAAAAAATGGCGATGAATATATAAATGGTGGTGGGGCACCATATGATTGGTTCCAAAATATTGGTGGTCTATTCATCGCTGGTCAAGGTAAACACTCTCTCAAGCCAGATGTCGTAATCACGTTCGAAGAGATCTTGAAGGAATTGAAAAAGGCAAATCTTCCTAAAGGTGGAGGAATATTATTGTTGGTTACCAACCGGACGTTGAGGGGTCAAAGAGCCAATTGTCCTTGCCAAACTTTACAACTACTTTCCTCCGTCACTACGCGGAGTTTTAGGTATCAAAAGTCTTAAAAGAGCGAATTCGGGACGGACCTCCACCACTTTCCTCAGTTACAAGACAAGCTAAAAAGTTTAAAGAGTAACCAAACCATGTTCTTGAATTGATCCTTTAATAAAATTAATTAAATTCAGAGCCACCATTGTATTATTTATTATTTATTTTTCTCAGCTACTGCCTCTTCATATTTACAGCCAATCCATTTCTTTTGTATATCTCCTCCGATTTTTCTTTTATGCACAAGTTCCACTCTTTGAATCGCCCAATATGTTCTTCTTGATTTTTGTTGTACAGTTGTTATTGTGGTTTTGATCAAATAACATTGAATTGCTAATTTAGTTATAAATCAAATTTTGATCAGGATATAATATCTTTGAAATAAGAGTGCAATAGAATCAATTCTATCATCTGGAAAACTATCATATTCTTTAGTAACCAGTATGTTAGTTGGTTGGAAAATGGTTTATAAATAATAGATTTAGAGTTACATACTTTTTTAATAGATTAATTGCAAGTAGGTACTTTTGATTTGCAAAAGTACGTCATCATGAGTGTAAAAAAGAAACTTCAAATATTTCATCTTCATATTTACATTAACACAGATCACACATCTAAATAGTAATAGAGTATACTCTCAATGAGATGAGATGAATAGATTATTATTATCTTCATCTAAATCATTATCATGTGTCAATCAAGTACGACTAGTTAATACAAATACAACTACAAATGTACTTGTTGGACAAAGAAACTATAGTAGTAGTTCAAATAAACCATCAACCGAGTATGTAATTATTATATGTATATGTATAGTCAATCTCTAACATGTTCTTTATTAGATGGAAGAAATTATTATTTACAGATTTACATGTGTCATCGAAAACACTTGATCGAACCATCGATGTATTGTCAAGAGTACGTGATCTATCGACTAGTAAAGGGTTGCCAGTTGTCTTTTTAGGTGATTTTTGGCATCAAAGAAATATTGTACAGGTGCGTCATATTGATGCATTGCTCAAAGAGTTTGATCGTTGGAAAAAGGATGGTGTCGATGCCATCTTTATTCCAGGTAATCATGATCAAGTTAGTGTTGATGGTATCATTCATGGAATAGAGTTTTTTCGTCTATTTGATAACATTCAAGTGGCTACAGACCCAATCATCAATGAACAAGAGAAATGTGCCTATCTACCATGGAGAGAATCAAACTCTGCACAAAACCAATTATTCAAGGATTTGGTAGAACAACAAGGAGGCATTGATAATGCAAAGGATTGGACTGTATTTGCACATGCAGAATTGAAAGGTGCCACTTCAAACGGTGGATATTTGTCTAGTGGTAAAGTAGATGCTTCTCTATTGTCTAGTCTACGTGCTACTTATTGTGGTCATTATCACAAGAGACAATTAATAGGAAACAACTCTTGGTATATAGGTAGTCCATATCAACAAAACTTTGGTGAAATGAATGACCCACATGGTGTTGCTATTGTATCCTCTCATTCTATTCAACCTCAATTTATCAATTTCGATGATACTCCAAAACATTGGAGATTAACCTATCCACAAGATTTCAAGTCAACTTTATCATTATCATCAAAAGTTCAAAAGAATGATATTGTAGAGATTAGAGCAACCAAAGAATCAATGAAATCTAATGAATTTATCAATACTTTGGAATCTTTACCTCCTCTTTTAGATATTAGAAGAGTTATGATTAATCAAGAATCAAATAATAATAATAATAATAGTATCCCCTCCTCATCATCTTCTTCATCATCATCTACTTCATCTACTTTTTCTACTACTTTTGATATTTCAAAATTAAAAGAGAAATATAATAATAATCATAAATCATTGGATGATTTTATAATTGAATATGTAAAATTGAAACAACCAACATTAGATAGTATCAATAATGAAGAGATGGTTAAAAAAGGAATGGATGTATTGGATTTGGTAAAAGATACAATGATTAGACCAATGGGTAGAAAGGTATCAATTAAAGAGATTGAAGTTACTGATTTCTGTAGTATTACAGGACCATTGACATTGTCACTGTCTGATTATCGAATGTTGATGATTCGTGGACAGATGGGATCTGGAAAGAGTAGTCTATTCGAATCGATGGTTTGGGCAATCTATGGTAACACTTCACCTAGAAAACAAGCATCTTCATCATCTTCTATCAAAGGTGATGAGGTGATTAATGATCGAGCCAAGATGTGCAAGGTCACCGTTAGATTACAGGTAGATGGTCGTGACATTTCCATTACTCGTTCAAAAACTAGAGGAAAGGGTGCCAAGGTTGAAATCAATGGATTGGATGCAACACTCAGACAAGGTGTAAGCGATCAACAGTCGCTGATCAATAATATTATTGGGTTGGACTATGACCTCTTTAGAATGTGTGTGTATATGGGTCAGGGTAGTATCAGTAATTTCGTGACAGACAGTGATCGTCGTCGAAAAGAGTTGTTGTCACGTGCCTTCTCGCTCGGTCTATGTATACCCGCTCACAAGATTGCAAAGGAACAAAGAAAGAAACAAGAGAATTTGGTAACCGAATTGGAAACAAAATTGAATAGAATGACTGCTCAATTATCAACTTGGACAGATATCGATTATGAAGAATCAACTCTTGAATGGGACTCAAATCGTCAAACAAGAGTAAAAAGAATAGAAAATCAATTGGAAAAGGAGAAAAGGGAATTGGAAGAACTTGATATTCAAAATAATCTTAAAAAACAACAACAACAAGAAATACAAGAACAAAGAGACGAACTATTAAATGATATGAAACATTTGGATTTGGAGAGAAAAGAGTATCAAGAAGAATACCATAGACGTCATACCATGACACATAAACGTCTATTCAACAATGAATTCAAGGTTGGAAATATCAACAAGGAGATAGCAGAATTGCAAAAATCTAAAAAACATTTAGAAAAGCATAGTAAGCAGGGATTGGATAATGTACAATGTGGAGAGTGCGGTCAACTGATTGACCAATCATTGCAACTGACCAAGATGGAAACACTACAACAACGAGTAAAAGAAAAGCAGAGTGAATTGGCCGATTTGGATAACCAAAAATTATCGATTGATCAAGAGATTGATGCTTTGAATCTAGAGAATCGTACAACCATGACTGGATTTGGAAAGACAAGTGAAAGGATCAATGCATCATTACAACAACTTAAAATTCAAGAGGGTAATTTTGGATATCGTATCGAATTTTCTCAGAGAACGATTGAAGATTTAACACGTCAAAAACAAGCACTAGAGAATGAAGTCAATCCATTCGAATCACAGTCAAAAGCAAGAATGGCACAAATCGATAAACTACAACAAGATTCAACCAACCTACAAAACAACATTGAAACAGAGTCTAGGGAATTGGATAGACTTGTGTTTTGGGAACGTGCCTTTGGAAGTGACGGTATATCAGTCATGGTATTAAACTCTGTTGTCAAAGAAATTGAAAATTATGCAAATGAATATTTATCAATCTTGTCAAAAGGAAAGTTATTTACATCATTGTCAATTAGTAATACTAGAGATGAAAATGGACATGATGACATTGACAATGGTGATTTATCATTACAAGTATATGAAATTGATGATAATGATAAAGGTAGAATCACAGAAAGATCTTTCTACTCTTTATCTGGAGGTCAAAGAAGATGTGTAGAGTTGTCATACAGTCCATTTGCACTCAGCGAGGTTATATTCAACCATGTTGGATCTAGAATCACAACATTGGTGGTAGATGAACTAACCAACCATCTAGACCAAACGATCAAGCCTGTCATTTGTGACTTGCTTCGTAATCATCTCAAAGAAAAAGATTCAATTGTCGTCATTGATCACGACCAATCTGTTCAATCAGAATTTGACAATGTTTTAAATCTTCAATTTAATGATTTAAATAATAAACATCAATTTGTTGAAATTTGAAAAAAATAATTAAAAGATTATTAATAAACCCTAAACCCTACCTACCCCCAACAGATAGAGTAAATTTAAATCAAGTCCTCCCTCCCTCCCTCCCTCAACATAGAAAAGCCAAAAAAAGTATAATGATCCGCCACGCCAAAGTTTTGAGGGGTGGCTTTTCGAGAACCAAGTGTTCAATTTAGACCAACAACAAGTATAAAATCATAGTTTTGGATATATATAAATATAACAGATAGTTATTTTCATTTAATTCAATTAAATCAATCAAATAATTATAATCATGTTATTCAGTAAGTTATATATACATAAATATAAATATGTAAATTGTGATTGGTTGATTTTCTTTTTGTTTTTTTGTTTTAGAACAATTAGCCAACCTCTCTCAAATTCAAACCAGTGGTGGATACTCATCATCTGCAAACAAAACTAGCACCGCAAATGAATTCAATTTCCAAGATCCATTTACGACCCAAACATCACTAGGTGCCAACAAAGTTGCTTTCAAATTTTCAGGTGATGAAGTTGTATGATATTCTACTACTTATCATCATCATCTCCTTAAGAAAAACAATCAAAGAATTTATTGTACAATAAATTTTAAATATTAAAAAATGTAAAGTTACTTGGTTGGTACAAACTTTTTTTGTTAGAAAAATAACAATCGATATGTAGCTTTGGGTGGTTATTTTATTTATTTATAATTATTTAACATAATGGATGGGGTTGGTGATTATTATTATGACCATTGCCAGTGTTGCATTTGATGGCGGGACATGCATTTTCATCTTTGATGCATTGACGGTGTCCATTGATACTAGCACATAGGTATCCTTGTGGACATCCAATATGACGGTGATTGCCAGCATGGTGGATGTGACTAGGTTCAAGGTCACATTCATGTGGTCGATGAGTTGTTATTCCTGATGATCCACCTGTCAATGATGATGATGATGATATTGATGATGATGATGTTGTTATGGATGATGATGATGTGCCAGTCGTTGGATGCACTGTCGTATGCTCTCCAGTGGTTGTCACAACTTCGGTTGTCGTCACCACTCCTGTTGTTGTGACTATTGCTGTTGTTGTCACTACTCCTGTCGTCGACACTACTCCAGTCGTTGTCACTACTCCAGTGGTTGTTGTTACTGGTGGACCAGTCGTTGAAACTATTCCTGTCGTCGACACTACTCCGGTCGTCGTGACCACTCCAGTGGTTGATACAACTCCGGTTGTCGTGACCACTCCAGTCGTAGATACAACACCAGTTGTCGAACAATTATCAACATGAGCGCAATTGCCATCGATACAACTATCGTCAGTGCATTCATCACCATCATCACCTATTAAAAAAACAATCATTATATTATTATTATATATTAGTATTAAAAAAAAGATAGAAACAACTTACAGGTAATCGGTTCTTCAATACAAGTATCTGCACCGACATCACACAAATTGACAAAACAAGCATCGGTACTTGGTGGACAAGTATTTTGAAAGGAACATGTAGTTGTTGGCTCATCACAGTGATCCGATGTGCAAGATAGACCATCATTACATAACTCTTTTGGTAAGCATTGATAGGGATAGACATTGTCACAAGAGGCATCGAGACATGAGTTGGTTGGCTTGGAAAAGGAACAGTCACCACCAGGTTCACCATAGCACTGGAATGAGTTGTAGTCGCATCGTGGGAATCCACAGAGTCCGTGGTTTTGTATGTTGGGGTCGCAGTCAAAGTCATCACAACATTGCTCTTGAAAACATTGACACATCGATATTCTCAGCCACATGTCTGAACTTGGTGAGGCCATATTACACCTGAAAATGTCCAATTCTACGGGACCTGCACCAAAATCAGTTGTATCGTAAAAATGGGGATTGTCGGCCACCAGTCGGCCATTTGAATAGATCCAGAGATTGCCTTTGATGTAATAGTTTCCATAGGAGGGATTGGGACATTTGAGGTCGGCAAAAACTTTGGTGTGACCGCACCAATGAAAGTTTTGCCTGACCATTGTAATCCAGATACTCTGTTTCTCCTGGATAGGCAGAACTGTCATCGTAACCTTGACCATTGATGGGGAAATAAGAGGGTCTATCAAAGAGGTACTCTACGGGGGCGAGTACGTAAAAATCCATATAATCTCCATTGTTGACGGTCAAGGAAATGTCTGTCACCTCGTGAAAGTACGAGTAAAAAGAGGAAGGGCTCGCGACTGACCCAAGGGGACTAGCACCAGGTTAAATATAGGTCGGTGTTCCATCTGGTCCCAAACTGAAATCAACCAACCCCTTTTCTCCTTGATCGTGTGATTCCCAATATACATTTTCAAAGTCACCTAAAATAATAATAATAACAATATTAATATTCATTTTAAAAAACCAATCATAATTAATAATTATGAAATTTATCTAAACATACTATTTCTTTGAGGAGTAGTATCAAAGAATTCTATAGGTTGAATTGGATGGATTGCTAAATTTTATAATTTAAGGAGGAAGAGTAGGTCTGAGTTAGTAGATGATTTGATCTATCAGGATTTTACATACGAGGAGGGAATGGTTGAGAATTGGAACAACATAAAAGGACATCTAAAACAAAGATCACTAAAAACAGAAATCTTTGTCTATTTTTAATAACCATGTTTTCTCAAACTAGATAGTATTTAATTATCAATGTGTATGTATTTCTTTTGAATCAAGGAGAGCTATCGTGCATTGAATTTGAATTCATTTGAAGTGTTGGTTTGATCAGCAGATCAATGGTAGAGTGAATGAAATGATCCGTTATATTAATAAATGTATTTTCACATTCTATGAGCTCGTTGCTTTTCACAGTGAGTCTTGTTATGAGGGGGTTTTTGATTGTGTATTTTGAAAGACTGAGAGAATTTATTTATATTAACAAGCCACGATGAATCTAAACAAAATCATTCATTCTGAGAGTAAAAACAAAGACAGTGGTTGTCATTTGGTATTCATTTTTAACACTTTCGACCCCCACAATGAGAGAGGGGAGGTTAATTTCGTACTGGAAAACATGAGTGGGATTTCTGTCATTTCATTGGTAGTCACTCACAGAATGATCATGATTTTTTTGATGAGGAGGAAAGTTAGTTACATCATTATCAATTGGAAGTAATAGTAGTAGAGATGAAAATGGACAAGATGACATTGACTGGTGACTTGCTTCGTAATCATCTCAAAGAAAAAGATTCAATTGTCGTCATTGATCACGATCAATCTGTTCAATCAGAATTTGACAATGTTATAAATCTTCAATTTAATGATTTAAATAATAAACATCAATTTGTTGAAATTTAAAAAAATAATTAAAAGATTTTTAATAAACCCTAAACCCTAGCTACCCCCCAACAGATATAGTAAATTTAAATCAAGTCCTCCCTCCCTCCCTCAACATACAAAAGTCAAAAAAAGTAGTACTGATCCGCCACGCCAAAGTTTTGAGGGTTGGGTGGTGGCTTTTCGAGACCCAAATGTTGTATGAAACCAACAAGTATAAAATCATTGTTTGGATATTGTTATTTCCATTCAATTAAATCAATCAAATAATTATAATCATGTTATTTAGTAAGTTAATTAAATATTAGAAAATGTTATAATATAATATTTATTTATATTTTTGTTTTAGAACAATTAGCCAACCCCTCTCAAATCCAAACTGGTGGATACTCGTCATCTGCTACCACCAACAACCCTAATGGATTCAATTTCCAAGACCTATTTGCCAAGCAAACATCACAAGCTTCCAACAAGGTTGCTGGTGATGAACTTGTGTGATACTTGAACCACCCCGCGAATACCATTAATTTTAAATATAAAGAATAAGGAGTTATATATATTCCACTACTTGTCATCGTCATCATGAACAAGTCAATATTTATTTATTATTATTATTTATAAAAACAAATCAAGAATCAATATTGATTCTTATCTTTTCTTTATTATCAAGATATTAGAAAGCATTTGTTTATTCGTGCTGTCCCTAACTTTTTTTTCCTCCCTTTTTAGGGAATTTTTACTCAGCAAAAGCTTTCCTTTCCTTGCTTGCAAAGCTGACTTTATTTTTTTTTTATTTTCTTAACTACCTTTTTGTACAAACAAATAATTTTAAAAACAAAAAAGAGTATATAGAAAAGAAAAGAAAGAAGAGGATATATATAGATAGATAGATAGATAGATAGGAGAGTGAGAGACAAGCATTCAAAAAGAAAGAAGAGACATATATATAACTTAGTTTGAAAGAATGGAAAATATACCAGAGATACAGTTTGATCAATATTGCTTTTTCATTCATAGATTAAAGCTTAGATCAACGTTAAACTATCGAACTAAATTACCAACTTTGGCAAAGGATCAGGCTGGTAGTCCTCTCATTGTAAAGATTGCAAAAGAGTTGAATGATGCTTCAGAAAGTTATAATACCTTTTACTATTCTGAAAAGGCAAAGAATTTAGCTGAAAGTAAGTAAAGAAAAAGAATAAGAAGAAAGAAAGAAAGTAAACAACAAAATTACATTCATTCTAACTCAATTTATGTATTTATATAAATATAGTTAATATTGAAGAATTAACAGAATGTGTAAATAATTATGTGTCCTTGTTGGGAGGATTTGTCGGTGGTAGTAAATTATTCCAATTACCAATTGTACAACCTGATGACAATGAAGTCATTGTAGTTGCTGGTCAATCAAATAATCATCATCACCAACACAACAATCATAGTCATGATGATGATGAAGATGGTGACTCAACCTCAAAAATGCATCAAGAAGAAGGAGAATCAACAACAAATCATAGTGATAATGAAGGAGATGAAGAGAAAAAAGACAATGATGATAAAGAAGACAAAGAAGAAGAAGAATTTCAATTACCAAAAATATCAGGAACTACTACAACTACTTCTTCAAAATCATCTTCTTCATCTACTTCTTCATCAATGAATGATTCAATTAGAAAAAATTTACAATTTCAATGGGGAACAATATTTGGAACAGAAAGAATATGCAAATCTTCTGATGTAGTGGTAGAATTGATTAGTGTATTGATGAATCTTGGTGTTTGGTATCTTGGTTATTCTGAATTTTTGGTTTCAAAGAGTCAGACGACTGCAGGTTCTGACTCGATTGATGAAGAACAAAGAAAGGTGGTCTATGACTATTTGTTAAAGGCTGCTGGTATTTTTGAATGGATCATGGAAAAGACACCAACACTTGGTTTGGATTTGGCAGGTGTCAACATTTTGGATTTCAATAGTACCATTCTCAGAGCTCTCTATCTCCAATCGATTGGACAAGCTCAGGAAATATCAATTGGACGTGCATTCAAAAAGAATACATCGAGAAGTATCATTACCAAGCTTGCCGTAGACACTGCCAGCATCTATGGTGAAATTGGATCGTTGCTCGAAGGTATGGACCAAATCACAGAGAATCGATTGGAGCGATTCATGTTGTTTTGTAGATTCAAACAACAACTCTATCGTGCATTGGCAATCAATCAACAGGCCTATGTGTTGAACCAGACACATCAATACGGTGCTGCCATTGCCACTGGCAACCAGTCACGTGAACTCGTTAAAAAGGCATTGACCCTTATCCGTCCATTGGCATGTATCACACTATCGGTAGAGTCTATGAAACTGCCAATCACCGTCCTCCAAAAGATGATTGAAGCCGATCAAACTCGTTTCGAACGTGAAAACAAGGTCATTGGTTTCCAAACCGTCCCCGACCAAACCCCAGATCTTCCAGAGGGAAATCGTTTGGCCAAAGCTCGTCCCTTTGTCCTTCCCATGCTCAGTCCTCTATGGGACTCGAAAACCTTTGATCAATTTGACAGTTCCAGAAAATTATCCGAAACTGATATCAACTCTCTCATTGTTCAATCTCCATCGTCTAGTTCCACTTCAAATTCACCAGTCCTAAGTAGTAAAGATAAAGACAAAGATAATGATTATATTAATATTAATAGTAAAGAAAAGGAAAAAGATAGTAATAATAATTCAAGTCCCAAATCAGAGAAAAAGGAATGTTTAATTAATTAGAAGATAATCATCATGTCATTTTGTTCATAGTTTTTTTTTTTGTATAATAATAAATAATAATAATAATAATAATAAATAATTAAATAAATTTTTAATCAATCATATATATTTTTTACATGTGGATGATGATGTCACATATTTTTGGACCATATAAATATTATAGCCGTTAAAACGGCTTCAACAAAAAATTTTAAAAAAATTGAAAAAAATTAAAAAAAAAAATGGAGGATGTTTCTCTCCTCACAACTCACAGCTTCTGCCAGATAGATAATACATATAAATATATAAATTATCATTCATATTCTTTAAAGATAGTAGATTCAAGATCAACAACAACAAACAACAACAAACAACAAAGATAAAGTAAAAGTTGAAGACTTCAAAAAGAGGCAAAAAAGACATATAAATACTCTGTGATCATCATATATAGTGAGAAATATCGTAGAAATTAATTAAAAAGTATTTGGTAATTGCATCACCGTGACGGCCCTATCAGTATTAGTGATACCGACTACAACAACACTGGACAAGACATCCAACATCATATATACGACGACGTAAAGACGACTGCCACATAATAATAATAATAATCGTAGCAACAACCATATACAACAACCACACACACTACCTACCCCATCAACAACAAAGCAATCATAATAGTATCATATAAAAGTGTATAGATAATAGGCAGCAGCAGCAGCAGTAGTAGTAGAAGATAGACTACTGAAATTAATACATAGAGAGAGAATCGATTTTTATGGATAAATCAACCACCAACTCATTGTTGGACTTGGGCATTAATATGACCGGGTCAATCAACACCACCACCACCAATCACCATGGCGTCAACAATGACTTATTTTCAAACATGAGAATGTCACAGCTACTTGATTTGAACGGGTTTGTAAATGCATTTGATAGTGTTTCGCCTGCAACTGCCACCTTTCAATCATTTCAAAGCCATCTTCTCAGACAATCTCAAAATTTAGATCAGCAACAACAACAACAACAACTGCAACAACCAATCAACTCTGATCAACTTCAATTACAACAAATTCAACAACAAATACAACAATTACAACAATTACAACAAACATTAAGTGGTTCAAATGTTAACAATGGTAGTGGTAATAATAATAATGGTAATAATATGACATTTAATCAATTTCAACAACAACAACAACAACAACAACAACCTATATTACCTACGATTCAAAATGTATTTAAACAACAACCACAACAACAACCACAACAACAACAACTACAACAACAGAATATACAACAAAATATGCAACAGAATCTTCAACAAAATCTAAATATTCAACATGTATCAACTTCTTCTTCTTCTACTTCTACTACTTCAACTTCTTCAACTTCACCAAACTTGTCATCATTAACCAATTCTATATCAAATTTATTTGAAGGAATTGATTTACAATCAGAGTTGAAGGAGGTATATTCATCACTTCAAACCCTTTCACAAGAATCACTTCAACATTTATTCTTTTTATCGAGAGCTCTTCAGCCACAAGTGACCGAGGATCTTAGATTTTCATTGATCAACAAGATGTTTGCCGATGTACCCAAGATTATCGAACAACTCTCATTGTCCAACATCCAAGCCTATGCGGCCGACACTTCCAACCACGCCTTTAAACTGTTTCTCGACTTTAAGGAGCTCGCCAACCTCTTGGGTCGCGTCTCTTATATTCAACTTTTCCAAATGACCAACAACCTCGTATCACCAGGCACACCTCAATCACAATTCTCTCAACTACAACGCATCCAAGAATACTTTATGCGATGTTCACCCGATCAATTACGCCTTTTAAATCAAGCTGTCGATAGCTCTTCTTCTTCCTCTTCCTCGCCGACAAGTATGATGGGGAATCAACGCCTTTTACAAATAGATCCTACCATCTCTATCGATATCATGCAATTTATCTCTGGTATTGTATCATTGCCTGTCAATGAATTGATAACGTTTCAACAATGGTTTGTTGTACTCTCAAAGAAAATGTTGGCCGTTTTATTGGCAATGCTTCAATTGGAAGCATCTACAGTTTATGATCTTAAACGTATACTTGCTTCAAGTCATTTACCAATTTTACCTCAAATCAATAATAATCAAAATAACAATCAAAATAACAATCAAAATAATTCTGTATATCAACAACAAAATCAACTTTCACTTCAACAATTACAAAATAATCAACAAAATAATATTAATAATCCAACTATATCAATATCGAGTAATAATGAACAACAAATAACTTCATCTCTTAGACAATCATCAACACCACCAAATCTAATGTCATCGGAATTTGCGCTTTCTTTACCTCCACTTTTCCCACTAAACTTGTCAAATTCAATTGGAAATATTGAATATCATCATCAACAGAATCAAAATCAATTAACCCTTTCACCTAGTAACCTTACTAAATCACCTGTAAAGAATGAACCACCACCTCAATCACCTCAACCACCTTCATTAGTTTTAAATACTTCTGCTTCCTCTATTTTAGCTAGTTCGAGTACTACTGATGATTGGTAAATATAATAGAAAGAAAGAAAAAAATAGAAAAAAGAAATTAGATTATTTATTTACTTTTTTTTATTTTTTTAGTCCATTTTATTTAAAGATTGCAAGACAACCACCAAGTTCAACAGTTTATCAAAGAATTTTAAAACCATTCCCATCGGTCATGTTGTGTGGACCAGGAGTGGAAAATGCAAACTTGTCAAACTTTTTTGTAGAGGCATCATTGTTGCGTCATGACAATCAAACTGAAATCCCAACCTATTTGGATGGTAACAAGATATCCAGAATTTCCAATGGTACATTTGCCCCGTTTAAAAAATTAAAGATCCTTTCAACAACCATTCAACTGCGAACCCTTTTTAGAATTAAATTTGTATTAAAACGTTATGTTGGCAATGATTTCCAAACCATTTCCAAAGCTTCTGTTTTATCTGATCCAATAGAAGTTTTCTCTCATACTATTTATCTTTCTGATAAACAAGATGGTAAATAGAAAAAGAAATAGAAATAGAAAATAGAAAAAAAGTATTAATTTAAAATTTTCTATTTTATTTTAGTACCATTACCACCAACAGTGACAGAAGTAATTCCAAGTCAAGGCGCACCAAATACAAGAATGGTAGTTTTGGGTAATAATTTTGTAAAGAGTGATAATTTAAGTGTAATGTTTGGACCTTCCTCGACAGGTGGACAATTTTATGAAAAGGGAACTATTATTTGTAATGCACCAGAACGCGATGCATCTGTCAAAAGTGGGTCTCCTGTACATGTAAATGTTGCAAATGATGGTGAAAATTATTCAACCGATTCTGTCAGTTTTACCTATACAAGATAAAACAACAAATATTAAAATAAATCATATAATCAAAATAATATAATCAAAAAAAAAAGATTTGTAACCTACCCAAATTTGGGTTTTTTTTGGTGCACCGTAAAATCTGATCGCCCCCTTTACTTTTCTTTTAAAAAATTTGGCTACTTTTCTGATCAAGGTAGTGATCCCGATGAGAGACTTGAATCAACTCAAATTATACTCATTCATTCTTTTTACAAAACATTCATATAGATATAGAGCAGAGAGAGAGAAAAATGGGAAATAATTCATCAAAATCAAATTCAACTTACAACGAAGGTAAAAAAGATCTAGAACGAAATGAAAAGAGAGATATTTTCAAAGATATATATATTAATATATAGATTGATTGTTTGTTGTTTCAATTGATCTAGATGAATCAACAAAAAGAAAAAGAGAACAAATATTAGATGAAATTATATCAACTGAAAAGACCTATGTAAACTATCTATGTGTTATAGAAGAGGTTTATTTAGAGCCAATGCGTAAACAAAAGATAACATCTACAGAGAATATAGAAGCAATCTTTTCAACGGTCGACCAGATTGTTTCATTTCATCGAGACTTTTTTACAGAGTTGGCAAGCACCTATAATACATTTTCTTGGATTTCTTCAACTGTTACACCTCCCACTAGAGTCACTACTGTGACTACGTCCAACTCGACAACCATCACTACAACTACAACTACAACCATTTCACCAAAACAAAAGATTACAAATACTTTTGAAGCAATCTTGGCAATCTTGGATGTATTTAACAAACATCGATCAAACTTTAAAATCTATAGTTCTTATATCGTTGCCTATGATAATGCAATTTCAACATTGAATCGATTAAAAAAGAAATCTTCATTTAATAATTTTATCGAAAAATGTAGAACTGATTCAAGATCAAATGGTCAAGATATTAATTCTCTTATTATTATGCCTGTTCAAAGATTACCTCGTTATGTTTTATTATTAAATGTAAAAATAGAAAAAAAAGAAAAAAGAAATATATTTATTTATTTATTTATTTCTTTTTTCTTTTGTTTTAGGAATTATTAAAAAATGTACCAAATTTAAATATTTATTCAAATATAACAAAATCATTGGAATCTTGTATTGGAGGAGTAAAAAATGTTACACAATTTGTAAATGACGCTAAAAAGGACGATGATATGATGGCAAGATTAAAAGAATTACAAGATGCATTGTTGGACAAGGTCAATATGAATGAACCTGGTAGAAGATTGGTAATGGAAGGTCAAGTGACTATTCATTCTACTTATCCTCTAAAGGAAAAGGATGAATTATTGAAAAGAATTAGAAAATATAGAAAACAGAAAAAAGCAGATACTCAACAAGAAAACATTGTCTTTCCAGAGGAATTTAAAACACCAAACAATATCATCAATTATTGTATTTTTAATGATTGTTTGGTTTTCCTAAACAAACCTCCAAAATCTTCAATATCAAATTTTATCAATTCCTCAAAAATCTATTCTATAGTTGATTGTTCAATTTATGATCAAGTTAAAGCTTTTGATGTTTTAGATATTTTTGGTATGAAACAAATAGAAATATATAAATACATAAATATTAATATTTATCTCTCTCTCTCTCTCTTTTCTCTTTAGGATATAAAAATGGAATAATAATATTTACAGAAAAATTATGTTATTTTATAAATTTACCAACTTTAAATGAAAAGGATAGATTGTTGGAGACATTGGCAATGAGTAAGAATTTACCACCTATCCCTGTGACCAAAGAAACATTGGCAGCTGCATTGGCATCATCTTCAAATCTTCCCGGCCTATTGACAGTGAGAGAGAGATCAGCCACAACGACTACACCCGCCATCAAGGAAAAGGAGAATACCACCCAACATAAATCGTCACTTTCGTTTATTTCGAGTTCCTCCTCCTCCTCGTCTTCCTCGTCAACAACTTCCAAAGCATCTTCCAAAAGCTTTATCCTAAGCAAATCAACATCGTCTGCATCTGCAAAAGAAAAGAACAACGAAAAAGACAAAACCCAAGGTACTATTGGTCCAAGAAAAAGCTTATTCTTTAAGGATAAAGACTAATTAAAGATATGTATCGGGCTAGTCTAGACTTTTCCGAGCTCAAAACTTTTATTTATTATTGTACAATAAACACAACAACATCTTACCTTGTTTTTGGAGCATTGGAGACCATGGTCTCCAAAAACTCAAACAACTTTTCCAAAAAATCATAAAAAAAAAATCTTTCCTTCAATCCCGACCTTTAAATTATAAAATATCCCCCAATGTGATCTTGTTCCGACCAACCCTTGTTTCAAAACGACGCACCCGTTTACTATAAATTTAACATTGGAACTTTTAAGTGTATTCATATAGATATATATATATATAATCATTTCATTTACCAATGTTTAGATACTCAATTTATATTTTATTTTTAATTTGTTTGATTGTACAATCATCAATAGCAACCAACTTATTTTCAGAAAGTCATTATCAAAATGCTTTTAGAAACTGGATGAACAAGCATGACAAGAGTTATGAATCTGGTCACTTTAACAAGGCTTACAATACTTTCAAGAACAACTTTGACCTCATTACCACCTGGAACCAACAAAAGCATTCATCTAGATTGGGTTTGAACAAGTTTGCCGATCTTTCAAACAAGGAATTCATCTTGCAATTTACAAATGCCAAGGGTCAAATCAATCATAACAATAATAATAATCAATTAGTTTCAACTTTTGATTCTTCATCCTCTTCATCACCAATTCCAATTTCAGTTGATTGGACCAAAAAAGGAGTAGTTTCAGCTGTACCAAACACTGATGCTGATTGTTTATCATCTTATGCATTCTCATCTGTTGGTTGTGCCGAAAGTATGTGGGCCATTTACAATGACTTTGCAGTCATTCCACTCTCTGTTCAACAAGTCCTTGATTGTTCTGGTGGAAATGGTAATGAAGGGTGTAATGGTGGAGAAATCAACAACTCTTTTGAGTATATGATCGTTGATGGTCTCCAAAGTGCCAAGACCTATCCATTCAAAGGAAAACAACAAAAATGCCAAGCTGACCCAGTCGAAACTGTCGCTGCCTATTCCAACTATACCACCATTGCTCAAGCCGATGAACAAGAAATGGCCCAAGCCGTCGCCACCCATGGTCCAGTCTCGGTCTATATTGATGCCAGTGGTGAATTCCAATTCTATGAATCTGGTGTATATTACAATGCTCAATGTTCATCTACCAATCTCGATCACTCTGTCTTGGTTACTGGTTATGGTGTCCTCAACAATGATAATTACTGGTCCATTCGTAATGAGTGGGGAACTGATTGGGGTGTCAATGGTCCGTTTCTTAAAAATTGGCAATAGAGATAATTATAAAAGAGATAAATATTAATATATTTATATATTTTTTTCAAATTTTTAGGATACGCTTTAATGTCAAAGGATAAAGGTAATAACTGTGGTATTGCAACCAAGAGTTCTTATATCATTGTCAAGGGTTAAAAGTATCAAGAAGAAGAAGAAGAATGATTAAAGAAAGCGGGGTTGTTCAAAACCTTTTAATAAAATAAAAAATGTTTTCATTTTTATTTTATTCATCCACAAATTTCTTATAGTTTTAGTTTATTTTTGTTTAAAAAGAAGAAGAAGAAGAATGATTAAATAAAATGGGGGGGTTGTTCAACCCTTTCCTTTAAACATTTAAAAGTATCAAGAAGAAAAAGAATGATTAAAGAAAGCGGGTTTGTTCAAAACCTTTTAATAAAATAAAAATTTTAATTTAATTTTTTATTCATCTTTATGGTCAAAAACCTTTGAAAAGTTTTGTTTGTTTACAAATTAACAAAGTTGATTATTTATTTTTCTTCTCTCTCTCTCTCTATATATATATATTTGCAATGAATAGAATTAATTCAATTACTGGATCTTTATATCGTTTTTATTCCAAACAACAAAATCCTTGTATTAATGGTAGAGGAGAAGAAGGATTAAAGAAAATCTTTAAAGACAAGAAACTATTAGTACCATTTCTAAATGATGTATTTGGTCTTCAAGATCAAGACAAGATCAAATCTCTCACCTTCTTGGGGCCAATCCACCCCGGATTGGACAACCTTTCAACCATCTATGATCTTGGTTGTACTACAATGTCAAAGAAACGAATTATCATTGAAATGCATAGAGCAAGCCAACCATTCATTCCCTCACAAAGAATTCATCGCTCCTTTTGACAAAATGAAAGAGATTCCAAAACCAATCATCTCTTTCATATTTGTTTTGGTAATACCCTGTTTCCGAATCGCCCAAAGGAATCAATCATCAAATCAAGTCTGATATTTCAAGTTGACAACTTTGAACCAATTCTCCCAAAGAACCAACTTGTTTTTGTACAATTTGATGCATTCTCTAATGAATCGATTACAAATGAATCTTCATTGACCGAGAAAATGTGTACTGCCGTTTCTTTGTCTTTAGAACTGCCAAGTATCCAAGACCTTCCAAATCCGATCAAATCTGAACCTCTCATCATTGATGCAATGAAAAAACTATTAATTAAATAAATTTTAATATTATTTATCTTTATTTATTTTATTTTTAGAAATCAAAAATTTTATTTCCACCCATATTTTCATACATTAATTTAGCAATTCTTCCATTGACGTATTGATCAATTTTACCAAAACTTTGAATTCTAATATCTGAAGGTACAATTTCCAATTTACTTCTAATCAATTCAACTTCAAATGCCCAACTATTGATTGGATTGTCTTTGAGATTGATTGAAAGACGACTTTTTACCTTTTCATTGATGACCCATTGTGTTGGAGGTGAGGATAATTGTTTTGACAATAATTCCTTTTCCATTTCATAGTTGATTTGATCTAGTTTGACAATACTTTTTTCAACCCTTTTAAATAAACCATAAATGTCTTGTTTTTCATTTACCTTTTCCAATTCCAATCTTTGTTGTTCTTGTAATCTCTCCTTTTCCTTTTCTTGGTTTCTTTTTTCCACCCATTCTTGTTTGATTTTGTATAGTGGACCATTGGTATCTTTTAGATTTTCAATCTTTAATTTGGTTGCTAGCAACTCTATAAATCCTTCAGTCTTTTCAACAATTGTAAAGATGATTCTATTATTTAAAATCGATTCAATAGATGATCTATGTTTTGGTGCTACATTTAACAAAGATGTTGTGATTCTATTTAAATCTTCATTGTATTGATTGTTTGGTCTTTTTAATATTCCTTTTTTTACTCTTTCCCAAATGATTTTATTATCTTCTGATCTTTTTGAGTCTCTAAAAATTAAAAAATAAAAAAGGTAAATAAATATTAAATAGAATAGATAGATATTCTTTTTTTTTTTTACCCAAAAGGATTATATAAATTTAATAATTCATAAAGTACAACACCTAATGACCAAAGATCAGTTGAATGATCATAATCTTCACGATTACAAATTTCAGGACTCATATAGAGAACTGTTCCAATCGTAGTATTGGTTTGTTGGTGTAAATCTAAAAACTTTCCAGCTTTATAAAAGAAAGAATCCAAAATATAAATCAAAATTAATTTAATTATTTCAAAAAAAAAAAAGATATTATATTATATTATACATCAGAACATACCTCCAAAGTCGGCAAGTTTAACTTGATAATCGTGTAGAACAATATTTTTGGGTTTGATATCTCTATGAATGATTTTATGATCATGAACATATTTAATTGCTGCACAAAGTTGTGAAAACCATAATATTATAGTCTTAAAAAAAAAAAAAAAAAGGAAAAAGGAAAGGAAAAGAAAATCTGTTAATATTGATATATATAAATATAAATTTAAAATGTTTTTCTTACTTCTTGAAGAATGGGAGTATTATCTTGTTGACATTTCTTTAAAAAGGTACCTAGGTCACCTTGGTTGGCGTATTCCATGATAATATAGAGATAGCCGTTTAATACAAAGTTGTTGATGTAACCAACGATAAAGGGATGCTTTAATCTTTGAAGGATTGATACTTCTTTTAAGATTTCAGCTTGTTTTGATTTCTTTGGTATGGGTATTTTCTTCATACAAAATTCTTGTCCTTCTTTTTCTACTAGATAGGTTGAACCAAAACTACCCTCTCCCAAACTTCTCAATACTTTATATCCTTCATATTCTATTGCCATTTTAAAAAGATATATTTAATAATTATCTCTATCTCTCTCTCTCTCTCTCTCTTTTGAAAAGATAAACAACAAGCAGCATTGACCGATGATCAAGTTCTTTTTGTTTTTAAAATAGTTGGTCAAACTGCAAACTCATCAAATATCTAGAGAGTTTAAGACAAGATTAGATCTATAAGCTACTTCCCAAGGATCAATTATTACCAAAGAGTCAGTAAATTTAACCAAAATCGATGAAACTTGCATATAATTGTAGCCACGAGTGTGGAGATTCAGGAAATGTTAAAAATTAGGTCCCAGCTCGCCACCCCATGCAAAAAAGGAGCAAAATGCGCCCGATGGGGGGCTCGAACCCCCGACCACGAGGTTAAAAGCCTCGCGCTCTACCGACTGAGCTAACCGGGCACTAAGGTCGGTTGTTCCCAATGGAGTTTTGCGCTATTTATACTCGGCCGAAAAAAATGTGAGCATCCACAAAAAACTGCTGGCAAACTGGAACCCCCAACTCACCAGAGTCGAGAAACAGAAAATGGAAAGCGACATCACCGAGGCAGAGATCCATCGAGCAATCGTAACTACTGCCAAGCACAAGTCGCCGGGCGAGGATGGCATCACCGCGTCGTTCTACCACCACTATGCAGGACCACTACTCCCCTTTCTCTGCCGACTGTTCAACCAGATGCTCCATCACGGTACCCCAACAGCAATGAAGAAGGGGATCTTAGTCACCATCTACAAAGGCAAAGGTGACGCTCTCGACATCGGCAACCGCCGACCAATCACACTGCTGAACGTGGATTACAAGATTTACTCTAAAGTTATCAACAACCGGCTACTGGCAGTCCTTCCAAAGGTCATCAGCCCCTACCAAACGGGCTTTGTCCCAGGACGTCTGATCCACGACAATCTGATCGTCATGAAGCAAGCACTCGAGACAAACAAGGACAACAAAGAGGCCATCACCACTCTCTACGACTTTTCCAAGGCATTTGATTCTGTCTCCCACCCTGCCATCCAACGAACCTTGACCAAGATGGGTGCTCCACCACTGATAGTCAACGCTGTTATGTCCATGCTAGCAGACTCTTCAGTCCGTGTACGAGTAGGAGACTCGCTGTCTGAACCATTCCACACCGTCAGAGGCACAAAGCAAGGTGATCCAATATCACCGACGCTATTTGCCCTCATCGCCGAGCCACTGGCGAGAAGCATCATCAATGACGGCCGCATACAAGGTTTGCCAATCGATACCACAACTGCAAAGCCACCAGTCTCTCTCTCTATGCTCCCACCGCCAGCTTTCGGAACCAAACAGAGAAAGCCACCGCCTCTTGTCCACCTCAACTGGGTAAAGCTACTCCAGTTTGCCGACGACACGTCTACATTTGCCAAAAACATCCGAGAATTTAAACTAATGGACGAATGGATTCAGCTATTCTGTAAAGCTACATCATCCAAAGTCAACACTGACAAATGTGTGATCATGTCACCTGGCAGTCCAACCAATTTACCGTACCCACTGATGGACAAGGAAAGCAAAGAACGTTACCTCGGCTACTACTTTAACCAGTTTGGTTTGGTACCACACCTTCCAGAGCGTATTGACAAGGTAATCAACGATTTGATTAGATGGAAACCTAAACACAACAACAACTATAGAGGTAAATTAGCTTTGCTCAAAACATATGGTCTGTCACAATTAAATTATTTCACGTACCTTGAATCACCTAGTCACGAGGCAATCACCAGATTGGAAAAGGTTATTGATTGGTTCATGTTCAGCAACGACCGTCAGAAAGACCCAACCAAGCCAACCAAAAGAACCATGTCCAAGAAACGCTCCATACGATCGATCGACCAAGGTGGTCTCAACCTCTGGGACCTCAACGCTAGACTCCGTGCCCAAAAGGCATGGATGTTCGAAAGGTTCCTCCACGAGGTAAAGAACGACCGAGTTGCAAAGGTTTCCTTTGCCCAATCATGGATGGACCAACTCAACCAAGACAAACCAAACGATTTTGTCCGCCTCTGCCGCAGCGAGTGGGAAAAGCTTACCCAACCCTACGACGTCAGCAGAGAGGCTGTACCCAAGCCAGCAATGGAACCAGACAAAAGAGGAAGAGTACCTCTCAAACAAGTGTACCTCCAAAGGCTGACCATATCCAACGAAAAGTGGAACGTGTACGACCCGACCCCAGGCCAAAAGATCTTAGCAACCGATGACAGAGTGTATCCAATGAATGCACTAGCTGCTCTATCTACCATCGTACTACCAAAGGGTCGAGATCTGGTTTGGAAATACGTAACCAAATGTCTCCCGCTCGTCAGGGGTGACCCAGTCGCCTCCACCTGTGTGACGTGTGGCAAAGATGAATCCTCCAAGCATTTGTTCTTCCAATGCAAGGAGACCACGCTGCCAGTGAAGATACTGAAAGAGGTTACTGCTGCCAACAACATTCCACCACCAGTCTGGGACATCACCCTCCTCAACCTCAAACAAACTCCAATGACTATAAACTTGGTCGCTGCAACACTAGAACGAATATGGTTCCGACGTAATGATCTACGTCACCAAAGAGATGAACCATTCACTGAACAATACCTGCGAGCTAGATTGATAAGTGATATGCGACATATTATAAAAGTAAACTGGGACAAGACGTTAGAATTATGTAACCGATGGCACTTGGCTCTAATGAACCAAACCGACGAATCAGTAATACATACGATTACAGAACGAATACAAACTATCATCCTTCGATTCTCCTCCAACTACAACCATCCTACTGTCTACAAGATCGCACTACCTAGTCATTTAGAGAGGTACAAGACTCTGCGTACTCTTCATCTATAATCGTTCACCCTCAGCTTCATTCCTCTCATCCTCTTCACCACCGCCATCCTCTTCTATTCTCTCTACAACTATCAATAATAATATTAATAATATAATAATTCACTAAATAATAAGAATAATAATAATTATATCAACCCAGTATTATTGCCTATAGTGCTAGTGAGAAAAAAAAAAAAAAAAAAAAAAAAAAAAATAATAGCGATATCTTTAACCAATTTATTTTTAGAACAAGCAACAATCCAAAACAATCCAACATGCTTGACACTATACAAAAAGATACATGATCAACGTCCATACAACATGTATCATAGACATGGACAAACCCCCAAAACAAATTAACTTTAATTCTTCTTGAGATAATCTTTATTTCTGGCTGGTCAATTAAAAAGTAAAATTAATAAAACTTTGTAACTTCTGAGTACTACTCTTCCCGATGGGAGAGAACAGGAAAAGAATTACTTTAAAAAAAAAAAACCGAAAAAAATGTTTTAATTTCTTTTACTCTGCTTAAGGTGATTCTAGATGACGGATGAACCAATGAGGGTCTTAGGTTCCAGATGAGACCACATTGATAGGTTCCAGAGGGTCATAGGTTTGAGCCATATGTTCTAGATGATGACCATTCATTTGATCCAGATGACTAGTCATTCAGAGGTCGGAGCCATGTAGGTCATAGGCTCCAGAGGATGGATGAGACCACAGTCATAGGTTCTGAGCCATAGATAGGTCATAGGTTATGAGCCATAGGTAGCGTCATAGGTTTTAAGCCATATCGGTAGTTCAACTTTGGATCATCGATAAAGATGGCATTTGGTGTGGTGGAGTAATGTTGTTGTTGATAATACTGTTGGCCAGTATCCCTTTTATCCGAAAAAGTGATAATTTTAAATTATTTGAATAAATGGTTTGATTTATGATTTCATAAAATTCATTATGTTCTGTTAACAAGTTTTGACCTTTTCTCTTACAAATGACCAATAGTGTTTGAATGGACATTTCCAATAGATTTGATCCAGTACCATTTGCTGGTGATTGATTGATCCAACTGATCAATTAATCCAATAGATTGAGGAATGGTAATACTTGTGTGTTTGGTCAAGTATACCAATTCTTTGTACTTTCATTCATATTCATCTTTATATTGGTAGAGATTGTCCATCAATTGTCAAGTCTTTTTCAAATTCCATAAAATTTAAACATTTGATAAACCTAAATTTATTTAAACTCAATGGTTGAGTAACAAAAAATAAAAAGAATTAGAATTAATAAATCTATAATCTAAATATTATTTATATTTAATTTCATACACTATGGCAGGGATTTTTTGTTGTTGTTGTTGTTGTTGTTGTTGTTGTTGTTGTTGGTATAGGATAGGTGTAAATGATTTGACCAATTGAATTAATAAGGAGATGTTTGACCTCTTTGAATGTTTTGGGAAGAGGAATCTCTGACAGCGTCTTGACGATATTGGTGAATATCTCTGGTACGCTAATCGAGAATGTTGGGTTGGTGGGCAGAGCACTCGAAAAGACATTGACAAACTCGATCAATGCGAGGACACTTGCCATACGTGACTGTCCAAACACAGTGGGCCGAGTTGAGAGTGGGAATGACTGTACGAGTAGAGAAGGGTCGACCAACTCATCGATGTCAAAGTGTACCGATAATATCATTTGACAAATGATCGGTGAAGATGCACCTACACCCTCTCATCAGACCATTGTCGTTTGATGACACGTTCCAATATCGATAGTGCAAAGTAATGTGTCTTTTCATTTCTCGATCTCATCAATATATCTTTGATTCTCGTCCATGCCAATCGATGATTCATTACATCACTAACCTTTGAATCCTAATAACAATGATCAAAAACCACAAACAAAATAAATGTATGATTAATAAATGTTAAACATCTTTCTCTTTCTCTGTTTATTACATTTTGATTCTCTATTAACTTGTCCGACACATTGATATATGTGTTGTAGTATTTTTTAAAAAAGACATAGTTTAATTATTATCAAAAATTTTAATCATTCATCATTAAGTGAAGTTCACCTATTTCCAATAAATTTAAAATATATATTTTTTAATAAACTCAGACTTCTTCTTCTTCTTCTTCTTCTCTGTTAACAACTGCATAGATACGATAACTATATATCTATCTTTTTTTATAAAATCGTCTTGGTTGTTTAAAGTTATTATCATATTTTTTAGAAAGATTCATTCTAGCTAGTCGATTGATTATATATAGTTATAGTTATATTTATAGTTATTCTCTTTTCTTTTTTTTATTTTATTTTCAATTTCTTTTAATTTTGACCAAATAACTTTAATTTGATGGCACCTGGTAGAGTTGGAAGGATTTGTTCAGTGTAGGGCAACTCGATAGTGACGAGTTGGTTGAACAACAGACTAGAGCAGGCAGTGATGAGTTCGGGGAAAATGGTTTTAACTTCGTATTCACGGGGTTTGCTCCAGTCCGATACAAAGATGGTGTTGTGGCCCCAGAGGATCATACGACTGGCATCGGATGGATTGTTGGTGATTGCAATGACAGCACCTTCCTTTGGTGCTGGTGTCATGTGGACGGTCTTTAAAAGACGTGCGTTAAACACTACAATCTCTTCACTATTGGCGATATAGAGAAGTGGTTCGGTTGGATGGAAGGCAATAGCACCGACATGTAGATGATTGGGAATGGTAATAGTGCAAGTACCCTTGGCAAGATTGAAAAAGCTAATATTACTCTTTGAATCTACTGTTGCTGCATAATTACCTGTTGAATCAATTGCTAAATGAAGAATTGATTTTGTTATCTTTGCCAAAGAAGTAGATGAAGATGAAGATGAGGATGTTGAATTTGATGAAGTTGAATCCTTTTCATTTTCCTTTTCATTTTCTTTTTCTTTTTCTTTTTGTTCTTGTTTGTTATTTTGAAGGATTTTAAGGTTACGAGATAGAGATGAAAAAGATTTAATTTTCTTTGTAATTTCATCTTCGACCAAGTCATAAACCAACAATTTGGATTTAATCGATGTGATAACTAGTAATGGTTGTTTGGTACCACGTGTAAACTTGATAGAATCACTACCCTTTTTAAATGATTTTAATTTATGAATGATAATCTTTTCCTCACCACTTTCCTCATCCTTTTCCTCGGCAAGTGTATAAATATTGACAGAGGTTGCAGTGGAATAGGCAAAATATTTTCCATTATAACTAATATCTACGGAACGGATATAATCTAGATCCTTGATATTAAATTGTACCAAACGTTTGGCACGTTGATCTACCACCAAATGAGACCCACTTGGTAGTTGTTCGGCAACCGTCTCGTCGGTTGAATGATTGCCAAGACGCCAAATAGAAATCTCATTTCTCGAAGCCTCTACAATTAAATTACCGTCACCTTCAATCTTGTCAGTCATGGCAATATTATTCAATGGGTATGAATAGTAGGATCCCTTTTTAGTCGCCAACACACTTGTAAACGTCGATATATCCATCAATGATAAAATGGTCGTAACACCTCCCGAAATGATAAAATCATCAAATACCTCTATACATCTAACATCATGTGAATGTGGTCTATGTAATCCATTTAATGACCATTTATCTAAAAATAAAAAAAAAGAGAAAATAGAAATGTTAGAAAAAATAATAATAATAATATATATCTTATTCTTTGTTTTATATCACTTACCATTTGAATTATTTGATAAACAAATAATAGTTGGATCATCACCAGAAATGAAAAGTAGGTTGAATTGATTGAAATTGGATGGAACGATGGTACGAATAGAGGCAATGTGATGTTTGACTTCTTGGATTGTGGTACCATACTTTAATTCGTGAAACGAGACGATACCGGTACTATGACCCAAAGCGACAGTGTCTTGGTCAATGACACACATGGCAGTGGTTGAAGAACAATCAACTTCCATCTTTCTCTGTGCCTTTTCAACGTCGTATGTGACGAGTAACAAGTCGGTGGCAATCACCAAAGTGACAGAGTCTGACCATTGCATGCATTGGATCGATCCATTACCCATTATCTTGGGGAGTGCACGGAGATAGCTGACTTGACCATTCTTGTGTTGATCGATTGCGTATAAATAGACAGTCAACGAACCAGCACCAGTAGCAAGAGTATTGGTTTGCTTGTTGAATGTATAGGCTGTAATGTCTCCACCAACTGATCCCAAATGTTGAATTTGTTGCATCGATTCCAAATCCCATTGACTAATATGTGTAGATGTAACTGATATCAATCTATGTTTACCTTCAAATATATACCATTCCAAACCTATTATTTTACCTTGAAATTTAATTCCTCCTAATCTCTATAATGAAACAAATGAATTTGAACAGATTGATTAGTTATATGTTGTACATATGTTTCTCTTCTTCTTTCTCTCTTTTACTTACAGTTAATAAATGAAAATTAGCTTGAATAGACCAAAGTTCAATTGAATTGTCTGCACGACCGACAGCTACTATATCCTTCTCAACATTCTTTGAGATGGCTGTTATCTCTGATGGTCTCCAATTCGTAAATTTACATCTATGTACATCTGTTCTTCCCATCTCTCTATATAAAAATCTATATATCTATATATCTACGATCGATAATGAAATGATGTATGTTATGTTTGGGTTATTATCAATGTTGTTGCTGAAAAAAAAGATAAATTTGTATTTTCTTCGTTCGTTTTGTTTTTGCAAATCATTTTTTTTTTTTTAATTTTTTTAAATTATTATATTTTTTTTTTTCTTTTTTTTTTTTTAATCTATCAAAATTTAATCTTTAATTCTTTATATGAAATATAACAGATACAAATTATATTTATATTATAAGAGTAATATTTTGGATCATCTATTTTAGATTTAAGATTACGTAAACTTTGGTGCTCGAAAAATCGAACCCGCTTTTCAAAGAGCTTTGCCCACTTGGTAGCTGCGCTTTTTAAAAAAGGTACAGGGTTGATCTCAGAGCTAGTTCGTTGTTTGATCATTTCATTTCAATAGATATAGGAGATCAAAGAAAGAGAGAGAGAGAGAGAAAAAGAAAGAGAAAGATGATCATATTGAAGAAACTAGTCGTATTATTTATAATCATATATGTAATAGTATTGGTTGATTCATCTATAATACGACGACATCATCAAAACAACAACAACTATAATAATAACAATAATACTAATACTAATAATAACAACAACGACGAAGATAACTACAATGATGATGATGATGATAATAATAATAATAGACAACATATAAATATTAATAATGATGATAATGAAATAATAGATTTTACCATTAGTTTTGATAAAGATAAACAACAACAACTTGTACATAATAATAATAATAATAATAATAATAATAATAATAATAATAGATACGATAATAATTATATAAATAATTTAGGATCACCACAAAGTGGAGTTACAGTAGGATCACCATACTATGTTTTAAAAGATAGTGATATAAAATGTTTTCAAAATGGATTGTATAATCTATTGGTGTTTGGGTGTTGGTCCAATGGAATGTTGATGAGTAGTTGTCAACAGAATTTTAAAGAGGCTCAAAAGAATAGTATTGACGTACCCTATATATACATGTACCCCGATGTAAACATTGGCACCGGGTCGGCCCAAATTTTAAAGTTGATACAATTTGCAGCGACCCGAGGTAACATCTATGTCTACTGGATCGATGTATCAACCGCCGGTCTTTGGTCTACACCGGCCGACAATCAACTCTACTATCAAGACATCTTTAAGGGATGTCAACAAGCAGGTGCAACATGTGGCACTCGTACAGACGAGTACTCTTACAGTGCCATTTTCGGACCAAACTATAGTTTCGGTTCCTCCTATCCTCTTTGGTACGTTCACAATGATAACAATCCTAGCTTTGCCAATTTCTCTCCTTTTGCTGGTTGGACTCAACCTACTATGAAAGTAACTAATTATTAAAAAGAAAAAAAAGAAAAAAGAAAAAAGAAAAAGATTGTATTGTATTCTAATCTCTCTATCTCTCTCTCTTATCTCTATCTTTCCTTTCTATCTTCTGTTTTTAGACATATTCTACAAATGCAACATTTTTATGTATAGGTAATTTACCTGCAATTGAACCTCAATTGTTTTCAACAAGTCAAATATAATGATGATCAATAAAAACATACTTTATTATTTATTTACACCAACAATCATTTCATGTAGCTGTCGTGCACCCCTTAGAATCTAGGGAAGAACATGTTGTTTGTCCTTTTTTATTAGGACACTTTGAAAATATCTCTAGATAGATAAAACGAGGACAATGATCACTGCCCCTGCAGACCCATCAAAAATGAAAAGAGAAGGTTCTCTTCTCTTTGTTTGATGCATCAATTCTAATTATTCTAATTATTGTTGTTGTTGTGTAGAATTAGTATTTGTGTGTAACATTACATTATTATTTGTATATATGTATTTATTATCATCGAGATGATAAATAATATCAGTCGCCATCATCATCAACTTTTCATTATCTTTGTATTTGTAGTAGTATTATTATTATCTGGAATAACAAAGGCAAATAAAGGATTTATAATTGGATCACCATATTATATATTAACACATACAGATACAGGGTGTATAAAGTCGAGTGGATATACGGATATTGTGATTACATGTCTAGAGAATGGCAATCTATTGGCTAGTTGCAAACAGAATATAAAGGCTGCCCAACTAGGTCTACTGGACATTCCATATATTGTGGTGTATCCCGACGTTACAACTGGTGTGTCGTCGGGATCTGCACAAATACAAAAGGTGATTCAATACGCCGTCAATCAAGGTTTAGAGATTGTAGTGTGGATCGATGTCAGTTCAAACGGTGTATGGTCGACACCAGCCGACAACCAACAATTCTATCAATCCATGTTTCACGGTTGCACCAATACCGGTGCCACATGTGGTACTCGTACCGACGTTTATTCATATAGCATGATCATGGGTCCCGACTATACATATGGTTCATCATACCCATTATGGTATGTTGACGACGACAATGAACCAAGTTTTGCCGATTTCTCTCCTTTTTCAGGTTGGACAACTCCTTATTTAAAGGTAACTCAAAAATATTCTAAAAATAATATTATCCTCCAGGATTATTAAATTAATAATTATTATTTTCTTCTTTTTTTAATTTAAATTAGACCTTTTCAGCCAATAGTACAATTGAATGTTTTACAAGTCCGTCTGCCATTGACCCGGAATTATATTATACACCCGAATAATAATAATAATATAGATAATAATATAGTTAATAATATAGATATTAATAATAATAAACCAATACTACTAAACTTGTGTGAGAGGGTAAATTAGGTAAATTATCCGCACACATTAAAACGTACAATCATATCAATTATCAAACTGTTCCTCCTTTTTACTTAGCAGGATATGAAGGAGAATATTGTTTATATAGAAATCAATATTGTAAATTTTTACATAGAAAGAATGATAAGGAATTGTTAGGATTGGTTTTGAAAGTATTCCAAACTGACAGTCTATCAGCATTAAGAATCTATTGGTTGATATTCTAAATGTAGCAGATGATTTGAATCAACAAGGTACAAATATTAGAAACAATATCGTACTATTTATCAATTCGAAAATATACAAATCCAACCATCATAAATAAATAATTGTATGTCACCAAACCAATGAAAATAAAATACCATTAACGTTGCAATCTTTTAATTGCAGCCAATTTGTCGTGTTTGATCTATAAACAAAAATTAATAGGAAAATGGATGTATGCAGTAATGTTGTGTTTTGTGTTACAATTGAATGAATGAATGAATGAGTTTGTACTTACAAAAAATGTTGACCAGCAGCAGAGTAGATTAACTTGTCCAATGGCAAGTGAGTGCCGAAAGAATAATAATGACAAGTGAGTTATTATTCTTTAGGTACTCACTTGCCATCAGATGACACGTCAAAAGGACTGCAAATATAATAGTTGGTACTTCATCAGCCACTACGTTGAACTTTATCTTTATTATCTTACTCTTCTCCATACCATCCTCTACATCTATACCCTTTAGGCCTAAAGATAAAAAGATAGTACCCAAAGATAAGGTTGGTTGATTATTAATACCTATTACTCTTATTCTTTCTTTTGTATTAATTTTATTTTTATCAATAATTTTAGACAAACATACCAAACTAGTTTCAGTATGAAAGTGTCATGTGAGTATTTAAATACATGAGTAACGCTAAAAGAGGCCACTGCATTCTCCAGCTCTGAGAAACTGACACTAGTGTTTACCACCTCTATTATTTTTAAATAAGATATGTATAAAAGAAAGTTGATTATTACAATTTTTGTACTTACATATATAAGTTCAGATTCGAGAGTGACTCTCGAATATCCACAATGTATTTAATTACTGTCTTTTCATCGATTTCATAATGATGAGCGAGTTGGACATAGGTCTCGTTCGTTTTGATAAATTCATATAATTGCGTCTATGTCAATTGTGTCTTACTGAACCATTTCATATGACACTCAAGAGAGATCACCAACATTGAAACTTTTTTTTAAATTATTTAATTTATTAATGAAAATAGAAATGGAAAAAGAAGTTCCTTTTTCAACAATAAGATACACCTCAAGGATACAAACAAATAATAGGAATAGTGCTCCCCCTCCCCCCCCCTATTCTTTTTAGAGGGTTTGTTATTATTATATATCTTTTAAACCATGGTTTCTTTATTGGTACATTAACATTTAGTATTGCCTTTTCTTTGATTTCCTCTTCGATTGATTGATAGTCTGGTGAAGCTTGATCGACAATACCTCTGACATATTTCATTACATCTTCTGGCGGTGGTATATAGGTTGGACCAAAAAATACCTTGTACAATTCAAATACATATTCTTGTGCTTTACTACGTTTCTCTTCCTTTTGACGTTGTTGTACGGCAAACACTTTGGATTCCTTTGAGAATTTGACATGTAGTTCTGCTTGTTGTATAGACAATGATCCATCCAATAATGATGTAACCAAATAATTACTTGATGCAGGGTCTCCCAATCTACCAGTATAAACAGTATACAATTCATTTACATAGATTCTAGATGTTTCCATATTCATTTCATTTTTAATCTTTTCCTTATTAAATTGTTTTGTATCATAATCATAATATGATTTAATTGTAGTAGTAGTAGAAGATGAAGTAGAGGCAGGAGTAGAAGAAGAAGAAGAGGCAGGAGTAGAAGAAGAAGAAGAGGGAGTAAATTGTTGTTGTACAGGTTGTGGTTGAATATGATTATTATTTGTTAAAATTGATTGTTGTTGTTGATGTTGAGCTTTTTGTTTAATATGTTCAGGGGAAATATTCTTGAGTATATAATAGTCTGGGAATTGTTGTGATAAAGATTCAATGTACAGAGCAGCACTTTCACAAGTCATCTTGCCATCGACTATAAAACCTAGAATCGTGTCGATATGATTATCGACTCCCTTTTTGCCATAATAGTAAAGGAATAATTGATCTATATAATTTCTTAATTCTATTGCATTCATTTGTGTATTTATCTCTATGTATGTATGTATGTATGTGTATTCTATCTGTATTCAAGTACTTGTGCAACAAACTAACAAAATTTTACTAAATTAATATGTTTTGATGATCGTTTTTTGAGAGTTAAATTAAAAAAATATATTTTTTCATTGAAAGTTTGATTCCTACAAAATAAGGTACTCATTTCCCGATATATCTAGACACCCACAAACCTTCAAGTTTTAGGGATTTAGATTGATAAATAAATTTAAATGTATATATTTATATTTATCAATCTAAATAAAAATTTAAATTGATTTTGTCAATATAAAAAAGGGTGACGCCCTACAAACAATAGACAAGTTAAAAAATGGGCAATCCTAGTGTCACTACAGTTTGTCGGTTATTATTAATAATATTATTATTATTACTATTACTATTATTTATTAGAAGTTCTTAGAGAAGAAAAAGTGGATGATGTTGAGGTTGATGAAGTTGTTGAGGTTTGAGCAGCAGCTTGCCTTCTTGAAGACTTTTCAAAAAAGTTGATACTATTACTACCTCGAGTATTGTATTCATATTCCATTAGTTGATTCAAGAATCCACTGTTGATATTGATACGAGGTACATTTTTGGCGACGATTTCATAGCATTGTTTGAGTGGCATATTCAATACTTTGATACCATAGGCAATGACAATGGTCGTCGATCTGCTTCTACCCTCGCGACAGTGCACCAATACTGGTTTATTATTTCCCAATGATTGGCTGAGGAATTCTACCGCCTCGCTAAAATGGGAACTGATTCGTTGGTCCATCGAGTCACTAACAGAGATTCTTAGAAAATGATTAGTCTCTACATCCTTGGGATGTGTAATCTCTTTGGTGACATTGATAAATGAAGATATATTCTCTCGATCCAACCAATCCTTATTGTTTAAACATCCTTTACCACCAACAAACAATTTAACATTACTATGTAATCCTGCAAATGCTAAAAATCCTTCTTTTAAATCTTCTGCTGCTACTGTAGAGGTAGTATCCAATAATGTATCCTTGAATAATTGGTTATCTGTACCAACAATTGATGTATCAAGTAAAATGTCCTTGGAGAATAAATTATTTGGTAATGGTGGTGCTGTTTCAATATACCTTGTAACAGTTTTGGTTGGAGTTTGAGGATCCTTTGGTACAAATGTTATTCTGATTTGTAATTTCTTTTTCGTTTCATTAGTATTACCCTTTGAAACTTCATTCGTTGTTGTTGATGATGATGATGAAGATGAAGATGGTTGTTGATGTTGTAATTGATCTTTTGGATTTAATTTTTTGGCAGATCTTTGGATCTTTTCAGTCTTTGTTTTGGTAGTTGACTTTTTAGATCCTAGTCTGGCAACTGGATTAACAATTGGTAATGGGTTTTCACCAACTATTTTTTTTGTTGTTGGTTTTGTCGTTTTAGTTGATTTGATTGCTGTCACAACTTTGGTTTGTGATGTAGAGACAGCCGTCTTGGTTGTTTTATCATTATTATAGTCAAAAAACAAACTTTGAACAGGCTTTTTTTGTCTTTTCGATTCAATTGGTGCAGACCAATAGGCTCCATCCAATCCTGATGATAATCCTAAATTTTTAGTCTGTCTTTTTTGTTGTACCAAATTATCCATCGATGTTGTGGAATTATTATTATTATTAATATTATTAATATTATTATTATTAGTAGTATTGATATCATTATTATTGATTCGTTGAGATACTTCAAATATTTCAACTTGTTGATGTTGTAGAGTTTGTGGTTGTTGGATGTTTGGTTGGGTTTGAACATCATCAAGAATGATGATATGTTGATCAACCTTGTTGGGTGTTTGTTGTTCGTCCTGCTGGACAATGTTTCCTAGTCCATTGTTGTCTTGAGCTATTTCTACAGGTAGTTTATCTGGTACCATATTTAATTGATTGTTGGTTGTTGGTGGTGGTTGTTCAACTACTATAGTAGTAGTAGTAGTTTGATTAGCAACAATAATATTGTTAGCCTTATTTTCATTATTAATATTATTATTTATAATAGTAGATGTAGATGGAGTGAGTGGTGGTAGTGGATATATATCGACCATTCGTTGGGATCGTTTTAAGGGAGAACCAAGGTGTAGAGAGAAAAGGCTACTTAGGAGGGCACTAGAGTCAACTCTTGGGAGACTATAGTTAATGTCGTCTTGGGACGCATCAAGAATAGCACTACTATCACCTGTACCAGAGCTGCCACCAGATTCTTCTTCTTGCACACTATCATTTAAATCAAATTTAATGGGAGTGGTTGGTCGGCTACTACGGATATTGTCATTGGTCGATACTGGAGATGGAATAATAGCATTATTCCTTATACCTCTTCCATCATGGTCTTGTTTTTGTTGTTTGATTGGTGTTCTTGCAGGTGATAGACTCACTACCATTTCTATCTCCTTCTCCTTCTCCTCTTCTTCTACTATCACGACATTGTCATCTTGTTGTTGTTGTTGTTGCTCTTCTTTTAAATCAGGTGATTCGATAAGTTGTGGTAATGGTTGCTGTTGTTTATCATCATCTTCTTCTTTCTTTTTTCTTTTTAGTATAGGTTTAGATTGTTGTTGTTGTTGTTGTTGTGACTGTTCTTGCTGTGGCTGCACTTGTACTTGTACTTGTGATTGTTCAACTACTGATGGTTTGCTGACATTTGTATTGTGTTTAATGTTGTTGAAGCATATGATAGTTGTGAACCGGTCGACATTGACAAAAAGGTGGTCGGCTTTCGCGCCCTCCTCCCATCAGCCGATGTATTTAGTTTCCAATACGGTCCATCTAGATTATCCATCCATAAACCTCTCTATCTCTCTCTCTCTCTATTTGTTGTATCTCTAAACACACACAAAATAGATCGGAAAAGAGAGACATGCCAAAACCAAACCGTTTCATATTTCTTGTAATGACACGGACAATTGATTTCCAAGATGATCGATCTCAACAGATATAATAATAATAATAATAATAATAATAACCCTCTTCTCTAAATGTAAATGTTATCCTTTACTTTATTTGTTTCTTATTTTATTTATCTTATTATTTATTTGTTGTTTGTCGTATACATCTCAATCTAGGTGTGTCAAGTCAATGAAGTTCGTTGTTCTGCTCCTCTCCTTTTTTTTTTTGATTTTTTATTTTTTAACTAAGAGACGACGATGGATGAAACAATAAAAGCTGAGAAAAATGAGCTATTAATATTATCATTAGTCTCCTACGACAACAATACTTTATAGAGTAACTACGCCAAAAGGTTTGTGTGTGGTGATTGTTATTGTTCTTGTAATTTTCTTTTAAATTGTATGTAGTATAAACAACATTATAAATAAACAAGTAGTAGTTGTAGTAGTTTAAGTATTAACAAATATATATATATATACACATTAATTATTATGATATTTATAATATCAACAACTACAGTTATTATAGTAATTTCAATTATCTATTATTATTATAACAAAAGAAATAGACAAAAAATGGTATGATGATTATATTTAACTCTAAAACGACCGACCTACGAGTGTTTGTGTTGGATCTTCTTTTGATACTTATACTTTTATTTCAATCTTTAATATTCTCAAGTCAACAGCCAAATTAGATTTTGTTAGAGAGTATGAAAAGGAAATACAAAAACAATGGAAAGATAACAAGACATTTGAGGTGGACGCACCAGTCGACAAGACCAATGTCGAAGAGCCAAAGTACATGGCCTCTTTCCCATACCCATATATGAACGGTAGATTGCACATTGGTCACGTATTCACCGTCACCAAAGCTGAATTCATGTGTCAATTCCAACGTCTCAAGGGCAAGCGTGTCTTGTTCCCATTTGCATTCCATTGCACCGGTATGCCAATCAAGGTCTGTGCTGACAAGTTGAAAAAGGAAATGGAAGAGTTTGGTACTCCACCAGTATTCCCAATTGATGAACCAGAAAAGGGTAAAACAAAAGAAGATAAGAAAAGAAAAGAAAAGATTAGATTTGTTAACTTTTTGTATTTTTTTGTTTCATTTAGTCGTTGAAAAAGTAGCAATTAAAGAAGATCCATTACAATTTAAATCAAATAAATCAAAGGTAAAGGCAAAGACTGGGGGTATTGCGAGACAATGGAAGATTATGCAAAGTTTGGGAATCACAGACGAGGAGATTCCAAAGTTTGCCGATACTACCTATTGGTTGAACTACTTCCCACCACACTGCAAGGGAGATTTGGAGTCGATTGGTATGGGTATTGACTGGCGTCGTTCGTTTATTACGACCGATGTCAACCAATACTATGACAGTTTTGTGCGTTGGCAATTCACTGCTCTCCGCGAGCAAGACAAGGTTAAATTCGGTGAGAGATACTCGATTTGGTCGACCACTGACAACCAACAATGCGCCGATCACGAGCGTTCCCAAGGTGAGGGTGTGCAACCACAAAACTATACATTGATCAAGTTGGAGGTTGTCGAGCCTGCTCCAGCCGTCTTGGCACCCATTATGGCTGCCGGCAAAAAGGTGTATCTTGTGCCAGGCACACTCCGTCCAGAGACCATGTACGGTCAGACCAACTGCTGGGTGTTGCCAACCGGAAAGTACGGCGCATTCGAGATGAAGGACGGATCGGTGTTTGTGTGTACCGAGCGATCAGTGCGCAACATGGCCTACCAAGGCTTGACCAAGGTGCGTGGACAGTTTGACAAGTTGGCCGAGTTTACCGGTCAAGACTTGATTGGTGCATCGCTCAAGGCTCCATTGGCCATCAACCCCATCGTCCACGTCCTCCCAATGCTTTCGATCGACGAGAACAAGGGTACTGGTGTCGTCACCTCGGTGCCAAGTGACTCGCCAGACGACTATGCCACCTTGGTCGACCTCAAGCTCAAGGAGCCATTGCGTAAAAAGTTTGGCGTCAAGGACGAGTGGGTGCTCCCATTCGAGGTCATCTCGATCATTGATATCCCGGGCTACACCGAGACTGAAGCATGTGCCGTGCGTGCCTACCGCGAGTTCCAAGTCAAGTCACAAAACGACCGTGACCTCTTGGACAAGGCCAAGGACTTGTGCTACCAAAAGGGATTCAACGACGGTGTCATGGCCGTCGGTCCATACAAGGGCGAGAAGGTCAGCGTCGTCAAAAAGACCATCAAGGACGAGATGGTTGCCAGCGGACAAGCTGTCAACTACTCTGAGCCCGCCGGAAAGGTCGTGTCGCGTAGTGGAGACGAGTGTGTCGTCGCACTCACCGACCAATGGTACATCAACTATGGTGAAGAGGACGAGCAATGGCGTCAAAGCGTGCTCAAGAACTTGGCCACCATGGAACTCTTTTCGCCAGAGACAAGAAAGCGTTTCGAGATTGCACTCGGTTGGTTGGGTCAATGGGCCTGTTCACGTTCCTTTGGTCTCGGCACCAAGTTGCCATGGGCCCAAGAATTCTTGATCGAGTCACTCTCTGACTCGACCATCTACATGGCATTTTACACGATTGCTCATATCCTCCAATCCGACTTTAACGGACAGGTACAAGGTAGCGGCAAGATCGCACCACCACAAATGTCCAAGGAGGTGTGGGATTACGTCTTGTTGAACGGTGATTTGGAAAAGGCTCATTCGACCTCGCAAATTGCAAAGGACACCCTCACACTTATGAAGCGTGAGTTTAACTATTGGTATCCATTGGATCTCCGTGTCAGTGGTATCGATCTCGTCCAAAACCATCTCACCTTCTTCCTCTACAACCACGCCACTCTCTTCCCCGAACACCACCAACCACGCGGTATCCGTGCCAACGGGTTTGTCTTGTTGAACGGTGAGAAGATGAGCAAGTCGAGCGGAAACTTTTTGACCTTGTTTGACGCTGTCGAAAAGTACTCGGCCGACGCCACCCGTGTCGCTCTTGCCGACGCCGGAGACGGTGTTGAAGACGCCAACTTCCTCGACAAGACTGCCTTGTCTGCATTGTTCAAGCTCCACACTCAAGTCACCTGGGTCGAGGAAATGCTCCTTGCTCAAGACAAGATGTACACTGGCGCACCCACCCGTGCCCAAGATATCGTCTTTGCCAGCGAGATTAACCGTGCCATCAAGCAAGCCGAAGACGCCTACGAAAAGAGCCAGTTCCGTGAAGCCCTCCGTATCGTCTTTTTCGACTTCCTCGCCTCGCGTGACTACTACAAGTCGGTGCTCGACTCTGTCGAAAACATGTCCAAGGAGCTCATCAACCGTTTCATCGAGGTGCAAGCCATCCTCATGTACCCCATCGCCCCACACTTTTCACAAAAGATTTTCAACTTGATTGGCAAGGGCGACATTACCAACGCCCGTTGGCCACTCGCCACCGACGTCGATGTCATGGCACTCCGTCAAAACGACTACCTCAAGTCGACCGCCTACGACGTTCGTACCAAGATCAACATCTTCCTCAAGTCCAAGAACAAGGGAGGCAAGACCGACGCCAAGGCTGAAAAGGCTGTCATCTACATTAGCAAGACCTATCCAAAGTGGAAGATCCACACACTCGACTATCTCTCCAAGATCTACGACGCTGAAAACAAGTGTTTCACCAAGGAGACTGCCACCATCTTGGAAGACCTCAAAAAGGAAGACGAACTCAAGTCTCAACTCTCCAACATTATGCAATTCATCCGTGTCGTCGAAGCCGAGATCAAGTTGAATGGTAGCCAAGCTCTCGAAACTACTCTTCCATTTGCCGAAGATCAAGTCATTACCTCCAACATGGACTATCTCATCCGTTCACTCGAATTGACTTCCATCGAAGTAAAGGAAGCCTCTGAACAAGATCTTAAACAAATCAAGGGTCAACCTCCTACCCCAGGTAAACCTTCTCTAATCATTTCCTAAAGACAAACAAACCATAATAAAAAAAACTATAGGATAAACTATTGAAATTTCAAATCGATATCAATTTTTCTACACTTTAATAATTAATAATTAGATTCTAATAGAGATGGGATTGTATTTTTATTTGCCTGTGAAAAAAAAAAAAAAAAAAGGTTTGATGAAAATTTATTTTATTTCCAAAAGTGGAATATTTTTTTACAGATATTGAAAAAAATATTTATTATTATTTATTTTCAATCTTTTACAAAAAAAAAAAAAAAAAAGATAGATTTCCAATTGTTTGTTACCTTGATATTGTTTACAACTCTCTTTGTAGAAATGGTTTTAAATATTATAGTTTAGTATAATTTATAAATATATTAAAAAAAAAAAGATAAAAGAAATGGAAAATATGGAACCATTATTTAAACTCCTCAGTGATTTTAATGTAGAGGATTTACCACCAAAGAGTGAAAAGATGATAACAATTAGAAATTCTGATACTTTACCAAAAGTATTTGAAGTATGTAAACAATCACATTACATTAAATAATTGTACAACAATTAAATTTCGAAAAAAACTAATATATCTGTCTGTTTCTATCTATTTTTTATTTATTTTTTTAGACACTTTCAATTAATAATATTTTATCAGCACCAGTTATGAATGAAAATAATCGACCAATTGGATTGGTAGATTTTGTCGATATTGTTTGTTGTGTAGTTCAAATTATTAAACATACAGATCTAATGGGAAATGATTATTATTCATTCCTTGAAAGAGATGATTTATTTACACATACCTATGCTTCTTATATTACTGGTATGAAAGAATAAAAATAATAATAATATTTCCAAACAAAAAATACTTATTAATTATTTTTGTTTTTTGATTACCTCTCTTCTTTTTTTATTTAGATTTATCAGAAAGAAATCAATATATTCCAGTAGTAAAAGGAGCATCATTATTGGAAGCCATTACAGTAATGGCAAAGAACCAAGTAAATAGAGTACCAATTGTAACCAATGACTTTTCAAATGGAGAACAAGGTAACCAAGTAGTCAACCTAGTCACTCAATCTGCCATCCTCAACTTTTTGGCCAAACACATTGACAAGCTCGGAGAATGGGGTACCAAGTCACTCTTAGATTTAGGTTTCCATGAAAAACCTGTCATCTCTATCAATTTCCATAAAACTGCAATTGAAGCATTTGAATTAATGGCTGAACATGTATGTTAAATTTCAAATTAAAAAGAGAGAGAGAGAGAGAGAGAGAGAGAGAGAGAGAGAGAGAGAGAGAGAGATTCCAATTTAATTTCCATTTTTTTAACCAAAATATTATACATTTGTTTTGTTTTGATTTTAGAGAGTAAATGGTATAGCAGTAGTTGATGATAAAGGAGTTATTATTGCAAACATTAGTGCAAGAGATTTAAAGGAACTATTAAATGAAACTAGAATATTTGAGAATCTGTATCTCACTGTCGGTGAATTCATCTCTCGTGTACGCCAACAAGACTACAAGGCAGTACATCCAAGTATCAGTTGCAACATGAACGACTCGTTGGACAAGTTGATGACTCGTATGTGTGCCGCCAAGATTCATCGTGTCTATGTAGTCGACCAAGATCGCAAACCTGTCGGTGTCATCTCTCTACACGACATTCTTGAAAAGATTCTTGAACAATTAACTTTACCAGATGTTCAAATTAGAAGTTAAAGAGATAGAGATAACTCTTTTAAATAAAAGTGAATGTACAAAAAAAAAAATGAACATGATGAAAAAATCAACAAACCCCATACGATTCAAATCGGTCGGCTTGTGTGGGGTGACTCAAAACCCCTTTTTTAAAAATAATTTTGTATACTTCTTTTACTCTTTCTTCTTTGTTTTTGTATTCTCTCATTTAATATTATTAAATTATACACAAAAATCAATCCCTCTATTTATATTATATTATATATATTTATATAACTTGACATATTACAGTATTATTATTAGTAGTAGAGTATAAACTTTATATAGAATGAGCGACGAAGTTAAAGCAAAGGAATTTTTCGACAAGGCAGAGAAGAGAATCAAGGGATCCAATATACTTTCATTCTTTGGAGGTGGTTCATCTAGATTCGATGACTCTGCTTCTGACTTTACCAAAGCTGGTAATTTATACAAGATGGCAAAGAAGTGTAAGCAAAGAATATATGTAAGAGAAAGAAAGATATTAACTTTTAAACAAAACATGTTTTGTTTCTATATCTATTTAGGGGATCAAGCAGGATGTTGTTTTCAAAGAGCAGCAGAATGTTATTTAAAGGCAAATAGTAAACATGATACTGCACAGAGTTATGTGATGGCATCGAATTGTTACAAAAAGGGTAATGTGTCAGAGGCAGTCATTTGTCTCAAGGCAGCCATTGAATATTATACAGATGAAGGTAGATTCAGCATTGCTGCCAAGCATCAAAAGGAGATTGCAGAGATATACGAAGCCGAGGGTGACTTGGACCAAGCCATCGCATCCTACCAAATTGCTGCAGACTTTTTCGAAGGCGAGAACAGCACCGTCTCGTCACATCAATGTTTATTAAAGATTGCTCTCTTTTCTGCACAACTCGAGCGTTATGACAAGGCCATCGAAATCTACGAACACGTTGCCTCTGCCTCTCTCGACAATAATCTTACACAATGGGGTTGCAAGGAGTATTTCCTTCGTGCCTGTCTATGTTATTTGGCCTCTGACGATTTGGTTTCTGCCGATCGTGCCCTTCATCGTTATAGAGATATGCAAGCTAGTTTTGGTAATTCAAGAGAATGTCGTTTATTAGAAGTAAATATATATAAAACAAACAAAGGATTATATATGATGGAATGATTAATTAATTTAATTAATTTTTTATTTTTTTAGGATGTAATTCAATCATGCAGAGATAATAATGTTGAAAACTTTACAAATGCTGTTGCTGATTTTAATAGTATTAGTCCATTGGATGCTTGGAAGACTTCCATTTTATTAAAGGTTAAACAAACAATCACAAGAGAGGAATCTGTAGCTTAAACCCAAACCAAAAAACACACCCAAATTAAATTAAATATTTAATAATCATTTTCTCTATAAACTTTTAGATTTTGTTTTTTTTAAAAAAAAAAAAAACAACAATAATAATAATAATAATAATAATAATAATAATAATAATTTGAACCCAAACTAATAATAATATAAAACAAAAAACAAATAATATTAAAAAATATTATTATTTTTGATACATATTTTTTTTTAACCAAATATTTTTTCCAAACACAATTTATCTCAACAACAAAAGAAGAATTTCGAATCATATCTTATCTTTTTTGGTCATCGTCGAATGCGATATATAAACATATGTCAATCACATGTATCTCCTTTTTAAATTTTATTCCTTTTTTCGAAAATGGGTAATCTCCAATACTCTCAAAGATCTACAACCTACAAAGAAGATTGCTGCCAGCAAAAATTAATTGGTGATGATCACCTAACCAAAAGTTAGGGTTAGGGGGTAATATTAATCGCAACCAAACCTCGACGATTTTACAACTGTCTCATCGATCAACCCCCCACCTACTTTAAAAAAAACGGTGAATCTTGTGTAAGAGTGAGTGGTGGGTGGATGGTTGTTGAATATGATGATGATGATGCACCACCGGTGATTGATAGTGGATGTTGTATCATCACACCGCACTCACTCACATATCCTATAACCTCGTTGCTCACCGATTAGGTTAATACCACCACCACACCTAATAGCGTTACCGTGAAATGATATATGTATAAACTTCATCATCATCACTATCAGTATCATCATCATCATCAGGGTTTATGATTGTGCATCATCATCGTCGTTAACCTTCATCATGATACATGAAAATCTCAACCCAACCACACCTCCTCAACTGAGCTGTTGACAATGTAGTAGTAGTTGTACATACACAACATGTGGCATTGTTAACAACAAAATGTTTAAATAGAATCCCTTTTTCTACACTGCTCTTCAATCCACTTCATCCTTGTTCTCTTCTTCCCCATCATCCACCTTTTACTCCATTTATTCAACTGATTATATTTTACAAAGACTCCTCCCTATCATCCTATCTCTCTACCTGTCACTCTCTAATTCTCTTTGTCTATTAGATACAAACAACAACAACAAAAAATTAAATAATTTATTCCTCCCCTATCCATCCATCCATCCATCCATCCATCCATCCATCCATCCATCCATCCATCCAGTCCAGTCCATCATTTTTCCATCCATCTATCTTTTATCTATTTTATACTCACTCGGTCATCCATCCATCTATCTAATCCTTATCTTTCAGAGGAGAGTAACACCATCACATCATCATCATCGATCAATTTATTTATAATTTCCATCATTTCCCATTATCAATCAAATCAAAATCAATCTATTTTTAAATTTATCTATAAACAACAAAACAATGGATCAACTATTAAAATGTCCAAAATGTTTGAATATATTCAATCAACCTAAATCATTGGATTGTAATCATATTCTTTGTTTGAATTGTCTTTCTGATATCTTCAAGCCTGACATTTCACCATACATTGACTGTCCAATATGTGACAAGCAGACCTTGGTTATGAACTCGACCATTGAATTGCCGTCCATTCCCAGTCTTGAAGAATTGCTTTGTTACTACAACTCGGTCGAACAGGTCATTCCCCCAGTCGCTACCGTTGCCCAGTCGTCTCCTCAACGATCCTCTCCACTCTCCACCTCGCCCACTCCTCTCTCGCCTCGTTACCAGAGACTCATCACTGAACCTCTACACGATCCATTCTACCAATCATCATCATCATCACAACAGGTTGGAGGCGGCGGTGGAAATCAAGATTTTTCATTGGATCAGAGACCTTTAATCAATAATTCAACAAGTCAATCTTCCAACTCTAGTAGTACAACTACTACATCTACCACATCAACTACTACTACTACACCAACCATCACTATTAATCAAAATCTAAAAACATCACATCAAGAACATAGTAGTAATGTTCAATCGATTGTTGCTCAATTATCAAAAAATAAGCAATCCTCCTCCTCCTCACAACCCTCTCAACAACACCAAAACAACTCACCACTATCAAAGAGTTGTTCATCCAATTTACATAGTTCAATGTCAAGTAGTTCTATATCGAGTCAACAACATTTCTCGATTGTACAGACACTTCCACCCGAAGCTTTTGAAGATGTGATTCGTTGTCCATTGCATGGTGAAAAGTACAAGTTTTATTGTACCAACAAAGAGTGTGACAAGTTGGTCTGTTTGGAATGTATCATTGATCATAATGGCCATCAGTTTAATAGAATTGCCAAGGAACTAGAGAATAGAATGCCCGACATTGAATCTCTCACCATCACCATGGCCAACCTACCCAACAAACTACTCAAACACAAGGCATCGATTGAAAAGAGAATCGCCGATGGTACGACGTTACACCGAGACACCAAACAAAAGATATCGTCTGATATCGATTTGATGATCAAGAATCTGATCGACCGTCGAGACAGTCTGGAAAGTCAAATCGATCGTGACTGGGAAGAACAAAAAAGGTCACCTAAATGAAATGGTCAATCGAATGGTTGGCTACATTGAAGTGATTCGCGAGACCAACAAGATCACCCAAACTTTACTCGGCGAAAAGTTGTCAACTGAAAAGCAGTGTTCTACACTCACCTTTTCAGCAGTTGATATGGCTGCCATCTCACCATGTCTCAAGGGAACCACCTCTCCAAGTATCCTCAAGAGTTCGCCATCCTATCAGTCTCTTCATTCGCCCGGACTCTCCTTTTCTACATCGTCCATCCCATCGTCTCCACCACTCCCAGCACACTTTAACAATGACTATTACATCAAGGTGATCACTGCTCTCTTTAGCAAATACTCGAATCTCAAGGAACTGGAACACGGATCAAACGAAATACTCAATGAACTAATCACCAATATCGAGTGGAAATGGGATCCAGAATTCCAATTCCCACAATTATTTAGAGCTGCTCAAAATCAACTTCAACAACAACAGTCACAACAATCGTCGTCTCATCCAAAGTCACCAAATCATGTAGTATCATCTGCCAATATTAAAAAATCACCAAATAATCAATCACCAGTTGGATCTTCACCAGCGCTCTCTTCTAGTCATAGTCCAAAGAGAGGCAATGAAAGTCCAAAGATGGTCAAATCAATCTCTTCATCTTCCTCTACCTCCTCCTCTTCCACCTCACAAAAACCATTTATTCCACCTCTTTCATTTGACAAGGCAGCTGTTACCAAGTCTACTCAACAAACACCACCCATATCACCAGGTGGTAAGATACAACAACAACAACAACAACCAATCAATGTAACTAATCAAATGTTACCATTGTCTCAGTCGTCTGTTTCGATTCCAGCCACCACTGGTCAAAAGGTAGTTGTTAAAAAGAACCCAGTCTTTGGTAAACTACTCACTCGAAAGGACTCTTCTATTAGCAAGAGACAGTATTTCCTCTATGCTATTGGAGGTGAACATAGCGAGGGAACCGTTGAAGTGTATGACATTCAAAGCAACCGTTGGAAATTTGTATCTCAAATGCCAGTGCCAACATCCGAGTTTGCTTCATTCTATGACAGTCAAAACTCAATCTATTGTATTGGTGGCAAGTCGACACCCTACCAAGTGAGCAAGTACAACACTGAAAAGGATAGTTGGGAACAACTCTCACTCAAACTCAAGACTCCGCGTGTTGGTCATTGTGCAGTGTTTGATGGTCGTAGATTTGTCTATCTTGTTGGTGGCGAGGGATCGAGCGCAGCCAAGCTACTTGAACGATTGGATATTGTCACAATGCAGATGACAACACTCCAACCAATGAAGTATGGTCGTCGTCACTTTAACTGTTTCTTTGATGGCAACAAACTCATCTATGCAGTCGATGGTTACTCGTCCAAGGATCAAGAGTCAACGATCGAAGTCTATGACATTGAAACTGACAAGTGGTCCGTTTTGACCACCATCCAAACACCTCGATACATGGCCAGTGTCTCTTATGACGGTTCTCGATACATTGCCATCAGTGGTGGAATCAACAGATGTACCGCTCACGACGTCCAACACATTGAACGATTCGATACTCAACAACAGACATGGGAACGTTTGGACGAAAAGTTCTTTACCAACCAATCTGCTGCTGCTTCATCGAACCAATCTGCCCCACAATCGCCAACACTTCAAGCTACATCGTCACTTTCAAAGAATCGTCTCCAACTTTACAATTCAACCGTTTTTGATGGTGAACAATTTATCTATTACTGTGGTTTAGGAGTCGATGAAAGTCGTCCACTCCTCTATCGTTATAATATTCGTACCAAGAAATTTGATAAACTTGCATCTCTTCAACATATGAGATTAACTAATCAACTTGTTTTAATTTCAAAATAATAAATTAAATAAATCAAAATTATTAATTATAAATTATGAATTAATATCACGCCTATTCTTTTTTGATTTCCTAAAAAAATGGTAATAAACCATTTACATCACCAGTACTATTACTATTATTGTTGTTGGCTCCGGATGATAATTTATTCTTGATTTCCTTTGGTATCATTGGATTGAGTAGTTTGTGATTCTCATGCTTTGGTGGGAAAATGTATCTACTTGGAGATACTTGAAGACTGGTTACCCATTCTCTTCCAGATCTTGTACTCTTTGGCAATCCAAACCAATTCATAAATCCAGTGATACCAAGTGTTGTTAGATATGCCCATCTATTAATAGTTGGAATATTGAAATTTCTAACCATCGTTGCATACAAATCAACTGCACCATCAATATGAACTGAATTACAACAACTTTCAAATAATCTTTCATATGTTTGTTCTTCTAATAATATTCCATCTCGTCTAAAATGTAAATATAAATATTTAGTAAATTGATTGTGATTGATTTTGATTGATTGATTGATTGAATTATCTTTTTTTTTTTTTTTTTTTACCTTAAATTTTCAAAAGCAAATAAAGCAACATCAATATCTTCATAACGTAATGAAGCATTGATAAGTGAACGATAGGTATGTTGATTTGGAGTGAGACCAAGTTGTCTCATTGAAAAGAATACACGAAAAGCTTGAACCAATTGATCAGTCTCTGTATAATAGTTTAGCACCGTGTTGAGTGTTTCCATGGTTGGTATGTATAGTTGATTGTCAGGTACACTGCCAGGATTCTTTGTCTCGCGAAGGATGGCATCGTTAAAGTTGGCAACTTCAATCATGGCAACTGCTATCTTTTTTCGCATCAATTCATAACATTCTTCAGACACTGGTACATAGTATCTATCCATGACTTGAAACAATGAAAATGCATTCTCCATCTTATTTTGTTGTACCAAATTCTTGAGTAGTGGCATCGAATTGCGAAGATGTTGATGAATCGACCCGGCAATATAAACCGACTCGAGACCTACCGATCTCGACAACCCAGGCAATTGTAATGCATCGTCAACAGTCTTGATTGAATATTCAAATGGATTGATTGGTGATACTACATCTGGGTTTGTAGAGTATCTTGTCACTGTATGTTCTAGTTGTTTTCTTTGTTCATCACCAACTATAATATTTGCTTCAATCTCTTTACTATCAATTGTTATTACTGTTGTTATTTCTTCTTCTTCTTTCTTTTTCTTTATATTATTATTATTACTATCTTGTAATTGATTATTACTGTTATTATTACTACTACTACAATATCTAAATTGATGATTACTATTTACAACATAACTTTGATTATGATTATTATTCTTTGTCAATAATGAAAAGGAATATCTTAATATTGATCTATTCGTTGTTGTTGTTGTATTTGATTTAATCAAATTGAACATGATGATGTTCTTTTCGTTGCCTTTAAAAGATAAATACGAATGAAAGATCAGTCGTTTAGTGGGTTGTTTTGTCTTGGACTAAAAAAAGGAAAAGAAAATCTTTTAAATTAAATTAAATATTATTATTCTAATCAATGACAGAACTTTTAAATTTAATTACTAGTAACTATTATTATTGCGTATTTATTTATTTATTTATTTATTTAGTTTTCTTCTTTTGTTGTGACTGTTGTTGTTGTTGTTTTTGTAAAATATAATTTTTCTTTCTTTTTGCTAAACCAGATTTTGCAGCAATGTATGACTTGGCGCTATACAATTTCATAAAGACAAATGACAAGACTAGAGCAAGGATGATGAAATGGATACGTTGGAGGAGAATACAAAAGAATGAAATACAAGTGTGTGATTCTTCAACATCGGACAATGGAATGAAATAGGTGCCTGAATGGTTGGATGGGAGTGGTTTGGGGACTGGGAAATTGGCAGGTTTGAGTTTGGCGTCTTTGAATACTTTGATGGCGATATCGGGACGATCAGTGATGATGGCTTCGATACCGAGTCCCAAGACACGCTTCATTTCTGGTGCATCATTGATCACCCAAAAATGGACATGCAAACCAAAGTAGTGGGCAGTGTCAATGAATCGACCAGTCTCGAGTGAGATGGGACCACTCGAAGTTGGTACTTGAAACACTTCAAATGAAGTAATTGGGAATACCGAATAGACAAGTTTGGCAAGATAGATTTGTGAGAGAATGACAAATCGTGTTACTTCTCTTTCACAACCCGATGTTGTGATGGGCATTTCAGAAAGACCATTCTTTACCATATACTCTCTTGCCAATACTCTAATGTGTGCAGTTGGTTCACAGAAACGACAGCTTACTACAACCGATCGATGTGGACGACCCAACTCTTTGAATGCACGTTCCAATTCACGCCACAAACTTTCAGCCACCTTGATATCATCCTCTTTGATTTCAATGTTGAGTGAAGTGGTTGTGGGCAGTGTTTCAAAGACCTCACGCATGGTTGGCACCTTGAGACCACGTCCACGGAACGGAGTAGAGGTGCCATTGTCAGGTGAAAAGCGGTAGCCGGCGTCACAGGCACGCAACTCGGCCAATGTATGGTCCTCGACGTCTCCATTGATGTTGGTGACACGATCCAACAACTTGTCATGGAATATAACCAAGTGTCCATCCTTTGACAATCTTACATCAGTCTCTATGACATCTGTTCCGAGATCCAATGCAGTTTGAAAGGCAAGTATAGTGTTTTCAGGTACTATATACCTAGACCCTCTATGTGCCATAATCAACGTCCTATTTATAGATGCTCCACTAGTATGTAAACTCGAATACAATGGTTCGAAATAACCTCTAGGTGATTTACCATCATGATTTACTTGATAGATTGATAACCCTACCACAGTCAATAAAATGTAAATTATTAATTTAATTGTACTTCCTTTCATCCTTTTTTTATTTATATAATAAACTTATATAACTATATATATATATATAAATGATAGTACTAATACTAATATGTATGTGTTACATTATTGAACATACATCTATTTGTACCCCCCAGAATCTCGCACTCTCTGGGACGATGTAGATGAAATTGAATTAAATTAATTTTTATTTAATTTTTTTGTTCAAAGTAACAATGGTTATCCCAATGCGACAGCCATGACCTTTCAAAGATAAAGATCTATCTTTGTCTCTCTATTCACACCCCTTCAAATATTATTATTAAAAGAATAAAATAGATGATGATGATGATGATGACACATTTAACTAAAATAGTCGTATTGGTTATCTCATTGTTATTAGGATTAACAGTTTCACAGTCAACTACTGTATGTTTTGATAAACACACACACACACAGACATCAAGCAATCGTGTAAACAAACACACACACAAATATATCTAATAATGCATATATCTAATCTTTGTTACTACTATTTAGTATCCATGTCCATTCTATAGATCTTTATCATTGGCAAGTCCTGTTGTATCAGGTGACGATGTCATTATACTACAAGGATTGTTGGCTAGATCAGTACCAGACCTTCCAATCTCTGGTATTTTCGATGAATTTACTGAAGTTTGTCTTATGAAATATCAATCAATGTATAATATGTATGTGTTGAAAGATAGATAGATAGATAGAGGATTATGTTGTTGATGGAAATATTTAATTAATTATATTTTGTTTGTTTGTTTTTGTTTAGTGCAATTACAGGTATTTTAGATGTAAATACAGCCAATTCCATTTTATTGACCAATGGTGATGATGGGTATACTGATAATGGTCAAATTCCACCAGGATTTAAATACAAGGTTCATGTACCAGTCTATCGTAATAGATCGATTGAAACCACTGCAACTCTTTACGATGACCAATTAAATGTATTACATTCATTCACTGTTAGAACAGAGGGTCAACTCAATACCGATGGTAGTGCCATGAATCAATTCTGTGGTGATGGTGCCACTCCAACCGGTCTCATGACATTTGATCTCAACTCTGCTGAACCTGATCCTGCTGCTTTTGGACCATACCCAGTGAATCGTGCCGTTCAAGGTATTGCTGGCAATGCATTCCTCCTCATTAGCAATGTTCGTGATGGTATTCTTATGCATACTGGTCAATGGACCGGTTGGAACCCTTCCATGCCTATGCCAAACTCTCATGGTTGCGTACACGGTCATCCAGAAGACATTGACACTGTTTGGAATATTCTCACCTCTAATCTCAACGTTTACGTTCGTAATAATACTTTTGGTGCTTTACCATACCTTTATCAACCACAAGGTGTATTATCTATTGAATTAATTGATTAGATTTGTATAAAAAAAAAACTTAACAACAACAACAATAAATGATTGTATGTATTGTCGTACGACATATACATATATATCATTATTGATTTATATTTAAAAAAAAGAATAATTAATTATTTATTATATATTTATTTATTATTATATTATTTGTGTGAGTTTATTAAAGTTGTTCTTGAAGTTCATCTTCACGTTGTGCATGAGTTGGAGTTAATCTAATTTCATCATATTTACTTGGATCACTTGAACGAATAAATTTAGCCTTTTTGTTGGTCTTCCAGAGAAGGAAGGCGACGATACCTAAAAGGATGGCGGTGACTGGAAGGAAAACAGCGACAGTGATTTTAGTTTCAGTCTTGTCAGTGACGACCTTGACTGGAGGTGGTGGGAGCCCACAACCCTTGGTGCATCCACACTCACGACTGGCAGTAAGACAAGTCTCTGAGCAATATTCGAGTTCTGTGTTTTTGGCATCGGCCTTGTTTGATGTAAAGGTGTTGTTTACATTGAATCTAGCTGTGGAGTTGGTGCAATAGAGAGCACCACCGGCAAACAATGCAGTATTGTTGGTAAAGAACGAGTCGGAAACGAGTGATTGACGTTCCATTGGTTTTGGATCAAATGACCAGATGGCACCACCACTCTTGGCTTGATTATTTTGAAAGGTTGCGTTTTGGAATGTTGATACTGATCCATTCAATACAACTGCTCCACCTGCTTCAGTGGCTACATTACCATCGAATATTAATTCTATAGAATCGACTGATGAATCTCTATCATAGATGGCTCCACCATATTGTGCTCTGTTTTGAATAAATCTATTTTTATACCAAAAACTATTTTGATAGAGTGGTAATTCTCTCATAAATACAGCTCCCTAATAATAAATATATAAGTATCATGATTGATCTTTTCTCAATTTAATTAATAGAGAATTTACATACACCAAGAACAGCAGTATTTTGTATAAAGGTTGACATGACAACTCTAACATTGACACCTTTGGCAGTTCTAATAGCACCACCATTGACACCAGTGTTGTTGGTAAATATAGTGTTGTTGACAACCGATGGTGATTCGAAAAAGAGTGCTCCACTAGTATTTGTCTTGTTGCTCACCCAATTGTTTGAGAATTGACAATTTGAAATTAAACAGGAATGATGTGGATTAAAATAAATAGCTCCTGTTAATAATCCAGTATTACTAGTAGTAATAAACAACAACATATTATATAGTTAGTATAATATATCTATTATAAATATAATGTCTTTTTTGTTTCTTTCTTTCTTTGTTTGTTTGACACATACGATGAAAAGGTACAATTATCAAAATTAACAGTTGATAAAGATGAAACGACAATGGGAGCACCTTCATTTTGAGCAGTGCTTATATCACGGCCATTAATGAAACTAATACCAGTAAAGGTGGTTATTGGGGCGATACTGCCAAAGTGAATGAGATAGTTGATTTTTCTTCCATCAAAGACGGCATAGTTGGTGGCTGTTGGAAGTGGATAAGATACTGGAGCAGTAGCTGGACGATCAGCAGATTGAACAACCATTGTGTATTCATATATCTTGTCTTCATTCCATGAATAACTCAATCTGATACCAACATTTTTAAAGCCATCGTAATTACCATCTGGAACAATATGTAATAATCTTGTAATACTATTTCCACAATCTGTAGAGTCATCTGCATTTACCATTGTTGTAAATCCTTGTGATAAAGTTTTACATGGACTAAATAATAGATTGAGATTTAGGGGGTGAATATCATCGTTGGTTTGGTTCTTTTATATCTCTACCTATCTATCTATCTATCTATACATACGTTGCATAAGTACAATCAGCAGTATCATTTCCTAAATTTGAAACCCACCATGCTATATTTTAATATATACAAAGACGAGTAAATGAAGATGAATATTAGTTTATGATCAAGATGATTCAATCAATCGATCTATCTATCTTCAAGACACACATACCACACTTGTCTGAATAGTTTGCAGTTGTATAATTGACTACTACGGTGAGTAGCAATAAAAGAGATAATATAAACTTCATTCTTCTTCTTCTTCTTTTATACTACTTAATATAAATATCTAAAAGGTATGTGTATAACAAGAGAGAAACAAAGGGAATACAATAATAAACTAAACAATAAACTATGAGAATAGTGTAAAGGGGGTGGTTGTTGAGACAAAAAAATAAAAAAAAAGTGGTGTAGTGACAGCGGTGGATGGCCATCGTTACCCCAATTGGCGTGCAAAACACAACAGAGGTGGTGTCTGGGGGTCGAAATCTGAGAGCCTCTTTTTTGAAAAAATCGTTGGTTGACAACTTCCCTGGTACCAAGCACGATCAGCCATCCGAACGGAGGTCGTTTTTGATTAAAACAATAGTTCTAAAACAGACTTTTCTAATACATCGGAAATTAATATTCCGATCTATCATATTAATATTAAACATTACAACAATCACATGTGTTGAAAGTAATTTATTATTGTTGTATTATCATTTTAGTTTTACCAATTCTTTTTTTGCCATTCCTAAAAATAATAATAATAGATAATAGTTGTAGTAAAGATGGAGTGGACTGATTAGTTTGATATTACTTGTTTCTATCTAATAATTATTACTTTGCATACATTATGATTAATTTTAGTTACATCTGCCTCTGAAGAAATTGATTTCAAGTATTTGGAAAGATTATATAGTACAGTATCTGGTTGTTTTTTGTTTTCACTTCGTTTAAATGCTGGAATATGTACACCGTTTTTAGGATTCATTGCAAAGTTTCTACTCAGGTCATCAATGTGAAGAGTATTTTGTGGAGAATAATATTGTCCCAACAATTTATGACTCCAAATTATATCCAAAGCCTTGACTGGGTGTTTAATCTTTGTTCTATCCTTTCCATTTGGTGATGGTCTATAACTTGTTACTCGAAACATTAATGTTTGATCCAATACTAAAAAATAAATTAAATAAATAAAAAATGAATATCAATATAAATTATCTCTATTTCTTTCTATTTCTCTTATTTACCAAAACCAATTTTAAATTGTGGATTTGTTAATAAACCCAATTCTGTTAATTTAATTTCTATCCATTTCCAACTTGTTTGTGACCAAATAGCAATATCATAATCTTCATAAGATGATATTAAAAATTCTTCTAATCCTGGTCTCTTCATATCTTTTTGAATAATAAAGGATTAATAAAAATACTAATTCCAATATTCTATTATTATTATTATAACATACTTAATACATCTTGATCTTTAAAATCCAATATAGTATGATCAAGATCTAAAACTAAAAGTTTCTTGTTGGGTCTTGGAGCATTGATAATATCAATCTCTGCCTTCTTTTTAGTTTTACTTAGACGATTCTTGTTCTTTTCAAAATGTGATATTTCATCGGAATCGGGTATGTAGTCGTAGTCCATGTCGTTAAACACATCAATGACAAGCGATGGAGGGGGACCTTCTGAGATCAATGCCTCTGGTGTCCCTATCATCACTATACTTTGGTTTGGACGGACATTGAGTGTAGACAATGCGATATTGTCTGCTGGCAGCGGTCCCTTGGAGAGTCCCAAAATCTTTTGTCTCTTTGACAAGACATTGGTCAATACCTCTAGTTCTCGCTTCAAGTCTGCGACAGTCGATGTGGTAGACAATGTAATATCGTATTCTTTACCACTCCATTTGGTTTTAAGTGTAATTTGTTCTTTTAATAGTAATTGTTGATCTGGTGTTATAATGGTAGTTGTAGTGGTAGTTGTAGTGGTTGATGTAGTTGTATTATCTCCACCAGCACCTTGTTCCACTATAATCTCATCTTGTTGTTGCTGCTGTTGTTTGATTATATTGGATGCTCCATCATCCTCTATGATTGTTGTTTTAGTAAACGTTGACGACGATGTTGATGTTGATACTATAGTACTACTACTAGTAGAAGAAGAGGAGTCTAACGACAATGATGATGATGATAATGGTGGTGGTGGTGTAGAAGTTGCACTTAAATCATCTTGGCTAGACATGTTATATATATATAAATATAAATATAAATAAAAAGCAAAGACAAATTTAATTTAAATATATGATATATATATAAATAAATAAATAAATAAATGAAAGAAGGAGGAATAAGAAGAAGAAGAAATCAATACTAATACTACTACTACTACTTCTTTATCTATCTATTTTTCTCCACAAACAGAATATTCTTTCTAACTCAAATAATGCATCAGAGGTGGTGGTTGCTTAATATTGGAGTTGGTTTTTTAAAATATATATATTTTTATTTTTAATTTATTTTTAGACTAATTAATTTTTCTTATTTAATTAATATAACCTTTTCTATTCTTTTCACAGTTTATTTATTAAAAATATAAAGGTAGACTTTGACCATCATCATCGATCGAGTAATAGATAGAGTGTTTCTCTAATTGCTTTATTTGTATCCGAAAGTACAACTACAATCATGATATGAGACAAACAGCATATGAAAGGTGTGAAAATCATGCATCATATCATCCTTGGGTTGAGTCGGCCATCAAAGCTAATAGTCATCAAAGAAATGTAACTATCTCATAGAACAAAATTAGACTATCCAAACTCCACCCATAAACACTAATACTAATTGGTGTGTTTTTATTAATATTGTTATTTATGGTTGACTGACCCCCCTCTAGATCAATAATTGGGTGGGGGTATACATTTGTTTATCTTCACCTACCTACTCGTTTTGGGGTATAGATACTTTTTGGGTGCACATATAGCTCGTTAAATGAAATTAACCAACTTGAACCTTACGGTTTGTTCAATATTGAATATATAATGATCAAGCGTGAAGTGACTTCATAACCAAACAAAATCATTACTACTAGTTTATTAAATATTTATCATAATCATAATCATGATAACTTTAAGTATTATAGGATATTTATTCCTATTTTATTTAATTTGTTCATTTGTAAGTGTCAATCCGTAACTCATAAAACAACATAGACACAGGTTTATTAATTACTATCCCTTTTTGTTTAAAGATTAACAAGAATAAAAAATTCTCTAATAGAGACCCACCAGCTGCATGTATATCTCTTCCTATTATTGGAGGGTTGTACAAGTTGAATGGATATCCACCAGAACAAGTTTTGAAGTTGTCTAGAAAGACTGGCAAGATGATGTCCATATGGTTTGGAGATAACTACACGGTGTTTATAAATGATCCCGTACTGGTAGAAGAAGTGTTTGTAAAGAACCACGAAGTCTTTGGAGACAGACCTTTTCTCCCCAGCCTTAGACTATTATGTGATGACTATAATGATATTTTCACCAGTGGCTATGAGACTTGGCATCCAATTAGAAAGGCTTTGGAACCATTTTTCACAAAAACAAAACTTAAATCATTTAATCAACATGTTGAATTGCATGCAGATAATTTAGTTAGAAAATTAAAAGAATATGCTCAATCTGGTGAACCTGTAAGTAAATTAATATCAAACAACTGTTGGACTCAAATCAAGTACAATTTTTTATTAACAAAATATCTACTTTAGGTTGACCCTTACCCATATTTTAAAAAATATTTCTTTGGGATCATTATTAAATTTGTATTGAATGTTGACTTGGCCTACGAAGAGTCACCAAATGAAGGTATCATGAACACAATGTTTAATCCAACCAATGAATTGGTTCAAAAAATTGCATCTTGTGCAGTCTTTGATACCATCCATGTTCTCAGTCCCTTATACTATCATTCAATGAGATCATTTATTCAAAAGGATATGGGTGCCATTAGAGAAATTTGTAAACAACATCTCATTCAACACAAAAGTACAATTGATAAAAATAAGTATGTATGAGAAATATTAAAACATATTAAAATTAATATTAATATATATTTTTTTTAGTCCAAGGGATATGTTGGATCAATTGATATTACTTCATTTTGATGATGAATTAATTATAAATCTAGTTTTTGATTTATTGATTGCATCGGTTGACACTCCTTCTAGTACATTGGCATGGTTCAATTTAGCAATGACCAACCATCAACATGAACAGGAAAAGGTTAGAAATGAACTGAGATCAAAGTTTTCGTCGAGCTCTGATATCAAACCAACAGATGTGAACAAAACCCCCTATACATGTGCTGCTCTAAAGGAAATTTTTAGATTGGTTCCCCCTGGGCCCTTTGGCGTTCCCCGTCTTGCAAGAAGAGATATAAATATTGGTGGTTATTTTATTCCAAAAGGTGTAAGTATTAAAAATAGACCACTCATCTAAACAATATAAAAATAATATTTTATTTACTCCATTTTCTATTCATTTGCAGACTACAGTACTTGCTAATTGGCATGGAATACATAGAGATAGTTATGAGAATGGAGATAAATATCTTCCATCAAGATTTCTAAAGGATCCAGGTCTTTCTACTTCAGCTGGAAAGTGGGCACCCTATTCAATAGGACCACGTATCTGTTTAGGATTCCGATTGGCCAACGACGCTGAATTTTTAGCCATTTCCAAAATATTCCATCGATTTAAAGTAACATCGGTTGATGGATCTCAATTGGATGAAACCCCTCGTTTTGGCTTGTCAGTATCCCCAAAACATGGACATCTTTACAAGTTTGATCTAATCAAACAATCAAATTAAAAAATAAATAAATAAATAGCGTCTTAACAAAAGAATGCATGCAATTTCTAAAAAAATCTAAAAAGAGTCTTTTTCTTTTTTTTTTATGATGTCGCTTCCATCACAATTTTTGATTTTAATATTTTCTTTTACAGTGTGAGAAAGATATATATACCTACTCACTTGCAAGCGACGACGAGGAAGAGGAAGATTTAAAGAAAACAGGAAAGAGAGAAGGACAAACAAATAGACAGATCATCATCATCACCAATCGACACTCATCCACACCACACTTCCTTCTTTCCTCATTTAGTATAATTAAAAGCAATCAATCAATTTAATTAGTTATAAGAGATAGATAGAATTAAGAAATAGAGAGAGAGAGAGAGAGAGAGAGAGAGAGAGAGAGAGAGAGAGAGTATACCCTCACTCACAATCAAAAGATGGATAAGGAGTTAGATATCAATCTAATTAAAAGATTTATAGATGTTGAAGTACCAACCAACAGCGATCGTGTATTGAGTTACTATAAGCAACTCAAGAACATTCTCACCGTGTTGAGCAACAAGCAGATTGGTGGCACCACAGAGAACCATCAACAGATTGTTGAAACGATCGAGAGCAAGATGAAGCACATTGAAACAAAGTTTGGTCAACAAATAGACTTGCATCAAAATCAAGGCCAACAACAACAACAACAACAAGCATTGTACAACTATGGTGGCGATGATCACCATAATAATAATCAACAAGAACCAGTTGTTGTAGTTGATGTCAATAAGCAACAACAACAACAACAACAACAACAACAATCAACAACAATAGTACAACAAACACCAGTAATATTCAATACTTTACAAACGGGAGCAGCTGATCCATTGGCAGCTGCCAAAAGAAGACATCATTCCTCATCATCTTCATCACATCATAATCGTCTTGGACCACCAGAGATCCCACCCGAAGAGATTGTATTTGACCCCAAGGTAGACCATCTCGGTGGTGGTGCCTATGGCAAGGTGTATCGTGCCACGTGTCGTGGTAAAAGGGTTGCTGTGAAGGTGCCAAAGAAACAGGTTCTAAGTGATTCTGAGAAGAAAGCATTCCTCGTAGAAGTCGAAATCATGAAACAGATATTCCACCCTAATGTTGTTCTCTTTCTGGGTGCTTGTACCAAACCTGGAAAGATTATGATTGTCAGCGAACTAATGCAATCCGATCTCGAAAAATTAATCCATTCTCCCGATTCTGAACCTCCTTCCCTTTATCAACGTATGAAAATGGCTAGTGATGCTGTATGTAGTAGACAATCAAGATAGATATAATTTGATCATTTAAATTAACCACCACATTAACTTTACTTTAGGCAATGGGAATGAATTGGCTTCATGGCATTTGTAATATACTTCATAGAGATTTAAAATTGGCAAATTTAATGATTGGTAAAGACAATACGGTCAAGATTACAGATTTTGGTTTCTCACAAGTCATCAAGACTGGCACTAATTTGGTTGATCAACGTGGTCCAAAGGGTACAGCACTCTACATGGCACCAGAGGTTATGATGAAACAAGAGTTTAATGAAAAGGCCGATGTTTATAGTTTTGGTTTGATTCTTCATGAATTGGCAACATGCGAGGAATTATTCCCAGAGTATTCTGAAATTGAACCTTTCTCTGATGTATGTTAAAGGAAAATAGAAATAGAAACAAATTGTTGTATTGACTTTTTTCATTTTATTTTATTTAGGCAATTTGTAATAAAAGAATAAGACCACCAATTCCATCAAACATTCCACGATCATTATCGGTATTGATGCAAAGATGTTGGGATCATGATCCATCGGTCAGACCACCATTCTCAGAGGTTGTAGAAAAAATGAACGAAGTGTTGATCGACATTGGCATTGGTGATGCAACAGCTGCCGACTTTTGGAAATCAAACTTTTCATCGACCCCAGAAGAAGTAAAATGGTCGGAATTTGCATTTAAACTATCTCAAACTACCAATATTGATATTACCCAAATTAAACCTTTGGCTAGATTATTTTGTATGTAAAGTAAATATATCATTTTAAACAAACAATTGTTATTAACAAATTTATTTAATTTTTAGTATCAAACGATGATGAAGATAATGGATTAGTTAAAATTGAAAGATTTGATTTAATGAATAAATGGTTTGGACCATTTTATTCAAGACAAACTGGTGGATTGATAGTAAACGAGATGAACGAATTGACTAGAAGAAAATGGTTCCATGGAGATATTAGTAGAGATGTCTCTGAAAGACGTTTACGCGGAAGACCAGAAAATACATTTTTAATTAGATTGAGTTTGAATGACCCTCTCAAGACCCCATTGACCATTTCAAAGATCAAGGCATCCAAACCAACTCACAAAAGAGTGTCGAGAGAAGAAGTGCCACAATCATCAGATTTCCCAATGGGACTAAAATTCCTAGTACCAGTCGATGGAAACGATTTGGTATTTAATAGTATCACATCAATGGTCGATCATTTGAAAAATATTGGTAATCTTGGTCCAGAAGGTCCCCAATCTGAAATTAAAGTACCATATATTAATGATTAACAAGAAAGAATGGATAAAGTTAGAACAACATATCCCTTTACGAAACAAAAAAGAAACACAACCAACAAACTCAAGACCAACACCTAAAAATAATCCCAAAAATGAAAAGAAATGAAAAAGAAGAAGAATAATAATCATTATCCTAACCATAACCATATTAATAATAACCTTATTGACAATAATAATCTAAATAATAATCAAATAATATTTGTAGCATCAACTCCATCACCACTATAATAGATAATAAACACAAGTCAGTAGGTATGCGTGTTACGCCACACTCTGAGGGTCACATATGGCTCATTCCAACAATTAACATTAAAATGGTCCACCTCTTTATTTCTTTTTTTTTTTTTTTTGTAAAAGAGTGTTTGAATGACTCAGCTTTAAAAGGAGGCGTCAGTACATTTGATTCGTCACCTTTTTGAAGATGAATCATTAAATCATGATATTTAAATAGTATAGACGGATCATTCAATCAGTCATTTGTCAATCATTATTATTATTATTATAATTTTTAGTAGTATTAGTATCATTCATCATCTCTATTTCAAGAGATTGTCAACTTAAAAAAAAATGAATAGAGTATTAAATGTAATGGCATTGGTTGGATTTGTGTATCTATGGATTGGATACTATAGAGAGTATATCGAGATAATAGAGTTGTTTTATAGACTGGTACCTCCAACTCAACTGTTTGACTTTATCAAGTACCCTGAAACTATCATAGATGAGTTTCAATATGCTCGCATATCTGATATATATGACATTATATCAGTGTGGTTGGCTCAAGTACTCGCAGCAATAAGTTCAATCTATGGTCTATGTTCTTATCGATTCCTACTTTTGGTGTCTGATGAAAAGAGTATTGGATACAAGTCGGCCGAATGGGAACGTATCCCATTACTTTCAAACCGAATCAACATCACGTACATTAGAAGAAGGTTAAGACTTGCCTACTGGTTATTCATCCTCTGCCAATTATTAACATTCATTGGCGTGATAAGGACATCCAACCTATGTGAATACCCTCCAACATCAGGTATCCTCCGTAACTATTGCTACAAAATCGGTGAAAGATTAATACTCAACCTTTATCCAATCTATTTACTTGTCCTCAATGAAGTGGTTCTATTTATCAATCGTAATTCATCAAATAATAATAACAATCAACAAAAACAAAAACAACAACAACAATCATATCCCAATAAGAGAATATTAAATGTATTGGTATTAATTGGATTTGGGTATTTGTGGATTGGATATTATCTTGGACATTTAGAGAAATTATATTTGTTTTTTACAAGTGTACTACCTCCAAGTAAACTACTCTACTTTATCATTCACCCAAACACTATCGTTGAGGAGGTTCATAAAGATGCACTCCTATCGGATATATATGTTATCTTGGTAAACTGGATCATCCAACTAATAGCAACAATATGTTCAATCTATTGTCTCTATTCATATCGATTCCTCTTTTTGAAATCGGATGATGATGATGATGATGATGGAAAGAAGAAGAATACCACTCTGAACAAGTCAACTGAAAGGGAACGAGAGCGTGCTCCTATACTTTCAAATAGAATCAACATCACGTACATTAGAAGAAGGGTGAGAGTTGCCTATTGGTTATTCCTCCTCATCCAGGTACTAGAATTCTATTGGAGCATTTCGACAGGGTCTCTATGCAAAACAAATACACCACTACACTCGGAAATCCTCCACCACCATTGCCATACGACGCAAGAAAAACTAGCTTTCAACATTTATCCAATCTACTTGTTGGTCCTCAATGAAGTGGCTCTATATATCAATCATACAACAACAACTACTACTACTACAACCATCACCAACAACAATCTCCAAACTACTACAGACTTGAACAAGACCATAATAAATTAATTCGAAATATTTTTTTTTTAGAAAGAAGATGATGGTCCCGGGGAGCTTTTATTTGAGTGTAACAAAGTGACTTACCAAACTCATAGTCGTGGGTCGGAGCAGAGTTGCTTGTAAACTTGTTCCCATCCTCTTGACTATGGCCATTATTTTCTTGAATCTTACCATTGCATCAGTACCCTTTACGACCTGCACGATTCATTGCATCATGATCGTTTAGTTTTACATTTTCCAGTGCCGCTTCGTAGAGTAACTTGATAGTGGAGAGATACCCTTTCTCGGACATCTTACACAACACGATTACTTGATACTTTAAGAGGTGTGGATAACTCTTGATGATGAATTCAACCAGCTCTGGTGACCACTCCAATAGATGTTTGAGAGTATCCAATGGATGTTGTTGCATTATAATTACGATGACAACAATATCGATCGATGACCTCTACTCTTCTAACAAGTAATACTTGATTACAGTCTGATGGTAGATAATGACGAATGAACTGCAACGGCATTGCAAACTTTGATATCATTGCAAGAAAAGGTAATTGAATGATATCTCTTCCTTTGGTACCCTTATATTGTTGATCACATCCCTTTGCATGATACTCTACTTTGAATATTTGATCAATATGATTGAATATCAATGATCTGATATATGTCATTTTGAAGACATCATTAAATGTTGTTTGAGCATTACTAACTATTGTTGTTGTCGTTGTTGTTGTCGTTAAAGACATTGATTGATTAAAGAAACGCACTGATCACCATTCTTTGAGGATGACAAAAAAAATAATGCATACCCGAACTGACTGCTCCACATCAATCAATTTATGAAAAGATCGATGTCAAACCAAATCCCTCCTTTACTTTTTTAAAGAATATATAAATTAAAATTAAATCAATTCAGGAAATAATATTAATATTGTATTATTAATTAATTAATTAATTATATAGAGGAGAGTTGCGTATAAATATATTTATATAATGTTGGTTGGTTGGTTGGGTTGGGTTGGGTTTTAATTAAATTTAATTTCTTTTCCATCATTTTCTTTTTCTTTTTCTTTTCATTTTACTGAACTGATTCTTCCTTTGTAAGAGTTTGTTTTACTTTAAGGAGAACAGCAGTTTTCCAAGCGTCTAGTTGAGTGACACTGTTAAATTCACCGATGGCATCGGTAAACTCCTCGACATTATTCTTTCTGCAAGCAGCGATGATGTCCTCTAAAAGACGACACTCGCGAGACGATGAAAACGAAGCTTGCATGTCCTTGTAACGTTGGAGGGCACGCTCGCCACCGACCAAATCATCGTTGGCCAAATAACAGAGAATGGCACGTAAAAAGTATTCCTTGACACCAAACTGCTTGAGATTATTGTCCAATGAACCAGCAGCCACCTTTTCATAAATCTCTATAGCTCTTTCGAAACGTTCCAATTGTGCAGAGATCTGGGCAATCTTGAGTAGACATTGTTGTGACGACACTGAACTGCTCTCACCCTCGTAAAAGTCGGCTGCCGTCTGATAGCATTGACAGGCTTGGTCCAAGTCTCCCTCGGCTTCATACATCTCTGCCAACTCCTTTTGGTGGTTGGCAGCAATAGCAAACCGACCTTCATCTGTGTAGTATTCAATGGCTGCCTTGAGACAGGTGACTGCACTGCTCACATTACCCTTTTTAAAACATTGACTTGCACTAATGTATGCTTGTGCACTATCATGTTTACTACTCTTTATATAACATTCTGCTGCTCTTTGAAATGCTGCTCCTGCTTGGTCCCCTTAAATATTTAAAGATAGATAGATAGATAGATAGATTGATATGTTAGTATTGATATGTATAAATGTTAGGTTTGGATTGGTTTTGGGGTTGAGTTTGTTTAAAGACATACACTTCTTTGCCATTTTATATAGATTACCAGCCTTTGTAAACTCGTCGGCAGCATCTTCTAGCTTGCTGCTACCTCCACCAAACAACTTTCCTAATCCGCTGCTTGCAGACTTTGCTTTCTTCTCTGCCTTGTCCAAGAACTCTTTTGCTTTTGCTTCGTCTCCCATTATTGTTATTGTGTGTTATTTTAAAGTTTAGATATATATTAAAAAGATAAAATGCAATGTCTAAATGGTCAGTTGTGTTGTAGTTATAAATTAATTAATTAATTAAAAGTTTGAATTGCGAGATAATATGTACTATAACCGCGCTGAAATTTTTGAATAATCTTTTTCTCGTAATAATGTTTTAAATTAAAAAATTAATTAATTAAAAAAAACAATGAAATGAATTTGCGAGGTATGATGATAGATAGAAATAAATAAATAAATAAATTTATACAATGAATGAATAATAATAATTTTAAATGTTAACAATGAATCGATTAAAGGGGGTGAGACAGTTTGATGAAACGGTCCTTCCTTCCAATTGCCCTTGAAAATAAAAGAATGTTCAAGCAACACAACACAGTCATGACGAAAGATGAGGTTATGGGGTGAATTGTCAAAAAACAAACAATTTCGTCTGACCAAAAAAGGAATGGCTAATTGCGAGTTTAGAGAGAGAACCAGAACAAAAAAACATCCCTGACACATGAATCTGATGATAGTCTTGTTGGCCTTCCTTTCTTTTATTCATCGAATTTAATATTAATAAATTAATTGATTTGAGATTCAATTGACAATGAAATTTAATTAATGATTCATATAATTATATGTATATTTTGTATATTTAAATTGAAAATAAAATAAATTATTATTTTTATTAAGGAAAGTTCTCTTTTTACCTTCGAAACCTGCTCTCTTCTTTTGATCACCACTGCCTCCTGAGGATGATTTATCACCTCCTCCAGGACCACCCTTTTTATCCTTTTTATCCTTTGCATTATTGTTTTTCTTTGGTTTTGGTGGTTTGATACCCATACGTTTATCTTTCTTTCTTTGGATCTTGGCATTGATATTGTCTTCTCTCTTTTTAATTTTACCACTCTTGGTAGATTCGGCATCTCTCTTTCTTTGGTTCCATTCTCTGGCACTCTTGAACTTTTTGCTTTGGTCACGTTTGATTGACTTTTTGATCATCTTGACATTGTCCTTGATCTTGACACCCTTGGCCTTGTCTAGTGCCGATGCCCACTTTAACGTTTGTGCAATCTCTAATCCTTCGCCAGTCTCTTTGGCTCGCTTTATAATCTTTTCGCGCAACTGTGCTCTCTTTAACAATTCCTCTTTTGACATTTTATGTTTGGTACGTAGTTGTGTAAGATATGATGGTAAAGGTTTTCCAGTTGTAAAATCAAATGTACTAAATTGAATATCATCTCCCTACAATATAAATAAATAAATAAATACAAATATACAAATATAAATATACAAATAGATTAATATTAATTTGTTTGTTTTTTTCTATTTCTATTTCTGGTGAATGGCAAAAACAACATACATTAATCTTATTCTTTTCAGATCCTTCTTCTTCTTCATCCTCCTCCTCTTCTTCTTCTTCTTCTTCATCATCCTCCTCCTCTTCATCTTCATCATCTTCATAATCCTCGTCATCTTCGTCATCCTCATCTTCTTCATCATCATCATCATGTTGATCCAAACCATTTTCATATTCATCCTCTTCTTCATCTTCATCGTCACTATCAACTTGTTCCTTTTTGACAACAATTCTCTTGTTGTTTCCATTGATAGTTGTGGTTGTTGTGGTCGTTGTTGATTCCTCTTCTTCTTTGTCTACAATTTTTGTTACAATATCCTTTTTCGATCCATCCGAACTCTTTGATCTTTTGTTTGGTTGTACTTCTTTTTTAACAACAATCTCTTTTGTTGCTGTTGTATTATTATTATTATTCTTTGTATTATTATTATTATTGGTGACAACAGTAGTTGTTGTAGTTGTCGATGTTGATGGTGTATTTGTACTTGGTTTGTTTGATTGTCTCTTTAATTTCATATCAGTTAATAATTGTCTTAATTGAGCTCTATTACTATTATCCAATGTTAAATTGCCATGTAAATCAAGTGTTACACCAGACTCTGAACTTGGAGTTGTTTGTGATGGGACTGGTACAGATGCTACATTGATAACTGCTGATGGTACAGATACTTTACTAGCAACTGTAGTAGTTACTGTAGTATTGGATCCATTACTATGTTTTAACAATTCAGCATTGAGATTACCCAATGGTTGTTCAGTACTAGTTGTAGTGGTAGTAGTAGTAGTTGGAATACTCTTTGCACTATTTCTTAATGGTGTAGATGGTGCTGTTGCCTTTGGTGATGGTTGTTCAGTTAACAATCTAGTAGAGAATGACACTGAAGATGATGAAGCTGGATCTCTAATCGTATCCATCATAGATGACATCCCTAAAGTTATATATTAAATAGATAGATAGATAATGTAATTAGTCTTCTTTCTTTGTCAACACTTGATTGAATATACAACAACAACAACATACAACTAGAGTTTGCTTTTAATCTATCCATCATTGACTTTGCTCTATTATTATTGGTAGTCGAGGCAGCAGCATTGGTAGTCGTCGTGGTAGTATTAGTTGCCATGTCTTTATCCTATCTCTCTATCTCTCAATTATTCATAGGATGATAATCGATAAAAGAATAAAGTACAATTTTTGCAAATAACCATCTTTCGTTTTTTCACACCACCAAAAAAAAAACGAGAACCAAAACCGACAATAAGAATAATAATACATGACATTTACATCAGTTTAATCATTTATTGTAAACAAAACATACATATTTATTTACTTGATATTGGACTCGAGTGAATTCATTCATTTGTTATGTGTGAAGTTGAAGTCCTTGGGAAATAAATATAAATAAAATACATTTGTGATGAGTGAAGTTGGTGTGGTTTGGTTTGATTTGGTTTGGATCTTATCTTTGGGTTTAACGAAGTTCTGGATGATTCTTGAAATCAGAACTGAGAGATTGACCACGAGCAATACCGGCGACCAAAAGGTTCATGTCAACAATCTTGGTGAGGAGTCTGGTTGCGACGGTAAAGAGCGAGCTGTCTCTCCAGGTGATACGACCGACACCGCTGAGGATGAGATCGGCAGCAGAGTCTGGAGTGTCAGAGATGGCGTGGAAGAACTTAAAGGCAGAGAGCTTGGGAGCCTTGTCGTAAAAGTTGGTACGGATTGGACCAGACATCAAACAGAACACGTCGATACCATAGTTGTAGCATTCGATCGAGAGCGATGTAGCAAAGGCCGAAAGGAAAGACTTACCACCACCATAGGTAGAACATGATGGAGCTGGGAAAAAGGCAGCTTGCGATGAGGTGAACGTGACACATCCCTTTAACTTCTTTTCGATCATCTTGCTGACAAAGTGATGGGTGAGCTTGACATGAGACATCATGTTGCATTCGAGGTTGGCAATTTGCTTGTTCAAAGGTGCACGGAAAAAGGCAGACAATTGAATGTAGCCAGCGTTGTTGACGAGGATCTGTACGTCAATGTCGTTGGTAGCCTTGGCAATGATATCAAGGTACGAGTAGGTGTCGTCGACACGACCCAAGTCAACACCGACACCTCTGAATTCGAGGCTTGGGAACTCTTGCTTCAACGACTTGACGGTACCCTTCAAAGCTTCGTCTTCCAAAGCAACCAACACTACATTCAAACCTTGTTGAGCGAGCTTCTTGGCAACCGATCTGCCAATACCACTCGACGAGCCACTGACCAAAGCCCACTTGGCATTATACTTTTTCTTTAAATCTTGTGGTTGCCATTTAAATGCTGCTAATAGAATTGGAACTTATAGTAGAAATAGAGAAATACAAAAAGGTTGTAGAGTGTAATGTAAGGGGGGTGGGTGTTAGTGTTTGTTTTTTTGTTTTAAACAAAAGTATGAGTATACTATTATGATCTATGTACATACTGAGGTAAGAGGCAAAGGTAATGATACCAACCCATAAGAAGAATGAGGATATATAGGACAACATGATTTGATTGATTGATGTAATGTTTCGTACGACGTATTACTATCTATCTGATGTGATGACGATGATCATGTCATGTTTGATGGTGACAGGACAGGCTTGAACAAAAAAAAGAGCTCAAAGATCTGTGTACAAAAATTAAAAAAAGTGAAAAAATGATTGAAATTTGGGTTTGGACAAAAGAGGAGGTAGGCCAACCAACTTTCGTGTAGGATGTTAACAACCAACTTTGCTGCACTCTCTCAGGTGAGCACGACTTGCTTGCTTGCATGGTTGTCAATATTGTCGGATGGTGGACAAAACACGACTGGCTGGTTACATGTGACATTTGTTTATTTCAATTCTCTTCTTCTTTATTGTTTCATACTTTTATATATTTATTTATTTACTTTGGTGCAGAGTTATATATATATATAACATATACCATACTCCCAACTACTATACCATACTATACCGATACTACACATCAACTATAACAGAGTTTCAAATGTTAAAACAACAACAAATAACTACAACAATAGACTAGATCGATTACTTTCACAACTCAACTCTCTTTATCATTATCATTGTATCATTACACAACAACCAACAACAACACACAGTACAGATATATAAACCTTTATATATTATCTTATTTATCTATTTATTTATTATTTTTAAAACAACAAGAGGCATAACAAATACAAATACAAACAACCATGAACAAACATATAAATTTACAAGTATTGGTGGTAGTGATGTTATTGTTTATATATACTACTACACAGACAACACTAGTAATACCACCGCCATTATCATCGCCGTCACCTATAATAATATCAACATTTGTAAATGCAAGCGACAATTCGAATTGTTCATTTTCAATTATAGCAGAGACTGTACAACTATCACCGATGGAAGTGGAGGGTACAGACGGTCACATTTACAATATGTGTCGACAGGCAGTCATTCGAATAGTCAATGCACAACTATTCTCTACGATCAACATTTCACCCGACTATAACGGATACCGAAACTATTCGTCTACATCGATGGAGGGTCTATTATATATCCCCGCTACTCCCTTTTCACCCTATTACAATATCAGCGCATACAGTCCGAGATGTCCCGGCAAAGAATTTAAACTACTCGTACCTTACAAGACACCTCATCTCCCATCCATTCCCTATGGACTATGTCCCTACTCTTTTGTAAACTATTCTCTGTCTAGTATGAACAGTAGCGGTACCAACACAGTCTTTGCCGCAAGAATGTCGACAGACCAACCATTTTCTAAAGATAATCTATCATTCACAGTGCCTTTTGGCAATGTTGTTTTCAACGTTCAATTAGAAACAGGGAAACAATGCGATATTTCTCAATACTCTTCAACAAATCCTTTTGTTCGTAAGTAGTAGTGTCAACAACACAACTCAATACATTCTACCTTGAAATATTGACATTGACTCATTCTTTTTATTTCTATTTATTTAGAATATCCACCAACATTTACAATTCAACCTTCAAGTTGTTCATCATTTGATGGATCTATATCACTTTTCAATGTTAGTGGATTTAGTGATTTAAAATTGTATAATGATACGTCTAATCAATATACAGTAAACAATACATTTAATGGATTTATGTCGGTTAGAGGAGGACGAGATTATATGTTTGAATTTCGTACATGGAATTGTGGAGTACAAAGGGTACCTGTAACAGTACCAACTACGACGCCATCAATTGAAATCACATTTACACCAGTTAAATCACAAATGGGATATGTACAAGTCAATTATATGGTTCGAGTTGGAAACACTACGATGACAACTTTTACAAACACTACATTTTTTCAAACATTTGATGATCGAAATCAAACCATTTCTCCCTTGTCACCGTCCAACTCTAGTATTGTCATTTTATTAAACAACAGAGACTATAGAGTAACTTGGATAGATGTTAACAACACCAGCAACAACTATGGATGTGGACAAATTTCACAAACATTTAAAACACCACGTCCTGTGATGCCAATTAGTTTCAAGTTGTCAAGATTCCCACAGAGTTGTAGTGATGGTGTGGTAGCCACAGTAGAAGGTATGGATAAAAGTAGTGTACGACCATATGGATTTGTGGTATCCTCCAACAACACATTCTTGGCTTATTTAGGGATATCCTATGTATTGATGCCAATCAATTCAAACGATATGCCACTATTAAATTTTACCGTGCCAACTGCCAAACCAGTCTATGAGATTATAAAATCTCGTCAAGATTGCCTTGGTTCAATATCACTCAATATTGTCAATTACCTAGAGTTTAAACAACCACTACAATTGGTATCTTCTCAAACTGGTTCCACCACTCTACTCTCATCCAATGGAAACTTTTCCATTCTCTCACCTGGTAATTATAGTTTGATTAGTACTATAGTAGGTTCTAGTTATACCGATTGTGTCAAGCCAGTAACCACCACAATCATAATAGATCCCCTGGAACCATTCAACTCTAGTCAAGTATCGTTTACTGTTGACACTGCAGGATACTATGACCAATTCTGTCCATTCAATGCAACTTCTATCAAAGTTACACCTCAATTGGAAAATGTCACCTTCTCACCAACCTTTATACCTACCAATACCTATTTCCCCAATCGAAGATATACCATTCCTCTAAAACTTGGTCATTGTAGTAATCAAAATTTAACTTTTGTTTCTCCTTGTAAGTCATAAAATATAAAAAAAATAATTAGTATCTTAAAGTATTTATTTTATTTATTTATTTGTTTAATTTTTAGCATTTACAGCAGTACCTGTAGGAGTAGTCATTGCACAAAGTCAAAATTGTACATATGGATCACCTCGTGGAACTATTATTAGAGTGTATTCATATGTAAATAGAACACATACATTATATGCAAATAATATTCTAGTTAAAGAATCAAGTCCCTCTCATTATAATCTGACCGGTATGACTGGAAATATATCATTGTCATTTGTATATGATAATGCATGTGCTTATAATACTTCAATTAGTATTCCAAATATTGGTATGAAATATTTAGTAGTAGTAGAATTCAAAATTAAATTGATATTATATTTATTTACCTTTTCTTTTTATTTTTTAGATCAACCATATATTTTAATTAAACCACAACAATATCATAACAGTTGTAATGATTTAAATGGAAAGATAACCGTTCCAGATTATAAAAGGTACACTTTGTTAAGAGGAAATGGAGAGGATTTTGAAAAAGGTGAGTTGGAGGCATCAGGACCTGTCACCATAGAATATGTTAGTAATTGTTCATCGGGAACATTTAATGTATTTGTTCAAACCGATACCGTTGGCATGGTATATGGTATGAATGTGGTGAGATATCCATCTTGCAGTTCGACTCTAAATGATGGAGTGTTTCAACTGAGTCTCAATTCAACAAAGGGACTACTACTCGCTACAAATGTTACCTTTGACAAGGGTAATGCATCATTTAGCTATGATTATCAATACATCTATTCTCTTCCACCATTTCAAAGAATACATGTACTAGCTCAAGCCAATTATTGTTATTTTGATTTTGCTGTTGAAACTGCTACCCTATCACGTATGTCTAAAAAGAAATAATATTAATATTAATAATAATAATGGTTTCAAAAAAAAATATTAATATTTAATTTATTATTTTCTTTTCTTTTTTTTATTTTAGCACAATTTAATTGGACAATAGCCATAGAACCTTTATCAAGTCAATCAGAAGATGGTGTTGTTTTAATTGATTTTTCAAGACAGGTATTCTCACTAGACTCGATAAAGATGGTATCTGGTGCACCCAATTCATCACTACTCTTTTCGCCCAACCACGCGACACTAAGAAGTTGGGTTTACGGTCTTGCTCTAGACCGAGAGACTGTTTTGGAAATTGGATACAATCATTATTGTAAATCATATATTACCATTGGTTTTAATAGTAAGTAAATCAAAAGAATAGAAGAGAGTATCTTATATATTTATATTAACTTTCTTTCCTTCTTAGAAACTACTCAACCACCAGAATATAAACTTGTACAACCATGTGGAAATATGAATTGGATTATTGAATTTCCCAATTATAATCCATATGTGTATAGAATAATGGTTGGACCTGAAAACATTGTACCGTCTTGGGAGGGTATGGTGACAATACCAATTCTTCCATCTCAGAATGCATCAATCCAAATTAAATGGACACATATTCTAACGGGATACTCTTCGGTGATTGTGGTGGAGCCGCCTGCTCCGATGTTTGCTATCTACCCGTATATCTCGAAAGAGACGTGTTTGGGTAGTTGTGACGCCAGTATTATCATGGGTACAAACAACTCGATTTACCTGCTGCCTACAGACTCTCGACAAGTCTTGACAAGCGCACCGATTAATCGTCTGACCAATGGAAACTACTACTACTACGAGTCGGATTTAACCAACCCTTACTGTAACTCTCAATTCATATTATCTGTACAGAGTGATGAACCTACCGTCACAGTCTACTCTGATGAAGGATGTTCAATGTTGGATGGAAGGATCAATATTGAATCACACTCTTTAAAGCCACTCAACCTAATGATTGCAACCAATAACAGTGGTAATGTGTACTATGGAAATAGTATTACTGGGTTACCAGAGAATACGTTCCAACTCAATGTATCGATTACACAGCAATTCTGTCGAAGAGCATTCCCACCGACCAATGTCCGTGTTCGAGTCACCAACCTAAACGTCATCACCGATACCAATGTATGCGAACAAATGGTGGTTCAACCAACTGGAGGTTCGTCAAACTATGTCATCTCCATCCCCGAGTCTGAACTAGCCGCCAACAATGTCTCTGGATATGTATTTAAAAAGCTACGAAGCAAACAATACACCGTCTACATTGCCGATGCCGATAGAGGATGTAAATTCCAAAAAGATGTAACTGTTATGAAATGTCCTGATGGTTATTCAATTGATAATCATTCTAATAGATTGTTACCATCTTCATCATCATCATTCCTAATTATATTGATGACTATGTTGTTCATAGGGTTGACAACCCTATGAGTAAATTAAAAAATAAAAATAAAAAATAAAAAACGACACACGACGCGAGTCGTCTTTTTGGCTCAAACTATGATTTAGATAGTTTCAAGTGTATATAATATATTAATATAGATAGAATAAAGAAGATGTCTTCATCTGAAAGTGAAAGTGATAGTAGTAGTACTAGTAGTAGTAGTGAAGATGAAGTTGTTGTAAAGAAGAAACCAACAACCAAAGCACAAAAGAAGAAAGAGGAATCATCAGAGTCAGAGTCGTCATCATCATCATCATCATCATCATCATCCTCTTCAGAGTCTGAATCAGAGGAAGATGAAAAGAGAAACAAAAGAAAAGGAAAGAATGGATCAAATAATGGACCAAAGAAAAAGATTGTAAAGAAAGAAGAATCATCATCAGAGTCGTCATCTTCATCCTCTTCAGAATCAGAGTCTGATTCAAGTAGCAGTGAATCTAGTAGTAGTAGTAGTGAGGAAGAAAAGGAAGAAAAGAAAGAAAAGAAAGAAAAGGATGTAAAATTGAAGAAACCAACTAAAGTAGAAAAGAATGAATCATCATCAGAATCAGAATCAGAGTCATCATCGTCAGAGTCAGATACTGAAATGAAAGAAAAAGATGAAGATGAAGAGGAAGAAGAAAATAATAAAGAAGATGATTTGGAAGGAGATTTAGATGAAGAGGATGAATCTAAAGATCTTAATACCGATCAATTCATATCAACAATGGAATCATTAGGAAAGAAAATATTTAATACTTTGGATGATATTCAATATCGTATGTACATTGTTCATAACAACCAACCAACCAACCATAATACAATGATTCTAACTTATCATATATTAAAAATATTTAGCAAATAAGAATAAATTAAAGAAAAAGAAACAAGAAGAAAAGAATGCATTCATCGACAAGACCAGTACACTATCAACAAGAATATTAATACTTTTAAATCATTTAATGACATTTTCAACATCAACCAATAATAATAATAACAATAATAACAATACTATATCATTACTTTTACAACAATTATCATTTGGTGGAGCTTCTTATAGTGATTTAACACTATGGAAGGAAATAATGAAACAAAATCAACAATGCTTTTCAAAATTGGATAAACTTTTAAATAACCATGGCAATGGTGTTGGTGGTGACAACAGTGCTTTAGCATCAGAGACAACAGATATCAATCAAACATTTAGAGATTTCTTTGTTGAAAGATTGACCGATCAATTTGGAGATGATATCGATACACTCAGAGGCAACACCAACATGTCAAACGATCGTTTGGTTAGTTTGGTAGTTGAATCTTTGGAAAGAGGCACTAATATGTACTCTCTAAAAGAAAAGGAATTAATAATGAAACAACAAGACCTAAAAGAATCAAATAATAAATAATATTAAATAATATTAAATATAATATAATATAATATTGATTATTACCATATCTGGATAATGATTGACATAATTAAATTACTCTACTACTAAAGTGCTGCTGACTATTTGATTGGTTGTTCGTTATAAGGCTTGGTTCCCCAGGATCATAATCAATGATTATGTTCTGTTGTAGGGGTTAGCCCGTCAGATCTATATTAATCACAATGTTGTGTAGTGCTATATATTCTCTATCTCTCTCTATATTAGTAAACTCACATCTCAGATGATGTTATCGGAGAAAGGGCAAGGGAAAAATCTCTTTCGGGATGGGCAAGAATCTTTGGCTACTTGTTGATTTTTTCTAAGTTGGTTGTGTTGCCCAACAGAGATGAAACCAACGTTTTTCAAACTTTGAGACCCTTTCCTTTTTCCTCTTTCTTTGCTGAAATTTGATTTCATTGTCTTTCTGTTTGTCTGTCTTGCTTGTATGCTCTGTAATCATACACACACACATTAATAACTTGTCATCATCATATAAATACACAAGATATTTATGAATTAAAAATCATACTTGTAGACCTTTTCATTTTATTTTTGTTGTAATATTAGTTTAGTAGTCATCAAAGAGAGAGAGAGAGAGAGAGAAGAGATTCTTTTTTCGTAGTCATATATAGATAGATAGATAGATATAACAAGATGGAACCTATATCAACATCACCTTCCAATTCTTCATTATCTCTAAATAAACCTATACTCAGAGCATATCTTTGTAAAAAGGGTCATGGTAAATATCATCGTCTTCATAATATCGATTCTTGTTGTCAATAAATATTAACCTTCTTCTATCCTATCGATATATAGTTGTAAAGAATTGGAAGTTAAGATTATTTGTATTAAAGTATGGAGCTAGTTTTATGGAATATTTTGTTGATGAAAATGTATGTTGTTTAGTAGTGTCAGTGACAATGGTGTGTGTATTAATTTGTTTGTTTATTTATTTTTTAGAAAGAATCAAATCATCAACCTCAAGGTAAAATACCATTGTATAATTGTAAAGTAAATGATTACCAAAAGGGTAACCAATCTTCTTCTTCATCTTCGTCGTCTTCATCATCATCATCGTTGACAGCATCAACAACATCAACTACACCATCATCATCATCATCATCAAGAGAATTTTGTTTTATAATAGAGACATGTGAAGGAAAATCATGGATTATATCTGCATCATCAAAACAACAAAAACAACAATGGATAGAGAGTATTAGAGAGGCTGCAGGTATGGTTGACGAAAGCGACGATATCAAGTCATCGAGACACAAGTCTATTGAAAAATCTATACAATCCGACCTCAAGAATAGAAGTACGTTGGCTGTTCTCAAACTCTTACTACTTGGAACCGGTGAATCTGGCAAGAGTACGATTGTCAAACAAATGAAAATTCTTCATCACAAGGGTTTCTTGCCCGAGGAAAAGGATTTCTACAGACAATTGGTACAACGTAATCTATTGGATGGCGTTGGCATTATCGCCAGCATCGTCGACGAAGATCAAAACTTGGGTGTCTCTGCTGATACACGTGCATCCGTCACGAGCTACCTCGGATGGTTCAGAAACTATGTGGCCAACCGTCCAGGCGTCCTCTTTGTAAAGTCAAACAGAGGTAGTGTTACTCTATCCAACTCTACTCCACCCCAGTCACCGGGTTTGTCTGGTAACACAACAAAAATATTAGAAAATTCATTGGCCGATTTAAGCATTGCGGATCAATCCTCTACTCCCAAACAACACAGCCGTAACAACAGCAGCAATAGTGGAGGTGCAACCACTACTACTGGATCTTTGACAGAAGATTATTTACAAATAGAGGAAAATGGAATACCGGCAAACATTTGTCAATTCATTATTAACATTTGGGCCGATTTGGTGGTTCAAAACGAGGTGTTGATCAAGGCACAACATCTTCATATGCACGAGGCGACCCAATACTATTTAAATGAAATCAGACGTATTGGCAAGCCGGGATACTCTCCCACCAGCTTGGATATTCTCAAGAGTCGCTCCACCACGAATGGTGTGGTCGAGACTGACTTTAAGGTGGGCGAGGTTATATTCCGTATCATTGATGTTGCTGGACAACGTGGTGAGCGTAAAAAATGGATTAATTTCTTTGACGATGTCACTGCCATTATTTTTGTGGCCGCCATCTCAGAGTATGACCAGGTGTTGGTCGAAGACAACCACACTAATCGTCTACACGAAAGTCTCAACCTCTTTGACCAAATATGCAACGATCCCATCTCCCCAAAGTCATCCATCATTCTCTTCCTCAACAAAATAGACATCTTCCGTGAAAAGCTCAAGCGTGGTGTATCGATCCAAAATTGTTTCCCCGATTACAAAGACGACCAATCGTTTGACAAGGCTTCCAACTATATCAAAAATAATTTCCTTAGTAAAAAGAAAGGAAAGGATCATTCAAGATACATATATTTCCACTTTACTTGTGCCACTGATTCAAAATCCTTTGAAACTGTTTTCAATTCTGTTCAAGATATTATTATTTCTAAAATTCTTGATAGTTATACATAAAAATAAAAATAAAGAAGGTCCAAATAAAAGTATTAATAAACCTGAAAATGGTAGTCTAAAATATGAAGAGTGAACAATAAATTGCTTTATTATTATTTGAACAAGTATTTAGACTATTGACTCTAATAGGACTAATCTCTATTCTTTGTATACTGGGAACCATTCAAGTTAACTTCCACGATATTCTAAAATCCTTTCTCCTCTTTCTACAACTACCTCACCTAAATCTATATGAATTAGAATCAGTAGAGAGATTTTATATTTAAAGTTGACTACATACCTGGTTCTCTTGTAAAAGAACGGGCCACAATCAGAAATACCTAGTGGAAGTTGAGTACAGCCGAGAGGTTTCGAATGGAGAATGTTGGAGGGAAATTGTTGTCCTGTTGAAGCTGGCCTAGTGGTGTTCCAACATAGTTTGCCAAAACATTAGCTATATGCAATTTGGCTAATGGTGGGAGTTGGGGAGAATCTAATTGATACAATAAAATCTTCGTCTTCCATTGTAAAAAAAAAAAGAAACTAGAAAATTAGTAATTATCCAATAAAATTAAAAAAGATTTTTTTTTCATTCCATTTCCTAAGAATGTACATTAACAAATGCAAAACTTTTCTACAAAACCAAATAATGAGAGATTTTAATAAAGAAAATATCATTTTTTGAGTAATTAAAAAAATGATTCTACTTATAACAAGCTTTTACCTAATTTAGTAACTAGTAAATTTATTATTTATATTTGCTAGTATGTAGTTATAAATGATATATAAATGGTTGGCTGGACTATTATTGGTTGAATTATTATTATTACCACTTCTAATCTTTTTATTTTAGTGAGTAGTAATTGATTTCTCAAATTGAGCATATGATGGTTCATCATTTGAAAAATAATTTATCGATCTTGGTATATCCAAATATTCTTGATTTAAATTACCATCTGGTAAATCATTTGAATCTAATAATCTACATTTTATCCATCTTGATGAATGTTCATTTTCCTAAATAAATAAAAAAGTAAATAAATAAACTGGATAATAGTGTTTTTTAAAGTTTAAATGTTTACATTAAAAACTAAAATATGAGGACATGGAATTCTATTTTGAATTTTAGTTTGAATAAATGATTGGGCAACTTTAACTCGTTCACTTGTTCTATCAACTTTGGAACCAACAAATAGAGATACAGTTGTAAAATTGTCGAAAATTAAGACATTATTTTCTTCCAAATAGGTAAGATCCAATGGAACTTGAATAAAATGTTCAAAGTTGTGTGGAGGAACATATAATAGTTTTGGTGACAATAATGTTGTAGATGTCATAAAATTTGATGAAATAAATAATGATTTTAACATTTCAAAATCATCTTCATTTTGAATTAATGATCCATAAAATATATTATTTCTTATTAAATAGATTCTAAACAAAGGAGATGAAATTAGTTGAATTCAACAAATATTTGTTATTTTTTTTTGTTTTTTTTTGTACCTTTTAATTAATTCTTTTAATATTGGTGGTAATGTTACAGTTGTTCTAAACCAACCTTTTTGAATTATACTTGAATGATAACATATTTTCTTTAATTCCTTGTCCAATTCCTTTTGATTGTTTGTATGAATTGGTGTTGGTTCTTTAATTGATTTTATAATTGATTTCTTTACCAAGAGAACCGATACAACATCAAAATCTAAAGAATTTAAATATTTTTCCCAATTTCCTGTTATTTCTATTCTTTTTGTTATTACTCTTAATACTCTATTATCAAAATTATCCAAAAAATTAATAACAAATTGAATATGAATAAAATCTTGAGGAATATCATCCAATAGTTGATAATAGATTGATAGACAAACATCTTTTTGCAGGGATGTAATATCAAAGCTTGTATACTTGTCACTATTGATTGGTAAATTCTTTACCAAATATTTGGTATTCTTTGATTGTTGATTATTTGATAATTTAGTTTTAAATATTGGTCCAATTATATGATTTAATCCAATTGAATCTGGACAATGAATATCTAATCTTGAATATTTTCCATTATCTAAAAATAAAAAAAGAAAAAGTATATAAATATTAAATAAATAGTATTCTCTCTATTTTCTTTTTTTTTCTTTTTTTCCATACTGTTTTGAATTGAATTTTTTAAATTTGAATAAATAAAATTTGTAAAGAAATGACTATTTGTTTCTTCATTATCACGTTCATGACACATATACATGTAACCAGATGGAAATACAAGGGGTGATATGTATTTTGACAAGAAATGATTGAATCCACAGAAATGAATATCGACAGACATTGATTTTTGATTTGCCTTTTCACCAAGATTGGTATAGTATTGTGATTGAACAATATTATGGTCATTGTCTTCATCTTGTTCTTCGTAGGACAACGATGAAGATGGATTAAAAATATGTTTAGAATTGAATTGGAGGGCACCAGGTCCATAGTTTGGTTCACCAGATAAAAAGGTAAAGATACGTCCTCCATTGGTTTGAGCATGAGATGAAAGTGCCGATGCACATTCTATAGCCACACCCAATGATCTAAAATTTCGATTGACAAAAGGTACTCCATCCAAAACACTATTTGATTCGATGATTGATTGGAATGCTCTTTCAAATCGATCCCATCCCGTTGCAATCGATTCCATGAATATTTTCTTTCTTCTCTTTAGTTTGAATACATATTGATCATCTATTGATTTAAATCCTGATACTACTTCAGATGATGTGAACGGTTGATGTGATTGACCCAATTCATACATTGATATTATTTTTGAAAATGATATTAAAGAGATTAAACTCTCCTTTGGTATATCTTGTTTTACCAATTGTTGAATTGCTTTTAATACCTTTTGTAGATCTTCTACAGGCATTGTTTCATCAATTACAAATATATATAAATTTGGATTGGTTGGGTAATTATCCATTTCTACATTTATATTATTATTCTCTTGTTGAGAAGAAGAAGAAGAGGGAGAAACATCATTATTTAAAATTGATATAGAATCATTTAAATTGATAGAATCTATTGAATTGTCTAGACTAGAGTTATTATTATTATTATTATTTAGTTGTTGTTGTTGACGATCTGATATTACAAGATTATGTTTACTTGGAACTTTAATATCAAATGAATCACTTGATAATACATTCTTGAATCCAGAAGTTGCCCACCATCCAACACCTTGTTTGACCTCCCAAATTGATCGTACTCCACTTGTTCCATTATCAATATTATTGATCTTGTTGCATACTGAACATACCCAACGATGATTTTCTGTTCCTTGGTGTACAGTCTTTTCAAATTTACAATACATATTGACATAGGAATGACAATGATGGCAAGTTGGTGGAAGTGGATGTAAAGAAGAGGATATTGAAGAAGATGATACAGGTCTATTAAAAGGTGATAATAGAAATCCATTGGGTAGATGTGATTTGTTTACCTTTTCAGATCTATTCATTAATAACTTTGATGAAAATAGTACTGATGGATATATCAAATTTGAAGAAGACAAAGAAGATGAAGATGATTCTATATATGTATTATTATATTGATTGATATAGTTTGATTGTGTTGAAGAGTATTGATCAACTTGTTGTTGTTGTTGTTGTTGTTGTTGTTGTTGTTGTTGTTGATCATTTGAAAGGTGATGGTTTAATCTTTCACTGACAAACCTACCAATTGAATTAAACCATGATATAGATGGAGTTGAACTATTACTTGATACATCTCCTCCAGTAGATCCTCCTATCGATTCATTCAACAATGACATATCCAATGTTGTTGATTCATTATTGTCATAGGATGATTGTTGTTGTTGTTGTTGTTGTTCATCCTTTAATGATAATGATTGAAATGATTGATTCAATGTTGAAGAAGAAGAAGAAGAATTGTTACTATTCATAAGTGTACCCTATACTATAATTTCTCTTCTTTCACATGAAAATGTAGAATGATTCAATGAGCTTCACTTTTTTTTAATTACATTTTTATTTTCTGTATTTTAATTTAATTTCCAGAATTAGTATAGATTTTATTATTAAATATAAAGTTAAACAACCACTTGGTCTTTAGGTATGTAGGAATTAGACTGTAAAATTAGTACACGTGTACACAAGTGTAGTATTCACACCACACTCAGTGTTTAAATCAAATTGATTCAATGAATCATTCCCTATAAACAGTATTTTTTCTCTTGACCTCTTTTTTGCAATGTTGATGTTCAATCATTTGACCTTTTGTCGACCATACTGTGTTCCTATCGGGACTTTGATCTCTAAATTTTTTTTAATTTTTTTCTTAAACCAAGTTGATCCGAGATCAAAAAAGAGTTGATGTGGTAAAAAAGTTGATAATCACGCAACAAGGACCACCTACACATTATTTTTATTCAACAATTATTTATAAATCAATCAATCAATTTAGTTGTTCTCTCTCTCTCTATCTCTTCTTCAAGAATGAACTTCAAATGGACAAGTGCAGCTTTATTTTTACTATTTGGAATTGCTTGGTAACTTCACAGTACAAATAATTTAATTTTCAAATGTTAATTTAAAAATGTATCTTTATCTCTTCTTTCATTTTTTATTGTAGGATACTACTTATAGTATCATTTAACACCTATTGGTATCGTATTCAAGATGGAGAGGACGATGATATTATAGAAGTTTTTTTTTCCTATAACCATGTCAATATTGTCTACCATGGTGATATTTATGATTATGTTCATAGGGGTATTCATTTCATGGAAGTAATCGAGAGCTATCATTATAATTTTCCAAGAATATTAAAAATATGTTTTGGGTTTGCAATAGCCGCTTGGTTGAGTGTCAGCTTGACATTGTTGTTTATCATACTTTCGTTGGCGGGTATTCTCGCCAAAATCCCATTGCCATTGCCAACCATCACAAAGATCGTCCTTCCAGTGGTCTCCCTATTATTGTGTTTGGCGTCAATGTGTACCTTTTTCGCTTCGAGCAAAGCTCGTTTAGAGTATGTATTATTCGTGTAGGATAGAATATAAAATATTCTTTAAGTTTTTATTCAAGTAATCTAGTACTAGCCAATATTTACTCGTTAAATTATTTCCTGTTTCCTATAGTGATTGTGGTACTGTTTATAATTGTAGTCATGAAAAATTCACATTTGTCTTTGACAATCAATATGGAAAAGGTGGACCATACACTGGATGGGCTGTCGTGGTAGTGAGTACGGCTCTGGTTTTGATTGGTGGAATCGTTTCATTATTATTTGCCAACTATAACAACCGTACGCCTCAATCCTCCTCCATCCCTATGAAATAAAAATCATAATTATTAATACAAAATTGTAAACTATGGATATCTTTACATATTTTCAACATTTTTAATAACATTTTTATTTTCTGTATTAAATTTGATTTGAAATATTAAACTGACTGGATTTTTAGTGTCCGATCTGATCTACACACCTTTATATATTCTTAAAGAACGGTAGATTTATCAAAATTTTATTATTTCCTATTTTCAAAACATATTTATTGAAGATATGAAGAAGTTGAACTTCAACGTAGTTGTAGTAGTAGAAGTGGGAACAGGAGAAGTGTGATGCTACTAACTGCCTAAAATTTTTATAAGGGGAGTTTTATTGTGAAGAATGTAAAGAACATTTAGATCACGTACACAATGATGCAGACATGAGGGGAAAAAATAATAATTAAATTAATAATTTATTTAGAGTGTTAGTTAATACATGATACGACCGGGACTTATTAAAAGTACTATATTTTTGTTTATAAACGATATGAATTATTTACTGGACTATTGGTTGAATTATTACTACTATTACTATTACTACTAATCTTGTCAGCTTGTTGAGTCCAAAGATGATGATATTCACCTTGAGCGGCCAATAATTGTTGATGATTACCACGTTCGATAATTGATCCATCTTTGAGGACGAGAATTTCATCGCAGTTGATGATGGTCGAGAGACGATGAGCAATGACCAATGTGGTACGACCTTGGGATATGTCATTGAGTGATTCCTGTATCTTTTTCTCTGTGCTTACATCGAGCGCACTGGTAGCTTCATCGAGGATGAGAATGTCTGGATTCTTTAGGATAGTACGTGCAATAGAGACACGTTGCTTTTCTCCACCACTAAGACGGAGACCTCTCTCGCCGACGACCGTTGAAAAACCTTCTGGCGACTGATCGATGAAATCATAGATTTGAGCACGCTTGGCGGCTTCGATGAGCTCTTCATCGGAGCAGTCGCGCTTGCCAAATGCCAGATTATATGCGATAGTGTCGTGGAAGAGGATAGCTTCTTGTGGAACGACGCCAATTGCTTGACGCAGCGATATTTGTTGTACGTCACGCACATCCTTTCCACCAACTAATACTTGTCCGCCTTTAACATCGTAGAACCGACACAGTAGTCTAAAGATCGTTGATTTACCGGCACCAGTGGGCCCGACAATGGCAACAGACTTGCCGGGTGGCACGACAAACGAGATGTCGTCGAGCAAGAGTCGGTCGTCGTTTTTGTAGCTAAAACTGACGTTTCTAAACTCGACCGATGGTAGTGTACCCTCGTAGAGCAGAGGTAGAGCGTTGGGCTCGTCGACAATCTCTGGCTTGGTTTCAAGCAGCTCGATGAGCGACTCCATGTCGGTGAACGACTGGATAATCATACGGTAGCTGGTACCGAGCCATGCAAGAGGCTGGAACATCTGTGCAATGTAGGTGTTGATTGCGATAATGTCACCGACCGTCAGTGCACCTGCCGACGCTCCATACGTGCAAAATAGCAGGCCCATAACAGTGCCGATGGTGATGATGGTCGACTGCCCCACATTAAGGAAAAAGTAGGTGATACGCGCCTTGGCATTGATGATAAAGTAGTCTAGCAACGCATTATCGTATCGCTTGAGCTCATACTCTTCCGATGTAAAATACTTTATCGTTTCAAAGTTGGAAAGACTGTCCATTCTGACATCGCTAGCTTCGCTTTCTTTTCGGTTGGCCAGTCTACGAAACTGGTTACGCCACTCGGTCACTGTCAACGTAAACATGATATAAAATACACATGACGACAAATTGATAAATGCAAAGGTTGCGCCATACGTAAATAAAAGAAACACCGACACTGTTGCAAGCTCCAACAAAGTCGGGAATATATTAAACAGCAACAGTGACAGCAACGTCACTATACTGTTGGTACCTCTCTCTATAACCTTGATCATAGCTCCGGTTCTCTTTTGATGATGAAATGATAATGATAATTTTTGTAAATGATCAAATGTTTCCAATGATACATTTCTTGTTGCACTATCAGTTACCTAGAAATTAACAAAACATTAATTGTTAGAATACAAATAATCAATACTATAATAATAATAATAATAATAATAATAATAATAATAATTACAGGTTGGAAAATAACATCACGAATATCCCAAACTGATTTTTGAATGATAAGTAATAAACCATAAAACATAATTGTTTTCATTGGTACTCCTATTGTTGCTTCGTTTATAATATTCTAGAAAAAGAAAAAGAAATATATTAATCATATTATTATTATTATTATTATTATAAATTAATTAGTTTTGTACATACTTTAAATAATAATGGAACATATAAATTAATTCCTTTTGAAAAAAAGATAATGGATAATGAAATGATTACACGGACTTTAATGTTGAAAGAATTCTTTGTCCAATAGTAGGGAATGAGTCTGGTGATCATCATGAGGGCAGTTGACCATGCCGGTCTCTTGAGAGTGAGCTCATCAAAGTTTGGTGGTTTGAGTGCAACAGATAGCTTTGAAAGAGGTACTTGGTATTTATGTCTACTCTTAGCATCCTTTAGCATTAATGTATAGTTGCCTCCTCCCTCTTCCATATCTGCGGCCCTAACCTGTTTCATTCCGACTGCTCCAAATCTACCCATTCTCTCTCTCTCTCTCTCTAATATATATATATATAGTCTTTTTAAAATCAAACTATAACTTGTGTGTGTGATTTCTTAAGTGTGTAAGGTTTTAATTATTTGTTTGTTTCTCGAGCACTTTTAAAGTAATTAAATTTAGAATAAGAATAGATTTTATATAAATATATATCTCCTCTATCTATATGTGTCTTGTCTGTGTTGTTCTCTTTTGTTTGTTTTTGATTCTACACTCTTCTTTTAAATTGAACGACAGTGTATGTATGTATGTATGTATGTATGTGTGTGTGGTGTGAGTTGGTTGTGTGTGTGATTATTAAGGTGTGTCTATTCTACTCTACAAATCAAATCTACTCTGTCTTTAAAATAAATAAATAAATAAATATTGGTAATGTAATTGCTTGATTGATTGATTGTGGCTGACTGATTGATAGATAGATATAGGAATGAAATAGAAAACCTCAAGAAGATCTTCCTTTTATCATTAACCTAATCGAATATACAAGACAACAACAAACAATTATTCTTATTAATAATAATAATAATTACTTTTTAGATCACATTAGACACCTAATTAGACAACCATAAAATTTTAATCGATTAATTTATTTTTTAGAAGGGCGTTCTGAATTACGAATTCCGTATTCGTCGATTTGCGAAATTTCGATAAAAGGAAATAATGATTCAAACATCTAGTGTGCAGAGAGAGAGACACAATAATAAAAAGTTGTGTATAAAATTGATCATGAAAAGAGGAGTGGTAGGATGCATCTCAGACAATAAATAAAATAAAAAGAAATAATCGATCTATCTCTGATAGTGAAGTTCGACCATGATTTTACTAAAGGGGTTTCTTGGCAAGGGATCAGCAACAGCTGTGCGCAACACTGCTATGAAAAATTTAATTATTAAATTAATTTCCAGTCACCCCCGAACCCATATTAACATTAACTTCATTCATTTTTGGAGCTAGTTATTTTTATTATTATTCAAACTCTAATTATACAACTAAACTTGCTCTTTTAATTAATATATTCTATATCTATTAAAGATGGTCGGAATAACAGTACCTCAAATCTCAAGAATAATATGTTACGATAAACAAAAAATCAAAATCACAAGGTAACCTTTTTCAATCAATAGATCATGATCACGTGACAGTCATCTATCGATCGATAGGAGGAGAGATATAATGAGGGTGTTGGAAGGGATGGAGAGAGGGAGAACCTTGTTAACTTTGGGCGCAGCTTGGTCAATATATATAATATTAATATATATAATATTAATCTTGATGTTTTACTAAAACTAAAACTAAAACTTTTCTTTCTTATCTTTTTTTTTTTTATTTCTTTTTTTGTTTGTTTGTTTGTTTGCTAATTTCTAGAAAAATATCGATCAATGGAACAACGAAACTTGAAATTCCAAATACTGATTTCAATCAACCATTCATTGTCATTGATCCACTTCAAACCAAGCCACCTCTGATTTCTGGATCTGATCCATCTTTGATGGCTCCATCGGTCACACCTCAAGCAGTTGCAGGATTTGGTGGTGCCAACCAACTTAATGTATATTTAAACAAACCACTAGTCGTCACTCTCAACAAGAATAGATCCTTTGAAGGAGTTTGTATTGCAAAGAATACCAATAATACTCAGTTCACCGTTGAAACCAAGGATACCATCGAGATTGTAAACATGAACGATGTTTATTCAATCTCTTATTTAAAAGGTGATAATGTGTGTATATTCCCCATTAAATCTGTATTTATTTATATATTTATTATTGTAATTAATCCAATCTATTATTTTAAATGTTATTTATAGTTGAGTCCAACATCAACATTGATTACCATTTTTGGAAATGGAAATAGAGATATTGAAGTTTCATACTTTATCTTGAAAGATCCAAATCTTCGTGTAAAACATCAAATTGGTTTCAAAACAATCTATGGTGCCAATATAGAACGTTATTCTCTTCATTTGATCACCCATGTCATTTGGAATTGTATCGAAAAGATTGATTATCCTATTAAATTAAGTATGTTATTATAATTCCTATCTATTTTTTCTTTTTCTTTTTCATTTGTATTAATATTTTTTTAAAAAGGATTTATAATTAATCAAAAAACTTACAAGATTAATGGTTTTATTGGTGGATATTTGGAACAAACAAAGAATGAAATCATTCGATTTGAAACAGACGTTAAAAAGGTGATAGTCTATACTGACATGAAACTAGACTACCAAGCATTTTTGTTAAAGAATATATCAAGCAAATGTATTCCAACTGGTCCAATTGTAGTTGAGGAGAGCCATTATAATGATGGGGAATACCTACTCGAATTATGTGAACCAAATGAACATGTCATTGTGTATTGTCCACCAGTTATTGGATCATCTCTTGTCCTAAAGCCAGATCTCTATGTCAAAAAGACAAGCTCCATCTCACCCATTCGTATTCCTCGTCTCACCTATAGCAAGATGGTGACATCCCTCTCACTTGAAGCCAACGTCTCTGTTTCATTCCTCTTTGACAACCTCACAGCGTCAGACTACTCTATTGTACTTCGCAACCATCTCTCTGCTCTACCACAAGAGTGCCACCAGATGCTCTACATTGGCGCCATGGAACTATCAACAAACAATGCCACCAAGCTCAGTAACCAACTCAACTCATTCTATCTCATCGAACTCCCTCGTACCGAGAACAAAACACTCACATTTAAAGGTGTAAGAATTGGAACTAAAATTGTTAGACAGCAAATCGACCTTTCATCATTTAAATTTATGGAAAGAGTATTTGGTGCTGTCAATCAAGAAAATAGAGATGAATTTGTAAGTATATAATATCAAAGTATTTGCATTGCAAATCTAATATTATATCTACCAACTTGAATTATTATTAATTTTCATCTCAATCACTCTTGTACAAAGGAAACTACCAATGTCAATGTAGACAATAAAGAAGATCAAGATGTTTTATACGAATGTTTTAAACATTACATAACCAATCCTCCCCAACAAGCATTATGGAACAATAATTCATCTCCAAAATTTGGTCAACAGAAAACCCAAACCTTTGTACATATGTCATCAAATAATGAAGGTGTTGTACAACCACAAAACGTAGGGTTTGGAAGTGGAGGAGGGGGAGGACTCCTCTTTGGCGCAAATTCCTCTGGAGGTGTAACAGGTGCTGTCCCATCCAGTGGCGGTGGACTCTTTGGTGCAAGTTCTGTCCCTTCCAGTGGCGGTGGACTATTTGGAGGTAGTCAACCAACCACAACCACTGTCCCCTCGACGGGTGGACTGTTTGGAGCGAGCCAACCCACAACCACTGTCCCCTCTACTATAGGAGGATTATTTGGTTGTGCCACTAGTAGGGCACTTTTTGGAGCACCAGTCTCTGCATCATCAACACTTGGAGGTAGTCAACCAACTATCGGTGGACTCTTTGGAGCCGGTCAACCAACCACTGGTGGACTGTTTGGAACCAGTAAACCAACCACTGGTGGTGGACTATTTGGAGCCAGTCAACCAACCACCGGTGGACTGTTTGGAACCAGTAAACCAACCACCGGTGGACTGTTTGGGGCTAGCTGGGCCAATCCCGAAATTGTCGGATCAAAAATTGAACTTCAAAATCTATCATTTGAAGAATTAAGATTACGTGATGTTAATGTTACCCCAAAACCTTAGACAAGTCTAGAAATCATAGAAATAAATAAATAAATAAACCTATTGTTAATAATAATATTATTGTCTTTGTACAATTTTACCCTAAGTTTTTCTTTTCTATTTTTGTTGTTGTTTTGAAACTAGTTAAACATATTCAGAAACTACTCGAGGTTCTGATCTCTCTCAACTTTAAAGTGAAAGTTCGACAAAGACAAAATAACAATACCAAAACAACAAGTTCTTCATTCTTTTTTGGTTCAATTTTTTTGAGAGAGGGAAAGTTCGAAAGTACTCATTAAAAAATTAAATGAAAAGTTAGTTGAACCAGATATTTATCTATAAAAACAGCTCCTTCCATTTGTTGATCATTCAATCACAAACTTTTTAAACTATTGTTATTACTTTACTTGTACCCCTCTTTTATTAATCTTTTATCTGCTATATCTATTTAACAATGGTCGGAATAACAGTACCTCAAATCACAAGAGTCATATGTTATGATAAACAAAAAATCAAAATCACAAGGTAACCTTTTTGATCAACGCGTGCATGTTGATGGTCTAATCTATCTATCTATCAATCAAATCAATGTACATTCATTCATTAAGAGCTCCCTAGAGAGTGTCCTACTTTGTTATTAATGAGGTGGGGTTGGTGGTGGGATGGATAGGGATTAATGGAAGGACTCTGTTAACATTTCATTCAGGTCACACAATGTTCTTCTTCTTCTGGATAACTTGGTCAATCTAAGATTAATATTGATGATTGAATATGATGATGATGATGATGATGATGAACCCAACATTAACATTTTGAAATATACTTATACTTCTTTTTTTTTGTTTGTTTGTTAATTTCTAGAAAAATATCGATCAATGGAACAACGAAACTTGAAATTCCAAATACTGATTTCAATCAACCATTCATTGTCATTGATCCACTTCAAACCAAACCACCTTTGATTTCTGGATCTGATCCATCTTTGATGGCTCCATCGGTCACTACTCAAGCAGTTGCAGGATTTGGTGGTGCCAACCAACAAAATGTATATTTAAACAGACCACTAGTCGTCACTCTCCACAAGGATAGATCCTTTGAGGGAGTTTGTATTGCAAAGAATACCAATAATAATCAACTCACCATTGAAACCAAAGATTCTATCGAGATTGTAAATATGAATGATGTTCATTCACTCTCTTATTTAAAAGGTGATAATGTATGTATACAGTTCCCATTAAAAACGAGTATTTATTATAATTATTACTTTTTAACTAATCTATTCTATTCTATTCTATAACTATTATTTTAAATGTGATATTTATAGTTGAGTCCAACATCAACATTGATTACAATTTTTGGAAATGGGAGTAGAGATATTGAAGTTACCTACTTTATCCTAAAAGATCCAAATCTTCGTGTAAGACATCAAATTGGTTTTAAAACACTCAAAGGTGCTGAAGAAGAACAAGACCGTTACTCTCTTCACTTGATCACCTATATCATTTGGGATTGTATCGAAAAGATTGATTATCCTATTAAATTAAGTATGTTATAAATTATTATTATTATTTCCTCTTTAAACATTTATGAAATATATTAACAATTTATTCTATTATTATTATTATAATATTTAGTGTTTTTAATTCAAGATAAGATGTACAAAGTAGATGATTTTATTGGTGGATATTTGGAACAAACAAAGAATGAAATCATTCGATTTGAAACTGATGTTAAAAAGGTGATGGTTTATACTGACATGAAACTAGACTACCAAGCATTTTTGTTGAAGAATATATCCAACAAATGTATTCCAACTGGTCCAATTGTAGTTGAAGGTAGCAATGCATTGGGTCACACTCTTGCATTATGTGAACCAAATGAACATGTCATTGTGTATTGTCCACCAGTTATTGGATCATCTCTTGTCCTAAAGCCAGATCTCTATGTCAAAAAGACAAGCTCCATCTCACCCATTCGTATTCCTCGTCTCACCTATAGCAAGATGGTGACATCCCTCTCACTCGAAGCCAATGTATCTGTTTCATTCCTCTTTGCCAACCTCACAAACACAGACTACTCTATCGTCCTTAGAAACTCGCTCACCGTCCTACCACACGAGTGTCATCACACACTCGTCGAAGGTATCTTGGACCTAACCACCAACAATGCCACCAAGCTCAACCCAAACAACTCACTCTATCTCATTGAGCTCCCTCAACTCGAGAGTAAAACACTCACCTTTAAAGGTGTAAGAACTGGAACTAAAAGTATTAGACACCAAATCGACCTTTCATCTTTCAAATTTATGGAAAGAGTATTTGGTGCTGTCAATCAAGAAAATAGAGATGAATTTGTATGTATAGAGAAATCAATCAACATATATATTTGATTTATTAATATCTTTTTTTTTGTTAATTATAGGAAATCTCTAAAGTCAATGTTGACAATAAAGAAGATCAAGATGTTTTATATGAATGCTTTAAACATTTATATATGCCAAATTCTCATCAACCATTTGGTGGCAACAACAACTTCAACAACCAAAACCATGGATCACTATTTGGTCAACAGAAAACACAAACATTTGTACAAACATCGTCTGCATCTAATAATGAAGTAGTACAACAACAACAACAACAACCACAACAACAAGGATTTGGACTTACCCCATCATTTGGCCCATATATACAACCAAATGTAGGATATGCCACTTATTCATCTTCACCATTTGGACATGCATCCGCTGCCCCTGCATTTGGACATGCAACAGCAGCCCCTTCTAGTGGTGGACTATTTGGAAGTTCTGCTCCTGCCACTACTACATCTACGTTTGGTGGAGCCCCTGCTTCTGCATCAGCATTTGGAAGTAGTCAACCAACCACTAGTGGTGGACTATTTGGAAGTTCTGCTCCCGCCACTACATCTACATTTGGTGGAGCCCCTGCTTCTGCATCAGCATTTGGAAGTAGTCAACCAACCACTGGTGGTGGTGGACTCTTTGGTGCGCCAAACCCCTCTGCCGTTGTAACAGGTACTGTCCCTGCCACTAGTCAACCAACCACTAGTGGGCTATTTGGAGCACCAGCTTCTCCATTTGGATCAACTCAACCAACCACAACCCCCGTCCCATCTACGGGATTTGCATTTAGTACTGTTCCCGCATCCACCGGTGCATTTGGACAACCACCAACCGGAGCAACAGGTGCGTTTGGACAACCACCACCAGTCTGTACTTTTCAATCAGAACCAACCATTGTAGCATCAAATATTGAACAAAAAAACCTATCATTAGAAGAATTAAGATTACATGATGTTACTCAAAAACCTTAAACTCTCTCAAATACATACAAATAAATAAATAGTTAATTAAAAAATAATTGTTTTGGTCTTTCTTTTTTTTTTTACTTACGCCTTGGTATCTTTTAAAACTCATATCTTATTATTTTTTACATTTATATTTATTTATATTTATAAAGATATCAGATGTCAGATTTATCAAATCCAAACCCAGTTATATATAGTGTAGAAGATGATGGTAATCTCTTTAATCAACAAGAGAGATTTACAGAAGACGAGGATACTGTAGATGATTTCGATGTCTATGAGATTTTCGATCTCGTTCGTGATATTACAGACCCTGAACACCCTCTTTCATTGGAACAATTGAATGTAGTCAGACACGAGAACATCAAGATTGAAAAGGACAATAACTTTATCAGATTATACTTTACACCAACCGTACCTCATTGTTCGATGGCCAATATCATTGGTTTGTCGATTAAAGAAAAGTTGGCTCGTTCACTACCTCAAAGATTTAAAGTAGATGTTAAAGTAACTCCTGGTAGTCATTCTTCTGAATCTTCTGGTATGTCTAACAACAAAGTTGATACTTTCTTTATACTTATTATCATTCATTCATTCATTCATTGCAAATTTATAGTAAACAAACAATTGGGTGATAAAGAACGTGTTTCAGCAGCATTAGATTCAAATTCACCAATTCTTAGTGTTGTAAATGAATGTATAAAGATTTAAATAGATCCAAAACACATTATATAATATACCCAACCAACACCCTTGTAAATACAACTACTACTACAAAGACGACCGACACAACAACAAACTAGTTCAAACATCTTTTGGATCTATCATATCAAACTACCCACCCTTTATTTCGAAATACATATAAAGAAAGAATATTAAGAGGATATTAGAATATGATAACAAAGATAATAGTTAATATATATACATGTGTATTATGTTATCGTCGATGCACTCGGGATTCAAACACCTCTCCCCAAAATAGGACATTAATTTAATAAAATCAATGAATTGCCCCTTTTTTAAACTTTACCAACCACAACTTGCACCCTATTGTTATTATTGTACATATAATATACAGATATATAGATAATAGGAATGATAGAGTATAGTGGAATCATTGAAGGAGTAGAGAAGAGATTCTTGACAACAACGATTGTAATCACATTGTTGGCAGGACTAGCAATCAAAAAGAAATCATTGAATCGATCGGGTGTTGTAGCTGCCATTGTAGTAGGAACACTCACATGTTTGTGTGGATGGACATTTGCCATTGCATTACTTGCATTCTATCAATCATCGTCATCACTAACAAAGTACAAATCAAGTATCAAGAAAAAGATTGAAGGTGATGCATTTCAAAAGGGTGGTCAAAGAAACTATATTCAAGTGTTTTCAAACAGTCTAACTGCCACTATAGTATCGGTCATCTATTTTATCTACTCTTCAGATCGTAGAAATATTCCTATTCCAGATACTGCATATCCATTTGAATGTTTTCTTATTGGTATGATTATTGGGTATGTAAAGAAAGAAAGAAAAGAAAGAAAGAAAGAAAGTTAATCGATATGATCAGATGTTTTGTACTGACCAAAACTATCTATCTATCTCTTTTTTAGACATTATGGATGTTGTAATGGTGATACATGGGCATCTGAATTGGGAATATTAAACAAGGGACAACCAAGATTAATTACAACATTGAAATATGTACCACCTGGAACCAATGGAGGTGTTAGTAGATTGGGATTGATTGCATCTGTCCTTGGTGGCACCTTTATCGGTTTGGTCTATTTCATAGCATCATGGTTTTTCAATGATAATCCAATTGCCTATCAACTTGCCAATCCACAATATCCAATTATTTTACTTGGTACTTTTGCTGGTTTATTTGGTTCACTTGTAAGTCAAACAAGATAAAGACAAACATAAAGATAATCAGTATTTACTAATTAATTTTACTTTAGTTGGATTCATTAATGGGAGCAACTATTCAATATTCAGGATATGATATTAAAAAAGGAGTAGTTGTAAATCATAAACCAACAACAACCGATCAATATAAAAAAGTAGATAGTGATGATCCAAAATCACCAAATGTTATTGCACATCTTTGTGGTTTGGATATATTGGATAATCATCAAGTTAACTTTTTATCATCTTTGATTACTGCTTTTGTTTGTGGTTATATTTCATTGTATATATTTTAAAATAGAAAATAAAAAAATATATAAATAATAATAAATATTATTATTATTATTTATTGTTGATATAGTAGAAAGAATTCGTCGCGTTTGATTTATTTTAATTAATTTAATTTTGAACTTTTGGTTTGGTTTGGTTTGGTTTGTGGAAAAAATTTACAATTTAATTTTTGTTTGAGAAGAGTTGGATTGGAATGGGTTAGTGATTGGTTAATTGGTAGTTATCATTATTGATTATTGATTATTATTATTTAGAGAGAAGAGGGAAAATTAATTCTAATTTTAAATCATTAAATTTAAATCTAGAATTAAATTGATTGCAAAAAAAAAATGTTAAGTAGAGGAGAGGAGGGTTACCCAAAAATATTGTCGATGATTGTGATTGTGGTTGGTTGGTTGTTTGGTTGGTTGTTGGTGAGATTGATTAAATTAACTTTGATAAAACTATTATTATTATTATTATTATTTGTTATTTGTTTGTTATTATTATTTACAAAAATATTATTTGTTTGTTATTTGTTTGTTTGTTTGTTATTATTATTTTTTAACCAAAACAACTAAATAATTTCTTTTTTGTTTTTTTTCATTGTTTGGTTCGGATGTTGTTGATGTTGGTTCTTCTTGAGGTGGAAGAGTTTCAAGATGATCAGCTTGTACAACCAAAGATTTGAATAGAGGGGTTGCTTTGAAACGATGGTAACTGTCATTGTTGATGACATCGAATATTTCCTTGATGGCACGGTCATAGAGTTTCTGGAAGATCTGTCGGTTTTGGATCTTTTTCGAAATGTCTATAAAGGTGCGATAGTCAAGGTTGACTTCGATGGGCGAAGAGGGTGAGAGGTATTTTTCAAATATGTTGCTTGCTATGAGATAGTTTTTGAGTTCTTGGTCGTCGTCGCCGGCCTCGCCGCTTTCGCGAGTCACCTTTTCAACAATCGACGAGGTAGATGAATTTACATTGATATCGGCACCGCTAAAAGAATCTGCACGGGCAACAGAGGCGTGATCCGACGAACAATTGCCACCCGAGTTTCTCTTGTTGTTGGAGGATGTTGATTCTTCGGCTGGAGATTGTGGCTCCTTGTTGCGTCTTTGAATAACTGGTGTGACGAGATTGGATGATGTGGTTGAACCGCTGTCACCACCAGTGACTGGAGATGGGGTGGCAATGATGGATGATGTGTCAGATTGCTGCGAGTTTGGTACCGATATCTCACGTTGTTGCTCTTGTGACTCTGGCGACTCGTTGGCATCACCGTTGGTGGGCTCAACAAAAGTATCTCTAAATTCACGGGCGTCAAAGTAAAACATCAAGTGGTTGGAACTCAGCTCCTTTTCAGAAAACTCGAAAAAGAGCTGCTTGGTGGTAGGGTTGGTGAGCAACAGGCCGAGGTTTGTGAGTATGGTCCTGGTGACGGTACGATCCGTCAAAATATACGATAGACTATTGTTGGATGGTGATGGCGAGATGGACTGTGCCTTTTTGTTGGATGTTCCCATCTTTTTCATCTTTTTTTCTTTGACTGTTGTTGCAGGGGTTGATGCTGTTGATTTTGATTTGGTTGACATTTTAAATTATATAATATGTTGGTTCTAATAGTATAAATTTGTGGGTAATTTATATTAGTATTTTGTTGTTGTTATTGATTTGATTATCTTTTATGGATGGATAAAAAACAATAAATCTAAAATTATTATTTGTAAAACAAATAAAACAAAAACAAAAACAAAAACAAAAAAAGGATAAAAAAAATAATAAATGTATCAATAAGGAAATAAACAACAAATTATTATTATTATTATTATTATTGTCGTTGATGTATGATGTCCCTCTCTCTCTGTTTTTCTCACTCTTGATGCTAACGATGATGATGATGATGATGATGATTTTTGGGATAAGTAGTGGAGTTTATATTGTTGGAAATCAAATAAAATAAATAAATAATTTAAATTATCTATCTGGTGGTGATAATAGTGATGATGATGATGGTGTAGGTGTAGGTGTAGGAGGTGGAGACGCCGTCCGGCGGTATATATCATATGTAAAGTGTTGTGTGTATTTGTTTCCATGTCATGTTTTGTGGTGGTGGTGGTGGGTGTGGATGTTATTTAATTATGACCAAATATTGTGTTGTGTATTGTCTCTGTTGTATTTGTGTGTGTGTGTGTATGTATTTATGTGTATGTGTGTGTGGTGGATTTGACTTGGTGTTCGGTAGATCAATAATAAATGTGTAAGATATAAAAATGATAATTATTACATCAACCAAAAATATTTTTGAAAGTGTAGTGTGGGAGTGTTGATAATGATTGTCAGTCATATCTCCAGAAAACAAGTGTTTCTTGTTGTTGCCCCTCTTGGTTTTTAAGGTTACTACAATACAGATAGTATCTGTCTATCTATCTATCTATCTGGCAAGTTAAGTAGTAGTAGTAGTAGTAGAAGAAGTAGGTGGATAGTATTCTGATTTTATAGATTGCAATTTAAATAAATAATAGGTGTAGATTTGATTGGATTTAAACTTTGTTGGCCAATCAATAACAATTGTGTGTGTGTGTGTGTGTTTGTGTGTGTGCGTGTCGGTCGTTGAGAGAGTGCACAATCTACAGCACACAAAACGTAAACGAATAATTAAAAACTAATCATATTCTCTCTCTACCAGACCAGACCAGACAGATAAATAGATAAATAGATAGATATCATTTTGTTTAAATGGGAACAAAAAAGTTTGATCCATCTATCTCTGTCTAACCATCTCTACGATTATTATTATTAAGTTATTTCCAAGACTCTTTTTGATTTGATTTGATTGATTGATTGATGACAATTTTAAAGAAAAGTCTTACAATAGATAAATTTATAAACTGTTGTTGTTCCTCCCTCTCTCTAATTATAATTCCCAATGATGATTTGTTGTTATGTTGATTGGAAAAGACTTGGATTATTGTTATGTTGATTATTATTCTTAATATTAATTAATTAATTATAAGTGTGGATAGGATAGTCCAATAAACTTGACTTGCTTGTTGGATCTATTTTTAAAAATGATAATTGTTTTGTTTCAACAACAACAACATTCTTTGCACATGTGTGCCCAGCAGAAGAGAAGAAAGAAACAAGTAAATGTAGAGCTATAATTATTATTATTATTATTATCATAATAATAATTGTGTCACATATGGATCACGATGCCCTCCCTCGATTGGTACCCAATAATTTAAAAAACACAATATGTAACGACATCACGGTAGTGATCGATATGTGTTGTGGGGGTGTCATGCCAACAATTGTTAGAGGAGGTTGATGTGTGTCGATCAAATCAAAATATTTACACATATTGATATTTTACTATTACTGGTACTACAACTATTAAGTTAACAATCCATTTCACACTATCATACACACACACACACACATATATGTGTGATCTATCAATCAGATCAACACATCACCACCAGACAGAGAAATCTTCACTTTATATAACTTTGCTTGCTCTGCTCTGTTGATGTTCCAGACACAGACAGAGAAAGAAGAAAGGAAGAATGTAAAAAAGAAGGTTGCAATTCCCACTTTCTCTCTCTCTCTCTCTCTCCCTGTACTTCATTATATGTATGTAGGCTGCTATTGTTAATGAATGACTGTGATGTGATTTGTGTGTGTGTGTTTTGGTGATGATGATATTTAAAACAATAATACCACCCCGACCCATCCGTCGATACCACCACACAAAAAAAACAGTGGTGATGGTGTGAGTAATAGATTGGTGATACCACCACGACTGTTGATTTGTTGAAATTCATGGTTGTTGTCTATGTCTCTACTCTGTCTCTGACCACACATCTACATCTATATCTACTCTCTGCTGCTGCTGCTGCTGCTGCTGTTTTGTTGACATTTACCTTTTGGTAATGAATAATTAAATTACTTGTTTTATACAAAAGTGATGTGATTTGGAGAAATAATATTCATAATGGGGCATAAGAAAAGAAATAAATATAAATAAATAAATAATAAGAGGATGATGAGATAAAGTGAAGTGAATGTTGGGATGGTATTTTGGAGGTTGAAATTGAATTGAATAGAGTCAAGCTTGGGATTTCTCTCTCACTTGTCCAAACTCGAGTGATTGTATTGGGCTAGTCCGGCAAAGGAGATTGGTAGGAGATGCCGACAAACAACCAAAAAAAAATATCTTTTTCGAAACTCTCCCCGAGTTTGTGGATAATCTTGTTGTTGTCCGACACTCAAAGATGGGATGGGGCAACAGGAGGATAAAAATCATTGTTTGATTACTGCTGCTGCCCTCACCTCATCATTTAATTAGTTAGCGAGTAAGTGTTCTTCTTATCCACAAACTCTAAAAATATAAACGATTGATGATAATGATGATGATGAAAACAGTAGTAGTACTTCTGTGTGGTGTGATCTAAAGATAACTTTGATGTTGTGTTGATTATGAACTGTTTGAAACAAACAAGAGTGAAGGTGAAGTGGATCTTTTACTTTTACTGCCTACCTTTTTCTATTTATAATTCTTCCCTGGGTAATGTTGAGGGTAGTTGATTGCAAAATTAATTATTGTTTGGTTATTATTATTAGTTGTGTTTGTTTTAAAACATCTGTCTATCTTATTTATCTATCTATGTGTATAATGTCTTTGTTTAATAAACAACTAGTTAGCTCTCTCTCTCTCTCTTTGTCTAGATTGTATTGTAGTGGAGACAATGTCACAGGCTTCTTCTTCTTTTCAAACACACTCAATAGTCTGGTTTGTGATTCAAACGAAAGAACAAAAGATCCGCGCTCTCTTTCTGTTTCTGCAAACCACATAAAAAACAAAATTTTTAAAAATATGTTCGGGCGGGATGGAGATATTTGTGGGCATTGCCAAAGCCATCATCGTTGTAATTGAACCCCCTGTTCTGTCGCCATAGTGGTGGCGTTGTCAACGACTTTTTTTTTACACCGCCCAACTGCCTTGGCCCCCGACTGAAAATTGTTTCTAGGTTTCACTGAACTATTCGTTTGCGCAAATTAATTGGTTTTGCAGTGTTGGCACTCCAGCTCGATTTCCTTGTGTTGTCGTTGTGTGTTTGTGGAGGGCAAGTCTTGCGAACTCGACTTTTTGATCGCTTTGTTTGCGTGGTTGTAACTGGTTAGCTGCGACGAGCCGATATGGGGTGTGATCGTATCGAGTAATAATTTAAAAAGTAGATCCCCCATTATTGTGGAAAGTAATTCCCGACACACAACAAATGAGGCTAATAACCAATAAAGGATTTTTTTTTTTGTACTTACTTTTAAGTTTCCCGGCTGGAAATAACAAATAAATGATGGCGGTTGGTTATTTACTGACTTGATGGGGGTGGTGATGGTGTTAGTTAACTATTTATTAAATACAATCAAAATAAAATAATAAAAAATCAATCAAATGATGGTCCTTGTGGTGAAGAGACGTAAAAGATATTTTTAACATCAGATTTGAGGGTGTCAAAAAGAGGTAAAACCTACCCGCCTTGTCTTGAACTTGCAGTAGTGCAATGAAAGTTATTATCTACCTGAATAGATCTGATCTATCAAATAATAGAGATGATGACGCGGTGCCGGTATTCGGCCCTTGTCTTGATTCATTCGATTGCATCAGATGAACAAAACTCTACAAAAATATCTTTAATTGAAACGAACAGGTAAGGTAGGGGGGAAAGAAGAATTAAATAACACTTTGAGGTAATTTAAATGATGTGTGATAAGATAACTTTATTCCTTTGAATATTATTACAGTTTTGATCGCTAAATCAACCCTTTTTCAACAGTATTAGGGAAAGTCATCTTGACAATTATGTTGATCAACAATCAAACCAATATGTTTTAAAACATTAAAATATTTATTCGTGTCCAAAACCTACAATTAATATTGAATCAATTATAAAGATAAAAAACCAATCACACAAAAATAGAAATTAAAAAGATAATAATGTTTAAGTTATTTCTTTTTTAGCAACGATCTCATTTTACTAGAAGATGATGACCCCCAACTTGGTTTATAGTCTTTAAGAATTTAGAAATCATTCTTCTTCTTCTTCTTCTTTATAAAGTAATAATAATGAAGAGTAAACAGTTAGAGGTAGAAGTAGAAGTACAACAACAAGTTGAAGGTGGAGTAGAAAAGGAATATACAAAAGCAGAGTTGAATAGATTATTAAAGCAAGATGTATATGATCTTTGTATTAAAAGAGGTATTTCAGTTACAACAACCGAGACAAAAGTATCGTTGGTTCAAAAGTTACTTAAATCACCAAAACACCAAAAAGAAGAGAAACAACCTGTAGTTGTAGAGAATACAAATACTTCTGCACCAATTGCAATAGAATCAACAACAACAACTACTACTACTACTACTACTGGTACAAAATGGGAATGTGATCTTCCATGGAATATCGTTTCAAGAATACTTTTATATTCATTCAAGAATGCTAGTATTTGTACGTGTGTCAATTCATTCAGACTAAGAACTGAACAATTAAAACTAGTGGATGGATATGGGTATGCTGAAAAGTCAAGACATTTGGATTTGTTTGGACACTCTCAAATGAATCCACAAATCAAAGATCATGTATTAAAGAGAGATGGAATGTGTCCAATGCACCAATTCAACCATGACCTTGGATACAATGCATCAATCACCTTTGACAAGGATATGCAGTTAAAGGATACACTACCATCGTATGGTGATGATGGAAGATTGTGGAAACGATCAGTTGCACTTGTCTCTAAAAGAGTATTTGCATTAGTCTCTGATGTTTTATTCACAGACATTACAATTCGAGCTGACAATATTGATGAATGGTGGAATCACATTACAAACAACTCATGTGTAATTAAAAGAGCGAATACTCTTACTATTGGTCCATCCATTCTACCATCATCGCTCTTTCCATCGACCAACAACATGTTGTTGTACAAGAGTGCTAAAGAATTATTGTTTGGTAGTGTTGATAAATTACATATTCAATCGGATCAATTGGTTGAAAAGATGGATGGGTTGAAAAAGATAGCTACAAATATGCCTCAACTCAAAAGTATCGTTCTTCATTGCAACCTAAGCAAGTTTACACTTAAAGGGTTCTTTACAACTCAGTTTACCAACTTGACCTCACTCAATTTATATTTGGTTAATGTCAAGTGTGGTGGTGTCAAATTTGACCAAATACCAACATTTCTACAACCGGGTACATCCATCACCAAGATTATTCTACCATGTTATTTGGATTGGAATAAACTGGATAGTAGTGTCAAACAAAACCTAGAAACAATTAGTTTACGTGGAAAGGCTGATTTTGATTGGCCATCATCCAATATTATCACCTTTTCTGAAATCAAACAAGAGGATTTCCGAAAACTCAAACATCTACATATTACCTATTACGATGGTAAAGAAGGTAATTGGAATGATATGAATCTACCACTGCTGAGTGTTAAAAAGTTAACACTTACAAGATGTCCACCAGATGTATCAGTATTTATACGTAACCCTCAAGTCTCTGTGGTCAGATTCCGAAACATCAATAATAGCAACAACTCTCCATTTTTCAACCAAAGTACCATTAATCCAGAAACCATATCACAGTTATTATTTGGTAAAACTACTACTATTAGTAGTTTATCTAAAATCATTATAGATTCACCAACAGATATTGTAGATAAAGATATTAATCGATTTAAAGATCAAGGTTATCAATTTAAAGGATCATCATTTTCAACAAAATACTCTTTAAAAAAATTAATCTTTACAAACAAAAACTAAAGATCTTTAAATCAATCAACCAACTGCAATGTTAATAATAATCAAATAAAATGTTGTTCTTTTTTATTTGCACAAGAAATTACAACATTTATTTATTCATATGAACACTTTTACTTTCATCATTATTGATAAATTGATCGTTTACACCAACGGTCATGTTTGTAGTCGAACAATATCATATTGTGGTTTTGAAGAGAGGATGCGTGCTCCATTCTATGATTGGAATAATAATCACTATAGTCCGAGTCTACACACCTTCATTTCGATCAAACAGCGAGATATGTCGATTGTTGTATAGAGTCAGAAGATTTCAAGCATCGTGGTCATGCTTATCTGATCGACTAGGAATTGGTCTCGAGATGGTGGTTTCAAGTGGTCTATGACTATTCATCCATCATATGTACCATCATTCTTCAAGATGATTGCAAATACTAAAACCATTAAAACACTGTCAGTGACAATTGTTTGGAATGGTGCGAAGTTTGAGCATGCATTCCAACAAAACAAGTCAATCAAAGTGCTCGATGTATCAGGTATCAAGTTTGGAGATAGCACACAACTATACAATTCATTATTGCATAGTGATACTGTACAATACTTGGTATGTGACGATTCCAAACTTGCACTGATCGATCAATCAAAATCATTAAAAGATTATTTCTACCGTGAATATAAAGGTGATATCAGAGCCGATAGTTTCCTATCACCATCTATTTATTATTTTTCATAACCCAAACCAAGATAGAATTATCAAGGTTATCAATTTAAAGGATCATCATTTTCAATAACAAAATACTCTTTAAAAAAATAAGATTAATCTTTACAAACAAAAAACTAATCTTCTTTAAATCAATCAACTAACTGCATATGTAATCAAATAAAATGTTTCAAACAATATAAAAAGAGATTGTAATTAATATTATTAATATATTTACGAATTAAAAATTCAAAGTATTTTTTTAGTTTAATTTTTTGAAAGTCGATATCCATGGATAATAATTAATTAATGGGGGGGTGCAGAGCTGAAGAGCAAGAAGAGGGATGAGAGAGAATCGATTGTCTCTCACACTCTACTATTGCTCTACTGCTACTCTATACTATGATTTCAATGAATAGTTTACTTGCTAGTACATTGTTAGAGTTGTTAGTGGTTTGGAGATAGAAGAAAAAGAAAGAGAGAGAATATGCTTTCACAGTCATAGGCAACATCAACACTTGGACTACCTACTCCCACCCACCTCCATCACTCAATCAATCGATTGATTTAAAAGTAGTTTAAACATTAAGATTAAGACAGACACAGTCGACAACAACCAATATACATTAACGTTGATGATGATCATCATATCACATCGTACAATTTATAATTATATCTATTCAATGTTTACTTTTATATTTAATAAGTTGGGTGTCTTTTCAAGAGTAGGAGGAGGAGGAAAAAGAGGAGGAGACATTCAAGACAAAGATGGAGGACCCAAAGACATCAACATACAAGATTATAAATATTTATTTGGTCATTATGAAGAAATTACATTTAAAGATTTCAAACAATCAAATGACCCATTTCAAAAGTTAGAGAATAATCAAAATAATAATAATAATAGTCATAATAATATTTCCAACATGTCTATGCCATTTATCAACCTATTATCATTATCGTCGTCATCGTCAACAGAGATATATCTACCAGATATAATATGGAGAGATATATTAAATTATTTGGTTATACAATATTTTAGAGAACCATCACCAGGTGAGATGGTTCAAGACTCACCACCACGTAACCATTATATGAAGTTTATAAGTCTGTCATTGGTATGCAAGAGATGGTCCAACAACATTATCCCGTTTTTGGGGTATGGTGAGGTCAAGATCAACTCACAGACCGAGTTTGCATTGTTTGCAAGACTGGTGTACCGAGGTATCAGCGGTGTTCCACTCCAATTCACAGCACTTCAATTGACACTAGTTGAAAATACATCGACCAAACATGTGACCGACACACTCTCCATTCTCAACACACTGTCTAGTGTAAGATTGAACAAATTGACCATCACCATTAATTTCCAAGTCAACTCTAAAGTCGTTCATCATATTGCAACGTTGATCCAAAAGTCAAGATGTAAATCTATTAAATTATCGGCCTTTCAAAATGGACAACAAACTCTATACCCTAAATTGGCAGATTTAAAAGGAAAGGGTCAATTCCATTATTTGGAAGAGATTGATATTGGTGGTAGTAGAGCTGGTGATTTGGCAGTAGTCTCTATCGAGCAGTTTATCAATCACTCTCAATCCAAGATAACGGTACTTAATCTAGAGAGTTGTGCACTCGGTCAAAAAGGATTGACTAGTCTATGTGTAGCACTGGCATCCAACAACACCATCCATACACTCAATCTATCATTCAACCGTATTGGTGATGAAGTTAGTGGTCTAACCAACCTAGTCGCCACTAAAAAGAATATCACTAGTTTAAATCTAAATGAAAATAGAATTGCTCATCATGGTGGTATTGCCATCTCTCAATTACTCGACCAATCAGATCATTTAAAAACTCTTATTCTTAGTACAAATCCTTTTAGTTCAACGTAAGCAAAAGAGAGAGAGAGAGAGAGAGAGAGAGAGAGAGTAGAAAAATAATATAAACACAATATTAATATTTCTTATTTCTTATTTAAGATCATTAGCATTAATATTATCAAGTATAAGTCAAAATATTGGATTAGAAAAAGTATCATTGGCAATGATGTCAAGTGAGATTAATTTGGCATTATTGGGTAACTGTTTTACAAATTGTGAAGCGGTAACGGTTGGTGGATACACTAGAAGATATGGTTGTTCACTTAGATCATTCAATGTAATGGTAAATGATTTGGGAAAGAATGGTGATTTTTTCAAATGTATTTTGGATAATACAAAGTTGGCAAAGATTAATCTTTCAAACACCAAACTCAAAGGAGAGGCCAGAACCATGTTGGCAACTACGTTGGCTGGCAATAGTGGGTTGAAAAAGATTGATCTCTCCTATGCACTCACCGAGAGTGACAATACCGATATTATGAGAGCGTTGATTGTAAACAGCTCGATCACCAGCATCAACCTTTCACTAAATTCACTTCGTAGTGATGAAGGTGAAATATTGGGACAAGTGCTGACCAAAAACACAACACTTACAAGTCTCAACTTGGGAAACAATATACTTGGTCGTGGATGTATACCAATTCTTCAAGCTTTAAAAACAAACAAAACTCTCAAACATTTAAACCTAAGAAAGAATTTAATTAGAGATATGATTCCTCCAGGTCTCCTATTCCAAGTACTTTGTCAAAACACAACATTAAAATATTTTGATCTTTGTCAAAATTTTATTGGTAATAGAACTGGAAAAGAAATTGGTTTTGTAAGTAAACAACAAAAAAAAAAGAAAATATATGTATATATATATTTATATAAACTCTAATCATTTTTATTTCTATTTCTTTTATTTCTATTTTTTAGGCATTACCATATAATAATAGATTAAAATATTTAGATTTATCAAGTAATCAATTATCACATCCTGTAGCATTAGTATTTTTACATTCATTAAAGTATAATCAAAGTTTAACTAAAATTGGATTATCTGGAAATATATTAGGTGGACCTGTAGTGGCATTACTCAAACAGGGGTATATCGACCAACTTGATCTTGGTTTGGTCAATGACTACGGTCCATCATCCTACGAACCAATTGTTCCTCCAACTCCTTTAGTACAAAATCAACCAAAGAAAAGATTTTTCTTTTTTTAAAAAAAAAAAATCTAATAGTTAATTATAAACAAATAAATACAAGCTATGGCCCACAGCCAAGACAACATAACCAAATTTAGACTTTGCCCGAAAAAAGGAATCTTCCTAAAACAAAAGATTTTAAAAAAAATTTATTTAAAAAAAGTCGGTGTTGGTTGGACACACTCAGTGGCCTCTCCCTCGTTTGTGTTGATCACTTTGATCACACATCTTGGCGTTTGTTGTATACTTTTATTATCTCGTTTTAATAATAATAATAATAATAATGGCACCAGTCAATAAAAATATAGAAGAAGTAGTAGAGGATAATAATAACAATAGAAATACAGAAATCAAAATAGATGAAGTAAAATTCTTCAAAGATCAACAACAAGATCAAGATCAAAAACAAGTAAAAGATCTAGATCAAAATAATAATAATAATAATAATGATGATCTTAATAGAAATATAGAAATTAAAATAGATGAAGAGGAAAAAGAACAATTTGCAAATACAAATAACACAAGAAAACTAAACTTTGATTTAAGCAAAATAGCCAAATCAATCTTTAGCTTTCAGTTTAGTAGTAGTGGTAATTTAGAAGACAAGTCTAAAGAAGAATTAGATTTAGAGAAAGAGAAACAATTCAATGAATTGGTTGAAATCTTGCATCAATCAATCAAGGACAACAAGATCAATCATTCCTTGTTTACTTTTATCATTGATAATAGTTGTACTTGGTCAAACAGTGCCGAGATTGACAAGGATCTAATGTCAATCAAAGCATTCATTCAACATATTGTTCAAAATCATCTGCCAGAGAGTGCTCTCATTCAAGTGATTGGTTATTCCGGCAACAAAGTAGAATCTTCTACTTTTTATTGTAATAACCCTATTCTCCTATCTCCAATCATTCATTCAAGTATGTATTAAATTATATTTATATTTATATAATTATATTTAATTGATTCATTAACTGATTTTATTTTAGCAATTAGATCACAAAAAGTTGCAACAGATAATCATTTAAAAAGAGCTATTATACATGCAAATCAGAATATAGTTAAACTTTTAATACCTGAAAAGACAAAGTCATTTGTTTACATATTCACAAGACAGGCATTGTCTGGATCATCCTCTATTCATATCGAATTCCCAGAGTTGACCATGTTGGAAAAGGATTCAAACATTGTAATCGTGTCCACCAAGAAATTGGGAGGGTTGGGTGTGTTCAACAACTATGAAAAGATTAAAAAGTTTGAACATATCGATCCAACACTATTGGGTGAACGATTGGACCAACTCGATCCCAACATTACATCGGGACTAGAGGTTAAACTGGTAAAGACATCGATTCAAAAGAGATCCGATCCATTGAGGTTGGATTGTTGGATCAAATCGAAAAATGAGGATTTGGAAAGTGGACTATCAATTCATTTCCCACCAAGTATTCAGTATATTTCTGGTGGATTTGTTACGACAAGACCTATCAAAGTTGAAGATCAACATCCATATTATCAAAATGTTGAACTTGCCATTAATCAACAAACATCATCATCATTATCATCACCATCATCACAATTATCCTCTTCATCTTCATCTTCATCATCATCATCATTCAAAATACCAAAAAGTATTAAATATACAATCAAAATTAATGATACAAAAGAAGAAATTAGATCACAAAAGGTAGATCCTAGATGGTATCTATTAGATGTGGTTTCAACGTCTCATACAAATTTATTGGTTGATGGTTTGGCAGCTAGTGGAAAGAGTAATTTGGCCAATATTATATTAAACTTTTTTATGCATCCAGCTGCACATCGCAAACATCGTAGTGTCGCTACCAAAGTCGATCCATCCACACCAACCACTTTGGTCTATGAAAAAACAAAGTTGAATAGGTTCCTCTCTGAAGATCAAACACCAATCTCTCCAGAAGAGGCAAGTCTCAGAAGCATTATCGCTAGCACTGTCAGAATGTCAGTGTTTGACAAATGGGCCATTCCAGAACGACCAGATCAGATGGAACTTTTCAACTATGCCTATGCAACAAGTGGTCGTTATCTAGATGTACCAATATACAAAGACGACATTTTGGAAGAGGGCCTTTTGGAAGACACATCGGGAAATCCAGAAACAACCATATCGGCCATCATTATCACCTTTTCATGTAAATCTATAAAGAATGCTACACATGTCTCTAGTGTCTCTAAAATCATAAAAGAAATACAGGCAACTGAAAGTAATATCCAACCACTCTTGGTCGTCACTTTTATGGATGAAATTGAAGACAAAAAATCAATCAACAAAAAGCAATTCAGTGATAAATTGGGTGTCCCTGCAGAGAATATATTCTTTGTTGAAGATGGTTTGTTACCAACTAAAGAAAATGTTTTAAAACATAAACATTTTGTTTTTAATCTTTTGGCTAGATTAAAAGATCTAAATTAAATTAATAAATTCCCTTGTATCATCATTATTATTTGTTCTAAATAACAAATTGAATTGTGATTCAAATTTCTATCAATCTTGAAATCTTGATCATTCTCTTGACCAACTATTAATATAATTTCATTTGGACGATTATTTGATTTGGTGTATTCAAGATTGATGGTACCATTTCTAATAATAATAATAATATGTGTAATAATCACTTGATATCCTGGATACATCTCACATAATAATCTATATTGATGATTATATTCTTGATGTGTTTCTCTTCCTCCTTCTTTGATAATCAAAAATAATATGATCCCGTCCCCATCGATATCTTGTTGCATTGTTGTTGTTGGAGGAGGAGGTAGGCCTTCAACTAGATCTATCTTTAAATGGGTAACTTCAAAAATGGTTTGTTTTAATGATTGCCCGATTTGTTTAAAATTGTAAATTTCCTTTTCGTCCTCTTGATGATCAAATCTCTCAATGTACATTGTTGTTGTTGTTGTTGTTGCTGTCGGTGTCATCATATACTGATCAGATAAAGGAATATCAGTAGTAATATTAGATTCATCATACTCTCCGAACTCTTCTTCCCCCTCTGAAGAGTAGGATGAGGAGGATGATGATGATGGGAAGAGACACAAATCGCACATCTTTTCACATAGACACTTGATATACAAAAGGTAACGGTTGAGGTATCCGATGAATGATGGTAGTGGTGGTGGTAGCGGTGGTGTCATGTGATTGCGCGCGTGTGTTTGTTTAAACACAGTAGTAGAAAGTAATAGTAAGTTAACTAAGTAAGTAAACATGTTCACCTGCCACAAAAGAGAGAGAGACAACGGTGAACAAAGAATAATAATATAAATAGACAATTTGGCGATTATCAAAGCTACGATCTCGCTTTCCCACACACACCCACACATTAAAAATATGAAGCCGGGCGCTCAGCTCAACCCACACACTCCGAGATGGCACGCACCCCTTTCTTCTGACGGTGCTGCTGGCATTGGGTTTTGTGTGTGAGGATGGTGCCCACCAAAAGGCCGTTCTATTTATAAAGTCAACCCACACAAAACGATCACAATCAAAAAAGTTGCATTCAATCATCTTATCAGATTCCAATCTGACATTCCAACTTTGAATGAAATTACTTTCGACTACCCAAACAAGGAGAATGGCAGAAAAATGCCACTTTACTAAATTGCTGCCTGCGGCTTTCACTTTTATTCATTCATTCATTCTATTCAATTGCCAACCACCTCCTTACTACTCTCTCTCTCTCTCTACATTAATTAATTAATTAAATATATATAGAAAAAGAAAAGAAAAGAAACCATTGGGGAGAGAAGATCCTGGAACAACAACAATAACAACAACAACAACCACCTTTCTAGAAAATGTTAACTAAAAATTCTTTTACAGAAGATCCTCAACTAGATATATTGGTTGCGGTTTACCTGGTTGTTAGAATCATTGTAAATATTATTTGATTAATTAGTCGATCAATGGCAATCAGAAAATATTTATTAATTAATTTATTTAATTTGATAGGTAATGTTAATATTATGGGTTATATGTATAGTACAATTATATTATGATTTCAATATATTAAAAGCATCAAAAAGACCATTCAATTCAAGATTTTATGTATTTTTAAATTTATCTCTTTTCCCATTAGGTATGATTAAATTTAAAGTTAGAATTGAATAGAATGAATCAATTTAATCAAACTCTTAATTAATTTTTCTTTTTTTTTTTTCTTTATTCTAGCCCGAGTAGTTTATTGTATATTATTATTTTTAACAAAAGATGTTGATTTTGGATCACCATCAGTATATTCAGCTATAGTTGCTACCTATTTATTATTTAATTGTTGGTATGTAATCTTTAATCTTTAATATTTTAAAATACTTTCAATTTATATTAATAATTTGATTTGATTTAATTTTTTTTAAGGTGTTTTGTAGGATGTTATTGGATGCAATTATTATATACATTTTTCATTTCAAAAGGAGTTAGACATCAAAATACAGCAAGAGTTTGGAAATTATCATGGGGATTGATTGGGTTGAATACCGTTTATATGGTTGTATATATAATTGTTTGTGCCAAGGTTAAAGAAATTGCCCCGAAATTTTATACCATTTCATTTATCGTATTGTTGGCGACCGCCAGTTTAACTTTTTTCGTCAATGGATGTATTTTGGTGGTTCAAATGAAACGACATGACCAAAAGACTCAGAGTACCATCATCACTGCCACACGTAAAAAGACAAAGATTCTTGCCATCGGTCTAATCATCCAATTGATTTGTCTCATTGTCAGAGACATTATCTACTCTGTATTCAAGATATCAATGGATGATAATCTTAGACACCTCTATACATTTATTACATTCTTTTTCGAAGTGTTTATTGTCATTAATATTATGATTGCAGTCTCTCAAAAACCACTCCACTATTTATTACTACGTCCTGTCAATCAACAGAAATCTGGTGTCACCTCGACTGGTGATTCTGATTATTCAGGTGGAGCTGGTGGTGGAAGTACTGGAAATACAACTTCTGGTGGAGGAAGTATTCGTCAAAAAGGATTCTCTGGATCAGTTCGTCTTGAAGAAAGTAATAGTCGTGATACATCAGCATCGGCAGAACCCAAAGAAAAAGAAAAGAAAAAGGTGGAAGAAAAAAAAGTAGAACAAGGAAAAATTGATAATAGTAATCCAAATAATAGACATGTAGTTATACCTGCTAGTATCCTAGAAGGATACGTACACAATTATGATATTTTCACTTCAGAAGATGGTAGCGATGATGAAGATGCCCATACACTCGATGGTAGTGATGTTTCCTTCCCCATTGATACTCCGACTCTACCACATAGATCAATAGCATCGATGGATATATCAATGTCTAGATCACCACCTCTAGGATCACCACCATTGGGTGCACCACCATTGCCATAGATAAATTTGGTAAAAAAAATAAATCAATAAATAGATAAATAGATATGTACAGTAATTAAAATATAAATAACCCCGATATTACACATAAATAAAAATCATTATTATTATTATTATTATTATTTAATCCCTTGTCTGCATACCCCTAAATCAAAAATAATTTAATAATACAATCAAATAATATATAAACTATAGTATTTAAATTTTATCTTTTTTTTTTTAATTTATTTATGATATCTAATAAATTGTACCAACATGAAAATATTTGCAGCAAAGAAAGCGATACCCGATAACCAAATATTGAAAAAGGTTTGTTGACCCAAAAACTCTAGTTGGAAAGCCGAACCCAACCAAGCACCTTGAGAACCCATCCAAAAGGCAAACATGATGATACCTTGCATGAGGGAAAGGGAGGTTGCGGGGAGAACCAATGGAAGAAGACTAAAGTACCAAATAAAGTATTGAACCGTACAAACCTTGTTGAATGCAACAAAGGTAATGGTTTCCAAAAGCATGCAAAATTCGAGATCATTGAAATAGACGACGCTAATGGCAAGCAAAAGTACAACCTGTGGAAGGAATGATGCCAAACTAACTCCAAGTGATGCCAATGATAATCCTGCACTCTTGGATGCCAACATTTCAGTAACAGATTCAATAATCGGTGTATTTAAATAAATTTGATAAAAGTATACTGAAAAGTTATGTCTATTATCAGCTCTAACTACATGATATAAATAAGTTTCAAATAAGAATACATATCCATAACTAAAAATATAGAATATTAGTATATATAAGATAATATTATTATTATTATTAATATATTTTTTTTTTTTGACATACATTAAATACATTGCAAAAGTAAGAATTAAAAAGGTTGAAGCACTTGCAAGGAAAAAGATTAAACGATTTTTTGTAAAGAGATTGCGTAATATTTGTTTATAGGATATCGATTTATCCTGTGACGAGTATTTGGATGGATTCTTGTGATAATAATTACTATCAATGTATAAATACATTGGAATTGAATAGATAATTGGATAAATCTTAAAATGTACTGATAATCCATAACTAAAATTGATATAAATTGATAGAATAGAGTTAATAAATATTAATATTTATATATTAAAATTATATAATTTTCTTTTTTTTTTTTTTTTTTAAATATATATATTTACAATAAAGAAGCAAGGATTAATTTCTTTTTAAAAAGGAAATAAACAGCAGCAAGTACCATGGCACCAATGACAGATTCTGCATTACCACGTGTTGATACATTGATTGCAAATGGATTGAATAACCAAGCACTAGTACAAACAAATAAAAGGAATGGATTGATCTTTGGGAAACGCAACATGAGACACCACTTTAAAAGATATCCAATGATCATATCACAAACGACAAACAATACTTTGCCAAATGCTTTGTGTACTAGAATATTGGGTACCAACAAATAAGCCAACAATGGTGTATATCTATAGGTTGATCTATCATATGGTGATAACCCTTCAACTACAAATCTTGATGCATCTGTATAAACAACATAATCAATATCTGTATATTTTACCAACACTACAAAAAATAAATAAAGAAATAGCAAGTAGTAGTAGTAGTAGTAGTAGAGTATAGTTAATAATTGCAAGTATACATATCTATCTTCTATCTATCTATCTATCTAGATACATACTATTCTCATCTTGCCATTCAGAGAATACGATTAAAGCTGCACGTATAATCAATGCAATGACAAATGATAGGGTTGTCATGTTTAAACCTTTATAATAAAAGTCATATGATAACAATGGTGGTGATGATCCACCTTTACTACCTGACAATTGTCCCTTTGTTGCAACTATCTTTGATGTCGTCATTCTAATTATGATTTATAACTATATGATATCGAAAGAGAATGAACGATAAAATTTCACAGTAAGCGGGTTTGGTGAAGATCAATGAAATGAATCAGCTCATTTTCACCAAATCTAATTTCATTTTCATTATTATCAGAGTACATATATAAATAAATAAGGAGTATAGAAATGTCATCATCATTGGGAAGATTGAGATTATTCATTCTTACTCTTTTAGCTGCAGTAACTGCATTTACAATGTAATCTAATCTATCTACTAAATATATACAACACGACATGAAACGAATCTAATCTCTATAGTTCCTCTACTAATACTTTTGTTTCTATCTTTCTATCAATAGAATAGGTAGTTCATTTTATCAAATTGATTATTGTACAGTTGAAAGAGTAAAATCAAATCATTCAGTATTATTATATACATTGGTCATTATCATTGTATCAGGATTATTAATAAGCTTTTGGAGACCTGTCTTTCCATCTGGTAGGAATGTTAAACGTCCAATTGTAACTATCGATTAGATATATAATATCTATACTTTTTATCTTATCTTGACTAATTTGTATTATTATTATTTTAGGAATATAAAAGATCATTATTTTATATAATATATACATATCTTTGGTATGGAGCAACCTATTGTATATGTTATGCCGGAAAGTATATATTAAATGATACAATGTGTCACAAAGATCCAAATAGTATTTCTGGTCATTTCCTATACCACATATTCTTTGCATTGGCTATTCCCTATTGGTTTATTAGTGTTGGTAGATTATATTACAAAGATAATCAATTATTATCATCATCATCACCAAATACAAAACCATCTTCAGTTGTATTAAGACATGAATTTAAATTCTTGAAAAAGTATAGTATATAATAATCAGTCAATCAAATCAATCCTATACAATTAATATTAATTAATATTTTTATTTCCATTAGTTTAATATTATCAGGATGGATGCCAATTTTAATGATATCATTATATATTATTTATTTGGTATTATCATATATGAATTTAGAAAAGACATATGTATTGGGATACCATTCACCACGTCAAATATTATATGGTGTCATTTTATGTCTATTATCATTCTACTCGTTATTAGGTTTAACAGCAACTGTAAACAAGAGAAGTGATAAGGGATTAAATTATTTGATGTTGGTATTATCGGTACTTTGGATTATTGGACCATCATTGATCTATTTTGTAGTAAAGAGAAGATTCCCATTTGGAAAGTTGGAATTAACATTGGCAGCAATCGGGTATGGCTATTTGTTGTTTGTAAGCTCAAAAGGTTTGGATCATATCATTACCAAAACAATCAAACCAATTCAACAAATCATTCAACCAAAGAAAGCTCCTCATTACAATCCAATTTCTTCTTCAAAAAAGAAAAAGAAAATTGATTAAAAATATACATATAGATTTAAAATATAGATTAGATAGATAAATAGAAAGACAGATATGTTTTAAATTTATTTTATTTCTTTTTTTTATTTATATTTGGAATATTACAATTGTTTTTTTTTGAAAATATATTTCTATCTCTTTTTCCTTTATCTTTTGTCTTTTTTTTTATAAGATTTTAATATAATTATTTGGAACTGAACCTTTAATACCATTTAATTCACCATCTAACCAATCACCAGAAGTTGAATGTAAAATGATACGATCACCACGTTTAAAAGTCAATTCGGAGCTATCTTGACCGACAAAGTCATAGAGTGCCTCACCAGTTGGTTGTTTTGGTTTTGCTACTGGTACTGGAAGAGCACGACCATCGTTTACTCTTGGTGGCATTTTACCAGCCATTGGAGGTGACACTCTTGGTTGTTGTGGTGAGAGTGAAGAGGTAGGTGGAGCAGATGGTTGTTGGTAAGTGGTAGGTGGAGGAGAATAGGTTTGTTGAGGTTGTTGTTGAGGTGGATAGGGTGATTTATCAAGTGATATAACCGAATGTCTTGGATTTGGTGGTGAAGCAGTCGACATTGATGGTGATGTCGATGATGGTTGGTATTCATTGTAGGCGGGTGGTTTGTATGGTGCGGGACTACCACTAGAGGTGGGTGAAGTAGTGGCAATGGTAGATGCACGTGGACGTGATGCTGGTGACGAACCAGATGCATAGGTCTGCGAGGTAAAAACTGCCGACGAACGTATGTTTTTAGACATGGCAGAACTATCAATAGGTGTAATGACCCATGGATGATTGACTGCATTGAATTCGTTGATGTTTTGTACCTGTGAATGTGCCTTTTGGAAGGCACGTGATGTCTCTACAAAGAATTTAGAGTTACTGTTGATAAATGCAGCAAATGCTGGATCAAAAACAGATTGTCTGTCGTTAAACAACAGTGGAATATCACGCATGAGCTCTTCACTCAATGTTTGGTATCCCTCCTTTGTCTTTTGATGCTTGGCTTCTGTCTTTGCAAGACTAGTAGCATCTTTGCCCTTGTTGGCCTTGATCGAGTAATCTCTAAAATATCTATCCATATCTACTCTACGAAGATCAAGTTCTTGTAAACGATCTTGAATCTCTCTAAATTGTGATAAATATTCACGTAATGGATCATGATAATATGTTTCAATATATTCTTCCTACAAATAAAAAAAAAGAAAATAAATAAATATTAATATAAATATTAATAAACATATTGTATTGTATTATAATATGTATTTACCATCATCATTCTTTGAGCTTCAATGACTCTATGACATTCTTGGAATGAACAATAATTTGGATCCTTTTCATCAAATGATAAGATATCATGTGCCATTTCATTTTGAACAATTGCAATACCTGTATTAATAAACATAGTTAATATAAAATAGTAAACCTTTTAAACGCGGATGAATGTGCTTATCAGATACTATACTCTTTAATATTTCATTGTATTTATCTACACTCTTGTTTAATCTCTTCATAAGTTTAAAGAGTGTAAAGAGTTTATCGGCTTCTGCTGCAATTGCACTGTCTACAGTTGATTCTGCAGCACCAACCTTTGCCAATACTCTTTGTTTGGTTCTAGCTATATTGGTCTTGAACAATTTCCATGCATCTCCTCCTGATTGATGTCCTCCTGACATTGTTGTTGTTTACTTTCTTTAATATATATAATATATTTATATCTATGTGTGTATGTGTGGGGGGTTGTAATAATACAATAATATTATTGATAAAAGAAGCTAGAAGGATATATTCTTTTCGTTTTATTCCTTCTTCTTGGTTTATAATATTTCTACTTCTTTTTTAAAACTAGTCTACTTTTAAAAATTATTATTGAAGTAATAATAATAATAATAGGTGTAAATATAATGTTTTATGTAATTTAATAATTATCTAGATTAATAATAATGGCACTCTCTTGAAGAAGTAAAACGCAAACGCAAGGATGTGCATGGACTGAAAAAATAATTAAATTAAATTGCACAAAATTAATTCATTGGGGAGGTGGGAATGGGTGTGAGGTGTCGTCTCTTTCGATGTGAGATCCACAAGAGAGGTGCATTCTCATAACCTGAAACTAAAGTAGTAGTTAGTATCAAAGTTAGTTCTACATGATATGAATCACAATTATAATAGTAATTATAATAACAACTATAATAATAACAATAATAATAATAACAACAACAATCAAAACAAAAGAAAATATCAAGACTATAATAATAATGTAAAGAAAACTACTACAACTACGACTACTCCCACTAATCATAATTATAATAACAACTTTAATAATAATAATAATCATAATAGTACTAGTAACAATTATCATCATCAAAAGAGTAATCATAATTATAATAGTAACAATAATAATAATAATAATACAAATTATAAAGGGAGTGAACAAAATCAACAACATCATCAACAAACATGGAAGAAACAAAAATCATATGATCATAATGCTGTAGCTGCACTTGTTGCACCACCTCCTATACCGAGTACATTTAGTTCATTGGAATATATAATACCTGATGACTATAAAACCTATGATAATCTATCACTACCTCGAAAGATGGGTATTGTCATACCATCTAAAAATGCATCAAGATCAAAACTATTAAAATTATCGGTACCATCATCACCGTCATTATCCTCTCAATCTAAACAAACAACGAAAAAGAACAATGGTACTACTTTGGATACTGCTGAAACCATTCAATTAAATAATAGTGATCTAATACAACAAAAATTAAATTTTCTTTGGAATGCTTGTAAATACAATTTATCAACTTCAACTACTTATTCTAGTTTATTAATGTATGTAACAAAAAAAAAAGAAAAGAAATAATTATTTCTATTTGATTCACCTCTGACCCTCTTTTTTTTTTTTAAAGGAATCAATTTCAACAATTAGAAGATAAATGGGAATATAATGCAATACCACCAAAAGAGAATGATAGTATATGTGAAAAATGTGGATCTATATTGATTCCAGGTGTAAATTGTAATGTTAGAATTAAAAATATAAAGGATATTGGTGGTTTAAAAAGGAACAAGTTATACAACCGAGAGGAAGTGATCAATAACAAATTAAATAACAAGATTAAAAATGCAATCATTAAAACTTGTACCCAATGTAAATTATCATTACCAATCCCCGCTAAAATGGTAAACAAAGATGATATCAAATTAAAAAATCAACAACAATCGAAACCAAAATCAAAACCATCAAAAGAAAATAATAATAATAATATTAAAGAAAAAGAAAAAGAAAAATTGGAAAAGGATAAATCTAAACCTTTATCAATTAGCACTCCATCTCCTCCTCTTCAACCTGCACCTTCTAAACCTCAACCTTCCAATACAAAGAAAAATAATAATAATAATAATAATAATAAGAAAAATACTAATAATAATCTACAAAGTTTTTTAAATGATGTTTCTGGAATGTTTAAATAATAATAGAATAATAAAAAGGTAGAAATTAATTTACTTTTACTTTTTTTTTTTTGATTTATATGTATATTATATTTTTTTTGTTTTATTTTTATTTTTTATAATTATCTAATTTTAATTTTATACAATGTATTGTATAATTTATCCGATTGACTATATCTACTACCAAATTAAATCCACTAATATTTGATCAGGTGATTTTTTAAAAATGATTTTTGTTTTTGGTTGGTGGTTGGTTGTTTTGATGTTATTAAAAAAGGTTTGGTTGGATGGGACAATGTTTTGTTTAGTTGGATTCACCATTGTTGGTACCTGGCATTGGACAAGCCTTGGAGATATGACCAAACTTTCCGCAGTGGAAACATTTTCTAGAGTCGAATTTGGAACCAGTGACTTCAGATGGACAGGTGGATGAAATGTGACCGACACCACCACAGTTGAAACAACGCTTGGCACGGCTGCAGTTCTTGCTGACGTGACCTGGTTGTTGGCAAGAGTAACAACGGACTTCCTTTGGACCGGAGCTTGGTTGAGCAACAGTTCCTTCTGGCTTTTCCGGGCACTCTCTGAAAAAGTGTCCTGGTTGCTTGCAGAAGTTGCAAACGGCTTCATCAGTGCATCCGGCAGCCTTGTGACCTGGCTTTTTGCACTTGTAACATAAGATTTCCTTTTCTGACATTTTCTTTTAAATAAAGTTTTTGATTGTTTTTATAAACTAATTAAAAAAAACAAAGAAATAATGATTTGTTAATACTTATACTTTTTTCTATTTTTTTACCTTTTTCGTCTTTATCTTCATCTTCTTCCTATCATTTGATTATAATAATTTTGATTATTTGTTATCTTGTTTTATATATTTTTGTTTGTTTGTTTGTTCCTTTCTTCATTCTCCTTCATTCTTGCTCTCTCTTCATAATTATTATTACTATTCATTTCTTTCTCTCAACCTCTTCGTTCACTCACTTTCTTTAGAAACTTGTTCTCTTCTTCTTCTTTTTCTTCATTTTGTTGTTTGTTGATAAAGTAATAACATGATGACAGATGTTAAATAATATACTACTATTATTACTATTTCGATTACTATTATTATTTCGCGATTATTATTATTATCAGGTGGATGATCTTACTTCTTTCTTCACGACACCTCCGGCGGACTTCTACTTCTTCTTCTACTTCTACGACTACTCCTCGAACGACGACTACTCACACTCCAAACACTACTAATTATAAGTATATCTAGATAATATATTTTATGAGATTATGATTATGTTGTTAGCTTTTTGGCTCCTCACATACTAACGACAATTTGAACTCGACTTCACGCAACCAATTTTAATTTTTTTTAATTTTTTTTTTAATTTTTGTTTGAAACCAAACATGTTGGACATAAAGTTGTTACATATTTATTATAAATATTTAATTAATATTTGTCCACATATAGGATTCCATATACTTTTTAAAATATTAGTTGATTATTTATTATTTTTTAATTGTTTTTAAATTGTTTTTTTTTTTTAAACTTCCCTCCAAAAATGGGTGTTGATTAAATTAATTGGTACACAAAAATGAAATGATACATCAACACATAGTTAAATTCAGAAATAGATAATTAGAATGACATCAGTTACAAATGTAGCAGGAATGAAACATCCATCTATACAAGAAGAATCGTCATCTGTTAGTAGTGTAATGGAAGAGTTTCAAGATTTGGTTGATATTGGTGAACATGCAACTTGGTTGTTGTCATCTGCAAAGCCTGGTTTTGGTGTTGACCAACTTCGTGATGAGAGTCTATCTACTTTTTGGCAGTATGTACACATGTTGTTATCTTTTACATTACATATGTAGGAGAGAAGAGGAGAAGGAGGAGGGTTAGACGATTCAAACAAACAGTTGATTGATTTATATTTATTTATTTATATTTTTTAGATCAGATGCACCACAACCTCATACAATTAGTATTCAATTCAACAAGAGATATGAAATAGAGAATATTCTATTGTACACTGACCATAAACTAGATGAAAGTTATACTCCTTCAAAGATATCCATCAAGGCTGGTACTACTTTTCATGATTTAGAGGTATGTTGAAAGCAGCGGTGGTGTTCTTTTATTGTGATTGGGATGATTAACTTAAATGTTTTGTTTAAAATAGGAAATAATATCAACAGAGTTGGAAGAACCATCTGGATGGATCAATATACCATTAAATGAACAAAGAAGACTAAAGGCAAACCTAGTTCAAATATCGATACACTCTAATCATCAGAATGGAAGAGATACTCATCTTCGTCAAGTTAAAGTTTTGGGAAAGAAATGTACAATAGAGTCACAATTGAAAATACCAATGTTTGCTCAATCAGAATTAAATATGTTTAATACTATTCGATGATTGCTAAAAATCTATGGCCACTATGGGTAGTTGTTAAGCTCTTATTTATTTTTTTCTTTGGAGTACTAGTTATTAATCATTGGAATAATTCTAATATTCACATATTGGCCATCTTGATACACGTTATGAAGGTTGTCCTCATCCAATTCAAACAATTTGGTCATATTATCAGGGTACGCAACATCTTTGATCGTGTTTTCTCTAAACTGTTTGTTGATTTCTTCAAATTTCGATTTATCGATTTGACAAAACAAATGTGGATAAATTGATGCTCGAACGTGTGATATAACACCAATATTTTTTATGTCTATTGAAATATGATTGTTCCACCCAATGACATTGTTTTCCCTAAAAAATCAATCTTTGTTAGAACAAAAAGTTGTTGCGTGCTTCTATTATATACTAACCTTTTGATTTTTCCAATACCATAACATTTTTCGCCAATTGTCAAGATTAAATTGTTTTCTAGGTGTTCATCTACGAATGGATTGGCGATCTTTTCGTGTTGAGAGTGGTAGTAAATATTGACATTTCCATAATCCATGGTCGGGTCATGGTTTTCTTTGGTTATGTTGATAGTGGTTGAGTTTCCAAGTTTTGGTAATGGTTGGTTGAACGATTTACTAAGAAATAATAATACTTTGGGATAGACCAGCGCGGATTTTTTGATCTCACTATTAAATGAGGGTCCAAATATTAATGTTTCAACTGCATAGGGGATGTCTCCCCGTCGGATTGGCTGATTAAACTGTCCAAATAACTTTAACTTTAAAAGTGTTGGTGGAAGTAATCCTCTGAGGGGACTGTTGAATTCACCATCCAATATTAATGTTGTTGTGCTTGATAGAATTTGTCGTTGGTGGATTAAAAATGATGTGATTCTCTGTGTGTGTTGGTCGACTATTTCCCCATTCAAATCATCCAATGAGAGTCGATCATGAGTTGTTCCTATTAATAGATTCTTGACAAAATGAATTAATTGTTGAGAGTATCTATCGGTTGATATTTTAATATGATCAGTATTAAAATTGTTATTTTTGTGGTTCTTGATAAATTCTATTCTATTCTCAATATCATCTGGGTGACTAAATATAAAAATAAAATTAATACTAATGAAACGAATCCATTTACAAAAAATATTTACCATGAAAGTAAATGTAAAAGAGTTAAACCAATAGAATATAAATCACTTGAGGGGTGATATATCTTCTGTTTTGATTCCTTTAATTGAAAAGAAAGATTAGATAAATGGCTAGTTTTTTAAAAAAAGATGTAAACGTACTGGTGAGTAATATCCCTTTGATCCACGAGAGGCAAGAGTCGTAGCAATCATATTAGCATATTGTGTTGTTTTTTCAATAGTGCCCTTCTTTTCTCGGGGGTAGGTGTTCAAAATCTGGTCGCCAGATACTGAGTAACTTTGATCAACAAAATAATGGCAGCATCCAAAACCACCAAGAACTATTTCATTATTAGATCCAATAAAAAGATTGAGTGGATTGATATCAAGATGTGCAATATTGTGATTAGATAGTTTTTCAAGTATTTGGAATAGTCTACGAATATATTGCCATATCTCTGATTCTTGAATATATTTATGCACCAATTTTGTTCCTTTTTGGGATTCATTCCTAAAAGATCGTTAATGTTAATAGTTGGTCATCAATGAAGGTGTGAATATCTTACCATTTATAGATTGATTGGAATAGTTGTTCCAAATCTCCACCTTCACAGTAATGTGTCAAAAGATATATCTTTTTTGAATCAATATCATCTTGGTGGTCTTTATATTGTACAAACATATCGTCATTGATGAATAGTTTCATTGTTGAGATTTCAAATCGCACTTTGTCATAGATAGTTTGATTAAAGGAGTAATCTATTTCTTTATAGACATACTAAAATAAAAAAAAAGTTAATTTGCATTTTGTAATTTGAAAATAAAAACAATACGTACCAGTTCATATGATGACTTGCACATGACCAAAATTACTTTGTTCGCTGAATATGGAAAAGAATGTAGGATATAATATTTGTTGTTGTTTACTGAAACATACGAATCTTGACTGACAGGATATGCAATTAAATAGTTGGGATCATAATTGATTGAGTTGGGATTTGTGCTAAGAGATATTATTGGTTTTTTACCTGTGTTGTTGGCATTGAGGAGAGGATCCAATAAATGGGGGGTATTGGTAGAGTTAGAGGACCCAGTTGTTGAAAAAATGAGGGGTTGATTAAAAGGAAGCTTGAACACACCAGAGGAAAGCTTTACAAATCTTCTGCTTATTCCTATTGGTTGGTTGAAATCACATAAAAATCTGAGAGGAGGAGGAGGTGAATCCAAGCGCCTACCAAACTCCAATGATTGTAATGACGATGGTAATACTCCAACTGATATTGGTTGATTATAGTCATTACCAAACTCCAATGATTGTAATGATGATGGTAATACTCCAACTGATATTGATTGATTATAGTCATTACCAAACTCCAATGATTGTAATGACGATGGTAATACTCCAACTAATAGGGGTTGATTATAGTATTTACCAAACACCAATGATTGTAATGACGGTGGTAATACTCCAACTGATAGGAGTTGATTATAGTATTTACCAAATTTCAATGATTGTAATGATGATGGTAATACTCCAACTGATAGGGGTTGATTATAGTTGACACCAAACTCCAATGATTGTAATGACGATGGTAATACTCCAACTGATATTGGTTGATTATAGAAATTACCAAACTTTAATGATGGTGGTAAAGAGGACAGCAGTTTGTTGCATATTTCATCAATATCTTGACAATTTTCATCATTTTCTTTTTCTTCTTCTTGAATTTCGAAATAGTGGCAGTTGGTTTGGGGTGGTGTCAACTTGATGAATGTTGCTGATTTATCCAATAATTGTTTTGATTCTTGATAGTTTTGATTTGAGGCCTTTTTAACTTGATCCAAATATTCGTTCATTCCAGAGGGAGTTTTAAATCCCTTTCTTGTTCCAATTTCAAGTAAAAGGTCACAATGATGTGATGGCCAAATATTCTGTGCTTCTCGAACGATATTGATGGATTTAGGGACAGAGTGAGCCAAGTCATCTTTGAGGTCCAATGGATGTGAATTGACTGATCTGGCGGCAGTAAGAGAGTCAGATTCATACATGTAGGTTGTTGATGGTTCTATTTCATCTGATTCCATTTTGATCCTTTCAACATTGTAAGAGGTGAATAGGACGACATCTCCTTGATAGTTTGTTGTTACCGCTACTTTTGTTGGAATATTTCCGTCATTTCCAATGTTGATGTGATTGTTTATGACTTTGGATGTTGGGAAATAGTTTTCCAATAAAATTGCCTTGTCATTTGGGGGTTTGATAATTGAGTCAATCAACTCTATTACATCATCCAAATCCATTGGTTTTTTTACTCCTTCAATTTGTTTTGTGCCTTGAGTGAGAGCCAATAGCGCAAGACCACCAAGTCCCGAACCGACGCACAAGTCGAATAAATATTTGATATCTATTCCAAATAACTTTGTTTGAATTTTGTTGAGCATGGCCAACTGATAAGAGATGGAGTATCCCATGTCACAGAGATTGAGTAGTCGATATCCAGCATTTTTGGGTAACATTTGATTTATCCATTTGCTGTCTGTTCTATTTTCGCAGGTTTGAATAGGGCATTCTTGACTATCAACAGAGCAATGATAACAAAACAGATGTTGGCAGCCATTTCTAACTTGGTCAGGGAATCCAATGAAACAATTTACGCACACCTGTGTTCGTAGTCGTAATTGCATGTCTTTTTCTATGTCCAATTCTTTCAAATTTGTTACACAATTACCAGTGATTTTGTCTTGTACAATTCTAGCTTTACCATATCCTATGAACCCAAGTTCGTGGTACTCTATAAATGCCGGGATTTTATAAGTTGGGTTGTCTTGATCGCGTATCCCAATTCCTTTGTGAGTGTTGCCGTGATGGTGATTGAGCTTGTAGCAATGCTCTTGACTGCATGGCTCCAAACTTTCAACAAGCTTCTTTAACGTTGATAAAACTGTGGACCAATTTTTGTTTGGATATCTTTTTTGGAATATTTTACTTGACACTGATAAACGCAAACTAAGAAGGTCAATAGACTTTTCGTACGCTCCAAGTTTATCGGTAGTGGATAACAATAGAGAGAATGCGACTCTAAAATATTTGAATAGATAGGATGCAACTCTTCTTGGGTCGATTGGTTGTATTTCGATAAAGTTGATTTGAGAAACATTACTATTGAAACGATGAACCACTTCTCCCATTTGTTTGATGACTTCTTTGGTTGTTAGAGGTGACGCCACGATTCCTTGGAGGCTATCATTTCTGAATATTGTTTGTTTGCTTAATTTATAATCTTTTTCGAAAAGATGTTTATAAATTTCATCCTTTAGGGCTTGGTAGGAAGCTAGAAATGTCTTTGGATCCTTGCCACCCTCGTCAGTTGCAATACGAATAATATTCCATGATCGGTAGTATGGCCGGACAATCTTTTTAAATTCACCATTATAATTATCAAAAAATTCTTTTGTAGCTTCCTCATTGCCAACATTCATTTCATTCTTTGCTTTCTTGTTGAATACCAAAATGAGATGTGGCAATTCTCCTTGATTGACAATTCCAGCGTCACTGTGTTGTGCATGTAATTTAACATATTTTCCGATCGTTTGTCGCTCTTGCCAAGAGTTTGAACAAACACAAACGACAACATCACTGAATGAATGCATAATCCTTGGGTATTCAGTTTCAACCAACGTTCGATGTGATTTGCTGGCTCCTCCAGTGCTAGTTGCAGTATTTAGGGTCCCACCAAACCCTTCGCAGTCAGCAATTAAGAAATCGCCACTGCTCGGGGTTTTACCAAGATACACATTGATATCTGATGAAGTTGATGAAAATTGGTTGTTCTCTTCTGGTAATAATGGGCGGTCACCATGGCATAACCCTCTTATAAGTGTACTCTTTCCACTTCCGCTGGGTCCAATGAATGTGACCATTTTGAACTCTTGATCATTGTCTAATCCACATTGATACCATTTTGGTCCAAATTCAATTGTCCCATCTCTTTCTTTAAATAATTTGTTTCTCGCATCGTATTCTTTTTTGAATGATTGTTCATAGTCTCCATGTTTTAGAATTGATCGGCTTTCCAAGTCTTTATCAATTGGAATACACATATCCTTGAATCTTTGAACTAGAGCATTGAAATGGTCTTCACATTTCGGTGTTCCAGTAAAAATGCAAGTTGCTTGGTTGGAACACTGTTTGCATTTATAATAGTTGTATTTGTCGACAAACAATTCAAGCTCTCGTAGTGCCACGAAATTGCTGCTTTCTCTTTTCTTTAGTACATCTTCAATCGACTTTTGCAAACTTTGATCAATAAAAGATATATTGGTCAGATCTTCCTTTAGTTTTTCAAGATCATTTCTTTGATTATGAATTAATATGATGTGTGGTTTCGACTTTAAATAAAAAATTACAATGAGATGGGTTCTCTTATTAATTTAAAAATTTCGAATATTACTTATTACTACTTACAGTATGTTTCTCTGTGAGAGATTTGATGGTAGATGTTATTTCTTCTTTGCTGCCATGCTCGACAACCACGATTATGTCACTTATCAATGAAATGGTTTGACGATATATTTGATTGCTACTATTATCAGTGTCGATCATCATAATTCGCTTTTGGTTGACAGTGTTTGGATACTCTACGTAGCATCTCATATCAAAGCTGTTATCTGATGATACGGGTGGAGGAAACATTGTTTCATCAGCATAGGCACCAACATTTTGTCCAAGAAAACTAACAAGATAGTAACCCTGATTTTTACTACTCATCAGAGATAGAGTTGACCACATTGGTCCAAGTACCAATTTTCCATCGATGGATTGTAGTAAATGCCTGCCTTTATAGACCTCTTGTTTATAATCCGTAATGCTGACTACTTGATGGTTTACTTTTGTATGTTCACCTTTTGTATCATCACATAAAAATTGGGCACAGGTCTTGCAATAATTGGTTAGAGGTTTAGAACATCCATCCTTGTCACAATAAAAAATTCTATTATTATTATTGAAATAAATTAATAAAATATAACAACAAGATAACTAATAGTTACATACTTTTTAATATTTAAATAGTCGATTAATGGTTGAAATGTTGATTCAAAGTCGGGTATATCATATTTAGATGTTATTGATGAGATGGAGTGGAACAGTGCTTTTGTTTGTTCGATATATCCAAGAGAAGAGTACAAGAAATCAGGTATTACTATTGCCTGTTGAGACTTGTAATACTTTTCAATCTCTTTAAGGATTTCTCCTCCCAGAGGATAGTCATTGTAGGCATTCTTATCGAAAAGAGTTTTAATACCATTTTCAGTTCGGTACCACTTGTTGCTACCACCTAAATATGGTTCCATTTTGTTAAAGACCACAATGAGATGTGGCTTGGTCGATTTGGGTAGGTTTTCACTGGTGGCCACTTGTGTATAGGCCAGAACGAGCTCGATGACTGCGATCAGGTTGGACCTGTGATGATTGACAACAAACACCACAATGTCGCTGGCATTGTATACGAATTGAGGGTGCTTTCCATGAACGAGTGTCTTTCTTTCCTCGCTTTTGACGCTCTGTGCTGTTCTCGGAATATCGTAACCGCCACTCTCGGTATCGACAAGGAGGGTATCGAATCCTCCAATGGTTGATTTGTACCCAGTGATGTCAGACGTTTGGGTTGTGGCATCTTCGGCATTTGGATCGTTGATTAGAGGGGTCATGGCAATGGGTTGGTTATTGAGAAGGAGTAATCTTTTAATGAGGGTACTCTTTCCAGTGTCAGGTGCTCCGACAAAGCTGATCACATTGAGAGGTGCCTCGTCGTCTTTTGCCAACTTCTTTCCCATTTCAAGTCCTATGCTACTGTCATTATCTTTGCCAAAGATATTAATCAATTTGTTGTCATTTTCGTTTTCTCCGGGTGGAGATGAGAGAGATGCTTTAGCTGAGTAATACTCTTTAATACAGATTGTTGGATCATGTGATTCTAATTCGTGTATTTGATCTAAATGTTCTTTACACAAAAACCTAATACATTCTTCACAATAAAACTTTGCTTCTGCTTTACAATCACACTTCTCTGTATCTGTATCTGTATCTGTATCTGTTATCATTACGACATGTGTACAAGTTAACACTAATAATTCTTCAAATCAAGAACTTCATGAATGTACACAAAAAAATTTGAAATAGAAAAAAGTAAACATTCAAAAGATACTTGCACATGAACTTCATTTTCTGGTTATATTCAAAAAATAATCATTATTTATTTATTTAATTAGTTCTTTCTTTTTTTAAAAAAGATTGGATTTAAAGTTGGAGGTTGAGCCAATTGAACAGATGATGGGAACGGCATTTTGTAAATTGGTTTACTGTCATGATTGACTGCACCCTTTTTGTTTGGTGTTTGGATTTGTTGTTGATAGAATTGTTTCAACGTTTGTAATGATTGAATGACTTGATCGATTTCTTGAATTGTCTTGTTGATTCTAATTTTCGATTTACCATTTCCACATTTACATGCATGCAACATACAAAATACCTTCTTTTCTTCTTCCTCTTCTACTTGTTCATTCATCATTTCATCTTGTTCCATATCTTTTTTCTTATTTACATTATTGATATTACAACAATTTTGACAATGAATATATGAAAGATAACAATCAAATTTACATATACTACATTGAATGATATCTTGTTCTAAATTTTCTTTTTCTTGGGTGGTCAATTCCTCGGATTGGTAACCCTTGTTTTCAAGTTGTTTTCTTTGTGTTGCTTCCAAGTCTCGGATACGACGCAACTCGGGCAAGAGCCAGTTGATGAGTTCTCTCGAGGGCGTGGACCGGGCAATATCGAGAAGGAACTGTTCGAGTGAAAAGACAGATGGACGCTTGACCTGTTTGTAACGCTCGACACTCTTGCCACCGTATGGGATCCAGTCGGCCGGTGCAAAGTTGACAGCTTCAGCAACCGTAAATCCATGACTAAAGCCAGCATGATAGGCCTGTGGAAAGGTGATGACGTACTCGCCCGGTCCCTGTAACGTGGTGTAGACAGGGAGACCGTATTTGTTGAGCACCTCTGGTGACACCATCGTAATGAGCAAGTACAGTAGATTGGGAGTCTTTTCAAAGAGTTTTGGAAGGAGTTGACGCATAATGTTTTCAAAACGTTCGCTAGCATCACTAGGTACACCGTACCAAGTCTTGAATGTACCCTTGTGCATATAGTTGATGCTGTAGAGATAGTTGTCTTCATTGTGCCAGCAAAACGAAGAGAATAACATACCAATATACATCATTGGATCGGTTACACCGGCAATCTCCTCTTCCAAGTGAGAAAAGATTGATCCTTCCATTTTGGGCAAAGAGTTGAGATTCCAGTGACGTCCGTCACTACACTGACCGCCACGCTCCGATTCAACGACACGTTCAAACCCACTCTTGTGTGATCGAACGTCGAGATCGCTGCCATAATGTACTTGAACATTTTCATCACCATACTCTACGACACGCCAGAATGCATTCTCTACTGCCTCTGGTGTATTGTCTCCTTCGGCAAACCATTTCTTTGAAAAGTTGATAGACAAGTTTTCAAACTCTTCCAAAGTGTATATATTGCCTTCATAGAATCCAAAATCCTCTGCCGTTCCTTTTGATTGTTTCTTTTCTATTTCATTGTCATCACTATCCTCTTCATCTTCACGGTCATCGTCATCATCTTCATCATCATTTTCGGTATCATGATAATCTTCTTGTGATGAACATTCATCAATAATGGTATCGATAAATGATTTGATTTTCTTTCCATTGGAACCCTTTTTTAAAAGGTTGGTGTAGAGACGACGACGTTCCTCTTCGTAGGCAAGCAGATAGTCATTGTAGTGATGCTTGAGCGTGTTGATTGGTCTTTGACAGATATCAGTTGTCTTTAGTGCCGTGAGGATATCATGCCACGAGTTGGTTTTGGTCACTTCATGCAATCCACCACGACGATTCACCTCGACAAACAACTTGTACAGATCTAAGTCACGACCATCGTATTTGGGGAAATGCTCTAATGGCGTACCCTTTTCCTCGAGAAATTGGCATAGTTGCGATGCAAACACTTCAGAGGGACCAGACCAACGACGCTTGAGTTGATGGATATTTTGGATCTTGGTTTTGAACTTGAAGGTCTTGGGATCCATGTTGGCAACAAAGTCGTCGAGACGTGGTTGTGGAGGTACAATCTTGCAGATACCATACTGCTCACCAATCATACGAATCTTTTCAATGTATTTGAGTGGGTGTTTAAACTCTTCGACGGTTGGGTAAAAGACAGGTGCCTCTCTAATCTTCCAGTTTCGTACTGTATCCTCTGGCCATTCTTTTTGTTTGATATCCTCTACTACTGCCTTTCTAGTCTTTTTAAATTGTTTCTTTCTTGGTGTTGATGATGTACTACTTGTACATGATGATGATGGTGATGATGTAATTGATTCAATATTACCACCATTAGTTGTAGTAGTTGTAGAAGTAGTTGTAGTAGGTACTGTTATATTCATTTTTTGATCAGTTGAAGAATCTTCTTCATCTTCATCATCTTCATCATCGTCATCAATAATACTAGTATTATTCTTTAAACTATTATCATTATTATTATTATTTTTAGTTGATGATCTTGTTACACCTCCTCCACCTGGTTTGTTCATTGGTACAGTACTAGTCATCATTCTTCCAGATCTTTCTTTTTTCTTTTTAACAATATTGTTGGTTGTCGATGTTGGAGTACTAGTAGTTGTAGTAACGGGTGTAGTTGTACTCGTAACAGATGTAGTAGCAGTAGATATGATGGTGGGAAGAGCAATAGTAGTAGGAGTGTCAGCACTTTCATCCATATGATCACCAGTCTTTTGTTTCTTTGTTGGTGATTTTGAAGGTGATTTAGTTGGTGTAGTCGATTTTGCAGGTGATTTAGTTGGTGTAGTAGATTGCTTCTTCTTTTCCTCCTTTGTTTCTTTGATGGGTGTCTTTGAAGGTGACTTTGAAGGTGATTTTGAAGGTGATTTGGTAGGTGTTGTAGATACCCTCTTTGCTCGAATGTTTACGTCGAGAGCTTGAACATTACAATGATCGACATGACTCTTGATACTCGATGTTGGGAATCTCTTACTACACTTTACGCATTGTGACAACTCTCTCTTGCCTCTTGGTGGAGTTGTTGATGTCTCCATAGTTATATACGTATCGTATTTATATATTCTGTATTGATATAATACTACTATGTTGTTATTATAACAGTTGTTTGTTTTAAAAAAAAACACTTGACCAATCAATCAATCGATAATTATAATTGTTATCTAAAATGTATCAGTTCTTCTTCTTCCCTATAGATAGAAATACTTTTATAATTGATTAATAATTATTAATTATTTTATATAGAGCATTCAACATCAAACAAATAACGATCGCGATGGTCAACCCTTTGGGGTTTTTAATCATCATATTTATGGTCCACTTTTTCTTTTATAAACGTAGCTTTGGATACCTACTACTGATTGTGGTAAACCTTATAACTAGTATTTATTCACCGTTTGACTGTACTTGTTTTGATTTGATAAAGTAATTCGCTAACTCTCAAAATCTACGTAATTTTTAGCCGTTTGAGCTTTTTTTTTTTTTAAAATCACAAAAAAATAATCGATAAATGCAAGAGATCCAAATAGTGATTTAATTAGTAGTATATTTATTTAGTTATTTGTGTAATATTACAACATTTAATGGTTACATTTGTGACAAGCTTGTGCTGGTGCCCTTTATATCATAGCTGATAGCGGGGGCGTAGAGACCACCGATGATGACGAGGGTGGAGAATTGATAGTGCTATGATTATTTTGATAAGAGTGGTTGTTGTTGGTTGGTAATTTGTATGGACATCCAGATATAAGTTCTCCATTGGTACGATTGTCAACACGATAACATTCGATATGACAAGTGATATTTAATTTCTTTGGGAGAGAGGTGAGGGACAGACCGCCCACAATTTCGACATGTTGGTTTTCTCCTGTGGTTGGATTTTTGTTTACTTTTCCTGTAAAGGGGAAATCCTTGGTTGAATTGATTTCTTCAATGGTACTTCTCTTGCTTCTCTTTGATGAGCATTCAAGTTTGAAGCTGTCTTTGTTGATTTTTTCGACAAGTTTGCTGGGCAATGCAAATCTTGATTTGATTGTAAGTTTGAGGATGCCACCAGCCTCTTGAGTAAATTCTGCATAAAAGAGAGTAGATAAAATTCGATTGCTGATCTTATCGATTTTATCTTGTATTCCATTTGGAATAGGGTCTTTTCGAGAAGTTAAACTATTCTCTATTGCTTCATTCGTTTCTTTTATAACTTGTTCGATTTTATCATGCTCTTCAAGACCAATTGGGCTGGCGAGCTTTGGATTAATTCTGATTGATGTTGTGTAATGATCATCCGACAGGTAATCCATCATTTGGCTCCAACTGCGACTGTTGTTTGTGCAAGAATTCATAAAATATTGGACGACTCCGCTCGTAGAATAGCTAACTATGCTATCGGCAGAGCCTGTACCAAGAGACAATAAAAAGTCACATTTCTTTTCCTTTCCCCATATTCTCTTTCCCTCGGATAGAGCGATTTCACATGGGTTGTTGGAATGCAATCCTCCATCCATGTATTGAGCGGGGTTATCTCCAATGGTGTGTGCTCTAAAGTATGATGGGGCTGCAGAGGTGGCCAATGCTGCATCCATTGGGGTGCCTGACTTGATATATTCTCTTCTCCATTCATCCTGTAAGAGGTTTTCATTTCTTGGTATATCTTCAATGTTGTAGGATGGCAATAGACACACCTTGCCTGGTTCGGTTGGAGCGGTGACCGTTGCAATTCTTGTTTGCGACTTGGACTTGAGGAGATATTGGCTGTCAGAGATGAATGGCAAAAGAATTTTTTTTAATTCGCCTGCATCGTACCTAGCTTTGTATTTGTACATGTTTGCACCCATGGTCAAGTACCCTATCCCAAACACATCTTTGCTCAAAAGTACGAATTTCTCTTTCATTTCCTTGGGAGTCAGTAGAGAGTCAGCAGAGTCTTGAGGAAGAGACAAACCAAGAGCAAGTAATCCACCAGTACTTGTTCCAACAATGAGGTCGAATAACTTGGGTATTGGAATAGTATAGAGTTGTGTTTGAATGCGATCAAGAATGATGCATGGCATGACTCCTCTGACACCTCCACCATCCAAACTGAGGACTCGGTATCCTGATCCATTAGACATCTCTTCTGAAACAGACTTGGGCTGAGGATCGTCACAACACTCCTTTTGGCAAAAAAGGCAGCAGAAATGTCCACATGTCAATAGCTTGGATGGGAAGTTTATCAGGCATCCAAAGCATATGTCGTGTGATGGAACTTTGTCTTTGTAAAGCAATATTGATTTTTTTATAATTTGTTGGAGTTCCACTTTTGTTTGGGTCGGTTGGGTAGTTAACAAAGTCTGCCAATTTAAATTGTTTTCATATTGACCATCTTCATAATTGTCATCGTTAAACTTGTGTTGGGAGGTTCCTGTTGAGTTGTGGGATCGTTTGTTTAAAATACATTTTCTGGTACCACCTCCAACGTCGGTGGTACATGGCGCATAATTGGTTCCGATAAATTCTTTCAACTGTTCAACGATTTCTCCAAAATCTTTTGTTTTGTTTTGGTGGATTGCCAGATGGACAATGTTGTTGATTTTCTTGATAGCCTCGGTAAACTGTTTTGCTTCGACAACTTTTTTATCGGTTTTAATAAAGAGACGTAAAGTTTGAGCAAGACCATTGCATATTCTGTTGTCTCTGAAAGTTTTGAACTTGGACATATCGATGATTGCATCACGAGTGAGAAGTGGAATTACTTGGGACAAGTTTGTTATTTTGGTTTTGGACTGGAACTCTTCGACCTTGTTTTGATTAAAGGATTGTTTAAGAGTGGTGTGCACCATATCCCTGAAATCATTTAGCCTCTCTACGCAAGTCTTTGGGAACGACCTAAACTCTGGGATAGAAACCACTTGAATTGAACTGTAAAGGGATGCATTGTCCAACAGATTGACGTATTGATCATTGTCAATCTTGTCGGCCGTTGTTTGTTTGTTGTGAACAACAATAAGATGAGGCTTTCTCGAAAGATTGACAACCTTGTTGTCGCTAAACTTTGTAAACTCTTTGAGAGCCTCCCAGGTATTTCCTGTTGCTGTTTTGGCATCGTCTGTTACATAGACCATTACATCACCAAAGATATACGAGAGACGAGACATAAGCTTTGTGTAATTTGATCTGTCTGACCCCTTTTTCTGCTGCGAGAGAAAAGGTACTTCTTGGCATTCATAGGGCTCGCTATCAACAACAACGATACTGGGGTTGACAGTTCCATTGACTCCAAGACTACCAGCTACGAATGCGTTGTAGTCAGATGATGTTGGAACGTCATAGTCGTCACGGGTACTTGGTCTGACAATGGCCTTGAGGTCATCTCTTTCGGCCAACAAGAAGTTAGCAAGTGTCGATTTACCAGTTTCAGCAGCTCCAACAATAGGGACAAATAGAAAATGGTCTAGACTCTCCAACTTTTGAAGGGCAGGACCATATTCTAATTTGTTGTTTGCATCCAAGCGAACCAGCTTTGATTTTAAGTCTGTTTCTTTTGCTTGCTCTTCACTTATCGAAGAAGAATCTTGACCACTAAAATGAAAACCAGAAGACTCTAATTGTGTATAATCTGATATTGATATGTAGTTTTCTTGATCGCTATTCTCTTTAAGCTTGAGTGTGTAGTGTTCTTTGCAAAAGGAATTGTGGTTTTCAGGCTCTATTTGAACATGTGTGGCCTCCCTTCTCTCTTCCCCTCCCTCTTCTTTAGGTATTTTACAACCCTCTATCGAACATTTCATTTTACTTCTTTTGTGATACAATATGTATTAAGTGTAATAAAATAAAGGTTGAAGACAAATTACCAAGCCTTGAACTTCATCTTTTTTTGTAAAAAAACAAAAAAAAAATTCTGTGTATTAAAAAAATGCCTCAACTATTGTTGCAAAAGATACACACATATATTAACCATCTTTATCTATCATATCAACAAAACTTTTATGACTAGTAAACAACCTATTAAAGACGTAGACTTTAATTCTCTTCCACCTGATGCACATATCTGTCATGAGTGCCAGATGGTTTTTGTCAATCTTGATGCAATGACTAAACACCATCAGCCACCATTGGGGCCTTCAAAACATACCGAGTATGGAAAGCTTCCACAATCACTAAAACACAGGCTGTCGATGATCTACCTCAAAAATAAGATTGACCTTAACGAGGAGCATACTAAAAGACTGTTGTGCAAAGACCCAAACGATGAATATGTCATGCTCAGTGACCATTATCATCATTTTCAAGAATCCACCAAATCGGTCATTAGTTTTATTGGGGATACGGGCGTCGGCAAGTCAACCATAATCAAAGCATTTATTAAAGACATAAGTTTGTGGCCTGTCACGGCAAACGAAGGTGAGCAAGGAAGTTGTCTATCCACATCGTGTGGCGTTGTAGTCCACCATGGCACCTTGGATGATGTCAATCAACAAATGGAACGGCCAGTACTAGTCATCGACTGTGAAGGATATGGAGGAAGTACTGAAACAAACGCTCAACAATATCAAAGGAGTTTACAAACAGACAACAATAACAACAAGTCACAAAGTACTAAAAACTATCTATGTCTCTATTCCCAATTTGTTTATACATATAGCCATGTGATAGTTTACATGTACACTGGAAACAATCTAGATAAATCAGCCATAAAACTTTTAACACATATCAAAATCACACAAAACAGATGCACCAATCAACACGTCAACAAGCCTCATATCATCTTTGTTCAAAACAAATCCATCACTCCACAACCGAAACTATCGGAAAGCCGACGCAAAGAATTAGATAATATCTTCCAAACAGTAGAATCCACAAAAATAGCAATCGTCCTACACACGAAAAAATATGATGAAGACCTGAAGAGTCTCCAAACAAAAATTAACAACTTGCTTGGTCCACCTCCAACCGAATCAACTCTCCAACCTCTCAACTACCATCTCAAAGTTTTACCATTTGGTGTTGGGCTTTACAATGTATACAAAACGACTCAATCCAAAGAAGCAGAGGCTGTCGACTTTTTTTCATACAATCACCCAAAAGATAGTGAAATCATTTGCGAATCATGTAAAAATCATTTGCAAAGATGTATTGATTGTTCACTCCTCCATTGTCCGCAACATATTAACAACAAGGTTCATTTGTGTGTCGCCAATATGGGTATTAATAGATTGCTGGGTGCTCTGAATAAAGAACAACAGAATTGCAGTGTCATTGTAGTTGACCAACAATCACCAAAACCCCTAAGAAATTTGACGCAAATTGCAACAACAGAGATACCTGGTGGAGATGGTCAAGTTTCAATCAGGCTCTGTCCAAAATCATCAAGCATCATTTTCTTCTCTAGTATTGCAGCTGGAGCTGGAGATGGAGCAGATGAAGCTGGACGATCACACAATACCGAAAATTAATTAATTCCCAAATAAATCACAAACAAGTTTTGTAAATTGTAAATATCTTTTGAATTTCTCGCATTTTATCTATTTAATAACCAATTCTAAACAACCCCAAAAGTTGTCCAACTGTTTTTTTTTGAACAACAAACAAACAACTCTAAAAAAAATCAAAAAAAAAAAAAAGTCGAGAAAACAAACAACTTCATCGAAAGTTAAAGTTATTCATTCATCTATCTATCTGTTCATTTTTAGTTATTATTTATTATTATACTTTATTAAAAAATGAGCGAAAATATTTATCTACGCAGTAATCCACCAAAGGATGTTGAAGTTCTCCCAATCGAGGGACAAAGAAACATTCTTATTACATCTGCACTACCATACGTCAACAATGTACCACATCTTGGTAATATCATTGGTTGTGTCCTAAGTGGTGATGTTTATTCAAGGTTTGTATAATATATATATATAAGAAACAATCACTCGCAATGAGATGTGATCTCTCTCTTCTTTGTTACATTTGTTAACACCCTTTTTTTTGATTCCCCGACTCTTTACATATATATAGATATTGCAGATTAAAAGGACATAATTGTATTTATATTTGTGGTACTGATGAATATGGTACTGCAACTGAAACCAAAGCATTACAAGAGAAATGTACACCAAAAGAGATTTGTGATCGTTATCATGCCATTCACAAGGAAATCTATGAATGGTTCAACATTGGATTCGACAAGTTTGGTAGAACATCTACTCAAAGTCAAACTGAGATTACTCAAGACATCTTTATGAAACTTCATCAAAACGGTCTCACCTTTTCTGATACCGTCGAACAATTATTTTGTGAACAATGTAAAATCTTCCTTGCTGATAGGTAAATAATATTAGATAGAACACAAAAAAAAAAGAAGTAATTAAAAAATGATAGATATGGATTGATTATTAATTCTTTTTTTCTTTTTCTTTTCTATTTTTAGATATGTTGAAGGAATTTGTCCACATTGTCAATATGAAGATGCACGTGGTGATCAATGTGACAAGTGTACCAAGTTGTTAAATCCAACTGATCTCATTCAACCACGTTGCAAGGTTTGCAGTACTACTCCAATCATTAAATCCACCAAACACATCTTTTTGGACTTGCCCAAGGTCCAAGAAAGATTAGATACCTTTGTTCAAGGAAGCAGTGGTAAATGGTCTGAAAACTCACAAAACATTACAAACAGTTGGGTTAAAGGTGAATTAAAACCACGTTGTATTACAAGAGATTTGAAATGGGGGTAGGTCTAAACAATAGAAACAAAAGAATATAGAAAAAGAATCTATATATTTATTTATTTCTTTTTCTTTTTTCTCTAGAACACCAGTACCATTAGAAGAATTTAAAGAAAAAGTATTTTATGTATGGTTTGATGCACCAATTGGCTATTTATCGATTACCAAGGAATACACAAAAGAATGGGAGAAATGGTGGAAGAATCCAGAGAATGTTGAATTGGTTCAATTCATGGGCAAGGACAATGTGCCATTCCACACTGTCATTTTCCCATCTTCATTGATTGGTACTGAAGACCCATACACCATGTTGCATAACCTCAGCACTACCGAATACCTAAACTATGAGACTGGAAAGTTCTCCAAGAGCAGAAACACTGGTGTTTTTGGTGACGGTGCACGTGACACCAAGATCCCAGCCGACATTTGGCGTTTCTATTTGCTTTCGAATCGTCCCGAAGTCTCTGACTCTGTCTTTTCATGGGACGACTTTTCAGCAAAGACTCTTGAACTTTTAAACAACTTTGGCAATCTTGTCAACCGTGTCTTAAAGTTTGTCTCTGTCAACTTTGATGGCAAGATTCCAAAGATTGACCTCAACGACAGTGATAAAAAGTTTGTTCAAGAAGTCAACGACAATGTCAAGCTCTACCACGAAGCTCTTGAAGCCGTCCGTATCAAGGAAGGTCTTCGTCTCGCCATGGCCATCTCTAGATTGGGTAATCAATACCAACAAGAAAACAAACCTTGGGAAGTCATTAAAACTGATAAAGCTAGATGTGGTGCTTCTGTTGCTTTATTAGTTAATACTATTAAATTATTGGCTACTTTATTCGAACCTTATTTACCTTTAATTTCTCAACAAGTAAGGAAAAAAAAGAAAACAAAAGAAAAATAATAATATTAATATTGTTCTATTATTTTATTTAGATTCATGAACAATTAAATTTTGAATCAACAAAATATACAGTTGGATTTGAATTTTTAATTCCAGAAGGACATGAAATTAGCAAGAATATTACACCATTGATTCAAGCCATTCCAGACGTTGATTTAAAGTCATTCCGTACCAAGTTTGCTGGTGCTGTTGCCGATGAATTCCCACTTGACTTGCGTGTAGCCAAGATTGTAGAGGTAGAGGATCATCCAGCTGCCGACAGTCTCTACATTATCAAGTGTGATATTGGTGGAGGTGTTACCAAGCGTGCTGTTGCCGGTCTCACCACTGCTTTTACCAAATCACAACTTGTTGGACAAAAGCTTGCCGTCCTACTCAACCTCAAGCCATCCAAGTTCAAGGGTGTTCAAAGTGAAGCCATGATTGTCGTTGCCGATGACAAGTCACCCATTGGTGTCTCTCTATTGTTGAGTGACGCTGAAATTGGTAGCAAGATTGGTGCCAGGGACTCCAAGATTGTCCCCAAGTCCAACATTGACTACCAAAAGGAATTCATCCACATGGATCTTCGTGTCATTGATGGTGTACCATGTTACAAGGAAAAACCTTTACTCGTAAATGGTAAACCTTTAGATTTACAAAAGAAAGAAATTATTTCTGCTAAACTTAGATAAAATAAATACAAATACATAATTACTTTTATATTATTATTAGTTTGTTTTTTTTTATTATATATATATTACAACAACATGTTTGATTTGTTTTTTTTTAAATGTTTGTTTTTTATTTATGCTTCATAATAAGCATAAGAACCTAAATCTAAAATATGAACATCAGGAAAACATTTTGTACCATCATAACCTCCAATAACAAATAAACGATGATCTACAAAACAACAACAATGATAACCGCGTGGTTGAGGTGGAGCGCCTGTACATTTCAAATTTTCCCATTCCAAACGATCAATGTGGAATAGTTTGAGAGTGTCGATATAGTCGGTTGCATTGTGACCTCCAAATACAAGAATACGCTTTCCAATTGAAATGCAACTTTGTGCAAGGATGGGTGTTGGATTGGTCACTGGCAGTCTACTCCAAGTGTTGGTGGCAGGATCGAATAGATGGAAATCTGAAAAACATTCAGCACCATCGGACCCACCAAATACTCCAATCTTTCCATTCATCAATAAACTAGAATGGTATCCTCTACTTCCCGGCAACGATCCATTTGCCTTTATACAGGTCCACGTCAATGTCTCTGTATCCAAAACATACATTTCATTCAATGCCTTGTTACCATCACCTCCACCAAATATATAAATATTTTTACCAGCAACCAAATTAGCTGTATGTGCTCTTCTTGGTCCTGGTCCACTACCATTTGTTATTGGTTTACTCCATGTTAATGTTTCTAAAAAATAGAAAATAGAAAAAGGATATTAGAAATGAGAAAGAGAAAGAGAAAGAGATATATATATATAGATAGAGTCTGGTCTCTTACTTGTATCTAAAATATATAAATCTTTAAAATAGTTTGGACCATCACCACCACCAAATACAAATAATCTGTAATCTACCAATGTTGCACTATGTGCTCTATGTGGACCTGGTATACACTCTGCTCCATTTGTTGTTGGTTTACTCCAAAACATGGTTTCTTTAAATTAGTGGGGTAGGGAATGAATGATGAACAAATGAATGAGACTGTTAGAGATGATTGTTATTTGTTTGTTTGTTTGTTTTTTACAACATACTAGTATCAAATACAAGTAGATCATTAAACTTATCGTTTGCATCGGAACCTCCAAATACAAATATCTTGTGTCCTACAACAGTAGCAGTATGTGATCTTATACTTGTAAATGCTAATGGATCACCTCCAGTAGTAGCTTTAGACCAATTCATGCTACTCTACTATATATATATTGCCTTGTTCTTTCTTTTTGTTGATTATATCTTGATCTACTTTTAATATATGTCATGTGATGAGGAAGATGAGGTGATTGATGGAGGTCTCCTTGTGCAAAAATAAAAAAAAACTAAACAATTTATTCATCACCCTCCGTTTAGTTTGAATAGTAGACTATCGGGGGTACTAGTCTTTTTAGCTCTGATCAAACGAACCAAAACAATTCAACTAATCTTTCTTTTTAATCTTCGATTTACGATCTTGACTCAAGATCTCATTTAAATATCTATCATTTCAATCATGTCAAGTAGTAGTATAGTAGTAGTTGATATCAATACAATCTATCAACCAATATTTACATTTATAAAGAAATCTTATCTTCAAAGTATGTCATTGTTCAAATGAATGAATGAATGAATGAATGAATGAATGAATGAATGAATGAATGATCACATGATTAAACTAACAATCTATTCCGTCCATTTAGCATGTAGTGATTTATCAAGTATAGGAGAAGGATCATTATCAAGTGATCTAAGAAAGATATTTTATATATTAAACAAGAAACAATTTACACAATTGGGTGATTTGTCTACACGAATGACTGATCAATTGTGGCAAAAGTTGGTATCAAATAATGGATGGAGTCATGTTTGTCTAAGAGAATGTTATGTATACTCTTTGTTATTATCAACTCTTTATCACGTCGGACAAAACAACAATGAAAAGGCAATTGAACAATTAGATACTAGTTTTATAATGGGTGCTCCTAAATCATTAATCATACCAATCATTAAATCAATTTCTACTTCAATTTCAACCAATAATAATGATGATACTTCTATCATTCCAATGGTAATTAATTAATCAATAGTATCCAAACTTTTCAATTCATTTAACTTAATCATTTTATTTTCTATTTTTTTAGATTAAATATGATGAATTAAATATAGAACTTCCAAAGATTAATAATCAAATTATTATACTTGAAAATCCAACCGTTGAATATGTACTTGAAAATCATTTAAAAAAGAATTTACCTTGTGTTATAAAATCAAATGAAACAATGCAATGGCCTTGTATTGAAAAATGGAAAGATTTAAAGTAAATAATAATATATAATTAATTAATTAATTATTTGATTGAATGTTTATTAATTCTTACTCTTTTTTCAATTTTAGTTATTTTATAAATAATTTTGGAAATAGATTAGTACCAATTGAAATTGGACATAATAAATTATATAAATCGATGGATGAAATTGGACAACTTGGAGAATTAAAGACAAAACAACCAGAATGGTCTGAAAAGGTTATAAAGATGAAGGAATTTGTTGAAAAATATTTGGTACCATCCAGTTTGACCAATGAAATACCCAAAACATCGGAAGAGGTTGGATACTTGGCACAACACAATCTGGTTGAACAAATACCAGAACTTTGTGATCACTTTTCAAAATCACAATACCTACCAAAGAGTAGTGACCTTTCTCCACACAGTTGGTTTGGTACCAACAATACAATCACACCGCTTCACTATGACAGTTATGATAACTATCTCACACAAATCGTCGGACACAAATATGTTCGTCTCTATGAACCATCACAAACACCAAATCTCTACATCAAGGAAACCAACAACACCTCTGTTGCCTTGCAAGGTAACATGACAATGCTCGACATTGAGAATGCATCCCCTCAAGACTTTCCATTATTTGCTCAAGCCAAATACACTGAAACCATCCTTTCTCCAGGTGATATGCTCTTTATCCCTTCCAATTGTTGGCATTATGTTCGTTCACTTTCAAATTCTTCATCTCTTAGTTTTTGGTTTTATGTTGATGATCAATAAACAAAAAGAAAGAAAAGAGATAAATATAAATGTATAAATGAAGTATACTTATCCCTTCCCTATATATATATACGTCATCCTACTTTTTAAAAATATCTCTATGCCTCCTTGTTCTCTCTCTCATTCGGTTATGAAAATTCCGCGCACTCTCGCTTTTGATGTTTTGGCTGGTGAAAAAAACATGTTGTCGATGACCTGGTCGAGTTGAAACAATTTTTTTGTTTTTTTTGTCTTAACCTCCTTCTTTTGAGAGAGAGAAAAATCTTTTTTTATTGCCCTGCGTTTGAGCTCTATTATTACACATCCTTTATATCTCTTTTTTCTTTTCACTCTCCACACTCCATACACATATATATAAAATGTCAGAAGACGGTATTAAGCAATTATTACAAGCCGAAAAGATGGCTCAAGAAACCATCTCAAAGGCCAGACAAGGTATGTGAAACAAGACGAAAGTAGATCTAGATACTGGGTTAAGGCGGGTTTTAAACATGTTGATCAAACAAACAAACTACTATCAAAATAGAACTTATAGAATAGAGTAATAACATCATCATGCTAATTAACCTTTATTATTATTATCATCTCTTTAACAAACAAAAACAGAGAGAGTTCAAAAGTTAAAGCAAGCTCAACATGAAGCTGAAAGAGAAATCAAGCAATTCAAGGATTCAAAGGAAAAGGAATTCAAGGATTACGAATCAAAGGTATAATCAAATCAATCAATCAACAAACAAAGAATAAGAAAGAAAGAAAGGAAGGAAGGAACATTACATTCATCATTATCGTCATCATCATATATCATCATTGCATACAAACAACAACTAGAGAAAACATTGACAAACAACAAATACATACATACATACAATTGGACAACTCTATACTTGGATTATATTATATTGGAACAATCTACAAAACTTATGATGATGATGAAAAAGATGATGAACACTCCTTCCTTTCTTATTCTTTGTGTCTCAAACTCTCAAACTAGTTTAGTTTCAATTTACTAATTTCTTTTCTATTTATTTTTTTTTCTTTTAAAAGTTCCTTGGTATGACCAGCGCCAACTCTGCTGATTTAAATTCCAATGTCACCAAGGAAATTGATCTCGTCCGTAGAAAGACTGCCGAAAACAAGGCCTCTGTTGTAGATTTACTCATCCAAAAGACCTGCGAAGTTCACACTGACCTTTAAATTATATATATAAATAAATTACCATTACTAAATAAATAAAAAAAAAACATTATAAATAATTAAAAAACAAAAATATAGAGATATAGAATTCATTATCCCTTTTTTTAATATATATAATTATTTATCTATTTATCTATATATAATTAGTTTTATTTAATTATTATTTATTTATAAACAATTCTATCATGAGCAATATAGTTTTCTTTGGTTGTAAGATCATGAACACCAATGATTTCATATTCACATTCAGCACAGGTAAGATATTTGATCTTGTTCTTTACATCTTTTGAAAAGGCAATATTCTCAAATTGGAACATATCTGGCAAGAACCACATCCACTTTAATTCTTCTGCTGTATCTGATCCTTTTTGATTTAATAATGGAATCTAGAAATAAATATAAATAGACAGACAGACAGATATTGGTTAGAAACGACAACAAATAAGTTCATTCTATTATTCTATAGTACTATACATTTTTTTCGTACAAGAGTAGCGTTATTTTGAATGAGTACAGTGCAATCACATCTTCTGCAATGAATTCTCTTTGTCAATTTCTTTGTTTCTGGATGAGCAATACCTTCAGCAGGTGCTTCTTCATTCTTTACTATGATTGTAAAATTGCTTGCATCTGCAAATGCATTGTCTACATTTGGATCTCTATTAATCTCTTCGATTGGGATACCTTCTGGTTCTCCTTGTTGTTCTTCTTCAACTACAACAGTATTAGTATTATCTTGTTGTTGTTCTTGTTGTTCATTAGTATTGTTATCTTGTTGTTGTTGTTCGTTCTCCATGATGATTGTTATTCTTATTGAATGAAATAAGATTGTGATGTTTTAAAAGTATATATAAGAAACAAGTCGAAAACTTTAATTGGGTTCAGTGAAATCAAATTCTCATCGATATATAATGGTTGAAATTTAAATTTAATTGTAATTTTTTTAATGGAATCTATATAATATATTATAGTTGTATATCTTTACAATTGTTTGTTTGTTGGTTTGGTTGGTCCTTTTTTATTATTCTATTTAATTAATTTTTAATTCATCAGTTGGACTACCAAAATCATCTTTATATTTGTTGAATAAAACAGTCAATGAATCGATATAGGCTTGATGATAGAAATCAACCACTTCATCCGAGGGGTTTGATATTCTTGGTACTTCAAGTGCATCCCCAACCACTGTAACAATTTTGTGTCTATGAGGCAACAGACCAAAGTCATAGGTAAATATACCACGACCATTAAAAAGTGGTGGAGCGATTCCAGATATTTGTAATATTTTTTGTTGTAAACGTCTAAGGAATGATCCTCTTGGATTTGATACTTGATCAAATACATCATTTTCTCCAAATGAATACATTGGTACTAATCCAGCTCTAAAGAGAAAAATAAAATAAATCAAATTAGAAACTATAACCATTATTTTGTTTTGTTGTTTTTTTTAACTTACCCATGACTAAGAGCTAATCTAACAAAACCTTTTCTTCTTTTTAAATATAATTCATTGTTTCCTGGATGAGCATCTAAAGATTCAGCAGCACCACCAACTACAATCATGATTGATTTTCCTGGTCCACTTGATAAAATGTTATCGCATCCTTTGCGACTAACCGATGACATTCCAAAACTCATCAAAACATCTCTAAAAAAGGGGAGTTTAAAGTTTGATTCCAATGTAAGAGGATGAATGGTAAGACCAGGGAATTTCTGATCAACTCCATTTGCATTTGTTGCAAAATTACAAAAGGCTCCTAAACTAATAATTCCATGTGGATGATATCTAAAATATAAAATAAAGAGCAAGTTAACAAACACATCACATCATTGCCTCTTTTCATTCTCTTTCTTTTCATACCCAAATATATAATTCTTTTTTGGATCCAATTTTGAACTTGCAACCAAAGATACGGGAAAGTAATCTCTAAAGAATGACCAGATTCTTAGGTTTCTAACCCATTCCAATCGTTTTCCTCCATGTTCCCATGTCTTGTCATAATATATCATCCATATGAGATAGGGGATAGTAAAGAACCAGAATATAGGTATAACGATCGCATAGAATGCTGCCAACAATGTAAATGGTGTAATCAATGCATAAACAAGTACTGCTGTAATCTCTACTCTTCTTCTAAATGGTACTTTCATAAATGGTACCCATCTTGGCATTTTTTATAGTAATATATTTATATTTCGAATGAATGAATGATGAATGTGATGATTATGATGAGACAATGATTAAACAAGAATAGAAAAACTTTGAACAACACTCAAGTTTGTTGTTGCTACTTCATAAAAAATAATAAATTAAATTAATGAACGAAAAAAATATCAAAGCGATTTTTAATTAAACCCCCATTCGCGTCGATTCACTATTTTTAGTAATAATATATGATCATCAACAAATAATATTTGAAAAAACTATATATATATATTAATCTTTTTTATTTATTTATTTATTTATTTGGAGGGGGGAGCAGCTCTATTCTTTCTACGTTTATGAATGATAAACCAAACTACAGAGATAATGGTACCACATCCAACGACGGCAACTGTAATGGATACAGATGGGATGAGAAGTTTATCAGACATTTCAGAACGTTTCATACATTCTGCATGACTATCTCTATCTCGTCCGATTTGTATGACATAGTCTGGATCGACAACACAACTCGATTCAAAGTATGGTAGGTTCATTTCAACAATGATTGGTTCCGGACCATTCTCAATTGTCATTTCACCGGTCGTAGCTGTATTGTCTTGCGATATTAGATCGGTTGATCTATACACTTGGTTGAATCGAATAGTTTTTAACTCTCCATCTACTAATCCCTTGTTGAGGAATCGAGCATACAGTGTAGTATATCCATTGTAGGTCTTGTACCACAATAACTCCTTTCCTCTAACTGCAATGTATGGTCTGATTGTATCGGTACCTCTTACACCTTGCAATGGTTGACTGTTACTATGGATTAGGTCAGAATCGAGTGTGTTTGTTTTAAAGTGGCTGTAATTGACAATAGAACAATCTCGATTATCGCTATTGGCCGTCGAAGAGTTACTATTTAATAATAGTCTAAGAGTATTGTATTTTGATTGGAATGGCCAATTAAATACTGAAATGGTGTATTGAATGGACGCAGCCGATGCTGTCAATGTAATATTTGGTCCAATCTTGTATTCTACCTGTGGTGGTACTGGAAAAAGTGTAGGTTGTTGTTGTTGTTCATCATAATCGTCATTGGTGACAGAGTTGTTTTGGTTTGGCATTCGTATGGATACATAGATTGATGCATTATTATTCAATGTTATACTGTAATTCCAATAGGGTAGTTGATTGACCAATGTCCAAGCCAAGTGTGGCATGGTTAGATTATATGATTCTACCAATTCATGTGTTGGACTAACCTCTTTGATTCTAGAAACCAACAATTCAAACCATGTCCCATCACGTGCCGATATAGTAACATGTGGACGAAATGATGATCCAGTTGACGTTGCCGTGAAATCTGTCACATCTCTATCATATAATTCACATGTTTCACCTGCCCATCCACCACTACAATAACAATTTCCATATATACAATTACCATTTACACAATTACTTTTATTACATGAATACTCTAAAAAAATAAATTAAAAAGTAAGTAAGCATTCCTTGAATATAATATCTATATTTAATTTCTTACTTTGATCATAAATTAATAATAAATTATTTAAAGATTTAACAGAATCAATAGATAATTCACCAACACTATGAAAATATTTGGAAGGTGATACTAGACATTGAAATGATTCATCTGGAACTATAAATTGAATATTTTTACATGGTTCACCATCGACGGTCATATTAATGAGTGAAGTGTCATTACCTAGATTAGAACTATAGATTTGAATTTGACCACCTTCAGTACCAACCAATGTATGGAATGTAATGTTTGGTTGTTGATAGGAAAACATCAAACCATCACTAGATACTTGTCCAATACTTTCAAATACCAAACTTTTTATACCTGTTCCAGGACCAACATAACAAGACAATACACCTTGATCTATCAATGTTAGATTTTCACATGGTTTATCATTAATCTCTAATTTCATTTGACGTTCATCAACTGATCCAATTACATTTAATTCTAAATATCCTCCTTTTGTTGGTACTTCATTAATTGATGTTATAAATGGTACTAAAAAAGCAAAAAGAAAAAAAAGAATTAGAAAAAAGATGATTTAAATATATTTGTTTTTTTCTTTCTTACATCTTAGCGTTGAAACCATTTTACTAGCAGAATTTACAAAAAATATGATTGATTCACCATCGATATAAAGACCTTGTTCAATTGTACAACTTAATTTCTTTTCTCCATTGGTTGCAAATTCAACCTTTACACAAGGTATATTACCAATTAAAATGGAAAAGTTTTCATATTTAAATTGTCCTACTCCTTCCATTTCTATTTTACCTTTACCTAAATGTTTAACATTATAAATTGGTGGAAATTCTACAAAAATAAGAAAAAAAAAGGTTAGAAGATGGATAGAGTATACTATAGTATTTCTTTTTTTGGTTCTCTTTTTTACCTTGACATTTATTATCAGATAGGAAAAGTAAATTATCAGGACATTTACAATCATAATGACCAATACGATTAATACACAATGCATTTAATGGACATACAGCCAACCTAGTTGTACATTCATCAACATCTATACATTGTGTTGAATTCCATAAATAACCTCTTTCACATCCACATTGAAAGCTACCAAATGTGTTTTGACATATACCATGATCACCACATATATCTTCATTTTCACATTCATTTATATCTAAAAAAAAAGGAAATAATAATAATAATAATATTAATTAATATGATCCTCTCTCTCTCTCTCTCTTTACTTTTTTTAAATTCAATAAGTTGATTTACCTTCACATTCATTTGAAATATTTTGTTTTAATTTAAAACCATTTAAACAAACACAATTATAACTTCCAACATTATTTACACAATATGATGTAGTTTGATTACATAATAAATTATTTTCATTACATTCATTAATATCTAAAATAAATTAAAAAGGAAATAGTTTAGTTTAATAAATAAATGATCTTTTCAAAGTTTTGATATCTCTTGTTTTTAATATACTATACCACTACAACTATTTGAATTTTGTTTATAACCTTGATTACAAACACATTGATAAGATCCCAAAGTATTTACGCAATGTGAATTTAATTGACATGGATTTAAATCACTTTGTTTACATTCATCAACATCTAAAATTAAAATATAAAAGTTAAGGTTATGTTTTATCATTTTAATCTATTCATTCTATTCTTTTTATATTATCTATTATTTACCTTGACTACAATCAATATTAGTCCAACCAGGATCACATTGACAAATTGATAATCTTGAATTACAAAAACCATGAACACAAACGGTTGAACATTTTGAAGAGGTAATATTTAATTTGTCACCAATATCGATTGTTTGTGAATAGACTAGTACTGATGAATGATTACTATTTGGAAGAGTCGGACAGATATAGTTATTGTTGTTGGATTCACAATTGTTGTTGTTGGTGGATTGCATTACTTGAAAATAGGTATCTACACTTTTACAGAAATAAGTTTGGACACAAGAGTTTAGGTCCAATATACCAGCCATTGGATTATTCTTTTCAAAGTCCATTGGTGATACTGATCCTCTACAGAGATCGGTGCTTTTGAGAGAATTGTAACTGGTCTGCTCCAAGGCCATTATACCCATTCTCTTGTTGGCCATGTCTGCTGGACGACTGGGTATGGTCGGACATTCGCTGTAAATGAGATAATTATTATAAACCAAATCTATGTTTATCGGTGGAAAATCGTTAAAATTCGATGGAGTACCATCAGACATGCCCGCTACAAATGGGCAATTAAATGTATTATTTTGTTGTGGTGGACTATTTGATAATAATGCCTTTTTCTCAAACATTAATAATAATGAAACTCTATTATTATTTCCATTTGTATTTGGTAATTGATATTTACACTAAATAATAATATATATAGTAAAAATAAATATGATGTTTACTCTATATAGATTTATGTTTAAATTATTGATTTGATATCTTTACCTCTACAAAAGTTAAAGAGTTTATACCATTATCTCTACCAACACATAATTGCCTATTTATATCGGTCACATAGTTTGATGGACATATCGAAAAAATATAATTTGGAAACAACAATACCAAAAATACTACTAATATGAATTCTAAAACATTATTGATAAATCTAATCATTTGTGTAATTAAATTAGGAAAAGATAAAAAGAAAAAAAATCCTAAATTAGCATCAGTGTTTTTTAACTATTTTGTACAATTATATAGTTAGTAAATATAGAAATATATATAGTTTATAGAAATAGATAAATATATATATACAAAATAAAATATATATAGAAATATGGTTTTTTTGTTTTTGTAACTATACGCGATAAATTATCTTTCGGATGAAGAAGAGGAAGAGGAATAGGGCTGACCGACACAGAACTAAATGAATGTTGTTGTATATATATTCTGATTCTAAATTTGGAAAATAATCTTGTGGACAAAGTATTTAAATAAAATAAGGAATAGTCTGACTTTTATAATAGGATGTGATGGGTGGTTACAATTTCTTCCATTCTAGAGACAAAGATGATGCTTCATTAAATCTTACCAAAGGAGAACAAAAAAAAAAAAAGGTGAGATGCTAGATTGTCTCATTAAAATAATAAAAGATATTATAGAAGAGCATGATGATGGATGGGTGGATGGATGATGTCCATCATATCTAATCAGATGAATGATGATTCATTCGTGTGTGTGCATGATGATCCCGACTACAATAAATTATAAATTGTCATAATTGCAAGGTAATTAATTAACATTTTTGTCAGCAGTAGTTGGTAGCAGCAGCACCGTTATTACGTAATACTTATAAAAACATTGTAACAATTTTTGTTTGTTTGATTGTGGTGGTGGTGGTGTTGATAGAGAGGTGTAGGTCTATTTATTCAACAACAAATTGTACGCACACTTGTATATACTTTATGGTTCATTGTTTGTATAATATTCAACAGCCTTTTCTAATACTATATCTACATTTAAATCTTTTATCTATTTGTGGAAAGGAAAAATGGTAATTAAACAAGAGTGAGAGTGTTAATAAGCTGCGTGCAGATATATGATTGATGGGAGAGGGGGGGTGATTTGATTTGTTTTTTTTTTTCCAAACACTTCACACTTGACATTGTGTGTACATTGTGTATTATGTGTGTGAAGTTAGTTTTGATGATGCAAAAGATAGGACTATTTAATCTTGTTTTGTTGTATCTATTTTGATTATTATTATAATGAAATCATTTACATACATTTAACAAGTAATTTAGAATATCGTTTGTTGAATGTTTCTCCATGATGATTGATTTTTTTGATTGCAAAATCACCAATCCAAAAAATGCCATATAATCTAATGACACTCCAATGATTCGGTCCCAAAGTCTATCTAAACATAGGGTTGGAAAACAACTAGTAAAATAGGTTTTAAACCACCTAAAGAATAAGAGAGGAGAGAGATAGAAAGAGATAGAGAGATTGGGAGAGAGGAACAGATATATATAAAAGTAGAGTTAGTAATCTTGTGTGTGGATTCGTGGTGACGAATAACGAAAGTACAATTGGCGTCATTTCAATTCAATATCGTTCGTTTCATACTTTGCACTAAATTGATCCACGTGAACATTATATTGATGAAAATGATTCCATAATGGTCTCTCATATAATTCAAGTAATCTAGATAATATATTAATTTGATGATAAATTCCAATATCCTAAAAAATTGAAAAGTGTCAGAGAGAGAGAGAGATAGATCCAATTTATACTTCTTCTTCTTCTTCTTTCTTTCTTTCTTTTTCTTACCTTGTGACCATATTGTTTACAAGCTTTGTTTAAAAAATTATTAAAACACCAAAATGCGTCTACTTCATTATCGCATACATAACAAAATACTTCTGCCACCAATTTTAGACTATCTTCATATTGTGGTGTAAATGATCCATTATTACTACTAGATGACGTATATTCATCTACCAATTCTTCCAATTTTATATCATCACTGTTTTCACTTGTATCTCCTGATACTCCTATATTTTGTTCATTTGTTTGATTATTATTTACAGTATTTTGTGGATTATTATTATTATTAATATTATTATGATTTGGGATTAAAGTATTTAATTGACTTGGCATATTTTTAAAGGTAGCATCATACATGACCATTGGATGACTATCAGATGATGATATAGCAATTGATGAGTATATTGGAGATGATGATGGTACTGATCCACTTGATGGTGATGATAATAAAGATGATTGACTATCAACTCCATTATTACTATTATTATTATTATTATTATTGTTGTTGTTATTGTTGTTGTTATTAATAGAACTACCAATACTACTACTATTAGAACTAGTACTTAGAGTACCATTACGTATTGTTGTCATATCAATTGAAGATGTATCATAATATAATCCATTTTGAAAGTTAAAGTATCGTTCCTTTGTATGATAAATGATTGCCAATGCGTTTGCAGCTATATCTTTAGCTTCCAATACAATCAATTCATCTGAATCCATTGTATATTGTTTTGTTATTTCTTTCCTAAATAAAGTTGAATCAAATCAAATTAGACTACATGATGATCATTCATTGATTGATTGATTGAATTGTTTGTTTATACCATTGATTATAAAAAGATTCAGGTAGATTACCTCTTCTAACTAAATTTACAGCGTGTTTTAAATCTTCATATTCTATGGTTCTTTGTTCTTGAATGAAATCCCAAGTCTCTTGATGTGATGTAGTGACACCCAACAGTATCTTCCATAGCTTGTTTCTATACTGACTAGGTATTTCAAATATATTACATATCTTTTTCAACTTGGGCAAGTCTATCACCCTCTGTTCAAAGATTGCTTCGAGTGATGACTTTAACTGTCCACCTTTAAACCCTAATGTATTAAGGTAGGCTGTTCTAAAGTCTTTTTTCATCCCAAACTACTCTTTTAAACTCTCTTCTTAAACTCTCTCTCTAAACTCTCTCTGTTAGCTTTAACAATTTCAAGTACCACCATCATACAACAACAAACACCCATCAAAAAAAAACAAATAACAAAAATAAAATAAAAAAATTTTCATCACCACCCATGGTTCATCCTCTTCTCGCGGTCTTGAGCTATCCCCATCTTCCTCATCATACAAATAAACATTCTACACTTTATTTATTGGGGCGCCAAAATAACTATATTTAAATCAAATAATGATCAAGCGATTAGATTTTTAATATAAAAACAATGCCGGTATTGACATCGAAGTGATGGTATCATTGACCACACTTTCGATCGCGTATTCATCAACAACAACAAAGAAAGATCTTTATAAAAAAAAAAGTAATACAACTTTTCTTTCAATGACCAGGTCACCGATATTTTTTGGTTTGGTGTTGTCATTGTTTTTGGTTTTGTAACCGCGAGATTGGATGACTACGTTCCGAAGTGGATAGGAGGTCGATCAATGGCCTATGTGTGTGGTGATCGACTGTGAGTGGAGTCGACAAAATGTGTGTGGGGGTTGTCTCCCTCTCCCTCTCCTTCTCTCTCGTTCTCTATCCCTCTCCTTTTAGCTGCAACTCCAGCTCATTCGCTTCTAAGGCAAGAGGAAATTGCAATGGTTGGAGGAAATTTTCAGTGTGTTCTCATCAACAAAACGTGATCAACAACCCCTCCTCCTCTCCTATCCTATCAATCCAACCTTCTATTGACCTGGGTTTACACAAAAATATAATTATTTTAAAGAAAGTTGTAACCTTGCTTCCCATTTTGGCTATATGTAATATATTAAATTATATTCAATCCCCGTATCTATTTATAATCGTGGGAATAATTAAAGAATGAATCATCATTGTCTTTCTTGACTTTTAAAGATTATCAAAGAACTTACTACGTACGACGATTTATATACAATCAGATCGGATCTAAAGATTAACCACCAACCAACATGTCAAAAGACAACAACAGCTACAACATCAATAGCAACAATGAAAATGCACCATTATTAAATCCACCTCCACCATCATCGGCACAGGAAGGACAATTAAGTGATAAAACTAGGAGAATTGCAGGTATTGTAATTGTTATCCTTATTGCTGTCCTCCAAACTGCTCTATCTGAGATAGGTCAAACTGCCCTAGTTGGTTTTAATAAACCTTTTTTTGTCTGTATGTAAAAAATTAAATTATTAAATAATCATTTCCTAATCCAATTGATCTATCTTGTCTCTATTTTATTCTTCTACCTAGGTTTATCAGGATCAATGTTTGTATTTTTAGCCATTCCAATTGAATTAATTGTCCTGAAAGCAGAATTACACAAAAAAGCCAAAGAAAATGAAGAAGCTAGTTACAATCGTAGTATCAATGACCAAAATGAAACCAAAGATTTATCCATGATCGAAGCTCTACGTGAAGAGTTTTCAAAGTCTGGATACACCTTTACCAAGTTTTTTATTACTAGTTTGTCATTTACTTTTCTTTTAATTATTGTTAATTGGATGTTTATGATTGGTTTAACTATGACTGTTGTTAGTACTGCTACTGCTATTTATCGTACGTATAAAAATACAATAATATATTTAAAATTATTTATTTATTTATTTATTAATTAATTATTAATTTCTTATTTATTTCAAATTTGAAAGAATCGGCAACTGTATTTGTATTTATTTTATCGATATTTATTTTAAAGGATAAACCAACAGTTTTAAAAGTAGCATATGTTTTATTGTTTGTTGCTGGAGTTGTTGGTATTACTGTGGCCGATCAATTGACCGGTAGTGATAGTTCACAATACCCAAATGCAGTCAAAGGTGATATCATCATGGTGGCATCTGCTGTCTTGTGGGCCACCTATGAAGTATTTGTAAACAAGATGTTTTCAAAGGCAACTAGAACCGTGTTAAACTTTTTCGTTGGTATGAATACTTTTAATATGCTCGTTGTCGGTATTCCAATATTGGCCATTCTCAATGCAATCAAATTTGAAACCTTTGAATTCCCAGACAAAGAAACTTTTGGTGCGCTTGCTTTAATGGGTAGTCTTTCATTTGCTCTTATTTATGTTATGAATATTGGTGTATGTAAATTTAAAAATACAAATATACCACCCTACCCATTTAAATATTAATATTAATTTCCTTTTCTCTTTTTATTTTTCTATTTATAGTTATCAATTACAAGTCCATTATTTGTAAGATCAGGTGAATTAATGTCAATTCCAGGTACATTGTTATGGGACATTGTATTTAAACATGTTAAATTCCCATTGGTTGCCATTCCAGGTTTCTCTGCTATTATTTTCGGTTTCATATTATCATTGTATGCCGAGAATAAAGCTATGAAGGATCATGAAGAAGCAACCAAAAAAGAACAAGAACAGCAACAAAACGAAGTAATTCAAGATGGTAAAAGTTATAAATCCTATGACAATTATATTTAAATCAAATATAATGTATTCATAGTAGCGAGAGAGAAAAATAACTTATTGTGGAGCTATTCTTGAAACACCAAATGTTGCATCTATGTTCTAAAGGTTCTTTTTTTTTCTCCCCTCTATCCACAATCCCCAAATAACCAACCCCTAATAAAATTAGTATCCTCTTTTGTGATCTTTTTTCATTCACTCCCCTAATTTATTATCCATTGTCATTCCTATTACTATTTATTTGATTTTGATTTTAAATTTAATTTTGATGATTAAAAATATAATATAAAGTTAGAGGAATTGATTTTGAAGTTGATAGAATATTGGTTAAATATTCATTTGAACAAAGTGAGTTGTCATCAATAGTTGCATTGATGTGTCCACCTGAAGCAATATTGATTGATATTGATCTAAATTGTTTACAAGTTGGATGTAAAAAGGTAATATAAATTGATTGAGCTGGTTCACATTGAATTTCAAATACTGGTATATTAGCAGCAGCAGTATTAGTTGTATCTTGACCATTACTACCATTAACTTGAACAGGAGATGAAGGATCATTTTGTAATTGTGGTTGAATGGTAAAACAACTCTTGAATAATAGATTAAATACAATTTGTTGTCTTAGAATCTGAAAGATTGGGAATATTTGGTTGGGATAACCAATTGGAATACGAGAGATTTCATAACCAACGTGGAACTGTTCGTTGGTGTAGAAATAGCGTTGGGCAACCCCCAACACTTGATTGTCAAATTGTTGTTGAAGGATTGATTTATCACGATCCTTTGATCCAATGATTTGATTTTCAATGTACAATAGATGATTTTTAGCAAGATTTGAGTTTCCAACAACCTGTCCTGTATAATCTACAATATCCTTTTCACGTTCCAATATTGATAAAATTTTACATAATCCATCATATGTAATATGAATACAGGGTTCTAATTTTAAAACTAATCTAATTGGTGATAATATAAATGTTGGTGATGTAGAAGTAGTAGTTGTAGAAGTAGAAGTAGTTGGAGGATTTAATTCAGCCATGATTGAATCACCACCAGATTCAATTGTTGTTGTTGTTGTTGTTGGTAATATATTATTATTATTATTATTATTATTATTATTATTTGATTCTTGTTGTTGATCTTGTAATAATTGTTGAGCATTTAAAAAATAAGTACCATCAATTGAATTTTCACCACTAAATAATGATATCAATGGTAGTTTAACAGGATTCATTCCTTCCTCCAATTCCAAACAGGCAACAAACCCAATTTCATCCATCATTTTTTGTTGTATAGTTTGATAATAAATAAATTTTATACCACAATAATCATTTGTAATCTTTCCATAACTATTAAATATATCTTCTCTATCTCTAAAATAAATAATAAATAAATAAAAAGTAAAGTATTTTTTCTTTCTCTATTTCATACTTGATTAAATTATTAATTGATTGAAAATCATCTTGAAGTATTGAAACTGATTTTTGAAGATCAAAGTTCTTATACTTTCTAAATAGTAAATCTTGGTTACAAATTCTTCTAACCTTTAATTCAAAATCCTTTTCCTTTGTTTTAAGTGATTTTGTCAAATCATCGGTTACATCTTGTGATGCAGTTGTACTTTCTTCACTACTCATTGATATATGCATTAATTTAACCTCATTAATTGTTCCATCACCATTTATAAATATCTAAAGGGGAGGAGGAAGGAGAATGTTTAAACATTAGTTTTTCTTTTCCTTTTTGTTTTTTTGTCTTTTTTTTCTACATACATCAAGTAAAAAAGTAGCAGAAGATATACTACAACTATGTACAGTTTCAGGTTTCATTTCACTTGGATCAACTTTATGAAGTGAACTTAGATCTTCCAAATCTGAATAGGTACCATATTTTAAATCGAGATCAGTGATAAAATCGTGTAGTTTACTAGCCAACAAACTCAATTTCTTCTTTGCATGTGATACATGGTTTGCAGTGGTATTACTAACTTGTTGTTGATAACTTGACAATACATCAAGATACATCTTTCCAAATAATGTACTATCTGATATTGATTTTGTAATTTGTTTTACCTTGTTTGATGTTATTACTACAAACTATAAATAGAAACCAAAAAAGTTAACAACAACAAACAAATAGTCATATTATATATATATATATATATCTATTCTATCTATATCTTTTACCTTTTGATTATTAATAACTTTTAAATAAAGAGGATCAGTTTGCCATTGAGCGTATTGATGAAACGTTAATTTCATTGCCTCTAATGTTCTTTGTAGATTATTAACCTTTTCATCTAGATTACATGTTGAATAGGAGTGAACTAAAAGAGAGAAAATAGTTAACACAAATAAATAAACGACACACTTATATAGATATCTGAAACATACAAAGATTAGGTTTAAACATAGTATCTATATCGGGGGCATTTCCCATTACACCAATCTCATTAAATAATGATGAATATTGTGCTGATAGTTGTTCTAGGCATTGTTGTATTGTATCTTTACTTGACATCTATGTCTATCTATCTATTATAGATATTTATATAATCAAATTAATTTAAAATGTAATAATGATTTTGCGGTCATGTCTCTCAGAGTTTGTGATGAACATCACTGTAATCTACTTTTTTTTTTTTTATTTTACAAAAGATAGATGTATATATATAGGTATATATATATATGTATATATGGTCTTAATAATTAGTTCTTTATCATGCCTCTAAGAGATATCAAATCAATGTCAACAGTTGGAGGAAATCCAATAGGGTACACCATCAAAGACTTGTACACTTGGCAATTGGAGGAATGGAGATCTATAACTTGTTGCATACTCTATTCTTGGTATTCCGAGGTTTATAATATGCAGTACGTTTAACATTGATAGAGGTCTAGTTCCAAAAGATACTACACGTGTTGGATTGAAATCTGCACCTTGGAATGACAAAAATTGCTATTGGGAAGATAATATCGAAGTGTATTTGGTACGCATGAAACATCCATCATCCTTTATTTGTCCCATCGTCGTCAGATGCATCTGCCTGTTTTCAGTGCATATGTTCATCGTAACCCAACTAGCAATTTGTTGATGGATGGTTGGTACACTGCTCCATTGTTGTATTGCAGTTTGATCATATCATCTCAAAGCCGCCAACTTTATGGAACCCCTTCTACAGATAAATGATCATCTTCTTTTAGATTATTAACAATAGGAAGATAATACTTTCAAAAACAAAATATTATTATAAGCTTAAACAAACAAACAAACAAAATGGGTAACATAACATATTTAAAAAAACATATATACATTTAAAAGTTGTTCGATTTTCTTGGTCCAGGATCCGTGAAAGATTGGCAATTCAGTCATAGTTGTACTAACGCTAGTAGCAGTTGTGTATTTTATTATTATTATTGATTGTCATTACCATTTTTTATATAATCATATCTCTTCTTCTTCTTTTTATTTAAATTCTATTATATAATTAGATTATAGATTTAATTAAATATTAAAATATTATACAGTAATAACCGGTTGGTGGAATACTATGATCGAGTTTCAATCTAACCTCTTTTCGTGTGCGTGTACGTAACGGCAAAAAATCTTCTGTAAATCTATTTTTTTCGCGATGACAACTTTCAATCAGCTAACTCTCATTGCCCCCATTTTAAAAGAAGATTCTACACATCACGCAAACACATCATATCTTTGTTTTATTATTCTCTCTTATTATTATTGTTGTTGTACCATATCACATATTATCACATATCATATTTATGTATATATAATTTAGAGAGTTATAGAATAGAGTAGTTAGAAGAATCATCATCATTCAATCATGTTATTGACAATAACATTACAAATTGATAATATCAATAGTGGTGGTGGTGGTAATACCAGTCCTACTTTGCAGGGTGGTACACTAACACCACAATTGGCAATGTCATTATCAGCACCAGCAACTGCTTCAAACAACAAAAGAGCATCACTCAATGTATCACAATTACAATTACAACAAGGATCAAAAACCTATAGTCTAGATGAAAAGTCTAGTTACAAGACTGTATTTTTAGCAATATGTGCATTGTTTGGTATTGCAGACACCAACTCTGACAGTTATATCTTGCAAGTAGAATCGAGTAAAAAGTATCTCAATTGGCCACCCATTCAAGACGAATCGAAAACCAAACACATTGTCAAATACCTCATAGAGTCGGGTGAATCCTCCATCCTATTGAAATATAATCCAACCTATCGTGCAATGCGTTGGGTTAAAGCTTTAAATGAAGAAGATAATCAAAAAGATATCATATTTCATTTAAAATATAAATTACAAGTAAGCAAGCACAAATAGAAAAGATAGAGATAGAGATAGAGATATGTATATGATATTAATTTGATACTTTTAATTTGTTTTTTTAAAGGAATCAGAATTTGCAGAATCATTTATTGAACAAGGAGGAGTTGATGGTATATTGACAAGTGTAACATCGGCCAAAGGTAATGCACAGACATATGCATTGGGAGCGTTGAGAGCATGTTTGGAGTATGTCAGTGGTATGGATATCATTACAAAGACACCGGCATTGATCAAACAATTGTTTGCATTGGTTGATTCGTCGGTGGTTGGAGTATGTCGTAGTTCGTTGGAACTGTTGTTTGTCATGTGTAATATAAGAAGAGAGGAAGGGTTCAATTCAATCCATCTCGCTGCCAAGGCTTTGGCACAGGCCCAAGAAAAGAGACCGTATGCCAATATCGTCAGATTGTTGGATAGCGGTGACCTCGAGACCAAAATCAATTCATTTACTCTGCTCAATGTCATGTTGGATTGTTGTCCATCCGAAGAGAAAACACAAAAATTGGTAAAGAAATGGGGTGACTTGGGATTACACGACAAACTACGATCGTTGGTTGAAATTCAACAAAAGGAATTCCAAATTCAATTGGAACTCTATGAAGATCTAACTGGCATCAAACTTCGAACTAAAGCTTCGAGACTCGAAGAAATATGTAAACGTCTTAAAACTAAACTCAATGAATACGATAGTCAACAACCTTTGGTCAATATCCTAAAAGAAGAATTAAGATTAAATCAACAATTAATTAAAGAAGCTTCAAATGATAGAATATTTTTAAATTGTAAAATAGAAACAAAAAAAAAATAGAAACAAAAGATAAATAATAATAATTTACTTACTCTTTCTTCTTTTCTTTTTATTTTTCTTTTTTTTAGCACATCCAGTACAAAGATTTTTAGGACCATTAAATCCAAGTTATCCAGTTGATTTATCATTCCTTAGAACAACAGTGATTGAAAAGGAGAAGATATTGGATTTGGAGAGGAAATTATTGTCGATTAATGAAACGTTGAAACAAGAGCTACGACAATCGGAAGAATACAAGAATCAACTACTAACCTATAAAAAGACGTATGATTCGACCATCTCGGATTTGACGGTTGAAAATCAACGTCTTGCACAACAAGAAATTAAATATAAATTTGAAATGGATCAATTAAAGAGTGAATTGACTAGTCGTGGACCTGCTACAGTATTGGGTGGTGGAGCAGCGATTGCAGCAGTTGGATCACTTGAAGAAGCATTATTGGAGATTCAAAGATTAAAATTGGTTTTGGAGGAAAAGAATCCACCTGATCAAGCTCAGATTGGTGATGCTGATGGTGCATCTAATCTAAGTGTTCCTGAAAAGGTTTCATTGTCACCTGATACATCGGCTACTGATGCTGGTGATGGTGATAGTGCTGCTGGTGGGCCACCCCCTCCACCTCCACCTCCACCTCCACCAGGTGGTGCACCACCCCCTCCCCCAGGTGGCGGTCCTCCTCCACCACCACCACCTCCACCTCCAGGAGGCAAGAAACTTGCCGGACCATCTGCCATCCAACCGACCAAACCAGCCGTCAACCCAGGTGCCAAGATGAAACCACTCTATTGGAAGCGTATCATTCTACCACCCTCTGGAAGATCGGAATCGATTTGGGATCAAATTCTCGAACCAACATTCAACGCCAAAGATTTTGAAGAAATGTTTTGTCAAAAAAAGAAACAAGAAGCTTTAAACAAGGCGTCAATGGGAGAGAATAATAATGGCAGTGACAATGGAGCCGATAAACCATTAGAAAAGATTAAATTGGTATCAGTGATTGACCTTAAAAAGTCAAATGCTATTGCATTTATGCTTGCCAAGTTGCCAGCGGTCGAAGAGTTGAAAAGAGCGGTTGACAAACTAGACAGTAACAAATTGCACAAGGAAGTGATCAAAACACTCTTGCAAAATGTTCCAACCGACGAAGACTACCAAACCATCAAGGCGAGTGAGGTGCCAGTCGCTCGATTGGACCGTCCCGAACGTTGGATACTCGAAATGCACTCTGTCCAATTCCTCAAGGAACGTCTCCGTTGTTGGTTGTTTACCATTGAATTCAACGAGACTATTACCAACCTCTCGAATAGTTTCCAACTCTTGTCCAAGGCATGCACAGATGCCAAGGCAAACGAAAGTCTCAGAAAGATACTAGGTATTGTTTTGGTACTTGGTAACCACATGAATGGCGGGTCTAGTCGTGGTCAAGCCGATGGTTTCAACCTCGAGATTCTCGACACTCTCTCCACCACCAAAGATGTCGATGGCAAGCAAACGCTACTCGAGTATATCGCCAGAATGGCCGTTGACAAGTACCCCAAGACACTTACACTAGTCGATGAACTCGAGTCACTCGGACAAGTCCAACTATCACTACAAGACATCCAAACCGATGTTGGTGATCTAGATGGTCAATTCAATATTTGTAATAACCTCTCGACCAAGATTGGTGAGGGTCTCGGTGACTTTAGTTCAATCGTTCCACCCTTTTTGAAAAAGGCAGAGGCAGACATTAAAAAACTTAAAGACACTCAAAAAGACACCATCGAAAAGTTCCACACGCTCATTGAATTTTTCGGCTACCCCAAGACGGCCACATCATCCATCACATGCCAACAATTTTTCGGATCAATCTATGCCTTTTCAGCGGCATTCTCCAAGATGGCTCAAAAAATCGACCGTGACATTAAAAATAACAACAAGTCTACCAATACTGGAACAGGCGAGGGTAAAAAGATTGGTGGTGGTTCAGATCCACTCGCAGCTTTGGCCAATGCAATTAAATTGGGTCAAACTGGTTTAAGAAAGAAAATGGCTGAAAAGGAAAATAACAGTAGTAATAATAGTAGTAATTCAGGTAGTTCAATAATGAAAGAAAAAGATAATAATAATAATAATAATCCAACTCCAATAACTCAATCAAATTCTTTATCTTTACCAGTTTTAAAATAATTAAAATTAAATTAAATTAAATAAATAGTAATAGAAATAGAAATATAAATATAAATATAATATATACAAAGTAAATATATATTTAGTAATAAATATAACTACATTACAATATGTTCCCGAAAAAAGAAGTTTTTTTTTTTTGAATTTCCCACCTCATAAACAAACCTTTTTTCAAAGATACATTGAACAAACAGCCACACGAGGTAAATTAAAAAGACGAATCACACACATTGTATTTACTAGTTCATTTTAATATCTTTTTTTTTTTATACAATTCACACACACAAAACAGAACAGAGAGAAAGAGATATAGAGCACTACACTTTTCTTACATGTAATAAGAAGTGTAAATACATATACATAAATATATATAATATAAAAAAGTGAAGAGAACAAATAATTTTAATAGCCCAAGATTGGGAGGACAGTCTTCCACACTAGGTAGTAATAATAGTAGTGGACCTTTTGGAGCAGTATATTCTCTTTCAGCATCATTTGAAGATTTCTTAAACAATCCTTCTATCAGCAACCTCTACAAAGATATGTCTCACTACTTTAAATACATCTCGGAAAAGGGTATTGCCAACTTGGCTCATTACCATTACTCGGGTGTCGATAATTCATGGTGTGGAACTCATTTCTTAAAATATTGGTGGACTTATGCTGTTGAACATTTAACTCCTTTATGGTTAGCGTATGTCTAGAAAAGAAAAGAAAAGAAAAGAAAATAAAGTAAAGTAAACTTGATCAATTTATTAATTCTCTTCTCATTCTTTACTTTATATAGTCCAAATTTAGTAGGTACTTTCAATTCATTATCGATATCAATTATCAATTGCTTTTACTTTTTAATTTATATTAACATTTGTTTGTGTTTTGTTTTACTTTTTTTAGATTACATTGGTAGGATTATTATGTAATATTGGAATGTATCTTATAATTTATTTCCATTGTCCAACATTGACAGAGGAAGCTCCACGATGGTGTTATTTAGCCGTTGCATTCTTAATCTTTGCCTATCAAACACTCGACAATGTCGATGGTAAACAAGCTAGAAGAACTAAATCATCTTCACCATTGGGTGAATTATTTGATCATGTTTGTGATGCTATTAGTGTTGCTGTAAGTCAAAAGGAATAGATTAATAATCCTACCAATATTTATATTTATTTATTTCTTCTGTTTCTTAGATGTTTGCAGTAGTAATGTCAGCAACATTAAGAGTAGGACCAAAATGGGCATTTATAAGTTTATTTGTTGGTATTTGGCCATTTTATCTTGCACATTGGGAAGAGTATCATGCCGGTATTTTGGTGATGGGTGAATTTAATGGCCCTACCGAAGCACAGGTATTGTTTATGATTATCGAAATCATAACTTGTATCTTTTCATCTGACATTTGGATCATTGGTCCAAAAGATTTCACCATTGGTATGATGGCAACTGTTGCCGTCTCTTTTGGTGCTATTTTTACAATTTATCAAAAGTATATAGAAAAGAATGAATATATATATATATTATATTTTTGGGGTACAAATACTAATACCTAAATTATTTTTATTTATCAATTTTAGTTTCAAAAATACATTTGCACTTCAAAATAGAATACCATTTATGAAATGTTTAATTCAATTAACTCCATTTGTAATCTTTAATATCTTAATTATTATTTGGGTGTCAGTGTCGGACCTTTTGACTACACAACCACACCTTTTCATCATGACCATTGGAATGGTATTTGCCTACCTTCAGTCTCGATACATTACTCAACGTGTTTGTCACGACGATTGTTTATTATTCTATCCTATCCTCGTTCCATTTGCTATAGTTGTTTTTAATTCAATTTTGGCTTCTTTCCAGTAAGTTAAATCAACCATTTAATATATTTACAAAAAACATGGAAATGAATGAATTAATTAATTAATTATTTAATTTAATTTAGATCAAATCTAATAAGTGAATATGCTATGTTGTGGGTAATGTTTGTATTGGCGTGTATCCAATTCTTAATATTTGCCGTATTCACAACCAGACAATTATGTGATCATCTTCGAATTAAGGTGTTTACCATTACTAGCGGTGGTGGTGGCGGCGGCGGCAGTGCCGGTCAACCATCAGAGTCACAACAATCATCTTTATTATCTGCAGTCGAAGAGGGCGCTATTGAACATGAAGATGATGATAATAATAATAATAGTAATGATTCAATCAAAATATAATAGGGATATAATTTAATATATCTAAATAATATTAATATTATTAATAAATCACACACATACGGTACTAAATAAATTAAACAAAAAAAAAATGTAAAAGTGTAAAAAGAATGGGGTACAGAGAATAAATATTTGTAACACCAACACTTCGCACTCACTCATCATTGCCTATTCCACCCATCCATCTATCTCTCACTCTTTCATCGTAGTAATAATAATAATAATTTAATTATTTACTAATTCTAGAATAAAAAAAAAATAGGAAAATATCTATATTTTTTGAAAAAAGACAAAGGGTATGTCATTATCATAATTATTCAAGAATGTTAGAAAACCATCATCACCATCAATGGTAGAATGTTTTTAAAACAAAATATATATAAAACAACAGGTCGTAACACAAACAATTTGCGTCATTTCTCATCATCATTGTCATCATCATCATCATTTTTATTCGACAACCTTCGAATCAACTTACCTCTTTTGGACAACAGTACAACAACTTTTTTGTCCTCTCGTATTTTTTAAATTAAATTTTTAATTTAACGCAACAACTTTGTTCCCTTCTTTTTGTAACCTTTGTCTGTCTACCTAACGAACTAACTAACTATAGTCATTATCCTTTATCAGTTAATAAGTAGAAGTATAAGTAGTATCAGTAGTATTAAAACAGTAATAATAATATATAGTCTTCATAGTATAAGCAATTAATTGGTATCATCAAAAATGATGTCAACTGAAAATAATCATAAAGATAGTAGTAATCATACTTCATCATCATCATCATCATCATCATCATCATCAACAATAAAAAGAAAAGTAAAAGATGGAGTAAATACAAGTAATCATGGAGGGTCAGAGACAATTGAAGCAAAACCAAGTTTACTTGGACTCAATAATAAGGTATTATTGAATACTCCACCTCATTCTCCATCATTGGAAAGATTCTCTGCATTATCAAAACCAAGAGAATCATTATTAACGTATGTGTCTCTAAACCTAAATCTATATCTGATTCTGTCTAAATTAACTTTTTCTTTGTAGATCACCAGAAATGGCAAATATACAATGGGGAACATTTAATTATATTGCTTTGGCCTATGTAATGGCAGGATTTTCAATTATGGCACAAATGTACAAAGAAAAGGGTGTCATTGTTGATATGGAATTGTTTTGGACTCTAACAAAGAATTGGCATTGTGGATTGATCCTATCGGTTGGGTTGTTTTTGTTTTCACAAGTCAATTACATTCAAACAAGATTAATGGTCAAAGGTTACATCCCCAATAGAATATCTATAGTATTATATTGTCTATGGCAATTGGTTGCATTCCCAGTATCAATGTCCTATCTTTTTTCTTATGAATTATCTCCTAGTAAGAAATCAAAAATATAATTATATTTTTCTCTTTCTAACATTTCATTTTTATAGTTCTAAGTGGAGGATACGGATTACAATTATGTGTATATTCATTAAAGAATCATTCTTATTGGCATACAAATTATTTCTTGAAAAAGGGAGGTGTTAAAGCAACCTCTAACAATTCTCCAGTCACTAGAAAAGATTTAATACCCAATGTATCATTTTCACACTTTTTATACTTTATGGTTGCTCCAACTCTAGTCTTTGAAACTTCATTCCCAAAAACAAAATCAATTCGTCCATCTTATATCTTGAAAGAGGTACTTGCTGGTTTTGGTACTTTTTTTGTTTTCTATTTAATGTGTAAGTAAAAAAAAAAAGAAAAAAAAATAGGTAGTAATTTGTGGACTGGCCTGAACGACTCACAGGTTCACAGGTTTATTCCATCGACGCCACCACATGTCAAAGGTGGTTGCATTCCACCAATCTCAAATTACTTATTTTTTTTTTTATTAGTAAATTTGACAACACCATTTTATAGAGAATGTGGAACTGAATCATTTTTAATTATATTGGTTCAATTATCATTACCATCTATGAGTTTATGGATGTTGGGATTCTATGGAGTATTCCATTGTCTGTTGAATATCTTTGCCGAGATTACCAAGTATGCCGACAGAGAGTTCTATCAAGATTGGTGGAATGCAACCACCTTTGACATGTGGTGGCGTAGATGGAATAAACCTGTTTACCGCTTTATGAGTCGCCACGTGTATACCGATAGTATGCATACCATTAAACTCAACAAATTCTGGGCCATGGTCTCTACTTTTCTTTTATCTGCATTATTGCACGAAATTGTGATGATCATTTCATTTAGATTTGTTCGACCAATTTTATCAACTACAATGTTACTTCAAAGTATGTTAAGCAAACAAAAAGAAACAAAAATATTCCCAAAGGTTATTAACCTTTTTCCATTTTTTTCCATAGTTGGATTAGTATATTTCACACAATTACCAATATTCCAAAAAACAAGATTTGGCAATGTAATAATGTGGATTACAGTATTTATTGGACAACCATTTGTGTCACTTTTGTATTCAATGCAATTTAATGAAATTTATAACAAAAATCATCCAATCCAAATCTAAATTAATCTAAAATTTAATTCAACAATAAGGAAATATATATATTTAATTAGATCAATTAAAAACCAGAATAATAATAATATACTACTATAACTCTATATAACACCATCAAAATGTCATCAACTATCATCATCAACCATCATCAAATTGTGCTATGATAAACCTTATAATAATAATAATAATAAACACAACTAAACCCTTTTCTATTTTCGAAAATATTTGCTGGATCTGGCAATTCCAAGACTCTTGTTTCAATCAAACAATGGTTTGGTTTCAAATGAAACGTTGACCAGTAAGCATCCTTATTGAAGAAACACACAAGAGACCACTCCTGTTTTTGATAACTGCTGCAAAACGAAAAAAACCTCATTGTTTTTGAGCCGATGTGGCAGTAGTTTTATGATAACTTTTAGAAATTCTCATAATTGGGGTTTCAAAATACTCCCTAAACAAATTTCACACTCTTTTTAATATATATTATTGTTAAAACACCATTGTTTGTTGTATAATTACTTATTTATTTATTAGCATAGACAGAGAGATAGAATATAGAGATAGAATAGAATAGAAGAATGAAAAATACATTTAGTAAATTTAAGAATAATGTAAGTTGTTCTATTTTAGTTTTGATCAGTACTCTTAGACATATGATGATTAACAATATATATATATATATATTTTAAAAACAAAAGGTTGTAAATGCATTTTCAAATGGACCTAAAACAACAGATACAAACTTTGAAACTGCAAGAAGAGAGTTTACTGCATTCTCTGAAGCAACAAACAATACCTATCAATCACTTGTCAAACATGATAAAAATTTAAAGAGTATGTAGTAGTAGAAAGAAGGAAAAGGATGAAAAGTATAAATAACAATACATCAACTCTAACATCCTCTTTTTTGTTTTTCAATCTTAAAGAAACATTTATTGATCCAAGTAGTTTAAACAAGAATATACAAAAATACTTTGTATCTGATCATCCATTATGTATTTATACTACAGAAGTATTGAAACAAGTAGAATTTTCATTTAATGATTGGGTAGAGAGTCAAAAGACCAATTACGACCTCTTACAACAATATGTTGCACGTATAAAGTTTATTCGTGAATCGATTTTGGATCGTGATGGTGTCGTGGGAGAGTTGGATAGATCGGCTGGTAAGATCAAGGATCTACAGGCCAAGCCATCCAAAGACCCACACAAACTACCAAATGAACAAAACTTTTACAATGCCAAAAAGGAGCAATACGACGTGCTAAACTATAAGCTCTTGTCGGATATTTCACAATTCTTTGAGGACAAGCAGAGCCAATTTGACCGTCCACTCCAAAACATCATCCTATCACTTGGATACCTCTTTACCAGTATCTCTACCAACCACTCGAAACATACTGCTCTCCTTGAAAAGAATCCACCTTACTTTAACCCTGTCAAGGATCTAGTAGGTGTAGCTCCAACTTCCTATACAACTCAAGAATCAATTGGTAAATCATTTGATAATCCTCCACCACCACTTTCACTTAGAAAGTCTTCTTCTCCTCCTATTCCAAATGGTGCAAACAATAATCAACAACAATATAATGGTAATGGTCATGACTCTTATCAACCACCTCAACCAGCTTATCAACCACCTCAACAACAAACATATCAACCACCACAACCATCCTATCAACCTCCACAACCATCATATCAACCACCTCAACAAGCTGCACCACCACCAAGACCAGTTTCAGTACAATATCAACCACCACAAGCTGCTCCACCAAGACCAGCTCCACACCAACCATCCTATCAACCACCACAACAAGCAGCTCCACCAAGACCAGCACCTCCACAACCATCACATCAAGCAGGACCACCTCCACCACGCCCATCAGCACCAGGTGTATACCCAGGCCCAGGAGTATATAAACTTCCAGCTCAACAAGATCAACAAGGACCACCCCCCCCACGTCCAACTGGAGGTCGCCCACAATTACCATCTGCTCCAACCACACAATACCAACCACCCAGTCAATACCAACCACCAACCCAATATCAACCACCAAGTCAATACCAACCACCAACTCAATATCAACCACCTCAACAACAACAACAACAACAACAACATCAACAATATCAACCACCACAATACAACCCACAACAATCATATGATTCAGATTTTGTAAATGAACAAGCCAATGGATACGCAACTTCAGTGGTGACCAATCCAGAATATCAAAGAGCTGCTGGTAATGCCGCTGCCAACAAGGCCAACGATCCAAGAGTTCAAGGTCAAGTTGGTGGTCAAATTGCCAACAATACCAGTAATCCTTATCTAAAGTCTGCTGCTTCCAACTCCAAGGTTCAAGGTGCAGCTGGTAAAGGTTTTGGTTTTGCTGCTCGTAATGAAACTGTTCAAAATGCTGCTGGTAATGCTGCTGCAAATCAAATTAATAATCGTCAATATTAAGATAGAGATAAATATACATATACATAATAATATAAAACCCCACACGCTAATAATTTCACAAATAGATATAATATATTAACACCACCAATACCCTTTTTTTGTTGTAATAATAATAATAATAATCATTACAAAACTTACTATTTTTTAAATAAATAAAATAAAAAAAACAGATATTTAAAAAAAAAAAACCAAAAAGAAAATGAATAATCTTCTTCGTGTCAAGTTCATCTTATTCTAAAAAAGGTAAAATTATTTTTTTTATAGAATTCATTTTATTTTTATATATACACACTCTCACACACTTACTTTAAATAACATAGTATACTAGCAGTTATTATTATTATGATTAAAAGATCATTACAACTAATGTCAAATACAGCATATAAATTTGTACCTAGTCCTCAAGCAAGTCACTTTGGACCATCAGTTTGGGTAGGTATGTTATTATATACACATATCTTTTTATCTCTCTTATCTTCTTTCTTAACTCTCTTTCATTCTTTCTTTACTGTACTTTTCTTTTCTATTTTAGAATTCTCACCATTATCAATTAAACATAAATCAATTAATTTGGGACAAGGATTCCCAGATTTTGAACCACCACAATTTGTATCAGATGCATTAGCAAAGACAGTAGAGACTGGAGGATTCAATCAATATGCACGTAGTCCAGGACACTTGAGATTGGTAAATGCAATCTCTAAAGTGTATTCACCATACTTTGAGAGAACGATTGAACCAACCACCGAAGTGGTGACAACAGTCGGAGCATCGGAAGCAATCTTTTGTGCCATTCAAACATGTGTTGGTCAAGGCGATGAGGTGATTCTCATTGAACCCTTTTTTGATATATATAGTGGAGCCGTTGTCATGGCTGGAGGTGTATCTAAACACGTCCCATTACGTGAACAACCACGAAAGAATGTAACAGACGCACGTTCATCTGCCAATTGGGAATTGGATTGGGATGAATTTGAAAAGGCATTTACACCAAAGACTAGAGTATTATTACTCAACAATCCACACAATCCAGTTGGAAAGGTATGGTCTCGTGCAGAACTAGAACGTATTGCAGAGATTGTCAAACGTCATCCACAAGTAACAGTCATCTCTGATGAAGTGTATGAATGGATGACGTATGACGGTATCAAACACGAACGATTTGCTACGATCAAGGATATGTATGATCGTACCATCACGGTAGGTTCTGCAGGCAAGACCTTTTCCATTACCGGGTGGAAGATTGGATGGTGTATCGGACCCAAAAACATTATATCGGCCATAGCCAACGTCCACCAATACATCCCATTCTCTGTACACACTCCATCACAAGAAGCGGTGGCCATTGCACTCGAAGAGACTCTTCATAGAGACTATCTCAAAGAACTCGCACAAATGTATCAAGGCAAGCGTGACCGACTCGTCACCTCGTTGCGTCAGGCTGGTTTGGACCCTGTCGTACCTCAAGGCACCTATTTTGTACTAGGTGACACTTCTCGCATCCATTTGCAAGGTGACGAAGGTCAATCCAGCTCCATCACGGGTATGGGTAAACATCTTCGTGACTGGAACGTTTGTCGTTGGCTCACCACCGATATCGGAGTCACCGCCATTCCCATCTCTGCCTTTTACAGTGAGGAACATGCCCATCTTCCAGCCAACTATGCTCGCTTTTGTTTTTGTAAAAAGGATCAAGTTTTAGATCAAGCCGATAAAGCTTTTCAACAAATTAAAAATACAAAGAATTTTAAGTAGATACAGCAAAAGCAAAAGGAAAGCTAAATCAAAAACCCAAAACAAATAAAAAAAAAAAAAGGATTGGGTTTCCGAAAAAAAAAAAAGAGGGAATTACTTTACCCAAATTGGTGCGTCATGACACATGAGTGGTGAAAAATAAAAAAAATAAATGAAAATTGTTTTTTTTAGCGGGGAACCTGCAAAGTATACTCAGCATAATCCTATCACAATCTCTTTTTCATTATATATCTCAAAAGTTTTGCACATATACATACACATAAATAAATAAATAAATAATCACAAATGCATCAATAGAAATCACAACAACCTAAACCCAATTAATTAATTAATCAACCAATCAATCAAGATTTAACAAAGATTAACACCCTTTTTATCTTTATATATATACATACAACAATAACAACAACATGAAAGATGTTTAAATCAATATATCTTTAAAAACAACATACATTAACCTTACCCAAAATCATACCGACGATCATCATTTAGATTAAACCATGATATAAATCACAACACCTTTTTTCTTTTTCTTTCTTTATCATCATTGTTGTATCAACTCTCTTTTCATATTTGTATATATTTATTTTAAAAAAGTATCATTACATTATTGTATAATCACTACCACCTCTGCATATTCCTACATACCCTCTCTCTTTGTATAAATCTATTGTATCTATTTATTAAAAACAACACCAAATTTTAAATCTCTTCATTTAAAAGTTTATAATAATATATTATTTATCCTATCTTTATATTATATATATTTTTTTTTTTTTTTACAGTTTAACGCCCCTCACACTATAGTTTTTATTTATTTTTATTTAAACGCGTTTGTCTAGAGTAGGAGTAGAAAGTAGTATATTTATTTTCTTTTCTCTCTCTCTCTCTACCTTTTTTTTTATTTTATTCTCTTTATTTCTTTATTTTTTTCCATCTTTTTTTTTTTAAAATGACAGACGACTTTATAAATCAAAAAGCATCCCTACACTTTGTCATTATTGACGATAGTGATAGGGAATTGGATTCAGATGATGAAAATAATCCAAACCAACAACAAGATGATAAATCATCATATCGATCATTTGATGATAATTGTTCAAGTTCACACAATACCGAGGAGATATTTGATTATAGTGAAGATGATGATCAAGATTATTATCGTGATTTCATTGACCTATCATCACCATCATCCTATGAAAGTAATAATGGAATGGAATTGGTATCAAAATCACAACTGGAAAAGAAATCTACCAAAAACAACAACAACAACAAATTCAAAAGATCTTCTGCTGCCTATACCTATAGAAATGGTAGTAGTAGTAGTTCAATGATTACAAATGGTACCAATATCAAACAATTAAATGAAATTATAAATAGTTTTACAATCAATGACAATTATTTAAATGATTTATATCAATCAAGACTAGATGAAAAGGAAAAAGAAAAGGAAAATGAAAACGACGAAAAAGGATTACAAATCATTCCAACCAATAATAATAATATAAATAGACCAATAACAATAGCAACCTCTACTACTACTACGATAACAAAAAATTCACCTACTTCATATTCATCATCATCTGTATCACCATCATCACCAAATTTTATATTTAACAAAAGAAATACGAGAGCTAAACAAGCACAAATTCATCAACAACTATTCACATTGAATAATAAACAAGATATTATATAAATTTATTATTATTGTTTTTAAACAATTGGACCATTATATTTACCACTATAATCATTATTATTTTCAAGTCTATAATGACGAAACATAAATCCAGCAGTTTTTAATTGTTTTGATTCTTGATCAGATTCGTTGTTTGAAGAGAGTAGTTGAAATATTGGATCCAATATGCGACAAGCACCATCACGATCATTTAAAGGAACACTTCTTGCATTATGATCTTGAGCTGTCATTTTTGAACACCATCCAGTATCTACTCCACAAACATAAATTGATTTGGCTAGATAACTCTCAGCGATTGAATAGGTCATCATATTGAGTGATGCTTTGGCCATATTACTATGAACATGAATACCTCTACCATGAGAATGACTTGTAAATGATCCTTCTTGTGCTGATACATTGATTATAAATCTCCAATTATCATTGTAATGTGTTTGTGTATCGGTTGGTCTAGTCATTAAATGACTTAATTGTGAAATGAGCATAAATGGCACTGTACAATTGATTAGCTGAACTTCCAACAATTCAATTGGACTTGTTTCTTGAATAGTTTCTCTCCATGTTGTCTTTTTTCTCATATCTACTTGTTGTCCACTAACATCCATTCTTCCAACTGGATATAATTTATCATCTCTACTATCTTTATCATGTTCTAATAATTCTATTTGCGTCATTTTTGAACATTCCATAACATGAAAATTAATTATTTCTCCCTCTCTATCCTTTTCTCCATCCTTTTCTTCATTTAACTTTAAATCTTTTAAAGATTGAATAAAATGAGATTGTAATTGATTTGATTGATTATTTTCTATTAAACTTTGTTCTTGATTTAAAAGTGAATGATAGTAGGCTCTTGGACGACGAATAGTTTGAGCAGCATTGTTGATTAGAATATCCAAACGAGGGAATGTTTTGATTACATTTTGTACGAGTGATTGAACCGATGGTAAATGTCTAAAGTCTACTCCATATACATGCAGTCTATGACCCCATTGTGAATAGTCTGGTTCTTGTTTGTAAGAGTTGGCAGCCACCCAAGGAAACCTAGTCGTCACCATCACTGTAAAGCCACTCTTGAGTAGTCTGAGTGCAATATGAAACCCAATCTTCATACGTCCACCTGTAACCAATGCATATCTCTTGTTTTTCTCTTGTAACGTTCCATCCATTGTCAGCGATACATCTATACTATCCCATTGTGTCCATTTTAATTGATTCACTCTTGTACATAATTCACAAAGTGGTACTTTTACCCTATCTCCTAGACTCTTTGAATCATTTTGTATTCCTCTTATTATTGTATCACATTGATAACAACAAAGATTTTCTTCTTCCTCTATTTGCATTACATAAATTTAAAAGTAAATATAATAAATATGAAGAATGAAAAAAGAAAAACGAAAAGAGAAGAGTTTGATCTTTGAAAAAGGTTTGTTTGTTTGAATTTAATTATCATCATTCATTTCTAACTTTTTAAATATACAATTATATGTATTTAAAAGAGATATGAGTCAAAAGAAACCATTTATTTTAGAATTTGATGATGATGATGATGATGATAAAGTTGATAAATTAAAACCTTTATCAATAGAAACTCTTAGAGCTCAAAAAGAATTATATGAAAAAGCTCATAAAGAACAACAACCTGCTATACAACAACAATCAATACAACAACAACCACAAAGACAACAACAACAACAACCTATAGCAATCGATATTGATATTGATACACCATCAACTCCTCCTTCAAATTCTATTGATAATAACAATAGTTTAATAATAAAACCAAAATCAACTCCTACACCTACTACTAATAATAATATACAACCTGTAAATAATAATAATAATAATAATAATAATAATAATAATAATAATAATAATAATAATAATAATAATAATAATAATAGTCAAATACCAATATTACCAAATGCACAAATAACTAAAAAAACAATATCACTTAAAATATCAAAACAAATCTATCAAAGATCACCAACACCAACTCCAACTCCAACACCTTCTACTACAACAACTTCTATAGTTTCTCAATCATTTTCATTTTCATCATTAATAGTAAGTGAAAGATTAAGAGGAAATGGTATTATTCAATTTCTTAATCTTGTAAAATGGGAATACAATTCAAATATTAAACCAGATTTTTTAATGGCACATGATTCATGTGGATTATTCTTGTCGTTGAAAAATCATCGATTGCAACCAGCTCAACTTGGTGAACGTAACAAGGCTATATCAAGTGTTCACGAATTACGTGTCTTGTTTGTACTTGTCGATGTCGAAGAGGCTTCGGCTGTACCACTATTGGAAGAGCTTTCACATTGGTGCATCGTATACAATTTGACTCTTGTCGTTGGTTGGAGTTTGATTGAAGTTGCTCGATACATTCAAACCTTTAAATTATTTGACCAAAAATCACCAGACATTATTAAAACAAAACATTCAGATTTGGACAAGTCTGTGGTTGAAGATGTTTTAACTACTTTTAAATCTATAAACAAAACAGACTCTACAAATCTTATTAATACTTTTGGTGTATGTAAAGGAAAAAAAAAATGAAAAAAAAAGGAAAAAAGATAAAAAGAAAAGAGTAAAAGATATTAATATTTATATATTGAATATTGTAGAGTATAAAAGAATTATTTGATAGTTCAAAAGAGGCAGTTTCATTGTGCCCTGGAATTGGTCCTAAAAAAGTTAATAGTTTATGGAGTATTCTTCACCAACCATTCAAGGCTGTTAAACCATCTCCAAAACCTGTCAACCAAAACCCTCCAAGTTTAGAGGATTTCGATCTACCAGATTTCTTTGATGAACACAATACTTGATAAATAAATAAATATATAGTGAAGATATTTTAAAGAGAGATTTATGGTTTTTATTGAATAAATTAAATCGATAGTACTGTTTCAAATTTGGTAAATTTAATAGAGTGTTTTGGATAAATGGGGCTCGGAGACTTTTTTTTTTTTTTTAAAGTAATTCTTTTCCTGTTCTCTCCTATCGGGAAGAGTAGTACTCAGAAGTTACAAAGTTTTATTAATTATACATTTTAATTGACCAGCAAGAAATAAAGATTATCTCGAGAAGAATTAAAGTTAATTTGTTCTGGGGGTTGTCCATGTCTATGATACATGTTATATGGACGTTGATCATGTATCTTATTGTATAGTGTCAAGCATGTTGGATTGTTTTGGGTTGTTGCTTGTTCTAAAAATAAATTGGTTAAAGATATCGCTTTTTTTTTTTTTTTTTTTTTTTTTTTTTTCTCAGCACTATAGGCTGTAATATTGTGTTATATAATTATTCTATGTTATTATTATTTAGTAAATTATTATATTATTAATATTATTATTGATAGATGAAGAGAGAATAGAAGAAGATGAAGGTGTTGACGCAAATATGGCACCCATCTTCTTCTAATTTTAGTACCATACTTGCGGTGAAACCTTAAGCCTTGGGTGCGTCCAAGACCGACTGCCGCTCTCAACTCTCGCGCCGATTTACTCCCCATTGTGGACACTCGTCTTTACGTGTTGCATATTGTATTTGAGATGTCAGATGGCTTTCTATCGCGACGGCCCAGTAGGTCCTCCACTACCTTCCCGTTACTTGTTGCAGTCTGGCTACCCAATCTCCTGCTGAGAAGGGGAAACTAACCCGGTCATCCTTCCGTGGGGGTGTCCTGTCTCTAGATCCCTAGAGTCGGATGGTTTTTCTCCTCAATCCCCCCAATTGTGTCAAGTTAAACGTTGGCGCCAAAGGTAAAGTTCGAGGGCAGGATTCGAACCTATGACCTTTACGTTCCCGGGGTAGCACACTCCCGACTCACTTGCCACGCCATGCCCAGGGGGCTCGGAGACAAAGGCGAATGACATCTAGATTTTTCACATTTAGACATCAAAAATTCCCTTTTGGTCTAGTGGTGAGGAATTTCGCCTGTCACGCGAAAGGCCCGAGTTCAATTCTCGGAAGGGGAGATTTTTTGCTGCTATCGTTTGCTACGTCATCTACGTGAAGTAATCGACAACCTCAACAAAAGAAGATACCGGGTGTGATCACGTTATATGACTTTAATAAGGCATTTGACAGCATCTCACACGGATCAATCGAAAGAACTCTTACGCACGTTGGTATCACACCGAAGCTAAAGTCAACCATTATGAACCTTTTAACAAACACGCAAGCTAGCATACTCGTCAACGGCAAGCTCTCTGACCCCTTCACCATCGGTAGAGGGGTCAAGCAGGGAGACCCAATATCCCCCACACTATTCGTCTTGGTGATCGAAGCCATGGCGAAATACATTCTCTCAGCTGACCCCCAAGCTGGCTTGCCAAGTGATCCCGGAAGATGTCTATGTTCATCACTTCTTCCAATGCCAAAGGACTACAAAAATGACGAACAATCTACAACTACTATACACGGAACTAATTGGAACCGAGACCCAATGGAACTTTCAAACTCTCAACTTTAAAATCAACAGGAATCTCTCTCCTACCCAAATAATACTCCACAACCTATGGATTGCGATAGCCTCACTCCTATTTAATGAAAACGAAGATGAACACAAGCTGATAACACATGATGAAATAAGGAATCAATATAATAGATTAAACAAGACAATAATGTACGCCAATAACAACAAGCTCTAAACCTCTAACCTCCAACACAAATGATTGCAACTCAACACAAACAACACATAGAAAAAAAAAAATAATAATAATAACAACATTTATTTAAACTAATAATCTGTACAGGGACAAGAGAAACCTTGCGCCAACCAATTAAATCAAATAAATCTAAAATACACTTTTGTAGTAAAAAAAAAAAATGTTTGCTGCATGTTTGTTTGCTGCATGTTTGTTTGCTGCATGTTTGTTTGCTGCATGTTTGTTTGCTGCATGTAACATCCAGGACAAGCAACAGATACAGGGACAAGAGAAACCTTGCGCCAACCAATTAAATCAAATAAATCTAAAATACACTTCTGTAGTAAAAAAAAAAAAAGTTTGCTGCATGTTTGTTTGCTGCATGTTTGTTTGCTGCATGTTTGTTTGATGTTGATGTTTCATGCTTGTTGATGGTGGAGGAGGAGGACATACACCATGACCATTGTTGATGGTGGAAAAGGTAGAGGTTGGACATATACCATCACTCTTGATGGTGGAGGAGGAGGAGGACATACACCATGACCATTGTTGATTGTGATGGAGGATGGCTGCATGACCCCTTGTTGATGGTAGATTTGGGTGGACACCCCTGTTGATGGAGGAGGGGGTTGGACATACACCACCCTTGTTGATGGAGGCCGACCCCTGTTGATGGAGTAGGAGGTTGGACACCCATTGTACTTGAAGTTGATGGTCCATAGTGGAGGTCCATGGCATTGATGGTGTGGTAGACACCCATTGATCAACATTGCAAATCGATGGTAATGGAAAACCATGTCACTATCTGAATAGATTCCAAATGTGGTAGTAAATTACCTGCACTAGATGGATTGATAGATACGAGTACAAACTCCACTCTTTGTGAATGATCAAATCCACCAAAGACAAGGGCGACTATGTTAGGTGGACATACGAGTAAGAAAGAGAGAGAGAGAGACTTTTGGTTGATTGGACAAGGCAGTGAGATGCTTCTCAGTGGTGGTGATGGTAATGTTTAAACTCGGTCTTGAGAGATGAACCATCTCTGATGAGAAAGTACGACGAGCATCGGTTGCTTAAAAGGTGGCAATGAAGAGAAAGGATCCGACCGTGAGTGCTGCAGAATGTAATCACACAAGGTAAAATGATCCATGTAAAATGTGAAAGAGGTGGATTCCCCTCTTTTATATAAGCTCGACCACAACAATCATCAAGTGTTGACTATTTAACCTGATCTATGTATGTAATATTATATTAGAATGTTAGTAATGTGTTTGTTGTGTTTTATAGCATATTGGTACTACAAAATAACAATCCAAGAAAAGAATCAAAAAAGAACAACACACAATTTTTTTATTTTTACCAAATATTTGTCCGCAAACATATTAACATTTGTTTGTTTGATTAGACAACAAAATACTTGCCATTTATATATTATATATTTATCAAAATGGGACATTTATCATTTGGAGATATGACCTATCTTCTCAATTTAGAATATTTTTGGCTGGTCCTAGATATAAAGGCAGAAACAATTTAATCCATGTAGAATTAAATTAATTATTTTAATTCTATTTGAAAAAACTGGTTGAGAAGAACTAAAGTTTATTTAAATTATTAAATCTGGATGCAAATCCTCAGAGAATCGAGCCCTTGTGGTAGATGTATCTATGTTAAAACTGGCTTCGCGTGGCTTTTTTTTTTAAAGTAATTCTTTTCCTGTTCTCTCCTATCGGGAAGGGTAGTACTCAGAAGTTCCAAAGTTTTATTAATTATACTTTTTAATTGACCAGCAAGAAATAAAGATTATCTCAAGAAGAATTAAAGTTAATTTGTTCTGGGGGTTTGTCCATGTCTATGATACATGTTGTATGGACGTTGATCATGTATCTTTTTGTATAGTGTCAGGCATGTTGGATTGTTTTGGATTGTTTCTTGTTCTAAAAATAAATTGGTTAAAGATATCGCTATTTTTTTTTTTTTTTTTTTTTTTCTCACTAGCACTATAGGCTATAATACTGAGTTGATATAATTATTATTATTATTATTATTTAGTGAATTATTATATTATTAATAATATTATTGATAGTTGTAGAGAGAATAGAAGAGGATGACGGTGGTGAAGAGGATGAGAGGAATGAAGCTGAGGGTGAACGATTATAGATGAAGAGTACGCAGAGTCTTGTACCTCTCCAAATGACTAGGTAGTGCGATCTTGTAGACAGTAGGATGGTTGTAGTTGGAGAAGAATCGAAGGATGATAGTTTGTATTCGTTCTGTAATCGTATGTATTACTGATTCGTCGGTTTGGTTCATTAGAGCCAAGTGCCATCGATTACATAATTCTAACGTCTTGTCCCAGTTTACTTTTATAATATGTCGCATATCACTTATCAATCTAGCTCGCAGGTATTGTTCAGTGAATGGTTCATCTCTTTGGTGACGTAAATCATTACGTCGGAACCATATTCGTTCTAGTGTTGCCACGATGTGGCTTCGCGTGGCACTATAAATAGGCGAAACACGCCAAAAAATAGACACTAAAACCATGGATTATTAGCTCAGTGGTAGAGTAGAGGACTGCAAATCCTTTGGTCACAAGTTCAATCCTTGTATAATCCTTTTTCTGTTTTTTTTATTTCTGCGGAATAATAAGTTTCCAAACTACTTCTAGAATGTTGGAAATGTGTTTTGAAACAAAAAAAATTGGTTTGTAAAAAAACATTGACATAAAAAAATCAATCAAAAAAAACAACATGAAGTCGAAAGAAATGATAAACTATAGTGGTAAGAAAGACAATTCAAGTTTAGATAACCTTGTCTTATATTATTTATGGATGATTTTTATTATTTCTTTTTTTTTGTTTTTAATTTGATTAATTCTTTTTTGTTTTTTAGTCATCCTTGGCAGCCTTTCTCTTTTCATCTCTATTTTGAGGTTTATCAGATTTTGGTTGACCTCCAGCAGCAGCAGCTGGTTGTTGTTGTTGTTGTTGTTGAGCTGGTTGTTGTTGAATAGCAGCTGGTTGTCTTTGTTGTTGTTGTTGTTGTTGTCTTTCAGCAGGTTGATGAGGATGATTATGTTGTTGAGGTAATTGAATTGGATTTGGATTCAAGATGACATTTAGATTAACATCAACATAGGAATCACAACCAATATAACCATCACACATTAAATATAAAGAGTAGGTATATTTTCCAGGTTCCTTTGGTGTAAGGAATTGGATTTTGATAGAAGTACCTGGTTCATGATTTTCAGCTCTACCAAGAGCGATCAATTGATTCTTGTTGCGATCACCAAAAGCAATCCACCAAGAGAGTGGACGTTCATCACTAACATAGGGAGAGTGAACAAATGCCTTTTCCGATTTCTTTGATTTTTTAACTGGAGCTTCCCAGTCTGAATCTGAATCTGAATCTGAAAAGTCATCCTCGTCAAAGTCTTCATCGTCGTCATCGTCTTCATCATCATCATCATCATCAGAGACATCTTCACCTTTTGCCTTTTTCTCTTTTCTCTTTTGATGTCTATCGGCTCTTTGTTTTTCCTTTTCTTCAATCTTTTTTGCTCTTTCTGCTCTCTTTTTAGCTTTGGCTCGCTTCTCTGGATCCAATCCATCATCTTGTTCACCATCCAATTCTTTCAAAATACCATCAATATCATTTCTATCGACCAAAGAAGAAGAGGAAGCTTTTGATTTCTTTTTGTTTTTCAACTTTTCTTGTTTTTCCTTTTCTTTTTCCTTTTCTGCTTCCTTTTCTTCTTTTGATTTTGGAGTAGCATCGACAAATTCAACTTCAAGAGTACAAATGGCAGAAGAATAAATGATATTATCATCGTCGTCACCAGTATGAATCTTGTAAGAGATACCAACATCGCAAGGGATTTTGGCAGTGACGGCTTCGATATCGCTGATTTGTTGATTGGTAAAGTTGGCAGCCTTTAAAAACTCTAGACGACCATCGACACCCAATTTCTTGAATTTTGATAGATCGTTTACCTTTTTCTGTTGGGCCAAAGCGGCAATGGTGGTTTGGTCAAAGTGTGGGATTTGCAAGAGTGGCTGGTTGTCCCAGGCCGATTGGGTAATGCATTGTGAAAGCTTGATCAACTCGACGACGGGAATGATAAATCTACGTTCCTTTACGAGTTGGAATGCACCATTAATCATGACACGGACACGTTGTAAAATCTTTTCAAGGTCTTGTTCCAAACGTGGTGTAATTTGTTGATGGATACGTGAAATGTGAGCATACAGTAAAATGGTGTTTTTAAAGATGTAATTTTGATTGAATCTAAATTGTTTGACTCTGTACTCGGCTGGAACAGCTGCCAAAACCTTTTTAAGTTCTTCCTCGTCGGTTGGTCTTTCAATAAACTCGTCCTTGTATTCTTGTGCTGCTGCCACCACTTCAATGATTTGTTTATATCTCATCTTGTCATCAATCACATGATAAAATAATCCCATTGTATTATTTGATACTTCCAATACTGAATTCTTATTTTGTCTCTTATTCCATAAATAAACACATAATGGTACTAATATTACTAATGCTATTAAATAAATTGTCAAAACTAATAAAAAAAATAGAAATATTAATATTAATATTTTTGTTTTGTCTCTTTTTTTCTTTTTTTTTTCTTACCGATACCAGAATTATTTCTATTAATTAACCAACTTGGTAAAGCAATACCAATTGAAATTGGTTGTGGACCATCTGGATTACCATACTTTTCCATTTTTTCACGAACAGCTGGATCAGTCAGTGCTTCATAAGCTTTGGAAATACCAATAAACATTTCCTTTGCTTCATCACTTGGATTTTTATCTGGATGATAAACCAATGAAAGTTTTCTATATGCTCTTTTAACTTCTTCTTCACTTGCTCCCTAAAAATAAATAAGTAAATAAGATGATTTATTTCTTTTTTTTTCTATTTTCTATTTTCTATTTTCTATTTTTACATACATCTTGAAGATTTAAAACAGTAAAAGGATTATAAGGTTCAGATTCGGTAACACCAAATGAACTAACCTTAAAGAGGATAACAAAGAATGCAACCCAAAGAATGGCAACGAGTACAAACTTTATATAGGTTGCAATGGATCTTCTTGATTGTTGATCTTGTTGAACACGAATATCATGCTTTCTGTGACAACCTTGACAACTACAGTTGATGTGCTTTTCAGTCTTTTTGGGAAAGATCTTTTTAATGGCCCACCATGTCGATGGTACGAGTACAATGGCTAGAGTAAATAATATCCAATATCCAAATGCTGCATCATTATAATCTTCTGTCTTTTGTTGTTGTTCTTTTGTATATGCATTTTGTTGTTGTGACATGACTACAAAAATAAAAGATAAATAAATTATCAAAAGATAAAATATATATAAATAAACTAAAGAATAGAACAAATAGTTTGTGTTTTTGATGATCCTCACCACATAGTCTGTTTGGTCAAACAAAATTCTTGTGAGAAAAAATTAAAAAAAATTCATTTTTTTTTTTTTTAATGACTAGTCATTCGTCTGACAGATGTAGTATGATCGTGGTCAAGTGTGATTCACTACTATAGAGTACAAATCTTCTTAAAGTTATATACACAACGATCATGAATATTGATAAGATTTTCAAATTAGCAAAAGGTTTCTATGGTAGATCAAAGAATTGTAAATCATTGGCTCGTGAACGTGTAGAAAAAGGTCTTGAATACAACTATGTATCTCGTCGTCTCTTTAAACGTGACATGAGATCAAACTTTATTCAACGTATCAATGCTGGTGCTCGTCAACATGATCTAACATATAATAGTTTTACTAGAGGAATGGTTGCTTCTGATATTCATTTAAATAGAAAAGTAAAAGATAGTAAAAAAAGAAAAGAGAAAAGAATGATTAGATTAGAATACTTACTTTTATCTGTTTGTTTGTTTGTTTTTTTATAGATACTTTCAGAATTGGCAGTTACAGAACCATTTAGTTTTAAAGCTTTAACTGATGTTGCAAAGACTACATTAACTCAATTAGATGGAACTTCTTATTTACCAAAACAACAGTAAGTCTATGTTATTAAATGAAATAGATGGTACCAAGCACATAATGCTAACCTTCTCTTTTTTAAATAGATAAAAAAAAACCATATATTATATTATTATAAAAAGATACAAACAACCAATAGTCTTTTTTTCTTTGCAAGTCCAAATATTAATATTATAATTTAAATTTTGTTGGTCAAAAGAGGATAATATGATTCATTTATTCATTTATTTTACAAAAGTAAAAGAATGGATACAGTTAAAATAGTAGAAGAATCAGATAATAATAATAATTTAACATCAGAGATTGAATTATTTTTAGAAGAGATTTTAGTATCAAAATTACCTCAAGATGCAAAAGATCGATTTTTAGAAAAGTTATATCGTGGATATTATTATAGAGGATTGGAATTTCTAAAAAATGAATATTATAATCTACTAGAGGAATATGAATTTGAAAAGAAAATTCAAATTGCTTTAATCAAGATGAAGGATTTCGATCAATCTTTAAATAATCAAATCAAAAATACAAACAAGTTTCAATTGGAAATTGATCAATTAAAATTAAAATTATTAAATTTAAATGATTTTGAATTGGTAAAAATTAAAAAAATATTAATTTATAAAGTATATTAACCAAACTTCTACTTTTTAATAGTCTAAAATTAATCAAAAATTTGAAAATGCTGTAAAAGAATTAAAAAATAAAGATTAAAAAAAAGGAGGGAAATTTTTAAACTCGACGATTCATTCAAGACTTTTATAGTGTTTATTCTTTTTGTGTGTGTAAATAGATAGAGAAATAGAGAGAATGGAAGGAGGATCAAATCAAAGAGGTGGAGGTATTAGTAGTAGTAGTAGTACTAATAGAGGAAGAGGAGGAAGAGGAAGAGGAGGATCATCATCATCAACAGGAGGAAGATCAACAACAAATAATTTCAATGCAGATACAGATAGTAATGATGATATAAATAATTTAAAATTTGTTTATGAAGATGATTTGAGTATGTAAATCAATCACCATATGTATGATACTTTATACTAATATTTATTTTTAGAACTATGTAGAAGATTTCTAAGAGAATATAATACACTTGCAAAACCATTTAAATATTTAGATATCATTGTAAGAAGAAAATGATAATTATATCTCTTTTTATCTCTTCTAACTTTTTTTTTTTTAAACTTTAGAAACAAATTGAAGAAGGAAAATTAAAAAGAATAATAATAGAATTGGATGATATGTTTGCAATTAGAGAAAATATAGAAGGAGAATTATTTGGATCAATTGAATTTGTAGAGAGGATTGAAAGAAATACATTTACCTATATAAGATTGTTTACAATGGCCATTGATGAAATCATTGGTGATCCATTGGATAAACAAAAAATTGGTGAAAGTGATGATCCAATCTTGGATTTACTCCTAACACAACGTCAACAACGTTCAAGAAATGATAAAGACTTGAATCATATTTCAAGTACTTTTTTACCAACCATTGGAATTCAAAATCAAAATGGTAAACAACAACCATCAACATTTAAACCTCCCACTTCTTCAGAATATCCAAAAGAATTAATTAGAAGATTTGAAGTTACAATATGTCCAATGAAGAAGAAATCACTTTCACCAACACCAATTAGAATGATTAGAAGTTTACATATTGGTAGATTGGTAACATTTACGGGTGTAGTGACTAGAGTGACAGAGGTGAAACCAATGATTACAGTTGCAACCTATACATGCGATGGTTGTAGTGCAGAGGTTTTCCAAGAGATCAAAGGTAGAGAATTTATGCCAGTTGGTATGTGTCCAAGTACAGTATGTGCAAACGCTCAAAAACAACTTGGAGGTGGATTGACGCTGCAGTTGCGTGGCAGTAAATTTATAAAGTTTCAAGAAATGAAATTGCAGGAAATGGCAGATCAAGTACCGATTGGTCATACACCACGTTCAATAAAGATATTTGTTCGTGGTGAATTGACTAGAAAAGGGTCACCTGGTGATGTAGTGACTGTAGATGGCGTCTTTTTACCAACCCCCTATACCGGTCACAAAGCAATTCGTGCAGGTTTATTGGCAGATACCTATGTCGAGGCAATGGAAATTCGTCAACACAAGAAAACCTATGAACAATTGGAATTGACCGATGACACTCGATTCAAGGTAGAGCTAGAGAGCAAGACACCCGACATTTATGAACGTTTGGCAAGATCGATTGCACCAGAAATCTATGGTCATTTGGATGTTAAAAAGGCATTACTTTTGATGATGATTGGTGGAATCTCCAAATCAATGCGTGATGGCATGTCAATCAGAGGTGACATTAATATTTGTTTGATGGGTGACCCAGGTGTCGCCAAGAGTCAGTTGCTCAAACATATTTGCAAGGTGGCGCCACGTGGCATTTACACGTCGGGCAAGGGAAGCAGTGGCGTCGGTCTTACGGCCGCTGTCGTCAAGGATTCCATGACGGGCGAGTTTGTTCTAGAGGGTGGTTCGCTCGTACTCGCCGACATGGGTATCTGCTGCATCGACGAGTTTGACAAGATGGAAGAAGCCGATCGTACCGCCATCCACGAAGTCATGGAACAGCAAACCATCTCCATTGCAAAGGCTGGTATCACCACCACACTCAATGCCCGTACCAGTATCTTGGCCGCCGCCAATCCCGCCTATGGAAGATACAATTTCAAAAAATCACCCGACGAAAACTTTAACCTTCCACCATCACTCTTGTCTCGTTTTGATCTACTCTTTCTCATGGTGGATCGACCCAATTTGGAATTGGATCGTCTACTCTCGGAACATGTCACCTTTGTCCATCAAAATTCCAAGCCTCCCGCACTCGACTTTGTCACATTTGAACCAGAGTTTATTCGTGCCTATGTCTCGGTGGCTCGCTCGTACAGTCCCTACGTCTCCAAAGATCTCACCGAGTTTATCGCATCGACCTATGTCGGCATGCGCAAACAAGAAAGTGAAACCAAAGAACCATTCACCTATACCACGGCTCGTACCCTACTCGGTATCTTGCGTATGGCGCAAGCCCACGCTCGTTGTCGTGCCGCCTCCCATGTACAACAATCAGATATCGAAGAAGCCATTCGTCTCATCTACAAATCAAAAGATTCCATTCGTATTGAAAAGGATAAAAAACAAAGACCCACAAACATTCCATCCGCCATCTATGACCTCATTAAAAATAATTGTAAGCGATCTGATAGAAAATCAGCCAAATATACAGATATCCTACCTCAAATTGTAAATGCTGGTTTTACAGAAAAACATCTTCAAGATACAATAGAAGAATATAGTCAATTAAATTTAATTTTATGGTCTGAACAAAAAACTCTAATTAAATTGGTAGAGTAAAGAAAAGGAAATAAATAGAAATACATAATACATAATAAATAAATATGGTAGAGCGTTTTTGAATTTTCTAATTTTTTTCATTGAAACAGAATCGATGAATATTTTGATCAAAACAAAAAAAACGGTGGTGTGATGGGTTGGTCCTTTTAATCTAATCTTCTCTTTTTTTTTTGAATATCTCTCTTTCTTTTCTATCTCTTATTTATCTTTTTTTTTCTATTTATCTTTTTTATCATGGAATCATTTTATCATGAAGATTTATATACACCAATAGAACGTATAGATATAGAGGAATTGACAAGTAGAGAGAATTTTGTTTGGAGTTCGGCATCGATTTATTCAATTTCTCATGATTTGGAGAAAACAAATGATAAACAAAAGATTGTACAATATTTGACAAAATTGGATACAGATGGACAAACATTACTACATAGTCAAGCAATGGGTACAATTAGACCAAATCAACACAACATTTTAATCAATACTTTAAAACATTTAAACAAGACTGAATACTTGGAGTTTAAAAATGTATTGAATCGAGCAGAAGAGACAGCATTGCATGTTGCCGTTTTAAACAAAAACTATGCATTCCTACGTCTATTTGCTACTTGTGGTCCCAATGCATCGTACAAATGTCATCGTAACCTTACACCTCTAGATATGGCAGTTTGGATGGATGACTTTCAAGCCGCTGAAATCATTGCCGCCATTTCAACCAGTCAACTGACCGTTGAACTACCAAAAAACTTTTCAATCAAAGGTCATCACAACGCTAGTCCAAACACTGAAAATCCAATCTCTCCATTCTATCAATGGGGTCAAATGTTTACCACTCAACTATCACTTGGTAAAGTCTCTACACCTCAAACCGTCCTATTTAATCATCATCAAGAACATGGTGTTTCAAATGTTCAATTTGGTGGTAACTTTGCTTTAATGTTGACTGATACTGGTATGATTTATTCTTGGGGTTTATGTAGTTATGGAAAGGTAAGTAAAATAGAATAGAAACATAAAAAAAAAAATTAATTATATATTTATTCTTTTTCTTTTTTTTTTTTCTATTTTCTATTTTTCTTAGTTGGGACAATATTCAAAAAATGATTGTCCAATACCATCACAAATTATGGAATTAAAGAATAAACAGATTACACAGATAGCATGTGGTAAAGATCATTCATTGGCATTGGATGAAATTGGATGTGTTTATGCATGGGGCAATGGAGCAGGAGGTAGATTAGGATTAAACAAGACCGATGTGGTATCTTTGCCAACAATGGTAGCACATTTCCCAGATCAAGTAAAGGTTGTTGGTATTGCTTGTGGTCAAGATCACTCGATGGCAGTTTGTCAAGATGGTCGAGTATTTAGTTGGGGACAGGCAGGGTTTGGTAAACTTGGTTATTCCAATCCAATGGGTTTCCAATCAACTCCTCGTCGTGTAGAATCTATACCAGCATGCAAACAAGTTAGTTGTGGTAATTGGCATTCATTGACATTGACAAATGGTGGTGATGTCTATGCTTTTGGTTCAAATCGTGAGGGTAGATGTGGTAGAGAATTGACTACAGTAGAATCACCTCCCAATCGTGTCATCTTTGACGCCAACATTAAAATCAAAAAAATTGGTGCAGGTTTAAATTTTAATGCAGTCCTTACAACTTCAAATATGATCTATACTTGGGGTAATAATGATAAAGGTCAATTGGGTGTCCTTATTGAAACAAAAAGCAATAGTACCAATAATAGTAGAAACAATAATAATAATAATAATTATATTTCAGTTTATGCAGCAACACTTAATGATACCTATACCTATGTACCACAATTGGTAAAGACATTGCTACCATATCCAATTAATAATATTGAAGTTGGATATGAACATGTTGTAGTGTTGACCGATGCAGGAGAGGTCATAACATTTGGTAGTAATCAAATGGATCAACTTGGTCATGGAGAGCTACTTCGAGATGCTGGTACTTTTAGAAAGGTTGAAATTCAAAACAAAAGTACTGTATTCAAGATTGCTGCTGGTAATTATGCTTCACTTGTCTCTCTGTCAAGTGGTCATAGTATCTTTGGTTCGGAAATGGCTCAACTATTAAAAGATGAGAGATATTATGATCTGTGTCTACAAGTCAATTCAAATAGACAAGAAACTGTAAAAGCTCATAGATTCATTGTTGCATCGAGATCAAAGAAATTACATAGTCTATTGAAAATGGAAATCGATCGTCCAAATCAAAACAACAAGATACCACTCACTCAAACCACCTTTATTACAACGTCTACCGAGAATGGGATCATTTATATGGATTTCCCATCATTTACATCGATTGAACCAATTAAACTTTTCGTAAAGTTTCTATACACTGATCATGCTCCACTCGTTGCATCTCATGTTCAAGATCTTGGTATTTTGGCAACTAGTCTATCGATTGAAAGGTTATCTTATATTTGTAATATTACAAATTATAAATCTTTGGAAACTATCCCAACTAGTAGTCTTTTAGAGGATTTTGGTAATCTCTCCAATCAAGAATACCTTGACCACTATGGTGACATTACATTCAATGTATCATCAGAGAAATCATCCTATCAACCAATCAATTCAATTCAAAAGATTAAATCCTACAGAGCAATGTTGGCACTTAGATCACAATACTTCCAAATGATGTTTCAAGGTCAATTTGCAGAGAGTACAAAGAATGAAATCGATATGTATGAAGTGGACCCAGGTAGCTTTAATCATTTACTAGTCTATCTCTATTGTAATAGTGTTCCAGAAGATCCAAATCAATGTATTGATTTATTGTTCCTCGCCGATATTCATCAAATCCCTAGAGCCAAAGAGCTACTGGCCGCTGTGATCCGTCCATCCATCGATGTCGAAAGTATTTGTTCCATCTATCATCTAGCCATCAAACTCAATGTTAAACCACTCGTTGTTTGGTGTGAAGCTAAAATCCCAACCATGCCAAATCCCCAACAACTACCAGAATATGACCTGCTACCAGACACAGTCAAATCAATCATTGAAAAGAAATTGGATCAATTAAATGAAAAATTAAATCAACTCTCTATTCAACATAGACAACAAAATTTAAATCTTCAACAACAACAAGAACAACAACAACAAAATGTACAAAAACACAAATCATCTAAAAAGAATTGGTTTAATAATTTGTTTTAAAGAAGGAGTAAAAGTTAAATAAAATTAATGTAATAATAAATGAATTGAATAAAAAAAAAAACCATCCATCCCTTTGATTATTTCAAGGGAAAAATAAAAAAAAATGAATATTTATTTTCTTTGGGGGTTTTGAAAATTTTTGGTTGGGAGTACCGCCTCAGAATCTATTTATTTGTAAAACTTATTTCTCTCTATGGTCTTCTTTATTTTTAATTATTCTTTTACCAATCGATAGATCTTTTCATTATCTATCAAATGGTTGACAAAAAAATTTGCGAGAGGTTCACCCTTCTAAAAAGTACTTTCCGTAAAGTCGCCATTAGCCATGGGCTAAGATGAGGTCTAGAAAGCATTGTTTGGAAAAACAAATGATATAAACAGAAAGAGCACAAAAAGTTGTATCTATTGGTGATATTGGATCGTCGTTTCAAAGATTATTCAAATAAAAAAAATGCTATTCTTCAAAGCCTATCTCATATAGTAAACATGCAACCATATAAAACTACGTGCTACATGGATCGGATCACGATTAATCAAATAAAAAGACAAGCGCCAACGCAAGAGGTGTAGGCGCCTTGAATCTTCAACATTATATGCACTGGTGTCGGCAGTGTTCAATGCATGCCACATCCAGCAACGCTAGACAAGATGGTTAGTATATTTGGAATGGTCAATCTCAAAACAATTGTGAATGCTCAAGAGTAATGGTAGCTTAATCTATATCGATATCATGGTTATTTATTTGGTACATACTAGTATTATTGTAATTAGCTCTTTTAAAACCCATCAAGGCTAGTGGTCATGGACAATTTCGCATTCGGTCTATCAAAACCATCCATTCTAAAAGATAATAAATAATAATTAGTAAACAGTATTTATGACAGTAATTTTACAAGATACATATCTTTACAGTTTTTAAAAATGGACCAACTCGTCTCTAATCAATTGATTCTATATTTAAAGTATAATATGGCATGAATATGATTAGTTGAGGGTTTGATAGTTGTATTGTGATGAATTTACTTAACTTTGTATTCTAATTCAGGTGGGTAGAGTTGATGACCAAACAACCACCTTTGTTGCTATAATACAAGACTATCAGCTATAGTATGAACCGATTTGTTGACTAGTCTCATTAAACAGATATCTGATAGATTGGAATTGTTAGTTTTGAAATTAATTTATGTTATGAATATATACATAACTTTAATAGATCAGCGGTTGATTAAGAAGAAGATCAATCGGTTCTATAGAAAAATAGTAAGGATGACCTATGTTAAAAATATGTATTAGTAATTGAGTGGTGGTTGTAGTATATACTACTACTATGTTGAAGTCTACATGATACTTAAACTTTATCATTTATGGATAGGTACCATATATGGATGTATTGTTTGATTAAATATTGAACTATAAAGCTGTAAGGGATAAATAAAAAGAGGAAAAGAAATATGAGTAGAATCAATAGAGCTACCATTACTCTTGTCTCAATCTCACAATGTTTCTCATTCTAAAAAAAAACACCAACAATATATAGATAATAAATAAAATATTAGTATCCAGACCCAAGCCTGGAGCTGCAAGCAAATGCCCATTGTGAACCAAATGACAAGTTGAACTCCGTTGGCTATGCCGTAGAGTAGTCCTTTTGAGTCAAATGAACAATGTACTTGCAGCTCCCAATTCTGAAATGATTTAAAATAGGGGAGAATTGTATATATATAGAGGGGGGGGGGGGGGGGAAAGAGGGATAGAGGGTAGAATTCATAAGTTTCCCACACCGAAGCGTGACCATTTGGCAGACACTAGAACATCCTCCCACCAACCAAAAGGAGTTGTAGTGTCTTTTTAAATAATAATAATAATATAACCACAAGTGTAATCTATAATTATAAAAAAGAGGTTTATTTCTATTGTCTTTAAACAATAGAATAATGGTTAGTGATGTATAATATTTCATAGTAGTGTATAGTCTTACTTTAATTTATATTATATATTTATAAAAGATTTTGGTTCTTTGTCAAAGGATCCTTGAATAAAGACAGAGTGATTGTTGGTCTACGTCATGTCCTCTAAAGGCGTCATTCCCATTGTTGATTGACTGATTGATGATTGTTTAAAATATCTTGATGAATCTAATCGATCGATGGTTATTGTTGTTGGTGTCATGATGAAAATTCTCCCTCCAAAATTAATTACTTCTCTTCATGACATGATAGTGCTGTGCTGTACTGTGTTCTCGCGCAGTACAAGACAAGTAGTAAATATAAATACATCTAGATTTATGAATTCATAACCCATCCTAAAGTTGAATTCATTCATTCATTCATTCGAGACAGACATCCATCAAATGACGATGATGATTGAGATTTAATTTAACTTGTTACCCTATACTACTTGTGTTGATGATCAATATTCACATCATCATCATCAACATGATCATCATCATGACTTTTATATCTCTAAGTATTGTATTGTAATTGTATTGTTCTTATTCTTATGACTCTGTGATGATCATGATGTTTGTTGGCGTTTGTGAATGCTCCATTTGCAAATTTGAACCCAAAATCTCTTAGTTGCTTACTAGTATGAAAAGGTGACACTGATGATAATATTCTTTTGAAGAAAGGAATTAGTATACATCAACAACTACTACTAGTTAATTTCTTATATGCAACTTATTGTGTAGAATTATTATAATAATTCTTTTTTCCATCTTTTGCTTCCTTGTGCATCTTTCTAATGATGTTGATACAACTAAAATCTCTTGGTGACATAAAAACTGTACCATCTTCGTTGATCTTTTCTCCTTTGGGGTCGAGAGTTGTCTTGATACCTCTTCCATGTTTAGACATGCTCAAACTTCTTAGAACCTCTGCTTGTAGTACTTCGTCGCCATTTGTATGTCTTCTCAACAGGAATGACGTTTTATTTCTAATGCGTTGCACTTGTCTTAATGAGAATGTTGGTTTAAAACGGTCGCCAATTAATCGTTGGTAGACTGTTGGAGGTGTCGTTGTTGTTGTTGTTGCTGCTGCTGGTGATGCAGAGATTGTTGTTATTGGTACTAATGCTACTGATACTGATGATGCTGCTGATGCAGTGATAGTTTGGGCTGCTGTACTCATGATTAATATGCTTAAAATAAAGATAAAAATATATCTATAATATTGATAATTCATTAAATAAAGATATTATCAATTTAATTAAATAATTAATTGTTTGTTTCAATTGATTCTACACTTTTTTTTTTTTTTTTTTTAAATTTTTTTTTCTCATGAGATAGTGCGATCTTTATGCGTGCCATAGGTGACTGACCTGATACATTGCGAGGTTTGAACATTTGTTTCAAAACAACAACAGCAAATAGCCCCTCTCTCTCATTAATAAATGGATCCTATCAAAAAGAAGAAACAACAATAGAATCATACCCTGATTTGGTATCATACACCCCCCCCTCTCCCTCCTCCTCTTCTCTTACATTTTAGATCTTGGTTCATATAATGAGCCTAATCCGCACCCCCATCCCCCTCCTTATCCGCCTCACTCATATAGTGAATCAACACGCCCATAATCTGACGGGTTACATCAAAGAATGATCGTGCTGTGGCTCACCTAGGCATCATATCCAACCATGACTACCACCCCCTATCCTCCTCCTTATCCCCCTCACTCATATGTTGAATCATAAATGATCGTGCTGCTGTGGCTCACCTAGGCATCATGAATGCCCCCATTAAACGGTGGTGATGACACAGTTCGGGTATTAAGAAACCACCATACGATTATGATATCATTGGGACAACCCCATCTGTATATGTATCACCCCTCACTTTTTGTTGATAATCAACAAAGACAAGAAAACATTTGTTTAAAATAAAATATTATTCATCAAGCTCCAATGTTCTCTATTTAAAGTGTTCTTTTTCTCATCACATCATTATTCATTTTATCTATCTTTTCTTCAATTCATTATCTTTCTGCTATATTGTATTACCTTTATATATTTTTTATATAGGAAGCTTCTAATTGAGGTTCACTATCGCACAGTGGTCATCATGAATGGCCCACTTCCATCCGCAACAGAGACAAGAACAACTCAATACCCTCTCGATCGTCTCATGGGTAAGAAGTGGAATAACGAACAAAACTTGTTTGTGACACATCTCGGCCAATATGCAAGATACTATCACTCTGTTAAGAGGTTAGTAGGCCAATTTTTTTTAATATTTGTATACGACTTTAATAACAGTAAGATATCATCAACCTTTTTTTTTTTTTTTGAACATGAATCATTCAGATAAGTTCATGAACTAATTGATCGATTTCATGTATTTTACTATTTTTAGTGTTTAGTTTGTCCCGACAAGAACTCGAAAAAGTAATACCAAAGTATTACGACATGAGTGTTCTTTCAAAGAACAAAACAAATGAATTATATGAAAAAATGGAAAATCGGTTGACTTTGCCGATTCGATGGGATTCTCTAATTGTGGAGGCCATCATCTCAAAGGTGATGGACATAGACACACGCAAAAGCAGTAATAGTCCAAGAGATTATGTATGTATAACAGTCTGTGACAGTTATGATGTGTAATAATAAATTAATTTTTATTTTATTCTTTGTTTACTCTTTACAGAATTCTGCACAAGATGTCCAAGCAAAAGAGAAAATCGTCAACAAAATGCTATCGAGAACATTTGCCAAACTCAAGGTAGACGAGATGGTTGCAAAATATCAAATCCTCCGATATGCACTCCTTGACCCAGATCTGAATCCAATTGGCTGTTGCCACTCTTATAAAACCGCCTTTGCCAACTCCATTTGCAATAGTTACTCGGCCGAGGTGGCCGAGACCTGCAAAAGGATGGTGGAGAGTGCTTTAGACCGTCAAGATGACCGAAACATATTCCACCACGAGTCCAAGTTGGTGTCGGATCTTCTGGAGGATATACTTGCCAAAATAGATGATGGTGATATCGGTGAAGGGTACCAAGCTCTCAAACTAATATTTTCATCTCAACCATTAAAAGGTATGTCATTGATATTAACACCATCACAGGTTTTTTTTAAATATCTTCTTGCGTCGGTTCATGTAACTCTATCTCTCATTTTGTTTATCTTTTGCTCATACACGTCAAAAGGGGTCGATGACCGCTACTGAGAGGATGGTGGGCAGTTTGTGGAGTGTCGATCAGATTTTTTTTTTTAATATTTATTTTCATTTTTTTTTTTCATCTCGAACAACTCACAGAAACCAAATTTAGAGAATGTATATTAAACTATTAAATAACATCTCACACTCAACACAACATTATCAATAGATAGAATACAGCGAGTATTGTTTATAGTTACACTTTTAGTGTAAGAACCCACACATCACTATCATTACTCCTCTTTTACACCATTTCTTTTTGATTATCTTTTGTTTTCATTGGTTTACCAATCAATGCACCACCCATCTCTTTCCTTTTAACTACTCATTGTTGGCCAAGTTCATCTTTACATATCATTGACCTCTTGTGTTCACTCATAAATTATATAATCCTTTTTGATCCAAATCAAGTACCAATCTACCACTCTTTATCGCTCTGCATCCTTTTTGTTGTTCGTTTGATCCACTCTCCTATCCGACAAACTTTCTTTACCACTTAACTTTCCATCAGATACTGCAATCAATCACTACCATTGCTCCTCTTTTACCCTTTCTTGTTTTGATTATATTTGTTTTTATTATCGAGATGCACCACCCATCTAACCACTCGCCTCATTGTTGGTCCCAGTCTTTCCATCAGATCGATAATGCAAAACATTACAATCATTGCTTTTACACCATTTCTTTTTTGTTTTCATTATCCAATCAACGCATCACCTATCTCTTTTGCCTCATTGTGGAGAGAGAGATAGAATTTATAGAGTATAATTGTAATACAGCGCGTATTAATTATTGCAGAGATTAGAGTGATCTTTGATACCT